ATACCCTATCTCTATATATAGCGCTATCTTATCCTTTTAAAAGATCCCCTAATAGTATATATATACTTTATAGCTATATATCTAAAGATTTAAGAGATTAAAGTATAGTTAATTCTATTAGTAATAAGATTTCTATATAGCTTTAATCTATAGGATAATTACCTTACTATCTAGTAATATCGTAGGGATCCTATTAATTAAATAGATCGCTATATTTATTATCTCTAGCTAAAGCTTCTTCGATAAGCCTATATCCTATATTAGAGCTCTAGCGATAGTAATAATAATACCTCTAGCTCTCTCGATAAAACTATTCTATTTAGGCGTTCCGATAATACTAAATTCGACTAAGATACCCTCTCTATTATACTATTCTTAGAATATATAGCTAAAGGTCTATTTATTATTACTAATAAATACTCTAATCTCTATATTAAACTAATTTCGATAGATAGTAATAAATATAGTAATAATATAGATATAACCGCTCTTCTTCTTATATATCTAGACTATATAGAGATAAATACCTTTAAATAGTAAGTAAGAGACCTATTTATAACTATTATATATTTCTTCTAGCTATATTATATTAAAATAAATCTTCCCGAACTAGCTATATATCTTTAATCTATCTGCTAACCTCTAAGAGATCTACTTCTTTATTTTAGTAAGCTAATAGACTATATATTATTTAGGGTTATATAGCTAGTTATCCTTAAAATCTCCCTTAATAATTATAATATTAACTATCTTTATAAAAGTCTTAATATACTAGTTATATATATAGCTAAGTCTTCGGTACTAGATCTATAGTAAGATAACGGATATAAGTAGTTTCTAAGATATTCTAAGTATAGGAAAGACTATCGGAGGGCTTTTAACTATTAGGATATACTTATTACCCTAGTAATACTCTAGGAGATAGAGCCTAAACTTTCTACTATATATAGCTACTAGCTTATTATCCTTAGTAATAGCTAGATAATAGCTATTAAAAAAGAAACCGTTCTTCGCTATCTCTAAGATAGATAGAATATTAGTCTTAAAGCTTAGGATATACTATATATCTAGTAAGGTTACCTATAAGACCTTACTAGTAAGGTCCTAGATAATAACCTTTATAGTTCCTTTACTAGCTATAGTAATTTTATTACTACTAAGTATAACTATCCTCTATTCCTCTATAAGACCCCCTTCGTTCGATCTAGATAGTTATATATATAGATATTAGCTCTAGAGTTAATAATCTAGCTATTTCTAAGTAGAAGAGATATAGCTATATTATATATTACTAGAGTAATATCGAAACTAAAGAAGCCTATAGATTTAGTTAGTATTTTATTAAAGCTATTATTATTATTTTTACTAGTAATTATAAGCTAAGCTATCTAAGTAGTCTTTTTAGATAAAGATAAAGTATTAGTATTTATTATCTTAGCTATTTCTTACTATTTAGCGAGGCTTAGCTTCTTAATACTATCTTTAACCCTCTTATATAAGATCTTATATTATTACTAGTTCTAAGGCTTCTTAGATAGGTTTATATAAAAGTAGTCTTTTTACTAATACTTTGGGCTACTATATATATAGTATAGTAGTCTCTTTATATTTAACTATCCTTAATTAGGCTATTAATAACTATATAGTATTATTACGAAGGCTATAGCGCTCGAATAGCCTTTCTTATTCTAGTCTTATATTTCTTAGTATATCTAGTACTCTATTAAGATATCCTAGAAATATAGGGTTTCTTTCTCTAGCTTCTTTTTATACTAGTTACTAAAATAGCTATCCTAGCTAGGGATAGCTTAGAGGAAGTCTCTAATAGCTAAATTATCCCTAGGATTATCTATTATATAGGTATAATACTAGATATCTAGTACTTTAGCTATATAGGCCTTATTATATAGGGTAGACTAGTTTAATAGCTACTTATTTATCGACGTTTTACCTATTTAGGTAGATATCTAATATCTCTATATATTTTAAAGATTTTACTTCTATATAGCCCCTTCGGCTTAAATTCCTAAGCTAATCTAACTATCTTCTCTCTTATAGTCTACTTCCCGGTTAAGATATAGTACTTTTTAAGATAGGTTATTATATAGATATAAGTATTTATCTAAATAAGGCTCTTCTCTATAGTATAGTAGAACGCTCTCTCCTTTTTAAATAGCGAGACTAGGTAAGTATAATAAAGATATTCGGTCTTACTAAACTAGATAGGGTTATCGATAGTACTATTAATTTTGTTCGGTTATAGGAAGATATCTCTTAGTTTAATAGGTAGCTTCTTAATCTTATCGTCTAATAGCTTAGGGTTAATATACCCCTATACTTTTATAGCTATCGTAGCTAATTCGATATAGCTTATCTATACTCTTTACTAAGCCTCCGACCGGAGCCGTTAGTCTTAGGGGTTCGTATTTAATACTTAAGTTATCTTAAAGGTCGTTATATTTATATATAAATTAGGCTAATTTATAGGCTCTTTAAGTAAGGCCTATAGTCCCTCGGTATTAGATAAACTACTACTAGGTAATAGTTTAGGGGCTAATCGTTTTTAGAAGCTTACGTTAATAGAAAGATCTAGGCGTTCTGATATATATCTTTCTTAGTGATATTAATAGGCTATCGGGCTTATAACTATTAGGGTAAGCTAATACTATATAGCCTAGTATATAAAGATAACGAATAATATCAAGCGGAACTAATATAGATAAATAATATTGATTGATTTAGAAGGAAAACGGGGGGGGGGAGCGCTACTATAGACTACAGTCGGTATAGATAACTTTCCGGACACCCTTCCACCGCCTAATCTTACCGCCTACTAAATTAGCTATAAACGCCTAGCAACCATCAAAATATGATAGATTAATAGTAAACATCAATAATAATATCAATAATAACATTAATAATACGTCGAATAAGGGATATATAAGACTTTCCCCCCTATCTCACACATATACATACACATATACACATATATATATATACATATATATATATATAATAGGTATAGGCAAAGAACTCTTACCATCAACTCGCTTACATATATACAGCCTTCGAAATAACGCTAAATAGTTATATAACCGTATACGAGGCGAATTTCTATATATTCTACGCTCTACAATCATCGATATATATCTCAAAGAGGCTAGTCGTAGCTATAAAAACACCTTACGTAAACGCCCCGGTCGGCCACGTAACCTTAGTAAATTCGAACGAGACCTCCTATTCGACGCTATCCAAACGAAGCTAGGCATTAAATATAACGAATTGCTTAATCTTATCGATAATAAGATCAGCCACGAGACACTTCGGCTACTTTTAAAAGACCTTAGTCTACGAAAATAGCGTAAGATTAAGCGACCTCAATTAACCGAGCGTAACGTACGCTTATATCTTATACAGGCGTAGAGATATCGTAATTTTACATCGAGTAATTAGGAAAACGTCTATTAGTCTAATAAAATATTAATTAAGCGAGGTTCTAGCGAAAACGATAAGTAGACGTTTATTCGACGAAAAGATTAAGCTCGTTTAGGCGAGGTAAAGCCGATACTATATAGTAAATAGCTTCGATAGATATTTTAGGCGTCTTTCGTAGGGAGTATACGTCGAACAGCCTTAATACCCCTTTATAGCTATTCCGATTTACCTCGTAGTAGTATTAATAGCACATAAATCCTCGAAACATATCGACAATAGCTACCGACGTTATTATCTCAATCTACATCGGATCGATCGGCTATCTTTATATACGACAACGCTCCAGTATACACTACATATTACGTACGTAATTAGCTATAAGAACAAGGCTATATTATTATAGAATGGCCGCCTTATTCGCCTGATTTAAACCCTATCGAAAATCTTTAGGCGTTGCTAAAAGATAAGCTATTAAAGATATTTCCTAAGCTATATCATATACAAAATAATAAAGCAACGCGGTCGTTCTTAATATTAGCTGCGCAGACAGCGTAGTCTTATATAGATCATGAGATATTACAAAGACTATCAGATAGTATGCCTAGGCGTATACAGGCGATTATCGACGCAGATGGCTAGTACACTACATCCAGACAGCCAAGATAGCCAGACAGCCAGACAGCCAGACAGCCAGATAGCTAGACAGCCAGACAGCCAGACAGCCAAGATAGCCAATATAGCTACCATGGCAACATCTGCCGGCAGAATCTTATGTAATATTTTAAAATTGCAAGGGGGGTGTCCGGAAAGTTGTCTGTACCGACTGTACCCCTTATGAAACAGGCGTGTCGCCGATACTCGGCTGTTACAAAGCCTGAGTTACTGACTAATCTCTAATTATATACGAAATACTAAACGAGTGTGAACCCAGTAGCAACCAATCAGTTGCTAGCGGTAAGATATCCCTTCATCTGCTGATAAATATGGATAAGAGGTTTTCGTTTTGCGGAATATATAAGCACCGGTGCGGAAGTTCTCCACCGGGGCGGAAGTGCTCCGTACTGGGTTGCAAATACTTATGGTCTATTACTGTATAGTGGTAGTTATGTAGTGCAAGTTTAAAACTATTTCCCTTATTGCCAAGACCTTTCTGCTAGATAAAAGTCTACTCAATAACTGGAATCAAAACATAACAACCTAGTGTCGGTATAGCACTTATCCGCGTCAATAACTTCCTCTGCCCTGTGAGGCATCGCAGCCGGTAATTTAGTTAATATACAAATCATCGAGTGTAGTAAGTGCACGGTATAGGCGTTGGGTAAGAGGCGGTGGATAGGAAATATTTTCAGACTTGCACTGCACTGTATTCTTCTCGACAGAATATTTCGATTTCTAATCAACCGGAATTACCGGATCATCTTGCGCCACCTCTCCTTACCATCAGAAATCAACCTGAGGTTTAGTGTACAGTATATAATCCCAGCAATACATCCTTTCCCCTTCCAATTCTGCATTTTTCAGATACTTTCAACCATCACGACTTCATCTCAGAATCAATGCCAAACATGCCTACTCTCTCGTCTCTACCAACCCGGGAGATAGCTGGAATCACAATTCCAGATACCCCGCTAATCAGCAAAGCCATTGCGCACGCGCGAGAACAGGGTGACGACTTCACATACAACCACGTCATGAGATGCTTCCTGTTCGCAATCGCCTCTGTCTCTGTTGTCACAACCGTGGTGCCGGACTATGCCATCGACTATGAGGCTCTCGCCATCAGCACGATCCTTCACGATCTAGCCTGGTCAGTGGACAGCGATAATTGCACTGCAGACAAACGATTTGAGGTTGACAGTGCCAACGCGGCACGGCAATTCTTAGCCACAGAGGCTGAGAATGACCCTAGCTGGGACCCTCATCGTGTGCAGCTCGTCTGGGATGCGATTGCGCTGCATACCACGACTTCCATTGCCATGCACAAACAGCCTGAGGTCATGATTGCGCATATAGGTATCTCGGTAGATTTTGTGGGGCCAAATGTCTTTCCTGGTGGGAAGGGTCCGTTGGCGTGGGAGGCCTTTAATGAGGTGGTTGAGATATTTCCGAGGGAGAATTTCAAAGAGGGCGTGAAGGTGATTCTGTGTGATTTGTGCCGGAAGAAGCCTAATACGACATATGATAATTTTGTCGGCGACTTTGGGGAGAAGTATGTGGAGGGTTATGATAGGACTGGGAAGAAGGCGAGTGACTTTATTGAAAATGCCCTTTGAGGGAACTTCAGGCCTTGGGGACATATAGATGGCTAAATTCATCAAGGTCATGGAACCCATTTGATCTTCGCCGCGGGACTGATTTTTGTCTTCTGTCATATCCAGGAAAGAATTGGCATTGGAAAGATGTCTCTTCACAATATAAGCATTGTACCTTGTCCGAGCCCTACGCGGTAGTACGTGTTTCGCGGTCTGCCTGAACTTCGGCCGGGGTCCGTTTGAACCTTAAATTGCATTGCATGGCCGAAGCTGCGCTCTGGAGGTGCGAGTCATCCGACAATTTCTGTGAATACCACAAAACGTAGGAGATGAATTCAACAAACCATTGCGTTGGAAGCTGAGTGTGCTTATGTCATAACCAAAATAACAGAGCAAATTTCGGTTGAAGCAACCCGGTGGTGTCAGCCCTGTAGGATTTACTAGTTGACCATTGCTGTGTTATTGGAATGTTATCTTCAACGATCTAGTCCGCTCGAGTCGATTGGCCCTTGGCACAGTAACGCTATCTAGCGCTTGGCGTGTACACTTCTGACAGCCGCGACGCCCTTCACAATCGGTATACAGCATGTAGTTTGCATTGTCTGCGATCTTTCGCTCTGACAGATAGTTAACAGGAAGCCCTGAAACAACTTTGAGGCAGATCACTCCAGTTTTCGGAGACGCTTTTTCCACGGTATTCTGGCATTTAGTTCCATTGGCTTCGTTCTAGGCATACTATGTGCGATTCAGAGCATCGCGAAGGATCCGGCCGAGTAGGTATTTGAGGGACAACAAGTATTGGCGGGGAAAAATGGAAGGTCTATGTGCATCCTAGGGGAGCAGTGTGGGATTACTGGTGGAAGCAGCAAGCAGATAGGTAGCTTAATCTTAAATTGACAAAACATCCCATCAGATATATCAGGGGAAGATTGTTACGGTACCTATTTTCAAGGTAGAGGGCCTGTCGATTCGGTAAGGAGGAACCAGTAACTTATAGTCAATTTAGAACAAAGACTGGTTCTTAATCAGGAAAAGATAGGGAGATATGGGACTTTTTATACTGGATCATCTTATGGGATACTCCAGCGAGAGGGGTAACGGTAGTATTTCGCTATATGGTCGACACATAATATACCGAGGAATACCACCGCTCCGGAGCGGGCTAGTCCGGAGGAAACCCAGGTAGGGCACGGGGGTCATCGATAGGGTATCGCTAGGGGATCGGTATATCTGATGCCAGGCCATCTGACCTTTCAATGGTGGCAATAGCTTCATACGGGCCAAGACGTATTTTGTAACAGTCGGCTTAGGTTATATAGGGGCCGGTAAAACTGATAGATAAGCGCCGAAAAAAGATGGCCTAAGCCGACATATAGTCACCTCACAACCGCCATTGCTAATAGCATATCGCGACGGGTATCAAACAATAGCACCTGCAGTCAGATTGAATTTGAACTAGGTCTCGAGATCTTAGGACCTCTGGCTGTCGAGATATCGCAAGTAATCCATTTCGCCAAGAGATAGTTTGTTTACAAATTTACATGTATCTGAACATCAGATTCTTTGCCCCAGATCCGCGACTTAAAAGGTAAGAGCACCCACAACTATACTAAAGGTAGTCAGAAAGGTTATAGGCTGCCAGACAAGCGATATAGCTGTAGAAGTCGTAGAGTTACACGTTCCCTCTCCTATCAGTATTAGTTAGTAGAGTTCTCTAAGCGTGTTTACCAAGGTGCAACTTACCATATGCCCAGAGGCGTATTCTTGTATAAGCAACCAAATCATCGGCATAACGAGTTCCATTGAACGGATATCCGCAGTGAGCTGCCCAGCAGCTTGTAACGTTATCCGCGGATCCTCCATAAAAACGATTATCGCAAAGACATTTAACCTCGGACTGTTTGGTGCTATTTAACACCATATCGTAGTCTCCACATGCGGTAGTGTTATAGGAAGTATTATAGAATGACTCTCCATAACATGATTGCGAACAATTTTGAAGGCCTAGGACCCAGGCGTCCAAAGAACATGGGGTCCAAGATGCAATAGTACGCGAAGCCAAACAAAGCGTGAGTAAGTGCGATCTTCTCTGTAAAGAAAACATAGTGAATTCCAAGTACAGAGATTAGGTAAGATAGGAGAGGTAGGTTGTGAGTAACTAAGAATCAAGAGTTTATAAAGTAACACATTTTATCTTAGAAGGAAATTAGTAAGCTATTTCATTATTTTATATCATCTTATTTGTTTGTTTATATCTACTAATCTTAAGGAGTGCTTAGTTTAAACTATAAAATTATCCATTACGCGTCCCGCAGAAGGGAGATCGTTACTAGGCTAGTTTGTGAATGTGACTGATAGGCTAAGTCTAAGTAGATGCGGAGGTTTCCGCAAGGTTTCCGCAAGGATCTACATCGGCCGAGCCGCCAAGGGAAATTAGGGCCGTGTCTGGTCGGGTAATTTTGCCTTATCTTGAGATTCAGCATACCTGGGGCTATTTTAAAACCCAATCAATAGCTTGGCATTTTAGCTAATTACCTTAGACAATCGACAGGAGAAGTGTGAGGGCAGTCATTATCACCACTAAGGTTAGGGGCATTAGGGACTTCAGGGGTTCAGGGTCTGGGCCTTTATGAATTTAAGGCCCTTCAAGGCTGGTCTCTCTATACATGTTGTAATCAAGCCTAGCATGCTTAATAAAACCTGTTAGGCCGAAGATTTTGTGGGTTAATAGGAGATTCCAAATTATTTTACATGAATCAAGCTATATCTAGAGATATTAGCAAGCTTTCTCATACTTTTTCAAGCTTATTATATATACCAATAAAAGTAGTTATGTCTATAAGTAGAATTTATCTGTAGCCTAAGCCAGCTAAGGCTACTTGTTAGCACTAACAAATACTAAATGCTCATTGCTTTTCTTATATACCACGGGTTACTATTTACAAGTAAATATCTTGAGCGCTTGATAGACTTAGATTTGATATTGTCAGAGTAAGCTAAAACAGTATGGCATAGTATGTGAATATAGGTCTATTTTGCCAAGCAGAACTAATTCTATTGATAAACTGTTAATTGATTCAGGCAAGGTCTAGAGAACTGATAAATAGTGGGCATGTTAAATACCCATCTATCTCTTCCAATAATTGGATGAAAAGGAGTAGTTTTATGCTAAGATACTTGGAGTAAACTGGTCCATGTTGCTACACAAACCCAAGGTTACATACAAAAACATAGGAAACAAGCGGCGTAGGAGCACTCAATGAGACAACCTGAAAGAAACTCTCCAATTTGCTGACAGATGTATTTATTGCGAGGGTACTGTGTCACACCTGACTCAACCACCCGCAAAACACGCCATGTACTGGGTCAATTTTGAGCTCGCCACCAAATCTGCTCTAACATCTGCGCTTTGTTCTCGAGTGGAAGCGAAGTGAGGCACAGGGGAAACCGCAGAAAAGCCTGGATTGGATGGCTTGTCATTGTGAAGCACAGTGAACATTACCAGTTGGTTGGATATCCCACACTCCCCAGTTCGGAGTTTCGGACCATGGCCCAGTGCCCTTAAAGGCAATGTAGAGCTCATTTGTAAGCTCTTCAGCATCTGCAGGCAGGCATGACTTCTTAACACGCCAAAGTCTGAACCCACACATGTAAACATTGAAACCATTTTGGTCCACTGTGCTGTAACAAGCGTCGTAATGAGGGACATCCCTGCTTGGCATGCAGCCTTGGCCCAGCAGTGAGTTGACTACTTGCTCCACATGGGTAGCTGCGGTCTGTAGAGTATATTTCTCGATAGTAGGTGGTCCTACGACCATTCGAACATACGCTTGTGCGCAATCGAGCGCTTGCACTCCTCCTGAAAGTAGACCAAGGCCGATTAAAAAAGGAAGCTGCATCGTCGCTACTGTGTATTAGTTAGAACAAGGATATTATACTGTACTAAGGCCTAACTTACGTTTCAAGGACTTAATTGAATACTACCTCGACAGTGAGTTAAAAGGGAGAGGAGATGGTAAAGAAAATGTCTAGTGTCTGGGCTAGATACGCCGGAAGGACCTCGCTTTAAATAGTACGAGAATCCAGAGTAGTAGCGACCTAGTTGACTTGTTAGGCAAAGATCTTTAGCAAGATTATGTAAAAATACTCTCCCTCTTGCGGTTAGGCGGCTCCACTTTACTCCTAGAAGCCCCTTTACGTAACTTGGTAGTACAGGCCTCTGCTCCTGGGAGCCTATTAGCTCTCGTTATCCCCGTAGGTCCTTAGTATTGAGTGTTTCATAACTATATTAGCTTAAGTAGCCGAACGCAATACGCCACAAAATCCTTCAGGATGCTTTCGTCCATAAGTAGTATATCTAGAAATATAGCAGAATTGTAGATCTATAGGCAGGGCTATCCAATATTACTTGTGGCTTTAAGGACCTATATAATCCTCCAATAAGCCTATTATCGCATTTAATTAAGCTTTTCTACCTAGATATCTCTACGCCCTAAAGATCAACCTCAACCAGTATAAATAAAGGAGACGCGGGTCGGAACGGCCGAAAAATCCCCCGACCGGAGCCTGTTTATTCACTATCGCCCCGGGATGGTATCAAGATAAAACTCTTGGCAGTGGGTCCTAAAGTGAATATTTGGAGGGTCTTGTTCACTGACCTAACGCCACAACGTTGCCCTGAAAATCTAGGCATGGGGCAAAACCGTCGGGCGAATATTATTAAAGAAATACCAAGGTCAACAGATCCTTTCGGGATGATTAAGTGGAATTAAAAACTCTAAATTTCTAAAATTTGGTGCATTCCATAGTACCCGCCCAGTGCGAAAGCGAACAATTGGGCTCTGGTCAGGGATTTTTCGGCTGTTCCGACTGTGTGTCTCACTCGCCTGTGGATTATGTTACTCCATATAGGTCCGATGTCTCCTGACCATCTGATCCTTTCTATAAAGTGATAAAAATCCACCTTTCATTAGGATACAAAGATTTGTCTCTTCTATTAACCCTAAGAGTCCCAAAAATCCACGATGAGATTCACCACTTCGGTTGCGTTCTTTTCTGTTTTCTCCGCTGCCTTTGGCTATTGGGTATACTACCCTTGCCTATCTTCATTTTCTATGCTCTCCCTACAGAAATACTGGCTAACAAATCAATATGTAATAGAACTGCGTGGAACCTGCCATGCAAGAAGTGCCTTGTCCTGAGGGTTTCTCTGGGATGACTGTGAGTATACTTCTTGTATGCAAAGTGGTAGCTAACATATCCCTATTTAATAGTGCGGTGAAAGAATAGGTACTGGAACCTGTGTTGGCAATGGAGCTGACCAGGGATCATACACTTGCACACAGGTATGTGTCACAATCTCTCTACGCACAACAGGGAAAAGTCTTGGGCGATGATTTCTTTTGAAAGTTATACAGAATGGAGATACAAAATGCTAACTGGCGCAATAGGAATTTCCTTGCAAGATCCAGGGAAATGGATGTATTCCGTTCCCAGGGAGCAATGATGCCAACTGTTCCTAAATATAGTCGGGCCCGAGGGGGTGCCTGTTTGTCTGGACGGTGGGCGAAGGGAGAGTGGACATCCTGGAGGGCTGGGTGTTGTAGTAGTTACAGAGTAGAATTAGGGCTCAGATACGGGGATTCACCAACTCACCTGCATGAATTTAATTTTCTAGCTCACCTAAATTCTTACATCGACGTATAAACAGACTAGTCAACTCTTGCTTGTCTCTCGGATCTGAAATCTCTTTAAATCGTGGAAATGGTATGGCACCTAGAACGGAAGGTATTGGTTCTCGCTTAACTAAAAAATGAGGTGTATCCCAAAGTCTCGGTTGGCCAGCATGGAGGCACCCTGTCTAATCTAATTACCTACCTAAAGCAATCGCTAAGTAGGTATAACTATCATCCCTTCCAGTAACATACAGGTGGTGGTGGCTGGGTGGATGAATCACGTTATATATCTCATCCAATGGAGTAAGTGCAACAGACTTTGGACTTCGGAGACAGAGAAAAATCGGACACAATCTAGGCCGATTGAAGTATGGCAATCAACCCGCCACTGAGCCAGTACAAAACAGTAACTGAGGGCTCTCAGGGGCGCAATTTTAAATTCCAGATAATGTAACAATCTTCAGGGTCTCCACGGGCCCCGCTAACCGAAACTTTATCCAAGGCTTTGCCTAGCCAGCAGCGAAACCTATCCTTCTCAACCTGCAGTTGAAGATTTTATGGCAGCCCAGCGCTTCGAATACGCAGGAAATATTATTCTTTGATAGCATCCCGACACTTCCCCGGCTCTCAGTTAGCTGATCATTGACCCAAGTTCAAGACCGATAGGACCAACAAAGACTCGGGTAAAGAAAAATAAAAAGGGAACAAGTGACTAGATCGCTAGATAGACAAAAGAAGATCCCTGTTTCTTCTGGAGGCAATTGCCCGGGCATTTTCCGGAGATTAGAACTAGCACAAAGAGAATCACGTCATACGGAATTCCTAGCTGAAGCTTTATTAGACGACGATTCTGCCGACAAGGTGTCTAGCGACTGAATTCAAATGCCCAGGCAGTGCTAGCATCGGTTTGGTAAATAGGGAAAGTCAAAGTGTCGTCCGAATAGGCATGCGAGACGATGCCACGGTCACTCGGGGCATCTACCTCTTCATAAACGGATTTGCCTGCGAAGCCCCAAGTCTGGATACCAACGGTGCCTTCACGTGGGAGCCCGACAGCACTCAATCCGTTCACCGTAATCTGCCAATCTCCTGTAGTAATGCGGGTCCCGGATAAAATACGAACCTTTTGTGCATCAACGGTGGCATAGACATCAAACAAGCGGTCACCAGTGCCAGAAGTTTCTACACGGTGACCCGTCATATTCAGATTGTAGTATTTGTATACTTGGAACTCAGGGGCGGAGGCATAGTCGGTCGCATTATAGTCGGTCGGGTCGGATTTCTTGGTAAGGAGATTGGCCATAAGATCGTGTAGCGTCCAGCCACTAAGCCAATTTCCACGCAGTCCAAATGCATTGTATCTTTCCAGTCGTTAGATCCACCAGGCGGCTCCAGCAGGATTCTGCTCGGCGGAGTTGGCGTACTCATTGATATTGATTTGGCGGTCCGGGAGACGGTAGCTTTGTAGAAGTGACGTGAGTGTACTGTTGGTATTCTGGAGATCATTGTCCCAGTCATCCGTCTCTCCCTCCAGGTGGTAGGAATACTGGTCTGGAATCGTGTTGTTGCCCGCGATCTGAGCTAACCAGTTCGTCCACCAAGTGTTTCCCGACACGGGGCGGAAGGCCAATGATGGACCGGAGATCTGAACGCTATCGAAACTCGAGTCCTCTCTAAAGATTTCCATTTCAGCAGTCCAATTCCATTCAACATTCGATGATTGGTACTAACCGCAAAATTTTGTGAGTGCGAATGTACAAGTCAATCCACTGCTGTTGATCGCGCTCCCAGAAAATATCAATGTCCGGTTCATTCCAAATATCCCAGACGAGACCCTCCAATGCATTGTGTGACTGGAGATCTGCCATCAAGGTTTTCAAGAATCGTTCATAGTCTGACCAGTCACCGCCGTCACCGGGCCACACCGTCGAAGAATTGGCATGGTCAGTTCCCCACACATCGTGCGGCAGAAGAATAAAGTCCGCGCCGTACTTGCGGCAGGTTCGATAGTTTGACAGCGTCGACTCAAGGCGGCCTTGGTACTCTCCCCATATCCAGCCTCGCGCGGGTGCCTGAAGTTGCGCACCTCCAGCACGGCCATACCGGAATCCCATATCGGTATACCAATGGTCGGGAATCTGATCGAGCGTATCGGGGATGCCATAGATGAAACCAGAGGCCCAATGCACTGGCTTCCCTTTAGATACCCCAAGGTTGACTGTGGCTGTGATGTTGTCTGCAGTCGCCAGGCCGACGGCAAGCAGTGGTGCAAGGACACTCCACAACATGATGTTGGCGCTTTTTAGAGCTCTCGCTGGGCCTTTTTCGCCTGTGTCTTCGAAATGGCGAAATCCATGCCCCTTTTATCCCATTGCGAATCCCGCATCTCCTCCGCAGTCCCCAAAGAACTTCGGTGCCATTCGGTGCCCCTTCCCCCTCCGCGGACGATGAAAATTGCGGAGAGAATGCGGGCGCCGAGGTCTCCACGTCTCATCGCTTCAGGGCAGAGGGCGGGGGTTGGTTCTAAACAGGCATTCTGCTCTACCGCAAGGGGCGTTTCCCCGGGCGCACCCTGCAAAAACGTAAAATTTAGTCCCGGCCATCATACGCCCTCCGGTGGAGCACACTTTAACGCACGACTCTATCCCTGTTACAGCATAATTCCGGTGGATGCGAGCGGAGCACTGCCGGACAAGTCAGGACTGAACCTTGGAGAAATATATTGTCACCACAATCAATTAATATAGCTCACGAAGATTGTGATCTTTGACAGAATTCCGATTCTCCGTACTACGTAGGCTGATGGATTCCGTAATACAACAAGGGAACATGGGTAAAAGTCCGATGCAAACCCGCCTACTTTGGATGCGATATATGACAAAAACAGGCCCCGGATGCGCTACACAGCAGGGAAGCTACAGTCATTATTACTCGCCTCATTAGACACAATCAGGAAGCATCTTCCCTTAGTTCATTGCATGATCTATACACCAGGGTCCTTGTTAGCACTGTGAACGATCGTTTCATGGATCACTTTGATTCCCCCGCCATGACTAGTGTGGCTGCTGGTATCCCAGTCACCGTCGCCAGCAGTGCATGTAGGCGGCTGCTGGCGTGAGGTCGGCAGCATCATCTGCTCATCACTGGTGGTATTCCATTGTGAGTCAGCTGGGAGGGACAGTGGATGACGGAACTTCTTGCGCTTCGCATAGCCGCTGGCATCGCCGTCCGATAGTTGGTAGGCGGGGTCGCTTTGAGAGCCACTCCCTCTGGTGCTTAGATAGAGGCCTGCGTGGCGAGCGACACGACGGAGAAGTGGGTAGATCATCGGAATATTGCCAATGACAACGGCGACGAATGTCTCACGACAGGCCCAGCTCCCGGCTTGCTCAGCGCCATTGGCACCAGCCTGGAGACGATGTCAGAGAAGGATGCCGAAGTGGCGGTTAGGTGGCGGGATGTTCTTACGGTTAAAATCAAAACGCAGCGCAGAATGCCGGCCATCATGACGAACAAGCCGCCGCTGAAAAGAACCAGAAGCTCAATCTTTTCTCGCCAGCGGAGTCGAGCCTTAAAAAGCATCTAGGAGGTTCGCTGTTAGGAGCTTTGTATAGCGCTGGCAACGGAAGAAGCAACCTACCGGAGCGGGGATGCTGATGAGATAGATGTCGGTCACAACATTGAGTACGACGGTCACGTAGATATCGATCTTGGACACGGCCGGCTGGCAGTAGTCTATTCGAGGTCTCGCGTCAGCGCCCAATGTCATCTACGGCATACGATCACTTACTTCCAGGGTCCGGATGAATCTGCCAATTCTTATGCATCGGATAGCAACCAAAAAGAATGGAACAAACAGTTGCAATATACGTGGCAGCAATGAGGCCGTAGGCGATATGAATTCGAACTCGCATGTTGATCAAGCCCGCCCTAATCCATGATTAGCACTGTGGTGGACGCAGGAGAGGCAGGCTGCTTGGTCCACTGTGAGACCTTACCTCTCGCACGGAGAAACTCACGTCAAACGAGAATAAAAGACAGCCATGCAGGTTTTCAAAAGCCACAAGAGTAGCGTATAGAGAGACCAACCAGTCACCTGGACCTTAGAGCCTCCGACACGCAGTCGATATTCCTTCGAGTTGGGAGACAATGCTTTGCGCTGCTCGTCGGTCATGGCATTGTTCGCAAGGCCCTGGAACCATGCGCCCACCATGTATGCAGCGCCCGTCTCCAGCCCGTACACCACCTGTGTCAATCAGCAAGGCAACCCCAAGTTGATCCGCCATCGACCTCACGTACACACGCCAGCAACATCAGATAATCATCTGGCTGGAAATTCCTTGGTCCGACCATGATCCATCTCGCCGCAGTCCGGAGGCAAATGATCACAATGGCCACTGCCAGGAGTGTGAATGCCTCGGTGACAAAGTCGCTCATGGCGGGTCCAAGACTTTGAGGGTGATGCGTTTCTTGCCGGTCTTTCAGCAAACTATGAGACTGTCGCCTCCGGGGGATGCATTCAGATAAAAGAAAGTCAATGACACCCAAGGAGGGTGGGAAGCCAGCCGGGCAGGTTATCTGGAGCGAGCCCTTGGACCTCTCCTTGTCATTGGGACCAGGCCAGACAAAGAAGCAAGTCCCCCCAAACGGTTGATTTATGAACGCCCAGAAACGAAAGTCGGGAAACAGGAAACCACAAAGAGAACCACCAAAATGGATGTGTCCCTTCTCCAAGACACCAATGGCAGAAGTAATCAAGAGGACAGAGCGAAGTAGGAACTGGAAACAAAGACCCCCTCCGAGATACCAGGGAGCAGGGCATCGAGGAGGGCTATGGAACAGGATGGATCGGCTAGCGGCAACGGTTCCGTTCTTGACCCTGTCCTACCGATGACTTGGGCACATGTCGATCAACATATCAACATTCCCGGGGGGAAGGAAGTTTAAGGTCCAGACCACCGTTTTCCATGAAACGCCGGCGCTTTCGGCTCACGGGTCCTGGGCTCTGATGTTTTGAGCTCCACTATTCCCCTGAGCCGACATGAGAGTTGCCCTATTCAGTTATTCAGTAGAGGCGATCGGCGGCCAAGCAGTGGCGCTGACAGCTGTCAGTCTGGTCTGCTTCTCTCCACGGCTGGCTCGTTCGCTAGTTGGCAGCGGAGTACTGCGAGGGTTGACTCTGTCCAACACTCGGCTCATTTCCCTCCTTTCCCTCCTGGCACGATCGGTTACACCGGCAGGGAGGGCCTCGGTTTGATCGTCGACAGGTGTTTTTTTCTTTGTCTGCCCGCCTACCACTAGACCAGCCCGCGAATGGCGAACGCGAGGGACGTCACAAAGCAGCGGATGCAGCCTGGGGTCTATTGGACCTGTCTATAGCCGGGCCAGTCAAAATCATCCAGATCCATAGGCTGGTGTTCAATCCATCCACACCAACCTTCGTCTACTGCGCTCATTCACGGCAGCACGGGCTCTCTTAGGGTTCGGACATTGCTGATCCCGCTGCACGTCGTTCGGAAATTGCACCGGGTTGGCAGCAGCGGCTGGCGTATTTTCCGCTTCTGCCGCCCACCCCCAAGACACACTTCAACAGCCAGGCTATATATCAAGTTACCGACTCTGATCAGTAGCAAGAACATGATATCCAAGTCTGGGTCTATTCAAAATAAGATTACAACATTTTACCATAGAATAGAATGTAATCTTGACATGAGGTCCATCAATATACATATCACCATTCATAGTCATGATGTCCCTGGACATTACGATAACATTCGAGGGATCCTACCTATGTCCAGGGGAGGATATCATATTCTAATAATTTCATCTTGAAGATATGTGGCTACGGAGTACTGAAATCCGAAATTGTCATTGTTCACATTTACGATGGGTTTGGGCGTGGGCGTAAAGCGGCAAGTACGTTCATCCCGTTGGCCGACACTCGGACCTCAATCGTGGACCGTGACCAAGGAGTAGGTGCTTTTTTGACTTTCTGGCTTCTTGCGTGGACGGAGTACTCCGCCGATCTTCTTATCAGAATCCAATCGGTCTATCATCATGATGGAAAACGAGATGCAGTCACCTAGACCGTGGTATGGGCTGATCCTTTATCAGACAAAGTAATTAGGATCCTCGCTCTCGTCTCGTTCGCGTAGTTCGGCCTATTGTTGGGAGCTTTTCCTTGTCGAGGTCCATCACCAGCCAAGTTCCATGTTTCAGCCGCGGATGGAGGAGCGGGACAGCGGGGCAGCGGGACAGGCGAATGATGGCTAGCTCATCCACTCAAGTCCCCAACGAAAAGCGCCCAATGGGACGGGTGGCGGGCCACGATGGAGTACAGAGTACGGAGTAAGTGGGGAGCACAATCCGGTTCTGCACTTTTGCAATCTGGACCCGCACCGTTGAACTCCAATTACCAGTGCCGCTGACAGCTCGGACCCTCGTTTACCGACGACCGTGTTCTGCTCGTGCCGGCTCGGATGGATGGGAATTTGCAGGGCTGCAGAGATCCAACAATGCACTACGGCAGCACTGGGCCGATCGAGCTGGGAAGTCTACTCCGTACATTTCATCCCTTCACCAGCTCGTACGACGGAGTTCAGGGGTCGATCGCCGAGAGCTGGCGAGCTGCATATAATGCTTGACACCCCGACCGAGTCATGTCCAGGTTATGGTTGGTTGGGTTGTGAACCCATTATCGATGATAAGGCGAAGAAATGAAGAGCCACGGACGTGTTGGTTCTCCTCGGCGTCGGACTGTTGCACCACGCAAAGGTCTTCCACCTGTTCCAAGTACCGATTGGTGAAGAGGCCGTAGTGCCCGCTAGCTCAACGCATTTGGCGCTCCAGCAGGTTTTCGTGTGGCTATTCATAGGCTGCAGAGGGGTAAACACTCACTCCTTTCGGAGTGAACAGAGGGGTTGTCGGGCTCCAAGGGGAAGAGATGGTGAACTATAGGAATAGAACAGGGATCAGAAAGGTTAGGAATCCTCCCCCGACACGAGCTGGCAATGCCGGGCGGCGCATGTCCAAACGACGGAGACTAATTTAACTTTGTGGACCGTTCTGTTGGGCTGAACAAAGATTGTAATCGACATCCTAATCCGAATCTTGAACTGTGAGATTATCGGGGGAAACGAAGGGGGGAAAACCAGACCAATCCAAACATTCCACGGGCAAGGAACCCCCGTCCGGGCCGCTTTGGACCGGCTGCATGCCAAGGGCCATCGACTGGGCCGGCCCCTGGCGAGACGCGCAGGTGGAAACTTTGGAAAAAGCTTGGGGCTGCCGGGCGTCGTTCTGATTGCCTGGCCATGCTCAAGTTGGTGCTTAAGCAATGTCTTCATTGACTGCCATATACCCTCGGTCCCCGGCGTAGTGTGATAGATGCGAACGACGCCCGGTGGGTGCCGTGTATGCCGCCGTGGCGCCCCACCGAAGCTACTTTTCTTTGAAGCCGTCCCGGGCTATCTGGGGTGGATGCATTAGCCCAAGCCCTAATCCGCTGTTGCGCGTCATTTCCCCGGTAATGGCCCTTTTGACAGGCCCATTTGGACAGCTTTGCGAGTCGACTAGTGCGCCTACTTCGGCTAGTCAGTCCACCGGCGCTGGTGGGCTACAAAGGCGGTCCACGTTCTCGTTCTTTTTTCCCTTTGACCCTTCCCAAGGCGGGGTGGTGTGTGCATTGGATTTCTTGCGCTCTTGGTCATTTGTTTTTCTTTGTCTGCCTCTTTTCACCGGGGTCGGTCGCCGTTCGTTCGCCAACCCGTGCATAGCCTCTCGCCCGCAGGCATTCCCGCTCCTACGAGTCAGTCGACTTGGTTGTCCCCGTTCACCCTCACACAGGCGGTTGTCAGATTATAGACCTCTTCGCATCCCAATATGGAGAAGGTAGACTTAGTGGTGGTTGGCGCAGGTGAGTTGAACTGCCATTGGGGCTTTCGTTGGCGTTATGCGCAAATTGGCGCCTCGCTTTTTGCAATTGGCCGCATTCTGACGGAAGGTAACTCTTACCAGGCTGGAGTGGCCTCGCGGCCATGAAGACCTATCACGAAGTGAACCCCGATAGCAATGTGTTGTTGCTGGAGGCTGCCGACTCCGTTGGCGGAGTCTGGGCCAAGCACCGGCTGTACAAGGGGCTGAAGTCGAACAACCTGCTGGGCACTTACGAGTTCAGCGATTTCCCCATGGACGAGGCCACCTTTGGCGTGAAGCCCGGCCAGCATATCCCCGGCGAAATCATTCAGCGCTACCTTGAGGCATATGCGGAGCGATTTGGCTTCCGCGACCGCATCCGCCTGGGCCACCGCGTGGAGACCGCGCAACACCATTTGGATGGGACTTGGCAGTTGAAAGTGTCGCATGAGGAGAAATTGGCCCTCATTGACACGAAAAAGTTGATCATCGCCACCGGAGTCACGTCGCAGGCATATCTGCCGACGTTTGACGGTCAGGACGCCTTTGGCGCGCCCATCTTCCACTGCCGCGATATGCTCCAGCATGAGGCCAATGTCTTGAAGGACGGCGAGCGAGTCACGGTGTTTGGTGGCACAAAGTCCGCTTGGGATGCGGCGTACGCATGTGCGACGTCTGGGATGCAGGTCAATTGGATCATCCGCGAGTCCGGGCATGGCCCCAACTGGATGGCGCCGCCCTATGTGACGCCGCTGAAGAAATGGCTGGAGAAGCTGGTGACGACCCGCTTCTTGACCTGGTTCAGTCCGTGCATTTGGGGCGATGCCGATGGATATCCTCGCGTCCGGCGCTTCCTGCACGGCACCTGGTTGGGCCGCAAGATCGTCGATGCCTTCTGGGCGATTCTGGCCGATGACGTGGTGCAGCTCAATGGCTTCAACAAGCACCCCGAGGTCAAGAAGCTGCAGCCGTGGATTAGCCCCTTCTGGATCGCCTCCTCGCTCAGTATCCTCAACTACCCGACCGACTTCTTCGAGCTCATCAAGGATGGCACAATCAAGGTGCACATCGCCGAACTTGACCGCCTGTCCGACCACACCGTGCATTTGTCGACGGGCGAGGAGCTGAAAACCACCGCGCTGATCTGTTCGACCGGCTGGCGCGCCACTCCCAACCTAACGTTCCTGCCCGAGGGCATCGACCGCGAGCTGGGCTTCCCCTGGAGCAGCGACCCGCTAGATGAAGAGATGGTGAAGGCGGCCGGCGAGGAGATTCTGCGCCGGTTCCCACGCCTGCGTGATCAGCCCACTCCCAATCCCAAGTATAAGCCGCTCAATGACCAGGCCGAGGCGGCTGTCCCGCACCCATTCCGACTGGTGCGCTTCATGGTACCCTTGTCGCAGGTCAAGGAGCGATCACTGGCGTTCATGGGGATTCCCATGACGATCAACACCACGATCATCGCCCAGGCACAAGCCCTGTGGATTTCCGCCTACTTGGGCAACCATCTCACTCCGACTGCTGTGGAACACTGCCCCGCTGCTGTACGCGCGGCCTCCGATATCAAGGTCGAAGAGGATGCGGAGCTCGATTTGGCCTGGGAGACCGCTCTGCACTCCGAGTTCGGGAAGTATCGCTATCCCGGTGGCTTCGGTCGCCGCAATCCCGACTTCGTCTTTGACGCCATCCCCTACATGGACCTGCTGCTGCGGGACTTGGGCCTGCCGCACGAGCGAAAGCCGGGCCTGCTGGCACAATGCTTCAACCCGTACGGCACGGAGGACTACAAGGGGTTAGTCGAGGAGTGGAAGGCCAAATCATCCGGCCATGCGGTGGGCCGGTTTGACCGTTGATCCGTTTGGTTTGCACCTGCTTTGCTGTGCTGCATCCTTTGCTCCTCGCGCTCACCGCTAGATACCCTATTTCCCGCTCCTCCTGTCCTTGAGTTCCGAGGGGGTTTCACTTGGTTATAATGCACAATCTCGAAGCCGAATCTCTCCGAGATAATTTTAAATGGATTATAGACATTTCATTTTCTGCCACAGAAAGTAGTTCTTTGATGGATCGCATTCTAGCGTCTACCGTGATCAGTCTTTTCTACCTAACAATTTCCTGTTCGAAAGATGCCAGTGGGGCGTTGTTTCCGATCGCAGTTTCTCCCGCGGGGCTCTTTTTATAGATTGTCCCGGATTGAGAACTTCTGCTCGTGGTCCTCTGTAATCTCAAGTCATGGATGTCTATGCCGCGACAACAAACTGTTCGAAGACCGCACTCCCATGCAGCTGAGACTGCGTCGCGGCATCGTATCCCGGTTTGCCTCCAGATTGGACCACCTCCCCTGCCATCTTGCCTGCCCATCGGACGTAATACTTCCCATCCCCCGCCACGACTGTCCCTGAAACGTTGGCTCTCAACCAACCCGTATCCCCCAAGTCAAACTCGAGATGAAATCCATCTGGCACATCGCCTGCACGCGGTGGGTATCGTGCACTAGTTCCGAAGGCCCCCGTAGGCCGAACCGAGAGGAGAGTGGAATTGCAGGACGAAACAAGCACTGCGCCATTGCGCGCGACGTAGCCACTCACATAGGCCATGTGGGACGGATCATCCACCGCCAGATAGCTAAACCACACGACCGAGTAAGGGCCGATATGTCCGTGGCCCCAGTACCAGCTCTGGACCGATTCTTCGAAGGGTCGATCAGACCAATTCTATAGAGATTCAGCGCTTTTTATTCCCGGTGGACCCTGTCGACTCCCACCTTATCATGATAAGCAGGTCCCTGGAAACTCAAGCTGGAACCTCGAACTGTGATATCCACCTGGCCCACTGCATCAGGCTTGAGGGCGACCCATCCCATATGAGGCGCGATTTCCAGGGTTGTTGTTCCCGGTTGAATACTGCAGGGCAAGTGAGGCCCAAGTTCCTATTCCCCTGATTGATTAATGGCCGGCTCCTGAGATGATACATCGTTCCTAGGGAGATGGGCGATGTGTTGGAACTCACCGAGCTCAAGCTAAGTCGCCCTTCGACCTGCATTTCCTTGGATGAAACAATAACCTCGTACTGGGATAGATCATCCTTGGGAGCGGTCCAGCTGCACCCAGTAGATGACCAATTTCCTGAACTCGGGGGGTTTGCACCCTCCCCACCAGCAACTCTAGCAATGGTCGCGTGGAGATAATCCGCGAAGACGGTCCCATTAGCGAACGATGCCCAAATATACGCAACCAGTACCGAAGTCTCATTTGGTGGAAGCCATGGGAACGCGGCCGCAGTCGACGTGAAGAATATGAGAGCCAATGACTCGCGAGGATCGGTCTCAGAGACGGCATCGAAGTACCACCAGTCAAACACGGATGAATTGATCGAGCGTACTTGAGGAGAGTCGAGAGTCAGCAGCGCTGTCGTCTCGAGCTTTGATCCAGCAGTGGGGATGGTAAATCGGGCATGAGCGGTTCCATTCTGGACCTGGCTGGGGATGCCATAGCTCCAGCTGCGGACAATCGAGTCCACTGGCCCATCGGCTCTCGGATTCAAGAGTCTCCCAGGAAATGCAGAAACCCTCCCTGTAAGGCTGATACAGGCAACCAGCCCCCAGAAGAGAGCTTGAGTCAGCGACACGTCACTCTGCATAGTGGGATGAGTACCGGATAACGAACGGAACATGAGGAGCGATCGGGGAAAAGGTATTGAACACTGGATTCAGATCAGCGAAAGACGACCTGGTGTGCAAAAAGCGAACGAGCTCGAGATGAACTCCGTGGGAAAACACCAGACGAGAGAGCTTGCAGCCGGTCCTGCCCGCCCCTATGTACCCTGGCGGCATGGGAACATGTTTGTGCTGCTCTGTCTGGTCGGGAGAATATGCGAGGCAGGATTTGCCTGGATGTCCCCACTCGATTGTGACCCTGCAATAAGAGGCTTGGGGATAGAGACCGCTCCTCTGCCGCTACAGGAGCCACCTAGGTCTCGGGTAGGTTGTGGTGCGATGCCTCCATGGAGACATGGAAAGGGCTCAATAGAGTGAGGCTGAATCGTGGGGAGTGGGTTTAGGGAGGGTGGGCCTCCCGCGAGAGATCGACTGCCAATCGAAGTGGAGAGTGGTGGGGGGAGCTTCTGGAATCGGAGTGGCTGTTCCATTTCGAATTTCGAAGGGCCGATGGGGGCGTCCGAGACCCCGTTCCCGGCACGGGCCTTCATGCAGCTGTCTCCCATCAATCAGAATCGGGAGCATCCCGCCCATGCCCGGGATTCGTAGGTACGGTCTAGATCCACTGCCCGAGGTCACAGAGTAAGGTGTGTCCCATGTCAAATGATTCATGCACAGAGATTGCTATATACCATCCAACACCGTGGACTCACGGTCCATTCCCGTCAATTCAACGGTGAAACCAGGTGCTCACTCGCTCGGTTCAAGTCACAAGAAATAACGATCAGTACACACGTCACACATCAGGCTAAAAAAAAAAAAAAAAACAGTAATCAAACAGAAAGACAAAGATCAACCCATCCCAAAGATGCCCAAAGTCACACCCTTCGCCGAAAACAAGTCGAATAAAAACGTGATCCAAAATCAGAAGTGAAGGCCGACCGTTCAAAATAAAGAATCCATCAAGAAGAAACCCCGCCGACTCCCAAGGCCGCTTGTAGTTACACGATCCTTCATTCTCGCCCCAGGATACATACACAGATGGGGACTCAATGTGAATGAGGAGACGAATCGGATCTGAAATGCCACAGGCATGCAAAGCGTAGTCAGATGAGTACGCCTAGGTGCGCCCGTTCATCACGGGGCTACCGTCTTCGCTTCGGCCTTCGCCCTTGACGGTCCCATCGGTGCCAGTCTGGTTGCTGGTGGCATCCGAGTCGCCGTCTTTGCCGCAGCCTTTCACGAGAATGTGTCGCTATGGGGGGTTCGGGTTAGTCGAGGTCTCAGGGATCACAGTTTTCATATCAAACACACCTTCAATGCATCCTTGCGCGAGAAGCTCTTGTCGCAGTGAGCGCAAGGGAAAGGCTTTACCGCCAGATGAATCCGCTTATGACGCTTCAAGTCATGATTGCGGTTGAAGCTCTGGGGGCATTGGTCGCACTTGAACGGTCGGTCGGCGGCCGGGCCCGGAAGGCCATGAGTGGCGGGATGGGCGCCATACATATGCTGGGTATTGGCGACATGTCCACTGTTGAAGCCGGGCAACAGACCAGGCTGCATGCCACCCATCATCGACATGGGGCTGTTGGGACTATGGACGTTGGTCATGACGGGACCGTTCATGGCGGGCAGGGAATATGAGGGCCATGGCTGACGGGGGTATGCCAACGGCGGCTGTCCGCCGGGACTTTGTGCATGCATGCGCGCCCCGGGGTGGATTCCCAGCCCGGCGGAACCGATGGGAGCAGGTCCGCCGTACATGGGGGAGAACCCGGTCTGATGAGCGGGAGGAGCGCCATAGAGGGAGTGCAATTTCTGGTTGTAAGGGTCATTGTGTGGCAGGGGTGCAGGGGAGGTGGCGGGGCCGGGGTGATAAAGGCCCATGGAGACAGAGTGCGAACCCGGGGGAATGGTCGAGGGTGGCGCGGGTAGGGCTTGCGGGAAGGACGCCATCGGAGGCGCCTCAAACGGCTGAGACAGCCCGTCTGTTGTTGGAGGAGAGGTCACAGGCCCAGAACGAGCCAGCCCGGACGGAGAGAATGAACTGCGTGCGGAATACGCGGAATTGACCCCCGATGCCCACTGGGCATGCGTGGCTCCTGGCGCTCCGTATGGAGTGGTTCCCGACCAATACGCCGGTGGCAGGTCTGAGGAGACGCCGGTTGAGACGGCCAATGTGTGAGAAACCGTGCCGGATTCCCCCGACTGATTGGTCGCAGGCGGAGTCAACAAGTTCCCCACGCTCACGTTCGCTGGGGGATGCGAGGAGGGTGGTTGATTCGGGTGTTGCGAGTATTTGGGCGTGATGGCACTCGCCAGGCCGAAGGGCGGCGGGGGGAGTTCAAAGCTGGGCAGCGTCGGTGCAGCCGGGCGACGGGAGTTAATCGGCTGGGAGCCTAGGACATCCAGCCCCGTTCCCATTCCCGGAGCAGGTACTGCCGGAACTGCGAGAGCCGCCAGGTTGGCCGATGGAGCTCGCGGGGCACCCGCGTACAGATCGGATTCGGGGAGAGAAGGATGAAGGTTGGTGGGCAAAGACCCAGCAAATGAGTCGACCGGGTGCAACGTCCAGTCTCGACCACCAGGAAGGGCCCCCGAAGGGCTCGAAGGATCCAGGAGGGGCGAGCTGTCGATCGCTGGGGGTCGCGATCGGGCGAAGAGGAGAGTCGGAGGACTCTAGTCGATCTTAGACGCGTGGGGTGAGGGTATGCGAGGCCGGCCACTGGGCAGAACGGGTTTGGTGGAGAGCGAGAGATCGGCAGGATAGATCGTTAGAGGTTTGATGTTGATACCCGGAGGAGGGAGGACACCCTTTTGGCGCGTCAAATACCCACAAAGAGCAGAGAGAGGGGGAAAAAAGCAAGCAGTGGGGAGGTCCGCGCGAGACGGGAGAAGAAAAGAAGAGATCACGGCCGAGGATAGCGCAAGTGGTGCATGATCTCGTTTGGTGAAGGAGTCGTGGGCCCCGATAAGATGCGTGGAGGAGGAGGAGGAGGAGGAGGAGGAGGAGGAGCAGCAGGAGTAAGGCAGAACGGAGAGACGCTGGAGCTGAAGGGAAGCCGGGATGATTGCAGCTCAGCAGAAGCTGTCGGAGGAGGGCGAGTGGGGAGAGAAAGAAAGACAAGCCGTGGCGTTGGAGAGGCGCAGAAGCGCGGGGAGGGGAGGAAAAGCGAATTATATACGGGCGTTTTTTTGGTTCAGCAGGCGAAAGGGAACGGGCCAGGGAAGAAAAAGGAAGGTGAGAACAAGCGAGCAGATGAGAGGAAGTAGACTAGCGGTAGTTCTCGGTAGGGCCGGGGAAAGGGTGGACAGCAGGGGAATGGTCAAGCCCAAGCAAATAAAGTAGGCCAGTAGACTAGTAGTGTTTCGACCCCCGTGGATTAATGGCACTGGAATAAATAGAATCAAGAGGTAAATAACGGGGGCCCGAAAGAATGGGGGACAATCGCGAAAAATGGAAATGCAAAATGGAGCCACGGTCGGCGATGGTCTGGCCAGCGTGGGGAACCAGGACTTTGTCGGAGCTGGACCAAAAGAATGATTATCAGGGTTATTTTTGTTTTTTTATTATTTTGTGTAGTCTGCGTTGGTGATCGGAGAGGTCTTAGGGGGGAGTAGGGGAATCTGGTTTTGGGATTTTGGGTTTTGGCGACTTATCGGTCGGAGAAGGATGAGTACGAGGATTCCCTCGCATCTTCGGACGGTGGATGGTGATGGTGATCGAGGGACAAGCATCATGGACCCAAAGACCCAGATTTGCTGACTGCTCGGAGAGGGGGTGTGCAAGGCAACGTGGTTGACAGGCCCTAATGGACCTACCGCGACCCAGTTGATAGCCCCATTGCCCGCGGGTGCCCAATGGCTATCCTGCATCGTTCCCCCTAGCCACGGTTAGTCCCTCCTATACCGCGCGCGCTGCCTCGCCTATCCGCCGCCGGTTGGCTTTTCCGACCTGACTCGATCGAGATCGTCTCTGTATCACTCGATCGCGATCGCCACTGGGAGGCAGCGACAGGTGGGGTGCTTCTTTTCATAGATATGATTGATCTCTATAGCTTGAATTGACATGACCACTGCCATCTCGTCTTTCTTTTTGGGCGGGGTCTCTCCATTGTGCTCGATGTCTTGTACTTTGAAATTAAATTCCAAAGGGGGGAAAGGGGGGTGAGAAAGAGGCCAAAAATTAAAATTAAATCCACGAACAAATAAGGAAAATAAGGGAGGGGGCAAATCACCCTGTCCAGAGACTCATAGGCAAGCGAGAAACAGACGGAGGCTCTGGATGTCCCCTCCTTCCTCCTTGCGTCCGACTGATCGCGCGAAACAAAGATAATAATAATAATAATAATAATAATAATACTAATAATAATAATAATAATAATAATAATAATAATAATAATAATAATAATAATAATAATAATAAGAAAGAAAAGGAAAAGGAAAAAGAAAAGAAAAGAGACGAAAAGGTAAGAAATTGCCAACAAGGCATTGGCGCAGGGACTTCCGGAAGGGAATCAGTGAGTCTGGTCCACTCTCCGGCCTTCACCCGGCAACCTGGATGGAAATTTCCGGAGGACAGTTATCAGTTAGGAAGAGGATACGGAGTACGGAGTAATTTGGGATGGAGTACGAGGGATTACTATGAATCACTATAGATTGTGAACAACGCAGATATGGATGGCTCATGGCACTGGGACGATAGACACAGTTCGTCCGGTGAGATTCCTGCCCAATAATCCACCCATACACCCGTCCAGACGGTGTACAGTACATCAACAATACACCAATGGAGCGCGTGTCAGGAGCGCGACGCACGGACTGGACCGGAATGGCCAGAATACGAGCCATGGGTGGTCTGGAGCATCTGCTGGCAAAGGCAGAGACAAGCGAGCTGCGCCGCCCGCCATTCGCCCGCTGGCTCTGACCTCCCGCACGCGAGAGCTAATCCAGTTTAGTGCCGGCCAACCCATTCCCTTCATGCCGGGTCATCTGCAAACCTTTTTTTTTTTCGCCCCCAACAGCCGAGGGAAGGGAGAGGAGCGTAGAATGGACAGAGGAGAGGACCTTGGGAAACTCATGGGATGAAACGAGCAGAGGGCAGGTGACCTGCAGGATCGCTTGATTGGGTCGGCCTCCCAATGCCATCGCGCTTCGCATTTTCTTTCATCCGCCCCCATGTTGCTTCTTTTTCTCTTGCTTGCAGCCCGTTTCTTGGGGCCCGATTCTGGATCGAGTCGCAGTCCACCTGAACCACGTCCATGCGTGCAATTATGGATATAGTTCTGTCGTGTGAACGTCTGATACCGGGATGGCATCTCCCACGTGCCACTCATCACGAATCTCCCATGCCCGCGATATACTATTCCGACGGAGTAACGGCGTACTCCGTACTACGGCTCGAACGACTTAGCCTCCGGATAGTCCGCTTTTGAGTCGTCCCAGTGACCAGGATCAGACCAACCGTGGCACCCATTGGTGCCGCACCCCCCAACACCCCCTCCGCCCCTCCCCAGACTGCCCATAACCTCCAATCGCCATCCACCCCAGCTCGCTGGGTCCGGTCTGTTCGCGCGCGGCGCGTGCGATCGGGGGTGGCGTGTGGAATGGGCTCATCCCGCTGGAGAGCTGGGTTTAGAGCCCTCCACACAAGTTGAAGCCCCCATGCAGAACCTGGTCGCATCCACGGACGCGTTGCGATATCTGTCTTATCGGCCAATAGGTGAGCGGCAATTTCATTTGGTTCCCGAACTCTGCACGGGCGCTCTGTTGACAATAGCTTAAGACGCAGCAGCGGAGAAGGAGGGCCAAAGTTAATCCGCCCTGTCGATCGATGTGCATACCTCCGTCTCTGGAGTCCAGGGAGACTGGACGTCTACTTCCTGTCCTTTCATGAGGAGGTTATACCTAGCGGGGAACCTACAGTACTGGACCGGCCGGGCTGGACGGAAGGACGAAGCAAACGCGATGCAGGTCGGACATTCGACATACTGCAGCCGACGCGAGCCACACAAACTCAAAAGGGAGCGAGAGGTGAATGAATAGGGGGGTCCGATGCGAACAACATCCCAAAGAAAGAAATGAGCAATGAAAAGGAGATAGCCCATCGACGAGCCCCGCCCCTCGTTTTTGCGCCGGGCCTCGCTTCTGGGCTGCATGAGAATCGCGATCGGGGCCGTCTGCTGTCGCCTCTCGTCCCTTTCGTCTCCGGTTCAAGCGTGCATACTTCGAATCGGAGTCAGTCCCCTCATCACAGAAAGGCGAATCCACATCGAAATCGTAAATTAAAATAATCCTGTATAATCCTGTTGGAAACAATAAATCAGTTTTGATGATTCTTATTCTGCTGATAGGAATTGGCTGTCATTGGTCGACTACGAAGGGGGCCCGAAGAGAAGAGTAAGCAAGCCGAGACTAAAACCCCCTAAAGTGCCACGGTCACATTCTTAGGAGCCCCATGCCTCCGCCCTTCGTCTCCATGTCGAACTCCTGTGATAAGCAGCGACGTTAGGGAGGAGCCCCGGGAGGAACCGTCGTATGTCCCTCTGGGGCAGCACGGAGGGAGGAGGAGCAGTAGTGCTCCGTCCACGATGCTAGTCCATACAACAGTAGTACCCAAGCAACAACGCAGTCTCGCGTGATCCGTCCGAGATGGGATCTGGACCCCTGCCGTGCACTCCGTTCTCCTGCCCCCGACCAAAAAGGAGACAATAGAGAGATGCTTGGTAAACATCCAGGTCCAGTTGAAAGCTGGCCTTGGTCCGCCCCCGCCCCGGTTCGAAGGCGTCGATCATGGCTGTCCGCCTCGCACCGTTCCGTTCAGGTCCAGCATTGCCCGGGCGCGGCACGACGATGGTTGGCAGCCGATTTGCCGGCCGTCTCCAGTTCTTATGCAAGGCGCCCATGGTGTCAAGATGACAGCGCGCGAGTGGATCCGGGAGATGGTTTGTCGCGGGCTGGTCGTTCGTGCTGGGCTCGAGCCATGCGATCGTCGCCTGCGTCGGTCCCTGCCGATGTGGCTTCGGGAAGGCTTCACGGCTGGCGTTCACGGCTGGACGCTGGACCAGACTCCTCCAACGCCCCCCGACAGGGGCATCGACCTCGCCTGGTTCAAGGGCGGACGCGGGAGATCTGCATTCTTTATGATCGTGATCGGTATGTTGGAGTCCGAGAGGACGGAGTACGGATCGACTCGCGCGACCGTCGAGACCCGGTCTCGTGATGTCGTGGGGTCCTGGATTCGCTTGTTTCACTGGGTTAGTAGGGTCTTCCCGATCAAGTCCCTGATCTTTATGCATTCCCATTCCCAGCCGACCAGACCGACCGGCATCCTACTAGCTGAAGTCGTGCAGGTCGGGGCTGGGGGCAGGATGACCGATCGATGAAGCCAACCCAACCGGCACAGACGGCCAAACTGCATGAGAAATCGAAAACACGCACCCAATCATGCAAGTGCAGACTCTGTCAAGCAGCCCCTCCTCCGCAGAAAACTTCTCGACGCTCTACACCGATGCATAAGCGCGTGGGACAGTCGACGTGTCGTGCAGCCTGACATGCGCGGATGAGGATGACCTGGAGAGTGACCTTGACTTCGACCTCTCTGGACGGTCTGTGAATGTGGACGCCAAGCTCGCCGTGTGGCGCGTGAAGGGTCTTTGTCTCGGCGTCCTCCGTAGATACATAGGTACAGATTGTCTATGCTTTCGGTCCCAGTCTTCAATTCCTACCCTGTCGAGCCTCCGTGCCCAAGATATATCCCACCCCCCGCAGAGGGAAGTCGGGCGACCTCGCAACGTTTTCTGCTCACTCACTTTTCTGGGCTAGTACCCCATAGATCCTTTCCCCGATGGTTACGAAGGAAGGATTCCTGCCAGCAGATACCTGGTTGATCCCATGGGGTTCGCACCAGGTGGGTTCCTGTTTGCGACGTCCCCTCGCTCCGATGACGTCGGGTGGGGTCGCCCCCGCGCCTTTCGTCCCCTCGCGAACTACTGCGTCAACTTCTCACCTCTTCAGCTCACCACTTCAGCCCCGACGGTACGTGGTTTACGCCTGGAACCTCCCCAATACGCTCTGACGAAACGTTCGCCGATAGCCTCTCGCTTCGCAATACCTCACCTCACCTCACCTTTGACCCCGATTCATCAATCCTCGGCAAATATGTCTGGAATCAGTAAAGCGTGCTGCTCGTTCGTTCACCGAGCCGCAACTTGCAGGATTGCGCCCCATAGCTGACTCGTCGCAGGATCCCTCCCGTGGTGTCCAAGGGATACCAGGCCAAGGGCGCCTATCAGACCATCAATGGCCTGAAGACCTGTGAGTGTGATGAAGTCCCATCAGCCGGACTCTGGACTGAACCCCCCTCCCCCCTGCAGATGTCACTGGCCCCGAGTCGGCCTCCAAGGCCATCCTGGTGGTGTACGGTAAGTGGGATCCCTCCCAGGTGGATGGTTCACGTTTCATGATTGGCTGATGGGCGGTTTGTCTATCTCCCTAGACATCTTCGGCTTCTTCGACCAGACCATTCAGGGTGCCGACATCCTAGCCACCTCGAACGAGCAGAAGTACCGCGTGATCATGCCCGATTTCTTCGAGGGCCACCCCGCCGACATCTCTTGGTACCCGCCCAAGACCGAGGAGCACAAGGAGAAGCTCGGCAACTTTTTCTCGACCCAGGCCGCCCCGCCCAAGACCCTGTCCAAGATCCCCAGTATTGTGGCCGAGGCCAACAAGCTCGCGCCCGGCGGGGCCTTTTCATCCTGGTCAATCCTGGGCTACTGCTGGGGCGGCAAGATCGCCGCGCTGTCCGTGGGCGCCGATAACAAGCTCTTCAAGGCCGCCGCTCAGGCCCACCCGGCCATGGTCGACCCGAATGACGCCAAGAGCGTGAACGTGCCGTTCGCGATGCTGGCCTCCAAGGACGAGCCGGCGGACGACGTGTCCGCGTTCAAGGCGAACCTACAGGTCCCCAATCACGTGGAGACCTTTCCAACTCAGATCCACGGCTGGATGGCAGCTCGGTCGGACCTGGAGAACCCAGAGGTGCGCAAGGAGTATGAGCGTGGTTACCAGACCGTCCTCGAGTTCTTCCACCAGCATTCTTAAAACTTGGCTGGAATGGGCAGGCTGCCTAACGATGCAAAGCTCTCTTTCTCTAAAAGCCCTGCCAGAGTATTGGGCGGTACTTGGGGGCCTACAGCTTGTTCCGTAGTGTACTGTAGCAATTGTTGGAAATTGTTGGAAAAAACAGATACGACCTCTCGGGAGTCCAACCTCGAGGAGCCGCAAATCCACTCGTCCTCTTCATTCTCCAAATTGAGGGACTTGAATCCTTAATTCTTTCTAAGAGATCTCCTGCCACCGACCCAGTGTATGCTGTATTATTGTATAGTCGTCGTGTCGAGGTATACGTGCAACCGCTGGACGAGGCAGAGCTCTCCGCCCGCACTGCCGTGCCATCCACCGAGTCCAGCCGGCGATCCGCCGCGAGCCGAGGGACCCCGACGATCAGCGCTCGGGAGCCGAACGGAAAGCTCTCCGATTTTTGGGCCACGTTATTGACCTGTAGTCCACCTTCATTCTCAACCTTCTTCTTCAATCACATATCCTGCAGTTGAAAGGCTCCTGCGCGACAGCGCGAACTGACATGCAGATGGTTTGTGTGGTCTGTGTGGTCTGTGTGGCCTGAAGCTCTGAAACTCTGAAGCTCCGAAGCTCTGAACACTAGCGCGGGAATTCTTGATGTCATTCATTTTTGGGCGTCGCCGGGCTCAATCAGACGTGGCTGCCGGCCACTCTGATGCTGGCTCAAGGAAATCAAGCCGAGAGCACCATCAACCGTCGAGCGCTCTTGGGACTGAGGCGACCGACTCCGGAATCTTTCATGGCTTGTTTCGCAAACGCAGCGACAGCGACTTGTGTTTGAGTTCGTCTGAGCATGCCAAGCAAGTGGTAAGATCGTTGCTAAGCTGCATGTCTTGGATATATACCAACTGAATGAAAGCCTCAGACGCGACAAAACCTACCCCGGCTTAATATCAAGGACCTCCCGACCCGGGAAAGAGGACGTGAGGCCTGCCAGCATGGCCCTAGAGATTCTACTCCCAACACTCCAAGGAGCCCAGAGCCACTACCTGCAGCAGCGCACAGCGAACCGAAGCAACCGGGAAACCTCCAAGACTACCTGGAATATCGGCTCGACACATCAGGTCTGCCTCATGATAGCACTGAGAGCGAGGCGTCTTCAGCGCGTGGATCTGTCTTAACGACCAAGGATGTGAAAGCCCTTTTCTCGGGTGCGCCTCACTTCATGCTGGAACGAGGCAAGCATGGCCGCTGGTATCCGCAAGTGATCTTCCCGTGGGATGAGCACAATCCTTCCATCCAAAACCGGCTGGATCGTAAGCTATTGTCCCATGCGTCGTTCACTCTCTGTACTTTGCATGCCCACCTTCCCGTCCCCGACGACTGGGCTGTGATGGGGGGAGTGCCTATCCCCCTGCAAGATTGGCGCCGAACCGGGGCTTTCAAACGAGCTACATTTGATGTTGGTGTTTTTGAAGTTCCCAACATGCTGGGCAACAACGGAAAAGAGCCAGGGACCATCGGATTTCGAAACTTCCTTGAGCTCTCGATCGCGGATCTTCTGAAATACACTGGGCCTGAAGAGCCTAAGCACTCCCCTAATATGCAACGGGTCCAATCCCTTTCCGCCACTGAGGCTTTCGAGTTGATGGATCAGTATAACAAGCCATACTCCCAGTGCCTTAGTGGTGCGGTGTACGACCGACACAAGCTCATCCGGGACGGCCCCGCGGGATGGAAGCGCATCGGCGTACGCGATATCAACCTTCGATATCTCGTGCAACGCCTCGACCAGCTACGGCAGTTGCGCCTCGACATACTACGACAAGGGTCCACAATCACGATCCTGGACATTGAGACGCCACCGGAACTGCACAGCATCCTACACACACACTTTCTTTATCCTCACCCACCTTCCGCAGTCGTCCAGTCGGGCCACCCGCAAAGTCTGAAATCCCAGATCAAAACCCTCGCCACCGTGCTGGCAACCCCAGGGGCCTGGCTCGATTTCAGTCTGCCCGAGTGGCGATTCCGGGCCGGTCAGATCCTGTGGGAGGTCCCCCCGCATGGGGATGGCGATTGCCTTGAGTTGCACGATTGCGCATCCGGTACCGCCAAGCAACCTTGGGTTAACTCTGGCATGGAGCGAAAGTGGCTGTTCGTCCAAGTGGTTCTGGCAGCGGAGCTACTATTCCGGCTCGATGCGTTCGTACGCGTGGGCATGCTGCACGATCCCCATGGCGGCCAGATCACGGTGCACGAGCTTCAACATTTTGAACAGCTTCGAGAGGGAAAAGTGAATTGGGATTTGATCTTTGTGCGCCGTTTTCTTAACAGTCTGGAGGTCACTTGCGATGCGACTACGCCCACCCCTTCGTCAGTGGGTGGATTATCCCCAGCATCAGCATCAGCATCAGCCGACCGATCTCCAACACCACCCACCAAACCTCATCGCTTTTCTCTGTTCGATTCTCTCAGTCGCCGAATTTCCTCCACGCAGGGTGATGATGTGCGGTCGGCCTGGCAGTGCCAGGTCAGCTCCCCGTATGTGCGACAGCAGCTGGAGGGCTTGTACATCTTCGCGGAGAATATTGGATGGCCCAAAGTCGACGCCCTCCGATCTCATTTCCAGACGCTGTCGAATAGTGGCCAGAGCCTGTTTACTCCGAATGCTAATATAAGTGACCCATGCTCTTCTGGCTGGAAGACGGTGGTGGCGAAGGATCAGATGTACAGCCGCAGCCGCAGCCGTCGCTGTGTCCAGCTGCGCAGTTCGTGTCGCGAAGACCACGACCCGCATGCCTCGGAAGTCTTAGGCTGGATCTCTCGAAGCTGGCTCTCCGGCTTTGTGATTCCTGGTGAGCCAATCTGTCATCTCCTCATCGGGACGCTCTTGGAAAACGATCCCGATGTGATTGAACGACTCGGGCCCACGGCCAATCTCTACGGCGGCTTTGTCTACGAAGGACGCAGTTACTGGAGCAAAGCGAGCATTGTGGGACGTGTTCTATCTAGCCTCGACGGGGCCAAAACCTGCATGGGGTGGGTCGGTAGCGACGTGCTTCCCCGCGATGAGACAACACTGGAGCCATTGAACCCAGGCTGGTTCGAGGTACTCATGCAGAAGGCGATCCGCGGCTCCGGCAAATCGCGCATCAAACAGGGAGGCAAGCTGGCTTTGGAGTCGTCGCCGCTGGGCATGGGCGATATTACCGCGGAAGCCTTTACCCTGCCGGTTGACCAGCCGACGTCTGAGTCTACGAAGGTGAACCTGGTCCACTTGACCTTGTTAGTTCGTTCGCCGTGCAAGCGAGGCATCACGGCCTGTGACCAGGCTTCACTGTCCTTCTCCCTGCAGAGCGACACTATGCCCTCCGCAACCACCGCCTCGTTCCCGTTGAAATATAACGTGCGCTTCATCTCTGCCCATGAATGCTGCCGGCCGCTGGGGGTTACTGCTCACCACGAGGACGTTCCTCGGCCGCATGACAGGCAGCAGCAGCAGCAGCAGCAGTCAGCACCTGACCAGGGCAAGTACCGGCGTCTCCCAGGCCATCCGTTGCATCGGTCGTTCCCATACCAGCATGTCTCTCTCGACTCCCTCTCGCAGCGCCCCGCGCCCCAGCTGAGCTCCGCACCCGCCGGCCATCCCGAAGTGCTGGTTATCGACGCGCGCGGGTGTCGCGCTAAGGAGACCTTCGTGCGGGCATGGTGCGCCTCAGTTGGCTGTCATGCTGTGATCGGGCGAGCGGGGAGGACGTGTGTCGCGTGTTGTGTGCGGGAGGCGAGGGCGCTCGAGGTTCCGGTCGTGGTGCGCGTGGGCGAGCCGATTGAACTGGGCAAAGCCCGGAGGAGTGAAGAGTGAAGAGTGAGGAGTGAGGAGTGAGGAGTGGGAAGTCGCTCTGTTGACCCAATGCCGTCATTTCAGGTCCCTTCCGAGGCAAATCGGGGGCTGTTCGTCCGGATGAGGGGTGACCAATTGCCCCCATTTCCCCGTGTTCTGCACCTTCTCCGCGGTGGCCAAATCACGTCTTTGCAGGGAGGGTCTTGATGAGGAGCCATCCGGCCAGGATTTTCATCTGACGCGAGTGATGTGGGTTATCTGGCGCGTTCTAGATTTAGTCATGTTTAGGTAGGGAAGAATAGTTTAGGGCAGAGGGATGAGGAATAGAAGCCGGAGTCAGCATCGTCCGCATCGGCCGCATCGGCACCTGCGCCCCAGTCCCACGAGTTTCTTCCTGAAGGAGTCGCAGGCGTTTCATCGGGCGCGCAAATCCCAAGCCAAGGGTACCACATCCAGCGGGACCACGCCCCCTTTTCAGAACACAAAACGCTTTTGGCGGCTTTTTTGGGTGCTTCTGGGTGGCCACGGGTTTGCCCCGGAACGGCTCGCGTGGAAAGATCGCGTGGAGGGGAGATTATCATGGTTGGAGTAGACCGCACAGGCGTCCGGGATTTCCGACTATCAGCTGGAGGCAGCCATTCAGCCATTCCCGGAAGACCCAACGCCCTAGAGAGGCCGAAAGGTGACAGGCGGAAGAAGGGGGGGGGGGGGGGGAGGAGCCCTTCCGTTTCTCGCAGAATACCACCTTCTGCTTCGGCCGATCCAAAAGAACCCAAGCAGTCTCCATTGATAGGGCGCAGACGAGCGAATGGGGAGGGAGGAGGGGAAGGGGAAATGAGCTCCAGGGAAGTTTTTTTTCTTGGGAGGACGCGTAAGGCAGGTTGCAGGTTAAAAAGGGAGACCCAACAGCGGAGCCGAGCCTGGCCGGATGGGGTCAAGGGCCCGGGCATGGTGAAACAACCGGGCCTCTGTCGACTCGCGCGCTCAGGACCAGTCAAGTCCCTGCATTCGGGTCCACAGGAGGGCTGAGGGCTGAGAGATGGGATTTCCCCGAGGTAAGATCTCATGGTGTGTTTCCGGTCTGTTTCCGGTGTGTTTCCGTTTCCTGTACTTCGCCCTGCAGAGGGAATGACTCTATATCAACTCGGACTCGGTACAATTGAACCCGTGGACTCCATCGTATGCAACTCTGCCGGTCTGTCTTCTATACTCCAAACCACCGCGAATTCTACACGAGGGCGAATCCCCAGGAAGGATGGGATCATCATCATGATGGGCTAGAATCCGGGCCGAGATAATGAATGAGCCTGATGAAGACAGCGGGGCCTCCATACTTTTCCCTCGGACGAGAATGCGGCTGTGGGGGCCTCAACCGATCATAAAGGGGTGATTCGGTGACTCTGCAGCCTTGGCCTTCGTATTGCGTATTGTGGTAGTCAACTCCGTCGATTGATGGGCTCCCAGGAAGCTGTCCTGCCCTCGAAGATGCGAGTTGTGAATTCAATGCAGCACCAACTGAACCCCCCTCTTCCACTAGCTATCCTGGGACACTGCCGGGCTCGTCCGCACTCGTCCGCACACTGGCTATCCTCGAACAAGGCGTGAGATATGCAAATCCAACGGAGGCACGCTTCCAAAATGGGAGGAGGTCCGAAAGGATGGGCGATGAGGACGGAGAGTGCCCGACTGCTCACTCCCAGGTGTTCCGCCAGCATCTCGCAGTTCTTGGACCTGTGGCAGAACGTATACCCCCCCCCCCCCCCCCCTTCTTCCCCCCCATCGAATCATCCCCCCACTGGTGTTGCACGATGTACTCCCGCAAAGCCCTGTCGGCACTTGGCTTTGGCAGGCTAGAAACATGGCTCCGGGCTAACCCCGGAGCGGTCTAGCGGGGCAGGCCAACGCGGTGCTGGTGCTGGCGGGGCCGAGCCAGTTGGGCAATGGGTCGAACGTCAGACTGGGCGTCGGAGATTGCGTGAAACGGTGGTCCTAGTGGCAGGCGTCGTTGAGACCGTGCGGACCGTGTGGACCAGGTACACAGTGTGAACAGGACCGTGTGGACGAGGAGGTGCACGGTGGTGGTACTCCGGACCCAAAAATTGGGCCGTATAGATCTGTCGCGGCCGATGCCGAATGGCCCTTCTCGAACAACTCTGATACCACATCATTCTCCAGGTTTTCTTGGCTGGTCTCGAAAATCAGAAACACCGCGAGTCGGCGTTGGACCCTTGTTTCATTCCTCCGATCGACGTTGGGTGGGGTGGGCCCCATCTCAGCCCACCGAGGCCTCCTTTTTCCTGGCGGAGGGGGCTCGGAGAAGCATGCGCTTCTGGTGCTTTGCTGGGCCACCCCCGCAGAGTCGAGTCGGCCCTGGCCTCAGCAGGTACGGAGTATCCGTACCTCGATGGACGTACTGACCCCCCATCCTCCCCTCCGTCCAGTCGTCCACGCAGAAGGGGGAGATGGTGAGGCGCAAGTCTCATCGCGAAGGTTTCTGAAATCCGGGGGCAGTCAGCTGATCCATGAGACCCCCCGATTCTGGACGAGGTTCATGGACTGCGGAATCAACCGCCAGTGCATCGCGTGCTTGACACTCGCGCGGCAAGATATGGACCTCCTCTGCCGGCTGGAAATGCACCCCGATCTCTAAGGATGACGCCCCCCCCTGCCCAATCAGACTTGGGATCCTCTCCTTGCAAGGTGCGGGCTCGTCGATCTTTTACCCGAGTGCGTCGGATGGTGCGAGAAGGCGATGCGGGGCCGGCCTTGTCGGGCTGTGTCCTGTTCCCTTCCCAAAGGGCGAGCCAGTACGGAGTACTTCCACCGCGCCTTCGTACGGAGGAGAGGTGACGGCGTATCGAAGCCCGCGGAAAGTGTGTTATGCACGACCCAGAAACGCCCCCGGAGGCAGAGGCACCCTATGACGAGCCGTGCTGGCTGCCCCCAGAGGCAACACGCCATCCGACGAAGATCGTGTCCACCGTCCAAGACAAATAGACTCCGTCCAAAGCCACGCCGAATGGGACACGTTTCTGCGCTTCCGCAGCCAGTGGGCGATGGTCACCCCCTTTTGGTTTTGATTGGGGGGTTATTTTATTTTGCGATTTTAATTAGCTCCTGAGCGAGAGTCGCGACAAGAGGCGATAACAGAGCAGAGCGAGCCTCGTCAGCCTTTATCCGTCTCCAGTCTCGAGTCTCCGCCGATCTCGTGGCAGGCCAATGCTCGAAACGAGCCTACCCGAATCCCTCGGTCGGCTGGCCGGGCCCTTGTTCGTAGAACCTTCCCTTCTGTCTCCGTTCGCCTCCCCCAAGGAAGCTCGCTTGCGGCTTCGAAGAAGAAAAGAACAGCGATCTTAGAGCCTGCCCCTCGGTCCGACGGGTGCCAAGGTGTTTCTGTAACGCGCTACCGCGTCGCGATGATCCTTAATCAAACCTTGACGGAGGCCCCACATCGGGCGGGTCCTTGTTACAGAGTTGGCAAGGAAGACGCAAGATCGGGGGATTCTGCGACTGGACGTCGGTGCTCACCGTGGACGGTGGCGATGGAGGCATGTCAGTGGCCTAGGTGGTCAAGCCTTTCGGACCGATGTCCCAACTGGGGAGTCGCCCCATGTCGCTGGATGGGAAATTATGTCACGATAGGTATACCTCTGGGATACTTTCGCCCTTCATCCGTCGCGAGCCTCGGGCCCGGCCCCTTGGGGGCCTCAGGGCGGGTGTGCTCGTGCACATCGTTGGGAGTCGATATATGTAATTAAGATTGTCGTGATGGACCAGCGCGTGCCCTTCACCCAAGGAACAAGCTCGCGTATCCTCATCGTACCGATACACTGGATCGGTCGGCCAAGAGAGGAGGACAAATCTCATTGGCGAGCCTTCCGCCGCATGGATCGTGGAAAGTCGTTGAATTTTCCCGTATATATATATATATATATAAAAAAAAAGAAGACTAAAAAAACCACATCCGGTTTCAACAGCGAGTTTGCTTGTAGGGAGATTAAGCTAATGCTACTGTCAAGCCCCGGGACGTGCCTAAGGCTCGAACCAAAGGACTAGTCTGGGAACCCAAACCCAAACTAAAACAGTATATTAAAAAAGGGGGAGGCAGTTCAACGGAAAAGCAATGCGAAGCCAAAATGAGAGAAAAAAAAAAAAAAAAAAAAAAAAAGCAAATATACCTCAGGGACAAAAAAACCCGCAACAGATCCATTACGTGCGTGCTGTGCTCGGTATGAGCTGATACACCGCAGCCGTGGACCCTGAATCTGTTTTTAGTACCAATCAATCTGTGGTTCGTGACTGGGCGATTCAATGGTATTATCCGTGCAAATTTTCGCCAACAGCACGGCGTACTCCGACGCCAGGATTCAACGGCCCTTGGCCTGCTCGAGGATGATGATCTCATTGGGATTGCTTCTTTATTGGCGAATCCCGGGAATGGGTCTGATCGTGGAGCTAGCTGCAAAACACCCCTTCGAGAAGCCATCAAGGTTTCTAGTGATCACCTCCGGAATGACCAGAGACAGAAGGTTCTTTGGGCCCAATGGGCCCTAGGGAACAACAAGCTCATTGGTTTCAGCTGCGGACCCAAGCTTCCATCGCCAATCCGGTGGATGGGACTTGAAGGAATAATTCCCCAGTTCATCAAGGATTGACAGGTATCCTGCCTGGCCCTATGCCCAAAGCGGTGCTGCGCGACCAAGTTCCAGCACCCACCCCCGACCCACCGTGTCAGGGCTCCCAGACCATGGTTCTTTGCCTCTGCCTCATTTGCCATGAACCGGCCCTGGGGGGGGGGCTTTTCTATCGTACGCAATCAGGGGCTCTTGGGGGTTTACCTAATCGGGCGCGTGGCCAGAGTAATGCAAAGTACGGATGCCTCCAGTAGTTTTTAAAAAAGAAACATTGGAGCCAATAAAAAATTATGCAACAAAATGTGAAGGGCCAAAAAAAATCGGCCAAAATTTATCAGACAATACTGCAAGAGAGATCATACTCTATAGTCTAAAGCAATTGCCCAAATGTCTCCAAAGTGTAATTGATGTCCTGGTGAGGAAGTTCTCCCCGGGAGGCCCCTGAGTTGGGTCTGAGATCATCGATGTGGTCCATGACAATGACCTGCAGTTGATTTGGGCTAAGTTCGATACATCCGTCTTGGTCTTAGTGTCGGTCTGATGCAGAGCCACCTTGTTCCACGTACGGAGTACAGTGGAATAAACTGTGAAATAAAAAAATTAAAATCAAAAAAAGAGAGGGAAAAAAAACAAAACCAGCCCTTGGGCGTTTCACCCCGCGATTAGCTTCCTGTCTCTTCGAGTCTATAGGACATCCTCGATCTTCCTTCTCTCTTCTCTGTTCTACCACAATCCACTTCATACACTCCTTTGGTTCCTCTTTTTCCTTTCTACTTCACCTTACTAATCTCTTTCTGGTTATTACTCTTTGGTCCCTTTTTCCCGATCTCATACTGGATCACGATACCATTCTAGACCCTCAAACGTCTATCCGTCCGCCCACCCAAACTCGAACCTTCCCCCCCTTTCATGAAGGACTCTAATTACTATTATTATCATTGATTAATTGGCAAATTACTGGGCTCAGCCGGGGTTCGCGGACCTAAACTGCAGCCAATTTATCCTCGACCGTCCATACCTTCCATCACCAGTGCGTTTCTGGCGGCGAAACACACCACGACTACACCCACCCACACCCACGCACACACAACTACGACACACACAACTACGACTACGACTACAACTGCGACTGCGACTGCCACTGCGACTTTGACTGCGACTACGGGCCCCTCCTCCGCCCCCCTCTGACACTCTGCGACAGCACTGTTCTGAAACGCGCGCAATACCCTTCCTGGTCCAGTGTGGCGCAGGGTGGACCTGAAGGCTCAGACACTTTGGGATTCTTGTCGGTGCAATCGTCATCGTCCGGACCTTGCGATCCCTCGGCTGCGCACCCTTTCTCGGTCCCAATCTTTCTCTCGCGCACGCAGAGGGTGCGTGCATGGCCTGGCATCTCGTGATTTCACATCTGCCCCAGCTCACATCGAGAGACAAATTCACCCTGTTTGCCTAGTCCCATTGAACCGAGGGTACAGGTACCCTTTTGCACAAGTGAAGCGCTATTGATGCGCTTCGGACCGGTGCCGTGATAAGAGCTCGCTCATGGGAGCTATGCCCGCGGTTATCGAGGAGATGGAAACAACACCGAATTCGCAAGCCGCGATGGATGCAAACGCGGCGGATAAAAAGCGCAACAAGTTGGGGTATCATCGGACATCGGTCGCCTGTGGTCAGTACATCACCGCAGCATCGCGATAGTAATCTCGTTTCGGTTCTTCGCATGTTCCCGCGGCGCCGTCGCGTGGGCTTTTGCGCAGGGAAACTAGGACGATGGGAGTGCTATACGGGGTGCTGCCATCACGCAATTATAGTTCCAGCTAAACTGATTTCTTCTCGCAGTACATTGCCGGCGACGGAAGATCCGGTGTTTGGTGGCAGCAGACGATGCACAAGGACGGTGCGAGAACTGTATCCGGTTGCGAAAGGAATGTCAATTCTTCCCCGTCGACCAACAACCTCCTGTGGAGAAGAAATCGCGACCCAACTCGAGACTGGAGGCTGGATCCGCCGACCCCTCGGCGACAACGCCCCTGTCATCCTCACCAACGAACATGAATCCTGACTCAGTCGAGCCTTTCTATCCATATGCTCAAGTCCCAATCGGCGCGTCTTCGGGGGACATGGCGGCTTTTAACCCCGGCGCATTTGCGGCCACTCAGATACCGGGGTTCACACCTGGTACGTTTGCGGTTTATAGTTGATGGACGGCAAAATATGTCTCAGCAGTGCCAGAATGCTGATGTTCATCTCCATTAGATCGACCTATGGGACCGGGAGAATTCTCAAGTCTGACGACAATGGAAGGAGGACTTGCCTGGGATGAGTTTACGACGATACCCGACCCACAAATGATGGCGACGATGAACGCAGGTAAAGGCCAGATGATGAATTTGGCACCACATGCCTGGAATCCTGCAGCCGTACCAGCAGCAATGTCCCCCAATTCACCCATGTCCGGCGCATCGCCAATGGCTGGTCAAGCGCAGCCCATGCACCCCGGACCAGCTTATGCCATGCAGCCTGACGGATCAGTCTGGCCAGTACCGCCGCAGCCGTCAAGGACCATGAGTTACCCTGGTCAGGACATGAGTTCTTCCTTTCCCAGTCACTTTCAACCGCAGATGACCCCGGACCTCAAACGCAGGATGACCACACCGGCACACCCGACCGGCTCCCACAGTGCCCCCGGACCCAGCCCCGACATGCAAGCGCCGCCCGCCGTCCCTTACCAGGCCCAAGCCGGCATGGGCTTCACGCAATGGCCTCAGATGAATGCTATACCCGGTATGGGTCTGGTACCGTACCCTATGTATGCCGGCGACGTCCCTCAACAATTCGCTCACCCCCCGATGGGACACCCGGGGCAGCCAGGAAGGTCGGGGCCATAACAACACATTTGACCTCCCTTCTCAACTCGCGACCTCCCATTCGCCCCAGCTTCTTCTTTCTCCGGGTTCATCTTTGGCCATGGCTCTTTCAATTCGCCTGCTTCCATCGGACCCGGAACCTCGTCACGTTATACCACATACGCACATTCCTAGACGGCTTGTTTCATTTCTAAATACCCCGTGGGATATACTGTTTTGGGCTTTTCTTTTTCCTTTGCATGCTTCTCTTCAATTTCCGGTTTTCGCCTCATCCTCATATACCGTGGCGGGTCTGCTTTGCAGATAGTCATTAGCGGGCGCAAGGGTTTTGGGTGGCATTTTCCGTTTGATCCTATCATGGCATGGCCCAACCTTTCATCTATGTTCTCCCAATATTTCCTCTCTATCGCGCCGGCCTTTTTTGCACCGAGCTCGATTTTCTTTTCCGTTTTTGGCTTCCTCTGCTCTACTTGCTGATTTTTCATGATCTTTTGTGGTCGAATCTGATGCTTTGGTTCGGTTGGTTCTCCTTGAATTGGAGCTTCACTTCACTCGACTCCCATTGGAGAGGCTTTGTTTTCGGGCATCTATAGACCTTTTTTGCTTCCCCTCCTTGGTCCCTCTTCTATTTCCTTTCACCCTTCTTTTTTTCCATCCCTTCTGCTCCTTTTTTCTTCTCATTCCTCTTCTGCTGACCCTAGCTGTTTCCACGGAGATACACATCTCTTGTTCTCCCTTATGCGCATGATTTGATTGCATCCATCTGTCAATTCTTCTTTTGGAGCCCAAGCTGTCGCACCAGGTCCAGTCGGTCTCGTCGGTTGATGCAAGGGGAAACACCAACAGGACGACTTGTGGGGGGGACACGATTGCAATCCTGCCCGGCAAACGTGCAGTCAGACACCCGCTGGGAATAAGACCTAGAGATTGGGTTTGAGATAACGCTGACGCTACGAACCGCCAGCTGTTACCAAGATACCGAGACTTTCCACGTCACGACATTAATTCAGGATGTCGAGCCCGGATTCTGTGAGGATAGCATACTGTACATATTACATTCTATACATGGAACTGGATCTACATACTACTTGATCACTCAATCCTCTTTGGTCGGGCGTAATTGCGAGTTTCGGCTCGCCTTATTATGCGACGCATACAACACTGCTCGGGGACGAACTATGCTACTAACTGCAACTGCGAGCAAGGCACGAGGTCAATGCTTGAAGGGGACCCGGAGGCGAAATCGGACCAGCCATTTGAGCGTCGTCCAAGCGTGTGCCGATGTCCGTGGTGATCATTCCTTGCCACTACAATGATCTCTTCTCGCCGTCTACAGGAACCAACCACCTTGAATGCTCGGCGCCAATTCTCAAGATAGGAATGATGCACGTGTCGTTATCTCACTGCCACTCCACTTCGCGGAAAGCCAGAAAGCCACACTGCCCCCAAACGAGCTCTGTGCTTTGGTGAGAAAAGCAAGAGGCCAGTTGACGGGCAGCAAGATCTACGCGGGCCTCACTCTTCGGTTGAGAGAGGAGATATCTCTCCGACACCGTCTCAACCCCATTGACCTGGCATAGGGTTTGCCCGTCCATCTACAGGAAGCTGGGCTTTCTTGGGGATACACGGACCGACTTTATAGATCGGGCTCATGCTTATCCCGCAAGGGGTTGCAGATGAATACGACATTTTGATAGGAGCGAAGGGGCCCTGGCAATCAGACTATCGGTCGGAGGTGCTCTTTCTCCTCGGAGATGAAATGCACGCGCATCTGGCCCTTACCGAGGCTAAACCCGGCTCATGGCGTCCGTTGCAGGCATACCCAATCATGGCCCGGAATGCCGGGGCACGTCTCTCCTGTCCTGGATGAGCGTCCTGATACGCATCTCATATCTACGAGAGATGTCGACACATCGAAATGGAGTTATCTGCCGTATCTTCGTCTTCGGGACGGATGACTGGACGACTGGATGAAGATAAGGGCCGATCATTGACGTGCTCGCAGGTTACCGCCACGAATGGGGGATCACCCGGAGATCCGTCGCACCAGGCGCTCTGGGGTTAAGAATCTGGAGATAGCAGCAGAATGGACCCGGTCGGACGGTGGACCTGTACCACTCCACCCGCCACTCCGACCCAGCGGTGAACTCTGATACTCTATCAGTGCGGGAATCCATCAGTGGGCGCTGGGCGAGACAGGTCTCATCGGGTCCGGTAGAGGGGCTGATAGCAGGCCAGGAGAGAGAGAGAGAGAAATGATGTGCCGGGTGATCTTCGAACTTTGTGCTTTCTGGTCAGGGGCCAGCCTCTCTTATCTTCCTGTTGCGATATGCAGACTTATCGGGCTGCTGTGCTGGGTCCGTTTGGCATGATCCATGCGTTATCCCTCGTCGTATCGGCCAGGATAGTTGGCCATGGAATGCCGGGGCTTGGGTAGCGTCACGCCTTATCGAAACCGTGGTGGGTGATAACCACACGCTCCGTGAACGTCCATGCGGCGAGATATATATAGAAGGGCCACACTTCGTCGTCTCACGGCCCTTCTCTGCGGATTTCTCTCTCCGTCCTGGTGGCCTGTTGACCGGTTGACCGGTTGACCGGTTGACTTCAGCTCTCTGGAATCTCTGGCCTCGATTTCCAGGCAGGCTCACGACAGCCACGGTAACTTTACCTGCTTTCCCTGGGGCCTGGTATGTTACATATGCGCAGTGTCCGTTTCTTGCCTCCACGCTCTCGGCTTTCCCCGTCGCTTTGCGGGCTTGCTTTCTCTCATGCCATCTGGTCTGGTCTGCTGGCCTCCCATTTCTCTTAACCGCAGAAGCCGCTCTGAAAAAGAAAACCCCAGCACCTCCGCCCTTCTTTCCCCCCCCTCTTCTTTCCCCCCATTTCCCTTTCACCCCCCTCCCCACCAACCTAGACGACTGTTGTGGGGCGGGGAAATAACCCAAGTCCGCCGCCGTCCAAAGTACCACCACCTCTGCGGCCTTTCGCTAGCATGCTCACTGCAGGAGCGCCACGGCCCACTTCAGCCCGGCCTGGTCGGCACGATGCTGGCCATGGACGCATTATGTGTCCCCTAAGTGGTCCGGCTTGAATCGGGCCTTGCGAGGAGGGGCCTCTGTACCAGACCAGGCCGGACGATTCAGCACTACGCACTACACACCCTGCTCGCCAGCAACCGAGCAGCACTCCATCATTGGGGCCGGTCATCGCCACACCCGGTGCTCCATACTCAGTCCTCCATACATAATGGACCTATTTACATCCCCCTCTGGACCATCCCGGACGAGGCTCGTGAATACCATAAACTTGATACAAGCTGAGAGTGACCTACACACGCGACAACGGCTCGGGAGGTCGGTGCCGATCATTTGGTGAATGAGACATCCAAGCCCGAACGGCAAGAGACCATGCGACTATGGGAGATGAACTAACCACCACGCCGTCCTGGTTCCAACTAGCTCCTGGGCTCCTCGTGTCGACCCATTCCCACAGCTGTTCAGAGCTCTCCTGGATCCCGCGTCTATCAGCAAATGACCTCGCCTAATTACTACGCTTGGCGGCTTATCAGGCTTTATCTCCTCTATCTCCTCCCAGCTCGGCCTATCGGGACGAGGCGTGGATTCCCCCGTCCTTCAGTGGAGCCGGGCTCGTGGAGCCAAGAGTTTGGAAGGATGATGATCGGATGTTCGATGATGTCGCTGTGCCTCAGCCTCTGTTCCTCCTCTTGCGACCGGAGCTGGTCCAACACATCCCCAAAGACAAGGTCAACAAACTCTGATTGCACCACGCGAAATCGCCCCCTGCCCTAACTCGATGGGCCCTGGGTCTATTACCGGATCCGGCCAGCCCTTCCGACCATTCCCCCACACCCCGACATGAGGGGGTTTCCAATCCGTCCAATGCCCACCGTGGTTCTCGGGAAAGGCCAAGAGCGCCCGGCGTGGGATCGTGGGTGATCAGCCCCCCGGACGTTACTGCGAGAGGGCCGGAGATGAGAACCGTCCCATTGGCGGCGAAGGAGCGTTGGCTAAACCATCAGCAGAAAGGTTTGAGGGAAAGAAGGGGGAAGGGGGCGCAATTTAGCCGTGGAATGAGAAACTATCCGCTTGCGCTGTCCCCGCGAAACCGACCAAATATTGAAGGATGAGAGTGGAGGTCTGGACGAAGCGCACACGCTGAGTGGACGAAAAGGCGCGGAGGAATTTCCCTTGACCGCCAGCCAGCGAACCGCCACCAACGGGTGGAAAGCTAATTACCAGATGGCGGAGCACGGCATGCAATACGGCTGGATACACGGTTCGGGTAATGTAGGGATGAAGCTGCGCCGGTGAGTCGCTTCCTCTATACGGCGGTGCTGGTCGCTGTTATACTGTCCTCCGTCCCCGGACGTTCCTGTAAGTGTCGGTCGGAAATCGTGGGACTTTCTGATCTATGGATCTCTCGGATCTCTCGGATGGATCAGATCAATCCCCTTCGACCTCGTAACTATTCCCGGGCGTTCCTCATCCATCCTGCCAGGAAGCCCCGAAGAGGCGCCGACGGTCGCAGGTCCCGCGACAGAAGCCCCGTAGAACGTTTGTTATCGCCTTGCTCGGGCGCCATCCTATCTCCGCCCCGCCGACAGGCCTCCACTGCCAGGAGATTGGACCATTTGACTGACAATTTACATTTGGCAATATTAATGAACCTCTTCCCTCTCTTCCCTTCCCCCCGCGCCCCCCTCCTTCTGGTGCAGAGAAATTGGGGTCTCGCATGATGGCGGAGCGGCCAGGATCTTGACTAGACAGCACGAATAACTACACCCATTCTATGACTCTTTTCAAGTCTTCCGTCCTCTTTCTCTGTTGTCTGCTCGGTCTTGCTCTATTTTCCCGCCTGGGCCTCTTCGTGCTGGATTGCTTCCGGTTCGGACCCAGCTCCACCGGGCGCATTAAGCGTATCCACTCGATCATGGTCATAGCTGGTACTTCCGGGCCCTCGCCATGCCGTCGGGAGAACTGTACGGAGTAGTTTGCCTGTAACTCTTGTCGCGCGCGCCGCCTTTCCCCGGCGCAAGCCTCAGTGCCCTGGTAAAAGTACCTGCATCGAACAGGGTCTCGGTCCCCCATCGGCCCATCCTGGTGCCTGTCCGCCCATTAGTCCGCGAGCTGCCCTTCGGACTCGGCCCGATGGTGCGCGTTCCGGACTTTGGTGCCGTCGCTTTCATTCGAGGATGAGGCGAACATTGAACATCGTGGCTGTTGAGTCCGTGAGTCTGATGGCCCGTGGGGAGGCCAGGCTCGTGCGGTGGCCATAGCTGCTGCGGCATGTACCCTCCGTCCGGAGGAGACTGGAGACGGAAGACTGGAGACTGGGGCCTGGAATCCGGAGTCTGGAGACTGGACAGAGGAGACGGGTACGTGGTTGTTCGGCCCAGCCGGGAGCGCCGATTCGTGGGAAAGGCAATGAAGCAGAGGCCATGTCGAAACAGCCCAGCTGAGTTCCTCGTGGACTTGTGAACTAGCCCGCCGGGCGGGTGTGGCGCGCCGCATGAATTATGTCGACAAGGGGTTCGATGTGGATGGAGTCGTAGAGCGTCGTAGACTGCATTGTGCAGTATACATCTGAAGCCACGGTGGTCCGTGTTGCCGAGGCAGAGCGTAGTCGGGCAGCCTCAAGTGGGCATGCCGGGGGAAGGCCAGCGTACATGGCTAGTTCCTCTGTTAGTTCACTTTTTAGTTGCTAATGGCGCCTTCAGCGACATGCGAACCGCCGTGGCCGTACCGGTTTTCATCGGTATTTATGTGTATTACCATTACCGTCGAGTCTTGCTGAACTTCGTCCACCACCGACCGCATCGCCAGATTCCCCGAGTCCGCTTCCCCCATTTCCCTTTTCATATCATCCTCTCTTCCTGTTCCTCTCCTCTTCTCTCCTCTCCGTCCCTCTCTATTATTCCTAGGATCCTTTCTCCTCTGCTCGCCAATCCCTCCAAACCGATATCCCTCCGCCGGCTCTCGCACAATCCCTCTTTGGGCTCGTCCTCCCCGTCTTCCCGGCGCAATCTCACCTCGGGGCATGAGCGTTTGGAGGGTCTAGCCCCCCTCCACATCACAGAGCAGAAAAAAACCGAGCACGTAGATCGGCTTGCAGGCTGGGTGGTGGTACTTCTTCCCATCGTGAGTATCCTGCTGGTCGTGGAGTCACCCTCTTCCTCGTCTCGTTCGAAGTAAAAGCGGTACTGACGTCCATGCGGACCCTGGTCGTGGGCTGCGCCATCCTGCCAATCGCCTCGCTCGGCTGCACTCGATCTCTCTTCCCCCGGTAAAGGTTTCGTTTACGGCGGGTACGGGGGAATTTCAATCTAAACCACCTCATACCTCCCCCCGCCGCCGTCTATATCTGCCTTCTCTTCTCGCCTGCCCCCCCTCTCCTCTCCGTCTCCTCTGGATACCATGGAGGGAATGAACCATGGAGGGCATGGGCATGGGCGTGGGCATGGAGCTACCCGACCGCCGCAGCCATCCGCGCTGGCCTTCCCCGGCATCGACATCGATTCGCACATGAGTTCCGACGACTTCTCCTTCGGCTCCCCCTTCAGCCCCGCCAACTCCAACGCCCAGGACGGCATGCTTTCGGACTCCATTTTCCCCGAGTGGAAGACCGGTGCCCCGCGTGGTGGCGACAGTCCCGAGGAGTTGCAGAAGAATGATCCACTAGCTGCTCAGATCTGGAGGCTCTACACTCGAACCAAATCGCAGTTGCCGAACCAGGAGCGCATGGAGAATCTGACATGGCGCATGATGGCTATGAGTCTAAAACGCAAGGAACGTGAGCAGGCTCGGTAAGTCGCCCGTCGAATCCATCTGTCCCGCCTTCTTCCCTCCCTTTTCCCCCTCGACCAGACAGCTCATTTCTTGGCCCTGCAGGACGTCCCAAGCCCAGGTCGACACCATCAGTCCCACCCCGAGCGGCATCGCGCAGCTGCGGCTGTCGGACCAGGCGTCGACCAACTCCCCCGGAATCAACTCGAACATGAACCTCGAGGCGACGCCCGACCCGATGAACCTGGATGACTTCATCGTCCCCTTCGACTCCCCTGTGGAGTATGCCTCACACCCCGCCGCCGACCGTCACTTCACTGCGACCCCGACTGTCTCGATCCCCATTAAAGCGCGCAAGGACCATCCCATGAACGACTCGGCCGCCGCCGCGTCATTCCCACATCCGCCGCAGGATCAGCGCAAGAACAGCGAGTTCGGGTACGTGGCCCGTCGAGTGCGCAAGACCAGTGTCGATGAGCGCCAGTTTTTCGCGGGTCTGACCGTGCCGACTCGCAAGCGACCTGCCGACTCGTCGCCTCAGGTGCCGCCCGTGTCCAACGCCATGCTGGCGCAACATTCCGAACTGTCCGCTGCGCTCCCAGATTACTCGTTGGATCACCCCCCAACCGCCTTTGCGATGCCCGGTAACGGTACGCTAGGTGGACGTCGCCCACAACATCACCACACCTGCAGCATTCCTTTCAGCCTGGATACCTTTGGTGTGAATGAAGAGCAAAACATCCACTCCGCGGGGCCCTACCAGCAGCACTTTACTTTCTCTCCCTCCGACTCTCCTCTGACTGCTGGCAACCCATTTTCCAATCTGTATGCGCAGACACCACTGGCATCGTCCCTCAACTCGACCGAGTTCTTCTCTCCGCCACCATCCGGCTACCAGTCGACTGTGTCGACTCCCCAACCCATCTACGAAGGAGAGCAGTCCATGTTCTTCAACGATGTGCCGTCTGGAGAATCTCAGACCCAGCGCCGCATCCCCAACTACATCCAGCAACGGACATCCAACCTGTCGGCGTCGCTCCAGCCACGCCACATGTTTAACACGTCCAACGGCGAGTTTCCATCTGCCAGTGCTGTCACAGGCCCGCCCACGACGATGCACCAATCCGGGTTCTCGGTTCCACCACCGCAGCATGTGGACCCCTCGCAAGTTCTTGGTCCCGGCGAGTTTTCTTCAACCGCGCCGACTAACAGTATGTTCACATTCGGTGGCGACTCCGATAACGAGGAGGAGGATAGCACTGCCTTTGAACGTGGGGCGATGGCCATGTCCCATGACTTCCACTCCATGGACGACGGGGATATGCATGCGGGTCTCGCCTGGGATACCGGCTTCCATGGGTCTGTCCAATCACTGCCTGGCTTCAATGGCCAGCATCGCAAGCATGTCACTATCGGCTCAACGGACATGATGGATGGTCCTCCTGACTGGCAGCACGCCGGGAGTCTGGGTCGTGGGCATGGTGCGGCCGCCTCTGTCAGCGAGGTGCGCAATCGAGAGCAGGATCCTCGGCGTCAGAAGATCGCTCGCACTACCTCGACCCCGAATGCCCCTGGCCTGCTGCGCCAGAGCATGAATGGAATAGCCAGTGGCCCGCCCACCAACCATCCATCCCCCAACACGCCTCCCGAATCTGGTCTCAGCAGTGCCGTGCCATCACGTCCCACTAGTCCTGGCGGATCCAAAAATGGTGACCCCAATGCCGGACCGACGACCTGCACCAACTGCTTCACTCAGACTACTCCCTTGTGGCGCCGCAACCCTGAGGGTCAGCCGCTGTGCAATGCGTGTGGCCTGTTCCTGAAGCTTCACGGAGTTGTCCGCCCACTGTCACTCAAGACCGACGTCATCAAGAAGCGCAATCGCAGCAGCGCTAACAGTCTGGCTGTCGGCACATCCCGCTCCTCCAAAAAGTCCTCCCGCAAAAACTCAATCCCGCATACGCCTTCCAGTTTAGCCGCCTCTCGTGCACCGAGCGGCAACACTTCCGAGTCCCCCCTGCCATCGGAGGATCCAACACGATGGGCAAACCTGGCGTGATACCGATCGCTGCTGCCCCGCCCAAGGCGGGTCCTCCAGCCGGCATTGCCTCGGCCCGTGCTGGGGTGCAGGTGGCTCCCAGGCGGCCGCGGCGTCTGGAGAAGGCTCCGGTCGGATCCGACCCGGACACGGACGACAGCCCCAAGACCAGCAGCATATCCGCTGGCCGGTCCAAGGTGGTGCCCCTGGCGCCCGCCATGCCACCTGCAGCCGCAAACCCAGCCAACCACAGTATCGCAGGTGGCCAGGGTGCGAGCCAGGAGTGGGAGTGGCTGACGATGAGTCTGTGAAACGGCCTTACCCTTGCGGCACTCCCTTCTGGAGCACGATTTTCCTTCTTCTGTCGATGTCTCGATGTCTCGGTATGACCGGGATGGGCCACCGCCTCTTTAATCGCATCCATACACGACTAATCCCCTCTTGCTGGTGGTCCCCCGTGGATTTGCGAGTCTCATGCTTCTATGCTTTTGCTCCCTTTTATTTCCCACTGTCTCTTATACGTTACGTGTGCTTGATGATCTGTGTGATTTGATTGATACAATCGCGTCTGTCCGGCACCCGAGTTGCTTTTTTTCTGTTCTGTTTTTCTTATGTGCAACTCGGGACCGGGCAGAAGTGCGCATCTCTTGTCTGAATTTATTCTTGTTTGTTTCATTTTTATCTTTTTTAACGAGCTCTTGGTTTTTTGACTCTTTATCTATGATGCGCTGCTGAGCAGGCCCGGTGTGATGATAGGACTTTTTTCATATTTAGATTTGAATCTGACTACGATTGTTATGACATTGAGTCTATGTTCAGAAATCGTGCAGTCATGATCCTGGAGTAGTCAGTCAGCTTGTGCCGACCATATCGATAGTTAGGTATTCTTGGTGCTTTGGCGATCTCGCCATCCCTAGCTCGTAGATTCATTTATGGAACAGCAAGCAACACAAACGCAGGACTCCGCTGCTCAAATTGATTTCATTAGTTTCTATCCAGTGTTCTCGGAACCGCGGAGTAAGGAGAATCTCTTTTTTCGCCTTTGACCCATTGGTTGGAACATGAAGAGGGGCAGCCTGTCGTACCACGTTGGGATGCAGAACAGATAAGGTATGCTACCATTGTAGTCCGTGGTGTATCGCCTTGAAACCTCATTTTCCAACCTTGCATGGGCGGTGATTGTTTGGTCTAGAGGAATGCCATTGGAGGTGAGACTGGAGTTCGACATGATCTGGTATGTCGGCCAAGTACGAGTGAACACCATCCAGTAAAACTGCCCGTCTGCCTGGCGACTATTTGCAGTGGGGTCCATAGCTTTGCATCGCCGTGCGTGGAAAGAACACGTATGTCAAGTGCGGCTAATGCGTCCCAATAGGCCAGAACGTCTTCGTCTTTGGTCATATCATCTCTCGTCTTAAAAAGTTTGCAGGTTATGGCAATCTCATTGATATGGATGCAGCTCAGAGTGAAAGCTCAGGATGAGGTTTTGTTTGGGTGCCTAACTTGGTGACCGAGGCCAAATCCATCTCCATTGAGGATGCCGTGTGCGTTTAGAACATTAGGCTTCTATGCAAAATCCTGCATGTAGCACACTGCCGACTCCCGGAGCCTCGAATAAAGTGAACGACTCAATTGCTAGTGAGGGTGGCAATTCATTGTCTCCAGTTAGACGAGCTAAAGTAAACCGCGCGCCCCCTCTCCCAACATTGCCCTGGAAAAACCCCCGCGGATCACTATAAATTGGAAATCCGGAGCCCTCAAGCAAATGCTAGCCTGAGACAAAAAAATGATAAGACCCGCCAGCCAACCCCAACATTTTGTCATGACCCTTTCCTCGCCACTGCAAACTCCTTTCTCGGACTCGGTGTAAGACAGTCTTCCTACCTTTCCTGCATAGCCCCAATCTTTGAGGGCTGCTGGTTTCATCTTAGTTTTCTTGTTAAATGATCTATAATTCAGCTTCTCCAGTTGTCGCCATGATCTTTGCAACAACATTCAGGGGATTGGAGGGTGTTCTTCTTAATGACGCATACACCCACGCTTCCCAAGACAAACGGTCCTTTGAAAACAAAGACATGTTGGTCATGGCTGGCTTCTTGCGTATATAATACTACAAATGAGGACCAGGTCATCTATAGAAGCCCAGGGGAGTTCCATAAAATGATTCAATGGTTGGAATGCCCCGAGGAAACACCATAAATTCCAACCATTTGAATGGGTCAGCTCCATAGACCCGAACACGCGTGAGACGCACGTCATGACGACGAATGTTCGAGGTCATGTTTTTGGCCTATCCCCTTTGCCCCTCGCCTCTATTTAATGTCTCGATATATAATTCATGAGGGATCACTTTGATACTTTCACCCCATGTACTTATATACAGTCACCTAAATTGGGAGTGCAATAACGTCGAGTTCTAATAGCGACATCAGCATGGCTGGCGCGGCGGCATGATATCCCCATCTGCCCCTTCAGCTCCATTCAATTCTAACCAATTGTTCCAGAGTGACATTGCCAGCACGGACGGCAAGGATCCATCTGTTAGATGACATTCGTTGCTTGATAATCGCTAATTTCTCCCAGGGGTCTCGGAATCTATTGTCGTGGATGTGAGCAAACCGGATACCTACACCAGCCGAGCAAATGAATCATCTAGCAGCGCCAGGCAGAATATCGCCGACATTTTTGAGCCGGGTACGTATCCAGTAGCTACGGTGCAGTGGTGATGGGCGAAGAGTTAGGGGCGGAAACCCCAACCACGCTTTTTCCTCCCTTGCTTTTCATTGATCATGGTCAGAGTATATGAACTGATCCGCGCTTACTTGCTCATAGGTGACACAAAAGCCACCACTCGTCGAATATCAGACACCCCTACCAATGTGCGGCATCAGTTCCAGTATGCGGACGAGGAGTCAGCCGAGACGGGACAGTCGGTGTTGGAATCTGCGCATGAGTTGGCTGCCAAGGCGCTGGGTGGAAGCTCGCGTGGTGAGCTGCTGTTGACACAGCCTGTTTCTGTCGCTGTCTGATATCTAATGCAGGAGCAAGTGACTGAATAGATCATCCAGAGATGGACTATCCCTCTAGGTTGGACTTAAATCCAGACTCACAGTCGCTCTAACAATCTAAAATAATAATCATTGAGCTTTGTTCAGATACTACCAAGTTGAAATGAGGAGCCACAATATCCCAAAAAATGATCGTCCTGATTCAAAAAGGATGGTCACCGTTCTCTAGGTCTCTTTCAAGTAGCCGTTTTTCCGCTCGGAACGTTGCATATCCATAGCGATACTCCCATGCGCTTTGCAGGCCTCCGTTATATGCGACGATTGACAAGACCACGAGAATGCGCTAGAGGGTGCGTGAGTGACCCCATATACCGAACAGTCCGGGATGCAGGGACACGGGTATACGTCTCTGTCGCAAAGATTAGATTGGATGCGTGGCCAAGTCCCAGCGCATTGTACTCACATCGAACACATAGCACCCTTCCAGTAGTAGTGCTCCTTCGAATAGATAATCCGGTACCCCAATCTGCAAGAGGTACGCATGTTCCCAAAGAAACCACGCATGGCCGAAGCGGCAAACGAGACAGACCGGTGGCAATGCAACTAGTCAGGTGTATAAAGCGCCATTCAGGGGCCGGAATCACAGACTGAACAGATTTACCCAGGTGCCGGTACTAGCAGCAATGATCTATATCAAAAGGGTCAACGCATTCTCCACTATCAGCATGGCGCCTACATAAACACCCACAAGCCAGCAGTAAAGTGGTTTGAGCGCCGGGTTCACGGCGGAACCCCAAATGCAGACCGCTGATGAAGTTGCCGAGGATCAGTGCCACAATGCCGCCGTAGGAAAATTGCAGCCAAAGATACGCCCCAAATTTCGAGTGATTCATACCCAGCGGTAAGTTACAACATCGGGAGGGACAGTCGCAAACCTGCCCTGCATCGAAAAAATAATCCCATCTAAAAATACCTGCCGTTTTTTGGGGTCCTCCAAAGCCTACAGTTGCCCACAGCGGGCTTCTCAATAATCTGCTATCGTCCGTCGCAGTCAGGCACGGCAACCAGCACGATATCCGTTAGCGACTTTTTATTCGGTCGATCGATCCTTAACTCGGACCCTTTTAATATTAAAAGGGAGTCAGTTGTGACCAAAACATGAGATAATAATCTGGTGTCCTGGAAAGTTGTACAGACAGACCTTCATGATTTCCTCTCCACGTACATTTCTTGAGCTTGGCTTAAGGGAGTGCGAATAGTCCATCACCACTTCACTTTTTGAGATGTGGACCTGAGATCATGAAATTTCGTTTTAGGGGCTTTTATGGCCAGCCACTGTTTCAGTCAAGATCGCAAGCAAGTCTGAATTGGACACACTCCAGAAGCATCATATACTTCAGTTGCGGCAATATTCTGCCTGAGGCGGTTATCAGTATCACGTGGGATAGCCAGCCCAAGAAAAAAGTTACAGCGACAGCTCGCTCCACGCCAACGACAACCGCAGCCATGGGATCCAGCGCCAAGCGAAAGAAGGAGAAGCAAAAGGACTTCCAGGTGAGACTGATCCTCTATCCATTGTAACGATCTGACCTGCTGATCCCCACAGAAACCCAAGCTCAGGGTCGGCAAGGCGAAGGCCAAGCCAGAGAACTTCACAGACACCAGTTTTCGATCTAAAGGTACGTTGTCACTTTCTCTTCTCGTAACAGATTGCTTCAATCGTATGGCTTGTTCTTGTGCTGACTATTTCCAGCTATCGTTATCAACCAACAATCTCTTCATGTCGCCGCCCCAACCTCCAGTAGCCAATTCGCGCACCACCTCTCCCTCCTCTCCTCCAAATCCGACAGCCAACGGCGCGACTCTCTCGCCCATCTGACTACCTCAATTGCCGCGCGCCCAGTAAATTCCCCCCTCCCACAACCAGTGAGCGTCATGCTCCCGTCCTTTCTCCCGTTGATCCTCGACGCAAACAACAGTGTGCGCACAGCCCTCCTCAAGCTTCTGCGTACACTCCCGCGCAACGACGTGGAAGACCACGTCGTGCAATTGCTACCCTATGTCCGCGCCGGAATGACACACCTTGCTGCCGATATTCGTGTCTCAGCTGTCGAGATTCTATCGTGGATGATCGATGCTGCGGGCGAGGCGGTGGTTGCTTGCGCGGGAGGGTGGATCAAGACCTTCAACTGCTTCCTGTCGGTGCTAGGCTGGCACACTGAGGAGTCTGCGCGGTGGTCATCAAACCGGGCTTCGTTTGGCAAGTCCGGGAGCCAGGGGCGGCCTATGGTAAAGGTGCTTGGCGCACTGGCAGAATTCCTGAACGCAGGGATTGGGCAGCCTGGTACCTCGGCCGACGATGGCTCGGAACAGGATAACATGTTCTCGGCGCAGCCTTTCCCGCTGTGTCAGACAAGTCAGCATATGATTTCAGAATCGTCTGCACCATATGCCTATCTGAACTTATTTGGACAGCCGCGCGATGAGGAAGGCGAGATGTATGAAACCCGGGAGGACCGGTACCGAGTCTTCGCGGTGCGCTTCTTGCCCGCCATTGAGCGCGGGCTGAAAAGTGCGAGGGAAGAAGGCGGCGAGCTAGGCCGTGCATCATCTAGTGTGAGCAAGGTGCTGAAAGAGGCTTTGTCGTATGGACCGGGGCCATGAAGGCCACATTTCACGAAGACATGATCCTAACACAGCATCCCCTGCCGCTTCAAGGGGGGGAATTCATTCCACAAATACATCTACTAGAGACGTCCGTGTCTTTCTCCTTGTGACTCTCGGCCATTTAGTGCCTTGGGACCTGGTTGACTTGCCACTCTAAGGGTCGTCGCTGAGGGACCTCCCAGTGCAGACCCAACGGCTCCTGCCAAGGTGCTATTTTCCTCCTTGGAACAGGCAGACACCACTACAGGTTGTTAGGGAACAAAAGGCATAAATCCTGAAGGCCCTCAACTTTCAGACCTGGGAATCAAGGCTGAGAAACACGGCTCTGGAGACTATGATCAGTACCATGGGCACTGTCTCTGCGTTCGAGCAAAATATCAAGGTATATAGAGTATAGAATCATGTACAGCACAGCGGTTCTGCGCAACTGCTCCTATAACGACCATTAAAGACAAAAAGTTAAATTATTCGTAATCATGGGCAGGCACAGGCCCTACACAGACTTTTCTAACGAATTAGCCGGAACCTTCTCACCCCCAGACGGTGTCGACGTCTGCTCCGAGCTGTCTGTTTCCACTCCTTCCACCACCACACTCCTCTCCTCATAGATCTCATCAGGAAGAACAGCACGGGGGATCTGAGTTTCCGTCGCCGGGAACAACCACGACAGAGCCAGATACACTGCTGCCGTAGCAAAAAACCCCAGCAGCCACCCAAACTCATATGGATGTGTACCCGCACCCACATCAATACTGGAACTCACAGCATTGATCATCCCCGGAAGACTCGGCACAACGCCGACGAGAAACGACACCACCGCGCGCCAATTGGTACCCCAGATAGATTTTCCAGAATAGAGAAAAGGCACGGTGCAAGCGTACCGATAAGTCGGGTTCGATGGCTGGTACAGCGCAAGCACATCATAGCGGCGGCGGTTAACGAGCCAAAAGTCAAACAGCATAATGGCAGCGATCGGGCCAAGGAATATCGCATAGGCGCCCATGAAGTTTAAGAAGTTACTTGCAGATTCCAAAATCTTCCAGGGCACTAGTGCCCATGACAGCAGCGCACACAGAATCTGGCCGCGGCGGATATTGAGCACCTGTGGCGCGAGCGCAGTGAAGTCGTTCGCGGCTGAGAGCGAGTTGGCAGAGATATTGACGCCCAGCGAGGCGAGGGCGAATGAGGCTGCGCCGAAAAAGCGGCAGGCACGGTTGGGCCAGAGGCTGATGAGCTCGTTGGGATCCCAGGGGATGGAGGCGAGGTTGTAATGGGATTGGCCGGCGGAGGAAGCAGCAATGCCGATAAAAGAGATAAAGGTAAAAATGATGGGGAGCAAGGGAATATAGAGGAGTTGCCAGCGGGGGTTGACGCGGGAGTATCGCGAGAAATCGGACTAAGAAGTGAGGTAGGTTAGTCGTGTCGGGTAGTATGGCAAGGGCGCCAGACGGCATACCTGGTTCACACTGAGGGTGGCAAAGTTCCCCAGCACCGAGGTCATATTTGCCAGGAACAGCCAGCTATACTTCGATCCCGAGACCGTCGCCTTCTGCTTGTCGAAAATACCGCCGCCACCCTTTTCAGCAACAAAGGCCCAGATCAAAATGGCAATCCAGGCGATCGGGACCAGCACCGACTTGACCGTGAACAACCAGCGCAGCTTATTCGGATGCATGCATAAGAAGGGGAGCTGTAATACCCAAAAGATAAAGAATGCGATCATCCCATTCGATGTGATACCCTGCGACACAGGGATATCATTGTGGAGGGTCAAGTAGCTGGGCCAGATCGCGCCGATCATGACCCGGACTGAGTTCCCGCCATTCACGTTTTGGATGGCGAACCAGAACACAGCAAGAATCAGTCGAGAGATGATGGCAATATAGGAGCCCCAGAAGCCCCAGCTCGCACGGGCAATAACCGGGAATGGAACGTGATAGATGGCCCCGACAGCACCGTTGGCGGAAATGACGAAGGATATAATTAGGAAAGAAACAGCCACAATGGCGAGAGCCTCGCGGTATGTCAGGCCGACGGCAATAATACTACTGGCGAACTGCCAGGTCGCTGCATTGAAAGCATCCGAGATCCAGTATGCTAGGGATGATGTTAGACCACCACCCCAGAAGGCCGAAGTGCATCACAGGTACCTATCAGACTCCAAACCCCCCATTTCCGCGCAAGCAGAGGAATCGGATCCAGATCCCGATTCGTCCATCGTGCATTGCCGTCGGCAAAGGCCGACTGAGCTTGAGAGACCCTCAGTCGAGGCCTGGAGAGTCGCATAGTTGTAGATGGAGGGAGCGGGAGCGGCAATGTTTGTCTAGAGGGGGCGGAAGTAGCACAAAAACAAACATGAAACCAGGGCCCTATCACGCAATGCAATGGCTCTCCACACACAGAGAGAGAGGAAAAAAAGCAATGTTACAATGCATCCCCTGAAGAACGAGCGCACAAGTACCTCCGCAAGGTCTCGATGACGTCCCGATAAGCTGATAAGCACCCCTGCCGCTCAGCGGCGACTGATAAGCAACGGGCGAATGACAAGACACGCTTTGGCTGCATCAGACGAGCAGAAATGGGGGTGGAGAGACTAATGCTCATATTGGCAGAGTCAAAGCGTTAAGGTTAAGCGAAGCAAGCAGCTTATCATAATATTCAACGTTCATTGTGTACGGAGGGCTCCGTTTATCCGATCGGGTATCTGGATCCGAGCCCATGTGTGTCCATTCCATCAGGCACCCCTGTGTAGCCGTCTATCACAGAGTATCGTGTGCCTGCTTTTCCCCCGGCAGTCGCACATCCTCCCACCCCTCCCATCGCCCACGCCAGCCACACTACCGTGCCGGCGGATGCCCTTCCACTCGGTGACATTCATCCACCCGATCTGTTGCACGTCGCCAAACCCGCCGATCCAGTACGCCTGCGTAACCACCAACCGGGCCCAGAAACTCGCGTGTGGGGACCCTGGTGTGCTAGGCAGCCAGACCTTCGCATCTTGATGAGACTGGAGGAAACACTTCTCCAGTGTGGCTGTGGCCGCGTCTGAGAGTTCCGGGAGGGTGTCGAGGTATCCGAACAGGGTGATGCGCGGGAGAGCAGCCGGGCTGGGAGGGAGACCGGGGTAGACGGCGCCCGCATCGGAAAGATGCTCCCACCAGTCGAGCTCGAGGCTAAGGTTGGACCCGGCGCCAATGTTCTTGAAGGTAGTTGCGACGCGCAGGGCCAGAATGGTGGGATCGCCGTTATCTTCGTGCGACAGGCCCTCGGGCAATGCCGAGTCACAGTCCGCAACGTACTCGCGTAGACCGATAGGCAGACCGGCCACCTCGGCGGGCGTGCGGGAATAGGTAGGGATGTGGCTCGGGAAGACGGTGGAGATGACGCCAGACGGAGAAAGCGCGAGCAGGCGGCGGGCCATCAGGGCGGAGGTAAACCAGGACGGGCGGCTGAACCCATCTGCATCGACACTGTCAGAAGTGGTTGATGCGGCCCCGAAGGGAGTGTTGGCATGGTCTGCGTAGCTCAGGATGCCCTGGTTATCGAGGTGCGGGATGGCCGACGCAGAGGTGAAAGTGGTGAAGCACAGGGCGAGAAGCCCGGTTGTGAAGGGTTGAGAGATCATGGTCAAGGCTAGAGAGATCCAACGATCTGAGGCAAGACGGATCAGGCGTCCTATGAGTCCAGCCAAGGGTCCCAGGGAAGAAGTGTCAGAGTACTGTAAAGAGGGTTGAGGCGGGGGGTTAATGGAAAGCAGCGGAAAACGGTGGAGCGGCGTCGCCTGATCTTATCTGATGGTATGATGGCATCATGCATGTGATCATGTAACCAGTCAGGATCCAGCACGAGGGAAGTATATACAACAATACCGTAGGTTTTATTGGAGTCTAAGTCAGGATCTGAATAATCCTCATAAGATGTTCTGTAGCAAGATTCATTTGCTTAGTTTCCCTTGTTTATGTTCAGACAGCAGCACTCTTTTCAACAGCCGCAGCACCTTGAAGTCGCGACTAATGAATTTATCTGTGGAAATGTTATCCCGCCACCACACCATACATCGAAACACGAACTCCATGAGCCCTGTACCAGCAAGCATCATTTCGAAGTACGCGGCGGGGGCGCCACAGCCAGAGCCATGTCTGCGTGCACGATGCTCTCGAGGTCGGAGCAAGTCGAGGCTCCTTGAATCACCGCAATAGGCGCCAATCCTTGCTGAGCCGCAATACATGCGCCCAGCTGCCTACAAATATGCGGGGAACACGGAATACATATTAAAAGAGAAAGACCAAAACTCAGATCAAGTAAACTGTACGATTGGCTATCCGTAGATGCGATCCCGTCCGCCAGTCCGGACGCCGAATCTCCTGATGTTGCCCGTATGGCGCCATGCCCTAGCGCTAGAGGATGGAATAGGAGACGAAGTACAGGTCTGCGATGCGGTCCACCCAAAGAACAACAGGAAGTAAAGATAGGTAGTAGTGGCCCTCGGGTAGAAGGGCGTGTGGTAACGAGGTAGGAGTAAAAACAAAAACAAAAAAGGAAGTAACAAACCGTGCCGTGCCCACCACGCTCCGTGCAACAAGACAAATGTCGAAAATGAAAGCAAAACAAGAGGATGGCGAGAGCAGCCGCGTACATCGTACACTTGCAAGACCGTTTTGGTAGCTCGCGTGGTGACTGAAGATCAAATCCCGGACTGAGTGAAAACGGGGGTGAGGGGATGTATGTACAAGAGGGGACTCAGCTCGGAATTCGGTCGCCTAAAGGGGTAGTAGGGTAACCCTCAGGGTAGGGAGAGGGAGGGAATAATCATCCAAAAGACCAAGGGGAATTTTGAGACCAAAATAGACGGGCTTTTTCTAATCCTCACAACAAAGGAAAATCCATCAAGGACGAGTCCCGTTATAATTCAGAATATCTGCGCGGATGCTCGGGTTCAGCGCGACCTTGCGCGCCTCGCTGCCGCAGCAGGCCCGTTTCATGCCGGCAGGGCCTGAAAGCGAAGATCCGTCCGAGACCAGGAACGAGTTCGCCAAGTGCCCATCGGGGAGGATGGAGGACGGAACGCCGGAGGCACCTGCATCGATCAGATGGCGCACGTGGCTCTGGAGGAGCAGATCGTCAGAACCGGTCCGGCCGCGCTTGCGGCACTGGCGCCGTTCCGGAGTAGCCCCCGACAGCTCGCAGAGACTCTGAGCCGCTTCGCTCAGGCTGGTATCCAGCGTGAAAGTGGACAAACCTGGCGCTGAGCCCATCGCACCGGGGTAGTCCGGGGAGCTGTACAGATCGACCAGGGCACTCTCGTCGATGGGGGAAGCAATGGCCAGAGTCTTGCGACTCTCCTTGAGGGAGTTGCTGGTGCAACGCAAGGTGGCCTTGACGGCCAGGCGAGACGGGGCGGGGGCACCGGCGCCCGAGGCGTTGGACGAGACCGACGATGACCGCGAGGAGCGGGACGACAGAGTCGACACGTCCGACACCATCGAGTCCGGCGACGAGGCCGACGAGGTGGAGCGAGCCAGAGAGGACCGACGGACCGCAGGCGGGTAGCCATCATACGAATGAGCCCGCGGGCAGAACGAGAGCGGCGGGCGCTGATCGAGAGTCGAGCGCGCCATTCCCAAGTTCTGCGCCTGGGACATCGCGGTACCGATGGATGGGCGGCAGGGGCCACATGCTGTCATACTCGCAGCAGGAGTGCAGGCAGCAGGCGGCTGAGGGGTCATCTGGGGCGTCGGGAGAATTTGAGGACGGGGGATCGCCGGCATGGGCAGATGCGCGTACTCCATGTGGGGAGTCGGCTCCATGGTCCGGGGCAGGCTTCGCAGGCAGGTGGGAGTCTGTTCGCGGGAACCCGAGCGGATCGAGTCGCGGCGGGGGGCACGACGTGGCGAGGGAGAATCGGTCAGGCCCCGGTCCATCCCACCCATCGCCGAGACCGGGGTCATCGGCTCCGAGTCGATGGAATCCAACTCCGGAGTGAGACAGGGTAGGACGGTGCGCCAGCACTGGCCCTCGGCGACCGGGGGACCACCGGCACCGGGGGTCAACTTCAGAACGAGGTCGGTCCAGCGCTGGAAAGTGGCCTCGGAGATATGCAGACGCCACCCCACCGCCTCCAGGAACATCAACTCATTCTGGTTGATCTCCAGCGTATTCAGGCCGGAGATTTTGCTCCAAGCGCGGGCGGAGTAGTTGCGGTCTTGCAGATACTTCGAGGCCAGGATGAGTGCCGCCAAAAACATGCGGCGACCACACTGCATGGCCCGCATGCACGACTGGTCCCGAGGTTGCTCCTTGGTAAAATCGCGCATGGGCACATGCGGCTTAATTTTGATCAAATAATATAAAGCCACCTGCAGAGTAGAATAACTAGTACGTGAACGACGGAGGGTTTCCTGGATGAACGTCCGCAGGGGAAGGACACCCTTGGATCCCGTCGCGGCATCGCTGCGGGATGCCGCGGCGGACAGCGGCCAGATGTTTTCAACGATTTGCGACGCCGTATCTTCACCAGGGAAAAAGGGAAGGACAATTTAGCCGGATGGACACGAAGAGGGTGCGGAGAGGATCCGACACGACTTACCGACGAGGTTATCGACGAAATTCACTTTGCGCTCGGACTGCCGGAGCAGACAGGGCGGAGGCCGCGCCGCCGAACCGTTGTTCGCGACGCTGTGGGTGCGCCGAGGGTGCATCCGCAGCTCGGCAGGGACCGCGCCATCGATCTTGGGAGGAGCTCCCTTCGCAAAGGCGCGAGGGCAAGAGCCCAGAGGTCTCCCCACCTGCGTCTCTCCATCATTCTCCCAGATCACATCGACCGGGTTGGTCGCAGTGGACGAGATCGAACTTTGCGAGACATCGAGTGAGAAGACCGAGGAGGAGGAAGAGGAGGCGGAAGAGGAGATTGAGGAGGGATAGGGGTGCGCGTGAGGCGCTTTCGAGCTTGGGTTGGAGATGTGCAAACCCAAGACGTCCATCCCCGACATATCCGGAAGCGTGGAGGGATTCATGAAGGACTGATCAGCGCAGAGCGAGGCCAGTCGGAATCAGAGTCTCGGAGGGCGCGACCGGAGGGGAAGAGGATGATCCGATTTGGAACCGAAGTTGTCAAGATACCGTTAAGCAGGGAACCGGGAACGAGGACCGAAGAGACAGAAGCCGTCTTTGCGGGAGGCGACGGCAAAGCCTTTAGAAGTTGAGAAGCGCCAGATTGACAGGAAAGATATTAAACACGAAAGGGAACCACCGACGCGGTTGACTGGGTATTACTCCACGGTCTGGTGGCGTTGGGAGAGAAGGGAAGGGGAGGGGAGGGGAGGCGAGGGAAGTAGTTGGTAGTTAAAGAGTCACGACCAGAGAGGAAACCAGGAACAGGCCGGGGGGGGGGGGGGGGGGGGGATATCAAGTCGACAAACGTATAGAACAGAGGAAAGAAACAAAGACCGCAAGAGTAAGAGTGGTCAGGTAAGAGTCACAGGAGACCGATCGCACCAGATATTGCGGCTATGAAGGATCGCCCGTGGCAAAGCTGGAATGACTCGGATCGAAGATTTAGACGGAGACGGAGACGGAGACAGTACCAGCGATGAAGGAGACGAGGTCGATAGCGGCAACACGGGCGATCGGGAGGAGGAGGATGCAGTATACATTTTGAGACTCGCAACGCCAGGGAGAGAGGAAGAGGAAATATCAAGGCACCCAACAGACCATGGACAGGCAGGAGGAGTCTGTTCACAGGCAGGCGTTGGTGGCCAGGCAGGCGGATGGGGCGAAGCGGGCGGTTAGGCGTCAGGCGGCAGAAAGAGTGGAGTGGAGGTGAAGGGAGGAGGAGGAGCGGATGGGGGAGATTGGGAGGCGAAAGAAAAGGTCGGGTCGGGACAAAAGAGTCAGACGGGGCAAGTATTTTTTAGGCTCACCACGTATGACTCCGTGGTGGTTCCGAGTTGACTAAGAGGAGAGGGGAAGGGGGATGGGAGTGGAGATTTGGGGGGGGGGGGGGGGTTGGTGGGAGGAAGACCAAGGAGACGGGAGTCACACTGTGGCAAAGGAGGACAAGACTGGGCCGTGGACAAGGAAGAGGGTGGCGGGCTCAGAGGCGCAGGAGAAGACTCTGCGACTTCTTTGGGCCCGGATGCGGCCGAAGCACGGTGAGTCACGAGGGGATCACGCGAAAGATATGCTATTCTGTTCTGAGAGCCAACTGAGCGAACATGAGAATATCGAGAGTACAGAGACAGAGTATACAGAGAGTAGAGTGGCGATCTGCCCAATATTCTACATGCTCTCTTGCATTCCCCCTAGAGCAAGGAGCAGAGATATGCCCATAGAGCATTTGTGCATGTTCATGTCCCTAGTGTAGTACGGAGGTACCGGACTCGTACAGGCCCTCCCCAGTCCCCGGAAGGAAACCCCTCCCTTGAGTCATAAACGGGCGTTTTCTCCGGTCGCATTGCCACGCTGTTCTCGCCCCCCGGCCAATCCGCGTCCGTCTTTCATTAGCCCCACTGGTGCCCTGATTATCTTTAGTCTGATTGGCTCTTGTGGGAGCCCTGCCTCCGATCAGCGCTGCTGCTTGGAGTCGCCTGCGTCGCGGGAGATCCGCCGAGCCACCCAAGTGCCGAGAAGACCGACCAGAACAGACCGATGCCTATCGGGTATCCAAGCGGAGCCACTGGGGGAGGTTGGGGCACCAGGCACACCTGCAGACATGATAGAGAAGTGAACGTACGTAGTGTGGGAACGACGCGGCAGACCGTGCCAAACACGTCAACAAGCGTGCAGTTGACACCGCCTCGATGCCAAGGCCAGGAGTCTCTCCAGAGTACGCGGTATAGCAGTGCCTCGCCCGTGACAAAAACCATAAGAACCGTCATTTTACAGCCCTGCGGCTTCATGTTCATTTCCCGGGGCGCTTATGATTATTATTAGCAACCAGCTGGGGGAGAGCGACCCTCCAGCTAAGCGGCCCATCATCTCGTATTCCATCGAACCCTCGCCCCCCTAGACATCATGCCAGACGCAAAAGCTTATTACGGGCATGATATTTATGGCCGAGTTAGGGCAAATCATGCCAACTATCACCCTATCTCTCCTATTTGCTCGGTCGTGGCGAGTTATCACATCCCCGGGCGGACTATACTGGCCCATCACCTATCTCCAGGGGAGATGGCCGATGCCGGCCTCGGCCGATATCGTCCATCTCCTCAGAAGACCGCGGCAACCCACACACTCTCCGATCCAGGAAGCACAGAACACCGCATATCAGTCCTTCCCCGGTGATTGTCAAGAATGAGTCACTCTATACCAGGCAGCTGACCCGATCGAATCCCCCCCCATCATGCTACGATCATGCTACGATCATGCTACGATCATGCTACAATCGACAGCCCTGCCAGAGCCTCCCGGAGAACGGCCACCAGCCCGTGCACCTCCACCTCTGTTGCCTGATTAGCCCATGCTTAACCACCCAATCCCGCGTGCCCAGTCCCACAACACAAGAACCATGCACGCCACACTTGCAGGGACCAGAACTCACCAGTGTTATAATGCAAGAAGCTCACCCGGACCACCCCATCGTCCACATCAGCCAGGCCACACACGTCCTTGAGCAGCCGGTGGCTATACATGTGGCCGCTGCGGAACCCATACGGCGACCGCTGCTCAACCGCCTCAACCAGCTGCTGACTGCCGACGCCGCGCACGATGAAACTAATCACCGCCACGCGGAGCTCCTTGCGCGCCGATGGCTCCCCGATGATCGTGACCCGGTCATCCGCCGCCAGGAACGTCAGCAAGATCTGCTGCAGCCGCTCCTCGTGCGCGGCCATCGCGGCCCACGTCGCGCCAGGGTCGGCCGCGAAGTACGCGACGACCGCCGGGATGCTCTGGGTCAGCTCGTAGTTGGCCGAGGCCAGGTTGAGCTTGAGGTCCAGCGTGTCGGTGGGCTTGAAGAAGTGGGCCAGCGAGTCGATCTGGTCATGGATGCGCGACGAGGCATATAGTTGCGCGAGGTGGGGACCGTACACCTTGTACCAGGAGAATGCCTGGATGGCCCCCCCCTTCCGGGGAGGCCAAGCGTGAGCGAAGAGCCGCATGATGAGTGGGTATGAGTCAGGGCGTGTTCCGCCCCGGGGAAGGGAAGGGAAACCAAACTTACGTAGAAATCCACCCCGAGGGCTTGGACGTCGACTTGGCGGTGCGGCGCGAGGGCGACGCCATCGACACAGAGTAGTGCCTGCTGGGAAACCGTAGATTAGCATGTCCAGAACTCGCGTATATCGTAAGATGCCAAGGATACTGACTCGAGGATAAGCATGAACCGCATCAGCAATCTCCCGGATCGGGCTGATGGTGCCCGTGATGTTGGAGGCATGCGGGCAGGCTACCAGGCGGGTCTTGTCGGACAGCAGCGACTTCAATTCGGCCACCTCGCAGGTGGGATTCTTCGGGTCGGAGGGTGTCCACCACTTGACTGTCAAGCCGAGCCGCTCGGCAACGCGGGCCCATGGTGCGCTGTTCGCCTCGTGATTAAGCTTGGACACAACTATTTCATCGCCAGGCTGGAACCTCAGGGCGGTTGAGAGGTTGTGCAACAGTTGCGTGGTTGAAACTCCAATGCTGATCTGCGAGGATGTCGGTTAGACCGTTGCTCTCCTGACATGCGGATTGGAGCCGGATGCCCTGACCTCCTCTGGCCGTGCATTGATAAAGCCCGCGGCGGCCGTGTATGCGTCCGCATATGCAGCAGTCGAAGTGAGTGCAGTCTTATAGGTGGCACCAAGCTGGACGTTTGTATTCAACAAGTACGAGTGGATCCTTTGCAGAGATCAGTTGAAGAGTCCCTCGAGCTCACCCGTCCAGTAGACTCACGAATCCGCAACGGTGCCCAGAACCTGGCTTCCTCCTGGTGATCGTTACCGTCAGTGCCAACTTCAAGAGACCTCCAACGCCAGCGTCACTCATGTACACTGCTGAGCATGTTACCCACCCGCATTATCCATATAAATCTGCTCCCCTTGTAGAGCCGGAAACGCAGCGCGTGCCGCAGCCACATCAAAAGTAGACGCCATCCTGGAAATGTTGGTAGAGTTTGATACAAGTAAAGCCTGAGACCCCGAGAATCGATCCATGGAAGTGACACGTCAGGCCCCGGGGTTCGCTCCGATAAAGATAGGGGTAGCGGGTCTCATTTGATACCGGATTTTGCCCCGGTCAAGGATCGTGGTTTATGCCGATATCTCGCCAGATGATCAACGGGTTACCCAAAGGACGAGAGAGATAAGTTCTGTGGCCGAAGGCTTCGACTTCCTTGCAGATCTGACTTCATGCAAACCTGGGTGCGATACCCTGTGAACAACACAACAGAGCGGGTCGATTTCCAGGAAGCCAAATGCTTCGAGCCTCATATACGCGAATAGAAGCTTACACACGGCAATGCAGAAGAAAAAAAGACCTCATGAATGCGAAAGGAACTCTTGCTTCGATCGGGTATATGCCATGAAGGAAAAAAAAAAAAAAAGAAAATAGAAAAAAGACCCAATAAGAAAGGGAGAAACAAGACAAGAACACAATTCCCGGAAGCAACCCACGAGACACCAGGGCATCAATCGACGTAACCAAAACACAAAATGAAGCGGTTTAAAGATGGTCTATTTACCGTGCCAAACGAGCCCCCGCGGCCCCAGGACCACCGCTGCCATGCGCGGCATCGTGCACCACGCAGAGAAGATATTTCCGGTCCGGCACGACGACAATTTCGTGTTTCCGCGTCCGCATGCGCAGCAACTTCACCTCATCGTCCTCCTCACGGGCCTCCTCCCCATCCCGATCCTCGTCCCGGGGCGTAGTCGTGCCCGTGCCGTTCGCGTAAGTCTCATACTCCCCATCCAGCCCGCTCGAAGAATGCCCATTGGCAGTCTGCATCGTAATAGGTCGAGCCAGCGAGACTCCCAGTGCAGAGGCACTGGATACGAAATTGAAAATATGTGCCGCCAGCGCCTCTGCCTGCGAGGGCTGGTAAGTGGTGGGTGTTGGGGCGACCGGGGATGCTGGGGAGGAGTCGGATGGTGGTGCAAGTGGGGTCTGGTCGGCGTTTGATGGAGCGGGTGGTATAGGGCGAGGCGGATGGTTGTTCTCTTGAGCAGCAAGTTGCCCCGTGCTTTGGATGATAGAGCCGTCTTTGCGGGAGAGGATCAGGGTGGATTGCACCCCCGGGCGGGAGGTGAGGTGGGAAAGGAGCGCGGTAACATGCTGAGGCACCTGTTGTGTGCGCTATATCTGAGGATCAGTTGCCCGACGGGCACAATTGGAGCAGGTTACGGAACATACCTGCGGTGGGTTGGCCATGCTGGGCTGCGGGGAATGGTCAAGAAAGTGAAGAAGAGGGCGTGGGCGGTGGATGAGTAGTTGTGGGGAGAGAGGGAGTTATGAGATTAACTGGACACAGCAAAGCTCATGGTTCTCTGATTCTCAGTGGCAGGATCGTCAAGCTTCTTCTGCCTGCGCCTGGCAGTCACAAGAAACGGGTTATCTTCTTTTCTCCAGAACGAATAAACGAACATGAAGCTCTGACAACCTCGCGGGATGGACCTAAACAGTGGTGACTAAGCGAATCACATGGTCGAGCGACCCCTTTGGAGACATGGCCAGGGCATGCTTCCTTGAGTCTTCAATAGACTTCCATTATAATGACTTTGAGATCTTCACAAAAAAAGAGACAGAGGTTATACTCTAGCTGATAGGTAGTAGGTTCCGACCTAGGACCATGTGGAGATAAAATTAAACTAGGAAGGGTTGTCTTTGTTATATTGAAAACATCATGGGAGCAATATATCTGATCTCTACCTCTTAATATGTATCTTCCCCGAACCTGCAGTAACCCATAATTCGTATTAAGCTAGATGAATAAATCATGATTTAAATCATACGGAGACCTCAAATCAAACAGAGAATCATTCATGTCAAATACGAAATACAATGGTATCGTCGAAAAATATTGTAAGCAGAGCTCGTAGGTTCTCACTCTGCCCAAAAAAAAAAAAAAAAAAAAAAAAAAAAAGGGAAAATTAGAAAAATTAGAAAAATTAGAGAAGAAAAAAGTGCGGGGGAGAAGAAACCAATGATCGAGTCAAATCATAAATAAGAGGGAGGAAAAAATAAATAACGAAAGGAAAATGAGGGATAGCGAGGAACCACGGCCTCAGCGATTCCTCGCCATTCGTGCACCACTCCTACTAGACTTGTCCGACATCCAATCACCGCCCTCAATATCCTCAATCATGTCATCCAACTGCCGTACGCTTGGCCGACCATCCCGGTACGATCCCTGCGTCTCAGAGCCGCTTTGTTCACTACTGCGCGAAGAGCTAACCCAGCTCCCCGGGCGCGATGTGAACCGGCTCTGATATGGGCCTGCGGGAGAGAAACCAGGTGGGAGAACAGACTCGCCCAAGCTGTCGAGGGGATTCTTGACACCGGCATTGAGAGCCGCGAGGAGAGCAGCTTGAAGAATTTGGTTCTGGCGCTCTAGGTTGGCTATGCGGTCTTCCAGGTAGTGGGCCATGTGGCTAGTGCCTGGTTGGATGCGGCTGCTATGGGAGTCGCGGGAGCGGTAAGTGGACTCTGAGTAGGTTGACTGGGGAGACATTGCGCTCTCCTCTAGAACGCGGCGGGTGCGGCCTTGCGGTGTTTGAGATCGGACGGGGTGAGGGTAGCGGAGGCGGTCGTGGCTGGGACGTGCACCAACGGTCTCATAGCCACGACGAAGAGGGTGGGCACGCTTTGGGTACTTCTCGACTGTTCGGTGAGAGCGTGATGTGTCTGAATTAGGACCAAAGCCTTCGTCATCCGAAGATGGAAGCGGGGACTCATAGCGGCTCGGTTCATAGGATTCAGGAATGCTCTCATGGAGCAGGCTGCTGCGAGAGCTGTCGCTGCGGGAAATCATAGAGCCTCTGTGATGCCCCGGAGCCAATGTAGTGTCCATTCCTTTGGCAGAATGGACACTGGTGGGGACGGGAGCAGAATAGTTGCGACTACCATGAGAACGCTCAGGCAGTGGCTGTGCTGGAGGATTTGACGGAAGGGCCGCAGTAGGTGGAGGCGAAGGTAGGCCGAAGGGAAGATTCTTGCGGTCAACATGAGGGTTGATCTGGAGTGCTTTCCGTGCAGCATGCTTCCCAGGGGATTTGGTCGGAGTGATTTGTCCTAGAATAGGAGAATCGGCCAAAGGTATGCCCTCATTTTCGTCGCACCCAGGTGGGCTTTCAGGCAGATTCTGCATGTATGGGATACGAATGCTAGAAGCACGTCGACGCGGGGTGCTTTGTTCTGGCGAGGTTGACTCCGGGCGTTTTGGGGTGTGGATGGATTTGGCGCTGTCATGGTCGGCTTCGGACTCTGCCTCTCCTACGTACCCAAGCGCGGTTGCAGGACGGGTACCCCCACTATGCTCTGACTCGCAAGCATCCGGCTCACGAGGATCCTCCGCAATAGGCGAAGGGTGGGAGGGCTGCCTATCTGGCACACTGAGGGTGGAACGGACCGAGCGAACGGTGGGATTCACCTTGGCATCTGGGACAGCCGGGGGTGAACGCCCAGGCTGAGGGATCGATGGCAAAGGTTTCATGGGTGCGGGGAGAGGGAATGCCTTTAGCGTTCCCATGGCTAATGATGGCGGTCGAGCCCTAGCTGTAGTTTTTGTGCCGGCCTGAGATTTGGCAATTTCAGCAGTAGCAGACTCCATGAAGACTGCAGACGTGACGGCGATGGCTCCAGAACAACTTGGCTCTTCTTCGTCTTTGGATATCCTCGAAGGGGCTTCAGAGGGTTTCTGCTTTTCAGATGTCGGCTTGTTCCCCAAAGTCTCAATTTGACAACCCGACTCCGTCATCGAGGGCGGGTTAGGGGGTCGTTGGTATTGAGGTACTGACGAAATTCTCCATGCATTTTTGCTGGACATACGTGGTGGTGCGACGTCAGGGAAGAGCTTCAAGGAAGGCTGTGAAGGAGGGGTCCCAGCTGAGCTAGAAGTAGATTTATCCGAAGGCTGAGCAGACTGCTCCGCAGCTCGATCAGACTTCGAGTCACTCTTGACGGACGGATTGGATGATTCCACAGTGTTGACACTCGCAGGCCTGTCGCTGGGTGTTTGGCTCGATGGCTTGAGATCGGGCCGCGCAATTCGTATACTCGAGTTGCTGGAGCTGGAAGCTTGTCGAGCATGGCTATTCTTCGAGCCACTTCCTTGAGTTCCAGCTGTGGAACTTGGCGGTGACATCAATCTGCCACTGTCTGAATGAGTGTCTATAGAAGAACCCGGAAGTGGCAGCGTAGGCGAAGAACGAGAGGCAACGATCTGCTCCCTTCGAGGTGCGACACCACTTGAAGATGGCGGTTGGTAAGGGGGGGCGACGTGTCGTCGAACTGCGATGACAACGAAACAGCCACGTCGACCATCGAGCCGAAGTCGCTGAGATCCAGCGACGCTAGGCGGCGTTTGGCATCGACCGTTTGTTTCTTGTTGTCATTTTCCAGCCACGGTTGTCCGATGGTTTCGACATCCTGCCTCTTCGACTTGGAGAATGTTCGCTCCAGGCTATTCTTCGAATCAATGCTACCCTTGGATGAGTGTGTGCTTTTAGGCTTCGGAGTGTGGAGGAGGTATCCTTCTCGTTGGAGTGCTTCGATTTGGCGCTGATTCTCATCTACCTTGAATTTAGGTGACGAATCTTTCTTCGGACGTTGAGTAAATTGCAGCAGGCGCCGGTGCAATGACTTTGTCTCTTTGGCCAGCGGCTTAGGCTCCTTGGATTCGGTGACGATAGGTAGCGCTGTAGTGCTATCCGGGGATGTTGGTGTTTGCGCAGGTGCAGGAGTCGGCATAGGCGCATTCTGGGCCGTCTGAAAGAAGCGAACCAGGTCTGATAAATTCTCATTTCGAGAGGCCCTCTCTGCCATGCCCGCTGAGCGAGCTTGTGGCCGAGGAGGTGACACCTGTGGCTTTGGGACGGTTACCCCTCGAGGCGGACTGGAGTCTGTAGATCTAGAGGCCGAGGACGGCATACTGGATTGCCTGCGTTTGGCCTTGGAAGGTGGATCAGGCCGATAGGTCGGGACTATTGGACTCGGTGCAACGGCACAATCATGTATTGTGGTCCAATGATGCATAAGGGCATCAATTGGTTGGCTTTCCAATCGGACCGCTGGTTTTCATAAGGGGTCTGCGACGCTCTTGGTTCGTTGGGGACTTTGCTGGGTTTCTGGAGACAGTGGCTCAAAAGGAGAAGTACAAGTGCACACTGGGTTGAATTAGAAGACTGGTCCTGACAATTATCCTAGGTGAGCTCACCGAGTGGAGAAAAACAACAATGAAGAAAAGAAAGCACAGTAGGCCGTTAGGCGCCTCCGGAGATATATTGGACGTTTTGACCGGTTGTATTTACAAGACGAGTCACTATGTACAATGCAGTCAAAAGGTGCGGCCGTCTTTGGAGCAAATGAGAGCAAATAAAGGAGTGGACTGGAGGACCAGCTGAGACGTGGCAATCGGAAAGCCAGCAAGCAGAGAAGCGAGAAGGAGGAGGGAACCTTAGGTTTTAAGAGCACACGCAGCTGTTTAGAGTTGAGCTGTCGCATCTCCCTAGGAGGGGGACGCAACGCGCCATCCTGAAAAGGCCGATCCGGACGCAAGAGTAGTTTGGGCCCGCTCGCGGAAGGCAGATAGCCTGGAAAGGGCACTGATACGAAGCTAAAAACATTAGTCCGACGGCAGGGCGACGATGCAGGAACATCAAAGGGGCTCGGTCCCCAGCAGGCTGGTTCTCTGTGAGGAAAGTATGAGCCATGGCCGAGCCCGGTTGTGACCAGGCCCAGCCCCATCATCTGGTACGACACTGAACATGCCGTCGTTCGGGATGCGGAGGAGGGCGGCAGGATGGTACAGATTGTCAATATGACACAGCAGCTGGTGGAATTGGCAAACTAGTTCCGCCGCCAGACGCTGGCACCCGCTGCAGGCGATGATTGGGTATGGCCTGAGAGGAACTGGAGAGTTCACAGAGCAGCTCGAGGCAGTACGCACTGTGCCCATTGTTGTGCAACTAACTCGCGCATGGCAATAATCGGACCTTCGCGTCGGGGGTGCGCAGGAGGGCGAACAAGTGTTCCCCAGCTCGTTCATTACGCAAGGGATAGTTTTCCGGTCGGAGAGCTGACCCGATGAACTGGGCCCTGATGTGAACGACGTCAGGATGTGAGGTATCACGTCCGTCCCTCCGAGTTGGCATGGCCGATCTAGGCGATCCAGGCGATCTCATATCGATTCCCTTCAGGGATCCCCGGGACAGGTATAGACAGACGATCGCTAAAATGAGCTGCAGCGGGGCTCATTCACGGCCAAATAATGGCGGCTTTGTCGCCGTGCGGATGGAAATGGCGGGTAATCACTGCGGAAATAGATTGAGCTGACCCAACGAATTATTGTATGGGCTATCGACTTCATCTCCACCGCCCTTGCAGTTGGGGATCCACCACCTCACCCCTCGTCGCTTCGCTTTTATTCTCCGTTCCGACAGGCCCTGCGCGTCTATCGCCGCTCCATCTGCAGGAGCTGACCGTCCGGACTTTCTGGCCGGTCTGCCGTCTGCCATCATCGCAATCAGGGGACCAGAAGACGACCCTGGACGTCACAAAAGATGCCACTGGAAACTTGTGTACGGAGTACACGTCTACCGGCGAGAACAAAGCACAGACGCCTGTCGAACTTTGGAACGGCAACGGAACTACTGCACAACATCCGATGAGTTGTCCTTGCACCTGTCTTGGCGACTGAGCGATCCCCACTGCGGGCAGCTGTCACGGAAAGACCCCGACACCGGTTGGGCCCGGAAAATAAGAGAATGGGGAGAATGAGTAGGTCATCGAACGCGATACGGTCGATCCACGTAGATCCGATGAGGCGGAATCGGGTCGATAGAACAGGTCATTTCTATGAACACACGCTCCATGTGGTTAAGTTATACGGTAAGAGTTTATGCTTCGCTGGTTGCAAGTGAATTGCCTATGTGTACATGATCATGAGCCAAACATTCCATGGGTGATGTAGAGACGCCTTCTAATGCTGTGCGGAGGGGCTGATGCCTCAGCCGACTCAAATTCACGAGTCCAATCTTGCCAAGTGGCTCGGCTCGGTTCAAAGACGAGAAAAAGAAGACCGAAAATGGAGGGGTTTGGTGGGTGGACGTAATGTGACGTGGATGAGTAAAGGTGGAGATCGTGGAGAGACAGGGGAACCCGGAAGGGTGTCCCGGAGAGAACAAGGTTGAAGAAAGGGAGGATCAAAGTCATGGAGGAGTTCTTGACGAGAAAAAGGACTGGCGAGACGGTCGGGTGAGACACGGTGGCGCTCTACTTGCGTCTCGGCTTGGGCCGAATGAACGGGTCCGCCTCCTTCTTCTTGCGCATGACGGGCGGACGGGGCTTCGGCTGAGGCGGATTAAGAGCCTAAGTAGAGGAAGAAACAGGCGAGACATGAGCGACTGATCGGAAACCCAGGCTAAACACGACTTACATCTGCGGCATTCGATCCCGGTGGTGAAGGGCCACCACTCGACGAGGGCTTGCTTGCGGGCGGGGGGTAAGCGGGGCGATCGCGAGAAGGTTTGATGAGGCCCTAAACCCAGTGTCAGCATTCACCGTACAGATCAGATATTCGGATATCACGAGGAAACCTACACCTGGCGGGGCAGGGGCCCGGGGACCCTTGGGAGCAGTCGGTGGTGGACCAGAAGCGGGCTTCGATGGACCGGTGCGAGGTCGCGCCGCCGGGGGCCCATCGGGGGCTCCCTCGGTTCGCTTGCGCTTGCTGCCAGGGTTCTCATGGGGGACCGAGGGAGAATGAGTGGTCACTGCAATGGTAGGAATTTTGGGATCGTGGCCACCCATCTGACGCTGGCGCTGGCGGTCAGCGTTCTGCTTCTGCTGCTCAGCACGACGACGCTCTTCATGGGCAACGCGGCTCTTCTCATGCTTGGAAAGCGGTTTGGTGGCCTTGCACTTGGTAGCAGAGTGGCCGCACTGGCCGCACTCGAGGCAGCGTTCAGCGGTGCAGTTGAATTTGGTGTGGCCAAATTCGCCGCATCGGTAGCATTTGCCGCGGGCAGCCTCCTTTGCCTCTGCATTATCGCAGTTGTGAGTGAAGTGCTCATTGCTGCCACAGACTCCGCACATCTTGGACTCATCAAGTCCCGCGGCACCACCTGAGGGTCCATCGGGGCGTGGCATCGGAGTGCCCGGCCCAGAGGCTGACACCGAGACCGAACGGGAATCGAGGCCAGTAGACGCCGAGGACGGTCGAGAAGCTGGTGCGAAGGGTGAGGCAAGGGGAGTCGAAACAGTCGGGGTAGCAACATTAGCAGCCAAGTCGGCATCGAGCATTTCGATGTCTCGGTAACCTGTGAACTGTGGTTTCTCGAGCAGCTTCGGGATGTTGCCTTCAGTGTAGACATTCCGCTCACGAGCGTTATTGATAAGACCATTCCAGAATTCACCTTGCATCAGAGACCGAGAATTACCCAACACCCATAGTGAGGATTTGGCACGCGTAAGACCGACGTTCATACGACGGATATCAGCCAAGAAACCGATGCCTTTGTTGGAAGCACGCACACAAGAGAAGATGATGACTTCACTCTCCCGACCCTGGAAAGCATCGGTGGTGTTGAAGTCAACCTTCTTCAGGATATCTTCACCGTATCTAGCCGCGAACTGGATCTTCATCTCGCGTAACTGACCCTTGTACGGAGTAATGATACCGATCTTGCCTGCAAAATCGTAGTCCCTGACGTCCGTAACCAATCGATCATACAATTGCATCGCAACCTGCAGCTCCGCGTAGTTGATCAAGGAGTGTCCCTTAGTCGCACTCTGATGCATGCCCTGAACATCGAAGAATCGGTATGGGCTGAGCAGTTCGCTCTGATGCCACGGACGAATGCGAAGCTTGCCCATTCCAGGACCATCCTGAAGCTTACCATCGTAGAAGGCGAGACTGGGAAAGAGACTGATGTCCGGATGCATACGGTACTGGATATCCAACAGGTGGACGTCTCGCGGGAAATTTTTCTGCATACGCACGAACAAGCTTTGCTCGTACTGGAATCGAGACGCCATCTTCGAGAGGACAGTTGGAGGTAACTGTTTGGGATCACCAACGAGGACACACTTGGAGCAACCGTACTTGAGCGGGATGAGGGCGCTCAGTTCAATACATTGAGCCGCCTCGTCAATAATGACCGACTCGAACTCAACATTCATGCTCTGGAACATGTCGTGCCCGGAGCCGCTGAGAGTAGTGCAAATGACATGAGCACCGTCGATAATCTCTTGCTGAATCCGTCGCTTGTTCATGTCAGCATTGCGGGCCAACGTGTGGACGTGGTCGCGGGCTTTGTCAATGTCGGCGCTCAGTTGAGTCCGTTTCTTTTTCATTAACTCAAACTCGCGTTCCAGCTCCTCGGGCGCTGGAATCCCCTTTGCACGGCATTCATCAAGAGATGCGCGTAGGTGTTTGAACTGGGTGTCGGTCTTCTTGTGCTCTTCATACAACTTTTGCATGTCCACATTGTTTGATGCAGCAGGGGTTTGACTGAGACGGGCATTGACCATCTCGTCAAGGGTCACATCAAGTACTTTCGCGTTGATGGCATCACTTCTTCCCAGTCGAATGACCGAGATCTTCTCTTGGCGACCATGGATAGTTTTGACGCCATCCTTCATTCGCATGACCAGCTCGTCAACAGCGGCATTACTGGGTGCGCATACCAGGACTTTCTTGGAAGATGCAGCTCGAGCAGCCTTGTCAGCACTGTGGCCAGTCCCGATGGAGACCGCAGTATTGCTAAGGGAGTTGGTCAAGAGACTACCAACAAGAGCGGTGATGGTTTTGGTCTTTCCGGAACCAGGAGGACCCTGGATAAGAGTGAAAGCGTCGTTGTCCATGGCAGATTTGATGGCCTTAGCTTGCGCACGGTTGATATCGTAATTTTCCATGATAGGCTGTAACTTTAGGTCTCCGTAGTTAAGAATCGGCGAAGGCTTGGCTAGCACAATCTCCTCACAAAGGTCATAGTACTCCAGCGCCATTAAAGCACCGTACTCGCGCTCCACTGGGGTCAGCGAGGTGACCTTGACTCCCCAAACCGTGGCGCCAACGCCAAACGACGAAAGAAATTTGTTGGTTCCAGGATTCATGCGGTATGTGACTTCCATTTTCCCACCTTTTCGATTGACATGGGAGACTCGTGCAAGAATATGGCCAGCGTTTTGATCCATGTGCGGCTTTGCGGCACTCGAAAACAAAACTAGGTCGCCTTCGCCCATGCTGAAGTCTTTCGGGGGCAAACCGAGGGGCTGGGTACTGATCTCGATCCACGAATCCACAGTCAAGCGGGTCATGACCTTGACCTCAAACGGCCGGAACATGCCTTCTTCTTTGGCCTGCTGGAACCCTTGCCAGGCCTCGAGGATCAACAATGGCTTGAAAGTGTTCTGGTACTCCATGGGAGAACGGAACGAATTGGAAACGAGAGTGTAATCCGTGCGGTCCGAGGTAGGTGGAAGGTCTCCACTTGCGAAGAAATCCCAGGAGAGAATTGTATGATGCAGGGTTGAAAGGTCCGGGGACAAGCGGGCACGCATGTCCTTCATCGAACGGTGACGCTTCACCTTCTTAACAGGCATCTGTTGGAGCGACTTCTTCTTGCTCTGTTCGTAAGCGGCTACGGCATCTGGCTTCTTGGGCTTTTCGCCGAATAACTCTTTGTCTAGTTCATCTTCGCTTTCAGTATCTGTGTCGGATCCGGACGAAACCATCATACTCTCCGCGGGAACGGCATGATCTTTACCCTTGACACCAATACCTTTGAGACCAGAGCCCTGCTCCGCCGTTTGCTCCGCAACTCCACGTGCAGGCAGGTTCTTCTTGAGTCGTGCCAATTCAACCATGTCCCGCTTCTTCTTGGCCTCTTTCTCGCGCTCGCGCTTCTCACGGAAGGACAGGACACTGGTGGCATCATCCTTGGGTCGTGGGGCAATCATACCCTTGGACACCGCCGGACGCGTCTTCAGAGCCGTTAAGGCCTGCATCGCGGAGGGTGATTGACCCTTTTGCTTGGCAGCAAGGGCGAGGCGGTCTTTGTTGAGTTCAACAGAGCGAGAGAGGTCAAGAAGAGTTTGATCAGGGATATCCTCAAAGTCGTCCTCACTTGGGGCGCGAGAGGAAGGAGAAGAAATATCGGAGGGGCGGGCAAAGGAGGTGATGGAGCTTTGTTTCTTCATGGAGGCCGTGGAGGCAGTGACAACAGGCTTTTTCGTATAGGCTTCAAGCGAACGAACGAGTTCTGCCTTGTCGCGGTTTGTCAGGATTGTTTTGATTGTCCCATGCACCGCGACGCCTTCGATGAAGCTCAACGCGTCTGCTTTGACTGTTGTCACATCCAGGCTACCCAATCGGCGCAGAATCTTTGACACAAGACCGACCAAGGTAGTAGCAAGATACTCGTCTTTGAGACGCAACCACTTTACCATCGCACTCATAGTGGTCGTGGGCGATTTTATGAAGTTTTCTGAGATCGATTTCTGCGCAGTATCCGCACCCCCCACGGCGCCGAGGAAGACGCCATACTGGTCGAAGAGGAAATTGGCGAACTGCATCGTATCACGACAGAAATCAAGCATGACGGTTTTGTCATTGCCACGCAGGTGCCAGGCCTCGGTCTCGTCAAAGATCGTGGTCAATGATTGCCACAAGAATTCCCAGAGCTTCTGCAGTGACAGAACTTCTCGTCGGTCGACAAAATTGCGCGTACGCAGCATACCCGTCTGGCTGTTACACAGAATCTCTACAATATCGGTTCCCGTATGCAACATTCTCGGGGCGGGCGCGAAGGTCTTCATGTTGGAAATTCGGCGGAAAGACCAGCTCATGCCATACATGGATGTCGTGAAGAATGACTCGAGAAGGTAGGAGATTGCATCTCGTCGTGCGAACTGACCACTGACGTTCTTGATGAGGTCAACGGCAGCTTGATAGGTGTTCAAGTCTGCAGCGAAAAGGGTCGAGATGAGCGCACTGCTGGTATCCTGGCTCTGAAAAAGCGTCTTCAGGTGTTCCGGCGAGAAGTCTGCCAGTCGTTCGATCATCTGGCAGGAGAGGTGGGTGAGGTGACCATAGATCATATTGAAATGTGTCTTCTCTTTATTATCTTCGCCCTTGGTAGGAAACTTCTCCAGGCCTACGAGAGGTAGAATGCCCAGAAGAGCGGCCGTTGAGAGTGCGAGATTATCTTGATGAAGATGCTTGATCACTGCGTCCCAGATTGGCGCCGAGTAGGTGGAGACTCCATGTGAGAGAGTACCATGCTTCAAAATGACCTCATAGTCACTCTTCAATGATTGACACTCTAGGGCTAAGGTGTTGCGAACAACGTCCATGCACAGAGAGTTGATCTCTTCTTGGCGTCCCTTCTCGATATCGAACACCGGGGGATCCAGGATGACGTTGATGGTTGCAACCACAACATCCATGGTCTCTTTGAGCACCACTCGGTCAACTGAGCTTCTTGAAGCCTCGTGGTCCGTGAACCGGCGGAGAGTACTGAGCAAACTGTTCAAGCCAACATGGAAGCAATGGTATCGAGATAGATTGGGGTACTGTGGATCCTGGAGACGCTGCAGCAGCTGCGTTGCCAAGTACCGACATGCAGATGGTTGATGATGACCTTTGAGGGATGCTAGAAATGGAGTAATCCATGACAGCATATCTTTCAGAGCAGATTTCTCGTACGGCTCGCCCTCGGTGGTCTGCATAAGAAAGGCTTTGAACTGGAAGTTGTAAAAGGTGTGCTCGGCGATGGCTTGGGGAGAAATGGTCTGCATAGCGTCCCAGAAATCACCAGGGGCTTTCTCTAGGAAAGTCTGGATGGTGTTCAAAAGGAACCGCAACCCGGGTGTTTGTAGGTGCAGATGGTCGACAGACAAGCGGCAGGGGTCGATCTCTAGAGCGCGGAGGTTGTGTGTAATTTGATCTTTGTCCAGCTTCCGAACAATCAGCTGCATTCCACGCCACAGCCGCTGGATGACCGCAAGTTCTGGTGGTAGCTGATTAGCGGCCTGCGATCCATGCTGCAGCGCACTGAGAAGCCCATCTCGAATCGCCCATTCAAACTCGTGGCGAGTCGGGGAACGAGTATATCTCGTCCACGTTGAGATGGCCCAGAAACTGCGAAGCTGATTCGAATCGAACAGGAAATGAGTGACAGCAGGGACATAATCAGAGATCTTCAGACTCCTCTTTGTCTGGATGAGCTTGAATGGCTCATCAAAATGCTTCTGAAGAAGATCGTCGCTTCGCAGCATAGCTTCGCAACTTAATGTTTCAAAGATGGAGAGCAACGCAGCTCGGTCCAAGACACTTAGATTGATGTCTTGTGGAGCGACCTTTTTGAGCTGTGTCGTTGCCGTAGTCAAATTTCTTGTGATGCGCTTGATATCCCACTCGTCCACTCGCTGCGAAAATGCTTCAATATCTTCCTCTTGGTACTCCTCTTTGAGCTGGTCCATTAGCCAGACCTTGCCGGTGTAATACTGCTTGATGCAGAGGTCACACTTTTCCAAAGACTGGTCTAGCCTGCTTAGGACCCAAGTCTGTAGCTCCTCCACCCCATCTGCATTGTAGGCGAGAATACGCATGGAAAGAAGAAATTTCTCCAGGCGGATCTTGGCCTCAGTCACGATATCTTTAATGCTCTTTCCATCCTCGTCCACTTGGCTGAGGTCATCGTAGCGTCCGTAGTCGTTTTCGTTTTGTCTTGGGCAGAGAAGGTGGGTGCCTTCGGGGAGGGCTTTCAGCTCTCTAAATAATACCAGCGTCGGTCAGCACTTCTAACTACAGATTAAGAATCCTACACATGTTCGACTTACCCAATTGCGTCCACGAACTCCATGGTTAGAGTCTCACAGAGTACGGATGCTGAGATTGAGTCAAAGATCGTCCGCACATTTCCTGGTCCCACAAGAGATACTCCTAGCACATTGCCTCTAAATGATCTCGGGCGAAATCAGGATGGATTCGAGTGGAGCGGGAGAGACCGATTGACGGCGAAGCTGGGTGGGTTGGCAATGGCCGTCTGTACAGAGAGCCTTTCCGTGCGAAAAAGCTCTGGAGTTGCCCCAGAGGACAACTTGGCTTTAAAGCTCAAAGCGTCAGATGCGTTTCAAAAGCAGGAGTATGCCGATGCTCAAGGAGGGTACGGGTTTCCGGGAGAGGAACACGGCTTCCGACATACCTGCAGGAGATTTCCGGAAAATGGAGGTGAGGATGGAATGGCTCTTCTGCTCAGCGACGGAGAACCAGCAATGACGGCTAGATACAACAGCCTCCGAGAGGTGTCGGTTTCTAGAAGCACCTCTGACCTGAATGAAAGGAAAATCGTCCAAGAAACAAACCGCGGCAGAACCGAGTGAATTGGCAGAGCCCGAGGGCGGTGAAGTGTCTGGACGCGTTGGACGCGCTTCACTTTTACCCAAGTGGGCAGGTCAATAGCGGTCAATCTACATTCTATTTTGGCGCAAATCATTGGTCGATGTTAAATTATGTATATCGTAACAATCTCTAGTACCGCTACTTGCTCACTAATTAAAGAGGATGGGAGTGTATGGAATACCTACAAGGCTGCCTGGCCTGTAGTCCCCAGCCATGTGGCCATACGGTGCTTACACCAATGGCCTTGAGACAGGGAGATCGATAATACAAGCGATTCCATTCACAGCAAAAATAAAGTCGAGCATATCCTCCCGTTATGCTAATCTAGCCAGACTGCAGGGGTATACGGCCTAATAGATAGCGTGGAAAATTAGGTCAACAACTTCAAAGCACATGGAAGGGCTCCTGGCTAATATTACAGGGCTTCTCATTTATTGCGTATTTTATTTTCGGTAAGATCTAGGGCTAGAAGAATCAATAGCTAATGGAAATCCATAGTAGAGGTACCAGTTTCTATAAGTTAACTAGCGGGGTTGGCATCCAATTTACTAAACCAAGCTGTGGCTCTCTGCCGCCATCGTTTACGGGAATTACGTACTCGACTACGCACAAGGAGACATTCGTGGAATATCCGCATTTAAGTACTTTCCTCATAGAGGGCATGGAATAGAATAATACATGAATATCATCCCCGGGCAATGCCTGCTCAACCCCGTCAAAATCAACAGAAGAAACCCCAGAACAGAAAAGGAAATAAAGATCCAAAGAGGTAACCGCGGACGATGGAACGCAAGCAGGGAAAGAGGGAAGCCATCAAATGCGGTTTGTCGTGCACGATTGCAGGAAGACGAGAAACGCTTTTGTACAAAGGGCAAGTGGACACTATGAAACAGGTGGACAGACGGAAAGAGAACGGAGCCACCAAGGGCTACCTTGTATAAAGGGAATGAGGTTGGATTAGGAACGAGGAGGGGAAAGGAAGACGGAAATGCGCCAAGCCTCCGACCGGATGTAGTATACCAAACGCCTGCTTTCTATCGGGGGAATATCAAAGCTGCATGGAAAGGATGAAAAGTCAAGAAACACCGCAGCATATTGCTCATGAAGATGGGAGAGAAAAGGGGTAATATAAAAAGAAACTCAAGGGCCAGGTCACCTAACCGGCGGCGGAAGGAGGGAAGAAAGTCGTCAATAACGGGTCGTCAAGGCCAAGTTCATGCAAGGCCATGAGTCAACCTCAGATCAATGTGTAGTAGGGGCCTCGCCTGGGGCGCGGAACGGATCTTGATTGGAGCCCTGAGTGTGGCTTGATTCCATTCGTTGGAGCCTGGCGGCCGAGGTGAAGTCGTTGCTTTGCTCAAAGCTTTGCCGTACCCGTTCGAAGGAATGTCGAGTGCGCTCGTGGGAGCGCCGGACGTAATCCACTGACTGAGGTCGCGGACACTGATCCAAGCTCTCGGTGTAATTCGTACCATTGCTTCCATTCTGGCTGCGAGGATTGTGGCCGTTGGCGTGCTGAGAGGGCGAATAGTATGGTCGATGCTCGTCAGGGCCAGTTTGATCCAGCTTCATCGCCGGTTGAATTGGCTTGGCAAGCTCGGAAGAGGTTGCCGACTCATCGCCGGGGCCTATGACCGCGGCACCACCAGCACTGAGGGGTACGTAGTCTTCGAACTGTTCCAGGTGCTTGAACTTGCCAAGAGTGACCTGCTCGCGAATGATATCGACATCCAGCGGGAAGAACACCTTCTGGACCGCGTTGTACATAAACCGGGGGAGGAGTGAGATCATGACGGTGACGAGCAGCACAACCCAGAAGCTCAGAGCACCATAGACCTCGGCAGCCGAATCGTAGAACTGACCAGCCGCCGTGAATGATGAATAGACCCCAGTCCAGAAGAAGATTAAGAGGGAGCTGATCACGTTGATCAAGCAAGTAAACCAGTCCCATCGGTAGGTGTTCATCATGATGTACATGTTACTGGCAAGGACGGCACATGTCGCGACCAGGATACCCATGCGGGTCCGATCACCAATATCCCGACCACTGTCAGTGGCGAAATTGGCTGCTTGGTATAACATATACGGCATGAAGAAACAGATCACAGATTGGTACAACCCATCAGCCATATAGAGCCTGGAGTGCTTGTTAGCGAAAGAACATTAGAAAATGAGCCTGGGAAAACCAACCAGAACTTGAGCTGCGACCATTCCTTGCGCTCAATACCGCGCATATAGAGCTGAGGCACCGCAAGAGATACTCTGTCGTCAACGTCTTGGTCAAAAATGCCCATGAAGATAACTGGCAGCGAAGTGAAAGCCAAGTTAACCAAGACGATATAGGTGTAGTCGAAAAGATAGGAGCCATCGAAGTCGTTATAGATACAGTACCAGAAAAGAGCGAAAGTCCACACCAAGTTCTTGTAGAAAAAGTTGGCGGTACACTCTCCCAGGCGACGGTAGGACCACCTTCCATGGACGAGCAGCAGGCGCTGGAGGAATCGGAATTGTCCAATAGCGTAGTCCGAGGACATAACGGCCTGTCGACCTTCTTCACCAGCGATGCCGACACCAACATCGGCTTCTTGAATCATGGCAACGTCGTTGGCACCGTCACCAATGGCGAGACCCATGATGTTCAGACCATGACGGACCATGTTGACAACTGCAGCTTTCTGGGAAGGGCTGACACGGCAGCAAAGGACAGCTTTGCACTGCTTGCAGAGCAGGAGGAACTTCTGCTTCAACTCGTCGGAGAGCATCATCTTGAGTGTTTCACCGTCGACAATAACGGCATGGGTGGGCGCCGGTGGTGAGTGATCCTCGCGAGCGGCGATAAGTTCTTCATCGGAGCCAGTCAGACCAAAAGTCCGGAGGTGCTTCTCAAGCTCTTGAGCCGCTTGCTCATGCTGATTCTCAGGGATATTGAGAACAATCAGATCCATGTTATTATTGAGCAAATTGCACGAAAAACCGATGTTGATGGCAGTCTCGACCTTGTCCCCAGTCAGAACCCACAGCTTGATACCAGCATCTGCGAGTAGTTGGATGGTGTCTGGGACACCGTCCTGGAGACGATCCTCGATGGCAGTGCCACCAATAAGCATCAACTCCTGCTCGATTTGGCTCGAGACCTTCTCCAGTTTCTCTTCACGATCGGTAATTGCAGCCGCAGCAATATCGTGCTCGCGATTCCAGGCCTGGTACTCTTCTTCACCAAGGAGACGGTCAGCGACACACAGGGTTCGCAGACCTTCTTTGGCGAATTCCTCGAGGTGCTCCGCAGTCTGGCGTCGGAGCTCCTGCTGCTTGCCACGAGCCAGACGCGAGTAAATGATGCTGTCAGCACCCTTGCAGAAAAGACGAATAGTGCCATCGGGCATGCGGATAATGGCACTCATACGCTTTCGCGAAGAGTTGAACTCTAGAGTATTCAAGACGGTGTAAGTACGTTCCTCACCCATGACATTCAACAAGAGATCATCGCCGGCACGGCCGAGGACTGTGAAACCACAGTCTCGGGCGGTGCTGACCAAGGCGGCCTCATCGGGCGACTGCGCCTTGAACTCAATCTGGGGAGGGTCACCCGGAGTATGCTCAGTGATAACAGAGTGACAAAGGGCCAGAGCCAACATGAAATGCTCCACCGCCTTCTTCTGATATTCACCAGACTGCCCTTCAAGGTCGGCCACGAAATTCGGGGCAATAAAAGTCAAATTTTCATCTTTGAGGTACGGGTTATCATGGATTCGACGGAGCATCTCCAGCATCTTTGTCCCATCAGCAGCGATTTGTGCACGGGCTTGAGTGGCTTCTTCATCGGCATTGGCGCCTTCCCGACGTCTCATGCCGATCTGAGCTTCGGTGTAAGCTTCACCATAGGACACGCCATTGATGGTGGTCTTCTTGAATTCCATGACGTTCTGCGTGAGAGTACCAGTCTTGTCGGAGAAGATATATTCGACTTGTCCCACGTCATCTGAAATGTTCCACGACTTCGGTACACAGTAGAGCCCGAGCTTTTCGTAGTACATGTACAGATCACTGTGAATGAAGACGGCCTGGATGGTGCGGACGATTTCGAGTGAGATGTATAACGAAATGGGCACCAAGTTTTGAAACAGGATAAGGGCGGTCCAGAAGGTGACAATACCCGTGACGGAGGGCGTGCCACCGTATGACCCAAAGTCGAAGAAGTCCAAAGACTTGTCCGAGGCAGCCCACGCGAAGCCGTTCACAATACCCGCAACCAGACACATGACGAACAGAATCATGAAGTTGTAGATGACGTTCCAATTCAGATCCTTGGCCAGGCGAGCACGCTTGGCTGGGGTCGCGCCAGCGTTGAGCATAATCTTACTTTCTCCACCAGTGAAGACAACCACACCAAGAACCCACTCGGTGCTGCGCAGGGAGCAGCCACGAAGCAGCATGTTGTTGATTGTCACAGGCTCCACCATCTCCTTGCGGGGGCGTCAGGGAAGTTTGGATCGCGTTGATCCCAACGGATCGCACCGTTGTAGGAATACAGGTTGGGGTGAGGAGCTTCACTCTCGATGGTGAATTCGGCTTTCTCACAGTCGCGAGCATGTCGAACCTGACGACCACAGTGGAGGGCATGACGGACCTTCAAGTTCGTCTCACCATCCAGGCCCTTGGTTTCAACGTAACAGGCTCCATCGGGATCGGAAGTAGAGAGAATAACGATATCGGCCGGAATTGGGTCTTCGTTGTACAGACGCACGAAGTCGCCGACTTGAATGCTCTTCCAGTAGTCGCGCTTGAATCGAGCCGTACCAGGGGTTTGCTTCGAGATGTCCAGTATACTTCCGGTTTTCTTGTCCGAGGAAGTCGGCGACATCACACTCTCTCGGGCAGCGCTATTTGGAGAGAGGTACTTGTTCTCAGAGTTGCTCGACATGGGCCAACCTTCCCGAACTTCAGCTTGGGGTGAAGGGACGTCGGTCATCGGAATAGCGGCGTCGGCGGCGAGGGAGTTTCGATGCGAATAGATCGAGGCTCGCGGGGTCGCGGTAGTTAGAAAGGAGTCTCGTCGTCGTCCGTCTTCGGGATCCTGTTCTTGATCCTTCTTCTTGAAGACCTGCTTTCCCCAATGATACGTGGCAATCACGCCTCGCGTGGACGCCTTCTTGACCCGACGCCATAGTGAAATACTATCTTCGGTCGAATTCACATTGTTCCAATCAATCAGTCGATAAACCGGGGAGTTGTTCACTTGATTATCCGATACAGTTCGGCCCCAATCTTCAATCGCGTCCTTGATAGCGGTGACAACGATAATGACGATCAAGGGGACGGCATTCAGACCAGGGTTGTTGGCACCGAAAATAGGGAAAAACTAGAAGAAAAAGGCATGTGAGTATAGGTCTATTATGTATGGTCTCTCTCATCATCAGGATCGCCGGATAGCGCACGTACATTGAGAATAATGACAAACAAGAAGTAGATGTTCGCAATGTTGTGAAACTGCAACCAGATGTTCTTCGGAACGAAAGTCAACGCGGTATATTTGGCAGTCCGAATCTTATTCCGGGGGTAGGTGTTAATGAGATGGCCATCTTCGTCGCGTTCGGTCTCGGGGATCGGGACGTTGAAGTAGATCGTTCGATTGGGCCCCGACTCCTGGCCTTGGTCGCCATTGAAAGACGCGGTGTCGGCCGGAGTGCTCGGGGTTGCGGACTTGCGCTTCTCATCCCTCATCTCCGATCCCTTGTGAAAGCGATTGATGATGGAGACACGTTTCCGCATGCCGCCGGAGCCGCCCTGGCGCGTGGTGGCCCATCTTTGGCGTTTGGTCGGCTTGGAGATGTTGCTGCTGACCTCTCGAACCTCATTACTCTCATTACCACCCTCATTATTCTCGTCTCCAGGGAAGCGCACGGAAGCCATCTAGGCTACTATTGCGCCCAATAGGGCATAAAACTTGATACAAAAACCGTGTAGTTACGCGGCAGACCAGCATCCAATCCGTCGACTCCGACGTCTGATGCCGTGCGTGGCGCGCGAGTGTTGACCTGGTGTCACAGGGGCCAAGTTGACGAGACCACAGACCACACTATCATCTGTGGGTGAGACTCGGGACGCGATACAAGGACGAGGCCAGCGCGCGGATGAGGCCGGGAGGGATGGTAGTCCGGTATCGACGGAGGGGAGGATAGAAAGGCCGTGTGCCAACGATAGGTCGATTGGCGGGGAAACGGAATCACCCACGCGGGGCCATGCAAGACGAAGGAGGGAGACGAGGAGGGTGTGTTGAGGATGGTGGAAGGGGTAAGGAAGTAAAGGTATTTTTTTTTCGAGGGGGAGGAGACGAGATGCGCTGAGAGAACAGCTTTGGGGGTGGCCATTGACTCGGGGGGTTGGCTCGTAATTACGAGTCACGGTGTTACGCGCTGCTTATGACATTGCTTACTGACTTGCATGCCGGCTTGGTCAGCGGGTTGCTTGGCAATGGATGGCCCTTTGATCCTCTTCTTATGTTCTACGGTAGCTGGTAGTGATGCAGACAAATCATCAGAAAGAGAAGCTTGAATTAGACTACTCCTATCTCGATCTCTAGCATTGTTCCTATGTTGTCTTCTCATGTCGCAACCTCTGCTGATGCAGCGACATGAATACGATGATACTTCGTACTCCCTTCCCGGGCGGCACGGGGCTGGATACCTTACGTCCGGTATGGAAACGGCGATACCAGCCACGATTCTCGGCGATCGGCCCAGCGATTGTTTGGTTCACCATCTAAATTTTTGACAGTGGCAATGATGGGGAAGGGTCTTCGGCACTTATCCATAATCATAACTTACATGCCTCGATTCGGTCGGAGCGTATTACCTGATGTGCTTGAATTATCCTCACGAGGAGAGAACGGCCGTTGAAGATCTATTTCAGGAAAATGGCCCCCCTCATGCAGCAACAACTCAGCCTGCAGATGGAGAGGCGCAGACGTTCAAAAATACATATGGTTGTCCTGTGTACGGAATCATGGCGGTGTCCTGCGTAGCTTCGGAGCCCTGACAGACAGTAACTAATTGAGGTTAACATGCCCTCGCCCACTGCTCTCTCCTCCGTACCACGATTCCACCCAGGCGCCCCATTGGGGCCAATGGGCTGCCTGTTGAATCTTTCGTTTTGATGTTCAGCCCTTCCCGGGTTCCGGGGTTCCGGTGACAAAGCCAGTGTGCGGGTCTCTTCCACATGTAGCCATCCTACCCTGCAGAGTACATCCAGTAACTGGTCATACCAAAAACGGGATATGGCACAATCGGGCACCTATCCCCCGTAGTCCGTGATGGAGAAAACAATACCAACGGCCCCCCGAGATCCCGGTCCCCGGGGAGACTGAGGATGACCTCAGTTCCGCGCGCAAAGGCCACCTTTGCTATTCGAGGTCAAGCACTAACCACAGTCACTCCCACCAGGGACATCGTGTCTTGCAGTCGGAGCATCAAGCCTGAAACCACCGGGCGACACGGCACATCCGATCTCCACCGGGCCCTTAGTCAGCCTTTGGGGCTCCCATGGATTCCACGGATGGTTCAATGGATTCGATACATCCCATCCTGTCGGAGCAGAACTAACCATCACTCGTCGAGGCACTGCGGCACAAAGAAAAAGGAGGTGGTTGTGGCGGAAATGCTCAGCCTCCGGTCGGCATTGTCCTCGCTTCTTTCCACCCCCTTTTTGCTCGGATGCGCGCGGTACGGAGATGGAGCCTCTTGGCTCTCAGGAGAAGCGCACTATGTCCCAGTGGTGGTCCTGAGCGGGCCCTCGTGGATGATCATAGTGAAGTTGCCGATGGCTCCAGGCTTCTACTCTGGTCCGTTGCAGTCTCCGGTCAATGCGGCCTAGATCTGTCTCCTATGTCGCCTGGAAGCAATATCCATTGCGGGTCAAATCTCGCCTCGGCAAGAGAAATTGCAGGAGGAACCGCCTAGATGAATATGTATACGGAGTATCTAGCACAGCACAATCAAAACATGACAGTGCGTCGTCAGCCCGCACGATCGACCACGAACCACAGTGGAGCAGGACGGTGCACCGCCGGCCAGATTCGTAACCCTAAATTCGATCGGTGGACTGCGTCTGGGACCGACGGTCTCTCTGTCTATACCCCTGACCCCTGGTGTCGCGGTCTTGTTCTCTTGAAGGCAATGCACGCTTCTCGTCGCGCAGTGGTCGCTTAAACGTGTAGATCACACGGAAGGTCGGGACCCTCGCGGATCCACGCTACGACGACAGTGGCTGGCAAGAGAGTTTGTTAGCCTCGCATAAAATAGAGCAGTGGAGAACACAATTCGTTCCTACCGCTATCACGTACTGCTCTCATGTAACTCCAGTACCCCGTAGAGCACAGGAACATAAAAAGAGAAGGTCTGTTCGAACAAAGAAATTCCCCGATCGGGTAGAAGTGGTATCACGTGACTTCGCGCGCCGCCTTTGCCCAGCCACGCGACGCGGAGTCGATGGCGGGACACTTGCGCTCAGCGCACACCACGGCGCCCACCATGCGGACAATCCGCGATTTCTTTCGACGCCCGTCGCTTTCGAGAGTCAATCAAGACTTTCCTCCAGATTTAGCCCAGTCTGATTCTCATGGCGCACATGAGCCTCCCACGTCGTCTCCGCTTTCCGAGCCGCCACGGTCATCTATAACGATAGATCTAACTCAGGATGGTGACGATGGAGAGGATGGCCCAGACACTCAACTCAGTAAACCATCTTTACGATCCGCTAGCGACAGCAGACCGGAATCCTTTGCACTCGAAGCCTTTGCGCCAGACCAAAGTTACTTGCGCGCCGACACCGAATCAATTGGCCCACCCTCGTCTCTTAGTGGCAGCTTCAACGCATCTCAGCGCATTGTCAAAGATGGCAAAGAGGTGGTTATCAGCTCTGACGGTGAAGACACAGACTCAGTGGCCTCTCTAGAAGACCCAGATGCGCTATTCGCCCCGAAGACCAAGCCCAAGCCAAAAAATGCTGGTGGGCCCGCGGCAAAAGCTTATCAACCCGACAAAGCGTTACTCGCCAAATTGTCTGCGCCAAAGAAATACAAACACACCATCGAGTCTCTTGTTCACGATGCGGTAGATGATAATGAGATGGAGGCCAATGTTGCCAAGGCCCGGGCGGCCTTTGTACAATCGCAGCAGAATGGGGACCAAAGTGGCATGGGGGGATCAAAGAAAGGTCTGAATGAGGGGATGTTAGTATCAGCTTTTGGTGACGATGGCGATGAAGGGCCAAGTCTTCGACGTCTTATGGAGGCCGTTCGAAGAACGGAGGCCCTCGAGCAAGATCGTGCCTGGCGATTCTTTGATCAGAGCCAGATGACACCAGCCACACCAGACTTCCTAATCGAATTGTTCCCGGCGTCGTCGCCTCTAGCGGGACTACGAGGTTGTTCCACTCACGTCCAGCTTGTGTATAGTCATGCTGACTCCTTTTTTTGTAGAACCTAATTCTCGTGTTCGGGTCTTCCAGTCTGGTGTGTTGGAGTATGCTGCGTCATTACAGCGTTTGCCAGATGAATTCCTCGTGTGGCTATTTCGCTCCGGTGCGTTATTCGTCTTATATCATTACCTTCTCCGCACCAAGCTAACTCGACGCAGTTCCCCTTGAACCCCGAGAGGAGTTGAGAAAGGCTTATTGCCGGATTTTCACGGTACTTTCAAAGAGCTCCCCAGTCAATATACTTTAGCTAAAGATGTACAAAGCAAGCCCCCAAGGCGCAAGTGGAATCATTGATTCATCCGGATGACATTGACTGTCTCTTCCGTCAGCTGGGGGCTAAGTCACAAGCAATGAACCTATCTGAACTCATCGTTGCAGATTCTCCTGAACGTGAGGCGTCCACCCGAGCTAAATCTGCATTTCTCTAATAGCTCGTATTACAGGATCATCAAATGTACCACATTTGAAAGATCGAATGATGTTGATTTCGGTCTTGACTTTAATTGGAGACACTGCTGCAGCTAATTTGTGAGTTCTGATTTATTCTAATTAAGACACCATCCAAAAGGGCTAACATCAGGCTAGATTTTCCGATAAGACTCAAGAGCACGCAGTCCACATATTGCTGCGTATGGCGCTGGACACATCATTGACCGCGGATGATGTGATCCGCTCAGAGCTGCAGGGAACTTTGACTTCTCTCCTGGAATTCGGACCGAAGGAGAGAATGGTGCGTTCTATATGAATATGTTTCCGGCTTGGTACACCTGCTTACTGAAACAGGAATCCGGAATTTGCACTACTGTCTATCAAACCGTTAAAGATCCTCAGTTTCAGAGCCGCCTGCTACAGAACATTCTACCCACATCCACGTGGGTTTCTTTGCTCCGCTACCGACTCGCCGTTGCGTTCCTACTTCAGGATCCAGGACCGCTGACTGAGCCTCCCGAAGTGGTCCTTGGTCTGACGCGCATTACTCTCTTGTTGATGCGGGACGAGCGATTCCATTTAAAGAAACATAAAGGAATCAATGAATACGACTACGGCGATTTAATCGCCATCACCTTGCTTCTCGACATATGCATCAACTCGGCCCTATATGACTTGGGCTACCGGCAGGGTGACACGGAAGAGCAATTCAACATATCGATCGACCGGCTGGCTTCTCAAATAAAGAGGATCTTCAGCTCCATTGAGGATACCGGCGCATCACACCTCCAGCGCATGCTAGCCAAGCAGGCGCTAGAGGCGCTGCACTACCGGATGGTATACTCAGTCCGGTCTAAGGCACCGCCTAAGAGAACCCTCTTCAAAACATTTGGGAGGGAGAAGAATGGTGATATCAAATCCATATTCAAAGCCAACTTCCTGGGCGGTGCCAGCGCCATCGACACCGGACTGAGTACACCATCCGGTAGTTCAGATGCAGATAGCGTCGAGGGCACGGCAATGCCGATTCGTGGAGACAGTCGGCTATCATAGTTCAACAGTACGGTGTATCATGGGGGACTACTGGACATTCAATGCTGCGGCGTGGCTCAGATCTTGCGGTTCTAGCGGCATATGTATACATGATTTACGACCGTGACGACTGATGAGCATCAACCGAGCGAAGCAATTTTGCATTGTTTCCGGAAAGTCTGCAAACTGTAGATGAGAAATCAGACGAACGCTTAGGAAGAGAGACCATAATCTAGGTCAGACATGAGATGTGCAAGAAAAAGAAGACCCCCTCTCTATGGAGATAAGGAGATGACCAGCGGTCCAGGTACAAGCCCGAACTATAAAACATGAAACCTCCGGCGGCAAGTTTTGCGGAAGATCCGCAAACCGAAGAATCAGAGGAAAAGCAGAAAAGGCGGTCTAGTCCAAGAATCGCCGGTTGACATTCTTTCCGAACAGCGTCTCCCGAACGGCGGGAAGAGCGTCGATCTCCAACAGCCGCAGACGCTCCTCGAAGGTGTTGTTGATCTCGATCTTGCCCTGGCCACCGACAATAACCACACCGCCGGCACTGTAATATCACCATTAGTCCTGTACCTGTAAAAATCATTTCGGCGGAAACCAGAAACTTACGACCCCTCGGGCAGCGGCTCCGACTCGTCCAAAGTCACAGTCACCTCCTTGCCAACGTTCTTCTTGAAGTCCTTCGCGGCCTCCCCAGCAGCCTTCTTTGTGGCATCGGCATCCTGCTTGCGCGAGCGGACCACCACCTTCTCCTCGTTCAGGAAGTACAAGCCCTCGAGGATCAGCCCCTCCAACATGGTCTGGTACTTCTTATCGCTCGCGGCGACGGTCGAGACCTTATCCCGAGCCTGCTGGAACAGCTCATCCAGAAGCTCCTGCCGGCCGCCGAGCACGCGGAGACGGGTCCGGTTGGCGAGAGTCGAGCGGGTGATCTGCTGGGACATGGCGGCCTGCTTGAACTTCTTCTCGTAGAGGGAGTCGATGGCGGCGGTCTCCTGGCGCACGAGCTTGGACTTCTCGATCGCAAACTCCTCGTCGGCCTTCAGCTGAATCTCGCGGGCTTTCTCGAGGGCCTCCTGCCGGATGAACGCGGTCATCTTGCGGAGCTCGCCCGCGACCTGGATTTCCCACCGAACAAGGTCAGTCACCGGGTCGACTGCAGGGGAGGGTGGTACAGCGCAAGTCAATGGGAGGAGGGTAGCTGTACCTGATCATCCGAGAGGGCATGACTTTGCGACATGATGGCAGTTCTGGGTGGAGAAGGGACGGGAGTGGTGTCTGGTGGTTTGAGTTGAATGACGTGGGGAGGAAAGGGAGTTGTGTCCAACTAAGCTCGGAGCCGCCGCTCTCTTTGCCTTGGCGTCCCATCCGCATCCAACGCTCTGAAGCCCCTCTCCTAGTCTCCGTTTTTTGCCCTGGCAACACCCTTTCTTTGGCCTATTCTCCTTCTAAATATCCCCTCCTAATCCTTGCACCTCGCATTATGGCATTCGTGCTCCGGTAGTCGCCCAGCTCGTGCGCTCCTACGGTTTTGCCCCGTCCCTGGCGGACATACGATAGACCACGATGGGTAACCTAGGAGACTTGTCGCCGCAGGGCAGTATCGCGGTGAGTGTGGAGAGATCTCTACCATGAGGAACACGCTAGCTCATGGACAATGAACAGGTTGGAGTGCTCGTGGGCCTCGTGTCGACTAGCCTGCAGGCGATCGGGCTCACACTACAGCGCAAGTCCCATCTCATCGAAGACGAGAAGCCACTCTATGAGGGACGCCGACCTCCCTACAAGCGCCGGCGGTGGCAGCTGGGCATGGGTATGTTTGTGATCTCCAACATTGTGGGGAGCACCATCCAGATCACCACGCTGCCACTGCCGGTTCTTTCCACGCTCCAAGCGGTCAGTTGTTGCCTTTAGTTGTTTTCTTGGCCGAGTCTACAGAAGAATCCCGTTTGACTGACAGGAAATGTGTGGAATAGTCCGGGCTGGTGTTCAATACGATTTTCGCGACCCTTATCCTCGGCGAACCGTTCACTCGCTATTCCTTTGCCGGCACCGTCCTCGTCTGCATCGGCGCCGTGTTGATTGCGACCTTTGGCGCCATCGGGGAGCCAGCGCATACCCTAAATCAGCTATTAGAGCTCCTAATGCGACGGCCATTCCTCATATGGATGGGTGGAACACTCGTGGTTGTTGGAATTATTCTTGTTGGTTCGAAACTGTTGAAATACTTCATACTACGGGGATCGCGGGTGAAACCCGTTGCGTCTGGCCTGTTGACACCGCATATACAGCGGCTCCACAGCAGGATCAGACTCTCTCGGGGTATGTGTTATGGAGCTGTTAGTGGAATTCTGTCAGCTCACTCGCTCCTGCTGGCCAAGTCAGCGGTGGAGCTGCTGGTGCGTACAGTGGTAGACCGTGTGAACCAGTTCAATCGCTGGCAGTCGTGGGTAATTCTGTTGGGCATGATCTCCCTGGCACTAACACAGCTGTTCTACTTGCATCGAGGCCTGAAACTTTGCAGTACCAGTGTGCTCTACCCATTCGTGTTTTGCATCTACAATATCATTGCTATCCTCGATGGCCTGATCTACTTCCGGCAGGCCTCTCAGCTTGCAGGTTTCCATGCAGGCCTCATTGCATTGGGGACGATCATTCTGCTTGGCGGTGTTCTTTGCCTGTCATGGCGCCTGGAAGATATTGACAACAATGCCGGCATCACAGCCGTGGGGCCTACACAGACTGGGCTTGGGCCAGGCATGACGGTTGTCGAGGAACACGACACCACGTCAACCGGACTGCTGGATGGTTTAGGGAATGAGGAGTCCCAAATCGGAGAACGACACCCGCTACTTCATGGTACTCCTCGCCCTCGACACCTTTCCTCATATCATCGTGCTCGAGCTCCCAGTCTCCCGCTCATACCACCATTCGATCAGCATGAAACTGCAGATCTCAATGCAGCCTCGATTTGGGCAGAACTCGATGACTCCGACTATGACTTCGCAGATCCGAAATTGCGCTCTTCTATCATACGACCGCGGAGCTCCAGCAGCAGTGCAGCACTCAATGGTCCTATGCGCGGACTCTCGCGGCACTCTACCATTGGTCCAATCCCGTATCATCGTCAGCGGGGATCTCGTCGGGCTGGTCCCTCATTACCAGGTGGATTACCGCACTCGTCGGGACCCTTGGCAGGGTTGATGGGCGCTCAACGGATGTGGCGCAACGCCTGGGGCCCTGCGACATCCTCGCCCGGCGTGCAGACTGTCAATGGATACGGCACTATCCAAGAAGACGAGAATGCTCCTCACGATCGCGATGGAATGCTTACTCCACCGCCAAGGTCCCCGTACAATATTCTCGCAGGTTCGAGAAGGGCTTTGATAGGCGCGTGGCGGCACGGACGCCAGTATCTATTCCGATGGACGAGTCCGCGGGCAGGTAGTCAAGACCACGCCAGTGCGCGTGCGCCGGGTGGCGCCTCTTCTCCGTTGCTACCGCGAGCTGAGGCCCGTCTTCCGTGGACACGAGATCTAGACGACCATCGGCCCGAGCAAGGACCCGACACGCCGTCGTCACTTTGAGCTTTGAGGGCTCCATCCTCTTTTTATGCTTCACATACTACATCACGTCCCAAGCGATACTCACTAGACCTCACTTTCTCAATCTCTTTATACCCAGAAGACTGCCATGCTTCCCCCCTTCCCCCCCCACAGATTATTTGACCTTGTACAGTAGGGACACATGCCTCGCCCAGCAGCGGGACGTACGTGTCCCGCCCTCTTTCCTTCTATCTTCTCAATATAAGAGCAAGGAGATGCCGCGACTATCCGGTAGGCTATTGTCTGTCCAGGATACTACGATGCCACTTTACTTTTCCCTCCTTGATATATTTCTGAAGAAACGATGAATAACGATGCGAGCCTGTTTGTGAATAGGAAATATACACCCTAATATCGCTCTCTTATCTGCCAACTCTTCGTTAAGACCTTAGATTAATCTACCTTACCCTTTCGAGCTCGGTTCCCACATTGCTAGGCCTTTCCCTGATCGATACATCTTCAACTCTTAAAAGCAAGACACCACATATGATAGTCAACGCTGTGGGCTTACTGTACCTAGGGATAACAACGGTAGATTTAGAACCCCGGGCAAATCAACCAATTCAGCGAGGCTCATCTACCTCGGCTTCCAGTTAAATTCCTTGAACGTCTGGTGGAGGGATGGACACGTTGATGAGAGAAAGTTGTAGCATAGTACTTTACCAAAGCTTAAGGATACCAAAGCTTTAAGGAAAGATCAGCAGTCTGACGGAGTGTCCTGCACATGGAATTTGAACTAACTATACCAAGAATGTGATGATCTGCCAATAATCTAGGTCGGAATAGATTTCAGGAGTACGAAGACCATAAACAATAGCATTACTCCATCATGATTAATCCCCAGCTGAGCCAAGCCAGCAAAACCTACAAGAATGACTACAAGTTGCAGCGCAAAAATCCATCGAGGACGGCGGGAACAGTCTCCAAGCATCACCGTATCATACCAAATACCAAAGAGATACAAATACTCCAGGGACAACCAGGCCCAATCGCGAATGTGCCACCAAAGCGCCAGACCACCGCATGACGTAGTAGGCAGAGCAGTTCCGGCCCAGGGGCAGACAAGCCCGTTTCCACGAGCCTGGCACGGAGGGCCGAGTAGAGCGATATTCAAACCACACAAGGTTGTTGAGATTAGACACTTGGAAAGGGATCAAGTTAAGAAAGCGACGAAGCAGAATCAATAATGGTCATATGAGATAAACAGCAACAGAAAGACAGGAGAAAAAAAAAATCCACTTCGCCGACAAATCAATGCACCACGAACACCGCCCGCCTCCGCCATTTGGTCTAGGTAGAGGAGGCAAGGGGAAATCAGAAACAGCCAGAATAGCGTTGAAGTCCAGATTCGCGTGCTCGCGCTCTTTTTCTCTCTTTTTTTGCGAGGATTTTTGCAAATTTTCTTGTCATGGTGCAAGGCCAAGGTCCCGATTGGGGAAAGGGGGGGGGTGAGATAAGAGGGGGTTTTTGCGCCCCCGTTCCCGAATTGCAAAAGCAAAGACCATGACACGGCGAATATCGGTGATCAAAGACAGACACCTGGATTCATATCCAGCGTGGTTTGACAATGTACACTTCACAAGATGGTAGAATGGCGCCCGCCGGGTCAAGACGGTGCCAGTTCAACGAGGGAGATTTAAGAGGGAGGAGTAAGAGGTGGGAGGGAGGATGGGTCAGCACAGATGGACGGGTATCAAATGAACGCGAGAGATTTGAGTGCGCAGGGGAAGAAAACAGAAGGGAAGACGCAGGATCTGGGACCCCGTCCGCAGCGGCGCGCAAACACAGGGAAAGGAGTTAATTTACGCCGTGGGTTGGTGCTGCGGGGGCATGCGGTTGCCGACCGGCATGCCGGGATACTGGCCACCTGCCTGCTGCTGCTGCTGGAGGTTCTGATAGTAGGCCATCTGCTGCTGCTGCTCGTTGGTCATGTAGCCGGGGTGCATTCCCGGACGGGGCATGTTGGCCTGCGGCGCGTTAACGTTGTTGTGGCCGACATCCTCGGGAGCCTCGGCTGGGACATCGGGAGCATCGACACCATTTTCGTTGGTGGTGGGGTCGGGCGCGTTCAAGCAGGCCTGGTGGATGGTAGGTTAGCGGACCTAGCGTGACGACAGCATGGAAATCGGTGGCGTCGACATACCTGAATGAGGTTCTTACCCTCGGCCTTGGTTACTAGCGGCTGCAGCTTGGGGGTGGTGAAGGTATAGACGAGACCCGTCTCAGAGACGACGAGCAGGAGCACCTGGGTGCCAGTGAGGACGGACAGCTCGTAAGCCTAGAGATCACGAGGTCCACAGTCAGCATGCATAATTTCTTTCGAGGCGATCGAGTCGAATGGGTACTCGGCACGTTCGGATGACTCCAAAATAGAAGAGGGGGTGGGTGTGGGTGTGGGTGTGGGTGTTGTCGCGACGGGTGGCACGTACCTTCTTCATGATACCGGCCTTCCGCTTGGAGAAAGTAATGTGGCGACGCGACTTATCCTGGATGAACTTGATCTCAATCTTGCGGCGCTCACGGCCAGGCTTGTCGTCATCATCATCGTCGTCCTCGGCACTCATGCGGTTGCGCTTGGTGCCGCGGGCGTCAGCGCCGTTGCCGGCCTGTTGGAGGTCATCGTGACCGGGGGAGAGTTTCTCGTCGCCGACGGCAGCCATGTCGGCCATGATGAAGGTAGGGAGAGAAGGTGGAGTGGGTGGGGGAAGGTTCTGAAAGAAGAAAGAGAAGTTGAGAGCAAAGGTAGAGATGGCCCAAAGGGGAAGGGAATCGAAGAATACCCAATCGAGTAACGCGTTTTGGGATCGCAGGGTTGGAGAAGAAAGGAAGGGGGGGAGAGAGCGAAGAAGGCAAAGTGCGAGCGACGATGGGGCAGGCGGTCAGTCACGTGTGGAGTACCGTATCGGACGGGAATTACCTAAGTGGGGCCACCAGCGAGTCTCAGCAGTACTTAGACACACGGTGCAGACAACAGACAAATTCTGTGTACACGCGGGTACCCCCTCCTTCGAGCGGCGATACTCCCCTGTTTTGTGACGGTATGGGCCTGCCCCCTCCCGGTCATTTTGCCTCTGATTGGTGGCTCCTCAAGGGGGGGGCCAACTCACCGCGCTGAACTGCGCGCCCCACGGCCTCCGCTTGCATCCGCTTCGAGGCAAGCGTGAACCCAAATTTGCCTGGTGGTCTGGACTCGAGTGGGAGTCGGAAGATAGCTGTCTCAGCGTGAAAGAGGATGCCCGCATAGCCCGCCTGCTTTATGCTTAATACTTTATATTCCTTTTTCTCTCCTGGAGACTGACCAAGTCATGTACCCCAAAGTCGCTACAGCTGGCGTCTTCGACTACGCCATAACGACCACTGCTCCGCCTTCTCTCAGTGGCAACCTGTTTCTATACTTAGCCGCCCTGCCAGGCCCTGCATTCCACATACCGGTCCGCTCTCGGTTTGGCCCCCAGCAAAACAACCGTCGATCGCAGTGTCGGGAAAATTGGAAGATTGGGAGACAAATCAACACATTCACAACAACCAGTCTAACTCGCCTGGACAGCTTTTCTCCCCCAGCCAATCTCCCACTACCGGGCTCCGGCGCAACAACTAACTTTGTTTGCCTCTTTATATTAATTGAGTCAGCTCGTATCTTGCTAGCTCCGGCACGTTCTGCACTGCTATCCACCAGGCTACTACTCAACCGGTTCACTAGAACAAAAGTACCCTGTCGAGCGGTTCGTCCACCGCGATCGTGGGGGAAAGGGGGGGGGAGCAGCAAGCTAGCCCCGTTGTACAAGGAACCTGCGGTGTACGTCCACTCCCCCGGCCGGTGGAATGGGCCTTGTCTCGACCACAATTGGATTGCGTGTCTGCAGTAAACAATTTACAAGCCCGCTTTCGGGAACTCCAGCTCTTTCCCCCCTCCCGCCGTGTCCCTCATCACAATCACATTCAGGGTGAAAACTATGGCATGCGCCACGGCATGGTCTGGCACCATCGGATGCCGCCTGAGTTCCAAGCGCCCTCGCCTCCTTTTCCAATATCACGCAAGGTTTCAAATGCTATGTTCCAAGAGGAAATAAACAGGATTCTCTAAGACTCCTGAGAAGGACAAGGACTAGGTATTAAGTACTCCGTAGATGCGATCGATGTGCTCTTCCCCCGGAGTAGGGGGTCCCAATCAGGTCTCGGTTCTCTGCCACTCCACAAACAACCAGCCACCACGCTGTGAATGCCGACATGGTGCATTAACTCAAGCCAAGCCCTGTCAGAACAAGCTTGAATCCAAGCCCCGAAGGTCCACGAGCCCCAGCCCCCAACTACGCGTTTTTTGCGGCCCGCTCCGAGAGTGGACTGTCAACCTCGAAGCATATCCTGAACAGGGCTCCTTTGGTAAAAGCTTATATTCAATAGAGGAATAGGGAGACATGGAAACCTGCATGGAGAATGACAAAACTCATCATATTCTTCACATAATGAACAACAGTTCAACGCTAATCACCAACGGAGACCCAGACATGGTCTTCGATTCAAGTCTATTTTTACAAAACAATGCATGGGCATGAAGAAAGGGAAGCCACGCTCTCCCCGAATCACAACGGGAGATTCACAGACAAGAGAAGAGAAAATAGAAAATAAAGATAAATCGAGAAGGAAAAGGAGAAGGAAGGACGAAAGAGCAAGCCAGAGACACGAGGTGAGACAAGGAGACCCAGCCCCAGCACGGCCGGCAGCTAAAAGTGTCAAGTGGGTGTTGTGGCAATCAAGAGCCGGGATATAGAGGGAGCACATGAAACCACCCAAGGTTCCTGCACCAGAATGGACTCCGCCAATGCTAACGCCGGATAAATGAAGAATCAGAAACTGGAGGACGCGGAGTTCATGTCACGATCACGAGTCTCATCCGGAATAAAAAAAAAGGTCGGTTGGAAAAGGGTGGGGTGGATGCAACATGGGTTTGGCGTCGTGATGTGAGGAATAAAAACGTGGGAGAATAATAATTTAAAAAAGAAAAAAGGACTGAATCATGTGCAGCGAAGTGAAGATGTGCGACAGCCGAGACAAAAAAAAGAAAACCGTAACCCCCAAGGACCAGCCTTGCAATCACTTGTGGAGTTGTCCTTTTTTCCCTTCTTCAGCGACAAGCAAGAGAGAAAATCATTGCTGGTAGGTCCCACGGATGTAGTGATCGCTGATACCGCCGCCACCGCCGCCCTCGGGACCGAGCCAGACGATCTCAATCACACTGTGACCCTCGTCTTCCTCGCGGACGTAGAACTGGTGTACGTTGTCACCGACAACATACGCATCGTGCAGCAACCACCGGTCCTTGGTGACACCTTCATCCTCGGCGGGACGCAGAGGACCGAGGCGTTCCTCGAAACCACGAGGGTCCTCGGGCCACGTCTTCTCGACAGCATCGAAGTTGATGACATCGTCAGGCACGGATTCGCCATAGGTGTACTTGACCAGGGAGTAACCGTTGGTCAGGACCCAGAAGTGGCGGATCGACTCGCCGGTCGAGTTGTTGATGGTCTCCTCCTGGTCGAAGACCCAGCGGCGCAACACAGACTTTCGGCCCGCGGCCGCAGCCACAGTCGTCATCTTCACCACGTCCTTGGAATACCACGAGTTCCAGTGGTGCATGGACTCAATCTTGCGACCAGACTCGTAGACACCGTCCACCGGGTCGGTCATATCCATTTGGTAGAGCGAGGGCCAGAGAGTCAGTTGAGTGTCACCGAAACGCTGAATGCACTGGCCAAGCTTCTGGTCACCGGGCTGCTCACCCCAGGACTGGCACTCATCGTAGTACTTCATGAGCACGTCGAGCAGTGGCTTTGAGACGAATACACCCGCACCACCGAAAGCGATGTGACCGAAGGTGTCGACCTGCCAGCTGGCCTCGGACAGAGACCCAATATAGTGCTTCTTCTTCTCATCAAACAGTTTCAGCTCCTTGGCGATCGTAGGCAGAGACAGGAAGAAAGTATCATCATCGCTGAATCCAACCCAGGTGGTGTGAGGGCGGAATTTGCGGATGTGCTCTGAGAAAGCCTCAACCATACCGAAGTAACGAGCAGTGAAGTCCAGCGGGGAGGCCTTGAGAGTCAGATCCAAACCGCGGTTGCGGAAGTAGGTCTCTTGCTTCTCCAGGTCGTCATCGGATTCGGGAACCAGAACGATCAAACCAGCCTTGGTGTTACCGTAGGTGTAGAGCAGCGAGGGGAGTAGGCGGTCTAGACGGTCGACCGTGGTGGCCAGACCGAACAGGAGCTTGGAGGTCTCCTCGACATCGTCATCAGCGGCCACGTCCACATTGATGATCTCGGGGCAGACGAAGTTCTCCTCGTTGTTCTCGGGAGAGACAACCATTCCACGCTCCATCGCGACCATCGGGGGCAGCACAGGCTTTTCAACCTCCTCCAAAGTGTGGAACTCGGTGTCGGGGCTGACTATGCGAGGGCGGAAGTAGGCACGAGTGTAGTTCTTGCGGGGAAGCCATTCGGAGAAGGGAAGAGGAGCAGCCAGCTTGGGATCCACCTCGCAGGTGCTGACCGTGGGTGTCGAACCCTGCGAAGAGGGACCTAATTGTGTCTGGCTGCCACTCAAGTTGGCGCGGTCAATGGGGTGCTTGAAGCGGAGGAACGCAGACCGGTCGTAGCGTTCCATGCACCAGAAGAAAACGCCAATCGACACCAGGGCGATCAACGGGAAAACCGTCTTCAGCCGGAAGAGAGGCATCCTGACGGTATGGGACGGGGCCGACTTTTCGAACATGTACGTGATTCTCGAATCGGAGGATAAAGCGAAATTTGGGGAAGGGGGAAGCGTGGGCAATGCGGCACGCTCCCTCGGATTAGGACTTCTTATCGAGTGCGGGTGTGACTGAATCAAACGATAATGTCGTGTCTCCCGCGGCAGAATCGTGCAGCTAGGAAAAGAGGCTGAGCACGCAACGAGACGGTCGAAGCGAATGTGTGTAACCAAATGTTGGGGTTAAGGAATGGCAGGCAGATCAAATGCCGAAATCAACGAGAGGCGGGCAGCGTCGGGACCTGCGACACGGTCCAAGGGGTGGGAGAGAGGCGGCTTCGGGGATTGGGTGGAGATGACAGATGGTAGGGGAGGGGGGGGGAAGTAGGAAGCAGACGAGAGATCAACGCGGCTGGACAGGGAGTCCAGGGCGAGAAGCAGATCGATGCTAGAGGGAAAGGGAAAAGTCGTCAAGATGCGAAGGTGTGAAGAAAGAAAAAAAGGAGGGAGAGCGCAGAAGTAAGTAGTGGAGTGGATGGAAAGAGAAAAGGTGGATGGGATCGGGGGTCTGTGTATGGCGGTATTGCTGGTACTGCGGGAAGTGCCTGAGCAGTGCGGATGCACGGTCCGTCACCGTATTACGTATCGTTGCCTGGTTCCTGGTCTTCCCGCTTGCAGTCTACTCCCCGGGATGGTCGATGCATACAAACGTCTGCTCTTCTTCCCGCACACGGTCTTTTGCTCAATCCGTCTCCCTGCATTCTGATATGCCTCTTCATATCATCTGGCTCTTTCTGTCGAGTCCTGTTGATACAAGAACCGCGATCCCGTCCAGGAATGCCGATGCCGGCCCGCTGGGAGGGATCCCGGGAGGGATCATCCCATCGAGTTCCTGTTCCATGGGATCACGTATCAAAATACTGATGATCGGCGCTCTTTGGGTCTGTCCGGTCATATTGGTCTACATGGCCGCTTCTGCGTACCATATTGGCTTACGGACCATCGCGATTCGGGGGTTGGCGAGAGGTTCTGCTCCGGCGCTCTGCCCTATCAAGTGCGGCGAAAGTGCGATCATCGCTCGCATCCAGCTGATCCGGATCCGGGCAGAGAGGATCTTTGTCCCACCGGAGGTTCGAATTATTCGAACCAGTTATTGAGCCCGTCGGAGCACCGTCCGGTAGGTTCCTATCACAGGACGATCAGGTCCCAGACACGGTGGTGTGAATTCCCCGTTGGTCCTACCCATGATCGGCTGTATACGGCTCTACGAGCCCAGCGATCAGAGTACTGTACTCCGTACCCGCTGCTTACTGAACAGACAGACAGTTGGAAGGTGTCATTGCGACCACATGAGAAACATGCAGTTCAACTTCCGGGACATTCCAAGCAACTTTCTCAGGTGCCTCATCATCATGATGCCGTGGTGTCTAGATTGATCGTGTATAGATCACGTCACCCACACTGACGCGCTTGGACCAGGTGCACAGAAAGTATTGACTGGCAGACCATTGGAGGATGTAGGTGCAATCACGCTTGGCGGTGATAGGGATCAATTTCCTATCCCATATTATGTACTCCGTCCGGGAGATCTAGTATGTACGGTAGGCATCAGTTCTTCCCTAAGAGAATCGGGTAGGAGTATCGGGTAGGAGTATCGCTCTGCATTATGGCGTTGAAATGCCGTGGCACAGTGTAAGTAACGAAAGACCCTTACCCCTATGTACAATTGTATCCATTGTATCATGTACCAATTGCAGAGTAGAAGGAAATGATCAGAACGTCGATCGCCCTGGCGTCAGCCGCCCTGGCCAGTCAGCGTCCAGTGGAGGGGCGAGGGGTGGTCACCTCCCCCCACCGACGCGTGTTCTCCTGCAACCGTTAACCTTCTGCTCCTCGGCTTTCGACCCTGAGGCGAACCCTCTTCCACATTGAGCCTGCTACCAACTCCTACGTCCTGTGATTGCGTGTCGCGATAAATCGGTCTCCCTTCGCGCTCAGCCGACACTGAAAAGCTACTCCATGGTGGCGACCTCCGTCTCAGCTCTCTCAGCTCTCTCAGCCCAGCCCTCTCAGCCCTCTCAGCCGTGGTCCTCACAGGCAAGTGGGCCGGGATCGACAATCCTGAGCCATTCAGACTTCCACCCTGGGACTCAGACCTGAGGTTGCGGGTTTCGCGGTGGCAGATTCTTCAACCAGGTGGCTGCTCATTTTGAATGGAACAGCTTCGTCATGGACGTCGTCCTGCCTGTTCTATATATATTGATCGTAGTAGCGGAGATGAGGCGTTGGTTTCACAATTGCTGGGGCGTGGTGGGGGGCCCTCCTGGGTCCCTGGTACTCTTAATCAGTGGTCATCTAGGTTGATTCCGCAACCAACCTGGCACCAAATCTAAATCGCTACTCCGTAGACATGATAGCGATGGTGTGCGGTACCCAGGGCCATATCCACTCTTCACCCAGCACGCTTTCTGGGCCGGCGAAACCGCCAGCCCAAATGACTTTTAACCTTAACTATACCTCGTACCCCCGCCCTATCTGTAGGTAGGCACCCGTGAAAAAAAATTATAGTACAAAATAACCGACCAGGATAAAGAGGCCAGCGTGTCGAGACTCGGTCTCGACCGCACGATGAATCAGGGTTCCAGCCACTGGAGGGATAACCCCCGAATCAGCATTACGAATCCTCTCCAGCCTCGGAGCCTCGATCGCACACATGTTTTCCGCGCGATTACGATTCTGTCGCAGCCTTCGACCTGAAGGGTCGCCTTGGCAAATGCTGTCATCGGTTTCACCCCTCCGAAAGAAGAGAGCAGAAACCGAAACCCCCAAATTAGGGCCGAAATAGGGGGCGGCACACAGGTGGGCGCGGTAATCTTACGGACCCTGAAAGAGCGTGTCAGATTCATGAAGAGTGGAGCCGGCCCCTGATCGCCAACCCCTGTTGCCCTCGCGCCGGTCAGACGTTGGAGCCTCTGTTCTGTCGAAGTTTCCAGGGCCGTATCTCCAGACGATTAGTTTCCTAGTTGGCCCTAGGTGGGCCAGGCCGGTGAGAGTGGATAAGGTCAGTGGACCTGGGCGCAAAGCTCGGGAAAAAGGGGTTGCTTAACGGCCGGGCAAATGATGCAATCTATCGGCATTCCCAATTCGTATCGCAAAAGGGTCCGGCCCTACTTTGCAGATGGACTCCGGGTTGATACCCACCGCCGTTTGGTTAGTATAATAGTAGGGGGATTTCTCCAATATTATAGGTATATTAGTCTCAAGGCCGTAATCTGTACGGAGTGCCTTGGTTGGAGTAAGTACTTGAACAAGCAATTGCCCGCAGTGAACAAGGCTTCGGCATCGGGGCCCTATCCACCTGTGGTAATTCGGATGCGACTTGATTGCGATATAGGACATTATCTCGTCTTCAGTGGGTTCGTGCGGCTGACGAAGGATTGCATCCAGGCACGCGACGGAGCGGGATGCCCAATTTCCCTCCGCATCCTGTTGGATTCGATTCGCGAGCAAAAATACTATATGGAGTATAGTTAGTCCAGACTACGGATTACTACATAGTATGTACGGAGTATACGAAGATAATGGGGCGATCAGGGGGTGGTGATTCCGTATCATCTCCGCAGGGCCTATCTGTCTGGCACGGAACGAGGGGCTAGATGAGGACGTGCAGACACGAAATAGGCAAGCAGTGACATAGTAAATTGGGAACAACTCCTCCGGACCGGCTCTGGCTGTACGACGGTCAAAGAAGGTTAGGAAAGAAAGGACCCTGCTCGAAAGTATCAGGCGTTGCGAAAGGATCAATGCGTGACAATTTTAATCACTCCGCATCTAGCTCAGGGTATGACACGGTCGACGACGGGGGTCGTCCTTTGATTCCGGGCCGCAGGCGCAGTCACACGGAGATGAAGCTTCGTGGTGTCGCGTCTTGTCGCCTCGTTGCCCTCGGAGAGGTGGAATGATGGGACAGTCTCACGATCTCGGACTTGGTGATGCAGTTGCGTAGGCCATGAGGAGTAACCAAGTAGGAATGGTATTGTTGACGGCATATTATATGTCCTTCCTAGCACTGCTGATATCGAAGGGTATCGTTGTCGGTCTGCGATCGCGTGGTCTCGTCCAGCCCTAGTACCATTTTATAATCTGGGCCATTTATAAATATAAGACGCTTCCTCGGTCCCATTTTTATCCCCAAGCCCTGAGACACTACCACAGTAGTGGCACTAAGGAATGCCATAGGATGCTAATTCTGGGGCGTTTTTTGATATGATTCAGGCCATATTGTCTGAGATAGGGGTTCTTTCCACAAGAAATTGCATTTCTGAGACCGTTCTGTGCAGCAGTATTATCCGGCTATCTCAAAATCCTGCTTCATTTGGTCCTTCTATCTGGAAACTTGGATGTCGCCTAATAGAGGCATCCAAAAAGAAACCTTCCCCGTCTTCCACTTCCAACATCTTGCATACCCCCGGCTAGCCCCCACGATAACATCAAAGTTTGTATCACGCATGGGCAGTCCTTGCCACGGGCGGAAATGACCGCACACGGCAAATCAGCATTGGCAAGAAGCACCCCCGATTCATCGGGAACGGGGCGATTTCGTCCCGGTGACGGACAGCGCCTTAGCGTTGACAAGCGCCCTCGCTATGCTGCAGCTGGAGTCCCATGCCCCACTCCGCTCCCTTTCGGCGCGGACGGCTTCTGGAAGGCCATTAAGTGGGTGAGCGGAAGTAGTCTGAAGTCGTGGAAATTGTGAGGGCTAAAGAACCATCACTTCCCACTGATTTCTCCCGAACCGCCGTTGGTTGGTCCAACTGGCAGTTGGTCGGAAGCAAATCCTGTACTTCATCCCTCTCCCGATGGATTCTCCTCGCTTAATTCCATCCTCCTGCACGATAACCACACTTGAACCAACGTGGTGATGCAGCCGTGCGCTAAAGACGCACGACCTGAAGCTCGGTCCAGCCGGATCGGGCTTGATCGCAGATTACCGAGGCCATTGGATCGAGGCCATTGGATCGAGGCCATTGGATGGTTTCTCCACAGTTGCCCCAGATAGCACAGCTGCACTGAGCAGTTTGCGCGCTCGCCGGGCGGGGCGGCCTACCCATTCTCTAACCAGAGAGGCTATATTATCTGGGATCCCAGGGCCGTCGCACCACCCAGGAGGAATAATAGCCTCTTATTCCTACAGCCCAGCGCACTACCGGTCACCATGGGGTTCAGCACGGAGGCCGAATTTGACCAGGTATGGGGTTGCGTGCACCGACGGACTATACATCGACGAGATATCGCTGACGATCCCGCAGGCCTACAACACAGTGCAAAATACATTCGCGACCGGAGCCACCAAGGACAAAGAATGGCGGCGGCAACAACTCAAGCGCACCTGGTGGATGATCGAAGACAACAAGGATCGCATCTGCGCCGCGCTCTTTACCGATCTCCACCGGCACCGCTACGAAACGGGTCTCTCGGACATTGCGATGTTGCAGAATGACATCCTGCGCACGCTCGAGAAGCTGGACGAGTGGACAAAGGACGAGAAGCCCACTCGCTGGGATATAATAAATTTCATGGGCGGCACCCGAGTGCGGAAAGAGCCCAAGGGCGTGGCGCTCATCATTGGCGCCTGGAATTTCCCATTTCTCCTACTGCTTCAGCCCATGCTCGCCGCTATTGCGGCAGGTTGCGCGATGATTCTGAAGCCATCTGATATGGCACCTGCGGCGCAGGATCTGCTGATGGAGATCCTCCCGCAGTATCTGGATGGAAGTGCTATTCGTTGCATCAGTGCCGGCCCGCAGGAGATGCCGCATATATTGGACCAGCGTTACGACCATATCTTCTACACGGGGTCGGGCAATATTGGCAAAATCGTGCATGAGGCAGCTGCGAAACACCTCACTACCGTTACGCTCGAACTGGGAGGTCAAGCCCCAGCGATTGTTACGGCCAACGCCAACGTTGATCTCTCGGCCAAGCACATCGCTGCCACCAAGTTTACCAACGCGGGCCAGGTATGCCTTCCGCTGATATGTACAATGCATCGACAACCACTAATAGGCACATATAGATCTGCCTCAACGTCAACCATGTCCTTGTGGACCCAACCGTTCGTGAAGCGTTCGTGAACAGCATGATCCAGCACTTTGACATCTTCATGGGAGGGAGAGACACCAAGCCCGAGTACTACACGCACATCATCAACGACCGCAACTTCGACCGCCTGGACCGACTCCTCACCTCAACATCAGGCAAGATCGTCTACGGCGGCCGACGCGATCGCTCAACCCGATTTTTCGCGCCCACCATCGTCACCGGCGTGAAACCCGGCGACTCGCTCCTCTCCGAAGAGCTCTTCGGCCCGATCCTGCCCGTCATGGACGCAGACCTCGACAGTGCACTCACGTACACCCGCTCCGGCGACCGACCCCTCGGCATCTACGCTTTCACCGAGAAGCAAGCTGAGAAGACCCGGGTCCTGGACGAGACCCAGTCCGGCGGCGTGACCTTCAACGACTGCACGCTGCACGTCGTGGCGTGCGACGCACCCTTCGGCGGCACAGGTCCCTCCGGCCAGGGCTACTACCACGGCCCGCACGGCGTGCGCGAGTTCTCACATCTGCGCACATACGTGGATGCCCTGCCGGCGTGGATGGAGTGGCTCATGGACGCACGGTACCCGCCATACTCGGTCGAGAAGCTGAATAAGCTTGCGCCGGCTGTGAAGCCGTCGTTTGATCGGGAGGGCAATGATACCTCGCGCGCGTTGACGAAGTGGGTTGTTGGCCTTGGGGCGCTGGTGTTCTCAGTGGCTGTTGTGGTGCCGCGCCAGCAGGTTCAGACGCTATTTGCTCGGCTGGTGAATCGCAATTGACGGGTGAGAGGTTGAATATGTGGTTGTATTCGATTTTTTATGAATGTGAATGATCTTGAATAAATGGATGGATGGATAGGGTTACGGACATAAAGGCGAACATTGTATATACTTTTTGGGGCGATTGTTCCTTGCAACGCTCTGATGTTTTCTAGGGTTGAATAGATTGTATGAATTGACTCTTTGATATTGACGTTTGTTCTGCGTAAAGGGTTCTTACAATCCCTACATGTGAAGTGAGATATACCAAATAAGCCGTAAGTTCATCAGAATTTGTATCAATATTATGTTCAAATGCTTTCTCGACTGTACGACTAGCGGGTGTATAAATTGCGGAGCTATGCTACATCAATCATCAGAGGCGCCTTCGCGATCCTCAAAGTTCATGAACTCGTCATGGTCCACCTCATCTCCTACAATCTTCATCCAAGCCTGCTTGATTACATCAACAGTTTCATCCTCAAACGCCAGATCAAGGCTGGCCGGCGGGAAGCTGAAGACATGAGGCGAATAAGTTTGGATAGAAGGCGGTGTCCCATCATTACTGAGACGGCCTAGCTGGTTGTACCGCATGGACCATAGAGCAATGGCCTGGGGACCTTCTGCTCGAAGGAGTCGGTCGACGGCACACTCGAGGAGAGTGTGGCCCTCTGGACCGGAGAGAGCGATGCTGCCATATATGATACCTGTGATGACGCGCATTAGCACATGAACTCAGATAATGCATATGAAATCACAACGGAGGATTGATGCTCGTGATCAGGTATGGATAGAAATGGTTTCATCAATGCAATTACAGGCAATGTAGATAAGTTTCAAAATCATCATACGAGCAGGAAGATGGGAATTGGAATGGAAAGGGGTCGGAGGAACTTACTCTGCTGTCGTGGGCAGTCGCCGGTATCACTCGAGTGGACCTGGAGGTAAACCGGCGGAGATTGAGGGCTGCTCAATGTATCGCCGGGGAACATAAGGACGGCACTGGCAGGCACTGGACCTCCTTCTGCTGTAACAGGGAGAAGGGAGGTGAAATCTGAAGAGGCTATTGTGATCGACCTTGCAACTTTTGCACAAGAGGGCTGTTTCTGGCTGGGAAGGTCCCAGGCAGAGCCGATCACGAACTTGGTTCGAACAGTCTCCCCATTGGATAGTTGCACTTCAACAGGGTGTTCTGACTCTGCCGAGGCTTCGGCATCTGTGATAGATTGGATGCCTGTATCCAGTGCATACACACCTCCGCCAACAGCAGAAGCTCTGCATCCAACCTGAAGGATCTCCGAGCCTCCACCATACTTGGACACAATACTTCCAAAGCCAGGTCCCAAGGCACCAATGGAAGCTAGATGCCTCTTGATGCGAGGAACTGCATAGCTGGCGGTAGTGTCCTGCTGGGGCAACTGTGACAAAGAGAGCGAGAGCAAGGGATTATGGAGGTCCTGAGGAACACTAAATTTGGAAGACAGGTAGTCCCCAAACGGCATCGACAGGTCCTCGTTTGTCTCCATCTCACTCGCCTCCTCATCCTGAGCCTTGTTGAGATGCCGCAGAAACCGCATCAGCGTCCTCTTAGATTTCATACTGATATGAGTATCAGCAAAGACATCTTCTCGGTTACCAGGCACGCGATGAAAGAGTCGCGCAGCACCAGTATCATTGCTCTCAGCATTGGGATGTTCCGGAAAGTGGAGCCACCAACTGCCCACAGCCATGAACTCTAGCTGGCGGTAGACCTTTGAAGAGATGAGGATAGAGATTAGTTCTGAGCGGGTGTAGAGGAAGTATGGGGACAGAGAGAGTGTGTAGGCGCGACTAGAAGCCAGCTTCGGACGAAGGTCTGGTGTGCTTTGTGGACGCTCGCTTGACTCAGAGCCAGTCTGGGAAGGAGAAGACCGTGGGGAATCTTGTGGGTGCTGGTATGTGAAAATCTTGGCTTCATCAAATGGAGTCCGGGATGGATCTACCAGTCGAGAGACATCAGCGACAGGGCGGGATGTAGGACACTCGCAGCGGCGACCCACGATGATTGACGCTATTCACCCACTCCGAAGCCTCTTCCAGACTGAAGGCAGCCTCGGAACCTCCATAGTATGAGTTTTGGTCCAAGTGGAGCACTCTTTTTCCCGACCGCGAGAGGGCGCTGGGGACGAGGTTAGAGGGTGAGGAAGATGCACATTTCACAGTATACACTCACAACGCCAGGAGAGATTGAGCCAGCCCAGTTCCTGCAATGATTATATCCCACGAGTTCTCGGATAGTGACTCCATATCGTTCATGACCAGGCCTGAGGTCTGAGCTATAGCAAGTAAGTGGACGAGTTGTACTGCAGTAAGAAGCAGGCCCAACTCTCATCACATTGGGCGGTGGCTCTTCAAACTCCTTGTGAGCATTTCTGGAATACCATGGGCTAGAACAGGAGTATTCAGCCCATGGAGTTGAGAATCCAGTAGAGAGAGAAGGGAAGAAAAGAAAAAAACTTGGCCCGCGGAGCTTTTGTGCGGGAAGGCGGTCAGAGCTAAACTGCCGGCTATACCGCGTTGGCCTTAGTGGACCCCCACTATAAACGGTGATGGACCATTTCGAAATGATTTTCTTGCCAAGAAGGTTTCCAGATATTGGGATGGAGAGAGCCTGTGAATGAGCCTGTATGATGGCCTATTTATCTAGTTCTTCTCAGCTGGGTCATTCGGACGTTATAGCCGAGGAGCAACATTTGCTTCCTCAGTCGGGGAATCAGGCTGGCCGTATTCCGAAAATTAATCTTATACCTCAATTGTTCACTCATCTCATATCCGTCCAGGTCCTTCGAAAAGGCTGGATATGATGTGATCGGGGCATACGGGAAATCACGCTATATTCATTGTCAGACGTGTCCATCACCACGAAGATAAGACAGGTTAACCTACTCCAAGAGAATATGGTCATGAGGGATGACTTTCAACGCCAGATCGAGCACATGAGGCGCGACTAGATAGTGCCAGGTCAAAGTAGAAGCTCCAAACTCATTCGCTATCTTCTAATAGGTAGTTCTTATGCGATACTCTGTTGCAAAGTCTGGGACCTTCCGCATTGGGGTTGCCACTCGGCTCACTAAATATGGCAGTGTACCACCTACATGGGATAAAGGGACCTTGCAGTCTATATATCTTGACCTTGTGCCGAATAGAATCATATCCATTGCAGTGCGAGTGGTCTCGCGGGGATAACCCAAAGCAGGTTGTGGCAGCTGAGGGCTTACCGTGGTTGTTTCCACTAGATGGGTAGGATGAACAAAGACAACGCTTTTGCGACTATTTAGCTCAGCCTAAATGGGCTCAACCGATTAACTGAGGAACGGCCTAGGTAAGTATCATACTATTATCACGTAGCGTGTGAAGAGGGTGATGCCATCGGCTTTCAGAACGTCAAGACTGTATGCAATTTCGACTAATGCGGCGGTAGTATTGAGTATATCAGGTAAAGATGCGAAAAAGCCAAAAAGCCCAGGACTTTTGTCTCGTAGGTCCGCGGTATACTCACTGAGTTTGCGCGCAAGCTCGAATGACCCCAGGCCCCTTTTGAATACAGGCGCCGGGTGCTGCGACGGACAGAACTGTAGTTTGCACACCGAGGTATTTCATACAAAGCTTGCTTCTCGTCGGTGTCCATGATGGAGTGGGTCAGCCGCTTGGGTCTCCTGGCATATTATTTTAAAATGTGTTTTTGGTGAAGCAGCGTATAGCTTACCCCTGCTTTCTCAACGGCTGTACACAGCTGGTTTAAATCAATCCACAGAATCCATGATGTATATAGCCCCATACCTTCAGCATAGAATGAAGGCACAAATAGTGGTGCGTATCGATCTTGTTGACTATATAGTGATCATGAATGTCCTTGAAAGCGTTTCGATCTATAGAAATGACACGTGACAACCGCTTACTCAGCATGTTGGTGAGTGCCCACTTAAAAAGAAAAACCCGTCGGACGAAGCCTTCTTCTCCCATGCCACTCCCAGTGCTCTGCACAGCCCGGCTGCCATGACATGACAATCCCGGGTTTCAATGACGAAAACCTTCACTGGTCCTCGTTCCGGGAGTGGTAGAGAGAATTCACTCTGTATCTGCTGCTCTGGATGGAGACATCTGACAGAAGCGGTTCGTTTTGTAGTGATACATTCCATTCCTCGTCTACTTTATTGGTTTGATGGGTTATGTAGCTCCCAAGCCGATAGATCTCGTAACTTCGTAGGACGGGCGCAAGGACCGAAGTCATACCCAACGGGTGCGAGTCAGGGTCACTACAGGCTTGACGCGCCTGTCGTGTCCGGTGCCATGTATCTTGGACCCTGCCGACGAGGGCAGCTGTCTGGATCTTCGATGCAGCGGACAGTCGTTGATGGGCGACAGGGAGGTTGCTGCATAGCAGTCGTTCCTGATCGCAACACAATTGAGTTGCGCGGACTTTTTTCCCTTCACTCCTCGGCTCCCTCTTCCACCACCCGAGCCCGAATGATCTTGACTTCGTCCATGGGCCGATCCTCGCCATTTGTCTTAACCAGGCCCATACGTTGGATGACTCGCATACCGCTCTTCACTCGTCCAAATATGGTGTGCTTTCCATCCAACCACGGCGTCGGCGCAAGAGTGACGAAGAACTGACTACCGTTTGTGTTCGGTCCACTGTTCGCCATGCTCAAGATTCCTGCGCCAGTATGCTTCAAGTCCTCGCGAATCTCGTCCTCGAATTTCTCGCCGTAGATGGAACTGCCTCCTCGACCGGTGCCGGTGGGATCGCCGGTCTGAACCATGAAGTTGGGGATGATGCGGTGAAAGATGACATTGTTGTAGTAGCCTCTTTGCGCGAGGGTTACGAAGTTCTTGCAGGTCTAGAGAGTTAACCGTCATTAGAGATGGCCTTGCTTTCGAGGTTGTGGGGATACGGACCTTGGGTGCATGGGTGTTATAGAGCTCAACAGTGAACGAGCCCTGCCGGGGGGTTAGTGGCAGGCTGTAAATGAGAAGGACATATAAAATTTACCATTGAGGTGTCAAATGCCACGTTTGTCGCCATGATGGATCTTGGGAGAGCAGTTTTGGGGGAATGCGATCCGTAGCAAGCAATGGAGAGAGAAAGAGTGTGCTGCGGGACCGAGAGGTAGAGCTTGGCGCGGCGGCTTAGAACCTCCGATCCAACAACCTGCCAACAATCCCAGCGGTTTGCACCTGGTGGCCACCATGGACTAAGTCGCTCTTTTTCGCTTCCATATTTTCGAAACTGGCTTTGCAGAAGCCGTTAGTCTGCTCCTCTCGCTCTCTCTGATTTAGCCAAGAACCATGTCCGAGCAGATCAGCCCCGTCGCGGAGCTGCTTGGGCTCGCAATCTACCACTTCGAGCGCCTCAAACCCCTTCTACCAACCTACGGACACCTGCTTGCTTCAGCGCTCTTTCCTATTTGGATCGGTGCGCATGCCTCTCTTTCGCGACCCTCCTCCGCCGCCAAACCTCCCAAGAAAGACACCGAGAAGGATGGAAATGACATCGACGATGACGAGTCAGACGAGGAATCAGGACCAGTTCAGAAGATGGAGGGGCTTGAGCCATCTGACGCTCTGATGTTTCCGTTGACTGCGGGTCTCACACTGGGTGGCCTGTACCTGGTAATTAAATGGCTGGAAGACCCGGCGATTCTCAACAAGATCCTCAGTTTCTACTTCTCCCAGATGGGCGTGTTCTTCGCCATCGCGTTCCTCAAAGACGCCTTGTTGATCCTGCGATCACTTATCTTCCCGCGATATTACCGCTCAGGCGGAAAAGTCTGGCATGCGAAGCAGTCAGAGCGTATATTTGTCGCTCAATCGGTGGATAACTCAAATGATCCACAACATGCCCGACACTCCCCTCTCCCGGGAATACTTGGCACAATTCCGTTACCAAAATCAGTGCTAGCATTGCTGTGGACCTGTCGCAATGTGTTATATCGAAGACTCCGGTTGCAGGCGCGCATTCGTGGTCTCTTTGATGCCAAAACTCTCGTGGGCCTCCTCGACCTTATCAGCGGGATCTTCGCTCTTATTGCTGTTGGGTACTTTGCCTTTGTGACAAAGCCTTGGTGGCTCACCAACTTCCTGGGCTTCAGCTTCAGCTACGGGGCGCTGCAGTTCATGTCTCCGTCTACCTTTTGGACGGGTTCGTTGATCTTGGGCTCTCTGTTTTTTTATGACATCTATTTTGTCTTTTTCACTCCGTTGATGGTCACTGTCGCCACGAAATTGGATGTACCGATCAAACTTTTATTCCCTCGACCACCGAGTCCTGGTCAGGAACCTGACGTTCAGTCGTTGGCTATGCTGGGCTTGGGAGATATTGTCATTCCTGGCATGATGGTTGGATTGGCCCTGCGTTTCGATCTGTTCCTTTACTATAGCCGGAAAGGTGCCCAACAGGCCCGGATGGAAGGCTCCAGCGAACAGACTGTCAAGCCCCAGTACCAACGAGCGACCGGATCATGGGGAGAACGATTTTGGGCGCCAGCGGTAAAGCCGCTGGAACCGGAGGTCAATCCTCCCTATCACGATGCTCGATCTTTCCCCAAAGTGTACTTCAATGCCAGCATTGTTGGGTATGTTGTTGGAATGATTACTACTCTACTCGCCATGCAATATTCCAACCATGCCCAGCCCGCACTTCTTTACCTCGTCCCAGGCGTCCTGATCTCATTATGGGGTACTGCATTCGTCCGCGGTGAGACGGCCATAATGTGGGACTTCTCCGATGCCGAGGAAGAGGATGAAGAGAATGAAGAGGGTGAGGACAAGAAGACAAGCTCTGAAACGGCGAAGGGTGACAATCCTGTCCCCCAGGAGCAGAAGAGCCTTTTCGCTCGTATCTTTTCTTGTGACTGGAAGTCATGCACGTCGAGCTCAAATGAGCTTGTGCAGAAGAAGGCCCAGGTTGAAGAGGACAAGAATTCGGAGAATAAAGACGAAAAGCATCATGCGGCTGCTGAGGGCAAGAAGTCTGAGGAATCTGATTCTGAAAAGCAGCAGGACAAGCACCCTAAACAGGACCTGGAACTAGTCTCGTTTTCGATATCGTTCGTGCAGAAGTCTCACAACAAAGCCAATTCTGATTTTGCAGGACGCTCTGCCGCAGAAGGAGATGGGATGGTGACTATCCCCGAGACTGGCGAAGGCGATGAAGAGCCCCCACTGAAGAAAAGGCGCGGGACACCCAGAAAGCCCGGGATGCATTGATCACTGTCAATGGAAGGCAGTTGAAGGCGAGAAAGATGGCGAGAATAGAGCCTTGCGTGGAGGTAAATGCGCGCATGTGTTACGATACAGTTTATGACATCCTTTGCTCTAAATCTAGACCCTATTTCGATTGATCTTCATAGTGGTATCATATCATTCTCTCGTCCTCTACTCATTAGCATTGGTCTAACATGCGTTTCATCTCATCCCATCTCCGAGCTGAGATATCCACTAGTTGTCGAAGCTCTTCGGTATCGACAGTCCAGCCTCCGTGCTTCTCCATCTTCATGATGACCGTCTTCCCCTTTCCACCTTGCTCCTTATCAACAACAATGCAAGCTCGTTCCTGGCTCAGCCCCTCTTCGTAGCCATCCGGGTCCGCGAGAATCCAGCTTTGTTGGGAGCCCTTCTTGCGCTTCTGATCTTGCGCCTTTTGCTCCTCGGCATCAGGAATGACATTGGGACGCCATCCCGCCGCAGCGTCCGCCTCAAAGACACCGAACGAGCTTGCCACGGGCAAACCGCGCAGACATAGCTTACGGGCATCTGAGATATTGTCTGAGCAAAGAATGGTCTCATTGTCAACATCCCACCAAGCTTTGGGAAGCTTTGTATCACGGAGAGCGGCCAAAACCGCAGCCCAGGCGGCGTCAAAGGGATTTCCCGCGAGGGAGATGATCATGACATCAATGTAGAGGACCCAGAAAGCCTTGATTTCCCGGGGCTTGCTTTCGCTAGTCGGGCTGTGCTCGGCATCCATGTCCATCTGTTCATCCTCGTTGTGCCGCTCTGGTTCCTCTGGACCAAGATTTGGCGGTTGGTACCAGATGCGGAGGTCATCTGCCCGAACGAGGCGTGTGCTGTGTAGAAGGGAGAGGATTTGGTGGGAAAGTGACTGGGCGAGCGCAGACGGTGGCGCACCCGGAATGAAGCCCGGGGCACAACCAGTGCTCAAAGAGAGATTTGGGACGAGCAGATTGAGGTCTTCGATGTGGGCGCGGTCCTCTTCATCATCCTCTTCATCCTCTTCATCTTCCTCAGCTGACTTCTTGCCTAAGTCTGCTAGACGCCGGCGCTTATGAGAACCTGAAGCCTGTGATACGCTCCATGAGGCGATATCTTCAGTGTGTAAGAGCTCAGCACGAACGCCACATACAGCAGCCGTGTCGCCGATGCGCACCACAGCACTGCCATTAGTATGGGTTAGAGAGCCCGCATTGGCGGAAGTGACTCGAAATTGTGATGGAGCGCGGCCATTGGCGCGAATGGAGGGCTGGTTGCTCGCCGGCGGAGGAGAGAGGTGGGCAAGGAGGTAGGCGTGCGGTTGCAGGCGGGCAAATTGCGATGGCGGGAGAGAGAGAGATGGCGGAATTGAAGGAGCAACTTTTGCTTCTGGAGCAGCCATGATTAAGGGGCTTTGATGGCACTTAACGGCTTTTGGACTCTGAATCGGTCGACTTGGAAAAAGCGAGCCCTGGGCGGCAGAATAATTTCCTATCAAAGGCGGCATCAAGTTACCGCCTGAGGCATCACTGGAGCTAACGCGGTGCCCTGAACACCACCGAGTTCTCGTTTTACAACTAGATTTTTTCCACTGGAAACACCATTATATCTCAAACATTATCTACTAGGACACTGGCTTATTGAATGGTCTAATTCGAGGCAGCTGCTCCATCTTGACTGCACCCATTTGACCGGTGGAGGTGGTAAGACAGGCGGATTAATAGGACCCAGCGATGGTGATTGAAAGCATTTAATCCGCTAAAAAGACAGCTAAGTAAGCTATGAGGTCTTACGAACGGCTGAACAGCCTTCACATGGTACCTAGCGGGTTGATCGTATACGTTTCTGGCATTTCTTGAGGTGGATGCAGCCTTTGCAATGCAAGAGTCTCTTCATGAACGGTCCATAGTACTTTCCCCCCCCCGAGGAGATGTTATCGAAGAGGAGGCCACTGATCTTGGAACTCTACCCATCGCTACTTAGATTGGCCCATCCGTAGCCAACAAGCAATTTTCGTATCTGCAATTTTCTTATCTGCGCAAACGCGGCCGCTTTTCGAAAATCTCAATTCCCACTATATTGCGGTATATGATAATATAGCTTCTCATTTTTTTGGTGTTCCCTATCAATGGTTTCTATCGCTACGCACCAGGCTCTTTTGCTTCATGTCTCTCTACTCCACAATGGCTAAACGCGTGCTATCGGGGCTGTCCTCTGGGATTCGACCATATACTCAGTACTTCAGCCTAAAGCCATCCCTCCAATCATCCCTCCACCGGGTGCTTTCCAGTTGGGGTCCAACAACACATTTAAAGCATCATGAAGGTCCAAATCGGAGCAAATTTGGAAAGAGGAGCATATCGGCAAGAACAGCACAGATGATGAGCAAAAGAAAGAAAGAGGCTTGACTATCGGTCAAGGATTCACCACTTTTCGCAGGCCAGATCCAGGACTTGTCAGCAACACGCTGTGGCTAGCCGCTTAAGTCCAAATGCAAATCACTCAGATAGAGACGGGGAAAAGTAACCGTATGTCTCAACCAAGATCAATTGCCCGGTCATGCCATGAGGATGAACCAAGAGATACCGAGTACCTCAGTGCCCCCCGTCTGTCCCAACCGGAGTTTACCTTTCCAGACCGTTCTATTTTTATCCGTCATTCCCTTGCAGTTGCACCAATCAGGCCACACATCTAATCCCAGCTAGCTCCATCACCATTACCTGGGGTAGGCTCGTCAGTTGGGTTTCGGTTGAGAATAGCCGAAATTAGGTTGGATCCGATTGCTTCGCAAACCCCCTCGAAGACGAACTGTTTTTGAGCTAAGAAACTATGGACTATGAACGTGTTTAAGCGCCCAAACAGGAACAAGAATAGCATCGCAATGTGCCCCAAGTTTGCTCTCATGTCGCTGAGGAACTGTCGAGCCACAAGTGGATAGCCACTCCGCGCTAATGCGGCTCGATCACTCCCGTCACTCCAGTCACCTCCGCTGCCAGATGGCCGCCCCCGCTGATTGGACATCTCAGCGCCAAACCATCACACTTGCGTGGGAGCTTTTCCCTCTGCACACCGCGCAAGGGTTGTGGTCGCCCTGGCGAGACGCCCAGAGAGCCACTGATTACTCGGCCCACGGCTTGCCATGCACTGGCCGCCTGCGATTGGCTTGACGGCGAGCCTGCAGGTCCGGTTGATGCAGCGGCCTGTTCTCGTCACAGCAGCGATGGCGTACGGCTGCTTGTGCGACCCCCGCTTCATGCGTTCCATACATCAAGTTAAGATCGTCCCCTCCCCTCCGAGGTTCTTTGACCGTTCTGCCGCCACGTCTGTTCCCTCTGTTTGCCCGAGCTCCTGCGATGACTTGAGCTTGGAGCGGCTATAGATCTGGGAGGGTGCGTTTTTCTCTGCTTATTGCGATACCGTCGAGAGGAACACTGTAAGGGTAAGCTTGTCACTACACCGTTTGCTAAATGGGGAGAACGGCCGGGGCTCATTAGAAGAAATCGCGACAGGGTGCGATCTACAGTGAACAAGCTCCAACGAACGCTGATACCTAATACACCAAATCCACCATGGACTCCCTCGACTCCCTCAACTCCCTCGCAAAGCGCGTCAATGTCGTGGTCTCAGCTTCAACGACCGACAAGGAGCTGGCGGAGATGAATCGAGACCCATGGTCTCAATCCGCGAAATACGGCTACGGTTTCGTCTACTTTGCGGTCGTGCTGCTGGTCACCACCGCTCTTATCCGTTTCTACCATATCTGGGGCGACAAGATCCGAATCGCCAAGTTCAAGGAGCAGCAACCACCAGTATTTAGTGGCTCCCAGAACAATGTCTCGACGCCTGATGAATACGAACTCCCTAGTGCTGGCACGGATGCTTCCAGCGCGCATTTTTTCCCTCCGCCAAACCCATCATCGCCTCAGATCAAGCGACGGGAATCCCTTATCCAAAGAGTTATTCCGCTGCAGAGGGTGATCGCGCTGATGCGCTGGATCTTTTATCGACCTATGCCGGTTGTCAGGATCGGAAACCTGGAATTTGTGTTCCCGTCCCTGGCAGTAACGGTGATTGTGCTGGCCGCGCTGATTTTCGTGGCTTTATACTGCTTTTTGCCCCAACCCTTGTACTACTGGTCGATTGTCCTTGGGTCACCCCCATTGGCGGTCCGAGCAGGTATGCTCGCAGTCGCCATGGTTCCGTGGATTGTCGCACTCAGTACCAAGGCCAACTTCATCTCCATGCTCACCGGGCTAGGCCCCGAGCGGTTGAATGGACTGCATCGATGGTCGGCTTATATCTGCCTATTCCTGAGCCTTGTGCATATGATCCCCTTCTATATCACCCCGATTTGGGAGGATGGTGCTATGATCAACTACCGCACGTTCATCACGCTCCCCATGTATGTGTACGGCAACGGTCTTGCGGCGATCGTGCCGTTGTTCGTCCTGTGCGTTCATTCGCTCCCCTACTTCCGGCATAAACTGTACGAGCTCTTCATTTTTATTCACATCCCCGTTTCATGGATCTTTGTGTCGATGCTGTTCTGGCATACCAAGAACTTCCTGTCATCATGGGGTTATCTTTGGGCAACGGTTGTGATTTGGATCCTCACATACCTTATTCGACTATTCTATTTGAACTGGATGAATCCATTCCGCATGTCATCTTTCATGATCGGAGAAGAGTCAGCCGTGACATTGCTTCCACAAGGTGCTATCAAGGTGACCGTGCCCACACAGATGCGCTGGCGCCCTGGCCAGTACGTCTACTTGCGCATGCCGAGGATCGCCTTCTTCGAGAGCCACCCCTTTACCATTGCATCTCTCTGCAGTGATGACTTTCCATCCGAATATGGTGAGAAGTACCGTGACTGTACAATTGTTTTCCGACCATCCAAGGGGTTTACACGGAAAGTGTTCCACACGGCCTTGAAGAATGGCCCCTTCAAGACGTACACGGCCTTTTTGGAGGGTCCCTATGGCGGCATGCAGCGTGAGATGGCCGCCTTCGACGACGTGATCTTCTTTGCCGGCGGTAGCGGTATCACCGCAATCGCCAGTCAGCTCCTAGACCTGATCAAGAAGATCCGGGATGGGAAGGCCATCACGAAATCCGTCAAGGTTATCTGGGCACTCAAGAATCCTGAGACGATGGAGTGGTTCCAGGAAGAACTCCGAATCTGCAAAGACCACGCGCCAGCTGGTATTTTGCAATGCCACTTCTTCCTAACAGGCGTGAAAGATGAGCAAACCGATCGAGATCTCGTTCAGGAAAAGATTTACGGAATGCTGCAAGGCATCGACAAGCGAAACTCTGCATATATTCGTGAAGAAGCCGGCGGCGATGCAGAGAGGGAAAAGGAACTACGCCGCGAGAATGAGGACGGACTTGCTGCTTTACCTGGGGCATATACCGCTGCCCACATCGCTAATAACCGACATTATTATCAGCCAGGTATGGATCCCTATGCTGCGGTTGGGTCACAAGGGCACAGCAACAATGCTCCCTTCGACTTTGGATTCGGTACTCCTCAAGTCATACCACAGAGGCAACCCACGACACCACGCTATGCCTATTTCCAACCCGGGCAAAGGCGAGATAACTGGCGGACGGATTACTTCCGTCCCAACATCTCGCAGATGCTCACTGGCTACTCAAAAAGCTTTGGCCGCCGAGCCTGTGTCTTCGTCTGTGGGCCACCCAGTATGCGTGTGGAAGTAGCCAGTACCGTGGCTACGCTACAACAGCAAGTGATGACGGATCCGTCCAGAGACGAAATCTTCTTGCATGCAGAGAACTATAACATCTAATCTAGCCCTACAACTGTCTCTCCTTTGATACAATCTCTACATAGCTCGCTCGCTGCGCCTTTGCTGATTCGATACCCGTGGCGTTGGTAAAACTACTTGTTTCATGAATATACCCTCGAGCATAACCTGTACTTAATACATTCAAACCAAGCACATATACCCGTCATCCTTAAATGCTTTCTTTCAATTCTAAAATCAAAGGCCATTGATTACAAAAGCTCGCACACTGGCATTAATTACAGATTGAACCTCCAACTGAGATAGAACTCTAACTGATCCGTCGGGTATCCAAAGTCTATCGATTCGCTGCATGCATAGGGACAGATTACCTTCGTTGAGATTTGCTCCCGCCTTCTTCCCGGGCTTTGCGCTTCTTTGAGAGAGTCGTTTCATCCTTCTCCAGGACCCGCGACTCACTCAATAGCCGGACGCCGTGATCGCCCTCTTCTCCATCTTCAGCCTCGACCTTCTCCCACTCATCATCATCTGGGTCACTCCGAGCTGTTCTCTGGGAGGCATCTTTCTTCTCACTGACTAGACCATGATCTTCATCCCATTGCACATCCAACCGCACAATTTTCGCCCCCGAGGGCTGCAGTCGCCGATAGTATCCTTCCACAATACCTTCTTGCACCTTGAACCCACGTGCAATATACCATTTCAAGCCGTCCTCATTGGCTTCGTGGACGTGCGCTGTCACGGAGCGGATATTATAGTGCTTCACGATCTCAGATACCTGATATCGCCCATTGACATCTGGTGGCGACATGAAGACCAGTGAGTTCAAGAGTGAGGCAGCCACGCCATGGCCACGGTAGGGAGAGAGGAGATGTAGGGTCTGGATATAGAGGTTTGCCGCGACTCGGCCATGAACCTCTCGATTCTGATCTTGTCTCTCCAGGCGACATCGGATACCTCCAATCACTTTATCTGATCCAAGCGTGGCGGTGGAGTCGGGTGCAGTGGCCACAGGGTGGTCATGGTAGACTGCCACGCGTGACAAAGATGCGATGATAGGGTCCGTGATGGTGGTCGTGTAGAACGAGTTTGGGTAGCGAATAGGCAACAGCAAGCCAGTTATCCTTGTCAATGAAGGGATATGCACTGTGCGAATCGTCTCTATTGTGATGTGCGGGTGAGGAGTCGCATAACCCGCGGAGATGCTCCCCGGGTACGGTGTAAAGGGCTCGTGGGGGTCATGGTGGTTGGGCCGAGGACTGGCGACAGCGGACCGCGGCGGTTGCAGCGGAGGACGGTGAATCGGCGGCTGAGCCTGTCGAGCTGGAGAAGGAGACGCAGGCAAGCTCGAGGACCGTGCCGGGGCTTTGGCAAAGAACTGGTAGGCCATCGCGTCGTAGGCAGGAGGAAGAAGGGCGAATGCGGAGATGCGATAAGATAAGCCTGGTGAACAACTTGCCAGCCTCATCGCCGCCCGTCCTCTCATCTCCTCCCCCAGAAGCTGGATCAGCCAGCAGGCCCCCCAATCGGTGAGTCGATTGTTTTTGCTCGCCTTTGATCGGTCCGATCCAGGCAGCGATTCGATCTACCTTCATTCATTCTGCAGTGAACCCCCCCACCCCCTTTGAGTCGCGAGTCGATCGGCCCCATTTACGGCCTCCCCGAGGCTCATTTGACCTTAAACTAACGGCTCTCGCTGCGCTAGGGTATCCGTTCACTTCCGTCCCTTTTGCGTATTGGGCTTCCCCACACATGTTAAACACCCTGCACTCTCTCGGACCGAATCCGACATCACTGCTACCATTGGCACCTCCCTGCATAGATCCCCAGCATATGGAGAACTAGACCGCGACCCGGCGCGAAAAGGGTTTTGAACTGTGTCGCCGGCAGACACGGCTCACAGTCGTCGGCCATTCAGGAACGGACATAATCGAGGGTGACATCTCAGGACGACTCCGAAAATGGCCGACTCCAATACCACGGGCCGCAGGCCGACTTATCCTGCTGGAACGATTGCCAAAGTGGTAAGTGACGGATAATGCGCTCGCAATGCAGGAACGAAAGCAGGGGTTCTAATCTGTTTCATCCAGTCGACCGACATTTTGAACGAGACCTTCCACAACATCATCCATGACTTGGTCGCCAAGGTCCACCGAGAGGAAAAGGTGGCGCGGATGCGCTCCGCAGTTGTTGTCGCCCGACAGAAAGCTGAGGAAGAGGCGACCGTTCCGGACGAAACACCCAGCAAGACTGTTGCAGATGGAAAGCCAAAGGAAGTTGTGATCGACGCGGCCAAGCTGGCAAGCACACACCTCGAGACCGACGCCGCTACCTTTGATCGCGGGAAAGTACATCTGAAGGGCAACCCAATGCAGACCATCAAGGAAATCATCTGCCCGGACTGTCGTCTCCCGCGCCTTTCATACCCTCCAGTCGGTGCAGGCTGCCGACCTCCACCAGACCCGAACGGTGCTTACTGCGCGAGCGGACCATTGATCACACTACCGGGCCACGACGTCCACGGGAAAATGTTTGCGGTGATGCCGAACCCGAAGAAGAAGAAGTCCGACAAGGACAGCACCATCCCCGAAGTCCCGACCAGCAAGTGCCCCATCTGCCCGCGCTACTTCGTCATGAACCGAGTAGCTCAGCACTTAGACCGCTGCATGAATATCTCCGGCCGCGGCAGCAGCACCCGCAACAAGACGCCCACTGAAAGCGGCGCCAGCGGTGCAAGCAGCCCGACCTCGTCGGCACCGAAACGCCCACACGATGAAGACGACGGCAGCCCCAGCCCCACCAAAAAGAAGAAGCCGAACGCGCCCAAGAAGGGCGCCACCACAAAGCCCGGACCGAGCAAGCTCAAGAACTCATTCACGGTAGAGGACGAGGACGACGTCAAGAGTGAGAACGCGGATTGAGATTGAAGAGGGCTGTGACTAAACCCCTCCATCGGTGTTTGCTTCGTTCGTGTTTCCGTCTCGGAGTCTCCGGCGTTTTACTGATTCTGCGGTTCTATTGTGCTTACGGCGTCTCTGGATCTGGTTTGATCTACACAAGAATTTGCATAGATGATGATGATGATGAGGATGGGATAGGATTGTACATTACTTCATACCATACACTGGGACATGGTACAACATTTTCTTTTTGAATGTGATCATTCCTGGATACCTCGTAGGGCTGGTCTGCATGTACAGTAAGTTATAACGCAAAGGTCCATCCCAACCGCCGTTCTCTTACCAAAATACGGTTAGTATGTCGAATCTTTAGGAATGTTCTCATCTTTTATGTACATACTCACCTTTTCAATGGGCTTTACGGGATTTTTTCCGGAAAAGCCGTTGGGTTGGAAGCTAAGGTATGTACAGTTAGGTACATCATCTATAAAAGAGGCCTACATCAATAGCACAACATAAAAGACAAATATTTTCTTTTTAATTATCGGGGGAAATTTATTTTGTCTGGCTAGTACCATGTATGGGCTATATTCTCTGGTCGCGGTGTGTCTGAATAAACCAGCCCGGTAGGTGGGCCATTTTCCCATTGAGACAATTGCCTAGGCGGTAATCTGAAATCTGACTGTATTAGAAGGCGCTAGTTGAGACATTATATTCTTCATTATGTAGCTTTCTGCCTCCCATGGTGTGCTTTCTTCGTACGGGAGAGCCGCTCTAGGCCTAGACCGTACTATCTGTATCATCGCGTCATTCAAGCGGAACTCGGAAATTTGATTCGTGGACATATCCAAGCGGGCTCGAAATACGAGTCGCATCATTTCCGACATGGGGTTAGGATATATGTGCTTACTAGGTATGCAGCCCGATGGTAGGCTATCCGCGGAATAGGCTATCGATAGGCTATTCGGGATCTCGAAGTATATATGGAATCTACTTTTCACCATGAACATCCATCATAATAATCCGAGCAAGCATTTTCGCGATTGAACAAAGAGCACCATTCGGAAGCACCTGCAATCTTCCACGAGATATAATACAGCCATGTCCCTCCCCACCAAAATGCAGGCTATCATCCAGCCGAACGCTGCATCAGATGCTCTCACCCTCACCACTCTGCCTCTTCCGGTCATCGATCCATCCTTAGGCGAACACCTGATCCGTGTCAAGGCCTGCGCCCCATGTGCTGGAGAGCTGCTTTGGCCAAAGAACTTCCCTCCACCAAACCCGCGTGAGTTAGTCCCCTGCCCCGACGTCGCAGGGGTAGTAGTCTCCGGACCGGAGGACTCTCCATTCCAACCCGGCGACGAGGTCTACGCGCGTACAAACTACGTCCGACCAGGGAATGCGCGAGAATTCAGCGTTGGCGTCACCGACGAACTGGCGCATAAGCCCAAGGGTCTGAGTTGGGTTGCAGCAGCGGCCATACCGGTTTCAGCCGAGACGGCGTGGCAGATTCTGTTTATTCATGCGGGCATCGCTGTTGATGCGGAGACAGACTTCGCTGCGGCCCAGACCGCATGGAACGGGAAGAGGGTGCTTGTCACTGCTTCGTCAGGCGGCGTCGGGATGTGGGTCGTGCAGCTAGCTACACTGCTGGGTGCAGAGGTCATAGGGACATGCGGTACTGCAAATATTCCGCTCGTGCAATCTCTCGGTGCGAAGGAGGTGCTCGATTATCGGCACACCAACCTCCGTGAGTGGGCAGAGCAGCCCGGGAAGAAAGTGGATGTCGTGATTGACTGCATTGGGAGGCAGTCTCTTGAGGATGCTTGGTGGACTGTTCGCAATGGAGGTGTGGTTCTTAGTATCTTCCAGCCACCGAAGCAAGTTTGCCCCACGGACTATAAAGGAACTGGAGTCAAGGACGTGTTCTTTGTCATGGAGCCCGTTCGAAGACACTTGGAGGAGATTACGAAGCTGGTGGAGCTTGGCAAATGTCACGGAATGGTCGATAGTGTATGGCCACTAGACCAGTATCGAGAGGCGTTCAAGAGGTTGGATAGCGGGCATGCGCGGGGGAAGATTGTCTTTGATCTGTCGCTGAATCATTAGCTGCTGATTGGGGATGAGAAGAGACATTCACGAACCTCGAGAACTTGGCACAGGTAGATTAACCTATGTACTTTATGAATCAACTCCATTCGGTATCGTCTTTCAAGGCTTGTAACTCACTCGGCTTCAAACAAAGCAGAACATCTCTATCTCGTTTCTCCAGCTTTGGCAAAACGTACAGCAAGCCCTGGACGGGCCTAGACTGTGGCCGTCGTACCATATCTGGCTTGCCCAGATGACGGATTCTAGTTGTACGCAGCAACCTCCGCCCACGAAGGCTTCAGAGCGAAGGGGCATCGTATTTGCGAATGATCCCTTCTCCGCTCATTTGATCCCAGCAATGAGAAAATCTCCAGGTGGTCACGCATAGCTGTATGCTTAGTAATTCCATCAAAGTATTTTCCTAGGAGTGCACTAGTCAGAAGTCTGGGACTATGCTAGATTCAAACCGAGGGCTTTCAGGAAAAGAGGCGCCATACTTTTGGGCTGCATCGAGAGTTGAATAATATCTGCTATGCTGCTGTGCGTAGGTCACCTCAGATGTTGCGGGTGGAATATGGTGCAGGCAGAGGCACGGGCCATAGCCTGGCCGGTCAATGGCAGGGCACCCGAGACTTGACGGATGGAGTACTCGGAGCTGGCGTCGAATTATTCGGCATTGTAGCTGCCTCGCGGTAACAGTGAGTAGGCTTCAGGGGCGTTGTCGGGGTATACTTCGGGCATAGATCACATCGGAGCGATGTGGGGAGCTCCACTTGCAGGCCGTCACTGATCACTTCCGCCAACCTTCTTGCTGCTACCAACTGCACACCTTCACAGCCATGTCAGACCTTTCAGCCTGGGCCCTTCCTCGGCTCAGCCAGCTTCTCCCTATCGATGAAGAGTCGCTGAAGCAGATTATCGACTATTCAGCTACTCTACCGAAAGACGCTTGCGCCGATCACCTGAAAAACCTCCTCGGCGACAGCCCCGCAGCCCTCGAATTTATTGCCTCGTTCAACGCGCGTCGCAATGACGGATCTCCAGCGGCCTCGTCCGCCCCAAGTGTTACATCCGCCGCGAGAAATACGGAGCGGCCGAAGGGGAAGAACAGAAAGGAGAAGAAGCCGCTGCACAGTGCTGGTCCACCGCGCCGCCCTGACAACTACGGGGATGTGGGCGGAGGCTATATGAAGTCTCAGCAGGGAGAGGACTACATGTCTGCCAACAAAGCTGCATCGCATTCCCCTGGGCTCTCTGCGCCCGGCTCCTCTTCATCCTCTCGCGCTCATTCGCCTATGCCTGCCGCCTCCACAAAAGTTCCCCCCTCCGCCTCCGGCCCTGTTCTCTCCGATATGCTGCCAAACGTACGGTCGAAAACAAGCAAGACGAGTCGGCAAAGCGGTGGCTCTGCCAGCCCCTCGAAGTCGGGATCGCTCACCACCAACAACATCTCCGATCTGACGGCCGCAATTGCTATGCTGGAGGTGTCGACCAACCCGACCTTGGGCGCAGAGAAGCGCAAATGCACATGCTTCGCTACAATCCACCCACTCTTTGACCCCGCCCCCAACTGTGTCAATTGCGGGAAGATTATCTGTTCGCTGGAAGGTCTACAGCCGTGTTCCTTCTGTGGCACACCCCTCCTCTCTGCGGAGGAGATCCAGAGCATGATCAAGGAGTTGCGTGCCGAGCGTGGACAAGAGAAAATGCGCGCTCATAACGAGAGCGTTCACCATGAAGGGGGACCTAGACCAACTGGCTCTGGACCAGCCCCGCCCCCGAGCCATCTGGATGCGGCGAGGGCTCACCGTGATAAGCTGCTCCAGTTCCAAGCACAAAATGCCCGGCGAACCAAGGTTGTTGACGAAGCCGCCGATTTTGAGACGCCAAATGTGGCCTCGACACTGTGGATGAGTCCTGCGCAGCGAGCGCTTGCATTGAAAAAGCAGCAGCGCATCCAGCGTGAGCTGGAAGAGAAGGCTCGTCCTGAATGGGAGAAGAAGAAGACGGTCATGAGCCTCGACATCAAGGGCGGGAAGGTTCGCCGGGTATACCAAACCGCGGCGGTCGAGTCGACTCCGGAGGCCAGCGAGCCGGAACCCGAAGACGTGGTCGAGCCTGGAGCGTCAACGAGAGGAAATGCGTTCAGCCGAAATCCGCTCCTGGCCGCCGGAGGGCTAATGCGTCCCGTCTGGCGCGCCCCCGAGGGCAAGGGGGCTGATTCTGACGAGCAGGCAGAACGGAAGCAAACGTGGCGGCGTGTGCAGGATGATAATGACGATAACGAGCAATGGATTTTGGATGGTGGGTTGCATGGACCTGATGCTGAAGCGGCATGATCCGATCAGCCACGTCTGACAAGCAGATTTTGTACATCTTGTGCAAGTGGATTTACGGATAAGTACGACTGTCATTACATCCGCGTCAGTGGATCACCCGTTATCTCACCAAGGATCCCTGCATGGGCGACTGATTCGGGCATTGGATCCCATCATCCACAATCCATTCTGATCCCTGCTGCCGAGACATCCCTCCTCATTACTGTTCAAGGAGGTGTGCAGCAGGCCCCTCGACCCTGCACGGCCTAGGCCACACGCCACGGGGTAGCGGATAAAGGGCTAGCGATAAAAGAAGTCGGGTACTAGCGGTATGACCCCCGTGGGGCAGGTGGAATCCGCCGGGGGCCATTTCCTCAACGGCGATGCACACGCCTTCTATAACCCATAGATGCTGCATTATGATACCATAGTTTCACAACATCCAATCTCCATTACTCTGGAGTCAATTGACATATGGCCCTTTCTTCCCTATTTCCCTGCACAACGCCTCGAGCGAATGGGCAATTAAGCATAACTCATCCGCATCCCCAGAAAATTGTGGGGGTCCCGGAGCTTCAACCCGCAACGAATAGTCATCCATCACCCCAATATTTATTCCATGTTTCACCTGAACCAAAAGCAAGCTCCAATACCCGGGCATAGCCGCCAGCCAGATAAGCGGCCGTCGGAGTGACCAGGGAGAGCGAGTCGTCCCAGTCCACCAACGCTGATTCCCCCGGATTCATCGTCATCGAGCGCCGAGCCGCGGCTGGGCGCGGGTACCCTCGGTGGAACGCATTCGGAGAGTATATAACTTTCCCAACCCGCTGGAACACCGCACAAAAAGCGAAGAGCCAGAAATTGAGTGGATGCTGTGAACCCCCGTCAAAGATGTTGGTTGAGCCGGTGCTGAAGCAAATGACCCTGCAGAGGGTGGCGGTGGACCTGCTCGGCGTGGTGAGCGTGCTGGTATGCCATTTCATTCCGATTCCAACGAATCTCGGCCGCATGCCCGTCTGACATCTGACAAAATGGACAGACAATCGCCTACGTGCTCTACAACCGCCTCGTTCACCCCCTCCGCCGCATCCCGGGTCCCTTCGGGGCCTCTATTACGCCCTGGGTGCAGCTTTACCATGGACTCAAAGGTGATCGCCATCTGTGGCTGCACAAGCTACACGCTCAGTACGGCACGCACGTGCGTGTCGCACCCAACTTTGTATCTGTCAATACCGATCGTGGACTGCATGATATCTACGGCCACGGCAAGCGGTTTCAGAAGGCCGACTTCTATAACGCGTTCCCGGCCATCAAGGGCGTGTACAACACGCACAATGCGATTGATAAGACCATGCACGGGCGCAAACGGCGCGTTCTCAGCCAGGCGTTCTCGGACAGTGCGTTGAAGGGCATGGAGGATGTGATGCTGTTGCATGTGCGGCAGCTCTGCGCGGTACTGGCGGGTTCGTCCGGAACCGAGGCTGGTAATCGGGAGAGTGGTGATCGGAAGGGCGTGGTGAGGAATATGGGAAATTGGTTCAGCTATCTGTCCTACGATGTGATGGGCGAGCTTTGCTTTGGGAAGAGCTTCGACATGCTTATCGCCGACGGTCGCCGGCACATGATTGGGTTGGTGGATCGCGCTGCGAACCGACACTATGTGGTGAGTGTTGGGCTGTTCTCTGCGCCGGACATGGTGATTTTCTTCGGTGACGCTAACCAGTGGCTGCAGTGTGGGCTGTGGATGCCTTTGGACCGCTGGCATCTCGACCAGATCTTCATCCGCAAGCTGACCCAGGACCGCTGGAACTTCATCATGAACTCACGGGTGGAGGCGAACAAGCGCGCCCAGGAGCGGGCCCAGGCCGGCCGGGAAGCCAAGAAGGACTTCTTCTACTATCTCCTGAACGCGAAGGACCCGGAAACCGGCAAGGGGCTCAGCACGCCGGAGCTGTGGGGTGAGGCCAACGTCCTCATGATTGCAGGCAGTGACACCACTTCGACCACGTTGGCCGCCACGCTCTTCTACCTGGTCCGCTCCCCAGAAGCACTGGCCACGGTAACCAGCGAGGTCCGCGGCGCCTTCGCCGCAGTCGAGGACATCGTCAGCGGCAGCAAGCTCAATGAGCTGGTCTACCTGAAAGCCTGCATCGATGAAGCCCTCCGCCTCGCACCCGCTGTGCCAGGCGCCCCACCCCGCGAGGCGATGCCGGGCGGCGCCGTCGTCGACGGCGTCTTCCTCCCCGCCGGCACCGACTGCGGCACACCCACCTACTCGATCCACCGACAGGCGCAGTACTACCGCGAACCAGAGACATTCATCCCCGAGCGCTGGATCGAGGGCGCGACCTGCAAGGCCTCGGGCACCTCGTGGGAGAGCACCAAGGAGGACATCGAGACGGCGCGCCGGGCCTTCTGCCCGTTTAGCATTGGGCCGCGTGGCTGCATTGGCAAGAGCATGGCATTCATGGAAATGCGACTGACCCTGGCACGACTGGTCTTCTTATTTGACATGTCGCTGGCGGATCGCCAGGGCGAGGATGCGGGCGGCCATTTGGCGCTGGTGGATCACTTTACCAGTGCGAAGGATGGGCCGAACGTGGAGTTTCAAAAAGTGCTGCCGGTGCAGTAAACAGACACGAGATGCAATCAGCAATGAACAATGAGCCATGTAATAACATAGAATGGGATATCATGCGACCATTGTGGGTCCAATGAGGACCAGAACGGGGTAGACGAAGCGTAGAAGTCAAGGTTGCGGTTGGAAGTACTTTCGTATGCGGGCTGACTGGTTACTCGCGCCCGACAGGACACGGTTGCGCGTCTTGGCACGCCCCGCTCCACCCTCCACGCCCTCAGGGACCCAGTGGAGATCTCTCGGTCAGCCCAGCCATTTTGAATACAAAGGCCCATGGGTGAATTCCCTTCATGGCTGATCCCATGCACCGAGAATGCCCTCCGCCCTGACCGTGACGTTCGTGCAATCGACCGTCCTCAATGCCATCTCAAACCTCCTGGCCCAGCTGATCGACCAGCGCAAGAACCCTGTAAGCAAGCCCCCCTGCAAATAAGACAATAGAAGAAGCGGAAGTAAAAGCAGAAGCAGCAAGCAGAAGCAGAAAGCAGAAGCAGGAGACCCCAGCAAACTAACCAGCTACGCAGACTCCTTTCACACTCAACACGCTCGCGCTGCTCCAATTCGTCACGTATGGCATCCTCATCGTGCCCGTCAATTTCTACTGGCAACGCGCCCTAGAGGCGCGTTATCCAGGCTTTCCCTCACGGGCCGAGATCTCGAATCTCTTCCGCTCCTGGCGGTCCCTCTTCTCACTCTCTGCGATCTGGTCTTTCCTCTCCTCAGCCTTTTCATCCGAGGGTGCGCCCCCGGCGAGCGAGGATGCGCTGCCCGGCCCTCGCGAAAAGGAGAAGGAAAGAGAGGGCCGCTGGATGCCGCGGGCGCAACGCTCGGGGCTGCATAGCTTCGTGATGAAGTTTATGTTTGACCTGACGGTGGCTGGGGCGATGAATATCGTGCTTTTTGTGGTTCTGATTAACCTTTTGAAAGGGCAGAGTTTGGGCAAGGTCTGGGAGTTGGTGCTTGTGGTATGTTGTGCCTCCTTTCCCTCTTATATCATCTATGGGAACGCTTTCCTGGATAGAAGCGTGAACAGTGCTAATTGGGACTCTCCTAGGACTTCCGGCCCATCATGCTTGCCCGCCTCAAATATCGGCCCGTGGTCTCTACCTTGATGTACACCGTCATTCCTGTGGACCGGCGAGTCGTCTTCGGGAGCGCCTGTGGAGTGCTCTGGGGCATTTATCTTAGTTTGTACGCGGTGGTTTAGGCGCCTGGTTATCATTTTCTTTCTTCTCATTCTTGTTCATGGGCATATTTCGTCCATCAGCGATCCTAATCTCCGCGGGCATAGAGCAAACACTTGGATCTTTATCAACGTTCGTTTAATAACATATCGGATACGATGGGTGTGACGTTGGAGGAAAAACTATACGTTCCCAGATAATCATGAAATTGTATTTCTTAAAAGTACCAAGGTATATAGAGCCATGCTGTATGCCAGAATCCGAGCCAACGGCCATTTAGATCACTTGACAGCTAAAAAGAAAGAAAGAAAAGAATATGCAAGAAGATGGGGTAGAGGATATCAAGTAGTAGGGGTGAAAGGAAGGAAGGAAGGGTTGTTTTTGCTTGACTGGCACGGTCATTTCTTCAAACCGGGGCCATTTCAACCTTCTTCCCCTTCACGGAGAGCCATTCGATGAAAATAGGTCCGAAAAGAGACAGTGCGCCCATGGCGACAGCCACATAGAATGTCTGTGTGATAGCGTCGTTATACGCAACCAGGACGCGCTCCAGAACAGGTCCTGACACGACGCTGCGCAGCATCGTTGCACCGGCAGACACCAGCTCCGCGGCGTTGGCGCTGGGCGCATCGACACGTAAATTCTGGAAGAGCTGATTCTGGAAGACGTTCTGCGCCACAGAGATGAAGATCGAGCCGCCCAAAGTCTGGGCGAACATCACGATGGCGGTGCCACTGGGCACGTCGCCAGCGCTGAGGGCAGTCTGCGCCACGATCATGGGCTGCTGCATGCCCAGGCCAAGGCCAATACCAAAGAGTGCCTGATAGCCGATCCATTTGGGGTGGCCCGAGTCGACTTCCAGCGTGGAGAGCAGGCCGGCGCCGATGGTCATGATGATGGAGGAGGCGATCATGAAGGGCGTGTAGTAGCCGCAGGCTGTGACGAGGCCGCCGGCGAGGATAGACACGACCACGACGGAGATGATCGTGGGGAGGTTCATGATCCCCGACTTCACAGCGGTGGCGCCCTTGATGGCTTGGAACCAGATGGGGAGCTGTTTACTATTAGCAATGGACAAGGCATGTTTCAGTGAGAAGGACGGACATAGTAAGTCAGAACAAAGTATGCTGCGCCAATGGCCAGCGCATACCAGGCCGACCCCCAAACGTTGCGATTCTTGATCAGTCTCGGGGGCACGGTAGCACGCTCCTGTCCCCACCACTGCAGCCCAATGAAGACAATAATCAGCACGCCGAAGACAACAAACAGCGCGATGATGCGCGCGTCGCTCCAGGGGTACTTCGTGCCACCCCACTGCAGCGCGAGCAGCAGACAGATGATGGCGGGCAGGAAGAACAGCGAGCCAAGCAGATCAAATTCCGCAATCTGCTCCTTCCATCCCTTCGTCGCCTTGAGCGCCTTGGGCGCCTTGAAGAAAAACAGGATGAAGAGGAAAGTCACGGCGCCAATGGGCAAATTGATATAGAAGCACCATCGCCAGGTAACCTTGTCCGTAAATGCGCCTCCCATACTAGTGCTGGTCAGCTAGGTCCTCGTGGGATTCTAAAGGAAATTAAACATCAGAAAGAAAGACATACAGCGGACCAGCCACACTTGCAATTCCAAACATCGAGCCCACAAGACCCGTATACATGGGCCGCTTCACCAGGGGCACGCTTTGGGTGATAATCAGAATGGAGCCCGAGAACAAGCCGGCCGCGCCCAGACCCGCAATGGCACGGCCGCAGATCAGGCCGACGGAGTTGGGCGTGACGGCGCAGACGAGCGAGCCGACCTCGAATATGCAGAGGGCAAGCAGGTAAATCCATTTGATGGAGTAGAAGGTGTAGAACTTGCCGAACATCAGGGTCACGGCGCAGGTCGTGAGGAGGTACGAACTACCATACCAGCCGACATCGTCAAGCGAGTTGAACTGGTCGGTGATCTTTGGGATAGCGGTCGCGATGATCGTATTGTCCTGAGTATCAATGTTAGGGCAATGATGTACCGACAGACTGGAGGCTCCAACGCCAACACCAACGTCAACCTACCAATGCCACACAGAACACGCAGCAACACAGGGCGATGGTGATGAGCACCAGCCTCATGGCTGACGGGTATTCAGGCTCGGGCTCGTCTGGTTTGTCCTCGACATCGCCGTCGCTGGAGCTCTTGTCCTCCTCCTTCGCCGCTTCCTTCTCCGTGTCGTTCGTAGGCAAAGGCTCTTTACTTGAGTCCTCCTTGACAATCACCTCCGGTGAGTCATTGCCACTGGCAGCATCGTTGTTGCTATCATCCGGACCGCTCGAATCCCGAATAGGCTCGTCGACGAGGGTACTTTCCTTCTCGCTAGACGGCTTCGATGACTTGCCCTTCTGCGACAGCACATCTGTCCCAGACGACTCATTGTGAGGAAGTGTACTTTGATTCCCATGCGCAAACAGTTCCACGCCCCCCCCTTTGGAGGCCTCAAATAAATTAAAGAGAGTGGGCATTATGGGATAGTTTGCTTGGAGACCCCGGACCGACGAGCAAACAGGATATTAAGAGGGAACGAAAACAAAAGGAAGGGAACAGGATATGGATACGACGGGCGGGAGATTCACAGGTCGGGCAGACGCGACTAATAAGACAATCCATGCGGCGCGCAGGTCGCGCAGGATTGGCATTGGTAACGCAACCGGCCCTGGGTCCAGAGTACAGGTCTCAACATGGGCAAGGGCGACCTTGCCGATGCAGCCAGGCATAACGTGGGTTCGGCCAAGGGAACAAGAGGAGAGCAGGACAGGACAGGATTACCCGTCGCACAGCTCGTCCCCGTTCAATCCCTCATTCCATGTGGTGGAAACCTCCGGGACCATCTCTGCAGATGCCAGACGGAGGATGTACGCATATTGGTCTGCAGTAGTTTGTAGCACTTGGGATTTCCGGATCATGACACTTTTTGGCTTCCTTGCAAAGTCTGTGTTTAGCTGGCCTGCCACTGAGCGAGTCGATCATCGCTCAGGTTGATCATGCAGCGGCCGGCAGATCGAATTAGCTGGGGCGAAGTCACGTCTTAGCCGCAGGCCCGGCGGGGGCGCATCGGCCAGGAGACCATGCAAGGATCACGGAGCTAGAAGCTGCAGGTCTGGCCCTGCAGCCCTGAGGACTTGGCGGCCGATGGGTGGGGAGACAACAACTAGTGTGAATCCCTTGCTCTCCGCCATAACAAGGGCATTATCTGCCATGATCGGGGAGGGGGGGGGGGAAGGGAGAAGAAGCAGGGAGGGCGGAGAGAGGAGGGAGGAGGGAGGAGGAGGAGGAGGGAGGAGGGAGGAGGGAGGAGGGAGGAGGGAGGAGGGAGGAGGGAGGAGGGAGGGGATGGGGAGGTAAGAAGTCTACGCAGTACCGGGAACGAAAGAGTGCATGGAGTGTGTATAGAGTATCTTGTATATAGAAGCTGAACGGTCTATCCCTGGAGCTCCGGCCGGGGGTTTATAGGTCTAGATTCTAGATTCTAGGCACAGCATCCGATATCACCGTCGTAGCCTGAACTCGGATGTTAGCAACCGGCCGGTCAGACTCGGACACGGGGACGGTGTCTCTCCGGTGGATCCGTAGTTTCTCAGACACTGAGGTTCCCAGTCTATGCGCAGGAAGGGCTGGGAAAGGGATTGAGGGAATTGTCGTCTGTTGACTTGTTCGACGCCGACGGGAGGAAAGATGGCCCGATCGGTGCCAGGAACAGCTTAGTCTGCCTGAGGCACGAAACTTTCTTCAGCCACGCTGACAGGTGCTAGCCGAAAGGAGTTTAGCGGCCCCCGGAGACAAAGACGATGCGCGGACTTTGGAGTTAAGCTTGATTGCTTGCTGGTGCCGAAGCAGCAGGTCGGCATTGGTTGCCCGCAAGTTCCTCGAAATGGAGTTAGTCCATAACAAATGTATCAAGTGTGCACTGTGAGTAATTGATGTACTAAGCTTGTTGGATTCAGGCCAACAAATGAAGACTTTCTTCTCGATGGCAAGATATGATGCCGCGACCGGTGTATGATATATCACCCTGGTCGACGGGAAGGTCACTGGAAGCAGTCGAACAGCAGCAAGCAGATACCATGTGGCCTGCTCTAATGTGTATCTGGAACTCATTCCGATCCATCCCTTGACCGAGGATGCATAAGGGAATACTCCCAGCGAACACAATGACATCATGAAGCATCCGTCGACCGAACTTTGCGGAGCTTGTCGATTCATCGGACCAAGCTGTTAAATCCGGATGACACTTGCATGGCTGGAGGCAAATCCCCAGCATGCCAATCCAGTATAAATGCGAGCAGACATCATCGTTCAGAACCTCTTATCCATCAGTTCAACTCAATCAACTACCTCTCCTCAGTCACCCAAATCACCTCAGTCACACCAACACCACCAACAGTCCCCAATAATTAACCAGCAATGGAGGAAATCTTCGCACCACCCCCTCAGCCCGCCACCCTTCTGGGCCGCTACCGTGTGCTCTCCTCGACCGCCGGTATCCGCGTGTCCCCTCTCCAACTGGGCGGCATGTCCATCGGCAATGCCTGGAGCAAGTTCATGGGCAGCATGGACAAAGAGCAGTCCTTCAAGCTGCTCGACGCCTACGTCGCCGCGGGTGGCAACTTCATCGACACAGCCAACAACTACCAAGACGAGCAGTCCGAGGCCTGGATCGGCGAGTGGATGACCGCCCGCCAGAACCGTGACCAGATGGTTATCGCGACCAAGTTCACCACCGACTACCGCAGCTGGCAGCTGGGCAAGGGCAAGGCGCCCAACGCCACGGGCAACCATAAGCGCAGCATGTTCAACAGCGTGCGCGACTCGCTGCGCAAGCTGCAGACCGACTACATCGACGTGCTGTACCTGCACTGGTGGGACCACACCACCTCCATCGAGGAAATCATGGACTCGCTGCACATCCTGGTCGAGCAGGGCAAAGTCATGTACCTGGGGATCTCGGACACACCCGCATGGGTGGTCTCCGCAGCGAACACGTACGCGCGGGCGCACGGCAAGACACCCTTCTCCGTGTACCAGGGCCGGTGGAACGTGATGCGGCGCGACTTTGAGCGCGACATCCTGCCGATGGCGCGGCACTTTGGCATGGCACTGGCGCCGTGGGATGTGCTCGGCAGCGGCCACTTCCAGACGGCAAAGCAGCTGGCGGCGCGCAAGGCGAGCGGCGAGGGCCTGCGCAGCGTCATGGGCGCGGAACAGACCGAGGAGGAGCGGCGCATCTCGGAGGCTCTGGAGAAGGTTGCGGCTGAGCATGGCACCGAGTCCATCACCGCTATTGCGCTGGCGTATGTGATGTGCAAGGCGCCGATGGTGTTCCCCATTGTGGGCGGCCGCAAGATCGAGCACCTGCACGATAACATCCAGGCGCTGTCGATTCACCTGACGGAGAAGCAGCTCCAGTTCCTCGAGTCTGCGACGGAGTTCGATGTCGGGTTCCCCAACAACTTTATAGGTCCCAACCCCGCGACTACGGATGGACAGACTGGCTTGCTCCTCCGAACGGGTGGGTATATTGACTATGTGATGGCTCCTAAGGCAATTGGATATCAGCCTGGCAATTAAGTGAGAAGGCTCGGGGCCATGTATCTAGCTTAATTTGTATAATGAAATCTCAATTCACTATCATCAAAATCAATGATGCTCTCCTCTCCAGAATCACTTCATCGACACAAGAACCAGAATCAAGAAGGCTTATATCAAAGATATGATGATATTTTCGATCAGATCAGATTGGTAGCCAAGATGCAAAATGTGTACTGATATCGGATCCATGGATGCTGTTCCACGCCAGGAAAATGTCGGTGCAACGCCGTGCGACTAAAACTAAGCATACAGAAAAGGGAATAAAAAAAAATGGACCTAATGATACACCCTGCTGTGCGGACCAGACAAGAGCAGGATCAAACCCAGACAGAAGGGAAAGCAAAGACATGAAAAAGGTAACTCGGGCGCGTGAGAGTTGCGGATCCTATATTTTAGAAACTAAGCAGTCCTTGCTTATTTCCTGGCTGGCCGTCGGTTTTGAATTGCTGTTTCCAGCGGATGGGTCTTGCCATGGTGCCCCGGGCTATGAGATAAAAGAGGTCTGAGGATTGGATAGGGTGCGGTGTGTGTGCTCAAAAATCGAGCGAAGATGCCCATGGCATGTCAAAGACATGATCCAATCCTCTCCCGAGGTACCGGCCCAGTCAGTAGACCAACTACGCCACGAGCAAGGCACAACCAAAGGGAGGGAAGAGGGAGTGACGTTGCGAAATGCAGAGAACAAGCATCTGCCCCACGCTCATTTCTTACTGGGGTTCCGCAGGGTTTCGTCCTTGCTGGCCACCAACGCAATCAGAGCGGCACCAACACCGCTGCCATCCTTGGAAATGCCAATGCGAACCTTCTTATCGCCGGCAACACCAACCTGGGGCACCTCCCGCAGTGCCTCACGCATGTAGGCCTCGAAGCTGGGGTAGAACTCCACCAGGCTGCCATCAACACCGACATCGACGATCTCGTCGGTCTCCAACTTGCCCGTGTGGATGAGAATGGCAGCGAGGGGTACGGCAGCGAGGCGTGCGGCACGCTTGCCAATGGCGTGCACCAGTATCTTGACGGCCTGGCACTCGGTTTCGCTAGGGTGTTCAATCTTCAAGTGGTCCTTCAGCGCGGCCTTGACATCGACCATGTTCTTGGTGGTATCGGACTCGACCTGGCTCAGTAGGCTGGTGTCCAGACCCCATTGGCGGTAGAAGAGAGAGTCGGAAGGGAGAGAGACCTTGGAGGTCTTGCTGGGCTTGAAGAGACCCAGGGCGGGGTTGTTGTGCATGGCCAGCAGGGCGCGGCGCAGAATCTCACCCAGGAACATACCCGAGACACGCTTCTCGAACATCTGCACCCCAGGGTTGTTGCTGTCGGCGTCCAGCTCGTCGTCGTAGACGGTGGTGGGGAGCACGCTCATGTGGTTATCAAAGCTTCCCCACTCCGCGTTGATGATCATCTCGCCTGAAGAGGTATCATAGTGGGCATCCTTCATGTGCTGGAGCTTGGTGACCTTGTCGAGCTTCTCGACGTAGGCACCGTTGGTACCGGTACCGAAGATTGCGCCAAGCAGGGTACCAGTCTCACCGGGAGAGGTGTACGAGCGAGCCATCAGGGTACCGACAGTATCGTTGACCAGGGCAGCCACGCGGACCGGCAGGTGGAGGTCGTCGATGGCAGACTGGAGCAGAGCGCATACGTCGTGGCCGACGGCATCGGGGATGTTGAAGCCCTTGGTCCAGCGGATCAGGGTTCCTGAGTTGATGCCGCATTGGCGCACGGGGAAGCTGAAGGTGAAGCCTAGGTCGAACAGGTCCACCACGTGGTTGCCGTCGTCGCGCCGCCGGCGCAGGTGGGCCTCGAAGTGCTCATTGTGGTGGATGCGCAGGAAGGCCTCAATCTGACGGGCCAGGAAAGTGAAAAGGTCCTTGGAGGTGCCGGAGGCCATAGAGTTCCCGGGGGATCATGATCTTGGACTGAGTGAGGGAGAAGGTGGTGTCGCCATGCAGCTGGACGGAGCACACGCGGAAGTTGGTGCCCCCCAGGTCGACAGCAAGATAGAGACCCTAATCCTATGGTTAGCGGAGGGCTCGATTGCTGACCACGTGTGGCTGTCAGACTGCACCTTTTCTGTGCCATTGGGAACTGCGGTCACGAAAGTGGGAATTTGGCTCAAGGTGGTGTTTTCCTGTGCCAGACCCTCATTCGATTGCTTGATGTACTCGGTGACGCCGTGATTGACCTGGTCCGCCGGGTAGTCGAACTCACGCGCAATGCGCGCCGCCTCGTCCAGCAGCGCAGATGACATGGCGGGGAAGGAATTATAGATCGGACAGCCGACTGGTGGATGGTACCGACGAAGAGGGAAGATGTAGCCGGGGAGGGGGAAGATGCGGGCAAGAAGGAAGTGAGGAGAGGATTTGAACGAGAGGATGAGGGGGTAATGAATCGAGAGAAGACCACGGAAGGCGTGACGAGACGAAAAAGAGCATGCCAAGTGGTATGACGGCGGGGTCCATGAGGTCAGTCCGTCATACGCGTACGGTACTTGTACAGTACTTGTGATTTCATACTAAGCCACACTCTACCGCATGTACAGATCTCGTACCTCCAAAAACGAGCCAGTTCACCGGAGCAGGCCTACCCTACCTGGTCGCAATGGATCGTGAATGGCATTCAAGCCGCGTTGGATGAATCAATGAATGCTATTCACCCCCACCGCCAATCTTGAACATCGTATGCCTATATATGCCCATCTCTGCCCAGCTCGGAGCCGCGAACACCCTGGATGCAGCCACCCTTGACGCCCTGCATTCCATTGCTGGCAGGCACACTGTAAACCGAGGTTCGAAGAGCTCGTCACCAGCTTACACAATACACAAGCCACCTCCCAGAATTACCTGGCTGCCTTTTTTTTTTTACTCATGACGGCATGAATGACTTTCCCTGGAACTACGGAGATGACACTGTGGGGAGGGGCTATGAGTGGTCAGTGGCTTGGCCTCTCCATGGCACGTACTTCCCCGAGTTCACCGGTGAGCGACAGCGGCTTAGGCGGACGCGGGCAGACGGAGGAGTCGGGCGTGATGAACAGGGGACGGGAATTAATCCATAACCGTCAAGTGCCTGGAGACACAGCGTCGCGTGCAGCGCACAGACAAAGCCCAGTTACCCCAGCCGGGGAGATTGGGAAGTTGCATCCGAGGGGGCGGCTGTGGTTCATTGGACACTATGGTGTCTGTTTCTAAGTGTACACGGTATACATAGTAGCTCTAGGACGTCTGTCAAGGACGGAAGACTTGGTAGTCAGCAAAGGATCGTGATTATTTGAGACTTTCTCTCCCAAGACGCCATGGGGTTGCTGGGGTCAGTCTCGGGATCCATCGGGCCACACGGCTCATACTCTTCGGCTTCCGACAAACAAATGGGTTCGGCGGGCCCGAATGGTCGCGACTCCGATCGTCTGCACCATTCCCATGACTAACAGACCGGGGGGGAAAAGCCCGAGACTACATTCACTGACTATTTCCCCCCAAGGGTTGTTTATGGGTGCAATTTGGACCGTGGGAAGCCGAGTTCTGCAGTTGTTGATCTCCGTAACTAATAACTGTAAAATGAATGACCTTATTGACTAGCACCTTGTACTACTGTACCGCTGTACTTCCGTCTTTAGATTACTGCGATGACCTTACGTCAGACTGTATCGACAGGGCAAGTTGCTTCAAATATAGACGAAGCGGGTCCGGAGTAGGAGAGGCGAGTGATACACACGTCGCACTGGGCCGACGGCCGTCCATGAACCTCGCTGATACGTTTCGTTTCCTTTGTCCCCCACCACCCAGTTTAAAAAACCGACCGACTTGCAGCTCCATTGCAGTTGATTCAAGTTGGAATACTCAATGTAGCCCGAGTCAACACGGAATGTTTACAGTTGGAATTGCTGCATTCATACGGTACTTGGCCACTTCTTTTCGTGAACTTCTGCATTGCACTCTGAAGTAAAATCAACGCCGCTCAAATATAATTTGTCTTATGAGCAACGTTCCCACTCCTTAAAAGAAAAATGTCAACCCAAGATGATCGAAAATCAGCAAAGCAACGAGTCTCTCGCCCCGTTGATTTTTGATCGCATCATCTATAAACGCTCCAGTAGGGACATTAGCATCGTCATGTCGCGCGCTCTGGATAGCGTCGGTGTAGTAGTGGTAAGTGATCGGATCCACCTACTTATCTTGCAAGAGTCTGTACAACCAACCTAGTAAAGTACACCACTTAATGAACGTCCTCTCGCCGGGAGACGGCCAACTGGCGGGGATGACTAAACTTATCCCACGTGACCGAAGTATCGGAGCATCGGGTGAATTGGGGCGTCTCTCACAACCGCCCTTCCCTTGACTGACTTGACGGTATTCACACTTGCCAATCGGAATCATGGGCGCTGGCAGTTCCAAGCCTGTGGCTGGGGGTAACTCCCAACATGTCTTCTCCAGGTAATAGCTCCCGATGTTGATAATCCAACGAATACCCGGTGTGATGGCGGGAACCGGAACCACGAGACCCGATCAATTGAGCGCAATTGTTGCAATGCTCTGCAATTGGCACCATCGACCACCGTAGAGTTGGACTCAACTATGCGGCAGCATCAGCTAACATCAATTCCCGCGCAGCAACTCCCCCGTCCAATTCTCCTCCAACCTAGTCGAGGCCCTCCAGTCCACCTCCGAGGTCAGTTAGATCCCTCAGGACACCAGCTCAAGGAAGTGCACGCAACCCATACTCATCCATTCACATGTACAGACGGACTCCTCCCGCGCCACGGCCATCGAGATCGAGATCCAAAACCGCGTCGCGCAAGAACTCCAACGCCTCCGCGAGCGCGAGCAACAAACCCTCGCCGAGATCGAGAAGCGCCTCTCCGAAGTCAAGGACGACGCACTCCCCGTGACAGCCGCTACCGCCCCCCTCGCTGTCTCCTCCGGCTATCCAGTCGGCTCCTTGAACCTGGACGCGCCGCGGATCCCCTTCGCTGGCCGTGAGTACGACACCTCGCCGACCGTCGCTACGCCGCAGGAGCCCGCCGCACAACAGCCCGTGGCCAACCGGGAAATCTCGCGGGACTCGGTCATGAGCGAGATCGACGTGCTGCGCAGCCGTCTGGACGGGCGGAGGAAGCTGGTTGAGCTGGATGAGGGTGTTGCCAAGGCCAAGGCTGATGTGGTGGCATGTCTGCGGTTGAATGACCGGCGGCCGCTGGATTGCTGGAAGGAGGTTGATGCGTTTAAAAAGGAGGTTGCGAAGATGGAGGTCGCTTTTGTGGATCGCATTGTGGGTTAGACTAGCGACAGATGATACCGCGGCTTGATATGAAGTCTGTTTTCCATTGTTCATTTCATCTTCTTGCCGTGGATGCTGTACTGTATTGTATAGATTGTGCTCTTTTTTTATCACTTTTCTTGTAGTGGCCATGATTCTGCATAGGATGGAATTGATCCTGAATGAGAAAGCTATTGCGCATGATGGGTGGATTGTAGGAATGCTCGATGCATGGGCATTCATATCTCATAAAGGTTTTTACGTAGAGCCGCATTGCAGGGTATCATAAACACCAAAATATCCATCATACAAGCTCCCACACTCCCAATCGTCCGATCTTCTCACCCGCCGTCCGAACAATACACATCCTCCTCTCAGAAGGCTTCACGTTGGGTAGCAAAACCTTTGATAGCAGAATCGACCCAACTCCAGTCCCCTTCCCCTCAGAAAGATTGAAGTTCCCGGTGGTCACAAAGCCAATGAGATCCTCTTCAGTCGGGACTTCCAGATGCTCTGGCCCAGCTTCTCCGGGAGTCGCAAGAGTAACGAGCGAGTCGGGGAGTTGGCGATGCGCCTCCTCGTTGGAGAGTGCAGATTTTATCCGATGATGGATCTTGTGCTCATTGGACTTGCTGCTGGATGTGGAAGCAAGATCGAGCCATTTTCGGCGCAGAACTGGCTCTGTGGGGAGGCGATATATGCGCGCACAGGGAGTTGGTGTGCCGCGGCTGACGAGGGTAAGGTGGACTGTGGCCAGAGCAGAGGGGTCTGTAGGTGATTGGCTGAGATTATTGAGGATAATGCTCGTTTCGCCTGGGGGTAAGCGAGTATTGTGGATGTTGAAGGGTGGAATGGTAGATTCAGTCGAATCGGCTCCCTTCTTCGCAGAATCCTGGCTGGTCTGACTCTGCGGCGGTCCTTGAGCGAGCCTCTCCCAATCACAGGCCCAGCCATGTCCAATCTCTCCCTTGGGATGTCCATCACCCAGAACAAGACTGTCGAATTCAACGCGACGTCCTTTTGGTCGTCGTTCCCAAAGTCGTCGAGATTTCTCGGCCTCGTGCTGACTCCACTCCCAGCCAGCCCGAGTACCTGGGAAATCACCCGGGAACCATCCCTCTCCTGCCTCAAAGGCAAGTTGCTGCTGTTCCTTCAAGCCGCCGAAGCGCGGGGTTCCACCGCTCGAAAGCGGGTAAAACATGAGGGAATACCAAACCGGGGCCACGCATTTCCACGGAAGTAGTACTGTCCAGGTTCCTGGAACAGTATTCCGTTTTGACCGAGCCTGTGGACGGCTGGCAAGAACCATGACAGGGATTTGGGGGTCAGTGGGTTGTGCTGCAGGATATTTGCCCGGGCCAGCGAGAGAACGACGGCGGTTAATCGCCTTTTGACTTGGAAGCTGTCGACTAGCTGCCAGGCGGCTTGGGCGGTCGAAAAGAGAGGGCGGACCCTGCGTTTTATCGGGTGGCCATGTTGAGAGCAGAACAGCCAGGTCATTCATATGTGATTCGGTATCCGGAACTTTGAGACTGCGCGGTGGGAAGCGAAGGCGAGGGTCGGAGACAGCAAAAGATAGAAGGGCATTTGGCGGCAGCGATGATGGGTTGGAAACACCGAGTAAAGATGGCCAAGTAGCTTCCACGCTCTGTGCTGCTGGGCTGTCTGGTAGTAGGGCGGGCTGCAATGTAGCCAGGAGTGCTTCTGTAGACCCTGGGCCCGTGATTTCGATGCTCCCAATCTCGAACCGCAGGTCCTCAATCATGACAGGTGGGTTCTGTCGTTTCGAGGTCTCGAGCAGGTTCGTCCACAGCTGCAGGAATGCGGATGGGTGAACGCGGATGAAGAGCTTCCGTCGTGTTTTCGTAGGTGTAGATGAGCTTCTGTCTGTGTCGGTCATCTCAACATCCTCAGCCCTGGGCTGTACACACCAAACCAGCGTGACAGGTGCCATTGCTCTGACAGCCTGGTCCTTCTCGAATGTCCAAGCCTGCAAAGACCTCGTCCCAGCCCTCCACTTCCTTCCCTTCGCACCCCACGCCTCGTCACCATTGACACCGACTGCACGTAGAACAGCTTCGATGCACGGTTCTGTCCCTTCAAGCTGCACGGTAGACATATAACTCATATCCCACGCCACGGCGCCACGGGCGCCACGAGCTCGATGTGTAGGCCGATAACTCTTCTCAGTAGGCGAGATAGGAATTGCAAATCGCCAGATCGGATCCTTCGTTGTTGCCATATGCGCACGCTTCGCATGAAACATGTGAGTCGGGAGCCAGGTCTTGCATCGCTGTCGCTTGCGGTACTTGGAGTCCGCGGGCGGCGGGCGTGAGAGTTTGCCCTTCTTGATTTTCGGCACTCTGGGCGCAATGTTGAAAGTATGGGTTCCTTCTTCTTTGGAGGTGGCTTTGTTCTCGTTCTGTCGTTTAATCTTTGCGGCTTGCCTTCGGTTCTTGGACCTTGCATTCAAGGTTTGTAGGCGTCGAGCGGATTCAAGACGGATGCGCATCATCTGGGTTGGTTTGCGACGGCGTGCTGTGACCTTCGGCGTATTGTCCTCGACCATCTATCATTTCCCTCGTCAGCTATCAAGTGCTGTCCAATGCAAATACCACCATAGAACATACCTCTCGCTGCGCCCGAGCCCGCAACCTTCGCGGGACTCGTTTCACATTATGACTCGCCGTCCGACGCCGCAGGGAACGGGGAACCTTCTGGAACGCTCGGGTTGTCAGCGCATTCTTTGATCTCTGCATGCCATCCTCCAAGGCCTGGATTTCAAACGCCCGGGCGGCAGCGTATGCGGCGACATCGAGCTCGCCCGTTGCGGAGAGGGCGGCGTCGGTGGACTGTACGGCCAGTGTACGCGCATCAAAAGTTTTGGCGCGCTTTCGGGCGGCTCCGGTCGCGCCATGGGCCCCAGAGGGACCAAATGGCTTCCGTTTCGCGGGATTGGAGGCCATAGTGGCAGCTGTCGGAGTGTGTTGAGTTGAGCGACGTCGAGCGATAAAAAAGTTGCCGGGGCTTGGCGCGTCATTGATCGGCGGCCCCGCGGTACTTTATTTAGTCTGAAGAGGTACCAGTCCATTATTTTTCGAATGATTAGAATTTGAAATTTGAATATCGATTATAAGAGACAAGACATAGATAATTTATTGTTTGTATCAAAATAGTCAACCCATCGTCAGACCTCATCAACGCCGTAAACACAATACGTTGGTACACATTTTCGGGCTTCCGCTCACATCACGACTGCCACATGATCGGTCATGTACTTGCTGATATTGCCCAAGAAGCATGATGCCAGGATCGAAACAATACCGAATGCGATACTGACGTAATAAACCCATTTGTAGGACTCGGCATATGCGATCTGGCCCGCCGCGACTACCATTTGATACGCGGTCTCGTTGCCAGCAATACCGGGAACCTTCTGGATCTCAGTCAACAATGAAGCACCTGTAAGTTCAATGACTTCAGTGATAACCTCCACGCTAGTAATGTTAAGCTGGGTTACCATCACACCGCCAATATAGTGCTTCGCCGCCGGAACAAACTTTGAAATGAAGACGTTGTAGTAGATGGTGTAACCGACACTGCCCCCCACGACGCGAATGGAGAGCGTGAGAGCGGAGATGGTGGCGATCAGGTCATCGGGACAGATGATGGTGGTGATAATCGAGGCAGGAACGACAATTCCACCAATTCCAAGACCGGCCAAGATGAGAAGCCCCCACATCTGATAGAGATTGTCAACTCGACCAATAGCTAAAGCGCCACAACCTGTCATGAGGAGTTAGCGGCTTTTAATGTCACCAAGTCGATACAATCATTTACCAGCTGTCATAAGAACACTGCTCACAATTAGGAGCTCCTTGTTGTGCCCGCGGAACACACTCAAAAGGACAAGCACAATGCAGGCGCCAGACAAGATGCCAAAACCAATAGGCAAACTGCGAACACCGACATCAACGGGGTCGTGTCCGTATACATTGAAAGACTCCGTAGGCCAGAACATGAGCACGGAGAAGAAGTTCGCTCCGGAAATGAAGGTGATGACCAGGGTCAGACCAAGGGTCCGAGGTTCCTGCTTCAACCGCGTAGGGAAGATGGGGTATTTGGCGCCGTAAACTTCCCAAAAGCCGAAGGCAACCAGCATCAGGAAGCCGATAATAAGGGGGGCGAGGACGTGAGCGGAGCTCCAGGGGTACTGCAAGAAACAAGACAAATGAATTAGCGCAGCCAGAGGCAGCAATTTGAATCCATGCATACCATATAACCACCCCACTGCATACCAGCCATAAAGACAATCAGCCCGGTGATGCTTAAGAAGCCACCGACAAAGTCGATCCGGCTAATAATTTCCTTCCGGCTCAATCCAAGAGAGTTGACACGAGGAGGAGGGTTGTAGAAGAGAATGGTTATCAAAAGACCAAAGCCATTCCATGCACCGCAAAAGGCGCCAACATAGCGCCAAGTGCTATGGTAGGCGATGAGCTGAGCCCACAGGACAGAAGGGCAGAATGGCACGATGGTGAAAATCAGGACGGCGACATAGACACCACGCTTGCGGGTTGGTGCCATTTCCGAGGTTGCAGCCAGCGCAGTCAGCTCGTTAATACCGGCGCCAGCACCAGCAATGGCCATACCAGCTGGTTTATGTAGTTAGTAGATGCAGCTAAGTAGCTTAGCCAAGGAACTCGACCCACCGATGAAGGTATTCATTTCATGCGCCGTGCTGCTAACGATCATGCCAAGACAGACGAGACAGGCACCGAGGATGGCAACATAGCGACGACCGATCAAGTCGGAAAGAGATCCGACAAACGGACAGACACCTGCCAGAGCGAGAAGATTTGCAAGAACCTGTGAAGCCCAGGGGTTAGTGCTTAGATTGGTATTTGGGTGAGACGGGGTACTTACAAACCAGATCCAACGGTCCGCCCCACCAATCGATCCATAGATGTAGGGAGGAATACCTCCTGTTGAAGAGGTTAGCAGACACTTTGTGTGTAAATCGGGGTCGAGTCGTACCAAAAAGATAAACGGGAATTTGACTGCCAGTCCACAGGAAGGCCATGGAAGTGAATCCCATGAAGCGGCGGAAGGTCATCTAGATACTGCAATTAGTATTCGAATATTTATTGTAGGCCTCCAATCTCTTACCGGAATGTCCTTCTCGGACTCATGAAGCTCTACCTCATTGGAACCGCTATCGGCCACCTCGTGGTGGCTAGGACGGTTCTCCAGATCGCTGCTCTCCTGGTGCTGCGCGATGCCCTTCTCATCGGCATGCGCCGGAGTCTGATGGTCAATTGACCCAGTCATAGTCGGCAGGGTGTGTACAGCAATAGTACGATGCTCAGAATTCAAGACTGTCGCTAGAGCGAAAGACAGAAGAGAGCCTGAAAGGAGATCCCAGTGCCCAGTGCAGCGCTATCTCGGCCCACTCCACTCGAGTGGGGAGGGCAGCAGATATAAATCTTCGACAAGAAGGGATCCTCCTCATGAAACGGCCAGCTAGCACCGAAACAAAAGGAGGCCCCCCACCTATCTACGTATATCGGGGCAAGCCGTAAGCCAGCCAGCCAATCGGGGGGAATGCCCGCCATGTCAAAGTGAACACGCAATAGGAAGGAGAGCTTATAAGCGATAGCCGGGATTCCAGAACTCGAAATCAAGAAAATACCGAGGCACGCTTAGTGTTTCTTAGGTTGTCTTGTTTTTCCTGGGCGTCTTGGGGCCGAGCCCCGCCCTGGCGGGATGCGGAATGCGGGGAAAAACGCGGAGAAAGTGAATGCTATCATCATCAATTGTGGGCCTCGACCCCGTCAGTCCGGGCGCAGTACCGCAATCGGATCAGCCCCGAAACTGTAACCAGCCTGCGACCTCCCGAAGACTACGCTCGCCAAGATTCACTAGGTCGCGGTCTGCGCGGGTTGGTTGCTGACGGGGGCTTGCCTGCATCTTCAGATTGGGCGCCTTCATACACACGAATGGAACTTATGTACGGGGTACAAGGGAAAAGGTCTCCCCGCTGGATCCCCCTGAAAATTAACTAAGTGAAAAGAGGAAACAAAGTTGGAACTATGGTACATGACCGAGGTCTCGGGGAGGGTGTACTTGCCCCCTTTGAGCCTTGAGCCTCGATCGCCACCTTCTCGGTTAGGCGCAAAAGGCCCAAAAATAAAGGCATTTTAGATTGGTTGGCGAGTCTAACACGCCGACACTTGGGTGGATTCTTCCCACCAACTTATTTACTGGTTGAGTCATCGAAATCAGGCTGGCTTGTCTGTCCAATTGCCACACCTATGACTATGAGTTCATCACTCGGAAAATTGTCTAGAAGTGGTCGCCGAGCTTCGCCAACTTTAGCTTTTTTGGGACAACAAAGAGACCCGTTGCCTCAACACAAACACGGCCAGTCATGTCGCGCAGTTCGCAGGTGACATACGCCTTCCGGTCCGTGCTCCGCTCCGGGTCGAGAGTTGTGTGGAGAGACCAGAAGCTGTCCGAGTAGACAGGAGCGCGATAGTTGATGTTGAGGTTCGCAGTTACGCCCGTTTGGGCAGGGAAATGTCGAATGGCAGCGCGGCCGAGGTTCTCGTCGATTATAGTACCAAGGGCGCCGCCGTGCACCATTGTTGGCCATCCCTCGATACCCGATCCCATGAACACCACGCTAACCAGCTGATGCTCCTTTTCATTCCAAAAGACTTTCTGTTGGATATAAAACCTGTCAGAGCAAGCCGGGATCCCAAGGTTCGGCACTGGAAGAGCTCGGCAGTTGCTGGTTCATCCCTGCACATAGCTGCAACGGGGAGGCCCAGTGCGCCCGCCGAGCGATGCAAGCCGAGAAGCTCTAGCCACTCACCTGCAACCCAAAGCCTCTGCTTCCAGCCAGCGGACCTGAAGTCAGTCGATTTGCCTTGCTCTTTTCCGAGTAGTTCTGATAGACGCCCATTTCCACGTAATCGGGGTCCCTGCGCAGCCTTTGCACTATCGGAAGACCAACATCGAAGACCTGTTGGATGTCTTGCAACTGCAGCTTGTCCTCGGGCGTTCCAGGAGCTGGAGGTGCGGAGATCTTCTTGTCCATCCATTGTCCCACGCTAATCCCAAGTGCTCCGAAGATTCCCAGGTAGATAAAACGGCGCGTCCATCGCGACCGTCGGGCGGAGGTGGTGTGGGATGCGGCAGTGCTGACATTCCGGATAGGGTATCTCGGTGCAAGAGGGAACTGCGAGGTTGTATGCACTCGTGGTGCATGCGCACGGAGCGGAAGTTGTAGAATCCTGCGGGAATGCATTGTGGTCACATCGCCAGTCCGCTGAAGGATAGCGAAGCCAGAATGGATCGGAAAGCTGCGCGAGCACCGAGGTTTGAATCACGTGACATTTTAAATATTGGGGGTGAGAGAGAGGTGGAAAGTGTTTGGCCTATGTTTACCGAGGAAGAAAATATGAACTAAATCAGAAGATCATCAAATACCATAATTCAAAGTAAATTTCTGCGTCGACTCGTGGTCATCGTTTCTATTCATCTAGGGAGGGGTTCCTTGCTGGTCGCAGACTAGGGGGCGGAATAGTGTAGCATCAAGATCAAGATCGGGTAAATCACTCCTCCAATGCAGGAAGCTCAATCGCTCGGTAGAGTAGAATAAGAGCCGAGTGGGACTCGCCTGAGAGCCATGTTAGCGATATCATCAAGCGGAGATTAATTATGTATAGACTTACCACCACCAGAGAGAGTCTCGATTTTCTCGGCTTCTACCTCGGTCACCTTGTCATCGTTGAACCACCACCATTTGCCGACATCCTCCTCCTCGCGGCGCTTTTCTCCAGGCTGGGAGTCATTCGACTTGCGTGGCTGCTGCTTAACATACGCGGTGTAGTGACCGCTGTCGGCGCTTGCGCCCTGGTGGGTGATGACACCCCGGAGCTCATACAGACCAGACTGGTTGGTTCCGCTATCCGCAGAAGAGTTCTGGTTGATGAGATCAGAAAGCTCCTTCTTGGCAGCCTTGATAGCTTCTGTCTTCTCCGCCTCATACTCGGCATCGGTTTTGAAATCCTCCTCCATGGCGGTGTCGCCGTCCTTGTCGTTGGCCTTGCTCTTGTTCTCTGCAGCTTCTTTCTTCTTCTGCATCGGCTCTTTCTCTCCTCCGGCCTCTGCCTCTGCCTCCCCCTCCCGCTTTTGGTTCAGCCTCTGACGTTTGCGAGAACGCTCGATGTCCAACTCGTCCTTGCGGATCTCCCGAACCTTGTCGCGGACAGGCACGAGTTGCTTCCTAAGCTCCTCGGTGCAAAATTCCACAATATCAAGCTCGACTGGGAAAGTCACCTTGCGCATAATCTTGGCCTTCTTCTGGGTCTCGCGCTTCCAGAAGAAGCGCACAAAGTGCACGGCCAGGTATTTCGGCAGGCGAGAGATGCGCGACCGTTTCGTATATAGAGCATTGCGGCCGAGTGTCGGAGACTGCTTCTCTATCTGCTCTTCTAGGCCTGCCATGATACCATCCTGAAGGTGGTTGGTTTCCTTTCCGATGTGGCAATCTAATTTGAAGAAAACGTCAGAGGACTTGTTGGACTCTTCGCCGGCCTCTTTAGCTGCCAAATCATCGCACTCGGTGACAGAGTCGAATTGACCGGCCATGTACTTGTCGATAAATGAGACGCGCGGCGCAGAATCATCCTTTTCATCGGCAATGGTCAGCTTGTTGCGAAGTTGGTTCACGATCTGCGACCACGCTTCCTCGGCGTCCTGCTGTGCGTAACCATGTCCGTTACGATCCCTTTGTGCAAATTGGGGAAAGATAGTGCGAAGGGCATTGAGGAACATTAGAGGCGGGACGCCTTCTTGGGTCTCGGACATCTGCTTGAACAAATCGCGTAGCGAAGCGGCCAGATCATTCGAGCCGCCCAAGCCACTCAGACCGAAGCTGCTAAGGTCGGCAAGACCTGACTGACCAGATCGGCCGCTTGGCTGATACCGTTGAAGCTCTTGCTGCAACTCTGGGACGCTTCGCAGGGTTTGGAGGGTGGAGTTCAGATAGCATGTATTTCCCAGATTTTGTAGACCAGCGGGAGTCGCCCACTCTTGCCGTGCGACCTCGGCCTCAGTCATATCCTCATAAAATTTCACTGCCTCCTTAGGCCGGCCGAGATCCCCAGCGCCTTGGTCTCCAGACGGCGTGCCCATCATCATGAAGACTTGCCCTGGCTTGGCCTTGAGGGAGGCGAGGGGGGTGTCATCCTTAAGCTGACCGCCTTTCACCAACACCTTTTGTCGGTCGGGCTCAACACCTGTCAAGGAGAATAGCTGGTATTTCAATGTTTCGCCGTTTGCCTCGGGATCGAGCTCAACTTCGTGGCGTTTGCCCGCATGCTTCACGATGACTGGAGAGTGATTAGTCATCTCGACGTGAGCTACAAGGGCAACGTATAGGACTTACTTGGTATAGACGCCATATTTTCTGTTCGCCTTGGGGAGAGAAATGCTGAAACTGCAAGTAGTGATGGAAAGGTTGCCGAGAGTAGACAGCTTGCAGCTCCGGGGAAGGTGCTCGAAGGCCGTGGGGCAGAAAACAAACGCTACGTCACCGCCTTCCCTCCCGGCGGCTTGGGACGCGGAACCTCCGCCTGCACCCCTCCATCTCCTGTCGCCTAGCTTCACGTTCTCTACCGATTAACGAAGTTTACCAGGAACGACGGGATTTCGCAAGGCCTGCTGGGTCTTTATAAGCAATCGATTTTGCTTTGGGTTTTCCTGGAACCACAGAACGCTTCCTCAATACATCATGGTACGGCGACCCGGGCAACACCGCATGTCAACTACTAACCTCGACAAGTCCCAAAGCCTCCGCCCCTATTTGCAGTGTGTCCGTGTGAGTCTCACGGCTGCTCTTGCGGGTATGATATGATGGCATTCTTTCTAGCATGTGCGGGCCACACTAATTCACTACTAGTTTCGAATTTCGCTTCCCAAACCAGCGAGCGCCAGTACGATTACACTGACTCCGAACAAGCGAACATCAACATAAACTAACCAATTCCCTAGCAATGTCCCGGAGGTGGAAGCTGGAAGCTCTCCGGAGCTTATTCTGAACCCGGTCACAATTAGCCGAAACGAGCACGAGAAGGTCCTCATCGAACCTAGTCAGTGCATCCGTAACTTCTTTCCCTTCGCCTTCCTTTGCTAATTCAAAGCTAGGTGTCAACTCTGTACGCTTTTCGATCAGGATCAAACAGGCGGATGAGATCGAACACATCCTAGTTCACAAGTTCACACGTTTTCTCACACAGGTATGAGTTCCTTGTGTGTATTTGGTGTGCCGCATTGCTAACTGTGACCAACTAGCGCGCGGAGTCGTTCTTCATCCTGCGGAGGAAGCCCATGCCGGTGTGTACCATCGATCCGTCTTTCATCTCATCCTCTCTTCTAAGACTGTCTCCGACTGCACCTATTATACCCGGCTGTTCTTGACTCAGCCATCGCTACCAATACTTTTATACGCATGTCGCTGACAGATACGCCCAGGGCTACGACATCTCATTTCTGATAACAAATGCGCACACCGAGGCCATGCTGAAGCATAAACTAGTCGATTTCGTGATTCAATTGTGAGTTCATGCTATACGCCGTAGCTGTCCGACAAGGGGAGACTCAAGTGCTAACAACGAAATCAGTATGGAGGAGGTTGACAAGGAAAGTAAGTGTTTTTGCTCCCCAATCTAGATTCCCGAGAAAAGCCCTGACAGTGTGCCGCAAAAAGTTTCGGAGATGAAGCTCTTCGTAAGTTGTTCTTGCTCCTCTATGCTTCCTTTCCCTATCGGTGGCGACTAATGTGCTCTAGCTCAATGCCCGCGCTCGATTCGTAGCCGAATCCTTCCTAACTCCGGTATGAACACCTCAACGCCATAATTGAGAGGCCCTGCTGATGGAATTCTAGTTTGATTAAATCCCTGGCGTTTCCCCAGTTGCAGAGCAACTCCATGATACAATGACCTTGTGTTCTCACCATTCCTGTATTATACAGGCTGCGCCGTCTCGCAATGAAATCTTCCATTTATTTTCTGTCCAACAGACTTCTGCTTACACATCCTTCCAAATGTTCCTTGGTGTTGATTGACTTTGACGGATATTGGCGCTCGAGTACCAGTGCTTGAGGTAATAACGCTGGAAGCAATATTTTCGGCATTCATCACCTGGCGCATAAGAGCTTTGGATCTGTTTGCCACACAAGCTATCCCATAGCCAACAGGCCTTGGACCTGGCCATAGACAACGAAATTGCAGGCTTTCATCTCCGGAGGTAGACTTGCCGCCAACGATGGATTGCCAGCCCGATATCTTCGGCGTCGCTCCTTTATCTGCTGTTCGATTGCCTTGAGGAGCAATGCTTGTTCCTGCCTTATCTGTCTGGCTATGGTAGGTGCTTTCTCAGGTATATGAAAGTTAGGGTTGATAATTGCCTGTTTCGGAAGGTGGTGCGTGGCTGGTTTCCCTCCTTTCTTCACTACCCGTGTATCTCCACGCTTTCACCTTACTGCCTATCTGTCACCTCAATATCTCAGACCGCCTACCTCATTAATCTCAATCTCGTGGAATTACCACGCCCATCTACATATATCGAGGATGGACCAATCACAGCGACGCGAGGATGACTCTGGAGAGGCTCCTTTCGTACCTGTTTTGAATGGTTCTTCTACGAGCCTGCAAGGCGATGCGCAGGAACAACTCCAGCACTGGGAAAATTTCAAGTTTGCAGGACCGTTGACACAAGATTGCTCTACAGATGGCCACTCAAGCTCTTCTCCGGATGAGCCTCAGAGTGTCATGCGCAGCAATCCAGTTCTTGTTACTGCTTCTACTCTTTGCCACGAATCTATGCCACTGTTCCTCCACCCCCTGTCTTGTCCTTCGTCTCCGTTCCCTCCCTCCCACCCTGTCTCTCATCACGAACACATTCATAGCCCGCACCCTGAGATAATCTCACCACCATCTCAGATCTCGCAGGTACCTGCGGAGGCTGTGAGGCCAAACTCAGCTGATCGATTTGATCTCTCAGTTCTTACTCACCCTGTCGATTCGGTTCGGTTGACCGTCTTTCTCCAGTCTCTCCCTCCCCGGCCGTTTCGCCGTCATTCATCTTCTTCATCTTCCTCATCCTCATCTTGTTCTACTGTTCGTCCCACTCACATCCCTGATACCGAAACGGAGTACACACCCAAAGATCCCTTCAATATGTTTCACTACCCTGTGTCTTCTCTGTTTCGGGAGCAGCACCAGCAGCAGATGGAGGCGCATCAGTCTCGGCTGCTGCATCAGATCTTGACACCGGCAGAGTGCCCCATTGGCACGAATGTGGAAGTTCGCAACCCCCCAGTCTCGGCTTTGTTCTCATCGAGAACGTAAGTTTTGCTACCATCTATATTTCTTGTTTACCGCGCTTTGCAGTTGACAAGCGCGTGTTTTGATGCAGATTCCCTACACGGTCACTCGTCAGGAGGTGATCCAGTTCTTTGGACGCAGCGCTCGTCTTTCTGGCGATTGCCCGATTCACATCATCATGGAGCGCTCCACTGGCAAGACCATGGACTGCTTCGTAGAGTTTGTGACCAACAGCGAGGCCAGGGAAGCTGTGTCGCGTATTGACCGTCTGCACGAGGTCTCCCAGGGCCCGCGCATGGGAAACCGACATGTCGATGTCTCGCTCAGCTCCCAGGATGCTCTCCTGAAGGCTTTGTTTCCGAAGGCCAAGTGCATCCGGTGGGAGGCGGGTCGTCCGGTGCAACTGCCCAAGCGAGCAGATGAAGAGTGGTCCACTGGCTTCGTCGGCTTCATGACTGACGAGGAGCTGTTCTGCGTGGCTCGACATGCCAAAGAGCCCCACCGAGTATGTGCTTACCCTTCACTTTGCTTACTTAGTGGCCATGAAACTGACTGGATACCTCAGAGTGCGTTCGCGGGAAAGGTCCCCCAACGAACCTACGAATCCATCATCAGTACCATCTGGAAGGTATGCTATGATTGAACTTATTAATTTGATCCTCATCTTCCAGGGTAATTGTTTGCTAATATGGATATCCGAATATACAGTTCCCGTGGTACGCCGTCAACATGTACACCGTGCATGCTCGTAACAAGCTTTACGAGACGCTGCGAACCATGATCGAGGCGTTGCTTGAGCGCTTGTGTGCTGGACGGACCGTCGGCTTGGACCGTCGCCTGTTGTCTGAGCTGCTTCGTGCCGGTCTCGAGTGCCCGGCGTTTAACCCGCGGATGAAGTGGACCCTTGCAACCTGCAGTGATGAGCAGCAAATCCTGAGTCGTATGCATGAAGCCTGGCTCCCATACTTCCCCTTCGACACACTCACCTGGCTACCTCCTAACAACCCCACCGCGTTAGAGGCAAGTCCATATGCTTTCACAAATTCCTTCTATCTCTGCGGACAATCACTAATGTGTCTTTTAGTTCTACGCGATGCTGATTGCAAAGGGCCGGATCGGTGATGTTGCAGAGGGTCTCAAAAACTGTCACACCCGCCCCGAGTACCTCGAGCCCTACGGCAAGAAGTGGTTCGAGTGGCGAGGCCCTGTTACCTCGGAGAAGAAGTTCTCTGAAGCCATTCAGCACGAGAAGCAGGTCCTGGTCAACCTACTTACGACCGGATATAATGTGATGAAGAACGAGCGGCCCCGGTACTCGTCGCACGGCATTATGCCGCGCCCGGCCTCGGCAACCACGACCCACGCCTCCGTCGATAACCAGCCCGGAGGCGTGCCTCTTGTTGGCAGCTCGCAGATGCCATCGCGACAGACTTCCTCCGTGCTGTCCTCTGGACAGCCGACTTCCCGCGCGAATCCTCGGCACCAGCAAACGGGTTCCACGCGGCCGCACGAGGAGACCCGCTGGCCCAGCCAGGGGCCCAACCCCTACGACCCTGATCCCCCTTCCCGGCGCCCCCTTGGCCCTCCCGCTCCCCCTGCCCACCGCGGCTCCCGCGGATCGCGTGGTTCCGCCTCCGGCCACTGGCGTGGCCTTTCTGGAGGAAGCGCGTTCCCCCAGTAGGCCGCATGTGAAGGATAGATGGCCGGGCTATGTTGAACCATAACCTGAGTCTCATGTCAATGTGATCGCTGCTGTCTTCGAGATATCGTGAATGATAATGGCAAACTTGAATCTACGAGTGATGAGCAGGGAGATGATACCAATTTTTTGAGATGTTCACGAGAAGCCGATCGACTGGTCAAATCGCGTTGATATACGGTGGTCCTTCACGGTGTTTACTTTCCTTTTCTTGGATTTCCTATGTCATACTCTTCTCATGCACATGCAGCACCTCTTGTATTATCTCTGAAAGTGGAGAAACTTCTCTGTGTTCCACGAATATCTACAGCAGAGCACGACGCGCAACCGACGACAACGCCTGATGTTCTCTCCGGATTGAGGACATCCGATTGTTTCAGGATGGCGATGTGGCCGGCAATGAAGTTTATGGTAATTAAGGATGCTTTCGTGTGGAGAGGATCGATGAGGTAGTCGCTAGCCTAATGGATATTAATTTTATCCCAAAGACCTGTTTTTGACTGGTAGACATGTTGTGACTGACTGAGTCGTCATTGTGATGGTTATCGCAGCAACCCCTCGCGGCTCCCAGCGAGAGTGCGGGGCTACGATGGGGATTACACAAAGGGCTACGGCGCATTGCGTTGTATCGATGCAATGGCGCTCAACGGCCACACGCAGTGCGTATACCACGCAGCACCGACAAGACTGATGCAAGATACGGGCAAGACACCCATACACGGAACCTAGGCATCACCGACGGCGGTCGTTCAATCCCCTATTAAAGGCCCATAGGGAACGGATTATTTGCAGGGAACGTCCTTCGCGCCCTGACAACGGCATTTCCCATCGCCAGCACAACTGCTCATGGTGACTAGACTAGGCAATACATTGATATCGCGGATCAAAGGACAGGGGCTCTCATCTCCGGACCCTTTGGATAGCAGAGCTGGGTACACGACATTTGGAATGGACAGACCTTCTTAGATCTCGCTTTTGCGGGTCTTGAAGACCATGGGCATACTTTTGCAGGGTAAGAATTGGAGCTTTATTGGGTCCTTTGAGCTCCCGCAGCTTCAGTCTGGAATCAATAAGTCTACAATCTCCCGAAATGACCCTAGCGACGTGCATTCGTAGCATGGGTTCCATCGTCCGGCAATGTTCGATATCCGCGATCCTCGTCAAATTGTTCGCTGTCAGCGAGAAAGCCGGGCAGAAAAGGAGGAGGGAAAGAGGGTCTCAGACCGCAAAAGGTGGAGCGGGATTACAGTACTAAGGAACATACTCCAGGCACCCTCGCGGTCCGTATTACACAGTAAAAAAAAGCCGGTTTTAATAGGCATGCGGCGGCCCCTTTGCTCGTGGCAAGCTTGCTTTTCTTTTTGATCTGAGCGGCTGCACGGGCGCTTGGACCGAATCTGCGATCTTGCAGCCCCCCACAATTATTTGCTCACCAATCTCACTCTAGCGAGGCGCTTTGCTCCTGGCGTTTGCAAATTTGAGACGATTCCTTGTCTTCGGCGGGGACCACAACAAAGCAAAACATACCTACTCCAGTGGCCGGTCTACAGTACAACACAAAACCCCACCAGAGGCTGGGTTTGTAAGGAAGACAGAAGACTGCATATAATTTAACCATTGAATTTCAGTCACGAAGATCTATTTGAGTCCGACCATGCCTCGACGATCGTCGCGGGCCGCTCCGGCCTCGCCGCAAGCGCCTCGGGCGGCGCCAAAGCGACGAGCCTCGGCCAGGCTGTCCACCTCGCAAGCCGAGATCAAGAGGGTCAAGTCCAATGTCTCCCTGGCAGGCAGACCCGTCAAGTCCACGGCCAAGAAGAGCAAGTATTTTGAGCCCGAGAGCTCCGTGGAGCCCGGTGCATCACCCAGCCAGTCCGACGAGGACGAGTCCGGCTCCGCTTATGATGCGAAGGACTCCGATGGGTCTTCGGAGAATTTCTCGGTGCCGGACGAGCCCAGCGACGGCGAAGAGGCCTCCAAGAAGTCCCGCTTGAACGCGAAGCAAGCGCGCAGCGCTGCAACAGACGAGGATGTCCTCAAGCACAAAGAGCTGTGGCGCGAGGGTGTGCGAACGGGCTTGGGACCGGGAAAGGAGGTGTTTATTCCCAAGCCCAAGGCGCGAGACCCGGGCAATGTCCCGTACCGCGACGAGACGCTGCATCCGAACACCAAGCGCTTCCTGCAGGATCTGGCGAAGAATAACGATCGCGGATGGCTCAAAGGTAGACCTCGCGCCACTCCAGTCATCGTCAGCGCGCTGCCATCTGCCAGCTGCTAGCTGGTAGTTGCCAGCGCGGCTTCCTGAGCAAACTGACTGTTGGGTGTCCCCTAGGACACGACCCCGATTACCGCGCGGCAAAGAAGGACTTTGAGACATTCGTCGAGACCCTCACCACGAAGATCACGGAGAAGGACAGTACAGTCCCCGAACTGCCCGTGAAAGACCTGGTGCGTCCAGCAACTCATGGAATCCTGCTTTCTCTGACCAATGCCGTCCAGGTATTCCGCATCCACCGCGACATTCGGTTCAGCAAGAACCCTCTTCCGTACAAGGTATGTCGCTTCTGCATGACCGGATCCTCCCGCCGAACCCCTACCAGGGCGGGTGATGCGGGTGATGGAGGCGCTTGTGTGACTGTGATGCTCATTAGCGGTGTGCGTGTGCCCCTGCTGACGGACGAATAGATTCATTTCTCGGCTGCGTGGTAAGTGCCCTCGCTCACAGGAGGGAAAGGTGATGGACCACACTCATCAACCGCGACAGGTCCCGCACGGGCAAGAAGGGCCCCTATGCAGCATACTATGTCCACTTCCAGCCTGGCTCTTGTTTTGTGGGTAGGTCTTATTGTTTTTGTCCGACACCTCGCCCACCCTTGCTCCCTTCGTGGCTATTCCAACCCATGCTGCCTGTTGCTGTGATTGTTTCTTTCGGTGCTCTTTCGACCTGAACTCATGCGAATTCGTGGTAACTAGGCTGCGGCCTCTGGCACCCAGAGGCTGGCCCGCTTGCAACACTCCGAGAGGACATCGACGAGAACGCAGATCGCTGGAAGGGGGTGCTTCGGGCGCCGGCCATGCGCCGCGAGTTTCTGAAGGGAGTGTCCGATGACGACGATGCGGTCGTGAAGGTGTTTGCGGATGCCAACAAGGAATCGGCCCTCAAGACGAAGCCCAAGGTATGTAACTGTGTCAATTCTGTTCTTTTTTAGTCATTCCTTCCCTCCCAAAGCTGTGAGATGTTATCATTGTAGATGCCAGCGGTGTTCCTACCGGCATCTTGATTCGTATTGTCTCTCAATGGTCGCCGAGGCCGCCCGGGCGGTTGGTTCGTTGGTCGCATGGTGTGTGATCGAGGACTTCATTGATCACCCGACCGACACCGGCCAACCAAATCATTTCTGCATCCATTTCAACGGAGCAGCAGGGACTTCTAGCCACGACAATGCCTCGGTGACCAACGGAACCGCTGCAGGCTCGTGGGAGAGGCGCCTGACCCCGGCCGTCCTAGACGCGTCCCACGCTGGATCGCCCATCCAGTCCCCTATAGACTGGACGGATCATACCCTGCTTGGCGACGCAAGGCAGGAACCAGCAACACAAGGGCGGCCTCGCGATTGGGAATCCACAGCATTCCCCGCTAGCCCCCAGTGCTGTCCCTCGTACTGGGTCGCGCAGTGGTGGCGGAAAACACGACCGGCGCGCGGGTGTCGGCGGGAGAGGCAACCCGTGTTTTGGAATCATCTCATGGGCGACGGACCAGTAGGCTATGATTTCCCCGAGAGCCACGCCTGGCAAGTTTCAGCTGGGGGCGATGGTCGGGCTCCAGCTTTGGGACGGCGTCGGACGCTGCGTCTTCGCGCCGTCTCTTCTCGTTCCATGGTTCACTTCGGCGCCGGGATCCACGGGCCTCACAGCTTTGGGAAGAGATACCCTTGGCCCCTCCCCGAACCACGTTCCAGCAGCAGTCCTGAGGGACCGGACAAATGGGAAATTTTTACTGCTATACTGGCAGCCTACAGGACTAACGACAAATGAACTCTAGGGCTACGATGCGGACAATGAAAACATCCAATTGCTCCGACTCCGCAGTTTCACTCTCGGACGGCCTGTCTCGGATACAGAGATGCTGGCTGCGGATGCGCAGGACCGGATCGTCGCGCTGGTCGAGGTCATGGAGCCTTTCGTAAGCCTGCGCCCTCCCAGTCCCGTCAGCATTCAAGACCCTCCCACTTGTTCTCCTCTTCTCTCGTTATACGAGAGTGATCTATCTGCTCCGGCTATCTGCCTTGAAAAACTCCTCCCCCACCCCCGGCGATTTTTTGCCCTCCTTTGACTAGCCCGTTTCCCTTCTGAGCTAGCCACTTGGGCCCGGTTGTCCGTTCCTGTTGGCCCACGGCCGAATCAGCGCCGCAAGATGGGCGACGGACACAGCCGTCACACTTGGGCTGCAGCTTTGGAGAGGAACGAGGGGGAGTTACCGCAGCCTTTTTTCTGTTCCCTTGCTGACCGCTCCTCCCCTCGAAATAGGTTACGTACCTTAACAGCGTCGTGATGCCCGATCAGTAAATGAGATCGATTTCGATTCGATTTCGATCTCGATTTCGATCTTCCCTTTCATCGGTGGACAATGGTCTGCTTCGGGTGGGCAAATGGCCAGGAAAAATGAGAGGGGTCGTCGGACCAGGCGTTGTATACTGTGCTATCTGATTTTCCTTTCTTACTCCCGTGTTTGATATGGATCGACACACGCTGGTATTCTTCTCTCTCGCTTGCTCGCACTTTTCACCCTTTTCGTTGTAATTCCCTGCCCACGTTCCTTCTTACCTCGTGCCATATGCGCCCCGTAAATAATGTGACCTGAGCCCGGCCGCATAGGTATCGTGAACCACCCATGGAGCGGGCAGCCGCAAACCTGCACATGGCCATTTTGGGACTCTACCCCTCTGGCAGGATAACGGCGACAGTAAAAGGGTCACGACCTTGCACAGCCATCACATCTAGCTACTTTACCGAGAAGGTCAACCGGGAAAATTGAGGCCCGTCAATTAGAGGAATTCCCGGATAGTCGTTTGCTTGACCCTCTGCCCGCATTGGCTCTCGAGCTGTATGTACGTCAACTCCATCCCACATTCACCACATCCACATACCCTCCCGTACCGTTAGGGATGCGCGGGGCTACAAGCTTGTCCACCCACACACCAATTGCATACCATGCCCAAGCGAACATCTCGCCAGTGGCCCCCTCCAGCTTCAAAAAAAAAAGCATCTTATGTACTATTAACTACTAAATCCATAACCCCCTTCATTCCGGAGGGCCTAGAACAAAGAATGAGGACGTAGACACGGAACTAGACATATAGCAGGACTACGCTTCTGCAGCCCCGAGAGAGAGAGAGAGAGAGAGAGAGAGAGAGAGAATAGAATAACAACTAAAAACCTACAGGACTTACGTTTGATGCGCAGCACAGTGCATCTACCCCAGCCACTGTGCATGTCCGACATGAAGCCGTACGATAAAGCATATCGCGAGTCGACACAACATACGACCTACTGCTTACTGCCTCCCTTCATCCTCATACATGAAGTAGGGTGCTGCAAGTACTGTATCGCCACCGCAAGCGCCCGCGCGGCCGCGTTCGGCCCGTGGTCGGGCTCGCCCGCTAGGCAAAACCTTGGGCGACTCCATCCGGTGCATGTCAATTGGGTCGGGGCGGGACTCCGCCGCAATCCTACCGTTTGGTTCAGTTAGTTCAATCCGTTCTGTTAATTCTTGGCTCTGTGGTTCAGCGATTCGGTTCTGTGGTTCACTGTGGTTCCAGTGGCCCGGCGTGACGAGCATGCAGCGGTACGCTAGAAGCCCTCCCAGCCTTCCAAGTGGAAGACTGGCCCTTCGGCCCAAGCACCTTCCTGCTCTGGAAAGGACGGACGGTCCGGAGGGTTCCAGCATTCCAGATGGGGGTTGCGTTTGGCTCGCCGGCCAAATAGTCTCCTCAGTTTCTGGACGGGAGGGAACGGTAAGGAGGTCCGTTGTTTGGTTGAGAGCGCGTGGCACGGCGGGGACAAGGAGTTAAACTCGTAGAGCCCGCCCTAGGGTCACTGGCGTCATGTCATGTCCATTGTGTGTCTCGCTGCTTGTGGATATCGCCCGAGACAGTGTGGGTTCTGCGCATGGCTGGCTTGCGATATACCCCGAAGTAGGCAGGTCAATGTGTTGATAGGTGGGATGGTTGGGTTGACAATCGGAGAGGGCGTCGACTTCGAAATTGGCAGCGGTTCTACGAAGGCTTGTCATTGGCATGGCGGAAAGGGGAGATTTTTTCCTGCGGGTGAAACACAAATCAACGAGACCGTCCGAGAATTGGGGTCGTCAACAGTAAGCTTCATTTGTGTAGGTTCAAGGTGGCTGTCTGCAAAAACGTGGCAAAATGAGGACTTGAACTCTGCAGAACTGGAAATGGTAAATGGTGGGGTTTTCTCGTCTGTTTCGAGGATGGTGGTTGTGGGTTGCTCAGGTAAACTTTGTTAGGCAGCATAGCGCTAACACCAAGTCCAGCAGAGGAATGGCGTAGATGAGTCAATGGGAGTAGGTGAGAAGAATTGCAGTGCCCTGGATATCCAATTCCGGGAGTATTCTCATGTCTGCCTGTGGTCTAGGTGTGAGCTAACTAGTCAAGTCTTGAAGCCGAAACTCGCTATCATGACATTAGGTGAGCAGCGGGCAAAATCCTTTGATCGTAACTTGTATAAACGCGAGGTTCAAGGTAACAGTGAACAGATATAAATCACATAGAGTCTTCCGCAATCAATCGCAATGTTTGATGGCTGACCCGGCAGCCGTACATAAGTACTGTACTTGTGCGTCAGCTTGACAGCAAGCCACATTCCATTGGCGGAAATAGTAGCCTCCTCTAAGATCGAGCAATAGATGGGCAACAATCAAACCGCGACACTCTTGCAAATTCTGGGTCTAACTGCGCCGCCCTAAAATTAATGCGATCGTGGGTACTCCTCCGTACAGTATCGATGCAATAGCTCGCGCTTCACCCGATGATGGCGTCGAACAAGCGATGTTGATTGCCTTGCAAGCCTCAAGTCAGTTCGGTTGCTGCCCAAGGAACCTTGAAAGAAAGGCCCTGGGCATCCTGCATCATCTGTGTGGACGTAATATGTATCGTGTACCGTATCTTGTCAGTATACTTGCCCTCCGTGCGGCAACCACGTGCGGCAATGGCGTCGACGACAACGCATCCTCCTCGACGGTCACACTCCTCTTGACCCAACTCTACTGCCTGTCTACTGCACGCTGCATTTCAGTCACATCTTTCCTTTCGAGTCCGGGTGTCAGTGCCGCTCTGGTGTCACTTGCCGTCGAACCCACAATGCACGCTGTTGAACGAGAGATCGAACGGAACATGGATCCCCCCAGGTGAGGCGCCAATCAAGGTCCACAGTCAGATCGCTCATGCGCCGGCAAGCAGCAGCAGGAAAAAGCAATGTGATCGTCCCGCTCTGTACGACACCCGGCTTTTCAACCCGATCAGAGTTGGAATCGCAACGGTGTGTCACCGCCAATTCGGTGCTCACAGGCGCTCTCCCCTCGGACTGGTGGCCTCGCGGACTAGGCTATCACACGACCCAGGTCATGCTCAGCACTGCCTCGCATTCAGGCAGGACAAACTTACCACCGCTTCACACACCCTGTCATCCAGTCCCGCATCACTCTGCTGGACCACGTCAGGTCGCCGAGGGTCAAACCCGCCATTCTGCGTTGTCATAGGCTCTGTCCCTGTTCCCGTGACCGTTCAGCCATGCGGGAAGCGCATGGCAGCGTCTATTAGTGCCCGACGGGCTCCATCCCTGTCGATAGACGCGCTCCCGTGTGGGTTATGAAAAGAGGGGCGGGCGACCGGGGGGCCGGAACAGAAAGGGAAATTTCTCAAAAACAAATTACGAAAAAAACAATTCTCAGCGACGGGGGCGCAGGAAATAATCATCGCAGCCTGGGACTTTACGACCGGTCGGGCGGCGGTTGGGTCCCTAAGCCTGCGCTCAGTCCCTTGTTTTTGGGTCCGAATCGACTAGCGCGTCCCCAAAACAAACTGCATCGAGTGGCCAGTGGCTTTGGATCAGTGTGGAGCCCTCTGGAGAGTCCGGAGCATGGTACACTAACAGCAAGCTGAACTGGCCGCGCCAGAAGAGTGGAGTGCGGAAAGCGGAAAGACGCGGACGGCAATGCACGAGCCGATTGGGTCCTGCCCGTCTGAAAGAGAGAGAGAAAAAAACGTGGCAGAAGGGCGCCAGATCAAGGTCAACACCATAAAAATATGTGACGCTTCCGGTGAACCCTCTCCTCCCCCTCCAAAAACCCAGCCAGCCCTAAAGGGGAGTGGTTCATGGAAGCGGGAACGGGGACACCAATCACCAGACTCGCTACTGCACGCTCGACAAGGCGCCCGAGGTCGTCCAGATGGCACACATGCATGAGATCGGCGGGAAGGCCGGAGCGGCCCGTGGGACAAGTACCCCGACCACACAGGCCGCACAAGTTCGCCCTCTCGTCTTCCACCACCACGCTAGCTCACCAGGGTGTTTCACTCCGGAGGAGAAAAAGAACGAGGAAACCACACAGGGGCGGTGGGTTGGAAGAGGAGATTGATGATGCTTTCCTGGTATCAGGTGTCTCGTCTGAGGCCCAATCATGGATCATAGTCCGCCTGGGCTTGTCTCCCCTTTCTTTCCCCCCCCTGCTCTCCATCCCATGTCTTCCCTGGAATCCTTTCTTTTTTTTCCACTTGCCCAACTCCTCTTCCTATGTGATGCATAGGTGGACCACCGCCGGTATTGGCGGTGACGGAGGACCACTTTCCTCCCGTACAACGTGGTTGTGGCTCTTCGACAAGGAACCCGCCCCTGTCAGCGGTCGACTCGTACGCTAATGCAGGTTACCATGGCTCATGATGGGCTTTCCGGATCCAGTGCTACAGCCCTGGGAACTTAGTGACTCCATTCCCTCCGGTCAGCATGTCAGAATGGGCTCCGCTCTCGTCACCAGACACTTCGTATCGGGTAATGGAGGGTGGCAAGAGAGCTGAACCCCACTCATCAGCTGAAGTCTGATCGCCACTTCACACCGCCTCCCACGCGGCGCGCTGGGAAGGTGCAAAGGTGCAAAGTGCCTTTTGCGGGAGGGGGAGAGAGGTTCGATAGTACATGCAGTAGCGCTCATGTACCTCGCCGCGAGCAGGTTGTTTTTGCTTCGCTTTGCCGGGCCCTTTGCCTGGTTGGAGGTCGGTCCCTTCTTCCCCCCCCCCCTTTTTTTTTTAATTATTTTATTCTAATTAATTTTTACCCTTTTTGATTCTTTTTTTTTCTTGTTCTTGCCGCCATTTCCTGGCCCTTCTCCGCTAGACTGCGCCGGGCTGGAGCGGAGGCGGTGTTGGCTGCAGATTGGGGTTGCAACAAACAAGCGACTTTTCGCCCCGACCCGTGCCCATCGCCATGGAGAAGAATCCTGGTTCCACGGGGCCGGTTGCGGTTGTGCAACAACGGTCCGAGTCGTCCCTCGCCCATGGCCCCATCGACTCGTCCGAGCCAAGGATCACGGAGGAATACCATGACGATCCACGCTCAACATCGTGCATGGCAGGGTTTATCCATACAAACCCTGGTCGACCGCACATCGAGTCACCTGGTACTAAATGTGGTTTTGATTCCTCTCTCGCTCTCTTTTGCTGGGGACTGGTCGGTAATGATGTCAGGTTTCCTGGCTCGGGAATTTTTTCTTTGTCTGGCTTCCCCGCTAGTGTGCAGTCCGGAGTACCTTCCCAGGATGCCCCGTCATTAACGTCAAAACCGAGATGGGGGCTAAAACCTGCGGTGAGGCCACTTGTATACGACCGTGTCGGGTTGATTCCCGCTCAGAGCTTATACCTACGAACGGATACCTCGCGGAATCGACATGAAACCTACCCTCACAATCGTGCACTTGCAGACTTTGAGACAGGAAAAAAGACAAAATGACAAACGATTAGCTCTCTCCAAAGCAACCGAATCGCGGCCAGTGGTAAGCCATAAAAGAAAGTTTTCTCTGCAGGCGGGCAGCGGGCACTAGCAATCGATGCGCCCGCCAGTCGCCGTTCTCGGCATCGCAGCAGCCGATTCACGGTACCCTATGGGGGGGCGGGGAGGGAGTGCAGCATGGCAACGAGAGTGACGAGAGGAACGAGGGAGCGACTAGCGCGTTAGGGGAGCCGGGCAGGGCCGGTCAGGGCCAGTCAATGGCCGTTCGTACTGGACGGCAAGCTTACTACTCGGGCTAGGAGCTAAGCCCCTAACCCTGGGCATCCATGGCGTGGGCCACACGGGGGCTTGCCTGGTTCAGCTGATGCCCTAGCGTCAAGGAGGGTCCCCCGTCCATGTCGACGGGTCACCGGCGCCGCTTAGCCCGCGGGCCCTGCCCGGGCTCCACCCCGTTTGTGCTAAAAAATGCCCTCTGCTGCCAATCAGAAAATTGGTTCAAGGATGATTCTTATGAATTTCTTTTTCTTTTTCCTTTCCCGACGATGGATGACGGAGACTTGGGATACTGAGCATTTTGTGGAGTACACCGTAGGCTCGAGGAACCAGATCTCATACACTGTAATTATTGCCCCGAATTTTTTATTTTTTTTTTCCGCCCCGAATTTTGATTTTGTCTTTTATCTGGGATAATCATTATTATCATGTCTCCGATCTGACAAGGGGGAGACCACTGGGGCTTTCTCTGTCCTCTTCCACTCGTCTTTTCCAGAATTCCATTGCATTCCTCTCTCCCCAGCCTAGTGGTCCGGCGCTCTTATCGGTCGTGAGATTATCTCGTCCGTTTCTTTTTCTTTTTCTTTTCTCTTTTTTCTCCTTTCGTTCCCTCCAGGTCTCTTTCCATACTCACCCGCTCTATACACCTGGTATACATCCACCCTACGACGCTCCCGCCTCCACTCTCCATCCTGCTCACGTCATAGTCGCCGAGGCTCTTTTCTTTTTCTTTTTTTCTTCTTTTTCTTCTTTCGTCTTCTTTCCGATTTCCTATTTCTTATTTTCCTTTTTTCTTTTATTTTGCCTCCTTCCTTTAGCACTCTTTCTTTTTCTTCCTTTTCTTTTCTTGGCTATTCTGCGTTGGGCCAAATTGGATCGACCTGCATCGACCTGCTTTCCCCTGCGTGACCGCGTTATGCTGGCGTCGCCCGTGTGATTCGACTCGTCCCCCTTTCATAACTCGACGTCACATCCCTGCACCCTTGACTCATCTCATCTAACATCTTACACGGCCTCCCCCTCTTCTTTCCTTCCTCTCATAAACACCCCAATGTCCCGCCTCCCCGACGGAGACCCCAATCGCCGGGGCCACTACCCTCCCCCCGAGACCGACCCCAGCCGCCAGGGACAATATCCTCCTCCACCCTCCGACGATCCCCATCGCTCGCGCCCCTACCCCTACGAGCAGCCTCACTATCCGGTATGTGAGAAAGGGCACCGCACTGCGTCATCATGGCCTCCAGGTTATGTACTCGTGGACTAAACATGTCGCTTCCTCCAGTACCCGCCGCCGTCCTATCCCGCTCCTCCAGAGCACGATCGAGGCTACTATCCACCACCACCACCGTCGCAATATCCTGCTCCGCCACACATGGCTGCCATTCACCCGCACGCGCCGCAGGACTACCGGCTGCCGCCGCCGCCGGGAGCCTACCGGGCTGATCCATACCAGCAGGCTCCCCCACAACAACAACCAATGCCATATCATGCAGCCGCTCCGCGCCAGCGAACCGCCATTGCCTGCCGATATTGTCGCCGACGGAAGGTATGCCACGGAGGAGACTGGTGTCGAGCTCGGACGGAAGCAAAGGCGCCCGGCAGCCAGAAGCATTTCTTACTGACGGCGCTTGATATAGATTCGTTGTTCGGGATTTGAGAACTCCCCCGATGGACGCTGCACCAACTGCCAGCGGTTCAACCAGGACTGCATGTTCACGCCCGTCTCTTCACAGGCACAAGCCTTTGTCCCTGCGCATGCCGCCTACCCGCACATGCGCCCGGGAAGCCATGCCAACGGCCAGCCTCCCCCCGGCACCATTCTCTACGGTGCCCATGGCCAGCCGCTTCCCCCTAACCAAGTGGTGCAAGGCCCCGAAACCACCCTGCCGCCGCCCCAAGGGATGTATGCGAATCCGTATAGCCGACCCCCCACCGACGGGGGGCCCCCGCCCCTTGCGCCGACTATGCCAGATCCGGTAAGGCAACCATTCCCCTCCATGCGGGAAGGCCCGATCTAATGTTTTGATTTTGTGGGTTTTTCAGAGACAGCGGCGCGGCTCTGGCACGGGCTTCGATTACCCCGAGCCGGCCAATCTCGCTCCTGTTACACCCGCCAGTTCTACCCCCGGATACCAGACTCACACCGCCCCGAGCCCCTACTACGGCCACCCGCACGACCAGCGCACCTCGCCGCAGGCCGGCTACGCCTATGAGCAGCCCCGTCACTCGACCTCACCGCACGGTTCGCCATATGCACCTTTGCAGCCACCACCCGCCGGTCAGACGCCCCCTCCGACCTCGACTCCCGGCGGTTCCCAGCGCGGCGGCCTGAACGTGCGCGATATGTTGAACCCAGGCGCGGACGGCGACTCTCAGGGCCGCTCTAGCACCGACAGCGACATGCTCAATCAGCTGAACCGCCGGGGCCCCCGGTAATCCCCCGGCAGGGTCATGACGGGACGCTGTCGAGGAACGGGTGCGCAGGACGCGACGGGAATGCGGGGGGGGAGTCGGCAGAGGGAATGAGCAGAGACCGTGTGCTGGCCACACGGTTGAAAATTACCATGTGTTGTATGGTTACCTAGAGGCAGCGTGGTCTCATCGGAGCTACGCGGTTGGACTGAACTGGTCGAGGAACATCCCTGGAATATTTGTTCCTATTACCCCTTCGGATGCGCACGAACCTTGGCGAACGCAGGGGGTCATTATCGATAGCGCGGCGCGACAAACCGATAATCGATAATCGGCAATCATCGGGATCGGAAAGGGAGGGGGAATCCAAGGATCTCCCATGGACTACGCAATGCAACTCCCTCCCTAGATATCCAGGCTGGATGAATTTTTGACGACAAACGGTCTCTGATCTGGTTCGATTCGACCACGAAGCGACGAAAGAACACGCGGACCCATGAGCTTTACGAGCCGCATGAAGTTTAACTCCGAGATCGTCAGGCCGTACGGTCTTTGATATCGGCATACGACATTTTTATTGTTATACATTTCGATTCTCTGATTTAATTGCGGAGGAAGGCCCGAGTCCCAAAATGGCGAACCGTGCGATAACCGAGAGATCAGCCGGGATTCTGGGTATAGTCGCTATACATGGTCTCCACTTGATCTTAAGGTACAGATTGACTCGGGCCTAAAACAACACTCAACGAATTCTATACACACCACTGCTCGATCCTGTGAATATATCTCAGCAACGGGCGGCAACAACCACATTTTTTCCACTTGTCACAAATTTCGGGCGGCTATTTGAACAACTTGCAATTTTGCGTTCCGGTTCGGGTTTTCATCATTTTCTGTTTCGATGCTTTGTTGGTTTTCTCTTTTTTTTCCCTCTCCTCGTACATCTATATTACCCATCAGGGAAGGCAATCTGAAATTTTCCGCGTGTCGGTGGTCCCCTGGTTGCGACAAAAGATGGTCGGCTTTGTGAACTCTTTTATACTCTTTGGTTGATGTTTTGCGTTTCTCTTGCTTGTGTCTGTTTATCACTGGGAGGCTGTCTGATCACTCTATATTGAGATTTTTCTGCGTTCGCATGCTCTCTAGGCTTTGATTTTTCATGCTACCTTTTTCCCCCGTCGGTTAAGCGCCCTATTTTGATCAAATACGATCGGGTGAACATCGTGTGCCACGGTTGCGTGATTTATTTGCACTTTGCTTTCTTTGTAGACCAGTATAGGCTACTTGATGAGGTAGAATCGATAAGTCTATCTTCCTGCGAGTGCGCTATGTTGAGTGCGATGAGTATCAAAGGAAAAGAACGTCGGCCGACATGGACTTAGGGTTGATCGGGTTGCCGATATGGATGGGCGGCCCTGGTTAGGGCTAACATGGGGGCATATACTGCGGCTCTCCCCGAACAAAGCTGCTCAGATGCCGCAACGTGAAAAAGTACTATTTTAGCTTGGAAGCTGGTCTCCACCCTTCTGCTCTTCCACGATGATCACCCGCACGCCCTTATCGATGGTATGATAAAACCCCACTGCTCTCGCTGATCGCCGCCTGAATAGCACCGCAAGTGGAAGCATGGGCTTTCCCTTCAAGCCCAGACGGCGCCCTTATCTCCATCACAATCGGTCCCCGCTTCTTATACCCCCAAGCGGCATAGATCAGCCCGGAAGGGATGTTGGTAACGCCACAGATTCAACCAGACCATCTTGCGAGGTCATCGGGCTACTGTATACCTCGGCTCCGGGCGGGTAGCGATTCACGTTCCGCATGTTGGCAGCTCGATCTTTCCATGGGCCGAATGCAAAGGCTTTGGATGCGCCAACAGGGATATAAAGGCTCGGATCACCGATCCTGTACGAGGTGAGATTACAGAGGGCGATGCGCTGATCATTCAGAAATACAGTGTAGGTGTCGTCTCCAGGCGACTCGTTTCGTGCTATATGCCCCGTTTTCTCTATGACATTGATATTGGGCAGAAACGTGTCCAGCACTGTCCCGCTAGAATCAGTCATCGTCTCAAACGACAGCGTATACTTGCTCAGATGAATCATTTGAACAGTACTAACTGGCTTCCGGCCATGAACGTAAGCGGTATTTTGGAGTGATGTTCGCAAGTAGCAGTCTGTATTTCGGGAGGATGGCAGTGGCAGCTGAACAACTGGGTCCTTCCCACTGATCATCTTGTTTGACCGCCATCGCGGAGAACTTTCGAGGGAGATGACCGGTATTTTCTGCGGCTTTGGTAATTATGAGCATTTCAATGTGACAGGTTGCGCTCATTACATTTGTAATCGCGAAAACGCCGTCTCCTTGGGCTGTCCCAAGTTGTCTTGTAGAACCGAGTTTGTGAGAGGAAGCACCAGCGAGCCCCAAAATGAAGATCTTACAGTGCAGTCCCGGGAAGACGTCGGTATAGTGGACTTCAATCCGCGAATTTCCTTCTGCAATCTGCTCGTGCACGTAATAGTGGACTTGTCCGCTCTCTCTCCTCCGTAGTCCCACTACCTTTCTTAGAATTACGGGTCTAGATGGAGATAGGACATAGGGCGACTGTGATTCCCCTAGAGGTATTAGAGTCTCCAACATTCTAAAATGATACTGTACTTCCTGCGTAGACATTGATGAATGGACTGCGTCAGTCGTCCCATGTCCACACAGGGACCACGAGCACCGGGTTATTCTCTGAGGCAGGGTGTTGGGGATTGGGGATTGGGGATTGCTAGCCTCGGAACGTTGACTTAAATCTACTCCTCAGGCACCCAAGCCAAGGGAGAGAAAGTTAACAATATGACAACGAATTCTCATAAGCCTGGATTTGGAAATCGCAATGCGTCTAGTAATCAGGTGGAAGGTTGGCTCTCTTTTGTGCTGTGACGATGGGAAAGTTGGGCGGGAAAATGCGTTTCCCGCAAACAATGTAGATCTGAGGAATCGACCAAGCTGTTCTACAGCTGATTTGCCAGATGACTGGGGGCTTCTCATGGAGAAACAATAGTCTTGAAGCAGTTGGTTGCCATTAAACAAGATAAAATTAAGTGAATTCACGAACTACATGGTCTCATCACTTCCACTCCTTTCCACCCGGTCCGACTCAAGAAAGTACCAGTCTGGCAAGCTACTCTAGTAACGAACACGCTGCGATTATGAATTACATGGAGTCTGATTAGATGAGGCAAATAGAAGCTGTGAAATGAAGCACGTTGAGGGAACAGACGGAGATAAATGAGATGTGAGATAGAGGGCAGGGGCGAGATGATTTTGGAAAACGAACGGGAAGACCGGGCATCGCAAGCCGGTAAACAAGATAGGGTTGAAAAAAGACGTAGGAAATGTAAACTGAAAGTAGGACACTGGCATGCCAAACAAGACCGAGCTCGACGGCAGCATTGAGTGGTAGGTTGACTAAGGAGATGCAAGCGAGTGTGGGGGGTAGTAAATCGAGAACGGGAAAAGAGATGCAATAGCTTTTGCAAGGCTGGAACGTAGCAAATGCGAGATGAGTGAGTGAGCGAGCGACTGGCTAATGGGGAGAAGAGGTTAGATGGGGGGATTGGGAGGTAGAAAGGGATGGATCAAGAAGAATTTGGAATGGTGTCCAGCACGCGGGACATCCTCTTCGCCCGGACAGGATCCTCGACAACCAAGCCGCGGGTTTTCAGCATCATGTGCACAGTGTCAACCACTTTGTTAAAAGAAGAGGCAGCGCCACGTTCTTGTTTGAATTGGACGAGGCTAATATTGGCTTGACGACCGTGCTCGAGCACGGTATAGAACTCAGCGGTGAACTCGACCTCTCGCAGACGAAGGACTAGATAGTGGTCAGTGCTGAGTAACATAAAGAGGGGAAGGGTGTTCCTTACAGTTGGCTTCGCTGACTTGGCCATGCACAATGTTGTTGCTCTTGTCCACGTAGACGTTTTCCATGCCGTACTCCTCCCATTCGCGCAGCATCTTGTATACTTCCTTGCGACCCTTGACCTTTGAGGTGTTCAAAGCAATGACTCTAGATGCTGGTTTGATCTGGAACACTCGGGCAAACCAGTTCTGGGTTGCAAGTGAGAGGCGCTTGTTGCGAGGCGCGTTGGGAGGAGTAGAGGATTCAAAAGAGCTTTCAGGGTCGGGGAAGCCCTTGCGGAGCATAGCTGAGTCTCGAGGATCCTGGGTTTTTGTTGCCTCGTTGTCTTGATGGGTTGTCAGTGTGATGTGTCGATATGGGAAGCAGCTCAACCTACTCGTCTCAGGCTGAGACAGGGCCTTATTCGACTTCTTCGGCATCAGCCTTTTGAGGAAGCTACCGCCAAAACGTTCCATAGATGACTTGCGGGTAGGTGCCCTTCGTTTATCAGAGGTCCTGACAGGTGATGCGGGATCTTGCTGCGAAATTTCCTGTGGAGGATGAATGACAACAGTTCCATTGCTTGGGATGATAGGCTTGCTGTCTTTTGGCGGCAGGGATGGCGGACTGTCGGTACCGTGTGGGCGGTGCTTGAACCACGACCACTTCCTGCTGTCAATTGGTCGTTTGGGAGAAATGGGGATTTCGTCAATGGGCTCTAGACCGCCAGGATGACGGCTTTGTCGAGAACTATGAGAAAAATGCCGCGTGGCTTCCACAGAGTCGCTGTTGACAGCCTCCGAATCACTGATTTGAACTTTCTTGCGGATCATTAACGGTTTGACTTCTTCGAGAGATCGTAGCGAGCTTTGCGGCACCATTCGAATAGTGGCTTTAGGGTCACTGCCACAGCTCGTCATGGTGGATCCTCGTGCCTTCTTCTGGAGCTTCGGCATGTGGCTGTATTCGCAAGGGCCGCGCACCGGGCTTGCAAATTCCTCGTTAATCACTGGCAAGGAAGTATCCTCAGTACCCCCACTGAAGGGGTCCACAAGGGTTGAGGTGCTCTCCTCCAAACCGTGCCGAGGGGGATTTTGCACTTGATCCTCCTCGATCAGGCGATCAAGGTGACCAATAACCCCAGATAAGTATGCCGGAATGTTGTCACTGCGACCTTTGCTATGTTCAACCAGTTTCCGACGGGTCTCGGTCAGCTCCTGGATGCTATAAGTTCGCCCCGATTCCTTGGGAGTTGCCTTTGGGGTTGCCAAGGAGTGCTTCACAGGAGGGGCTGAACACTGCTCCGGACTCGCAACCGACATGGGAGTTCCTGGTGTCTCGTATCCTGCTTCGGTGCTAGCAGTCCGCTTGGTCGTGATAGAGCTTCCATTGAATGCTTCTTCACAAATTCGGCTAAGCTCATGGGACACTTTGCGGGCATCTTCCTTCCAAATGATGTCTGAATGTTGCACCTTCCTTTCACGACACAGATTCTTAACCTTAATGCCACTAGGTCGAACAACGATCGGCTGCCTTGGAAGGGGTGGGCTGCTCGGCGTCTCTGGTACATCAAGCCCATCTGCAATCATCTGCAAGCTGGCTGCGCTTGGAGAGCGTTTAATATCAGATTGCTGGCTAGTAGCGGTCTTTCTCTTTTTGGGTTTGGCAGAACCCTGGGAGCGGTTGCGTGGATGGCGGAACGAAACGTTACGGCGGTAGCTAGTCGAGCGAGTGGACAAACCAGGACATCGGGAGCTGGAGTGGGGGACTTTAGAAGACTGGAATGATTTCATCGAGCTGGGCTTGTGCTTGCGCTTTTGAAGGACCGTGAATGGTGAGCTCGTCACACCATCCAAATCCTCTGGCTCTTGCTCCTCGGCAATAGAGGGAGGCGGCTTCATAGCTGGCGAAATTTCGCCCTCTTCAGGAACATCCGGAGCTCTATGGATCGTTATCTGTGCATACTTCACCTCTTTTGCTAGGGTCTTTGGCTTCGGAGATCTATACGGATCATAACTTTCCACGCTTGCAGAAGACTGGGGTTCTTGTGTTGAGCTCAGCTGACGGCGAAGGTCCTTGACCACGGAGACGTGAGAACGTCGCTTAGACATGCTCCGTCCCCTGCGAACTTTGTCTCCAGGGCGAGAGATGTGGTGATAATCACTGGCTGAGTGCTCCAATGGCTGTCCCTGGTAGTTCTCAAGCTGCTCATCTCGGAACTTCACAAGAGCATTGTAGAACATCCGCTCATGGGTTGGTCTAGAGTTATGGTTAGTGCTCCGATCACTGTTGTCCAGTTGGAGGAAAGACGTACTCGATGCACATAAGTCGGTCAATTAGAGCATCGGGCTTCACATCATGCCACAATGTCTGAAGGTTTCGTAAAATATCGATGTCCACATCTTGACGACATGTGACCAGGTCTCCACAATCCTTGACAGATAACGGAGGGGGCGGTCCAATGTAGTAGTCGGCCATTGCATTATGAAGCTTCTCATACTTGGTGAGCAGCGGGTGTAGCCAAATATTCTGCATTGTAATGCGATCCTCCGGTCGTTTCTGCAGAATTCTCTGAATGAGGTCTGCAGCCTCATCGCTGAGCTCAGGAGGGATCATATAGTCGCCCTTCTTGACCAGGCGCAGTGTGTTTGCAAGATCACCACCATCAAATGGAAGATAGCCGGTCAACAGCGCGTACAGAATAATTCCACAACTCCACATATCGGCCCTGTCACCACGATATTTGCGTCCATAGATAATCTCTGGTGCTGCGTAGTGTGGACTTCCGCAGGAGGTATTCAGCCAATGACCAGCTGGCTGAAGCGCAGCCATGCCGAAATCTGCAATCTTCACGTTGTGATTGCCGTCAAGCAAGATATTTTCAGGCTTCAAGTCGCGGTGGCAAATATTGAATCGATGACAGTACCCCAGTCCAGCGATGATCTGGCGGAACAGACGCACAGCCTCTTCTTCCGGCAGCGGCCCGTTGTTGGAGACGTAGTCGAAGAGCTCCCCACCTTCCACATACTCTAAAACGAGATACCTTATTTGCCATTAGCCGTTTGGAGAGGTTTCTGGAGGATCTGGGATACGTACAGCTCTCCACGGTTCTCCCACACATCGTACAAGCTGATGAGATTAGGATGTTCGATCAACTTCATAATCACCACCTCACGTTCAATTCCACAGGGCATGTGCCGAGCGTTGGAGAACCCCGAGAAGTTACTGGCATTCCGATCCATTGCCGCAATACTTTCACTCTGGACCATGGCGGCGGACTTCTTGGAGACAATCTTGATTGCCGCCGTCTGTCCCGTCACGGCATGCTTGGCGAGGCGAACCCGGCCCGTGGCGCCCTTGCCCAGGGTTCGTCCCAACTGCCATGGTCCTACATGTGTCTTCCTTTTGCCCTTGTTCGACAGGATTGACACGGCGGAAACCACGGAATTGCGGGCTGAATCAGACTGAAAATCCGTGGCTACGGACAGCCGTTGGTTCTCTTTGTTGTCTCGGGGAGTGGGACTCATGACGACGGACATGCGGTCCGGTGTTTTCAGCTGCTCCAAGTCCTCGACTCGCAAACGAGGGGTCTCGACCTTTGGGGATTTGGCGTGGTTGATTCTGCTGGAAGCATCCGTCAAGGGCTGCCGTCTCCGATGGGAGTCAGCCATCTCCAACATGGCTTGCTCCATTGTTTGGGTGGCGCGGTCGTAATTTGTACTCAAAGTCTCATCAGGGTATTTGGTTTTGTTCTGGGTATTTGTGTAGTTAGGATAGAACTGCACTTCGTTAGCCACCAGCCAAACATCACGCCCCGCTCTTTCCCAGACTCACAAGACCGGGTCAAACGAACCAGACGGGACGTTCGTGCGAAAGGAAGATTAGGGGGTTAATGATCGACGCCAGTAGTCTCTGGGGAAGTAATGAGGAACGAAGGGCTGGCTAACACGGCATCGTGAGGTTAGCGACACAGAACGAGAGGCGGGGAGCTTGATGCCCGATTCAACGAGAGCAGTCGACACGGAGGTGAGGAAGTCGTGTAGCCAGTCAGTCGCTCAGGGTGTTGCGATGAAAAGAGAAGTGGTGAAAGGGTCGGGGGTGGCATGCCTCAGCACAACTGTTGTGGAATGGGGGGAAGAGAGATTCCCGGTCGAGCTGGAATGCCCGAGCTCACCACGGGCTTCTCTCCGAATCCTACTTCTCTGTCCTCCTTTGTTGACTATATGCTCCGAGATTGAGTCTCTGATTGAAAGTTGTCCATCTGTTTCTGTACACTATTTTACTTTTCGTGTTTCGACGGGCTGATGGTCAAGGGTTGTGCGGGAGCTAGTGTATACTCCGTGTGAATGTTTACCTCCGCCTCCACCAGCAGCGACTTGAATCTAATTTCGGCAGATCGCCGTACCCCACAAGCAACCTCCGACTGGACACTCTCCGCGATGATCGAATGTTGTTTGGGCCAGGGAAAAGAACCGGTTATCTACATTCCACCCCGACGGCAGGGGGGAAGCAATGCCTTCTGATCAGACTTATCGCTCCCAAGGGGCCAGCCCACATTACCCTCGACATTCCATCTCCCTAGAGTCCTCATCAAATCTGAATGTGAGCTCGCCCTGATCTCCACGTCTGGAATAGATCTGGCTCCGTCTAGGTGGGAGATCTCAGACGAAATCAAATGGTGGTATCCGGTGGTAGACGCCAACCCGGGCATTTATGTCATGTACAGTCCCCGACCATATGACACAATACCACATTCTGAGCACCGCTCATGGTCAGCAGATCAATCTATACTCGTAGTGCAGTTGCCGACCTCGTCGAATCGCTATCACTTCGTGACACATTCCGTCGCTGGCTTGTGGTGCCAGTACGTTTATACAACCGTTTCCAGGTGCCAGAACACATACTTCAGAGCTGTCACTGGGTTAATTAATGCCCATTGGTCGGTTGGCTTGCACAGGCTCGGGATCTCAAAGGCTCGCTACAGTAAGTACTTGCGCGTCTCCGAATTCAGCACGCAAATCCCGAACTACGCGGATCTGTGCATCGGTCAGTGTATTTGGGAGGGGGAGAGAACGGCGAGGCTGGGCTGAGATGGTGCACCCTACTCGACTAGCCGGCCGCCTTGTTCTACGGTCGCGCCGGATCAATTGCCGTAGTTGCCCCTCCCCCACACTACACTCCTACCATCACAGGCCACCATGGCTGATATCAGACCCCCTTTCACCGAAGAGACGGCCCGCAAAAAGGTCAAGGCGGCTCAGCACATGTGGAATACCCAGTAAGTCCTAATCTCACTCGCTGAGATCCCGAGCACGGCCATGTGGTCGTTGAGGTCTCATCCCTGGCATTCTTCTGATCTCCCATGGCGTGTCCGTGCGAAACCCTGCACACATGCGGGCATACCTCTTATGGCGCTCATGATCGTCTGTCTCTTTTCACTGTCGGGGGAGGCTTGCCAGTCACACGATGACGTAGGGATGCGACCGAGCATTCTGACCATGCATAAGGGATCCTCCTCGAGTCGCGCAGGCATACACGCCGACTTGCATCTGGCGTAACCGGACCTCGTTTTTGTCGGGTACGGACGCCATCATCGAGTTTTTGTCGGCTAAATGGGCGCGTGAACACAATTATCGTTTGCGCAAGGAGCTCTTCGCTTTCTGGGCCGACCGGATCGCGGTTCAGTTTTGGTATGAATATCAAGATGCCGAAGATGGGATGCGCTGGAAGCGGTGCTACGGTCTCGAGGACTGGACCTTTGATCGTGAGACTGGGAAGATGTGTAAGCGCATGATGAGCGGCAATGATCTGCTACTCGGCCCAGACGGGAATGGTGAGGGGCGCTGGTTTGTAGACGGAGTGGACGTGGATGAGGTGTTGATCGGTCAAGAACATTGGTGAAGGGTTTTTCGTTCGCTTCAATTCCACGACTCTATTGTATTTTCTATGATTCAATATGCTTGATGTGTGTGGAACCTAGGTCGAATATGTGTGCCGTTGGACGCGGATATATATCCCGGGGGTTATTTGACGTAGTAGACAGAGCGTACCACCCCTAGATCCACACCCATTAAAGTATTATAACATAAGAAGCACAGTAAGAGCAATTCCAGGACAGTCATACCTATTACAGACATTGGGGTTTTAATGAAGAAATTCTTGGCTGGTGAGAGAGGGAAGAGTATTAAGGCGTCATTCATTAATTTTTTTGTTAGCATTCTGTTACACCGTTAGACACAATGCACGTTTTGTAACACCTCGGCATCTACAAGTAGCGAACAGAGAGCCTCTTGGATATGAGTTTCGCATAGGATATTTAATACTCCAGACGCCGCCGCGTAGAGGCATAATGACACGTTCTGGTTGAAACGAGGGACCATCGGGAGGGCCACCCGCTGGAGAAGCTTATCAGCGGCCGGTGTCGATCGCCGGGCACCCTCCCGTAGCTCCCGCAGGCGATGTATATAGTCGAATAGCTAGGACGTGTCAGGCTAGCGGTTGGTTGTCCTGTGATCAAACAACATTAACCAAGATTCGGGGTTAATCCTCCGGCTATAAGAAGGGGTTGCTTATCCGGCCACTGATGTCAGGACCGAGACCCTGAATCAGTGGACGGACTGTCCCCAAGCCCGCCAGCGTGCGAGGTGCATTGTGCACAACTAAGTACCTGCCTTGATGGAATGCCAACGTATTGCCCATCACGACGTGAAACCATACTCAGAAACAGGGCCACGTGTTTTTAGAAAGCACGATGCATATTTCAAAAGAGACGTCAATGGGCTTCAAGAGAATGAAAAAAAATAGTAGAATATCGACAAAGACGAAGAGGTCCACCAACAAAGAACAGTATAACAAAAAGTCCACCTGTTTACAAACCACGATGTTACAGGCCTCGAGACGATAACTACAGCATAGAAGGGTGAAATACTCCGTACTTTCCCTATCGCTGCGGCATGGCCCATGCGCCGCAATCGGCATCTCGTAACCCAGAACCACAACCGGGCTCCACCCGCCAGATTTCCCCGCATTCTCACCAAACTGATATTTCGCGTTCCCGGCTTCAGCGGCACCACACCCGGCACCTACAATCAATCTTGATCATGGTGGGAAATGGTCCACGAGTCGCGAAACGATCTCTGAATGCGTATGTGTGATCTTGGACGTTTGACGGCTGCACATGGACTGGGTAACACTGACGTGGCTTGGATGTGCTCAACATAGCTGCACGCGGTGTCGCAGGCAAAAGATCAAGTGTTCCGGATCCCAGCCTTGCGACGGCTGTAATAAGCGCAAGCTCACGTGCATATTTGATGATCGGGATCAGAAGATACTGGTCACCAAAGGGTACGCCTCTGATGGCCTGAGATCGGGAGCACACTGACTGACAGCGCCCAGGTATATCGATGAGCTGCTGCAAAAGATAGCGAATTTCCAACAAAGTGACCTGTCGAACCCCAGTCCTCTGAGCCCAGAATATACGGAGGAAAGATCCCCTGGTCGGTTGCTCTACTCTTGTTCACGTGGCTAATGCTGAGGATGCATATGCTGATGGTGCATTGCAGATCTCAAAGACCTAAATGATATATCAGACATTGCCAAGTCCACCTCCAACGATCACGATGAGTTTCATCATGAGCTAGAGGATCCAGCATCAGGGTTAACAAACCCTCTATCCACTGGGCCCCCCACGTTCATGTCTGCAGAGAACGGAAGAACGTGTAAGTTGACCCTTTTTCGATGGAAATCTGGTTATTCTGATAGACCTCTATAGTCTATTTAGGAACATCATCAAACTGGTCATTCACCCGCCGAGTCCTGAGTCTAACCCACGAACGCATATACCAAGAGGCTCTTCCCACAGGGGCGTTGCTGTTTGATGGAACGACGTACGATCTCGGCTGGGATGGTCTGCGTAGGCCGCAGGACCCAGAAATTGCGGCCGTTCCCACATTTGACCACGCACTATATCTCATCAATGCCGTGAAATTTCGCTGCGGGCAGCTTTACCACCTCTTTGACGAGAATGACTTTATGAGGAATTTACACGAATTTTATGCGGGGTCTCAGCCCAATGCAACAGCAAGCTTGTGGTATATCCACTTTCTGCTGATCCTGGCGTTTGGCAAAGGTTTCGTTCAACACAAACTGCAAGGAAATAGACCTGCGGGCGCCGAATTCTTCGTCAAGGCACTTCAGTTGCTACCAGACGTTAGTATTCTTCACCAAGAGCCAATCGAGTCGATAGAAATCTTCTGTTGCGTCGCGCTGTATTTGCAAGCCTTGGACTGCCGCTCATCGGCACATAATTATGTATGTCCCTTGAGCATTTTCTGGATCTAGCAGGATACTTTACTAACTAAACTGGGCTGCAGATTGGACAAGCTATGCGGATGGCAATGGCCGAGGGTCTTCACACCCAAATGCCGATCGAATATCTCGGAGAAAGCTTTGTGCAGAGATGCCGCAAAATCTGGTGGACTGTATACATTCTGGATCGCGAGATGACTTCCCTAATGGGACTTCCTCAGTCCCTGAATGATGACCACGTGAATGCACTACTTCCCACATTTCCCGGTTCCAGACAAAAGACCGCCGGAATCGATATGCAGATCAAACTGTCTCGAATTATTGCAGAAATAAATAGCTGTGAGTGACCCGCCATCCTTGCAGGCCCTCGAGTGGTCAGTTTTAACCACTCTAATAGCTGTTTATGCCATTGATGGACGCTTGAACCGGAACTTTCTGCTTCGGACAAAGGCGGCTTTAGCCAATATTGCTCGTCTGGCCGATGAACTCCGTGTTAGCTTTCCACTGCACCTAGAGCGATCGATGAACGGGGTTTCCAGAACATCTGCATATCTTCACCTTCTCTATCACCAGTGCATTGTGCTTGCGACCCGACCACTTCTTTTCTGTTTCTTGAAGATTCGATTTGAATCACCGGAAAATTGCTCCGATGCACTGCATAATTCACGCAGTGTTCGAAATTTGATCCAAATGTGCATGGAATCCTCTCAACAGATGATCAGCATCCTCCGGAGCCTTCAATCAGAAGGTCTCCTCGGTACGATACCTCCCCTTACTATTAAGAATGTGTCTGGAATAGAGTTCTCATTGGCTGACTGTCATATCAGAAACTTTCCTTCCATTTGACCTGGAGTCCATCTTCGTCTCAACCGTCGTCCTTCTCATGGGGCCTGCGATCGACATCCGATGGAACTACCCAATGTGGCTAGAAAAAGCCTACGCGATATTCGAAGAGATCATCGAAAATGGAAACTTGATTGCCAAGTTTCGGCGATCTGAGCTGCAGCTCCTGGACGAACTACTAAGCTGCTTCCCCGACGACCAACCCAGATGCTTATCTGCACCGGTCTCCTTCCCCAATGATGTCCTCAATCCACCAGCTGGGCCTTTGGCGAGCTCTTTCCCGCCGTCCACCCATGCTCTCAGTCATGGCATGTTGTCTGATCCTGGTGTTACGATGGAAAACGCTGGTGCTTTTACCAGAGGGTTGACAACGGCACAAATCATGGCTGTCGCCGATTCTATTGAGAGTATTGATACAGAGTGGATGTCCAATGCGATGATTGAGCACAGTATTTGGTAACGATTAATTTAGCATGATGAATGAAATGCAAACGACAAAGATAAGAAGAGGCATTTGATGACCCAAATAACCAGCAAATCACCTCAGCCATTCCATCTATGCTATAGTGGCGACCGATATTGCCTTCAATATCCGGGAATAGCCTAACATGATACGCTAAACCTAATATGGGATGAAAGTAAATTACCGGATTTGTAAGTACATGGTAATAATACCAGATCTTGGATAACGCAGATTTCTTGGACGTGACAGGAAATGGCACGGTGAAGGCCTTCCACTAGCAATAGTTGAACTATGCATGTTATGACCTCATGACCCATTTAAACTCTGCGTTCAGCTCCGAGATGACTATTGGCACCGTCTAGCTCCACCTTATTTCAGCGCTTCTGTCTAATCCTATGCCGCCATTGCACGGTATCATTTCAACTCTAATATTTAATGGACGTCACCTTACGCGCAAGAAGAAATAGCCTACGTCACTATAGTATTGGCTGAAGAAGCCTAACTATATCCATAGATAAGTATGGCAAAGTCAATATTTAAGCAGTCAGTCCTCCGCAGATAATGTTTTCTTACTATATGCCAAGTCCTACCGTTCTTTACACCACCAGGAAAACGGCGCTTTACCACACCACATCTATTCCATTGGTATATATACTCCTCTCCCTTTCCCAGGCCCAAAAGAATCTCTCAGGAGTATGGACTAATCTTAACTGCTTCCTTTTACTACTAGGAATTATCAGCTTAGTCAAAAAAAGTCGACATGGCCCCTACACACCAGTACCTCGACATCATCATTCAAGATGACATGAAGTATGATGATTATACTTGTTACAGGAAATAACTACTTAGTGATGTTTGTAGGTATGACATCCGTCTTGAAAATGCTCAAATGGAAAGGTATCTCCTTCACAAACTGCTTCGAGTCATCATTACATGCAATTTCTAACACTGGCTTAGCGGCGAATTCTACAGACTGGGCAACCCGAATGATGTCCTAACCACCGACGACATCAATGATATGAGCATTCGTCACAACGGTGGCAGCAGGGAAGTTTGTTCCATAAGCGAACCCGGTTCTATGTCGGGACCTTCGGGCGCGATCGATCTTGTTGACGATGTGAGGGATACGAGAATTTGCACTCTCGCTTGGCGTGCAACTATGCAGCCCGGAGAACAAAATTCATTCCTGGTACGGAATCAGAACCCGAAATACCGCGTCGATATCGGAAAATGGAAAGAATCTGGTGCTATAGGGGATGTTCCGGTCTCTATCGGCGAGATCTAATACGATTCATCCTTATCAAGCCTGGACAAGCCTGGATTAAATGGAGACGCGACTCTGATTAACTGCCGGGTTATCTCACGGTTTCGTTGGGTTGGAGGTTGTTGCCAGCAAGAAAAAAAGTCCGTTTTGTATCGCCTTTGGCTATTGTCTTGCCTTCGGGCGCGATTTGTTTAAAACAGAGAACAAAAGGATAATAAATACGGACGTATCTATATTGGAACTAGCGTGTCATTTGACTAGGGTTGAAAGAGCATATCTGCTTCCCGACATGGAAATAATAATGGTCGCCACTGTAGGTGAAGGAAATAGAGTCTATATGTATTGCAAACCTCCTCCCCCCAAAAAAGAAGAATCAGAAGAAATTGGGCCAGCCCTCCTCTACACATGCGAGACACGGGCCCGCTACCTTGTTATGGCCGGGCTTGATCCAACGCACAAGCTCATGCCATGAATTAGAGTTGGGGACAATCCGCTTCGTCTGTGGGTACACGCACAATCGCTGGTCTACCCGGTAGGTAGCTTCGTAGCATCTTTCGACGTGCATGACAAACATATGGCCGCAGCCATGCTTACCCGTGTGATCTAAAACAACAATTTGGCACATCTGCAAACAGGTTAGCTTGTTTTCAAGTCGCTGGTGACATATAGGATAACTTACCTTGTTAGGAAACCGTGATTTGATACCAAGAGAGAACTTGAGGGTCAGTTTGTTTGCTGGTGCTTATTTAATGTGGTCTGAGGGGGCTTAGTGTGGATCTAGAATTGGTTGATAACTGTGATGCACTGCTATTGATGTCTGTAGAGGAGGATGGATGTTCTTATGATATGTAAATCCAGAAGAGCTTTGTTGATGGTCTCGTGGTTATCATACGCTCTACCCTTCGGTTGGATGACAGATAAAAGAAATTGTACTCAAACCTCAAGAGCAACATTCTCGAGGCTATTGCCAGATACTCCTACTCCGTGATTCAATCAAAGCGTTTTGGAAAAGTCTGTAATGACAGTCGGGCCTCTTTGTCTAACCATAAACAAGTTCAATAGAATCCTAAGAACTAGTTTAGTAATTCTAGATCTAAAAACAAAGAGGAGTCTATGTTTAGATTGCCACATCTTCAGCAAGATATGATGACAATGCCGTTGGAAGATCTACCACGAGCACTGGTAAAAGGAATTTGACGACCCGATTTTAATTGTGGCATCCTCAGGGCTTTTCATGATAGTGTCTTTATTAGCGAGGAAAATGAAATCTTTCGGTTCAGATCTGATACAGAGAATCGCTTGCATTATTGTGACTCCGACCCCGGGACGCCAGATTCACCCTGGAGCTCAATGCACTAGAGACAAAATCTATTTACAACTTGGAAGCCTTTCGAGGCATGATTGAAGATAACTCCTTGGACGCCCCCAGACGCCAGCTCACGTCACCTCCCCAGTCCTGTCCTGCCTTGGCATTGGGCTGCTTCCATCGCCAGCGCACCAAAGACTGTTTATCGTCGGATGCCTCCAAGAGGTCTGTCACCCAGGAACCCACGATCGGGAACATTTTGAACCCGTGGCCTGAGTCACCAGACAGGAGCATCAGTGACGAACCCATGTCGGGAACATAGTCAATGATGAAGTCGGAGTCATTGGTGTCGGCGAACCAGCAAAGTGACCTTTTAACCAGGGGCCGGTCGGCAAGGGATGGCAGCGTGTGGGCCAAGAGTTTCCTGATCTGCGTTTCGTCCTCCTCGGGAATAAAGGCGCTATCGCTCAAAGTCCCCGGTGAATGTGACACGCCTGTCTTAGGATCGGTATTGATGTATCCACCACCCATCGGGCACAGCTTCAGCAAATTGGTCTTCGGGTCCGGCTCAAAGAAGAATCCCAGATCGCGGGCGTACGTGACCGGGATCCCACGCAGACGAGAGGTCTCGTTGTCAGTGAGATGGACGTGAGCGACTGACCACGACTTGGCGACTACTTGCTGCCCCAGCTGAGGCACCAAGCGACCGGCGCCAGCCCCGGCGGCAACAATGACCAGAGCCGCGGAGTGGAACTGGCCATTCTTTGTTCGGATGCCTGCGCAGTTGCGCCCATTCACGGTGCTGACATAGACAATCTCGTCCACGGCCCCTTGCTCGCCCAAGAAAAATCGCACCCCGGCGCCTTGTGTCGCACGGTAGACTGCCGCCAACGCGTTGGCTGAATGGGCATACCCATCAAAGCGGTTGAAGTATCCATTCCAGCCCGGGAGGGGACCATCGAGCTGCCAAGCAATCTGACGAATGTCCGCCTCTCCATCGAGAGACGATACATGTGGCTTGATTTGGGCGTCGCGTTCAGCCGAAGCCCGGAATCTGTTCAGCGTATCGATCGCTTTCTGGGGGGCATCGCCAGATACGCAGTGCAGAAAACCAGCCTGGTGAAAATGAGGCGCGAACAGAGGAGTCTTCCACTCCGCGATTGCTTGCTAGAGAGCCAAAAGAAGCAAAGATGAGTATGAAATCTCACGATTCGTGATTCGCGCTAGTGTCTCACCAACATACAATTGTCAATTCTGTATAGAATGGATCCTCATATTCTGCGCGCACAATCTTGTTCAGATCATTGGCAGCAGAGTATCGCGGAGGAATGTGGTCATCTCGCTCGAACACCGCGACATTCGTGTACCCTTTTCGCGAGAGGTGAAGGGCCGTTGAGAGGCCGAAAGCGCCGCCTCCAACAATGATGATTGCATCCGACTTGGAAACGCCCATGGTCGCTTCTCCCGAGATGTTGGCGTTGGCTTCCTGGTTCTCCTGCAGCTTTTCTCTTCGTCCGTTCTGTGTCGTCCATATATATCCCGCACCGACGCGTTTTCTTTCCTAGGACCGGCATCTTTTGCGACCGGCAAGAGGGTGCTAGCCGCAGCTCTGGGCCCATCGCTATCTCTCGCCGGGATGAGTGGCCGAGTGGCCGGGAGGAGAACCCACGCCCAATCGTGGGGCGATTGCGGCGGATAGCAGTTGGAGGTCTCCACTTGCACTCGGATGCCCTCCCGATGCGCGGGGAAATTCACGTTGCCACGACCTCTGTTTGGATTTCCTTATCTCTCGATTGGAGCTGGTGGAAACCAACAACATCCTTGAAGGCATTCGATGTAATCTGGTTATACTGGCACCAATAAAAATGGAAACCCTATGCCTGTTGGGGTGTGGTAAGTTCAAGGGCTCCCCTTGACACCACTTGACACTAATGGGAAGATAGGCAACCTCGGAGCGGCGATTCTGAACAGTCTGCTCGGCACAGCCGAGAGCAAGCCTCTTTTCAGTCAATTCGTCGCTTGTGTCCGCAGCGAAGCCTCGGTGAAAAAGCTAGCGGATCGATACCCCCAACATCAAGAACGGCTGACCATTTCTCGTGGCGACAACATCAACGCCGTGCGGCAGTCCGATGTGATTATCTTAGGAGTTGATCCCGCCGATATCGACTCTGTGCTGAAGCAGCATGGGCTACGTGAGGTGTTGGAGGGGAAGCTCCTGATCAGTATCGCAGCAGGCTGGACCAGACAGAAGCTCGAAGAAGCCATCTACGGAAGCGAAACGACCGATGGCAACAAGCTTGGCCGGGCATGGGTCATCCGCACTCTCCCCAACATTGCGGCGCAGGTCTCACAGTCTTTGACAGCCATCGAGGTCTCCGAGCCCTCTCCGCCAGAGCACTACCTGACGATCACGACCGCGATTTTCGAGCGCATCGGGCGCGCGGTGCAGATCGAGCCACGACACATGAATGCGACCACCGCAGTGGGAGGATCCACGCCGGCCTTTTTTGCCGTGATCTGCGATGCCCTGATCGATGCCGCCGTAGCGGTTGGTGTTCCGCGGCACCTGGCACGTACCATGATTATCCAGTCCATGCTAGGAACGGCCACGGTGCTCCAGGGAGGAATGCATCCAGCTGTGCTCCGGGATCAAGGCACATCACCGGAGGGATGTACGATTGGTGGGTTGATGGTGATGGAGGAGGCGGGTGTTCGCGGTCATGTTGGACGCGCCCTTCGCGAAGCGGTCACATTGGCGCGTCTCATGGAGACAACAGAGCATGTCAACGACACAAGGCATTAAGTATATAGCAACACATAGAAGCCCATGATTCCCCAGCTTTGCATTGATGAATTCTTGCGTTACTAGGCCTTGGCATGTAGCTCCATAGAAATCCACTGTATGGTTCATGGTCCATGTGATTCAACTGGCGTCTCTATCGCGGTCTCCGTCGTATCCGCGGGCATCCATTCTATGCCTACTTCCACTCCTCCATCCGCTTTCCTATGAAACATTGATCTCAACTCCATGTTTGCAAGACACCCAAAGCCAAACGCAGGGATGATTCGAATACACCGGACCACCGTGGATGACCCCAGATACCGCTGAGACTGCACGATCCGGTCCGAGAGGGGCACCGCATGCTGTCGCATATACAAGTCGAGGCCCAACAAGTGCAGTGGCGTCGCAACCAACTGAGTCAGGACAGGCACCGTCAACTGCGAGATGACCGGCTTGGCATGAGGGTGGCTGGTCCAGTCGTCGGGTATCGTCGCCGCCAACTTCGGGGCCAGCGTAAAGGAGCCAAAGATGGTAACACAATCGCGAGCGAGGAAAACGGCCGCGGCAGCCCGTGCTACGCCGCGGCTTTGTGCCAGAGACTTTCGCACGGCATCAACATCGCTGGGGGCCCTTTGCGTCCCGAAGACCTGTGCAAATCGAATGTCCTTCCACACTCCCAGGGGCACGTTGACGATAGTGGTCGACAGGAAAGTGATCATTCCTGTCGCGGGAGTACTTAGCTCCTTGCCGATGGTGTCGGTCCCATTGGCAACGGTGTAGGTTGCCGCGTACAAGGCCCAGATGATCCCAAAAGGGACTTGGAAGATGAACCGGGCGGGATGTTTGAGAGCAGAAAGGGCATGAGTGCGGAGGCCGCGAATGAGCGGCTGATTCCAGGAGGACTTCTCGACAAGTGCCCTGACAGACGGTGAGTATAGAATCTGGAGGAGAGAGGGACAAAGAGATGCGCACCTGTCGATGATTGTGATAGCTGGTGCGACGAGTGTAGCCGATATCGTCGCTGCGCCGACGTCTCCCGCTAATCGTTTTGAAAGCGAGCTATTCCAACTATATTGGCGCTCTTTGGATCCGTGCCCCATGGTGATGAAACGGGCCTGTTCAAGCCCGTCTCGATAAAGATTATTTTGTGATATATTCTCTATCGTCAGCTCTGTCGGAGGCATCCAATCCTACTGAAATTCCGATCAATCATATTTTTGGGGGGCCTTTAGTCTCGTGCCAGGCGTTGATTCGACTATCGCGCGAGGCAGCAAAAGAGCGGGCCATCGGGAGGCCTGCCGATGCAGCAACCTTCCACGGGGAGCTGCGCTATCGCCGACTCCACCAGGCCAGCGTCATAGCCCCAGCCAAAGTATAGCGGGGCTTCGGTTTGCTGCCATCGGTCATGTACCCGATGCTATGCGGCCGCGCTTGATAAAGCATGCGCTGTCGTCCAAACGTGATTTCTTCCACACGATCGAGACGGCTTGCTTCAGTCCGGGTTGCCGCCATGTCTACCATATCTCTCGTGGACCTGCGCGCATCGCGGTTCTCTTGGCCTCGTCTGCGATCCCTTCGTGCTCGGCCGTTGACCCAGCTTCGAGGCAAGGCGACAGCACCATTTCGCCTCCCTGATCCTCGCAATGAACCCAACGTGAGAAGGTACACTTCCAGAGAGAAGGAGACACGGGCTAACAGATCGGACAGCCACTTTATAAGAGAGGCTCCGAGGAGCGGACCAGGCTAGAGGAAGCCCTTTCCAAGCTTCGGTCTCAGCTCCCCGTCCGCAGTGACCTCTTCTACGATGGCAAGATTCAACAGAGTTCCAAGTCGTGGGACCAGCCACTTCCTGCCGAGCATGCCACCACCTTCACCAACTACCCGCTCGCCACCAAGGAGCAGACCACCGCCGCAATTGAATCCGCTCTGAAGGCAAAGAAGGAATGGGAAGCCACTCCGTTTGTGGACCGAGCTGCCATTTTCCTCAAGGCCGCCGAGCTGGCGACGACCAAGTACCGATATGACCTGATCGCGGCCACGATGTTGGGGCAAGGCAAGAATATTTGGCAAGGAGAGATTGATGCTGCTGCCGAGCTGGCGGACTTCTTCCGCCTCAACTGCAACTACGCCGCGGAAATCCTGGAGAGACAGCCCATCCGTGGCAGCGATGGTATGTGGAGGTAAGTTAATTACGTTGCTTAAGTCCGGTAGTTTCGTATGATTCTGATTACCTCTATAGTCGGCTTGACTACCGACCCCTGGAGGGATTCGTCTACGCTGTTTCCCCTTTCAACTTCACTGCTATTGGCGGTAACTTGATTTCTGGGCCTGCCCTGATGGGTAACGTCGTGCTCTGGAAGCCTTCGCCCTCCAATGTATACGCCAGTAACCTTGTCTACAATATCTTGTTGGAGGCTGGTCTGCCCCCGAACGTGATCCAGTTCGTCACCGGAGACCCAGAGACCATCACCGAGGCCGTGCTGGCGCACCGTGATTTTGCCGGTCTGAACTTCATTGGCTCATCGGACGTGTTCCGCTCTTTGTATGGCAAGATTGCCATCGGGGTCTCGAAGAAGACCTACCGCGAGTTCCCTCGCGTGGTCGCCGAGACCAGCGGTAAGAACTTCCACCTCGTCCACCCCACTGCAGACATCACTAGCGCAGTCAACCACACTATCCGCGGCTCGTTCGAGTATCAGGGTCAGAAGTGCTCTGCCACTTCGCGCCTATATCTCCCCAGGTCCAAGGCAGAGGAGTTCCTCACAGCTTTGAAGGCGGGCGTAAAGGAGATTACTATTGGAAATCCCGACAAGGACCTGGAGGCATTCATGGGTCCTGTCATCCACCGCAAGTCTTTTGATAGGATCAAGTCTATCATTGACAAGAGCAACAAGGACTCATCCGTTAAGCTCATCACTGGTGGCACCTATGACGACTCAGTTGGCTTCTACGTCCACCCGACCGTCTATCAGGTGGACTCGCCCGACCACGCACTCTTCAACGAAGAGATCTTCGGTCCCGTTCTGGCCGTCTACATCTACCCCGATGCTGAGTGGTCAGCAACCCTGAAAAAGGTGGACGAGAACGGCGGCGGGTTCGCCTTGACTGGCGCCGTCTTTGCTTCGGACCGCCGGGCAATCCGCGAAGCAGAGGATGCTCTCCGGTACTCCGCCGGTAACTTCTATATCAGTAAGTTGTTTCTGGGAATTCCCATCCCTGTACATTTCGAGACTCTAATATCCCGCTCGCTAGACTGCAAGACCACCGCCGCTCTGATCGGCCAGCAATCCTTCGGCGGTGCCCGCTCAAGCGGTACCAATGATAAGGCCGGTAGCTCGGATTCCCTTCGCCGCTTCACGAGCCCCCGCTTGATCAAGGAAGAGTTCTTCCCCCAGACGGGATTCACCTACCCCAGTAACCACTAGATTGCATGTTAGCGGCATTTTGTTTAGCTGTATTAGTTGAGTTTCTACTAGCTCTGAATACAAGCTTATAAAAGCTCTTCTACATACATTTTCGGCCTAGAAGTAACATCGTGTCGAGATTAAGACGTTGAAAGAGTCGCAGTACCTACAAGATGTAACAGTATATAAAGGCAGCAGTGGTACAGGAAGGGGTAGCAATTTCGACTTTCCTTGAGCTACAAGGTCGGTGCAAGATTTTCCCAAAATGCAACTATACAGCTACTAGCATAGAGAAGGACCACGCCCCGCACTCTACCACCCCGTTTAGGTGTCCAATCCCGCCCAAACCCGCCTGTTGCTCGATGTGGCTATTGAACGCAAATTCCCCTGCGGCCACTCGGCAGTGCTCCCGTAGACCATGTAACAGGTGAACTCTCAATCTGGCCTAGCCAGATCTGTGCCAAGAGTACAGTTGCTTCCCTCGTCGCACGACAGTCTCACACGTATTTATTTCATGATTCGAACAATAAGTGTTTGAAAATATAAAAAGAATGTTTCATGAAGCTTTTCATCAACTATTTCTGCGTGGCAAAAGAAAATCCCCCTTTCAGCCTCCGCTTTAATTCCGCCTTGAGCGCGTTATACTCATCAGTCGTCCGTAGCACTGCATCACGGTTCTCAATCGCTCTTCGCAACAGATATGCCAGGCACTCGCCCATTCTGCCCCAGGTCGAGCACTTGTAGACTTGAGGGCTACCATCGCTTCCTTTCAGTGCTAGGAGTGAGAAGCTCACTTCATCGGACATTCCATGCAGCTGAGCGAAGCCAACGGGGACAGTAGGCAGTCCGGCTTGGGTGCGTTGTTGGTGCAACTGGTGGGCGGCCATCACGCTCTCCCGGTTGTGACTAGCCAGGAAGAGATTGACAGAGGGGAAAGGGATGGTAGTTCCAAACTCGCCAATAGTCCGCTTCAGCGCTCCCTGAGAAATTCCATTAAAGGCATTATCGGTGTCCTCCTTCGTATCGTGGATGAGAGCTCGTTCATCCGAGGCCATATAGGCACCTCGAACCACCTTCATCCCCAGTGTGAATCCTTCCTTCTGAGCAGCTGCAAGGTGCGCGGCCAGTGTGTTCGACATACTTTTCAAGTAAGCTTGGTAAGAATTGTAGACGACGGCGTATCCGTCCCGGTTAAACGTCCGCATGAGGTCTAGAGTTAACCGCAAGATTCCCCATTGGAAGTGCTGGGACTCGCCATCGACTAGAACCCGCACGTTGCGCTCTTTGCATTTTCTGCAGATTTCGCTCATGGCGTCAATCATCTGTGTTGGTGGGAGATCTCCCTTGGAGAAAGCTTCGTTTACCGCAGGACCAGCCCCGGTTAACCTATACAATCGTCAGTGACATCCGGCAACCTCACGAAACAATCCGACATACTTGACAGCCAGGTAATCTCCAGCTTCGAGATGCTCGACGGTGTCCAAAGTTCCCTTCCTCCACGCTTCAATGTTGGCACAGTGCGCCAGGCGCGGATCCATCTTTTCGCCATTCTTCTCTGCATCCACCGCGGCAACACCCAGTCCCTGCTGAGTATTGGTGCGATGATCAAATACAGTCTCTTTGGCATAAGTCATGATGACACCGCTGAAACCCATGTCCTTCAACTGTTTGATGGTGGCTTTTGTCTCGGCTGCATTCTCCCCGGCGCAAAATTGCTCGTAGAATGTCTTCTTCAAGATAGCATGGAGAATAGGATTGCGGTCCACATCCAACAAAAACCCTCTATTAGGCTTCGAGAGCATGGACATGACCCATAGGGAAGGATATAGTAACCATGACTTGGACGAGACAGTTGACACCAAAAGGGATCTGAGAAGTACACGGGTAGGTAGAGCCGATAATGGAGGAAGAGCCGCAGCGGGAGCAGACTGTTTGTGGGCAATCTGCAGTGTGGATGTGAACCGCTGTTGCTTTAGACCCGCCGCGGCGTGTCTGGGGAGTAGACTCCATCTCGCAACAAGCATCTCTCCCATGAGAGGACCCGGCTTTCTAGTGAACGAAAGAGTCATTGTGTGCAGAGTCGACGTATTCAGGTCCTCCGGGCCTTCCTGGCACAGGCGTGCAAGTTTATTTATCGATACTACCCCGCCGGTCCATGTTCCCTACGGTACTCGATCTTGTTATCTGAAAGCGCATCCTCGGGTGCCTGCCCGACCGGCTGGAGGTGGGAGCCAGACCCGTGGGGAATTCGCAGGATGGATTGCTATCCATGGTGCGTGTGTCGGGTGTCTCTACCCGTGCCCTCGTACTCGCTGATCTGGCTGGGCTGATAAGAAGTTCATTTGCTAATGGGTACCAGCGATGTATGGCCGGGAGGGCTGCCGTAGGTGGGCCATCCGGCCTGTTGTAGACGGACTCGGCCGTGTTACCGACGAGGGTGATGGGTGGCGGTAAGGTATCACGAGGACGGTTGATAAGAGAGGTATGGAAAAGTTAACCTTAAAAAGGAAAATGCTTTTCGCGAGAGTCCCGAATATTCATGGTTGCTGCATAAGATAGTGCATTGTCATTGGTCGTTCACTCTGGCGTGGCGCTGCAAACGATGAGGCGAGTCCAGTCAGCATAGGCTGTCTGGGATGTTGCGGTCAATGATTCTTGGGTTTTCCTGGCCATTGGGATGTACACCGATATATCGGGGCTTCTAGGATTTCTTACCTTTCGACGATGATCCCAGCCACTCCGGCAGTCGCAGAGGATCACTGAGATCGAGCGATGTCGGCTCTAGAGTCAGGAATATAGTCCCCGAAAAGGCTTGCCTGCCTTACTGCCTGAGGCTAACATACCGTGATGGCAACTGCCCGAATGGAAATATTCCAGAACAGGCAAGCATCCAGCCCATCACATGATTCCTGGGCTCATCTCGACACCTTGTTGTAGTCAGGCCTTGAGGCATTCAGACATTTAGGCATTCAGGCATTTAGTCATTAGTCATTAGTCATTAGTTATTCAGGCACTCAGGCACTAAACGTTATCACTCATCAGCCCCGCCACGCTGGGAGGACTCAACGCACTGATAGGTCGGCGGGGCAGTTCTCGAGTTCTCGGGCGGTCTTTCTTGCTAATCCATGCGGTTCGGTATCTTTCTACATCGGATCACCTCATGAGGAAGGTCCATGGTCCCACCCATTCGTCATATGGGCGATCCCGATGGGCCGATATGTGTAATCTGTAATCTGTAATCTCGCTCCGGTCTGGTTGTGTTCCCGGAATATTAAAGTCGCCCCTGCCCCTGGCCACCTTAAATTCCCTATCTCCAAACTTTACTTTTTCCTCATCCCCAACTCTCTTCTTTTCCACCACTACACTCTCACCCCTCTTCAATCGCAATCATGTCGATCAAGGCCGGCGACAGCTTCCCTCAGGACGTGACCTTCTCGTATGTGCTAACCCATCCCCTGCAATATCGCCATCGTCCATTCCATCTTCCCCCCCCCCCCCCCCCCCCCAAAAACCCCCGCCTCTTATCACAAGCCCGCAAGCCCCTCCCAAGACTGTTCAAGACTAACCATCCCTCACAATAGCTACATCCCCTGGTCTGAGGAGTCCGGCGAGATCACCTCCTGCGGTATCCCCATCAACTACTACGCCTCCAAGCAGTGGGCTGACAAGAAGGTCGTCTTCTTCGCCCTGCCCGGTTCGTCACCGCCCCTTTTTCTTTTCCTTTCGTCTGCTTCTTCCCCAAGGTTCTCGCAGCCGCTGACCGCCACCCCACCATGCAGGTGCCTTCACCCCCGTCTGCTCTGCCAACCACGTCCCCGAGTACATCCAGAAGCTCCCTGAGCTCCGTGCCAAGGGTGTCGACGTCGTCGCCGTCCTGGCCTACAACGATGCCTATGTCATGAGCGCCTGGGGCAAGGCCAACGGCGTCACCGGTGATGACATTGTACGTTGAACCCCCTCTTCGTTACCCTCCGATGCAAATGTCCCAAGGACCCCTCCACTAACATGGTGCTTTTCAGCTGTTCCTCTCCGACCCCGAGGCCAAGTTCTCCAAGAGCATCGGCTGGGCCGATGACGAGGGCCGCACCTACCGCTACGCCGTCATCCTCGACCACGGCAAGGTCACCTACGCCGCCAAGGAGCGCGCGAAGAACGTGCTGGAGGTCACCTCCGCCGACCACATCTTGAAGCAGCTGTAAGCCTGTTACGGCTGGAAAAATAGATCTGGGTTAGATTGGCGTACTGTTTCCAGGGTTGATTGGGAGAAAGGAGAGCAGATAGCTGGCCGTTGTTCGTTGCCACGAAAGCGACCGGGCACTGTTTCCCACCTCCTGGCTGCATTTGGCAGCATTAGACAAAATCGCCCGCTCATTTTTGCTCTTGTCTGACATAGAGGAATATCATCCTAATGAAGCTATGACAACACCTGCCTCGCTCGCGGAGCATCCTATTGCTCTAGTAGAAGTTAATTTGTATATTTGTAGACCGGTCTTTTTTAGTGCCAGGGATCCTCTGTGCACCTTCTGTGATTGGGTGCCCTGTCATCGCATCTAACTAACGCCCCTCTCCGCCACGGAGGCCAGTGCTCATCTCCAAGGCTTATCTGATCTGAATTCGGCATCGGTACATAGTGGGGGATCAGCGGAAGCGATCTACGCAGATTTGACGATGCTCAGATTCATGTATAGTCATCAAGACCCACTATTTTTGCAGAGTATACTCGTCGTCTCATGCCAATGTCAGTGTGGAGGTGGGGCCTGTTCTGAGGCGAGGTGGATTTTACTTGTCTTTTGCAATTCAATGTCTAGTGAGACGGAGCTATTTCAAGACATTCGAATAGATGCGAGACCAATTGGGATATGCGTACATGGTTATATGGTATCTAGCACGAAACAAAACATGATGACAAAAGTCCAAAACCAGGGTGGATATCACGGTGAACAACAAAAAAAACAAGAGCCTCGCACAGCGCCATCAGCTCCAGCCCGGACATAATGAATGATTTATTTACCCTTGCCTTTAGGCACAGCAATCGCAACTAACCGAGTCTTCTTCCGGTCGTCTTTTGCACGCAGACCCTGACTCAGTCCCCCGCCCATGCCCCGCGCAAGAGAGGCAAATGGCGAAGACGCCTGCCACATGACCAGATCATCTTCATTCTGACTGACTCCCGCTTTCGTGGTGGGAGTGTTGTGACCGCTCGAGTCAGGGCCGGAAGGCGGTTCAGACTGGCGACGGCGATGCCTTTTCTCGGAAGACGCGCTCCGGTGGGTGTTACCGGGGGGTTCTGGTTTGGTGCTGGGAGACGGAGGCTCCCATGCTGGCATGGGCACATTGACCGTGATGTGCTCCGAGCAGCTGCAGCCGCAGCCAGTCGGGCACGTTGGGAGGGTACTGGTGTCCTTGGGGATATCGAATGGACTGTCAATTCGGTTGCTTGGTCGGAGGAACCAGAGGCGGTGGCAGGAGAAGCAGCTCACGTGCCCGCAGCTAAGGCACGGGACCAGCATGCCGTCGACTACTTCGCCGCAGATGATGCAGGGAAGTCTGGTAGGGAGAGGTTGCCGGGGTTCACAGTTCGGGCAGCGAGGCGATACTGGTTGCCTCTGGCGGGCCCGCTTGGACGGGGTTTCAGGAACAGGCTGCGGAGCAAAAATCGACAATTGCAGGGCATGGCCGCAGTTGGCGCAGTGGCGCTGGAAATCAAGGCCTTCCAGACCTGAAGGGGTATCGCTCGGCGTCCCTTCTGGAAGAGAGGGTGCTGCCTTGGAACTGTGACTGTTCCAGTACTGGCTCATGTGCAGATCATCCACATCTTCAACAACTGCACCAATCTTCAGGACTTCACTCTGATGTACCGGAAGCTCCCATATTGATAGTAAATTGGCGTATGCAGCGCGGTAAGATCGGTACAGCCATTCCTTATCTCGGTCAAGGAGGGAATCAGGCGCAGTGTCATCGCCATCGAATGCATTTTGATTCTTCAAGGTAACCTTGAATCGAGCTGCAGGCTTCGCTGGCTGAGGGGGACGATCACTCTCCGTATCCGAATGCGTCTATGTCAAGTCAGAAATCAGAACTTTCAACATAAAAAATCGCTAGTCATACATACCGGCTGTGCCGAGACCACACCCGGGCTCTCACCCGAGGCTGGCTTCCTTTTATTCAGATGAGTCGCCGGCGGCGATGCCGATGACGGGCCAAAAGTAAATGAACGAGACAATGACGAAGCGAGCACAGATCCAAATCCAGATCCACTCCGTGCTTGGAATTGCTGATCAGGCGACGCTGAGATTGAGACATTGTGGCTTATAGCCTTGCGGTCGGCAGCAATGCCTCGCGGGCGTGAAGTCAAAGGAGGTGTAGTACCCGTCGAAAAGGGAGGGGTAGAGTCGACGCGCCACGTTTCGCTTGATGATTGTCCTGAGGTGTGAGGGGGCACATTTTGAGGCTCCCTTGGGGCAGACGAAGCGGGAGTAGCTGCTTGCAACTTGCTGTTCGGTACCGTCGACGCAACCAACGGGAACTCCAGAGAAAATGCGCGCTCCTCGAGCCGGTTTTCTTGCTTTTTCCCAGACCGGCCCTCGTGGTTCGCTTCCAGGAGCACGCAGGAAAGCATTGCCACCATCTGCACATCACCGATGCGCTCAAAATGGTCAAAGAGAGCGGGCACAAGCCAATGACTACCCATGGGGTGGTCTCCCCATCGAATCACACTGCCAGCAAGTTCTTTGTAGAGCTCTCCTTTCTCAGTGATCTGGCTAGTGTTCATACTGTTGATTCCCTCTTGTGTCCGCTTCCGCCCCATCCTTGAGTCGAGCGGAGATGGGGGTTTTCTTCGAACATGCAGGATCAATTTGATAAGACCCCAAATCTGAGCCAGCTCGTAGCAACCAGCATCCAAGGCAACAGCGGCATTGTGGGCACAGACATCTGTCCCTTTGCCGCAGATGCGATACTTGCTGGCGAGTTCCCGCTTAACTGGCAACAAGTCGCTCAGGTCATGTATAGACACCACATTGCGAGGTGCATCGGAGAATTTGGCTGTCCCAGCTCCGCCAGTAGACCTTTGAGAATTATCCGTCGACCGTGGTTTATAGATACCGATACTACCGGCACTGCGCCAAGTCTGGGGGGCTTGGAAGCGGGCCGGTAGCCCTGGGAGCATATCAGATGAGCCAGATGAGCTGGAGGTCTCGGAATAGGAATCATCCGAGTAATCAGAGACACCATCATCTGTGCTTGTGATTGTACCGGTCATGCGCGGGCCCGGGGAGCTCGTCTGCAGACGCCCGAAGCCTTCGAATACCTTGTCTGTCCTGGACAGTCGACTCATCTCTTTGAATCCGATGTTGTCGAAAAGCTCCGTTGACTTATCCTTCTTCGGTGGGAAAAAGCAGACCAAACGTCCGTCATTGGCCCACAGCGCACCGCACCCTTTAGCAACGGGTACCATAACGTTGGCATTGACCGGTCGAAGTAGCTCCGAGCTCATCCCCAGTTCTTGGCTTTGTGTCATGCCAACCTCGTCTTCGTCGCTGGACTCGCCCTCCTCTAATTCGCCATTGATAGGGGATTTGACACTATCGCCAGTTTCGCCCAGAATCCAAGCGATGCTCTCTTCCAAACTGCTCTCGCCCAGAAGATAGCGAACGGCGCCTTCCAAGCATCCTCGTTTCCTGGACATGTATGTTTCCGCAATAGTGCGCAATTCAGCTGTGACCCTCCTAGAGAGCTCGTCTGTCACCGCCGCTGTCTTCTGAAAAGAGAAAGTGGGAATAGCGGTCTTGGGATAGCTGACGGGAAACTTTATATCCACCTTCAGGAACAAAGACGTGCCATCCGTACCCCAGGGTCCATTCAACGATATCGAAATTTTCCGCTGTCGCACATCAACCGACTCAAATGCAACCTTGCTGAACTTTTCGCCCACATGACTGATCTCGTCTCCCAGAGTCTCAATATCCCAGCCGGAGATCTTTACCCCGCGCATCCAGGCAATCGGATTGGCGTCGGCTCGGAGATTTGAGCGTGGCTGCATGCCCATCCGGGTATCGACATGGCTGCTCCGCGTCCAGGCGCGAGCGTGCGGGACCGAGATGGCATTCATACCGGGGGGCCCTGGGTACGGAGTGGTCGCGGTATGAGGACCAACAGAGGATGCGGATTCGAGGTCCTCTACTTCTAGGTCTGAGTTCACATCCCTGAAGCTTCGGTAGACAGCGCCCAAGCGCGTCACGTTTCGAGTAGATATGAATGACTTCCCCTTCTGATATCCGACACGCTCCAGGATTTCAGGATCCACACGATGCAGGCGGAGCTCGTGATCGGTTCCCCATGTAACGAGTTGGAACTCTCGATTGTCAATCCCATCCACCACGCCTCCTCGCGGTCTCCAGAGGAACTCCTTCACTTGGCCCTTATGTCCGGGGAAGCTGTGGACCAAGGGAATATCGTCGTCAGGGCTGCTACCCTCGGCAGCTCTCCGACTGTAAAGCAGAAGGTCACTGTTACCTCTCTGTGGCATTGCCAGTACACCCCATCCAAAAGGGGTGTTTCGAGCTCGCCAGACAGGGAATGGTGTGCGGATCTGTTTTTCCGGCACATCGGTATCGGACGTATAGTCCCAGAACTTGATCGTCTTGTCCAGCGAACATGTTGCTAGGGCGCCGCGTCGAACACGGTTCCAGTCCACGCCATAGATCTTGGTGTCGTGGGCTTCGATGGACTTGATCGGATATGCACCCATGCGGTCATCCCAGATTCGGAGATATCGGTCATGAGAACTCGCAATAACGTGGGGGTCTTGCCGGTTCCATTTGACTTGGGTTGCGCCCGTGAACCAGTCTGAGAACGAGATAGCAGGCCGCGAAGGCGTGCGCAAATCCCAGCAGTGAACGAAACTATCCACCGCACAGGTCGCCAAGATATCCGGATGGAAAGCCGACCAATTGATATCGGTAATTGCGCGTGAGTGAGCATGCAGGACATACTCGATCGAGTTCTGCCAGGTCTTCATGGCTAGGTTCCATACCAGCGCTTTCTGGTTGGATGTGCTCACAACCCAGGAGTCGCGTGAAGCGAACGGCGACCACTGCACATCGGCGACCTCCCATGGTGTATGGTGAGGGAGATACCGCGGTGGAGAGTAAGGTGAGTCCAGATCGATGACATGGAGACCCTCCTTGGACGCCAGGACCACATCGCGCCCACACGGCGATATAGACATGGACCCGACCGGCTGCCCTACATGGATCGAGCTGTCCTCGTCGAACGTCGGGCTCTCGAAGGCCGATGTGAGCGGCCGGGGCTCCATGGAGCTGGACATCTCGACTGCGACCGGCCGTCTCGGCCAATGCAGGCCTTCAGAAGAGTCGCAAAGCCAGAAAACTATGAAATGTACAAAATGTCGAATACAGTTGTGTTTTTCATCTTGCGATCACTCGCTCAATGGCTTGTTCAAGAGCACCAGGGCCTCGCGTGCCCGAGGGGCGTTGCGATAACGAGAGCAACGTCTGTGGCTGGTGCTGTGGCGTATCTCTCCCGCAAGTACTGTAGTGGTGGCAGTACATGCACATGACGGTACGGCAGTCGGGAGAGCCCCGCCATGCAGTGCCCCTCGACGGTTACGTCGGTTGCGGATTTTGTTGACAGGTCGCATTCTACCCGTGTGTGCTCTCAAGTTGGTCTGCTTGGTCGATACCGCGATTGACACCGGTGCTTGTCTACCTGTGAAGTTATCTCCCAGAGAACCGGTCGTTTAACATTTCTGCCGTCCACTCCCGCGATAAACACACTTGTCATGGCGCTGCCGAAGCGGATTATCAAGGAGACTGAACGCCTCATGGCGGAGCCGTACGACTACCCTCATGTCCCTCTCACTGTCTTTGGTGCATCCTCTGACTCCTTGTCACTTTGTATATCTAGGGTCTCCGGTATCAACGCTGTTCCTCACGAAGATAACTTGCGATACTTCGATGTCTCCATCCACGGCCCCGCCCAATCTCCGTATGAGGGTATGCATAATGACAGTTTCCTTTTGGTCCTAAATACCGACGTAATTTTTCTAGGTGGCATTTTCCGACTTGAGCTCTTCTTGCCCGATGACTATCCCATGACTCCCCCTAAGATTCGCTTCCTCACCAAGATCTACCACCCTAACATCGATCGTCTGGGCCGCATCTGCTTGGATGTCTTGAAGAGTAAGGCTGTCACAAAATCACGAAGGGCTTATGGTCTCTAACACCATCTTAGACAACTGGTCGCCCGCTCTCCAGATCCGCACCATTCTCCTCTCGATCCAGGCCCTCCTCGGTGCTCCCAATCCCGATGACCCCCTCGCCAACGATGTTGCCCAGCGATGGAAGGATGACGAACCCGCCGCCATCCAAACGGCGAAGGAGTGGACTCGCACTCATGCGATGACCTGAAGGAGTTTAACTGTGATGTGACCATGAAAACAGAAGTCAGAAACAAGTGTTGCAGTGCACCATCTTGGAGGCGCTGACTTTGGGATGGGCCAGCCTCTGTCGTTTTTCGAGCGTGACCCTTTTTTTCCTTCGTGAAACCCATCTTGCTCAATATCGACGGTTTATTTTATAAGGCGTTGCATAGAATTCAATGTGTTATCAGGAGTTATTCCTACGTCTCATTAGGTCCTTTGTCCGGCGAGCGTTTGGAGACTCCGTATGCGTGGTCCAAAGGTGAATATTTGCGAAGCGAAATGAAAGATTTCCCCTTCATTACCTTTTGGATCAGTGTCTGAAATTAGAACCTTGTAGTGATAGTTTCCTCTGTTTATGACGTATTTCGAGTTACTATGCATCTTAGGTACAGGAACTTCCAACCGGCTAGGTCTTGGGGTCATAGGGGACACCAGATGGCGGGTTGGGCGGCCTGTCGGGTACCAAGGCCGTATTTTCAGACCAGCCAAATCCTTGCTTTTCGAAGCAATGGATATCTGTCAAGACCTTTCTAGCTTGGAGTATTCGTAGCATATCTTTTGACTTCTTTTTACACTATATTAGGAATGTAAACGGCGGACCTGTAATTACTACTTTAGTTTTGCCGTTCCCGGACTAGTGCCGCGATACTATAAACCACCCCCTCCGTCGCCTGAACATAAAAGTCGCGATCTCGCTCTTTCTACCTCTCTTTTCCTTCCTTCATTCCCTTCAACTCCTCTATCTTGCACCTATCGCCACCCTCGTTCTTACTCTCTAGCCCCCACCGACCCCTACGCCTTGGCCTTCAGCCCGACCCCCTACGCCTTTTATTTTACTAGAGATATCGCTCGATCCGACACCTAGCTCGTTCTCGCTCCTTGAGCCAGAATGGTAGTCGTATAGGAGTAGAACTACTAGGATGATCTAGCCTATAGCGGTATTGTGTTACTTTAGGTCGATACTTCTCCTTCTCTAAGGGAGTGACTACACTACACTACGAAGCTATCTAAGTTACCTCTACTAGTGAGCCTTGTTTGTCTCTGATTCCGCCGGCCTCCTTTCTACCTCTAAATTGCTAGTATAGTATCGACGCTGCGTGCCCTGCTATATCCGCCCTATCTAAGGTTATATTGTATAGCCCTGGTATTATAGAATGACTCTCTATTGCCTAGCCATAAGTACTATGGCGCTTAGTTGTCGTTATTGTCGGTCTCTCCGGTTTATCTATATCTAGTCGATAAATATTTGATAAATATATGAAAGTAGAGCCCGGTAGTATAGGCTAATAGCGAAAATACCGTATACTTGTGACCTCGGCCAATGCTGGGTTACGCTTGAGATGAAGTATTTTGGCCCCCGTCCGCCGCCTCGCATATTAATCAATCGGCCGATTATGCCTGTCGAGTGGTATTCGCGTATCCCTCTTTCCGGGCGATCGTATGTGTGGAGCGGGGGTTCAAATCTGCCTTGAGGACGTAAATCGCGAAGGCGTTAGTAGCGCTGGCTGATAGCGTCTATATTCCGGAACCGGGGAGCTCCGGGATTAAACTAGTTAGCACATGTGGACGACCTAACTGCCTTGGGCGCTATATATATTAGCTAGTGTATGTTCGGTCTACGAAAGTTGACGAGAAAATAGTAACACTCTATTCTTTTATAATGATCTGACAGCTTTATAGTAGCTATGTCGAAACTCAAGAACGGTCTCTAAATCTAAGGACCTCGCTAAGTAACCTTATTAGACTGCGTACAAATATCTATTCCCGGCAATCTATATAGTTCCTACTATAGTTCGCTTTCTAGAGCCTACTAAGCCCCTATTAGTAAATGCGCCTTATCGCCGAAGCCCTATTAACTTGATAATCGATTAGCCGAGAGGATATGTAAGTCGATATAGAAACTATGATAAGTCCTTAAGCACGAGGTTATACAGACTAGAAATAAAGAGAGAACTATTGTCTTAATATTAGTACGTCTTACGTGTTTTGTCTTTGGTCCTAGGCCACAGAACAACTAGTAAGTAGAGCTCTATCGATTAGATAGTAACAACTAGACGTAGGCGATACGTAGTTATACGGTTTCGTAGAAATAGCAACGCCACTTCGTAGTATAGCTATTAGGTTAAAGGGATAAGTGCGCGAGTCATTCATGTAATAGTGCCCCGAACAATATATTAGTCACAGAATCGATTAGTAGGTAGATCTCTTCTAGATGCCATCCTACCGAAGTTTTGCCCTCTGGGCTTAAAACTTTTCCAAGCGAGTCCGACTCAGCTTATAGGCTGAGCAATACGTAATCGGTCTAACGAGAGGTATAAAGCCCTTTGTCTCGCGCGCCGTCTTCGTGAAAGAGCAGACCATAAACCATTTTGCTCTTTGAGACCAAGTGCTCAGTTTTCCCTATATCATCCAATACGTATTTATTATCATCTCTTCTACTTTTTCAAGCCAATATGACTTCTTTCACAGAACCATTCGGTACGAGATCTTCTATAAGCATGATTGATTTCGCTAACTTGATATTGCGAAGCTTCAACCCCTACTGGGCTGTGTGAATGGCCTGAAGTGGTAGTACGCGACTATCGTTTCTGCCGAGTTAGACACGCAGGCCAATCCTATCGTCATCGGCGATGATATGTTGACGAGGGTTCGTCCCATAATGGGACAGACGGGTTCGGTTCTGAAGCCGATACAGAGATCATGACTAGAGTGTTGCGACCAGTCTCAATTCATTCCTGTCTTCAATTTGGGAACATGTTTAGGAACGGTCTTGTAAGTCTCTCAACAGCCGCACCATTTCTGTTTTATCCCGTTTTTGTGCCCATTCTAAAGCAGTATCACCATTCGCGTCCTTCACGCCAGTGTCTGCTCCAAGATGGATCAGAAGGCGGATCGCATTCGTCTTTCCCTGCTCTGTTGCTACGTGCAACGCAGTCCCTAGGCTCATAGGAAAGAATCGCATCAGAGTCGGGCCATCCTGATACATTGTCGCGTTCAAAGGGGCACCTCGTTCGACGAGCAGCGATATGACATCTTCAAGCTCCTCGTCTCGGAAAACGGCATACTGAAGAAGTTGTCCTTTTCGCACATCCCCTCCACGGTCCAGCAGTAGTTCGATAACACTCAGACGTGCATTTCGAACAGCATAGGACAATAGGGTACAGTCTACTTCGCATTACGTATTCGGGTTCGCGCCATGCTCTAGTAACCAACTAGTCATCTCGGCGTCCGTCACTGCGAAGCTATAAAAATAGATCATTTGGCATTAGAATGTCTTTTTGGGTAGTGGAACCAACATACCAAAGGACAGGAGGCTTTAAAACATCGACCGGCTCATTCATATCCTATCCAGCTTCGAGAAAACATTTAAGAACGCCCTTCGCCTTGTATACTGTTACCTGTCGAGTATAAGGAGGTTTTATTAGGAATCCATGAAAGAGAAGTATTGAGACGAATTCGACTCGGTCTAGTTAAATTGCTTCCATTATTATATCGTGAAGGTCCACTATATCGAAAAAATTTTCAGAATCCATCGCGTTCTGGAAACCTTAGAGATTATCATCGGCGCACAGAGAACGCAATTTTTCAATTATGGCTGCTGCAGTTCCACAAGGAATTGGGAATCCACTATAGCTAGTGAGTTCCGCTTCTGGAAGAAGCCGGATATCTATAGGGTACAAAGAAGATTTGATTATTTTTATGTTAGGTTGCCAGTCGGGTTAAGAGAAAATAGGGCGAACCGGTCGCTTAAATACTAACATTACGGTGGTCTATACGACGCGTCACGCGCAATTATTATGTGGTTCTAGCCAATACGAAAGGGAAAAGAAGCAGGGTTCATCCGATTCGGGATAATTTGCGAAACTATAGGGGGGCAAAATGTGCGTGGCATGACCATGTTCGGCTGAAATAGCTCTGTGCGTCCTGCGACCGCGAATACAAAGATGATATATCGTTCAACACTACACCCTACACACACTATATTAGCGATACATATAAGACTAAAATTACGAGGTAGAAAGCTGGGAAGGATATATTGGCACTTAGTAATATCTGTCGCAAAGGGAGTCAAAATGAAAGCAGTCAATTAAAAGCACTCGAAACCAATGAAATACTTGTAAACCTAATGCGCTGTTAACAACCCATTGCAATGACTTACATTGACGGCAAAATCTTTAATCTCAAGGACATACATAGCCTTTAAATCAGAGCATCGTCATGATACATCAAAGGTCCATTCGCTCCACTCGTAACCACGACCGTCCCCTGACCCAGAATGGTGGGATTCACGGGTACTGTATAGTATTTCATAATCGGAGCAAGGCCCAATGCCTGAAGATAACTCGTCATAATTTCCACTTGACTTGGCAATGCCACCTGGCCTTCATAAATAGCGCAAATAACTCGTGATTCCGACAAGGGGAAAAAAATTTCCGATTAGCATTGTAATGAGCTTGAACTTGGCTCATCATGAATCGAGCATTGTTATCACCTATACCAGGAGCTTGTGTTGCGGAAGGAAGTGGTAGTATGTGGGCGAGTATTGCACCGTATCTCGAGGCTATAATCACAGCGGAGCAAGATCCAAGCCCGGAAGTTCCAATTGCTTGCATTTGTTAAAAAGCTACGAATTGTACACCTCCCATCGGGACTTCTTGGACACTCCTTGCAATCCTCAATCGGTCAAGATACCCAAGAGACATTTTGATGCTTTGACAGTGTATCTTTCAGTCAGATATGGGTTGAAAATTGAAGACCGCTTAGTCGATGACAAATTAATGGATGGCTTCGAGAAATATTTCACAGTTTGGGGCTTTGGAGCACTTATAATACATGAGCTCAATACTCGCTTACTGATCACGGAAGGACTAAGTAGTGTCGCTCTATCGAGATCAAAATGCCCATAACCCCACCTTCCAGGTCACCTTCAACGGGAGGAAGCACTAACCCACCCCTAGAGAAGCCTGATGACCTCAGAGCAGGGATGATAAGCGTTCAGAAATCGCGTGAAATTTCCCAGCTAATAACCACGCCAGTTAGTTGAGATCTGCTTCGAATCACCAATCAAGTACGCGTAATTTTGCGGCTTTCGTCTAAATGTGATTCTTCCTAGTATTTATGGTATTCATTTGTGCTCGAGACACGGGAAAACGGGAGCATGTTCAAAATTAGGAACTTGCGAGCCAAGGAGTCTGGTGACGTGGCTTGCATGCAGCTTTAGGCTGGCGACTGAACTGATGAGCAGAGGACCTGTGCATGCATCCTCTGTTTCAACATCTGGATTCATTGGCCTTCCAACTTAGCGCCTGACCCACTTCCTTAGGCTGGCGGCTACGCCACCTGCAAGTGCTCTGTTGGGCTGAGTTTCGAAGGCTCTACCTCATCGCACGTGTGGAGGTATTTAGCCGCCGACCGTTTTCAAGTCTATCATTGGCCAAAGATCCCCGTCGAACAAGGCGGTGGTTTCATGCCTCGATATTTATTACTACACTTCCGCCCACATCTGCCGGTACCAGCTCACATCTGCCCGTGCCTTCTTCCGCGCTGCCCATAGATGGTCACCACACCATGAAATCAACCGCCAGTCAGCACATAGTCTCTTTACTTGAAGCGGGAAGAGAAAAGTTTGATGGCGAAGATTATACCCCGCATCCTCGTCAAATGTAGCGATGCAAAGCTACTTGTCGGCCGATGAAAAGCGATCTTTCCAAACAACCAAGATAGACTCGTGAGCGGAATGCCAACGCACAACATAACTTGGGCGCGATCTTGGAGAAGAGCGCAGATATTTTTGTTCTTCGCTCTTTAACTTCAACATTGACACCGCTTGGCTCGAAGCGCGAGTATGGGCTCCGGCCAATACTTATAAAATGGTGGGCTGGCGTACACTATCCGCAAAGTCTTAGGGGATGTATCACGGCAAATCTGCAGAGAGTTCGACCTACAATATCTAGACGACGCAAATATTTCAAAGACGACTTGCCAGGATGCTAGATTTCCTGAAGTATTAGCCAGTGATGGACAAGACTTGGTGATAATAGGAATAGATCCTAACGACAACAATTTGTTCATGCAGCCCGTGATCTAGACGACTCTTTAAGAGAAAGCTCTCTAAATCCCCGCCACCAGTTCGATATGACGACCTTGCTTGATTCTAAATACAGGAATCAAGGAATAGTGAATCCATACCATGCTTAGTTGAGCCAGCGAAGCGAGAATCTTTTATAAGTAACCACCCCGACAAGTGCGCATAGTATAGTAGATAGTATATCTACTTTGTGAAGCACGACTAACCGCTACGGAGATACCAATCAACTACCTCGCCCGGAAAACTAGCCTTTGCAATTAGTGCTTCCTTTCTAGAGATTCGAACTACTCGAGTTCCTTAATTCTCTAGACCATCCTTGGGGAAGAAGCACACTTTCAAGTGTTCTTCCTTCTACTCGTCAAGATCTAAGATTACTTATGCCCTGGAGTGGTGCATTTAGAATGTTTCTGCCCACGTATGTACCTACTATGTAAAAGCCCCAGAAGGAAAGAGAATGTTCAAGCCACCTGAGCATGCAAGTATTCCAAGAATTTACATGCCGTACAAGATAGAAATAGCAAATGTATAGCGTCATGCCCGGCGGAAATACTTCGACTTACATGAGATTTACGAACAATTGCCCGATATTGTTAGAGAAAAGTAAAGAGCAATGGTGATTCCTGTTAATGCAAACAGCAGGAAGCGTCGCACAAATTTATGGGGCATAATACCGCCAGACTAAAAATGCACCATGGGCAACATTCTTGGTTTTTACGGTCATTTTTCCATTTCGACAGGAAGTCATATTTCAATAGAGACCATGCTGATTATGGAATAAGTCGGTGTGTGGAGGATACACAATTAAATAGATTGTTAAGTAGTGGACAAGCAGCCAGCAAAGCTGAGAAGAAAACGAGTCGACCCATCACCATGACTTGAATGCGATTCGTGGCCCGTATAGTTGCGGTCCCATATTGGAATAGTGCAAATCAAGCGCCCCCGCCTCACCATTCCTGATAGCCAGATCACGTGGTGATTGCTGTCCGCAAAGGGCAGAACGAGTCACGTGTCGCACTTTAGCGAGGCGCACCACAATTGGACCCAGCAAGGAAGAACACCGCGATCCCCGATTTTCGACCATCACCCAACGCCAACCGACACCTCGTCAGCGCATCACCCGTCAAGATGCGTACCTACGACGACTCCTTCAGCGGCCAGAAGATCTACCCCGGCAAGGTGCGTTTTTATTTCCCCCGTCCGCGTGTGGGAGAAGGAGGGAAATGTGTGGAATCGACTTCGACCATCGACATCGCCGCGACACCCTCCACCGACGTCCACGACCTGCTTTCGCGATCACTGAGACTCGCTTCACACGCAATATTTACTTTTCGGTTGTTTTGGGTCGCTAACGCTTTGTTTGTGGTGTTCTAGGGTAAGCTGTACGTCCGTGGCGACAGCAAGATCTTCCGCTTCCAGAATGGCAAGTCCGAGTCGCTCTTCCTCCAGCGCAAGAACCCCCGCAGGATCGCCTGGACTGTCCTGTACCGTCGCCAGCACCGCAAGGGTATCTCTGAGGTCCGTTATCAACCCCTCCTTTCGTTTTCGTTGGAATCCTGCGGTGGAACATAAGGCCGCCTCGTCAAGTGCGAATGGCACATCCTTCGACATCTCGATACTTGAATAGACGGCGCAAGAGGATGAATTGTGATACCAGGATGCGTTGGATGAATATAATGGACATGGAATGCTGACTGGGTCTTTTTCATGATATACAGGAGGTCGCCAAGAAGCGTACCCGCCGTGTTGTGAAGAACCAGCGTGCCATCGTTGGTGCTTCCCTCGAGCAGATCAAGGAGCGCCGCACCCAGCGCCCCGAGGCCCGTGAGGCCGCCCGCAAGCAGGCCATCAAGGACGCCAAGGAGAAGAAGACCGCCGCCGAGTCCAAGAAGAAGGCCGAGAAGGCCAAGACCGCCGCCAGCGCCGCCAAGGGTGGTGCCCAGCGCATTGCCAGCAAGCAGGGTGCCAAGGGCTCTGCCCCCAAGGTTGCCGCCAAGTCCCGCTAAATCTGTCGTCTGGCAATGGGAAAAAGATGTGTTTTTTCTTTCGTGTTGACGGTTGCGATATGATGGAACTTGCGGACTCGGGTACTGGAGTACGACTGTCTCTGTGAGGACGGGGCTTTGGGCCAAACTACGTTTTTACCCTTGTTTCTGGAAAACTTTTATGCAGAAAAATGGGAACAAAGGAATCTACGAAAATTTTCAAACCACCGCAAGAAAGCATTCTTCTCTGCTTCTGGCAGAGAACAACTTGTCCTCCCGATTTGCGTTTTTGGGCGGCTCGTCTGCCTATTGAGAGTGTGTACTCTACGGATGTGGTCCATGTACTTCCGTGCCATTGGGTGTAAACCCCTTCAGGAGTTACGACTCATGTGTTGTAATTGGATGTCAATCTACTGCCTTGTATGCATATTGGCTCGACATGAAGTAGTCTCGTAGTTGAGGTTTGTTTGGTTGAACTGATACATTTGCAGTGCGTCTATTAAAATCTACCATCTAAAATATCCATCCGCTCAATTCCCAAGCTGACCAACTTCTGCTTGACACCACCAAAAGCACTCTATGGCGCAAACGAATGGCCTTGCAAGCCGAGCTGCTCAGCAGTCGCAGGGGCCTCAATGACGGCAATCTCTGTGGTCATGGCAGACACGCTGTAGTCGAGTGGACCGGGGTCGCGGGCGCGCGCTCAGGATCGATCGTTCCTGAAAACCTCTGAGCACGACAACGCTCTACTGTCACTCCGACAACGATCAAAAACCGGATGCGAGCTCTATGCTCGGCCCGGACAGGCGGATGTTTTTGCTTTTTCACAAATATCAGTATGCCGCGCAAGGCAGCGTAAGCCCTATAGGGCAGATTATCCGAATGCCCCAAACGCCGGTAACCCCCGAAATCCAGAAAACGCATACAACTCTGAAGATCCGCTCAGTAGTAATGAGCCATCTCCAGACCGGCACGCTTGAAGCCGCACTTGACGTAGAAGCCCTCGTTGGGCTCGGAGCAATCCAGAATGCTCTGCAGGGCGGTCAGCATGTGTCCATGAAGGGCATAACCCACAAAATCGCCCAAAGAGAAGAGGGGAATCTTACCTTATAACAGCCAACCTGCGCAGCAACGAAATCTAGCGCCTGGATAATCCGCAGACCCAACTTCTTGCCCTGTTGGTTCTTCTCCACCGCGATGTCTTCGATGTGTCCCACCATGCCGAGCGAGTGGATGAACTTGCGCTCAACGATCAAGCTGCCGGTACCGACAATTCGGTCTTCGCCGTCGCACACAACCAGCATGTAGTACTCGTCGTTGCGGGAGGCGATCCAGTCGTAACGTTGGTTCCACTGCTCCTCGCTAATCTCGCCCACGGTCGTCAGCACGCGCAGCACGTCCAGGTAGCCACGCTGGTAGTCGGAGCGGCGCAGCGGGCGGATGGTGTAGTCGGTCGGCAGGATTGATATCACCTCGGGCGAGATCAGCGACGAAGAGAAGAGAGGGCCATCATTCTTGATGTCGACGGGGGTGACGGAGGCGTTCATGGTGGGCTTGCTGGGCTCGGCGAAGGTGGTGGCTGCGACAGCAGGAACGGTCATTGTGATCTGTGTTTGGTGGATTGGAGAGAAGACCTCGGAAATTCGAATGCGAAGGGGATAAGGAAGAGGGAGGAGAAGCCGGGGAAAAGGAATTGAGATCGCAGTGGGTTTTTGTGTTGATCCGTCAGGAGAGGGGCGAATCGCTGGGACGGCGGGGCTCTAGTGCAAGGGTGATCGACCGAGCGGCAGTCTCTGGAGCGAAGCCAGTGTGGATGGGACTGAGCGAGAGAATGGGAGAAGACAGGTTGTTCGGACGGTGTGAAAGATAGGAAGGCGTTACGAACAGAAGCGAACAAAGCCGAGGCGGAGGATTGTCAACAACAGCGGTCCATGGTTCTTCTGGTGGCTGAGACTTTTGAGACATGGTGGCCCCTGGGGCTACTATTAATACGCCCATGCCGCGTCCCGAGCTCCTAGTGGATTCTTTCCTGCAACCGCAGATTCCTACCAGAAGCTTAAGGTGAAAAACAAATTTGTCCATAGCTCAAATATGATCGACCTCTCCGTGCTAGACCAGGTACCTACAATCGCACACGCCGTAGCTGAGCCTATGCTTAACTAGGGAATGACTTACAGCGTCGTCATTCGAGAATCCAAGACGCATGCAAGTAGCAAGACACCTAGAATAGGCCTCCTACAACCCATAAAATAAAATAATAAGAAAACAAAATGCAAAAGTTTCTTCAGTATACAAAGCCTATGGGTACTTGTCTATAGTGGCACAGGGTTGGAACAGCACTTGGTGCGGTCCATTTATTTATGCTCCTTGGGAGCCAGCATCAGCTCGGGGCGGACATATTTGTCAAAGTCCTCGGAGCTGAGAGCCTTGAGCTCCATGGCGCTCTCCTTCAGGGTGGTGCCCTTCTTGTGGGCGTTCTTGGCCACCTTGGAGGCCATGTCGTAGCCAATGACGGGGTTCAGGCAGGTCACGAGCATCAGACTAGTGGGAAAGGTTAGAATCTTGACCATCCAACCAAAAAAATGGGGGGACAGGGAAGATGAAATGAAGGGGATTGGGGGGGAGGGAACTATACCTCTCGTGCAGGAGGGAGTTGATACGGGCCTCGTTGGCCTCCAGGCCATCCACCAGGTGGAGGCGGAAGCTGTCCATGCCGTCGGACAGGATCCGCACGCTGTGGAGCAGGTTGCGGATCATGACGGGCTTGAAGACGTTCAGCTCGAACTGGCCGTTCATGCCGCCGACAGTCGCGGCGACGTGGTTGCCCATCACCTGCGCACAGACCATGGTCAGGGACTCGCACTGGGTGGGGTTGACCTTGCCAGGCATGATGGAAGAGCCGGGCTCGTTCTCGGGCAGGATCAGCTCGCCGAGACCGCAGCGGGGGCCGGAGCCGAGGTAGCGGACATCCTGGGCGATCTTGAACAGAGAGCAGGCCAGGGTGTTGAGGGAACCGGAGGCTTCGACGATGGAGTCGTGGGCGGCCAGGACCTCGAACTTGTTAGGGGCGGTCTTGAACTCGGTGCCGGTCATCTTGGTGATTTCAGCAGCGATGGCTTCGTCGAAGCCCTTGAAGGTGTTCAGACCGGTGCCGACGGCGGTACCACCCTGAGCCAGGAAGCGCAGGTGGGGGAGGGAAGCCTGGACACGCTCGATGTTGCGGTCGAGCTGGGCGACGTAGCCGGAGAACTCCTGGCCCAGAGTCAGGGGAGTAGCATCCTGCAAGTGGGTGCGGCCAATCTTGATCAGGTGCTCGAACTTGTCCACCTTGACCTGCAGAGCATCGCGCAGCTTCTTGAGCGAGGGGAGCAGGGTGTTCTCAAGCTCGAGGACGGCAGCAATGTGCATAACGGTGGGGAAGGAGTCGTTGGAGGAGGCGGACATGTTGACGTGGTCGTTGGGGTGGACGGGCTTCTTGGTGCCCATGGTGCCACCCATGATCTCAATGGCACGGTTGGAGATGACCTCGTTGGAGTTCATGTTGGACTGGGTGCCGGAGCCGGTCTGCCAGACAACCAGCGGGAAGTGGTCCAGCAGCTTGCCCTCGGCGACCTCAGCGGCGGCCTGCTTGATGGCCTCACCAACCTTGGGGTCTTCATAGAAGATGATTGTCAGTACCGTCAGATCTCGACCGTACTCACTCGTGCATAGAGTGTATCACTCACCAAGGCCGTACTTCATGTTGACAGTAGCGGCAGCACCCTTCAGGATACCGAAAGCCTGGACCACGGGGGGGGGGCATGCGGTCCTGGGGCTGGTTGATGTCGAAGTTACCCAGGGAGCTGTTCCCAAATTACACATCAGCTTTCCTGGCCAGTAGACCGTATACCGTCTTCGCCATCGAGTTCGTTCGGGTTCGCCTTACCGCTGGGTCTGGGCACCCCAGTACTTGTCCGCAGGGACCTGAACATCGCACCTCCAGGTTAACTGCTGGTCATGGTATGACGAGGGGCTATGGCAGTCGACGTCACTTACCTGGATTTCGCCAAAGGCATCGCTTTCGGTACGAGTAGCCGAAGACTAGATTGCGCGCATCAGTGAACCGAGTCCAGCCGCGGTAGACCGCGCCTCCCTTACCATGCTGATAGTTGTGCTGAAGGCTCTCTTGCTGTTGTTCAGGAACTGGAGGCGGGGGAACTGGCCGAGTTGGCGGCTACTCAATGCACGGCTAGCAAAGGCCGGGGAGCGTGCAGCAACCGACAGGACGCTGCGGGCTGCGGGGTTGACAGCTCTGGCCGCATGTGTCATGGTGGCCATCGAGCGCACCGCGGCTCGGGAGGAGGCAGGGTTCATTGTGACCGTGGAATTGCTTGCTTTCAACAAGACAAGGATGGAAAGGTCCAATTGGCTCGCTCAAAGGCGTCTGGGATAATCAAGCAGGGCTAGGGACCACGAGTCTCCTTTGAAAAGGGAGCAGAGCAAAAACTGGAGATGGCCAGCGACTCCGACTCTCTCAGCCGAAATTTCCCGGTATCCGCATGACCGGCCGACGCTCCTCTCCCGAGTCAACTACCGGTAAGTTTGGTATGCAAGCGTATGGTACGGGCGGTCACGCCTCTTCTACGTTCACCACGTCATGGCGCACGATATCAGATCGCGCCAAAATCTGATATTAACAACACTCTTTGTTTATTGACACTGTATAGCTAAGCTCGGCAGATTTTATGGCCGTCTTTCTGCATGTCTTTCCACCTAATGCAGAAGCTACGACGTCGCCATCATAGCTAGCTTTACCGGGCCTTCCTAGGCGAGGAGCTCCCGCTTCATCGCCGCAACCACCTGTGCATTATACTCTCGCCCGCTCGAAAGAATCCCGTCTAGCGCAGCAAACGTGTGTGGGGTGCCAGGGAATCGACGCAGCTCAACGCGGGTACCGGCAGCCTGGAGCTTAGAGGCATAACATTCGCCCTCGTCGCAGAGGGGATCTAGCTCCGCCGTCGACACCAGTGCCGGTGCGAGGTTCTCAAAATTCGGTGCAAACATGGGCGAAATTTTCCAGTCCTGGATCAGTCAAATCAGCGTGGACTCTTCGGTTCTATTCAAGCAGATGCTTACATCTTCAGATGGTGCTGGGCGAGGCACCCCAAGGAAATGTCGGTGGAAGTACGCCATCCGCGCTGCCGGGAGTGCTGCCGTGAACTCCATCTCCCGGTAGGACTCGTAAGGACAGTTCTCACGTTCAAATATTCCTTCGGGGGTAAAGCTACTGTGCAAATCGCAGACGGGAACGGTTAATACCTGGAGTCGTAGAGGAATACCTGCATCGCGGCAGAGGTGGCCCACGACTGCTGCGAGATGACCTCCTGCCGAAACACCACCCACAGCGAATCGATCGAGATCGAGATTGAAATCCACTGCTTTCTGAGACCGAATCTGTCCCTCGTATTCAGTCTGTTAGCTATTGCTATTGGGTATCTGGAAGCCCAGGCTCTATCTCACCCAGTTGAAAGCCGCCCAGCAGTCATCCACGGGGATTGGATAGCGGTGCTCAGGCGCAAGCCGATAGTCCACATCAAAGGCAACGACGTCTCCTTCAAGGTCATGCACCACTCTCTTACAAAAGTCATGGTCGGCCATAAGCCCGCCAAACACCCACCCGCCCCCATGAAAGTTCACATAAGCCGCTCTCTTCTTCGGCTGGCCCTCGGCATCTTTCTTGGGCGCAGGCTCAAAGATTCGGACTGTGATCTCTCCTCCCTTCACGGGGCATTTCTGCTCAGAAATGCGAAAGATATCGGGGCCTGTCGCGCGACCATAGGAGATCGTATATCGCGCGGGGTTCTTCCGAAACTCGTCTATAGGCACTTCATGGGTGTGCAGGCGGCCTGCGTTGTTCCTAGAGTAGTATTCGACGTAAACTGGATCAAACCGAGGCAGCAGCTGGGGGGGAATGCTGTTATGCAGGGGCTGCAGGATTTCGGGGGCTCGCCATTCATGCAGAGCTGGGTTACAGGCTTGAGGGGCTTTTTGGGACATTTTGAGGATGTATAATCTTTAAGATATTCGATATATGGACTTGCACCGAACACCTGGCGCGACCGTCAATAGCGAGGGAAAGGGCTCAGGCGTTTTACCGGACATGTTGCGATCCTCGACCGATTGGCTAGCCTTCATGGCCGTGGTACAAGCAGTGCGGGGTTAGCGACCAACAAACTACGCTCCTTTCTACGGAGAGAAGACCGAAGGGTCCGGTGCAATATACAACCCTTGTCAGTATGTATTTTTTGTGTATGATTGGCAAGATCAGTTTCTCGTTTTCCTGCTGGAGAACTGGATATCGTACATAAATTTTCAACAGTGGACAACCGCGTCCAGTGCCGGGCTTCTTCCTTGTTTTCTGGTCCTCTTCCACAGGTTTCGTCCCTTTTGCTAAAAGAAACGTAAGAGGCTATTCAAGTCTTCTTTCATAGCCCCCTTTCTATCATAATGTAATGTTTATGACCTATGTGTACCAAGTGCACCAAGTGCACCAAGTGCTTGTGGAGGTTTTTCAATTTGGAGGGTCAGGTATCTAGCATCTATATATTTGGCTCAGGTGACCCCATCCACACCGATGCATCAACCACCGACAATTCTTGTCACCATGAAAGTCTAATATTCCGAGAGCAACTAAACTCAAGAATAAACACCAAACGGAAGTATAAGTAAAAAGACAAGGTCTAAGTGGATACTTCACCGAAGTTGTCAACATACATCAGATGATGGTGTGTTATGCAAACTATTTTCTATAGTGGGTCCTCTAGCAACTAGAGGGTCATTATAGTCACTTAATACGGTACGGTCTACCGCAATAATGCCTCAAAACTAGAAGGTAATAACGGGGACGCGTACGAAAGGTATACTGGTACCTTCATTCAATGAAGAAAAGTCCTGAGGATTACTCAGTGGAGAGAGTCAGCACGCACCCCATGACGTCTTGTGCAGATCTTAGAGTTTCGTCTCCCACTGTTTTAGATCGAAGTTCAAGTTCTGAACTCTTTCATCTCCCTTCATCACTGGCAGGCTATCGACGGCTGGTTGATGATGGCAAGCATGATTCCTCGAAGAGATGGGTTATCCGGTCCTAAGCGGTACTTCCCGAGGGCAGAAAAGAGTCTCGGGGTGGACAGCGATATCGGGTTGAGTCAGCGCCCCGACTGAGAAAATTGTCGCTACATATTCGCGATACTTGCTCTTCTCTCCACGAATCGACCAATCCCCGCGAGACCCAATTGAACAGAAACCCCTACCTTCAATCTTCGCGCACAATTCACCATGGCCAAGCCTGTCCCTACCCGCCTCACCGTGGCCCCTGTGCTCCCAGACGAGGTTTTCACCTTAAACGCCGCCTACTTCGCCGACACATACCCGCAGAAGGTCAGCCTGGGTGTGGGTGTGTACCGTACAGACGATGGAAAGCCCTGGCCACTGCCGGTGGTCCGGAAGGCTGAGAAGGAGCTGGCGGAGGACGACGACCTTATGCGACATGAGTACACCGCGATCGAGGGCGACATTGCTTTCTTGCCGCTCGCGCAGGATTTGATGTTCGGTTTCACGGGACAGCAGGGTGAAGAGGAGGCCAAGGCACGCATCGCTACCGTACAGACGGTCGCCGGCACTGGTGCCAACCACTTGGGTGCCCTGTTCCTCGCCCACCACATGAAGCCCCCAACCGTCTGGTTGTCGAACCCCTCGTGGGCGAATCATATGACCATCTGGGAGCTGGCCGGTGTGCCTCGCAAAACCTACCCCTACTACCACGCCGCGACCCGGTCCTTTGACTTCGACGGCATGATGTCGACTCTCGAGTCCGAGACTCAGGAGGGCGACGTCGTCCTGCTGCACGCCTGCGCCCACAATCCCACCGGCCTGGATCCGAGCAAGGAGCAGTGGATTGCCATCGCTGACCTTTGCGAGCGCAAGAAGCTCTTCCCCTTCTTTGACTCCGCCTACCAGGGCTTCGCCTCTGGCTCCGTCGAGGAAGACGCCTGGGCCGTGCGCTACTTCTTCAACAACAAGCCCGACATGGAGATGTGCGTGGCGCAGAGCTTTTCTAAGAACTTCGGTCTGTACGGCCAGCGCGTCGGCGCTTATCACTACGTGACCAATCGCAATGCTACTGCTATCCGCGACGTCATTGTTAACAACCTTTGCCACCTAATTCGTGCCGAATTCTCCATGGGTCCCCGTATTGGTTGCAGCATTGTGAAGAAGATCTTGACCAATGACGAGCTGGTGGCCGACTGGCACCGGGACCTGCAGGTCATGAGCTCTCGTATCCAGTCCATGCGCCACGCTTTGTATAATGAGCTGGTTCGCCTGAAAACCCCTGGCACCTGGGAGCATATTATTGAGCAAGTAAGTCCCTTCGTGTTCCCCAAAGCCTGGCAATTCGCTGACCCACGATCCAGAATGGCATGTTCTCCTACACTGGTCTCACCCCGAAACAAGTCTACGCCCTTAAGGACAAGTACCACGTCTACCTGCTGAAGTCTGGTCGCGCCTCCATCAGCGGCTGTAAGTGCTGCCACCATATTTCGTTGCTGTTACCTTTACTAACATGAATATGTGCAGTGAGCCAGAAGAATGTCGCCTATGTGGCCCAGGCCATCGACGATGTCGTTCGGAATTTCTAAGCCAATACCATTTTAAGATTGCATGGACGAATTCGAGTGAATTCGATTGCACGGCGTTTCTCGGAGGGATACATTGCCTTTCGGATAAAATCCTGATTTATTAGGCTCTTGGATATGCATTGGGAAGGGAATTACCTGCTCATTTATGACCGTTGATGATAGAACCCATATAGAATGACAAGAACTCGATGTATAAATGGTGATAAAAGTATGGTTGAAGCCAAATCGCATTAAAAAAAACTATCTACTGTACAATAGAATAGCAAGAAAGAAAACAAGGGTGGGCATCGCTACTCATAAATAAAACCCCCTGCCGATAAAGAAAGCGCCCCAGCTCAATGGCATGAAACTGTACTGGATATAATCGTAGACGTGCCGGGGTAGACGGAAGGAAGAGAATACAAAAAAAACACTAGAGTGGCACTTCATTGAAGTCGCTCTCGCTTTCTTTGCCCTTGCCCTTGGTGATTTCGTCATTACTTGTGTGCTCGGAGTCTCCCTCGGGCATGTTCTGTGGGAGTGTGCTCTCTTTGCTGGCATCCTCGTTGTCTCCCTCAGGCAGCGCCTCGGCATTCTCATCTGATCCCGGTACCGCTACTGCATTGCCATTCAGCTGAACCGGTTCGTCTGCACTATCGGACTCGTCCTTCGGAGGCGGAGGAGGAGGCGCATCATCCTCGACTTCGGATTCGACTTCCTCGGCTAGTGCTTGCGGCTGGCTGCTTGTCTCACCCCCCGGGAACGGCGTGAGTGGCGGTTCAGCTGCGGCTGGATCCTCCTCATTAATTGGGGGCTGGGAGCCGGGCCGGCCCTGGTTGGCAGTCGTAGATGTCGACATGGTCGAGGTGGTCCGTTGGTGAGAAGAGCCGTGGATTACACCGAGCTTGCGTGCCTTGGGGTCTGCATTGAGGTAGTAATCACGTACACCGACGATCGTTCCCTCAGACTCGCACGCATCCACCCATTCCGGCACGACAACCGGGATGTTCATCTCCACAGCCTTCTCCCAGAGCGGACCCCTGCCCTCCGCACAGACAAAGTGGGTGGTGTCAATGCGAACGGAGTCAATCATCTTGCCCCCAATGCGATCCAGTACATGCCCAAGGGCCTCCTTACGTTGCGGGTCGAGGACACCAGAGGTCACAGTGATGCCGGACAGGTCGGTCATCTTGTGCGTCCGGCACGTGAGCTTCTCGGACTGGTAGGTGCCGGCGGTTGTGCGTAGGACTAGATGGAAGGTATACTCGTGGTGAACAGCCAGGCCGCTGATCTTGGTGCTGCGCGTCTCGAGGGGGCGGGGTATCGAGCCTGCCTTGGAGCCATTGCGATAGAGGGAAAGCGATTTCAGGGACGCGGTCGCGAGGTCGATCGGATCCCATTCGAGTACAAGGGAAGTCTGAGTGGCGTTACGCAGGCGCAGGATAGGGGGCGAGGGCGCCTTGACACCGTAGGTGTTCAGGATGCGTTTCTGGAGAGACTGGAAGGCGGATGCGTTGGCTGTCTCGGCTGCATGATTGCGCGCAACGGTGATGTCAACAATGCTGCCGGAGGAGATGCCGTTCGGAAGCAGGACAGAGGGAAATTCGATCTGCGTAGAGGTGAGTACATTAGCATGCTATTGCCATCGTTTGCTTTGCGCAGGGCCGCAGAGCCGCAGTAACATCCTCGATGTTTTGGAGCCCAGGCCACCAGGGGTTGGAAGCTTACAAGGCGGTTGTCCTGGGTTAAGAGGACTGCGACGCCCGCATCTACCTTGCCAACAGTCAAGGAGACCAGCATGGTGAAGGAGTGTCGGGAGAAGTGAAGGGGTTAGGAGGTGATGGTTGGAGATGGGGGGAGAGGAGATTCGGTGTTCGAAGCCCCGGGTGTTGATTCCGCCAGATCGGCATTTAGCGAGGCGTGAGGCAGCGGGAGCTAAAAGACGGCCGCTTCTATATTTACCTTCTCCGCCAGCAAAGATACCAATACGCTGCGCGTTGTTGTTAATAGTTGGTTCAAGACAAAAGATCATATTTACATTCCAGATTTACAAGTAGTAGAGGTGCTAAATATCGTATGATAGCCTAATCACAGCCGTCCAAACGCCATGCAATGCTGCTTCCAAATATAATGTACAGGTAAAAGACAAGTCACCAGTCAGTATGATACAAGGTGGTGTTGTACACGGTTGATCAGAAGCCGCTTGAGGACATTCAAGAAGCCTTTGATTTGTTTTTTGCACGTTCAAGATGCCTTTCTCGCTGTTTCAGAATATTCCGCAAGAGACAATCCGCATCTTTCTGCACCACCTCGAAGCTCTGGTACACGCACGCAGGGCGAATGGTAATGTCCAAAGATCCCAACAGGGCCTGCTTCTTTGTAGAAGGAGGTAGAGAAAGCGGGTGGCCCAACTTATCGAACCCTTGTTGCTTCAAAGCCCCCTGGAAAGCAATGCGCGCTCTGCGCGCGCTCCAAGATCGAATGGTCCGTTTGAACTGGTTGAGGTGCGATACCGATACCCGCCACCATAGCGTATCTGGGTCACGGTTTTCATACATGTGGGCGATTTTAGGACGAATCGGATGGACTGGAGAGCCTAGGTAGCGTTGGGCGACTGGGGGAATCACGGGCTCGGCAGTGTATCGGAAGAGCAGGTTGCTCGAAGAGGAGACCAACCTCATAGTGGAGGATTAATAATAGTCGCGAGAATATGCCAGGAAAGGCTGCTGAGAATTTGAATAGGGACAGCGCATCGGTATCATAGCGAAAGGAAAAGGGAGGTTTATTGAGCGCATTGGAGGCAGCACTGCGGTGCTTTGAGAAGCTTGGGCGCTCAGTCTCGTGCTTGCTTGCCGGTCACGGAACTCAGGCTGGCGGTCCGGAGTTCAAAGTGGTAGGATAAGAGTCATATGTCAAAGTTGACCAGAAGAGGTGCCATTCCCCAGGAACTGAGAGACTTCACAAGCCCTGAAGAGGATTGTGTTTCGCCGTATCTTTTTTCTGCCAAAGCACATAGGGCGGTAACCAAACACTTCCCATCTTCGAAAGCCGGCCACAAATTGCCACAAATGGCCACCGCTTTGTGCCTGATTAGCTAAGCGACAGATTTGGATGCCCGGCAAAGATCCCCCACCTTCCCTTCACTTCTTTCTCCCTTGACCAGACTCTCCGGGGATATCGCCTCGTCTTCTACGTCTATTTTTTTTTGACGGAGAACCAAAAGAGAAACCGACACACAGCGAGACTCAAGTCCAGTGAAGGTCGCACCCCTCCGCTATGCCCAAGAACAAGGGAAAGGTAAGCGCGCAAAATATTCAGCCCCTCTCTATTGGAATGTGTCCCCCCGCCACCGTCACCTATGGATGGTCCACCATCTCCAGTCTGGGTTGATGGGTTTGGAATGGGGCCTCATTTCGATTCCTCCGTTTGTTTGGTACCGCACAAATTATTTGGGCACAAATTCTGACTGATCGGATACACAGGGCGGTAAGAACCGTCGTCGTGGTAAGAACGAGAACGACAACGAGAAGCGTGAGCTCGTCTTCAAGGAGGATGGTCAGGAGTACGCGCAGGTCGTGAAGATGCTGGGCAACGGTCGTCTCGAAGCCCTGTGCTTCGATGGTGAGAAGCGTTTGGCTCACATCCGTGGCAAGCTCCGCAAGAAGGTCTGGATCAACCAGGGTGATATTATCCTCCTCTCTCTCCGTGACTACCAGGACGAGAAGGGCGATGTTATCATGAAATACACCGCCGATGAGGCTCGCAGTCTGAAGGCCTACGGTGAGCTGCCTGAGCACGCCAAGATCAACGAGACCGACACCTACGGCGAGCAAGGCATCGAGGACAACGTCGAGTTCGACGAGGACCGCGAGAGCGAGGACGAGAAGGAAATCGATGTCGACGAGCTCTAAGCTCACCCCATTCCACCCAGGGCTCGATGCTCTCTACCCTGTAAGAGTGCCATGCAGCAGTACGCCATGGTGCTCTTCATGTTCCGCCCACCCCCTCCTACACCGCCGCTGTTGGTTTACGCGCCGTGGTTCATATGCTCTCGATCTGCCGGAGCCTCCTTTGACTCCTGAAGTTTCCGGTATCCGATCAAACGAAGGCATCTCTCAACCGAATCGCGGCGCCTCTTCCATATCGGCCCTGGCTGGAGATGAAGGGACCCCTTTCCCTTCGGCGACGTTACGACAATTCACCAGGGTATAAAGCATTCGACGAGAATGATTTTGGGATTTTGGATGTTGGCCTCTATGGGTTTTGCAGACGATTGTCTTGCAGCTCTGTATCTGTCCTTGCAAAAACACCCGGGATCACGCTACAGAGCAAAAGTGGTTCCAACGCGTATGATGAAACTGCGTGCTTGGTTTCCTTACATTGCATTGCATGCTATGTGCCTCGCTCTGTTTAGCCTTGCTTTCCTTCTATTCCTCTTTGAGTGATATATGTTACGAAAAAAGCTCATGAGAATTGAAAATACTCCTTCCGATATGCTGCTGCTATTCGTAAAACCTTCACGTACTGCATATGTGACATATCTTGGCTAATAAATGCCTTGTTTTTCTGCCAATTTTCTCCTTCCTAAATCGTGCTCCATCTTCCAGGCCTCGACCTTGAAGCTCTAGCATGAAGAACAGTTGCCAAATTGCACCTAGTCCCAGCGTATCCACCCGATCAAACTATATACTCCTCAACTAAAACGGCACGCCTGAAACAGTCAAGACGCCATATTAGCCACTGACATTTTGGGCATGGATGGTGATTAGCTGATGGCAGATCCCCAGGGAAGACAGCGAATTCTTGACACGATGGCTGTTTTTACAAAGGGACTTATCTTGTCTCTTACCAATGATGAATGCTGTCCCGGTGAGCCTTTGCCATCAACTCATCTACATGCTGAGATCGAACAAGAATCTAGCCTGAGATCCGACGCAAGTGGTCTAAGTTTGGGTACGGTTCAGATGAGTTCACCGATACTAAGTATTTCCCACGCCAGCTTTACGTGCGAGATGCGCGCGCAGGATTGTCTCAGACTATGTGATAACCCAGCATACGGTATCTGAGCATGATGGCGATGAGCATGACCCATATTCGGTTGCCATTGCCTACTGGCCCTGCCACATTGCGTTGGGTTTAAACCGTTACATGGCCGTACAAGATTTTCCTTATATCATTTTCCGAGCGTGATTGCCAGATTAGGGCGCTATACTTGATGTCTCATTGGCTGGTAAGCAGGAATTCAGCCTTCTCTAAATTTACTCTATGACCGAAGAGATCGTTGCTTCATACTGTGTGGTGGCCTAGAATGAAGCGCTAGAAATAAAGATGTCATCTACCCCAAATACCAGGCAAGCAAGCATGTTCAAGAGGAACCTAAGCTGCCCTTTCCATTTGTTGAACCCTTCACACATCCTGCTTCGCCAAACATTGACTTTGCGGCTGCTTGCCACACAGTCTCCTGTTGTAGATAATTCTCAATGGTATAGAAGCGCCGGCACTCTGCCGCCTCATAGACGAACTGTAGCGGAGTCTGATCGTCATCTGGATCATATTCGTTTCGCAAATTGACGTTGCCGCTCCAAGCAAATGAGGGATCCATGCTGGGGCTTGAATCATTGAACGCCTTCCACTCCGCTGGTGTTAAGAGAGGCGATGAGGTGCCAGATGTGTTCTGGATCAACTGGTTGGCCTGATAAATGTAGCCGTTAATGTATCCGATTCCGAGCGATTGACCACCCTTCACACCCCCGACTCCTTGCATCGCGGATTCGGTGGGACGGCCCCCGAAGGCAATGGTGCGTACGCCTTGGCGCTTCATAAGCTTGACAAAGAAGGCACACGTTGAGGTGCAGTCTCCATCAGTGATCTGACATTTGAATCGTTATTAGCCTCCGTTGGTGGAAGAAGTTAGAGTGGAATGAATGTAACGAAAGCACTCACAATGGCAATACTATCAGCCGGAAACAAAGACTGTTCAGGATTCAACGGAATAGGTCCGTAGCCATTGATGGGGAAAGTCTGACTGGAAGTGGAAGTGTAGTTGAAATTGGCCAGCAAGCTGGACGAAGGACTCCCTAAAGCCTCATTTGGCCCATAAAGATCATCCCAGGAGCTGAAACCACTCTTCTGGTCCGGAGCGACCATTTGCTTGTACGCAAAGGTATTGCTAGAGTCCTGAGTGGTGGAGCGAGAATACGCTTTGGTGAGGTACTTAGCTGCATCGTGCGCTCGGTACCGTGTCGCGGTGTAGGGGAAGCCATCTGGGAAGAATATCCGGAACATGTCAAGTCCAATCGACATGTATCCGCCCGGATTAGCGGACACATCAATCAAAATGTTCTTCTTTCCAGCGAGAGTGGCGTTGCGCAAAAAATCAACTGCCACCTGAGCGACCTCCTGGGGGCTGGAGGAGAAGGTGGGGAGGAAGATAATGCCCGTATCCTCGAGGCCGTTGAGATTCGAGAAATATCCAGCGATAGAGTTGGCAGAGTTGCGCCACTCTGTATCTGGGAGTCCAGTTACAGATGAGGCCTCCTCGGCATATGGGGAGGAAGTCGTCTCGGCGGAAGGGAGGCTTCGGGGAATACAGTTGGCATTGTACAGGCTGGAGCCGTTCTTATAAGAGAAGAATCTCTCCTTCGGGATGGCTGACTTCTCCACAGTCTGAACAGTTCCATTGCCATACCTGAGAGTTAGCTGGGAGCCATCACTCCAGTCAGCAGTCGTAAACCAGATACCGTTTTGGTCCGTAGGTGTACCGGTGATGCTGCGAGCCAGAGCGGGGAAGACTCGATTATATCTGAAAGTGTTAGAAAAGACTATTTCCTATCGAGAGATGAACGTACTGGGCGTCGCGATCTTGGAGGCTCTGAGCAGAGGCATATGATTCCAGGAACTCGGCTGCGTCGGTGACATTAATGGATACAAGGGAGGAAACATCCTTGGAACCGCTTTGCTGGAGCTTTGCATCATCTGTAAAATATCAGTATTATGTTCACAAGATGCTAGAAGGGGACAAATACTCAAAGTATACACTTCTGGCAGTGTAAGACCGTCTGTCGAAATAGACACCAGAGGCATGTCTACCTCGTAATTGAAGATTGATTGCGAGCATAATTGGAATGCCAAGTGGCCATCGTAGGCGGACTTGATGAGGTGTGAAACGTCCAGATCCATTTCAAACTGGCTAGAGTACTCATTGTTGTTGACCTTGTCCAGGATCGAATCAACTCCCCCAGAAGATCAGTGGATGGCATAGTATAACCGGATGGAGGGTCTATGGACTCATGTTAAGCACGTTCGAAATCAACAGCGCTGAGGCTCCTTACCCTTGAGGATGTCGACCGTTGATTGGAATTCCAGAATCTTGCGGACTTGGTTCAGGAAAGTAGCCGCACGACTCGGTTCGAACGGCATGGACATCAGGCATTCATGTGCCAAGTTAAGAGGGACTTTAGCGCTGACTGCGACCGTTAATCTCGTATTCTCCGGTCGAACCAGTCTGAGACGCACTCTGATTGTTATTGGCGTCCGCCACTAAGTTGGTGATCTTTGCACATGGCTCGACATCGCGTTCACTCTTGTTGGCCCCAACGGTCGCCGCCAACACGACTGGAGCTAACAGTGTCGCCGTGAGATGCATGGCTAGATGGGTGTGTGAAGCATCATAAAGGTCTGAAGTTGCAGTTTCAGGTCTGATCAGGGACAGCCCCAGCATCGGTTCCTTCTCCACTCTCAGGGGGCTTGGTGGACCCTTGCGTGTTGGTGTTGCTATTTTGGCTGATCTGCGCCCAGGGATCCACGCCAAGACGAAAAGCGATGGAGTCGTGCGGATTCGGCCCTGGGGGCATTGAAATTGAGGCCGGATGGCCCGGCTTGTCTGTTGTTTGCTTTGTGCCTGACTCAAAAAACCATGAATGCGACAGATCCGCTTGGCGGATGCAGTCATGTTTTCATTAGAATGGGGGTGCTGCTGTTTACGATTGCCCTCCCTACTTCCATGAATTCCGTCACCAGCTCTCCTCTATGCCTTGCTAGGACTACCCAGTCATCTCGTAAAATGTACATGAACCACCCTTCAATCGTCGAAGACACTCTTTCGGAAGAATGCAACAATATTTCGGGCAGCTTCTTTGCCAACCAACGGGTCCAGCTGCTCCACTTCCATATTGGCGATTTCATGCAGGTTTTCGGTCTCAATAATAAGCCTGTCGAGGGCTTGGGGTGTCACCCCTGGCACAGCCCGCAACATATCCTGCGGGAGAAGATTAAATGTCCGGTGCTCGATTCCAGCTGCGGCCATGATATCACCAGGATATGAAGATCCCGAAATGTCAATGTCTAGCCCGATTTGTACAGCTTGGAGAGGATCCGGCTCGGCGGCATTCTTCTTGAGCTCGGCAAATATTTCAGCCGTTTGGTAAGGCGATGAGGACCAGATTATTTTCAGCCGTGGGAAGGCGAGCGTAAGCAGAACCAATAAATGTTGTGCCGATTTCGGGTTGGAGGGATTGGCGAGTGCACTGGTACTTGAGCTGGTCGCTTGTCCCTTGGAGGAGAACCCGTAGTCGGTCAAGAAAGTTGTGCCTGTGGAGATGGATGCAAAAGCATCGAACGTGAAAGATTTGTTCTGGTCGAACTCAATTAGAAGAAGCGGGTTCTTGTAGTGTTGAACCATTGTCTCAGCCTGATTGTAGAGGCGGCCGTTACGAAGAGAAGAGATCAAGTCGCGAATGGACTTGCGCTCTACGCAAATCTCGGGCGTGAGAACGTAATCACCCACGGTCAGTTGACAGGGGATGACAATCATGTTGTTGCCATGCAGGAGGGATGGGAGAGCGCTTCGAAACTCGCGCACATCAACCACTACCCGTGGAGGAGCTGCCGTCGCTGCGAGCCTTCCACCTCCTGCAATGCGAGTGTTGACTGTACGCAGGAATTGTTCTTGTGGGTCTTCGGCGCGTTTGTCATGCGTCAAAGTAACCGCCATATTCTATGCAAATCAGAGGGAAGATTTTTGACATCTGGGCGGCAAACTTACTGCTTTCTCCTTAATCAACTTCGTGAAGGCATCTTTCTCCCGCCGCACGGCGCTCAAGTACCGCTGCTCCTCGACAGAGCCTTCATAAGAGAGAAAATACACCTTCACATTCCTGCCCACATGAGAGCTGCGATAAACTTCAACCCGGCGGATAAATGCTGCATCCGGCTCGTACATGATGATATACCGAGGTCGAACCTCCTCCAAGATGTGCTCATCCATGTCGCCATCGTATGGGTGTATCATGACCAGGTCATTCATTTCGTAAAGTTCGTAAAAATCCTCCATATCCTCGAGGTCGTCAACAACGATCTCCTCCTTTTGTATTTCTTCGGCCTCGGTGGGCTGAATTTCCTCGAGTAGGCTAAGGACTTGCGCCGGTAACTCGACCTCTGTTTGGACACTGCTGTCTGGCACCCGACCGGAGGCTGAGTTCACTGCACCTCCTCCACGTACCCGGCGACGTTTATTGGGAGGAGGTCTGCCCTGTTGCTGGCCCGGCCTTGCTGATTCTGCACGCCTTTCCCCTTCTCCGGTATGGGATAGGTTCTTGTTAACATTAGACAATGACCGTTTCCAGTTAAGATAGTCTCGCAATCGACGTCGCATCATCACTTCTGCGGAGGATTCATCATCATCGCCCTCATGATCCATGCGTGACGCATGGTTGACTTTGGCATGCATAGTGCCAATGTATTCTCGAAGCTGACGGCAGGTGCGTTGGTCACTGCACATAATCAATATCGTTCCGTTGGAGTCTTCTGTGCTCGCTGGGTTCAAGTAGGCATCCTGCTCTATTTCCCCAAGGACCTCTGTGAGGACCTCCCACTTAGGAAGAGGTTCAAGAACGGGCTGCAACTCTGTCGAAAATCTAGTTGATGACCAGGCTCGGGACATCTCGTCGTTGATTTTGCCCTGATATACTCGCGATTTTGCTGTTTGAAAAAGAACATGGGCAGCATCAAGGAAAAGCCAGGGGGAATAGCTGTGTTTGTTGGATCCTGGAGGGGGCGAGTGCGCTGACACAATTGTGTCTAGGTATTTCATAAAAGACACCGCATCGTAGGTGAGCAGAGCACTGCACCCGGGTTAGAAATTTCAAAATGAATAGCCGGGGACCAACGAACTGCAGAATGCCCCGAAGATCAGTCAGATCGCTGACGATCTGCCTCGTCCTAAAGGTCACGCGATGCCAGATGGGATCTAACTGTCGTCGAATCGAAACATCGAAGTTTCTGTGCAAGGCACTATCCAACGTCCACTCCTCCATGTCCAACCCCGTGTTAGATTTCCGGAGCTCGCCAATGCTAATCTCCACACACTCAAGGACGGAATTTTGGATTTCTCTCATTTTCGCGCTCATTGGAACCTCCAGTTCAATAACCTCGGCCTTTCGGTTACCTTCCAAAGCTTCAGCCACAGAGACATGGAATCTAGGCCATAGAGATGCTTTACGAAGGAAGAGATTCCGCAGCATATTAGCGAGCGGGGCGAATCCAGTCGTGAAGGGCTCGGGAGAGTCTGAAAACGCCTTCAAGAACCCTCGCTTATTTGACTGCCGGTAGATGCGAGTTATAAATGCCTCCAGAGACGTTGCCAGAACCCTAGAACTCTGGTCAGCTAATAAAGAAAGGGGTTATGCGTGAGAGCCCTCCATACTTATCAGCATGCAGAATGATCATCCCCGTGACTTTCTCGGGATCAAGAAGCTCTGAAGGATTTAGCATGACTGCAACTAACGCCAGACCTCCAACGTACTTGATAGCAAATCTACAACCAATATCCTGGACGTTACACTCAGAATACCGCCTTCGGCATAGATTCGCTCTCTGACAAGGGAATTAGCATAACCGCAGATGTCACTAGCATGATCTCAGAACTCACCGCATCGGTACTGTGGCCCTTTCCGTATTGACGACCTTCAACCCCCGTGCAAGCGGGGTCCTACTAATCGCATAATGCTCCGCTAATGCTATGAGCCCAGAGTGTAAGCGCCTGACAACCCGCAAAGATCAAGATGGACCCAGCCTACCCTCTCCGATCCACTCATTTTCGCGATCATCCGCACCCACCACCAATACCAGATTATTGCCCGCTGCATCATAGAAATGAAGGAGATTCGTTACGAGGTGAAGCAGCCCCAGGCCGCGAGCCAGGATAACCAGCTCATCCTCGGCGCGTAGTTCGGTGAAGATGTCCTGCTGGTATTGCTGGATTTGGAGGTCGTTAGCAACAAGCGTCAAAAGTCGTAAGATAGAAAGGCATTTACCAGCGGCAGAGACAGCTTCACCGGCACGTTCGTTCGTTCCGGTGGCATGAGGAGCCCTTTTTGACGCGTTGATGAAGGGTGGCCACACGCCCTTGAAAGCCGTCGCGAGATCACGTGCACTATGATGCAATACGTTTACGATGTTTAACCAAGAGTCTTAAGGTCTTGCACAGGCATGTAAGTCAAACTTGATTGAGGATATATGGTGTAGATCAATAGTCATGAGCATTTCAAGTTGGTACAATTAATTATTCGATTTGTTCAGTTCCTTCATCCGGGCTTCCGTCTCCTCCTTGGACGCCTTGGGCGGCATGTCTAACAAGATATAGTTAGTTGATGTATAGCCAACCTTACTGACGAACTGATTTCTCACTGTCTGGGATATGAGGGCCCTTTGACAGGTGGTCTATGGCCGATGCTTTCTCTCGTTGCTCCCCTGATTTGTTTTCGGACTTGTTGCCTCCCTTCGTTGAGGCTGACGGAAAGTCAGATGAATCGGGAATAACAGGCATCTTGGAATAAGAGATGGAAAGAGGTTGAATGAATATTGAGTGAAGGGCCCCGTTAATAATTCCAATGAAACTAGGTCTAAGTTGGACGGCAAACTTCATGGTGGCATACCATTATTTATCTACATCCGCAGTAGAATGACGTCAGCGGTCGGCTGGTGTGAGGAACGGACGAACGTCTTGGTAAATGCTCCACCGTCGTTTTCATGCTGGTAGGCATACAGTCGCTCCAACCAAGTCCGCACACACCCCCTACCTAGTAGACTAATTTTATAAGTCTTACATAATTTTCTGCCGTCAAAAGTTGTCATAGTAGCCATAGGATCCATACTAATATATACACGTACCATAGTATGTAGTATACCAGCCTTCTGCCTCAATAATCGCCTGCACACCTAGGCGTTTATGGCAGATTAGCAGGTGGTATATTAGGCGGTGGATAGGGGGTGTGCAGACTTAGTTGGAGCGACTGGGACATATTTCACATAGTTTGGACTCATGACGGTATTAGCATCATCTGTACCGACAATATCGGGTCTGTATGATGAATATCGCCCGCTTTCTGCCAAGATGTATTGTTCCCTCAAGAAGTGCTTGCATTTCCTCAAGTCCATGTCTACCAATGCGGACAAGAGTCTGATGGACCAGCTTACTTATATCACCCCCATCGATGCGGAGCCACTCTCATCGCTACCGACAAGGCGAAAGCTGGAGGGTACAAGGTGTTGCATAAATTAAGATGGGGTGGCTACTCGACAGTTTGGGCTGCGCGAGACGAAAGGTCATACATACAAAATGTGACTCACGGTAGTCCCAGCTAATTATATTCTACCCTTGCAGGACAGAGACTTGCGTCGCTGTGAAGATTTCTGTTGCAGAACAGGAATATGACAGGGAGGCGCAAGAGCTCCAAACTATGAACGAACTGGCATCTTATCACCCTAGTCTGACGCACGTGGTGTAGTTACTCGATGACTTTGAGCTAACTGTTCCGAATGGACATCATAAATGCCTTATTTATAAACTTTTGGAGCCAAACATTCCGGACGTAATAGATGCACATTTCTCCGGTAGGAAACTCCTGGGAAGGCTTGCCAAAACCATTGCCAAGCAAAGTCTTGCTGGGCTTAATGATTTGCATCAACGAAATATTTGACATAGAGGTACTGTAACTCACTCACTCTCACCTAGAGAAAATTGAATCTCACCTAAACAGATTTGGACACTGGCAATTTGGCCTTCACCGTTCCTTGCTTGAATAAGGTTACCGAGGAGGCTTTTTGTGGGATTTTAGGAGAACCTAAAATAAGTCGCGTTCAAAGGCGCGATGGGAAAGACCTTAAGCTGGGTGTGCCGGAGTATAGTGAAGCGTACCTCATATCGAACACATTCTTGGAACTCGGCTCATCTCGATCTCCAGCCGCGGTGAACCTTACCTCGACGAGACCGTGAGTTTTGTATCCACCTTGGTACCTGAAGTTATGCTTTCTCACAGGTATGCTGAAATCACCCAGATCATCAAGCTACCGATGAGCGGGGCCGCGGTCTATTAGACTGAAAGCAAGTCGAGCGGATTCCGTTTTCTGTCCTTATATCTGCACATCTCCCGTCCAGCAGAAACATTTTCCCAGACCAGTGGGACTGACACTTCCTTTTTCTATTCTTACTCCTTTCTGACTTCATCTGACTGCCGAGATGAAGCTGCAACCGGCTGGGCTCTTCCTCGGAACCTCTCTTGGAGGTGTGAATGCCGTGTGCACCTTCTTGCTCGAAGCAATGAACTCCGAGTGTATTTCTGGCTACGGACCTGTTGATGAGCCGTCTTGGGTTCCAACTTTCTTCAACGAATCGCCTCCTTACCAAGGCCATCGAATCTCCCATGAAGACTGGACCTTGACCTGCAGCAGCTCGACAGCGACTATTCGTGCCAGAATGCCACCGACGGCTCCAACACCACTTCCTGATGTAGCGAGCCTGTTGCCAATTCTAAGGGCCACAGCATTACAGTCGACCTCAAGAATCACTACTCAATCAGCGCTAAGGTTATTATGCGGCCAATTGACACTGGGAACGACGGCTTGATCACTTAGCACGAGATCTGGGCCAGCATAGACAACAAGGTCTAGAAGGGTCCCATTCCCTATGGCATGTGGCCTAACTCTAACAGATGGCGCCTGTCTGCTTTCGAGCCCACATCTGCCCGATACGTGAAGCTATCCACTAAGGCCGAGGCCACCGAGTCCTCGAGGATTAGTATCTCCGAGCTCAACCTCTACGCGACTCTGTATACTATCCCTTAGGACCCCAAATCTGGTCTCTAAGGTCCGACTCTCGACTTCCCTATCATGCCCGTTGCTAGTGCTCAGGAGGCCTCTAGCCACATCGTCCTTTGGCTATCGTGGGCCTCAGATTAGTTTCACTCTACGCCTAGCGTCTAGACGGCAATGGCCCGATAGAACCCCTTCACTAATGAGGTGTCCAAGCGCATTATTACCAATACCTAGCACGATATGTTCTGCCCCGGTATTGCTATCGATGGTACCGGTATAATGGTTGTGACTAGTGGTAACGACGCCTCCGAGACTAGCCTCTACGATGCTAACGAGGATGAGTGGATCAAGGGTCTTAAGATATATCTCTGTCGCGGGTATTAGGCCTCGATCACCTTTACTAATAGACGTGTTTTTGTCATTAGTGGCTCTTAGGCTAGAGGCTTAAACATTGCCAAGGACGGCGAGATCTATAACCGTGCCACTAGAAACTGGACTATGCTTCCCGGTGCTAAGGTCAAGCCGATATTGACGGATGATATAGATGGACCGTGGAGAGCGGACAACCACGATTGGCCCTTCGGGTGGAAGTAGAATAGCGAATTCTAAGCTAGTGCTAGCAAAGCTATAAATTGGTACTATGTGGAAGGAGAAGGTAGCTTCGAGGGTGCCAGAAAACGTCTCGAGGACGAAGATTCTATATCGGCCAATGCTATTATGTTCGAGGGCAAAGTCCTCACTATTAGAGGGTGGCCCGACTACAATAAATCCTAGGCTACTAGCAACGCATGTATTATTACCCCAGGCTCAAAAGCCAGACGTGTAGCCTACTGGCTAGGGGGGACGACATATTCCGAGCGTGTCTTCCACACCTCTGTCATCCTGCTGGATAGAAGAGTCTTTGTTGCCGGTAGCCAGACCTTCGGTATCGCTTTCAACGAGGAGAACGTCTAGTTTGTGCCCATATACGACCCAGAGAGCAACACCTTCACCGAGTTCTCCCAGAAAAACGTCATCTATGTCTACCACACCCTATCAATCATGCTACCCAATGCCCGGGCCTTAAGCGGCGGCGGCGGTCTTTTGCGGCAACTGCTCTGCCAACCACTACGACGCCCAGGTCTTCACGCCGCCGTACCCCCTGACCGAGAAGGGTGAACTCCGTTCTAGTCCCGATATCACCTCCAGATTGCCCGGTTCAACCTAGGTGGGACGGGCCTTGAACTTCTTCACCAACCAGCGGATAGCATCCGCCTCTCTAGTCCGTATTGGCAGTGCTACCCACACGGTCAACACCGATCAGCGCCGCATTTCCCTCAACCTCTGGCGTGTGCCTGTGCTCGGTCGCCATTACGCTACTATTCCCAATGACCCCGGCCTCGTCATTCCCGGATTCTGGATGTTGTTCGTCATGGACGAGGCTGGGTCACCTAGCATTGCGAAGATGATCCTGATCACTTCTAACTTGAAGACTATTGGAACGAGCGATGAGAAGCAATGTGAGCATGGATTCCTTAGTGAATATTTGCCAAGTTGGAAGCCAGCACTGGCTGCGCAGATTCCTCGTCGTGGTTGAGGTTTGAGTTGGCCAAATGAGTGGTTCATGCTGGAGATGACATGAGATGAAGAAAGGTTGGACCTAGAATGTCGCTCATTTATAGGCCATCTTTGAGAGCCAAAACCCATGTCATGTACTGGAGAAAACAGGTATCCGAGTTGAAAATTATTCACTGATTGAATTCCAATCTATCATTCAGCTTCAACATCATTTTATCTGCCCCATGAGTTTCTGCTCCTTACCCCTTCGTACACTCTATTAGCAGTAGCGGTAAAGGGAGACAAGTCGCCGAACACGTGTTTAAAATAGCAATACTCCTATCAGGAAAAACTACGGGCGCGTCGGCACGTATAGTGACGCTGGGAGAATACTCACGATATGCCCATGCAGATACTGCAGCGGCATATTAGTAAGTCAAAAGCGGCTTCAGAATACACAATGAACGGGAAAATTGATCAAATCCACTGGTTCTTCATGCTGGTTGCAGATTGAGCAAATTAATTGGAAAAAAAAATCGAATGCGTTGACGGGGAGTCGAACCCCGAGCCTATGCTGCCGTTCTGATATGGAAGGCATAGATGTTACCGCTACACCACCAACGCGGCTCGGTTGAAGTTCCTCGATTTCTTGCAGTCATGTATACTCAAATTACAGACAAACTTGGCAGAACCGTATGGTCTGATCCTCGATCCGCAGATAAATCTCAAAAGGCTTTACAAGAGTAATTCAACACATATATGCACGTCTAGTGGTCGTTGGGTTCCAGCTGAGCTAGATTCAGAAAAAGCTGAAAGGCACTCAGGAAATTATGACTAATCCTAAGTCCCCTGAGCGGGACTTAGAGCGGGACTTGCGTAGAAACTCCTATGTTTACTCCTTTTTAAGGCTTTTACGAAGATTCTTTACACTCTTATAGACCTTCCCTCACGGAACTTAGAAAATCCTGAGTCCCGCTTAGGTGTGCGAGCTGAGCGGCCGTTAAACATTTCCTGAGTCCCGCTCAGCTGGGTCCACTTCCTTTATGCTGGTTGTAGATTGACCAAAAATTGATTAGAAAAAATAGAATGCGTTGACGGGGAGTCGAACCCCGAGCCTATGCTGCCGTTCTGATATGGAAGGCATAGATGTTACCGCTACACCACCAACGCGTTTCAGTTGAGGTTTCCACTTTTCTTGCAATCATATATATTCAAAATGCAGACAAACTTGGTCTGATCCTCGATCCCCAGATGATTTCAAGGGCTTTACAATAGTAATTCAATACATATGTGCACATACAAAATCCATGAAATATCGCTAGTCCAGATCCCGATTACCTACTCATCAGAAGTGGCACCAAAGCCATGAAGTTTCTGGGCCTGGAATAAGCCATGTTTTAAATAGTAAAAGACAGAAAATATATTATGTGCTATAAATCCCATTACTTGGCATCACCATCCATTGGGTTCTGCGCCCATACCCGCCATCTGCAGTTGTCAGTCAAAATGAACCAGGCAAGAAATTGAAGAGCAAAACTCACCCCTTGTGCCATATATGGTGACGAGAGTTCATCAGCTCATTCCTCAGTCTGGCCACATACACCTGGACCTCTTCCTAGCTCCAGGGACGCGGAGCGCCAAACTTGGTCAGCAACCACATACACTACCTAGCCTTCTATTCCAGAGGTGCAGTGCTGGAAATTGACCATGCCCGCCTCTCTGAGCTGCTTGTCTCGGGGCCATATCCCGATAGGCCACTTGTGGCTCTTCTTATAGACGTTGACAAACCCTGCTTTACCGATACTAGTTATGGTTTCGAAAGTGTCGATACCTCGGCCTGCACGTTCGCCATAGCCTAGTATGTTTGAACCCTAGTCATTTATGATATTATCGGGAGGCAAGCTGCTATTTTCTATTTTAATTATGGGGCTAATTTCCAATTACTCGATCTAGCCCCTATTCGCAGCTTACTAGTTCGGCAGTCGGGGTCACATCCTTAACGTAAGATAGTGTCTTCAGACTCACTCGTAGCATTGCTTATAAGACTATTTCTATTTTGTCTTATCGAAAGATCCGATTATAATACGCATATATATTAAGTCGAAGCTCTCCTGCCAGGTCTAATCCTGCTACACGTCGTCGACTTTACCTAAGAATGCAGTTAGAGGGCATCTAAGAGATCAGGGTTGGGAATAGGTCGACACCGCGAATGTTGGCTATTGACAGTCAGAGACATCATATTGACTCGTTTGAGGGTCCCATCTACCCCTTGGAAATATATCGGCAATATCACTAGACAGGGCCAGCGGGATGATTTCGTGTCTGACTATATGCTGACTTACATTGCCCAAGTTCCTTTACCGGTTCCGCTGTCTAAAATATTCACCGGCGAGGCGTGAAGGCCAGCGGGAGACTAGGAAGAATGGGTTGTCCCTGTCTGCCTCTAATATCAGGGCGCAGGGATGTCTAGTACCGGTTAGTGAATGCGTTCTGGACAGGGGAGAGATCGCGATATTCACCCGGATTCATATGCCTTGAATTGCGCCTCATCGGCGGAGATGCTGCAGAGATAGCATGAGATAGAAGGCCTAGTTGTACCTCTCAACCCTTTCAACCTACTGGTACTATTTGCTGCGAAGTGCTTGGTATCTTAGAGTCGAATTCGTGATATATAGTAACCATCTGCTTCATGGGCATTTGCCGTCTGCCATTCACCATCAGGCCCCGGTAGATAGAGGATCCGATCGAAGTGGTATCCCTGGATGAAGCACAGGGTAAGATTAGATTCATACTCCTGTCGCACCAGAGTCATGGCGTAGGCAACTCACGATTCCCAGTTTGTAGACTCGACATACATGCATATAATTTGAGCCAACCTAGGCGACTACCACACCACATCCATTTGGAACCCCAACTTTGACAACAACAACCACGTCGTTCGTATACTTGTTGAGATTAGTCTGTGTTCCATCCGAAAGGGTAGCAAAGTATTGAGGTTCTGCGCGTCATTCTTCTACATACCTTGTCAGAGCTGATGAACGAAGCATTTTCGATCTGGCTGTAGCACGACTTATCCTTGATGCGACGGGTTCTGGCCTCAAAACGCCGGCCATTGCCGACATCAACCCAACAGCTCTTGTCAATTAGTCACGGAATCGAAATCGAAGCTAAGCCAGCTGGATGCCACGAGTGGTATCAACTTAAAGACCGACCAGGCGGCTCCTTGCAGAGTACCTTGGAAATACCACGTGCCGCGCAGTGGCCGAGCGCCCCGGCCAAGTTCCTCCAGTGGACTGCGCCCCCCACCAAGCAACCTCCCAGCTCACCACTTCCCCCACGGCTTTCTCAAGGCAACCGCCGGTCGGCTCCTTAGCAATTCCTCCTACCCCTTGGTTCTCTCCATCGTCCACTCCGAAGCTCTTTTCCTTCGCGGACCGGCCGCGTTCTCCTGCCGCCCGTATCCTACCAGTCGGTCTGTTGGGGCCACACCTTCGAACCGCTGCGCTCCGCTCCTGACATGCGCCCTCGACTACCTCAACCTCACCCGCATTATCACCTATAACATCCCTGCGCTGACCATTCTGGGATTGCGTTGATTCGCCATGCCCTCGATCCTCAGCGATGCCGATAAGGAGACTGTCAAGCGACAGGTCCCTAAACCCGCCAACAAGATCCTTGCTGTAGCTGTCGCGCGACTCTACGTTGCCCACCCCGACCCCCAAAGATGGACATACACGGGTGTGCAGGGCGCAGCTGTGCTTTGCAATGATCTCGTCGGACGCACCTTCTGGCTGAAAATCGTCGACGTCTCGGTGGGTGCTTGGAAATCGGCGGAGATGAAAGAATGAAATTGCTGACAGTTGTGCTGGCCGTTGCAGCCCGCTGGAAAGGGTGTGATCTGGGACCAGGAGATCTACGATAACTTTTCTTACAACCAGGACCGTACTTTCTTCCACACCTTCGAGCTCGAGGACTGTCCAGCCGGCCTATCGTTCGCCGACGAGAAAGAAGCGAAGACGTTCATCAAGAAGGTGCAGGAGCGTGAGAAGCATGCCAGCAAGGAAACCGTTAAGACTCCCTTCGCTTCCTCTCGAGGCCAAGGACCTGCACCGATCTCCAATAGCAAAGGCCCCGGGCGGTCCATTTTTGGCAGCTTATTGCACCGTTCGAGTGCTGCCCCAAGTGCCACCCCGCCTTCAGCTCCCGCGCCATCAATACCAGTTGGACCTTCTCCCTCGTTAGCTCCGAGCGCGCCGCCAGCCAAGGGAGATCTGCCCTTTGACATCAATGATCCGACACAGAAAGGCCTGTTGGACGAGCTCTTGCAGATGGGTATCACTGAAGATCAAATCGCCGATAACTCCGACTTCATCAAGTCCTGGATTGCCCAGAAACAGACCGCAAGTGGCGAGTCTCATGCAGCTGCAGACCAGAACAAGCCACGGGCGCCTCCGCCACCACCTCCTGCTGCTCCGGCCCCCAAGGCGAGCAATATCAGTCCTCAGGGCACAGGGACTAGCTCGGCAAGCCGACGTGGACCTCCTCCGCCTCCCCCGACACGCAAAGGTCGAACCGAGACTGCAGAGGAATCTGCTTCGCCTCCGCCTGGGGAACCGTCCCCACCACCGGCCCCAACCCGAGTTTTCCGTGCGCCTCCTCCAATCGCAGATGCTGGAAAGTTTGCTGAACCGGCCGGACCTGCACCTCCGCGGCGGCCACGAGCAATATCAAATGTTACCCCGGGTCCCCCTCCACCCCCACGGCCCCCGAAGACGCCGATGGATGATAGTACAAGCCCGCCTCTCAGTCGATTTGGAGTGCCTCCACCTTTCACCGGCGATCGCAAGGTCTCCGCTCCACCCGCACCCCCAAGTCGTAGCCCCGTTCCTGGTGGCCCTCCACCGCCGCCTCCCCGCACAGCGAGCCCAGCAGCACCGCCGCAGCTCCCTCCTAAAGTTCTCAATACGGGCGTGCCCTCCGGTCTTCCACCCCCACCACCAGCTCGGGCTCCCATTACTCCGCCCCCTCCGCCAGCACCTCGCCCTGTGCCATCTACCCCGGCTGCAGCTCCTCCTGCTCCTCCTCCACCACCTCCAAGAGGACCTGTCTCTCCTACAACAGCTTCGGTGGAACTAGGGGGGCCTCCACCACCCCCAGCTCCTTCTGGTCCTTCTCTGCCGCCTCCGCCGCCTCCTGGGGCCCCTGGTGGACCTCCTCCTCCACCTCCACCAGCTCCAAGCTTTGGTGCACCTGGAGGACCGCCCCCTCCCCCACCCCCTGGTCGTTCTGGGCCTGCAGTTCCGCCTCCTCCTCCTCCACCACCTCCTGGCGCAGGTTCCGGCGTACCTCCGCCTCCACCTCCTCCACCTGGTGCAGGCCCTGGCGTACCTCCGCCGCCACCCCCGCCTGGTGGTTCTTCCGGAGGACCTCCTCCCCCCTCCTGCTCCCTCGGGTGGAGCGCCTCCTCCATTGCCTAAGAACACCGGTGGACGAGATGATCTGCTAGCAGCGATTCGTGGCTCTGGTGGCGCAGGCGGAGGAGTTTTGAAAAAGGTCAAAGACACCGAAAAGAAAGACCGAAGTGGAGCAATGGTGCCGGGAAGTGCTGCTGAGTCGTCTGCAGCGGCGACTAGCTCTGGCGGGGCCCAACAGGGTGGGTTAGCTGGTGCCTTGCAGGATGCATTGAGCAAGCGAAAGCAGCGGGTCAGCGGTAGTGGTAAGTCGCTCTCCACCTAGAAATGCCGGGACATTATACTAATCCTTGACTGTAGATGACGAGAAGGAGGATGATGACGATTGGTGAGCTGTTGTCTTTCTTGAATGGGTCGGTCTTTTTGTTCATGATACCTCCTGGTCTCTATGGGCATCTTTTGCGGGCATTGAGCATTGTGTTTTTTCCTCCATGTTGTGTTGCAGCGGTTTCCTCAAAAGTCCGGCTTCGAGAGTGCCCTCACAAGGGAGAAACCTTGTGCTCTGTATATACTTTGGTGATCGCAGATGCAGTCAATTTCAGGGTCATGACCTTATACAGACACGGGGTTACTTTTTAGAAACGCGCATTGGCATCATCATATGACTGTTTGTTTGCCTCACGTAGGCTGTGTAGTACTTTCAGCCTCTAACCCTGACTCGGCGCCCACACTGCCTAAAACGAACCAATCACAAAGGAGATGGGCCTGGGCATCGCTGTCGCTGTACCAATGGCTTTCCGGCGCCAGGTACCGCCACGAGGGTTCACAGCGCCGACTTCACTATTTAACCTTTCCTTCACCTTTCGCTCAAAGAGGCATTACCATCCACCAACCTCGACATCAAATTATCTGCATCGGGACATCTAATAAACCGACTTCCAGCGACGTGCTAGCTGAGATACTGTGTTTTATATTTCGACTGTTGGATCCCCTTTTGGCCTTCATCTGCTAGCCAAACCAAGTCTCAGTGGAATCCATCATCAATCCAACGAGGGCGCATTTTCTCGAACGTCTGCTGGCCCTTGAATGCTAAGAGAGACGGGGTAATGTAACTCCGATCTTCAACGGAAGGAAGAGGCAGCTCAATCCAGACTGGACTTGTAGCGTCCGTTTAGCAGCAATCAGATTTGAAGAACCGGTTTCTGGAACGTGGGATAAGCATCGGAGAACGCCGTCGTCAAATGATAACCTCCTACCAGCACACGGAGAGAAGCAATTTAACCATTCAGGCGCTTGGCTTAAACGGGCGACAGGCAAGATTGCAGGTACACACGCGAGCAACCCGACCAATTACCGGACAGGGAATAGAATTACCCCTCAGCGCGCGGCAGGGCAGGTGAATGCCGGGCCTGTCACTGGTACCGCGTGGTTGGAGCCGATCGGATCATGCCTGGCACCCACTTGTTATTCCCGGTAATGAAGCTTCTCGGTCGATTTAGTACAACCGTCCCGCTCGACCCGCGCCAATCATCACTGCGCCCGGGCCCCATGTGTCGTCGGTTCAGGGCGGAGTCCGGCTTTAGTTTGTTTTTTAGACCCTTTAGTCCGCCTCTTCGCAGGCTTGACTTCGTATACCTCCTTCCATCCTCGTTTAATTACCCATAAATACCAATCGTGCTCCGAAGCCCCTGCACGTGCCGGTCCGCCGGGTCGCTTATCACCGCGTCGCGGAAGCTGCTCACGAGTGCACCCATTCAGGTCTCCGCACCCTCGCGATGGCAGCTCCCAGGCAGATAAAGCCCGGCCGCTTCGCAGTCGTCTGGCCTGGCGACACAGGCTCCACTTCATCTCATCCCTCACCATGAAGGCCACCACTGCCTCCTGCCTGCTGGCGCTGTCTGCCGCCGTCAATGGCCGCCCGACAGTCGACACCGAGTATGCCTACACGGGACCAGCAGTCCCCGTCGGCGATTGGGTGGATCCCACGATCAACGGCAATGGTAAAGGATTCCCTCGCCTGGTTGAGCCGCCCGCCGTCAAGCCCGCCTCGTCCCATCCGACCAACAACGTCAATGTGATCTCGCTATCATATATCCCCGATGGTATTCACGTTCACTACCAGACTCCCTTTGGTCTGGGCCGCACTCCGCTGATCCAGTGGGGGACTAACCCCCACAAGCTGAACAAGGTTGCCTCGGGCTACACCCACACGTAGGCACACAAACAATGAGACAAACCCCTGTCATTTGATCCATACTAACCCATATGAACAGCTATGACCGCACCCCGTCTTGCTCCGAGGTCAACGCCATTACCCAGTGCAGTCAATTCTTCCACGAGGTCTCCCTCGACCACCTCAAGCCCGGAACGACCTACTACTACCAGATTCCTGCGGCCAATGGCACCACGGAGTCTGATGTTTTGAGCTTCAAGACCGCCCAGAAGGCTGGTGACCCCAAGGAGTTCTCAGTGGCCGTACTGAACGACATGGGCTACACCAATGCCAAGGGCACCCATAAGTACCTGACCCAGGCTGCCAACGAGGGCACCGCATTCGCCTGGCACGGCGGTGACATCAGCTATGCTGATGACTGGTACTCGGGTATTCTGCCCTGTGCCGATGACTGGCCCGTTTGCTACAACGGCACCAGCACCGCTTTGCCCGGTGGCGGTCCTCTTCCAGACGAGTATAAGAAGCCCCTACCCAAGGGCGAGATTGCCAACCAGGGTGGTCCCGAGGGTGGAGATATGAGTGTGCTCTACGAATCCAACTGGGATCTGTGGCAGCAGTGGCTCGGGGATGTTACCATGAAGATTCCTTACATGGTCCTACCTGGTAACCACGAGGCTGCGTGTGCCGAGTTCGATGGCCCTGGCAATGTCCTCACGGCTTATCTGAATGACGATAAGTCAAACAGCACTGCTGCTAAGGACACGTTGACTTACTACAGCTGCCCTCCTTCCCAGAGGTAAGTACGAGTGGACAACGTGTTTTCCTAGACATGACAAGTAATTAACCAATCAATAGAAACTTCACTGCCTACCAGCACCGTTTCCGCATGCCCGGCGAGGAGACTGGCGGCGTTGGCAACTTCTGGTACTCCTTTGACTACGGCCTGGCCCACTTCGTCTCCATCGATGGCGAGACCGACTACGCCAACAGCCCCGAGTGGTCCTTTGCTGAGGACCTCTCCGGCGATGAGACCCACCCCAAGGAGTCGGAGACCTACCTTACCGACAGCGGCCCCTTCGGTGCTGTCGACGGCAGCGTCAAGGACACCAAGTCGTACGCCCAGTACAAATGGTTGCAGAAGGACCTAGCCAGCGTGGACCGCAAGAAGACTCCCTGGGTTGTTGTCATGAGCCACCGTCCCATGTACAGCTCCGCCTACTCATCCTACCAGCTGCACATGCGGCAGGCGTTCGAGGGCCTGATGCTTGAGAACGGCGTCGACGCGTACCTCTCCGGGTAAATCCATTTACTTCCACCCTCCAAGATTCTTCCCACTAATCATTTCCAAGCCACATCCACTGGTACGAGCGCCTCTTCCCCCTCGGCACGAACGGCACCATCGACACTGCGTCCGTGATCAACAACAACACCTACCGCACCAACGCCGGCAAGTCCATGACCCACATCATCAACGGCATGGCTGGCAATATCGAGAGCCACAGCGAGTTCAGCAGCGGCCAGGGCCTGACCAACATCACCGCTGTCCTGAATAAGAGTGAGTACGGCTTCAGCAAGATGACGGTGGTTAACTCGACTGCCCTGAAGTGGGAGTATATCCGCGGCAGCGATGGGTCTGTTGGTGATTCGCTGTGGCTGCTCAAACCGGCTGATGTGAAGAGCCATAAGCCGCATGGTGTTTGATTATTAGATGAGCTTGTTCGGGTAATGTATGAAGGAATAGATGATTGTTGCATATAAACTCTGCAGCTAGAGCTGTTCGGAATTTTAATTGCCTAGGACCGAAATATTGTGCTTGCCAAGTATTTTCCCGTACATGCGATCTGAAACCGAAAGGCATCCGCCGGCCATTCGGCCCTTCTAGACGGTTTTTCCATCAGGCGACCGCTCCTGAAGCGGAGTTGTTGTTTTAGGTTCAGGTTTGTCGCCACGGGTGGTGACATAATTCAAAGCGTGGTTTCCAACCTCGAACCTTGGGATAGCGGGAACTAAGTATAAGATCATGACCGGGGGCCCTTTAAACTGCAAAATTATTTCCCCTCCTGATATTTCACCTTTGCAGATCTACTATTACACAGTGAGCCAATTTCTTCTCATTTCTTACTTCCGGGATCATCATTGACCATCTTCGGTGAAGGTCTCAGTGTAGTTCTCTTCTTCCAACTGACATGGCTGTAGCGAAGAAACCATGAAGCTCTGCATCTGGGCAGCCCCTGTCATGTCCCTGCTGTTATGGGATCCGGCTCTTGCCTGGAAGCTTCAAACGGGATCGCAGACTATCACTGGAACCAAGCCACAGTCCTGTACCCCCATAACCATCCCGCGAGGGGCCCAGATCAGCTGGCAAGGATCGAAAGGCGCGACAACCGTCCAATTTTTCAATACCCCGGGCAGTTGCAGGCAGGTTTATCGTACGGTGATGGGTGTGGGGGATATCAATGCATCGAACAAAATATATGGCTTTGTTGTGAAGGCATGAAGGGCTATGGCGAGGTGGGTAAAAGTCAAACAAGGGATCTTTCTTGACACGGGCGTGCAAAAGTCATTTAAATAGCAATTTATGAAAACACTTTATTTTCTGTCACATTCTTTGTTGTGTCCTGAATAATCCTTCATTCTCCAACCAGCCGATATAACTGAGACATCAGTCGATGGGAGCCTGGATTTATGAAAGCTCGAGTATAAACCTTTGTGTCTCTCCCAAAAGATCAAATGCTCACTTTACATGTTAAGCACTGCGTTGAGGACTGTGCGTATGGCCCGAGCAATTTGCCTTTCAGAACAATCATAGCCCTGGGCACAAGTCTGAAATACTCCACTCTGGAGTGATTCTTGTTTTGATCTGTTTCATCGCATGTTTTTCATTAGAGGGCTAATCGCCTCTTGTTGAGTTGGGGCGGAAAGGAAACCAAAATGCTGTGTATGAATCGACGGTCAACGCATTCAGCGCAGCATCACACACTATTTCGTTTGATTCCGTCAATCCATGAGGCGGTATGAACCACCAATTGTTCCTTCCGAATCTCAACGCAGTAGTAAGGTCCACTTTTGAGGGCACCAGCCCGCCGATATGAAGTCAAGAAATGCGGGCAGTCAGATGATAATCATCTTGAATGATGGAATTACGAGCCTTAAAGTGACCATTGCCGAGTCTAATGTTGTTCGATGGGGGGAATGCCCGGGGGGAGGATTTGCAATTTCATAGCTTGCGCAAAGCCTTATATATTCTGCAGCTTTATTGAAGCCATACCCCGAATCTGGCCTTAAAGACAAACATGCAAATCAATATCGTTGCTGGGCAGACCATGACATGATCAAGTACCTGTGAACTCCGTGACGAGGTACTATGGCGGAGTATATCCTCTCGGAACGTAGAGAGCGCCACTCACCACGAATGCAATGTATTCTTCAGCTCTAAAAGTCATGGATCCTTCATTTTGAGGAGAAACTGATGAACTTTTAGAGTGGGAAGCCGGGCAGTCGTGTCATCAATATTGAGAAAATGGATTATCCGGCGGGTTCGGCTGTTTTCCCCAAGAAATGACCTTGAGAACTGGCGTTCCCGCTGCCCGCGCTATTTGAATGGAGATATCTCCCTCTATGCTAGATTGATTGTCTACTTAAAGACAAGTCCAAATATCAGCTACATGATGTTGGCGTGAGAGTTATGGCAAACCAAGCACAGTACCTTTCGGATATGTAGTACAACACTTTGCACACCCAACCCCGTGCTCATCGCTGGAGCCTTCCAGGTAAGGCGGCACCTTGGAGTCGCTTTACAAAATGATGGCTCCGTTGTTCGAGGACAAAAGAAGCCAGACCGCAAGATGGATGGTGTTATTGTCATGTTTGCATGTCAAATTCGTGGTCGTATGTAGGTCTTGGATCAAGCCTGCAGCTTGGTTGTGGAGCAGCTTTGTTTAGGCGCTGCATTCCAAGGACATGGTCAGTGCTTCTTTCGGACAGGGTTTCCCCAGTATTTTCTCTTGCGCTCTTATTCTAGTTTCAGGGGCCAGGACGTAAATGAGCGAGTATACAGAGCCAATCAATCCATTCAACACATACTTCGTGTCTTCCTTTTGTCGGGTTAACATTCTTCCGATGCGCGGGAAAAAGCCGCGACTGCGATCACCGATTCTTCTATGCAGCAACAGTCAATACAAGGGAGACATGCTTCCTCCGTTGAAGCCGTCTGCTCCGTCAGCCTCCCTTCTGCGCTTCCTGCGCTCACAGTCTGGCTTTCCGACTGGCTCGGCAGCATGTGGTCGCCCCAAACCACGGTCCCCGTGCCATGTGGCTCTCGCGTCGGGATTAATTCGAAGATCCTCAAGCTGGGTACGCCAGGACGTATTCCAGAGTTGCGCTTCTTTCGGCTCGGGCATTGCTTGCGTTTCTGATGCGAGACCGAAACTCGCAGCAACGCAGTCTCCGCCAGATATCTTCACCCGGCATGCCTCCACGAATCGTCGCCCACTACTTCGGAGGCTGTTTGATCTCAAGCGGGGCAAAAGTGCCGATTACAAAAGCAATCGCAATCAAGGGCCTGCACTTATCGATGAAGGAACTGAGGGAATCTTCAATATCGGCCGTGGACTCGCAGCGAAGGCTTCAAACGAGCTCCGAATTCGCTGCACGGAATTCGACAACAATGGAAACGTTACCTTGGTAAATGGAGAGTTCCGCAAATCCGAACTGATTGCGAAGGTTAGTATTTGAACATCCGCGCTACAGGCATACTCTTGACTAACCATGTGGTAATAGTACGGCCTCCTTCCTCGCGACCTTCGCAAGATCGACTCCTCCACTCTACCTCATATCCTGGTCCGTCCGAGCGCGATTCTCATCAATCTGCTGCACCTGCGTGTTCTTATCAAGGCCAATCGCGTTTTAGTCTTTGACGCATATGGATCGACCGATTCCTATATGCAGTCACTCTTCATCTATGATCTTGAGGGAAAGCTGCGCCAGAAGCAGTCTCAGGCCGCACAGGCTGGGCAGGCGCTACCTTATGAGTTTCGCGCTCTGGAAGCGGTGCTTATCAGCGTTACGACCGGCTTGGAAGAGGAATTCAACGGAGTGAGGGAGCCTGTCGTCCGGGTTCTTCGTGCCCTGGAAGAGGACATTGATCGCGACAAGCTTCGACACCTCTTGATCTACTCTAAGAAGCTGGGTACTTTTGAGCAGAAGGCGCGCCTCGTACGGGATGCCATTGACGACCTACTTGAAGCGGACGATGATCTAGCCGCCATGTACCTTACCGAAAGGGCGAGCGGCAAGGAACGCGAGGAAGACGATCATCAAGAGGTGGAAATGCTGCTCGAGTCATATCATAAGGTTTGCGATGAAATTGTTCAGTCCAGTGGTAATCTGGTAACAAACATTCGAAACACCGAGGAAGTGTAAGGTTTCCCTGTCAGCCCTTGAAAAATGCGCATGTCTAATTCAACCCAGTGTGAAAGCAATCCTCGACGCCAATCGCAATTCCCTCATGCTCCTCGATTTGAAGTTCAGCATAGGTACCCTCGGTCTCGCCACAGGAACTCTCTTCTCTGCTCTCTACGGAATGAACTTGAAAAACTTTATCGAAGAATCGGACTTTGGCTTTGGCGGAGTCTCCGTTGTCTGTTTCGCCCTGACTGCAGTTGTCTGTGTGTACGGGCTCGCCAAACTTCGCAAACTGCAGCGAGTTCGCATGTGGGGTGAATCTGGTGCTGGCAGCACTTCCTTGGCTCCGATTTCTCCGAGGCATAGCTTACTCACTCATTCTCGTGCCAACTGGCGCGCCGATTCCATCGAACCAGTTTGGGGCAGCTTGCCAGGGGAAGCCCGATCAGAGCGTATAAAGCGGCTTAGGGAGAACGCAGCCGCGGCCGCAGCCATTTCGGCTTCTAGGAAACCCGGGGCCGGTTTCCCGAACACGACTTCCGCCGCGGCGGCAGCCTCTGCTTTTCACACCGGGCATCAATCCGCCAGCAGCGATGCGGACCGACAGCAGCCTGGCCCCGTCAGCGAATCTGACATGGATAGCAAGTCCTCCATCTAAACGATGCTCTACCACATTCTTACCTCTCTTGTTGTTTCACTGGATATACCTTTTTGCTGCATCTTTTACCTCATGGCGTTTCGGTGCTGGCATCCCCAACTAATATAGAGATGAACCTAGAGAGAACATTGTCGAAATACCGTGTACATTATACTGCCATTCTTCCCTCCAAGCCTCCATCGCCACTCGATTCGGGGCCACAAGTTGATAGAAAAGATGACCTTGGAACTATAAATCAAGTTTTTCATATATATATAGCACTCTAGCTCTCGGCCTACCGACAGGCAATAATCACAACTCGTCATTGGACTTGAGCTCCCGCAGGCGTAGCATAGCGACCCCATGAGGCCGCACATGTGCGGTCACGCTTCCACCATTCTTGACACTGCCAACCTTCGAGCCCATGAGGGCCTTGGAATTGGGCAGTGGTACTTGCGAGTAGACCTTATCTGCTCCACCCTGAGAAGTCATGTTGATCGGCCGGGTAGCATTCTCTCCAGTTTGAATAATCGCATTTGCGGTAGCATTGCTCATTCGCCCAGCCCATAGATCGTATACATCCCAGCTGCTTTGCGCCTGAGCTGCAGTACCTTCAGGGCCATCCGCCCAAAAAATATCAGCCAGAGTGGCGTTCATGTCGCGGGCTGTCGAGCCACCGTTCAGAAGCAGAACTACTTGGTCACCCCCGCTCAAGGGACCGCTATACATCTGAATCTCTCCGTCGTCAACAAAGTAACGCCATATGCGCACGGCGCTCGACCCCTTAGGGTCCTGGGAAACAGCTAGTACAGCGGTATTCTGTAAAATGGAAAGGGTTGAAGGGTCGATTTTGGTCATCACGTTCGTCATCAGCAATGGTGACTTGAACGCTGCCCATAGGCTGAAGTGCGAGATGGCTTCGTCCTCTGAGAGGCCCCCATTTCCGACCTCTGGATACCCACCGTCAGCAAACCAGACAATATACCACTTCCCACACGAGGCAACTCACGAAGCATATCGAGATCATTCCATGCGCCAGCATATGCCTTGGACGGATAGTATACAGCCTTGTTGATAACATTCATGACTGAGCAGTGATATCCCGGAAGCTTGCAATCAAGGCCGTCCAATTCGGCGCAAGGGCAGTTTACATCCTCACGATCCCAAACGTTGAACAGATCACCACTAGTGCGCCAAGAATTGGCGATAGTTGGGGCGAAGTTCCACGGTCCGTCAGATCCCCAGTTGCACAATGAATAGAGGATCGGCCGACCGGTGGCGTTCAAAGCTTTACTCATGGCATTGTACCGATCATAAGAGAGCTTGGGCGTTCCCTCTTCGCCTTGGTTGTAGCAATTGTCATATTTCAGATAGTCGATCTGTGCGCCCGTTAGCGTTCTCTCGAATATAATTTCAAAGTTCCTGGGTGTGCAAAACATACCCCCCAGCTGGCCCAAACAGCTGCATCTTTTTCTTCGTAGCCTAAGGAGCCCGCGTAGCGCGCGCAAGTCAAAGTACCTGCACTAGAATAGATTCCGATCTTCAATCCCATGTCATGGATCTTGTTGGCCACGTCGGCTATTCCATTGGGGAATTTCTGTTTGTCTGGAACAAGGTAACCAGAAGAGTTTCGACCGGCGGACCAGCAATCGTCAAGCACGACATAGTTGTACCCGAGATCCTTGAAGCCCAGCTCGACGATTCTTTCAGCTGCATCCAATATAACAGTCTCATTCATGCTACAGGCGAATGAATTCCAAGTGTTCTACATCCGTCAGCTTTAACCTTTGGTTCCGTGATAAAAAAGATTTTTAACACCTACCCATCCCAGCTGCGGAGTTCGTGCAAGTCCGTTCTCCAATGCGACAGCCAGGCCGACGGCCAGGAAGATGGCGGCAACACGCATGGTCGTGACTTATGAGGTAATGTAGGTGAAAGTTAAGTCACAAATACAAAGTACTACCTCGAGGTATGGAGCCTTATAAACCCCGTGGGGAGCGGGGTACTTCCCCGGAGGAATGTCGGCACTGACGATTGTTTGTTTACCCACAGTTGACGAGGGTGGGCGAATCACCGATATTAAATCGTGACCGCTCCGATATTTACAGGATCCACTTGCGATGATCGTAACGGGTTTCATTTCCTATTGGGGTATCTGCGAATCATCTATGTGACTGGTTCCTTTCCCGTGATCTTTCTGGAGGCCTCGAGTCCGCTCGATCCAGATCCGCGCAGCAAGGTGGATACCCCCTTCCCTTGCACATTCTCGCTCGACAACATGCATAACCTTCTGAACGACCTGCGTAGCCTCTGCAGCTCGGCTCTCAGCCGGCGTGGGTACACTACTGGCTCCTAGCTGTCTCCACTGCTGGGCCATTAATTGCCGACCTCCTACCACCCCCATATTCCTTGTACTTGGGATGCGTAGCATAGTCTTCTCAACTTGGTACCCGGCCTCCTCGGCGACCGCTATGGTTTTGGCCGTGAGTAGGCCATACATGGATGTCCACATACTGTGCTCGGTCTTCTCTTCTTGTTTGGCTGCTCGCAATGCTTTGAGATCACCCGACGCGGCCTGTGGGTTTTGTTCTGGTTGCTCATCCTTGTTGTGCGTAGCATTTTTGGTTCCTTTTTGCTTGCTGCCTTTTGGGAGAGGGTAGCGATACCGAGATCCAGAGAGTGAGTGAGAACAACATGGTATGGCAAGAAATGGCAGAGGCGATTCGGGAGAAGCAAGAGCAGCTATAAGCGGTGTCCATACAGTGAGTTCATCGGCGTGGTTTGATATGATGAAGGTATCGCGTGGAAAACCACCTGTGGTTATATCCACACCAATATCATCAACGCCGACAGCGTCGGCAAAAGGCTTTGGTATGAAAATCTTCTCCGCAAGCTGTTTCTGTACCCACTCGGGATAAATGCTCCATGATTTGCGTCGGCGGGCATCGAAACCCCAGCCCGAGTAACCTTCCATTAGAAGAACGTAGACGAGCACGCCATTTCCGCACGCCATATCGACGAACCCTGGGAATGTGGGTATATTGTTGTGTTGATTGGGATTTTCCTTGGCCGGAACAACTCCGTACATCATCCTCCATAGCTCGATTAGAAATGCGGTGATAGCTAAATCCTCATAAACGTGCTTGCTTGGCTCGGTGCTTTCAGCCCAGTTTTCACAAAGGTCGGCAGCATACAAAGTCTTGAGTCGTGCATAAGTGTCCTGGACCAGGTGGCGAGGAACCAGATTGTCCTTGAAGGAACTCGGTTTGTTCGTATCCTCGTTACCGGATGTGCTCTGGCCACCGCGTGTAAGCCGAACGTAGAAGTTAAGAAGAATATGTAATGTACGCTCCAGTCTTTGGGGGATATCGCATGAAAATGGTAAGAAATGTAGCGACATAGTACCAGACCCCGACCCTTCTGATGAGCCGTGGAGGTCATATAGAGTGGCAAGTCCTCGAAGCTGCGGGTGGTAAAACGGAATGTCGTCCTGAGACTCAATATGTGGGAGATACACGGTCAGCACACGTTGATGTGGTGTTCCTTGAACATTGCTTTCGCATTCTCCATTCGGTGCATCTCTCCTTTCTGGGGGTGATGCCCTAGACCTGTAGAAATGGCAGGTCTGTACGAGCGGCTTGTCCAGGTTTTGGTTTCGAGGAATCAATCTTCGAATGACGGTCCTGATCAGATCGAATTCTCTCACTCTAGGTGCAGCCTTGGCTGCTACTTGAGTCTCTGGAATTTCCGGCCCAGGCGCACGAATTGCCCCAGCAAGGGTTTCATCCTGTTGAGGCGTTTTGAGAATACCGCAACTGTCGAATAGAATATCTGCTCGGAATAGATGGCTCGATGTGATGTTTGGATTGGCCATCAGAAAGACGGCCGTCTCGTAAAACCCATCGGCAGAAAAAGGGAGTCCATGCTCGCAGAGATCGGGAGATGTGAGCCAACCATCTGAGTCCAGTTCCAGGAATTTGGAAGAATCCTCCACAGTTTCCTTGAGAGGTTTGCCGGAAAGCTTGCTCAGGTCACGCACGTTCTTTCGGTTCGGCATGTTGGAACGTTGCTAGTATTGAAGTGGAGGTTTCGCACCACGGTCAGAGAAAGAAGAGTGGCCACATCAGGCAGCAGTGACCCTGCAATATTTTACGCCTAGATTTATATCAATCAGAGTTTGACCTGCATCCTTGTCCAGTGTGCTGTTGTCTGTTGTCTGATGGAGCAAAGGTTCGATCGAGAGACGGCCGCTTTGTGCGGCCGGAAAAGCGCAATCACGTGATACTATATACATTGTGATGTGAGTATTAGATTCATGTTGGTAAGTGCGCTGGTTGATTTGGGATACTACAAATTTCGGTTTTATTCATGGTCTTGGTATTCATTAAGCTCGCTTTGTGGGCAACCACTGTATGGGTAGGGAACTGCTCATCCGCCAATTTCTCTTGATATACCTCCAAGGATGCTTATCCAAGAGGAATACTCGACAAAGCCCACAGCGAAATTTCAAGTTTACCGCATTATGTACCCTTGCTCTGGCCATCTTCTCTTTCCCAAACTTTCAGCAGGTGCACCGCCAGTCTTCCACGCATCAAACAACCGTATACTGGAAAGTAGCTATAACTGGGTCTAATGCTCTAGCCTTTAGACTTTTCAATGGTGTTTTATTTCGACCTGAAAATTGCAATTTCAAGATTTACAAATATATATGTGCTTTGTTTTATCATCCATCATGGACCATAATGCCAGAATGTCGAAAAATCGTCGGGGTGTGTGCGAGTGGTTCATTTCCACCTGATTGGTTGGTGGAGAGCTGGTGCCAGGTTGAATAGCTGCCACCTGACGCCCCCAGCAACCAAACCTTGACCCTGAAACCAACCCCGATTCAATGTGGCGAAGTCTAGATCACCAAGCGATCTTGAAATTAATGTTCTAGTTTCGGCCTCACGAGGGGCACAAATGCAGGGGACAGACCTAACGAGCCCTTGCTTTTCGCGTGGCAAATCGGCTAGACGCACCAATTCCACACTTGTTCGTAGAGTTTCCAGCCCCAAGCCACAAAAGTGCTTGCACTCGATTAGAATGACCCCTTTTGGATTAAATATTCCCTTATAGTCAACCATGTGTCTGACACGAGATACTATGGTCTTTTTCTTAAGAGGAAATGCTCGCCTTCCCTGTCGCGCTATCTTTTGTCCTTAACTCGATTATTTTCGAAAAATCCTCTAAGCCTACCATGGGGGTTTACCCTCCCTTAATCACTCCTGCGCCAAATGGAGACCTGGTTGCCAAACTCTTGATGCGACAGGTTGAAAGCATTGCTACCTGTGGATACGTTGACGGTATCGCGAGTACGTCTGTTCTGATCTGAGCTGCTTTAGGGGGCAGAAGATGCTGATGAACCGAAGCTTTGCCTGTTACTTGTGCAGCGGGCTCAACATGTGCTTCAAACCTAGCGGCTAGTGTTCATTTCTGTTGTACTGACCCCAACAATTGTGTCATGCCAACAACTTGCTATGCCGCAACAGATGTGTCGAATGGCATCTGCGGTAACTCCTGCGAAGAGAATACGTCTATTCTAAAATGGTAACATTCTGCCTCCCTGTATATTATATGCCATCCAGGCTGATGATCTATCCTCCAAATGTAGCACGTATGCCGGTTATTCCTATTGTTACACTCGGTCGTGGCTCGGTGCCACTCCTCTTTCTGGCTTTGGCTGCGCGACATCTCCTTTCGTCGAGGACGTTTATTCCCAGGTCAGCACTACTTCAGATACGGAAACATCATCGACTACGTCTTCTACATCTCAAAAATCATCATCTGCGACGAATGTAACAACTCCAACCAACACAGCTACATCGACAACAACGTCAACTACATCAGCGCCTACCAATTCATCACAACACCATTCACCACCTTTGAGTACTGGCGGAATTGCGGGTGTAGCTGTGGGCGGCTTCATCGTCGTATGTATTTTACTTGCTCTCATTGTGCCAAAGTGGCGGAAATGGATTCTACACGTCCTTCACATTAAGAGAAGGCCCAACAAGATCGAACCAGACGAGACTGAGCTCCGTTCACATGGAAACGAAACCGATTTGCCGAGCCAGAGAGTTAGACCGCCGCCAAGTATACTCTCGGGACCTTCGGTTGATCCATGGGGGGATGGTATCTACGAATGACGGCGATAATGATGACAAGACTATTAGTTATCTTGGTTGGCTGACAACTCTATCAATATGGTTGAAAGAATAGTCCCGCACTGGCGTACGCAACCTGACCTCGTTCAACTGAGCCAGCTTTTTCTCTGCGAGATTCCATAATAAATGTTCACGGTTGACATCGCGCTGCAATTCGCTCAGACTCTCCTGAAGCGCAAGCGCCGCAGCTTGCTTGGCAGTCCGTAGTTGACCGTAATCTTTGACTGGTAGCTGGCTTCTAAGAATCACATCTTGCGCATCTGCACGGGCCTGGTATATTCGCGCTCGCCTCGCCTGGCCGGGGTTGTCGCCTTGTTGTGCCAGCTGTAATGCCTCGCTGCAAGCATTCTTGGCTCTTCGAACGTACTCTATCTTTTGAATGAGATTAAGCTTTGAACTTTTGCTCTCACTAAGATCACTGAAACAGTCAGTCATCCCGAAGTAAGCGTGTGTTTTGTTGCATAAGTCAGGCGAGCGAGACTGCTGCGACACGTGAAGCGCTCTTTCAAATAGCCTCAGTGCTTGCACTGTGTCGCGCGTGTGAGTCGCCGCAAGCCTTCTGTCTCTTCCGGCTTCAAGAAGACTTTCCACTTCAGCATCACGTGTTTTCTGGTGTGTGCTAGTCGGGTGGTAGGACTCGTAAGGTGTAACTGTGGCTGGCGAGACACTCTGTGGAGATATGGTAAGTTCAGCTGAGCTCCGTGGTGATTCATGATGAGGATTCGAATAAATGCCAAGGCCTTTCAAGGAGCCCGGTGTCGATTCCGTATAGTATTCTGCTTGTCTTCCCTGAAGAAGATGCTGTGGGCTGTTGTGCTGATCGTGGTTATGCCAGACAAAATGTTCGTGGGCTTGGGGCATCAAAGCATAGTTCCGTGTTGCACTGGGGGAGGAAGTGGTTGAATACGGCGTCAAAGGCCTCGCTATAAGTGAGTGCAAATTCATCAGACCTGATCACCATTTCAACTTTAGACAGTCATAGCTGAATAGCCAGAACTATCTGATCTCAATCCACATACACGAAGAGGCCATCTTTTCCCGCCGCACCTCATCAATCACATCCTTCATCGCTGCGACAAACTGTATATAGCCTGGTTCGGTCCGATTTTCAAATTTGACCATGGTCCGATGATCGCGCCTCTCAATGGAGACGATTATTTCGTTTTGACTATCCATTTGTGCGGATTCTTTGGTCACAATCTGAAGATAACAGACAAATCAGCCTGTTGATTTTCCAAATGCTAAGCGCACCGCGCGGAAGCTTTGGCCTCACCATTCCTACCACTGGCATTGGCAAACTCTCACAGAAAGTGTATATCGTGATATCTGGTCGTGGAGGCGTCATATTCATCCGGCTATCACGTAGCTTGCGTCTAAAAACCGAAAACTCTTCACGGAGCATCTGCGTTGTGTTTGAGCCGAGTTGTAGTTCTCTGAGGTTTTCATCCGATGTCGGTACGCCGAAGGCGGCTAACCATGATGTGCTCCATGTTGCTAGTTGAGCAGCATCTGCCCCGCGGTGCGGAGTTCCCGCAAAAATGATGGCTCTTGTACTGGTCGCGGTGAGTCTTCTCCGGCGAAATACGTCTCCACTGCTTGGGTCATCTTCATTCCAAGCTTTCACCAGTGCCTTGAGTATAATACTGTCAGTATCTCGTATGAACGAAAGGGCCCTGCATCTGTCCACATACTCTCTTGATGATCAGGCCTCCTAGGCTGTGTCCAAAGAATATCAGCGGACGTTCCCGCTGGTAGTCCTCCCGTCTCACGTTGGCCAAAGCAGACAGAAATGTATCCGCAGTGCTGGCGATGGTTTCGCGACCCTTCCGGCCGAAGAAGTTAAAGAGGTCAGCGTCAAAGCCGAACTATGAGAGAGATTAGTCCTATCACTTCACGTATCTCACGAACCATGCATACCCCCATTATCCTGGCCTGCAGAGTTCCGTTCACCGTGAGATCTTCCCCAAGAAGATCTCTCGGCCACGTCACACGGTGTCGCTTTCCAAATCTTCCGGTGGTTTGAGTAAAAGTGTTTCCAATGGAGCCGTTGAGACCGTGAAGAAAGACGATGCTAACACGACAGTATTAGCGAAATAAAAGCATATTGTGCGGCACATCGTACTCAACAAGACTATTAGCATCAGACTCTGGCGGCAATGGATGCCAGATTACCTTAAGAGGTGTTAGCTATCCCTTTCTCGTGCCCGTGTAGTCAGTAGCTGGTCACCTACCATTCCACTCTGGTTGTCCGACATGTCGGCCTGTTCTTGTTCTCAAGGCAAAAAGAGTACAAGAAAGAGAGTTGCAAAAGAGCCTCCGGCTTAGACGACTGAGAATAAACAAGCAAGACTTCAAGAGCGCCACACGGGGCCTTCAATGGATGTAATCCATGGCTACGGGTGCCGAGCTATCATTACAAACTACGCCGGTGGCGGCGCAAGAATCGACTCATCTATTGCTTACTCGACCCAGGCGCCTGCTGCCACAGACGAGGTGGCTTACGCGGGGTAATCGTGGCGTCAAGGTCATATGAATCCGTTCGACACCTAGGATACCTTCGTCGGATAAGGAGAGGTTTCATGCCCATTGGGGCGTAACTAGAGTGAAGGGTAAACAGCCGAGGCTAAAAGCCAACCACGCGCCGTTGCTGTCGGTCGACCTTGCTAGACAGACAGCTTTCGATGAGCAGGAAAGTTTGCTCCTAAGGCATTAGCGTGACTCGTATTGTGTTTTGCTTGCTTTTCTCAAACACCCCCTGTCAGCTTTTCTCTTGTGTTCAACATCGACAAAAGTAAACGATCGGTCTGACATTCCCATGCCTCGACCTACAGCGGCAGTGTCGGAGATAACCCCCTGTAGATAATGCCGAATCCCTAGAGGTTTGTCCATCGTGCCCTTCAACCAAATAATGGTGGCATGCTTAGAAGCTACTCAATACGAAGTCTTCCGATATATCAATGTTCCCCTGGGCGAGAAACCCCCGGGCGAGAAAGAGCCGCCTCGTCAGCTATTCTAGTCTACGTCCGGCACCGACAACAAACAAATGACTCGCAGACAAAACAAGATCAAGAAGGACTATCTGGACCCGTGAATGAAGCCAAACCAAGACTTGGAGCTCCTAGGATCATTCAATCATGTTGACTCACGTGCAAGGTGATTAAAGGGGACTGCGCGACCAACTAATACCAAAGCCGTAAAAACCGCAGGGTCCTCAATCCAAAGCCAGAAGCGCGATAAGAACAGTCCAGTCCGATCACAACCTTATCAGTGACGAACCCCGCGGAGCCTCCCCGCTCACCCGCAAACCAAGAGGAACCAAGCACCAACCACATCCCCCCCAATCACTCTCCAAACACCTCCAACCTCAGTCCCTCCAATGGCACCACGCTGTTTCATCGTGCGCCACGGCGAAACCGAGTGGTCCCTGAACGGGCGCCACACCGGCTCAACCGACCTCCCCCTCACAGCGAACGGCGAGAAGCGCATCAAAGCCACCGGCAAAGCCCTAGTCGGCAACGACCGGTTAATCGTGCCCAAGAACCTAGTCCACGTGTAAGAACAGCGCCAGTCCCAGTCCAAAACTCCGCCATTTTCCAGACCTTCTGTAGCAGTGTGGTATTGACTTGGTGTGTGTCTTAGCTTTGTTTCCCCGCGCACCCGCGCCCAGCGTACCCTCGAGCTACTCGAAATCGGCTGCCGCGAGCGATACCCGTGGACCGAGGCGCGTAAGCGTGAGGAGGAAGAGCCAATTCGGACTGAGGCACAGGTCCAGATTACGGAGGCGATTCGGGAGTGGGATTATGGGGACTACGAGGGGTTGACGAGTGCACAGATTCGGTCTATTAGGGCGGAGAAGGGGGAGGGGCCGTGGAATATCTGGACAGATGGGTGTCCGGGGGGAGAGTAAGTTGCCGTCCGTTTTGTTGGGTTTCACTTTTTTATTGTCCATTGTGAATATTCAACGGGATTCGGAGGTGGGAATGAGGTTTGAGTTTGATTTGGCTTGGGCGTGGTGGTGTTGTGTCGGCATTGTTGGACAGGCCACTCCCCTGTCCCATGCTCCTGCTAACCCATACTGTCCTTCTAGGTCCCCCGAAGACGTCGTCCGCCGCCTTGATGCCCTGATCGCTGAGATCAAAGAGAAATACCACCGCCCTTGCTTCGAGCACCCGGACTCGCCGAAAGGCGACGTCCTCGTTGTTGCGCACGGGCACATCCTCCGCGCGTTCGCCATGCGCTGGGCTAGCAAGCCTTTGGAACAGACCACGCTGATTCTGGAAGCCGGTGGTGTGGGGACACTGAGGTGAGTCGCGATCTCTGCTCCTTCCCTCGTTGGCTTGCGAGACCAAGAGGGGCCAGAACTGGCACCACCTGGGTGAAAAACAGTACGGGACTGATGACAATCCACAGCTATGAGCACCACAATATCGACGAACCAGCGGTCATCCTCGGAGGCCAGTTCGTTGTCGAGTAACGGTCCGTCTTATGACCCGATCCGAGTCCGTAGCCTTCGGCACAGCTATCCAGTGAATAGTTAGCAAGACCGAACCGTCCTTAGACCCAAACCAACCCATGCACCAAGCAATTCAAGCATTCAACAGCGCAGCCAGGCAAACCCACCTAGATCCAAACAAGAGATTCAATCCTTTTCAAGTAGCGCGCCGCGAGAATCAATCCTCCTCACTATCCTCCTTCTTAACCTCCACGTCCGCATTCCCCTTTACCCCCTCCTCGCCCAGCACCTTCGCACTCCCCATAAAGAGCGCCCCCATATACCCGCCCAAGAAGCGCATATCCCCCGCCTGCACCGCCGTCATGCGCAGCAGATTCTCCGTGTCCGCAAGATTAGCGTTCAGCTGCGCGAGCTGCGCGTGCAGGTGTGCGTATTGCCGGGTTTTCGCGGCGGACATGGAGGCAGAGCCGCTGGTCGAGGTGGAGACTGATGCGCTGGGGTTTGAGGGGTAGGCTGTTGTTGTGTTGAAATTGCTCGAGGTCGAGGTGGGGAGGATGGAGGCGCGAGGGTAGGAGGTTTGGGAGTCGGTGCGGCGGTGGGGTGGATTGAGGGGCATGGTTGGGTATATTTTGACGGGTTGTAGTTGAAGAGTTTGTGGTATTGTGCGCCTGGCGGGATTTGTGTACGCTTGAAGTTGCAAGAGTATGCGAATCCTGCGTGGTTGACAAGAAGATTGCGGGGCGATGGTTTTCCATTATTGTTTACATCTCTCACGTGACCGTGCGTATACCGCAACGGGCATCCAATTAGCCAGAAAGCTAACTATAAAAATCTAGACTTTAGGGTCTACTCAAAACTATACAATTCGATGACACCCAACAAAAGGGAAATCACAGCCAGAGAAGCAATCTCGATGATATAACGGGGAATGTCTATCAATTCGTGCGCACCATGAAGGATAAAAGAAAAAACGAGGTCTGTCGGTCTGTCGAGTGCAGAGCCCCCCAACTCCATTAGAACAATCGCAGCACACCCGTCACTTATTCTCCTCAACAAGCGCGGGTTCGAAAACAGCCACAGCAGATCAAGACAAAACCCGACCATTCGGATGAACCTAAATCGAACGTACCCTCTCCCCAACTTCCCCAGCTTTTTTGCAATGCGCCCGAGAGGGGCAAACAGGAGACCACAAAAACACAGATTCAGAGACCATGCCGCAGGTGTGAGACCAGCTGGATGACGAGACATTGATTGGAACAGCAAAGACGAGGAAACATCACACAAAGTAAGGACAATGCCGAGGACGAGGGGCTGGATGATGATAGAACGCAAATCAATCCAATAATCAAAAGGCGGCGTATACGAGCCCCACATTATGAGAGTAAAACCAAAGGAATGCGCCGGTTCACATAGTGTACAGTCATGCAAAGAAAGGCGAAAAGGTCGTGCGAGCGGCTGCGACGGAGGGAGCGGTTGGATGAGTATTGAGACAGACGGTCGAAGGAGGCGCTATTCTCGAGGTGCTGCTGAGGAGAGAAAAGGAAAAATATGAGGAGTAGTTTCCGATCTAGGCTGCACGTAGGGCCTCATGGTTGTAATGGTAAAAGGAATCGATAATGCCGCGAAACGAAGATGAGTATCAATGCAGAGAGGGCGGGGGAAACCGGACATAAGAAACGAGCACAACCCATATCCCAACCACTCCGGAACAAAACCAGGGGAGGAAAAAAAGAAAAACCAATAAGCGATAAAGCAAACCCCTATGTCCCTCATGTATATGTAAAGCAGCGAACAGCAGAGTATTAACCGATAGCCTCATTCGACGGGGCGAAGGATCCGTAAAACAATACACCCGTAGAATGGCCACGCAACAATGCAAAAACAGTCCAAACATGACAGAGCTGGAGACCAGGCCAAGTTGTTTCGGTCCACGATAGTAGGAAATAATGGAAGACGCCAGAAAGGAAATTCAATCGGTTCATCGATTGCCGGTTTTCGTCAATTTGAGAGTGAGCAGTCACACGCTGATATAATAAAGGGAAACGGGCTTCAGCGAATGGGCGCCGCCGGGCCGACATGATGGTCGCCGAGGCTGATCTGGCTGCTGTGAGCCGACGCTTCAGAACCAAGATTCGCGCTGGCCCCGCTATCACCGCTCTCAGCACTGGCGCTCGCACTTCCAGTCAGACTTTTGTTTTTGGGAGGGCCCTTAGCGGGAAACGAGTTGCTCACCCCATAGTGTTGCTCAATCTGCTGCGGCCCAACCGGGCCTTGTCCTGGCGGGTGCCGGGGGACCGGTGTCCGCATGTTTCCAGGCGGCGATGGATGGCCATTATGAGGAGGTCCACCAGGGATGCCGAGACTTTGGTCATGGGCAGTCATAGGACGACCCATACGAGATGGGCCCGGGGGCCGGGGGGTCCAGGTGGCCCGGGGAATGGTGCTGCGGGAGAGTTGCTGTTCCGCCGGCTCTGAGGATACCCACGAGGCGTGAAATCACCCATATGACTGGCCGTCAGGGAGTTTGCCCTTGAGTCGGCGGCCATTTGGTTGCGGTCGACGGCGCCGTACCGGTTCGACGAGTAGCTCATCATGGGGTTGTCCATAAGAGAGTCATGAAGGCCCGGAATTTCCTGCATCACCCGGTCACTCGTGCGTTTCCGGCCGAAGTAGCGGCCGAAAGATGAGCCTGGTCGACTCTGAGGCATAGAGGCACCACCGCTCATCATCTCGGGGTTCTTGCGGAATTGACTATAACTCGGGGTTGTTTTGCGGCCTCGGCGCGACGTGATACTCATCATATCCACTTGATCGGGGTCGATATGAGGAATCGCCATGCTGTCCATCGGATCGAAATAATCTTCGTCTTCTTCGTCAAATGCGGATGCTGGTGTCCGGGGCGGCGGCGGTCCCCGACGTCCAGGTCCTCGCCGCATGCCCATCTCCTGTTCCCGAATCTGCAATTCACGCTGGCGCAATGCCAACTCGCGCTCTCGCAAGGCAATGTCATTGGGGATGAGACCCGCATCGGGATAACCATTGCCGTTGACGTGGGGCATTCCACCTTCCGACTCATCGTACACCACTAAATGACTGAATTCCTCGAGTCCTTCCAATGATGGGTCCCGTGGTACGCCTCGGCCGGGAGGGCCCATCGGCATCGGTCCGCCGGGTCCCCGTGGCATCATACCCGGAGGCGGGCCGCGTCGTTGGGCCGGGGGCGTGCCTTGAGGCATACCCATACTTAAATTTGTTCGACTCGATCGCATCGCGCCGTTCATTGGCGGTCGCTGTGGTGCGGGCGCCGAAGACATCCGGGGGGGCGGGTGGCCCATGATCGATGCAGGCGGAGAATCGCCTGCGCGCGGCCGATTCTGGTTCGCAATGTTGAGATGGTGCAGCACCGCGTAGAGCGCCTCGATCCGGGGGACGGATATGTTGGACTCGGTGGCCAATTTGATCGGAGAACCCAAGAAGGTCTCAATCTCCATCGGACGACGGGCTTGGAAATCCTGGAACATGGTGCTCGGGGCGTCCGATGCGGTCATCTTTTCGATCGTCTTATCTCGGAAATCGCTGGGGAATTCGCAGCCCTGTAGCCGGGCGAGCTCCAACAGCTCATCGATGATGCCGGTCACCAATTGGCGGACGCCGACCTTCTCCAGGAGCTGGGCGTGGCTCGAACATTCGAAGGCCACGCTTGCGGGATGGAACGCGATCGGGCTGCCGCGGTCATTAGCAAAAACGGTTCACCTGGGGGCCAGGGATTTCACATCGGGGGAGAGAAGGGGTGGGGGGGACACTCACCCGATCATCCGCTCGAACTGCTCTTGTCGAATATTCGGCGATACCTTGCACTCGACCTGCCCGGAGTTCAGCGTCATGGCCAAGGCCACAGCCATATCGTTCTGGATGGAGGTGGGAATGGACGATTGCTTGTTGGTTGCGCCCACGTGGATCTCGCTGGAACTCAGGTGCTCGAAATCGCTGGGACCGGTCTGGGAGATTTCCACGTTGGAGACCAAGGAGAGGACCACGTTGGTCGGATACCTTTGCTCCAGATGGGCCTCGATGCCAATAGTATTCGTGGTGTTCACAAGGATGCAGGTGTGCTGGGGAGTGACGACCGATTCAATGACGGAGGCCAAATCGTAGACGTCCGGCAACGCTTTCACGCAGAGAATCACGTAGTCGTAGGCGTTTTCACGGGAGGAGGCGTCTTCGGGGGCTCGAACCACTAAATAGCAGAACAGTTAGCCTGGCGGCCAGAATCACGGCGAGGCCAACAGAGAGGGGGGGGGGGAGAGAGAGAGAGAGAGAGAGAGAGAGAGAGAGAGAGAGAGAGAGAGAGAAGCTGAACGTACCATGACGAGGCTTGAATCGCTCATTGCCGAAAGCTTTTGATCTGTCGCAGGCAAGGGCCGTGAGTCAACAATTCAGGCACACACCGACTGCGGGTGAGGACATACTTGAAGGAAACACCATATTGAGCCACGGCTTCAAAACCGGATTTCCAGACCAGCGTTACGTCGCAGGAAGTTGTCGCCTGCAACCGCCATGATAGAAAAGCCGAGATCGCATTGCCTCCCACTGCACAGACTTTCATTAACGGGCGTCCCATGATAGCGGAGAAGGATGGGAGGTCGCGAGCTCGCGAGATCGCGAGATCGCGTGGAGATATTGCCGGATTGGAGAGGGGATCGAGGACGAGCAACTCACCGGAGAGGATGCGCAGGCGTGGAGGAGGCGCCATGATCGAATTTGGCAGGAAGTGTTGGGCGGAAAGGACCCAGGTCGCAAGGTCCAGAGGCGCGAGGCCGCCGATAAGCAGAGATCACCGGCGAGCCAGGATTTTGGGAGGGTGGCACTAGCGAGGAAAGGGAGACGGCGATGGCGACGGAGAAGGGGGAGGCAGGGGAGTGAGGGGGGTTTGAAAGCGAGAGGAAAGGGGAGAAGGAAGAAGACAGGAGAGGGGGGGGGGGAAAGACAAAAAAAAAAGCGTAGGGAAGGAGGAGAGGAAGAGAGGAGAGAAGTTGGGATGGCCGGTTTAGTCGGTTTAGGTCGGTTTGGTCGTTTTAGTCGATTTCGTCGCTGCAGTTGGGTTTGGGGGAAGCTTGGGAGGACGAAGTGTGAGGAAGAGTTGGTAAGTTCCCGATCAGCCTCAACTTTCTTTTTTTTTACCCCTTCTGTTTGTTTCTCGGTTTCCGGCAGGTGAATGCCTCGTCTTGATCGGTTTAGGAGCCTACGCGACCGTCGAAGGGCAATTCGAAGGGCCGGGGGGCGCTTTCAACGGTCGTGGATCCCCCGCCAGGCTCGATCCGGAAACGGAGGCCAGGCGATAAGAATCCGCCAACGGAAAGACTAGCCAGGAGGTATGAGGACGAAGATCGAGACGCGATCCGGCTGGATGCAGAGCAGGTATCTCGTGAAGCTCGCCTCTGTGCCTCTGTGCCTCTGTGTTGCTGTGTTGCTGTGTTGCTGTGTTGCTGGGTCGCTGTGTGTCTGTGTGTCTGTGTCGCTGTGTCTACTACTGCATCTACCTGATTTCTACTTCCCGCGCTATCGCCGTTTCGTGGCCCTCCACGCAATCAGCGGGTGGTACATGCATGCGCGTCGAGGCCCGTTCCATCCTGTAAGTCCTCGTCAGAAAGTAGGTGTCCATTTCTACCATGTTTCCTGTCACCGTAGGTGGATGGATATGTATACTGTTCAACAAGCTAGTCCGGCATGCGAGAGCAGAGGGCATGAGAACGGGCTGCTATGCTGCTATAATTAGCGATCCTGGACCTGGACCTGGACCTGGACCTGGACCTGCGCTCTTTAATTTTTTTGAGTGCCTTGGTTTTGAAAATTTTACATTCTTTTTTTACTGGGCCCGAACTAAGAGGAGCCACGCACAGATGGCTCCACTTCGGAGCCACCACAACGTCTCTGGTTGATCTGCACTGCTCGGGGCTATCGGTCCCATCGATCATCTGAAGTGGCCCTGGTGCACTCTGTACTCCGTAGTCGTAGCTTTGTCCTGGACCTGTCAAGCTCTGGGGAAAGAGATCACAGCCGGTCGGCTGCGACGCGTATATCGGCCGCGTTCCCTCCTCCACTTGCGGAAACCCAGCTACCCCGTCTACACTGAGCGACCGTCCTCCGGCAGAGTCAGCACAATTAATTTATGAACCAATGGGCCCGGGATTGGGTGTCCCTGTTCTCCGCCCTGAGGAGCATCCTCGCTTCTACGTAGTCGACTTGTCGAGGCTCCGAGGGAGCGGCAAGCCGAAGGCTGGCTTGGGTTTTCCTCCTGGCCAGCGTCGTATTGGGCGCATACTTCCAGCCACGACGAGGGGGCCAACCAGTGAGGTCCGACAGCCCTAGCGCGACCGCAGGCAATATCAAATCGTGGCGAGATCCAATCGTGGCCCTCGTACTTAGCACACAGATAATGGGCCTACAGGATGATGCTCGTCTCCCCGACGGGCGCGACTCCAGTGTATGGTGCCACCACACAAATCAACCATGAATGCAAAGCATCGTACGACCGGAACGAGACGAACCCAGTTTGCTTGTGATCTCCAGCGAGCAGGAAGAGGTTCATCGTGTCCCCCTCGTGATACGCGCTGGACGGAGATTCCATCAGAGTGACGTCCAGCCCCAGCATTGGCTTGCCTCTTCCGGGCTAGTCGAAAGGGATGCAATATGTTCCCTGCCCAAAAACAATGGAAGGGGGGTGCCGTGGTGATAGGCGCGGGATCGCAGCATACCACAGCCCCCGGGATCAGCGTGCCCAAGGTGCTGCTGGTTGCGGCCCCCAGGGAGTCGGGACCTGTCTTCGGAGGAATCTGATTGTCCTTCTGGCACATTGCAGAGGTCTCGGATGATTCCTGCATACCTATCGTGTTTCACGGACGTATCCGTCGCTGGGCCCCCAGACCCGAACCCCCGAAGTCTGCAGAGGTCCCCCAGATCCGAAGTTCCAGTACTAGTCAGTCAGTCAGGCAGTCCTCGAAGAAATGTAAACTGCGCATTGGTTTCGAGGGGAACGCGAAGCTGCGCGATCGCGGGCGGGTCGAGTGGGGACTAGCTGGGTCTCCCTTCAGCCATAGCGAACAATCTTCGCGTCGGCTCGGTGGAGAAGTCCGCCCCCAATGATCGAGCCCGATTCCTGTGGCGCCGTGTGGCGGCCGGATAAAGGCCAATTCCTGAGAGCTACCTCCGTCCTCCCTACGCGGCCATGCCGCTGGGTGGTAGGGGGAAACGCGTGAACCACGTTCGCAGAAGACGGAAGCAGGCGTTTTTGTTTGTTTTTTTTTTTGCGTGTTTTCGGAGTTGGAGATCCGTCCATTCATGCAAACATGGCCCTGGACCACTTCCTGGGATCCTCTCAGTGAACAGATTATGTCACTCCCTGCTAGTGACTGCAAGGTCGACTGCTCCGCCACGATCGACAGTCGGGGCCTGGAGGTCATGTCATTAGATGGGGCCAAAAGCCGGTCCTGACGTTCGATAATTTCATGTTTTGTCGCGATTTTCACTGTCATCGTGCCGCCACACGCTCGTAGACGTATAGCCAAGCAGCCGAGAGGCATCTCAATCTCGGGACTGCCACGGAGCACGAATCATGATCACTCATCTCCGTAGCCTCTCGATGGGGAGTTAGTCTCGACTCGGGGCCGTGCCAGGGAATTTGCATCGGTCGCGAAGCTCGGCCCCGCTGAAACAGCCCAGCCAACGGTCTACCACAGGTTCCGCGCTAGAACCGGTCACCCACTTGAGGGTCCAAGGTCCAAAGTTCCAGGTCCCAGGTTCCAGGTCGATAGCTGGACTCCCATTCTCGATCTTGGGCCAGCCGTTACGGGCAATAAATCAGGGGGCCATTCAATTCAATTAATTACGATTATCCTCACAGTAGATACTAAAGAAGAAGGAACCCCCAAAGAGGGAAGCCGGCCATGCGGTCTCACTTGTGTTCTCGGATAGGCTTTGGTGATTGAGTCAGTGGCGGCTGCTAGTTAATGGCGCCCGGTGGAAGCTGCAGCCTCTGCGCAGAAAAAGTACCGAGTATTTTCCTCCTTTTCCTCCAGCCTTGGCAGCCTAGTTCTAGTTGGCCTAGTCCGTCCATCCTCGTACTACTCGACCCCCCCACCATGGAGCAACTGCCGCGAGACAAAACCAGTCAGCACCAAAGCCTCATCGACGCTAAGGCATGACAGAGGGCCTCGCCGTGGGCATCGGGTCCCGGCAGTTTGAAGGTCCGAGGCAGGGTTTTTGTTGAGACCATTCACGGAGAAATCGGGATTTTTTGATCACATTGCCCCCCTGATTTTCGGGCTGGGATTTGGCTGACGGGCTCGTTAGCTTCCGCCCGCTGCCTTGTTTTTGATATGCGCTACCGCAGCCCGTTCTGCGAGGAGCCCTGATTGGCTGGTTCCGCTGCTTTGCTACCTTTTCCGCCAAGTAGTTGGCTTTGTCTATTCTTGCGGTCGCCGGTACAATAGTGCATAATCTGACTGCACAATTGCTCTGTTTATAGTTCGGATCACGGATCCCAGATCCCGAATTCCGGATTACGCATCGCGGAAGGAGTGGTACAGCGTCAGAGTCAGCACCTACACGTGCAGTCTCCAGTAATGATGTCTAACCTCGCTGATCCCTCTATGCCTTTCCCTTCACCCCCATCCCAGCCCAAACCTTAACACCAGCCATGGATGCCGAAATAGAACCCACCGCCCACGATCAGCGCCCGCACCGCCCCAATTCGAGCAGCGCAAATCATCACAATTTCCCTGCCTTGTTTTCGATAGAGCCTGACAGCTGCCAGCTGCCCCTGCATGCGACACGAGGAAAGGGGAACAGGAAAAGGCGACTAGAAGTCGATGTCCACACTTTACTCCGTAGTGTAATAAGCCTTTCCCCGTTGCACAGGCGCGCAACGCAGAAACGGTGGAAGTACTGTACCGATGAATCAACGGCGTTTCGCCACCCCTTGGGCCAAGGACTGCACAGGTATTCCGTTCTTTTGAGGTGCCTGCTGTAGCTTTATGTACAGCTACCCAATCAGCGCCTGTGTCCGACACAGCGTGCGGGAGCCTTTTGAGCCCGGGTTTTGGGCAGGGGTCCAGGGTGAGTAGGGGTCCAGTGGCCACCTCCGGATCCCTCTGCTCACATCTCACCCAATTTCTGGGTTCAGTGGCTTTTAACTGCCTGGAGGCTGACGGACACTAGTCGGCAGGGTGTCGGCCTTGCTGCATGGTGATGATAAGGGTTTATGCTTTCTTTGCTGGGTTGCGTCAATAGTTTGGCATTAGTGCAGAAATACGAAGCATGGGTGTATCTTTGGGAGTTCTGTCGGAACCGGACTTGCCGTTGCTTTTTCTGAGCTGTGTAGGGCTTGAAGATCTTTGGTACCTAACAAGTCAGTTCCGGGATGTTTGTTCCCTACCCCGGTTACTCAATATCGGGCAGAGCTTGACTAGTACCTTATGGACCGAAATACTAGTCTCCCCCCATGTTCACAGCGGGCATGCGGCTAGAAATGATCATCTATGGCGCTATTTCCACCACCATTGTGTCGGATTCGTCTATCGCAACCTTGTCTCATGGCTGGGCCACACTGGGATTTTCCATCTGTGGTCATTGAGCTACTGACAATCGACTGAAATCTGACTGAGACAAATTTGGCAGTTGTCAACGTCAATCTTTCAATGTTGCGAAGCCAACTAGACTTTTGAATATAACAGCTGTGCCAAAGACTAGACTCGAACTAAGACATATCCATGGATAATATGAAAAAGCTTTCCGAGTTTTTGAACCTCCTTTCTAACAAATCGGGCATTGGCACCGATAATCTGAAGGTAGACAGTGGCTGCCATTTGATTAGCTGTTAACACACCAATCTACACTCAATCAGAACAACCCCGCGTGGGATATCCTGCAGTTCGGCCAGATTATGAATAGAGTCTTTTATGATGACCTGTTACATAAGATTGGTGGACTCGAACTTCAGTCCAAATTGCTGATGATTTTCGCGCATAACAAAGTATATCTCTAGCCCACCCATCAGCCTCCAGTTGAACATAGATATTGTTCGAGTAGGTTCTGACAAGCCGAAAAGATGATTGCGATCAGCAATTTGCCTGCAGAGGCCAGCTTCAATGCATGTCATACGAAGAAGTCCAAAGCTTCGCTTTGTTATCCACGAACGGAGAACAACCAGCCGCATCCATCAGGCCGTGTGGATCGTCCAGCCGAAACTTCCTGCCAATGTTCGGATCATTGGAACGAAGAGTGACCCACGGGAACGAAGGGATCCATCCAAATTAGCCTTAAACTAACTGCAGAATTTATAATGCATGCACTGACGAAGGCCCCAATCCCGGCCCCGCGTAAGTCTCTTCGAGACCCCATCTCAGAACTCAGTACATAGCAGCGCAATTCAGTTCGATGGAAATGGTTAAGCCCATGGTGGGACAGCATGAATGTTCATCTCGCATTTCATAATGGCAGTTGCCTATACAAGACGGCGTTCACCTCTCGTGGCCTCTCCCCAACTGGGGACAGGTGAGTCCCTCGCTGTGACACGTCCATGCATGAGAATGAGACTATTCTGCTCCACTTGGGCTGGCTTTAATGGAAGTGTCAACTGGTAAGCACCTTGGTTCCCTGCTTGCGGTGCAGGGTGGAAAAATCTGGATCCAGAAGGCATAAAGTTGAAGACAGCATCGCGGCTTACCGCAAGGTTCTACCCGGAGGGCGGCATACACGATGGGGATGCTGTTGTGAGTTGTCTTTTAGGGCTATTGTAAATACCCTGGGCTTTGACCAGGGATTTGATGAGCGCCTCTTTGAACAAAATATCGCCCTTTTGTTATGTGGCTTAACGAACTCTGAGGAATGATACGAGACCAGGTTCTAGGCTGCCCGTGGGCTAACTTACGAAGATAGAAACCGAAATCTATACATTTTGAATACTGCAAGTGAAGCATTTTGTTTCCATTCTTATCTTGACATACGAGCCAGCATCCGCCACGCAAGCCCCAGGCGGAAAAGACAAACCATAGCCGAGCTATTGCGCCATATTGAAAATTTAAAAGAGAAAAAAAAAGGATAAAAGAAACGAGGAAGACTCAAGGAAGCGTCACAACCAGCCAGCACAGCGAAGGCAGAGCAGGCGCATAGCTAGCCCAGCGTCATGGGCGTCCGAAACGGCTTAAGCCATGTAGGTCGACGAATCGACACCGCCCTCGGGGTACTCCCTGTGAGTTCGGATGGTCAGTGTTGTCCTAGTCCTTGGGAAGACAGCAGGTGGCTGTAGTAGGTGGGTACGTACGGAAGGGCAACCTCGAAGCGCTTCTCGATCTCCTTGAGAACCTTCTCGTCATCCTCGTTGCTGACGAAGGAGATGGAGAGACCCTTGGTTCCGAAACGGCCGGCACGTCCGACGCGGTGCAGATATGAGTCAGCGTCGGCGGGGAGATCGTAGTTGATGGCCAGGTTGATGCGCTCGATATCAATACCACGACCGAAGACGTCGGTGGCAACACAGATACGCTTGTTGAACTCCTTGAACTCCTTGTAGCGTTTGATACTGCTAGCAGTTAGTAGTGTGTACACGACGGCCATTACAATGAGAACTTACCGCTCTTCCTGACTGACACCGGAGTGCACAGCGATACTGGGGAAGTTGCACTCGCGCAGCAGCTTGTCCAGCTCGTTAGCACGCATAGTGCTCTTGACGAAGATGATAACCTGGTTGAACTCCAGATTATCCAGAAGCTCGTTAAGCTTCCGGTTCTTTTCCTGCTCGCTAAGCTTGATGTAGTACTGCTGCAGGCCGTGCAGAGTGAGCTTGGTGTCGTCATCGACGTAGACCTCCAGAGGGTTACGCATGAATTTCTTGCAGATGGGGCGGATCTCCTGAGAGAGGGTGGCGCTAAACATCATAACCTGCTTGTCGGCGGGGGTGGCACGGAAGATCTCCTGTACATCACGGCGCATATCTAACAGTAGAAAGGAACAGGGTTAGAGCTGCAGCCTCGAAAGCAATAGAAAAGGATCGTCGCTTACCAATCTGGTCGAGCATCTTGTCACACTCGTCAAGGACAAAGGCCTTAACATTGCGCAATGACAGCTTCTTGTCACGGACCAGAGCGTTCAGACGACCGGGAGTGGCAACGACAATGTTGGGGTAGGTCTCCTTGTTCGACAGCACCTCGACGTCCTTCTGGATGGGAGTACCACCGTAGAACACGGCGGTCTTGACATCGGGGAGATACTTGGAGAAACGGGCATACTCGTTCTTGATCTGGTAGGCCAGCTCACGAGTGTGGCACATAACAAGAATAGAGCACTCGCCAGGGACAGGCTCCAGCTGGTGGAGAGTGGTCAAGACAAAGACCGCGGTCTTTCCGAGACCGGACTTGGCCTGGCAGAGAACGTCGACGTTGAGGATGGCAGTCGGGATGCAGACTTGCTGGACTGTGGGGAGGCGGAGCGGTGGTTAGATTTGGTTTCGACTCAAGATGAAGCAGGAAAAAACAATCGCGTCGCAAGGTAATGTCCGTTCGTCCGTCCATCTCCCGAAACCACCAAACCAAAACTGGTATATAAGCGATACTCGAATCTGATCATCGGTCTCTTCTTCCCAACCTTCATGACCCATCAACCACAGTGAAGTGGGAGGGCGCCGTATAGACAAAGTCGTGCCAAGAATCTTTCTTTGCAGACGACATGAGGGACCTCAAACCGCCAGAAACACCTGCGAAGCGGATCGCATTGTATTCCACCAGGAGTACTGCATGGTTTCGCGGAAAGCGAAAAAAATAACACAGGTGGAAGCGAATGACGATCGTAGCCACAGCTATGGGGCATGCAAAAAGACCCCCGCAGAAAGCAGAGTCGCACAGCCGATCAAGATAGGATATATACGCCATTGTTCAAAGACAATGGAGCCTCTCATGTCGCCTGCAGATTCGAGGACGACTGGATCGCCAAAAATACCGGTTTCTCGCGAAGATGGACGGACGTTGGAGCTTGGAATAATTGAGGAAGGCATGTGGGAGAAATGTTAGACTAACCCTCCGATGGATGTTCGAAGCCGCAGTCGGTGATGGCGCGCAGGAGTTCGCCCTTCAGCAGGAAGTCGCGGAAACCGGTCGAGTGGATGCCGACATAGCTGCCCTTCTTGTCAGGGCGGCCACCGGAGACGGTCAGGTCGCCCTTCTTATCCGCATCGCCGTTAGACGCAGCGGGAGCGGCAGTAGTCGCGGGGGCTGCGGTGGTCTGCAGCTCCTCATCGGAGTAATCGATGAGATCCTCTTCGTGAGACATTTTGGCGAAAGGGTGAGGCTGAGAGACGAGAGGTGGTCGTGGCGCGTCTTCTCGGTGAGAAGAAGCTCAGGACTTGGGGGGTTGGGAATGGAAAAAAAGGAGGATGTGAGATTTCAAAGGGAAGATGAGAAAGATGATCAGCGAAAGTCCCTTGAGATTGAGCAGGACAAACAGGACGGGGTCGACCAGGAGAGAGATGACAAAGAGGGATTGCGGCTGCGAGGGATGCGCGGAAGTGAAGAGAGCGTGGGCTCATCACATGACTAGGCTCCCGGCTCCCGCATTAGGACTAGTACCATCGGGGCATTTTGTTCTCGACGAGTCAATTGTTTCAGTATCATTTGGCGCCTCTATCAGCTGTTCCTCTGTCTTTCGCCATGGAGCCGAAAATGGTCAAAGTGCGGGTCCAGAAAGAGGCCAAAAATTCAAAGAGCCACTTGAAAGCCCGAACGGATTATTTGCAGCAGGCCGCGACATATCTCCAAAATGTCTACCTACAAGGCAGAACTGCTACAGGGACTAAGTCAACAGATCTCGAAACAGCACTGGGCAACGAGGAAACCTCGGAGCAGCCAGCGCCCCAGGCCACTTCTCCAAAAAAGGATGTGAGCATGAGCATGAGCTCGGGCCCTGCCACTCAAAGGACCATGAAGAAACCTTTGGCCAACCTCTCCAGAATGTGTATCTCTCATATGCGTGGTGTGTCTTTGAAAACACAGACCCGGCTCCCGGTAACAGTGAAGAGATCTTTCTGCAAGCGTTGCGACACGCTTCTCCTCCCGGGAGTCAACTGCCTGCAGGAGGTCCGGAATGACAGCCGTGGACGCAAGAAGCCGTGGGCCGACGTGCGGGTGCTGCGCTGCTTAGTTTGCGACACCGAGAAGCGCTTTCCGCAGACGGAGAAGCGTAGCGAGAAGCTATCTGAACGCCGCAAGAAGCTATTAGAACATCGCAATCAGCTGGAGCAGCTGAAACTACAAGCGCATCAAGGCCTGACTGGTACATCTTGAATTTTCTTGTACTGCCGAGTCGGCCAATCAGGACGGGCCACTGCCATAGTGAGGAAAGCCACACAGCAAAATCCCCGATAGTGAGTGCTATGGGCATCATCCATCACAGGCTCCGATGAACGACCTTGAGAATGAGCCAGGACCAAGTGGGCCGCGCGTTGCGCCTTTTTGGCCGTTAGCCGTGACTGTCTGGATGCGGGGAGTGTGATTCTAGTTGCATGACAACAACGGCCAATGCCCAACCTGGCAATATCAAGCGATGACAGCAAGGCTTCACAGTCCACCCTTGCCTTCTTTGTTTCATTGATGTCTTCCTTGTCCCACACAATTTCGTTGGCAGTAGCTTGCCAGCTTCCAGGTATATGTTGGCGGACAACTACAGATCAAATGGGACACAGCAGGCATGCGACAGCCAGGGCTTTCTTCAGTTGATGACCTCGTGCAAGAGCCGTGGGGTTCTCGATGAACAGCCGACTCAACTACGGCTACACATGAACATCTCAGGAAGCAAATCCATGATCATCTTGATGTTGGGTAATGGCCCAGCAAAGCAGACAATCTGTACCAATATACAAAACATGCAGAAAGGGGAATCGAAACCACAGAGCAGACCTGGCAGCGCATGCCAAGCCGGACAGGGAGAACCAACATCATGTTTATGCGCTCAAAGGAGTCCAAAGAAGAAGAACAATGAAAAAGAAACAGGCATTAAAATTCCATCGCCATGGTAGTCGTCAAAAATCAGACACGGCCTGCAACCAGAATAAACGACCGGGAACAGTTCCAGAGGATGTTGATTGGTAGCAAAACAAGCCAAAACAAAACAAAGAAACACCAGCGCCACCAGTATACTGCAATTCCATCCAAGTCCCAGGCTGACATGTAAATCCGGAGGTGCTGGGATGGAGGCTGCCGCGAGGCATGCAGTTCTTTTAGACTGTCGATAAGTGCAGGTATGGAGGACAGACCCGAGAGAAAAAAAAGATAAAGACAAGACACGCAAAGTCACTGACTGCGTGGTGTCAAACGAGGGGCGTCCGCGAGGACCGTATTCGTATATCAGCCTGTTTTCTTTTTTGTTTTGTGATTGGTTTGCACCAAGGTCTTGAGGATCGGGAGGTATTTAGAGGCGTAGCTCTGCATGTAGATGGGGTGCCGACAAGATTCCAGCCACTGATATCAGGTAAAGCGGGAGAGTAGGGCCATCGCGTCATGGAACAGACCTATGACACCCTATCAGATGGGGGGTGGAGAAGTGACTGTATAGGCAGAGTAAGGCAGAAAAGTATCAGGGGACGGGAGGCGGATCGCATCAATGTCGCCGGCGGGAACTCTGGTCCATCCGATGATCCAGGGTCTCGATTCGGCCGCGAAAGGACTTGACGATATCGCGGATGTGGGAGATCTTGGCCAGCTCGTTATCCAGCTCGTCGATGGAGGCGAGGATGGAACGAGTGCGGGCAATCTCTGCATCTGCATTTCGGATCACATTCCCGGCGCGGTCGTAGCTGTTTTGGATAGAGAGTTGCATCTGGTCCTCCAACTGTGCGGAGATTTTTATGTCAGACCAAAGGTGCCGACTCTTTTATTTTAGAGGGATGAGGGGAAGAGGGGGGGCGCCCGGTCAACGTACATATTCGATGCGGCCGCGGATCTGAGCCTGCAGGCCGTCCAGCTGGTGCGATAGAGCGCGAAGGCTCATGGGGTCCAGCAGCAAGCGGCCATGGCTGCTGGCGGCGCTGGTTGCGCGTGAGCTGGAGTTGCTGGTTCGGCCAGCCCCGCGGCCCCTGGAGACCCCATTGCCGGCATGGCCGCCCTGCAGGGCAATTTGCTGCTGCTGTCGGAGGATCTGGATCTCGGAGGAGGTGAGGCCAAGCGAGGTGTCGGGGATCGAGGCTGCTGAGACGGACATTTGGTCCCGGCAGAGACATGCTCCGACCGCCAGTCTACGAAGCGCCGATCAAACTCGAGGTGAGACCGAACGGACCGTAGGTCATGGTGGAGGAGGCGAGTCGGTGTGTGCGGGAGGGGGAAGGGGGTGGTTGGGTGGTTGGGTGGATGGGTGGATGGGTGGATGGGTGATGGTGTGGTAGTAGCGGTGGAAGTGAATGCGGGATGGGGGAGAAGGATGGAGGATGAAGGATGGAGGAGGATGGGCCAAGAGAAAGCGCGGAGTTTTCAGAATGGAATGCCGGGAGGAGCTGTGAGGAGAGAAGAGACGGGAACGGAGAAAAGGTGATGAGATGCGAAAAGGTGGTGTGCTGGGCGGCAACTGAGGCGCGGCTCGTGAAGGCCCGTTACACGGAGACAGGAGAGCGAGCCAGTGGGTTGGCGGGAATTTTATATGGCCGACCCCGTCTGGAGGGAGAGAACGGAGAGGGAGCACAGGCGTTTTCGGGAGAATCTGATACCTCGGACTGCCCGACGGAGGAGAATGGAAAAGGAGGGGAAGAAGCGGTAGCTGGGAGAAGTGATAGATACTATCGGCAAAAAGCAATATTGGAAAGCACAAGAGGGGCACTTCAGAGAGCCTAAAGAGACCGAACAGACTCCAGAGCTCCTACGTGAGCGGCTCTGGGGTTTCACGGCTTGGATCTTCTGCTGCAGCGCAGGCGGGCGATAGGCCTCAGAAGAGGCTGCACCTCATCCGGGGAAGCTAGACGAAGGAGATAAGGACGAGGCCTGCTCGAGTTTCGAGAGTTCCCCGTGCGGGTGCATCGGACAATCCATAGCAGCATCACATCTCGCGCAATATGCGCCGACAGGATGTAGATGTGTGGGGTGTGTCTATAGTATCATCTCTGGTTCGTATAGTTCTATAGTTTTTAAGCAGTCGACAAAGTCAGCCTGTCAAGCGGCGATCGAGAGGAGATCCATTCCGAACCATGGAAAGCTCCCCGCCCACTCCGCCTTCCTGCGGCTTTTCTTCTCGAATCGCCGTCCTGCACCTCGCCTTGTTCTTGTCGCGTTCCCAGACCACCAACCCAAAGCTCCCTCCGCAATCCAATCATACGCCAATTTCGACCCGCTGCCTAACTTGTGAGGCTGAAGCAACGGACAGGCGACTCACTTCCATTGGCACAGACGCTGCGGCCGAGGGACTTGCAGTCGACTCTCAGACGCGCGCGCGCCCGGCACACAGTGGGAATAGCGCATCCTCCTCTCAGCCTGTGAGCGCCCATTCTTTCCCCCCGATCCCCAGTTTCTCCTGCAGCCTCTCGGCCCAGCGGCCTGGCTGGACTCGATCTTCGCGACGTCAGGGAGCTGACGCTTTGGTCACGCACGACTGCAGTCTCTTGCATTGACGAGCTCTAGCCTTCCTCTCATCGTCCAAAGGCCGCCGCCAATCCCTGCACGCTTTTTCTTGCAGCCTTTCCGTGAGGAGTTTGCGGAGCGCGGATTTCTGGTCCGCGAAGCCAATCGAAGGCCTGGTCCAAATTTGGGGACCGAGCTTCCCTCTCGTTCTCTCGATTCGCCCTGATCGCTGTCGACTTCCTACTGCCGAGCCTATTCGTCCCGAGCTTGAACCCCCGCGGAGGATCCCACGTAAACCCACGAACAATACCATCACAATTGGGCAGACATAGATCGTCAACATGGCCAAGGACAAGGAGCGGTCCATGAACCCCGCTGCGGCGCAGCGGAAACAAGACAAGCAGAAGAGTCTGAAGAAGGGCAAGGCGGAGGCGCTGGCACGCCGGAATGAGAAACTTGCCCGCCGCAATCCAGACCGCATTCAACGGCAGATCAACGACCTCAAGTCGATGGAGGAGTCGGGTCAACAATTACGACCACGCGATAAGGAGGTCCTGGAAGCGCTCGAGCGCGATCTACGGGCAGTTTTGAAAGCCCGGGAGGCGTTGGGCGACAAGGCACCCAATTTCAGCCAAGGCGGGCGCGACGGCCATCATGGCCCCCGGAGGGATGGAGGAGATAACATCTTGGGCAAGCGGAGGCGAGACGCCGGCTCCGGGCGACACAAGGACGAAAGCGATGGCAGCGAGACGGACGAGGATGTGCGGAGGATACCAATGCCGCGGGATACGCCCCCACCCATCCCCCGCGATCACCAGCGGAAGCGAGGGCCAGCGAATAACGAGGACTCGGAGCCTCGTGGACCGCATGCGCTGCCATCTAGGCCGCCGGCGGTCGAGGCCAAGACCGTCTACGAGGCGAAGCCAGAGATCCGGGATCTGCGGCAGGAAGCCATCAGTAAGTTCGTCCCTGCGGCGGTCCGGATGAAACAAGATTCTATTCGAGGCACGGGCAAGTTGTTGGAGCCGGAGGAGATGGACAGGTTGGAGAAGGCTGGATATACGGCCGGGCCTGCTGAGGTGCAGTCCAGCATCCAGGCAGGCCACCCATCTGCAACGGCAGAGGAGCAGCGGTCGCTGGAGGAAGAAGAGAGGCGGTTTAATCAAGAGCTCAAGCATGTTCAGATCGAAGAGGTTGAAGACGAGGATGCATAGGATGAATATAATGTACCCACCACCTACAAGGGCATACCCTTGTCAGATTACGTGAATCACCGAGAAGAGCTATCCATAACACTTTCTATTCTACAAGCCAAAACCAAGCTACGGTTCCCTTTCTGCTATATCTACTACCCATCTTGGCGCACTCTAGCCCGGGTGCTGGAGTTGGTTCCTTGTCCTGCTAGCAGGATAGCATTAAGCGTTATCACATGCCAGAAGATGCACCTGGCTTATCTTCTTTGGGGTGGGTTGAGTTGGTGAATCGACCAACCAAGTTCAACCCAAATGACGACTCTTTCCAGGGCCAAGTGATCTTGAGGCTTGGCATTGCGTCGAATGGCCCTGCTTTGTGGCACTTGTGACGATCCACTGATACCGCGTAGCTAGATATACTTCTTTCTGAATACAAACACGCTCACGTAGTGTAGTGCGAGGAGCGCGTATTTGATATCTCCCGCAAACAGACCGCTTGGTTCATGAATCAAACCTTTCCGCTTCTAATTCACGCCTGGGTGCTTCCTTTCTCGTGACTCTCACTCTCCCCTGTGGACGAACCTGGTTCGCAGACAGACTCCCCGCTCAACTAGGGACTTTCCCTGCTGCTTCTTGAATATTTCCGTTCCGTTGTAGTCCACAGACCTCGCCAAATTTTCCTCGCTGAGTAGATTAGATAGATCGGAGCACGCCTTGAAGAACAAATGACACCAAAGAGCTTGCCTGGCAAGTTGAATGGCAAAATATGCGCATCGTGGTCTGGACCTTTGTATTTTTAGTATAGTTTGCAGCATCTCCTTAACAATTCCTTTGTTCTGTCTTCGCCATTAAAAGAGCCCAAATGCGCGGTGGAAGCATGCTTAAGAGCTTCCATAGGCGGGAGAGTTGATTTCGGCCATACTCTAGTGCAAAGAAGTCTCTAATGAAGATGCCTGATCTGATATAATGCTTGACTAAACCTCGGAATATTCCCTATCAAGGTGAGACGCCACAGACAAACAGGCAAGAGGGGCGTTCCAATTTGCCAAGTCTAGAATTTCATTCACACACTCTCTTCAATCTCCTCAAATAAGCCCCTATACTTTACAATTTCAATATGTAATATCACTGGGACGTTGCGGTGAAACCGTAACAGAAGGAGAGAAAACCATCTGATATAGACATAGTATTAGTGCTACTAGTAGTAGTGCAACTAGCAAACGGCACATTACATTAGTGATCCTTTGATTAGGGGGGCGCCCAATAAGCATGGCAGGTGGAAGACAAGGCAATAGCTGTCAGTAGATTAGCATTGGCAACACTAGTCTTCAGTTCCGTGTAAGCACCACGAACCTGAATGACGACCATTTCAATGTAGACCCAAAAAAAGTCTGGGCCATTCTGACTTGCTGCACAGCTAGGTGAGTCTTTCAGGAGAAAGGCCTGTTCACGGATTTGATCCTGGAGACGGCTAAAGTGGTGAATGCAGCCTATATATACCTCGTTATCGGCTCTGAGGACCTCTGTATCGGCAATTAGTATGAGAAGATCTATTTCTCCGGTGACCTCGAGGAGATACCCGCCGGCGCATGTTAGTCAGAGTTATTCGTCCCGGAGACTGTGGAAGAGGGAAATCAAGAGGCTGACAAGCTCGTCGCGGTATTCGGAAAGACAGTGTGATGATCGAATTGAAGTTAGGTTTACCTTAGTTGAGGTTGAGAGGAAGTTTTGATCTAATGAGTATATCTGGAGATAATCGTTGAAGGGCGGGTGGTCTCCGAGCAAATTGGAAAGGGCCTGCATTTTTGTACTCGATATTCTGTCCGTTGAGATAGAAATATAAGAAGTAAGGTCTTTGCTTTTCGTAGCCTAAGGACAGAGCAAGTAAGAAGTAGGGCGCTTTAGGGGCTTCAAAATTATGTGGAGGTTCTTTTGATTGACACCTGAAATAGGTTGAGACAAATTAAACCAAAAGACTTCTTTGGCTATGGCCATACACAACTGTCAAGTGTGCCCCTCGCAATCAAAGCCATTGACGGAAGCCATTCGTTGCGGGAAATGTAGCACCCCTATCTCGTTTTATTTGATCTGTTCCGTTTTGAAGTCCACAGAAGACCAAGGGAAATTTATTTGCCCTGTGATAGCTAGGGCAATAGCAGCCAATAAGCGGGTGAATTCATGATCTGCGCGGAGGGTCTGAGGCCGAGTGATCTGGCTTAACGGATCATAGAAGTAAGGGATTGAGTAAGACTGAAGTGTAAAATTTCTTCAGTTAATAAGATATTAATTATTGTGACAAGATATGGGAAAGAAGAGGGGCTTTTCTGCAGCTACTTGGCGCTTCATTTTGCCGGTATGGTGATTCATATGTCTTCGGAGACAATGGAGAGGTCGTCCATAAAGGTATTGGCGGGGCGGGGAGTGTGATGCAATTCCGCGGGGGCCAAGATTTGCATGGGCCAGCTATTTTGGGTTCAGGTAATGATACTGTGGGAGGTTGTCGTTGTAGTGGACTCGGAAGATGTGGTCGATCGTACGGAGGACATGTGCTTTTGATAGAGACCAGAGAGTGAGGCGCCGTGTTATTGAAACCTGGGTTTGAAGTCGGTATAGGGGCTAGTAATGGGAGTGGGAGTTTGAATAAAGCCGTAGAAGAAGGTATTGAGCAGGTCCCTGGATGAGACTTTGGTTTTGTCGCCTCAGCCTGCTCACGGGTGAAAACGGAGAAATTCTGCAGGTCGTTGACTAGGGACTGGGGAAAGAAGCATTTTCGAGGGCAAACACGTTGCAGCGCAGGGTCGGTAGTTGGTGTTTGGAGGCCGTTGGTTGTGGATTGGGAATGATAGCTGATCATGTGCAGACGATGACCAGTCGTGGCGGTGATGCTGAAGGACTGCTTAATCAAACCGTTGGTCTTGTAGCGTAGATGGTCCCGTTCATCATCAAAACCAACTGTTCGACAACTACCGTTGCGATGATTTCCTCGATTCATTTCCCGGTAGGCCAGGAATCTGCCAGTGACCCGACTCGAGCTCCATGATCTGCTGTCCGTCCATCTTCTGATGCCTCCTTCATGTTCGTCCCAAACATATACGGAGCCGGATCGAATAGATTCTCGCTCTTCTTCGGAAAGGCGCCTTTGGAGGCGTGGCAGACTGCCGTCTTGACAAGCCTGGAATAGGATTATGGCGTCCGCGCAAGTGCGAACATACCCATAGTATGTTTCCATGATGTTTGACACGAAAACGAATGAAACTGCCGGGAGTGCTTCGAGTCTTGAGTATTGAAAGTCACAATTCAGATAATAAACGAGCAGCTTGAAAATGGCAGTGCGGATTCTTTTGAATGGGTTGAGGTGTTGACTGATTGAATCCCCGAGCTCTCAGGAGGACCTACAGTACATAGATAAGACCGGAAAAGCGTCCGCCAAGGGTCTGGGTTCAGGTGGGTGGTATAGGTGATGGATTTCACGCCCAGAACCGAAGATACGAAAGTGCAACGTTGATACGAAAAGCAATCAATGAGCAAGGAATTCTATCAAGAGCACCAGGGAAACCCTTCATAGTAAGTGGTCTTGTCTACTGGAAAGAGGAAAGCTTCCTCAGATACCGGCCGTAATTTCCGCCTTTAGCTGGAAAAAACGAAAAACCATACATTAAAGCCGAGATAATTAATCTGATCTCACGTAAAGGTTTTATGTCTTATTCTTCATCACGCTCCCACCCTCATGGTGTAACAAACCCGTGGTCTGTTGTGGTAGTAACTGTGGACTACCTCGGTACGTGAGCATGTTTCATTTTGTTCTACTCTCTCCGGTGGGGTCCATGGGGGAGTCCACTCTGTTAGAGAAATTCATTTCATTTAACTGGATGAGAGGAGTGAAGAAATTTTCCTCTTCAATTGGATAACTTATTCCTCCATACGGGCTTTAGAAAACCTGGCTATCAGTATTTTTACTCCGTCAATTGTAAGATAACGGGGCATGATACCAAGTCAACAATGTTCGATGAAATACCGCTAGTATATACTGTATTTGGATTACTCGCGGGTGGTGCCGACTGGTTCTGCGCCCGTCCCACCCATGTCCCCCAATGATCTGATAACTTTCCCACCCGTCTCTTTTCGATTTCAAGGTCCTAATTTCCGAACAAACATCGTGGTCTAGGACAGCAGTAAGGCAGCACGTGTTCATCTACACAGTCACAACGCGTCTCCGCTCAGCGCCACTAGCGATGGCTGCCTAAGCAGGTTTCAAACGGTCTTCGTATTTTTTGACTCGGGAATTTGCCGCGGTTCCGCCAGCTTCGCGAGGATCCTTGGGTCATGACATCTTTTTTCGATTCTTCCTTGGCGCCAATGTGGTGATATTCATCCATGGGCCAAAAAATCTGATTAGATTGGGTCTGTCAGTCTGAATTCTCTTGGCTCCATCATGTGGCGTTCTGCGTTCGAGCCGATGCACGCGTCCGGATAACGTTTTTGCCAGCACACTTTTCTCTATTCTTCCGTTACATTCCGAGCTCATGATCAAGTATTTTTTCTACCTTTGCTTCGTATCCAAGGTGGCTTTGCTATGTTTGTGGTCATTTCGTATATGGGTAATCCCGAAGCTGGTCCAAATAGTCCGATAATCTTGGTAACCCGTTATGAATTAACTTTTAGACTACTCTAACAGATCTTAATATGAAAATAAACTTGACCAAATTGGAAAAGCAAAGACGTTCGAAAAATGTCGGATCTGCTGTGAGTCAACAAGAAGGGCGTGAACGAGGAGGAAGGACGAAACGGTCCAAAAATAATGCTGAGATATCACTTTGGACAAACAGCAATCCAGATATCCATACCCATAACTTGTGCAATCTTGCTAACGTTGATGCTCCTGATCATGAGTATCCAGGCGAATACCAAGGCCATAATCACTGTTCCAGTTGCAAGTATTCTGATCTGTGAGTATGAGTATGCCTTCTGTATCTTGAGCAACCTCACATGCTCCCTTCAACAAGGCTCCCAAATGGTCGCAGATGTATCACGCTAGAAATGTTACGGCAAAAATCCATGTGATAAGATGGGACCTCTCCACAGGGCTGGGGCCAGAATTAAATAGGATTATATTGCCCTATTAGTAGACTCTGCGGTCGAAGAGAAAGCGTAGGAAGTGGTCTATCTATGGTTTGACGGACCAAAAAGCAACGAACTAACCTCCAGTATATCAGGAAGATCTAATTACATTAGATGGAACCCTTGCAGACCGGGGCCTCGATGCTTCCAATGCTCGCTTCTAGAGCTTTGAGTTCAACCACTTTGGCGGTCGCTTCTCCACGTATGCCTGGATACCTTCACCAAAGTTAGGGCCTGCCATTAAGTGAGGGTACCATTCTTTCTCCAGAGTTGTCACTGCATCCTCCACGCTTCCCAATTCCCAGCTCAGCCGAATTCCGTGGCGACCAACAATCAACGAATCAGGGCTATTTCCACACAATTCTTGCGCGAGTGCGAGCGCAGCCTGAGCAACGTTGTCTCCCGAGTCCACTAGTCGAGAAACAAGGCCCCATTCGTAGAGAGTTTTAGCGCTCACACTTCGTCCTGTGAGCGCGAGATCCATCGTACGTTGCAATCCAAGTGTTCGGGTTAGTCGCGGTAGACATCCCGCCACTGCGACGATGCCTCGCTTCGCTTCTGGCAAAGAGAAGATTGCGGACGAGGCAGCTACTACGAGATCGCAGTTTGCCACCATCTCAAAACCTCCGCCCATGCATATGCCGTTCACAGCTGCGATGATCGGCTTCTTGCCACTCCGACGGGGAAGTCCAGCAAGGCCCGGCGCTGTCATGTCATTAACTACCCCATCCCTATTCATTTGGTTCCATTCTATTTGAAATCAGATTAGCCACTGTTTCGATCTAGATCCGATAATGCAAAGTCATCGTACCGTGCAGGTCAGCCCCAGTACAAAAGGCCCTTCCGGAGCCCGTTATGATGCCGACCCATAAGCTTTCATCTTGGTCAAACAGCTCCCAAATATCTTGAAGCTCCCGGCTGGTGGCTTTATTGATGGAGTTCAATTTTTCAGGTCTGTTTAATGTGACTTGCACCACTCGCTCATGGGGAAATGTCACATTGAAGTGCTGATACCGCAGCAACCTTGATTTCAACGACATGACTGTAGTGGATGGCGCCTGGCACGAACATAAAAGGACACACGATAATATTAGCACCGGCCAGACCCAGACTCTCTTGCTTGACTTTATAACGTGATCTGATTTTTGTCCCATTCCGAGTATCTGTACTCTTGGCGTTCCTAGGTCCATACGGGCTAATATGGCTTGTAACTCGTAATGTGCATTAAATTGATTCAGTATTGGTAGGTATGTATCATGGTCTGTTTAAATTGATCCACCGCATACTTCCTAGTAGATTCGCTTACAGAAACCTTCTCGAATTGTGGCTGTCTCTCAGATGTGGTCCGAAAAAAAACTGGAACGATAATCGGGGATGGGCCCCGCCATTGACTCGGATAGGCAAACGTCTCCGACTCGGAGCCCACGTACAGACGACCATGGTTCGCGTTATTTACAACTTCCAAGACGGAAATTTTGGATAATAAGAATAACAATTATTATTTTACGACTTTGTCAGATACGAGTGACGCCACTGAGCGTACTGTCTGAGCTTTCTATGCCTCGGCTTTTTAGAATCCTTGCATGGCTTCTTTAATGGCATGCCTTTTCTCTTGATCCCCTTTGGTTTGAGTAGGTCCGCGCCATTACTTCGTGAAGAATTCTCTGCCAACCCAATTTCATCGAAATGGCATCGAGCCCAACAAATTCCCCAGAGTACCCTCCGGTGAAGCTGCCGCATCCATTTCTTACTTCATATCGCGTGCAAACGATAGCCGAAACGAGACCATCCAAGCGCAAACTAGCCCTGGATAATCAGCCTGCCGACGGACGCTCTCTGACAGAACCGCTGCATCTCGATTCACTTTCTTGGATCGATTTTTCCTTCCCTCCTGAGAATCAATGCCCACCCGAGTCAGATAACAGCCCTTGGGCACGAGCTTGTCGCAGTCCATCCACTACTTTTGAATGGACGGCGGATACTCCTTCTCTGGGTCAGGTCTGGAATGTGGTTCATGCGATTTACCTCGCTCACCCCACATATGAGTATTTCCGACTCACTCTGGCTGGCCAAGCGAAGGATGTTCTCCGGAAGGAACTTCTTACTACTGGGCTGGGTATCGAGCACCCGAAGCCCTGGCATCGTCCCCAGGATAAACTGACGTGGCACTCGGAGGACTTGTTGATTCTTCGGAGCGCCTTCTGGCAAGGTGCAGCCTCTCCGACAGGCCCGCGTTCCATATGGGCAGTCGGAGATGGCACTGATGGCCCTCTCCGTACACCTTTAGACAGGTACCCTATCATGCCCGAGCATTACCAGATCACTATGAAGTTCCCAGAAGAGGCAGTATATACCCGTCACCCCACACGCCGGCCAAAGCCGCACCCCGGGTCCATTGTCTACAGCCGATATATCCCAGAGATCGACGAGCACTTCTCACTCGAAGCAGTTGACTGGGAAAACCCGGATCACTTGAGGCTCTTCAACACCTGGCAAAACGATTCGCGTGTTGCAAAGGGTTGGAACGAGACTGGAACCCTGGATCAACACCGAAAATACCTTCGCAACCTGCACTTTGATCCTCATGTCCTTTGCTTGTTTGGCCGCTTCGATAACACCCGCTTCTCTTATTATGAGCTGTATTGGGCTAAGGTGAGTTTTCCCTTTAGTGTCGATACTGTGTATGTCCCGTTGTCAGTTAGTACTCACACTCTATCCGCAGGAGGATCACTATGGAGCGCATTATGATGCCGGAGACTATGATCGCGGACGCCACTCGCTTGTCGGCGACGCGTCATTCCGTGGCTCGCATCGCGTGAATGCCTGGTATTCCAGCTGCATTCACTACTGCTTTTTGGACGACCCACGAACAATTAATGTTGTCGGTGAGCCAAAGGCCACTGGCTCCACCATCTTGTCGTACGAAAATTCCCAGGGCCTCACCATCGGCAAATACGTTGATCTCGGTCACAAGCGGTCGGTTCATTCAATTGCCAGCCGGGAGAAGTGGTTCCAGTTGTGTCCACTGTTCTGGGACGGGCGCGAGCGGCCCCTGGAGTCTGCTGACCGTGCCGCGTGGAACGCCAAGCTGTAGGAGTTGGAAGTGTACGATATCGCTAGCTAGCCTTCTCGCATAGAATCCGAAGCTGGACACTTCGCGTCATATGTTTCTCGGAGTGGATGGGCCCACTCGAAATGGCCCCATCAGATGGAGTGGGAAATCGCGTGTGAGTATTTCTCATACGTCGGCTGACATCCGGTAGCTACTGCCCCTCCCAGGACTGACAAGGACTCGGCCCTTGTAGACGGTCCTGGTAAGCGGGCCTTCGGACATGAGTTAACGTGCTTCCCGCTTCGCAGGTCTGCCATGTTATGTAATACTCTTCTCTGACTTCGGTTAAAGTGTTGAAATTTTTCGTTTAAGCATGCTGAGGGTTTTGTATTATGGCATAAAAATTTAGCTTGATGTGGAGCACTTATTTGAGTTTGTTTTTCACAAAGAAGAGCTTGGCAATCGTGAGGTTCTTGAGCGTGTTTGACCTGTCAAGACCTGTCAAGACCTCTCAAAGCAATCGATGTGCAACAGACCCTGGCGGCAATTTCCGCCATCGAGGACGGCCGAGCAAGTCCGAAGACGATCGGCTGGTTGCTTATTGTAGAGTTGATCAGAGGACTCTCCCTCGGAGTAATTCCCAGTGAGTATCGACTAAGTTGCCCGTTTGGCTCTAGTGATTGAACTGGTATCTTAACCCCGAGCCCTCATTCATACAGTACAGTTCCATACCGACAACGTTCTTGTAATAATACAATACGTTCGTTACGATGAAACGTACGCAGGTATTGCACGGTCCCCACACACCCCGTAATTAGATGATATCCACAACACTTCCGTCTTTTTTCGTCAGGGGGACTGGTGGGTTAAGTTATCTGATCCGGAAGTCAAAGCTGCCGGTCCATACCGATGTCGGCAAAGCTGCTAAACTCTTTTAGGTCATCTTCAAATCTCTCCCATTTTGAAAATTTGCGAACTTGACATGATCATCTCGCCAGCGTTGACTACCGAGCCGACCTAGTAGTCAATAAGACCCTCCTAACACAGGGTTGGAAAAGAAGAGCGCTTCACCCCGTCGTGGACGAACTCTACGGTGCCGCAACTACTACTCTCGTGGAGAACGCCACCAAGATCTAACTCTTGAGGGGTAAGTTAATCGATGTGCTGATTTTTTTGGCGGCTCAAGCACCCCAACTAAGACAACCATTACCGCAGAGAAAGGGAGCACCAAACTCGGGTCAAAATGAAGTTCCTCCAAAAGCTTGCGGGTTATCCCCGCCTGCTTTTGGCAGGGAACCCATCGCGAATTGACATAGGCATGCTGTTGACCGGCATGGCCAGTGCGATAGCATCTGGTGTACCTTTCCCCATCATTGGAATCGTTTTCGGCCAACTGCTCGATAATTTCAACTCCGTGACCTGTGACGAGACCAGCAGCACGAGCTCAGAGTCCGACTCTAGCTATCAAAGCAGTATCAATAGCAAAATCTTGTTGATTTTTTATCTGGCCATTGCGCAATTTGTCTTGATCTATGTGCACCTCACATGCTGGACCATGTATGGTGCTCGCCTATCGCAACGATTGCGGGAAACCTATCTTGAGAATCTGCTTCGACAAGAGCCATCCCATTTTGACAAGTTGCCGCCAGGCGAGGTTGCCTCTCGGCTTAGCAGCGACATCCAGACTATCCGGTCGGGGACATCCGAGAAAGTGGGCATTGTGATCAATGCCATATCCTTCTTTGTTACAGCATATATCGTCGCGTTCATCAAATACTGGGAGCTTGCGGCGATCCTCCTCTCTCTGATCCCCGCATATCTCTTGATGTCATTCGCTGGAAGCCACTTTATCGAGAAGTACACCGGGCTGATGTCTGATTATGCCGCCTCTGCCGCCACAATTGCCTCAGAGGCCCTTTCCAACATTGTTGTAGTGCAAGCCTTCGGTGCAAATGCGCGACTGGAAGAGAAGTTTTCTCGCGCCTTGAAGATGGCTGAGCGTGAAGGCTTGAAGAAGGCAGCGGCCGTTGGCACACAATCCGGAGTTTTATATTTCATAGCTTACAGTGCTAATGGTCTAGCCTTTTGGCAAGGCAGTCAGCGTATCGCTGATGCGGTGAGCAGCGACTCCACGGATGTTACTGTTGGCGCTACCTTTACTGTTATTTTCATCTTGATCGAAGGTAAGCCAAGGTCTGCCATCTCAGCTGAGGATATGATCTAACAAATACGATAGCCACTTTAATGTTGAGTCAGGTTGCCCCGTTCCTCCATCTATTTGTCCAAGCCGTTGCCTCCTTTGAGAAGCTTCGTGAGGATATCGATCGCCAGCCTCTGATCGACGGCACGGACACTTCGGGTCTTCGCCTCTCAGAGGCAGAGGGTGGCTTTGAGTTCCAGGATGTTTCTTTCACCTATCCCTCCCGACCGGAGATCCTCGTCCTGGATAAAATCACCATTTCTTTGCCTGCCAAAAAGCACACGGCACTTGTTGGTCTTTCGGGAAGCGGCAAGTCAACCATCGCGGGCCTCGTCACCAGATTGTATGATCCCACGGAGGGACAAATCCTGTTTGATGGTAACGACTTGCGTGATGTCAATCTTCGCGACTTACGAGGGTTTTGCAGTCTAGTGCAGCAGGAACCCTCTCTTTTGGATCGTTCGCTGCTAGAAAACATTGCACATGGCCTGATCAATTCCAGCAACCCAAGTCATGGGCATTTGAAGGAGACACTCCTCAGCTCTGTGCTTGCCGACCTAGCGAGCGAGGTGAGAGAAGGCCAGGAGATCATGGCAGCAGCAAAAGCACGAAGCCCGGAACTCGTTGAAATCGTGAACTTGGTCCAGAAAGCTGCGGCACTTGCAGATGCAGATGGATTCATATCGAAGTTGCAACACGGATATGGAACGTCCGTGGGTTCGAGTGGGCGCCTCATCAGCGGCGGTCAGAAGCAACGCGTGTCGCTTGCTCGGGCTTTGGTCAAAGACCCTGCTGTCCTCATCCTGGATGAAGCAACCGCCTCTCTCGACTCAAGAAGTGAGCAACGTATTCAAAAAGCAATTTCCAACATTTCAACCGGCCGAACTGTCATCACGATTGCGCATCGTCTTTCGACAATTACCAGCGCGGATAATATCATTGTTATGCACAAGGGAAACCTTGTGGAACAAGGAGACCATGCAACATTGATGGCTAAGAATGGAACCTACGCTGATCTTGTCAATTTGCAATCTCTCGGATCTGCATCTGCAAAGAATACTACATCAACTGGAGACACGGCCCGCAAGTCGGATCAAGTCTCTTTGACAGACACAGAGAATGAGAAAGGCAGCTTGTCTCGAGATCACCTTGGGAAGCAGGAGAATACTCAAGTTTCCACAACTGAAGCCCCGGTTGCCGATTCCATTGAAGAGGAGGAGGAACCTGAGACTCCACGCAAATCTCTGTGGGCCCTCGTGAAAGGATATGGGCCAGCTGTGAGACCCCATCTCTTGATGGTGTTCGTCGCTCTGCTCGGCGCTAGCATCGTGGGAGGGGCATTTTCAGGAGAAGCGGTGATCTTTGGAAATACCGTTGGAAGCCTGACACCCTGCAAGAGCCCAGACAGCATTCGATCTCGTGGTGACTTCTTCGGGTTGATGTTCTTTGTGCTTGCTATCATCGAGTTCTTCGCGAATCTGGCTAGTTGGGCTGGATTTGGCTGGGTCTCTGAGAAGTTTGTATATACAGTCAGAGTTTTGTCATTCCGGTCGCTATTCGAGCAAGACCTTCAATGGCACCAGTCCAAAGGTCGGACACCTGCCATGCTTCTATCATATATCACCCGAGACGGCAACGCTCTGGCTGGCCTAAGCGGCTCTGTTATTGGCTCGTTGTTTTCCATTAGTGTCAATCTTGTCGCCGCAATCATTTTGACTCACATTATTGCCTGGAAGATTGCTTTGGTTTGTCTGTCTTTGGTGCCACTTCTTCTCGGAGCTGGTTTGATGGAGCTCCATGTGCTTGGAAAATTCGAGGAACGCCACGAAACCGCTTATACCAAGTCGGTCGACATCGGCACAGAGGCCATTACATCTATCAAAACAATTGCGTCTCTATCTCTTGAAGAGGAAACCCTGAGGACTTATCGGCGGTCCTTGAAGGGTCCTCGCCAAGAAACCTTCAAGGTCACCCTCCAAGCAAGTCTCTGCCAAGCCATTACCTACTTCCTTGGTAACTGTGTTAATGCTCTCGCATACTGGTGGGGCGCCAAGCAGATTATTGCAGGCACTTACACCCAAACACAGTTCTTGATTGTGGTCTTCTCGCTTCTTGTGAGCGCACTTCTCTGGAGTCAAATGTTTGCCCTCGCACCAGAGCTTTCAAATGCCCGAGCAGCAATGGCAAGAATTCTGAGCCTGATTGAAATCGGCTCAGACAAAATGCAAGGGCGCATCCATTGCCCTTCCCTGACCGACCCCATCGAGAAAGACCTCGAGGCGAAGGTGGAACCGAAGCCTACTCTTCCTGCTGGCGCTTCCAGTGTGCAATTCCGCGACGTTCATTTTGCATACCCGGCTCGGCCAGACATCAAGGTTTTGAGTGGATTAAGCCTTGATATCCGACCTGGAACGTTCTGTGCCCTTGTCGGCCCCAGTGGTGCTGGTAAATCTACGATCATTTCTCTTGTCGAAAGATTGTACAAGCCTGAATCAGGCGGTATTGTGATTGATGGGGTCGATGTGACCAAGCACCACGATGTGACCTTCCGAGACACAATTGCATTGGTTCCGCAAGAGAGCGTACTGTTCGAGGGAAGCATCAAATTCAACATCGGCCTTGGCGCTAGACCTGACCACGAAGCGACCATGGAAGAAATTGAAGAAGCATGCAAGCTGGCCAATATCCACGAGGTTATCATAGGACTGCCTGAAAGCTACAATACTCTTTGTGGCCCCAACGGCAACCAGTTCTCGGGAGGTCAGAAGCAGCGGCTGTCGATTGCCCGGGCGCTGGTTCGGAAACCTAAGTTGCTCATTCTTGACGAATCAACGAGTGCTCTGGATGCCGAATCGGAGAAGCTCTTGCAAGATGGCCTTGAAAAAGCTGCAAGGGGAGTTACGGTCATTGCGATTGCTCATCGTCTACACACTATCAGAAAGGCAGACACGATCTTCTTGATTGAAGCTGGGCAGTGCATTGACCATGGGTCGCATGAGGAACTGCTCGAACGATCGGAGAGCTACCGGGCGAACGTCATGCATCAAACAGTGGCGACATGATACAAAGTTGATCTAGATTATCATTACTTCTTATTTATATTTTAATAGATCATAGTTTCCTCCATGGGTGTTATGTGTGCGAGAAAAGACAAGACGTAGTATATTTTCCCCGCTAGGACGATCGGTGGAACGGATGGAACCTAGAGAAAGGAACGCTTCTACCAATTTGCATAGCGGCATCCAGTAGACATGAGATAGTTTGAGGAATTAGACCAAAACAAATACAATTGTTAATGCTTCAAGCCACAGGCCGAAAGAATAGCAAAGTTATAGACAAACAAGCGACTCCGCCCCCACCCCTCTCGACACAGAAAATCTATCCCCTGTGCGACGTGCTGATGAAAAACACATCCACATCCCAGACTAAAACATTTGAACATCAAGCAAACCATCCGGAGAGCACGCTGAAAGCTCCGAAACGGCTGCAGCCAATTCATCAAGAATGGTCCCAATGAGCGTCGGGTCTCTTTCACTGCCGACGACTCCGACATGCACCTTACCACCCCGTACATACGACACGGCCTTAAACGGATCCGGGGCATCACCATGAGGGTTGGAGATATCAACCCTGCAAGAACCCCCAGCGAAAGGCATCGTATCAAAGTCGTCGAAGTCTTGATGATGGACGATGGAGTCAAATGATCGTCTCTCTGACGACCACGATGTGCACTGCTTGGCGATTTTCTCAAAACTGAGAAAGGCGTGGGCAGCAGACTCGGAATTCTGTTTCTGAACAGATTGCAAGAGGTTCATCGCTGTCCAATTGGGCTGGAACTGAACTCGGATCGGAGTGAGCTGGTAGCACGGACCCATGACGTTTTCCACATTGGCCAGATCAATCATGCGACCGGAAGTAACAGCTCCGAATGTCACATCCAGCTTTCGCAGGCGGCGAGCCAGAAGCAGAGCCCATGCGGCGGTCAGCAGATTGGCAGTTGTAATGTCTGCAAGGGGCCGGAATGAATCAACAGCCTTGGACTTGAACACACCCTTGTCCCCCTGCTGGAAGGACGTCCCGGTCAAGACAGACAAGGATGAGCCGTTGAGCAGAGTACTCCAGTAGCCGAGGGATTTGGTCTGGAAGCGGACATCGCAAACCCGCGCCATGTAAGAGGAGAATGGCTCAAAGTCAATAACGCTTTTTCCTAGGTACAGCGTCTCCAAATCTTGGAGCATCCTGGGCAATGACATTCCGTCATATAGCGCATGAGATAGACCCAGGACGAGGCATTCTTGTCCATCATTACCTGCGACATGGAGGAACTTGAAGAATGGTGATCCCAATTGGAAGTCGGACTCAATATCCTCCACACACAGGCGATTGACAAATGGTTCAAGATCTTGGTCAGTCAAGTGCGTGATTACAGGAGCATCTAGCTCCTTCACAACAACTTGGAAAAGACGACGGTTCTCTTCGATGAACACAGTTCGTAGAATGTCGTGGGTCTTGACCAGGTCTCTGCAGGCTTGGAACAATCTTTGCCGATCAATACCATTTTCAAAGAACAACATATTGTATTGGATAGAAGTCCGCGGGGCCTGGATGGTACCTCTGACGTCGAGGGCCTGGGTATCCGTGACAGGCGACACGTCTTGAATCGACCAAGTTAGATCAGCAAGCTTTGGTCGAACAACGTCCGACAAGAAACGCTGGGTGTCTACTGATCCTAAGGTCGTGAAAGGCTTGTACGGCTGAGCGTGAACCGGTGGCGACTGTGCCACTCTCAACCTTTTTGCTGCGTCACCAAGACGCATATGCTGGAAGATATCGGCGACAGTCAAAATATGACCCAGGGCACGAAGGCTAGAAACTAGCTTCATTGCCAGAACGGAGTCGCCACCCAGGCGGAAAAAGTTGTCATCGACATCGATTTGCTCGGCGTGCATTCCAAGTATCTTTGCCCAGGAGGACCGTAGGATATTCTCAGAGCCGGTCAGGTTTGCTTGTGCAAAGGTCTTCTTCCACGCTTCCTGTAGCCCTTGATGTAGTTGCGCGAGTACCTGGGAAGGAATGTTGGAGGCCAGCTGATTTAGCAAGTTGTGATTGGCGGGCAACTTGTCAACTAGAACATATGCCGAGGGAACCATGTGGGTTGGAAGTGAATCTTGGAAGAATTTGTCGAGACGCTTCAAAGCCACGACTAGGGTGGCTGACGCCACAGCACAAACGGTCGTCTTGAGACTTGGAGGATCCGATGTGTTCCAAACAATATCAAGCTTCTCCGATGTGAGCTCAACAGTGTCGCCCTCGGAAGGCTGGCTCTCAACAAACACGGCCAATTTCAGCCCCGAGGTCCGATCCAACTCCTCCGATGATTGAAATACGGCTGCGGCTGCACGAGTCGAGGACGGGAGATGTCTCGCGAAATACGTTTCCAGATCCGTGATATCTACCGCATGGCCCTGAACCGGCACGATGTTCTCCTTGCGACCGACATATATCAGGCTACCATTTTCTTGCTGCTGGACAATATCGCCTGTTGGCTGTATCTTTCCCGTACGACCAGAGATCTCTGAGCTTCCAGCTAGCAACCAGGGAGGCGACTCAACAGTCTCGCCGGAAAGGAAAGAGCCTTCCAACCAAAGCTCACCGGCACAGCCGATCGGTGACAAGAGTGATGAATTCCGTGGATCGCATACCCAATGAACGATCGAGGGAGGGTAGACCGATCCTTGCTTGATATCTTCATTTGCCCGAAGCTTTCCGGAGGACTCGTCCAAAGACAATGGTGCAATCCTATTCTGTCGCCAGATTTGACTCAACTCCGCCTCGGGGAGGCAGGATATCTGGTCAATCTTTCTGGAAGGATCCTTCGTCAACTGAGAGCAAGCCACTTCGAGCTGTGCCAGGATCCGCTCCATTTGTGCTACTTCAACCAAACTGCTGTCAAAGCTTGCGCAGACCCTGAACCCTGCCTTTCGGATGCCACAACCCAGCATCAGGGGATAGGGGTTAAAATGAAGAGCTTCGCGGACCACGTCCCCGTGTTCAAAACCGAGGTCGCTGCCTTCGTACTCCGGCTCTGGCTGGACTACTAGGCCTGTGCCAGCTTCACATGCATGCTGAGCATCTCGACTGACTTTTCTGATGTTCTGCATTCCCATGTGCTGATAAGGGGTACGCACCAGGATGCTTTGCTGCACGCTCTGCAGATATGACTCGACAGTGCTGTTTCGATCGACATGAATGCGAATCGGGACTGTTGCAATCAGCGGACCAACAATCCCTTCAACTCCTGGGAGCGGGATGTCACGGCCGGTGAGGGTCTCTCCAAATACGACGTCATCACTGCGAGTGTATTGAGACGCGACAAGAGCCCATGCGCCCCGAATTAAGGTGGCCAGTGTAAACGGCGACCCAGTGCCAGCCTGAAGGGTTATAATCCGTTCAACCGTGGCGTTCGGAGTGGGCAAGTAGTCTCGGTAGGGCAGACGAGGAAACTGAGGTCCAACCGCACCGTTCAACTCCTGTCGCCAAAAATCGTGCATGGCGACTTCATCCGTACTGCGCACGAATTTGACAAAATCCTTCATCTGTGCTTTAATTTCAATTTGTTGACCCTCCAGTGCATTGCGAACCTTCTCAAGAATGACTGGTTCCGACCATCCATCATAAAGGACATGATGAACTGTCCAAACCATGTAACGCCTACCATCAGTGGAATCGTCCACAATGGCATATCGAGCGAGACTCTGTCCAAGGTGCATCTTCTCACTGCGATCCTCGTCAAGATACTGACTAAGGTTGACGGAATGCTTCCAGTCAATGCCTTCCCTTAGTACAACTTGCTGGAGGCCAGGATCTTGAAGTTGCACCAAGCGGCTGCGCAGGATGGGGCTCGCCACAACAACATCCTCCCATGCTTTCTTCCAGGCATCAAGGCTAATTTGTGAGGGAATGCATGCGACTCTTTGCGCAACGTATGCTTTGACTGATTTGAGCGAAAAGGTGAACAGAGATTCCTGCGTGGGTGTCGAAGGGTAGATATCCTCAACGGCACCCTGATCCAGTCCACAAGCCTGTGACGCCTCGATGCAAGCACTCTCGACGGGTTGGATGATCATTGAAAATGCTGCAGTCTCAGATCTTGCTCGTCTGTCGCAGATGCCCACCACTCCGGCCATAGCTGAAAGGGCTGGGTTGCCAAAGGTGCTAGTGACGGAGAGGTCAAGGCCTTGTTCTCTGCAGATTGAAACAAGACGCATTGCAGCCAAGGAGTCGCCACCGAGTGCAAAAAAGTTGTCCACTAGTCGGATAGCCTCTGGGTCAGCCTTCAATGCTACACCCCAGGCTTGCCTGAGGCGTTTCTCAAGGCTTGTCATCTCCCGAGAGGCGGCCTTCATAGCGTCTTGGTCCAGTTCTCGCAAATCGACAGTGCCACCGAATTGCCGGAGTCGCTTGCGGTCTGTCTTTCCAGAAATCAGGGTGGGAATGTAATTGACAGGAATATATGCTGTCGGGAGCATATATCGTGGCAGAACCTTCGTCAAATCTGCATTGGCATCAGACAGCAGTTGGTCCTGCTCAGGAAGGAGGTTGGCTGGTTGGATTCCCAGGTGTTCTTGTCCCTTGGCCGCCTGGAAGGAAACAAATGCGACCAGAGTAGGCTGACCACCGGCTCCCTGCGGTAGAATCACCTCGGCAATAATAGTGGTTTCGGAAGGCAATCTGGCATTGAGTTGGCTTTCAATCTCTCCAAGCTCCACACGCTGCCCTCGCAACTTGACCTGGGTATCCTTGCGCCCGACAAACACGATGCCTCCAGAACCATCGGGATCATATTTACCAAGATCTCCAGTCTTGTACAAACGGCCCTGTCTGCCGGGATAGCCTGTGTGCCCAGCCACAAGCCATGATGGATCGTGGATAAAAGCGGCCGCAGTCTTCTCGGGGTCGTTCAAATAGCCTTGTCCAACAATGGGGCCTTCAACGAGTAGCTCTCCGACTGCTCCGACCGGCATCAATATTTCGTGGTCGTCTGGGTTGACAATCCACATGGCGGCACCATTGCCAGGTCCGATGGAAATATAATCTCGGCCTGTCGCAGCACTGCTGTTCACGGTGCATCCGATAGTACACTCGCAAGGGCCATATCCAATGACAATTCTGGTATCCTGACCCCAGACTGTAACATCCCTGGCCGATGCAGCCTCTCCGCCCAGGCCCAGAACATCCAGCGACTGAATGACGTCGGAATCCAGAATTCGAGCCATCGAAGGGGTGATGCCTGCGTAGTTGATTTTCATCTTTCTGATCACTTCGTTGATGTCGTTCAGGCGATCCTCATCGGAGGGAATGCAAAGGCAGCCACCATTCCCCAAAGTCAAAAGCATACTATCGATACTAACATCAAAGGCGTATGATGCAAAGTCAAGAACTCGCGAAGTTGGTGTATAGCCCACTGCCGCTGCTCGTGGAATAGCACTGCTGGTATAGGTTTGATGGGAAATCTTGACTCCCTTCGGTGTGCCTGTACTTCCAGAAGTGAAGATAATGTACATCAACGCAGATGCCGGTACGGGAGGGAGACTCGGCAAAGGTTGGGAATCCGATATATGTGAAAAGATGCCCGCGTCCACAATAAATTTCTTCCCATCTGGCAAGATCGATGACGCCAATTCCTGCTGCTTGTCGGACGACACCATTGCCTTCGCATTCACTTGCTTTGCCATGTTTTGAAGTCGAGCGAGAGGTAGGGTGGGATCCATAAGCACGATGGTCCCTCCGGCCTTCATCACTGCAAGGACGGCCACGATGGTCCATCTTGACTTCTCAAAACATACTGGTAGAAAGTCATGAAGTACAACACCAGCATCCCGAAGCGTGGATGCGAGGAATGTCGAATAACAATCAATTTCGCCGTATGTCAAAATACCATCCCAAGATGAGATAGCTTCCTTGTCCGGAAATTCTCGGGCTCGTTCGGAGATCATGTCTTGCATGCAGAAGTCGTAGATGGGAGGTAACTCATGATTCCAGCTCCAAATCGTATTCAGATCGTGGGTTGTTACCCGAAGACAGTCCTCGATAGATTTACCGGGACTGGCAATACACATTTCGATGGTATCGACCAGGGATTCTATGTGTCGTTTAATCGTATATGGCAAGACGCTGGCATTATGCCAGATTGGACGAATATTTAGATCCCCATTTGAAAAGGACACTTGGATCTTGAGTGTGCCCTATGATCAGTAGTTAGTCACCTACAGCTCAAATTAGACCTTTGGAGTAATCACGCACGTCGTCTTTAACGCTCTCGGAGGGTTCGGACATAGAGCAAGTGCTCAACAAGAGCGACGCAAAACTGGAGCTTGCGGTTTCTGGACCCCTCATTACTTTCCCAATGCTACGGGAAATCGCAGAAGCAGTTTCCCGAACAGTGTTTTGTAATTTTGGCAATACTTCGTCTGTAGACAGTTTGTTGGCTGATTTTGGTCCAGCGCCATCTTCTTCAAGTTTATATGCCCATTCAAAATCAATGCGCCCGTCTTCTCTCGTCCGCAGTAGGACTATGAGCCAGGCCAAAAGCACGATCTCCTCTTTCATGCGTGTTGGCGTGGCGATGTGATCAGAAACAAGGCCAGTGACTTTAAACGACCAGACGCTGGTACCATTGACCTGACCCTCGGTCAAGATACCAACTGTCCCATTCACTTGTTCATGCTGGCCCCGTATATGGTCGATATGTATGAAGCCCATTCTGACGACACGCCCTGCTCGCTTGGCCGTGGAATCCTGGCGTAGTTGGATGTCGGGAGAAAATGACGAGTTACGACCGACTGACCCCGTTTTTGCAGCGGTCCACGAGTCCAAGCTAACCGAGGTGATCCGATTCCACGCTATATACTCAAAATTTGTCTCCACTGGCGAGCTTGCCGCGAGTCAAAAATAATTAATAACTTTGTATAGATACAGGAAGGAGCATGACCGAGCTAGGCTCTTGGCAAGTACTGACGCTATGTATTTACGGGTATGGTAACAATACAGTAAAACCACGAAATTGAATTTCACGTTCGGCGTACGTAACTCCGAACGGGACACTACTGCGGTGGACACCCGCCCAATCCACTTGATGTCTAGGACTCAACCGAGGGGTTGGGTTACAGTGCGCTACTCTTGCTAGGCCCATGCTCTGCCATTCATGCCTGCAGCTCTTGGAAAGTATGTACAGAGTACGGAAAATTAGCATTAATATCGCACGGGATGACTAATTTGCCAGCATCCTGAATTGGTAGCAAGGACCGAGGCTAGGGCATTCAACACACCTCTTGCCGCCGGCCAGTGAATAGAGAAAGTCGTCTGACATAGGCAAAAGACGCTTTATAATTATCGACAAGACCATCTCATATCTGGGATATGGAAACCAAGTGTGACTGCATCGCACCAATGCTGAAAAGCGGGAATAGGTGGGTGTCACCACCGGAAACTTTTACCAAGCGAGAGTAGAGCGAAGAGAGGAAAGGGGGCCATGCTCAATTTCGCTCACGTATCATACTCACAAGACACAAATTCTCCTTTTGTAGCGGCAATTTCCGCCCCGAAGCTGACTGCGTCCTTGTTCTGGACTTGCCCTTTCCTGAAATAGGACTTCGGACAGTGACACCATCTAATCAGATGCTCGAGCGCTGCATCCACAAATCTAATCAGATCCAGTCATTGTTTGGGATCCTCGCTAGCGTAGCGGCAGGGCGTGGAAGTTTTTGCGCCACCGGTGTATTGCTCACCGTGTCATGGATATTCGTACGAGGCCAAGGAGTGTAGATACGACGCTATATCCACCCTGGTAATCAATACAGCGTACCCGGTCCACTTGGTGCCATTCGGGTACCTCTGGTTCCATGGGACGTATGGTACGCTACCGAAAGTCATGGGAGCTGATTGATAATTTTAATCAGATAATCTTTTCCACATTCCGTTCATTCCACCGTAGTGGGGTAATTTAGATTTGAACGCGGAAAATGTTGCGTGGATAGGATGATGGTTCTCGGCGGTTCCGGTGAAGAAAAAACAAACCAAGCCGGATGAGTTGCTCTAGGCGGGTCTTCCTTTTCCGGGAATAACCGGACCGGAGGATGGCCTCCTGGTATCGCACATCAGCCAGCAAGAAAAACTGCAGGAAAGGACACCCTTGAAACCGATCTCGGAGTGACGCAAGATCTGATAACGAGCCTATTTCATAAGTAGCCACGTGCCACACGTGCTAGTGCCAGGCACGCTCTTTTTTGGCAACTTCGCAAACTTCCCATACAGCTCATTGATAGGCTTATTTTGGCCGTCTTGCCTTATACAACATGTACTCCAAATTCTGGCCTAAGGGTGGCCTCCCGGGTATTTTGCACCATTATGTACGTCTCAGTCTTTTCTCGAGCAATTGGTGAAGGCAACTTGAGAATTCACTAACGCGTGCGGTCTGTAGACCGAAACTCTTGTCACATTCGAATACGCGGGCAGCGCGCCTCGACAACCCCACAGCATCCTATTCGTTGGAGGTCTCGGAGATGGCCTTGCGACCACGTCCTATATGTCTGACCTCGTCCGTGCTCTACAACCAACAGAGTGGTCGCTTTTCACTCTGAATCTCACCTCATCCTACCAGTCATGGGGTCTCGGACATCTCGATCGAGATACAAATGAGATTGCCCAGTGTCTTAATTATATCAAAGACTATAAGACCTCAAAGTTCGGCACGGGCAAGATCGTTCTCATGGGTCATTCGACGGGGAGTCAGTGCGTGATGCACTACTTGTATCGGCCTAACCCTCACATGGATATTCCAGCGTTTGATCCAGATATTGAGTATGTCAAACGCATGCCACTTGATGGAGCAATCATGCAAGCGCCTGTGTCCGATCGGGAGGCAGTTCAATGGGTCCTAAGCGAAGGAATCGGCGGCAAAACGGGCAGCGAAATTCGCCCGGTGTACGAGAAGATGGTTACCCTGGCGAAGGAAACAGTCGAAAAGGGCGATCCCTATGATACTATGCTTCCTTTGTGGATGACGTCTCATATTTATCCAGCGAATACCGCAATCAGTTGCCGAAGAATCTTGAGTCTTATCAGTCCAGACAGCCCTCAATCGCCGGGTGAGGATGACTTGTTCAGCTCCGATCTTAGTGACGAACAGCTAAGAACTACATTTGGCATGATCAAACAGCAAGGGCTGTTGAAGCACAAATTGATGGTTCTGTATTCCGGTGCAGATCAAGCAGTTCCTGAATGGATCGACAAGGAGAAGCTGTTGTTGAGATGGAAGGAGGTCACAAATCACAATGGCAAATATGAGACTTGGGACCAACAGCACAGCGCCATCATTCCCGGGGCTTCCCATGCACTGAGCAACGATGACCAAGCCGAGCCCCGGAAGCTCCTTGTGGAGAAGGTTCTTGGATATTTGAAATCCGCAGAGAATGTATGAGCAGCACATTAAAAAACTTATAGAACTCCAATGCACCATGAAGATCTCTAAATTATGTATACAACTTGCCAATGAAACGATTGCTGTGCATCGCAACATAATGCTTCAGGTGCAGACAATAGCAACATAGATGACCTTAATTTGATTCCGATTTTCTGGTCTATGGGAAAGAAATTTATGAGTCATAAAATGTCTAATACCCGCAATAGAAGGGCCTTAGACGTCACGAGTAATATTGAAGTGGTAAAAAGATGTTATTCTGTATCTGAGGGAAGTTAGTGTTATAGGAGACACTTCGCGTGGACGTAAAGTAAGCAGCACATGGTAACAATCGCCTGGCTCAGAAAGAACAGTCTCGTCAAGTACCCGGACATCTCCTAGCCAAGGGAACAATTGACGGCGATGTTCAGGTTTGATAGTCTAGGCAAAAATATAGCTCATCAGTGGGCGAAGTTATCCGCCACGCAGGTACATCTATGTAGTGGATTCCCTTTGCTGGGTGGGTCTTTCCTGTCTGAGCCGCTGCCGCTTTTATCAGGGCGTCTAGAATCAGGCTAACAGAGTAAACTTTAGTCGACTTCATCAGCAGCTCAGTGTCATCATGGGATGTATCACTCTGCCCAATGGGCACGAATTGAGCACTTACACTATGCTTAGTCTATTCTTAAAAAGGCCTTTTTGCTCCCAAATGCTGTCAAATTATGAACTACCTTTTGATAGTCCTACTTATTCATGTCTTTAATTCTGGAAGGCTATGAGCGCGACTTAGTATGGCCCCAGTACCAGGTGGCTTCTCCTTAGGAGGCCACCGAGGCTGGATATATGTTTTAATTAACAGTATGTGGCGGCTCAGCTTGGGTGAAGTCGCCAGCTTTCTCTGCTTTCAGCGCCTTCAGCTGGCGGCGAATGATGTCCCGGTAGCCCCGCGCCGGACCCACATTTGATATGCGCGATGCATCACAACCAGTGACCTCATGAGGATCCACATTGTCCTTGACTAAAGCAAGGAGTAAAGCTGAAACATCTCTGGTGTAGACTTTCATGCTGTGTTTCAAATGGCAGATATCAGAGCTTCTGCAACTACATATGCAAATTTTGGAACAACCCACAGGATGTGATGATGAATCATTTTGTAGTTCAGCTGCTTAATCTAGAAGAGATTACTCATGTAAATTCTGCAAATGTTCCTCTATCCGTGACCATGCCTCCGGTAATAAGTTTGCCATAATCCAGAAGTTCCCATCGTGGTCTCTGCCCTGCATCCAGCAAACATTGAAACCACTCCAGCCTCGCTCAAGCCCTTCATTCCAGTATGTGACCATGGTCCCTAGGGGGTTTCTCCTTGTCTCTGCGCTCTCGCCCTGGTGCACAACTGCTGGACTGAAGTCGACAAGTTTGATCAATTCCGCTTTACTCACATTGTTGATCAGGATTGGCACGGCATTTGGCTCGCCGAATACCAGCCTTGGGGACTTGACCGCATCAATATCCCGGTACACACTCCTCAGAAAACATAGTGTCTGGTTTTCGCTGGATTGTTCTGCAAAATGGCGGCGATGACTGATAGCAATCGGCCCAATTGGGCCGTTCGCAGTCTGAGGAGATAAAAATGCGTACGTTGAGAGCACCATATTCTGTAGAAATACGCCGGTCGATGTGCATATCTCAGGGATTCGAGAACGGGTGTCTAGGAAGCTCATGATTGTCATGGGGCGGGATTTTGACGTGCTGGATGCAGCTGCTTGGCAAATCCACGCTATCAGTATATCGCTTTCGCTCACAAAGGGCACGTCGTGACTGCTCGGGCTGCTCTTTATGATTCCCTGTTGAACCTCGGCTTTCAGCTTATGTAGAACAGCTTGTGGTATAAACACAGCTCGCTGTTGCCGAGGATACCAGATCTTGTCCCACAGGCATCGTAAATAGAAAACAAGCAGACTAGCCCCCGTCATGCGATTCTTTTCGAGCTTGAATTCTTCGTCCCTGTCCTGCTTCTCCGACATTGTTGTTTGCAAGAGAACGTCGTCTCGTGCGCCAATTACCATAGGCACACTGTCTTCTCGGCCGGCCAATACCGACGTCCAGCCGGATAAGAGGGCCTTTCCCGCCGAGGCGTCCATCAAGACATGGGGCCACGACAGAGCGAGAAGCGTCGCATCATTGAAAGAGGTAACATGCAGCGATATCGGAGGCTCATTTTGCTGTACTGATTGAGCAAAAGATGGAAAATTTGCGCGGGCAATAAACGGCCGAAAATCATCAGAAACGAGATAAGTGGATGGCCCATCTGTCGCTTGTGGCAAACGACTAGCTACTGGGTGGTCTTGAATTCGCATATCATGGGTATCGTGAGTGAAAAACACATTCCGTTGCCCAGTCGTTGATGACTTCCGAAAGTGAACTTCTAATCTTCCATCGGCCTTGTCAATGTCAGTGGGGCTATTTTGCATCCTCACAAATTAGCCTTGCATGTTGGATATTCTACCTTAAATCTCAACCGCCCACCGAGTTTCTTCCAATCTCCAATCTCCAGCAGTCTTGACAGAGAATCGGCCAACATCTCGGCATCGAGGACATCATTGAATCGCATCATCCATATTACATGATTGCGGAAATCTTTGATGTCGTCTAGCTTGTGCAGGGGATAAACTTCCTCAGGGACATCAAGAGGCTGTTTCTTGAGCTTCATATTGACGGCGACAAATGTAGAGTGCTCATGACAACTCAACGGTCTCGGGGTCAAGGGCTGATTTTTGTATGATCTGGGAGCAGGATACAATGTGATTCGGCTCCAGGGGACAACCCTTTGGGCCCTTATCTATTTTTCAGATCAGAGCGGGTCGGCAATCCAGTCTCAAAAATAAGGTAAATTGGGATCTGCAAAATCTAAAGTTTAACCGCTCGGGCGGGGCTTCGGCTTGCCATAAAGATTCTGAATTCAATCCAGCAGCCAGATTTTGAGGATTCCGGGGTCTGGAAAAAAAGGTTCGGCCTTTCCTTCTGTTTTCATTCCCAAAAATATGGCAGGTTCAACTTACCGTCTGTTCCGGCTAGCTTGTGAACCATGTTCGTCCTAGTTATCTTTTGGGCGGAAGTCATTATTCTAGCAGAGAGAAGCTACCGAGCCGCAAATGATGGATTTAGCGCTGGAGTTATGCCTGACAAAATGCAGACATAAAAGCCGTTCAGCTTGTTGACCGGACTGAAATTGGGTCGAGATGCGGTATATAAGAGAGATTGTCGCCAAAGGATCTCTAGGGTGCATTAATACTATCAAGAAACAAATCACGAAATGGTAGAAACAAACAGGACCTAGATATTGATCACTGCTCAAAACGATAGTTAAAGGCCACCAATCCAGGGGAAATATGCAAGAAAATGTTGCACATGTAGAAGGCATGATAATTCTTCTGTGGAAATGTAGGTGTTTCGAAAATGAGCTTACATGAGATATTGAAAGAAGAGAAGCAAACATATCCAGGAGAAAGTAATAATCTCGGGCACATTGATTGCAGACAGCTCTCGCGGTCTCTAAGTTCGCTGTTCAGTAGTGTACTAAGCTTTGTCTTTGTATGGCAGTGCATGGATGATCATTAAATAGGTCATGCGGAGACCAGATGCCAAAGTGTCCCGGATTGACCGAACAATCTGACATTACTTCCGTCTCGCTTTCTCGATAATTTGACTCTATCCAAGGTGGATTATTGGATAACTTTAGAATCTTTCATATTAAGCTCTCCGATAATTTTAGCGTCCTGAATGTGTTTAAAAAGAGTATCGCTCTCTGCTCCACTTCTAACTAAAGAAAGTAGACCCTTTCAGTGTATTATTATCAGCTTCGAGAACCATATCCGAGACTCACTCAAAAGCAGAAGTAACCGAGACTTTTCATGAAGGTAGCTCTTTCTAAAGCCTGTTCCAGCACATTGATAAGCATGCCAAAGGTGTCTACTTAATCGATTATCCTTGGAGTAGGGTATCCGGGAAACTGCCTGATCGTCGCCTGTCGGATCAGAATCTATCAGTTGATTTAATTCATCACGTCAGACGAGCTGTATTTATCCATACTAATGAACTCGCATTATTATTATTATCCAGCTAGATCGACAGGCCTTCGGTTTCTATAGCGTAATGGAAATGGAAAGAGGATGTTGAGCGACCTTCATCGCTAATCGGCATCGGATCGCTCACCAAATCAAGCAGTAGTTTCAACATGGCAGGTTGACAGGCATTTGTGGAAGTTTCTCCGTCAATTGACCTGGGATAGCCTGAATTACCCGGGCATATTTGCTCAAGATGACGTTTTTGGATTGTACATAGCTTCTTCGACGGCAAGGGTCTGATCTAGGTGCATATATCCTCTGTCCATTTCCAGCAGGCGCAGCTTCTCAAGGCCAAGATTGAGTATAGACCTCAATTTTTCCTCCGCTCTCCTTGGTCTCTAGCCTGTGGAGCCCACGTACCAAACTATGAGTGAGCATGTATCGATTGAACATGGGTCTCAGCCCTTGTCAGGTTCTTACGTAGAAGGTTATTCGTTGGCAGTTCCGCCCTGTAATAGTGCTGCCCCTCACTTCACTGCCTGTTTATGAGCAAGCTTGATATCCAAACCGCTCCCAAAAGTACTCATTGAATGAGATACAGCGCTCCGACTTTTGACAAACTTGGGCCACGTATTTGTGAGGACGAGGTACTTGACTGCCTTCACTGCGTCATCAAAGATATTCGCACCAAGTCCGCAAGCAATAAAACCCTCAGGAATCTCACCCCAATACCGTACACAATCTTGGAGTGATGGCGTCACCCGAATTGTTTTCTCAGAGCCTTCAGACGACATGGCTGAGGGTAGCCGGGAAAAACTTGAGGTATCAAAAGGAGCGATAGGATTAATCTCCGGCTCATCACCATATATCATACGAGCGGGTCTCTCGAAGATACTCTCAAGTCTTGTGAAATCTTGAAAGCCGAGGTTGATAGGAAATTCAGCATGAGCACTTATGAACTCGGCATAAATGAATAATGCGCTGTTAAAACGCTCATGGAGTGTTTCCTGAATCTGATCTTTATCTTCGATGGCAATAGCCCTTTCAAAAGTCTTCTTCCATTGGGCGACGCTTGTAAGGAAGGCAATGTTCTCACCAGAGAAGTCGTGGAGTGCTGAAAATTGTTGTAGAGGAGTTGGGTCATGGTCTAGGGCGTACTCAAGAGCAGGCATAGCAAAGACGCTCTCAACGGAGAAATCAGTCTTAGCTGATCCTGCTATCGTAGACTTAACGGTGGCAGTGACAGATTTTAAAGACTTGAGATCGGCGCCATCAGACCTTGTCCTCGACTCCCACTCTGCAATCAAATCGAGAGTCTCTTGGCGAAGAGACTGGTGGCGGACGACCTCCCAGCAGGGAAGAAATACTGTAAAAATCTCTAGAAAAGTGATCGAAAGACAAATCCTACATCTTAATTAGAAGACTTGCTTCCGAAGGGCGCCGGTTGAAACCCCAGTACTCACCATTGCGGAGGTAGCCAGTATTTGTTAACTGTCGCCATGGAAGGAACATAGAGAGCTATAAGCCATAGTGGGGTAGCATGAAAGCTATGCGGACCATTAGCACAAAGGCTCTCACATCTACCCCTGGTTTCCCATTCTTACCTTGCAATGGCACAGCCAATGGTTTGAACTCGCCAGCCCTGGGTATCGTGTATCGCACGAGATTTCCAGAGGACAAAAGGGGCAACAATCCAGGACCAGAGGAACTGCCAAAATACCCCAGGCCACCTAATGAAGTGTAAGTTGGATAAGCTTCTGGTATCGGGTTTCTCGTTATTCTGACCATTCCCAGCCTCGGCCCATCTCGACTTTCTGTTCCATAGCGGTCCCGTGAAGTTCGGTGCCAGGAATTCCCCAAGAGCTATGCCATTTTCGGGATATGATGTACATCAGGACAGTAAGAAATATCTGGATTGCTAGTAAGATAACGAACATCAAGTACCCGTAAATCAGAAACTCAGCGCAATCATATCATACCTGAACGAGCATTGCAATTCCCACCGCGATAAGGCTCCTAGTGGTATAGTCAAGGCGTCGGAAGCGTCTGATCAAGCCGCCTTTGATCTTCGAACTGAAGTTAACGTTCCCAGAAGGCAGTCCGACATGACGGCTGCTATGGCGAGCATATTTCTTCTGCAGGTTGGCGACATGGATGAAGCGACTATTCGATGCATGAAACAACGCTATCCCACATGGTAAGAGGGTACCCATAACCCAAAACTCGGCATCTCCAGGTGCAAGTGTGCCAAGCAGAAGTTCCAGCTGAACGGATATCCAGTATAAATGAAGAAGAACGACGGCAGAGAGCGAAAGCCCAAGGCCTCGTATTCGGAGAGGGGTCGAGCTCCGGTGAATAACGAGATAGGCCATTCCCAGCGCAACGGCGACAGTCCAGATGCCGGCCCAGCATACCCACCATATGCTGACTGGATTAAGTGTGAGATTCGATTTGGTGTCGCCGTTGACCCCGATTTTCGAGCCCATTATTGCGACTTTCTTCTCTCTTGAATTCCCTTCCTTGCTTGTCTACCTTCGGTCAATGTAGAAGGGCACAATGGGTGACGGGGGGTTAGGTTTCGTGTCCTCCAGCGTCCAGGGGCCCTTGGGTTCCGAAGGGGACTCGTTCAAAAGAGAAACGGAGCTGCGGAGGTATGAGCAGGCCCGCGGGGCCAGAAATCGGCGCAATGACCACCTTAAGAGTAACTTGCAGCATTGTTGCGGGGCCGCCCGGTAAATCAGGCAATATTTGATAAGTAATTTCAACGAAGGACCGGTAAGCGCAGGTTCGAGAACCTGCATCCACGGCCTTTAGCGTCCAAATGTTACGTCGTGGCAATTATTAGCGAGCAATTGTGGTTTTGGTACATTGAAAATGTTATCGCCACGTCACGCTAGACGGAATCAGGCGTCACAATGCCTATTATCTTACTATATTTAGTTTAGACTCCCGTGTGATTAAGACTTCCCTCGTGCGACTGAGCATTCCGATCGGTGTTTCAAATCTATTAACTATGAGTTCTCCCAACCAATGGGCAAACTTTAGGTGGGGTTCGAGTTCTTCATTAGAAGTAGAGGTAACATTCCAGTGACACATCTTGAGCGCTCTCACCCAATCCACATGTTAGATAATCACTAGCTTTTTGACTACTGTATTAACAGATTATTTTCTATTTGCCTGTTGTGAGTAGGGATATTCCCATCGCTCTGCTTGCTTCTACCTTTTTGGCATTTATTCGTGTGCACTTACCCTGTCCTCTCTCTTAATAGGTAGATATCGTCGTCTTTCCCGATGCTCACGAGAACCGAATAGATGATTACATATGACTTTAGTCTCCGCGGTGCTCAAAGATGTTTTGAGCAGGAAGCAGCATTTTCATGATATTTTCGCAGCCGCAAGGGATGGAATCAAGAGGCCGATTGATCCTATGTTTGTTGCTTCGGCGGGCGCTAGACATCTCTATTTTGATTGGATCTGTTCGAGCAGAATAAAGTATAGAAAACAAACACGCACTATTGTCGGGTCTGGGGCATTTCACTCGTCTCTCCAGCTCCTCATTCATTAGCTTAGTCCCCACGGCTCTCTCTCTCCAATCGATCAATTATTTCAGCATTGAGATTCCACGTAGAGAAGCATAAGATGCGGCTTATGAATTCACAACTTATTCATCCAAACTTACGAGCTCAATATCTTTTGTCTGTACTCACAGAGAACGGATTTTTCGCATTCTGAGTCGCTCGAGCACTGGTGAACCAAGGAGGGTATCCGGGAAGATGGAGTCTCTTCCGTAAGCATGTTACTATGCCGACTGTGGCACACTCGTCTTGTTTTTAAGAAGCGCCAGGTTCCACTGGTGCGCAGGGTGTTTCTGTCTTTTGGAAACATTTCCCCAATGCTTGAAGGAGTGACAACTTCGACGGCAGTAATAAACGATCACAATCTTGTCAGTGTCTAATCCGCAACGTTTAACCATGCAAATAAACGAGCCGCTAAATGCTTGGGAGACTTTCTTGGTCGGGATATATCAAGCAGGCTTACCACAGGAAAAGGGGGATAGGAAATCTTAGGCAATTAAGATATGCGAAGTGGAAGTATCAGCATTCAGAATTTGAAGCAAAAACAGAAAACCATGACGGGCGTATGTCTGGTGAACGCCAATAAATGTACAAAGAACTCATCTTCCAAGGTGAATTAATGAAAAGGGCATTACGGCATCACAAAGGAAAAGGGTAAAAAAGAGTCGGGCAGTCAAGGCGGCGCGGAGTCATCGCCAAACACGAAGAGGCCTGTACGGCACATCACAACACAGCACAATAAAAACTCCTCGTCCTGCATGGGTCGCAAGGAGGCCCAAACCACATCATACCAAACCTAACTCCGTGAGGGAACAAAGAGGTATGCGCAAGAATCGAAAATCAAAAAGACGGTCGGTCAGTAGCAAAGAAGTCTTTTCCAACACATTGAAACCACAACGCCAATACACCATGATGTGAAAACTGCTTTAAAGGGGGATGCAAAGAGATTGACAAAGGGAAAGGGTCCTAAGAGATCACCGGAGGTTGCGGATAACTTTCTTTCCCCGGGCGAGGAAGGGACTGGGCATCTCGTCGCGTTCAGGGTCCCATATGGCGGGCGGATCCCGCTCAGAAGACCCAAGGCTAGAATTATGAGGAGTGGTTCGAGAGTCACTAGCGCACCGCTTGAATTCATCCACAGGACGGCCACCGGCTCTGGCTTGGGCGAGCTCCACCAGGGTGCGGCCACCCATGTTGCGTTGCATGACAGCCTTGAACATCTCTTCGCCGCCGGCACCACCAACCTTGGGAGGGGGTTGCTTAGAGGAGTTCTTGCGGGTCGGGGATGCATCCGCTGCAAGGTTGGCAGATGATGGGATCTTAGACAGACGTCGGTGGGGAGACTTTGCCCGGCCTTCGCTCATGTTGTTGCGGCCTTCGCATTGGGAAGAAGGGCCGCCAGACACTTGAGGAACTCGGGCTCCATTGGTAGGGAAAAGGGGGGCTGAGTGCTGAGCTTTTGCATGAGAGCTGCAGTGTTCTGTCGCAGAAGGGGTCGCGGAGGTGCCTTGAAGGGATCGGGCTTAACCTTAGGGCGAGTAGGCGATGGCAGGTCGGGTGTATCGTCCTCGTCGTCGGAGTATGCCAAAGTAGGCTCCCACTTGGCCTTTTGGCGCTCAGCTTCAGCAAAGATGTTGCGAGAAGTGCCTGTGGCAGAGGTGCGACGGGGCGAAAGGGAGAGGGAAGCAATGGAAATTGGAGATGGCTCGGCCATTTGCACATCCTGGGGCGACTCGACTACTGTCTTCGAGCGGCAGAAGGGAGTGCGAGTTTCTTTCCTTGGCTTCCTGGTGTTAGAGGTAGGAGACTCAAGCGACAGCTGGCTGATATCTGTGCTGGACGGGGTGTCGGAGTCGTCGGTCGTAACGCCAGAAGAACGTGATTCACGACCACTCGTTCGAGAGGATTCTTGCGAACTGGAATCAGAGCGGCGAAGGCTAGCGCGGAATAACTCATCGCGAGGGTTGCTGTGTCTCTTTTGCTTCTCTAATTCAATCGAAACGCGCTCTTGTACCTCCGACTCAAAGCGCTTGCGCAGTCGGTCCAACTCGCTTTGCACCTGACGATCGATCTCAAGTCGCGCCTTGACTTCCCATTCCCGGCGAACGGTGCTTTCGACGTCGGCCTTCATTTGCTGCTTTTCTTTCTCCATGTTGACCAATTTCTGCTCCATCTCGCGGACCTTCTGTACAGCAACTTCCTCTCGGCGGCGCAGGGTCTTGCCAAGATCCACAACCTCTTTTTCCTTGCGCATCAGACGAATGATAGGAAGGTTGATCAGAGCAGCCGTGTCCGGGCGGTTGTCCGGGTTGACGCGCAAGCAGCTACCAATGACGTTTTTCAGTTCAGGCGAGTAATAGTCCGGGAGGGGTGCGAATTTGCCCTCGCGGATCTTCTGCACCAGTTGGATATGGGTACGGGCATTGAAGGGGGGCTCCTTCGCACAAAGCTCGTACATGATACATCCGACCGCCCAAATGTCCGATCGGAGGGTGTACTTTTCAGCCGCGCAGATTTCAGGAGACATATAGAAGGGTGTGCCAACGTAGGTGGATGCAAAATCGTGGGATTGCATCTGCTTGGACAGACCGAAGTCACCCAGCTTCACAGTATTGTCGCTACCGAGGAAGATGTTCTCAGGTTTGAGGTCGCGGTGCAGGATAGTCACTTGTCCTTGCTTTCCCTTCAACCCAGATGTCTTCGGTGGTGCTCCCAGAATGTTTGATCCAACTTCCGCAGGATCCGCTGCATAGTGACACCGGTACAGGGCAGTCACCAGCTGTGACAGGATGCGCCAGACGAATTCCTCCTCAGCCAACTTGTTCGCCTTTTTGAGATTCTTGATAACCATGCTGAGGTCTCCGCCACCGCAATATTCCATGTACAGGTAGAGGTCTTGGCTTGCTTTGAGGTGTTCGCGGTGATAATAGGCAACGATGTTCGGGTGTCGAAGAGAGCTCAGGATATTGAACTCGGCCGTGAGCTGCTCGCGCTCCTTCTGGGACATCTTGATGTAATTGATCTCCTTCCGACATAGTATCTGCAACGAGTTAGGTATGCCCTGCACTAGCAACCTGGGAACAACTCACGAATCCGTCTGATTTTCGCTTGACTTTACGGATGATGCCGAAGGAGCCGCAACCTGACAGAAGGCAGTTGGTAAAAGTCACAAAAGAAGATCACATTCAAGGTCAGTCTAACTTACCAATCTTCTCCAAGATCTCATACTTGTCCGCCTCAGCCAAAGCAATCGCCATGGCTATAGATTGCTGTACAAGACAGTCGGGATTACAGGTGTCGAAGAGAGAACAGAGGTGAAATGAGGTGAGTAGAGAGCATGGAAGAGGATGGTTGAGGATGTCCCTGTCTTGTTAGTAAAGGACGAACTGAAGAGATGGTGGAGGGAAAAGTTGAAGACAGTATGGGGTTTAGAGGTTCGTCGATCCTCAGTGTTTGGGTGTCGCGGCGTTGCACAGCAACGGGGAGATTACGCTTGCCCCACAGCAGCAGGCGGTCGCGGCGACCAAAATAACGGTGATGACTACGCCCGATTGGCGAAATCTTTTTGCCAATGGCAGTCAACAGGGTTATATATTCGCCCCATGTTTTCAAATCATAGTCAAACTTAGCTGGTAGTCCTCTACTATGTGCTTCTTACCAGTGTACTGAGCAGCCTGCACTATCCCGTCTAACCCTAATCCCTGTCACCTGACCTTATCGATAAGGCCCTCGGGGATTTGGTCCCGCATCCCGTCAACTTCCCTCCCACTTCGAAGTGGCAAGCTGCGTCGGGGCATAGAAAATGGCGGAGAGGACAGTGCTACGCAAAGATCAGCTGGAACTCAGCTTGCACAATGAGAAAAAGCTAATTAAAGAAGGTACCATCAAGGATGACAACCCGTTGGACCTGAGTGAGCCGTTCCGTGAACTCTGCAGTGCCTGCCGGAGGGGCGATCTGAAAGTCTGCCAGGAGAAGATCACCGAGGGTGTCAATGTGAACGCTCGCGATTCATATGATTATACACCTTTGATTCTGGTGAGTTTCGGAGAAACTTTTTTTTTTAAGAAAACAAGTGCTCTGTCGGGCATACCCGAACATCTTCAGTAACCTAAATATCTTTGGGGTAGGCCAGTCTATGCGGGCATTATGAAGTTGCGCAGCTACTACTGGAATCTGGTGCGCTGTGCGAGCGAGATACGTTTCAAGGCGAAAGGTAACCCATGTGTCTGTGGAACGCCATTCTGGAACAAATAAAAGCTAATTCAAGAATAACTCCAGATGTTTATACAATGCCTTGAATGACCGCATACGGAATCTCCTCCTTGAATATGACTATTCCAAGTCGACAGACCCACTTCAGCCCCTTGCTGCACATATTGCTTCATTGCTCACTCGTCAAACCCCTGTGACCACTGATATCACCGTGACTGCCGCCGATCAAGATGTCTCTCTCCACAAATTTATATTGGCGGCCCGCTCTCCCTATTTCCGTGGAAAGCTAGCCGCTGCTCCAGAGACCACAACATGGAAGCTCCCTAGTACCACCCCGCCGGAGGCATTCAGTGCCGCAATCAGATATTTATACTTAGGAGAAGCTCCCCGTGAGCTGCGCAGCGGACCAGGGACCGGGTTCACGGAATCCGAGGTTTTCGCAGGCATTGATAAGATCTCGAAGTACCTAGAGATCCAAAGTCTCATGGACAACATACTGGACGGGGGGGATAGAAGGCGTGCCAGGCAGCGCAGAACTGTGGAGCTTGCCAAGGGCCGGGCTCAATTAGAAGAGTGGTTCCGAGAGAATGTCCTGGGCAACAAAGTGGTTGTTGAAACATCAAAGGCGAATAAAGTGACGTGGGATCACAACAATCCAGTCTTTGCGGATGTTCTCCTTCGAGCAGATGAATTGCCGGAGGAAGATGAGAATTCTGCAGACGAGATTCCCAAATCTACTTTGTTCCCCTGCCACCGGGCGATGCTTCTCCGTTCCGAATTTTTCCAGGCTATGTTCACGTCTTCTTTCCGTGAAGCACATGTTAAAGACCAGCTGCACATAATTGACGTGGACTGCTCGCCTGATGTTCTGGAGATCATACTGACCTTCTTGTATACCGAGCGCGCGGATTTCCCCTTGGAAATTGCCGTCGACGTTCTGTTCGCGGCTGATATGCTCTTCATCGAGAAGTTGAAGTCCAAAGCGGCCGTTGTTATCAGCACCCTGGGTAGTGGAGGGATGTCACAGGCGGAAGCAGCCAGGACTCGTGGTACCCAGGATGAAGATGACATCGACATCTACGCAATCATCCGGGCGGCCTGGTTAACTCGCGTCCAGCGTCTCGAAGAATTCGCCGCTCGGTTCCTCGCATATCGACTGGAAGCCCACATCGATTCACCCGAGTTCGCAGAGCTAATTCAAGAATCAGCGGCTCGAATTCAGGCGCGCCAGGAGACCGATTCAATCGAGTTACTGGATGATATTCGCTTCTACCTGAACGAGCGTTTCAGATTGCGATTCGACGATGCTGGTCTTGACGAACTGATGGATGAGCAAGCACCGCCGGCAAATGGCGATGGTACCGCACAGCCGGAGGAGATGGGAAAGATCACAGAAGGAGTCGAAGCAATGAACGTCTCTAAGCCAACGTCCGCGACCATCGCGTTGAATGGGAATGCTCAGCAACCGCAGGGGTATACCCGCGAGATCCGCACACTTGACGGTGCGCTCGTTGAGGATGAATTCGATGAGGACGCGATGAATTACGAGATTTTGCTAGAGAAGCTAGATGCTCTCTTGGAGAGCCTAAATCTGGACGCGTAAGCACATGTCCAGGAACAGCTGTCACCAACAGGAAGCTGCCAAAGCAGCATAGACTGCTTATATACGATCTTATGACCGTGATATACGAACTTTTGGTGGCATTAAAAGACACGTGGATGTCACATATACATATATCATTTAGACACACTGCAGGGGAAATCCAGAAATACATATTGTTTGCGCGATGCATAAACATACACTTGAGAAACACTAGCGTCTTTTCACTTGACAGTCGGGTGACCCGCACATTTCCCATGGAGAAACATGCGCAGCGAGAGTTACGCACGATGCGCTCAGTGAGACCCGGCATTTCTATCAACGCAAACACATTATGCCGGAAATGCAGCTCGGCAATCCAGTTGTATGCAAGCTCCGCAGGGCCTTTCTCTCTTCCAAGCCGCAGTGACCACAGACCAGTTTGAAAGTCTCTTTTCATGGTTTCACGGCTGTAGATATAGTGGCCGTGCCGTTTATGGATGTATGTCATAAGTGGGAGATCGAGCTCGTATTAGTAGCCCGGAAATCCTCCAGGGGCAATTGAGGCCCTGAAGACGCCCCAATGAGATCATGAAAAGTCCCAAAAAGTCTCACAGTACCCAATTGTGAGACGACGGGGGCCATATGATAATATTGAGGGCGAAAGGCCTCACTTGGTGTTTGACGGCGGTCATCATGACTGCTTGCTTCGGACGACAAGCAGTCGCGATTACAGTCACCGGCGTCCTTGGGGTGGCTCCTTATCATTTTCCAGTGTAGCCCTCTGTTTCTTTTCCTCCATCTTCGCATCCAAGTCCCGAATCTGGGCCTCGAGTATGCCTCTCCGGGCGTTCAGGTTGGAGCGCATTTTTTGAAGAGCTGCAAGTTGTTCAACGAAGGTGGATTCTTGGCGTTTCCGTGTGGTCTAGAAAGAAAGTTGAAAACCGAATGTTAAAATCCTTTGCACACTCTTTAAACACGAACTTGTAGCCATGCAGGTGGTGGAGATTCCCGCCGCTTGACAGGTTGCCGAAGAGCCGGTCCTTGAACTTACCTCCGCGATCTCCTCGTTTGTCTTCAACCCTGCTCCATACAGAGAGCTAGCAATGGTAATCGACGTCACAGCCGCTGTCAAGACCAGCCGGCGCACATGCTGAGGTGACGGCATCTTTCGATGCGATGTGAGTGGTTGCTTTAAATTCAGCTTGCTGCAACAAAGAAATCCCCGAGTTCACCGCCTACTCGGACGGGGTCTCGTATTGATCGCCACCTAGACGCGTCTTCCCCTCGCGTCGAATTTCTTTTTATCAACGAACTCGGCCTTGCGCCTTTGATGGCCTCCCCTCGACTCGAGCGATACAATGTCTTCTCGTAGGACACGTCACAACACAGTCCCTCGTCGGCGATCTCGAAATGACGACAGCGATGACGATTCTGAACCCACGGACTCGTCTCCGGCATCGAGCAGCAAGCGTCCGCGCCTAAGCCCCGCCGAGGAAGAAACAGGAACAGATGACGACGAAGATGCTCAAACTGATGCGACTGAAACCCCTGGGGACTTGAGCCAGCACCCGGCCGGGCGTCCGACCGTTCACCGTGAGGTTGGTCCGGGTGGCTTCAAACCCGGGGCAATCGTTCGGATCAAGGTCATAAATTTCGTGACTTACATGTCCGCCGAATTTTACCCGGGTCCAAAGCTGAACATGGTCATCGGGCCGAATGGCACAGGCAAGAGTACTTTGGTCTGCGCCATCTGTTTGGGTCTTGGATGGGGCCCTCAGGTATGGCGATCTATCTATGTGAATGTCTCTGTGGGTATCACTCACACAGGAATCTTTTTGTGTACAGCATCTCGGACGAGCGAAAGATCTTGGCGAGTTTGTCAAACATGGCTGCGCTGAAGCGACAATCGAAATCGAGCTCGCAGGCCAACCGAAGCTATCCACCAATCCCGTCATCTGTCGAACCATCAAACGCGATGGAAACAAGAGCTCCTTTACTGTCAATGGACGTAATGCTAGCCCGAAACAGGTATCGCACCTTGTGCAGTCATTTGCCATCCAAGTGGACAATCTCTGCCAGTTTCTTCCTCAAGACAAAGTCGCCGAATTTGCCGCCCTTACTCCTGTCGAGCTTCTATATTCCACCCAGAGAGCTGCAGCTGAACCGGAAATGACCGTGTGGCATAAGAATCTCAAGGATCTACGAGCCAAGCAAAAGCAACTCGAACTTGAGAATCGGGGCGACAATGAGACTTTAGCGAACCTGAAAGACCGGCATGAACAGCAACGAGCAGAGGTCGAGAACATGCGCTTGATGGCTGTTGCTCAGCAGAAGATGGAGCTTCTGGAATTCTGCCGTCCGCTTGTGGAGTATAGAGAGTACCATAGGCAGTTCGAGGAGATCAAGGAGAGGAAAGCTCGAGTTGAACGAGAGCATGAGCAACTCAAGGCTGACTTAGAACCCGCCATGCGCGCAGTCACTGCCAAGCAACGCTATCTCGACCAAATCGACCTTGCTCGCGACCACCGCAAACAACGAACTCAGCAATTATCCGATGCAGCGTCCGCAAGCGCACGAAAGGTCGAGGAATTGCAGAATACAATCAAGGACCTCAACGGTCGGATTGAGGCCGAGCGGAAAACCGGTCAAAAGCACAAAGTTGAGGCCACTGCGGCACAACAAAATTTGAACAAACTCAGGCGTCAGCAGGAGGAAGAGGCCGTGGAGTTTGATCCTGATTACTACAATGAACAGCTGGTAGGTCCCCATCGTTGGCGAAGAAAGTAAAGTAGTTTTGCGTACTCATACCTCTTTTTAGAGAGAAAAACGAAACGTGAAGCGTGAGCTTGAGGCAAAAGCCTTGGATCTCAGGAATAGACGATTGCCGCTTCACGAACGACATGTCGAGCTGAAGAACCTCATCACCGAAGCCGAGAGAGAAATGAAGAACCTGGATTCCCAACTTGGTCAGCAAGAAGCCAGGCTGCAGAAGCTATCCCCAGAGACATTTAAAGCCCATCGTTGGGTTGTGCAAAATCAGGACAAATTCGAGAAAGAAGTTTTCGGTCCTCCAGCTGTTACTTGCTCAATCACAGATCCCAAGTATGCTGATGCTATCGAATCTCTTTTCCAAAGGAACGATTTTCTCGCGTTTACTGCTCAAACCAGAAATGATTTCCGTACCCTACAACAAGCGCTGAACGGACAACTGAAACTCCACGACATCACCATCAAGACGAGCCCCTCCCTTGACAACCCCAGGCTGCGGTCCCCAATATCGAACGAGGAGCTTCGACAGCTTGGATTCGATGGGTGGGCCAGGGACTTTATCAATGGACCCGATCCCGTTATCGCTTCCCTTTGCTTGGAGAATCGCTTCAGCCACACGCCGATCAGCCTGAATCAATTCTCGGGCGAACACACACAGGTCAATGAGATGCGAAAAAAACAAATTAACTCGTTTGTCTCTGGGCCAGAGACTTATCAAATCACCTACCGTGCGGAGTACGACGCTTCTTCAACTCGCGTCCGGCAGGTCCGACCTGCTCGAATCTGGACATCACAGCCTGTCGATGCATCTCTGAAAGAACAGCACCGCCAGAACATTGAGTCCTGGAATCAGCAAAGGGAGGGCATCGAAGAGCAGATTCAGGCAGAGCGAAACGCTATGGAGGCGTTGAAGAAATCAAACCAAGAGAATGAACAAGAAATGGTATACTATGACTTGGACTATCAGAACTGTATTCTTTCTAATGAACCTTGCAGACAACGATTGAGGACGAAAAGGCTGCGAAGCAGAGTGCCTATACACAGTTCCGAGCTATCCCTGAAAAGATCGGTATGTGGCTCATTGCTGATTTTGAAATGTTGAAATCGTGTAAACTAACTTCCTTGCAGCCCAGCAAGAAGCCAAACTGAAGAGCTTCCAAGAGCTCTTCATACAAGTGAGAGATCGCGTAGGCGCAATTCGGGACCAGCAAGATGAACTCTCCATCAAGAGGGCTGAGGCAACACTCGACTACGCCGTTAGGTTCTCCCTGATCCGGGATCTCCAGATTTATACTAACTGATCATTAGGACGCTGCTGAGATGCTTCGACAAGCTTTTGAGGAGCTTGTCAAAGCCGAGATCCGCCATCTGGAAGCCAGTTCAGATCTGAAGACTCTTAAGAACCAACATAGGGATCGCACACAAATGCTGGAGCAGAAATCCCAGGAAGTAAAGCAGGTCCTGAATGAGTTCAGGGAACGCCGTGAAAGGGGGCGATCCATGATGAGGCGGGCTAAACAGACCAAGGAAGAAGCCGAACAGCGACCCGACAGTCAGGAGGTCCTTGGAATGATCAATGATCCCAATTATTTCTTGGATAATCTCAACGCCGACATCGACTCCCAACAAGCACAGGTTCGATTGTTTGTGGGTGGCAACAGCAACATTATTAAGATCTTCGAGGATCGAGAAAAACAGATCGAGAGACTGGAGACCAAACTGGGTGACTTCCGGAGTAAGTTGGCCGAGTTTGATGCTGCCATCAAGGAGGTTCGGGACCGGTGGGAGCCCAGGCTGGATGCACTTATTGCCAGGATCAGCGATGCTTTCGGCGACTCGTTCGCGCGCATCGGCTGTGCTGGACAAGTCAGCCTGGACAAAGTGGAAGGCGAGCCGGGTCCGAACGGCGAGCCTGGCAGCAGCGAGTTCGACCAATGGTCCATCCAGATCCACGTCAAGTTCCGTGAACATGAGCAGCTCTCGATCCTGGATTCCCATCGCCAGTCCGGTGGTGAACGCGCCGTCAGCACGATCTTCTACCTCATGGCGCTCCAGTCACTCTCCGCCTCGCCCTTCCGTGTCGTCGACGAGATCAATCAGGGTATGGATCCGCGTAACGAGCGCATGGTCCATGGTCGCTTGGTGGATATCGCCTGCGACCCCGGCGACGACGGAGCCACCGACGAGAGCGGCAATCCTCTTGGCGGCGGTGGAGGTGGCCAATACTTCTTGATCACGCCCAAGCTCCTGAGCGGACTGTCGTACAAGCCGGGTATGAGGGTGCTCTGTATCTACAGCGGCGAGCATATGCCGGAGGAATACACCAAGCTGGATTTCGGCCGTGCAATTCGTAAGATGAAGGCGATCAATCGGCAACGGGAAGCCGGCACAGGCAAATCGCAGGCGGTTGGGAATCGTTCTCAGATCGACGTCTACGGCTAATGGATGGCGGATCGTTTTTCATATACCCCTTCCATCTATCATGTTCTGATGATCAATAATCACTTTTTTCTACTATTTCATTATCAACGGATAATTGTTCGCCTTTTTGGAGTCTGGGTCGGGGGCAGTCTCGGGGGTACTGCGAGGATCCCATTGGTTCTTTTCACATCGCGTCAACCACTTTTTTTGCAGATACCCAGATTTACAATTGGATCATTTTTATGAACGATATTGGAAGGCATAAGTGAATGTTGGGTAGCTTGGCTAGGAAATCAGCAATTTTGATTTACCTAGCTACCTAGGTAATCGCCGTGCAATTGACTCGGCTGCTAAGGTTCTTCGGAACAACACATATATATATCTTCTAGGTACCTACCCATCGAATCATAATTGCTCCCAATCATGGTTTCTATGCCGCAGACCAGGTACTGTAACTACGATGTCAAGATTGAAATAAAACGGAACCGTTCAAAGCGCAATTATCATTCAATTCGCACCAAATCTATCTGAGAACACAGAACAGCAACTGTGTCTCTCGTAAGTGGTCCATGCGCAATGGAAGCTCTCCAGAACTACTGAGGTCGCCGCCAAGACCGGGTGACGCGGTCGATCACTGGCCATCCAATTTAGCCATTCGAAGGAAGGTAACAACGTGATCGAGCTCACGTCACGCATACCGATAGAACGAATCTCAGAATTGCATCACTGATGGTTCGATCTAAAAATATGTGACGCTCTATTGACGCCCCAAGGCAATAGTATCGCAATCCAAGGGACGCGATGATCAACAACGGCGTGATCGGAGCGACTAAGCCAAGTAGGCCTAGTGGGCATCGCCTCCATCGTCATGGCTTCATCAATGCGATGCGATCAACTGGCTGCATATAGTACACCATTGCGTAGGAACTTGGTATCGGCATCGCTTGAACGGGCAGGTTTACCCCAATAATCAGACCTGGAGCTACGTACCCAATGAACTAGTGAACTAACTCATCAGGACCTGCCTGGCCGGGCAACCCCATAAATCACTCACTAGTTCGGAGTGGAGCACGAACCCACCGCGAGCCGCCGGGCCAACTTCTTCTTCCTTCCTGGCTCCATGCATCGTCGGCCACCCCGTGTCTGTGCCCACCCGATTTCCCTCCCTCCTCCACTCGACCCCCGACCCAGGCCCACTGCTTCGGTAAACGGGCCAGGGTGACTAAGTCCGTTACTACATGCAGGCGGGGGCCAAACGCTCGCACGGAGATTATAGGGGGCATATTCCAGGCAAATCCAGGCCTGCATCCCCGGGGAGGTAGTGGAACCAGCGCAGCCAGCAGCTAGCGACATACTCTGGAGTACATTTGTTAGCGACCGGTTGCGAGTGAGCTTGCAATGTGACGAGACTGCATCAGGTGAGTCATTACGACGCCTTGGTCTCTACCGACCGGAGAGAAGTCGATACTCGGTCCCAAGGGTGGGAGTATCTACCATCCACTATCTACCTGCTCGATGGAGCAATCGACGTGGATCAGATCGATCCCTGAAAGCGGAATCATCTCTCCGTCAAGGCCAATGCTGATGGAGGGGGGTGTTTGGGAGTTGTGTTTGGGGGGCTCCGTGGGCTAGAAAGTTCTTTGGACTCGACAGGGTCAGCAACCCTGTTCGGATCGGACCAGACGACGGAAACAGTCAAGATCACCTCGATATGCGGAGTCTCGTACGAAAGGGCTTTGATGCTCGCCTCCAAGTCCCGCTTCTCCCACCTTCCTCCCCTCGCAATTGCGCTTGCACAGCATAAGGCCAGCAGCCCATCATGACCGCTAAATCGACTAACGCAGTTGATCCTCGTGCTCGCAGCGCGCCCGCTTCGGACTCGTGTCATGCAGATCGACCACCGGGCGTTTCCGCCGCAGATCACAGGCCCCATCTCGGAGGTTTTGCATGCCAATTGCTGGGCGACGGGCCTCGCTACGGCCAACTCTAAATCGGCTGGATTCCTTGGGCCCTCATTGCATTTGCCTCCGTCCCCGTTTTTCCCCCTCGGTGACCGTCCGGGCGCGAGGCCCTAGAGTCGCAAGGCGCTGGTGCCCGCGTTAGCGGGGCTCCTGCTTGCTGACGAGAAACAGGTGGCGTAGGCCCTTTTGGCCTTTTCGACCTCTCAAGGTCCCCCATGCAGCTGCACGGCCAATTTTCAGTATTCAGGATTTCTCCTCATCTCCTCGCAACTGCAGGACGGACAAGGCTGATCGACACTGCGCCTCATGCGGTGGGAATGGCTGGGCCAATTGGTCGGATATTCCACGATCCCGTAAATCCTCGCAGCCTCCAGCCAATAAGACGGGCGGAGCGACATTTCTCGCCATGCCGGTTTCACGAGGAAGCTTCAGCGCAACTGGCCCTTACACGTTGCATGCGACCCGGACCCATCGTACATCACATCCACCATCCACCATCCACCATCCACCATCCACCCACCATGCCGGCGCATGGACCAGATCTTTTTTTGGGCCTTGTCTGGCTCCGCGTGTTTGGCGGGGTGGAACCGTCCGGTCGAGGGACTGAACACTTGGACTGCACGCTTTGACGTCCCTGGGAAGCTTGCGAGTTGGGGCCTTGTTCCATCCCCAGTCGGAAAGTCAACTCTGCAGTGCTACACAACCCACTCTTCGCTCTCTTCTTTATTGGCTTGCTGGGTCGACGGTGGACTGTTCTCAACGCTCAGTCACCGCTCCTCTCCGGCCGGTGACCAACCACCGGCAGTAGGAGCCATCATTCTGCCTTCACGAGGTATAGCCAAAGACTAACCAGTAAATCCCCCACGAAGTATGACGCACCAACCCCCCCTCCCTCTCCCCCCCTAAGCGCCCATCCCTCCTTGACCTCTTACCGACCTCCCTATCTAGTCTACGGATCTACGGAGTAAATTCGGCACATTCGCGACGCGAGAATGGGAATGGCTGCCTGAGCGAATCCGCCACTCACAAAACCCTTCTATGCTGGAGGAGAACGCGCGGACGGATCTCCGTGGCTGGCGCCCTTGTCCTTGTTCCAACGGTTGGCATCCTGGTCCAGGGGGCGCCGCCCCCCCTCGACCATCCACCCTGCATCCGTTCTGTAGGAAATACTCCTTGCCCCCGGGGGGCTTGATCGTATCCACGGCTCCGGAACGTTGGAGCTGCTTCCAGCCTCCTTGGGCGTGGGGCCCTGACACCAATCTAACGGCGAAGGTCGATACATCACGCCATGCTGTTTGAACCACTGACCCTGTGATGCGATGCGCCGAAGGTGAGAAGTGCAAGGCGCTTGGAACACGAGATGGGAGACCCCCTTCTGGCCATCTCATCACCGACATAAGTCCGATCCAAAGATAGAAGGCCGATAAAGCACAGACCGCGTGAGTTAACGTGAGCAGTTAACTACACACTATGACGATCAGAATGAGGCTGGCAACAGTTCGCTACAGTATATACTGTAGTGTGTACGGAGGACATCGTGTATACGTGTATACGTGTGTTCTGTATATTTTTATTGTATGTATCCTCGAGACCTGCTCTACCCCTGCTAATTACTCATACTCGTAGCTGTACTCGTAGCTGTACTCGTAGCTGTACTCGTAGCTGTACTCGTAGCTGTACTCGTAGCTGTACCTTACTCGTAGCTGTTACGGACATCCCCCCCGACTCCAAGAGCGTGGCCCGGCCGTCGGACAAAGAATCTCGATCATCCGCATCTCACATCCCCACGGAAGCAGTCAGACCCGGCATGGAGCCCAATCGACGTGCCACAGCAGCTCCCACCCGCTTTAGGACTATGATCCGATCTCCGCGTCGCACGACGTGTCGCAGTCGCCCGTCGCCCGTCGCCCGTCGACCCGTCCAGGGGGCTGAAAATTCAGATCTGGCCGAGACCAGATGACAATATTCCTCTAAGCGAACCCCCCCCCCCCAACACCCACCCGGTTTATTGGGTTCTCCAGGGGAGAAAGAGGGGAGGACAGAGGACAGAGGACAGAGGACAGAGGAAAGAGGAAAGAGGAAAGAGGAAAGAGGATGAGGATGATGGAGGGGTGGGGGTGAACACGTCGCCGGTCAGCAGCCCGTGGTGCCCTTGCCTGCATTGTCCTCCGGACTGGCTGTACATGTACAGCTGCTGGCGGGCGCACCTCCAACCAAACTATGGACGGAGGAGAGTGACGACGGTCGGTATGGATTGTACGATCTACTAGGTACAGTACTTGCGAGAATCCCTGTGTCGACCACACAGTATCCAATCGAGGTGCGTGGCCTGCGGGCATGGGATGCAAGATGCAACATGCAACATGCAACATGCAACCGTAGGATGATCTACTGTAGCGCTCAACGGACGACAGGACGGATGGGGAGAGGTGCGAAGGACGGCGTACGGCGTACGGCGTACCGTAGTAAGGGAGAGGAAAAAGGGAAAGTGAAAGGGAGAGGCAGAGGCAGAGCTACACTGTACTGAACCATGGAAAAACAAACAAACACCGAGTCTAACCTCCGCATCTCGACCGTTTTGACTTTCCTCCCCCCAGAAACGAAAACCCCCCGTTAGCTTCTGGTTCTGGTACGGACCACGCAACCTCGATGACCCAGCCCGTGGTTATCCCTGCAGGATGTGGGATACTCGTTCGCCGGGAAGAATCCATTGCCGGCATGGTTCAGGAAAAACCAAAAACCAGCCCCGTCGAGGTCGATCATCACAGGATCTGCCATTAGTGCCACCGCCGCGCAGCCTACTTACAGTAAGTCGGTCGTAAGGCTCGGGACTGGACTGGATGGGGAGAGGGTGACCGCGCCCTCCTTCTATCCGAACCAACGCATCACCCGCATGCCAGGGTCTAAAACGATCGCCGTGATCCGGGGTGGTTCGGTAAGTGGGCGAGCGCGTGGCGAGGAGAAGGAGGAGGAGGAGGAGGAGGAAGAGGAAAGAGAAAGAGAAAGAGGAGGAGGGAGGATGGAGGGATGGTACCCTCCTCTCCTGAATGGAGGGAAGACGTCACGGCCCAAGGATGACCTCTCGTCCCCAAATCAGTCCAGTCCAGTCCAGTCCAGTCCAGTCCCAACCCCCGCGACGGTGCGCTGGAGGTGGCAAAGAATTGGGATGGGGAACTGTACAGAGTACGGGCGTCACTCCCGGTTCTAAGAAACACACTACGGGCGGAGTGGCGCCTAGTCGATAGCAACTAACTACGGACTACGGACTACGGACTACGGACTATGGACTACGGAGTACAGTAACTAACTACTCACTACAGGGCGGAGCTAGGGGCGTAGGGAATACGGACTGCTTACCAAGACCAGGACCAGGACCAGGAGAAGATGGTTGAGAGTGAGGGATATTCAAAAGAGTCAAAAAGAGCGAGGATGCATGGCCCATTTAGGCAGGACCCTAATCAAAGCCCCAAAACTTAGGCCTCCACCGAACCCACGGAGTCTGCGCAGGCCATCGTTACTGTACTCGTGGAGTTACTGGAACTCGTAGACAGTGAATAGCATAGTACTTATCCGCGCGTCGAGCACCGATCGATGTATGGATATGGATAGGATATGAATATTATCAGAACCCTCGTGTAAACACCCAAAGGGGATGGAAGCGAGATCCAGATCCAGATCCAGATCCAGATCCAGATCCAGCTCGGGCATCAACCACGGAATGAGACTGGACATGTGGAGTATGAGTATGAGCTTGCTCCCGAGTACGCAGTAGCCAGGACGGAAGGGGAGCAGAACTGCATCCATCACACATCACACATTGCACATGGCACATGGCACATGGCACATCTCAAAGCCAGCACATACCACAAACCACCAAACCACCATGCTAGCGCCCCACGACTCGCCAAACAAAAACCAAAACAAGGACTCCGTAAACCCCCCCCCTCGAAAAAGAGGTGGACCCACCGGCCGATCGCGGGGTTTATACCAATCCGAGTCTAGGGTGCTTGCTACGATGGCCGACCGCCGCGCATCCCAGAGCCACAGAGCGTCCGGCCCGGCGTGACAGAGATCGACGGCGGTGACGAACAGGTCGTGTTTCACCACGGCTGACACATCGCTGCAGCGCTAACTAACTAGTTAGGACCTGGGAAAAAGAGAGTTACGGTTACAGGTCTCGCCTAGCCGCATCGGGGGGCGCAGGCGCCCCCGGAGCGTGGGCGGTCCCGCGAGAGATCGTTGTGCGATCATCGGTCGATCCTTGCGCCGACCAGGGGGTTGTTACAGCTCCAGGGTTGGCGACTAAGCTGCTCTGGGGATATTCGGTCCGAGGACGGTTCCGGTCTTTGGATTTTGGGTTTGGATTTTGGGTTTGGATTTTGGGGTTGGGGTTGCGTGCACGCAGGGTTCAGTTAAGTTCACCGTGGGGGTTTGGGGTTTGGATTTGGCGGTTGAGTGCGAGGGTGAGTCTGGCGCCGGGACTGGGAGCTTTTGCTTTGCTTTGCTTTGCTTTGTTTTGCTTTTCGAATACGAGGGTCTCCTGAAGTACTGAGTACGGAGTAGACACCGACTCCTGTGGTGGTGGTTTTTTTTGCCCTTCTTTTTCATTCTATTCTTTTGCGTTTGTGAGGACCGCATTCTGGAGCTCCGCCTGCCTTGGACCGATGGACCTGGACTCGGCTCCCGAGGGTTCAGTCCTGGATGGGACTCTAGTCATTTCGGCGCCGAGAGGAAATCTGGGACCATTGCCCGCATCGTCGGCACGGAGGAAAGGTAGGGGGGGTAGAATTGCACTCCATAGTGCGATCCCATTTTGCCTATGGCATCCAGGCGGACAACCCTTTCCCCTCTACTCCATCTTCTCCCCATCCCCATCCCTCCAGACTCCAGGGGGGAAGGTTAGATCACTAGTATCGGACCGACTGGCTGAAATGAGCTATGGCCAGCGGTTGGGATGTCTGAGATGTCTGAGATGATCCAGCGATCCACCGAGCTGATCCGCCGAAACAGGAAGGAGGTTGGGGCGCCGAGTGACAGGTCCGCTTCAGCGTCAGGAGACACGTCAGGGATGTAATCATTTTCCACGTGAGGCGAAGCTTGTGCCGGGCGCTATGGCTAGCGTCCATTTTGGCTTGAGCCATGATATAACGGCGGCCGAGTCTTGAGTCATGATCTGCCCGGAGGCAGACGGTGGACCGGAGGACCCAAGGTACTGTGGGCTGGCGAGCCACAGATAGTTCTGCGCCATCGGCTTCTCCGTACCACATTCTCTGTAACCAGTACTCGGCACTCCATTCGGCCTATAGACTCTCGGCGTACCAGCAGCGCCACTCGCGGCACAGAAAGCCGGCCACCAGCTGGGGGGGGGGGGAAGAAATCAGGCAGAGCGATTCCTTCCACTCGACGAGCCTTCGGCGGTACGAAGGCCGGTCAGAAACGGTCACGGTCACATGCTGTGGGGGCCTAGCTGCGTCTGAGGGATTGATTCGAGGGGGGGGGGGGGAAAGCCCTTTTCCCAGCCACGCGTGGTTGGCTTGACGAACACATGGCACTTGCATGGTGCAGCCGCCGACCGGAGCATGCTGCATCTGACCTCTGCTTTCCGGCAGCCTCGTCACTTCACCGTTTGAGCTGTACGTACCACGAGGACCTTGCCTGAGGAAACTCCAGAGAGATGCCCTACGACTGCTCCTGCTACGGTCGCGTCTGCCCCAGAGAAGATCTGCGGCTCGGCCAGGGGTTGGGGATCATGCACCGATTGAGGAAGGTGAGAACGGCCAGAAGGGTCTCGTTGGGTCAATCGCAATATTAGGGTTGTCCGTGGATTGTGGGCGGGAATGACGCGGAAATAACGGGAATAAGGTGGGTACCTCAAGGTACGTAGAACACGAAAGAAAAACAAATCCAGAAAAAAGGGGTTGTCTCGCGTGGCCATGGGGCCATGGACCCGGATGATCCCCGATCGATCAGCATACCCGGGCGAATCGCTGAAAGCGGGATAGCCCTCCGTATGACACCCGTCAGCCCCGAGGCGCTCACTCGGCCGGGGGGTCTGGGGAGTGACAAGCAAGGCCCTCCTGAATGGCTGCGCAGGGAGTGTTGGGTCGAGCTTCCTTCACCACGGGCCACGACCCGAGCAGCCGGGTCCGGGCCACAGTTTTGCCGTTTTGACTTCGTGGCTGGACATTTCGAGAAAGGAATGTCTCGTCGACAGAGTTTGGGAAATGAAGACGACAGATTGACTTGATCCGCCTCCACAGGGGGTGTCCATGTTTCCAAGGGTTCCCTCACGCTCCTCCATTCGGACCTGTGGTACAGACTTCCCTCCGAGGCAAGTATGCACGCAGGCCAGGCCAGGCCAGGCCATTGTCCGCATTGCTCGAAAGACTGGCACCGGGTGGAAAGCCATCTCCAACCGACCGACGAGCCGCCAGGGGCGCCAATCAGGCTCGGCGAAAGGCAAACGCCGCCTCTCAAAGGGAACGCTAGTCGATCCCGACGAAAAGTGCCGAGGGACGAATGGTGGAGATGCCCAAGACGTGAGGACGGACATGATCAAAATCCCAGCACCAGCATGGGAGTTTGCTTTGCGTCGTATTCGGTCAGTAGTCGTACTCCATGGGTCCCTTCCTCCTTCCCGAAAGAGACGCCCGATTCCGGTTCTTTCCCTCAGGACGATCCTCCTGATCGCCCGTAGCGTGGATCATGATGCCTCCTTCCCACGCCAGTGCAGGAGGAATCCTTCCGTCAATGTAAATTAATGTAAATCAAGGTAACACTGCTGACGAGGCCTCGCGGAAATCCCTCAAGCGCATGGTAGTCTTTCTGTTCCCATGGATCGCAATGCTTTCGTCCACGTCCCAACCGGGTACGTGTACCCGCTGAGTAATCCGCACGGAGCAGGCGATCCTGGCTAAAGGGTTAGCCCGGTGGAGTGCTTCGCTTCCACGAGGTCGCCTCCACCGCCAACGGCCAATCCGCGATCGCGCCGTGCAGAAACCGTGCACGGCCCCCAGCCGTGGGGCCCACTGGACGATGTGTGCTCTCTCTGGACGGCCCCTCGTTCCAGAACGCCGATCACTCAGATCGCTTGTCCCAAAGAGGCTGGTCGGGTCTCGCTCCCAAATGACTCGACCCTCAACCTTCTCTCGGGTCTCGCTCGCCCGCGCCTCGGAGATCTTCAGGAGAAAGAAAGAATCAGAAATTCAGGACGTGATCGGCGGTCTGGCTCCTTCACACGAGTCCTCCACTCTCCGTACCAATAATAGCTACGGTATTTCGATCATCATGGCTCTGTTCTCCTGTCTCCGTATCCTCCTCCCCCTTTGACGATCCAGATCAGAGCACGACGCACGACCGTGCTTGATGCACCTGGGAGGTTCGAGCTTTCGGGGTCGCATGGCAGCGTGCAGCTCCCAGCTGTCCCTTTCTGCTGGCTCGTACGTCCAGACCGGGAAATTCGCTCGACTCTCAGACCCTCGTCGATGCAGGCCCAGGGATGATAAGGTTTGGGTAAGCGAGCCCACATGGGAGTCCCGAGCGCTTAGAGCCGCCACCAAATGATGGGAGCATCATCAGATAGATGAGATGGGATGCATGCATAATGTATCCATCGGACCCCGTCCCCGGAGGAAGGTGAAATGATTCAAGGACCGAGCACCCAAAGCTGGACATCAGGCTGTCTCCGTTTAAACCAGGGAACTGCTGGCCAGCACATCCAAGGCGCTAATCCGCAGGGATGTTCTGGCCCCATCGGAGTTATGGTTGTTTTGGGTTTAGCGCCCGGCCCACCAGTTATGACCTTCCCTTTTGGCCGGCCCTCGCCCCATCCACCACGCGACAGTCCTGAATCCGGGGTCTTCGGGGTTTGAAATTGGGCGGGGATGCCGAGGGAGGAGAGGGAGCAGAGGGAGAGAGAGAGAGAGAGAGATGGACAGAGAGAGACAGAGAGATAGAGAGGGAGAACGAGGGCCGTGGTAGCAGAGAGGTCGACACCATGTTTACTCTATGCGATCTGACGCTCGATCGGATTGCCTGAGGGAGGCCAGAGGTAGCATGTGCACTAATACGAAAAAAAAAAAAAAAAGAATGGGGGCACGGGCCAAAAAGCAAAAATGCAAAAGCGCAAAGGATCGACATGCGATCAAGTTCGGTGCGATCAGCCGTTTATGGGGCTAGTATGTGACAGGTAAGCAGGATCTGCACTAACCGTAGCCGAGGTGGACGGGGACTTTCCGGCCTCCCAGATCGGGTCTAGCGGCCCATCGTCTGGAGGTGCGGCCAGGGGCGTTAGGGGCAGTTGGCGGGCACATCGCGCCCCTCTCATTGGTGGCGGCGGGTGGGGCGTAGGTTGCCTGCTTGCTGTCGTACAGTGGTGGGTTTCTGTTCGCGTGGGCAAATCGTCATGGCTGCCCCACTTGCAGGGTTAATCTCCGACAATCAAAATAGTATTTTTCTCGTACGGAAAAATCAATAAATTGAATTAAATTTAAATTTCAATCCCAAACCAAAAATCAGAAATTAATTAAATTAAGCTTTGGAACGGATTGTCTCACCTGTGGCTTGCTTGCTTTCAATAGGAAATACACCCATACTTCGGTAAATCTCACCCCACTGAGCGACTATCACTGTCGGTACCTGTGACTCCGTACGGGTAAATTACGGGGTGGAGGAGAGGGGGAAGGGAAGGTGGAAATGGAAAAAGTGGAGGGGGCACAATCGGCATCGTCCGCGGGCGATCATCCACGCGAAACCCGGCCACCTGGTTGTGGTAGTTGACGCCCTTGGGGGTCTTGTCTCTCTTAGTGTTCGGGCGTGGACTATGTATAAACCCTCGCTCCCCGTACATCTTCGATCTCCTCTACTTCGAACTTCCTGCCATCCTCGTCCTCCCTCCTCCCCCCCCCCCCCCCAAAACACACACACACTTTCTCTACTCTCTCGAGGGATCGGTATCAATCTATATCTACCGCATTAATCTATCCTTCCCGATTTATCCCCCAATTCCTTTTCAATCTATCATCATGGATTTGGCCAACCTCCTCCACGGCACCGCCTCGGCCCCCAAGCCGTATACCGAGAGCTACGGCAAGCGCTCATTCCAAGCGCCTCTTTCGCCCCCAGTGGAGGATCAGCCCAAGTGCTCGCTGCCCTCGATCTCGACTCTGCTGGAGGGTGCCGATGGAGCTCAGCATGCAGCTAGTGAGTACCCCGATATCCCACCTCCTGTCCAACAACAATCCTCATACTAATCAACCACCCCTCAGAGCGTCAACGCCTCAGCCCGCCTGCTCACCAGCGCGATGCCCGCTACGACACAGTCTGCCTGCCGCCCACGCCGCCACTCCGGCCAGGCTCAGGCTCCGGCCACAGCAGTGCCTCGCACTCGCCCATCGAGCGCCATACCACCAAGCACACCTCCCCCCACCCCCACCGCTCCTCCATCTCCAGCACCACCAGCTCCACGGCCCCCCAACAACATATCTCCCACGCCGGCCCCTACGCCTCGCCCGCCCCCAGCGTCTCCTCATCCACCTACACATCCCCCGTCGAGACCACCCCCCCAAAGCACCATGTACTACGCCCGCCCACCCAGCACAACCACCTTCAACCCGCCCACCCCAGCAACCGCGCCCCTGCCCACCAGCCAAGCAGCCTCGCCCGCGCTCATCTCGCCCGTGACTCCCGCCTGGCAGCACCACCACTATTTCCCGCCGTCCAGTGCGGCGCCCTACCAGCAGAACCACGACCGCTACATCTGCCGCACCTGCCACAAGGCCTTCTCGCGGCCGTCGAGCTTGCGCATTCACTCGCACTCGCATACGGGCGAGAAGCCCTTCCACTGCACACACCCGGGCTGTGGCAAGGCGTTCTCCGTGCGCAGCAACATGAAGCGCCACGAGCGCGGTTGCCACTCTGGTCGGCCGTCAGTGCCTCCCGCTGCGACTCTTGTGTCGTGAGAAAGCGGAATTTAATCTTGCAGACCAGACCCAAGTCAGGAACTCGATTCGAGTCTTGTCTTGTCTTGGCTGGTCTTGGCTGGTCTTGGCCTTGGTTCTCCGGGTCTTTGTTTCTTGTCTCCTTTGTTACGATCCTATGTGATCTCCTTGTCCTTGTGTTGGTCTGGGGACGGGGCGTTTATTGAGTTTATTGAGGTTTCGATTTTAGGGCCTCGCCCCTGGTGCTTCTCGCCGTGATACCCTGGATACCTTGTTGGTTTTTGTTGAAATGTTTGAGATATTGAGCTTTCTGGTCGGATTGATATACTAGATGGATGGGACTGGGACTCGATATAAAAACCCCCTAAAATTACGAGGCAATGTATTATTTCTATGATTCTCTATACTTTTCTCTCCACTGTGCACTCTAGTCTTGAGGGCGTAGAATCGTCGGTGTGGGGATGGGATGGGATGGTTTCAGGGTCAGGGTCAGGGTCAGGGTCTTGGTCGTTCTTGTTGGTGGGGTCTTACAGTAAGATGATCTTGTGGAGTGTCCGGCGAATCTTCGGGATAACGCGCAGGACTTGTCTCGGCCTGTCGCACCCGTGGAACCGGAGGTGGAGGTGCACGTAGTACGCATGTGGATTTGAGCAAGCACAGCTATATACAGCTGCCCGTGTGTCTTGGGGAGTCCTTCTGTCACGTTGTGGTCAGGGGTTATGTTAGTGTAATCTAGGTCTATGCACAAGCTGAACGGGTTTGCTCAATGTCTTTTAACAAATGGAATGACTCCGGAAAGGGGAACCAATTTATCCAGTCTATATCCAGTTCGTATCTATGAAAAGAAAAATGCAGAAAAGGGACCAAAATCGTCAGCGAAGATATGCCGGAAAGCGACGATAGATGAGACCCATATATCCCTGTCCAACCATCCAAATCCATATCCATACCCATATCCATATCCATATCCAAATCCATATCCATATCCAAATCCAAATCCATATCCATATCCAAATCCATATCCGTATCCAAATCTATATCCGACCCATTCATAAATCATCAATCTCATCTTCACCACTCACTCGCTCACTCCAACCACCATATCCATATCCATATCCATACTCCATCCTATTCATCCATAAATCATCAATCTCATCTTCATTCCCACTCACTCATCAAGGACGCCCCTCGCCAACGCCGCCAAACTCGTCTCATACCTAGCCGGATTATGATCACTCAACATGCCCGACGCAAACCTCAACTCGCCAAAGAAAGCATCCACATCCCTCACAAACCGCATCTGCACCCTCGTGGCCGGTCGGCCAAGCCGCGGATACCCATCCCCGCAAAAGTCCGGCACAGGCGTGAACGCCTCCCGCTGCAGGACGCGCATCGTCTCGACGACAAATACCTCGCCGGGGGGCATCAGTTTCGGGGCGCGCATCTCGTCGCGCAGCAGGCCGAGCATTTTCCAGGCCCAGGCGTCCTCGCCCACACCGTCGCCGGCATGGAGGACGTGCGGGGGCTGGTTGACGTAGAATTTGTGGATGATGCTTTGGCGCAGGCTTTCGTGCAGGCGTCGGCGGACCTGCGACTTGGCGCCCGAAATATCGCTTTTGAAGGCGAGGGAGGCTGTGTGCATGTCGTGTAGGACGCCGAGAGAGAGGCTGGGGACGACATCTTGGCCATTGACAATTGTCGTGATCAGGCCGCGGGTCGCGAGTCGGAGGAATGGGGACATCACGGCTGGTGGGCCGTAGGCGTAGACGTGGATTGGGCGGCCGGGGGGTAGGTCGTAGGCGGGTGGCGTTGTTGGGGGTGAGGAGCCGTGGCTGGTTTTGCTGTCGACTGTTATGAGGCGAGGCGGGGACGTAGGCTTATAGGATGCCGTCACGAACGATGTCCCCGTGTGAGCGCTGTTGGGCTCGGCGATCATCGTTGCCAGCAGGGCTGCAACGCCGCCCCCCAAGGAGTGGCCGCATAGGACGACGCCGTAGTCTTGAAATTCTTCCAGAGCGGCGCGCAGAGTAATCATGACCCGGCCGCCGCCACCTTCAAGCAGTCGCTTGGCGGAGGCGTGCATGCCCTTGTGCACTTTCCAGTTCTTTCCCTGCCATTCTAGATCGTCGTAGTCGCAGGTCATATCGGTGAGGATGTCCTCGAAGCCCCATGTCCCCCGAAGAGTCAGGACCAATGCCTTGGACTCGTGGTCGATGGAGAGATAGTGCACAAGGGGGAATCCGCTCTCGGTCTCACCAGCTGCATTGGATCCGCCCGCGGGGTCGACAAACGATGAGAGAAGAATTGTCGACGGAGGAAGGCCAGCGTGATCTGAGAACGCGCTGTGTTCATGGCTGTCAGACAGAGGAGCCGGTAGACTCTTTGTGCCTTTGGGCACACCCATGACCTTGAGCGCGCTAGCGCCATATGATGCAGACGAGAAGCGACAGAATCGGCGGATGTTTTGAACGAAGTGTCTTTCAGGAAAGATGCCTGGTACCAAACCATCGCGATTTAGGGCCTGAATGGTGCTCACATCTTCATACGCACTCTTGCGAGGCCTATGTGCCAGCACAAGCGATGTCTCCGAGCCCGCAGTGGCGACTGAGTACATACTGGGTGTGAAGGACTGAGATCGTCTGTGTAGGGCCGATGAGCTTGGCCGGTAGTCGTTCACGGATACAGTTCCATCCGCCTCCGATCTGGTCAAGGACAACGAACTGCTACTGCGAACATGGGCCCTCATAGCTGCCGGCGAGCCGGGGCGCAAGCCATCATTGCGGCGCGAGAAAGTATCCGTATGAGTCAGGAGAGACTCTTGACTCCTTTCACGTACTGCAAAGTGCCCTGCCCTGGAGCTGCTCCGGTCGGGAACTTGGCGAGGAGGAACATGTCTAGCGTGCGCCCTGGGCGACGGGGGTGACTGAGGCGAGCTTGGAAACGGGGATCTGCGCAATCCTCTATTCGGAGCCGGGGTGCTTGGTCGAGCGTCGACCGCCTCGGTGTGTCGCCGCTTGGGATCCGACCGGCCAGAAGTCTCGCGCACAGTCGCTTCTCTGACAGAGGCAGCGCCTTTTGTCAGTCTGGTGGGCAGGCGTGTACTGGGGGGGCTCAAGGAGCTGGGTGATTTCAGAGCCGGCTTCTTGGGTGGTGGCCGCTTGGGATGCTCGTTATTCTCTGTCGTGCCATTCTGTTTGACTCTTTTGGCGAATCTTGCAAAGGAGGGTTTTCCGAAGGCGGGTTTCTGACTGTGGTCGCTTGCAGATTCAGAACTTGTCGCGTCCTGCCGCATGATGGTTATATCGCTTGCGGAATCGGGATGCGGATGGACCCGGCCATGTGGTGCTCTGACATGCCCGTTGGGCAGCGGATTCGGAGGAAGTGATCTTGGTGGACGTTGCATCTCTGTCGGGCTTGAAACGCGTGGAGCGTCGTGAGGGCGGAGCTCAGTGCTTTGGGATTTATTAAAAGCGGTTCGGAATACGACAGTATGTCTTGGAAGCCGCTGGTATTCTGGCACAGATGTGTTGTTATACTCGTGGTCGTGATGGAACCTCTCCTCAACCATCATCGTACCCGGGGGCGCAGCTATTTCCGCCATATCATCGTCAAATATGTCCACAGTGATAGTCCGCGCGGTCAAGACCTCCGATTTGATCGAAGCGTGGCAGCCTTGGGGCAGTTGGCTCATAATGTAGGACCGAATGTCGTCGTCGGATACTTGCTGTTGACCATCCAATTGGAGCGAAAGGCGAGATCCAGAGAAGGGTTCTGTAAAGCTTGGTCGCCGATGCACTGCGTCAAATGCCTCGTCGTCATGGCCCGGCATCACAAAGGACGCACTTTCAGGTTCTGCCAAGTCCTCCTGATTCCCATCTGGGAACTGTACTTGATGTGTTCCAACGACATCGGCCCTGAGGCCATTGTCCAAAATCACAGTATCCCAAACCACTTCATCGCCACCCTTTTGACGGAGATTGCGTTCCGTATTCTTCTTGCCCCAGCGCTGGAGGAGCGCGAAACCCACGGAGCCAAGAAAAAGATCTCCAACGCCAATCTTCTCGGCACTAGCGCCCGTATCGACGGATCTAAACTCGCGTCGGATAAGAGTAATGATGGCCGCAATGGCCCTCGACGACTCGGTAGATCCAAGGATTGCATCGAGAGTTGATAAAAGAGCCTGTGAGAAATTTGCAACCGACGCCAGCGTGGTGGACGAGAAATGAAAAGAGGCTGCGGCAAAGAATGATGCCGAGGTCACGGTTGTATGGAGAGTTGCTAACTGTTGGACATTTGAGTATTTGAACGTGACCCAGAAGGGATTCGGATAACATACACTTCGCTCCAATAATGATTCCGCCTCCATCCGCCCATGTTCATCACCACTGCGGATGGCCACATCTCTCCCAGCCCTGGTTAGAATCCCCTCGATAACGGCACGGCCCAATTCCAAGCCCGTCAACGTCGTCGCCCGCGCACCATCCAAGGCCACGCCGCCAAAGAACGTGCCCACTCTCAACGACAGCGATGTAGACTGTGTCAGCAGCGAAACGAGCGATGCAACTGGCCGTGGAAGTAGTGTGGTGCCTGAGGTTGCGGGCACATGGCTGGCGCCGGCGTCCAGGGTGACCTGCGCTTGTTTTTGGTCCTGTGGATCCTTTTCAGGGTCACGATTAGGCTTCGCAAACATCATGAGCCATGAGGGTGATGTCGTGGATGAGGATGAAGAGGAGAGAGAGGGGCTGAGCCATGGAATCCGACATTCTGTATCGATGACTTGGAGGGCGCCAGTCATGCCTGATGCGCGCGTCTCGTGCCTGGCCTGACATGTGATTCAGGGATTCCCAACGACGCGTTCGTTGGGATGACGTAGAGGGTACATCGGGTTTTTGTCCATTTGGCCCAGGCTGGGCTCTTAATTACACTCGTTGACTCGTGTTCGCTGCGGTTCCCAGGTACTTGGTACCTGTGCCTGGCTAGTTTACATCATCGCCTTCACATCGCCCGCGTGCTGCACCTTGCGGATCATCTTCCGATCGCACTCGGCCACAGTGCGGATCCCTGCCAGCCCCATACTCTGCCAAAGATCGGCCAGCAGGCCCTTGAATACTTGCTTCGCGCCATTGCGCCCGTCGATACCGAGCCCATAAATCACCGGTCGGCCGACCAGCACCGCCTTGGCTCCCAGTGCCAGCGCCTTCATGACATCCACTCCCGTCCGCACGCCGGAGTCGAAGAGCACAGTCAGGTTGTCGCCGACCGCGTCGACAATCTCCGGGAGGACATCGAGAGACCCGATGGCACCATCGAGTTGACGACCTGTCGGGGATGTGAGAATTTGCGTGTTACCCTTGTACAATGCTACGGGGGTACAAAGTATGCGCGATCAAGGGGAGCGGGGTTCACGTACCGCCGTGGTTGGAGACCACAATCCCGTTGCACCCGTATTCCAGCGCCTTCTTCGCATCCTCCACGTGCTGGATACCCTTCAACACCATGGGCCCATCCCAGTGCTTCCGCACAAAAGCCAATTCCTCCCATGTGTGGGGACCGCTCGCGGCAACCTGACCGAGCCACGCACGCGACGCACCCAGAATGTCCTCTTCAATGGTGCACCCGGCCTCTTTCTCAAACTTCGCGCGGAAAACCGGATCGCTGAAACCAACCTGGCATCCGACGCCCTTGAGAAAGGGAACGTAAGCCTGATCCAAATCCGCCGGGCGCCATGCCAGAGACCAGGTGTCGAGCGTGATAACTAGCACGGAGAACCCGTTCTCCTTAGCACGCTTCAGCAGCGACAGAGTGATATCGTCATCCTTGGGCCAGTAAAGCTGGTACCACCTCTTCCCGCCGTTGCTTGCGGCTGCGACTTCTTCAATGGTGCTAGTCGCGGCCGTGCTCATGGTGTAAGGCACCCCGAGTTCCTCACAGACCTCCGCCAGACCCGTTTCTTTGTCCTCGTGGAAGATGCCCTGCACACCGACGGGAGCCATGATGAGCGGGTTGTCGTATTTCTGTCCGAACAACTCGACGGAAATATCCTGGCGGTCCATCTAATTTTAAGATCACAACGGTCAGCTTGTTTACCGGACTGACTGTAGAGTATGAGAGTAGACCGACACTGCGCAGCATGCGCGGGATGCTATAGAACCTAATTAGCACCCATCCAGCCGAGCAAGAACCAAGGCCGAATTACTTACACCTTCCACTGCCGGAACGCCAACCGATTGCTGTCCATCGTCGCCTTCTCGCCCGCACCACCAGCCACGTAATTAAACGAGCGCTCTCCAAGCGCCTTCTGCGCCTGCTGCTCCAACAGCCGAGGATCAGTCGTGACACTAGGCAGGATGCCCATCAGGGCACCCTTGCCGTAAATCTCAGTCTGGTAGCTTCCGTAATTATCCTCAGACATGACTAACAGGCGTGATCAGCAGGATTATAGAAGTCGAAGTGGCCAAGGGTCGCAAAGCTGGGGAAATGCCCCGGATGGGGTTAGATCGGGTGAGGGGTTGAACCTCGGTCGGTATGAGGCCCGCATTGGAGGGCCGAGCGGGTGCCCTGAAGTATACAAGCGACCTCGCATCATTGCGCGTTGACTTGAATTGTTCCATGTCTGTCATGACCTTGAGGACGCGCGTGCATACAGGGCTTCGTTGGAGTTGCTTTGCTGTGTTAGGACGTACTTATCCATGGGCGATCTCCTGTGGCGATCGCAAAAACAGGGTCTGCACCCGGGGGACTACTGGTCGATAGTTGGGCGATCCCTGCAATGCATCTTCTCTGCTACGTTGACGTACCCATGTACTCTGTGCTTCACCGCAGACCCATGCGAGGTGATGTTGATCATTATCAAAGGGCTAATGATTCACTTCAACCTAGCCTGGCGTGCTTGACCATCCGAGAAGTGCTCCGATTCCGCTGCAGGCGACCCGCTCCCTTAGCGCTTGGCAACCTTAACCCTTTAAGCGTCCCTGCCAGCAAAATTTTCTCTGGCGAGCTAATCATATCTTCGGGTCCATTAAGCCTTTCTCGGCTTAGCGACATGCTATTAAGCTCTTGACGACTTGGTTCTGTTTGTATCAGTCATCTGTGAAGCATCCCATCGCCGAAGGGATGGAGGGGCATGTCGAACCGAAGGGGGACATTGGTCCATCGAGGCCCGACGAACCTGAGCCTAAGCTGGCGGATGAGACCAGCTCGGTGCCGACGCTGGTGGAGGAGAAATTGGAGCGGAGGTTGATTTGGAAGATTGACCTGCATGTTCTCCCGATCGTGGTGTTGTTGTATCTGTTCAGCTTTCTTGACCGAGGTGCGTGTTGCCAGATCCTGTCTGACTCACACAGTGGTTTACGACTGAAGCAATGGACAAATCCTGACCAATGGCAGTGAATATCGGCAATGCGCGCTTGTATGGTCTAGAAGAGGACTTGGGATTGGTCGGGGATCAGTACCAGATCGCGGTCTCGATCCTGTTTGTGACTTATTGTGTATGTCCATCGTTTCATTTTTGCCCTTGCCATTCCCCACCTCCCCCCCCCCCCCCAACCCACTTACGGTGATATCCAGTTCTTTGAGGTGCCTTCCAACTTGATAATCAAGAAACTGAGGCCCTCTCGGTATATTGCCGTTATTTCTGTGCTGTGGGGGATTATCGCGACCCTCACGGGCATCTGCCAAAATTATGGCGGCCTCATTGCCTGCCGTATTCTTCTGGGGATTGTCGAGGCGGGGCTCTTTCCGGGCTTCATTACCTATCTCACCCTCTTCTACAGCAAACGAGAGATCGCCCTGCGAACCGGGTACCTGTTCAGTAGCGCTGCTATTGCGGGTGCCTTTGGCGGCCTTCTTGCATATGGCATCGGCTTCATGGATGGTGTCAGCGGGCTTCGGGGATGGCGGTGGATCATGATTCTCGAGGGGATCCCAACCGTGATCCTAGGTGTGGCGACCTGGTTCTTCCTGGCAGATGAGCCTGACACTGCTTATTATCTGAATGAAGAAGAACGAGCGCTTGTCGTGCGTCGCCGTAGTCGCTACGTGGGCCAGACAGCATCTGCCCAAAAGTTCCACTGGGCGGATGTCCGGGAGGGTGCGCTCGACTGGAAGATTTATGCCTTTTGCATTGGCCAGTTTGGCGTGGACACCATGTTATACGGGTACAGCACTTTCCTGCCCACCATCATCAAGGGAATGGGCAATTGGTCCACGGCTGAGGTCCAGGCACTAACCATCCCATGCTATGCTCTCGGCGCTATTGTCTACCTCGGCGTAGCCTGGCTGAGTGATCGAATCCAGCACCGCGCATTCTTTATCTGTCTCTTCAGTGCCATCTCCGTCATTGGCTACGGCATTTTGATTTCGGATACCTCGTCGGGAGTGCACTATTTCGGCGCCTTGCTGGTCGCTCTGGGTCTCTATGTTACCGTCGGTCTGCCGCTGGCCTGGTTACCCACCAACCTGCCCCGGTACGGCAAACGCACGTTCGCGACAGGCCTGCAACTCACCTTCGGCAATATTAGTGGTGTCATGTCCCCATTCCTATACAAGAACTCAGAGGGGCCGCGATTTGTGCGAGGCAATGCTGTCACGCTGGCACTGGTGGGGTTCGCCGGGGTATTGTATGGTGTCATGTGGGCTTGTCTTCGTGTGATTAACAAGCGTCGTGTTCACGGTCTCGAAGATGAGAAGATTGCCTCCTTGTCGGAGGCGGATATTCAAGAACTTGGTGACCGGAATCCTCGATTCCGGTATAGCACTTGATGAATGGAAGGAGAAGAGGAGCATTGTATGACCATATAATACGATTTTTACTTAGACACCTACCAGTTGGACGGCCTACTGATCTCGACAAATCTTGGGTTTGCGTCCATGAAGTGAAGCAACACACTGCAGAACTGATCATCTTGAATATTGTGCGAGAATGAACGGTAGAAATTGGTAAAATGAAATATGTATATAGAGAAAAAAAGATTAGACCAAACCGGGGTTCGAGCGGGGCCTCTTCCAGCTGAGTAGTGCCCAACTATTGGGTTAGTTAGTAAATGCGCAATCGTGCGATGAAACACAGCGAGAATCATACTGTATTCTGATTAGTGGACGTCATGATGGAGGAAGTATGTTTTCCATCCAGGCTTATATTTCTTCCGAGAAGACATCATCAAGGAGCAGATGAAAAACAGAACTTGACGGAGGAAAAGAAACACAGATAGGAGCGGGTCGGATAATCCCGTAGCCACCGTGACGGTAATATCAATTCCAAGGGATATACTTTGCCACTACTAGCAGCACTAAATATCTTGGGGGACACGCGCAACACCCGTCTTCCAACTACGCACATTGCAACAGATCTGTCCTGGAAGACCCCCACTGCCTTGCCGATGGAGGATCATATTTGAATGAATGACCTGTCCATCCTGGGATGGTATGTAGGGATGAGGGGATATACATGTGTATCAATACAATGATCCAATTTTGCGGCTGCTCGGGCTATGTTGCGGATACCCACTACGTGAACGTGCGGAAAGAAAAACCAGGGAACTTTGGTGACGTTGTTGGCAAGAGAGAAACGCCAAGAAGATCCATCTTCTACTCTAGGATTGGACTCTAGTGACCGAGGGAGTTCTTGCGTTGTTTAAATCCATGAGAGAACGTATGGACATCGACGGAGTGTGGTGGAGCTTGTATACATGGATATCAACATGTGGTACAGATCACTACTATAGGATAATTGAAACATACTATATAGCTCGGGAATAGTCATAGAGGAAGAGTATCTGCCATATATCTCCTATAAATATTACAGATCCCCGCAGTTGCCGTGGGGGTTAACTTGGGCGAGAGTTAACTAGCAGTATCATGGTATTTGCCTTCGGCCATATAAGCGCTTTGTTGACCTGTTTAACACAACGCATTGAATAAAGGAACAAGAGGTGAGCCCTATTATTAGATCTCAGAAATCAGTGGCATCTCCCGAAGCAAAAGCAAACAAAGCACCAACTGCCCGGATGCTTTGACGGAGGCTTTGGTAGCAGTCCCCACGTGACCTGTATCCCGGCGAACCAGTCGTGTTTACCAAAAAGTTTCCCTCCTACGGTCGCCTTTTAAGGACTCGCGCTCGCCCCATCCGAGGTGAAACATACTCTTCAAAAAATAATTAATTTCCTTCTTGCGACCCATCATCTCCCTCGACCTTTCTGGATTAATAGTGGTCTCCATTCATCATGGAGTACCACGCCGTACCGCCCGAGGAGCGCGCAAGAGATCAGGATGGCAACCTTCTGCCCTGGGGCTACGTTTACAAGGAGTGAGTACCAAGCTGGTCACTAGCTCAGAGCTTGCCCATACCTCCTCCAGAAAGCTGACTTCTCTCAGTGAGTCTCGCAACCCCCGCCGACCACCAGAGGAATCAGGGCCTTTTGGCAAGAGGAGAAACGCCCGATACGAAGCCCGATCACGAACCCGCACCGGCACCCCAGCGAGGCGCGAGAATCCCAATGTGGTTGAGTTCGGCCGTCTCTTTGCCCAGCAGCAAGAAGACGAACGGCCGACTGGCCTGCCCAAGTCCTCTTCCTCAGGCAGCCTCGACGGCCCGCGGAAGCAAACCGAGAAGGTCGCAACCGAGTGCATTCTCTATGGTTACAAGGCGAAGGATGGCGAGTGGAAGGTGATCGATAAGTACGAGCGCATCTCGCAGGGCATGATCTGCGAAGATTATCCGCGCAGCGATCCCAACTCTGCCAGCCAGTACGCACAGCTGCTGAGCGGCGGTGACGTCGTGATCCGTGCCAACCTATCCGCCGATGCGAACCGCAAGTCCAAGCGCTACGATGGCGGGTATCACTGGATTAAGGTCACGTTTGATTCCACGCAGGCCGCAGACCGGGCGTGTTTCTACTCGCCACAGGAGATTGACGGACACTTGGTGTTCTGCGAGTTGTACCACGGCCATGGTCCGGCGGAAGACAGCGCCATCGCCGCAGACTCTGCGGCAGCCACGAAGCTGCGCAATAAAGCCCCGCGCACCTTGACCTCCACACACTCGACCGCCTTCCTCACCAGTTCCAGCAACGGCAGGGATGCCCAGAGCTCATTAACGCTGCCGCGGTCCTTCGCCATGAACAACCTCTCCAGCGTCGGCGAGCCTGAAGAAGAACAATCCCTCGACTCGTCGACCACAACTGCTACCTCTGGCACGGCGACCGCGACCGCGACCGGAGCATCGACCAGTGCTGGAGGTTCCTCCTCGCTGCACCAACGAAACCTATCAGCCGCCGAGCCCAGACCCGAGTCCGATTTCATGACGCACATCCCCACCGTTAGGCGGACGAAGCTGCGCCCACTGACCGAAGCCCTCCCACCCGGACCGACCCTTACCGAGCGCGTTTTGCGGTCGATTCCTATACTGAGCTGGTTTACGGGTGACATTGTGGGTGACGGGCCACAGCTGAAGGAAGACGGGAGCTTTGATCACGACAAGTCTGGTGTATACTGGCGGTTCTGGTTTATGGTGGACCAGGTACTGGGCACCGATGTATGTGGGTTGAAGGAGGAGCCTTGAATTGGCGGCAGGTAGGGCTTTCTTGCAAAGTCCTTCTTGTATTCAATTCGACCCTTCGGTCTACACTATTACCCCAGCATGCAGCTCCGCCCGGTACCAAAACCCCATAACCCTCCAGCCATCTCTGAAGCAGAGAGGTGCGTGATCGCGTCGAGTGGAGCAGATTGAAAAGGAAGGGACTTTGTGAGGTCCGAACACAGCATTACTCAGGCGTCGCGGTTGATATTTCTTCTGGTGTATGATAGTCCCGCCGGCACTTTTTTGATGTAGACGTTATGAACCGTCCTGAACTGGGACTTTTACGCTCAACCAGCTCCTGTAGAAAATTTGTAGTGATGTGACGTTCAGGCAGAGTTCTAATGCAGGAATAACAGCGCCGCGGCAGGTATTACGTTGCCGTCAATTTCCCATTGGGACCTCGATCAAACAGAACCGAAAGCTCTAGCAAATGATCTCAAGCCCCAAGCCCAAGCATCAAAAGAAAGAGAAAGACACACGGCACCAAGCAAAAACTGGATGAACACATTTCATTGATCATCGACCACTTAATTTTGAATATTCCAGCATAGCGAGAAAGAAGTCGTTCTATGTTGCACGCCTCGGGCGCTTACTCGACCTTGCTCTCGAAGTTCTCGCCCTCGACCAGATCGGGGATATCGTCCTCGTCATCGTCCTTCTTGTCGCCGCCCTGGGCCTTCTGCATGTTCTGGTACGACTCGGCGAGCTTGCGCAGCGAGGCGAGGCTGTCAGGGCCCAGCTGGTTCAGGATGCCGGGGACGAGCTCGGTGAGCTCCTTCTCCTCGCCGTTGCCGTAGAGGGCGAAGGTGTTGGAGGGGACGGAGGCGTGGACTGCAGAGAGGTGGATGTTAGTTTAGGTGGTATCTTTTGCAGATAGGCGGGTGGGCCGGGGGGGGGGGACGGTGGAATGTCCTGGGATGCTAAGCGGCTGTATGGGGCGGAACTCACCGCGGGGAGCAGCGAAGTGGATGACGTTGCCGTCCTCCTTGAACATGTTGACCTCCTCGATGCCCTGGATGGGCTGGACGTTCATCTTCTTCAGGGTGGTCTGGAGCTTCTTCTCGTCGGCACCGGCGGTCTTGTGGACCTTCTTGACCTTGCGGCGGGGAGTGCCCTTGCCTCTGTAGGTGGGAAAATGAGCTTGTTAGCTGGATTTATTCGCATGGCGAGTGGTTTTGTGTGGTTGGGTTGGGGATTGTGGGAATCGGCCGGGGGAGAATTGTGCGTGGTCCAGTGCTCGAATATCTCGGTCTTCAACTGCTGGACATGTAGCGCCCTGCCAGAGACATGATATTGTGTATCGGATAACCGGTCGGATCGGTACTGACGAATTGGACTGCACCGCACGATTCGTATCCGTCGATTTTAAGGTGGGGGAAGATGCCGGGGGTTGGGGTCGGAGATTCAAGGACAGAATGATACATACCCTGTCCAAGAAAAGAAGAGTCAGTCAATGCGTTCTACACGCTCGCTAGCAGCGAAACAGCTCCTCATCGCGAAGGCAATGTCTGTTTGTGAAGCCCCAGGACCAGACCGAGCACAGCGGCAGATCCAACGCGATCCCGCCAGCTAGCTCCGACCTTGACGTCCTTAGCACCTCCAAACAAGACCTCCCGCGACCAGGACCTGCCTCTCGAAGGCGCTGCCTAAGAAGATCACATACCAATCCGCACGCTCGCCTGCATTCTAGCCAGCTTGGCCTGATCCATTGTGTCGGGTCTGAGGGGTGTAATCTGAAGTCGTAGCGAAGCAGCGAATGTGTTAGCCGAAGATGTCCGAACGAGTCATGAAAAGAGAGGAATCCAAGCGTCGCTGAATCTCGCCGAAGGAGTTTGCAGGACGGAATTCGGGCGATAAAAGGTGATGGCGTACCGGTGGGGGAAAATGGGTGGTGGAGGGGTATACGTTCGAAGAGCGAGGTTGAAGGGAAGGTGATGATGCGCATCCCAAGAGTTTTGTGTGGGGTGGCCCGAAACGGTATCTTCGCTAATGCGCCGCGGTGAGTGGCCCGCACAGCTTTTTGCAGGACACCATTCATGCTCTACGCTACGTCTTTATTTTCTATCGTTTCTATGGCCTTGTAGGGGTCTTGTTTAAGGGTGCTGGGGGTTGTTTTGTTGCGTGGCGATGCGGGCTTTCGATTGTGGGCGAGGAGGGACGCTGCTCGGCTAAACCCTAACCGCCGGTCTCGAAGTCAGAGGGAAGACTCGCTTTACGAGAGGCGAAGGGGATATACAACACAACACAACCCCACGTCGATCCGAGTTCAAGCTGTTTGAATACTATCTCCGTCTTCCTCACCCCCCGCTTTCTCATCTCCGAGTGTAAAATATCTCCGCCACGGGTGGTCCGCCTGGAACCCGAGCTCGCATTGCTCAAGGGCGCCTTGAACCCCTCCAGCCTGCGGGTAATCGGCGTCTGCAGTACTTGGAGCACAGGAGCTTCTCCGTGCGCGTCAGATTCACAATTGTATCATTGGCCACATTGAACACCTGGAAGGCCCAGCCCACTCGCCTGCAGCGCGGCCTCGTACATGCCCGCCCCAATCGCGGGCATCGGTATACGACCATCCGTGCACCTTCCACAGACCGGGCTCGTGCAGTAGCAGAAGTCCTCGTTGTACCTCGTCCGGCCCAATGACGAGCCCCCTGTGCAGGCCGTAGATGTCTGCCTCGTAGCGGGCCGCCTACCCGCGGGCCACGCCCTCGTTGCAAAGCTTCACGATCGCATACGGTGTCCGTCGGATAGACAACTTGCTCCTTATCGATCAGAAATGAGCTGTAGTTGGCGTCGCCTTGGGCGAAGGAGGCCCCGTAGACGGTGACGCTGTTGGCGATGACGCCCTTGTGGACAGGTGGTGTTGATGATATACGTGCCCTGTTCGCCTGGAACGCCTCCCTGTCGGCCATCAGCCTCAGATCTGATTTCAGGATCGTGTATCCAGTATCACAAAGCTAGGCGATGACGGACTGGCAAGATTTGCTGGAGCGGCCCATGAACATGATGAAGCCGCAGACCGCGATGTTCGAGGTCACCTTTTGAGTTTTCTTCGAAGATGCTGACCAAGTCAGGGTATCAGATGATGTCGATGCGGAGACGATGATTCCTGGGAATCCATGGAGAACAGGCAGGCTGTTGCTGGGATAGGAATCATCCTGATGACTTTCCTATAGTTCCCCTCCCTCGAGCTCTCGCGATGGCTCGAAAGCACCAGTCAGTGTGGACGCGGAGCGCGAGCATCGTCCGTATAATATGTCCTTGGTGCGGGGGAACATATAGAAAGTATCAACGGCACGCGCAGCCCGTGGCTTTGTACAACAGCGGCGTCAGGCTCGATTGCATCTCGGAAGGGAGGGGGAAGAGGGGCGTGGTGTGAGACGGGACATTAGATTGCCAGTATAATGTGAGATTTGATCGAGATCTATAACCCTATAACCTATATTTTGTAACTATCTACTAAACTCGATGCAGGTTGTCGAATGTCAGAGGGACCCGATTGTTTGACTTGCGGAAATGTCGCTCACCGAGCGGACGAACTTCCGGCGGGGAAGTTCTGCAGCCCTGAGCCATCATAGTGGTTATAGTTGGGTGTAGTTTAGCATAGCCGACGGAAGTTAATATAGTTAATTATAGTTAATGGCACAACTCCAGCTGCCGAATCGGGGTTTGGCGTGTAATTAATGTTCTCGAGGACTGTCAGAATTGTCATGATGGTCAACATCGGACCCCGATCCCTTTTTGCAGCTGCGGAGTTGCATGCCAGTAATATCGATCGATGTCCGGCAAAAGTCCCCGCGGCTGATGGTTTCGGACTGTCTTGTGACCGGATCTACATAGCTCGGTCTCTCAGTCTCTCATTCTCTACCAAATCCCTCCCCTCGATGTCTAGTATCTGCCAAGCTGGCCCTGCAGCCCTGATTGCTCCCAGCCCCGCAGTACCACCTTGGTTTTCAGCTGCAAATCCGCAATAACCAGACTCCACTAGACGGGCCCCCCTGCATGCACCATCGCGACTATTGCATTGGACCCGATCACCCTGCTGAACATATAAGCGTGTCATCGCCCATGAGCTGACATGTGAGCTACCTGTCCGGTTCTGTTCCCGTCTGGCCATCTCCTTTATCCTTTTCCTCCCAAAGGTTCTGAGAGGTTTGTATACGCCGGTGGTGCCTTGCCGAGAAATATACCACGCTCTCCACGATGCGGTTCCTGTGTCTACACGGTGCCAGCACCAATTCCGAGGTACGTCCGTCCTACTTTAATGGGCCTTCCAGGGCACACAGCCTCTTCAGTGTCTGACCTCAGCCCAGATTTTCCAAATTCAAACCGGCGGCCTGCGCCAACCGCTCGAGGAAAAGGGCCACCGCTTCAAATTCATCAATGGCAGCCTTCCCACCGGCGTGGAGGAGGGTACGTTCACCCCCCACTCTGCGCAACCCTCCATGTACAACCCCCCTCTACAAGAACCTGCACTGACACACGCCCTACAGGCCTCGAAGGTGTCGTCGACGGCCCCTTCTACAACCACTACCCGCGCGACCCAGCTCTCCCCAGCGCACAACTAAGCGAAGCATTCGAACACGTCCAGCGCGCGATCGAAAGTGACGGCCCCTTCGATGCGGTAATGGGCTTCTCGCAGGGCGCCGCGCTGGCCGCCGCGCTCATCGCGCACCACACCAAGACGCAACCCACCGCGCCGCCGCTCTTCCGGGCCGCAGTCTTTCTCTGCGGTGGATCGCCGTGGGAGGGCTCGGGGATGGTGCGTATCGTGCCGCAGCCGGACACGTATGTGATCAATATTCCCACGGCGCATGTGGTGGGCAAGCAGGACCCGTTGTACCCGGAGAGCATGAAATTGTATGGGTTGTGTGAGCCGTCGAAGGCGGCATTCTGGGATACGGGGTCGAAGCATATGGTGCCGTTTGATCAGAAGAATACGGAGGAGATGGTGCGGGTGATCGAGGAGACGGTTGCGAAGGCCATGAGGGGGTGATTGCATAACATGCGCTGGGACTCTGGAGATTAGTACGGCCGGCCGCGGCTCGCCGTGATCCCTTTCATGATGTGCACGAGGAGAGGACTTGTGGGGATGAGGTGGTTATCCATATTCCAGCCCGGACGGCTGCAAATGCATTAGTCTGTTCAGCGACTTCTATGAAACATGCATTGATATGTACCCCGAAACATCAAAAGGAAAAAGCCGTAGAAGGAAGACGCTAGTGCTGCTTCGCTGGGGCTGATGCCGGTTTCTGAGGCTGGCACTTCGCCCACATCATTGCAGCGAGCAGTACAACCAGCCCCAGCACCAGCGAGTACCCCCATCGTGCACCCACAGCGCCTTTCATGCCGTGTTCGTCAAGTCATAATCCGGACGACGCCCGGCCATCGCCCTCCGGGGGAATCGTCTTCTCCAGGAACTTCTCGAGGTCACTGACCTCGTCCGGATCCGCGCTGTGACCAAGACCGCTAGCACAATCCAGTTAGCATACTTGCTCGCCTCAATGTCCAAGTCAGAAACGTACGGGTAGGTGTTGAACGAGACATCCTCCAGCCCAATCTCCTTCAGCATCTTCGCCGACCGCTCGCCGTACGCATACTTGACCACCTCGTCCTCGTCGCCGTGTCCCAGGAAGAACGGCGTCTTCTTGTTCGGCCACTCCTCGGGCACGAAATTCTTGATGCGATCGCTCAGCAGCAGGTAGCACGACAGTCCGAACACACCGCCCAGCTTCTCCTTAGCCGTGACACCCGTGAACACGGACATCGCGCCGCCCTGCGAAAACCCGCCCAGCACGATGCGCGAGGGCTTGATTCCCTTGTCGGTCTGCTCCTTGATCAATGAGTTGAAGTAGTCGCGCGAGTGCAGGATGCCGGGCTCATCTTGGCTACGGACGTTGTCTTCGAAGTCGAGCTGGAATGGAAAGAATCGGACGGTTAGCGGATCCTTTGTTTGGTTTGGGGAGCATTTTTGTGGACAAGGAGTGCGGAGAGGGGTGTTTACATCGCGGCCAAGGTGGGCAATGTCGTACCAGCCAGGCATGGCCAGGCCCATATTCTGTCCTGAGTTAGTAAGGTTCTTGTCGCATATTTGAGACCAGACTTACCACTGTGATCGGGATGTTGGGCGCATTGGGGAAGATGAAAGCGACCTCGTCGAACTTGCCGCGGCGGCGCCAGTTATGGGCAAGGGCCATCCTGTATGGAAGTCAATGATAGCTCTCGATAATATGGGGCAAAATCAGATTTCGTACCAGCCAGCACCGCTAGAACAAAGAAAAAGGGCATGTTAGCTCATATTACCAGCATCTATCCGAGGTGGCCTCTGTTGACATACCTATCGCCGAGGCCGTGGGCCATGATCACCGTTGCGGTGTGCTTCGTGAGCGCGGGAACCACTAAGGGGGCGCGAGCAGTCATTTTCTCGAAATTGCGTAGATGCCACAGGTAATTGGGATCAATCTAGTGGTCGCAGCCGAAGGTGCTGCGCCAAGATAAGGCCCGGCGCTGGAGGAGTCAGAAGACAGTGGGAATCATTCTGCCGACTAAAATTTGGCGGTGAGCGAGAGTAGAAGGCGGTGAATACAAAACACTTGCTGAGAGATCTGAGGAAGTCGGCACTAACCCAATAAAGAAATCGCAGATTGGAACACACGATTGAGTGGATATTCAAATACCCGAAGGTCTCCGATGCGGCTGTGGCATTTTTCGTTTCCCATGGCTGTCCGAAATATAAAACCGCTCTGATGCGGTAGAGCGTGTTCATTTCTGTTCACACAGAAATGCCAACCGATATGGAAAGAGCGATGACATGATGGCTATTTTATGTATCACCTATGTGGAAAGTGAGTAGTGATTCTCTCATCCTAAATACTCTCAATTTTCATGTTAACATTAGTTGGCGTAGTCGCAACGATTACACCGATTTAGACAATAGCCATCTAGGGAAAGCAGGGGCAATTCCTATATGGCCTGGGTGATTGCTGCACATTAAAATATATGACAGGTAATTGCAGTACTTTTCTTGACATGCATAAATGAAGGAGGAAGACAACCGGTCCAAAGGTTCCTCCATATCAGATGCATCGATACCATGTCATGGTACTTGTCTGGAAGGCATTAACAGCGGATTCACACGGCAAATAATGTTTCAGCGTAAAAGTTCCAAATTCACCGTCAGGGTTTGAATCTACTGCCTATAAGGATACTCAAAACCACAACAAAGCTAGGAGACATGGTATTCTCTAATGGTGTGATTCCCCTAAAGCCTAGAAATTCAGCTATCTTGTAGGCACGTTTAGAAATCTGAACTGAACTATTTCCGCGTTGGTTGTATTGACAAGTCAACCGAAGAGTTTCTACTCTAGAAAGCTATTCTGCGATTTGAATATTGTTTTAGTCAATTCTAATCAACTCGTGGGAGTTGCTCGACCCTCGGACTTCCCATCGCGGGCCAGCACTCGTGTTGAAGATGCGCCGCTGAACATGGCGCCTTGGCGAGCAACCTTCAACTTGGGGACTGAGCGGTACAGTAGGATAGGATGGTTATTAATGGAGATTCCTATCGCAATCGAGCTGGATGAAAGTCGGAATGACTCAAGGGGGAGCTATTGAAAGCAGCGAAGCCGGATATCTTCTAACCTCAGTCGGCCCTTGCAAAGTTTGATTTTGGAAGCATCAACCCCACAGGGCTGTAAACACTATAAAAATAGTAATAGGCCACAACTATGAACTTCGGGCTATACTCTCTGCTTGAGACAGACATCGAAAAGAGTTTGATTTGGAGTCCCATACTCCAAACCTTGTCAAGATTGACTGCAAGAGCAATAGCTTAGTGGGGTATCCTGTTTAAGGAATGTTGCAGCTCCTCGGGGAATTTGTCCGCAACCCACTTCCAAATGGAGGGACAGCCATGCCATTCTCAATGAGCATTCCTTTACCTATTTCGTCTACATACCATTCCCGCCAGCCATGAGCTGTCACGCGCTTTTGGCACGGACAGAGCTTTGAATTTATCGACTGGGCTTGATTGCTAGTAACTCCAGCTAGAAATTGAGGAAAGCACTCATAGTAGACACAGCATAATTCGACTACTGAATGCACAGCCCGCGTTATCCACAATTGTACAGTCGTAACCGCGATAGAAACAAGAATTTTGTGTTACGACAATTGCAAGATGGCGTCGAATATGTATCGTCACTTTGTAATCTACAGATCGTCCCCCGAAATCTTGCTTTTGTGTTGATTAAATCTTTCCGACGGCCATGCCTATGACAGCCGTCAACAATATGTAGTCTTCCCGGATATAGGTAGGCTCATGTCAGTAGATTATACGCACCAATTAACTCAATACAATAGAAATTAAGGATTACGTACAAGGTGACTTGAGAATATGCCATTGTTACACATAATTCCGCTTCCACCCTCTAACACTTTCGTCATTGCCGGATGCGGTAAAGACGGTGGTCTCGACTCCCGCTGTGCAGTGCATGCCACAGCAAACAGTTCGACGGACACGGAAACCAAGATGCTTCTAACTAAACAACCAATTACAGTAGAATGTATTGATCCGCAAACGATATCGAGAGAATCGTATATCAATCTTTTGTGTCCCCGATCGGGGCCTCACACCTTGCAAAGATCCGCTCGCTAAACTCTTCTACGAAATCCTCAAGATCAATTGAAAGCCTTTAAGTGATCCGTCACATATTCCACACCAATTTATTCAAATATGCAGCTCACCTACGCCGCCGCGCTTGCTTCTGCGCTCTTTTCCTCCGTTGTCCTCGCCGCTCCCTCCGAGGCTGGTAGGAAGCCCGTGACAGCCACCATCCAACTTGCCAATGATCAATCCGGTGCCAACGCCAATGTCGTCGTCCCTGTCGATGGTGTGAAGCGACCCGTCCAGGAACTCTGGGGCAAAACTGCTATTGCCCACAATGGCCTTGTCTTCGCGTCGAGCGCTCAGATGACAGCGTTCCAGCGGACGACAGTCTGCACCTTCACTGAAGAATCCCGCCTGACTGCAAGCCTGAGCGGCCAAAAGACTTGGGTGTCCCTGGGCAGACCAGTCGTGGACCTTTGTTCTGCCTACGTTGTGTGTGTATGTGAGGGAATGTGAACGCTGCGTGATGGAGTCCAGCGTTTAAAGGTTGGTGGATGCGGAAGAATGTGGGGTTTCTGCTTAGTACATGTACTTTTGATTTGCCATACATAAAAAAAAAAAGGTTAAAATTATATATCTAAATGAAAGCAGTGATGTGCACTGCTGGCGCAAATGAAGCAGGGGAAAATGAGCAAGAGAAACGTAGTGTAATGAGCTAGTCACCGAGTCTCCAAGAAAGAGAAGGAGAAAAAAGGAGAGAGAAAGGAAGCATACCATAGGCGGTATGTGGCATCACTTGCGAGTTGTGCATTGTCTGAACTAGAAGGCATATCTATTTCATCAGTATAATAGTGTATCTAGTCTCTAGCTATAGAATCTAGTTGTAATTTTCGCCCGTTCGGTGTATCTGGGTGAGACGATTCCCTTCTTCAGCAACTGGAGAGCCTCGGTTAGTCTTTTAGCAGTTAGCTTCCTCGGTCTCATCTGGGTGTGGTTCTTCGTGCCAGAGCTACCTGGATGATCCCTAGAAAGCATTGACGACTTATTGTCGTTACCCTAGTACAAGGTTGGCCGACACGGCCATAAACTTATGCCAGATACAGATACTCTTCAACTTCAGGAACATGAGAAGCTCTCAGCTACATCACAGGCCTAGCTTTTGGAATAAAGTCAGTGAACTGAATACAATTAGTAGAACAGTCTCTCTTGATAGATACCTAAGCTAAATTATAGGTCGGGTTTCATCTTGGGAAAACATGTTGCATCTAGCTATATCAGTCTAGGCTATGACGGGAGATATTCAACGGGGCCAGCTTAGAGATGTGATTGAGAGATGGTGGTAGTAGATAACAAGAGATCGTCGATATTGGGAGCGCCCCAGGGCCGGTGTGGCCACAACGCCCGCGTTCACGCTTGATCCTGAAGTACAGATGAAAACATGAGATATTCGGGCACCTAATGAATCAGCCCGGGCTTGGTAGTAAGCCGCCAGCCCACATAGTTTGACAAGATATAAGATTCGCAGTATGGGATTGATGGCGCTTGGAAAATCCTGTTCAGGCCTGCTTGGCTTTCAGAGTGCTTTTCCCGAGGTTTCCCGCTCCTGAAGCACCTTCCGTACACTAGGCAAGACGTAACGTCCATAGTCGATGGCATCGTTCAGGTTATCATAGCCACGAATGGAGATAAGCTCAGCTCCGAGATCCACATAGTCCAGTATGGAGTCGTTGATTGTCTGCGGCGATCCGACGAGCGCCGTGGATGCTCCACGCGCATTAGTTGCAGTAACGGTAGGGTACCAGAGAGCGCGGTCCTGAACCTCCCCCCTGGCAGCAATTTCCAACAGCCGCCGGGAGCCAACATTTTGAGGAGGCGGGGCGTTCGCAGGGACCCTGCTTTGCCCATTAGCTCGGGCCTGATTGAGCGTATCCAGAGTTCGGTGGGCCTTGGCCCAAGCAAGCTCGTCTGTTTCGGCAATAATAGGACGGAAGGTGACCCAGATTCGGGGCCGATCATTCTCAGCACGACCAGCTTTTGCGGCCTCCGCATAGATCCGGTCGATTTGCTGCTTTGTCTCCTTAAGCGGTTCGCCCCAGAGGCCGAAGATATCGGCGAGGGAGCCGCCAATACGATACGCCTCGTCGGAGGATCCTCCAACAGACACGGGGATCGTGCCATTGACCGGACGGACTTTGTTGCTGAACTGCTTGAACTGATAGTATTGTCCATCCCAGTCAAATGGATCTGCAGAGTCCCAGGCGCGGCGCAAAATCCGGATGTACTCCTCAAGGCGTGCGTAGCGCTGATCTTTGGCCAGGTAGTCGCCCTCCCTAGCCTGTTCCACATCACTGCCACCTGCAATAAAGTGCACGACAGCTCGCCCCGAACTCAGCTGGTCCAGGGTTGCAAGCGCCTTTGCGGCAACTGTTGGGTATAGAGTGTTGGGCCGAAGCGCTATGATGATTTTGAGGTTTTTGGTCACTGCTGCGATAGTCGCACCGACTGTGAATGGGTCGAAAGAAGATGAATCATATGGCACCAGAGTGTAGTTGAAGCCATAATCATCCAAGGACCGAGCGTATCGGACAAGGTATTCGGGATCAATTGCGGCATTAGGAATCGGGTTGATTTCTGTAGATGCGTTGGGGAATGTGAGGCTGATGAATTCTGTCGGCATTTTGAAGCAGGGGGATTTTGGCTCTTGCGTATGTCACTTCTAATCCACCGATCTTAGAGAGGAGCATTCCTTTTTATATTCACGACGCCTACGGTAATGTCAGATTGTAAGTTGCTGCAGCTAAAATGATGCAAGCTTATACATGATGGCGCCTTAGCACGAAAACCGATATTTATAATCATCAATCGTAACGAGTCAGTTAGCTTACGCACGAGGAAAATCTGAAATATCCTTATTATCTCTACAAAATGCGAAGTCAAGATGAGGGGCTCCATGTCGCGCCATGCACTGAGAATCACGCAATCGATCTCTTGTCGGTGGTTGGCCGCCCTATCTTTCAGATATCGCAGTAAGCTAGTTCAAACTGCCGATGAATGTGGGTGACTTGCCGCCAATGACCACCTGATTCATGAAGCGCTCACTTTGCCAATGTTTTGGTTTGCAATTCTGGTACACATAAGCGTTGTGACGGCCGAGTATCGGCCCCACTGGCTCCGGGGGAGGTCTGAACAGCGACTCCCGTGTTTTTATCATGATCCATCAATCACGCCCCCAAGCTGGCCCCACTACATATCTCCAGTACTAGCCTATACGGATATGGCTAATGTAGATGCAACACAAATAGTTCGATAACAGAGTGGTGCAAATGAGGAAAAGCCTTAACTAAGCAATTCGACTTTGGACAGCATCGTTTGGCGCATCTCAGGTACAGAGCTGTCGCGCATAAAAAAATGAGGGCCATACGCTGACTACTATCGAACTGAACAGCAGTTAATTGACCGCTTGACATAGTCTGATTCATGAACTGCCTTCTGGATGTTTCGAGGGTTCTGTGGAGTATTGCTACTTATACTATTGAAACACTTTGGATAGCGACCACTTCAAACCAGGACATGAGGTGGGAGTGTCTGAACGCCATTCGGCGGTATTCTCACCATGCTACATCCACTTTATCGTACAGTGTTAATGTGCAAAATGTGTTTGAGAGAAAGTCGAGATAGCTTTGGGAGGTGGGCGCAAGACTTGACTATGCCCGCCGGAGAACATGGTCATTGGAATGCACGATGCGCCCGAGGCTAGGACCTGTTAGATCTTTACAAACAGAATTAAAACGTTGACAGTAATCATTCACGATGATCATGCTTTGGCTATGCTTGATATTTGCTGATTTTGGGTCCAATAACGTAGCTCCAATGGTGAGCAATTTACCGTTATCCTTGTTATTGATTTACTTCCTGCGCCAGGTCCTTCTGCTTTTTTCTCTCTTTCGCTGCCGCATCTTCCTTTTTCCAAGAGCCTTCGTAGTGATGCGAAACCAGAGGGTCGCCTTGATTCTTCGGATTTCCGTTCTGAAGTGCCGCGAACGAAACCCCAGGCATGATCAGAACATCACCCACCAACTTCGGTCGCTTGATGCGTGAAAAGTCACGGTCGTCAACGGTTCTTCCCAACAACTCTTTCAGGCTGTTCATGATAGAAATTGTCATCATTTTTGGCCCGGTCACATTCACAACATCCTCGGGGAGCAGGTCTAGTGTGATGTCTTCGATCTGCACGCCTTGATCTTTGGCAATCTTCTTGAGTTTGGCAACGACGGCGTCAACAATCACTTGTAAATTGCGCGACGCCGGCTGAGCTGCGAAGACCCAATTGCAGAATTGAGAAGCAACCTCGGTATCTGGACCTCGCCATTCCATGTCGAACTCCAGTCCCACAATCATATCGACCGTGCCGTTATTATATTCCGCGGGAATCCACTGGGCAAGTGGTTTCTCGCAGCTGACATCCAAGTCACCCCAGAAGCCACCCTCGGCAAGGATCACCAAGTAGCGAAAAAGGTCCGCCCGCAGGATGGGTATGGAGATGGCCTCATAGGTTTCGACAATATCCGGTCGCGTTTGACCATAATGCGCTCGAACAAAAGCCTCGCTTGAGCGATCGCTCAATAGTTCTTGGCGGCAAGAAGGGTTGATTTCCAACCAGGTCCTGATCCTTTCGCTTTGCTGGGCCGTGATATCATGATGCTTCGCCGTGTGCCACACCTTATCTGGGATGTTCAGAATGGAACATCCAGTGGCCGGGGCAATGACCTTGGGACGTTGCGATAAGGTGGAGGCCAGTGGGCCGGTCGCAGCCGGCTCGTGAGACTCGGGCCGTGGGCTGCCAAACACTTGGTGGATTGGCGCTTGGCTCATGTAGCAAGCCTGGAAAATGACGAGAAGAATGACGAGTGCGCCGACAGCACGCAGAGCGTGCGAGGCCGTCATGTTGAAGACCCGTAACATTGGAACGGTGATCAGTCCATTTGGTATTGGGAAGGGCGGGCTTAAACAAGGAGCCCAACCGGATCAGCCGGAATCAGGCGGATGCGAAGAGCAAGAAAGAGGATCGCTCAAACATGGAGGATTCGAACCCCAGAGCGGAACCGAGATAAGCAGGCATGTTTCAGGTAAGCGTGTTCAGCTGGCCAAGCAGAGCGGACGGAGCAATGCGATAACGAAAGGGAAAATGGAAGCCTGGAAGATGGCTTAGTCGATCGGCGTGTGCGCAAATGATTGGAAGGCGATTACGCTCCACGAGGGGTTCAGCCACTGCTCCACGGAACAGCCCGCATGGAGATCAGATTTACATTGTGGCTTGGCGTGGCCATGGGTTGCAGGTTATAAACGGGGTCGTGCCTGAACCTCGGACAAGGTTTAGAAATGTGCTTTCACGTATTAGCCATCGCCATTGTGAGACATTCCTCCGTAGAAGGAGACCGGTGAAGCGACTCCCAGTTTGACGACCGACAAATGGTTCCGCGGGGCGATGTCTGGTCGGAAATTCAATGGCCTGCACAACGATGTCTTTGTCACCACAGCATGAAAGAATTCCTCATGTCGACGAACGCGAGTTAGATATTCACTCCCTCGCATCGGTTCTTTGACCCGTGATCGATCGAGTCGCAGGTGGATTAAGGCCGACCGCCCCCTTTCCCGAAGCCGAAGAAGGCTGGAATCCTTTAAGTTGCGAGCTTCAAGGCGATCGTTGTATGAGCTCGTTGAATGCGATCGGCCATATGCCCGAGCTGATCATTTCAGGCTTGGGTGCATAGCTGCGCATCAGGCGATATTGAACAACATGCTGAGTGTTTATATTTTCGCGGCTAGCGGTCATTCCACTCTTCTTATCGCGCGATGATGGGAGACGCGAGCGGTGAGAAGTAAGACGTCGCTATCATCTTGAGCCTGCGCGGTCCCTGCTTCCAAGAAACAAGCGACTGGGCTATCAAGATTGAACTAACTATTTCCAGCCATCTTCCCAATTCACTAGAAATCCTGAACTGTAGTACCTCTCCCTCCTCACAAGTTACCACGCTCTCTAATTGGCTCCTCCGCTCCTGTGGCATAGTTCAACGCGATATCAATCAAGATCTGTCGATCGCGCTTCGTGTTAAGGAGCTCGGCATGATGGAGCCCATCCATCCAGAGGACATCTAACTCTCCACCCTCCCAACCGCGTCTCTTCCAGCTGTCGTCATCGCACTCCCAGTCATCAGTGGCGCGCACACCATCTGAGCGGGTCAAGTAGTGACCGACGGCAGTTGTATCAACAACAATATCTTTCTCGCATAGGATCACGCTCACTCGCCTGCCTTGTCCAAGGATGTTTTCTTTCCAAAGAATGCTCTCGTTCCAGAAAAACCGGCGACCTAGGGTGTGCGCAGCACCCATGTCTCGAGACGCAAAATAATATAGCTGTAGCTGACAGGCTGTTTTGGGCTTGCGCTGGGTAAAGTTGTAGGTGATGTCAGGCAAATGAAGGAGGAATGGCACGGGGTCAGTGAAGATGATCGGACCGATCCGCGGCGCAAGCAAGGTGTCATGCAGCATTTGAGACGAGATCACGCTGCTGAAGGAAGTTGCCATCAGAACAAATTTATCCCATTTGTGACGGTCGAGCACGGAAAGGATTTCGGCGCAAAGTGCGCTCTTGAGGAGAGCTGGGTGCGTCATCCGGAGGCTGATTGGCAAGACTTCGAATACTATCACGCCGGTCGAACCATTTGTTTGGGTGAGGCTGTCCGCATCTAGGGCCCGTGACAGCTCCCCGAAAAGCCGCATGTACGTGTAGAGAATCCCAATTCCATGGATATACATAATGGGTAGGCTGTCTTTTGAAGTATGCGGCCGATACCAGTACGAAAGATGTTTTGCTGTTGAGCGATGTTGACTGAATATGGTCTGGGGTCGGAAGGGAAAACTCAAGCACCACCGCGACAGCGCGTAATGCTGATACCCATGGTACCTCATAAACAGATATGTTACGAGATCGGCCCCGCCAATTCCCAACTGAAGGTTGTTAGTACAAAGTCCAAGGTGTGGTGTTGCAAGGCTTGATCTCAAATTTAACCCACAACGTAATAGACCAGCGGCCGGTGATAGATATTGCCGGGGTCTAAGGATACTCGTAGAGACTTCGAGGGATCCCTGCCCTCTGGCAATAGATATCCCAGAAGAGTTTCAAATTTCTGAACATAGTTATTGAGTTCTTCATCTTCGTGGTCATCCCAGGTGCTTTTGTTGAAATAGGCCCAACACAGCCATTCCTTGAAATTCTCACGGTGAACTTGACTGGGAGGTGTACCTCGGTTCCATAGCGAGATGAACCGCTCTGGGTTCGGGATATTCTCAATGCACTTCCGGACTAGCTCTTGTCTAGATTCCCGATCGGTGTCGGGGTGAATGGCATCCTGTTGAAGAGCACGATTTCGGGGGAGAAATACGAGGAAATAGAAGCAGGTTTCAGCGAGGGCGTAAAGTCCGAGTAACTTTGCAGCCCAGTGCTTAGGTAGATAATTCAATATCCATGCCACACAATAGAACACGCTGAGAGGCGTAATGGAGCGGATCCACAGCACGAATATTTGCGTCAACGCCAGCGCGCTGAAGGTATCTCTACTCATAGCTCTCAAGGGTATCGTAACGCGTACCTCGAGGGACTCGAGTACCTGCAGATAGCCTTGAGGTATATGAGTGACTCTATTGCCGCCGAGAATTGAGTGGTGTGCCTGTGTATCAGCCTCATCGGGGGTTTACGTTTCTGGGATATTTTAGAATGCAAAGGGTCGAGATGCCCACTCACCGTGCATTATCACGTGGAAGTAAGAGCTAGAAGTAATCAAATGTGCCAAGTTGCAGCTTCGGTGATTGATTGGAGGGGAGCAGCTTGGCGCGGCCGGTCGTGCAGTAGTGCTTGGGGGCCACAGATGGTACCGTCACTGGGTCCACAAGTGCAAATGGTTTATTATCTGCGCCATCGTGCCGGATGGGATGGGGGACCTGCTCAGAAAGTGACGGATTTGTGTGGCGTTTCTTGTTTGCATCTGTGTCTATAATCCACCGACGCTGCTCTCCATAAACAGTAACAAACCCAGGGTCATCGACATTGGCGAACTTCGTCATATCCATATGGTTGCTGTGGATTCTGATGGGGATGTAACCTGGCAGGATGGGCGAATCTTGTGGTACAACCTATTGCCTTGGCACCAGTATCTAAGGGCCTGGCTTGCTTGGCTTACTAAACCAAATCCAAGCACGAGCAGCTCTTCGTAGAAGCAAGTGACCTCAATCGCTGGCGGTTCTACCAGGCTGCACGCCTTGACCATTGTGTAAAAGCCGTCTTGAATACGTGCAAGCACTTCGGAATCGCGTCTGAGGACATCGACGATATTGGCATTCGTTTGCTTGACGAGGCCGATTGAACGGGACACGACCTCGGCCCATTTAGCAAGACCAGCTCCGTGGTGCGGTGTGTCGAAAAAGACAAGAGACTAGGTAGGACGACTAACTAGCTAACGAGAGAAAATTAAGAGAAAAAATATCTGTCTTTGCCCTTCTATCCAACAGTGTCTAGGCTCTATATACAGATAAGTAGAACATTGGGTGAAAGGGAAGGTTTAAACAAGAAAGGATTGGCACAAAAGAGTATTAAACAGGTAGTAAGCGATGGGAAATATCTCTATCTCTGTTGAAAGAGATACATCATCTAGAGATTGCATGTTATAATGCTTTTCTCTGCATTGGCTAAGCGGCTGCATGTAGCCAGAGAGATCGCGGAGGTTGTGTGTGAACAGGTAATTTGATCCTAGTTTTTCAACACCTTATCTTTGGCTCTTTCAGTTGTTTTTGTTGAAAGGAGATGGGTAAAGATAATTAGGGCACTCGCGGTCCGTAGGAGTAGGACCAAGGTTTCGACCAGGGCATAGTTGTTTGGCGTAATTTCCGATATAGAAGCAAGAGTCGTAGGTACCTGGTTTCGGGTTTAGCGGATTTCTTCTTAGCCCGGCCGAAATAAAGACACGTACCATCAGCACCACAGGAGCTGCCACTGTCTTTGCAGTCATTATTATCTGTTTTGACCAATGGGACATGGATACTCATGTGACTCCAGTCGCTAACAGAGCAGGCCTTGTTATTGTAGTAGTGATCAACATAGTGTGCCTGTACGTAGATATCGATGAGTTAAGTGATATAATAAAGGACCCTAGGTCAAAGGGAGACAAACTCGAGCAATTCCATTCGCCACCAAGACGTTTGGCCGGAACGTTGCGATGAAAGGATGTTGTTGACCTGGCACGGTCCACGAGACGCCGTAGGAGGTTGCCACAGCCTTCCTATTCATGTTTGTTAGTATTATTCAGACTTAAAGAGTTCCTACGTACCCCCAGGTATAGGCGTAGCCAACACGAAGGGCGAATTTTTCTAGCACACCTAGGCCAATTTTCTTGTTCTATTAGCTCTGCCGAGGTAAAAGGGACTCGATACCGAACTTACCAAGTCTGGGCCTGCTTGGACGGAAACTTGGTAAGAGTATGACTTAGTATAAGTCTTCGAAATGCTACCAGGCGGGCAGAGGGTGTCGGAGATCTGATGGGTGTTGCTTCTGACTGTATTCCAGTTCTGAGTTTGCCATTCATACCAGACTTGCTGGTTGTAAGAGCATTTGCAAGGTCCACACGAAGTAATAGAGCTCTGTCTGGTCTCTAGGCTAGAGGAGCTGCATCGATATTAGAATAATAACCCTTAGATCTAGGTTCTTAGCAATATTACTTACTTGGTTGCATTGTGGAAAGAGATGTCACGTTCATCCCAGAAATCAGAAGGGACGGCGACGCCTCCTTCTGGGAAATTGTAGAAGGTGATACCGTCAACCTCAAAGTGGTCATCCAGGTTCGGTTCAGGCAATGAGTGCTTGTATGCCTCATCGACAGTGCCACTATCCGTGACTGTACCATTGCGAACTAAGTCTAAGATAGAGACTTCATGATGCTCGACTGCCGGTGCTTGTTGGGATGGCGCTGCCTGAATTCCGAGCCCATAAAGGGCAAGGATGAGGCCCAACGATTGAAGAGAGACCATTTGATAGCAGATTAAGATTTGTATGGTTAAATCTGTTCTGTCTATTTGAATTGAACCATCAAAGTAGCCAGGCGGCCTTATATACGTTTCTTCTGTGTCTCAGCTGAGATACTTCGTTGATGTGCTCAGAAGATGGTAATATAGAAGTTCTCCAGCCGTTATGTAGAAGCTATTCCCACGTGAAGGTGGACTTGACCTCTATTGGATTAGAAATTTGTAGCTCTTTTTGTTCTGTGTCTCAGCTGAGATGCTTCGCTGATGTCCCCAGCGGATGATCATATAGAAGTTAACAGCGGTTATGTATACGCTACTCCCACGTGAGGGTGGAATTGACCTCTATTGGATTAGAAATCTGTAGCTTCTTTCGTTCTCATCCTCTACTACAAGCAAAGGTGCCATCAGATCAGTCTGAAGCCTGAGAGCGAAAATCAATTTAACCGATCAAATGGGCCTCAAAGCTTTTACCCACCAATAAGGGAGCCAGGTACAGAGTAGATGAGAAATGCCTCTTCCCGCCAGGCTGGGTAAGCGTTCACCGGGTCGGACCTTATTGCTGACTACTCATAGTTCTGCAAATTCCTACGACCTGCCCACAGGTCCCGAGCACGTGCAACACCTAATAACCAGGCGTCTGAGACAAGAAAAACTCTAACTTTAATATCCAACTCTATCAGCCCTATATCTAAGACAGGAACCAGGGGCAGGTGGAGATTAGGACAATCCATTGATGTTTCCTCTGTATATCTGAAAGGGTTGAAACCCAATATGTCCTACAAGAATGGCAAAATAGGGCCCACAGTTGAAAATTAAATGTTGAAGTTAAACTAGTCACTCCATACACTAGGGCTTCCTGATGTCCAGCCGCCGTTAGTAGATGTGATCCCCGCTCGATGCATGACACTTTGCCAAGAATTTGCCAGGCTGACACGAAGCTTCAATACTAACCGCGTCGAGCAGTTGACGACTTCAGAAATTTTCAGTTTCTTAGTGGCTCTCCACGTTTTCAGGTTTTGAACTGGCGCACCTTCAGAACACCTTGTCTCTAACATCCGGGCGTCTTGATCTTAACGGCCGGCTTAGCGAGGTTGAGTAGTTAGGACAAAAAGTTAGAACTTTGCACGAGGGGGATATAACTATCGCCGACAATAAAGTTTATCCAAAATTTCTGAAGGACTGTTGTTGAGCCAAGCGGCACTTTTCTGCGACGTGAGTGTGGACACTAAAAGTGGATACATTGGTTGTGGTGGGCGCTCAAAAGAGAGCCAACAGCCCAGTTTAACGCAATTATCGTTCCACTCGACTTGCTCCCCTGCAGTTGGTACTGTGCAACTCTATCCGCAGGATCACTGGCAATACGAAATGTCGAGATGATAGCGGCCTGCAGTGTGATTCCTTTTAATCTGCGAATTAGTTCATCTTGAAGGGTCTAGAACAGGCCTTTAAAGAATGGATCTGAGTCACTTCATTAGGTTCGTGATTTGTTGGCCTAATGGTATTGGCGTCAGTTATGGGCCTGGGCGCATGTTCCGGTTCCAAGGCTGGGCCAAAGAGGACAAACGGCCGTTGTCGCATTTGTATGGCATATGCATGAGCTTGTTGAAATTTGGGCTAGCATTACACAAGCTGAGCTCGTCCATGTAGGGAAATTGATCAGTTTGGGACTTGTAGTTACTGATTGTATTGAGTCATTCATTAGGTTTACGCCTGTTAAGTTGTGGAAAAAATAAGACCCAAAGTCAAAAGCCCATGAGATTGTGAACTTGTGAAAAAGAAAGAAAGATTGACTTTGATCGAGATCGGGAATGAAAAGTGAAGTGAAAATTAAAGGGGGATTTTGACAGTCTCAAACATCACCAGAAACATTGGAGATGTAGAAGTTAATCGGTGAACACGAAGTAGTGTTCGAACCAACAACAGTGTAGAGCAACTTCTGCTCCTCGAGATACTCGAGAGCAGAGGCTTGAATAGTTAAATCACTGGAGACAATGAGTGTTTTGTTTCTCTCAGAGTCATTGGTCATAACACAAGAGTACAGCTCGTAGACGGTACCATCGAGGGTCTGTGCCTCATGAAGAATGCTGGTAGAGCTGGCCTCGGGGAAGGAAAGGTACTCGGCCTTGGCGGGAATCTCAGCGCTCTCCACAAGCCGGAGACGCGAGACACCAGTCTTGGTCATCTCGTCAGTGAACATGACGGGGAGATTGTGAGCGCTGTCACCAACGATGACGGAGGCTTCGGTCGCGAGGGAGAAGTTGTTGCTGGCCGTGTACGCGGACCAGAGGTTTGTGCAGCTGGAGTTGGAGTACGTCGAGGCGACAACATACACATCACCGTCGCAGACAGTCAAAATAGAGCTGGAGCTTTGAATGGCCAGAGTCACCTTGGCAAACTCGACATTGTCCTGGTCGAGAGACCCGATTGTCGTGGAGGATGTGGCGGCGTCGACGCCCGATGCGACGAAGCTGTCAAGCGCGATACAGGTGCTGGTGAAGTTGACATGGCCTGAGTCGTACAGGTTTCCAGTGGGGTCGGAGCCGACCTGGTATGCAAGGGTGTCTTCGTAAAATCCCTGAATATAAATACCCGTGCAGCCGTCGGTATCTCCAACCTCCGCGGTAACACCATCACTAGTGACGCTGACTGAGGCTGCGACTTCTGCGGAAACGCCGATCGAAGGGGTAGCGACAATGGCAAGGTCTTTATTGAACAAGTTGTCGAGGACCTGGATGCCGACACCAACGGAGACGGGCAAACCGAAGGTAGCAGAGATAGTAACGTCACCGCTGGCCTGGAACGCAGGAGTGAAGACGGGACTCCAGTTAGACTCTGAGCTGGATCCACCGGCAATATAGAGATCGACCGAAGAGTTGGTGAAGGTGAAGCTACCGCCAAGCAGGAGAGTACCCTCAGCGTCGATTTCGAGGGTGGTCGAGGCATCAAGCTGGACATATGGTCCAATGCACAAGAAGGTTCCAGAGCAGAGATCAGGAATACCCTTCTTGAAGAGAGTGGTTTCGAAGGTTTTGCTGAGAGTAACATTGGCATCGATACCGAGGGCGGCGCCGACCGTTAGGTCGGCACTCATGCCCACCTCAATATCAGTGATACCAGTCAAGTCAAAGTCAAGGTTTCCGTAAATATCAATGGAACCAGTGATACCGCAGTCAACACAGAAGACGTTGACAGAGTACGACGCAGTGTCTTCAGAGTTGTTGCCAGCAAAGTTGTGAATAAACAACTGCTCACCCCAGGGTGAGTCAGTCAGATCATCAGAGGGGGCGGTGATGTTAACAGCAATGGTAGTGCTAGCATGGTAGTCCATGAGCGCGTTCAGACCGGCCTCAACTTCGTTAATGATGGCTTGGGCGGCGGCAGACATGTCATCGTAGGTAATAACAGCAGCAGTCTCAACGTCGTCGACGACGGTAATCGCATCAGTGGCAACGGCCTGGGCGACCGAGACAACAACGGATGCGACTTGAGTAGCGACCGATTCAATAGCACTAGTCACGTCGGAAACAACAGAAACAACAGCAGACGCACCAGCCTCGGCTAGGCTGGTACCTTCATCCCAGACTTCACACACCAAGCAGCGGTCCACAAGGTGCCCACGCTTGTCGAGAAGACTGGATGTAGAATAAACAGATACCAAGCCAGGATAGAGGCTGTAGAGGCTGGAGAAGTCGGAGCTGTTGATGCTCAGGAATCCGTTGATAGCGTCAAGAGTCTCGTCGAAGGTGGAACCCGGGCAAGCAACAGGAAGAGCAAAGTAGGCATCCGTAGATGGTGCGCCACAGCCCGATGAGATGACATGAGCAGAGGATGAGTGTCTGGCAACAGCAGAAGATGAAATTCTAGAGTAGACTGAGGACAAGGAGGAATGGGCCTGGTGATTGGGAGGGTGGCTGGCAGCCAAAGAGGACATGGAAGAGTAGACAGAAGACAGCGATGAGCGAAGAGCAGAGACAGGGTCGCTGGTAATAACCGGAGTAGCAGCAATGAGGGTGGTCGTACGAGAGCCAGAGCTGACTCCACCAGTCTGATAGGCACCGCTGGGGTGGACAGTAGCGGTAGGCAACAACGGGGTGCTTGTTACGACGGAGTGACCGTGACCCTTAGGGCCTGCACCTGTCTGGGCAGCTCGGCCGGAGGCGAGAACAGAGCTAGGGTAGTACTGCGAAAGGACCCGCGACAGAGAGGAGCGAAGGGAGGAGACTGCCGCATGACCGCCAGAGTCAGAGCCAGAGCCAGAGCCAGAGCCAGAGCCAAAGCCAGAGCCAGAGCCAGAGCCAGAGCCAGAGCCAGATGAACCGGAGCCAGATCCAGAAGATTTAGAATTAGAACCACTGCCGTGGGGGACGCCGGTGCCAGAGCCACGGACAGAAGTCAACACAGTAGCAGTGCCAGTAATCGTCGAGTGCGCACCAAGACCCAAAGCAGTCGCAGGTCCGGTAGTAGTCCAAGCATTAGTAGGGAGGTATTTAGACAGAACAGAAGAAATGACACTAGCAGCCATGGAAGAGTAGTCGGGTCGACTGCCAAGAGGAGAGTATCTACCCCAAGACGAGCTGGCTTTGGAAAGACAAGACTTGAAAGTGATGACGGAGACATCGCAAGTAATGGTTCTGGTTTTGTCATCAAAGGTCAGGTCATCAATCTTGAAGTAGCAGCTATCGGCAGAGTTCTTGTCACCGCAATAGGCGTTGAATGCGATTAAAACAAGGTCATCGCTGACAGACTGCCACTCAGTCTCGGCAACCTCGTAGGCGGATTCGTTGCTGAAGACACAAGTGAGGATTCCAGTAGTACTATCATAAACGTAGGTGATGTAGCTGGAGTAATCGAGAACGACCACAGGCGAAGTATAGGTAGCGTTAAGCCAGGTGAATTGGTGGGCCTTGCTGGAATCTATCATTCGAATCATTGAGTCAGTATAAGACTTGACTTTTCTGAATGGAAGACACTTACCGCTGGTACTGTTGGTGGAGTAGTACAAGCTTCCAGAATAAGCAGGTACAATGTGCTTGTGGCTAGTCAAGTTGTGTTGCCAGTGGACAGCAGGAGTCAGAGTAACAGCAGGGCTTGAAGGCTCAATATAGATGCCAGAGCCACCAAGCCTGGCAACATCGGAGGAGCCCGAGTTGACAATCGAGCCGTATCCGGCCGTTGCAACAGCCTTGACAGTCTCGGTCTCGGTGACATAGACAGTGCGATCGGCGTCATGAATGGTGACAGTAGAAGCAGCGCCATCGTGAACAGTAATAGTAGGAGCAGCACCGTCATGAATTGTCACAGGTTCACAGACTTCTTGATCCGGAGCAGCAAGTGGATGCGCTGCAACGAGCGTAGCCACCAAAAGGCCTCCCCAGAGACGAGGAAGCATGCTGGGAGAGCGAAAGAGTGTAATGGACCAAAATGTCCTGATATCGTAATGAACGTGTTAGATGAACATCAAAAGAATGGATGAGCAACGGTGTCGAAAAGAGTGATGACACTAATTGGAAGAGAAACTGTCGCTGAAGCTTTGGAATCCATGGACATGATTCTATAAGTCTTATACTCGACAGAAAGACTGCTTAGCGGTTCCCACTCGGTAAAATATACCATCAGACAAATTGAAAGCTGGTCATCTCTCCACTAGGCGTCCTCTAGACCGGTGGAGGGAGCCACTTCTCAGCCGGTCGGCGAGCATAGCACTTTTACGGTATCAGAGAGGTGCAATTTGCTCCACAGACTAGTCGGAACATGGCACTGAGTGATGGCTTGGCCGGAGACGAGTCGGAAGCTCGAGTCTCAAGGGCTTGTGATTAGTTCATTCGTGAGAAGGATTCGAAGCACATCGGACAAGTCCGAGTATTCCATTATCATCGTAATCAGACAAGAGAGATGTTTGTATACTCCGGACCAAATTGGGGATCATTCGGTGCCCTTGGGGCTACTCCATCTAAACAGACCCTCTTTGCAGCTCTCAAGGGCCCATGAGCCCTTGGCGAGGCTCTTAACACCCTTGATCCCTTTGTGAGGCTTGAAACCTATGCTAGACCAGGGGACTATGGCTCTGGCCGAAATCTATCCTTATAGATAAATTCGACTCAGTCCTCGTAGTTTACCCGATCTTGAATTCTAAAGAGTTAAATAATAGCTATGGAAAATCCCAAAGGGCTGCAAGGAGAGGACATCCGGCGGCTAATTCGGACCGACGTATCGTCACCAAACATCATGTCAAATTCGGTAGAAGCAGGAGCCAAAGTCTAAATCGGATAGGGTCTCAGGGCTTCCTCAAGTTTCTAGAACATAGAATGTCTCACTTTCTCCACCGAGAAAGCCTTACGGCAGTTCGGCATTTCGTTTGCATCCTTGATTGTGAGGCCACAAGCTCTCAATTGACGCTACTTCAGATGCCATTCACCCTCCTTCGTTCCTCAATCAAGATCAATATTAATCATTCAACATCATTGCTCATGCAAGGCCTTTTTGCACCCTGGAATGGCCTACAATGCTCAATCACACAATTGAGCGCGCTAAGCATGGACTCGGATCGCGAGAGGGGGTTCCGTCGGCTATCCTAACCATGTTGCCTCATTGTGGATATGAAGCTTAACCGACTCAAGCAAATCACAAGAAATTTTCCTGCGTCTCATTGGCTGTCACATATCGGAGTTGACGTAGCCATCACCCCACCCTGTGTTGCTTTGGCCATTTTCGATCATTTCGACCAGAGGCTTAGCTGAAAGTGCTTGTATAGGACAAGCCCGCTACATGGTCTATTTTTGAGGTTCGCTTTCGCTCCACAAATCTGTAGAATAATAAGTGGTATTATTATACCGAGCTGAAGAGCTGAATGAGATTTGGGCTGAAAAAGGGATGAATGAGAGGAGTACTTTGAATAGAGTTGAACGGGTTGACAAACGCGGATGCTCGAGACACAGCGCAAGCGGTGGGCGGAAGCACGATGGATATTACTTCAGTCTGAGCTGTTCCCTGGCGTGAGGTTCGCCGAGTTCCTGGTCTCTGGTGCTGGGGTCGGGTCGGGGTAGACATCAGCGAAGGACCGGGACCAGACCGTCTAAGTCTATCGTTATATTATGCGCTATATAACCCTCCTTTTTGAAGAAGCTCGCCCTAAGACTCTAGGATATTATTATTGTTGTAATCGTTCACGAATTCGTCAATTTCTAAGATAGCTAACTAGGTCTATAGGTTTTTCGGAGTTCAAAGGGAATCGGGGTATCGTCGGTGAAATTTCGGCCTGCCGACTTTGCACCTGGAGGAGAACCATCTTTGTTTCTATCGTCAGTCGATAGATATCGAGAAAGAAATGAAGCGATACATCGGAGCCTGGCAGGGGATATGCTCGTGGCAGTTGAGTAACCCTGGACTTGACTCATATTTTGCCCAGCTTGATTCCTCCAATGAGTGCCATGTAGTGGGCGCGGGACGTAAAATATGTGAGGCAGTGAGACGATATGCCCGGCCCCATTTGGGCAGGGGTCTCAAGTTATGGACCTTGGGATTGGGGGCCTTGCCGGGTGTGGTCAGAACAAGCGGCCGGCCAATCTGACCGCGGCGAGCCCGCCGGCCACAGAAGTGAAGTGTAAAAAGATAAGGTAGAGGTGGATAGTGAAAGCGGGTCGAATAAAATTGAGATTATTGGTCAGCTCAGCCCATTTTCAGCTTAGGCCATAATGTGATGATAAGACCGGCAAGCAGAACCTCAGCTCAGCCCATTTTTTATTACCTAGTTAGGTTTAGTGTGGTAAATATCCCTGGTTCGCACAATGAAATTAAAAAATTCATGACTACTCTTGAGTAGATTACGCCAAAAAAAGGGAAAGAATAACTATCTCTTGGCGAAATCGATTTCTTATAATATCTCGACAACTAGAGGTCCTAGGACCTTGAGACCTAGTAAAAATTTGAATTAACTCTAAGCGCTATTGTTTGATACTAGTTTGATATTGGTAGTAGCGATGGTAGTTACAAATGCCCCTAGATTACTATTTATCCACCTGTCGGGATAGAATTTTCTACCTCTAACTAGGCTATATTTATAGAAGTACTAGTATAAATAGAGAGCTATCCGACTAACTAGGAACTAATTCGAAAGTATAGAGGAGATAGCGAGAGTAGCTATATAGATACTCCGCTATATTAATAAACCCACCTACGAAACCACTAGCGCTGTGAAGGGCAGTAGCCAGTCTGATTCAAACTAAGGCCATCATGATGTCTATCAGAAGCATGAGGAAGGAAGAAGATATGTGGCAATCGGGCTATACACCGCTCTCGCAGACGGTCAAACAGGTCATGTGCTAGCACATGATCACACATAGGCATCAGCATGTTACACTTTTAATAGCGGTTTTCCCCTCTTTCTATACTAAATCAATCAACCTTATTCATCGAAATTAGTTCCGCTTGATCTTATTCGTCTTCCTGGCATATTAGGCTATATAGTATCAGCTCGCTCTGATATATCGCAGCGATGGAGTGAGAGGTTACAAGATAGTATCTTAGGGCGCTAAGCCAGGAACAGCAAAACTAACCCAATATAGTAATTCACAGGTCTGCCGTTTACAGATGCAATATACAATATGCAATATCAACAGCATGCAATCCCCAACCTCAGGCCACTTCACTCCAGCCCAGCCAAAGCCCGCAACTCGCCCACCAGAAACACAATAGCCGCCTCAATCAAACTCTCCTCAACAACCCCGACCTGCCACGTAATAGCAAGCACAAGACACCCATCACCACCAGTGACAACAGAAACCTCAATCGCATTCCCAATCACGCTCGCACACTGCGAAAACACCATGCGCTCGATCCGAGGCTTCCTAGGCCTGGCCTCGCACTGCATAACGCCGATGTTCGAGACCTCGAAGCTCTGATCACGCTCGCTGCCGACCTTTGACAGACACAACTCCTGCTGATAGTCAGCGACGTATTTTAGCAAGTTGGGTCCTGCGTCGCGTCCTTCACGCTGGACGGCAGCGTCGATCGTTTGTTTCGAGCGCCGGGCCTCTGACCAGGGGAAGACATTGTTGGGCGGTGTGACATCAGCGCGGGTATATGAGTCCTCGATGTCGCCGACGTAGACGCCAATCACCTCGTCGGTGATAATGTCGGGCAGCCAGCGGCGGCAGGAGATGGCACCTGTGCAATTAAGGCGGGTGAAGTGGGCCGGCAGATGCGTGAAGAGAGACCGGGCTATGGCCGTGTGCAGGATGGCCGTGATGGTCGTGTGCTCTTGACGACATACATTCCGGAGAGATGTCACCAGGGCCTTGGAAAAAGGAACCAGGCGCACGCGGGTCTTCCCTTGTGTTTGGATTTTGCCGCCGCTCCAGAGACCGGGGTCTCTGCGGGAATAGATCTTTGCTTGGAAGATTTTCTTGGCAAGGTAGACGAGCGATAGGGGCATTGGGTGGATTTCTTCAATGTTGGGCAGCATGGGCTTGGATGGTGCCTGGATGACGGACTTGGTTTCCCCAGCCTCGGCCAGGTGTAGGGCCTGCAGGAACGTTTGGTGGAATACTTTGCCAGAGGTTCCGTCCCCGAGGGCATGGTGGAACACGAAGGCTGCTGTGAACCGCCGATCATCTTCGGAGTCGGACAAGATACAGAGCCTCCAGTAAGCATTCGGCGCTGTGAATGGCGTGTTGTGCTGTATTTCGAGCAGCGCCTGCAGATCAAGGTCTGGGGTAGGTTCGCCGTCTATGGTTTCACCCGATAGGTTGACATTCTTCCGCTGCTCAAAGGACACCACCTGGTCCAGATTGATTTGTGGCAACCGTACAAAGTAGGGCTGTTGTGTATCATCGGCCACCGGGATCGCGGACAGCGCCGGGTGCTCCGCAATTGCCGTCTCGCAAGCGCGGTACACATAGTCCCTGATAGGCAGGGTGAAACAGTCCGGCAGAAGATAGGTCGCTGTCACGGCAACATTCAGGTAGAACCCGATCTGATGGCGGGCCGTTGAGTACTGCTCCAGCCGACCTGGTTGATGATTGTGTCAATTGTGCTGTCTCGACAAGTGGAGAGACCATCCCACGCATCGCATGGTGTTGAGGTGCTCACCAACAGGGCGCAGCTTCTCGTATTGATCCATTGCGATAATTGACTAGCTTTACTTTACAATGCTGGCTATTCTTCCAGAGACTAGCAAGGAACCATCCCCATTGCCTAACGGCTTGCTTATTCCGCACACGTGACCGTCGCATATCTTTGATTGCGGTCCGCGGATCGAGGCGACCTACCTGCTCCGGCAATTTTAAGCCACACCTTCCGCCAATTGTGCACTGACTTTCGAGGAAATTCGAGTTATACAAATCAGAGATGAAGTGTAATACAGCATGGATCGGAATTAGTTTCACCACTCTGTTCACGGAGATTCTTTTCCAACCCCTATTTCGATACACGCCAATCCATTTTGGTTTAGCACCTTCCGGGTTACCAAAATACATTGTAATCTAGGTGATGGTAAATCTGCCGCCTCGGGAAGGATCAGCTCCTGGAGCACGAGATGAGTTACTGTAGTCACCCCGCCGCCCTAATCTGCTCACTGAGCGACCCTGGGTTGCTCCCTAAGCAGCCTGATCACGCGGTTCTGATATTCTGGGGTTGGCGGTTTGACGGCCTGGTGAGTCCTGAGACCGCGGTCTTGCGACCGCTCTGGACTTAGAGACAAGGACCTCGAGCCTGGTAAGTCAGAAGGCTGTGGTTTCAGGTCTGCTGCGGGCCTAGGTCTAAGCTGGACGTACGTCCACAGCTCTAGGTCTAGCTGGGTTTTCAGTCCGTCAACTGGGGACCTCGTCCCTAAAAACACCACCGCAGCTCCTCGATATTGGATATGCGCCGCCTGACTAGTGGCTTGGCGGGACACTGGTCCTTAGATTGTAGTCAATGTTCTCGTAGCCGTAGCTCGCACTCCTATTTGGCTCACGATCCCAGGCCCATTGGCCAGCTCGGCCTCAGTTTCAGTCAACTGGTGACCTGGTTGGATCACTCCGTCAGCTCTTATTTGGCTGCTATGTCTGGGGGCCACTTCACGATTATCTTGAAAGAGTGCATTCCAAGGTTGGTGGACTGCCTCTGGTACCTATTCATCCAATCATGTAGAGCTGAAGATGAATGTTCTGAACCGCATGTCGCCTGTACATTCATCACAAAGTTATCCTATAACATGGTTGTTCTTACAGTACTTGCTGTCTAGAAGAGAATGAAAGACTTGTTTTGCCGATCTAATGAAAGCTCCCGATGGTGAAGAATAGTGAACATGTACAGAATATTCAATGTTCCCCTTTGTTTGCTTGAAAAGCGCTCTTCCCGGATTTTGATGACTTACCTACCTTCTAATTAACAACGAGCTTTGACGTCTGGGAAGCTGAGCAACTCAAAAGGCTTGTGAGTCGTAGATTCAGACCGCCAAATAATCGTGTCCAATCAGCCCTCCTGAGAAACACAAGTTCCCGCTATCCCCGTAGTCGAGGGCCCACCCCCAAAGTTCAAAATACAGATTTGCGATCCAGAACAACCTAATTCATGTATTTCCATGTGACGCAAGGCTACTTAAGGAAACAATACTCTCCTCTCCCTCTCTAACACGTCAATGGAGCAGCTGAGAATGGCTATTTTGATCGCTTAGGATCGTCAGAGCGAACATCGCCCGGTTGCCCAATCCCGATATTCACTTGAATCTAAATCTACGAGTGGCTATAAGACGCCGGCAAAGCACCTAAAGGAGCGGTGCGCGTTCTCTCAAAGCCACACGGAGCCTCGCGTGAACCTACCGATAGCGCCCAAGACTGTGATGGAGACTGCAACGGAGGGAACCCGTCACATGCGGGGTTAGCTTCCGCCAGCCTTCTCTCAAATTTCGCATCTATACCATTCAAGTTTGCATTGGCCGTCAACAATCAATTCTTCGCAGTTACTTGAGAGCTATATGTCTATGGCACTTGCTTTGTGACCGTTGATTCCGTCGAAGCTAATACCCATTATCTCTTTCAACGTTCCAAGTGGAATGTCGTTAAAATTGTTATTTTCGACTTGACGTCACCACGGCGCCTACAAAATGCTTTGGCCCATGCCGTACCTAAATTTACGCGCTCCACAGGTGAATAATGTAGCACGTATCGCAAGCAAAGTACAGCGTGTTGCTGCCTGAAACAGCGAATTTTTTTAAATCTTACGATAACTGACTGTCCTTAGTCGCTTGATTTGATTCCAGAATATGCGTACTAAAAACATCACATTATCGCTCTACCGAGTAGGAGGACGTTACTAGGACTTTATCCCAGGTCTGAAACAGCCACGGCGCTAAACGTGACAGACGGGGCATGATCGACGTACGCGGCTGGTATTTGAACCTGTCAAATCCCCTGCGTTAGCAGGGAGAATTCTTCCTGCATTTGATTCCTACAAAGAAGACCTCGCAACAAACGTCCCCGATGGCAGATCCTCTGAGTATCACTGCTTCGGTACTGGCTGTAATTAACGCTGCCGTTCTATCCACCAAATCACTCTATGAAGCAATTTCACGCTTCAAAGTTCGCGACAAAACCTTACGGAGGCTTCAAAGCGAGCTTCAAGATCTCACCAGAATTCTAGACTCACTGAAGCAAGTCGCTGATGCGGAAGCGGCCATGCTGGAGCTCCTCCAGGGTCCAATTGACCGCTGCAGCCAAGTCTGCCACGAGTTTGAAGAATCGATGGAATCGTTCTGGCGAAAATCAAAGACGGGCATTCGGGATTGGACAAAAATGGAATTCATGAGAGGAGATATCAACGAATTTATAGACATAATATCTGGTTACAAATCCACGATTTCAGTCGGTTTAGGCACCATCACCATGTTTGTCAACCTTGCCTTATATTTCCGACTTCGCTGACACTTCTACAAGACATACCGCCAAAGTATCTCAGCAAGTTCTTAAAGATTACAACGAGATGATACAAGACACAGTGTATAATCTTGAGGTTCATCTGCACCGGATCGATGAGAAAATGGCGCGATTTGCTATGGACGAGATAAGCGCCTCCGACTCAAGCATCGGCCTGAAAGACGAAAAAGAAGTCACCCAACAATGTCTTCGTATTTGTGAAGATGCGCGGTCTTATATTGAATCTTTGAGCAACCGAGAATCGTCCCTTCTACAAGAAGGGCCGCAAAACGTGAATGATGATGGGCAAAGTTACTTCGAGGCGCAGCTGCTCACACGTCAAGCTCTAGATAAGAATCGAAATAGCTTCGCAGCGATTATCGATCAACTTCGGACTCGCTTAGAGTCCCTAGTTTTGAAAAATGACCCTGGTGATGAAAATGAGAGATCTCGTTTACTAAACGATATCAATACCTCGAAGCAGTGCTTAGAGGTGTGCAAGGTGGCAAGTGAAGTTTCCACCCAGAAAATATACCGAATTGGGGAGGTGATTGCCGATGGCGAAAGCGATCAAGTAGTGGTGACTACTTTGGCCGATCTGTTCGATATCAAGAAAGCGCTATCCCAGGGCAACTCGGCACAGTTGGTTGGCTCAATGTCGGAAGATGCATTGCTGCATCTGGCCGAAAAGCGTTATGCCAGTCGGTTTGGAGCACTTCCCCAAAAGCCCGGCTATATTGAAGCTGTTAGCACCAGAGTGCCTTTAGTCAACCAGACCACAAACGATGGGCATGCTTTTCCAACGCAAACTGCTTATGACGAACAGTGTCCTGGACCAAGAACAAGTCCCAATAGGCCGTCTTCGAACGAAGTGAGAAAACGGTCTACTCGGGATGAAATGGGAAAAAGCGCATGTCAATGAGCTCGAATAGTTGAATTCAACCTAAATTTAGTCCAACTAGTCAAGCGGCCGATAATCATTTCACGATTTCTTAGATTTTCTTCCATCCGCTTACATTCTGCTGAAATGATATTCTGATCAGATTGCTCAACCAAAGAGCTGGGATAGCATATCTGACAAGCCTGGAATTCCTATAATATTTTGCGACCAGGCCCACTGAAACTTGCAGTCTCATTTTTATTATCGCGATAGTTCAATATCGGGTGTCTTCACTACCAATGTTTTTGCTAAAGTAGTTTCCTTTCGCCCACTAGATCTGTCAATATATACGCTCAGAGCTTACTATCAATACATATAGAAATACCCGCATGGACACAGGATATCTTACCTCTCGGCCTACCTTGCAACGCATCCTAAGTCAGCACACGAAAGAGGAGTCCGCTCACCAGCAGTGCAGAAAGCATCGAGATAAACAAGAGCACCATCTGGCTGGTCCATCCTCACACTTTACCACCACGCCTTTCATGTCAAAATTCAATCCATAAGATTAGAAAAATCTAGCTATCCTCGCAGCACAGATCAAATACAAATCAGTTCAGAGAATATATGAGCTTCCTCCCGCAAATTTTGCCAGACGAGGCTCTCGAGTTCGCGGTAGCGATTGCAGTAGTGCCACCCCTTTAAATCCATCCGGCCCAAAACATTCTTAAGCCCGGATAGCGCAAAGACGAACGGCAGGAACCTTAATTCAGCCCAGTCGACAATCCCTATTATATTTCTAGTTTCGAGATTGATGAGGAGATTCATCACGTTAAGGCCTCCGTGACTAAGAACAAAAGGGAGGGCATTTGAGAAGGGAGACGGGAGCTCCTTGCGGAACCTTTCTAGGTTCGATGCAAAGCAAGAGTGCAAGTTCCGAACAAAAACGTCGAAATTTGATTGAAACTCCACAAGCAAGATAGCGGTTTTCTCCACCCTGCTTTACTCACTGAGTAGCCCCTAGGCGCCCTGATCCGCACACTGGGCCGGACCTGAGTGATGAGATGAGCGGCCTGAGTATGGATAAGGTCAAGTCAATAGATCGGAACAGGCTAGTTCCCTCTACCTGCAACTTTGGACTACAGCTGCCTCCCATCGTCCTATCAACAAGTAGCCAGCCACATCAGACACGATGTCAAAGTAAGGGAAACTTTCGGAACGGGCTGCTTTGCGAATTTAGGACCACTCCAAAAGGCGTGCAGATGCGCACAAGCCCTCCATAGGTCGGTTGCCCACATTGGCAACAGTCAACTACATCGTCCGGTCCGATATCGCGAGGGCTGAGCTTCTGAGACAAATGAGAATCAAAAAGAGAAACGAAAGAAAGCTAGTTGATATGATTCTTGGACAAGTAACAATGGTATACACTCTCACTTTGTCGCTGCATCTTGGTTCCTTCAGACTTCATTCTTCAACCTCGCCACCGCCCAAAGCGAGTTCTACCTAACCTGAAATTACCAATCAGAGGCCACAATCCCGACTACCCTTTCATGCTTCCTGTTCCAGCAAAACTCAGGTAAGAATGTCAGGCAGTCAGGCACCAAGCTACTGGTGTAGTATACCATCTTCGTCGCAGTTGCCCAGGCGTTGCGGACCATGAAGCGGCCGCGAGGGAACCGCTTGGAAACTTGATATAACTCAACATGTGCCCAGCCTCGCTTTCCAGGACAGTTAGCTTCGAACTTTAGCTATAAAACAAGTGCAAAGAAAGAGAAATAGAAGGAGCGAGAGTGTTTATTTACCCATGGTACAATGGCTATCAGTGAAATAGCCGTTCACATAACAATCATTAGCATCACTCGGGCTTGCTAGCTTGTCCCAGGTACTGCGGCTTGGTTAGGCTCTTGTTCTCAAGAATGCCTTTTGACTTCAGTCAACAAAGGTATGGGTAAATATCATACCAGTTATCCTCATAGCAGTCTCCCCGTTTATAACACTCAAAGTACAAATTCTCACCCGGACTCACGGTGCGGACCACCCTGGAATCGAGGTACGGCCCTGCCCGACAATTAACTTTGCCCTCAGCATTAACTATATGACACCACTGGGCAAAGCCTGCGAAGGCTCCAAGTGGCAGGCTCAAGAGAGCAGGAAAGAAAATCTTCATATTGGCGAAAGCGACGTTGGAACCAACCCAATATGCGAGGAGAGAAGAAGTCAAGTGCGGTAGGAAGGGAGAAGGCGTTGACCATTAGGTCATCTTTATAAAGCATCGCTGATTGTTTTTGGGAAGAGTTTCCCGTCGCCTGAATACGAGCCTTAGACCAAATTCGAGCAGGACAATTGTTTGAATCGAAAGTAGAAGGACTAGCTAATTCATTCATTGGATCAACTGGCACGCTCCGTAACAAGTTCGGTCAAGCTTTGGAAGCAAAAATGCGCCAAGATCTATGTACGGACGGTGCTTCTCCTTACGGCCCACTAATTGTCAGGGATCAGGGCAAGTAAACTCTAAAGCTCGTATATGGCTCTCCGACTGGGCCAGTATCCGTGCCTCCGCGCACCCACCGCTTTCGCTAGTGGGTGCGCCCGGTGTTACCGTCATCCCTGTTTTACCGTCATTTTCTATCGCCTCGCCTACCATCAGCTATTTCAACCACACAACATGCCTAAAAAGGACAATTTCGACGAAGCTCGCCTAGCCGAGGCTATCAAAATCGCTCTAGCCCAAAAGAAACCAAATATCGCCAAGATTGCGCGTGAATTCGACGTATCTCGCACTACCCTCTCCGACCGCGTCAAAAAGGCAATAACGCCCACTACACCTACCGAATCACGCAGAAACGCCCTTACAAGCTATCAAGAGAGAGCCTTAGTAGCCTAGATACACCAGATGTACAACTAGAACCTCCCCCCCAACGCACAGGTTATAGAGACGTAGGCAAATCAGGCGCTTAGGCGCGTAGGCCAGGATAGACAGGTCGGCAAGAATTGGGCGTATAGCTTCATAGCACGCATCCCTGCACATATCAATCTAGCACCGGTAAAGCAGAAGACCAAGGAACTAAGGCGAATTCAAGCTAAAGACGCAGGGTTTCTTCAGCATTAGTATAACCAGCTTACGATTCTACTCCATGATATCTCTGCACGATTAGTATATAACTTCGATAAATACGGCTTCCAACCAGGTCAAGGGCAATCGCGAAACGTCCTTGGTTATAAATCATCTTACCCTGACCTTGCTGAATCTAAGCGAGGCGAGACTATCACTGCTATCGAGTGTATCGCCGCCGATAGCTGGCAGATAGACCCGCTATTCATACTCAAAAGTGGCGTTTTTATAGAGTGTTAGTTTAATGGCAGCGATGATCTCCCACGAAACACTATTACTACTACATCACCGAATAGCTGGGTTTCCGATGATTTAGCTATTACCTAGCTAAATTCGTTTATTAAATCAACCAATAACCGCGTTAAGAAGGGGGAAAAGCGCCATCTAATATTCGACGGTCATGGTTCGCATCTTACCCTCGAATTTATACAAAAATACGAGGCTTATAATATTATACCATTCGGCTTCTTACCCCATTCGACATATCTCTGCTAGCCACTAGATAGTAAGCCCTTTTTGAATTATAAACAGCAATTTCGACGTACAAATAACGAGCTATCGTTTTAGGGTAGCCAGCCCTATAGGAAATCAGAATTCCTCCGAATTATTAGCCCTATACGATCAAGGGCGTTTACCCAACGAATCATCCGCGAATCCTTTAAAGATCGAGGCATTTAGCCGGTTAATAGTAATCAGATCGTAGCGAATCTATCGAATCAGATAGAAATCCCTAAGCTTTAGTCTAATCTTCGGTCGCATAGTTTCCATACACCATCACCACCACCACCAACCGCCCTCTCGTCGTCCAGTGTTAAAATTACCCCACCAAAATCAATTAAAGCACTCCTAAAGAACCAGACAAAGATAACCAAATATCTTAATACGTTATTACCAAAGATACAGCGAGATATCACTAAGATCTTCGACTACCAGCGAGAGAAGCTTGAAGAGCTTCATATGACCCAGGATACAATCCAGCGAATCAGAGCCGCGCAGGCACCCCTACGACGTCAATTAACTAGGCGACAGGTTAAGCCGCTTAGCCAGTCAGGTGTATTGAAAGTTAATGATGCAAATCGATCAATTCAGGCTAGGAAGGCGAAAGATATAGCTGTGGAGGAGAGGAAGCTAGCCAGACAGTTCGAAAAGGTCTATGGCTACAAACCCACACAGAGGCCTGAGGAAGCTATTCGTAAGGCAGCTGAGGCTGAGGAGGCTGCGACGCGACAGGGAGAGTTTTTTTTTATTGATAATTAGCTAATGTGTTGAAATATCGATGGTTTTCATCAAAATGTGACGGTAAAACAGGGATGACGGTAACACCGGGCGCACCCACTAGCGAAGCGGTGTGGGTGGGCGAAGGCACGGATATATCCAGTCTGGCCCTGCCCCCCTTTTTTCTGCCTCCTCGCTCCCAATCTCCCGCTTACCAAGGCTTTTCGCCCGCCTTGGTCTTGGCACGTTTTTTCAACCTCCGATTTTCTTGGTCCTCCTTTGTAATTTCTTGTGATCATATTAGGATATCCGCGTCCTTGATAGAAAGAGAACCCTGTACGGAGTACGAATCTGGCGCTTGGTTTGGCATGCTCTTAATCTACAATAATGGGAGCCATGAAGGCTGGGCACGATTAAGGTTTTGTTTCTTTTTATTCCACCCTTTTTTCCTCAAATCATGTTCGTATTCGATCCCCAACCAGCCGCGGCCATCCATAGCCCCACCCATGCCTTAGGGTAACCCCGGTGGCTTTCCGCCCCCAAGAGTGTTGTTAATCATGTCCTTTGTTTATTCTCATACTCAGACTCGGATCCCTTCTGAACGATACAGGAAAGTCTCATGGATTTGTCCGCGGCCGGGTTTCTCCTCAAACATGACGATTCGGCTTACTGAACATCGGCTTTTCAAGTCCATCCTTACCGGATTTTTAAGCTTTACCCTTGCCTTGCTCATTTTATTCTACGTCAACGCCATCATCTCCTCCAGTGGATCTTATCCGACATCCCTGAGAACAATACTATCCTTATCATCCACCAGCTCTACCATAGTGGAATTGCCCTCAGCCAGCGAGCGTTGCCGTCAACTTTTGGGAGCCGATGATATCCTGGTGATTGTCAAGACAGGAGCAACTGCGTTGCGTGAGAGATTGCCAGTGCATTTCCAAACCACTCTGCAATGTACCCAACACTACGTGGTTTACTCGGATATGGAGGAAGAATTTGAGGGCCATCACATACATGATGTGCTGTCTGGAGTCAGTGCGGAGATGAAGAAATCCGCGCCTGAATTCAAGTTCTATCGCGACCTGCATGAGAATCGGGATCGAGTGACTGAATTCATGAGAGAGGATGCATCTGTCCAAAGAAAGGCATGGCGTCTCGATAAATGGAAGTTTCTCCCCATTGTGGAAAGAGCTCTACAGGCCAAACCGAACGCAAAGTGGTTTATGTTCATCGAGGCAGACACCTTTTTGGTTTGGTCTAACCTCCTCAAATGGTTGTCACAGCTAGATTCAGGAAAAGCTTACTTCTTAGGACTACCAGTGACCATGGAGGGCCAACTTTTTGCATACGGAGGGGCAGGATGGCTGCTATCACAACCTGCTATACAGCGAATGACACATCACATGGCTTCCCAGGATGATGATTATGAACATTTTACAAATAAAACCTCATTTGGGGACCTGGTTCTTGGTTATGTACTAGAACAGGCCGGCCTTAGACTTACTGGGGTGTGGCCTCTTATCCAACGAGAGACACCCAGCACGATGGAATACACCAAAGATCTATGGTGTTATCCTGTTGTCACTTTCCACCACATCGATTCTCCTGATATAAAATCAATCTGGGATCTCGAGCAGGAGTGGCTAGCAGATACACAAGCAACTCTACTCCACTTTGACATCTTCAACCACCTTGTATACCCTCGCCTCGCTACAAAAATTGATGACTGGGATAACTTCTCTCATGGCGAGGAGGTAGTGCTTACTAGTGACGAAGGATTTGAAGATTGCAAGCTACTATGTGAGAAAGATGTGCTATGCATGCAGTTCCGCTTCACACCGAAGAAATGTACTATGTCCCATGCAGTTACCCTTGGATGGAAGGCAGATCCGTCGATAAACAGCATCTCGGGCTGGATGATGGAAAGAATCACTCAGATCAAAGCAAGCGTTCGATGTGAAGGGGAAAAGTGGATATCGATAGACTAAATATTATAAATTCCAGTAATACCAGTCTTGGCAAGTCTCCGCTTTATGAGAGTTAAAAGTGACTGAAAGAATGGGTCAGATATTATAAATTTGTCTGCAGTTGCCACAAGGGCACACTTAACTAGGCTGCGGCAGAATCTAACATATCGTCGGATATCAGATCATCCTATCCACAAATTGTGGAACCTGTTGCTGCGGATGAGCCAGTTGCTGCTAACTACCTAACGACGATCCTGCTGCTGCTGAGTAATATCCGAGTCAATTTCGTCCAACTCAAGTTTCGCATGAGGATGTAGCTCTATACTGGAGGAGCATACTCTCAAAGAAAAGGGCTAAACGAACGCAATCTCTTGTGACCAGGATTATTCTAATCCCAGGCAAAGATAGCCTAGTTTCCATCTACGTGGTGTGAAGCTTCTGCTTTAAATATTTCATTTAGCATTCTTATTTGTTGTATTCTGCTGGAAATGACAGCTCTTGAATCCTCACGAATGGTCATCTAGCAACTCTGAATGATGTTTATTTACTCATCCAAATATGTAAGCCGCCTACAAAATATCTTATAAATCTCACAAACTCAGGTGGGATATGCAAGAGTCTTGTCAGCTACAGCAGAGTACTAGATCCTGTAACGGACCAGTGCCCGCATATAACCACAATGATTTTGGGTGAAAAGTCTGGGGATGCAATGTAGGTAGTAGGGATTGCTTGGGCCCATCTCAAAAGCTGCGGACCCAAAAAGAGGGCGTTGCTGGCTAGATAGTTATGCGTTAGTTTCGCCAGAGCAACAACAAAGAGCGATCTCGTAATGACCATTCGTGCACTTGAAGCAGCCAGTAGGCATAGGCTCTCGAAGTGATAATGCCAAAGCGTGCTTTTCACCCCCGCGGGACCTGGCTAATTATCGTGTGCCGCGCTTAAGTTGAGTGTAGCTGAAATCAACACGGTTCCAGAAACCGTGCTACCCCAAACGGAACTAACAGACATCTCAACAATCTCGCCTGTGATTGGTCGCCGTCTACATTATCAGATTTGGGATTGGGTCTCGCTATTCGAATGGATCTCCGCGTAGAATTTAATGCCTAGATGCCCGGCACGGCAGGGGCGGAGCTATTATAGGCGATGCTTCACCCACCTGTCCTAGACAGTCCACAGTCCGGAGGACCGACCACCCTGCAGTGTTGCGGTATTGCGGTGTAGCGTGGCTGCGACCCCCTGTCTGACCCAATGGGATTTCTCCTTCTACAACCACTAACGATCAGGTTGCGTAAGTCGGACCTGACCCTGGCCACAGGCCAGCGGTCGGGTAATATGTATATCCGGGCCATACGCTTTAAGTAGCAGAAGTAGCAGGGTTCTTGTTTCCCCCTCTTTCTTTCCTACAAGACAAACAACTCAATTTGTTCATTTGAGCATATCTGGAGATCCAGTGGTATCTCTTATTACGGATAGGTTTGAAGGGTTACCCGCAGAATCCTCCCTAGTAGCGATCAAAGCGCCGCAAGTTTACAACTTTCCTGGCACAAAGGCCGGCGTGCATCTGTCATTCCTCAGCTCCTTGCGGACACCAGTCATCACAGAAGCTACTCGCCATTATGGGAGAGACATCTGAGGAAAGCCGCCGAAATGTGCCTAATCAGGCACCAGCGAGACCAGTCAATTCATTTGGTAAACTCGAGCCGCTTGAGCACTGGCGGCGGGTTTTCATTTTCATTGGGTAAACCCACGTCCTTCGCCGAGGCGTTTCATCGCCACCAGAAGAACACTAATCTGTGCTAGGCTGATTTTGGCTTTGTTTCTATCATCCTTGGGCAAGCGGACCTTTTTCATTTCTTGCTTGCAAGCACATAGGAGGGGGATGTTACTAATCGGGGCACAGATACGTCCATCGTGGCAACATCAATCTACACCATAGCACTCAACTTCAACTCTCTTTCGGGCTCTCTCTGGGTTGTTCTTGCATACACGCTTGCTTTCATCAGTTCGCACCCCCTTCCCCGAGCGGTAACTGATGCTTTGACAGGTTGTGCCGTTATTTTTGCGAGGAGCAGCGACTTTGTTGGACGAAGAACCGCTGTGATCGCTGCCTTTACCCTATTTATTGCCTTCTCCTTGGCATGTGGATTTTCTCGGAACATAACTCAGTTGATAATATTTCGAGCTTTGCAAGGCGTTGGTGGAGCTGGCCTGTATGCTTTGCCACTAATCTTGCTAGTTGAAGCGGGAACTTTGGATCTGAAGCTTTTAACATCGAGCTTGATCGGGGCAAGTATATCACTGGCGGGGGCAGTTGGACCGGGTAAGTTACGAAAAAACCTTGCCCGCAGTCGAACAGCCTAACAGAGCTATGTGCACGTAGTGAGAATTGCTGTATCGCAAGGTATAATCATGCTAAATGCAGGCACAGATTGTAGGAGGTCTGTTGACGTCCCATGCGAGCTGGAGATGGGTGTTCTAAATCAAGTTAGTGTACACGTCGCAAGCAGTTTAAGAAAGATTTCTGATTTCCCAACAGTGCTCCCATCGGCATTATTGCTGTTGTCTTCTTCGTTGCGGGGTGGCCGAATAACACTACCGCATATGATAACGAACCTCGCCTGTCTTTTTCTCATTTTGACTACGTCGGCGCTCTACTGCAGCTCGGTGCATCGCTTCTAGTCGTTTTCGGCCTCCAGATAACAGGTACAGGATCGTACCGCTGGAACAGCGGTGGAGTTATCGCATCACTTAGCATTGGCTGTGCGTGCTGGGCATTGCTACTTTCTTGGGAGTATCTCCTTAGTAAGGTCAAATGGGGCAGTCACGTTGCGTCCATCTTTCCCTACAATATATGGACGAATAGAGTCCTCGTCTCTGGAGCATGGTGAATACTAATCTCTTGTCTGCCTGTTACTATGATTCTGACAGCGACTAGTGTCACGATGCTGACAGGCTTCTCCTTTTTCCTCGTCGTCATAAACATGCCTCTGCGCTTTCAGATCGTCAACCAGAAAAGCCCATCTGGAGCAGGTCTCAGCATGCTGCCATTACTTTCAGAATCTGGACTCGGATCTTTCACGAGCAGTTTCTTTCTACGACAAAGAAATCTCACATTTCAATGCCTTGTTTTCGCTTCTGGACTTGTACTGCTTGGGTGCGGCCTGATGACCACCTTATCCGATCAAATTGCAATAGAGCTGAAGTGCTATGCCTATCAAGTGATTCTTGCTTTGGGCGTCGGCATGATCATGTCAGCCACAAATTCGCTGTCAGTATCGCATATTGTCCACGTTTCGGAGATTTTATATTAAGCTTGGTATTTCGACAGCACCACGCTGAACGCAGGCTCGAGCAACTTAGGTCAGCAACCCTCCCCCAACCCACCTTTCTCCCAACCATCTTTTACTAGGTTCAATGTATTGACACTCTCCAGCCGTCGCGCAAGGTATTATCGCCCAAGCACGCATGCTCGGAGGAAGCATCGGTGTCGCTGCTGCAAACGCGATATTCAAACAAGTAGCACAAAGCAGCCTTCAAGGTGTCTTGTCACCTTATGAAATCAATGCTTTGCAGGTATCCACTTCGATTCTGGACTCACTAAGCCCGACTGAATTGCAATCCGTCAGGGCCGCATTTTCCACTGCATATGATCAGTCTTTGAAGGTCTGTGTTTGTGTGCAAGCATTTGCGCTATTGGCTGTATTTTGCGGAACGCAAAAGAAGCCTATCGCATTGAGAGCTTAATTGTGTTCAAAAAGCCCGTGGCTGTAGTCCTGTGCCGATTCATGTGCTTTCCTTCTAGATGCGCCCGTTGAATGGTTGTCAGCATTATGGGGCGCGGCTGTTTTAGTTGCGTCGTTCAGACGAGTAAGAACTAGCAAATAGCATTTACCCGGAGCTCACTTCCCCCGACGAACCTATCCGTCACTCTTGGGGCCTCGGTATTGGACTTGTTTTCGGTTTTGAATGGGAGGAACCAGCATATAATTGAGCGATTGGCTCTTCATTGTTTATAGGTGCTTGAAAAAGACTAGGCGCGGAAAGTAGGTATACGAGAATGAATAAATAACGTGAGCGAAGGGTGAAACTGATTTCGATCCATCCAATAAGTTCATTCATCGTATATGATCAAGTAAATAGGAAATCGTCCGCTCGTTTAATTTCATTAAAATATGCCCATAGGTACAGCGTCCAATCAGCATCAAAGCATGAACCAAGAGCTCCGTCAGCTCCCGAGTCCGGAACTTTTCTTACCGGCAAGCATCCGCACTCTATAACACGGCCATGCCACCAGCAAATGCCACGCCGAGCAAGCCCCAGGCGGCAGTCTGCAGCGCGACAGCAGCACCCTGGGAAGTGGATGTGGATGTGGAAGTAGAAGTGGAAGTGGTGGAAGTGGTTGAGCTGGAATCGGAGCTGGAGCCCTGCGCACCGCCCGTTGAAGTGGATTCGTTAGCATTACGCTGAGCAGCAGCGCTGGGGAAAGCCGAGGCCACGACGTTGGTGTTGTTCGAGCAAGACGAGGGCTGGCTGTACATGACGCTCGAGGAGAATTGGACGTCGGCGCACTGGCATGTCATTAGCAATTGGGCCCAGCCCGACTCGATTCGAAGACTTACAGCGTAGAGACCACCAGAGGGATCGCCATTGGTCTGCACCTGCAGGGTGGCATTCATGCCGTCGGTGATGTTCACCCCGAGAGCGGATGCGCTGAACTCGACGTGCGGCAGGCAAAACTCGCCCAGGCCGTCGACCTGGAAGGTCTGGACAAGGGTGATGTTGTAGTTGTCGCCTGGGTTGCTGCCGAGCGCGAGGAGGATCTCGACGGCACTTTGGACGTGGCCCATCTTGAGGGCCACGGGGAAAGAGCCAGAGATGGGGAGCTGGGTGCGGTTCGAGGATTGGCTCATGCCGCCGCAGGGGAAATCGGGCATGATGTCCTCGTCGAAGCCGCGGGAGGTGGGGTACTGGAGGAGGAAGTGGGCGGCGGCCAGAGGGGCCAGGGCCAGGGTGAGGAGAGGGAATCTCATGGTGGCGAGGATGAGTGTTGAAGCTTAGATTGATGGGGGAGGTTCCAGGTCGAGGAGTGAATTGGGAGGTGTACACGCTGAGGAAGTAAAATAGGTGATCGAAACGACCGAGGCCTGGACTATCTATACTGTGGCCCGTACCCCACTCTCACGTCCGTTCCAGCTGTCAACGAACCCTGCACGACCACTAGCGAATTAGGTTTCGTCAATTGCATGGTTTACCGAGCAGAGGCTTTCATCGACTGGAGACAGAAGGAGAAGGGCCGAAGAAGGGTTGGTGAAGGGTCGGGGCATGGACCTGCCCTTCCAAGCGTGGTCGATGGGCCGCCCCGCTTGGGTTTAGCGCGCTGCACGCTTGGACGGTCCCCACGCGCTAGGCCCAAACAAGGTAATCTGCTCATATCTTCTCAAGCCTCCGAGAAGATGAGATACCGCGAGCTGAGCGTGCAGAATCTTTGAAACAGGGTAAGCAACGGGACAGTACGGAATTCAGACAGCAGTTTGTTTGATCATTAGCATACACTGAAACATGCCTAGACGGTAGCGTGATAATATCGAGTGGCAGGGTCGTACTCCAGCAGCACCTCCCTCTCCATCTGTTCCAGATCAACCATCATCTGCCGCCACAGGCTGACCTCAAACGAATCTGTCATTGCACCCGGAACTACTATAGCACAAAGATAACGCTGAGCAGCGACCCCGATTGACTGCTGCAAAGGATCCTGGGCGACGTGCACCCCAAGCGCGTCTCGAACATGATCGCCTAGAGCATTTTGCGGACATAGAACCACAGCCAGGTTCTGCGTTGGTGAGCGCATTGGGAAGGCTGATGAGGGTGTCCAGCTCACGACCATACCGGGACGAATGCGCTCTTTGAACGGCGGAGCATGCTCTTGCAAAGCCGGGTCCCGACTCGTGAGAAATTTGGCAGAGCGCACATCATCGGAGCAGTCGCGACATTTCTGCGCCGACCCGTTGTCCCCCTTCAAGTCAGCGGCGGCCCCGCGCCGCGAATCAATATGCAGACGCCAGAACTTGGCATGGAACGCCTTCGCTTGCGCTTCGGTCACGCCTTCTGTTTCCAGGCACCGGGCGATGAACTGCTCCGCGGGGAGTTGGAGAAGCTGGGCGCCGGATTCGCGAGGTGCGAGGACCGAGGGAGAGATGCTTGGGGTACCAGACTATTGGGTCCTATTCAGTCGTGATGTCCTGGGAAAGATTAGCACCATGTGCGTACTCACCTTGGCCATGATATAAGTCTTCAATTCCTTATTACCCCACGTCGCGGGATGGGCCGGGTTATACCCAGCCGGCTTATTCGTCGCCTCGGCGGACCGCAGCATCTCCGCATACCGTAAGGTATTCTTGGTCGCGCCCGTGTCCAGGAAACTAGGATTGATACAGGCCAGCACCGCAGTCTTGCACTCACGGCCGCTCGACGGATCAAACACGTGCTTCAGCACTTTGGTCAGCATGCTCTGGCGGAAGGGGATATACGGTTTCTTTGTGTTCCTCCCGGGGCCCGGGGATGCATCTGCCGTGGCGATTCCTCGAATGCAGTCTTTGAGGACTGAAAGACTCATGTTGATCTCCCGGGTTTCTTTCATGCGCTCCGCGCTATGATTGAAGATATCCCGTGCGGCTTCGGAACCTGCGAGATCGACCAAATACAAGAGGCCATCCCCGCGCGCGTTCGGGGATGGGTTCTCGACTCTGATGCGACAGATGGCATGAGAGCGGGACGACCCGTCGTTCTTCTCGGTCTGTGCAGTCTGGCGGAATGAGGCTGCTCGCTCGATCAACCCGAGCAGATCTGCACTGCTGCCAGCCTGGTGTTCTTGGGCTCCGTGGAGCCGGCTATCGCCAAAAGAATCCTCGAGAATGGAAAAGGGTGCACGGGAGTTTAAGAGATCTCATTAGCGGCCCGATGTTAGCTTGATTGTTGATCACGGATTGATCTGCAAGGACGCCATCTCACCATATGCAGAGTTTCCGGCCAGCTCGAAAATCGTGACGTGCAGCCTCTGTGGACCCTCCAGTGTCCCGTCGCCCAAGGTTTCGGCGATCCGTCGCTCCAGGCCGCTCACGGTATACGTTTTCCCAGACCCGGTCTGTCCGTAGGCAAACAAAGTCCCCACTCCACCGGCCCACACCAATGGAAGCAGCGGCTGCACGAGCTCTTGGTAAATCGACTCGGTCGAGCAATCGGCGCCGAAGACCCTGCCGGCCCTGAACGAGAAGGACTGCGTGATATCGTCAGCCTGAGGTACCATCTAGTTGCTAACGTGGGCCAAGTTGCCAGGCAGGAGAGTACGGTATTGACTATTCAAGGAAAACTGTGGCACCCCACGAACATTCAACGGCGGCAACCCCCTCACGACCCTCCGCAGCTCATGGAGATCCACTACTCCGCTACCGCCCGGGCGCGCGAATGCCGCCGGGACTTGCCCGGATGACACCTCGTCTTCGAGCATCGGGCGGATGCGCGTTGCGACTGCGATCTGTGGGCTTGTCACTCCATCGCCATCGCCGGCCTTGGCGCGCGGGGGCTTGAACCGGCTGACAAGCAATTGGTGACGGGCTGCATGTTCCAGAAGGAATTCTTCCATCTTGGGCTATCCGTAGCTCCGACTACCCACACCGCCCACCTGGTGTGGGTGGTCTTCACACCAACGATTTCTTCATACCAACGATTAACATATTGATATTTTTGACTAGAACGATCTATCCCCCACAGTATCTATAACGAATAATGTATCATCCTCTGTATCTTGCATTAAATTTAATGCCTGTAGTGTCAAATCAGGCTGATTAGGCTAATCTGGCTGATTATCCTACTTCTTAACGTTCGCCTAACGTATACGCTTTATCACCCGCGCGTTTTCTTCGGCTGTACGCTTATGAATTTTGCGATTAGCGTCCCGAACGGTTAAAACTAAGGTCTTTGATAGCTGACGCTTCGATTGGCTATAGATTCTTTTAGTACGGACCTCCCGAAACGTCTTAATAATAGTGTCTTTAAGTACGCCTTTCTTATATTTAATTGTAGTAAAACTGTAAAGGATTAAGTTTATAGCTGTGCGCTACTATATGTGTCGGTCCTGAGCATGTCAACCTTGATGGTTGACATAGTGGTCTTTTTGGCTCAAGAGAACAATCATGTGACTCAGGCTTGATCTGTTACAAAAACGCTCGATATATTTAAATTGTCTTCGAAGCTTATTAGGATTGATTGATATTAGCTACGCTAGCGATAGGAGATATCGCTCTAGCTTCTTAAAGCTCTTTTAAATACTTTATAGCGTTTTTAGTTAGTCGATTAAGCTTGATAAGACGGTCGGAGATAGTATACGGTAGATACTATATACGTTGTTTCTGTCTAGGTCGAAGCTAGTGATCTCTTAATATAGTAATTTAGCGTCGATAAGAGATTAAATAACGATATTTAGTCGAAATAGGACGATACTACGCTCCGAGAAGCTATTTTGAATAATATATAGTATAAATATAATATCCCGAATAGGCTAAATTCTACTAAGAAATTTACCTTTTTCGACTGTTAAACCCCTCTAAAGTATAGTCTATTAATTCTATCGACGAAAATATTACTTATAAGCTAGAAAGGGCTTACTATTAAGAGGTTATAGAAGATATATAGTATATAGGATAAACTAGAAGGGTATAATATACACTTAGTAGTAATATTCGATAAATTCGGCTATAAAGTATATAATATAACCGTCGAAGAGTAGTAACTATTATTTATCTAGTTAAAATAAGGCGAATTAGCTTTAAGATCCTCTAGATTTACGGTATTTAAATAATATAAACTCTTTTTCGTACGATCTTTAGTATATTAATCGAAGTATTAAAGCTATTCGAATACTAAGTCTAAGGTAATAAAGCTATTCGGAGTAACCGAGACTATCTAATCTAATAATTTTAACTATTCGAACTATCTCTTAAGTATTACTTATCTTTTAAAGATAAAGAAAAGTAGTAAAATAAAGCTATCTACGGCGATATACTTAACTGTAGTAAGGCTCTCTTATGTAGTATCGGTCGCTAATTAGGCTATTCTACGCGAGATTACCTTCGTTTTCGATAGCTATTAGCCTAAGATAAAGCTAGTCTCGTCGAAATTGTAGATATTATAGTATTTTATCTTCTTAATTATTAGTTATAGGCCGTCGAACTAGTATTGTAGTTAGGCTAGTATAACGCTAGCTTACGCTGTCTCGATTAGCTACTCTATCCTCGGTCGGAGATCTTCTAGTAATCGCTTAATAAAGCGATAGACCTATACGTTACTAACCTATAGTAGTTTTAGTAGGTTATCGTCGGCTATAGCTAACGTTAACGTAGTCGACGCAGTCGGTAGGGTATCTAGTAGTAGATAGTCCCGTTCGAATTAGCGTCGGAGTATTAAATTTATAAGATCTTCGATATCTTTAGGCGTTAGAAAGATATATAATACGTTTAGACGATCAATTATTTGTAGTAATACATCCTCTTAGGCCTTCGTAAGCGCTCGGTAGCTATTAGAATTACTAATCTTTAAAGAGGCCCTATTGCGTCGACGTAGTAGCCGCTGGTAAGGTACGTTATATTAGCGTGCTAACGTAGCTAAACTAGTGTTTTTAACGCGTTGATAGGCAGCGAGAGCTTCGGATATACGAATTTCAATAGATTCGGTCGAATTCTGCATAGTGGTAGTGAATTATAGGTGAAAATATCAATATGTTAATCGTTGGTGTGAAGAAATCGTTGGTGTGAAGACCACCCACACCAGGTGGGCGGTGTGGGTGGTCGGAGCTACGGATAAGGGGATACTTAAAATGTGGCATAAATATGTATGCCGTGTGTACAAGTTTCCAGATGTAGCTTGGGGGGCGGTCAATAAGGAGGCTCTCCAGCCGCACCCCGCCTCGTTCGGGGAGCTCCGGCGGATCTGTGTGCCCTATACCCTAACATTGTGCTGAAACCAGCATGGTGTGAACCCTAATGTCTCGCATACGATTACCCCGTGCGGAGTACACTGTGTCGACAAGCATTGAATCCAAGTCGTGGCCCGAACCGAGCCTGCTCACTATTTAGAGAGAATAATCCCACACGGTCTATCATCGATCCAGCCTCGCTGTGGTGCCGTGTGGACAATTACCCCCAAATAGTTTAGCGCGACGAATGGAGACGAAGACATAGTTGACATGGTTGCGTGGGGGCGTTCCCGATCCACTAGGCCCGATGCGGTTAGGAAATGTGCTCATTTCTGCTCAGCCGGCGGAACGCATGCAGCTTAAACTATGAACTTTAATCTACATGATGGGATCGAAGAGGGACCGGTGAATTAGTGGCATTGGGCCCAAAGAAAAAAAACGCCAGGTCATGCAGGTGTTCCAGATGAGTCGTGAGTCATAGGCGCCATCGTCGCGCAGGGACGGATCAAGACGGCTCTCAGTGCCCGTGCTCGTTCCAATGGATGTAACGGCCAACCGCCAACTCGCCGAGGAAGGCGCCGGCCAGTACCGAGCAGAAATACCCCACATTCATCGTCATGACAGCCAACATTCTAAGATCCAATAATCAGCATCCGGAGAAATTCGCCTAGTTCAGCGCGGGACAGAACATACAGCAGATACGATACCCCCGCAATGCACAGAAACAGCGCCGCCCGCGGCACATCCACGCTGAAGCGCCAGGGAATTGGGCCGGTCGAGATATTGCGCACGACCTTGACATTTTCCTCGACGCCCTGCGCTGTGATGAGCGATGCGGTCTTCGCGTCTGGGTCGACATCAATGCGCCCGGCCTCGCTGGTCTTCCCGGCAATGGCGACGTAGCGGCGGTTTAGATGCGTGGCTAGCCAGTGGCGCTCCATAGTGGCTTTGAAGGCGATCAGGCAGCGGCCGATGATGGCGAGAACGATGAGGAAAATGCAGGTGCCCGCGTACGTTCCCGAGGACGAGGGTGTCCAGGCCGAGGAGAAAAGGGGTTTGTCGTGGGTGTTCGTAAAGACCATGGTCATGGTCATGGAGGAGGAGCTGGAACCGCTCATGTCCATTGTGCTCATATCGTGGTCCATCGGCGAGGGCGAAGGCGGTAGTGATGGCGCGGTGTGTAGCGCGCGGACGGGGAGGTGGTAGGAGGTGTAGACGAGGAGGAAGAAAATAAGCAGATGGCCGTAGACGAGACGATGCGCGTGCCGCAAGGACCTGCTCCACACAGAAACCGGCCAGAGTGAGCACATTATTAGTGGACTGATTGTTGCGACCGAATGCGAAAGGCGGGACTGGCGGGGCCCGTCCAGGCTTTCCGTTTGCCGAATGAGCGCTTTCTTGATAAGCGACCCCGGCGTTGGTGCCGGGGTTTTCAGGACTGGACCTCTGGAGAGTGTGCTCTGGTCTTGTCGTTTGTTTTATACTCTTCCCGATTTTAATTCCCTCAATTCCGAACATCTTGGACAAGGGAGACGGCGCGCGCTATCTGACCTGCTCACTATGCGAGATCGCTTCGCCTAACTCCATCACCACCCAACATGTCCATGTCAATGGGGGACATGCCCATGGGCTCGATGTCCATGGGCGATGGCGTCCCCAGCCTCTTCGACCTGCAGAAAATGTATTGGGCCGTTGTAGGGAGTGCTATCGGCGCAGCGGCAGTCGTCAACGTCTTGAATCGCGCCCTTGCACAGCATCGGTAGGCCGCCTAGGCTGCTTCGATCTATGCAAGAGCAATACTAACCACCCCATGCCAGCCTACGAGATGCCTCGCTCACGCCCGCCAAGCCCAAGTCGCTCTTCTTCCACGCCTACGCAACCCTTACCGCAACTGTCCGCGAGGTCAGCTACGCAACCATCCACCCGCTCAGCCTGGGCAAGTTCACCTTCCACTTCCCTCCCCTCGGCCCTGTTCTCATCGTCCTCGCCAACCTCATCACCGTCCTGGTTCTCTGCTTCTACAAGCTGGACACGACCGACGTGTGGGAATGGGAAAATGTCGGCTACCGCACCGGCTTTATCGCCATCTGCCAACTCCCACTGATCTTCCTGCTGGCGGGAAGACAGAACATCATCGGCTTCCTAGCTGACATGAGCTACGCCAGCCTCAACTGGTTCCACCGCTGGGTTGCGCGCACGCTTTGGCTCACAGCGACCATTCACATGGGTTTCTGGTTTCGCGACTGGGCCCGCTACGACTACATTAGCTACCAGCTGCACAATGATCCGCTCACCAAGCGCGGGTTTGCAGCGTGGTGCATTTTGTCGTTTATCGTGGTGACCTCGATTCGGCCTATCCGAGGCTTGAGCTACGAGGTCTTTGTCCTCCAGCACCTCGTGACCTTTGTCGGGTTTATCGTTGCCGTTTGGATGCACGCACCCGATGAGGTCAAGATCTGGGTCAAGATTCCGATCGGGTTGGTAGTGTTCGACCGTGTGGCACGATACGCGTGGGGCGCGTACACCAATTTAGCCGTGTTCCACCGCAAGAGCAATGGCAATGGCAATCGAGTGTGGACGCACTCGGCAACTTTCACCCCGCTGCCTGGGAACGTCACTCGTGTGACCATCAATAACCCCAGCTTTAGTTGGCACGCTGGCCAGCATGTCTTTTTTACTTGCCACTCCATTGTCCCGCTGCAGAGTCATCCGTTTACTATTGCTTCTCTGCCCGAAGACAAGAAATTGGAGTTTTTCATCCGCGCCGAGAACGGTGGGACGAGGCGCTTCTTCCGGTATGCTTCGAAGAATGACAAGGTCCTCGGTGCTGGGGAGGCTGCGCTGACGGCACGCGGCCGCACGGTATTTGTCGAGGGACCGTATGGAACGATGCGGTCGCTTCGCCAGTTCGACAGCGTCGTTCTACTAGCCGGTGGCATGGGCGCAACCTTCACTATACCACTGCTGCGAGACATTGTGTTGGCGTGGAAAACAGAGATCATTGGCCACACGCCCTCGGGGTCATTCCGCGTTCGGCGTTTGGCGGCGACCGAGCGGATCCGATTCGTCTGGGTCATCAAATCGCGCGGCCAACTGAGCGTGTTCGAAGCCCAGCTGCAATCCATCGTAGCTGATTTAAACGAATGCCGCCTCGCCCAGCCCGATTTCCAGAAGGATCTCGCGATCAGCATCTATATTACCTGCGACGAAAAGCTGGAACCTCCCACGACCCCTGCGCCGACCCTCCCACCACCCGCGCAGGGTCTCGTTATCAGCAGGCTCGCTATCTCGGACGAGAAGAAGGCTTCCATTGAGAAAGACCGTGCCTCTGTGACTTCCATCTCCGCCGAGTCGTCCTCCACATCTCCGCCTCCAGCACCCGTCGGCAAAGGATGCCTTCCCGGCGGCGGATGCTGCTGTACCACGCAGATCCAAGACGAAGACGCGGTCGCCACCTGCGTCTGTACATGTGCCGGCTCTGCGCCTGCGCTGCCCGAGGAGATAATCCCCAGAACCACGGCGACTGATGAGAAGGCACCTGTTCTGGCGGATTCCCCCTCCTCGGCCGCTTCTCCCACAATTCTCTCTGGCCGCCCCTACCCACGCACGATCATCCGTAAAGTGCTCGAGAAGGCCGGTGGCGAGAGCGCGGTTGTTGTTTGCGGTCCGTGGGGTCTAAGTGATGACGTACGTCGCAGTGTTGTATATCTCAGCGACGAGCGCGCGGTACATAAGGGTACCGGGGCGCAGGGCATTTATCTACATGTTGAGAACTTCGGGTTGTGAGCAGAGATGGTGTTTTAAATCTAGGGGTTGTCCATAGCTGGCGTTTTTATGTTTCTGGGTGCATTGTACATATCAGACGAATTTCATGAACACTGGCGGCTTTCCATGGATATTGGATACCTATATATTCTGGTTGTAGCCCGGTGTACCGGCGGTGTTGATCAGGTTCATTATAGCCCAATCAACTTATCGCGTTTAGCTCTATGCAGTTCATAGATATAGCCTCATATATCGGGACCGGGCGGGTTTCTTTGAAAAATAAGAAATAAAAAATAGATAGAAAGAAAAAGACAAGCAAGCCCAAAAAACATAGCGGCGACTGTGATTTGAACACAGGACCTAGGACAGACAACTTTAGTCACCAATGGGAGCTAACTGCAAATCCTCGCGCTAAACCCCTGCGCCACCACCGCTTTTTTGGACCATTTGTCAATTCCAGACCTCATGATTCAGATTTCATCGCTATCATACTTGGAACGGCCGGGGAGATGCTGCAACAAAATCGACTTCAAAATTCCGTACCAGGCCAGGTGGAGCCGTGGTATAGACCAGGTGCTGGATACGGCACGAATAGTAGTCGGTGGTAAATTCCAAGTGCGTCTCTCCATCTAACTCTTGGAACCACGGTGTATTCCAATCGGGGTATGCCATTCACTTCACCTCGCTTCACCCTTTCTTCTTCTGGTCTGCGGATCAATGTGTGATGCTGGTGGCCTCTAGGTTCAAAGTGGTTTTTATTATCAACCTATGCTTGAAGGCCACTCGTCATAGTGGCAAATACTCGAACTCTGTACTCCGTGTAGGTATCTCCCGTGTATATCCTCTCTGTGAATATCCGAGCGCCCCAGGTACCCCATACAATGAACTCTCGGCCAATAACCACGCTAAGCAGCCCGAGCCAACCCGATCCCGGCACATGACATCATCCAGGAACATTAGCAAGCTCTCACGGCCAACCTCAACCTCACCTCCAACACTCCCACCTACACTCTACACTCTCCTACCACCGATTTCAACCTTAATTCCCCAACAATACCACCAAGATGTTCCGCTTCGTATGCACTCCCCCCAAACCCGCAACCTGGAACCCCCAATCAGAATCCGAATTCGAATCTGAATCCAGGTTCAAATAAGTTCAAATCCCACTGACAAGCGTTACAGAGCAAAACCCTCGACCCAATCACCCTCTTCCACTCGCCCAGCCTCGCCCCTTCAACCCGGGTTCTGAACATTCTCAAGCAAGCCTCGATCGCGGCCTCCGAAACCGCAACCGAAGACCAGGCTTCCGACCACAGCGCCCACGCCAAGCAGCAACGCGGCGACTTCGAGCTCGAGGTGACCACCTCCGCGCCTACGGCTGACCAGCTGCGCAGCATACTGGAGTATATCAGTCCCGTTAGCGGTGTTGGTGGCCAGGGCGATAAGGCGACGTATGGAGTTGCGGAGCTGGTGAAGGGGGCTAAGGATGCAGAGGATGCGATTAAGAGATTCAAGGAGGACTCTGAGCGGTTTGTGCGGCCTGTGGTATGTGGTGTCATTGCTTTCTATCCTTGGGATGTCGTGGCGTGGTCTTGTCTTGCGATGACATGTTCTATCCGTGGCGATGTGGTCATGAAACCTGTTCACTAACTCTTTTGTTCAGACTGTTGACTGGGTCAACGGGCGCGCTGTCATCGGCGACGACAAGTCTGAGATCCTGCGCATGGTGCGCCAGCTTCCCACGAACTAAGCCGGAGATTGCAAGGAAGACTCTGAATACCCTGCTGGTTGCGAAACTACGATGTACGATGTAGCGGTGAAGCAGCCACTACAACTATCCATCTCCCTACAAGAAAGAACTCCACAGATGCCGGCTGGACAGGATCTGTCAGTTTAGTCTATGTATGTATCATACAAACTAGTCATTTCGCAAACTCCGACCGTAATGTCCATACCCAGGACGGACACAACAACAATAGAGTAACAGACAATAAACACGTGCCGCGTTGGGTTCAGTTGCAAATAAAACGGGCCAGACAAGACACGCTTAGCTCGAAAGCCAAAAAGAAAAGAAAAAAAAATATTTGAATGCGCCATTAAACTCATACGGCAGACATATGCCACCGGGTAGCCGACTCAGACCAAGAACCAGCTCGGCGGAGGCGGGCTCCAGCGTGACAAGAGAAGAGAAGTAGGACACACTAGATAAAATACCAGAGTGACTGCTCTGGACTGAACCTAGAACATGGTTCCAAACGAGCCATCTGTGGCAATTGGCTTGCGGGGCGAGCTGCGTCCGCCGCTGTCAACGGCTGGTTTGCGGTGTCTGCAATGATGAGTCAGTTAATATGGACGGAAACACCGCGTCTGAAACGAAAAACTGTACCGGAAGGTAAACCCAACAAACAAGCCCTTGTTCATCTTCTCATCACGCTCAGCCATCTCCTCCAGGGCACGCTGCTTATCATGCACCTCCTTGTACTTGGCCATATCAGCCTCATTGCTAAAATCATCAAAGTAGCCCGCATCCGTCTCGGAGTCAAGCTCCGGCACAAACGGTGCGCGCTGCTCCCGCAGCCGGGCAAAGTCCACCTCCGCAAAGTAATCATGCGCATGGATCTCCTGGATATTCTTGAACCGAGTCTCCTTGGCCGCAACCAGCTTTGTAATCAGATCCCACGTCCGCCGCGACAGGAAGTAGTTAGGATCCTCGTAGACCGGCTTGCGGAGCACCTTCTGCCAGCGCTTGAGGTTCTGCCAGGTCTCGTCGACCGTGGCACCCGCGAACGGCGGATACCCGGCCAGCGCCTCGAAGAGCATGCACCCCAGACTCCAATAATCGACGGTGAAATCGTATTCGTCGCCCTTCAGAACTTCCGGGGCCATGTAGTCGGGCGAGCCCACGATCGATTTAGCGTAGTTCACCTCGCGATCGCGCAGGGTGCGGTAGCCCTGACGACGCTCGGCCATCGTGCGCTGTTCCATGGGCCGGCCGAAGGGGACAGACGTGTTGCCGACCTCCTCCAGCTTGACGCGCATCGACTCGATCTTGCCAGGGCTCAGCATGCCGGCTGCCAGGCCGAAATCAGTCAGCTTGACGTGACCCGTGGAGTCGATGAGGAAATTCTCCGGCTTGAGGTCGCGGTGGATATACCCGAGGACGTGTAGGGCGTCGATGCAGCTGAACATCTCAGCGACGTAGAAGCGCGCGTGCCGGTTGTGCAGGACGCCGGTGTTGTTCAGCAGCGTGCGGAAGTCGCCACCAGGCACGTACTCCATCGCCAGGTAGATCTGGTCATCGTCCTGGAAGGCATAGAGGAGTCGGACGAGCCACTCGCTCTTGGCGGCGGTCAGAATGTCGCGCTCGGTGAGGATGTGCCGGATCTCGTCGAGCTTGAACAGCAGCCGCTTACTCATAACCTTCAGCGCGCACACCTCGCGCGTGTCCTTCTTCTGGGCCAGGTATACCTGTCCATAACCGCCCTGGCCGACCTGTGTCAAAATCTGGAAGTCGTGTTGGCGCAGGCGCGTGCGACGCTTGCGCAGGTGCGCGCGTTCGCGGCCCAGATATTTCAGGAGAGCGGGCTCGTATTCTTCGTTGGAGGTCACGGGTGGTTCGGGGTAGGCAGATTTGAATTGAGTGTGCCGGGTCTGGCGGTTGTGGACGTAGCTGAGGAGGTCGAAGTAATGATCGAGGAAGTCTGGCGCAATGGATTAGTTCGGGTACTGTTTCGTATCTGTCATTGGGGGACCTTCACATACATAGCTGGGTCACGTTGACCAGACGCTTGACGCGGGGCTGTTGTAGCTTCTCCATCTCCTCGGGTGTCAGCCCGCGCAGCTGCACCTGGCGTGTGGACGTGTCGGAATCGCGCTGCTGATACGGTTCATGGCGCGAGATGGCTGCTGCGGTCGGGTTGGCGCCCAAATCCTTGGGCAGGCGAGTGCTCGCGGGAGGCGTGTTCTCTTTATTTGCCCTCCCGCGCGTCGGGCTGGAGGGCCGCTGGTGAATGACGCTCTCGTTAAAGTCGTCAATGCCGCTCTTGTCGGAGGTAAACATGGGATGATTGAAGTGGTTATGGGTGGATTTCGAAGTAGACGTGGGCGTGAGCTTCATGGCCTTGTCGAAGACATTGGGCAGATCAAGGGCACCGGGGGGTGCCCTCGACTTGCTGGGGCTGCCTTGAGGGGTCTGTGTGGGACTGGTGAAGCCATTCTGGGTGTGGGCGGGGGTGGAGGGGCGGTCCAAGGAATCGTTGCCGGAGCGGGTGTGCAGCAGCGGCGGCGGGTTAGGCAGTCGCAGACCAAGACGGTCGTCCGAAGCGACGTCGACAGTCATGGTTTGGGTAGGGGAGAAGGGGATGGGGGTGGGGATGAGTGCGGTGGTGAAGTGAATTGTTGTTTTTCTCCCCCAAGGGCGGCGGAGTGGTCGTCGAGGGGTTGTTGGGCCCCCTTGATAGTTGACTTGGGAAGGCTAGCCTGAGGCTGAGACGTGACGAGGCTGGCTGAAGAAAGCAGGATAAAGTCAATCACCCCTCCAGAGCAAAGCGGGGAACAAAAGACACAAAAGATTGCCTCAAGAAAGGCTTTGTCGCGGACACCTGCAGGTGTTTATTCCCGGCGTAGTCCAAATTGCATCCGATTCGATCAGCTCCACCGCGATCGGTGCGATCTTGATTTCGTTTCTCGCCGACGTGAACAACATGAAATCCACCTATGATCCCGCTTATTTTGTCCACTACCCACCTGCTCCTAGAGGCGCCCTACGAGGCCGGTCTCCCCCCTTCCGTCGAGTTGCCGTGGCAACTCTCCCCACGTCATACAGGCTGTGCAAGTTCGCTAGCACTGCCAATGGTGGTCTAAAATATTCAAGGATGGTCCTTGCAACCGACGAACCGGCTATTATTGACCTGAGCTGAACCTGATCCACCTGCTGCAGGTCATCACCTCGCTGGGCCCGCCTCCACAGCCATCCGTGGGTGTCAAGCTGAAACCCGGCCCGCAAGTAATGGACACGATGGAGCTAGCTGCACTCACTGTCTGGGCGGAGGGCAGCCTAGGCCTTGCGTTGGTTCTTCGGAGTACTCCGTAGTTAGTTGCTAGTTGGCTGGTAGTCGCGATCCAGGGCGTCATGTCGGGCGAATAGTCTCTCTCGGCAGCAAGGGTGGGAGTTTTGACGGAGACGGGGCCGGCGGCTACGGGACTATTCTTCCTCCTACCCGAAGCTATTGGGATACCCAATTGCCCTGGAGATGGGCATTATGGCGGGTGTTTGGTGGGAGGAGAAGTAAGCAAACTACCGCATTGGGGATGGGCCGTCAGATCCCAGGTGGAGGCGCTGCAATCCATGGGTCGGTGGCCGTCCCCGACGGTTTCATGATTTGTGTGGGAAGCGGGGGGGCTGCTCCCAAATGATCGAGAATTTAGTCACATTTGAATCTATGATGCACTAGTTCACTAAGATATTATTGGACCCCAGAGCTGCAGCTAGGAGACGTGACATTCACGCCGCGCCCTCCGCCCGCTGGCCAGTCTGCGAGATCGGTCAGCGTGCCCACAAATCTCAAGAGGTGGAAAGAAGGGAATCACTCACGTAGAAGGCCAGTCCATAGGTCTCGGTCGTAAAGGTAATCTTGGCTCCCTTGGGGAAGTAGAACACATCGCCTGGCGACGCAGTCACCTTCTGGCCCGTTTCGTCGGAAATCTCGAATTGGCCTTCTAGGATGATCTTCATCTCGTCGTAGGTATAGGTGTAAACCAGCGGGGTGCCCTTCTCCAGGCGATAAAAGCCGCAGGAGATGGGCTTCTCGGCATTATCCTTGTCGCTTCGGTGGATGTTAGCGGGTCCGCGGGATAGATTTCTGCTCGGAGAAATCCTACCTGGAGATGACGTCGCCCAAGAAGGCGTTTTCATTCGCAATAAGGGGAGGCTTGAAGGTGGACTGCGCCTTGGCGTGGTAAGTGAATGGAGTTGCCATTGTTCGCGGTGGTTAATGGTTTCTGGTTGATGCTTTGTTTGGCAGAACAGCAGCGCAAGTTGGATGACAGCTCGATCGGCGGGGGGCCGGCTCTGACTTATATTCGGTCCGTCCATTACAGACAGCTTTCAAGCTCCTCCTAGATGAGGCGATAGACGCGACGAGCTTCAACTTTGGTCGAGTGAAGGGCAATTCAACCCTGGCTGGCAGTGCTGGTCGGGTTCGATGTCCCGACTAGGCAGGCCGACGGCGAACGGCTGATAGCGAGGCACTGCCATGACAAGAGACATGAAGAGGGGGCCCTGATCCCAGTGAGGGGAAGTTCTAGAGCTTGAGATAACAACGAGGAGCTGCCCCTGTTGTGGCTGCTATGTGCTGTGCACATCGTTGATAATGTTGTTATTGACGGTGTTGAATTAAAGCCCTGGTTTCCATCACTTAGGCCCTCGCAGTTGAATTGTCCACAATGACTCACGGCTTTGCCAGAATCCATGTGAAGGTCGCGCGACATTCGACGGATGGAGGTTCGAACTTCCCCGCGACGGTGAGGATCTTTTTACCCGAAGCGGCTAGTGCTTCCCTGTCAACAATCCGAGGCGAATGGGCTTGAAGCGGAAAGCGGACACTGGTGATGACAAAGCCCTCAAGCTGTGCCTTCGTGATTGATTCTTGCTGGTATAGGAGATTAGCAGAGAGAGCCTGTGATTCTCATGCCGACCTCTCGAACTCACCATACGCCAATGGCGACTGGCATCTATACGGGTGGATAGTTCTCAGGGTCCGACAGATGGAGTTTGGGTTGCGGAGTGTACTTTATCAGCATCTCATGCGCTCACGAAACCCAGGTTGTTGTGCGCAAAGTTGCGCCGCTGCGCATGATGCTCTTAGAAGACTCCACATATCTTTCGTGCTCGACATGGCTCCCATTTCCACATTCAGACTTCGGGAGAGGCAACCTGAGCACTAGAAGCCACCACAGAGGTGTCTTCTACCTGGGATGAGCCCAAATTCTCAGGAAACCCATCTCGAATTGTGAGGGCCTGCATGGAGGGTAGAACATTTAGTGATGGATGAACTTGGCGATTCAGGGCCCCCGGGGCAGATATCGTGGATTCATCCTGCGAACAGGAGCTCACCGCCGGGTGAGATGTTTGGTGGCTGGCATTTACCGACCAGTTTGATTGCAGGCAAACGCATGCCCCGAGTAAATTCTGAATATTCCCTGCTGAATTCTTCCTTCGAGGTTTCTTGTGGGGTCACTTTTGAAGGGCCTTTTTCAAAGGGGTTTCCAAGGTCAACCGCCATACAGAATAGTGAATGAGACAGCTAGGTTTCGTCCCTACGAAACCCATCTCATCTTTATTGACTTGAAGTTCCTCAGCCCCATGGTGCTTTTTCTTCCAAAAGCATATATATTCAACCTCCTTTACCTAATAGCCCTTCGTGAAAATCCAACCTGGCTCATAAGATTCTTGGTGGCTCAGTCGGCCGTGGCTTCCGAGTCCAATTTGGTTCTTATACCATCGATCTCCCCACCAGGGGACGTCCGGGAGAATATTGATCTGTGGTCCACACTGGCCAATACCCAATACCTTCGGTCTGGCTAACCATCCATGAGGATATGAAAGATCTTGCCCATCTCCTGGAGCGGTTCCTCCGACACTGCGGGCGAATCGACCTCGGCGCGTTTGATACTAGGTCCCAAGGACGAAATGATTACATACATCAGAAACCTGTACATGTTTCACAAAATCTTCGACCTCTGTTGCAAGATGTACTAGAGCCTTAATATTCTCTTTTTTTGCGATGTTGTTAGGTGTTTCCAGCGAGGAGAGAAACGAGTAAGTCAACCTTGTTACAATCACTTGAAAATAGAGGAGCTTGGAACTAACAAACATCATCTAAACTTGTAGAAGAGTATTTCACGGGTCGGTGAATGCTTTAAGCAGGGCAGGACACTTCTAGCATCTCATGCGTGCACATGTATAATATGCCAATGCAGTGACGTATGAATCCAAGTCAAATCAATGGATGTAGGCAGTTTCCCGTGTAAATCGGTTACCCCACAGAGGCGGCTAATCGGAGCCGCGCGCAAAAGAGATTTTCCACCCCCGCGTGGGTGCCGCCCAGCAAGCCAGAGCCAGCTCTGGGCCAATAGATCTTCCAAGCCTTGAACCTTCTCCGCACAATTTGGAACCTTTCAGCTGACCAACCTTCTAAAAAAGAGTGCGTACTTTGTGAGATGCTACTTGAGCTCCAACTCCGGTCATCATTGGCGACGGTGGTTCCTTGATAGCAAGTATGCCGACCCGGAGGAACCGAGCGCCAGCGGCTTGTCTGTTCTGCCGGGAGAAGAAGGTACTGTAATTTCGCGGCAGCCAGCACCGACACTATGGATCACGTCTGATAATAAGTTCTGGTATGAGTAGTTGAAGTGCGACTCTCAGAAGCCACCTTGTGGCAACTGCTTGGCAAAGGGCATTGATTGTCAGCAGGGTACTTTTCGGCATAAGCCAAGGTCCAGCAACCCCCTCCCCTCCCCCGACACGTGTAGCACTGTTAACGGTAATTCACAGACCCACAAACCACCGGATTAAGCAATTGGAACAAGAAAATGCTTTTCTTCGTCAGCAATGCGCCCAGCTGCGACATGCACACCTGGGTGTCGTTGAACGACCTGCTCTGATTCCAACAGAAGCTTCCCTTGCAGCGCTAAGCCCGGCACGAAGTCAGATCACAGGATCAATATCCAACCATGCTGAGCCTTCTCCAAGCGATCATCATTCAAGCAGAGGCCGGGATACATCCCACCCAGAGGTACCAGACAGCGAGAACCATCGCCACAGTACATCATTGTACCATGGGCCCACCAGCACAGTCTATGATGATACTGCAAATTCAGGAGCCGATGAAGAAAATGCAGAGCTGTTTGCTTCTCCCGTTAGCGAAGAGTGGGCTCGTCACCTCCTTTTTGCTCAGACAGCAAGGCAGAGTAAGCGTCGGAGCCAAACCGAGCGATTTGTAGCTAACAAATCAATACAGGGCAGCAAGAGCCGTTGAACCTCGTTGCAGGGAAGCTTGACTTTGATGAAGTTGATCCGGAGCTTGGCATGCATTTACTGTCCATCTATTGGAGTCGCCAACTCTATACCGCACAGATCACGTACCGATCGGTATTCATGCGGGACATGGCCTGCAATGGTCCTTATTTCTCGAAATTGCTACTCAATGCTATCTTGTTCACAGTCTCAAAGCACTGCCCCAGACCTGAGCTTCGCTCTGATCCTGATGACATCACTACTGCAGGATGGAGGTTTCGTCAACGGTTCACAGAGCTCCTGAGGGACTCTTTCGATAAAAGTGAGGTCACTACACTGCAAGCATTGCTTATCATGTCCAACTCGCTGTTCTCAAGGTGTGACGAACGCAGTCTTTCTTGGCTCTATGCCGGAAATGCATTCAACATGATCATTGATCTTGGGCTTCACATTCTTCCTTCTCCGAACAAAATGTCGGCTGAAGAGCTTGAAGTCCGCAAGCGTGTATTATGGGGCGCGTACAGTAGGTTGATCTGCTTTTGGATATTAGGAACTGCCTGCTGAATAGTCCTAGCAATCGATAAAATCCAGTGTCTTCTCCAGGGAAGACCACCCTTGCTTCGCCAAGCCAATTTCAAAGCATCATTGAATTTCCTGGATGAGTACGACGAGCTTGACACGTTTAAGGACCTTACATACAAATCCACTCAATCGCAGTCGGCGGTGCCCTCGCTCAATGTATCGCTCCTTACAAAACTATGCGAACTATCCATTATCACTGAGCGCATCTTATGCGAGCTCTACTCCGAGTCGCAGAACATGAACCAACATCAGAGCGAGCAGACCTCGGCCGACATCAATTCGGATATCAGCAAATGGCGCTCGAGTCTTCCTCCTCAACTCGACTATATAAGGTACCCCAGAGAATCGGTGCTCTTACCTCAAGCGCTTTGCCTCCTGTACCTTTATCTTTCACCCTATCCAGGAAGTATGGGTCCGGCTAATTTCTTTCAGGGCACTTTCGAACGTTCTCACCATTCTTTCCCAACGACCACTCTTCATCGGTAGTAATCGCGGTCATGCTCGAGACCCATCCACTGCATATGAAGCTATCAACATGTGCACCACAGCCGCAAATCAAATTGTCCAAATCCTACGTGACTACTCACAGAACTTCTCAATAACGACCGCCCCATACATGCTTTCGTACGCCACGTACATCAGCGCAACCATACACGCTCGTATCGTTGCACAGAAGGGAAGAAATTCAAATTCCTTCCATTCTCTACTGCTTTGCCGCAATGTCCTACGGGAGCACCGGCGACTCTATGGAGCGGCTGGGAAAGCCGTGGCTAATCTTGATAAGCTCGTTGGTCATCTGGGCATCGATATTACCGAGGAAGGTGAGAAAGGTACTTCGGTGGTTGGCTCTGCAGATCAACTGCTCGCACAGGAAACAATGTCTGGCCCCGATCAGGCCGATGCCCCAGAGCAGACTGTTGAAATGGGATCTCCGCAGCTGAACTGGGGCCTATCAGATCTCGACTTGGAGGCAATCGCCCAAAGCTTCCGCCTCGATGGAGAACTGTATTATCTGACGCATCCAGTTGGGCTGTGAATACCAGAATTGCACAAAGCCGGATAAGTTATGGCTATACTGTCATTAGCAATTGTATGTTTAAAAACTTGTCTGATTAAACAGTCTCTGTACTTGATGCCTTTTCAGGAAAACCATGGGCTAGAGTAGAGAGTCATCTTTATGAATCTCAACACCAATTAATTAGATTGCCCTATTTACGCTCATAGTACATCTGCCAAGGATGGTTCTGGTGGAATCCTAACAGCTCTTTGATCTTCTTGTTGGACACTGGGGCATCTCGTGGCCCCATTTCCCTGGTAAAAGGTACGTTTGGAGAAACTCTCTTGAGAAATTCGGTTGTAGAAGTGGTGTAGTTGGTGATCTCATCGTTCACGGCGTTGAATATTTGAAACCCTAGACCGTCTTTGTGTACCGCAAGGTCGCATATTTGGCCAAGATCTCGCGTGTCGATGTACGACCAGCCATGAGGTGCCCAAGCAGCAGGATTCTTCACATAATCATCGAACATCGCCTCCTTGTATTCCTCAGGTGCGACGACCCTGCCAATACGGAGGACGTAAATGTCGCTCCCGAATCGACGAGCAAAGCCACGGGCAACACGCTCGCCGCAAACCTTAGAAATCGCATACGTATCCATCGGATTGGCATCAGTGTCTTCGTCCACAGGGAACGATGGGTACTCAACGTCCCCCTCAGCATAGCTCACTCCATAAACGGTAATAGAGCTGGCCGTGATAATCTTTTTGATGTTGAGTCGAGATGCGGCATCGATCACATTAAAGGTTGACAATGCGTTTCCGCGAAAGGTCTCATTATCGGGAGCGATCATGTTGCGGGAATAGCCAGCCAGATGAATTACTGCATCCGGAAGAAGCCCCAGCGGCTCGCGGAAGGGCTCGGTTAAGTGGAAGTGCGAGGTGAAAGCACTGTACACTTGGCCGCTGTCGGTCAAATCGACGCGCATAGTATGAACCCGACTTGCCAATTCACCTGATAGAGGCATCAGATCAAGATTAAGCACATCATGTCCTTTGTCGAGGAGATAGGCAATGACATGCTGTCCGGCTTTTCCAGAGCCACCGGTCACGATGATTCGTTTGCCCATTGGTAATGCGCAATCTGAGGGGTTTGCGGAGAATTCTTAATGAGGGGTTTGAACAGGAAGAAAGTTGCAATACGCTACAGTACAAGATGACTGTCAGAGAGATTGGCCGCTATTCAAATACTGGAAAAGATGACGACGCGGAGGCACTTCATGTTGAAGATTGGCCCCACGGCGGGGAGAACCCGCCCGGGAGATGACTGGCCGACTGGAACAGAACATCCCGGATGGAGAAGGCTCTAGCCGTTAACAACCGAGGAACATGTGACTACATGAAAAGCCTCCGTAGTAGGTTTGAGAGAAGAAGTCAGCAAGAGACGTGCAGGCTCGGAATCCAACATTGAGCATTCTAATCGAGAATCTGGCGGTCGCAGTAATGATGTCGAGTTGAGTTGTTCCCCGGATCCCCGGATTTACTCCGCTTCAGCATCTTGGCTCGGATGGTAAGTTTCCGGGAGGCAAAAAGTTCGGCCAAAACCCTGGGAAATGCCCTCAGTACCAAACTCTGATTGGTCAAGGAGGGTCTCAATTACCCCAGCACTCAAAGCTCACCAATAGGATAATGACAACCCGGTCTAAAAGGAATGGTTGGCCCCCTCGCGTGACAGTGCGACATAAAAAGGAAGATATAGCCTTCTTTCTGGATTGACATCGAGGGATCCAGAGCTGGAACAGACAAGAAATTGCTTCAAGCCATGTCTTGCTCTAAGAAATCCTGCGATGGCTGCTCATGCAGCAGCAATAGCCAACAAACCGTTGAAATCGAAGACTGTATGAGCGAGCTGCAGGCTCTCCGAAGACGCAACCAAGAACTCGAAACTCGACTTGGCCTCACGTCAGGAACTGATGCCCCGAAAATCACAAAAGAGCCCGGTCGCACCCTTCGGTCGGCTGCGTGGTTTGACTGCCGCAGCGATCCGGGCATGACAGCCATTTACATGGAGCGATATTTCAACTTTGGCATCACGCGAGAAGAACTGATGTCTGGCAAGCCGATGATTGGGATTGCACAGTCCGGCTCTGACATCGCGCCGTGCAATCGGCACCATATTGAACTGGCCAAGCGAGTCCGCGAGGGCATTCGCACGGCCGGCGGTATCGCCATTGAATTCCCCACTCACCCTATTCAAGAGACATCACGACGGCCAACCGCCAGTCTAGACCGAAATCTGGCTTATTTGACTCTCGTGGAAATCTTGACTGGGTACTTCCTTGACGGTGTTGTGCTTTTGACGGGATGTGATAAGACAACTCCCGCGTGCTTGATGGCTGCTGCCACAGTGGTATGTTCCGTTCCAAACGCTGCAATCCTCAAGAGGTGGCTAAAATGATCGAAGAACATCCCAGCAATCTGTATGAATGTGGGCCCGATGTTGAACGGCTATGCCAAGGGCACTCTAGTGGGGTCTGGATCTGTTCTCTGGAAAGGTCGAGAGATGTATGCCACGGGAGAAATCGACGAGCATGAATTCATGGAATACATCTCTCAGAGGTAAATCGCTTTCTTTATCTACGAATGATGGGGTTGACGCTCACGAATCCTTCAGTACACCCTCCGTTGGACACTGCAATACGATGGGAACTGCTTCTACTATGAATGCCCTGGCAGAAGCCCTCGGCATGGCACTTCCAGGATCCGCAGCAATCCCCGCTGCGTATCGCCACAGAGCACAATGTGCCTACGAGACCGGTAAACGGATCGTGGATATGGTCCATATTGACCTGAAACCGAGCGACCTAATGACCCGCGAAGCATTTGAAAATGCGATCGTGGCAAATGGAGCGATTGGCGGCAGTACCAATGCCCCCATCCATCTCAACGCCATCGCCCAGCATATCGGCGTCGAGCTATCTATGGATGATTGGGACACGATTGGATCGCGTATTCCTCTCCTATTAAACATGCAGCCATCCGGTGAGTACCTTGGAGAAGAATATTTCCGCGCAGGAGGTCTTCCAGCTATCATGGCGGAGCTCTTAGACGCAGGCAAGTTGAATGGAGATGCGTTGACCTGCAACGGTCGCACACTTGCCGAGAATGTTCGTGGCAAGCATTCCTGGGACCGCGCCGTGATTCGCCCTTATGATGATCCCTTGATGAAGGATGCCGGCTTTATTCATTTGAAAGGTACATTGTTCGATTCTGCAATCATGAAGACCTGTGTGATCTCGCCTGCCTTCCGTCAACGGTATCTATCAAATCCCGATGATCCCGAGGCTTTTGAAGGCTCCATTGTCGTGTTCGATGGACCGGAGGATTATCATAGTCGTATCGAGCAGATGCCGGAGATCGATGACCAAACGGTCTTGATCATGCGTGGTGTTGGCCCACTCGGATACCCAGGCGCAGCGGAGGTCGTCAACATGCACCCACCAGGCCGATTACTGAAGCAAGGTGTTGACGCCCTATTTTGCATTGGTGATGGACGACAATCGGGCACGTCAGGGTCACCGTCTATCCTCAACGCTAGCCCAGAGGCTGCTGCTGGAGGAAATCTTGCCATTCTCCGAAACGGTGACAAACTTCGCATTGATCTACCAAAGCGACGAGTCGATATTCTCATCAGCCATGAAGAAATTGCACAGCGAAGGAAGGAGATGTTGTCTCAAGAATATCCGTTGATTCCCAGCGGCACACCGTGGCAGGAGATCTTCCGCCAGGAAACCGATCAATTGTCTAATGGTATGGTGCTGAAGAAGGCTGTGAAATATCAACGCCTGGCGCAAACAAATGGTCCACCGAGGCACAATCATTAATCAATTTCAATTTCATGGCATTAATTTTACTATAATCGCAAAATGGGCGATGATTCAATTTTCAACAACTCTACTGTATGGTATCGAGTATTGAGATAAAGCGTACGTTTGCCGCCTTTCACCACCTCGGATATGTGTTTAGGAAGAATGGTATCGCCTATTAACCTGTAGGTCAATCGATCAAGAGAGTGTGTATTGTAGAAAATAGGGGGACGCAGGCAGAAGATGAAGAAATCTGTGCCAATGAGCTAACTAAAACAGGTTAGTAGCTAGCTGGATAATACGGTGGAGAGCCATATTTCGACACATCTCCTGAGCTAGCTGCCTAACAAAACATTTGGGAACAAAACTAGATGGCTAGACCTGAATGCCGGCCGCTGCATCAAACCATAAATAGATTGAATTAAAGGGCGAGTCTTGCAATAGAGCCAATAGGGTCGTTGAAGTTGATGGTGGTAAAGACGACTGATTTGACGCCAGAGGGGTCTTTTGGATCTCCCGGACAAGCTCTAGGTCGTCTTGTATACGTTTATTGAACTTTTGGTGGTGTCTTATCTTGGTGTCCAACCCTATACGGACTGCGGTTAAGAAGTCGTAGAGAAACATATATATTCGCGCTGATGCGTTCGCTAAGTAGTAGGTAGCTATTTCGACAGACGTGGCGACAGTGCGAAGGCGATTCGGGGCTTTCGAAGCTAGTAGGGTATGTATAGCAGACCTCGGCAAGGAATGGGTCCGGTCCAAGTCTTAGGACCGGGACCGGACCATCCGGTCTTTGGTCTTCTTTTGGAAGTAGTTAGGACCGCACTATGGTCCCCTATGGTCCCCTATGGTTCTTTGTGGTCCCCCGTGCGGTCCCCCGTGCGGTCCCCCGCATTTGCATAAATATGTACTTATATACACAGGATTTTGTCCGCCGGGTGGGGCTTTCCTGTCTGGGCTGCCGCCGCTTTAACGAGGGCCATCAGGCTCAGGCTCACTGAGTAAATGTTAGCACGGGCTCACGCACAGTGATCTGGTCAGTGCAGTCATGTGATCGATCAGTGACCAATCATGGGTGCTCAGTGATCGCTCGGTGATCACTAAGATACTGCTTACTCACCAGCACTCATTATCCGGTCCGCGAGCCGTACTCCTTTTCTTCTAGCCTATGTTAGACTATACCCGAAAAGGATATAGCCTACAGGGTTATCTATTCCGTGAACACTAGCGCGTAATAATACGTATACGGTCCTCCTATTCTAGAGGTCTCCTTTAGCTAAAGAACTAAGCTACTAGCCCCTAACTAAATTAAGAGTAAGGTAGACCGTACGGTTCTAAGATTATACAGTTCAAAGTAGTTTTTGCACTATCACTTATCGTACTATATAATCGAAAATATAAAAGGAGACCTTATCCCCTCACTATGAAGCTGTTCGCAATGGCCCTTGATGATTTGATCTACGAGCGTTTTTAATAGGCTCAGAGGGCTATTTCGTATAGCTTCGCTGTAGCGCGGAGAGAGATAATGCGGCCATTTTCAATATCAGCAATGGCTAATAAGATCTTGCCCTCTTGATTGGCCGATTTCTGCGCTGATTCAGTGCGTTTTGGTGGTATGGTAGGTGGTTGAATTAGGTGGGTGGTTAGGAAGACGCGTTTTTAGATGGGTGTCCCGGACGGGCGGGTGTCTCGGTCGCCAGGGATTTACGTTATGATATATGATTAAGTGTAACGGGCCAATGCCGTATATAACCACGTGACCGTGGCCTACCGCCCCATTTCTGCCGAGTACTTATGCGGCTATTCTGCCCCTTTTGTTTCCCTTTCCTCAAGATTGTTGTAAACAGTTCGTGGCCTAGTTAGATTGAATCAAATCGGCTACAGCCCTTCACATTAAGAACTATTATACCTAGTATTAAGACCTTGAGGTAAAATTATAAGCAATATAAAAATAGAATATAAGTCCTAGACACAAGAGAACGCAATCTTACACTTAGCTATCGTATGCGGCTATAACTAGGTAATGCGATGCTAAGGGAATCTCTATGATATAATGTATCCCTACCATAATAGGCAGCCACAACCGAGTCGCTCTACGCTATGGTCAATTCTGTGATGCTATCTGACTGCGCTTGTGACGCATGCCATAGATAAGGGGCTAGCAGAGCGAAGGACCTGGAGTCAGGTGATGCGGAGATCACCTGGGGGACGTGTGACTGGACGAAGCAGCTGACCGGACTAACCGGATGAGGCCCGTTTGCGTGGGCGCTCTCTACAAAATAGTTGACAGCACCTCCATAGTTTCTTCCTTCTTCACTTTCGTTGTTTCGTTGAATGCACCTGTTCCTTTGCAGCTGGCTCCTTCGTAACAGCGCTCGCGACCTAGGAGGCCATGGTGCAAGGGTCGGTTGCCTCAATAAATAGTCATAACTAAGTTAACTCCTTGCTACGGTCGTTTCTGTGATAGTGATACCATGTATATATGTCTATATTGCAAGGAGCAACTATATCTACCACTATTTAGAATGTCAACTTCAATTTTTAGTTCTCTGTATGTCGCGTGCAATGGCCGTCTCCAAGTATGTTACAGTGGGTTTCAACCCGAAGCATATTTATGATGCTCCTTGCGTCATGTAACATTGAGCGGCCATCACACGGTCTTTAGAAGGTTAATTAACATACCAGCCATGACTGACAGACGAAAGAGACAGCCACCATCTGATGCTAATAGCATGATCGTGTGACACTACATAACTATCACATGGGCATGTTGTTCTTAAGTGACTAAGGGCCTGATGGTGCATAGAATGATTGTCAGACAAGGATTACTTATTTACCCTAACAACGCAAAGGTACTAGTAGGTTTAGACATAGTAACTTATCAGAGAATCAGTAGCCCTTTAAGACACTCACGGGGTCAGAAGTAATATCCCTTGCTTAAAGAAGTATAGGAAGTCAGCCATTAAACATCAGCTAGAAAAGAGACCTTACAACTGGCAGCTAGCTATAACAGGGATCTAGGCCGGTATAATATCCAAACTATATCTAGACACCCATCCTCCGAGATACGACTCATCTCTAGTACCTTTGATGATCACTTTGTCAAACGGGTTACTATAGTTTATCTAGTGTGTTCAAGATGGTCAAGGTGTTAACAGTCATCATTGTCATATGCAGTGAGTTAACACACCTACCCGCATATAATATATATCGATCTAACTGAGCCTTAACAGCGAGTATCCTCAGCGTTGCTTGGGCCCAAGAGTGCCTACGACCAGTGGGTATATCATTCAATTTTATGTTGATCATAGTGGGCTAATCATATTAAAGTGCACAAACGGCTTTTCTTGCTGCAGCGGTGTTTGTACCTATACAAGTACGGATCCAAATAATTGTGGAACATGCGGAAACATCGTTAGTGCTACCAGTTAATACCACCATAAGAACTTGAACTGATTAAATACGGGTTAAAAGTGCCTAGCTGGCACTATATGCCGAAATGGAGTCTGCATTTGCGCAGCTAATCAACAACCTCCTTGCAATGGGCGATGTGTAAGGCGACCTCGAAATATATGATTTGAGAAAGTAACTAAACTGGTCATCTATAGTGCTTATCCGGTCAGACCTGTTGCAATGGTGCATGCACGAACCTCCAGACTGACAACAGTAACTGTGGAAAATGTGGCAATATTGTATTTCTCCCTTTACCACAGTGAATGACAAGATTCTGACAACATTTAGTGTTCACCCGGCTCAACATGCTCCTTAGGAGCTTGTGTATGCACTACTAGCGGCGATTCCCTCTGCAATGGCGTATGCACAAACCTCCAGACTGACAGTGGTAACTGTGGCGTATGCGGCACAGCTGTAAGTCTCCTTTGTAAGCTGAATGACCAGTTTCTGACAATATATAGTGTATAACGGGCCAAACATGCTCCTCAGGAGCTTGTGTATGCACCACTAGGGGCGAGTCCCTCTGCAATGGTGCATGCAGAAACCTCCAGACTGACAATAGTAACTGTGGCGCATGCGGTACAGCGGTAAGTCTCCTTTGCCGCGTTGAATAACGAGTATCTGACAATATATAGTGTGTAACGGGCCAAACATGCTCCTCAGGAGCTTGTGTATGCACCGCCAGCGGCGATTCCCTCTGCAATAGCGTATGTACAAACCTCCAGACTGACAGTGGTAACTGTGGCGTATGCGGTACAGCGGTAAGTCTCCTTTGCCGCGTTGAATAACGAGTATCTGACAATACATAGTGTGTAACGGGCCAAACATGCTCCTCAGGAGCTTGTGTATGCACCGCCAGCGGCGATTCCCTCTGCAATGGCGTATGTACAAACCTCCAGACTGACAGTGGTAACTGTGGCGCATGCGGCACAGCGGTAAGTCTCCTTTGCCGCGTTGAATATCGAGTATCTGACAATATATAGTGTGTAACAGGCCAAACATGCTCCTCAGGCGCTTGTGTATGCACCGCCAGCGGCGATTCCCTCTGCAATGGCGTATGTACAAACCTCCAGACTGACAGTGGTAACTGTGGCGTATGCGGCACAGCGGTAAGTCTCCTTTACCGCGTTGAATAACGAGTATCTGACAATATATAGTGTGTAACGGGCCAAACATGCTCCTCAGGCGCTTGTATATGCACCACTCGTGGCGATTCCCTCTGTAATGGCGTGTGCACAAACCTCCAGACTGACAGTGGTAACTGTGGCGCATGCGGCACAGCGGTAAGTCTCCTTTGCCGCGTTGAATATCGAGTATCTGACAATATATAGTGTGTAACAGGCCAAACATGCTCCTCAGGCGCTTGTATATGCACCACTCGTGGCGATTCCCTCTGCAATGGCGTATGCACAAGCCTCCAGACTGATAGTAGTAACTGTGGCGCATGCGGCACACCGGTAAGTCTCCTTTGCCGCGTTGAATGCCGGGATTCTGACAATATGCTCACGCTTCTATAGTGCTCTGTCGGATCGACTTGCTCATCAGGCGCCTGCATAATATGCACGGGCTTCCAGGCGCAGGCCACATTCGCCGTGGGGTCCAATCCGTGGGGTGTTGCAGTGGGCGACTTCAACGGAGATGGCAATCTCGATATTGTGGCTGCGAATAATGGCGACAATACAGTAAGTGTCTTGCTCGGGACTGGATCGGGGAGCTTCCAGGCCCAGGCCGTATTCGACGTAGGGTCCGCTCCGATCTGGGTTACAGTAGGCGACTTCAATAGGGATAGCCATCTCGATATCGTGGCTGCGAATCAGGACGACAATACAGTGGGCGTCTTGCTCGGGACTGGATCGGGGAGCTTCCAGGCCCAGGCTACATTCGACGTGGGGTCCAATCCGGCCGGGGTTGCAGTGGGCGACTTTAACGGTGATGGCAATCTCGATATTGTGGCTACGAATTATCATAGTAATACAGTGAGTGTCTTGCTCGGGACTGGATCGGGGAGCTTCCAGGCCCAGGCTACATTCGACGTGGGGTCCAATCCGGCCGGGGTTGCAGTGGGCGACTTTAACGGAGATGGCAATCTTGATATTGTGGCTGTGAATCAAGGCGACTTTACAGTAAGTGTCTTGCTCGGGACTGGATCGGGGAGCTTCGGGGCGCAGACCGAATTCAGCGTAGGGTCCGTTCCGGCCGGGGTTGCAGTGGGCGACTTTAACGGTGATGGCAATCTCGATATTGTGGCTGCGAATTTATTCAGCGATACAGTGAGCGTTTTGCTCGGGACTGGATCGGGGAGCTTCCAGGCCCAGGCCGTATTCGACGTGGGGTCCCATCCGTATGGTGTTGCAGTGGGCGACTTTAACGGTGATGGCAATCTCGATATTGTGGCTGCGAATTCTTTCAGCGATATAGTGAGCGTTTTGCTCGGGACTGGATCGGGGAGCTTCCAGCCGCAGGCTACATTCGACGTGGGGTCCAATCCGTATGGTGTTGCAGTGGGCGACTTTAACGGTGATGGCAATCTCGATACTGTGGCTGCGAATAATGGCGAGAGTACAGTGAGTGTCTTGCTCGGGAAGCCTTGCGGCGCTTAGAACCGCCCTAGGGATCGTGGATGACGGGGTATGTGCAAGGATATCTCATACAGTCATACTCTTTGCGACATAGTGGAGGCCTTCCCGTAGGAGCTTCGGACCCTTGCTAGGGCTTGGGACTCGGTTTGGGACTTTCGTTTGGGACTTGCTTTGGGATTTGCTTTCGGAAACCTGCATTTATGGTCTCTGAAACGTTTGGGACGCGGGCTTGGGACCTGACTCCCAACTCCATGCGGGCCGGACCCAGAATACTTCGAAATTAGTTTCCGAAATATACTCTTTGAGCCTTCGTAGCCACTTCCATCAGCATCAATGGGTAGAGGCCGCTCTGATGTGGCCTTGAGTATGATGCCATTGTGTCGTTGAATTGCAGCCGGGTCCCTATTGTCGATGGACACCTCCGGTGGTGATTGATAGGGTGCCTAGAAGAATGCCGTACAGATCTCCCTAGGTATCAGGCGGACCGGACTGCAATGAACTTGGGAACTGTTGTTCCGTAATAAACGAGAATATTTTTAAATCGCCACACTCAAGTATGCAGGTAGATTGGACAATGTACTCCCATATGACGCACATGAAATGCGTTTCGTGAATTTGCAAGTTACGGCGCTACCTAATTGAGAAAATGCAATAAAGCTCTCCCTATCTACGTGGTTCAAAACTGAAGACAATGGTCAGAGAGGGGAACATCCAGAAGGCTATGAAGATTATCAATTCAAACGAGATTGACAATGGCAAGACGTCCCCAAAAAATGTTTCTTACTGAGCGAATGAGGAACGTGGCCACACCACCGATCAGCCGGTGGCGTTTAGCTGTTATGTTGGATATATAGTGTGGTGGGGATTTAACTTGGGACCTGCTATAAGACAGAAAGATATATCCTTCAATTCTTCCGAGCCTTCTCTCTAAGTAGAGATTAGAAAATTTAGGAAAAGGAACGGAGAAGATTTCATGGACGGCTATTTTACGAGAATGACATGAATGAGATCCGCCCCGATATATGTCCTAGAGCAAGAGTATTATCGTTGACCGCCGCACATTGGGCTCGGTATTCAGGGGAAGCCAGACTTTTTCACCGTCAAAGTGGCCCTGTGCGTGTCTCTGTAGTTCCACGACCTGCATCGCATATTCCCCTGCCTTCAGGCTAGCGGTGTTGAGCTCTCTCTGTGCATCCTCGTACTCAATGCCCATAGCATCTCGCTGGGCAGTGAGAGCTTGAACCTCACAGTTGACTCGAAGAAGGAGGTCATAAAGTTGCTCCGGCGAGTGGTTCTTGATGAAGTCGATGTCGATGTCTCCCACACCAGGGAATGAGATAGGTTCACGCAGTCCGTGCCATTCAGGAGGCTCAAAGGAGTGGCTGGGGTCTCGGACAGACTCACTGTCAGCGACCCCTTCGTCATCAGGGTTATTTGTTTCGGTGCCTCCAGCCAGGTTCTCTGGGGTCTGGTCGTGAGGCTCATCAGACTCAGTGCTCTGACGATTTCGGGTTCGGGGGGCCATAGCGTTAGTTCGTCTTGGCAGGGGAAAGGAAGGTTTCGGGTCAGTCGGGGTCGTTCAGGATTCGTCGGTTTCAGTTCAGGGTGGGGCGTCACTGTGAGGCGAGACGGCGGCAGCGAGCTGCTCGTGTCTGTACAGCTTCGACAGCGACAAGAAAGGTGAAAACTGAGTTTCGTTGTATGTTACGAAGGAGCCAGCTGTAAAGGAACAGGTGCATTCAAGCGTCGCGTTTTATTGAGCCTGCTTACTCAGGTCGCTTCTCCTTGGATTAGATTAGTAAGCAAGGTCAGGCTCAGTGATCAGATCAGGATGCTCAGGTCAGGTTCAGTGAGCAAATCAGGATGCTCAGATCAGGCTCAGGGAGTGAATCAGGCTGAGTACGTAATAATCACTGACCAGCTCAGGTTGATCAGGGGCGTGCTCAATTCTACTCAGTGAGCAAAAGCGGCGAGAGGGTGAGCACTAGAACGGAAGGGGAAAGCCAAGAATTGCCAGACATTATCCGGTATATATGCTAAGACTTTCATAACCATGCCAAGATATTCCTTTTCTGGCTATATAAATTAACAATTTAAAGAAAGCACCAATAGAATCTATATATTATACATAAATCATGTGATTTTCTATATTTATCTTGTCTTAAAGGCCGCAAGACCGGAGCGGAGCGTAGTAGTGCGGTCCCAAAAAGGTTAGGACCGCCCGGCGGACCTAAAACTAAGGACTAAGCCCTGCATGGTGCGGTCCGGGCTCCGGTCTGGTCCGGTCCCTTGCGGTCCTTGCCGAGGTCTAGTGTATAGCCTGGTGAGGTAGTGCTAATTTTCCTAGATAACGCTAGCAAAGATCGCCGAAACTATGCGCTAACGGGTACGTAGAAACGGTGTCGTATCCGTCTCGTTTAAGCCGATAGATTGGTAGTAGCGCTTGATAACGTATAAGGCCTGATTGGCTTAGATTGTCGACAGTCGTAGTCGGATTGCTAGCAACGCTAGCTACGGTACTCTGTAGATCGTCGAGGTTCGATAGGCTCATAAGGCTCAGTAGGCTACTTTAGGTTGATATATTGCTAGATCTGTGCTTCCAAGGCAATAGGTTTGATAACCGATAGCCATAGATGCCAGTCGTCCTCGGTGGCTAGTTTAACACCTATAGCAGGCGGACTTATGTCATGACTAGGCATAACAGTATGTGGCTGCTTAGGCGATCGCTGTCGGGCTCATATCTGTCGAACTTGGGAAGAATAGTATCGCCTAGTAACGTGTAGGCCACTCAATCAAGAGAGTGTATTGTAGAAAATAGGGGGATGTAGCCAGAAGATAAGGAACCTGTGCCACGAAGCTAACTAAAACAGGTTAGTAGCTAGCGGGATCTACAGGTAGATAGCCATATTTCGACAATATGTAACCTCCGAGTCACAGGTATTCTCGAGACTATTGCAACCCCCTTAACCCCCAGCAGTTTTAGAGAACCAGAATCAACGCTCTTTTGACCTCATCTCTTGGCATTTTCCCTTTTGATTCCGTTGCTCCAATCGACTAGTAAATCCAGTGTATTTCCATAGCTATACAGGGCATTCCTGATAAATGCTACACTCCACAATTTAATTGAGCAGAAGGATCGATACTACCTTGGGATTTTCATAAGATTCCATTCTTCACAATTCGACTATTTGCCGATCGAAGGTGGACCAGACTGAGGAAAGGGCAAAGGAGCCCGCCGGAGCTCCGGTTGGGAGGGGTTCGTAGACCCGCCTGTATGGTCCCTGAACAGTTGTGGAGCCATGTCCATCGGTCAAGCTTTGTGGAATTGGTATAGATGGAAAGCTTAAAAACTATGAAAGATGGTTACACCGCATAACAAGCTATGATCCTGTGTATAGCCGGACTCCCGACGGGGTCGCTCTCATCCAGGCGAGGGGAAGTCAAGCCTTGATGAGCTCATTAAGATAGAGGAGTGGCTATCTTTAACATATAAATACCACATCAGAATCATTGCTTCAGTAGTTCTCTCACTTACGACTCGCACTGCAGTTCATTTCTCTCCCAGATTCGTTCATCATGGTTGTCCTCACTCGAATTCAGGTAGCGATTCTCGGCTTAAGTTCCTTGACTGCTGCTGTTCCTCTTTCTGCCAGAACAGGAAAGAAATCTTTCTCTCTGGACCAGGTCAAGGTACCTGCTACGAAGACCACAAACCCTGCTGCACACTATGCAAAGGTGTTGCGTAAGTATGGCGCTGAAATCCCGGATCATGTCCTAGCTGCTGCCGCAGCTACTGGGAGCGTTACTACTACCCCAACAGAGTATGATTCGGAGTATCTTACTCCGATTGATGTTGGTGGCACTACGATGCATTTGGACATTGATACCGGTTCCTCTGACCTGTGAGTATCTATCTTGAATTCGCACCGAACAACGTACATGCCTGCTAACGACGAATGACGATAAGTTGGGTCTTTTCCAATGCGTTGTCCTCCAGCGAGACTTCAGGACATGCCGTATACACCCCCAGCGCCAATTCTGAGCTCCTGAGTGGCTACACCTGGGATATCTCATATGGAGATGGAAGCTCAGCCAGTGGGGATGTTTACTTGGACTACGTGGTTGTTGGAGGTGTTACTGCCACCTCCCAAGCCGTTGAAGCTGCTGAAACCATCAGCTCCGAATTCCAGCAGGATGCTTCAGATGGTCTCATGGGTCTTGCTTTTAGCTCTATCAATACTGGTAAGAATCATGCACCACGCCCGTTGATATATACTAACTTAGACAGTTTCACCTGAGTCCCAGTCGACTTTCTTCGCCAATGTTCAGTCCGAGTTGGCTTCTCCAGTCTTTTGTGCGGACCTTAAGTATGAGGCAGCGGGCGTGTACGACTTTGGATTCATTGACAGCTCCAAGTACACGGGATCGATTACATACACTTCAGTGGACAACTCTGAGGGCTTCTGGGGATTCACTGCCTCTGGATATGCAATTGGAAGTGGCTCTACTGTCTCAACATCCATCAGCGGCATCGCAGGTAAGTGGTTATTGTCATAATCTCGGCGGTTTCATCTCGGTTGACCCTTTGAATCATAGATACCGGCACCACTCTCCTCCTCCTTCCTAGTGCGATTGTCACAAAGTACTATAGGAGTGTCAGCGGCGCTAAGGACAGCAGTACTTATGGTGGCTGGGTCTTCCCGTGCTCTGCAACACTCCCTTCGTTCACTACAGTGATCAATGGTTACAAAGCAGTTGTTCCAGCAAAGTACATGAACTATGCCCCTGTTGAAACAGGAAGTTCAACTTGCTATGGCGCTATCCAAACTGACACTGGTATTGGCTTCGCTATTTTCGGTGATATCTTCCTTAAGAGCCAGTATGTTGTCTTTGATGCAAGTGGACCTCAGCTTGGCTTTGCCGCCCAGGCATAATTCCGGTAGAAAGTCATTCCAAGGCACCGGGAGTGTTGTGGGCCTCTCGGGGTGAAGTCTGTTCCACCTCGTTAAGAAGAGCTGAAATTTCATATCTCTGGGGAGGAGGGAAATACGCGAAATCTCTGGCCTGTGACATAAGACAGAATGTGAACTTACAGGATCTGATTTTATCACTCAAGACAGGGTTGTTCATCTCGAGCATCAGTTCTCTCTTTATTTTTTATATTAAACCAGTTATACAATAGTAGCGTCATTACACGCTCAGAGCGACCTTTGGTATTTCACAACGCATCAGCAGCGAGCTCAAGCTAACAAAGGCATCAAGAGTCCCTTATGGGATCATCCGCCGTTGGGATTTTGTAGGCTTCCATATTTGTGCGTAGCATATGCTAAGATGAAAGAACAGAAGTCGAACTTTGACTCGGAATCGGATTTTAGGGGCACTCCTGCACTTGGGTGGTGAGTTCTTCTTTTCTGCAAATACCAAAGAAACTATATTTGGTACAAAATGTTGTCACGCGGCTTGCTTTTCAATCTATCATAAAGTAATATATTGGAGTATTAACTGTAGTTACAGGAGAGAATTAATCCTTTCGCTCCCCTTTAACTGCCCTTGAAGTCGGTGAAGCCTTAATGGACTGATTTGAAACGCCTCCGGTAACTGAGTTTCTCCCCAAGTGGCCCCATTCATGAGTTTGACCAAGCCCGGTGCTGCGGTGAAGCTACGTGCCATTCCACTGCAAAAAATTTCAAGATGTATGGTCAGCCCAGCCGGACGTAATAAAACGGCTCCACACTTAGGAAGCTTTCTTAACATACTGTCCATGATATGCTGCGCAAATCCATTGGCTGGCCAACCCGGGCACCTCTCCTACGAAAGGCACCCCGTCCAGGCTCTATCTCCATATTAGTCAATGCACAGTGACGAATGCTAGATGACAAACTGACAAGCCCCATAATTCCGCTCCAGGCTTCTTTATAGGCTTCCGTACGATCCGGGGGATCGTATGTCCAATCTTTAAATTGTCCCTCGGCAAATTCTTGGACAGCCTCTGTCACGGATCTAAATCCTAGCAGCCCATCATCTGTACATCTATCCGGGTTCTCGGTCAACCATTTTTCCAGCTCATGTTGACCAGGGTTACTTCCTCCAAATAGAACCGGATACCCTTCATTTCTGCGCGGATTGATGGAGAATAGGTCGCCCTTCGGCAGCAGCACACCATACGAGTTCTCGAGGCCTTGTCGATCTTGAATAGTCTTTGGCGGAATGACCTTGTTACACATGTGAGGAGTTGGGACAATGAGACCACGCAAAGAGGGCTCAAGTGCAGAGCTATACGCATTTGTGGCATAGACGACCGTTGCGCATTCGATCTGCCCACGTTCGCTCTGAACAATCCACCTATAATCATTTCGCAAAGACTTTGTGATCTTCGTAACTAGGGTATTTGTTTGGAGGTTGACTCCCCTCCTGAGATTGTCACGCATGATGTGTGCCACCAGCTTCCAGGGATGCAGTGTCGATGCAGACCACGCATAACAGGCTTGGGCATCTTTGATTCCAGATATCTAGGCTTTCATCAGCTATAGCTCGCCGAACCGGCGAAATCCGTCCGTACCTTTGCAGCTTCCATTGGATCCTTTGTAACTTTGATGTTGTCCACTTTGCCGCCGGCTGCCTTGTAGCTTTCAAAAATGTCATTTGCGTTTGCCGCGGCTTCAGGAGTCACCGAGACATCTAGTGTGTTACCGACCTAGAGCTCACAATCGACTTCGTTTTCTCGTATGTACCGCACTAAATCGGACCATGTTTGTTGTTCGTTCTGCAAAATCTACGAGATCACATTAGCAAGGCGAGAAAATGGGCTACGCAACATACCTTTAATGCCTGCTCAGTGCCAAAAAGGCCTTCATAGCGCTTGAATCCGCGCCATTGATCAGGCTTGCAGTGACCAGTGTTACGGCCGGTAGCACCAGAGCAAAATTGGCGGGCCTCAAGGACGATCACTTTCTTTTCAGGCCAAGTTGCCACAATATTCTTCGCAATCAATGTTCCCGTGATCTGAGGACTTAAATTAGTTATCTAAATGCTTCAACTCGCTGCGATAAACTCACACCGGATCCAATGATTACAATATCGACAGATTGGGGCAATTCTGGCGTTGTGCGGTGATCCAAGAGAGCATCGCCGTGGACGGACTGCAGCCAGTGTGAAAGCGAATAATTGTGCTTCTTTGGGAACCCAAAGGACATTTGAGCGAGGCCAGTTGGCATGGCGAACGGTGGGTTTGTTCGACCTTCAAAATGTCTTTCGTGGGCCAGCGAAAGACTACTATCAACTGCGTCCAGACTATCGCAGAACTTTCCGATATCTTCTCACCGGAGGAGATAAATTCACAAGTTGCAGGCTCGGAGCCTAGTCACGCAATATGCCCCGCCCCGTCGGAAAGCAGTCTGCTCTCAATATCTAAGGTCAAAAGCGGGTCATTTCTATCGCGGACCGTCAATCTTATTTCGGTCTATATTTCAAATGGTATCATAAAGGCAGCAGAAACGCGCTTTCTTGTTATGATTGCTGAAATGAGCCGAGCAAAGGCGGTGGAGCCCGACACCTTGGAGGGGTTTATCAGTGAAGCCAAGTCATGCTTGTCACACTAGTTGGTCATTGCCTTTTCCCGATCAGAGCTAAGGCCTATGTCACGCACATCATTCCGGAGGCAGTTCAAGGTCCTAACCGGGACCTTGCGCTAATAGTATTACGCTTTTAATCGCCCCCGCTACTGTGGCCTTGATAATGTTCACATCATAGGCGCCGAGCCATTTAATACGATACCCTCCAGTGAAGCTCTAGTCATAGATATCTGTACAGAAAAGCCATTTAGAATTTTCGAAGATAGTGTCCCGTGGAAGGAGCGAGAATATGGGCGTCGCTATGGACTTTCAGTTGTCTTGTTTCCTGATGAGCTTGATAAAGGGGAGGGATTACTAGCTATCGATAACTGGGAGTCCGTTCCATAGGAAATATTGGGCAAAGGCGTCATGAACAGAGCCGCGTGTAGGGTTGAAGCTGTGTCATGGGAGTTTTCCGGGCATTTATTGGCTGTTGTAGTTGGGCTTCTGTAGCTTCGTGGGGTTTGGATTGAGCTGGGTTGGGCCTCGGTCGACAGGTCGACCGGCTGACGGGGAAGTTGGAATGGGTTGATGGGTTGATGGGGTCATCATCAGCCAAGACCGAGTGGCTATTAGCCCCTAGACAATAGGTCTGCAGTCAGATAAACAAGAAAAAAAGAACCACTTCGATCGAAAACACTATTGTCATAAGATCACATCGCACAGGAGAATAAGAAAGGGAGCAATAGGATGACCTAAGAACGCCGCGCTGGCTGCAACCTTCTGCGGGGTTGCAGCATACAATTTGAACTGGGAAAGGAAAGAAAAATTTTAACAGGCAAGAAGAAGAAGAAGAAGAACTCAGGATGTGTCGTTAGTCATAAATTAGTATATTCACAAAGCTCTTAGAAACTCAGCTTGTCTCGCACTGGCGTGGATGCGTTAGCCGCAGAACAGCGCCAGGTTGAGGGTATTATGTCCAGTCCAAGGTCTAATAGACCAGAATGCATCAAATCAACCAAGGAAGACTGTAAATATTAGCCGGATGTTCCCATGGAACGCACTCACAACAACTTCTTACCTTCCCAGCCCCATTCCCCCATTACATTGACCCAGTGCGATCTGCTTCGAACAGTTCTTTCAAACTTGATATTCTCCAGAGACGAGAGTGCAGATCCCCTCCTCGACTGACCAGATTCAGGTGCAATAGGTCCAGATCTCCCCTGCATCGATCTGTCCGAGTGATCGCACGAGTTGACCCGCCCATGGAAACCGCGACCGCTATTGTCTGATGCCTGGAATTGCGAATTGAGCTTGACGTTGTTCTCGGTGGAGAACGAGCGAGGTCGCCGGGTTGAAAACATGTCTTGCTGTTGCTGCTTGGCTTGGAGCTCGTCCCGTCGAGCCCAGACTTCCCGAATAACATCTAGGCAGCGATCGACACCTCCGATCATGAGGCGCGACTGGACAACCGACCACCGCTCCAGAACCCATTTGCGGTCTTCTTCTACGTCAACCTCAGCACCGGCAGCCAGAAGGGGGAACATCTGAATGATGGTTGTGCGAGAGGTGGGCGGTACGGTCGCCAATAAAATCAAGACACGCTTAGCGAGTTCTTCAGCTGGCTCGGATGGTAACTCCGGGACCGCTTGGTGCAGATACAGCAATGTGGCCCAGCGATAGGCGTGCGCCATCTGTATACTGTGTTGCACCTCTGAGGTGGGATCTTCGGGCGGCGCAAACCAACGTGGTGGCTCCCACTGCTCTACAAGGGCCTTGAGCTCCATGGCTTGGGAGACAATTGACACGGAGTTAGTCGATGTCTTTCGAACTCTTTGTACGAGTCGTGCGACCTTGCCAATGAGAGGAAACAGCGTTGCAGCACATCCCATCAACGGATCAATCTCGTGCACCGCATCGCCGGGTAACTGGAAGATAGAAGGATTTAAATCCTGAGGTCCGGACTCATCCAACGAGGTCAGCCGCGCAATGACGTCCATGTACGTCCACGTATTGTATAAAAAGCGGATGCGATCCAGTTCTTCCGGCTGAAGACCTCCTTCGAGACCCGCATTGAGGACCTGCAACATCAAGGCCTTCGCACCCCGCAGATGCTGGATACATGTGCGAGTGTTTTGGTCCCAGGTATCGGCAAAGGCCAAAGCTAAGCTCGTTGCCAACGCTGTGTCTGCTCGCATGCTCTGGATCTGCTGCCGCAGACAGGTAATGCTCTGTCGCATGTGCTTGACACCTTGAACTCGAAGAGATGGCTTCTCCTTCGCCGAGTGAAAGGCTGACAAGGCGAAGATAGCATGGTACAAGGCAGGTGTGCTTTTGGCAAGAGGCCAGATTAGAGTCCGCCATGGGTTTTCCGTCATACCATCTTTGATGGACAAGATACCACATGTCATCTTGTCAAACCGCATTGCCAACATCTCTTGGCTTTCTGGCGCCAAGGGAGGCTGACTGGGAAAGTGGGGGAAATCAAAGGAACCGTCATCCTGTCCTGAGAAGCTAAAGTTCCAAGACCCAGCACCAGGATCAGACTGCCGAATAATCTCCTCGATACCCTCGCTATCATCCTCCAGTAACCGGGCGAAACTGAGTTCGTCATTACCTGTCCCAGGGGCAGGCTGAAACTCTTGAAGGCCAAAATCGAATGGACCAGAGCCACTCAGGTCCTGTGCCGACAACAAATCATCCGAGAAAGGCACCGATTGTTGAAACGGTTCAAGGAAAGAAAGGAAATTTAAAGGATCAGAGTCCACGGGTATCGATACACCACCGTTCAGGGTAGATTCATCGCGAGTGGACACTTCATCTCGAGGCACCACAAAGCCATCTGGCGAATGAGTGTCCGTAGACAAAAAGCTTTTGACGCTCTGAGGGGAGCTATGCAACGAAGACTCAGGGGGAGAAGCATTAAAACAATTGGACAGCGGTCGAATCGGCGAGCCTGATTGCTCGGTAGTCGGCGGCGTGAGAAAGCTTTCCGAGTTCGCGACCGAGATAGGCGGGGGCTGTGAAGGAGCATTTGCTGCATAACCAGGGTGTTAGTCAATTTATTTCGCGGCCAGGCACACACGGTCAACAACCGCTCTGCCTAATACCTTTCTTAGCCTTTGTCGCGGTAGGTCGTGCGACAGTCAGGATGGTCTCCTCGAAGGGCCGCCATTTGAAATCCTTCTTGTACCCCCCACACGGAACCTTGCGCCTTTCGCACTGGTGACAGGTCGGCTTGGTCTCGTCGCACTTCAGCCGCTTCGCCTTGCAGGTGATGCAACCTGGGCGTCGCGGATAGAGATCGGGTCAGCGATATTGCGCAGACAGCTGGGGCGGGCCCACTCGCCCGTAGCGGGTGGAGCCCTGGCCTATGGGTGTGCATGTGTGGTATTTATTTATTTTTCATGGTCAGATGGCATTTCCATCGAGAGACGAGATCGTACCATTGCGACTTTTGGTCTGCTTGGGTTTCTGAGAGGCCGTGGCGATCCGCTTCGCCTTCCTGGGGGGCGATGCAGGCTTCCCCCGCGCAGACGCTGGGAGCGTGTCGGGCGAGTGTAGAATCGTGGACGGAGATGGGATTTTGATCGTTTCCATACCAAGGCGATAGTTGACAATCACGACGTGCGTGCCAGGGCTAATAGAAGAGATGGGCGGGGATTATATGACGGGGCTTCAACGAAAGCAGAGAGGAGGTTGAAGATAAGACGCCAAAAACAGCGAATGACAGAAGACGGATAGGGGAGCAAGGAAAATCCGCGCTCATCGGGAGGAACGGCGGATGATAAGGCGCATATGCGGGGGTTTGGCGCCGATCCGAAAAGCCTGTGAGGGGTCACGCTGACCCGGCGTTGCAATCTGGTCTGCTGTCCGTGGGTTGTGAGTTGGGCTGACGCGGCCAGTGTGGAGTTAGTAGTTGGTTGTAGTTTCGAGTATGGACGGAAGCAAGTAGCTTGTTTGGCGCTTGGTGGTTCTTTGTTTATCAACAACAACAATAGCCGGTGGGTACAGATTGAATGTGTTTTCGCGCGGAGAGACAACTGGCTTGTGCGGGGAACAACCGAATACTCACTGAGGAATCCGGCGGAAACCCTGTCTAAACCCCACTCTTGTCGTCTTCTGGATGTTTCGAGTGCAGTTACTTTCCATGGGGATCATGTGAGGAGGGTCTTGTGATCCGCGCGGGTCGTCCATATGGCATCCTGAATTCTCAGGTGTCCTGGAAATGTCCACGATACACTCCCATCCAGTATTCGGCACTCAAGGCCTGTCGGAGTAGAGGTGATTCTACATATGTCAATTCCTATCTTGAAGAATGATCTGGAGAACAAATAAAAATAAATACCGCTCATCTTTCCTGGTGTGATATCATATACAAGACTGCCGATCCACGCGCCCCTGCGCTTCCCACGGTTGAGCCGGGCTGCCGTCCACCGGGCCGTGATCTCCGTCCCATCCCGCCCCAGAATCTTCATCCCAGCTCCGTCCCCGAGCTGGTCACCACCCCCTTCATCTGAGCGGGGTATATTAAAGGACTGGAGGCTGCCATGCTGGTGCATTGCGCCCCTGGCGCAGGCATGTGGGCGCGGGCGGCGTGTGATATGCGTGCTGACCGGATTTGGGTCAGTGGCCATGGTAGTAGCGCGAGGACAAACAAGCCCCTGGTGCTGCCTAGATGCGTAAAACCCAGCTGTAGGAGTGAATTTATATCTTTTTTTCTAATTCATCGTCGGCTACGTCGGTTTACCGAAGAAAGAAGGCAACCGTATAGACAGAGTAAATAGAAGTATCCATGCATGCCCTTCGTGCCTGGCTTACGTGTAGTGCCCGGGTAGTGAGAATGACTTGGGTGAATGGCTTGTGTTTAATGTGCCTAATGAAGGCTATCATCATATCTTTCAGGTAGTCGTTGGATCACTGCCTCTTCTGACATTTCAGACTTCGCTTCTAATCGATTAACCTCTCGATGATGATATCCTAGAGGGTCCCTCATCACAGCTCCAGGAGCGCTTGGCAGAGGCACAGAACAGGATGGACATACTCTGGCTCGCCATGCTCGTTTGTGAAAGCAACAAAAATCCTTAGAAAAGCGTGGTTTCAAAATCTCGGAACATGATGCAGATTTGTTGCGTATTCTGGATGAAAAGACGACAGCCCCAGAGCAGGCTGCTCATACCCGCTGCTAGCGACTCTGTAATTTTATAATTCATCACGGTCGAAATTTAATTTAAACAAATTTAGCCGTGCAGCACCCACTGATGCAGCAAACACCGGGTTAACCGGTTCCTGGTGTTGATCGACGACCGCAGTGTTGATACCGGACGGCTGTTGCTTGCTCAAAACATCTTTGAGTATGTCGTGTAGAAGCTTGTCCTGTGATGATTCACCTAGCAAGATCACGTTGCTTAGTGACTTGAGCATCTCGCCATCGTATTCGACGGGCATCTTGACGATGTCTCCAAGCGCTGTTGTGAGCTTGGCCCGACGATCCTGGGGTGATTCTTGCGACCCAAATCGGGTCTCATGTAATACTCGCAAATCTTCGTAAATTCCACACTCTTCGACAACCAACAGGGCGGTCAAAGCGGAACGTGTATACTCCACAGTAAGGAACGCCTGCGCTGGGTCCTGTACATGTGGATCGTAGCCACACTCTCCCGGGCCAATGCCATATACAGGTTGTGCTACTAATCTACCAGCGGGCGCCGCAGGAGTTGCAGGGATGGAAATCGACTCGGATTTGGCGGTGGAGCGAAGGGTATCAAAGAAAGTGTCTGAGATTGGGAATGGGACGGTGATTTCAGCTGTTGACACCGAGGCTTCTAAATAAGACTCGATGGCTATCTTTAATGACTCGAGCATCCTTGAAATGGACTCATGGGTGTGATTGTGGCCACCCAGCCAAGGTGGCAAGTAGCCGCGAAGTGATGGCCAGCCCACTGTGGTCTGTGTATCGAGGGAAATGTAAGCATCGTCCTTTTGGACGTCCGCTGCACGCATTCGTTGCTTGTAGGTGGGATTTCCTTCAATCTTGGTGACCTCCACATGGGAGCCATTAAGGAATTGAATACTTGCAACACTATTTGGCAGATTAGTTCGCGATGGAAGAGTTCAGCGGGGATCTTATTGAAATATTACCCATAGTCAAGGGTCAGCTCGAATCCAACGCCATAGTCCGCCTTGGCGGAGACAAAGGCCACAGGAAGGAAAGCAGCTGCCAGTAGATACCATATCTTTGGAATCATGCTTGAAAAGAAGTGTGTTTGAATTTTCAACTGATTTGAAGAGTAAAAGGTTGAAAGAAGATGAAAGAAAGAGCAGGGAGTTCAGCAGTTCGAGGAAGATAGGCGACCAAATAACTGCGCCCCGTAGCCCTACCCGGGAGAGCTGGGGCGACTTGGCACACGCTGAATGCTCAACCCTCGCAACCATCGTCATCCAATCAATTTTCAGCCCCAACCAGCTCTTTGCTTTTAGGCATTCCCCCCTTCATTGGATGATCTAAGGATATGCGGCTGGTCACAACTTACATTGGACCCTAACATAGCCCCCTCTCATATCCCGGGCAGAGCTACGTCATGACGCTGATCAGGGGCCGAAACACGGGGCCAAACCAAATGGAAGGGTTCAACGTTCACTGGCTGAAGACAACCCACGAGTCCACGATGCAATGAGCCTCGTTTCATTTAGCTCCAGGGGCCGCAATCTTGCACTAAAATCAGGGGCCAAGAACAGGCAACATAGGACAGAGATCAGAGATGATGCAATTTGACGGAGTTTGTTTGCCTCCTCGGTTGCTTCGGTTGAACGTCGTGTCCTAGAATTGATTTAGTGATATTCAAATATTTCGTTCTACTCCCTCAATATAATGGGGCGATAAACCGTATAGATTCTGACGATGGTACCCAGTCGCACAAGGGCAAATTCGGCGTTTCTTCTGCAAGCAAGCTCATATGAAAATGTTTCTTAAACGGTGTCAGAATTGCGAGTAAAATGCTGAAAAGACTCCGTCCGTGCGTTCCATATGCTCTTCCGGTCGATTAAGTGGATCCGCTCCTGCTGCACACGCGATGCGGGCGTTCCAACGTTACTCTTGAACGAGGAAATTGAACAGTGACTCCTCGGAGGTTTGACACCTCTCTTCCCCGGAAGGAATAAGGTGCTGCATGGCAGGCTGGCAAAGATGAACGGCCACAGCATGAGATTGAGAGACTCATATCGGGTATTACGTTTGACATCTTGTTTACTATTTACAGTTTAGTTCGCAAACTGTGGTAGAACCATTAGCTCGGTCAACTGAGCGCCTGGTCCACATGGATAGTTGCTTTTTCCTGTTCCATTTCCATCCGTGACAGGGGGTCTTGTCCAGAAATATCATCTTGGACAATCGCATTCATCAATCCGGCCCTCTATGACCTTACTACACTGTATTGAGCTCTTTCCCATGATGAATGAGCCAGATGGAACGCTTTGATAACCATTCGTCGCCAGATATTAATAGTACAACACTAACTACACGTAAGGATCCACTTTCGCTAGGCTTCCTGCCCCATCGAACAGCCCCGGGGGCCATTATGTTTTAGTCTCGTCTCCACCTTGATTTGTACAGGCTGTTGCTAGGAAGTAGATTTAAGATCCTTTTGCCATAAGACATTGATATTAAAGCATCCGAATTATTCAGTCAATTGTATCATCATTTTCTGAGTATCAAAACTCAGGATGCGCAATTTCGGCCTTGCCCTTCTGCCGCTATGCGGTCTCATTGTTGCAACTCCTATAACTGATCCACCTCAAAGTGTGGACGTTAACAACCCATCTGCATCGGATCCCAAGACACCTCCCAAGCAGATTTCGTTTCCCAAACGTCCGGATAACCCTTTTCCCAATGGCATTCCAACTCAGCCGGACAAATGTGATGGGGAGTTTCCTTCCGATGACTGCCTCCACGCCATGGGAAGCAGTGGTGGCTACCTCTATTACGAGAAAGACTCCGGATGCAGTAACAATCAAAAGAATGTTCTCGAGACAGCTCTCTGGGAGGCGACGACGCTTGCTTTTTACTCGTCCAACTTCCCAAACAACGGAGAGGGGTCCAGAGGCTCTGCCTCAGCCCATTTCTACATGGGGCCGGACTACCTATCGCAGAAAGACAGAATTGCCGGTAATTTGCAGCGAGTTTCTGATTTCAAGAGTGGCAAGACATCGGAGAAGGCATATATCACCATGAGCTGCAAAGATACCAAGAATCTGTGCAAGAAGAGAGACCAGGGAACTGTTGGTGGCTATGCATGGACCTACAACGGGTGGTTTGGATATTATCATTACATCACCTTCTGTCCTTCTTTCTTTTCGATCGATAACATGGACCAGAAGATTACCGAGATAGAGAGCGCGCTCAGCAGTGGCAACACGGAAAAGGCCAGCGACATGAGATATCTTAGAACGACTGGCCAGTACTTCCTCCACGAAATGATGCACACTCGCATTGCAGACGGTGGCAAGGAACCACACATCAACGATGAAGGTGTCGTGGAGCCTGGCAGGACTTATCCTGGAAATCCCGCAGCATACGGTCCGAATCTTGTCCACAAGCTAGCCCAACGCCCGATTAACCAACACGGCGGTGCAACACGAGCATCGACGAACGCAGACAGCTATGCAATTCTGGCCAACTGCGCCTGGTGGTGGGATACCACTGGATACTTCCCTGGAGTGCCTGGAAAACCTGGTCCTTCCTCCATAGAAGATGATTTTCCCATCTCGCTTTGGATTGATCTTGGCAACACCACCTCCCCAAGTAAGGCCGACTTTGCCAATCTGTTCTCTGTCGATGCAGAGGGTTTTGGAAACTTAACGACAACCACTTCAACTACGCAAACAACGACCGCCTCGACGGCAACAGCCACAGCCGATGACTCGTGCAAAGAATCGTACAAATTTTTCTGGGACCATTTTGAGATTTATGGGAAGAATTTTGACCCGTCTAAGTTTGGTAAAGATGGGTCTGGCCTTAAGAAGCAGATCGAAGGCTGTGGTGCCTTGACTGGGTGGCACTTTGACACAGACACTTCAAGTGGCTGGCAATGGCATGCCACGGGAAACCTGCCGGTTGGAACTAAGGACTGTGTTGGCCGGGCTGTTGTATCGGCAGGTGGTGAGGGCCCCGATGGTTGCAAGGGCTCTGGACTGTAAATAGTATAACCCCGGAGCGGAAGCAGGTGCTGTATATTTGGGAGTTCGAAGTCAAATAGTCGTAAAGCCAATGGCTTTTTAGAGAAATGGAATCAAGACGGTCGCCAAGGTACAGTGATTCTCGAAATTGCCTTGACCAATATAATAGTACACCGAGGTTGTAACCATGGTCTAAAACCCGTCCCAAAGGAGCATAGCCACCTCATCGAGGTACAGGCTAGGTTTTTCACTTAGATGCACACAAAGGAATTCAATCATGAGGAGTGTCACAGTTCGTCTCCAACCTACTCGGGTTTGGAGGGCGTAAATGCTTACAAATTGTGGTAAGTTTTTGCAGAGATTGATGATGGTCAGCTTGTTACATTCAGCTTGTTCGGCCATTTCAGATGTGAAGGACCGGCTCTCTATCACATCACTTATGAGAACAAGCTTTGCAGGAGAGTGTCTTGGAGCCATGTCGCCTTGAAGTAACAGGGGCTAAACTGGAAAGACTTGTAACTTCAATTTGTCGGGAAATTGGGTCGGGATGCCCCAAACTATCAGAAGAGGCGGGCTGGTGATCATCCCGCAATAGCCGGCACCATTCCCGCCATTGCTGGTCGCTGGGAAGAAGTAGGGGGCTCCGAGGGGGGGGGGGAGGGGGTAGGGGCAAGCATGTACGGAGTACCAGACTTTTAAACAGTCCCGGCGGGTGCTCCCTGAGTCAAAAAAAAAAACTGTACTTCTGCAGTTGCCGTTCCTGCCGCTATACCCGCCCATTCATTCGTCGGTCAACGTTGACCCTGCCATGCTTTGTGCTTAGTCAAGTAGCGGTTATCGGACGCGTCGGTCACAACCCCAGGATTCACGGCCCGAGGTCGAGCGGCGTGCAAGAGCTACCCCGTCTTTAAATCGGTCTCTTCCCTCCCCGCCCCCCCGCCTCCTCCTCTACACGGCCCCATACAGTTTCGCCGAAAAGTGGACATTCATACAATGTTTCGTTCGATCCCGCGACGACTCCCGCGGCAGCTCCCCCTCGCAACTGCTCCAAAACGCCTCGCCCTGCGCTCCTTCACATGCGGTTATCCTCGGATGTCATCGCCGCCCGCCGTCCAGCCTCCCGTGTCCACGGCACTGCCATCCGACGCATACCAGCTGCTGTCGACAGCAGAAAAGGCCGGGCCGGCGGAAGATGCGCTGTATGAGCAGCAGGTGCGCGATGTGGAAGCTTGGTGGAGCTCGCCCCGCTATGAGGGCATCAGGCGCCCCTACGGGGCGGAGGATGTGGTGAGCAAGCGCGGCTCGCTGCAGCAGACATACCCAAGCTCGCTGATGGCACGGAAACTGTTCAATTTGTTGAACGAGCGGGCGGCGGCCGGAGAGCCAGTGCACACAAGTGAGTTTTTCAGCTATTTCCACTCTGCGGTTCGATTCCGATTGGGCTAACGCTTGTCGCGCACACAGTGGGTGCCATTGACCCCGTCCAGATGACCCAGCAGGCTCCCAACCAAGAGGTTCTGTATATCTCGGGCTGGGCATGCTCATCGCTGCTAACCACGACCAACGAGGTCTCCCCGGATTTCGGAGACTACCCCTACAACACAGTGCCGAACCAGGTCCAGCGCCTGTTCAAGGCACAGCAGATGCACGATCGGAAACAGTGGGATGTGCGACGCAAGTTGACCGCTGAGCAGCGCAAGGATACCCCATACGTGGACTATATGCGCCCGATTGTTGCGGACGGTGATACTGGGTATGTCCTACCAACCGCAATGTGATCGCAGCACTGACTCGACCCATTCAACAGACATGGCGGTTTGTCGGCAGTTCTGAAGCTGGCCAAGCTCTTCGCCGAGAATGGCGCGGCGGCGGTGCATTTCGAGGACCAGCTTCACGGTGGAAAGAAATGTGGCCATCTTGCAGGCAAGGTGCTTGTCCCCATGGGAGAGCACATTAACCGGCTAGTGGCTGCGCGCTTCCAGTGGGATATGATGGGCTGCGAGAACCTGGTCATTGCTCGCACGGACTCGGAGAGTGGCAAGCTGATCAGCAGCGCCATCGACGTCCGTGATCACGAGTTCATTCTTGGTGTCGCGGAGGAGGTCGAGCCTTTGGCCGAGACTCTGCAGGCAATGGAGCGCGAAGGCGCGTCGCCGGCTGAGATTGACGCCTTTGAGCTTGACTGGGTCAAGCAGCACAAGCTTGTCACCTTCGATGAGGGTATGTCAGCTCCAAGAGATTTTTCCATCCGCTCAAGTTACTAACATCCCCCCAGCGGTCGACGCTCACCTCGAAGCCGAGGGTGCCTCCCAGTCTGTCCGCGACACCTACAAGTCTCACGTCCAAAAGAACCCCGATCTCTCGATCTCTCGCAGGCGCGCCTTGGCCAATGACTACTCCAAGTCACCCGTAGTGTGGTCGTGCGACAGCCCGCGCACCCGGGAAGGGTTCTACCACTACCGCGCCGGGTTCCCCGCCGCGACGAAGCGCGCTAAGGAATTTGCCCCCTACGCCGATCTCCTCTGGGTCGAGACCGGCGACCCCGACGTTGAGAAAGCAGGCGACCTGGCCGCCAAGGTTCGCGCCGTGCACCCCGGCAAGAAGCTGGTGTACAACCTCAGCCCCTCGTTCAATTGGATGGGCCAGGGCTTCGACGAAGCCTCACTAAAGTCATTTATCTGGGACCTTGCTAAGCATGGGTAAGCACACATTCTGTCGTCTCCGGCGCCGCTTGACTAGCGAGCAATGCTAAAATTGATGGATCAGATTTGTCCTGCAACTCATTTCCCTGGCTGGCCTGCACTCTAACGCAACCATTACAACGGAACTCTCGCGCGCGTTCAAGGACGAGGGCATGCTTGCCTATGTGCGCCTAGTTCAGGCCCGCGAGAAGGAGATGGGCGTCGAGGTTCTCACCCACCAGAAGTGGAGCGGGGCTCCCTACATTGACGGTATCCTCGGCGCTATTCAGAGCGGGAGCAGCAGCAGCAAAAGTATGGGCGAGGGGAATACGGAGAAGGGTGAGTCTTTTTGCTGGTTCCCCGTGTTTCAAATGCAAAGAGCTAATTCCGCAACTCTAGGTTTCTAAAATCTTGATTCACTAACTGAAAATAATGATTCGTGTGCCTTTCCAAGCCGATCTTTTCTCTTCTTACCTTGGACGGTCATTCTGTAGATAGCGATTTGATTGATGAAAATGAATTTGTACATTTCCGACATGGCTTATTTCCATCATGCATAGTTAAGACCTACTATCTGAACGGCCATTTCCACTATTCGCATACACTTTCGCCACCCAAAGGCCGGTTCCAGTTGACTTGAAAATAGACATTTCAATAAAAACGATCCATCACCGGACCAAACATCCAGTAACAAAGGCTTACACCGTAGCAGGTCGTTCTGTGATGCGAACAGGGATCCCGGTCTGTCGCACGAACCACGAGTGGGTAAGTTGCCACTCCTGATCTTGGTTCGGAAGCTCCAACTAGAGAGAGAGAGAGAGAAGATTAGCTTCATTCTAACATAAAGACCAAAACACGATGCGCGCAGACTGACGTCAAAAGAGATAAACAGCGAAGCAATGAGCTTATACGCCTCCAGTAGAGAAAGGTACCGTCCAAGACAAGCCCGGGTTCCACCCCCAAATGTGAAGTCGGCACCCTTCATCTTCGCGAATCGCGCCTGGTACATATCGTCCGACTCTCCAGGACTCGGAAGCCATCGCTCCGGAAGGAAAGACTCGGTGTGCGCGCCGAAAACGGCTTCGTTCCTGTTGATGACCGACGGGTTCATGCCGACGATAGTGCCCTCTGGCACGAACCGTCCATCAGGCAGGGAGAAACCACCCCGTGGCACGATGCGCTCGATCGTCTGGCCGATACCGGGGGTTACGCGCATTGCCTCGCGCATCACGGCGTCGAAATACTTCAACCCCTGGAGCTCCTTCCACTTCGCGGGTAGAGCGATGTTTGTGGAGCGCAGCTCTTCGACGAGCTTCTTGTGCACGGAAGGGTGCTTGAGAATGTGGTAGACGGCGGAGCACATCGTGCTAGCCGTGGTATCGCTGCCCGCGAGAACATTGGAAAGTAGGTACGTGACGACGATATTGTCGTTGACGATTTCCGGGTACTTCTTCTTGGCCTCGAGGAATCTATCGAGGTAATCGGTCTGTCCGGCGGGGAGGGGTCCCTTCTGGAGACGCTCCTGGAGCTGTTCCACACTGAAGATGTTGGCCCACATGAAGGTGGGGGGTCCAATTCGTACGATGGGGTTCTTGTCTAGGACCATGTCGAGCAGCGGGATCTGGCTGATCTAATACATTCTGTCAGGTGGGATGCTATACAGGTAGCGGTTTGTTAGGGCTTAGATTTACTTACAGCAGCGAAGTAGTCCAGACTCTTATTTGATCGACCCAGGAAGCCCTTGTAGTCACTCCCTGCCTCAAGAATCCCAAGGTCCTTGGAGAAGGTGATCTGGCTCATCGCATCCCAGGCAACTATCGGGTGCTATCAGTACGATATCCGTAGACAGGGACTGCCGGGATAACTCACAGAAATGGAGATAGTCAGACATCTCACAGATCTGTCCGGGGCGGGCAAACCGCTCCCGCAGCTTCTCAAAAAACACATTGATCGTTTTATCCACGCCAGGCTCCATATCCTGGACTTTAGTCATCGAGTACAAGCCCTTAACAGGCCGGATAAAAGTCGAGTGCCACTGCTCATCCTGCGTGGAGAACAAGTTACTGAGGCGCATTCCCCCGACGAGGACATCGTTCACATTGTACATATCACTCTATCGGAAACACCGACCAAAACTGAGTCAGTTGCGTCATGGGACCATTGTGAGTGATTCCAATTATACCTTCTGCCACGGGCTCTTCACAGTATAAACTTGATTGATCAGACTCGGATCCGACAGACTAAGCATGCGTGGGCCCAACCGAACGGCAGGTCCGTACTTTCGGTGCAGGGCATTCTGGGTAATATCGCAGCGTCCTTTAGATACATCGTACAGACGCCAGAGATTGGTGAAACTGGTCGCTGCAGGGCCGGGGAAAGCCTTGAGTGGAGAGCGGAGGTAGTTCCAGATGAAGCGAGAGACGAAGATGATAGCCACCGAAGCACCGAGATTGATGACAAGATCAGTCACTGAAAGCATGGTGGGTTAAGTTGAATGCACTGGTTTTTATGATGCTGAGGGCACCGTTTGCAAGGTAAGTTCCTCCTCGTTCGCTGTCAAGGGCATTAATAAATCCATCCTCCAGGATCAATCGCCTCGACGGTCACAATCCATTTCCCTCCCTGCGGCCCCACCGGGCTGCAAGCCTCCAGACTAGCAAAAGTCCGAGGCAAAACTGCTGGACCAACTTGGCCTAAGTGAGGAGGAGAGATAAACACGGCGGGTGCAGCATTGTTTCCCTCTTGCTGGACGGACCACTCCCCGGGGACCATTAGACTAAGCCTAGTGCGTTATAGTTAGATTCGAACCCGTTGGTCGAGACTCTCCAGGAACGGAGCAAGAAACCTAACAGTCGTTAGAAGTATGAGAGATACTTGCAACTGTCCGTAGCTCTACTACCCCCGAAGGCACGGAGAAGATGGTACTGCGGATATTATTTACGGAAGCTATCGACGGGACCGGCACGAGGACCGGGAATCCAGTGGATCCTGTGTCAAGCCATTCCTTCACTGCCGATCCAGATGTGTCATTGGCTGGGGAACCCGCTTGGCTTAAGTGGCATATGCGCGTTGCAAGAAGTCTGGTCGGGACTAATTCTCCCGAATCGATAGATCACATCTTCACGGTTTGATAACCACCCAACGCGATTTGAGTTCAAGACTTGTGGAAGCGAAACAGCTTCCCCGCTACCTGGGCAGTGAATTTCAACACAGTCCAAATCAAGCACGTTTTTAGCTTCCCTGGCAGCTCGCATTTATACCCTCTACGAGGCAATTGGTCGTGATGGCTCCACTGGGCGCCCGCCAGCAGCGGGAGTGGGAGTGATAGATAGCGCGGCCCCAACGTCCCTCAAGACCTAATGCATGAGCAAACGCACGCGGAATCACAGCGAAGGTCGAGGCCAATCAGGTGGTGCACTATCCAAGCAGTGGCCAGCACCATCACGGGTATGTAGCCTCCCATGGTTTGACATCTACACGTTTATCCACCACCACGCCTGCAGGTGGGCGCTGTGCGCACATTCCAGTGGAGCCCCTGAACTCCCAACCCACGAGCCCAACCGCCTCAGGAAGTTGGTCCATCCGAAATACGGGCTGGCCGTTTCATCTACTCCGGATGCATCCCATTGTCGCTCTGGTAAGCCCTCCCCCTGTCAGCCGTCCAGGACTTCATGACGCCGATCTTCGACAGCTTCGTGCGGGCCTAGATTCCGGACCTGGCGCCCGTGTGCTCGAGTGCAACACCGGTCCATTCTCATTAGCAATACCGAATCACGCAAAGGAAGCTCTCAAGGTTATATACTCCTGCTCCCATTCGAGAACGTGCGTGGGTCCGTGATTGCCGCCTGTCATATCTGCCGAGACTTAGTTCTGCTTCCGCGGAGCCGTTGAGGCCGGCTCCAAGGCTGCGGAGACTTTCCCCTCGCTCCCGGCGGTGTTTCAATTTATGTAGGAAAGACTGGCAGAAGGACTGTCTCGGGATGTGTCCTGTTCTATGTGTCGAAATTCAATGCCTCGTCGGAGAGATCGTCGCTCTTGCTGAACTAGGATTCTGCAATGTCTGCTGATGAAATAAAGGTGTGGCACTTGGGAATTTAATCCCATTCTCGTCCTTTTTTTTAAGAGTTTCATTATTCTCCGCGTATCCAATTGTGTTTTTCGTGAATGCTATCAGGGAAGGTCGAACCTTCGTGAAGAGCCATGCCTTCTTCCTCTTCCGCCGCCATAGCCGCCGAGGCTGCCCAAGACCAAGGTCCTACAATTCTAGCCGTCTGTTGGATTCTGGTCCTTTTGCCTGGGCTGATAGTTGGTCTTCGAATATATTGCAAACTCATGCTGAGCAGAGGCTTTGGATGGGATGATTCGGTCATTCTATTAGCTTGGGTGGGTATTCCTGCTTTTAAAGGGCTTTCTTCTTTCGGGCTATGTGTTTTGTTCAGAACGCTAATTGTTGCCTAATAGTCGCTGCTTTTAATCTTCACGGTTATGGTCACTAGATCGGTGCAGCTGGGGGTGATAGGAAAGCATGTCGAGATGATAGAAGACCAATCTGTCGTACCGCACGCCCTCAAGCTGATCTATATTGGATTTGTGATTGTCATCGTGGGCTGTGTTCTTAGCAAGACCTCGTTTGCCATCACTCTCCTGCGCATCGTAACCCGGACGTGGATGAAAGTGCTGCTGTGGTTTATTATCATCACGATGAACGCGATCATGTGGCTCTGCGCCATGTGCTATCTTCTTCAATGCAGGCCGGCGGCTGCATTGTGGAACACAAAACTCATGGCTACGGCTAGCTGCTGGCCGACCGCGGTGTTCGAGACGATTGCGCTCACAGCTGGCGGTATGTCTAACCCTCGTCCTCGGGATCGGTCCCACAGCCTACCCGGCATACTAACGCCACTTCTCTACAGCGTACTCTGGATGTATGGATTTCATTCTTGCGCTTCTCCCCTGGGTGCTACTATGGAATCTACAGATGAAACGTCGTGAGAAGTTCGGTATTGCCATTGCCATGAGCATGGGTGTCTTGTAAGTGCCCATCCACGTTCAGATCTATGGATAAAGAAAACTAACGTGCTATGACAACACAGCGCAGCGGCAACTGCGTTCATCAAGACCTCCAAGCTCGTCAACGTATCCCAGGTTCAAGACTTTACATGCAAGGCCGCCCCTTCTAAATGAATTCATGTCAACGCCTGCTGACACGCTGTAGGGTACTGCTCCAGCATCATCATCTGGGCCTCCGCCGAAACAGGCTGTACTATATTCGCTGCCTCTATTCCCTCTCTCCGAATCATCTTTGTCCGCATGCGATCTAGCTACGACCGAACCGACGAGCCATCCTACGGAAGCTACCAGCTCTCCGGCAAACCCCGCAGTCAGAAGGGGAACCGTCCTTACCAGCCCGACCCATACTGTTATTGTCAGGGTGAAGTAATCTCACTGCCCACTCGAAAGGATGACAGCAGTGAGAAGAGTATCCTCGGTCACAGCGCAGGCATCAAGCAGACACAAGAAGTGTTAGTCACCTATGAAAGGAACTTGGATGAGGAGAGATCGCTGGAGGATCGGGTGGAGGTGTTCCGCGCTGGTCGACGGTCCTAAAATCCAGATTTCCCTTCGTTATACATTGTAAATCTTTTTTGATCAGGCCAGCAAGCTGTGCCTGCAGTCTACCTGTGTGAAAGTTCTGCATTATGGTGGTCTATAATGCCCTTTCGCTTGTTCTTCGGGCTTCTATATCAGAGAAGTATAAATGAACTGCTACTACCGTAACGACGACCCCACGTGTATCATGTTGTTTATTGTTGTCTTAACTGGGGTGAACAGCAAGCGCTGCTAATTAACTCCTACTGATCATACGGGAAATTTCTAGAAATTGTTCCTTCCTGCTGTGAGCGCATCAGCTTCCAAGCAATTTCCAGTATAAAGCTCATTTAGAGGACCACCATGAGGGAGCCAGTCAATGCAGCCACAACAAAAGATGCCATCCCGAACCAGCCATTCACATAAACGGCAGTTGGGCTAACCACATGAGCAGCAGCTCCCTTAGACGTAGATGTGCTGGCGGCGCCCCCAGTAGATGTACCTGTGCCTGTTCCAGCCGTACCAGCAGCCTGGCTAACGAGGGACACGCAACTTCCCGAAGCTTCCTGCGCTGACTGAATCTTGGCTGCGCCCTTGAAATCGCAGGCTGTTTTCACCTTTTTCTGGCTCTGGTAGTAGGCATTGAATGCCACCGACAGCTGGTCCTTGCTAGAGCAGACGCTGTAGGCGCCATAGTCTCCAGCGGTTGCGTTGTGTGCGATGCCTTCACAGATGTGCGCACCATACCCACAGACCTCGGCAAAGAGGTCGCCGTAGTCCTTTGCATCCACCGAGTCGCTGACAACGCATGACAAGGTATCCACCACGCAGGAGCAGAGTTGCTGGTTAGGAGTAGGTGGCAAAGGGCTGGATTCCGCCAGCCAGTTGATGCCGTCGACAGTGGGGCATGCGCGCGGTGAATTGGTGGCGGAGTAGCTAGCACTGTTGGTGCCGGTAGCAGTTGCGCTCTGGATTTCCTTGGAGTAATAGCCAAAGTCGACTTCGGTAGAAACGGAGTTGCCGTCCACAGACACCAGCCCGTAGTCATTGTCAGTCTCGAAGTACATATAGACGATACCACCGCTCCAGACATCGTTCATCTCAGGACCGAAGAGCACAGGCACATCGGTGAACTTGCGAGGCTTCACAGTGTTGCAACCGTACTCCGAGAAGAAGACAGGGATGGAGTAGTTGCTGTATTCATTGGTTCGGTCTTCATATCCAGATGCCTGATAAGTCTGGTCACCACACCATTCGTAGATGTTGTACCCGAAGAAGTCAATGGCACTCGATTGATCTCCACAATTGAGATAGCTTGACAGCAATGTCCGGATGTCTTCTTGATCAGTGGTGGCGTAGCCAATAGCCAGTGTATCCCGGTAGCCCTTGCTCTTAATATACGACTTCATGTCTCTAGCAGCAGCCTTCACAAAGGCCGCGGCATCCGTCTGGTTGGGTGTGCTGACAACCTCGTTACCGGCAAAAAAGCCGATGACATTGTCGTACTTTTGGAAAGCATCGATAACACTTGTGTACCGCTCGTACTGATCAACTGTCCAGACCGGGGAGTCGGCCTCGATAGACACATCAGGCGAGGCCAGATCAGTGATGACATAGATGCCAGCATCGGCCAGCTGCTGCATACAGTCATCATGGTTCTGGGTTGGGTCAACCGTGTACGTTCGGATAACGTTTGTGCGCAACTGGGTGAGGTAGGGAATATCACGCGCACAGCTGGTGGCATTGGCGAGGGGGTCCGTGTAACCCAAGTCGCTGGTCTGGCCAGTGCCATTAGAACCCCCGCCGTTGTAGTTCTCTGCAAATCCGTCAGTATTCATAGTGCGGAGAACTGTCGGCAATCCTCAAAGTACCCTGATAGGCTACGCCTCGAATGTAGCTAGTCTCTCGGTCAGTATCGGGGGCACTCCAGCGGTCCGGCGATTCTCACAATTCGGTTCCATTATTGGAGTAGAAGAACTTGGAGCCCTGAAGGGACAAGGTAATTAGCAACCGGGTCTTTTCGGCACGAACCATGGGACTTGCCTTGATTGCGATGTTTGGGGTACTAGCAATAACTCCCCCAACCAGCAAGGAAGCAGCCGCAATGGCAAACAGCTGCATTGCAAAGTGAACGAGTGTACGGGGAAGCGCGGCGGGAAGTAAGCGAGAGTGCGGAGAAAAGAAGGCGAGGGGCAGAAAGTCGGGGACTCGAGTACCCTTAAAGTGTGAGGCAGCAGCAAAAAAACAAGCACCGCGACTGCAGGACGTGGCATGTAAGCGAAGCCATGCTCATCCAGCCTGACTAGTGTCTCACTTTATCTCCTCTTCGCGATTGGAAGCAACCGGAACCGACGGCTCGAGCGTCCACGGTATAAGCGTCCATAGACCCTCTATGTGGGGCTCCGCTCGACCCTGAATGGACGGACATGTTCAATGTGGCTAGCACGCTATTCTATTTATTGCTCCAAGGAACCCAATGGGGTAAGTCGAAAGAGCTTAGCCTGGCCCTGTTCCAGCGGTTTATTACGGAAGGCACAGGCTCCCGACAACAAGATTTATTACCACGGAAGACCCCCGATGGTCAACGGCTAGAATTTCATGGAATATCTGCCCTCGATTATCATGTCGTAGGATTCATCTCCGGTGAGATAGGGAGACTGACAACGGATAGCATCATTGTTTAATTTCTCACGGTTAGAGCGGTCGTCCACCTCGGTAACGGGAGCTGTTGATAGGCTGGCAATATCAAGAAGAGCAAGCAATACTGCTACAAAATTCATTCTATCGAACGAAATTTTCAGTACTGCAATGATTAAAGCAGAATCTATTGATTCAAAATCTGTTTCATGCGGTAAGGCCCCTGTGCGGGAGCTTCTAGAATGTACCTAGAAACCTGCCTAGTGGAGGCCCTTAGGTCGGGGAATATATATTTCCACGCTTCCGAGATAAAGGTTAGGTACACACATGTGGATGAGTGCGACACCATATTTTAAAGCTGGACTTTCACGAGAAGTGGAGACATTTCAAGCGACTCCATATGTCGCGGTGGCCTGCAGTGAGGCAAATGTTCTTTAAATGGCTTGGATCCCCCGGAAAGGTTACCCAGTGGATTACACTGGAGGCGCAACGTCTAAACTGAAGCCGCGAGGAGCTTGAGAGATTACTTCCATGAAACCCTAACCCACAACATACGATATAATGCTGCAATCACAACAGCACTAGGAATCTTAGCCCAAATTTGAAAGATTCTGCACAGACGCCATGTTTAAATCAAAACAAAAGAACACACACTACTCGCGCCGGTCATTTGGGTTGAATAGGTAGACCAAAGGATATCATTGAATGCAGACTAATTCTATAAGCGAGGGTCATAGTATTTTATACACGAATTCCCCAACAGCATCTTCCTTGCTTGTTTAGATGACTCTATGCAACTCAACGGCATTCTCGGTTTTACCCTGAACGGAGTGCACTGTCACGTTTGATTCCGACCTGTAATCTCTAAGTGAGGGAGTGGGAGGATCCGGCTCCGCCCTTAGCAGCTCCAGCTGATGATCAGACTCCAGCGGCTGATCCATGCTGGCTTGGGGCACGAAAAAGGTAGTGATTAGACCTAAACCTGCCAGACATGTAAGTGCCATAAACACCCCGCGCAGACCGTGCACATAAGATTGCAGGATAATCTCTTCATGTCCAGATCCTGCGGACAGGTCCTTCAAGGGCCCAATGTGAGCCGATATCTCCTGTGCTTTCTGTGCAGGGAAGCCGTGATCTTTCAAGTAATCGGCCATGACGTTTTCCAGCGTCGTGGATCCAACTACAACTCCAACAGCATAACCCATGGTGCGGAAGAAGGTATAGAGAGTGGCAGCGTATGCGACATTTTTGGCAGGCACAACGGCTTGCGCGGCGAAGAGAATGCTGTTGAAGAGAATTCCATGGCCGAGTCCCAGAAGTATCATGGCACCTATCCAGAAGCCTTTCTTTGTCTCCGTGTCCAAACGACAGAGAAGGCCAGTGGCCAAGGCAGACACAACCCAACCTTTCCATTGCGCCCATTTGTATTTGCCGGATTTCGAAATCAATATCGCGGTTATCAGACCAGCTGGAACCATTGTCGCAGAGAGTGCCAGAATTTCGGCCCCGGTCTTTGTTGGAGACAGCTTCTGCACCACCTCAAGGTAGAAGGTAATATAATAGAGAATGCCGAACATCTAGAGTTATATGTTAGACATTTGCTGACTGTGAGTTCATGTTTGATATGGCTTACCGAAATTCCCTGGATGAGTGATGAAAGGTATACTGCGATCGATGCGCGGCTCTTGAGAACAGACAGAGGCAGAAAGGGCCAGCTCGCACCATAGCACTCCCATATTAAGGTACAGCCTATTCCTACTGCTCCAAGACACAGGGGCAGCAAAGTCCGGTAGCTGTTCCATTTGTAGAGAGTTCCACCCCATGACAGACCCATTAAAAAGCAGACCATGCTTGCCGTGAAAAGGAACGAGCCCCCCCAATCAATGTTGCGATAGCTGGCTCGAGTAACTTTCATTTTCCGGAGTGCGAAATAGAGGGCGAGAAATGCAATCAGACAAAATGGAAAGTTGACGTAAAATACCCAGCGCCAACCACCATGGTTTGCTGCATGTTGGGTAAACAGGCCTCCCATCACAGGCCCGATGATAATACCAATTGCGGAGAATAGCTGAACGTAGGCGGTATATTTAGGTCGTTCACGCAAAGGGAATATATCCGTCATAACAATCATCGGGAGAGGGATGAGGCCGCCACCCCCGATGCCTTGAATTGTCCGACCGGCGAGAATGGTTGCCATATTGTTGGCGACGGCTCCAACCACTGACCCGATCGCAAAGAGGGTAATTGAGAGTAGAAGGATAGAGCGACGGCCGTATACATCGGAAAGGGCGCACAGAAAAGGTTGGAGGGCGGCACAGGGCAGTAGGTAGGCTGTTCCCACCCAGAAGGTATCGGTTGAATTCCCGTGCAAGTCTTTTGCTATAGTCTGAATTCGTTAGCTGAAAGCGCGACACAGTTGTGGGGGCCATAGATCTCACTGGCAGGACTGGAGGGAAAACGGTTGAATCGAAGGCGCTCAGAAAGCTGACGATGGACAAGGAAACTATCACAACCAGCCTGTGTCGACCGACATGTCCGTCGGGTGGTCCGAAGTCCATGGTGAGGGTTAGTAGGTCGACAATCGAAAACGAATCCGAGTGAAGTCCAAAAGGCAGTAATTTGGCGCGACGGATGTTACCAGATTTGACGCGCGCCATTTGCCCCTAGCTGAGCTGTTTGTGATCCTCGGAGGAGTTCGTCATTTCTACATTTCTGGAAACGTTCAGGCACGTACTCGGGCCTACCAAGATCTAAGATGAACCCACCAGGTAGCCCCTAGTGCAGGGGGGCTGCCACGACGGGGGGAATACAGCAAGGGGCTGCAGGCGGGGAAGATTTTCGGAGATCGTGCCAGGTACTAGCAAGTGAGGTGTTGTGCAGCACCGTTGGTCATGCCTGGCAGAAGACTTAGAGGAATGCAGAGGGCCGAGTTGATAGGTCAGATACCATATTCGAAGCCCCCTTGCTGATATCTCCTTTCCGCGCGGACGATCGTTGCTGACATCACGCCTGTTTCAAGGTCAAGAATGCTCCCAGGGCTAGCGTTTGCCACTCTCTTTTCTATGCAAGTATCCAGGAGTTGATTTCGCTATGATCGCTGTAAATTATCAAAGCGAACCGCACAATGCTCAACCATACTTTTCCGTCTATCACAACTCTGAGACCATGGTCCGAATGATCTTCACCACTTCGGTCACGGTCTGTGCATCTCGGGGAATAATGTGGCCGCCACCATGATCGAACAGGTCTGCAGTGTCTGGATCACACACATTGTAGAGCGCCATAGTTCCGCTGATCATAGCGTCCTGGGTCCCCATAATATGGACGGTTGGAATAGAAATGAGTTGCCCATCTTCATCCTGGAGCAAGTACCGGCCAGTGGCCGAATCCATTGGAGGCATTCCCGCCATGAAGATGGCACATTTGAGACGAGGAACTCGGCCGGTTGCTTTCTCGCGTTTGCCCTCCTCTACAATGAGGGAGGCAGCGATGCCCGCTCCTTCTGAAAACCCGATGATCCCTTCAATCGCTGGATCTTGATCGATTTGGTCCAATAGAGGATCCAACACGGATTTTGCATCCTTGGTCTTCCATAGCCCGGCAGAATTGTAAAATTTTCTTATGGCATCTTCAGGGCTTCCTTCCTGACCAAGTGTTCGAATCGGGTAGGAAGCAACCTGAGGATCACCATCTATGAATGTGAAGTTGGGAGGGGGGCCAAAGAACCCTTCGAATTCGGGAGGCACTGTGACTGGGTTTTTACCCTGCGTATAGACAAAGCTGGTTGTTTCTCCATCCTTGTTGAGATCGGACAGGATGGGCTCTAGAGAAAGCGCAATCAGTAACGTAGTTTCCAAAGATTTCCTTCCAGCCTTGCAATCGGGCGCAATCGGGAGGCTTACCCAGTTGTATTTCCAATGTCTTGGATCCCCGGAAAGCGGGAGTTAGCGCATCATTATGGTTGATTCGAAAAGTAAACGCAGACTGACTTTGGCATTGCAAAGGCCTCCTGGTAAACAGAAAAACCGCATGGCTCTCAATGGCTCCAGAAACGTTTTATAAAGTAACGTTTGGCCATTCGCTCCGTCGTCGCAGTTTAAATAATCGGCGCATGAATCAGGAAGATAAGAATCTCATGGTTGTCACCTTGTCGGCCACTTCACCCTTCCTTACATCCCAAGTCCGGAGTCCGATGTGTCTGTTGGTCCTGGCCGTCCTGCAGGGGGTAGATGATTTGATTACGCTAGCCCAACAATGCTTTTCACGTACCTTACAGTAATCTTTCACCGTCCGAGAGCGTTGTGGCTTGTTGTTTCCTGCACGTCGGCTCTAGTTCAGCGCGTCCCCACATACCAGATACACGATGATGGATCTTTTACTTCGCTGGCCCTGACGTAAAATGCCAGGAACATGACCTGCGAACCCCTTCGCCCCCCCGGCGCCCGTCGTAAATCGGATACAGCTGATGTGTCCGAAAGACCGACCGTGATTTTTCCATGTCGAGAAATCATTTTCCTTTTTCCCTCGATCGCGGCAGTCTCCTATGATTTAGTAGCAACTGGAGTCGCCCTTCCAGCGGACTGCATTTTACACATCTACTACCAGCCGCTCCTTTTCAGAGAATTTCTCTCTTTGCTTTTATTTTGCACATATGAGTGACACGCCAGATTCTAACCCCAAAATGTCGACCGATAATGAGGCTAAGCCGATGCCTGTCGCCATCGTGGGTATGGCCTGCAGATTACCTGGCCAAGTAAGTAGTTTGGAATCATTCTGGGAATTATGTTCGCGTGGTCGAAGTGGATGGTCAGAAATGCCCGAGAGTCGCTTTAATGCGGCTGGTTTCTACCACCCAAATCCAGACCGTACAGGATGCTTCAACCCGAAAGGCGGTCACTTTTTGGACGAAGATGTTGCTTTTTTTGACGCCCCCTTCTTCAATATCACGGTACAAGAAGCGCGCTCCCTCGATCCACAGCAACGACTACTTCTCGAATGTTCATATGAGGCGCTGGAAAATGGCGGAATTACGAAACAATATCTTCAAGGTCGCGATGTTGGAGTTTTTGTCGGCGGTTCACCATCGGACTACGAAGTCAACAACCTTCGTGATACTGCGACCATTCCTATGCATCAGACTACGGGTTGCGCAACGTCTCTGCAGTCGAACCGTATCTCCTACTACTTTGATTTAAAAGGTCCCAGCATGACCGTGGAGACGGCATGTTCATCAAGCTTAACTGCCTTGCACCTAGCATGCCAGAGCCTCCGATCCAAAGAATGTTCGACGGCCTTGGTCGGTGGGTGCCACGTTAACCTGCTACCGGATACATTCGCTTCGATGTCTCTTTCTCGGTAAGTCGGAAATCTATATGGGGGATAATTATTCGGAACCACCTCGTTCTAACGATTGAATTCGATAAAGGCTGTTTTCAGAGAGCGGAAAGAGCTTCCCTTTTGACCAGCAATCCAAGTCGCAGACAGTGAACGGGTATGGCCGTGGCGAAGGTGTGGGTTGTCTGGTGTTGAAGCCACTACAAGATGCAGTGGATGCGGGTGATGCGATCCGAGCCGTGATTCTGAACACCGGTGTGAATCAAGATGGTCGAACTCGAGGCATCACCATGCCAAACAGCGTATCCCAAGAAGAACTTATACGCAGAGTTTATCAACAAGCACAGATTGACCCCGGCGAAACCGGATTTGTCGAAGCGCATGGAACGGGGACGACTGTTGGCGATCCGGCCGAAGCAAGGGCTTTATCGGCTGTTTTTTGTGAAGGGCGGAATCGGAAAAGCCCCCTCCTGATAGGCTCTGTGAAATCAAATATCGGACACACCGAGGGGGCGAGCGGAATTGTGGCTGTGATTAAAACCGCCTTGATGTTGGAGAGAGGATTTGTTCTACCGAATTGTGGTGTGACCGAACCCAACGACGAGATCCCAATGAAAGATTGGAATTTAAAGGTTGGCACTCTCAGAGTTCCATATCGTAATAGACTCGCTCATGTTTTATTTAGGTTCCCAAGAAGGTCGCACCCTGGCCCAGAGGGAAGGAATATGCCAGTGTCAACAACTTTGGCTATGGAGGTACCAATGCTCATGTTATCATGGGAAAGGCACCGAAGATTCAATCCCTGAAGAAGACATCTGATGCCCGACTGCAAGAGGGCTCAATCGATAAAATGAAGGAGCAATCTGCGGCACGCTATGTGTACACACTCTCAGGACCTAACAAAAGAGCAGTTGGGGCGCTGGCCAAAAACGTGGCAACTTACCTGGAAAAGCATCCAGATGCCTTTGATGCCTTTGTCATGAGCAATCTTGCATACACATTGGGTCAAAGGCGCAGCTTATTTCCGTGGAGGGCGGCTGTCTCTGCCTCCACTAGCAAAGAGCTGATCGCACTTCTGTCAGCCGACCTGGAACCATTCAATGTCTCTGAAGAACCTTCCGTCTCTTTGGTATTCACGGGCCAGGGTGCTCAGTGGTATGGGATGGGCCAGGAACTATTGGAAGTTTCGCCAGTATTTGCTGGGACATTGCAGAATGTGGACAGGATCCTCAAGGCTTTGAAGAGTGGATTTTCGATTATTGGTGAGTGAGATCACGGGGACAAGGCCAACATGGAATTTTCAATGAGAAAAGCTGGTTTGACTGACGTTGCAACAGATGAGCTACGCAAGGATTCATCCAACAGCTCCCTCTATGAGCCATACCTCAGTCAGCCGGCCTGCACAGCTCTTCAGGTTGCATTGGTTGACCTTCTTTGCTCCTGGGGTATCTCTCCTCTCTCGGTTATCGGCCACTCCAGCGGAGAAATCGCAGCTGCCTATGCCGCCGGTATCCTCACCATCGAGCAATGTGTACGTATTGCATATGCTCGCGGTGCAGCAGCACAAGCTCTGAAGAACGATCCACGGCAAATCGAAGGAATGATGATGGTGGCTGGAGCCAGCCCGACAAGACTCCAGCCATTCATAGACGAGATTGCAGGAGGCTGTGCCGTGATCGCATGTATCAACAGTGAATCAAGCGTGACTATCTCTGGCGATGCGGATTCAATCACCAGACTCGATGCCATTCTGAGTAAACAGGACATATTCACTCGAAAACTTCGCACTGGAGTTGCCTATCACTCACCCCACATGAAGCAAATTGCTGGGAGCTATAGGGGGCTCATGGGAAAAATTGTGCCACGAGAGTCGACAATTCCTTTCCACTCTACTGTTCGAGGCCAGCTTGTTGATGCCACTTCCCTGACTGAAGATTACTGGATTCAAAATCTCACTTCCCCAGTCTTGTTCTCGCAAGGCTTGCAAAGTTTGATTACAGAATGCAACACCGGTGCCAGCAAACGGACCCACATCCTCATCGAGATCGGGCCTCATCCTGCCTTGCAATCTCCCATTCAAACCATTACTCGACAAGATTCAAGAGATACGGACTTCCAGTACCTTCCAAGCATCAAGCGCCATACGAATTCCGTGGATGCTATTCAAGCCCTCGCTGGGGCCCTGTTTTCCAGGGGAGTTTCAGTCGATTTAGGTGCCGTCAATGTGTTTGCTGCCTTTGGAAAACATCCTCAGCTTTTGACAAACCTCCTGAACTATCCATGGGACCACTCCACTAGACTTTGGCACGATTCGCGCATATCCCACAATTCAAGCCATCCTCAATTCCCTCGAAATGACATTTTGGGTAGTTTCTCCGTTGAGAATATCGACCTGGAGCCGCGATGGAGAAACATCATACGCGCCGACGATCTACCCTGGGTCCGGCAGCACAAGGTCCACGGTAATTCCGTGTACCCGATGACTGGATTCTTATCCATGGCGGTTGAAGGTGTTGCGCAGTTGGCACACTTGCAAAATATCCAGCTCGATTGCGTGGAAATGCGCGACGTAAAAATGCAACGGATGCTCGTGCTGCCTGATACTTCCCCGGTGGAAGTCATGCTGTCTATGAAAATACATAATGGGACCTCCATGGCTCATGGAGCTTGGTATGAGTTCTGGACATACTCCTGGGCGGATGGCAGAGGATGGGATGAGCATTGTCGCGGTTTCGTCATCGCTAGAGGCCCCGAGCGATCGAACCCTGTGAATGAGGCCAAACTTGCCCTTGCTCGGAATCTTTCTGCTTTCAGTGAGGAATGCACCCAACACCTGAACTTGACGGAGATTTACGCCAACATTGCAGCTACTGTGCTTAGCTATGGACCCCTTTTCCGTGAATTTTCGAGTATTTCTCTGAGCGGAGATGGGAGGTCGACAGCAAATGCACGTGTGCCAGACACCAAGAGCTGCATGCCCTTTGGATACGAGACTAGGTGTTTGGTGCATCCCGTAACATTGGATATGTTCCTGCAGCAGTTCTGGTTTTTCAGTGGATTTGATAAACCTGGGCCCAACTTTTCTTATCTCGCGGACTCGGTCAAACACATGCTGATTCCACTCAATGATTCCGTTGATATCGGAACCCAGTTCAAGCTGTACACCACCCAAGACCGCAGGCCTACTAATGGAGAAAACGTGAGCTATAGTGTTTTGGGGGTTATAACGGAGACTGGTGAGCCTTGGATTACAGTCAATGGGTTCACTGCAACACGCATCAATGACGCCCCAGATACGTTCGACACTAATGTCCAAAGGTCTCTATGTTATAAAGAGCACTTCGAGCCTTGCTTTGACCTGTTGGAGGCATCTGGAGCCACACTACTTCAACATTCGAATGCCAACCGCAGATGTGCAGTTGAACAGATGCGTCTTTTGGAGCAAGTTTCACATTACTATATTAGCCGTGCGCTACTTGATTTACCGCAGAAGCTTCCGACCTTGCTACTCCACCACCAGTTGCTTTACCGCTGGATGCAGAAGGTGTGTCCGTACCCTTCTGAATCGGTCAGAATATGTGACAGCGAGACGATTGAATTGGTTCGGGCGATGAACGCTGCAGGCCAGCTATCCTGCAAGATTGGTGAAAACCTGCCCAGTATTCTCCAGGGTAATCAGGAAGCACTGTCCATCATGGTTGAAGATGATCTTCTGAACCGTTATTACGAGAGTCTGGATGGCTACCGTCAGAGTTACCGGAACGCAGTCCTCTGTGTTGAAAAGATGGCTCATCAAAATCCCCACATGGACATTCTTGAGATTGGTGCTGGTACTGGATCAGCGACATTGCCCATCCTGGAAGGTTTCGGTGGCAAGAACGGAGAGAGCACACCGCGCTTCCATCATTTCACCTACACGGATATCTCAACAGGTTTCTTTGAGAAGGCGAAGGAAAAGTTCCATGACTGGGATTCCCTCATGTCTTATCAAAGCCTCGACATCACGAAGGATCCAGTTGAGCAAGGATACGCCGCCAAATCCTACGATCTGATCATTGCCTGTAACGTTTTGCATGCCACCCCCCGTATTGGCGAGACTGTGGCAAATGCGCGCAAGCTTTTAAGGCCGGGCGGAAAACTTCTTCTGATTGAAGAGACGATCATGCATCAAAGACTTTTCTTGTTCGCCTGTCTTCCCGGGTGGTGGGCAAGTCAAGACGGAAGACATGCCAACGGTCCCCTCCTAGCTCAACAGGAGTGGGATGCTGTTCTCAAGGATAACGGCTTTTCTGGAGTCGATCTTTGCCTCGAGGATTTCCCTGGTGCATTCGAAGCATCCAATTGCATGATGGTTTCCACTGCTGCCGGTGGTCGGACCACGACACAGCATGATGTTGTCATTGTTGACCATGGGATGCTGAACACCATTCCAACTGGCGCTTTGATTGACAGTCTCAAGGATATAACTGGTCTCGCTCCCAGTGTCACGCAGTTGGATCAGGTGGATGCGAGCGGCAAAATTTGCGTGTTTATCGGCGAGATTGGTCAAAGCCTTCTCTCTGGTTTGACCACGAAACATTTCCCTGCAGTCCAGCGACTGATCACAACTGCGAAGGGGCTGTTGTGGGTTACTGGACACAAGGATTCGGCTTCACAGCAAGCTGATCTAAAGATGATTCTCGGCTTGGCTCGCACTGTGAGAAATGAAACAGGCCTTCCATTCGCCACATTGGACCTCGGCAACCTCAACAGCATTTCGGGCAAGGATATCGTGCGTCATATCAAACATGTCTTCAAGGGAGTCTTCATTCCATCTTCCCAGTCAGTTCTTATGAATGGAGACCGGGAATTCACTCTTCGAAATGGAGAAGTCTGTGTCTCCCGCTTGGTGAAAGATCCTGTCATGAACTTGAGCATGCTCCAAGAAGCAGGAAAAGCGCCTCCGCAGCTCCAGAAATTCCAGCAAGATGGGAGACCGCTCACGCTAAAACTGACCGATGTTGGTGCTTTGGACGGATTCTTGTTCACCGATGATCCCACTAAGAGTGCACCTCTGCGAAAGGGGTTCATCGAGCTCCAGGTTTGCTACACGGGTCTCAATTTCAGGGACATCATGACCGTCATGGGAGAGGTCCCTGGATCCGAGATTGGTGCCGAATGCAGTGGTATTGTGACCGCCGTTGGTACCGGAGTTCACGACTTTAGGGTTGGAGATCGTGTGTGCGCTATGTTCAGTGGATGCTTTTCGAATTACATTCACTGTCCTGCGACCAATGCTTGGAAGATTCCCTTGGGGGTGTCTCTGAATGTTGCCGCCACTATTCCTGTGACTTTTTGTACAGCCTACTACTCCATGGTGGACGTGGCCCGAGTCGAGCCTGGGGAGAATGTGTTAATCCACTCAGCAGCTGGAGGCCTTGGACAAGCAGCCATTCTTCTTGCGCAGTCCATCGGTGCCAAAGTGTTTGCCACCGTAAGTACTCAGGAGAAGAAAGAATTTCTCATGAAAACATACGGCTTGAGCGGGGACCAGATATTCTACAGCAGAGATACTGGATTTGGGCAAGCTATCCGGCATGCAACACAAGGGCGTGGTGTTGACGTCGTCCTGAATTCTCTAAGTGGAGATTTCCTCCGAGTTTCCTTTGAAACTTTAGCTCCATTTGGTCGTTTCGTTGAACTTGGAAAGAGAGACTTCTTGCAAAACTCACGACTAGAAATGTCCCATTTCTTGAACAACGTCTCGGTTTCTTCGGTGGATCTGGTTCTTGTTATGCAACGCAAGCCAAAACTTTTGAAAAGACTTCTTGGAGACGTCTTCCAGCAATTTTCTGAGGATGTCTTCTGCCGACCACCCTGGCCTATTACCTCTTACTCTATTTCAGAGACGGAAGATGCTTTCCGTGAGATGCGAACAGGCCGTCAAATTGGCAAGATTGTTATCGAAATGAAGGCAGATTCATTGGTGAAGGTATGTTTCTTCCGGTTTTGTCGGTCAGAGAAGTATCATGGCTATCCCACAATTCGTCAAGTTCATCATGGCTTCGACTAGTCCGTCGACCTGATCTTCTAACGAATTCTTTTTAAATAGGTTCATCCGCCAACTCGATCTGATTCTCTTGTTCGCCAAAACGCAACATACATCATTGTCGGTGGCAATCGAGGCATCGGCCTGAACATCACTTCCTGGCTAGCGGAGAAGGGGGCGCGGCATTTGCTGATCGTATCCCGCTCTGGTCTGGTGGGTGAGGAGGCACAGAATGCAATTATCAGACTCATCAATCAAGGAGTGACAGTCAAGGTGTGCCAATGTAACGTTGGGGCCAAAGAGGAAATGGAGACTCGGCTGAAGAGTATCTTGTCGGAACTTCCGCCAGTTCGGGGTGTTATCTACGGTGCCATGATTCTGCGGGTGAGTACTACGTTTGCCTATCATCTCTTGCCTGCTGCCTATTCCAGATCTAACCTTTTGGCTAGGATGTTCCCTTCGAGAAAATGGAGTATGCCGATTACAGTTCAGTGGTCCAGACACGGGTTCAAGGACTTTGGAATGTTCATCATACGCTGGCGTCCCTTGGTCAGAATCTTGATTTCCTAATCAATCTCTCCTCGGTGGCCGGTGTCATTGGAAATCTCACGCAAGCCGCGTACGCTGCCAGTGGAACATTTATGGACGGCTTTGCTGAGTCCATGAACACCGTTGGTCTACCATGTACCACCATCGACCTTGCGCCTGTTCGTGACGTGGGATATCTCGCCAATGATCAAAAGACCCAGGATATCGTTCAAGGCACTTTTGGTGGAAGCTGGCTTGACGCAGAAGATATCCACGGCCTTCTTGCAAGTGCCATCAAGGGTGTCATGAAGGAATCCTGCAACAACCACTGCATCACGGGCCTCGATTCTGTCCAAGCATCAAGCGTAACTGCTGGTCAGGCTTGGTCGCAAGATCAGAGGTTCGCACAGTTGGTCCGCGCGGCGGCTGTTTCCGCATGTTCCAAATCTGCAGATCGGTTGAGCGATCTCGCGTCGGAAAGTCCTGCGAAAGCATTACAGCAAGCCCAAGACCTCACACAAGGTCAGGATATCATCGCACAGGCCCTACTGAAGAAGCTTTGTGGTCTCTTAATGCTCTCATTGGAGGATGTCGATGTATCTAAGCCGATCTCTGCCTTTGGGCTGGACTCCCTTGTGGCCATCGAGGTCCGACATTGGATATCGCGCGAATTCGAGGCCAGCCTCCAGCTCTTGGAGATTTTGGCCAGCGATTCGGTTAGTGGGTTGGCCGGTACGATTTTGCATAAATCCGGCGCCCTCCCGGACGGTCTCAAATCCTCAGATGCGAACGGGAAATCCTGAGTCTTTCCCAACAAGATGAGTTTATGATTTTCACCGCGACTTGGTTTACATCCGGCATACTTTGGAGTTTTTTCATATACTTTTTCATCGAAAACAAAGCAGTTCTTCCATTCACCTACCTTCGCAAGGGTAACAGTAACAAAAGGAAGTAATAGCCGAAGCTGGTCTCAAGAACCAATCCCAAGTCTATAGACCACCACACCACACGTTTAGACTCAGCAACATGCGCAAACAACCCCATATCTTTCCCATGGCTGCTACCTCAGACTAAATCAGCCTCTTCATTCCTCCGTAGCCCCTTCCGTCCGTAATATCTCCGCCGCCCATTCATTTTCACAGTTCTCAGCAATCGTCAGGGGTGTCTGCCCGTCAGAATTGGTCTGATTGATCAGCTCGGGTGCCCTCTTCACAAACAAGGCCAGTGTCCGTCGGAACTCCTCCTGGGCAAACTTCTCTTTGTTCCACCGGCCGGCTAGTTTGTGTAGAACATTATTTCCTTGGTGGTCCACTGCCGTCAGATTGGCGCCCCGCTCATACAGAGTCATTGCACGTGTGGGGTCACCCTCCTGCCATGGACTGCGTTCAATACGCCCACCCCGGAATGGAAACAGAGGCATTTTGCAACCGTATGAATTGGTCCCAAATTCGCATTTTGCGGCAGACAGTAGCAATGTCTGACCACGAGGGTCACGCCGTTCGAGGTTGAGGTCAGGCAGTTCCAGCCAAGGTTGGATGACCCCACCGTCGGCAAAGATTTCGTGTAGAATGAGGCTTGTGTCGTCGTTGTTGAGGAAAGGGTCCGCTCCGTGCTCCAGCAGAAGACGGACCATTCGGATTGAGTGTTCTCGACTGTTGCACTCGTTGAAGGGCAGCATGGAAATGTATCGAAGGGGGCGCAAAATGAGTCCATTGTTCTGAGGGACCTTTTTGACTCTGTGGGTGTGCCAATGCGGCTGGGCATCAGACAGAGTTATCGTGTTCGCGTCCAGATCCATACCCAAAAGAGCAGTGACCGTGTCGGCTTGAAAGTTGTATAGAGCTGAATATAGCTCCATGGGGTGATCCTCAGAGGGATAGGCACCATGATCAACCAAGAGCTTGAACAGCTGAGGGTCGTGGGTCGACATAGCAAGTGCAGTAAACCCACAAGTTGCAGCGATGTTAGGGTCGGCTCCGCCATCAAGCAGAATTCGAGCGATTTCACGCTGTCGATGGCCTGCTAATTCGCCCTTAAGCACTGCCCGGCACAGAGGAGTCTTGCCCTGGGCGTCGCGGGCGTTGGGGTCGGCACCATGCTCTAAAAGATAGACAATAGCTTTTTCATGCCACCAGTGCTCCCCTTGGGCCAAATAATGAAGAGCCGTATCGCCTGGCTTGAACTGCCTTTGGTGGGCCATTTTGGATTGGTAATAGACCCGGGGTGTGGATCTCATGCCTTCTTGGTATTGCACGTTGACATCTCCGTGGAATTGTTCGATGATGACCTTTATAACTTCCAGGTTAGGCAGCTCGCGCTGAGCCGCAGCCAGGAGGGATGGTGACATTTCGCTTCCTAACATCTGCCGGCCACTCTTGTTGATCCATTCGGAGTCCGACATAAGACGCCCAATTCGCTCAAAGGGTTCTGGGTATCCCCATCTCGCGAGCAAGATCAGAATCGGGTGCAGACAGGATTTGTCTTCGATACCGTCCGCATTCTCCTCCAAAGCATGTGCCAGCTCGTGGTCATGACCCAGGATTATCATTTCGAGAGCATCCTTGTCAAAGATATGAGACTTGAACCTCTCCTTGAAAAGGGCTGGGAGATGCTGCGAGCGTATCAAGCAGCGCTGAGCACCGAGAGATGGGGTCCTCGCAAGTTCAATCCCCATGGCCTTTGAGGCCCTGTCAAGCTCCACTACCATTTCCTCATGGTCTGCCGATACCGCATGGAACATTGGTTTAAGTCCGTTCGTATCCATCGGTACAAGGGCACCAAACCGTGCCAGCAATCGCACGATTCGGCCAACCCCAAGAGTAGCGCTTTCAGAGATAATCTCTCCTTTCCATCCTACTCGCTTATGGTTTTCACGTTTTTGGTTCTTGTTTGTGGGCATTTTCGGTCGCTCATGGTCCTCCGCTAGAATTCCAGCCGCAGAGAGTGTGTGGAACATGTTGCCTTGGTCGTCGGCCTTCTGCCAAAGTTGATCTTCAGCAAGTGACTCAGCGCAAGCATCTAAGGGAGTTTTTTTCGCTTTGTTTTTTATCTTGACAGTTGCCCCATGTGCAAGAAGGAGGGTGACTGTCTCCAATCTTCCCGAGCGACAGGCCAGATGCAAGGGTGTCTGGCCATCTGATGACTGAGCGTTGACCAACGACGTCAAGTTATTCGAGGCATAATGGTCCAATAGCAGCCCAATGATATTACTCTGGCGAGCGGTCGCTGCGATGTGCAGCAGATTCCGGCCATCCTTTGTGGTAGCAGTAGTATCAGCTCCGTAAGCAATCAGCTTTCCAACCAATATCTCGGAGACCGAAGCTGCCAGGTGGATAGGACGAATGCCCTGGTAGTCGGAAATGTTCAGCGCATGATGGAGTCCTGCATCCAATAACAAGTCAATCGCATATTTATCTCCCTCGGCTGCTGCCGCGAAGAAATGATCAGAGACGTGGCTGCAGAGTACATGCAGCGGCGTTTGACCCTTATAGTTCTGATGTGTTGGGGAGACTCCCATCTTGAGGAGCTTTATCATGGTCAAAATGGCTGTATCCGAGTCCTGTGCAGGAAATTGGGCAGCCATCTGATGCAAAAAGGTGTCCCCTTGATAGTTTTTCATTTGTGGATCTGCTCCATGTGCAAGTAAAAGGTCCACATGCTCGGACCGAAAGGTATAGGGGTTGATCAAATTCGATAATATCCCATTACCGCTGTAGTCCTGTGCGTTGATATTGGCTCCGCAGCTAACGAGCACGGGAATCGATTCATGGGGGTTGAACATGGGATGACCGCACATCGACCGGGTGAGAAGTGTACGTCCATGACGGTCTCTTGCCTCGAGATCCCCGCCCGCTGCACACAAAATTTCCAATGCATCCCTTAGATCCTCACCTGGACGATCGATCATATGGATAGGCTGTCGTCCCTCATAGTTCCTGTGATTCACGTCCAGCCCAAGCTTCAAGAGTTCGGTAATAGTAGCACTCCCGCAGAGATGCACGTTGGCGGCAATGTGAAGAAGTGTGTTGCCCTTGGCATCGACGAGCTTCCAATCCGACACATAAGGCTTAAATAACGATAGATCGCCAAGTTGACTGTGGGATGCAAACGAGTGTAGAGCAGTGCCAGTCTCGCTGTCACCCCCAATGTCCAAACGGGCTCCATGTTTCATGAGGGCTTTGAACCATTCTGGATATTGCAGAGGCTTGTGGAGAAAGGACATGGCATTGTTACCGCGACCGTTCACAATATTCGGATCTGCACCGCGCTGGAGGAGAAACTGAACCACGGCCACCTCTTGGTGAAGACAGGACAGAAGCACTGTCTCGCCACGAAAGTCCTGGGCATTGATGTCACACCCAGCATCCAATAGCATTCCCATTATCTCCTCGAGGCTAGATACGTCCGTCTTCCCTTGGTAGCGGCGCAGGTTATCCACCACTCCATGGAGGGGAGTGGACATTGGGGCCTTGTCTCCGGCTGCCGGGCTCCTGGAGATGTTCAAGGAATTGACAGTAACATCGGCTCCATGCTGGAGTAAGAGGTTGACAATCGCGGGCTCCAATTTTCTTGCAGCTAAGAACAGTGGCGTGTCGCCAGACACTGTCGCATTGAGATCGCATCGACCAGACTCGAGCAGAGCCTGGACAACGGCTGTTTTGCCTTGCTGGCAGGATCGACACAGAGCCGCAGTGAGATCAGCAGCGTCTGCTGTAGACGCTAAACCACGCACGGTATCCACTGCCTCGGCTTCAACCGCGGCTTGAAGTGGTGGATGCGGCTCTGCCGGCTGCTCATCATGGCCTTCATTGTCGCCATCGAGGCCGGAAAGGTTAAACATGGCTCTGCGGTGAGACGATATGAGAGATTGTAATCAATGCGACGCCTCCAATCGTAAAAATCACGGGCAATGGGGGGGGGGGGGGGGGGGCAAAGTTGGGAAATGAGCGTGTCTTAAATGATTGGGACCCTGATATTTAGCGTAGCTAGTGCAGCCTGGGCGCCCGCGTCGAAACCACAAACTACCTTGCCAAGCCGCGCCACTGGCCTCTAATCCAGGCTGCTCTTCGATTAGGGCGATTCTGCCTAATTAGAGCGGGGAAGAAATAGTCACTAGTAAGAGAGGTGACTTCCGGTCGGGAGAGCAGGAACTCCTGGCAGTGCCAGGTACGATGTTAGTATAAAGAAGTTGTGCTGAATTCGGACCAAATCAGTTAGGGTCCGTCGGTTAACAGATAGCCCCAGTTTGGACACTGAATCAGGCGAATTTGTCTCAGCCCAGCGTCCGGCCATCCATAAAACATGCTCTAGATTGGTCACGAGGGGCACAGCATAGTCACAGAAATAATGTCCGGTTGTATTCGAACATATATTGCAATTATACAGATACGAAGGGGATATCAAGCCAGCCATCATATCCCGCGAACCGATACGATTTCGCAAATATCCGCAAGGTCTAGCATGTGTGATTATTGCGCCATGCTATGCTGGAAGGCTACCTAGATACTGGACTCAGCAAGCGCGAGGCGGAATTTTTGAGGAACGGGCTTCTCCCCGAGGCTGGATCTTCTATTAACACTATCCCATGCCCAGCAATAGCCCCTACATGGCCAAAATATTTCATCCTATTTCTCATCTTCAGATTGTCTTTTGTGCAGCATAATTATTAGTAGACTAACCATTCCCTCCATGTTGTAATTGCCAGTGATCTTGCTTATACGTAACTCGTATATTACAGCAGCCTCTTCAATACCAAGAAGCGGTAAGATGGCCGAGTTGGTCCAAGGCGTCAGGTTAAGGTCCACCTTAGCATAAAATCCTGATCTCGTTTACGGGGCGTGAGTTCGAATCTCACTCTTATCATTCATATTCTTTTTTGCTTTTATCCCAAATTCCTCTCCCCACACCCGGATGATGGAAACTGTTATGTTTTGCTTTTTAATTATATTCCGACGTGGAAGTTGCCGGCTTATTGATGATGGTCAATGGCCATATACCTCTGCGAGAATAACGGTCGGGTGAAGTGTATATAGCCTGGTAGTGCTAGGTTGAACGAAACAATTGATCTATTAGGTTTGTACGCTGAACTGTACATATTTCGATCGCGATCACTGAGATAGAGCAGAGCGAATATGAACAAGGCACAGGCTAATGGAGTACGTACGATACTTTAATCATACGATACAGCAAGAACTATTAGGAGGATGGTAACACAGTAAGCCTCTGACTTCGAGATAATAAGAAACAGATTCGCAAAGAGATCAACGATACCTAGATGACTGAGATATAAGACAGAAACTATCAGGTATTTCCTATAATCGATTCTTTTAAAATGTAAGTAATAGAGGTTTTCGCCCCTCCTCCCTTGAGTGTATCGCGCCCGAGTCTACGGCTCGAAAGCCAGCCATTGCACTTGGGCCCTCCCATCCATGTCTTCCACAACCACATAATAACCCATGATGAATCTAGGTGGATGAATTAAACATTACGAGTGAATTGTTACCTGGCGATAAAAAATACTATTCTATCCTATACGTAATCTAGACATTTACTACTGAATCTCGGTGAAAACCCCAAAGAAACCGAAATATATCTCTAGCACCGCCCGCCTAAATAGCCCAAAAGAACAAATGTCAAAAAATGAAAATTGTAAATACATATAGAGATATTTTCACACACACCTACTGTAGGTACAAGTTTCCATACATCCAGTAAATCCAGGGCCGTCAGTACAAGGTACACCGCGTATACATACCAGGTACAGGATCCCGAGTACATCGAGGTATGGCCGTCGAAGTACAGGAAAACCTAAGCACAAGTACCCACCGCGCCGCTCGCCCGAGCGCCTGATTAGATACCCAGGCACCGGCGATCCATGGATAGGAAATTGCCGTAAGGCAGGGGGTATCTGGATATGAAAAGAGCGAAATAAAACATGAAATATCTGTGCAGGGAGCTTTTCAAACAGGTGCAGTGGGTTTTCTGACAGGTAAGCAATGTAAATCGGGCGGTATTGGCGCGCCATGATCGGTTCTGCACTCTGCAAGTGGGTGGGTACTGCGCTGTTTGGCTGAGTCCGGGGTAAGGCGCGGATTACGCTGGCTCAGTTGTATACGAAACGAAGTAGCGTACTAAAACATCGTTTCTGAAGTCAACATGATGAATTACTTACTATACTTGATTACAGACGAGATGTCAATCATAGAGGAACAAGTAATCGCATAAGCTTAATACAGCCCCGCAAGGACAGCCACGCACTAAGAACGGCGACAAAAACAACACCCCGACACGCAAAGAAGCTCGAAGACAACCATACTACCTAATACCCGATAATCGGGATCCTTGCCCCGAACATAACAAGATAGATTCACATAGGAGGTACATCAGAAAGAAATGGACGGAGAAGAGAATCACGGAACTAGTAGGGGGGCATAAACATCTGGAACCGGATACAGGCTACTTCGCGCACTTGAGGCCAAGGCTCCTTCTAGCAGCCTGAAATACGCATTCCATCCGCACCAAGAGCAGTAATCATAGTAAGGTGCGCCACGGAAAAAGAGACATTGACGGAAAAGAAACACCATTTTCCCATCGAGTAACACAAAGAGACATCGCTTAAGAACGGCAAAATAGCGGACATCAACACCACGTTGAGTTAGTTGACACGGAATGCATCGAAGATGACTGCACAGTAGTCAGTGATATTGCTTCGTTTTTCTGAGTTCAATAGACGAGACGTACCTTCTTGCCCGCGACGGCATCCACTGCCAATCCACATGAGGGTATTCAAGAATGTATACCGCTCATCACCAGTTTCCATGGATAGGTTGATGCGGTATTTGTAGCTGCTGGGGTTGATACCATCGGCCATAGCAGGATCATTGACTTTCTCGAGAACATCCTTGGCCCCGGTAAGCCACCCCTCTGCACGGACAATGACATATGCGGGGGGCTCATCAGCAGTCTGCAGCATGTAGCTCGCGCGCAAGTTGGTAGTCGAGTCCTTGGTCACGATCTGGGTGTCCTGGCCACCGGGCTAATTTCAATGCGTCAGAATTGAGAATGTCAGAAGAAAATAGCAAATAATGTGACTTACCAGAACAATTCCCTTACCCCAGCGACCGGCCCACTGACCACCAAGGAACGAAACCCATTCCCGACCGCCCCAGATGCTCTGACCAACAGTAACCTTGGGGTTCATCTTAATGCTCATGCGGAAGTCCAGCTCTAGCGTTGGGGCAGGAATTTGCAATGATCGCGCAACATCGCCCTCGGGGAAAGTGTGCAGCAGATTGTTCGCGGGGATCGAGTCCTTCATGACACTGAGATATGTGGGGCACTCGAGTAGGTGCTGGCGCTGGCGACTGGTGTTTTTAGCGCGGACTTGTTGGCAGTAGATGCACTGCACGGACAGACACTGTATTTTATAGTCAGCTTGTACGTCCTCACTTGGTGAGTCCGGGCATCGCGTCTTACCTTGTCCTCCTCCTTGGCGCGGAACTCGACAAAAGCCGCGTGCACATCGTCCAGCGGTGGCGCGGGGAGATTCGAGGTGCTGCTCTTAGCTTTGGGCTTGGGGGTCGGACGCGACGGCGCGGCCGATGGCGGCGCGGAGCCCGGAGGGCCAGTTGGCGGGCCCGGGGTCGCCATGGGTGGACGGTTCTGCAGGGTTTGCAACGGGGTCTGCAATGGGGTGGCATGGGGATTGACGCCGTTGGCCATCAGGGCGCCATTGGGGGTCGCCATGGCCGTGGGACCACCAGGGCCCGGCGCTGTCGCCGACGGCCCATTAGGGGTGCCGGGGTATCCGTTGGTAGGGCCGATGCCATTCGGGGCCTGGGTGGGCTGAGTAGGCTGGGGCGCGTTGGGGTGACCACGTAGGCCAGGGCACTCGAGAAGATGTTGCTTCTGTCGCGAGGTATTCTTTGCACGGATCTGCTGGCAGTAGATACACTGGACGGAGAGACACTAGAATGCAGAACGACCGAAACGGGTCTCGTATGTTAGTGACGCCGTGGGTGTTGTGGTGGGTTTGAAATATTACGAAATACACAGTCACGCACCTTATCATCTTCCTTGGCGCGGAACTCGACGAACGCCGCGTGCACCTCCTGGTCGACGGTACGACCCATGGTGGGCAGAAGTGAGGGAATATCGAGGACCTCGAGGATCGAAATAGTCGAGGTACCCGGCACGTGAAACGCGATGATGGAGGGGGGGGAGGTGGTTGTTGATGGAGTTGGGGAGTTGATGGTCGGGTGGGGGGAGTGTTCGCGCGGTGTTTTAGGGGAGAAAAGAGGAGGGAGGAAGAAATGGAAAGACCAAGACGAGAATACGAGTGGCGCGGGACTGGACGGGTACGAGTAACGCGCCCTGCGTAATTTGGAGACCGGTGGGTAATTAGGGTAATTTCAGGTGTACGGAACACAATTATTCACCATTCACCACGTCTCCGTACTCGGTATACAACAGCATATAGCAGCGCTATTCTCCTACTATGAATATAGCTCTGATTCTATAATTCTATTATCTTCTTTCCTCTCCCAATTATTGCGTTTCCTTGATCTTCTTTGGGCGCCTGAAACCTGCTGCGTGGCGTCCGACTCTGCTCGCTCCGACAACTCCCCCATTGACGCGAAAAGCTGACCAATGGACGATTACGCGCAACACGCTGCTCCCAAAGACAGTGGTCAGCTGTAGAATGGGCGCGAAAATAAAAGATCGAAGCTCCTCGACATGTCTGTGAAGCTCGTAGCGGCCCAAAACCACCGATCAATGTCTGCCTAGCAAATCCTACGCCAAGCAAGTCATTTCCGACCGGGGGCGCTCGGTTAGAACACTTCTGGGCGCACACAGGCTATCCAGACGCAAGCGACAGGCGCGTGAACTGATGCGGGTGAGCCCTCAATGGAAAAGCGGAAATACGGAGCCATGAACGGCACTAAATAACTACCTGTAGTATGGTTCTGGACGATATCCAAGTCCTCAGTCTATTGCAGGACTGGTATTGTTACCTATTACCTCCATACTGAGGGCAGGTATTGTTCCAGAGGTTTGCTCTGTTCCTGTATCCCGTACGCGATACTGTTAAACGTCCCCGTTCCTGGTAAGATTCGTAGTAACCCGACGCCGGTAATTGGTAACCATCACATAGATCGTGTTTGCTTTGCAACTGCCATTGTGCTCGAGTCATGCTAGAGAGAAACTTGATTACCACTTGATCACATCTCTTCCTTCCCTAACCGCCCCCTGCTCTACTGTCGTGGTGCTAAAAATATCCGCCAGCCCATCAACATCACCCCCATGCCCATAGCCATTTCCGTAACGATGATGGAGACCGGCCTAGCGGCCGATTCGACGAGATCTTGATAAGATCTTGCAGCCACCAGGCAGCCGGAACCATGCAAATGCAGCATAAAAATAAAGCCAATAACAATGAGAAGCGTGGCAAAAGACGCAAGATCGCCATACATGAAATCATACCCCTGAAAAGAGTAAATCCTCGACCGCCACGCCGGGCGTGCTGCTCCTAAACTATTCTCACATTCCGGCTCCAACCATCTGGAGGGATACCTCACCACGCTGGTAGCGAATGCTCCAGCTATCAGACCCCAGATCAGTGCACGGTGCCTGCGACACGGCGAGGATGCCCTTCGTCGCGAGTGTGAGCACATTCATGAACCCGTGCGCGGCGATGTTGCGCGTCGTCTCGACTGGCGGGAGTAGCTCCGAGAACGTGATGCGGCCGGAGGTGATCGAGGTTGCCTTGGCGTCGTCAAGTTTCGTCTTGATGAACTCGAAGAAGTTCAGGCTCTCCTGGTCGAGCATGGCCGTGATGCTCTCGAGTATGGATTTGCGCCGCGCTGTGATCGTGCTGATGTCTTCATTGTCGGGGGCGAGCTCGCCTTCTAGGTATTGCATGATGTCTAGCTGCTCGAGGTCGTCAAGATCATCGCCTGGGTTGGGGATGGACAGGCTACTGAGACGCTCGCGGCCGTCGAGATAGCTGCGTCCTGCGAGCGGGCTTGCGCTGGTCAGATGGCCGCGTGGTCGAGCGGATGATCCCGAGATGCTTCCGAAGCGTTGGCCGCGGAGAGAGCCCTGGAGCGAGGCTGTGATGTTCCATGGCATCTGCGAGGACCGGTCGTCGTATACGCTTGGAAGGGCATCTCGACCGATCTCCACGTCCGCCATATTTGCTTGCCCAGACTCGGCGCGTACTCGACGACCCTGTTCATCAATATTACTATCATCACCATCCGTGCTATTCCCTCCAGATACTGCATCATATAGCTCGCTGCCCGAGTATTCCTTAAGTGGGAGGGCTGCACGCTGGGTGCCTAGCCCCATGCCCACGGCCCCGATTCCCAGGCCAAAGACCCAGAAGGCCGCGTTCTTCTTTGCTAGGGTCGGCAATTTGTTCAGCTTCTTCTGCTTCAGGGCCTGGGCCATGTTGACGGCGTACTCATCATTCCACCTTGCCAGGTCCGTGTTGCGGAGAGTCGTACTGCTGTCCGATATTATGGGTTTGACTTGTCGGATCCGCTGATGGGCGCGTACTTCCGCGTTACGATCGATCTCTCCCTCTACCATTAAACGGTCTTCCACAGACAACGGGTTGTCCTGCTGGATATCCTGCTGTCGGGGTGGAGCATCGGTTTCCCCTCCGTCGTCCCCCGTCGGGGGCATTGTATCCTCTGTTATCTCCATAAGCTGCGAGCATGTTAATAATAAGCAAGCATTCTTAAAGATCTTCAGCCAGGGCTCACTCCATCTTCTTGAACCTCTCCAGCGGTAGGCCCCTCGCTTGCTCTCGGATGCATACTAATCTTTCTTCTCTTGCGAGGTGACAACTTGGTCGAGTCAAACTCTATGATATTGCCATCCTCGTCGAATTCAAAGTCGGGCTGAAGCAGAATACCTTCGTCATGGAGATCCGCCCGAGTGTCTTTACCGAACAACCATCTTTTCTTGCCTGAGGCGTTGTTGGGGACGTCCTGGCCCTGTACATCCCCTTCCCTGATAAAATCCTCCGACATCAACTCAAGCTGCAAATTCTCCAGGTGGGAATGGGTAGACTGGCTGGTAGCCGGCGATCTGGTCCAGCTGCTAGATCGTTGTGTTGAGCTGTCGTCGGCGATCCCATCGAACAACGAAAAGTCGAGGTCTATACCAGGCAGGCCTGTCTCGGGTAGGAATGTCGGGTCGTATGGCAGGATGAGATTGGTAGGTCGTGAATGAAGTCAGCAACTTGAAAGAAATACCTTGCCTGGGCTGCAAAGGATCGTCGATCTGGTCAACTCACTTCGTCTTCCCTGCGCTGGGATCCAAACCTCCACCCGGCAATAGCTTCAGCATGGAGATCATCTTATCACGCATCATCTGTGCGTCAAGCAAAGTATATCCACACTGCTGATCATAGACTCTTGAGACTCCATACCTATCGAACATGCTGTAAGCAGGGGAATATCTGCTGGTATGAGGGTTAACTTACAGCAAGCTTCCCTGCAGCCGCAGCGCCATCGGCGCTTCAGGATTAACGATAACGCTGCAAGCACCGGGGACGTCCACGTCCAGGATGGCCTTGCGGTTGAGTCTTCGGGTTACGGATCGCGAGCCGAGAGTTGCAACGAGCCTGCAGATAGATGTTGATTGAGATAGACTCAGGAAGGGCTGAGGCGGCTTACCATATTGTCGCCACGCCGTGCTCCGGCGACGTGAGAACTGGTTCGAGTGTTAATTCAAAAAGTCTCATCTGTATTGATGAGGTGCTGACTCACTTTCATGGCTGTAGAACATCTTGAGAGTGCGTAAACTCGGCGTTCGATGTCTATCCTGTTGGCCACACAACCCCGAAACGATTGGTGGAGGGGCAGCGCTATGGAAATTGCACGTTCCTGAAGCTCTGCTACTAATTTCAGATGGGCACCTAAGGTTGTGGGAAAGGGGGATGGGGGCAGTGAATGGAGGGGCAGGATGGGGGAAGAGGGTTGTTGGTTAGAGGTGATGAGCTGGGAATGGAGGACAGTGACGGCGACAGATGGATGCCAACGACATACGGTGATGTCAAGTGGTGTTCCTGTGTGGTGTGCTTATTTACATGATTGGAAGTCGACCATCATGACTACCTCCCGGGTCATGGATTTGGTGTTAGATATTACTTAACCTCATGCTTCTGTATTACTTCCCTCCGATACTGGACTCTTTGTGGGACAGAGATGGCATGTAGGTGCTGGATGACAACAGGATATTGGGACCGCAGTATGAATATAGAGATTCGGAAAACGCTGGAAAAAGAGCGCTCTTCATCCTCGTAAGTTGATTCCACATGTGGAGCAGTAGACCGCTGGCTGTTGACCTGCCCCTACTTATAGAGTATCCCGACTCATGAAGATATAGCTCAAGAATAAAATATACTTTTATGCCATGAAACTGTCCAACGCATCTAAAGTACGCGCATACCATGAGTATATACCCAGAGTCAAAGGGGAAGAAAGAAAAGTCCGCAATCAAATGGAATCTAAAAGCAAAAAAGGACAGCAGGACAGCAGGGCATACACCAACATACACGAAACTCTTTGATCGGGAAATAAAAATAAACAACAGTGACCAGAAACGACACCCGATACAGGACTGAACAAATAGTTTAGGTAGATCCAACAAGGCAAATGACAACATCCGTTACACGACCCACAGGCGGCAACAACGCAACAAACATTCTCAAACCCGTGCAGAACAGCATACCATAGCGACTCTCTAAGATGCACGAGGGTATGAGACAAAGACATTCGGGAAAGACGCGCATAGAATGACCCTATAGCTTTCTTTTGAGATGGGGGGCTGGCGTCGATTCCAACGTCGACGACGGAACTGATATCAGAGGACAAAGACATTTACTCCAGGGGGATGCCTTGGTACTCGGAGTAGCCCAGTGCCAGGTTCATGTTTTCTGTGGGAGAGAGTTAGTGGGATTATTTTTGATGGAAGGGGGGTGGCGGAATGCTTACGCAGGCACTGAGTAGCAGCACCCTTCAGCAGGTTGTCGATGGTGGCGCAGACCACAACCCGCTTGCCGCTGGAGTGCACGGCGAAACCGCCGATCTCGACACCGTGGCGGCCAGCAATGTCCTTGACCAAGGGGGCCTCGCCTACAATCTTGACAAGCTTCTCGCCGGCGTAGCGGTCCTGGTAGAGGTTGCGGATATCGCGGGACGTCATCTCCTTGTTCAGGGGAATGCTGATGGAGTGCTGTCGACAAAGTCAGCGTTCAAATCACGCCTTTGCGGGTCGGGTGAAACCTACGTGGATACCCTGGAACCAGACAGCAACGTGGGGGATGAAGGCGATGCTGGTGCCCAGCTGGGCACTGATCTCACGCTCGTGGATGTGATCCGTCAGGCTGTAAGGGATGAGGTTGTTGGTGAGGAACTGAACGTCGTTCTTAGGGCTAGGCTTGGTGCCGGCGCCAGAGTAGCCAGAGACACCAAAGGTAGTTGGCTGGCCACCGAGGAAGGGCACAAGAGGCGCTATTCCAAGTTGGGCAGCGGTGGCGTAGCAGCCAGGGTTGGCGATTCGGGTGGCACGGGCGATCTTGGACCGGTCAACCAGCTCGGGCAGTCCATAGGTCCAGTTGGGGTCGAAGCGGTAGTCAGCGCTCAGGTCAACGATGACGTTGCCCTTCTCCGAGCCCTGGTCGACGGCATCGACAAAGGGCTTGCAGACACCGTTGGGAAGAGCCATGACCCAGCAGTCGATGTCACCGTTGGCGGACATCTTGCGGACGTCCTCGGGGCTGAGGTTCTCGTAGATGATCTCGCGCTTGTTGTATCCCTGGAGCTTCTTGCCGGCCAGCTCACGGGACGAGACGTGGCGGAGATCCATATTGGGGTGAGCATTGAGCAGGTTGATCAGAGCCTGACCGGTGTAGCCACGGGCACCGATGAGGGCGACCTTAGCGGGGCGGGAGTTGGAGGCGTTCTTCTCGCCGAGGGGAGGGTTGGGGTTGGTGGTGGCATAGGTGCGGACAGCGCTGACGGCAACGGCAGGGCGCTTCATGCGAGAAGCACGCAGAGCGTTGGAGGTGGAAGAGAAGGCACGCTTCTGTTCGGCCGAGGCACCACTGGCACCGAAGCCCTTGCCAATATTGGCGGCAGCCTGGTGAGCGCGGTGGAGACGGTGCTCCAAATTGATGTCACCGAACATCTTGCGGCCGTGTTTGGTAAACTCTTGAACGAGCTGCTTGACCTCGTCGCCGTTCTCAGCACCATACCAGAATAGAACCTCGCCGTCCCGGCTGAGGCTGCCGTCGGCCTTGTCGAAGAACCAGGTCAGGTTCTCATCATCCTCCTTGACGGTCCAGGCCAGCTTGGGAAAGTCCTTCTTCACGCTGGCGAACACGTTATCGGCAACGTTGGTCAACCAGCCTGACTTGGTGATGGTGAAAGTAGCCAGGTGTGCCATCAGAGAGCCCTCCTGTGGAGGAAGAACGACGGCCAGAGCATCCATGGGGTCATCGTAGTAGATCTTGAAGTCGTGCTCCTTCATGCCCTCCACATAACGGTCCACAACGGCACGCGCATCGAGACCCTCACGGTCACGAATGAGCACATCCTTCAGGGCCTGCAGGTCCCCGAACTCAGACAGGGTAGTCTTGACGTTGATCTTGTTGCCGCGGCGGATCAGAGTACCGGCACCGGAGTCGGTGAACAGTTCCTTCTGGAGATCGGCGGGGTGAATGATGGCCACGCTGGACGAGCGGGGCAGGTCGCTCAGGAGCTCCTTCATCTCCTTAATCTTGAGCCGAGTGCCGTGGCGGACCCACCACTGGGTCATCAGGTGATCATACTCCTCGTCGAGGTTAATGACGGAAATCTTCTCGCCAGTGTCACCGTTGAACAGACCACCCTTCTCAGCAAGGTAGACGATCTTCAGCGGCTGCAAAGCGCGCGCCAGCTCACCAGCAGCCACATCCGCATTGACGTTCAGCACCTGGCCATCGGGGGTCTCGGCCATGGAAGTCAGGATGGGCAGGCAGCCGGCCGCAATGGCGGACTCAATGGGCTTCTTGTCCACACCATTGATCTTGCCGACCAGGTTATACTTGGGCTTGTCCAGGTAATCCGCCGAGAACACACCAGCGGTTATAGGCCGAGCACGGATGCCCATGCGCTCCAGCTCCTCCACCAGCTTCATGTTCTCTTCCAGGAACAGCTTGCGGGCCAGCGACAGGGTCTTACCATCCGTCACTCGAATCCCATCCTCAAATTGCGGTTCGACACCGGCGGCCTCCAGCATACGGTTGAGCTGGGGACCGGCACCGTGGACGACGATCGGGTAGAGGCCGACATGGTTCAGGAAGGCGAGAGCGGAGGACAAGGTCTCGAGGTGCTCGGTGATGATGGCACCGCCGACCTTGATAACGGCGAACTGCTGGGAGGAGACGGAGGTGAAGTGGGACAGGTACTGCTGGACCTCACGCTTGGAGCCGATGTTGCTCAGCAACTGGACGACGGTGCTGCGGGTCGAGCTCAGGTTAGGGTCGCCGGCACGGGAGTAGCATCGGCCCTGGAGTAGGGGAGTCGACACGGTACGGGCAGCCACGCCAGCTCGCAGGGGAGAAACGGCGTGTGGTGCGGAGAGCGATCGGAGGGGCTTCGTGGAAGCTCTCCGCACAGCGGAGCGAAGGGACAGCATCTTGGTCACCAGCATGCGGCAGCTTCAATTGAGACTTCGCAGGTCGCCGGAGGGGAAACGTCCCCTGTTGTATTCCTAGTCGGAAGAGGCGAGAGAAGTGGTGAGTGTAGGAGGGGATGGGGGAAAGAGGAAAGATTGGTGGAGGGGAGGAGAGAGGAGTAGTCACTGGCAATGTGACTAACGCGAGATTTTACAGACATCGGCCGGCCTTCGGAGCGATCATTGCCCAATGACGGGGAGAGGCGGTGGGGGTGATTCCTGCGGTCTAGCGAGAGCGATTTACTCGGCCTTTGTGCCCCATTTATTTTTCCCTCATAGAGTCAAATAATCATGCGAATTAGATCTGACAGAGACATCTATAGACAATCGAGTCCGCGCACCATAATCCTTCTTCTCAATTTTATCCATTTTACCGGATTGGTCGCGCATGGTTCACGATTATCGTGTCCCTTCGTTCTGCCGGGACCGCCAAAAATTTTTTAGATCCTGCGCACTTTTTTCCTCCGATCGTCATTGTGAAATCTCGGGACTCCAAGCGAGTCCAGGTCCCCCGAAAAGCCCACTGTGGTCGTCGGAGATCCCTAGTGCCAGTTATCTGATCCTCTCCGGTGTTCTTACTCGTTATTGCGCCACGCCTCTATCCACTTCCTCCACCCTTTGTGTCTTAGTGTCTGCCCTCGCGGAGCCTGCTGCGCTTCATTCCGATAGTTCAAACACGAGGTCTGCTTCTGTTGGCCTGACTGGAGTGGTTCTGGGTGCCTGCAGGTGGACGGACTCGTGTCTGCCAAGATCTCCCTGTAAGAAGCGGGCCACACCGCGGATTTGAACTTGGGCGATGCTGGATGTGGATTGGTACACAAGAGAAAGGGTGGATGCATTTGGGCCGAAAGTGCAGGGCCAACATCCCGCTGGACAGGCACCGAGTGAATGGATACGCTAAGAAATTCATTCGCATAAAGTGCAAAACGAGACACCCGACATGGTAAACTCGCAAACAAAAGTGGTCACATAAGTAGCAGTCAAAGCACGGCATTGCAGCAGTATCATTTACATCTTCACCCGCCGAATCTGCATGGCACGGGGTCGCTCATCCCAAATACAGTACAATGGGATATCGAAGTCTCGTTTCATCGGCGCAAGAAGTAGTCAAGAGAAGTTGGTTATTCAGAACACGCCCAAAACAAAACAGCAGGAGGTATTAGCGGCTGGGAAGAAAACGACGGAGCTCCATGGCCTCTCAACGACAGTAAACACCCGGTAAAGACAACTCAAGATCCCCATGATTCCCAATCCAAAAAGCACAAAGTTCGTGGAGCGATGCGGATGCACGCTTAGTGATATTTTACGGCAACTAGACATTCAGACAATCGTGTTAGCGTTTCAATCTCCCCAAAGGTTCGAACTGCTCCTTCGTCTCTGTCTCTCTCTCTCCAGGGGGAGAATCTTACCGGGCACGATGATCACCACCAGCAGCACGATCACACAGACGACCAGGCATACGCGCATCTTCATATCCTTCCACCACATCTGCTTGCGCACACGGTTGGCGCCCCGGCGGAAGCCCTGGGCTGATACGGCCAGGTTGTCGGTCTTGTCCTGAAGGGAGTCCAGGCGCTCACCACGCTGGGAGACCTTGTTAATGTTCTCGCGCATGACACCAACGGTGTCATCGATTTGCTGTAGGAAGAAGAGTTATGTCAGTTGCCATGTCGCCACATCAGCCTACCGAGGCGGCCTCATCAAAGATCAGCGGTCGGCATCGCAACGCGCCACATTTATTACATGAAATGCGTTGCCCGCAGAGTTATGATCTAATCTGGCGTCTCGGTAGACGGAAGGAGGAGAGGACTAACCGCCTGTAATGCGGCTGTTCGCTGGTTGCCATTCGGTTGCGCGGAGGCGCCACCGGCGGCGCCTTGAGAGCCGGCAGGAATGTAAGGGTCGTACGGGCCTTCGGAAGTCATCGTGAAATTCGGAACTAGTGTCAAGAATCTTAGACAGGGTTCGTAGAACGTCGACGGAGGACCAGGCTACCTCGTGGGTGCAGTCAGCGTCGCTGTGTTTTGAAACAGGGGAACCAACGAAGCTGGTCGCCTGGGAGACCGGGAAGTGACAGAGATCGAGCGTTCGAGATGAGAGCTGATAGCAAATCGCTGTGATCGAGAAGAAGGCGAGGGGAGACTGGGCGGAGGAACGAGAAGGATGTGATGGAAGGAAGATGTTGTGGCGTGGTTGGATGTCTCTCGCTGACACTCCTCCTCCGTGCACGTGATCGCAAAGTATTGGGTAGCCTGCCAAGTCTTGATTTCTAGCGTGAGAACAAAAATTGAGGCTTAATTAATTACCGGATTTCTAACTGGCTACTTGGATTGGATCGGAGACTGGAAAAATGGACCTTTGAAGACTGGATGCTTTCAGTGAATGTGCGAGTGGGAATGAAATGCGATTGATCTACTACTACAACCGCTGTTGCAGTTTATTGGCCATGACAACTGTGGGGAGGTCGTCGATACTGAATGACTGTTGCTATCGTTCAAAATCTACTTTTTGAATGTGTGATACAGATTTTTCTTGTCGGCATCCTTTTTTATTCGCTATTGGTTAACTTATTTGGCTGCCTATTCAGCGTTGGCACCACGTAGCGCTAGTTACTGAAGGAACGTTCTATTCATAGTAATATGTTCCGGAACGACCTTCGGCAGCGCGGCAATGCTAGCCGTGGACCCTTCCTGCACCTCGGCACCCGACGGCCTTGTTACCATTGCCCCCGACCTAACCAGTGAGCGTATCTGATAATGAAAATTTCATTTATGCCATAGTATGGTCCGACCAGCGTCAAGATCGCTTGCAAATTGATACCAGCACGTGATGGCGAGTGGCGAGCAGCAAATTCAAATTGAAAATTTCCCTTGCCATCTACCTCTTGCCATGCACCTAAAAGCGCTTAGTGGCATTTCAAGGGATTGGAGCCATCTAAGACCGGCGAGAAAACCCTTACCGGGCTGGTTTAAGCCATTCCGTAACTGTCTCATACCGACCCTAATGTTTCAGAATAATAACTCTTCACGGTGCTTTAAAGTCATAGCTGACTGACCTCGGTCGATTTCAATGCGGCCGACAAACAATTCATCATCGAGGAATCTGCTTTGCCAGAAACCTTGATAGCGCATGGGCATTATACGCGAGGTTTGGTGGTAGTTCAATTTAAAGCCAAGGTTCCGGACCCAGAGCACAGTCGAATGCTATGGCGATTGAGTAATTCCCCGATACGTGTATCTTGATATTGGCTTAATCCGCACCTCTATAGCCTTGCAGACTTACGATTTGACATCTAGAGCCAGCCTAAAGGGCCATCATAGTAGCCTTAACGAGGCTAAGATTAGGTGACTATCAATAATTCTGCAGATCTCGAGGGGTTGCATAGGAATGGAAAATAGTAGGAAATCATGCGTGTGTTTTATTTTATCCGTAGATTCTGGCGATCATTCGGGAAAACGAGAGACCGTGGACACATGCAAAGTGCAGGACTTTCAATCCAAAGCTGTGATCAAAACGCCCACCTCCATATTCTCCAATATAAAAATATTATGGTAATTCCAGTATTTAGTGTCGTTCAATGTGTCCAACGAGACCTAGGCCCTTGGACTTGACCGCGTTTCACAGATGGCGTCAACCTAGGCATTAACTAAGTCTTATTCGATAGCCGCACTTCACTCTCCATGTGATTTCAAATCCACTTCATCTGCCAGATCCTCCTTACAAAGTGGCCGAACCAGTTTTTGTACAATTACCTTGCCAGTTTGTTAATTATTTTACGGAAACGTCAGCACATTTTTGACGAGAGGATCTCTCAAAGTAAACAACTCAAGTTAAATTACGTGCTGTCTCAAATATTTGAGGTACCTCCTGTCTTTGTTAAATCTGCTCAACCCCTGCTCACTACCTGCTCTTGCAACCGCCAACAGCCACGCTGCCTCTTTTGCAAACCCACTGCCTCGCCTACATCACTTCGTCCTTTGTTCTGAGATCCGATAATATCTTGATTTAACTCTCTTAAATCTCCAGACATCTATCTATACAGCAACCGATGTTGGAGCTCAAGCATCCACCATGGATCTACCCACGTATCCACTCGGCACGAACTCCTCGGTGTCAAGGGGTATCTGAGAGCGCACATGGGACGGGGTTGCGAGAGCAGGACCAAAGTTGATCTTGGCCAAGGGCGATATTGCGCGCTATAGCAAAGCATCGACTTGCTCCAGGAGAATGAAACCGTCTCCCCGGCGCACCTCATATCACGACAGATTGAAACTAAGGGTCTTTTGGGATACATCGATCTCGTGAGGGGAGAATCGCACGATGTAGCGCGCAGGTTGATGGGCACCAAACCATCGATTGACAGCATCGCTCAAACCACGCCTAACAACGCGGACCCGCGTCTCATTTTGAGCTAAATGCCAACCGCCCCAGACCCATTATCTCCATATGGGCCATGGTCACCTGAGTCACTTTGATGCGCCACTTTCTCATGCGTGCCATGCTTTCGATGCTTTTGACTGGGAGATTCTGAAATTCAGGTTAAGCAACGTACGCATCTGGTCACAAAAGAAGAATACGCAATCCCCCCGGAAAGGAGGCCGGCAGATGTCGGGGGCCAACGAGGTCGACATATACAGAGGAGGGTGGAGATGATATCTTGCTCTACTGAATGTGGCTATTGCTTTGAATGCCCTGGATCTTGTTTGCACATCCAGCCAAAAATAACAAGTCTTCTCGATAGCTATTCTGCATGACTACTCGCAAATGAGTAGGCGTCTTAATGGACGATTATGATGTGTCTCAACAAGACGTCGACCAGGATCACCGACGACGTGCTATGACGCCCTTCGCAATGATCTGGCCGCTTTCCTGGGCTAGTCCAAAACCGCGAACATCACGATCAATTAGAACCATATGTATAGCAAGCAAAAACTTGACACAGCGGTACATCTGTATTATGCGCACTCTTTCTTGACCATTCAGATCAGTTGATCCCGTTCGATGAACCCAATAACAGTCTATACCAGATTAGCTAGGTTTGACAAATAGTCTTGAAGGTACCAAAGTAGAACTGTGGAGCAGGTGTGGCTGGGTGTGATGTGGCTATGATATTGGGCTCATGCTCCATCCGGGCTTCGAAAAGCATTCTTTTTCCCCACAAGGGACCATTTCCGTGGCTTTGTTTCGGCGCCAGGGCTGAGACTGGAATCCTAACCGGTGGAGAACAAAAGGTCCCTTCGTGAGTGAGTCGTCCCATGGATCCGGCCAGCCTGTAATTTCCACGTTTTCTCGAGTCATCAGTTAACCACAACCCAAAAGGGCCAAAAGCCCTGTTGGGGGGCAGAAGAATAATTTTGTCTGCCGTGGGTTTCCTGTGAAGAGCGGGGAACGACCGCTAGCAAAGTGTAAAATGGCATTGGTGAATGCGGGTTGGCGGGCGGACCCCGAAATAGAATTGTAGGATATCTGAATCGACAAGTCGATGAAACGAATGGAAAAGCACCGTCGCCTGCCAAGAGGGTTGGAAACACGTCTCTTACCCCCGCGACAAAAAAAAATTGCGGTTCTGGTGGCCTGAAAAGTGACGGGCTTGCATTGGCCCAAATTCTGTATAGCCTTGCAACCCCCTGATCGTCAGGTACGAAGCCAGCATAACCGCGCGCTTTTGGCCCCTCGTGTGCCACTTGCAAAGCGAGGAACGAGAGAAAGAGAGGGTTTGTTTCGCGTGCGATCCACCGAGCACATCGAATCAACTGCAATTCTGGTCTGGCTGCAGAGACATCCACAGGCGGTTTGAGGCCAATGACGGCAGGGGTGCCTGGCAGTGAGTGAGTGGGTCAGGGTTTTATTAAGTGTGCTGGGTCGGCCTTCAACTCGCCCGACCGCCCTCAACCCCCTCAAATCTTGTCCTCCCCGCGCCTTCGACTGACACGCGAGTTGAGCTCTGTCAAGGAGGCTTGGTTGTCTATGGTGAGCCTCACATTCTTTCCCTCGGGCGCATGCGCCTGATCTCCTGTCTGGGCACGTGGTACAGCCCGTGCGGAGGAGTTCGTGCGTGTGCGAACACAGAACGCTGACCTCGGGAGGTCCCTCGACAGCGACGGGGAGCCCTCCTTGCATGCGAAACCTGACCGACCTGCGCGATTACAACCTCCTGACCGACTCCCGCCATATTCTTCTTTTGCCCGCGACCCGAAGCCATGGCATATCAGCAGCGCCCGGCTCAGCGGCCGCCGCCGCTGAGGCAGTATAACAATCCGGCTCCCATGTCGCCTGCGTCGGCGCCGGGGTATGCGCCTGATGCCGGATACGGCGCCGTCCATGGAGACGCAGGATATGACTATGCGGAAGGAGGAAGCGCTGGAGGGTATGAAGATCCAGCGTACAGTTACCAGGCTGGCCCTCCGGGTGCCCCGCCGTATGGGTCGTCGCAACAACCACGCTCCATGCGCCCGCCTCCTGGACCTGGCGGTCCAGATCCAAGGCGACCTCCGCGTGGATATGACGACCGGCGCGGGCCCCCGAGTGTTATGCCCCCGGGATCAAAACGGCCACAACCTCGTAAGTGATGCATCGGTGGTTATTCCTTCTTCACATGCTCTTTTCTAACAAGATCTTAGCGGCCGGCCGCCCTCCCCCAGGTGGCTTCGACAGTCCGTTTCCCGCTGTTTCTGGCGGCAGAGATCCTCGGGACCGACGCGGTCCTCCCCCTCGAGGTCTAGAAAAAGGCATGGCTGCGATGGACATCAATGGCCGGGGACCTCCTCCTCCTCGACCGCACACATCCAACGGACGGCGACCAGAGATGCGACAGCCGCCCCCACGGGGACCGGCCCCCGGCCGTGGTCGTGGAGGATACCCCCCCGGCCCCATGCGTTCAGCGAGTTCAGGACGTCCCGATCGGCCCGATCGAGCCTACACAGACCCAAATGGACCGCCCGTAGGTCCACCGGGCAGAAGCGCGACGATGCCCCTTGCGACTGGGCCGCCCATGTATCCTGGTCAATCGGCCTATCAAGAACTGGATTATGTGCCCAGTCCCATGGGTGAGATGCCGCCGCCTCGTCCCAACACTGCTGGCGCCATGCGCCCTCCTCGCCGCCCTGCAAACGACATGAAGGGTGGGTTGACGATCCCATCCGATCCAGGAAGCCGTGTCTCCTACGCACCTAGAGAATTTCTGGACAGCTACTACGAGGGTACAGATGATGAACCTGATATGCCCAACTTCGATGCGATGCCATCGCAACAAAATGGACCAATTGATGAGATGGGCCTTGACACGCCAAAGCCGATGCGAAGCCCTACCACCCCTTCCTCATCATCTGGGGGTCAATATGCGGCCTATACACCCGATTCAAGCCAAGGTACCCCGCGATCTCGGTCTCAGCCCGACCTACGGCAACCTAGTGGTCCTAATCAGTTTGAAAATGCTGGCTTCCAGTTTGATATTCCTCAGGAAGCTCCTCCGCTTCCTGCAATCCACGCGCAAAATGGTGTATACGCACCAAATGGTCATGAAGATCCGGGCTTTTCTCCGAATGGCTATGCTCCGTACGCCAACCAAGGGTATCCCATGGATCAGCCGCAAACTCTGGAGGAAAACCCTGATGCTCTTCCTCACCACCCGGCACCATTCCGACCAGGTCATGACCAGGGCGCCAAGCCGGCACCAGTTCGCCAATACGGTGCAACCCCGACCGCAGCGCCAGCACCAGGCCCGGCTCCTGGACGCGCCCCTGCAGCGCCCCAGCCCACGCCACCAGATGCCATGGGACCAACACCGGTCACACATGAAGAGCTCCAGCAACTGCAGCAGAAAGCACGAGGCAACCCCTCCGATCAAAAGACGCAGCTTCTGCTCGCCAAGAAGCTGGTCGAGGCCGCCACAGTGCTTGTCGCTGACAACACTCGGCTCGACCCAAAGACCAAAGCCAGAGCCAAGGAGAAATACATCATGGATGCATATAAGATCGTGAAGAAACTTGCATCGACCGGATACCCAGACGCGCAGTTCTACCTGGCAGACTGCTACGGTGAAGGCCAGCTTGGACTGGAAACCGACGCCAAGGAAGCGTTCTCCCTGTATCAGTCCGCCGCCAAGGCAGGCCACGCACAGTCCGCATACCGTGTAGCCGTGTGCTGCGAGATCGGCGCCGAAGAGGGCGGTGGCACCAAGCGCGACCCGTTCAAGGCTGTGCAGTGGTACAAGCGCGCCGCAGCGCTAGGTGACACACCCGCCATGTACAAGATGGGTATGATCAACTTGAAGGGTCTTCTCGGCCAAGCGCGGAGTCCGCGCGAGGGTGTGTCGTGGCTGAAGCGTGCCGCCGAGCGCGCCGATGAGGAGAACCCGCACGCTCTACACGAACTGGCACTTATGTACCAGAATGCCAGTGGCAACGACATCATCGTCCGCGATGAAGCATATGCCGCACAGCTGTTCCACCAAGCTGCAGATCTCGGCTACAAGTTCTCGCAGTTCCGTCTGGGTACCGCGTACGAGTACGGCTTGATGGGTTGCCCGGTCGATAACCGGATGAGTATTATATGGTATACTCGTGCTGCCGCTCAGGGCGAGCATCAGAGCGAGCTTGCTCTCAGTGGTTGGTACCTTACCGGATCAGAGGGCACTCTCCAGCAGAATGATACCGAGGCATATCTTTGGGCACGGAAGGCTGCAGCGGCTGGGCTTGCAAAGGCTGAGTATGCGATGGGATACTTTACTGAGGTCGGAATCGGCGTTACGGCGAACCTGGAAGATGCGAAGCGGTGGTACTGGCGCGCAGCGGGTAAGTGATCGAAATGGCGGTTATCAAGTCCCCGCTAATGTTCCCTTTTTTGTTCAGCGCAAGGATTCCCCAAGGCCCGGGAACGTCTCGAAGACCTCAAGAAGGGCGGCAGCCGCATGCAAAAGACCCGTCTCTCCCGCTCGGCTGTTAACAAGCAAAGCGACGGAGACTGCATCGTCATGTAATTCTACCCTATCCTTGCTATGCTCGACCTCTCGACTGTATTGTGTGGAACTGGTTTCTGTTCATTCACAGTCTGGCATGCATGTATCTATCTAATGACCACCGGCGCTTGATGTGTTTCATCCCTGTTTCGGCTTGTTTGGACACTCCTTGTAGATCCAGCTTAACAGGGCTCATTTCGGGCTCAGGCTGTACAATTCCCCCTTTGTTAAGACTTTTTTCTCTCCTGCTTCCACTTTCTATGATCTGAGAAGAACTTGGTGCTTCTCTCTTTTGGTTTTGGTTCTATGCATTTACTTTTCCTCCTTTGTGCAGACAACATCATGACAGGTGCGCGCGCACACGATCAAACACTTTAGTTAGGGGCGCGGATATTCTGGCGCTAGGCCTGACCGCGCTGCATTGAACAAAGTATGCTTTCCAAGATTAGTCGTCCTGATATAGCACTATAGCTCCTTAGCTCTGTAGCCGTATATCTCATAGACTATGTTTCACAGTGGCTAGTTATGCTGCTAGCTTCCAGAGGCAACTGTGCGGGCCCATTCCGCGCTGACACAACACCAATCCGATCGGCTTATGCATCGGCACGCTGTACATCCGACGCGGATTTAGACTTCTAACCACTGGGTCGGCGTCTAATTATTCATTACGCTATACGCAATAGGACCCTAGCTTTATCAATTCGGGTCTGCTTGCCGAGTATCTGGTACCTACCAGAATTCAAATATAAGCTGCTGCTTTTCCCATCGCCACAGGCGCCACTGCTTGCAGGGTTTTGAGTTCCGGCTGTATACATGTCTTCGGAAGCGCACCAGGAGAACACCCCACCAACAAGGAACTCTGCAGACGTCAGTACCAGTAATCGGCGGCTGTTCTTTCTCTCGACCCTTACTGTTCTCGTCGCCGTGCTGATTGCACTCATTTGGCGTGACACCGCCAATCTGTTCGTCTTCCGCCGCATCTTCGGATCGTCCTCGAACGCCGCTCGCTCGGCAGCGGGACCGTTGTCTGCGTCTGCGTCTCCGTCTACGTCAATTGCGGCTGCATCGGCTGCGCGAGCTCGGGGGCATTCTGATATTGGAGAGTTGTCGGGTGGTAAGATGAAGACGCCGGTTTACTTCCTGAGCCATGGGGGGTGAGTTTGTTTCCATGCTACTGCCGGGCCTTCATTGAACGGAGTATGTACTGATATCTGCATAGCCGAACGTCATGTATGACGTCGAGCACCCGGCGTACAAGAAGTTGGGTGAGATCGGGCGCGAGATCACGACGAAGGTGAAACCGCGTGCCGTGGTAGTTTTCTCGGCGCATTGGCAGGGTGGACGGGATACTATTTATGTGAACACTGCTGAGATCACGGATCTGATCTATGAGTACGTGCCAGAGCGAGGTGCTCTATGGATAGATGGACGATGGCTAATGGGTTCGCGCAGTTTTTATGGGTTCCCCGACCACTACTACAAGGAGAAGTACCCCAACGTGGGCAGCAAGGAAGTGGCGCACAAAGTGCTGGACGCGCTCAAGGATGCCGGCATCGATGCTCAGGGCGTAAAGCGCGGCCTGGACCACGGAGTCTGGGCGAGCTTCAAGTGCGGTACGTACTACGAATTGCAATTAGAGCCATAGTCTGCAACGCAAGGCTGATAACCAAGCAGCGTTCGAGCCCGACTCGAACCCACTGAACGTTCCTGTGGTACAGGTATCGCTCTTCAACACCGAGGATCCGAACCAGCACTACCGCCTCGGTCAGGCCGTGTCCCGCCTGCGTGAGGAAAATATCCTCATTATCGTCTCTGGCATGGCCGTGCATAACCTGCGCGATCTGCGATTTACGTTCGGCAAACCCCGCCCCATGCCATACGCCGTCAGCTTCGACGAGGCCCTGAAGGAAGCCGTGACAAAGGCACCGGCCGAGCGGGAGCAGGCCCTGAGTGATCTTCTGAAGCGTCCGGATGCACGCCAAGCTCATCCAACCTTCGACCACCTGCTGCCTATTCACATTGGTGCGGGCGCCGCGCACGAGGACATGGGAAAGAGGCTGTGGACGTTACCGGAAGGCAGCATGAGCTGGGCGCAGTATCGGTTTGGGGAACTGAGTAATGCTAGCACTTCGTTATAGCGGATGTAGGCACACAACTTGAATAGAATGCATATCACGGGTTGAGAATCGTTGATTTTGATGGGTTCGATCTCATGTATAGGTACATAGGATTTGGAGGGAAACGCGCGGTAGGAACATGGCAGAATGATAGAGAGGGAGATATGCTGGTAGTGAAATTTATTATGAAGTCTGCTTCACCAGGTTCGTGATGCGCTCCTCAATCTGCGAGGCAGACATGCCTGTGCAAAGTCAGCGACGGGAGTCCAGTAGGGTCGGATCACGCAGGGAAACTCACCCGAGAGAGCCTCTTGGGTCTCCTTGCCAAGTTCTGTAATCAATCCAGCCAATCCATTAGTTTTGTTAATCTTGGAGATTGATATCTCGCGCAATGTGTCGGGTGTTTTCGTACCGTATCTGGCAAAGACTCGCGGCTCAATGCCCGAGGCCTCGCGCATCAGGATGGGAGTGTGCGGGTTGTGCTTCTTCATGATAGGGTAGGCGCGGTTGAGGAAGGACCTGCTCCGACGAGACCGTGTTAGCCAATGGCCTCTTGTATCATCCGGGAATAGGCAATGGGCGCGAGGGAACTGGAACGGGATGGTGGACATGCCTTGTGGCAGCGCTCTGCTCAGAGGTCTGGCAGAAGAGGAAGCGGAGCTCCTTCAGACCCTTGGTGAAGACATACTTGCCCGACATGGCGAATGGCAAACGAGAAGCAATCGAAGAATGGGGGAAGCGTAAAGGCCGAGGGGTATCACGAAACAGACGAGGCAGGCCGGAGGGCATTATTCACAGCGGCGGTGATTCGCCCAGCGAAGAGACACTTCCGCTAGTCCTGAAACGGGTTAGTGCAGATGCTTACCTCAGCCGGAACAGGACCGCCTGCGATGCGACGAAAGACGGGTGGGATATTGTCGATTGACTGAGAGGGCTTTGAGCTATCGCTATCTGACAATTATCTATATCTTCGACCACCTGTGGTGGTGGTGAACGTGTCTACTTGACTCACCACACGGAAAACTCGCTCGCCCCGATCACCGGCCGATCCCGCCCTTCTTCTCGTACCCCCAACCTTTCATCTCGACCTCAACCGCTCCGCTCCACTCCTCGACCACAAGCAAGACACAATGTCGTCGTCTCGCGTGGGTTTCCGCTTCCTCAACAATGCCCGGTTTGCGTATCGCAATGCCTCTGCGCCATTCCGCCGGCCGGGTGCCCAGGGTTTCCGCTTCCAGAGCTCCGAGGCCGGTGCCGCAGAACAGCAGAACGTTTTCCAGCGCTTGTGGAACAGCCCAGTTGGTGTGAAGACTGTACACTTCTGGTAGGTTGAATCATTGAATGGAGCTGTGTTTGTAACCGTTTGAGATGAATACTAATATTGGCATCATAGGGCTCCCGTTATGAAGGTACGACTATGACCCTATCCAGCGCCCCCTTCTGATAAGCCCTATTCTTCCTAAAACAATAGAGACCGATATACTTGGACGATATGGAAAGGATATGGCTGACATTTTCTTCGTGAATAGTGGGCTTTGGTCATCGCCGGTATCTCCGATTTCAACCGCCCGGCTGAGAAGCTGTCCCTCACTCAGAACGGTGCTCTCATGGCCACCGGTGCCATCTGGACTCGCTGGTGCTTGATTATCAAGCCCCGTAACGTCCTGTACGTCCTATCTCTTTCGCATTGTCTCGTCAAGTCACCAGCTAACATAACTCTCCCTAGGCTTGCCGCCGTCAACTTCTTCCTCGGATGCGTTGGTGTTGTTCAGGTTTCCCGTATCTTCTTGTGGCAGCGCAGCCAGAAGGGATCCTCCATTGAGGCTGCTAAGGAACTCGAGCACGAGGCCGCCGACTCTGCCAAGGCCGTTGTGCACCAGGCAGAGAAGGCTGTGAAGGCTGCTAGCGAGAAGACTGCCTAAACAAAGATCGAATGGCAGTGAAGGTGGTGGTGCGGGTATTGGAAGATTTGGATGGACATTTGCTTTGCATTTATAGAAAGACTCGAGTTGAACCGAGGGGACCCTTTAGGGAAAATTCTGAGACAAGCGTTACCTATCTGGGACCCTATCGATGGTCTGTTCCATTTGCGCTGAGATCTGTTGTGTCTATGAAAACCCGCTGTACATATAACCATGCAAGGTGATTGTTCCTGTTTTTCATGGCCGGTTGTCTGGAAGTAGGGCGTAGAGCCGACAGTGGCACCTCAAAAGTCCAAAAACCCTTGAAAAGATTTTGATTGAAAGGTCGGAAATTTCCTGAACTGTACTCAGAGTTCATTTAGAAGATATCTAGAAAGGTGATAAAATGACATTCAGAAAAGACATTCCTAAAGAGACGAAGCTGAGCCACCGGAGTTTGGATGTTTTTTACGGCACTGGTTCTAAACTTTTGATCCTATTGTATAAAGCGCTCCACTGGACTATATAAACAGTAACATCTGTCCGACAAAACCCCTCCACATCCTACAATCAATGCACTACGCGAAACATTCTTCGGCAATAATTAGTTTAATTCCTGCCAAAGTACCCACAGACCTTGCAACATACGCAGGTCCCAGTGCTCACCAACCCTTGTCGATTTAGCCGGGATTTTCCTCCCAATCGGCGGAATGCACGCCAGATCTTCCTCCAACCAGACCGGCGCTATAATCTCCAACACGGAAACGAAAGGTCCCCAATCTCCGGGTCCTTCGCTAACAAGACACAAATTCAATGCCCATGCCGGCTTCACCCTCCAGCTTCCCCACAACCCGCAAGCCCGTTTCCCCGGACAAAGGACGGCACCGCCAGTTTACCCCACCGAGACGCGACACGGAGGCTGCTAGCGCCAGCGCACATGTCCCATTGTGCGAATATGAGGGAGTCAGTTAGGTCGAGAACGGATAATATATAAGGACGATATGCCGCGGGGAGATTCCCACGTCTGACCGATCTTTCCAGTTCAGCTCGCAAGCTATATTCCTGGTCTTAATTGCCATCGCTGACTGTCAGAATGAAAGTACCGACTCTACTAACACAGGCCATTGGCCTTGCTTTGTTTTTTGGTGTTGCTGTTGAAGCCAATGCGTACTCAAGAACTGATGCCTGCCACCCGCATCATCCATTCAAGCCGCTCCCCGCCAGCCACGCCCGGCATAAGACTTGCCATGTCCCCAGCCATGGCAATGGGAAGGACGACTCGGCTAATATTCTGTCGACCCTGAAGAGATGCAATAACGGTGGCAAGGTCGTCTTTGATGCTGATAAGACATATACTGTGGGGAAGGCAATGGATTTGACTTTCCTTCAGCATGTGGATTTGGGTACGTATACCTTCTGTCAAACCGACCCTCCCAAATCATATCATAGCCAACCCACGCCATTGTAGAAATCCTGGGCACAGTCCAATTCACCAACGACACCGATTACTGGCAGGCCAATGCTTTCAAGCAAATCTATCAAAACGCGACGACTTTCTTCCAGCTCGGTGGCACAGACGTCAACGTCTATGGCGACGGCACACTCGATGGCAATGGACAGGTCTGGTATGACTTGTATGCCGAGGATGCTCTCATTCTGCGACCAATTCTCGTTGGCATTATTGGGCTACAGGGAGGTACTATTGGTCCTCTCAAGCTTCGATACTCACCGCAGTGGTACCACTTTGTTGCCAACTCGTCGAATGTTCTCTTTGAGGGCATTGATATTTCTGGGTATAGCAAGAGCGCCCATACGGCTAAGAACACTGATGGATGGTAGGCTGTTCACGGTTGAATTTCTAGGAAAGCTATTGACATTGGGTAGGGATCTCTACCGGTCGACGAACATTGTTATTCAAGACTCCGTGATTAACAACGGCGATGGTAGGCCATCTGTGTCAGTGCTTCAACTGTACCCGCAAAGCTGATTTTTCCCAGACTGCGTCTCTTTCAAGCCCAATGTTACCGACATTGTTGTCCAGAACCTCCACTGCAATGGTTCCCACGGTATTTCTGTTGGTTCCCTTGGACAGTACAAGGGCGAAGTCGATATTGTCGAGAACGTTCTTGTTTACAATATTTCGATGTTTAATGCATCTGTAAGTGCCATGATGGACGTGGCTCTCAACTCATATACAGCAAAAGCTAAAATAAAATAGGATGGTGCTCGCATCAAGGTCTGGCCTGGTGTTTCCTCTGCTCTGTCTACCGATCTGCAAGGCGGAGGAGGCTCGGGTAGCGTCAAGAACATTACCTACGACATGATGACTATTGACAATGTCGATTACGCTATTGAAGTCACCCAGTGCTACGGACAGAGTAACCTCACCCTCTGCAATGAGTACCCCGTGCGTAATCTATCAATTCTCTTCAATGGTTCTCTTGACAAAGCTAATGATTTGTCTTGAATTGATTAGAGTAGCCTCACCATCTCTGATGTGCACTTCACCAATATCAAGGGCACAACCTCTGGCAAATACGACCCCGTGGTCGGAACAATTGTCTGTTCCAGCCCAGATGTAAGTTTATGCAAGCCTGCCCTCTCCAAGAGGAGGTGTCAAATATCTAATTTTGTTAGGTTTGCTCGGATATCTACGCCACTGAAATCGATGTCACTAGCCCTTCGGGAGACAACTCGTTTACTTGCAAAAATGTGAGTTGTTGCCTAAATTCCAATCCAGAGCTGGGCAGAGCTGATTTGATTCCATTCATACAGGTCGATGATAGCTTGCTGGATGTTAATTGCACCACCTCCAGCTAGAAGGGAGACTGATAGGAAATGATCATGTGGGGGTATTTGGTTTATTTAGAAGCAGGTGACGCGGATGTAACGAAATGGTATTCTTACCGCAACCAGCCTAAAGTTCGAAGGAAGCCCCGTAACATTCGGGTAGTGATTATAGTAACATGTGATGGAAAGTTTAATGGTTAGAGCACAGAGTAACATTGGCTTGAGAACTGCCTAAGTAATTATAGATGAAATTCAATGAAAAAGACTCGTCCTGACGCATGTATAGTTGCTAAAGAGTTTCCTCTCGCCGCTGAACACCCGATCCTATACTCCCGTGGAAGCCATAGGCTCTTTTCGCCATCAACCATGACCCAGCCAGAAACAAGTGAAACCCTGGTTGTGTCTACTGATGTTGATTCACAGATTGGAATGTCTTCGTCAGCTTTTAATGACGACACAACAAACCTGCCTGTTGCAACCTCAAGAATAATGATTATATTCTCCTCCTTTCGAATGGCAAGAAACTGGCTATTTGGTGAGAATAGCATGTGAGAAGCCGGTTTTAATTTAGACCAAGAATGTCGCATCTGGCGTATAGCCGGATCCTGGGTAAACTCTTCATTTTCACACGATTGCTTCACACAGACTCGGCCACCAGACAAAAAGGACAACAGAATCGGTTTTGGGCACGTATGAATTTCGTGGCATACTGCACTTGTGTTTGAATCCCAGATGCTAATCGTGTTGTGTCTGGAACGAGATGCCAGGAGATGACCATCGGGAGAAAACTCCATAGACAATATCGGTCTTGGGGGTCGCACATGAGAATCGGAGGTCTGCGTTGATTGGCTCATGGTGGAATCCCACAGTCGAACTTTATAGTCATGGGAGCCACAGGCAAGAAATAGACCATGATGGGAAAAGGAGACACATTTTACTGCCCCGACATTATCTCCGGAGGCAGTCAAAGTGGTGGTGCATCCAGCAGGAGTTTCCAGTTCGACTATCCCATGACTGGATCCAACGGCTGATAGTCGGCTTCTGGGGGAGAATGCCATCGAAGTGACACGACTGTAGCCACCTTCCATCGTATATTTGCTCTCACTTTTAAAGCTCCATTCCATAACACCTCTAGTGAGATTCCACACCTGGTGATTCGATACCTGGTCCTTAATATAACGTGAGGAGACAATCAGTAGCTCCCCAGCTGCGGAAAATGTCATACACGAGTTGCATGCATAAAGTCGTTCGGACAGATCGGTGACTTTCTCTGTAGCAATATCCCATAGGAAAACTTTCTTTCTATTCGGAATGGCTGCATCTCCGAGAAGACAACATACCACTTGAACACTGTCAGGGTAAAATAACACTGATGCTACCCCTGTAGGACAGTTCACAGTCGTCCTCAATGAACCGTCTGTAACATTCCAGATTCGAAATGTCATATCTATCGAGCCAGACACCAAGAGAACTTCATCAGGAGAAAACGCGACTGAAGTGACGGACCAAAGATGGCCTAGGAGAATTTTTTGCGTTGCGCCAGTCACTGTGTCCCATAACCGAATTGTTTTATCAGCTGAGCCTGACGCTAAAAGCTGTTTTTCAGAAGAGAAGGTCACGGAAAGAACGGCCTTAGAATGACCCACGAGAGTCAGATAAAGGGCGCCAGTATGGCTGTTCCAAAGCCGTACTGTGCAATCTTCCGAGCTAGATGCAACTAGCTGGTTGTCAAAAGAAAACGCCACTGACGATATAGGTCCAGTATGCCCCTCGAGAGTAAGTAGCTCGGCACCTGAACTGTGCTGAATGACTGCAGAAGTCTTAATATACGACGGTAGGTCATTATTAAATGTTTCTCGTATACTTGAACTTGTCGGGGTGAACAATAAGGCTGAGGAATACAGTTGAAGTGGCGCGAGTTGGGCAATCTGACTATTCTTGATAATAAACAGTCTTGCATCATTCAAGAATTTGAGTGATCTGGTGTCCATATGACCTTGCTATGTGAGTCAAATCAGTGAGTAGGAATTTTGGACTTCAGATACCAGTTGTAGCTTACATTCACTACTTTCTGAAACGCTTCGATCATTCGTACGGCGTCGCTCAGCGTATTAAGAATGCTCATAGCCTCCACCCAATGAATCAAATGCCTCTGAATAAAGCTGAAGGCGGTTGGAAACAGCAACTTTGGCTCATTGCCATGTAAAAGATGCTGAGTCCAGAAACGACAAGCATATCTCAATTCAGGTGAGATGCATTCACCATCAATTTTCACACTCAGAGTGCCATCGTTCGGAAGGCCGCAAATGTTCCTTCTCAGTCCCTCAAGAACCGAAAAGCATCGTGCAGCCAAGTATTGATGAATCTCTTTTGCATCCACCCAGAGAGGACTTTTCTCTCTCGTTTCAATGTCAATGAGAAAATCCCGGAATGATAGATGGAAAGTCGATACAGGTAATCTTTTGTCTTCTGGTTTATATATCACTGATTGAAATGTACCAAGTCTTCGGTTGATGAGCCTCTCAGAAAGATCCAGGAGCTTCGAAATTGCCGAGACCGAAAGTGGGCTCTCAAGCATTACGACTGCTCCCAATATTTTTCGGTAATCTTGAATCAGATTTAGCTTCTCCTTACCGCTTTGGTTGACAAGAACTCGGTTCAGTACGGGCAAATAAGTTTTATCAAATTTAGACCCTTCAGTACCAGCGAAGATAGTGGCAAGACTATCCGTAGGGTCCCATTGGGGATCTTTGAATATGCGGCATACAGTGGCAGCGAAAATAAAAAGTGGAACAGATAATTTCACAAGCCTTCGGAGGCTCTCTGGGCCTGGCCAGTCATCAGGAAGCTCTTGATCGATGCGGATATTTTGAAGGTGGTGATTGAAAAACAAAGATATATCATATTCAGTAGATGCAACTGGCATATCATGCAGAGCAATATACTGATAATCCTTTATCTTCGAAAATCCCAGGCGGACAGGCAAATCGGGTCGGCTCGTAAGAAAAACCCGTAGGTTTATTGTCCGCACTTCTTGTAGTTTCGGGAGTAACCCAAGTATGATCGAAATTTCGTCATCGCGTTCGCACTCATCAAGCGCATCAATGATGATTACTCCCGTCGTTAGTTTTGTCTCCGGTATTGGGAGTCTCACGAACGGTTGGTGAATTAGTTTATCAAATTGCTCTTTCAACGACTTCGTGGCGATATCCGGGTCAGCGCGAATAGTCTCTCGAACGTCCAGCTCTGGAAAATGACGGGCTAATTGGCGTGCGATTGTCGGGAAGAGCTTCATGGAATTCCCTCGGTCCTCTTCGCCTCTCTAAAAAAGAAGCTTGCACCGAGCAATTTATGCTCTTGTAATTTACGTGCAACTGTACGCGAAATTGTTGATTTGCCCGTCCCTGCCATTCCACTCAACCAAAAGATGCATCTGCCATTCGACAACTTGGCCCAATTTTCAACCTCGCGGAGAAGATCAACCCTAGTACCTGGGAGACATTCATCCTCGTGCTGATCCATATATGAGCCAAATTGTGCTCCATGGGCAATTGGGAGCTTTTCCAAGACATCTATATTGTGGTCAGCCAGCGCACTGAACATCAGGATCTAGTGAAGTACTCGTACCCTCAGAGTTGATGGAACCATGGTTGACTCCAACTTGCCACCCAGAGTTCGAGCCACTAAATGATACATCAGTGGATGCCATTCTGGCGGCCAAAAAAGTTTATAGGCGCAGCAATGTTACTCGGGGATGCGGGGTAGCTGCCGTATAACTTATCGGAATAAGGTTTTGCCGGCCGCGAGAGCCACATTAGGAGTGTGCGACCAGTTCCCCGGGGCAAAGTGTTTGGAGCATCACAAAAGAGATGAGGATTGGTCATAGTGGCCTCCTTAAGGATGCACTTATCGCCTTATAGCGGACTATGATCTAGTAGACTCATCCAATTTCCCGAGCACCGGTAGTCCTTCAAAGCCTGCTTAGGAGATATTGGGGCTAGTAAGAAGTAATTCCTAGGTAAATGGGCATATTGCACTGGTAGATAATCTGGATAACGCTATATATAGACACTGTGAACAGCATCTCTCCGCATAATTCATTCGTTATAGCCCATCCGCAATCCCATGCCTATGAACCCAGCTTCGAGCGTGTTACCCATATATGTACCTGGGCTGTGAGTCGCTGCTCTGAACTAGGAATTATTGCGCCGAGGGAACTCACAAAGGAATAGGTAGTGAACAGACTGACGCTGCCGCACATAAATTCCTATGTTCTTAGGTTACGACGAACCAGAGATCAGATCTTTGAGATGGTCCAATGCCATCTGAATATCGTCCCCATTTCGGTGCACGCGACATACTCAATTACATAGAGCATGTAGTAATTTATTTGGGCTACAGAGAACTATATCTACAAGTAAATATGTGTCTTTCTTGTAGGCACGAGAAAGATCCATCGTAATATAACATCAGCCAAAACTGCGAGACCAGCGGTTTACGCAAGTAGCGAAGGATACGCAGCCTACGCAGCCTGCGTAGAGGGCTAAACCTAGATGTAGTAGGTGCAACCAGATAGGGCACCAGAAAAACGGTGTCCTACAGTGATTATCTGCCCCAAGAAGCTAACTAAAGCAGGTTAGTAGCGAGCTGGATAATAGGTGGAGTTGTTACACACGCAGCAAGTTGTAGCTTGGTTATCATCATGACCAGCGCCTTCCCAGTTTAGTACTACGGTCTGGTCAGCTGACCAAGCCCCTTTTCAGTTTAGTCGTTCGGCAGATTCTAATGCATCATCGTTCATCTACCTCACTGATACCTCAGATGTTGCCAGGAGTAGCCGATTTCGACGTAATTTGATTCTTCTCTCAGGACCTCGTCTAACCTGGCTAGCCTGCCTACATATCTATTCATTCATCCAAGATGAAAGAAGCAAGAACGGCAACACTTTCGTCCGAAAAACTCGAGGCCCGCAGCTATGCCATTATCAGTCTTGGCATTATGTGCCTCGTTGCTCTTCTTACTCACATCCTCCTAAGTCCGCCCCTGAATCCACCATCGTCTCCGGGGGAGGAAATGAACGCGATGGTATTGCGTGGTCTTGGTTCTTCCGTTTTATTCTTCGTCTGGGCCGTGGGACTAGCTGCGTGGGGCAAAAACCTCGCTGAATTTTCAATTCATAAGAGAAACCAATCCTTCATCTTTGGCCTTGTCGCAGGAAATGTCTCCTTGGCCTACCTGATTTTGACAAAGCCGCATGCGCCAGCGCAAGAGTACATCACCTACACCTTGTGGCCCGCCCATGTGGCATTGGCCATTGGAGTATTGTTCTGATTCAACCATTTCTCTTTCATTACAAAGAGGGGAGGAATAGGAAGACAAGACATCACCATTTCCAAACTGGATGACACAGTGCAACTTGGTAAGAGCCGATGCCCGCCCGATACCGCGCCGAATACATACCTAATGCAAATTAGCATCATTAATTTCATATATATGCTGCCATAGCTCAGGCTACAGCCTGACTGTCTGGTCTTGAGAACTGCCTGCCTGTGCCATCAAGCGAACCGAACTACACATTATGGATAGGTGTCCAACACTATAGCTTCTATGTACCCTAATCAAGATGCTTGCCTTGAATGCTATAGATATTACATCATTTTAGTCACAACGCATGCGTAGCGCAGTCGTGAGCTGAGTTCTATGAATCCGAGTTAGCATTTTGGCAAGGAATATGGAGCCTGAGAGCCCTATCGTGGGGAAACCCCGAGGCTCTAAGCTGAGGCTCCCCACGGAGCTACGCCGGCTGAGAGAGGAATTTACGGTTTCAAATCTATGCCTAGAACAGCCATTGCAAGCTTCATGGAAGATTTGGAGGCGAACGGAATGAATCGAAGGAAGGTTCAACTCGAATGGCGACCTGGTGCGTTGTAGCTTGTGAATCGCTCAATTGATGGGGATAAATTCCATGATTATTTGTCTTACGGGTTCATCAGGACTCGGAGCGAAAGCTGCCGCAAGATGGTAATTACCTGCCCTGTGGTGGGCGTGAAGCGAACTTTGAGTCCGACCGCATGCTCGGCAATGACCGCAAGGATATCAACCGAGGGGCCAGCACCGCGGTAAGAGAACATAGAGTTTCCCGAAGGACTTAAAACCCTTTAAATAGCACTGTTGGAATTAATGAGATGACTCAGAAAAAGCACATCTGCGTCGATAATACTTTCTTTGTGAAGAGGGACTTCAGTAAGATACTTCTACAAGACTCTGATATGCTGTCGAAAGGAATTATCAAGCTGCCTTCAACATCGGCGAGTACAATAGTTCACTATATATTGCCTTTGTCATATATTTCGCATGGCAAAGAAATAAGGTTTCATTCCGCACCCCTGTGTGTGCGGGGTCCGGAAGATACCCAGCACCATGCGTTGAGAACCCGCTAAGATCCAGCCGAGAATGATCAAAACTCAGAATCAGAAGATTCCACAGCAGGTATTGGATTAAAGGCTTGAGTCAATTGTGTACAGAAAAGATGAACCGTGGCTGTGGCTGCAAGGATGGGTCAGGGTTTCGCTCGTACTCCGGAAATCCCCCTGCTCCACAGCCATGTGGGGAAAGTGAAGAGGGGCAGCTGAAGAGCCAGGTGTCTGTAGCCGATACCAAATATGACGCCACAGATTTCAGAGGAATCCTAGCATCAGTGTTGGTTGATGAAATCTAGCCGGAGCAGTATGCCATCAAATAGAAGCATCGTTGTAACCGGTAACCAATTATCTACTACTTTCAAAACGAGCCATACAGGCAAGCATCGCTAATTATCACTTAGGAGGGGCCTCGGGCATTGGCCTAGGTATAACACGACACTTTATCATCCAGCCCAACACCCATATTACTATCCTCGACGTCAACAAGACCTCAGGTGCCCAGATCCTTAGGCAACTTCAGGCGGAGTTTCCATCATCCAGCATTTCATTCGAAGATTGCGATGTGTCCTCTTGGGAAAGCCAAGCCGCAGCTTTTGAGAGAATATATGCTCAGCAAGGCCAAGTCGACATTGTCTTTGCAAATGCCGGCATTTCGAAAGAGGGCAATTTGTTGCCTGCAAAGAGCGACACTGGACCATCAAGGCCGAATCTGACAACCATGAATGTGAACTTGGTCGGAGTCATATACAGTACGGGACCCGTCTAGTTTGGACCCTACAGGGAAGAGATCTAACCCCAAGTCAAATAGCTGTACATCTTGCTGCCTACTACATGTATAAAAATGAGGCACGAGATCCATCGGCATCCTCGAACGGCTTGATCGTCTGCACTGCTTCCAATGCAGGCCTGTATCCGTTCCCAGTAGCACCGTTATATGCAACCACAAAGTCTGGCGTGGTCGGTCTCGTGCGGTCTTTGGCTCGTCGGCTTGAGGCTGAAAAGATTCGTATCAATGCATTGGCTCCGGCTGTGATCGGTGAGTCGACTGCGATGTCACACACAAGGGCGCCTCAGCTTACTGGAACTAGAAACCAATATCGCACCCAACTCTGATCTATTCAAGTCCATGATCATCACACCAATGTCAACGGCCACTAATGCAGTAGCTCAATTTGTGTCGAATGAATCTTTGACAGGCAAGATTGCAGAAGTACATGGCCAACATGTCACCTTTGCAGAGCCCCCGGCCTATGTGGATGTGGACACTGGCAAGAACATAGAAACATTCTGGAATTTGGGATATGCATGAGTGTAGACTTATAGCTGAGGGGGGTGTCTTGCATGGTGAGAAAACTCGCAATCGTATAGATACCAATAGTTTCATCTTTGGATCTGATACAATTGTAACGCGCGAAATCTGACAGCTGTATCACTTGATCGCCCACAGGTGTTCCCCTTGAAAATATACAAAAACAGAGAGTACAGGAGAATGTGAATGGGAATATGAAGTAATAAGGAAAACGCAAGGAGCCCAGGATATCAGTTAGTGTTGTAAACGCCAGGGCCTCCAGCCCACCCGCCCCAAATCAAAGCGCCTTGAAAGCGGAAAAAAAGTGCAAGTCACCAAACGCCTTCCACCGGATCATCGTCCGGTTCTATTTTGCTCTCGCCCAGATTTCCATGGAATCTGGTCCTATTCATCCTGTAACAGTACCTTCAACTTCTCTAGTTTGTCTTCGCAGTGCACTTCCATTTGCATAATCACATCGACAGCATCCTTCTTGGTGATCAACAACTGAGACACGAGCCAGAAGTTGTACCCGTTCTTGTAGAAACCCATCGATGCCCACTCGTCACTGGGGACTTTGTTGCTCAAAGCGACCCAATAATCGCGCCAACGATTCAAGGCGGTGCGGATTGAGCCCAAAATTGAATCTTCGGGAATCATGCTCTTGTCCCAATTACCTTCAGCCTGGGAAGCCTGAATAACAAGGGCTTGACGTTTGAGTAGGCCCACGAGCGTCATATGTGTATTGATAAAAGCAAACAGAACTGGGTCAATTAACGATTAGCCTCGGTCACAAAAATTTGAGAGTGGCTGCATACCATGAATGACAATGAACATGTCCAGGACCGTCAGATCAATCTTGCGGGATGAAGGTGACTCTTGATCACTGTCGGCCGTAGGCGACTCAAACATATGTTGGAAGGCCCCATATACGGTAATGTCGCGAGTAAAGCGGAATTTTGGATCCGTGAATGGATGCGGGGATCGGAAAAGAGCCTCTTCGCAGGGTAATTCGCATTCTATCTCCGCATACGTAAAGCGACATGGATAGTTTTGGTAGAAAAAGAAGGCGCAGTCCAGTAGTGATATAATGCTAAGCGTTCTGCGAATGGTTAGATGGGGAAGTTACAGATGAGCACCGAGAGGTACGTACCGAATACGGCACTCTGTTTGAATCCATAAGTGCTCCTCGAATTGCTCCTCGTTGGGTGAATGCCTGGCCTTGACAAGGTTTAAGCGACGGGCTACCTAATGCAATAGTGAGATTTTACGTGAGCCTTCATCGGGCTTGTATCATCTTACCTTGACGATTTCACTGAATCGATTCTCCATCGCACGGTTTTTTGACGTAAGGCTTCCTGCCCAGTACTGGACAATTGTGATCACGAAACCAGCCTGAAAGTTTTGGAACTTGATCCAGTCGTTTGCTTCATCCTCGGTGCTTCGAGTTCCTGAAAAGGTACTTGCCACTTCACTCTCTGGGGAGTATATGTGACTTGAAAAGATGAAAAGCTCGGCAAAATCAAGCAGCCGCTTTGACACATAAGCCTCCCTCTGATCAGAGCTATACATTGCCCCAAAGAATGTCACCGCGGCTAGCAAAGGCAGCGCAACGGTCTCTGGGTCAAAAGTGGGGATGTGAATCATGGCACAGCTAGGTTGCCAGTACTTGAAATACAGCGAGGTGAACTTGTGTATGCGCGCCGTAGTCAGCAAGAAGCTCAGATTCGCTGATATCTCTTCCTGGGCCTTGGGGTCCAAGGGAACCGTCCATGCTCGTGCCAAAATAGACTGCACCATAGCCATTGCGAAGGGTCGCTCAGTCTCGAACATTGCCTGATCGGCTGGCAAGGCTAAGTTGCTATCTTGCCTCGGCGCAATTGCTGCTGGGTATGCCACCTGCCCCGTATATGAATTTTCCCCGGATTTCTGAGCTTCCCCAAAAGGCCCATTGAAGAAATCCAGAAACGTGTCTTGAAAGAATTGTAGGTTCGCGGGGTCCGACCCGACAAATCCTGGGGAGAAGTCCGGCCGATCGCCCGGTACACTATATGGATAGATTTCTCCGTTTGTACTTGCCTCCTCAAGCGCACTTTCATCGTGATATACCATGTCCCGTCCTCGATCACTGCGGGGAGGAAGCCTGAAGCCTTCGGTAAAGGTGTCTGTGCCGCCATTCAGGAGGAATTTGATGGATCCGCGATCCGACGGTTGTCTGCATATTGGAGGCATTTGGGGCTTCGGCGGGGATGATCCTGAAATGGTTAGCCCCATTTGCAATTATATTGTTCACGGATCCATACCATCCTCAAAGCTGCCATTTGGACCTGACCCATTGGCGTTTGTGCACATAAAGCCTCTTTTAACGCAAGATTCGCAAGGGGTGTTGCCGTCGCAGCGCAGTTTCATCGCGGTGCACTAGTTGGTAATCAACCGATCAGTAAGAACCGAAATGACAGGCAATCATTCGAAAAAAGTGGATCGACTTACTGATTGGCAAGCATGTCTCCGCCGACCTCGCTGTCCTGTTTCGGGGATCTGGCGATCCCCACGCTGGGCACAATCCGCATAATGGTCGCGCAGGTTATCGCTAGGGAGCAAGAGTAAGATATGGATCTCGGAAGGAAACGGGCAATGTACGTACCAGCGCGCAAAAGACTCGTTACAAAAAACGCAAGAGTAGGGCTTTTGGCCGGAATCTGTCCAGACTGAGCAGCGAATCGGGGGTGCAGCAGGGCGGGGCACATACGCCTCAGATGGTGTCTCTTTAAGTGATCAATGCGCGTGAAGCCCCGCTGACATATGGTGCAGCGAAAGTGCTTCTCGGCGGGCTTCATATTGGTCCATCGGGGAGGAGGGGAGATCCGGGGTAAACGGAGTGAGGAGTGAGTCTGGGGGAAAAGTTGACGAGAGCACTGCCGTCGTCGATCGTACTGGTATCGGTATTATGGCGTGTTGATGGGCCCGGGAAGTACCGTAGCTTACTTATGGATATTGTAGGGGTACGTAAGCCTGGTAATATATCTGGTATGGCTCGGTACGCTGATGATATCACCACCTCGGATCCGCGCTGCTCCACCGGCAGGGATGCCTACATGCATACATGAAGCTTATTGCGATAGATAGTTTTTCTTATCCGAATGGACTATGCAGATCGTGATCGGGCTGCAGCTGCATCCAGTAGGCGATATTCTGGTCAACACAAATTTCACATACCCCCTCTTCGGGCCAAAACCTTGCGTTCCTTCCGAGGCCCTTCTACGCGTGGACGGGCCGGGGGAAATCAATTTGATCATCGTCTAAATAGTCCACGTTGATCTTGTCAAGCTTCTCATTCTCGGTCCAACCGTCGCCAAACCACCCGGTCGGGTTATCGTTGACATACTGATAGTCAAAGTCTTCCCAGCGGGGGTTTGCGAATACTTTCATCGCGTGAAGGGAGGACCCTATTGTAGTTAGTAATTGCAGCTACCAGCAAGCAGAGGGTAATAATTTACCCGGCCATAGGGCAACGATGCGCCCATCTTCAGCCCCGCCTTTGTACCAGCTGCGGCATTTGCTGCTGAAAACTGTGCCCGCGAAGTACTCATCGCAGTACTGCGTAAAGCGTCGGACAGCGTCTCCCTTCACAGCCAAAGCGCGAATGTTGTCGCGCTGCATCTTTCTCACACATTCTGTGAAGTAGTCCAGCTCTTTCTCGATCAGGACCAGGAGGTTCCCTTCTCCCAAACCAGCGTTAGGTCCCAAACAGATGAAGTAGTTGGGGAATCCGTCAGTAGCGACCGAGATGTAGGTCTCTGGAGTCTTCTTCCATCGCTCTGCGAGAGTAAGTCCATCTCGTCCTTTGATGGTGAACCGTGGAGTATGGGTTGTGTCAAATCCAGTAGCACAGACTATCGCATCAACCTCTCGGTGCTGACCATCCGCAGTGTGGATACCTGTCGCGTCGACCTTGACGATATCGCACTTGATTATGTCAACTTTCTCGTCCGTCAATGCCTCGAGATAGCCCGGACCTGGGGTGAGGCGTCGGCAGGCGGGGGAAACGAAGGAAGAAGCTCATCTACCAACTCGGGCTTGTTGGCCAAGCGCCGCTTCATGTTTTCGATAAATTCTTCATGGGCTCCAATTTGCTTTGGATGCCCGATAAGGGTAGCCCCATGAACGGACTGTAACTCAAGCTCCACCTCTGTTCATGCAGTCAGAGTCCTGAACATTAGGTTTCAAAAGACTTCGATTTACCTTTGCGGAAGTTCTGGTACACCTGATGGTCGTTTTTGAATATCTCGATCTCCTCTGGGGTAAAGATATCTGAGAACCGTATGTTAAGAAAGTCACAACTGATATATCGACCTGACTTACAGTTTTCCAATCCTTTACCACGCTTATCAATATACTCCCTAGCGAATGTTGGAGACACCCAAGTCCGGCTACGCATATAGTGGTCAATATGGGCCACCTTGGGCAGCATTCCGGGAACAATCTGGATGCCACTCGATCCGTTGCCAATTACAGCTACGCGTTGGTTCTGTGAGAACGGTTAGGGATGAACATGAATGTCAGGTTGAGTCGGAACATACCGAGTAATCATAATCCTCATCCCAAGAGGCACTGTGCAGCAACTTGCCCTTGAAATCGTGGAGGCCGGCAATACTTGGCCATTTCCAATTGTTGAGGGCACCGGTCGCTTGAATCAGGATATTGGCTTGATCTCGGTACGTCGAACCACTATCGACATCGTGGATCTGATCGGGGCTGGGTCAGTCCTATTTCCATGTCACGGCGAACAAACTAACTGACCTGAATGTGCCACTTTGAGTTTTGATCATCCCAAGTTGCCTCATCCACCCGCTGCTTTAACTTGATGTACTTCATACATCCATATTTGTCAACAATGCGCTTCCAGTATCGGTGGATCTCTGGTGAGGTGGCATAGAATGAAGACCATTCTTTATTGGGCTCGAAGGTGGCCTGGTAGGTGTGGGCGGGTATATCTAATCATGGAATAGTCGTATTAACATAGCCTCCACAATATGAAGTGGTTTCACAAGCGAATCTCAAGACAGCATACCACATGCGCATCCTGGGTAGCGATTCTCAAACCATGTTCCTCCAATGTCCGCGTTTTTGTCATAGATGCACAGGTCAAGGTTTGGAATCCTTTGCACAAACCGGATACAAGCAATGATTCCAGAGATACCGGCACCAATAACAATCACTCTCAGGGGTCGCCCTTGATCGACGGAACGCTCTTCCACGATTTTCTTGGTACGTTGCGCAGGTACTTCATCTTGCTTTGACGGAATGGGCTTGGGGGTACCACTAAAGGCTCGTGACAGTCGCTTCATGGTTGTTGGAAATGGAGTGAGAGGCTTGGGTAGAAATAATAGAAACTAGAGGAATGGGAGTTATGGTAAAGAATAGACCCTCTAACAACAACACCTCGCAGCTTTAGCAGTGTAAAAGGCGGCCAATTTCCGGGTTATCAGTCATCCAAGCCATAGCCAGCATCAAATAATGCCCGTAATGCTTTCCGCTTCTCCCCTCCTTGTGAATGGCGCTAGAGCCCTACCCAGATCACAATGCTACTGTGTCCAAATCTGGTCAATGACCAGAAAATCAAAGTATATCGAAGCATCCTCCCCGGTCTGACTCATATTGACTTCCTTTGGATGACAGGAGAAACCTCTTTGGAGATCCACAATCTTCGGCGATAACACTCTTTGCATGTACCGAACCATAGTACCCACGGTCGTCGTTGTCGTACTCGAAGGGGGGGGGGGGGGGGGTGAGCCGCGGCCTCGATGTGAATGGCTACTCGGGAATCCCCCAATGACAATACCCCACAAACCTCGAATTGCGGGGGTTCCTCTCGTCTGAACCGGGAATGGCTTGTCATAGTCCCCTACTACGGCCCTCGGTTATGTCGAGATAAGCCCAGGGTCCCTCCATCTTGCAGAACACCCGGATGATGTTATCTTCCGTTTGCTGGTCTCCATTTGCACTCTGATCCGGCAGTCCATCCCTCAGCTCGGCACTGAGGCCTACTACACTGCCGCGTCTCGTAGACTTCGCTAACTATTTGCCGAAATGCCTTTGCTTTTCTGGACCTTGACAACTAGTGGCCATTGAAGCGCCGAGTCTCCGAAGGAAGAGTACCGAATCATTTCCTCGCCTCTACATCGGTTACCAAAACCGAGAACAGACTTCGGGTAAGATTTAAGATATTCCTCCACATATCAATCAATTCTGGAGTGCATCATCTCGAAAGAGGTTCCAATTCATTGAATTAAATTACACATTATTATCTAACGCTAGCCACAACGTGATCTTCATCCTGGTGGCAGATTCCGTCATTGACCTGGGCAGTGCCCAGTGCTGCAGAGCGCTCCAAAGTATGCGGCCACGATGATTGCAACAATCAGAACTGAGACATCATTAGATTCAACCAAGGCTAGAAATGAGGTTTTACTCACTGCACACAAGCAAGATCCACCACTTGTATTTATTCGCGTTGCGCAAACTGATGATTGCCTTGCTCAAATGCTCGTTGGCTTTTTTGTTGTTCTGGTACGTGATATCGGCCTTTTGCTCGATGTTTTGCACGGGACGAGCCTGTTGTTCAACCAGAGCCCCAACATCATGGTACATTTCACTGAGGGTGAGCAAGTCTTGCTCGATCTTGCGAATAGCGGCGGATCGTTGCGAAACCGCGTTTTGGATCTCGGTCGCCTGGGCAGTTCGCATTCCATGGACCTGTGCTAAGGTCAGCTCTGTCACTAAGAGAGCTCTATCACAACCATGACATACCTTGAATGCCTGCTCCCCGCCGTGAATGATATTCTCCACACCAGCGGTCACTTCCTCAGGCGTCGCATCTTGATGTGCAATCTCATACCGCCGTCGCACCTGCGACCGAAGCTTGTCTTCGAAATCCCTCTGGGCTTGGATGTATGCTTGAATTTGCCGCTGGACATTTTCACTTGTAAGTTGCACCTGCTCCTGGATGCGTGGATTGGTCATGTCCGCATCCCGCTTGAGCTCAGCAACAATACCGCGAACTCGCTGAAAGGAGCCCGCGATTTCTTCCTTGATCGAACCAATACGAACTCCAGCGTCATAATCTTGTTGTGAAGTCGTCGAGTCCAGGAGAGCTTGTTGGGCAGGATGAAGTTGCCCCCGCTTCTGGGCAATGTGTTGAAGCTCCTGGTTGACTTTGCGACGCTTTCTGAGTACTGCACTCATATTACTTCGGTCTTGGAGGGCTGCATCATAGGTTGTGTTAGAACTTGACCCTAATCATCAATGACAGGCGCCGTACCATATTGCTCCTGGCCCAGTTCAACGTCCCTGCTGTAATCGTTCATGATGCCGCTTTAATAGTAAAAACTAAAGATGGCTCATTGAATCTGAGAGATTGGACGTCCTGGTTGCAATTAAATGTTCGGACAAGCTTTACAAGGTCCAAGGCAGAAATATAGGTACCTCTCTGCAGGCCGCTAGGCCCGGAGGTAAAATTCGGATGCCTAAAGCAACATCATCAGCCTCGCCGATCGAATTGAGCTTCGGTCGCAACCATGCGCTAGATTGCTGAATTTTACGACGCTGGAAGCGGTGTTGCACAGACGGATCGTCATGGACAGCAAGGCTGTGTACTGGGCTGCCGATCTCGCTTGGACGAGGCCCCCAATCAACGGCATTCCCAAAATAGCCTCGCCGCGATTAATTGAGCCTCATTTCGCAGTCTCAGTAGTCCTCGCCCCGTTGCTGAGAATGATTGCGAGTTATAGAAGTTTTCCTTGAAGACGGCTGCGAAGTAATTTTCAAACGATGCAAATTAGACTTCGTACATTCTAGATGCCCAAGGCAAGATCGCGCTGACTTCGCACTCGCACGAACGTTTCGCGAATTATGGTCAACATTATGACTCGTTTTTGGTTGGGACGTTGGACGATCATTTTGGGGGTCCCCCAGCATCACCATTGTTGGCAAATAAAAGTAGGATCCTTGGTCCTCTGGCATCAATGTGGTTCACGCAGGCGACCGTCTACTTCGATTGGGACGGGACGTGATTTTGAAGAATGATTAAACGAAGCCATAGGGCATTGAGGATAGATGAGAGACAGTCTAGGGGTAGCTTGAATCTTATCACGCATCACATATGTATGACTATCCTCCCTACTCACTCTTTCCGATCCTGCTGTTACAGCACCTGGACATATGACCTTGTCAAGGCGCGGATGTACCCGCGCACCGTACATCCGAGCTCTGGTGTTGGTCGACCAATCTGCGCCCTCGGGAATTCTCCAGACGCCCCAGTCATCGGCCGACGGCTATTACTGAATGATTACTTGAACCTCACCAATCCACAGCATTCGCCAGCTCGGCGATCCACCTTCCCTCCTCACTGGTCCTCGGCAATGTAATTTGGTTTGATCCACCCGGACCCATTGGTATCCATCCATTGCTCTCTTGCGGAATTCATGCTGGGCCGCATAGCACATTTCCCCTCCATACCTGCCGCTCACCAAATCGAAGGACACGCCCGCAGAATATATAAACGTAAATTAATCACCTGGCTTTTGAGATTGTGCCTTGCAGATTCCCAAAGATTAGTCAGGGCCCATAATCGGCGGTCGCAATCGCGGTGACGCCATGCCCGTCTTCACGGAATATGCTGCCGCATCTCGCGAGCTACGCGTCCTACCCTCCTTCGCACCGCCACTACCACGGCTCACGCCAACCATAAAATCAGGAGGCAAGACAGAGAAGTATGAGGTAGTCATTGTCGGAGCTGGTCCGGCCGGACTCATGCTCGAGCTCTTGCTGGCCCGATACGGATTAAGCGACGAGTCCCTGCTGTGCGTGGACGCGAAGCCGACCACATTGAAGTCAGGCCAAGCCGATGGCCTTCAACCGCGGACATTGGAGGTACTGAAGTCGCTTGGCCTCGTGGATGAGATCTTAAGCGAGGGATGTCAAATGTGGCAGGTGATTTCGGCCCATCTATCTAGTGCAAGCCCCCCATTGACTGTCAATGTAGGTGGCGTTTTGGAACCCGTCGAACAAAAAGGACAAGATCATCGAGCGTACTTCGATCGTCCAAGATGTCGCTGTACCTGCACGATTTCCCCACGAAGTCACAATTCACCAAGGCCGAATTGAGCGGATTCTGGCAACAGACCTGCTTCGCTACTCAAAACGAGGGGTGCAGCGGAATACCAAACTCATCGATGTGAAAATTGACGAGGCGGGAGATGCGGAGTTCCCTGTATTGGTCGAGATAGAGACGGAGGGTCAACGGCGCACTGTTCGCTCAAAATATGTGGTGGGTGCCGATGGCGCCCATTCGGTGGTTAGACGATCCATGGGACTCAAATTGGAGGGCGAATCCCTGGATCATATTTGGGGTGTAGTCGACTTGACTGTGGACACAGATTTTCCCGATATTCGCCGGCGCTGTGCTATTCATTCGCCCGCTGGCTCGGTCATGGTGATTCCGCGCGAGCGCATTGCGACTGGCGACTACTTGACACGACTGTACGTGCAAGTGCCGGGCGACGTTAAACCGGACCATGATCAACAAGTGACGGATGATACAAGTACTCCGCCGACGGCCGATGCAAGGGCCCGTCGAAGTCAGGTTACAGAAAAGACCATATTTGAGCATGCAGCAGCCGCATTCAAGCCTTATTATATTCGGCCAAAGGAAGGCGGTGCCGTGGATTGGTGGGCTGCTTATCAGATTGGTCAGCGTGTCACAGACAACTTCTCCGTCAAAGATTCAAAGGGTGTAAACAGGATCTTCATTGCAGGAGATGGTATGTCCCATGACTCCCAGCCAAGGCATGTGTCGGTTTGCTAATATTCATGTTTCCAGCCTGTCACACGCATAGCCCAAAGGTAAACACCAGAAACACTATCCAACCACTCGTGAATGGAGCTAATAATTGATAGGCGGGCCAAGGCATGAATGTCTCAATGATGGACTCATACAACCTGGCTTGGAAGCTAGCTTATTCTATCCACGGACTGACACCTGCAAGTGCTAGCGGATACACGGACCCTCTCCTTGACACATATCACACTGAACGTCACACTATTGCACAGGAGCTGATTGAGTTTGATCGTGCATTCTCATCAATGTTCTCTGGAAAGATCGGTGCTTCCGAGGACGGCGTTGGAGGGTTGACCCATGAAGAGTTTCTCGAGGTATTCAGCCGAGGCAACGGCTTCACTAGTGGATGCGGAGTCGAGTATCCTGAGAATGTGGCAGTGAGCCGCTCTCTAGAGTGTGGTAATAACCCAATTAGCGGTACAGATTATCTGTCTGGAATTTTGCGACCCGGTCGAAGACTGCTGAATGTGCGGCTAGTTCGGCATGCAGATGGTAATAGGCGTGATCTCCAAGATGGTATGAACGAAAGCGCATTCGTTGTCTACCTGGCAAATCGCTGACTGATAGATAGACTTTGCATCTACTGGTCGCTTCCGGATTTTGTGCCTGGCTTCCTCGGACCTCTTGGACCCACAAGGGATCTCCTCCCAGACACTCGTTGCGCTTAGTGCCATTACCACACAGTTTCCCCAGTCGGTTTTGGAGCAAGTAGTCATCCACCCACGCTTGTCGAGGGAGTTCATGTGGAATGACATCCCGCACGAAGTGAAGCAACATGCAGAAATGTCGTTTTACAGTGGATATGAAATGGATGATGTCTACGGTATTTACGGTGTTGACCCAGCCAAGGGGGCACTGGCTGTCGTTCGTCCTGATGGGTATATTGGAATTATTTCCGATCTGGCCAACGTGAAGCGTATAGAGAACTACCTGAGTGGAGTGATTCGCAGAGTTGAGGCATGAACGAATGGAAATCAACCAGATTAGGGAAACCAGATCCTATATCGAGAGTGCATAATACATCGTAGACTGAGATATCGCTTGGAGGTCTGGAAATAATGATCGCAAGAGAAAATATTCAAAGCTCTGTTTCAGATGCTGACAATGTGTACTTGAACACTCCGCATTTACCCAATTTCTCATGCATTTTGGACTCTCAGAAGAACCTGCAAGTGGTTACAGTATTCCGCATGTCGAAGTATATCTGGCGATTATCGAATAGCCCGGAATTGTTCGAGTAAGTAGCCTCCGGCATCAACGCGAAATTAAGGAGACTTATCGCTGAACTCCGATGAATGATTTAGTCGTTGACGGTCTCTTAAAGAAGAGCCCAAGCGCACTACGATCAGGCAGAATGCACCACGTACATTTAGCACCGGTGTACATTATTACGACCAGCTTTTTCTTCACGAAGGGGCAGCTGAATTTCTCACGGCATGGTTGGCCTATTGGTAAGCCATATCGCACAGGGTTTGTCTCGCCTCAGCTCCAAAAACGAGGGTCATGATGGGCGGATTCCTGTCTGCACAGACCTCCGATTTTACGAGGAGGGGCGCGACGTGGATGATTGATGGAGGAAATAATGGACACCCGGTGACGGGCTGTAAGGCTGTGCTAATCTATTCTACTTGGCTGGCCACATGGCCAGCCACTGGGCTGGAGTGGCTTTTGCAGGATCAGCGGGAACCAGGCGAGTGGGTTGGCAGGCGCACACATTGCAATTGCCTTGTCTTCGGAGTTCATGCAATCACCCTAATTCCAGGTGGTCGATCGAACTACAAGACAAAAATCGCGTTTCAAGTTGAACAAAGACCGAGTTCAGACACTCCTAGGGAATATAATTTCTTGTTCCATTTATCAGGCGACACGCAGTTCTGTGCTGACATGCGCCGACCACGTTGTGGCCACAGCCCGTCCAATGGCTGCCGAGGAATGCCGTGCTGACTGCATTTGCGAGGGTTGCAGTGAAACCGGACAGTTGAACGGCACTTGGCGTTGTCGAGGTACATATGACACGGAGGGGCCACAGTTCAAAAATTCAAAGAGAACTTGAAACAGTACTTGGATTGAATTTTGTGTCGTAGTCCGTTCACCAATACCTATTCCGGAATTATCATCAATCTGGGCCGAAGGGTGGGACACTGGCAATAATCCAAAAAGCGACGGTATCACAAGAAGGTATTGCTCTTCGTTGTTGCTGACCGAGGTTCCTTGGGGGCCAGCAGGAGCATAAGAAAAGGGTAGCGCGGGGCAGGCTGAAGACCTGCCAAATAGAGCACCAACAACGCCCCAAGTGCGCCGCTAGTGGGGGCGACGATTTACTAAATGTGGCGGGGCCATGCTGACTCTGCCCTGTTGAGGAAGCTGATGGCTCTTTTTTCTTTCAGGGATTCGACGAAGGGCTGGACTATGTCAGTCTGATGGACGCAGACAAGAGATACACATCACGTAGACAAAGCATGTTGTCGCAGCAAGCTGACACTGTATAGCCTAGTATGCAAAGACAACGAATGAGATCAAACGGAACCAATTCAAAATGAATGATTGATTGATTGAGGAAGAAAATCAGGTGGGGGAAAGATATTGAAATACCCCATGCGTGCGTCCGATACTCGGCTATTACAAAGCCTAGGTTCATGACTAATCCTAAATTACATATGAAATATAAACGACTGTGGGCCCATTAGCAACTAATCAGTTGCTAGCGGTAAGTTATCGCTCTATGTTTCGATACACCCCCTTAGTGGATAGCTATTCGGGCGATTCGCTGCAAAACGAAACAATTTCTCATACTGGCTACCATCAGAAATCACCCTAGATAGCTATACACTGCTAGCCATCATCAAAATTCACCTAGTTCGGTAGGTAAATCTCTCGATATTCGTTGTCTCTTGACTAATTATATTGACCGATATTCGTTATAGCTTAATTGACTGAATCTTTTCGATATTCGTTGATCTTCGGCCTTATCGAGGCCTAATTGGTCTACTATATCGCGGTTAACCTAATACTGATCTCTTTCTAGCCTCATCGAGGCTAAACTAGTCTACTATATCATGGTTAACCTTATTCCGTAATCTTCTTCGACCTTATCGAGGCCGAACTGGTCTACTATATCGCGGTTAACCTTATTCCTTAATCTCCTTCGACCTAGCCTCCGACCGGAGCCGTTAGTCCCAGGGAATCATATTTAACGCTTAACCTCTCTCGTAAATCGTTATCTTTATATACAAATCAGGCTAATTCGTAGGGTCTTTAAGCAGGACCCGCCATCCTTTAGTGTTAGTTAAACTACCGCTACGTAACGATTCAGGGGCTAATTAATTTCGGAAGCTATCGTTGACACAAAGATGGAGGCAAATCGGTACGTATCTTTAATATTAACGGGCTATCGGGCTCATAACTATCGCAGCAAGCTGATACTATATAGCCTAGTATGCAAAGACAACGAATGAGATCAAACGGAACTAATTCAAAATGAATGATTGATTGATTGAGGAAGAAAATCAGATGGGGGAAAGATGATGAAATCCCCCCTGCGTGCGTCCGATACTCGGCTATTACAAAGCCTAGTTTCTTGACGAATCCTAAATTACATATGAAATATAAACGACTGTAGGCCCATTAGCAACTTATCAGTTGCTAGCGGTAAGTTATCACTCCATGTTTCGACACATGTCATGTTCAGCCGTGTACTCTCCGCCAAGCCCTGATCGGGCTGTAGGGCCTGCCCGCCCCCATGGTCTTTTTGTCCTTCAGTACTCCGTTTTCTTTCTTCTTCTCTGCGCACCCTCCTTGAGGCCTTGCAGTGTTCAGGAATTCTGATTGCCAAGCCCCCGTCCAGGATGCTGCTCGCACGGCAGGCACTCCGACCGCTCCTGGTTTCGATCATTCTGGCGACACTGGGATGCGCACAAGATACTTCTTATGGGACTGTTACTACGACCACTTATGGGGTAGCCAGCAGTTCGACGCCTTCCACCACGACGACATCGACCACGACGACCTCGACCGGCAGCGCCACGCATACCATTCAAGTCGGTCCCAAGTCAAACCCGCACGCTTATGTCCCCCATAACATCACCGCCAACCCGGGAGATGTTGTGGTTTTTGAATTCTACCCGACAAATCACTCCGTCGTCAAGGCAGACTACGACGCACCGTGCGTGCCAGCTAGTGAGGGGGTTTTCTTTTCTGGAATGTTCAACACCTTCAGTGAGAACGATGGGCAGCTTATTGGACCGGTAAGTAGCAGGAAGAAATGGTACCCAGCGACCTATAAATTGGATCGACTAATTTTTCTGGTACTCAAAGGCGCCGACCTGGTCGTTGATCGTTAATGATACCAAGGTAAAATCGAATGAGATGATCTTTGGCTTGTTGGGCATAATATCTGACACGATTTTGTAGCCAACGTTCTTCTACTGTACTGCGATCGGCTCATGCCTGCAAAATGGAATGGTGGGCGTTATCAACCCGGTACGTCTAACGATTCTGTCGAACTACAATATTAGGATGGCTTCTGACATTTGGCCGTAGAACTCGAGCCAAACCTTTGAAGCACAATACAAACGAGCCTTGACCTACCCCTATATGCTGGTCCCTGGCCAGTCTATGCCTGCCGAAGGCGGTGGGTCGACTTCCGCCGACTCGAGCTCAACAACGTCGAGCTCAACAGCGTCCAGCGCAACAACTGGCAGTGGCTCATCCGGCGCAAACGGAGGTCTGAGTAGTGGTGCAATTGCTGGTATAGTGGTTGCAGCAGTTGCATTTGTTGCAATTTTGGTCATCTTGTTCTTTGTTCTCGGTCACAACCGCGCATACTCCCAATGGATGTCCTCGCAGGACGGCCGGACCGAGCGCACAGCACGCTGGGCAATGTTCAACACCCAGGGCGGTTCATACGGAAACCGCAAGAGTGAGCTCGACAGCAACACACCGAACCCGCCTGGTACCGATGTCACCTTCGTGGGTAGCCCAGATCCTAATATGCGCCAATTCTCGCCTGCACCGGACTCGGTCTCGTTCGGTGGCTCGTCTCCGCGCCAAAATTCCGGCCAGTGGAACTGGGAGATCCCGCAGAACGCCCGCTACATTCGTGGCCCAACCGAATTGGAAGCAAATAATATCATTCATCAACTACCAGGTAGAGGGGAGTAGGGATCGGCGTTTTGCTGCTCGGCCGAGATGGTTTAAAACGGTGGGGCTCTCTGCTGATGCAGAGACAAAGTGGGAGATTTTATTTTATATCTTTCGTCATTCCTCCTTTCTCTGTGACTGTGATGGTTTACCTGATACTTTATACATGTTATATTATATTGATACACCCATAGTTTAGTATTGCCTTTCATGAAGAAATAACAACTCAATTTTCTATTCGGGAATAGACAAAGAGATGAATCTCACTCTCGGGCGATGCCTTCAAGAGGTATACTATAATCTCTCCATTCCAAATCTTCATTTTCTCAAGTGAATGCAATTGAACTTTATTTGTGTCATTGAAACCACTTATCCATTGGATTCCCGCTCACTAACGATATCCTCCAATCCAAGATTGCCGTTCTGGAACAGGCAATTGCTTGCATAAGGGACGCCAAGACTTCGCAGTCACCGCTTACGCGAATTCTCTCGTTTGTCTCATCGCCCCAACCCGAAGTTATCCTACAAGCGAGTGTTTCCGAGCGCCTCCTTTACAGCGCCCCAAGACCCCCCGCGTTATCTATCTTATCGTCCATTGGGGAGATCCACTTGGATGTGATGACTACCCCACAGTCTAAGGGCCGCGCGGGCATCTCTGAAGTCCAGAAAAAAGCCCTTCGTGCCTGGTCCCAGTCGCAACAACCTCGTCCAACCCATGCATCCTGTATTGCCTGGTTCCAGCAGACCTATAACCGGCGACTGACTCAATCCAGTATCTCGCTCATTTTATCCAAAAAATACGATTACCTTGACATTAGACCGGCATCCTCCTCGCTCCGACAGCAACCACCACAGTGGCCTGCCTTGGAACAGCCGTTGTCCGAGTGGCTGAAAAAGGCCCGGGAGAATGGCGAACCAGTCACCGGCGAGGTCATCTGCAACAAGGCTCGCAAGATTTGGCCCCAAATCACCGAATATGCTAGTCATCCGGTACCTCAGTTCAGCCAAGGCTGGTTATCGAAATTCAAAAGACGTTTCGAAGCTGGCTTAAGCGAGGGCCAACATGACGGTGCCCTCCCAGCAGCTCCACCGAACCAGCGCAAAGAGCTGCAGGCACTGCGGACAATCTGCGGAGAGTTCAAGGAAGAGGATATCTATAACATGGACGAGACTGGTCTATTGTGGCGCAAAGCACCCTTCGATGCTCTTCCTGCTGCCCCAAACGAACTCAGAAAAGACCGGGCGCATATCTGTTTGATTGTGTGCACGAACTGTACTGGGTCTGATCGGATTCCTATTTGGGCGATTGGCCACAAGGAGATGCCCAATGCTCTTCGCGGCGTCAATCTCAAGGCTATGGGGTGCGAGTGGCGCTATAACAGACAGGCTTGGCTGGACACTCGAATCATGTCGGAGTGGTTGACAATGTTTTATGAGCATATCGGCTCCCGGCGAGTTCTGCTGTTCCTGGACAACTTCCATGCCCACGAAGCTGCCCTGGAAAGTACACCCCCACCGCCAAATATACACATCCAGACGTTTCCTGCAAACAGCCCGAAAGAGCATCAGCCCCTTCGCCTCGGAATAATCCACCATCTCAAACAGCATTACCGCAAACAGTGGCTTGGATATCTCTTAGCCGGCTTTGATTCTGGCCAAAGCCCGATGCAAATGATGAGTCTTTATCACGCCCTCTGCTGGATAACGCGCAACTGGCGACATGATGTTGGGAACGGGACTGTCTACAAAGCGTTTCGCAAAAGCACACTTGTTGATCCCCCAATTCAGTACTTGACTGCGCCAAAGCTGCCTGATATGACCGATATCTATAACAAAGTTATCAGGTATAACCGAGGTGGTCTTTCCACGAAGACCCTTGAAGAGTGGCTAAACCCTGTAGAGGAGGAGTTTATTGATCAGGCAGATGACACAACTTGGTTCAACCCAACCGTGGATACTTCTACTCTTGATGAGCCAGTCATTCATCTTCCACCGCAAGAGTTCATTCCTATGCCAGGGGAAGCCATCTCGGGCATTCAGACAGCTATGCGATACCTGCTGCATCAGCAGACAACTACTGCAAACGATATCCTATACCTGGAGACAATGGAGAAAGTATTAAGAAGGAAGTTGATGAATGATGAGCATCAGCGGCAGCACCACGCCGCTGCTCAACTTCAGACTCAATCGCCTGCTCAAGCACCTATTCGGATACCGGGGCCAGCAATAACGGAGCGATCATCTTCATCGCCTGCTGAACCGGCATTTGAATTGTCTGTTCAAACACCGACTCGAGAACCAGCTCATGCCGCATATATGGAAGTTCAAATTCCTCCTCCGTCACCAAAACCAGCCCAGGCTTCAATCCAAGCGCCAACTCAACAGACAACCCAGCCACTATCTGACGTGTCAACTCTAGCGCCAGCCACAGGACCATTGAAGGAGCCATCAGAAGGAGTATCGTACCAACCACCGAGAAACCAATCAAAAGCGGGCTCAGATGAGGACATGGAGATGTAAATCACCAATCCTCAGCCGTTGCTGAGTTATTTCCTCCTTTCGAAAATAAAGTTCAAGGGTGCTGCAACTAAAGTGAACGCATCGCGCCTGCCATCCAGAAAAGCCGTTGTAGTTTGGCCTTCGGCGAAAGAAACCTCATACCGAGTGAGGATCTCGGCGGTTACTCGGCGGAGCTCCATTAATGCGAGTTGCTTTCCTACACAATAATATATACCTGATAGTTCATATCAGTTCCCTGCTGCATCGAGTATAGGAGATATGGCATACCGCCACCAAATGGAAAGAATGCCGATGGCTCTTTCACCAGTTCAGGGTTCGTAGTCCATCTCTCTGGGACGAACTCCTCAGGTCGTTCAAAGATTCGTTCATCTATGGAGACCCAAGCCCCGGTGAGCAAGTTGTGTCATAAAAGAGGTGGGAGCATCTTCCCTATCAATAAGCATATCAAATGACCGTCCAAATGATAGATCACCCATCACGTCAAATGCATAGTAGTTGAACCATTTGGTCATATCCATGGCGTGCGATACATTGTCTTCGATGACCTGTAACAGTTGCTCAGTGTAACGAGAGATGCGAGGCTGGGCTCATAATTACGTAGAGCTGTAACAATTCGATCCCATCAGATCCAGTGGTTACGGAAATGAAAAAAGACGTGGAAGATACCTTGGGTGGTAAATCCCTGGTCCCAAACCTTCCGTCGCCTCGCAGGCTCCGGCTTATCTCTTATAGTATGAAGAGAACAACGGAGCTCTGGGACAGTGTACCAGGGGCTCTTGGAGACCTTGGCTTGAGAGCTGTGGATCCACTTCACAGCAGCTGGGTCCGTAATCGATAGTTCAGTGGGACCTGTTATACAATGTGGGTCAGTTGAGGTTATTTTTCACATCGGTTCGGTGGGAGCATCTTGCTACTCACCTATGCGCACGTAGTCACCATATTGCCTGTGTAGTTTCTCTGCCTCTTCAAAGAGCTGCAGCTTCTTGGCAGAGAGCCAGGTCACGTAGAAGTTGGATAGTTTGGCCAGGAATGGCCCGGGAAAGCAATTCAAACGATGCCAAAAAACACGATAGAACAAGATACTGGTATAGATCCCGAGAATATGATATAATATCAGGCTCGTGCCCCATCCTTGTTGACCTGATTCGGCAGGGGTTAGAATAGTCAGGGAGCGTTCGACGACGATGGTAATATGTCGTGGTAGGAAATCCTGTTCAAATGTCGTACTACTCCTGCTCCTCGTGCGAGTAATACCAAAACTCACATCCAGCCTACTGTGATGGCTTCGCGAAAGGTAATTTTGCCGGGCGAGTGAGCGCGATGAGGAAAAGCCCAAGTGGCGAGAAAGACTGGTCCCAGCATTTTGGTTAATCCAGTTTCTTGTAGTACAGTGTCGTCAGTAATCACTGTATCGTCAATGCCAACAACCTCATACAAGATGAGCCCTAAACTCAATCTTTGCGTACCACTTGGCTGTGAGTAGAATGGGCGCGATACAGAGCACGGTTCAAGTTGTCACTAGAGATGTGGTGGTGTTTGGACTTCCTGAACTGCCTAAAGTGTTTACTTACAATCAATACAGGCAATTCCAAAGAAGATTCAATCTAGTCAACACGATATATCAACACCGCAATACGAGAATAGAAAAAAGCCGACAGTACAGCATCCAGCGGTGAAAGAATGGAAGGGGAGGAGGAAACAACTCTATCATGCACTCTCTTCTGCGCCCCCTCCTACACCGAGCACAAAATGGACCAACGCGCTGGTGATTTAAGCACCAGTAGGGCGGCCACCGCTAGCGGTGAAAGAAGAGGAGTCACCAGGAGGTGAACCGCCGCCCATGCCGCTACCGGAACTCTCGTTTTCAACACCCCCCTCCGAAGTATAATAAGCAGCGGGAGTAACGTCAGTGTCCTCGGTGCCATCAATGCCGACAGAGATCCAGGCAAAGATACCTTCGGAGACGTCGTCACCAATCAAGACGTACTCCATGAAGGGATCAATATTGTCGGCCTCTTCAGACAGGATGCTGTCATTGGCATTGGTAGTCAGGTCCTGGGTGTTGGTGGAGTAGGGAGAGGTCTCCTCGACCTTGGTGATCAGGTCTTGGTCGAAGAAGAGCTGGCCAATGTGAGAGGACTTGGTGATGTAGAGGTTGTTCAGGGTGTTGTTTTTGAGAACAGTAGTCTCGTTGATCGCGTGAGTCAGGACTGTACGATTGATTTATTAGCGACAAGTTCTCTTGAATATTGATAGGACAGAGGTGGAGTCGCTCGCAGGCAGAATCGGATGTATATGGGGGTGCATACCGTGAATGTGGGTAGCACGGCCAGTGTAATGACCAGGAAAAATAGACTCAAACTGGACAACGCCCTCGTTGTTGCTGGGCTGAATTCCGCGCAGGAAAGTAGCGTCAAGGTTAGTAGCATCGGACGAGTCGCCGTTGCCGCTGGCCTGGATACCCGAGTAGACACCCTGAGACGATAATAGTTAGGCTTGCCTCTTGTTTCGTGATTTTGGATTCTGAGATTATCTTTAGACATACGGTGGCATTGCAGTGCCAGAGGTCCATGTAGACATTGGGCAAAGGGTCGCAGGTGTTAGTGTCGATAACCTGGATGTCCATGTACAAAGGCACACCCTCCTGGGAATCAACGATGTTCTCACGAATCAGCTCACCGGTGACGTCTAAGTGCTGTTAGCCAACTGCATGTGAGTGCATCGAAAGAATTACTAACAGTAAGGGCCCTGGGTGACATCGGGGCCCAGAATACAGGTGGCCTCAGATCCAAAAAGGACTGACGGATCAGTCGATGCGGTAAGGCCGGTCAGGTTTGAGGCGTGTGAGGTGGTTAGGATGGTGTCCAGGTCACGCGCCTTGAGGAAATGTGCATCTATAAAAATTGTCAATATCAATTGAATCGAATGCATAGCTGCACAAGAGGTCCAGCCGTTTCTATGAACGAACCAGTGCTCAAACCACGGCGGCGGCGGATTTGGTTTACAGCGTTTTGACGCCGGGAAACGCTCCTGCTCTCAAGACCGCGGGCCTTTAACTTGGAGGCACACTGAGATAGGCTGCGAGTGTGAATTGGCGCATTACGCAAGAAGTTGCGGCGCTCAGTAGCCTCTGCCTTGTGGTCGTGGCCCGGGTGGGTGGACGCAACGGAAGCCAGACCGAGGAGGCCGGCGGTGACGGCAGATGCAAGATGAACCATGGCTGGTATAGATGAAGTTTTATGATTGAGAATCGTGCGAAGAATGGAGAGTCTAGAAGAGCGAAATGCTGTTGTTTCTGTGATTTCAACCGAATACCCAGGCGAGCACCCAGGCTTTTATATCAAGCTGCCAAGCCTATTTACTATAGAACAAGTATAGTTCCTCCGTAGCTCGACGGGCATTATATTGACGGCTGTGTCTCCGGCCCCACTTGCACCACCGACAAGGGTGTAACATAATCTGCCAAGTTCCGCAAATAAGGAGGCAGCCGTTTCTCATCTGACATGGTACCGAAGCTCGAGGCCACTGCCAGGCCCGCAGCGGAGCAACCACCGCCTCCAAAGACCTAGACGGTCGAATATAGTTCCGCTTAATTCATCATCTTGCCGGTAACTGGCCTCGGGATTTGACGATGGAAAAACAACCCTTTCCTGATGCAGCGCTGGGAGACAGATGATGAGTCTCGCGACGATCCTTAGGCGTCAAGGTACTGCCAAGATACGGTGGACGAGTCGGGCTACGCACAAGCTCCACGCGGAGAATTAAGGATGAGGGCTTAGCGGATCCGTATGTACAGAACAGTGTCCACTCAATGGAGAGGGGCCCAAGTGATCTGCGCGCGATGACGAGGCGCTACCCGAACACAGCACATCTCCGTCCACTTGCACAAGTTTACGGTGTGTCATCAGAAGAGCAAGCCAAAGATGTGGATAGAGGCACATGGAACAGACTGGCGGATACTAGTCCAGTTTACGGCGAGCAAGGTGTCCTTGATTGGGTCCGGGTCCATTCAAGACTCACAGGTAGTATTAATCCCCCAACCGGGCATTGGCAATAAGATTAGGCATTAGACAACCTATATTCACCTGTCGATCCTTAATACATGGATGTAGTTGTATATTACTTCGCCCTGGGCAAGCTTGCTGGTCGGTGATAGTGGTTTGGGGCCAACGTACGTATACACCGGATTTTATCCGCCCACTCTTGGCATCCCTCTTCCGTTCTAGTGCTCACCCTCTCGCCGCTTTTGCTTACTGAGTAGAATTGAGCACGCCCCTGATCAACCTGAGCTGGTCAGTGATCATTACAATCGAACCCCTTTTGCTTCCAACCTCAAGGAGGTGTACGACGATGCGCAAATTGACTACGGCAGCACTACGAATATAAGTTAACGGACTGGCGAGCTGAACTGAAAAAACTGTCCGCCATTCGGGCCATTCGAAGGGTCTGCTTTACGTCCTTTAGCCCCAGCAAAACAATCATATTTTCATGACCCCCCAGTTTCCAGTACATTATCAAAAAATGTGAGAGGAGAGTAGTAGCCAGAAGGAAAATCTGATAAGTCTTTTTGTTAGTTGCAACCGGCATGACCGAGTGTGCTTCTCACATTGATTGTTGAACGTTGCGCCAAATCCATTCAGAGGTATGGCATCAAAATCCGTCAGAAAGTCGTAAGAAGCGGACCCGCTACCGTCCTCGGTAGACGCTTCTGTGTTTCCAAGGACGAAGCTCAGAGCTTTCGCTACTTTTCCAGCTTCTGCAGATGCCGTACTCATTTGAAGCCAAATCTTGTGCGAGATCGTTAGTTGTTGTCGAATCTCTTCAACCCTAGGCGACCACGTTGTCTGTCCTGAAGTCTCAGGCAATTCAAATTTATCGACGTCTTGAAGGTAGAGACAGAGCACGCTCGTTGCGAGGAGAACATCCTGGTTGAAAATATGGATGACCTTCCATCTAAGCTGAGACAAACGACCAAATGGCTGAGACTCTTCGTGAAGCATCTGTTGAAATGATAGAATCTTGAGTGCGGAATCTAAACAAATTCGCACCGACTCCCTGTCCCGCTCTTGAGACTGTCGAACTGGGTAGCTGATCAAAGCGCTCCGGTACAGGAGGATGCGTGATTTGTAATAGGTCGTTTCTACACTTACCCGCTGTATCACAAGGCTTGGACTATCCGTGATGGGATGTGGCATAGGTTCCCAGCGCAGCACGGGCGGAATAGCACGATTGTGCACGTCTTCAAGAAGTGCGTCGACCTTGATGACCTTGTCGTAGGAAGGGGGATTAATGTCGGCGTTGACGTCGCAAATCAAGCCGAGAGCTGATATCAGTCGCCCTTTTGCAATGAGAGGGAGCACCGGCGTCCATTCTGTTTCTGGCCTCGGCGGAGGCATCTCGGTTGTGTCCTCTTCAAAATCACAGTCGCGCAGATTACGGGGCTGTTTTGTATCGATGTGCGTATCTCTGGCACTTCGAGGAAGACCCATTTCCAAGGAGAGAGCGAGATCTAATTGAAGGATTGTAGTCCAGATGCGTCTACGCATCTCACCCTCGAATGGAGATATTCCGGGAAAGTGATCTGGGTCCCGGTGATAGCCCATGCGCATTGCAAGATGAAGTATCATACTGATCAAAAGCCAGCCATCGGTAGCGCTATCTTTCAAGAGTATAAACTCTCCAGTAAGGACCGTTATGAGGGTTTCCAGGATATATGGACCTCCCGTCGTATACCTGGCCAGAATAAGACACTGAACGGCCTTCTCCCGGAAGGCATCCTTCATGGTAAGATATTCCGCCTTGAGCGATTCGGCTCGTCCGTCGGTGAAGTCAGTGGTGAAGGTCTGCAACTGCGCAGCAATATATAACATGGAGAACATGAGACCGATCCAAGCGATCGAAGCTGCAGACGGATCTTTCCAGAAGGTTTCGTACTAGTCAAATGTCAGACTGCTTGTAATCGGCCAGGTTAGAAAGAACCCACCTCTCGGAGAAACTTGTTACCATGAATGAGATCTACAACACACAGTCAATGCCTCTGAGAGCGGAAAGGAAGCCTGGACGTACTGACACGGAGTGATAATGTAGGAATCGAAGTGAAGGGCCATGAGGCGGTCAACAACTGGACGAGGAGGAACAGCAGCCAGTATTTCATCTCGAGTTGCATGACGGTTCGGGCCATAGAACAAGTGTGAACCGGGCAGAACCTTGCTATCAGTGACGAAGTCCTCCTTCAGTCCTCTGATTTTGGCAAGAATGGCCTCCCAATGGGCACTCTGGACATAGCTGGTTCCAGACTCGCGCAACTTTAGGGTGCCAGGGTCTGCCGGGGATGCAGCTTTATCCTGCGATTTTTTTGGTCTCTGGATCTCAGGGAACACATCTGCGAATGATAGCGAGCTTGGTCTCGGCGATTTCGGTGCGGGCGGACTTGGGAGTGATTGGCCTTCCATGAGCGTCACGACAAGGCTCTCCAGTTCAGAGATTCTGCCATGGAGGCTGGTGGACTGTCGCAGAGCAACGGACCGCTGAGCATCGGACGTAGAAGAAGATGTCGTCGCATAATTGCAGGAGTTGGTGAGGCCACGCCTTGAGCAAGCTCCGCATGGATGCTGTCGGTCGCACCTCAGCCTAGCAAAGTTAAGCGTGCGCGACTTTGTGATGGCTATGGAGCACGTACTTTCGGTGTCTGCAAGGGTCACAGGAAAACTGGACTTTGTCTCTGCGTCGATTTGGCGGCGGGCGCGGACGTTGAGCATTATCGGCCATAGTGTGACTGGATTGAGGCGCTTGCGGAGCTCAACCTCGTACGCGACAATCTGGGTATGCCCCAAACGGGATTGTCCCCTGCTCTGCTCTCAAACAATTTCACAGTCACTTCAAGAAAAGAAGGAAGCTATCTGGCGGCGCAAACCGAGAGGCAATGAAAAAAGCAACGACAGTCCGACCGTCCGACCCTCCGCGTCAACCCTCCGCATCAACCGTCCGTGCGCCGCCCACGATGCTTGCTCCTCCGACCCTCCGCGTCCGCTCGCTCTTCGAGCTCCCCTTCTATTAAGCAAATCTCCAGTTTGGCTCCGCATTTACGGACCATTTTGCAGATTTATTCGCTGGCGCAATTAGCCCTTGCCCAAAGAACTATAACTATGACTCCTCGACGCGGCCTTGTCCATCCGGGCGTTGTCCGGCCGCCTACACTGCCTTCAAATATATAGCAAGCAAAGCCTGGCACTAGTGAACAAACACGCGCCAATAGCCAATATCCCAGAGTCACACCACCCTCGACAGCATATCATGGCGGCCGACTTGGAATCCGCCCATGAGAAGCCAGCCATATCGGAAGACGGCCACCATGACCAACAATCTAGCGAGTCTGACCAAATAGCAATTGAACAAGAGACAAAGGACAATGTCGTCGACTGGGCTGGGCCAGACGATCCCCAAAACCCGCGGAACTGGCCAGCATGGAAACGCATGACCCAAGTCGTCCTCGCCACCACTTTCTTGCTCACTGCGTAAGGCAGTTCCTGCGCTCCTTTGCGAAGCAATTCCCGTACTGACTACTACACATACAGCAACCTCGCCGCGACAATGTTTGCACCTGGAGCTGCCGCGCTTGCTAAGGAGTTCCATATCACGAGTTCCACCATTACCAGTCTCACCGTGTCCATTTACCTTGCCGGCTTCGCCGTTGGGCCAATGGTCATTGCACCGCTATCCGAACTGTACGGACGCCTTGTGATCTACCACACCTGCAATGTCATTTACATTGGCTTCCTCATCGGATGTGCGCTGGGCAAAAACACTGGCATGTTTCTCGTTTTTCGATTCCTTGCCGGATGTGCTTCTTCGGGCCCATTGACAGTTGGCGGAGGAACCGTCGCCGACGTCGTCCCGCCAGCTCAGCGTGGGAGGGTCATGTCTCTGTTCTTCGTGGGACCACTTCTGGGACCAGTAGGTGGCATTACCCCACGCCAACCGTCATGACACTGACGATGCTTCAAGGTCTTCGGCCCAATTATTGGTGGCTTTGTGTCCGAATCAATTGGCTGGCGATGGACTTTTTGGATCATCATAATCCTAGTGAGTAGAGCTCAACCCCCTACTATTCTCGAGTCGCTGACGGTTCGACCTAGGCAGGAGTATCATTTACCATATCAATCTTCTTCCTCCGCGAGACCAATGCCGCTGTGCTGCTAGGATGGAAAGCTGCTCGCCTCCGGAAAGAAACTGGCAATGCTGCTCTGGTTTCGAAGATGGATCGAGGCCTGACCCCCTGCCAGCTGTTCCTCCGTGCTATTAGTCGACCAACAAAGCTTCTCATCCTGTCGCCAATCGTGCTCCTCCTTTCCCTCCTGTGCGCGTTCGTTTTTGGCCTCCTCTTTATGCTGTTCACCACGTTTCCCACGGTTTTTGAGGAACAATACCACTTCTCCGCCGGCGTTTCTGGCTTGTCATATCTCGGCGTTGGAATTGGAATGGCCGTCTCTCTCGGAGCCTTTGCCACCGTGAGCGACAAGCTGCAAAAGGCACTTGGGGATTCGCCCGAACCTGAAGGACGCCTGAAGCCCATGATGTGGGTCATGCCCGCCGTGCCCGTCGGCATCTTCTGGTATGGCTGGGCAGCCGAGAAGCAGACTCATTGGATCGTGCCCATCATCGGCACCTCCTTCTTTGGATTCGGCTTTCTCTGGGTCATCATGCCAACTCAGCTCTACATGGTGGATGCTTTTGGCCCTGAGGCTGCCGCCTCTGCGTTGGCTGCGAACGTGATTCTCCGACTTCTTTTTGCAGCTTTCATTCCATTGGCAGGGCCGTCTTTGTATGCAGACCTAGGACTTGGGTGGGGGAATAGCGTCCTAGGTTTTATAGGCGTGGTTTTTCTTCCAGTGCCATTCTTCTTCTATCGTTATGGAGGGTGGCTTAGGGAGCGTTTTGCTGTTAAGCTATGACATTTCATGTTGAGATAGAGGTATCATAGATCTGTTTTGCCATTTGCAGCGCTTTTCACGAGGAGATTGTCGCGACATTCTGCTATTTCATTCCATGCATAACCAGGTATCGATGATAGATTTAATGTCTCCACTAGGAAGCATAACCTTAACCACCAGCAGTTCTCCTCTACCAGGTTTGATGTGAAAGGTAGTTAGTTCTACCCAAGGCATTTCTAGATTCGGCCAGTTTCCTTATTATGAAGTTGTGAGATATTGTATTTAGTATGGTGTTTTGGAGTGGCCCGTGTGGCCCGGTCGGCCGTGTTACGTTGTAGTTAATCACTAAGCCATCACTAAGCACCTCTCGATGATCACTGATCTACCAGATCACTGAGCATGAGACCCGTGCTGACATTTACTCAGTGAGCCTGAGCCTGATGGCCCTCATTAAAGCGGCGGCAGCCCAGACGGGAAAGCCCCACCCGGCGGACAAAAATCCTGTGTATATAGCCGCATATAACAAAATGTGTAGAAATCATCTTATAGACAGCATAAAGAGGTGATTTAAGTATTTATTTCTCCGCGATATTATTTTCAAACCTACTCATCTCTTGTACTAACGCTCTGCTAAAGTGTTATCTTCTACATACCACCTTGGATAAAAAGATTACCTACAGAGATACTGACTCGTTAATTCAGGAGTATTTGTATTACTTTTTTTTAGAGTGGAGTGCCATATAAGAGAACAAACAATTCGGCCAGTCTTATCGTCACAGCCGGAAGATATTCAGTCGAGATTCCGAAGGTCAGGGTTAGCTTCTTTCGCTGGGCATTGGGTAGTTTCTACAGACTTTTGTCACCCATGTGCTCAGTCTACGTACTCCTCCTTGGCATGCCCGTAGGGCCTCTGCGGGTCTCAAATGCAAAACCGGATGGAATGATAAAAATGGGAGGTAAGCTCCCCGAACCAGGTTTTACCAAGCGGGGCTCATTATTTTGAACGGAGGACTGCCAAAAGGCATGCGAGGTGAAACTTGTGGGCGCGATCAGCGTAGCACAGGTTGTGGAGAATTTTTGCTAAGAGGCTTATTCAGCGGGCGAAATCTTGGCAAGGGTTACCGCAGATCCCCCGTTGCCGAAAGGGCAAGCAAGGGAGTGGAAATTCCATATCACCTATTCAAGTGGCGTCGTTTGATTGTGATGGATATAGTGCATACGTTGCCCATGTGGATGCCTGAATCATTCCGATGCCGAGATTTCTTACTCTAACCTAAATTAAGACAGCACAAGGTGGAATCGCTGATATAGTGGATATTCGATGCTAATATGCGAGGTCTAGCGCCCAGGTCTTATACCATCCGAGATATAGCTCATATTATCATAGTAGCTCGCTGCGAAAAACCCCTAAGTAACGACATAATGTTTTACAGAAGTAGCCACAGAATGCTGCTCAAATGACCAATGCTAATAACATACAACATAAGAGTAGAGAGATACGTAGTCTACATAGATCCGAGAAGAGCACGACGGATCAAACATTCCAACCTCTACTGCTGCCCCTTCCACGCGGCACGCTTGCGGTAGATGTCACGACGGAACACTTGCTTCAAGCTAGAGACTACGGCATTATCAGTGGGCACCGCGGCCTGAACGGCACCGACACCACAGAGGTCATTCTTACGATCGATAAACCACGCAAACGTGAGGCCGCCACCCCAGGTTAGTGTTCGGTCTCCGTACCAGCCATCCACGTCCTGGCACAAAAGCAGACCACCCAATCCATGTCCAGCCTTCATATCGGGTTCAATACCGACACGGAAGAAAACACCCATCGGACTAGCCAGGGCAGCCTGGTGGCTAGCAGTCGCTTGAGGGCCGAGGTGATGCTGGAACATGTTGTCGACAGTAGCAGGCTTAAGCAGTGTCCCATCATTTGCCAGGAGCGAGCGCAAAATTTTGATATAGTCGTTTCCGGGCAAGAAGAGACCGTGGCCGCCAAAGTCTCCGCGCGTGCGTTTGTTCATATCGCCACTGCCTCCGAGCACAGCGCTACCTAGGCCCTCCGGGTCATCTGGGTTAAGATCGACCATGCGAGCTCGTAGATCTTCACGGGTAACCGGGAAGAATTGTCCGTCTTTGATACCGAGCGGATCAAATATGCGCCGCTGCATGCGCTCGCCGAGCGAGGTACCCGTTAGCCGCTCCACGATGCGGCCAGCCCAGTCGAGGCCTGGGCCATACATCCAGCCTTCTCCGGGTTGGAAGGCGAGCGGGTAGCTGAAGAGCTCTTCGACAGATCGAACCCCGTCTTCGTCGGGGGCGGAAAATTTCTCACGCCATTGGGCGACGTGCGGGTTCATGAAGTGGTAGGTTAGCCCCGAGCTGTGCGAAAGAAGCATTTCCAGTGTGATGGGGCGCAGTGCGGGCTCGAGAAGGGGTGTTTCGCCGTCTTCTGAGAAGCCGGTGATGACCTCTTTAGCAGCGAGTTCGGGCGCGATAGCCGAGAGGTCGCCGTCTAGAGTTAAGAGGCCGTCCTCAACGCACTGCAGCGCGGCAATGGTAGCCACCAGTTTGGTCGCGGAGGCTAGGAATAGGACATCGTCCAGCTGCTGGGGCCGTTTCTCCCCGGTCAGAAGAGTGCGCTCGCCGAAGGCCTTGTCATAGACAAAGTGGGCTTCGGCATCGGTCGCGCAGATTACGGCGCCATTGATTGTTCCTGCGTCGATGGCAGCTTGGAAGCTGGAATCGATGTCGTCGGTCATGATTAGGGCAAATGATCTGTTTTTATTATGCCGCTCGGTTTTCTATGTCCTAATGCGCTTGGAAACAAAGACGCTTGTATGAAAAATGTCGGAAGGTTTTCTATGTTTGAAGTAAGTTTGTGGGGGGTTTCCCTGCGATCATGAGGGCGGAACATGGTTTCTCCTCGGTGTTTGCGGGCTTTTGGAAACCCCGACCGACTTATGACAGGACAACATCCATGGAAACGATGATGAGAGGCTTGCAGGAATAGATACACAGCTCCATTGGGAACGTATATTGAGACTTATTTCCAAGTCCCTGATCAAGCTTAGCTTGAGCTTGAGCGAAAAAGCAGGAGTGATGATATTCCTGTACACTATTCCCGTAGGACTGCATGAACCTCGAAAGGAGACGATTTTGGGTATTTTGAATAATTTCAATTAAATATAGATACATCCAAGCGTAATTAATTTTGCACATTAAACACAGGTGACAAAGTAGCGACATGAACACGTGAACGCATGAACACCCTGGTATACGCTAAACAACGGGACCAGCCTGCACGTAGCAAAGAGGTATAGTATAGCACGGAGATCCACAGATCATGCCAAAGAGGAAGCTAGGCACACTAGCTTGACCCAATCTAGACCTCGACCTGAGCAACCGTGGGGGCAGCAATGACCTTCTCGCTGTAGGTGACACCCATCTCCTCGGCGAAGGTGGAGTGGGGCTTCCAGCCGGCCGAAGTGCGGGGAGTCGTCTCCTCCATCATCTTGTCGACCTGCTCAAGGGTGAGGCCCTTAGTCTCGGGGATGAGGAAGTAGGTGTAGACGAAGGCGCAGGTGCACAGGGAGCCCCAGATGAAGAACACCTTCGCGCCGAGGTTGCCCTGGTCGGCATCGGTCATGTAGGGGGTGATGACGGCGATGATGCAGTTCCAGAGCCAGTTGGAGGCGGTGGAGAGGGCGACACCGCGAGAACGGATAGGCAGAGGGAAGATCTCGCCGATGACGACCCAGGCACCGGGACCCCAGGTGCTGGCGAAGAAAAAGATGTAGATACAGATGAAGGCAATCATGGCAGAGACAGCCTTAGGGTTGTTGCCGTCAGTGACACCGATGATGGCTACAATGAATTGGCAGATCACCATGCCCAGGGCACCCCAGAGGAGAAGAGGGCGACGGCCGACCTTCTCGATAGCGTAGAAGGAGATGGGGGTGGAGAGCACGTTGACGATGGTGGTGATCATAGTCAGCAGGAATGGATTCTGAATGGTGCCGAGCTGCTTGAAGAAGGTGGTGCCGAAGTAGAAGACGAAGTTGACACCGGTCCACTGCTGCATCATCTGGAGGGAGGTACCGAGGATGGTGCGGCGCAAGTTGCTGTTGGGGTGGAAGAGGCTCCCGCGGAAGCAGTTGAACCAGCTGTTGAAGTATCCGCCATCTGGGATGACAGTCATCTCGTACTGGAAGTTGGCGTCGATCTCGTTGAGCTCCATCTCGATGTACTCGGAGTCGGCGGGCTGGCCACGGATGCGGGCGAGAACCTCACGGGCCTGCTCCTTGTTGCCCTTGCGGATGAAGTAACGGGGAGACTCGGGCAGGAAGAACAGACCGGTGCCGAGGATCAGGGCCCACAGCATCTGCAGGGCGATAGGGATCCGGTAGGAGCCAGAGTCAGTACGGTGCTCGGTGGCATAGTCCACACACGATGCCAGCATGAGACCGATGGTGATGCAGAACTGATAGCCCGAGACGATGGCACCGCGGACCTTGCGGGGCGCAATCTCGGACATGTATAGAATAATGACGGCGGAGACAAAGCCGACACCAAAGCCGGCAATCAAACGACCGGCCACAAGGAGACCCAGGCTGCTGGAGGCGGTCTGGAGAATAACACCGATGATGAAAACAAAGCAGCCAGAAATGACCGTGGTCCGACGACCGAACCAGTCAGCCAGGTCACCGGCGATCAGGGCACCGAAGAAAGTTCCAGCAGAGAGAATAGAGACGATGAGAGACTTCTTCCAGGAGGGGACGACGAAAGCGGTGGTGGAAGTAGTGGCTTTGTCCTGTTGCAACAGTATGTCAGCGCCTGACCTGAGGAGAAAGAACTAATTGGCAGGGACGCCCAACTTACCAGATTCTCGAAGGTCGTGATGAAGTAGTCCATACCAAGGACACCGGAGATGTAACCGGAGTCATAACCGAAGAAAATACCACCAAAGGCCGCGAAGGCGCACATCAAGTACGTCTTGACGGTCACCGGGGCCTCGAGGCGCCGGGCATCGACGCTGCCCGAGGGCGATACAGCACCACCAGGCATTGCGGCGACGGTGTCTGAAGTAGTAGGTGTAGTAGCGATGAGAGGGCCAATTAGGAAGAGATGGCTTATGGAAGAGAAGTAAACAGGATGATAGATGGGTGAAAAGTACAGGGATGAGAAACAAAGTACAAGCAGAGAGGGGGGAAAGACGGCAGTTTATATCCTCCAACCGGCCACACCTGTCAAGGGCCCCAGCACCCCAGATCCCCAGACCATAGCAGGGGATGGAAGAAAAAAAAAAAAGGTCCCAAACGATCTAGTCCGCAAATGCATGGCACCCAAAAAAATTGCTTACAGAATTTTGGCCACTCTCGGCTCGCGTCCACGGCTAGGGCCGGTGCTCTGCTCGGCTGCGCGTGTGGATTGGCCCATGGCTGCTCGAACCATGTAATTCCCGAGACAAAGGGGAGTGAAGAGGACAGGCATGGCTATCTGCTAGATCGAATCGAGCCTAATGTGGCACGCTACCAAAACTGAACGAGCGTGCCATGCGGCACGGGGTAAAAGACACGGGACCATGGACACTTGGGAAAGCCGGGGAAAGCCCTGCACGGATCAAGCCGTGGGCTGGCGAAATACAGCGGGCTCATTGGTTGGGAGCCCGCAAGGGGCCCTGTGCTAAAGCTCACCTAGGCCCATCCAACCAAACAGAGCCTCGGGTCCAGCCCCGGCGAGCGAGCACTTTCCTCGGCTCGCGGAGACGCTATCTGTTTTGGGGTGGGTGGCCCGCGGGGTCAGTGGCTGTGATTGGCCGCCACGCGCGACTAGACTGCGCCACCACTTTTGCTCTTGGTTTTCTCACGGCGTGATACCTTCGACCGTCTGGAATGGCACTTACCCGTGCTAGCGATGTCAAAAATATCGCTTGAAGCCGTGGCCCAGCCTGCCCGGAGTCGCGTGAGTGGCAGCGGGTGACAGGAAGTTCGGCCATGTCCGGCCGACTTTGGTCTGGCCGACATCGTGGCCGGCACCGGCGACGTTATGGCCCCGTTGGGGCGAAATGGAAGGCCCAGGTTGATATGCACTTCAATCGAAACCTGGACTATTGTTGGCGCACAGTATGCAGCTGGATTGTGCTGGAGCACTCTACACCCGATCCTGTAGGCCGGCCATGCTCCTGCAAAGCCCGCGCGACTGGGCAAACGGGTCCGGTGATTGGTCCCTCCGATCCGTTGGCTTGCCCTGCATTGCTGTCTGAGTACGGAGACTATAGAGTAGTATACCAGCTCGTACGAGGGACGTCGTATGGGATAGGATGACCTGCAGCAAACCCAAACCCAAACTTTTCGATCTCTGTCCAGGATACCGCATCCCAATCTGGAGAGTGCGCCCCGTGCGGGTTTCCCTAGGAGGGTGTTCTTCAAGGGAACCTTTCACGCGCCTCCGAACAGACCAGCCAGTCAGGCCGAGCGTAGAAACCGCCGGCGTTTCTTTTTCATTGTGGGGAAGTTCACGTTTCGAGGAGGTCCCCTCGCACGAGAGAAGTGGCGCATCACGTGGGGTCCACTGGCAGACTGCCCCGCAAAGAGGACCCCATTCCGACAAGGACTACTCCGTCCTGATGATTCAGGAGGGCAAGACGACGCTCAAGGTTTGGGGGCTTGCCTCCTCATCGGGCTAATATCGGGAGTAGGGCTTGGAACGGAGGCGAGGCCGCGGCTGTGACTTGGCAGTGGGCGTTGCGGGAACAGTCGAGTGGGGGCAGAGGGCGATTGGTACAGCTGGGGATGGTGTTGGTCGCCAACAGAGGAGAGCTGCATCCCCCGGTCAGATCGTAAGATTTTCAGCTTGGCAGCTGCGAGTCGCAAATAAGCAGTGGTCGATCCGAGGGGAGAATGCCGAGATGCGAAGGTGCGAACGGTGGATGGAGTGGGTTACTACGTTCAGGGAAAAGAATTTACACGGCACCCCAGAAACCCGATGACCCTCACACAGTCCCTCCTAAGATGTAGACCATAGCGAGACATCGGGCACCTAATTTTCCTTCGTCTGTACAGGATCAGGATCGCATTCGCTTCTTGCTCCCTTTCCTGTGTTTTCTCACTTGCTTACTCTATCACTCCAGAGTACCACCCCAAAGGCACTGTAGCATCGCGCAAAGCCATGGGCCAAAGCCAGGCGCACCAGAAAAGAGCTCAGGGCAAAATCCACCGACGCGCTACCCGTGCCATGTGGGGCATTTGCCAAAATGAATTAGCATGAAAAAAGTAAAATAAAAATATAAAAAAAACTCTGCCAATTTCACCTATTTCACCTAGTGGACCCGTGGGCCCGAGCCACGCGCCTACGTGGCCATGGAGTGCATACGCCGTACAACCGTTCCCGCTCGCCATGCCCCGATCTATGGACCCATCGGCATGCCATCCCCCCGTGTTTGACAGCACCGGCAGAAAGACCCTCAGACATCCCGGTGAGAGCTTTGCGTTAGCATTGACATCTTGACTTCCCCGCGGGGGTCGGGGTCGGCCATCTCATGGACGGGCTAGAACCCGACTGGGCGTTGGTTCCCTGGTTGGCCGATGGGCCCGGGGTAGTATCCGGGGACTGTGGATGAGTACGGGGTTTGTGGAGGAGAGATTTGTGCGGTGTCCGAGATTGCCTACCGCCGATGGGCTGAGCCTGTCAATTGCTTTCTAACGATACTGGGTTGAATTGAGAGTAGTTATTAGGATAGGGAGAAGAGCTACCGATGCAGGGCCAGGAAGCCGATGACTCCCCGTTGGCCCGCGCCGAGTCAGTACCGCGAAGGCCAAGGCTAGAGTACGTACTACGAACCGGAGATGGTAGCTTCCATGGCATTCCAAGGGCCATCCTCCGTGTCTCCGAGAATGTGTTGAAAGTCGAAAAAGCAAATCCCGGATCTGGAAATAGCCCATATACCGAACGAGGATTAGTCTCCAGACCCTTTAGAGAGCCCTCCTGGCGCCAGTCATTGATGACCTTGACAAAGCTGCTCACTCCCTCTCCCCAGACGGCAGCGCGGGCAGCAATCTTTTGCTCCTTCGCCTTCAGCTTCATGCCTTCCCGATTGAAATAATCGGGGTGTGCAATTCGCCAGGCAGCAACTCCCTGGGCGCGCATCACGACCTGGTCGAGTCATCCTCTGTGTCGGTGGTTGGCTCCACAGAGAACCGGCTTACGCATCTGCCGTCCCAGTAGTTGCGGCCACCCTGAATGACTCGGCGATAATGTAGGCGATATGGGTCGCAAGCTCATCGAGGGTATAAACATGGTTTCCGGTCGCACCTACCTGAAATGGACTAGGGAAGAAAAGGGTTGGGAAGTCGCGCAGCGTTGTGGAAATTCCACCGCCCTCCGTTTCTCCAGCAAGGGCAGACCACGGCGGCCGGTCACGAAGAGCTTGCTGCCGAGCCCGGTGCCAAAACGGTATTCGGTGCACAGGATAAGGACGTCGACCTCGTAATATTTCCCCCCAACGATGATGGTTTTGTTCGCGATATCGGGGATTCCTCGCCGGTTGGTATTGAGTAGTGTCATATATGGCTGGGTTGAAGGCCTGAAGGAAGCTGTCGTTGAGGCATGGGCGCTTGCACCATTCTGGGTACCATGGCTTCAAGGCTTCAGCGGTGATGGGGTTCTGGACTATTGACGCGATCCGCTGGCAGATGGCCTCATGGCGCGGAAAGTCGAGCCCACGCATCTGCAACAGGTACTCAGGGTGGAGGCTGCCAGGTCCGTCGCTGCGAACGCTGATGGCATCTTAGTTCACCCGTCGTCCGCCAGATCTTGGTCGGGAAGGGGAAACTCATTGACCAGGATCTTGGGAGTATTCAATAAGCCAGTCGCCAGAATCACGAAGTCTGCCTGTAGGGTGACAGGCAGACCAAAGCCTGGCAAGAGTTAAATAATCCAGCAGACCTCCGCGTCTTACCAAGCGATGCGCTTAACAGGAGTGGTGAAGAGAGCCGGTTGGTCAGATAGAAAGTATCGGCGATATGGTCCGCATGCGCTTTCAGCTCATGGCCAGAGACGTACGACTAGGCACGTACTTGATCTCTTCCAAGCGCGGCATTTAGATGTAGTGATCAATGTCACAGATCAGGCCAGGATACCGTTTCCAGTGCCACGTACCTCCAAACCCACCGGCTTCATCAACCATTGTGATGTCGGCGGCCGTCCAGAAACCAGTTTGAATCAGACGACCTGCAAAGGGTAGCACGCCATATCCAGCACCGACACTCAAGACACGGTGGTGTTCCTGCTTGAAGATATCTGTAATGCCGAGACCCTTTATATCGGCCGGGTCGATGTGAACGACATCGACGACTAGGTCTAGGTACCGAGACAGCCATCGGGCTGGAGATACCTCTCTCGCTCAGTTGATATTTCAATTGAATGCGTTCGGCGGCGGAGGGAGAATTGACCTCCTGTCTGTGGCCATCAGTGGGATACAAAATCATTTTCAAATCCATGATCAAGTTGGAAGTGGGATGGAAAGGAGAAGAGGCGGCAGGTTGAGCCTATCGAGAGAAGTGAAATGTAGTGGGAAAGCACCAGCCCGGCGAAAGTGAAGGATATCTCCGCAAAAGGCATCGTCATGTCTCACTATCAAAACGTGAATAAGTTGTAATGTGTTTTTATCGAAGGAAGATTTCTTAGGATCATGTTACCGTCTTCCATCACAATATCTGCAAACAATACGAGAAATTAGTTCAGCCACAGATCGGCACAACCCACGCCATCGATCAGCACTAACCACATGGTTATTTTGAGCCGCAAACACAAATGATCATATAGTCATTGGCTCCGTTTCGCATGCCATCTGAAAGAGCAAGGAGGACTATCACCCCCATCGCTGGATCTCAGGGATACTGTCAGGTCCCATTATCTGGCCGGTACGGCTGTTCGAATTCAGCCTTACCCAGGCGGGCGCATGTCACTGCTTGTAGTGGGAATTGGGAATTCTCAGTTCCTCAGTCGTCTCTAAGAGAGAAGCGAAGCAGGAACGAGTTTCAAGTCAACGATGGAACTGGAGTCGCGCCGTCACTTCTTCGGAGCTCAATGGGACTCAACTGCGTCGAGGCTCCCTCGTGCCTCTTTCGCCAAGAGATTCGTGTCTCCTGGCTTGGACCAAGACATAGGTGCACGTTGCAGCCTCTCTTGAGCAAAGCGGGAGCTCTGGGCTATTCCGCTCCCCTCCCTCACCTTGGCACTTCTTGTCATGTCCACCCCTGGCAACATTAGACGAGGTGCGATCTTGGGGTTTCCCCGGATGAGAAGAGATCACCCAGCGCCAAGGCGCCACACGCTCCTATTCGGCCACTGCTAGCACTAGCGGTGCAATCAGGACCCTTCGGCTAAACCCGAACGGGGATTTTTGCAATGGGCGGACTCATAAGTGTGGTTAGTATCCTTAGAGCCCGTCGGGGGTGTGAGTTTATTTCACTCATGGTCCTTCCCAATCGATGGCTCTGAAATCGCGTTTTCTGTTGTCTTTGGCGGCTTTCTCGTCACTCGCAGTGGCCGACACGGCTGGCTACTTTGACAATACTTCGTTTTGTGTCGATTCCAAGGGGTTCGAGAAGTGTTACGAAAAGGTAAAGACCAGCTATGAGAATTGCATCAGTAGCAATTGCTCGGGTGGGAGTAAAAGCTGTTACGATTCATGCGACGGCGATACTTCATGCATGGGGACGCACTGTCCGAATCTAGGAATTGACTGTATTAACGCTTGCGGATGTGTCCGGGCCACCGACCAGATTGATTGCGCTGCTTCCAGTTGCTGGAATCAGGTAGTGTCGCAAAGCATTTCACGATAACCCGTGAGCACTAGTCTAACCCGCTACATTTCTACCAGGTCTACTCTTGCGAATATCAGCAAACAGCAGAGGACGTAATCAAGCTATGCATCAACTTCGACGCAGATCAGATTCCGTACTGGCCACCTCCGGATGATGCGATCGGTGGATGCTCTTGCAACATCGCAAAAGCAGATCGAAAGGAGTTGCTGATCTCGGCGCAGCTAACGGAGTGCACCAACAACATGACCAATCTTGACCAACTGTCGACGACGGACGAGATAACAGTTTACGAGCAGGCCTGCATGTGCTGTGCGCAAAGCGCCATTGTCTCTGCGTATGACCCCTCATGTTCGCTTAAAAGACCTGGATCTCTCGAAGAAATGGTTTCGCTAATTCATCTCCTCTAGGATCTGGGGTACATGCCCGAACACCAAACCATCCCTAATCGGAGCCGACGATTGGTACTCCATGTTTCTAGGACCAAACCACTGGGATGAGTGTGAGGAATACCTTGCAGCATACGACTGCGACAGGGACTTGGGATACGCTGCCGAAAGCGCAGGGGACACGCACACCTTTTATAAGCCGAATAACATCCCAAAGAACGGTACTGAGTCTCTCTTCAACACCGGTAGTGCTCTTACCAGCCCCGTCAGCGGAGCCACTTTTACCTGGACCGAGGGCACTCTTCTCCACGGTATCACTGCTGCGCCAACCAGCCACATGGCCTCGGCCACTGGCACTCATGATCAAGGAACTACCGCTACCGAGACTGGTGCCAGCGCCACAAAGATCGGCGGCGCAACTTCATATCACTGTTCCGCCTGGGCGGGAGTTGGCTTCATCGGCGCGCTTGCCTTAGTGATCGCTTGAGTTACACTAGACTGCATATAGATGTCGTTTGCAAGGAACCATAACTTCCCACATTATCGTTGTTTAATAGGGAGAATCATCCAGCAGCCAGGATTCCCATGCGGTCGAGAACTACTTGTATCTCAAATGCATCATAGCGGCCTGGACAGAGCGCTTTGGACAATTTATTCCAGTGACCGCGCCCCTTTCCCAAAAATCTGAATTATTTGATTGGGAAATTTACCGCAAATGAAAGAATTGCCATTATGAGCGAAAGACCGAGAACTAAATGGACTCAGCCACTATGTGAATGGCAACTTGAAACCAAATCGACGATAACCATTGGATATCAACTAAAGATAAGGAATCCGAGTTGATCCCATTTTGCTCAGATCCACAAATGGTATAATAACTCATTGAGTAATCAAAATTCTTGCACGACGCAACTCTAGATACTGTGAGCCTACCGTGAGCCAGGGATGCGGTTCCGGCTAAATCAACTCCTTGCAATTTACATAGGTGGCGCTTCATCCGGTTCGGGGTAACGACAGCTAAGGTACAGACGTTGCTAAATCTCAGCTCAATTTGATCCCTGATAAGTCCAAGGCATGCATTGGATATGGCCGAGTACTGACAGTACTATATCTGGCTTCGACTGGGGCTGGGTGGGTATCATTAGTGATGCCCCTATGTACAAAATTACCAAGCCGTGAGTTTTCCCGAGGATTTACCCGCATTGACCCCATTTTTCATCCATCGATAGATTGCGGGCGAGGCATCCATTGGGATTGCGTTCATCTAAAACTGTTTCAGTTTCAATATTGCAGCACCTTTCGCCCTCGTCCCATGGATGGACGTCCAGGGAACATACCTACTGTAAAGTAAGTATGGGTAACGGTCATGGCGTCTTCATACGTTTCGCTACTCTTCTGAGGTAAACGGATTTGGGAAAGAATGGCCCGTAGATATCAGAAACTGACTCATGGGAGGACCTTAAATTATTTCGAATTACCTATTCGGCTACTGAAATGAGCATCTGTTTTTTTTATGCAGTCTGGCTACTATTTTGGCAAAGGATTATACAGGCTGCCCATCCACTAGAAATGTACGAGAATCGAAACAGATGTGCAGAATGGAAAGGTAGCCAGTCCCTGTGATAGTACGAAGAGACCCGATTCTTTCTCCGTTCAGGAGGAGCTGCCAAATGTGAACTCCGGAATGCTGATGGTGCTCACAGTCCAGGTCTTGCCATTGTCGCTGGTCGACATCTCTCCAGTGACGCCCTCGCTCTTGCCCATGGTGTTGATGTAATTGGGGTCCTCGGTATCCATGATGATCGTGGTGTTGATCCAGGCTGTTATTGTAGAAAATGAATTAGCTTGACTACCAACTCCATACAGGTCTTAGCTGTCAACGTACTGTGCGCAGGTATGGTGCCGCAGTCATTTTCAGCACACTCAACAGCGCTGCCCCAGCCCTGGGCCTGTCCATCACTGGTGGACAGAGTGGAGACAAACTTATTGTTGACATAAACTCTCTGAGTGTAGTTGCCCGTGGAGTCATCGAACTTGTCTGTGACGGAGTGTGAGCTTTCATTTGCGTCTCCTATAGATACCATAATTGCTTACAGTGCATCGTCACCTTATCTCCGGGGATGGGAGTAGAATAGATATCGCCGAAAACAGCCACCGCATTGTCGTCTATGAATTTGTCAGTGAGCAAAATGGAGTGCAATGCAAACCGTAGCCTCATCCACTTACTATCGGCCGAGAGGAGAGTGTAGGCAAAAATGCTCCAGGAGCTCGAGTCCTGGTTGTCAACAATGGACTGAATCAGGTCACCTTTTGAGGTACCCATTCCAACCCAGAGGGAAGCATCTCCAGAATTGCCGCTAGGAACCCGGGGAAGAACCAGGGTGGAAGTGGATTCACGAATGAAGGAGTTGGAGGCCACTGGGCCAGTGCTGAAATAAGGCCCGAACGCAGCGTTCACCGAGGGAATTGCCATCATGGCCAGGGCAGAGATCGCTTGCATGGTGGAAGGCATATTGGATGGATTGATGGTTTGTTGTTGGATCTTGACTTGTTCCGTGTAGTGTTCACACTCGTCCACGCGGGGCGATCAAGTGCTTTATACCCTCTCAACAGGCAACCTCATATCGTTCGAGGACGGAACTCCCTATGTTATAGTGGAAGGATCCACAAACCTCGATCCAATTTTTGGTGGGAGTTTGCTTGTCATTTCCACCACTAGGAGTTCAGATGGATTGACCGATCCGGGAAGGCTGCCGTATGGTTTGGCACTATGCTGTAGGTGGGCCGCGCCCCGTGCCCTGAGGAGCACTTTAAAACATACGGCTAATATATCGGCCAAGGCTAGTGTTCCAGATCCGAGACATTTGTGGCTTCAGGATCAACAGGGGTTGGCTGGTCGCACGTGGACCCTACGAGTAACAAGGCAAATTTCATCAAGGCAGTACCCGAATTAATTAACCCCTGTTCATTGCTAGGTGTTCAGATTGTGCCATCCCGCAACCTTATCAGTTGAGGATTGTTATGAGTGAGACATTTTTACCACGCCCCTGAACGTACAATCTGTACGATAAGTTTGGGAACACCCGGTTATTGGGTAATATTAGCTACATTCCCCCTCCAACCAATAAAAATATATATCCCATGTAGTGACTAAATGACGCGTAAAATACGCCCAATCGCTTTGGGGTTGGCCTATATTGACCAAACCTAGATATAGCTTAAAAACATTAAATTTGATAGCCTCTAGACTAGCTCAATTAGGTTAAGATTAGGCAAATATAGCGGCCAATCTAATGTATAGACCCCGTGTAGTCCAAACCAATCATACGCGATTTTTGCGTGATGAATCTTTGCGTTATCTTGCTACAAGATACAGCTAGGTTCGTCGTTTTAATAGCATCTCGTTCCATAATAATTAACTTCGTACGTCTACCAATCTATATTATAGCCTAAACAATCTATAACATATCCCTAATATAAGGCCTCAAATTTATAAGATCATATTAATAGGCTTCAGAGTAGAGTTACGAGACCTAATATTTAGTATTTGTCGATCTGTATATTGTAGAGCACTTTTCACTAAGAGCCACCTGGCAGGCGTTCCAAGCAATCTATGGATAAGATCGTTTTGAACCCCGACCGAGTGGCTCTGTGTAGCTTTGCTGGGCTGTTGTGTCGCTGACTTGACTGAAATGGACGTAGTGGTTGCCTCCGCGTTGAAGCAGACCCTCTCCTCGCCGGGTGCTATGAACGCTCAGTTCTGGTGCGATGACCCTTGGCTGGTTGCTTCGGATGGCAATGGGGACGTGGATATGCGTAAGACTCCTTCAAGTCCAATGGGAAGACCGCGCAAGTCAATATTGACAATCAACTAGTCGACGAATATTCGTACTGGGATAGAACTCGACCGGGCGCATCCATGACCGAGATCGACTCGCTTCCCGTCGATGGCCGGTGCGGAAACAACCCCAATCTCAATGGATTTGCATTCAGTTGGTTGGGTGCTTCCGTGCCCATTACTATGTGCCAGGATCTGTTCCCTAAGTGGCTCGCTGATTTCAATGCAGACACAACCATTACGGCCTATAAGAGCATAGTACAGCCCCCCACTGTAAACGTGGAACCCCTACGCCAGTTGTTCTCGGTGGCATTGCTTCATGAGATGACCCACACTAGAGCCTTCCTGAATAGACAACTCCCAGTCTAGGTGTGTTTATCCCACGCCAGCGGCATTTCCTCTCTGTGCCTGAACTTTGGATGTTACTATCCAGGCCGGATTGTCTCCAGTCGATTCCAAGTGTAATAGTGGATTTGCTTACGGATGGGCTTGTATTTCGGGCCTTGGAGCTAGCAACAACCAAACGGCCGCCCTCGTGAACGCAGGTGAGTTTCACCCAAATCTGTCATGGACATAACCGTTACTGATAATCGTTGCGTGCCAGACTCCTTCTCGCTCTTTGCAGCTAGTGAGACTTCTTCCCCTTTCTTTCTTTCTTTTTGAACATCAACTGACTCTTGGATATCCATGTACGCCGATAAGACAACTGGAGCACCAGTACCGCTCAGCCACTTGAGTGCATCCTGCTTAGTTGTGTAACTCACAGTCGTGCATTAAGGGGTTGTCTGGAGCGAGTATAAGGGGCTGAGATGCCCAAAGAGCAGCAATACCTTATGTATGGACCAACCTAGGAATAAAGATGGATCCCATTGTTACTTTACTGCCCTCTTCTAGTTTATTCAATATATATCGCTGCGAATTTCACAGGGTCCATGGGCTTCAGGCCATCCTTATCATTCCCCAATAGCAATCCTGGTTTCCTCCCCATAGGTCCGTCAAGATGCAAATATTTCGGAGCTCCCTCCATTATGTTCCTGGGCAGGACAAGCGCAGTATTGGTCGAGTGAGTGCTGGAGTTCACCAACGCCCCTGAATTACGCACAGATACTAAGCTAAGCACCAGTGCTCCCTAGTGTACATAATACACATGGCAGGTATGTACAGTACGTTAGCGGCGTCCAAACAAGCTGTCAAAGCAATAAATGACGGTATAGACTAAGAATATTGCCTATAGTGCATTTTTGGTCTAGTGGTTATTTTACCTAGGATTTGACCCTATTCTGTCTTGACACAAGTTTAAATGGCTCATCTCGAGGAACTCGACTATAGTCGGCTGTTACCCTCGAGTTATTGCCTGTCGTTCGGAATGCGCACAGATCATCAAGCGAATTTCAATTTGAGGTTCTTGATAAAACGAATCAATGCCGGAACAATCTCACGTCGGTTCTATCCTCTTAGTCTTCTGCTCTATGCCCATCTCACTAACATTGCTGCAGTCTCCGTTAGTTCCATTTGTTTTTGGAGAGTCCTGGAGCAAGACCCTATCCGAGGCTGAACCGCCCTCTCACCCAATCCTCAGCGTGTGCAAAATGAGTCTCCGACCGGGCACCAACGTCCACCATGGGAATCAGACGGCTGCCCGTCTCTGGACTACCTCCATCGATTATATTCGTTCCATTCCGGATTGCACGGCCTTTTATTGGGCTTCCGTCAAAAATGAGCCAGAGACGCTCATTGCTCTTCTGCAATGGAAAGATGTCTCCGCATGGAAGAAGTTTCAATCTTCGATCGGATTCCGGTTGATGACTGCTTTTTCGACTCCCGGGTGCTTGAACCGAGCTTTACCCCTCTCACTGCCGGATGGCGTTACGTCGGGTGACATTGTTGAGATGGTCCCCTTTCAGGTCGCGGCCGCCGAATCCACGACGAACTTCACTACGATATGGGCCCAGTTTACGGCCAACGCTCAGGAAGCAAACGATCCTCGGTGGATAGTCTCTGGTGGATGGCTAGAACGCGACGGACCCCGTAATTACGATTCGCGAGAAGAGAAGGCACTGGCAGACCAGCAGCCGAGCGTGTTTTTAGCACTCATATTCTGCAAGGATAGTCCGCTGTCTGCCAGTACCCTCTCTCCATCGCTCCAAGAAGGCGTCTCACTTCTATCGCAGTTTGTCACAGGCCCATGCATATTGACAACCCCCTTACGCTGCGAGACGGTAGCGCAACCGATGCCTGATTTAGCCTCGCCCTCGCAGCCTATCTCCTGCAACTCTATGTCGAGACTACTCAAGATTCATCCCCCTCGTCTCTGACGGAAAGATAATGGGTTTTGGAAAAGCTCGGATAGGACTTGCCGCGACTCAGTGCGAGATCAAAGGGCCGGCAAGCGTCTTTTCCCTTGTCCACAAGGCATCTATTCCGCTATGGGTAATCTGAATCAGTATTTGATCCCCTGTAACTCGCATCGGGAACTTCCGACGGTTCACGAGGTGTTCCTTTTCCGCCCAATAAAAAAAGAACAATCCCCTATCCTAGAGGTTTTGGAGTTAGAGAAAATTTGTGGCGCCCGGACAACACCTCAGCATCATTCCCAATGGTGTGGACATTTTCTGAAAACTGATGATCAGTGGGCGTATTTTATCTGTAGGCCTTCTTCAGAGTTCCTACTATAATTCCCACCAGGGCAGACTGCCGACACTAATGATCAATAGCATTCGCTAATTCCGAAAATCGAGCCCGCCAGCTACCTCAGTTATGGAATAATGTGCAGAGCATCGGGCTCACCGACTGCTATTCTATGGCAAGCTCGGAGGAGGGGAGTTATGGTCCATGGAGCGTTGCTAGGTTTCAGTTCATTGAGCTAGTGTCATTCTATGTCCGACCTAGCGACGCAGACAAACTCCTATTCGAGTCTGCATATGCTGATATCATAGAGTATGAAAACATCCCAAATCTAACCAAGGCCCCGATCGCATGCAATATATATCTTGTTGCTGACTCTAAGACAGCTCCATGACTCCCCAAGGGACTATATGTTCCCCCCCGAAGGCTTGTTTCTCGTATGGTGGCGGCTGGGACAACAGCCCGACGAAGAAAAGTGGTACTGATGTTGTACGATTCAACACTGTTATCGCTTGGTCTAGCACAGAGGGAATGGAAGAATGGTATTCGGACTTCGCTAATGGTGCAATGCAGAGTTATGAGCGGCTCGGTCACATTATTGATCGACTTCAGCTCGTTATAGTTGATGTGGAGTCTCTCTTGTTTCGCCCAGTTTGGTTATGCCAATAGAAGATATCTCCTCGGAAGTCATCAAACAGACCACTGCCCAAGTTTCAGTCCGGGACCTGTGTATTCTGAAAGATATGTAGAGATTGGACGGCTACGTGATATTGTTCGTTGGCAGGATTTTTGGCGAAACGCGGTTGTTATTATACGGACTAGTACGAACATAGCCAATGGAGTACTTGAGATGAGAGTGTCCGCTTTTAATAACGTAGTCATGTGCTGATCCGTGCGTTCAGTCCTCATCCCACATACCTTGCTGGTCTATCACATAAACGTCGACGACCTACCATTGATTTTGCGACGGTCCAAGCTTATTACGAGCGGCTGTGATAAGATTTTCGTGATCTTGCGCGCGAAGTCTATAGTCAATATCATCGTCGTCTAATCGAGTAAAAGCGCCGTTCCTTTGTCGTGGTTGAACACTATTTCCCCAACTACTACCGGAACTAAAACTAGCATGTGGCACTCCTTCATGAGGCGCTAGCGACCTTATATATCCATAGCTTTTTCGAGCTAGCTCGTATTACGACGATCGTCTATTTGTTGTCTAGGGCTTCTATCAAACAAAAGGCGGGAGATATTAACGTGTACCGATACTTCAAAGTGAAAGTGAGTCTTGATATATAGAGAGCTCACGCTTAGCGGCCTTAAGTTGAGCTTGAGTTAAACGTGGTATCCTATTCTAGCCGGGTCGCTTCGATTTGGAAGCTTCCGTAAAAAGAAAGCTCATATATATAATCGTGTCTAGATGATTCTTTTAGCTTGTGTTACACAACATTGACACAAGATGCTTCTCGACTGCTTAGGGATCCCAATATTTCAAATTTTTGTCAATACCCTACCGAAGCGTTTCACCATGGATTAAGTTAAGCATGTTCCTCCGAATGTGGCGTGGTACCTAGCCACATTCACGGATGGCTGATCACGGGCATTCCTGCCTCGGGAGAAAGGCAGCCCCCAGATTAGAACCCCACCGGTCGCGTTCCAAGTTTCCAACAGGAGCCACGGGAGCGCTCGGCCCCGACTTGACAGCCATTGCCACAGGCCCGTTCATCCGCGTAGCTTAAAAGCAGCCGGAGTCTCCTCTCCAGAACCTTCATTTGTCTTAGACTTACCATAATGACCCAAGCAAGCACCACAGCTCTCGCCGCCGCCATGATGGGGGCCGGCTACCTTTGCGCTCTCTGCGCGACACCACCGAACCCATCTCCAGACCGCAAAGGCAGACACCAAACAGACCGAATCAGCTTCATCGCAGGCTCGGGGGCCACTATTGTCCGTCGCATCGCCGTCACAGCCATTACATACCATGCCCTCCTTACCGCGCTGCCAGTCTACGCACCCGAACGGATAACCCAGATGTGCCCGCGCCCGCAGAATCTCAATCCCGATTTGTTCTCATGGAGCGTGTTCGCGGTCGCGGGCATTCTGCTGATTTGCCTCGGTGCCTTCATCCGCCTCTCAGCATACGGGAGACTCAGTCGCAACTTCACCTTTCACCTCGCGGCGCCTGATCAGCTTGTCACGTCGGGTATCTACAGCTGGATGCAACACCCGAGCTACACGGGGCTGGCGTTGATTGGGCTTGGCTCTGCGTCGCTGTTTCTCCGCTGGGATGCGGTTCCTGCGTGCTGGATTTCAGAGACCACGCTGGCTCGGTGGTCGGGGTGGGGTCCGGGCGTGCTTGCGGGCCACATTGTGGTTGCGCTGTTTGTGCTGTTCATGCGGGTGAAGGATGAGGAGGAGATGCTGAGACAGAAGTTTGGGAAGGAGTGGGAGCAATGGCATCGGTCGACGAAACGGTTCATTCCTGCAATTTTGTAATGGACCTATATGTCTACAGCTTTTTTCTTCTATCCTAATTATTGAACACAACACTGTTTTGAACCCCAATGGTGCATTGGCTCGTGATTAGATGGCCAGTCTGATGCTTTCCCGTCTTCTGTTTCCCCAATCAGGGAGAATCTGAGATTCAACGTCTGTCATGTCTATTTTTCGTGAGTTGTGGGCTCTTCCTCATGGGTGGGCATGGTGTCCAAAGCGTCGATGGTTATATCCACGCGAGGACCAGTGAAATTCTTTCGTCCGTCCACAAACCACTGGAAAATGGAGATAATTATGATTACGGCAAACGCAGCAACAGCATAGTCTGAGCATGTTAGTAAAAGCTGTGTCATTTTGTGAAGGGATCCACTTACTCATGCTGCTACCAGTAACGGTGCTGGAAGGAGGGAAAACAAACAGAACAGTAGTGAGGGCGATGTATGCAAGCGAGATCTTTTTTTTTCAATCAGCATCAACCGATAAATACAACGAGGGTTGCCATGAGAACTTACGATATCTGCGAACCACCCGACGGCGGTGGGCAACTTCCACTTTCTTTCGGGAAGGGCTCGCCGACCCTGCAAACAGTTGACGAGAATCGGCATGGCGTAGGAAAGGTCGAGAGCCACAACTGCGGCGGAAATGATAGCATTGAAGGCGCTGCGAAGTCAACCAAAAAGCTCGTTATGGTTACGGAGAACAGAGAGTATTTACCTGGAGGACCCCAAGAAAATGCAGCCAAAAATGATGACCACGACCACCGTCAAAATCAGCGCATTTAGGGGCAGCTTGAGTTTGGGATGAACAGTGGCGAAGAACCGAGACGCAGGAAGACCACCATCGCTGTGTATACCGTTAATCTGGAGGCCTCTCATCACTATATTGTAAGGATGACTCACCGTGCGAAAGCAAAAATCATTCGACTGCTTGTGGTCATCACGCTGAGAATAGCGAGAATCAAGCATACGAGAGGCAGCCTTCATGATTGTCAGCAAAGGAGAGCCAAATGGTCACCGAATCACGTACATCAACAGACAGATTGCACCAGCCGTGTTCTTGGTAGCATCAATAAGAATTTGCAGGAGAGGACCGGCGGCAGAGCTAGTGATTTGGTTCATGTCGCCCGCCACGAACAGGAGGACGATCAAGAAGATAGATCCAGTGAAGGTACCGATACCCACACACGAGACCATGATTTTGGGTCCTTCAATCGATGGATTGGGAACCTCTGCCAACAGTTAGATTTTGTCATTTGTGAATACAAACTGACGCCTCGGTCTTACCCTCAATCATGTGGACCACAGCATCCTAATAGGGTCAGCCTGGGGTCTTTTATTTCAATTTTGGAAGCAACTTACAAAAGCAGTGACGCCAAGTCCACCTTGAAGCAGTCCAAGTAACCATGCGACGCCGTCAGGCCCTGCTCGAGGTTAGCATTGCTAGTGATGTGATGACCATTCATCGTCCAAACCCACATCCTGTGCTGTTCACAAAGTTACAAAACACAAAGCTAACACATTAGCAAGGTTTCCCGTGTTCAAGCCAGGATCATCCTTACTAGGCTGAGTTGAAGTCAGGCGAAGCGCACGCGAGGAATGTGATGGAGACAATCGCGAAACCGCCAATTGACCAGGAAACTTTGCAAATTAGCCTCAAATAACAACTTGAAAGGGGGAAGATACATACAGGCACCGCGGTAAATGAGTGGCAGGATGGAGTTCATGAATGCATTGATCACAAATGCCCCGATCGTCAATCCAATGTAAATGAGGAATTGGTGCCACCGCTGTGCTACGTAATCCTGACTCTCTTGTCAGTCAATGGCAGGACGGAGATAACATAACGAATCTTACGGGATGCATGGCCGAGATACATCCAACAATGAGCTGGCTCGAGAGGAGGGAATTGGTAGCTACGAGAGCGACCTACTGGATGGTTAGCTGGCAAGCGTCGATAAATGGGTTCGCATTGCTTACCCATCCTGCCACATTAATCCAACCGGTAATCCAGGAGAGGATAGGCACCCATCTTGGCCATGCGACTGGGAGGTGGTGAGCGAGTATTCACGGTGAAGGACCGGGGTATAACATACTAACAGCGACCCAGTGATACTGACCACCAGCACTGACTAAATGTGAGCTAGAGTTCTTAATCAAGGTAAAGGGTACGAGACGTACGTGGGATATGCAGAGAGAAATTCTGCCAGAGAGGTGGCAATGCACAAGTTGCAGAATCCGGCCGTGACAAGGCCTGTGGTCGACTGTTACTCAGTATCCCTGCATAGTCCGGCTATCCAGTTTGACCTACCCCAGATGACACTTGTACTTCCTCCGGATGTGAGACTAATTGACAAACTAGCCGAAAGAGCGGTCCAAGACTAGATGAGAGGTTAGTGATTAACTAAATGATTGATTGGAAGCATAGCCGCCTTTGTGGATAGAAGGACGCTTACATTAAGTACAGCGAACGCTAGTCCCATCATCGACCTATTTCTTGATCAGTATGTCGTCGGAGTTTCAATTTTCGTGGTGCAGATGATACCACATAGAAAACTGACGCTTCAGCTCGGGCTTATGGCCCATGGCCGCCAGCTGCGCATCATCGTCCTGCAATGGACCTGCTTTCATATTTGATGGATGGCTCATAGCGCGAGAAACACGGAAAAAAAGGTGCTAGTAAACGAGACAAAGGACGAACAAAATGAAAACAAAAAGTCAGAAGGAGATGCACCTAAGTATGTATTCCGAGCCCGAAACAGCGAAAAACCATGGCTTCGTTGATTCTCCTCACGGATCGCGCCGACAGGGTTGCAGCTCGCTAGGACGCGGGGAATAGACGGCCAAGAAGATGGCTATCAGCACACGCACCAATCGCATCTGCGCGGTGGGACAGCACAACCAACTCGATATCCACTTATCCATTTAATAATTTAATGGACACCCCCACTCCATTGCTAGCCGAATTTCAGCCAATTAAAGTCGCCGACCCAGCATCCTCGCTTGCAGAATGGTCTTATCGCAGCCCCTCCCCCAGCGCCGCTCGTTTGAGCTGCCCTCTCCGCAAAGCTTATCACCCGGTTCCTGACCTGCCCGGCTTGCCCTCCCTATTTTGGCAATCCTCGCATGGACCTCCCTCTATAAAGTTAGCAGCGGTGTAAGCTAGCCCAGGCACGCGTTCTTGCATGGCTGCAATATATGTCAACATGCCTGACGCGGCATAGATGCAGATCTCCACCGCGGTATCGGGTGGATCTGCTGATAACCTTCGGAGATATGTACTCCTTTCCACCGCAGCTCCGTTCGCAGGTTAGTCCTTAATTATAAGTAATGGTGTCGCCGCGCGGATTGACACTTGGATTTTTGCAATAGCTGTGTCGCCATTTTTGCTTTTGTTCCTGCATTCTCTGCTGTCCTGCAGCAATGTTCTACAAGAAGGGGTTGTTGGCGGCTGCGCTTGCCGCGCAAACATGCGCCGCGTCGGTGTCCCAGGCCCGCGACGATAACGCGAAGTGCAAAAAGACCACGGTCGCAATTCTGTAAGGCCTCCAATACAACGTTCTGCAAGGAACCTTTTGGGCTGATATCTTGCAGGGGAGGTGGAATGGCTGGTGTCGCCGCCGCAGTAAGATCCCCTCTCCAGTCAAGTAGAGACGCGATGCTCACGCGTACCCTATAGCAAGCGTTGTCGAACTCGTCCATTCACGATTTCGTGATAATTGAGTATCGCGACACCCTCGGTGGACGTGTTGCACATACAGACTTTGGCAAGGCCCCCAATGGCAAACCCTACACGGTGGAGCTGGGAGCCAACTGGGTAAGCCACCATCACCCCAGCCTTTTGATAGCACGATGACTGACTTGGATCAAACAGGTGCAAGGACTTGGATCTCCTGGCGGTCCTGGTATGATCGACCCACTGAGGTCTCCAATGTGGTTAACCTGGCTAACCATACATGTTTAGAGAACCCCGTTTGGACCTTCGCGAAGAAGTGGAATCTAAAAAACACTTACTCCGACTATAGCTCGATTCTCACGTACAACGAGACCGGCTATGTGGACTACTCATCCCTGTTGGATGAGTTCGAGAACTTATATAACGATGCCTCCGAAGCAGCGGGAGTCCTCCTGACCCAGAATGGTCAGGACCAGACAGCTCGCACCGGTTTCGCCCTGGCTGGATGGCGGCCTAAGATAGATGACATGGCCCGGCAGGCAGTCGAGTGGTGGGAGTGGGGTAAGATGTCCAACTGCAAGCTGTCTCTTGAACTATCTCGCTAAACTGTACGTCAGACTGGGAGGATGCCTACGCGCCCGATGAAAGCTCGTTCATCTTCGGCGTCGCCGGCGAAAACTTGACTTTCAACCAGTTCAGCGACGAAAACAACTTCGTCTGGGACCAGCGCGGTTACAGTCGAATTATCATCAAGGAGGCCTCGACCTTCCTCAAGGACAACGACCCGCGTGTCCAGTTCAACTCGATCGTCACCAACGTCACCTACTCCGACGACGGCGTGACCATCTACAAGGAGGACGGCAGCTGCGTGTCCGCCGCCTACGCCATTTGCACCTTCTCGCTGGGCGTGCTCCAGAACAACGCCGTCTCCTTCAGTCCCAAGTTCCCAGACTGGAAGAAGACCGCCATCGAGAAGTTCACCATGGGCACGTACACCAAGATCTTCCTGCAATTCAACGAGACCTTCTGGCCGCGCGACACACAGTATTTCCTCTATGCGGATCCCACCACCCGCGGCTACTACCCAGTCTGGCAATCCCTCTCCGCACCCGGCTTCATCCCCGAGTCAAACATCATCTTTGTCACCGTCGTCTCGCAAGAAGCCTACCGCGTGGAGCGCCAATCAGACGAGCAAACCAAGGAGGAAGTCATGGCCGTCCTGCGCCAGATGTACCCGGACCTCGACATTCCCGAGCCAACCGCATTCATGTACCCGCGCTGGTCCACAACACCCTGGGCGCACGGCAGCTACTCCAACTGGCCGCCATCCACCACGCTTGAAATGCATGAGAACCTGCGGGCGAACGTGGACCGGCTCTGGTTCGCGGGCGAGGCCACCAGTGCGGAGTACTTTGGCTTCCTGCACGGTGCGTGGTTTGAGGGCCGGGATGCGGCCGAGCAGATTGCGGCGCTGCTGGGCGATAAATGTGCGAATATCTCGGATACCTCAGAGGACTGTGGGAACCGCCGGTATTATGAGAAGTTGTATGGTAGTTCGCCGCTGGCAGATTATAGTGTCTTTGATGGGTGGTCCGTGAGCAGCTTTTACGAAAGCAGCTGAGGAGCTTCCAGTGTACTTAATCCGTGAAGCTGCTGGTGGGGGTGGATTGAAGTGAGCATGTTCCAGCGGACAGCCCTAATAGAATAGTACGTCTTTCATTTCGGGATTCCAGCGGTGGACAAAACCTCACCCGGCTATTGATGCAACCGTTTCCGCGAGAAAGAGGGATGTAAACTTATGTCTGTAATTTTAATTTTTTTTTTCTGAGATCGGTATATAGGAAATGTTATGAATTCGCCAGAGGAATAAAATATCTGTCTCCGTGTCGGTAGTGTCGCACACTTAAAGATATTCGCCCAGGGCGGACAACTTGCAGAAAGTCCATGCAATCCAGGAAAAGGAGAATGCAGCCTGAAAGGACCCAAAACGCCAACGCCATAAGCCCAAAAATTCAATTCATGCATCATTAAAACCCCCTGATCGCGAAAACCAGCATCGCGAACGAGAGGAGATTGAGCCGGCTGCACCGGAGCGCAACCGGGTGCGCCGTGAACCGTTCATCGGGCACGGTAGGTGTCGAGCGCGTGCTGCACATCGTGTATACTGTCTTTGTTCCCGTATGCGTCCATGAGCTGCTGGTTCCGCGCGAGCCGCTTCTCCTCTTCGGCCATGGCGAACTCGCGGCGCGATCTGGCTTCCTGGTAGTAGTTGTAGCCGGCGAACCCTACCTAGACCATCAGCCGCCGATCATAGATATGTAGTTTGATTGGTGGTGTTGCACATACCGAGTCCGATTGCAGCGACTACGGGGATATACCTGTCCAGAAAACCGTGTTATTCAAGGGGCCGTTGGGAAAAGGGGCCTTCCAGGGGTCGATTTCACGTACCAGCGCCCATGCCGAGGCTTAAGGCTCGGGCCCGTCGGGTGGGTTTTGTGGGGTTGGTTGGCTCCCGGGAGGGCATATTGCGGCATGTTGTGTAGATTCATGGAGGCAGAGGTGGTTATGGAATGTTTGGGAGAGAATGGAATAGGCGTTCAGCGTAGAGATTTGGTGGAAAATGAAATCGAACAAGGTGGCGCGTGAGGTCCGGTCGGCGCGGCGGAGTTATAAGATCGCCGGTTGTGGATTGCGGGAATGCGGGAACGCGGGGATTGCATGACGTGGAGAACCGAGTGCTGCAACAAGGCTATGTAACGAATCATGCCACACCATAGCAGCGTTTCCTTGGGGCAGACCACGGTTGACTGCCACGGTAATGCGATCACAGGTACCCAGACATTGCGTTGCATGCCTGCTATGGCTTCATACTTACAGCATGGCGGACGGCCAGTTCACTTCTCGGGCTATTGATCTGGCTAACCGCTAACCGAGTGATCCGTGTCCCCGCGGGCCCTGCACAGCCCCAACGCAAGAAAGTTCAACCGCCGCCTTGTACTTGGCAGCTCGAGATGAACAGATTTAACTGCTTCGCCATAGAGTGTGGTGATGCTTCTCTATACCAGCCAGTCCTGGCATATGAGCGATTCACGGTATGACTAGGTACACTAGGGCCTGAAATCAAACCAGCTCAACGCGAGAAGAGTCCGTCTGATCAAGGCGGGCCCCCGGCCCCCGGCCCCCGTCGTGGTCCAGGTTCTAAGGGTAGTCTGCACAGGCACTATGGGAGAAGACTTGCGTTGACCAACTGCTGTAACTATGTACCCAAGTACATCTCTGTCGTGCCGATTTGGACTTAAATGCCCTCTACTAAGATCGCTTTTCATGGCAAAGCAACGTAGCAGTGTTGATCGGTAACGCTGCCCATCTTCTTGTCATCGTGGGAAGGACACGGTGATCGACTGGTGTATGCATCGCTGGAGGTTTACCCTTTCTTTTTTCTTCTTTGCGCGATTAGGCTACGTTGAAATAGTGATCCCTTTGAGAGGCGCGCGACGGTATACCACGATCGTTTCAAAGGGATTTGTCGACCGTTAGGGCAAGGCTGATACTATACCACGACCGTCGCTCCTCTATTGTTCGAAGTGCTTCTCATACGAAGCCAAGACTTTGCGGACGGCAAGCTCGCTCTGAACGTTATGGTCCGGCAAGGCAAGACATTCGAGGGCCGGGCGCGAGTCCGGGGTGGAGGTATATATATAGCTGCAACCGAAACCTGCATGATCGACTCCGTCATCACTAGCTGTTCCCGCCGTGATGTTGACGGAGTGAAGATCACATGCCGCATCACATGTAGGCAGCCCTGGCATCCTGCACGCATCACAAGCCGGGACAAGTCGGTCAGACTCTTCAGCCTGGCTGGACCGAGTGAAGCCGACGGGGGCCAGCTCTGCACCGCGACCTTATCTCAAGGCTGAGCCGCGGCTAATTGGCAAGCTCGGGCACGCGGGGGGAAACAGGAGAATAGCGACCCTCGGGTGAGTTAGGGGGTGATTCTGGGCCGGGGGTGGCCAGGGATCGGGACAAGTGCAGGACGGAAACTTTGTTTGCGGACTGTCATCACGACTCGAGCGAGAAAACTATAAGACCGTGCTGCGATCCGGGCGAGAGATTGCAGCCCTGCCCGGATGGCAGTCCGCCGGTCGTGCGGCGAGGGGACTCGGTATGCGGCGCATCCCGAGTGTTTCGGGGCCCACGACCGCCTTCAGTGCGCCGGTTCGCACGTCGATGCTGAGAAGCTTGAGAGTCCGGGGAACGGGCGATGTCGGCCGAGTGGAGGGAGCTTTGGGAGTTTCCCGTCGGGAAAGTCAGGTGCACACGAGTTGAATTGGGGGGCAGATTGGGGTCTGATTGGGGTCTGATTGGGGTCTGATTGGTCGATGGAGCTCTGCCAGCAGAGAGTCAGCAGAAAGCCAGCAGGAGAGCATAGCCGGGACCCACCGCAGGCCCGCCATTGGCCGCGCGCGGGAGGAGCGAACAACCGCGGCTCCTCGCTCGCTCTGACGTCTTCTATCTCCGCCTTTCGGTCGGGCGGGTGGACGCTGCTTGTATATAGTCCTGCCACGGCGCTGGGAAATAAGATTTGCTCTGATCTTTTCTTCTTTGTAAACTCTCCATCCATCCCTGCATCCCTCCATCCTGATAACCCTTATCAATTGGATGGGCTATTGACTATCGATACGCCTTTGCATCTCTCCCCTCGATCTATATCCTAGTCTCCCCCCGCCACCGCCATCAAAATGACCGCCCCTGTCGAGTCACACCTCAAGGATGTCGCCATCCTGGCGAATATCCCCAACGATGCTCGCAAGATCCTGACCAAGGAGGCCTGTGCCTTCCTGGCCATCCTGCATCGCACCTTCAACCCCACTCGCAAGGCCCTGCTGCAGCGCCGTGTCGACCGCCAGGCCGAGATCGACAAAGGCCACTTGATCGACTTCCTGCCCGAGACCAAGCACATTCGTGAGAACGACGCCTGGAAGGGTGCGCCTCCCGCCCCGGGTCTGGTGGACCGCCGCGTGGAGATCACCGGCCCGACCGACCGCAAGATGGTCGTCAACGCCCTCAACTCCGACGTCTGGACCTACATGGCCGACTTTGAGGACTCCTCCGCCCCAACCTGGGAGAACATGATCAACGGCCAGGTCAACCTGTACGATGCCATCCGCCGCCAGGTCGACTTCAAGCAGGGCGGCAAGGAGTACAAGCTCCGCACCGACCGCACCTTGCCGACCCTCATCGCCCGCGCCCGTGGCTGGCACCTGGAGGAGAAGCACTTCACCGTCGACAGCGAGCCCATCTCCGGCAGTCTGTTTGACTTTGGTCTCTACTTCTTCCACAACGCCAAGGAGCTGGTCGCCCGCGGCGCCGGTCCCTACTTCTACCTGCCCAAGATGGAGTCGCACCTGGAGGCTCGTCTGTGGAACGACGTGTTCAACCTGGCTCAGGACTACATTGGCATGCCACGGGGCACCATCCGCGGTACCGTGCTGATCGAGACGATCACCGCCGCCTTCGAGATGGACGAGATCATCTACGAGCTGCGCGACCACAGCTCCGGCCTGAACTGCGGCCGCTGGGACTACATCTTCTCCTTCATCAAGAAGTTCCGCCAGCACCCCAATTTTGTGCTGCCCGACCGCTCGGACGTCACCATGACCGTGCCCTTCATGGACTCCTACGTCAAGCTGCTGATCAAGACCTGCCACCGCCGCGGCGTCCACGCCATGGGCGGCATGGCCGCTCAGATCCCCGTGAAGAACGACCCCGCCGCCAACGAAAAGGCCATGGAGTCCGTCCGCGCCGACAAGCTGCGTGAGGTGCGCGCCGGCCACGACGGTACCTGGGTTGCGCACCCGGCGCTGGCGGCCATCGCCTCCGAGGTCTTCAACAAGTACATGCCGACGCCCAACCAGCTCTTCAAGCGCCGCGAGGACGTGCACATCACCGCCAACGACCTCCTGAACACCAATGTCCCCGGCAAGATCACCGAGGCGGGCATCCGCAAGAACCTGAACATTGGTCTCAGCTACATGGAGGGCTGGCTGCGCGGTGTCGGCTGCGTGCCCATCAACTTCCTCATGGAGGACGCCGCCACTGCCGAGGTCTCCCGCTCCCAGCTGTGGCAGTGGGTCCGCCACAACGTGAGCACTGCCGAGGGCAAGAAAGTGGACAAGGCGTATGCCCTGCGTCTGCTGCAGGAGCAGGCCGACAGCCTGGCCGCGGAGGGTGCCAAGGGTAACAAGTACCAGCTTGCGGCGCGCTACTTCGCCAGCCAGGTTACTGGCGAGGAATATGCAGACTTTTTGACCAGCTTGCTGTACAACGAGATCTCGTCGCCTGGCGCTGCAGCGAAGCTGTAAGGAAAGCTGATGGCTTGGCTGGTGATGGTCTGTCATGATTATGAATACCCTTCTTTCCGTATATCTTTCCTTTGGTCATCATTTCCTTTTTGTTCCGTCAATTTTTCATAGTGAAATTAGCATCGTTGTATAACATTCCTTGAATTGAAGTTCCCACAAAACTACGCCACGGTTGCATCTGTATCCCAGTAGCTATCAATCTCGCTTCCCAACCCATGCGATGAGTTTCCACACGCGATCCAGCTGATCGATTAGTTCTGCAAGCATTTTTTGGAATTCTAGCCTTGGGAGACGCATAGGTGAGGTCTAGGTTATTTATGATTGGGGCTCGGGCGCCTCTAGTCACCAGGATACTTTTAATGGGTGGACTTCCACGGTCAGATGGAGTGAATTGTTCTAGATTTGGCTGCCGCGAATCTTGAGTCAATACCAGGGCACGTGCAATGGTTGTATTTGGTTGGAAACCCCGCTTATTTCTATAGGCTGTAGGACGCGGGAACGTCTCGACGTTCCACTACTCCCGCACTGTAAGAGGGCAGGATATAGTTCATTCTCGAAATCGGCTTGACCAATACACACGATCACTGTCTTCTGGATCTACTGCCAAGGCCTTAGCGTAGATGGATCAGTGAGCAGGCCGTATTATCTTGAGGGCACCATAAGATGTACCGCGTATGTTACAGTACCTGTTACATATTATTACACACAGCAAGAATCTTTTGAGATCTGTCAGATACTGTAGTCGGAAACGTGTACGGGCTAGTATCAAGGATCGCCGTTGATAACTGAGGTAGATTAAATGCGTGCGTCCGAGTGAGGATCTGTAATGGCCCAGGGTTATAAACTGCGTATTAAATCACAAATCTTCCGAGAATGTTCCGACAATTACCATAAGTTAGCAGTGCAGGTGGTTGCTGAATAACCAGTTGCTGTGGAAAACTCCCGGTATTTAACCTCTCTCAGAGTTGACAGAATTCCATACAAACATGCTTGATGATATCTGCCAATGATGCAGATAGCGTCGCCTCGCACCGGTTGCTTTCATAATTTGCTAGGAAAACTTTATAAATCTAGCCCTGCAGACAGTAATGTCCATGTAACCACTACCTAATTCTTAACGCTTTCACATAGTATATCTATCCAATAGGTGATCCACAGTTCTGTTCACATCATCCACGTCAATAGTCTCTTCGCCTGAACTGACGCCATGCTCAATATCGCCTTCCGAAACGCTTGCCATAAATGAATCTTCCCCAAGCAAACTCTGGGGATTCAAGTGGGTCTTGTGTGTGCCATTGTCTTCAATACGGCTCTCTGAAGCAAGACTCTCCCTGGAACTGGAGGCTGATTCATCGAAGCCCGGTAGACCGTCATAGCCATGCGGCCTTGACGTGCCTGGATCACTGGGATAACCAGAATTACCTGGCAGGCCTTGGGGACCTGCTGAACCGTTGTAGCTGGTCCAGCCTACGGGACCTGCTGAACCGTCGCGGCCGGGCAAACCTACCTGGCCTTTGGGACCGGGGGGGCCAGGTGGACCTCGCGGGCCTTGGGGACCTGGTGAACCGTCGTAGCCGGGCGGGCCCATGGGACCGGAAAGACCAGTCGCACCTGACAGGCCTTGGGGACCGGGAGGACCAGGCGCACCTCGCGGGCCTGGGGGACCTGGTGAACCATCGCGGCCGGGCCGGCCTAGGAAACCGAGAAGACCAGTCGCACCTGACAGGCCTTGGGGACCGGGAGGGCCAGGTGGACCTCGCGGGCCTGAGGGACCTGGTGAACCGTCGCGGCCAGGAAGACCAGTCAGACCTTGCGGGCCTTGGCAACCGGGAAGACCGTCGCGGCCGTGAAGACCAAGCAGACCTTGCGGGCCTTGGGCACCTGGTGAACCGGCGCGGCCGATGGGACCGGGAGGACCAGGAGGACCAGGAGGACCAGGAGGACCAGGTGGACCTCGCGGGCCTTGAGCACCTGGTAGACAATCGCGGCCGGGTGAGCCAGGAGACAAAGAGGGGCCAGTCATGTTTGTACTTTGTAGCACGCGTGTGAGGATTGCCTCAATGGCTGATTCTTGTTGCGAGGTAAACGGAGACTCGTTTTGTAGAGGTTCCTCAGATGGGGCAGACTCTAACCCAATGGGAAGAGGAAGTGGCAACGTATTGCTTGCACTGATTCGGTTCCCTGCATCCTCAGAGGAGATATCATGATCTAGAGTATTTCTCAGCTGCGTAGAAAAAGAAGCGATGCTGGCTTCTCCTTCTTGCTTTTTATTCGTCTTGAAATTCTTTTGTCGTTGTTTGAAAGCTGACTGCAGTTGAATAGGGAATCTCCACCGTGGCCATTTGCGCTGTGTTTGTTGATCATTGGGTTTTGAATTTGTCGTGGGCTTTAACTTGCTGAGGATAGGGTATTTGCGACCAGCCTTTGAGTAGTTAACGCTTGGCTGAGTTCACCATTGATGGTTCAAATATTCTTAGATCAGGATGTTGTATGTTTTCGCTCACCTTTTTCTTTGTCCAATCCTCATTCTTTATTGACGTCGAATGCTCCTTGGACATCACCCTGGTTATCAATACTATGTCTCTGACTTTACTCTGCTCCATGCTAGCAATGATTGTGCGATATCTGCCAATATGAACCCATTCGAGTACTTCTAGGTCTGATATAGCGAATTGGGACTTATTGTTGGGAATCTCCATAAAATTCAATGCTTCATGTTCCTCAGCGGTTAAGGTCAGAAGTTGATCTAGCACATTGGATTCGGATGAAGCTTTCCAGTTTTGAATCTGAGGTTCAATTGCTGAAAGTGGAACCCTGAGGTGCCTCGTCATGTAGGTGATATGAACCTGATGATCGATGAAGGATACTCTTGGAGATAGAAGGTAAACCATCAAAATGTTTGAATTATGAGGCGAGTGGGTATAGCTCTGCGAGTGCGAATCAAGCGATTGAAGTGGCGCACTATCAAAGTGAGCATTCAGAAGTTGCGAGGTTGTAATGTACACAATTTCTGGGTGAACTAACCCATAGTTTCTGACGCCATTGCTGTACTGGCTAATGTATGCCGGTATGTGTGACCTCTTTCATTTTGACCAAGCTGGGAAGTACTTTTTCGGCTGCTTCGCGAATCTTCATTAGTTGGGTCAAATAAATTGAGAAGAAGCATCCATCTATCTTACTTTCCGTCTCCTCCGTTATTCACATCACAATGAGTAGTTAATTCTTCATCATTTTCACTGCTTAATGGCATCAGCAACTCTGTTACTCAGGGAATCACTTACATGATATACATGCCTGAAAGTATCTTCGGTCAGATTCACTCTGGGTATTTTCTGGGCAATTTTCAGACTTTGATAAGTTTTATAGATCGACCGTTTGAGCAAGTCCATGTCGTCTTTAGACCAAGCAACAATAGTCGTCTCACGAGGAGCACAAAGTCTTCATCTCTAGATGTTAGCGCTGTAATGAGTGACAATGAGGAGAAATCAAGATTTAACACACAGCTTATTTTCAAGGGCTTTCTTCGAGAATCTCAGTATAACAAGTTGAAGCATCAGTATCAATGTCTGCCTACTATCACTGAGTTCGCGTCGCATGGAGTCTATCTCTGGCTGAATGAAAGGCCACTTAAGCATCTCAGTGCGACTGAGTTTCGGTATGCTTGATTTGTTCGATGTCATCCGTAGTTGTTTACACGCTCGTTCCAAAGTGTCGTTCAAGGCATTAAAGATCCTTTCACAATCTCTAGCCAGCCCGGTAATTGTTTCGAGCCCTGGCATAGTTAAGGCGAGATAATCGGGCGCTTTTCCCTTTCTGCTATGGAAACTAGCGACTGGGCGGAGATTAGAGATGTTGCCTTCATTCCTTTTGTCGTCTGGTTTTGTCTGCCCATCACCATGATTTTCCTTCATTATCTCGCCTAACTGTTGTAATACACTAGCATTCAACGTAACTTGCTCAGCAATATTAGCAACTTGGTTCGGTGCCGCCTTGACCTGACTCGCATAAGTAACGAGCTTTGTGGAGCACTGGAACCCGAGAGCTGCGACTGAGAGAATAGCAGAGGCAGTTCCGAGAGGCTCCATCACCGCATCGAGAGAGTGGGCGGGTTTAACTTGATTGAGAATTACTGGATAACAATGTTTACGTGAATATATATCACCAAATGCTCTTCGAACACCTGAGCAAGCTGGAGTTCCGTGGAAGACGAGTGGCCGGCATAAATTGAGTGGTGGTGCTCCCATAGGCATGCATGCTAGACTAGGTCAGGTAGCTATCCGGGTCGGGCAGCCATCCGGGTCAGGCAGCAGCTACCCTGATCAGTTGGGGAAAAGACTTTTCTGGGCACTCAACAAACAACTCATATTAGTATCTTACAATGTGAAAGATCGAGCATGCACCTACTCTAATCATGAATGTTGATAGCAGATCTTCTAAAAACCGAACACTAGGCGGCTCCTCTCCTTGTTTTATTTGGAGAGGTTCCCAATATGTTCATGTGTCGAAATATGTGGAGTGGTAACTTAGTTACCACTGGTGAACGAGCAACCTTGCTGTATCGGTCCGCCCAAAAAGACGGGTCGTATTCGCACCGGCAAAACAGCGACGCCTGCCACGCTGCGGTCGCTCATTATGCCGCCGATCAGACACCTAGGAAAAGAGATTCGATGTGCACGGGGCCGGAAGCAAGCCGTTAAAGTGCAGGAGCTGGTAGCTAACGCTGTCTTCATCCTGCAGTGTCTAGCTGTTTTTCAAAAGTGCGCAGGAAGCAGCTCTACTATCACCCATTCAAGTGGGAAGAGAGTCTCACGCACAAAGGGGCATAAAAAATGCGCCAATCAGCGTCGGCGGGGGCGCGGTTCGAGCTTGAATTCCCCGCCTTCACCATTCTTATCCTTGGTTTTATGTACGGAGTAGATGATCAAAGTGGAGCGGCCCACAAAGGGAACGATGCGGGAGGGGTTTTCGCGCCCGCATTCTGGCATATAAAAAAAAGCCCAAGAGTGCGTCGTAGGTAGCAATCAACTTGTCGTTTGCATCAAGTGTTTCGACAAACACTGAGGCCTTGATGGCCTCCCATGGCCCAGCATCGAGAATGTCGGGCGCCGAAAGAGTTGCGACAGGGTATTCCTTGTGGAGTGGTGCTCTGGACTGAACATCTTATTTTTTTTAGACCTGGCCGACCGACGTGGGGCTGATATGGGGGCATCTACAGCCTCTATGGATGCTTGTGGTGAATTGAGTCGCTGCAGTTTCGTGGATTCTCCATGTTGAACATTGAAGGAGGGCAGAAAAGACAGGGAAATATGACGAAGGTATGTAGAAACTGGTCTAGGCGGGAGGAACCGTGATGTGTCGAGGAAGGTTAAACCTTCCCCAGGCAAGCACTAGTCCTAATTAGGAAGACACGTCTATGTGCTTAATCACACACTTTGGTGTTTTTGGCAAAATGAGGAATCTGCGATGTTGAATAATCAGAAAATGTTCAAGTGTAGAACTTACCCAACAGCCAATCATATGGGAATCCGCCATGCCGCGGTTTATGGTTGACTAATCTTTAGCATTTACACTGCGCAGCCCGAAAAATGGGACAGAGCGGCGAGTGGTTGCCATAGAAAATGGATGCACCTCGGGAAATTAACCAGATTATTCTGTTTCGGTCTCGGTCGACCTAAGGCCCGAGTTTATCGGCTTGTAAAAACGCGTAGTGAGAATTCGTACTATAAGATTACCCACTGGCCCATCCCATGGGTCCTCTATTTATTGCTATCTAAAACTACTGCCCTGTATTTTATGAATCTCTTTTCACCGAATCACGTACAATGGAACCCACAAAGGGTGACCAGGAAGCGAACGTGCAAAGCGATATGGACGGCTCGTCATCTTCCTCTGCTAAGGTCGAAACGAGACCGGGTTTGAGCACAGAAAAGCTGCACGATATCGGCGCATGGCACTGGGACGATGATCCCAATAATCCTTACAACTGGAACACAAGACGAAAGGCTCTACAGGTTCTCATGATAGCCTCCGCAGCTTTCACAACGTTAGTTTGTTCTCCAGTTCAACCAGTTGTGAACTCTAGGCTAACAATATTTCCAGCTCTGTTGGTTTGTCTATTTTGTCGCCTGCCCATTCTGAGTTCATGGAGGAATTTGGAGTCAGTAGCACGGTTGCTATCCTCCCCTTGTCACTCTATGTGCTCGCTCTAGGCCTTGGACCTGTGGTCGGCGGCCCGCTCTCCGAGACAGTGGGAAGATATCCAGTCTACATTGGAACCATTTCACTCGGCACCTTATTTACCCTCGGCGCTGGACTTAGTCCAACTTTTGCCGGACTATGCGTCTTGCGCTTTCTAGCAGGTTTTTGCTACGCGCCTTCATTGTCTATCGCCGCCGGGACCATCAATGAAACATTTAGACCGGTGAACCGCGCCATACCCTCCACAATATTTATTTTGACACCTTTCCTGGGACCTGGCTTAGGGTATTTTTCCATTTCCAGTCTGATTATTGCATTCTGGAATCCACTAATAAGGTATACAGGCCTGTTATCGGAAGCTTTGTTGTGAACCGGAAGGGTTGGCGCTGGACCCAGTGGACAATAATTTTCTTCGCTATCTTTACGTTGCTTACTATTGCCATTGCAAGGGAAACGTTTCATCCTGTGATCAAACGTCGTCGAGCCAAAGAGCTAGGTGAAAATCTTCCAGCATCACCGCCACTCTCTGCCAAAGTGCGACTTTTTGTGACGATCGCCCTTCTGAGGCCGATTCATATGCTTTTGACCGAACCTATCGTTACATTCATCTGCCTCTACGTTGCGTGCGAATTCGCAACACTCTTCTCTTTCTTCGCTGCTATTCCGCTTATCTTTCACGGTGTCTATGGATTCGGAATCGAGGACTCTGGCCTGGTATTCCTCTCTATCGTTGTCGGCTGCCTGTTAGGGGCTGTGACAGTACTGCTGTGCGATATTCTGCTATATCGTCGACAGATTCCAAAGCATGCCGGTCGGCAAGTGCCGCCTGAGTATCGACTATATCCAGCTCTGGTAGGGAGTGTCGGCCTGCCTATTGGTCTATTCTGGTTTGCATGGACTGCTAGAAGAGATATTTCTTGGGCGAGTCCCACAGTCGCAATCATGGTTTTTGCGTGGGGAAATCTGTGTGTGTTTGTCAGCACAGCACAGTATTTAGTCGATACCTATCATGGCCTTACTGTTGCAAGTGCCATGAGTGCAAACGGCCTCGCGAGATACGGGCTAGCTGCTGCGTTTCCTCTGTTCACAATCCAGAGTGAGTTTTCATCCTTTGGATCAATTATTCGGATTTTTTGACCCTAACCACATTGAATAGTGTACACGCGCCTTGGCACCGGGTGGGCATCAAGCCTGCTTGGCTTTATTGCGATTGCGCTTCTACCAGTCCCGTGGATCTTTTTCAAAGCAGGAAAGAAGCTGCGCGGCCTGAGTAAATACGAAACCGCTGAACAGCATTCTTGACGGGAACTGAAAGATAGAAGAGACTTGTGAATTCGTTCTCGAAAATATATAGACGGTAAAACAATGCATCATACGAGATGTTAGGGAGGAGAATGAGAGATACTGCCTGGACTTGTACATGACCTATTATTAAGATCTTGTTGTGGAGTCGAATAATATATCTACTGGATGCCAGTTTGTAACATGCTAAGATCAACATCCATCCTGGTCCAACTCTAAGGCCGCTATTAAAGCTGACCTGCGGAGGATAAGGGTATATTTTTATGTCCCGGTTGTTTAATCTTTGTATTCAAAGGCTGCGATAGTGGAATATCCTTCGGCCCATACAGATGCTCGGGGAGTCAGAGACAATTAACAAAGTCACTTTGTAGCTTTCCCAGTCACGCGAACACCCTTTTGTGCCTTTTGGGTAACACGTGGATCCCGGAATCCGTGTCCGCACAGGATACTATCCTAATAACCACAGTGCAAAATTCCGTGGGGTATCTTTCCGCACGAAGGCCCGATAGACAATCAATTTTTTCACCAAATATGATAAGTTGATATCACCAGGTCTTAGATAGGAAGAAGATTTAAAGAAGCTTGTCAATTCTCCATCTAGGAGGGGTGAGATTCAAGCTAGCAAGATAAGGTCCCAATGGGCCCAAACAGATCATTGATCCTCCTAAAGCTATAAAAAGGGCGGTCTCATCTGATAGCGTTAGGTCCGGTTCTCTATGCCTCTCTTAAGTACATTGTCATAAACGAATAGGCTAGCAGTCACCAGCACTGAGCCAACAACCCAACATCTATACAGTTCCAGAATCATCCGTCCACCTCACGAAATGTAGAAGGCTGGCTCTTTAGATGTACTCCCAAGCAAGGTGGTCAGAAGAGATGTTCAGACCAATAGCCAGAGCGTCAAAGCCGAGGCAGTCGCTCACATTGCCCGTGGGAACAGTCGCGTTCTGCAGCGCGGCAAACACCTGCCAGCGATCGGTCCTCAGGGGAGCCTGGCGGCGGACGTGGCGGCCCACGGCAGTGGAGTTAGCCGGAGCAGGGCAGGCCATAAAGCCGGAGGCACCCTGGCCGGAGTAGGTCCAGGTGCCGAAGGACTGGCCGGGGGTGTACTTGAAGGGGCCCTGAGACGAGCCGGGAGGAATGTAGCCCGAGTGGGGGGTGGTGAAGCTCAAGGCGCCGGCACGGTCGACGTAGATGCGCTGGCCACCGGGGACCACGACATCCTGGAAAATAAGTTAGAGAATTATGTTTATTGGTTGGCTGGAAGCAGATATTTGGCCTACCAGGGCGCTCTGTCCAAAGATAATGGTGTCATTGGTAGTTTGAGCGCAGTTGGGGACGACAGCAGGGCAGTAGGTCTGGCTCTTGCCACCGAGCCAGAATTTGCTACCAGAAGCAGTCAGGGGCAGGAAGTGGATGGGCGAGCCAGAGCGAGCAGCAGTGACGCCGAAGGCACCGCCGGACTCCTTGGTGGTGGGGCGAGAGCCAGGGAGGGCCGCAGCCAGGGGAACGAGGGACAGAAGCGCGGAGACCTTCATTGTGAATGAGCGAGTGTCAAGTAATTGGGTAAAGAGAGTTTTAATGGTGTAGAATGGCGAAAGAAAAAGAGAAGGCGAATAGAAATAGGACTCCTATTAAATGTACACAGCGAAGGGACTCGTCAACAGAATATGGAGTTCTCTCTCAAAGTCCCATCCACAGGATCCCGCCATGTGCCGTCTAGTGTCTCCGTATCAAAGGTGATCGACATGGACTACACAAGTTGCTGCGACGTTACCACCGAAAAAGTAGCAAGAGTTGATATCATTGCTCCGCCCAAGCTTCGCATCTACCAAGCCGAGCACCGGCCCACGTTATGCAAGTTTCCATCGGAAATGTCGGTGTTGGGAGTAGCGCGGAACTTTACAGCGCCTTTAGCCAACGGGCTATCTTGGGCCATGCCTAGCTAGTCATTCGCAGGGTGTATTTCAGTTTCTTTCAGGAACGGCGAGCCCCGATTGGGGAAACTAGTTCTGAGACACACTGCAAAACTTCCCACTGAGAGGTTTGGGTGATCGACAACCACCGACAGGGGTAACGGTCTCTAGAGGAGGATGATGGTACCCAGGGCCGAATAGACATCGGGACGCCATATTGATTCTCCACCGCGGTTAGGCCGATTTGGAAGGCAAGTTGGAGATTAATTGAGCAAGACGGAACGGCATTTAGCACTTTCGGTCTCGAACGAGATCAATTTATCGCAACGGATCAAATGCGAAGACCCTGAAAAGTGGGATGTTTCAGCCAAATCAAGATAATGCAGATAGGAGTAGGGATCGGCAGATGTCGTGGTGGTAGCCCGGTGGAGTACCCGTCCTGGTTCGCTCCTATCAGGGGTGAGTGAAAGAGAAAACAGAAGCAAGCGATATGCTATCTTTGGTACTCCGTAGTCCCTGTGGCTCACAGCTCTGCCCGTAGTGAGTGAGTCGGGGCAACTGGGCGTGCAGTCTCCACAGGTCCACCCGGATGTCTCGGGGATGAATGCTGTTGACATCACTGGTGATGCTTCCCGATCGTTGACACGAAGACACAGAGGTCTCCGTATCTCTTCAGGAGATTCACGATCTAGTGAAACAACCATCAGGCCCTGAACACATGCGCAAGTAATTCCTGCAGTTTTACCCCTGTCTTGTGGACATAAATTCTGTCTGTTTCTCGAAGGATTCTCCGTGTAACAGAAAACGCGGTGATCGTCGGTCTCCATTTTTAGCCAAATGGAGACGATTCCGTAGGAACCGCCACACGGAGACCCTATTGCTAGACGCAAGGTGGAGTGGGGCGTGGAGAAGGCAGCAGCGATGGTAAGTCTGTAGGAGAACAGAGGGTGTCTTAGCATTAATCACCTACGCCGTCGGAATAAGCTCGGCCGGCCTGAAATTAAAACCAGCCAAAGATACGGCACTTCCCGCTAATTGTATTCGGGGCAAGTTCTTCGTAGCTCAGTTTCTGTGCACACATTGCTAGAATCACAGTCCCTCTATGTCCAATAAGCCAATACCCGACATATGCTATCGCTGAAGTTCGAAAGACCCAACGCCGACAAAAATACATCGCCCACGTCAGCAAAAATACATGAAAACGCTACAACCTGGGGAAGACATCTAAAAAAGAACTGTTCAAAACTCCGCCATCAGCGGCAGATCCCGCGAACTCCGTCCAGCCCAAATTTGGAATGTGCCTTCAGTAGGCATCACCCAGTTCTGGGCACGCACGCTCCAGTAACTCAGATCTTTCCGGGACAAGGTCATCTGGACGGTCGTGCTCTCGCCAGGATCAAGGGCGACCTTGGTAAAGTTCCGGAGAACGCGATCGGGGAACTCTATATCCTCGCGGTGCTGACCCAGACCGCGGTGTTCGGCGACGCGTTCCGGGAATGAGAGGTAGACCTGCACAACCTCTTTGCCTGGTCGCGAGCCGGTGTTGCTGACCTGGAGCGAGAGTTCCAGCATAGCTTCGTAGAGAGATGGGTTGCCGCCCGGTCCGCCGCCTGCGTCGGAAGGGTGCTGGTGATCGTTGTAGCCCTCTGGATATGGGTAAGAGCCGGGTTTAGTGCCCTCTCCGTCACGGATGTAGGGGTATATGTATTTTGCTAAAGCCTTGAAGCCGGACGGGTATCTGGTTGAAGACTCTGTCGGTGGTTTGGTATCGTATTGTGGAGGATCAATCTCGTTATTTGGGCGTGGTGAGGGTAGCCGAGACTTCTCTTGCAGAGGCTGGATTTCGAGGGCTGAAATATTGAAAGTGGTGTATGACAAGCCGAAACCAAACTCGTAGCGTGGTGTGATGTTCTTTTTGTCAAAATACCGGTAATCAATGTAGAGACCTTGATCGAGGGTGACTTCCGGTTGGTTACTTCTGGTCTCATAGAGCACTTGAGCACCTGGGCCATAGTCTTCAAGTGATCGGCCAATGGTGTAGGGTAACCGACCGCTGGCATCAACATCACCAAACAGTACGTCTGTCAGAGCATTGCCACTCTCTTGCCCGGGAAGGTTAGCATAAAGAACGGCGTGTACCCCAGGCAGATCAATCCAAGACTCCATCACGACGGGGCCGACAGAATGTATCACGACCACTGTCCTGCCGACGCCACCACCACAGTGCTTAGCAACCCGATCAATCAGTTGAGCACCACTGTGCTGGAGGTCGAGATTATTGCGATCTCCACGAATATCATCGACTCGAATAAAGCCCTCGCCTCCGTCGGAATTCGCGAAAACAAGGCAGAGATCTTGATCCACCAGATTCTTAAGAGCAACATCATTTCCCAAGAAGCCCCGCACGTCGCTGGTCTCCGCAGGCCATGCACGCTGTAGAGCTTCCCAAGGACTGACCAGATATGGGAAATTGACCGCGCCGCTTCCCCAACCAGACCCAAGTGTACCTTGATTGCACCCGCGATCAGCGCAAACATTGGGGCCATCACCAGGACCAGCATCCTCGCCATAGATACCAACGCGATAATGTCCTTTGGGGCCAGTGGCACTGCGCGAAAGTGGGAGGGTGTCGTTGACGTTCTTCAAGAGGACAGTTCCCTCTGCGGCTACCCTCCGGGCCGTGAGAGAATGGGGCAGCGACTTAGATCCGCTTGCTTGAGCATCCACGTAACGGTTGACCACTTCATGGGTCTCGTCGTCTTCGCTACCGGGATGTAACCCTCCCATCTTCTCGTCGGTCCAAGAAGAAAAGTTTGGACCACCTTCGCCTAACGGCCGAGGCTGTTCCCACGTATCCTGGCGGAAATGGTACCAGGCTGCAACAATACGGGTGACCATATCGTTGAGGCGCTCCATGGGGACGGAGGTATTGAGGGCTGCTTGTGTTAAGCGCATCCCCCAAAACGAGTCCCCGTCTACCCAGTATGCGCCGTCACCGGGCATGCTCATGTCGAGGCCACTTAATGCACTCTGTACGCCGGAGCGCTGAGCAAGCCAGTCGGATTGCACGAATCCTTGGAAGTCGAGCTCGTCCTTGAGGATGCCATTGAGAAGCTTGCTATTCTCACAAGCATAGCTGTTGTTGACTTTCTGGTAAGAGCACATAACACTCGCGACGCCGGCACGCACGCTCTCGGCGAATGGCCAGACGAAAACTTCGTGCAGTGCGCGATCATCTATATTAGATGAGATGGCATTTTCGGTGCCCCAGTCATTCGGTTGGCGGTAGTGTTCCTGTTCATTCATCAAAAAGTGCTTAGCTGTCGCCATAACGCCATTGCGTTGGATACCACGAATGGTCTCCGCAGCGGCCACGCCCTGAAGGACGGGATCTGAGCCGAAGCCCTCCCAGTTGCGACCACCAGCGGGCATCATTCCCAATGGCCCCATGGACGGGCCGAGAATAACATTAACCCCCTTTGCACGAGCCTCTTTACCCAGTGCAAATCCGCGCTCCCGCATGAGATCACGGTTCCAGGTTGCGCCGGTAGTAATTCCGGCAGGGAATGCAGTGATGTTATCTGCAAACCGAAGACCCAGCGGACCATCCTGTAAGCAGAGCGATGGAAATTGGACGAACTCTGCAGGTCCCGTATTCCCAACACAAAGCCCCATCTGCCATCCCGTGCCAGTTGTGACATTTACCTTCTCCACCAAATCCATTCGCTCGACAAGTTCATGGGCCTTAGTATAGCTTTCTCTCCATGCAGGATTGGTTCCTCCAAGGGGTGTCGGGTACCATGGGACAGACGACTGCATCCGTCAGCAATTATTCCAATACGGCACACCTGCAAAGCACGCTGTAACGGGCTCGCAGTCGATAGGATTGAAAATGCGGGACTCGTACATATTCTTTAGCCGCTTTCTTGCCTAATACCCATGGCAAACCCTTCATCGCGAGCCACATCACAAGTAAACCAACCACGACAAGCGGAAAAACATGCCACCATGCCTTGATTCGCAGCAGGGACTTGATTCCGGCCTTCCAGCTCTGGTCCTTGTCCTTGTAATGCGCAGCGCCTCGGCCCTTATGTGACGGAATTCCATAGTCATCACTATCATCGTCACTCAGCATAAGGTGCGAGGTACTGTGGTCCAGGTCTTCATTGAATGTTTGAGCCAGTATATCCTGCTCCCTCTCCAACATGTACTCAATAGCTTTGCCGACGTCACGCGGTTCGCCGGATTCATCGCCGGGTATAGGGCTTGCGGCGCTCGCGAAGCTAGGCTCGGAGGTGAATTGGACTCGATTGCGAGGTTTGCCCGACTCTGTTACTTGATCCAATGGAAGGAGTTTCAAGTTCGCGTCGTCTTCGGTTGAGGAATCTTCGCCGCTAGAAAGGAGATCGTCGAGGTAGGGATCGTGTATTGTGCCGCCATCTCCGCGATTATTTGGTCGGGCTCCGTCATTCAATCTTGTTGATGGGCGTTCATCGTCGGAAACATCGTTAGCCAGCGACTGGTACTCCTGGCTACGCGTATTCGAAGCTCCAGGTTTAGAGCGGGTCGATCTGGCCATCGCGCTGGTGTACTTGGCGGGTGGAGAAGGCTGTCACTTAGAGTCACAGAGCCCATGCATCATGGGTTTCGACAACGGTGGCTTCGAAAGACAATTGAGGACAGGGTTTGACGTGAATAATTGCACTGCTCGAACTGGTGATGCGTCCTTGGCGCCAAGCGCAACAGCTTCTCGTCCTGGCGGGTCACCTGACACACTCAAAGCGGGATCTACGGAACCTGGGTGATCTACTCTAAAGGCTATCGATTGGTACTTAAGGGTAAAGGCCTATTGGGAGACTCGGATTGGCGAAAATATCATATAAACAAGAACTTTTGTTCAGTAGGACCGCCTAGGTATCTATCACCAGGTCGAGATTGATCCGAACAATGCGTATCTACCTAGCAAACGAAATCAAACAAGCCCAAACTCCATCTATCGAAGTCCCATGCAAAAAGCCATAAATAAACAACAATAGGTACTCATGCAAGGAAATGTCCAGAAATCATCATGAAAAAAGGAAAAGCCATTACACGTCAACATGCTGTGGTAGGTATGCTTATTCTTCGTCATCGGTATCGACAGGCTTAGGGGTACCCTTGGGGGAGTTAAGCTAGAAGTATGTCAGTGGTAGATCAGGTGAGGAGAGATGAAAATGAACAAGGAAACTCACCCATTCGATGTGACGAAGACGGCGACGGGCGTCGCGGTCCTTCAGCTGAGCGCGGGTCAACTTCTTCTTCTTCTTGGCGCGGAACTTGAGCTCGCCCTGGTCCTCGGCACCAGAGTTGACAGCCGACGGGGCAGCGCTAGTGTTGGCCGAGGCAGCCGCAGAGACACCAGCAGGGGTGCCGGTGCCAGTGGGGGAGTTGGTAGCACTGTCCTCGAAGCGGTCCAGACTGATAGCGGTGTTGGTACGGCTGACGACACGGCCATCGGCGACGTGGAGCTGCTCGGGGCAGAGAGCGCCCACGAACTCCTCGTTATGGGAAATCATGACAACACCACCCTTGAAGTCACGGATAGCGACGGCCAAACCACCCAGGGAGTCACGGTCCAAGAAATTAGTCGGCTCGTCCAGCACGAGCAAGTGGGGGTTGTTCCACATGGCACCGGCCAGCACGACCTTGACCTTCTGGCCACCAGACAGACCAGATATCTCATTGTGGTTGGCAATCTCGGGGTCGAGGCCAACATCCTCGAAGTGCTTGGAGATAGTCTTAGGTTCAAGAACACGGAAACCCAGACCCTCCCGCGACGCCTCGTGGTCGTCGAACTCTTGGACCATCTTGGAGAAACCCAGCTCGTTGAGGGTCTCACGGGAGATCATGGTGTTGAACTTGGGAAGCAGGCCAACCCACTTCACCTCGTACTGGAAGGACTTCTTCCACTTCTGACGACCCATCAGAGCTTCGATACGACGAGCGCCACGGCCATCACCCAAATCAACTGGCTTCGCAAGCTGAGCCTTGTCAGCATCAGTCAGGATGCGCGTCTGCTTAAGGAACACCTCGCGATCATCACCGTTGGCGTAACGCCACTGGAGGTACTGGCTGGGAGTCTTCTCAAGATGCATCTCAACGTGCTCAAGGGCATGCTGCTTAATGTAACCAATACGCAGGTTGGGGTGCTTCTCGACCTTTCCGGACTGAGGGATAACCTCACCTGTCAAGATCTTGATAAAGGTAGACTTGCCAGCACCGTTTCCGCCGATAATGGCGGTACGGGAGGAGAGCGTCAGCGACAGATTTGCCTCAGACAGAGACGGCTTGGAGGCACCAGGGTAGGTGAAGGAGGCATTGGTCATCCGGAGAATAGCACGGGTATTGGATTTGATACCAGACAGAATACCAGGAGCGGGGAACTTGAACTGCACATTGGAGGCAGACAGTGTGTAGTAGCTCTTCCCCTCGGGCTTGACCTTAACAAAAGCAGCAAGGTTTCCAGGGTAGCAAACAAGTTTCTTTTGCTCGTAGTGGTAGATGTCGGTGCAGACCTCGTCCAGGAAGCCAGAGTCGTGACTGACTATCAAGCTGGTGATATCAGTGTGCTTCTTCAGGTACTCCTGCAACCACTTAACATTGGCAACATCGAGGTGGTTAGTCGGTTCGTCGAGCAAGAGCACATCGGCCTTCAAGAGCATAGCACGGGCAAGGGCCAGCTTCATTTTCCAACCACCGGACAGCGAACCAACAGGCTGAGACTGACGGCCTTCAGGTCCATCGGTGAAGCCGAACTCTAGCAGGACGGAGCTGATGTGCTCCTTGCCCTCGGCGGCAATCTGAGGGTTCTTGGCAACATACTCGAAGATGCTGATATCGGCATCTTCACCCTGGTTGTGCTCCACGAAGCATGTGCGCACTTCCTCGGGGGAGGGAAACCCTCAAGCTTGTCGTTGGCGATACTGCGCATCAGGGTCGACTTTCCAGCACCATTGCGACCGCAGAGACCGTACCGGTGGCCCTTGACGAGGCGCAGGTTGGTGTGAGAGAGTAGGAGCATACCACCGTAGGCGAGGGAGAAGTTGGCATTAACAATCACAATCTCGTTGGGGTCGTCCTGGACGGGCTTGCCATACTTGCGCTCGTCCTCTGCAATGAAGTGCTTCTGCACGGCGGTAGCAATAGCCTCCGCCTGCTCACTCTGGATCAGGCCACGGAGATAAGGGCCAACGCGAGCGGGAATCCGGTCCAACTTGCGGCAGTTGACATCTTCCCGAACCATGCCAGCGATGAAGGTCTTGGCCAGTTCGGAGAACTGAACATCCCCGAAGCTGACAGACCCAGCAACCTCCTGAAGCTGAGAGTTCAACACGGCCACCACTTCCTCAGGGGTAGTTTTGGAAACAGCACCGAGGGCAAGGTCGTTATCCTTCATAGCCTTCTCCATGACGTCGAGCGCACGAGTGGCCAATTCACGAACCTCCGGGAGAGACGCACGGTCTGCGATGGCTTTCACACCAGGCTGGAGCTTGGGAAGGAAGACACGGGCCTCGGCAGGGTCGTGAACCAGCTTGGTCAGGTTCTCGATGACAACGACGGCCTGGCGAAGAGTTTCTTGAGGGGTGGCCGGGGCGTTGAGTGTGCGCTCGAGCAGGGGGGTGAGCAGAGCTAGAACGGGGGAGGTAACGATAGCCACGAATGTTGTTTGCGACAGCGCGTGAATGGCCTTCTGCAGAGTCTGGGCCGAGGGCTGCTCCATGGTCTTGATGAGCAGGGGAATGCGCGGGGCGACGTCGTCGTTGTACAGAAGGGTGGTCATGGTAGTCATTGTCTTGGTAGCCTGCTTGGCGACCTCGCTCTTCAAGTCGTGCATGCCCGATTCGACGATGGGGATCAGCTCCTTGAGAGTTTTGCCCATGGCCTCGCGCAGGACGTCCTTCTCGCTCTCCTCCTCCGGGGTGCCATTGCCCATTTGGGCGCCGGCAGCCATCTTCTCGAGAAGTTTGTAGCCACCAACGAAGCCTTGCCACTTGCCGGATCCCGTGCTCAAGTATGTTTCCAGAGCGGGAAGAAGAGCATTAGCCTTGGCCTCGGGGCTCAGGCAGCCATATAGCGCATCGATCGCATACTGCGCCGCATCGCGAACAACGGCACCCTTATCGGCAAGAGAGTCGAGAACAACGTTGAAAATACCGCCGTTATGCAGCAGGAAAACAGCCTCGCTGAGGGGAAATTCGCGGGGGAACCGTTCAAAGAGGGCGCCGATGATCAGCATGGCGCTCTCGCGACGGGATCCATTCTTCTTATCGGTAGCAGCCTTCTTCGCCTCGGCGAGAACATTGTAGTTGAGCAAACCGGAGGTTCCAACACTCTGGATTAACAGGTTTGCGACTGCATAGGAGCCATCGAGGGAGTGCTGGGACGTCTCGGCGGTAAAGATAGTGTTGAGGAGCGAAGAAATCTCTTCGGTAGTGGGGGGCACGCCAGAGGGGCCTTTAGCGACAACGGTCGGCATGGTGGGGGTACCAGAAGGGGAGATGGGGTGTGGCATGGTCTTCTGAGTGCAAGACTCAAAACGTCTGGTAACTAAATATACCAGAAAAAGAAAGAAGTTGGTCGCGGTGGTCCTGAGGCCCTCGAACGGATGGGAGGCGGGGTCTCCCGGGCCAGCAGAATAAGCAGAACAAAGACTGTCAAGTGAGGAACGCAAGTGACGACCAGATCAAAGACAATCAGGAAAGAATGGATATGCCTGCACCGTGACAGCGGTAGATACTCGAATCCACGCAGGGCTGTACACAGGATGAGGAGGAAAGAACAAGGCGAAGGGTAGGGAGATCGCGCATCGCTGATCGGGGGCTTATCCACACAATTTTTTTTTTGTTTGGGAGGCGACAACCGCCCTGACCAATCGCAGGTTCCGTTATCGCCATGGGACGCCCCTAGCTGGATCTGGCTAGCCTTATCAGTTGCTTTCGCCTCAGGCCAAGTTAGTCAGCAAATCCGGTGCCTGAGGTGTCTATTTTGTAAACGTCATGGGATCCCAAGTCACGGGTTTGCACGGGTTGCGTTGCGTGGTTTCGTTGGGCCAGACTGGGTGAGCTGAACGGGAAAGACCCAGCTGCTCGGCCGGAATGCCGATTGTCCAAGGGCCGAGAGCCTATGGCTGATGTACTACATGACTCGCTCTGTTAGCCCTTCCTTCTATCCGGTGCCCGTTCGTCTTCCCTCGTGGCCCGCGACCTCCTCGGATAATGGGTAGAAGATATATAGCCAGTGTCGAGGATATCCTCCAAACAACCCTCTTCAGATCAAAATCGCGATAATAGATAGCACATAAGATACGTCTTTTCTATATACACTCGGATCAACCATGACTGTTCAGCAAAGACCGTAGGGAAATCGGCGATGTCGCGGTCCGCATGCAGCCGCCCCGGGCCTCGGTAGAATCAAGGGTTGAGGCCCCGCGTTCAACCGACCCGCGGGGAAGAAGGGTTGCGGTCAGATGTTATTCCCCAGACGCGGTCGATCATAAGTACCTTTTTCTTCTTCTTTTCATGCATTTATTTTCACGTTAAGAACCTCTCGAGCTGCTCGCTGACTCGAAAAAGTTGCTTGTTCTCATCCCTCTTCATCCATTTGATCCCTTGATTCTCCCCGCACCGAGTCTCCCGCCCCCACAATTCTACCCCGGACCCATCAACATACAATGGCTCTGAGCTTCAGAACCACCCGCCACGCCACCAGACTGGCCAAGGTTCGTCTTCGTTCGTGAAGTCCTGCTCAATGATCAATTGGGAGGATTGTAAGAAAAATAGAGTGGCCCCCTCGACTAACAATTTCCACAGGCCTCCCGGCCGCTCTTCTCGGCCAGACACTATGCGACCGCCGAACCTGACCTGAAGACCGCCCTGAAGGAGGCCATTCCCGCTAAGCGCGAGCTCCTCCGGCAGATTAAGGCCCAGGGCGACGAGGTCATCGGTGATGTCAAGGTCAGCAACGTGATCGGCGGCATGCGCGGCCTGAAGGCCATGCTGTGGGAGGGTTCCGTTCTGGACGCCGACGAGGGCATCCGCTTCCACGGCAAGACAATCAAGGACTGCCAGAAGGAGCTGCCTAAGGGCACCTCCGGCACTGAGATGCTTCCCGAGGCCATGTTCTGGCTGCTCCTGACCGGTCAGGTCCCCTCGACGGCACAGGTGCGCGCCTTCTCGCGCGAGCTGGCCGAGAAGTCCACTTTGCCCCCGCACATCCTGGACCTGATCAAGTCCTTCCCCAAGACCATGCACCCAATGACTCAACTGTCGATTGCCGTTGCTGCACTCAACACCGAGTCAAAGTTCGCTCAGGCCTACGAGAAGGGCCTGAACAAGGCCGAGTACTGGGAGCCCACTTTCGATGACAGCATTTCGCTGCTCGCGAAGATTCCCCGTGTTGCAGCGCTGGTTTTCCGCTCCAACGAGATTGATGCTGTTGGTCACCAGCAGCTGGATGTTACCCAGGATTGGTCGTACAACTTTGCCGAGCTGCTCGGTAAGGGCGGCGAGAAGAACCAGGACTTCCACGATCTGCTACGCTTGTATCTGGCTTTGCACGGCGACCACGAGGGTGGCAACGTCTCTGCCCACGCTACCCACCTGGTTGGCAGCGCCCTCAGCGACCCCTTCCTGAGCTACAGTGCCGGTCTGCTGGGTCTGGCCGGCCCCCTGCACGGTCTCGCTGCCCAGGAGGTCCTCCGCTGGATCCTCCAGATGCAGGACAAGATCGGTACGAAGTTCTCTGACGAGGACGTCCGCACTTACCTCTGGGATACTCTCAAGTCCGGCCGTGTGGTCCCTGGCTACGGCCACGGTGTCCTGCGCAAGCCTGACCCTCGTTTCGAGGCCCTGATGGACTTTGCCGCTACCCGCCCCGATGTCCTCGCCAACCCCGTGTTTCAGCTGGTCAAGAAGAACTCCGAGATTGCCCCTGGTGTTCTGACTGAGCACGGCAAGGTATGTACCATTAGTGTCTCTCTTTCTCTCCCATGACCCCGTTACTAACAACTTCCGTCCAGACCAAGAACCCTCACCCCAATGTCGATGCCGCCTCCGGTGTCCTCTTCTACCATTACGGCTTCCAGCAGCCCCTGTACTACACCGTCACCTTCGGTGTCAGCCGGGCCCTTGGACCCCTAGTCCAGCTGATCTGGGACCGCGCCTTGGGCATGCCTATTGAGCGCCCCAAGAGCATCAACCTGCTGGGTCTGCTGAAGAAATAAACAACCCGACGATGCAAATTGGGTATCGAAAAGCCCCACGTGGCCGATTTGCAGCCCGAGATGAAAATTATGCTAGCGAATTTTGCGTGTTTCTCCTATGTCTTTCTTTTCTAGACTGCTGTTCTGTATGTCGCGCTTTTGGACAAATATTTCTGACCGGTGAGTATTTCCCGGCAAAGAATGTTTCAATATATTCCATCACCCTCTAAAGCAATTCGAATGTCATTTGTACAAAAAGCAAATTTCTGTGGCGGAATACTTGAACAGGTGAAACGGGACGCGGCTGAGATTCAGTCTACGGAGCTATACTGCCTGACTCCAATCAAATAAACTTGCGTTGAATTATGTAGCTGTTAACCAAAGTTTAACTCTTGGTAGTCTCCGTCAGGATTGTCTCAACTTCATCGCCCCGGTCCCATCGCTCCCGATACTCGCGCATCAGTACCTCAGCTGGTGGAGACGTCTGCACGAAGTCCCGGACCGCGAGTACCGGAAATAAATAGTGCAGAGAGCAGTATACCGCGGCGCTAATAGCCAGACCAGACAAAAAGCAAATATAGTATATATGTGTTAGGCCAGTGGGCACGACGACACTGGGTTTGACGTAAGCAGCAAACCCAGGCAATGATGGGACTGTACCACAAATCCACTAGAAAAGATGAGCGGAGAAGTAGGTGTTATTCGAAATGAGCCACTCACAGCTACAACTGCCCTCCAGTTTACCCCCATCGTGTACCAGTAGATACTGGAGCTATTTCCGATGAAAAGGTCATCAACCTTGATCTTGCGCTGGTTGATGATGAAGTACGACGAGATCATCAGGCCAGTCATTGGCCCCAGGAACACCGAGTAGCTGCTGAGAACAGCCAAGAATGTAGTTGCCGTGTTGACCAGTTTCCAGGGATTGCAAGCAATTGAAACCAAAGCTGTGAGATAAGCTCCACGGCGGATATTGATATATTGCGGGAACGTCGCAGCCAGATCAAATCCTGTCATTGCACGGTAAGCTATGGTGCTCGCAGCGAGCTGGGAAAAAGTACGCACCGCCAGCCAAAGCATTCCCGGGAACGTTGACACCAATCTGAGAGATCACCAATGCGGCACCGCCGAAGAACGCCGCAGCTCGAGAGCGAGACCCTCCGTGCTCGATGACTGCACTCAGAAGCGTGGGAAGATTCCACTTGGCCTCACCGAAGCGTTCTTGCGTAGCTGCAGTGACCAAAATTCCAACGATAGCGCATGTAATGGCATAGAACGGGAAACTGATCAGCTGCCCCCATACCGCATCTCGAGGCTTTCGCGCAAAACGCGCATAGTCATTCTGATTCAGTATACCGGCAGCAATTGAGCCAATGGTACTGATAATGCCGAATGCAATGTTCCAGCCCGAGCCTCCACTGGACTCAGGGCCCGATATCGTGGAGCCGAACCCAGTATCACCCATTGTTGCGAGCGACCAGATCAACAAGACGATTTCAAAGATCAGAATTGTGGCTGCGGAGCCGTAGAAGAGATATTTGAGGTTATGCGGACGGACATAGATCACCGGCAGGGAGATTACCATGAATATGACATACGAGACGAAGCTGGCTGACGTAGTGCCGGTCGATGCAGAGAGGTGGTTTGGGATGCGCTGTTCCAGATTGGGCCAAATTGCTTGGAGGCAGACATAGACACATTCGCCGCCGATCCATGATTGGAAACCGTCTTGTTTGGTCAATTGGCCAGTTGCGCGCGGCAAAGAGACGGAAGGGACTTCAACTTACACCAGACTGCATATAACAGTCAGTTGGATCCGAATAACGAGGATTGAAGAGGGAGACAGAACCAGACACTTACCAACTGAAAGCAGAATGCGATTCCAAATCACAAATGCACTGCCATACATGCCCCACACGTATCGATTGGCAACCGGGAACCCCACTACAAGACCATGAGGATGAGGGGATCCGAGATGCTTGCGAATCTAACTCACAATGATAATAAGCGCCTGGGAGGGAGTTGACAACGACCAGGATGGTTGACAGGAGCTGGCCTATTACGATCGCAATAATGGCTTGCCACCAGGTCAGTCCAAGGGCAATCAAAGAGCTGCCCGTCATAAAAGATGAGATATTCGAATTCACCAGGACCCCTGGAATCATTTAGATCAGCATCCCGAAAATCAAAAATCAATACTCTGCGCTGATTGTCTCCTACAAAAGTTATGGAAGGTCCAAAAGCCCCAGGTTCGGCGACTGGCCTCGATGGGCTTAATATCGTTGTTGATCCATCGGTCTGGCACAGGGCCACCGTCGCTATCGACCTCGAGTCGCTTAAGAAAGGCCTTCATTTCAATAACGAGAGGGCCCAATGATCAGAAAAAAAAAGGTGCGCACGATGAGACATAGAGAGCAAGGAAAGAGGCAGATCCCGGAATAACAGACTCCGGACTGCAGGCCGCTCCGCTAGCTCGCACCGCAGCACTTATCTACTCCGCACTTGAATGTTTACCGATCATCTCCATGATCGGCTACCACCTCAAACGGCCAATGCGAAGGCTCAGCCTCGAATAGCTCGCCTATCAATCTTATCGACAATCTCCCATCCCAGCCTAGTCTCGTCCCCCTTACTCGATTCGGCATCTCCCCGGCATAACCCGCCACGCCGAGCCATGGCACCTGCTCTCTGGGGTAAAACGAAGAGACAATCGCGCCCCGTGCCGGGATTTAGCGCTGGTCCCTATCGGGGAGGTGGACAGTTTGACGTTCGGGTTTCCAGCGTGGTAAGTGGGGTTTGGCGATCGGGGTCTCCTCATTCCACGATAAGAGCATGGCGACTCCGTACCTCGCGCAGGGGAGGAGGGCGCGTGAGTCAATGCGGTTGCATAATGGTCGATGTGTCAAACACAGTTGTGTTTAGGCAACAGCGCCGATTTGCTACCATGTTTTTGGGATATTTGGAGTGGGTACATAGCAGCTTGGAGGGGATAATCAGCTCGGCTAACGAGGTTGTTGCTTGTCAGAAGACATTTCCAACGCCCGCGCGGAACTCATAGATGCTACGCGACCTAAAATGACAGAAATAAACCGGATATCGCACGAGGCGGTGATCCCACGGGGAAAAAATTCATTTCCATCTTTCCCATCTCCTATCCCCCAGTGTTTTCACCATGACTCAAGGCCCTGGCCCCTATCGCATCGGTGTCGATGTGGGTGGCACCAACACGGACGCGGCCATCATTGACATCGCTGGCACTGACTCGGAATCTCGGGGCGTATGTGCCTCTAGCAAAACCCCGACTACAGCAGACGTAACCTCGGGCATTCACACCGTTATCGAAAATGTCCTGTCCAAATCCGCAGTGGACCGTAAAGAGGTTCTCAGTGTCGCAATTGGGACAACTCATTTTGTCAATGCGGTAGTTGAGGCTGATGGACGGCGCTTGAGCAAAGTGGCCGTTGTCCGCCTGTGTGGGCCGTTCACGACGCAGGTCAGTATCTCTAGCGCCCACAAGTCCAGAAGAGAAGAGCAAAGAAACGAGGACTAAGCATGGATGTTGATCAGGTTCCTCCATTCTCGGATTTCCCACTCGCACTGAAAGAGATTATGAAAGGGCCGGTGTTTTATCTACATGGAGGTGAAGAGCACAACACAAAATTCCACGCTACAGCATCGTTGTTGACAGTAAGCCAGGACTCGAAATCGACGGTCGCGAAATCACCTCTCTCGACCCAGAACAGGTCAAAGCCACCGTGAAGAGCATCCAAGAAGCGGGTGTGACGGCTGTGGCCGTCGTGGGAGTCTTCTCTCCCCTGGATCACCGAGGACTTCACGAAGAGACCTGCAAAAGGCTCATGCAGGAGCAAGACTCATCCTTGTCGGTGGTGTGCTCTCATACAATTGGTGGCGTGGGATTACTCGAGCGCGAGAACGCAACGATTCTCAACGCATCAATCTTGACCCTGGCACGGCGCACCGTTCGTGCCTTCTGTGAAGCAATGGTTAAGCTTCAGTTGAATTGTCCCCTTTATCTGACGCAGAACGACGGGACACTCACGGATGCTGCGACCGCAGCCGAGCTGCCTATCAAGACCTTTGCGTCTGGTCCAACGAATAGTATGACAGGCGCGGCGTACCTAGCATCACTCGATCGCGGCATAGCTAATGCAAGATCGGAGACGCAGGTACTGGTCATCGATGTTGGCGGTACCACGAGCGATGTCTGTGCCTTGTTCCCATCGGGGTTCCCCCGACAGGCGCCCAATTTTGTGGAAGTTGGTGGCGTGCGGACGGCCTTCTCAATGCCGGAGGTACTATCTGTGGGCCTTGGCGGAGGGAGTCACGTCTTCTATGACTCCGACACAGACCGCGTGCAAGTTGGTCCCGAGTCCGTTGGCCATTATCTGACTAGCAAGGCCCTCGTCTTCGGCGGCGAGATCATGACAACAACCGATATCGTGGTAGCCTCTGGAAAGGCAGAGATCGGAGACGTCTCCAAAGCTCATGGGATTCCATCACAGGTAGTCGCAAAGGCTCGTGCTCAAATAAAGAGGATTCTTGAGCGGGCCGTGGAAGATATGAAAGTTTCTGACTTGCCCGTTACACTATTGTTAGTTGGTGGCGGATCGATCGTCCAGATGGACGACCTAGAAGGCGTTGCGGAATGTATCATCCCGCCACGCCATGACTCCGCAAACGCTGTCGGCGCGGCTATCGCAAAGGTCGCAGGTGAGGTTGATATCATCGAGATTCTAGCGGATCGTGATGAGAAGGCCGTGCTTGAAGAGGCGAAGCATCAAGCCATCGAAGCCGCCGTTTCTCGCGGCGCGGACAGAGACAGTATCAAAATCGTGGCTATTGATAAGCTGCCTCTGCAATATGTCACTAACAAAGCCACCCGATTGGTCCTCAAGGCCGTTGGCACGCTGGCCCTACCAGGGCCTAATGTGCCGGCTGTGAACGGAGCGCACATGAGTGGTACTACTGTCCACGGTATCAACGGAGATGCGGAGCGCGAAGCTGAAAAGAAGTTCAGGCAGAAGGTTGAAGTCGAGACTCTTGCGTCTTCTGTTAAATTCTCCGCGTTCATGGACATTGACGCCTATCGACCGGATGTTCGTGACCATGTGTGGTATATCGCACCTGTCGATCTTGAGTTTATCGCGACAGGCACCGGTGTCTTGGGCACTGGCGGAGGTGGACCTTCATATTTGCAGTACCTGCAATGCCTAGAGAGCCTCCGCAATTCAAAAGGTAAAGGCACGATGAGGGTTGTCGCCCCAGAGAGCCTCCAAGATGCCGATGTTTGTGTGTTTGGATCGTGGTATGGAGCTCCTAGTGTCTCGGGCGAGAGAATGCCGGCCGGTACGGAGATTCTGACTGCAGTCGACTATTCCGTGAAGCTTTCCGGATACACCCACTTTGAGGCTGTCATCGCCGATGAGATCGGTGGTGGGAACGGCTTGTCGACTTTCCCGACCAGTGTTTACTACGACATTCCCGTCGTGGACGGTGATTTGATGGGTCGTGCGTATCCTTCTCTGGAGCACGGTGGGTCTTCCTATCATATATTCTTCCTTCTGCGCGAAAACTGCTCACTCAGCCGGATACAGGTACCCCATATGTCTATGGAGAGCCCATTACTCCATGTGTCGCGGCAGATGGCAAGGGCAATGTGGCAGTTGTGCTGGTGAGTCAATGCATGGGACCCATTGCAACGGTATCCAGAGTTAAAATAAATACCTAGAAAGCGGAATCAAATCGGCGAGTTGAGACTATGCTCCGGTCGCAATGCGTGGATCTGGGGCTTAAGATTGCAGTAGCTTGCACCCCGTTGACAGGCTCGGCGATCAAGCAATATGCCATTCCGAACACCGTCTCGCAAGCCTGGTACATTGGTCGTGCCGTTCACCAAGCCCGGCGATCGAAGACAAACCTAATCGACGCTATTGTATTTTAGCCTTTACCACTCTGGATTTGTCCGAGACCTGATGCTCACTGACTTGATATTCTAGTTTGCAACCGCACCCGGCCGCTTATTATATACCGGCAAGATCATCGACGTCAAGCGCGATGTCAGCCGCGGTTACACGATGGGCCAGTGTACCATTGCCCCTCTTAGCACTGAAGAACAGGACCCGTCCAGCATGACAGGCGATGTGAGCACTTCAAGCCCAGACGACAGCCGCTGCTTGATAATCCCATTCCAGAACGAGTATCTCTTCGCCGCGTACGCAGACGCGGCTAATCCGGACGATACACTTCGCCATGAAGTAATATGCACAGTACCGGATTTGATCTCAATTCTGGGCCAGGACGGCGAAGCAATTGGCTCTCAGGAGCTTAGATATGGTCTGCGTGTCAATGTGATCGGTATGTCGGCGCATCCGCTCTGGACGGACGATGAGCGAGGACTGCGCGTGGGTGGACCAGAAGGTTTTGGGTTGGACATGAAATGGAAGAGTCTGGGGCCATATCAAAAACCGAGGAGTGTAGTGCATGAGTTTAACCGAGTAACTGTATAGGTACTGTGTGGGCTCCTACAAGAGCAGGCAAGTGATATAATCTACAGTGTGGGCAGACTTTCCGATGCGAAGAAACGTCGTGTACGTGAAGATTTATCCTCTTAATACTTATATTGCTTTCTACCAACCCCAAAGCCCTTTACAGCCGGGCACTTCCATCGGCAATTTTACCCCACTCTTCCTTTCCAAACGGTGTATATGCTTCATCGCCGGGAGCAATCCACAAGAAACGATTATTCTGCCCATCAGGAATCTTTGTCCCGATAAGAGCAGGGTCGACACCCTCGTCACGCAGCGGGACTTTGTTCTGCTTATGGTTGTGAATGTGCGTCGGGTTGTCGACGAGCCGGAGGAAAACAGGCACTGCATAACGCGGCAGCTTGGAGCGGATAAAGCGTGCGAGCGCGGCATAGTCAAAAGACTGACGGGCTTCTGGACTAAGTTGAAGAGCTGCGCAGCCGGCACGGCCTTCATGATTGGGGAGACGCACACCGTAGACGTTGGCTTCTTGGACACCGGGGAATTTGCCAATTACTTCGGAGACCTCGGCAGTTGCACTAGGAACGGGGTTAGCTGGGCTCATTTTGCGGAAAGAGATGAGTTAACTGTGAACTGTAACTTACACATTCTCACTCTTCCAGCGGAAAGTATCTCCAAGACGGTCAAGGAAGTACCAGCGCCCATCACTCTGGCGGCGCAAGGCATCACCAGAGCGGTAGTATAGGTCGCCCTCCTTAAACACATTCCGAAGAAACTTCTTTTCTGTCGCAGAATCGTTGCGCCAGTATCCCTGGAACGCCTCCTTGCTTGGGATATTCACAAGGATCTCCCCACCTTCTTCATACCTCGCTCGAACAGCGAATCCCGTCTTCGAGTCTCGCAGGACATCGCCTGTCTCCGGGTCAATGGCAACTGGAACAAACACATTATGCAACAGGCCACGCATTAAGAGCCCATGGTGTCCAACACTGCCGGCTGTGAATGGTCCCCGGTTGTAGTTAAACAGACCGAATATACCCTCCGTGCTATTGAAGAATTCGCCAACCTCGGGAACACCAAAGCGCTCGCGGAACTGTTCCCAGATATCCGGGCGGAGCCCATTGCCATACATACACCGTACCTTATGGCTGCGATCGAGAGGTGACGGCGGAGGCGCGAGGAGGTACCGGGCTGTCTCTCCAACATAGACGAAGATAGTTGCCTCCGAATCACGGATATCCTTCCAGAAATTGCGTACGCTGAACTTCGGACCCAGCGCAATACTGACACCTGTTATCAGGCACACGATTAGGCTCATGGCGGCGGTACCGTGATACAATGGCATACAGCTATACCAGCGGTCGCCATCCGGGCCCTCCTTATCGCCCATTGCATCGCGCCGAGCGGTGGATGTAGTATACAGTCGGGCCACGGTAAATGCACAGCCCTTTGGCATACCAGTGGTCCCAGACGTATATAGTAGGATAGACGGAAATTCGCCCTTCATCCCTAGCGCCAGCTCCTTCGGCGGGAGAGTGGTGGGAAATGTGCGAATATGCGCCTTGAAATCCTGATCCAGCGTGATGAGGTCCATGCCCAGCTCGCCAGCCAGCGTATCCCGACACTCTTCCATGTGCGCAATACAGGTCTGATCTTCATCCACCAAGGTGAGCTTCGCACCGCTGATCCTCAGACAGTGCACCAGCGCATCGCTAGTCAGGTGATGGTTGATGGCTGCCGGGGCACATCCGATGCTCCAAAGAGCGATCCAAGCTATGATAAACTCGGCGCGGTTCTGCAAGTAGAAGGCAACAAGGTCGCCCTTCCGTACACCACTCGCCAGGAAGAAGTTCGCATATTGACAGGCCTGTTCCTGCAAATCACGGTACGTATACGACTGCTCCCGTGTCCAGAGGGCGATCATGTCCGGATGTCGCTTAACCGTCTCCAGCAGGATGAACCAGGGGTTTGCTTGCCCCTTTGCGACTGTGTCAGGGTGAGTACCATGCAAACCAATCACTGATCAAGCGAGACTCACGGGCTTGCGAATACAAGCGCTCCCCCTTCTTCAGAGACCAAACAACGGACACGTCCTTCCTGATGTGGAATTTGGCATTGAGATAAGCTGCCACGGTCGCCCCTCCAGCGAGCGCAGCTGCGGCGGTGCCTGGATTGTTGCTCAGCCATTCCATCGTCTGAATCGAGTCCGCATCCTGTCAAACCTACCCAAGTCCATGCTTCTACCAATTCAGGGCCGTCTTTTCTTTGCGTGGTGTATAGATCCTCGCTAAGTCGCAGTGGAGGACGGCGAGGAGTCGGTAGCCCAATCTGGCAGGAGTATAAAACCAGGTGTGTCTGCTGAGCAATGAAACAAATCTCGCTCGAAGACAGCTACAGTATCAACAGACTGGCAAGGGGAAGAGCATCAGTGCTGAAGGTGGAAGGGGAAAGGTGGAAAGTGGAGGTGGAAGTGGAAGGGGAAGACGAAAGTAGATGGTGTCGCGAGCCGAAGCCCACAGCATCGCTTCCTCGGCCCCGTCCAGCTTCTCCGCACTGCGGGACGATTATTCAAGGTGGACTCTTAACGAAACCGCTTCCCTGGTTTCCCTCCCGCTAGGAGCCAGCCACAGAGGTAGTTCTATTTCCGGCTAGAGGGCACAATTCCGGCGGGGATGCGGGGAACATAGTCGTCCACTACCCGTGCCACAACGATTATCGCCTCGGCTCTTCAGCTAGTGCCACTGCATTGTGGACTAGCTGTACAAATCATGGGCCGTGCATAAATGTCTGGGGTCGTCCACTGGGACTCTTCTCCCTCATTGCCTCGACCCCGCCGTTGAGCTTTCGTAGTCGCGTAGCTCCTGAGTGGGCGCGAGCGTGTCGTGGACCCCTTGCCCCTGCCTCTGAGGTGCGGCTTTCCACGCCCACGCCGCGTCACGGTCGGCCCCGTTGCTAACTCCGTCGAGGACGTTAGTGACGCACGAGCCCATAATGGGCAAGAATTTCCAGCAGTGAAACGAGCCGCCCGCGGCGAGGTAGAGATTTGATAGTTGTGGATGAGGGTGTCGGCTGATCACTGGGTGTTGATCTGGTGTGATCGCATCCCAACAGATACGGTAGAAATCCACGCTGCGGTTGTTGTCGAGGAGTCGGGGCAGACGGGCTCGGATACAGTCGTGAGAAACCTTCTGGAGAGGCTTGGGGACAACTGACTGGCTTCCTGCTGGCGGCACCGAGAGAGAATGGCCAGTGCTGGTTTGGATCGTGTTCTTGAAGGAGGTCGAGTTGGTGAATTTCAGAATTCCGGACGGGGTGGGAGGTATAACCTCTCCTATACCGACATATGTCAGTCTTATTCGAACCAAACAAGTTGCGATTGCCGCCTCATCATATCCTCATACCTTGTCCTCCGTAGACACACACTGGAAGCTGGTCATAGAGCCCCTTCTCCTCGGTGGAGAGTTGAAGATGGGCCACACTCACCCCCGCCGCAGTCATTTGGCTTTCCACACGGTCGCTTTCAGGCATTTCTAGATCGTCCTCGATGGAAGTCATCAACTGGCTTGTCCAGGCTCCGGTGGATAACAGAATCTTGTCGGCTGTAAATATGTCGCCCCTCAGTGTCTGTACTCCCTTGACCCCACGGTCGCCCGGAAGCAAGCGACGAGCCTCGCCCAGCTCGTATCGCACACCCATCCGGATGACCTCTTCGGCCATGATCTGAAGAGCACGACCGGCATCGGCCCATCCAGCGAGCGGGTTGAAATAATACGAGCCAAATGGACTCAAATCCGCATCTTGCAATGCCCCGCTCCAGTGACGACGAACTTCATCTTGAGTCAGATCCTGCGCCGGATCAGACCCATGGACCTGAAGAAAGGTCTTGCGAATCCGACGGGAGAGGTCGCTACCACGCTCGTCCATCATGATCCAACCGGTCTGGTGATACACCCCGGCTTCTTCGAAGAGCGGCTCATTTCTCCAGGCCTCAATAGCTTCCAAGGCCAGCTTCATGTACAGCGGACTGGAATAGTCTGCCCGAATGATCTTGTTGAGATCGGTGGATGCGGCATCGCCAGAAGGGGGAGGGGCACGATCCAGGATGGTGATGGCCGATGGGTTGGGGGATCGTTTGGCCAGATGATAGGCTGTGCTGATGCCGAATACGCCGGCTCCGACGATCAGAATCTCTGAATTCGTGTCCATTCTAGTAGACGAAGAGTAGAGATACCATTCAAGGTTCGGAAATGAGGAGGTGTGGAAGGATATCCTTCGTGGTTCTTCTGCACGGCGTCGAGGTGCAGCCGTCCCTCATGCGGACTTGCATTCGCATCACACCGTTGCTGCGGGGAGTTGGCGAGCGAGTCAGCGAGACCTTGGCTAAATGGGGAGTAAAAAACAAGAGATTGATTGAAAATGACTGCGAGTGAACTCTCAAGTTGAGTGGTGTGAATTTGCGATGATCTGTCTCCTCGTCCTGGCCCGTCAGGTGGCTCTGAGCCGCGGGGCTGCCACCGAGAAACTGCATAGGGTGATCGAACGGTGTCAAAGCAACAGCCCACGAAATGGATTGCGTGCAGGACCTGGAATTGTGCGGTAGTAGTGAAAGTCTACAATGTCCTCATAGGGTGGGACATGAGAGATCGGGGCACTATTTGTGACGCACTATCCTTCGCTTTTATTTGGAACGGATTCCCTTGTCAATACCGCTCGAGATCGACGATGAAGACGTAGTTGGCAGGTAAAACGCCCGTGTAAGTGGTGGTTATTTGAATTCTGCTCTTATGATAGCCCTGCAAATTAGACGTCAGGTCAAAGTACATCTCAAGCTCAGCTGCTCAACAACTCACACAAAGAGCTCTTCAACGACCTGACGGAGTTGACATTGCATTTTTTGTTAGAATTATGCAGCACGAACAAATATGTTGCTTTTGTCGAGTTTCTAACAAGCGCCAGTTCGTAAGTGGAGTTATATAGCGAGGCCCTCAGTTGTTCCTCCAACCCTCTCAACGTCCTTCGTCCTGGCGTACGAGTCGAATCTCCCGATCGTTTGATATTGACCCACTATCGACCTTCTTGATTGACTTGCCAAACATTCTTCATTCCATTCGTACCCAGTGATCAAACGACGGAACTTTCCGTGCCAGATAGGTACTTAAGCGTTCTGCTGCCCCCATCAAACCTACCCTCGTCAACAATCTCATACACCTCGCTTCTTGTGTTTCTCACTCAAAATGGAGGTTGATCTATCCGTTCTAAACCTCGCCCCTTCAGGAGTCCAGGTCACAGCTCTCCTGGGGGTTCCTCGTGGCTTACCAGCATCCCTGCTGAAATCCAGATGGGTTATTAAATCCAGACGGACTACCAACAGCCGTTGCTGGCTGGTCTCTTCGCCCTGTCGTTGCCTTGCCCTTCCGCTTCAGGACCTTTTTTTTATCTCTGCCTGCGCGTCTGTTTCTGCCTCCACGCTTCTCTCATATAAATTCCATCTCCCTCCCTCCCTTGACCTTCCTTCGTCACCACCCTTCTCCCTCCACCTCCTTCACTCCTCCACTCTCCACCAAGACCTCTCCTCGAATATCGACTGGGTAAAAAGAGCACCACCTCCCAGTTCAGTGATATTTGCATCTTAACCTTTTACTCGGCTCAACAGAAGCTCCACCAGCAGGCAATGAAGAAGCTCCATGCGACCAGGCTTGGGAGCTGATCAGGTGAAAATCGCTACTGTCAATCGTTATCAAGGCCATGAAGCGGACATCATTATTCTAGATCTCATCGTTGCTAACAATCCAGGATTCACCGCTGTCGTCACCGCTGTCGCAGGGCGAATGAACTCGGCGTTGACTCGTGCCACAAGAGGGCTGTAAGGAGAAGCAACCGAGAGTCAAGTTCATGAGTCGAAGATTGCTTTCATGAACTTGAACCTCGGTAGCTTCTCCTTGCAGGCCTCGACTGCTGCCTTCACGGAAGCAATGACATACAGCCCTCTTGTGGCACGAGTCAACGCCGAGTTCATTCGCCCTGCGACAGCGGTGACGACAGCGGTGAATCCTGGATTGTTAACAATGATGAGATCCAGAATAATGATGTCCGCTTCATGGCCTTGATAGCGATTGACAGTAGCGATTTTCACCTTGTCAGCTCCCAAGCCTGGCTTGTCCGCATGGAGCTTCTTCATTGCCTGCTGGTGGAGCTTCTGTTGAGCCGAGTAAAAGGTTAAGATGCAAATATCACTGGAGTGGGAGGTGGTGCTCTTTTTACCCAGTCGATATTCGAGGAGCCTGACAATCAGGGCCACGACAGCTTCAACATTTTCTTCGTTGTAGCTCGACTTAGTACTGTTGTCCACTTTCTGTTCACCTTCGGGGATGTCAATAAGGACCACATTGGATTCCAGATTGAATAGTTATCTGTTTAACCGGCGGACAGATCTTGCCGCTTCATGTACATTTCGTGGTTTGCAGCGAGGATCTGTTTCCGCTCATTCTGGCTGATGTCAACACCTATCAGCAAATCACGACGCTTGTAACTTACTTCATCAGATTTTGCTTCAAGTTCAATGACTTTCAAATCGGCAACATCATGACAAGTGAACTTGACACAGCCACGCTGGAAGCTTCTGTAGCCTTGTGCATCCACTTTCTTATCCTCGTTCCCAGCGTCGGTGTGCTCATCATCTGCGGGTTCAGATGCAGGAAGGGCTGCATGATAGGCACAGTCAAATGACACTTCAAGATAAGGATCCGGGTAGATCTGGTTCGTCGCAATGGCGCAGGAAATGAATGAGTGGTCTTTATTGCGTTGCCCAGTCAAAACTTTGCCATCATCAGTGATGAGAGCACTGTTGGCTCACTGGGTCGAGAGCCGATGATCCGGGGCGGACGATGGCCTGACTTCGGGGCGCTGGGTCTGACCATCATGACGAGAGCGTACGGAAAGCTCGAGACAGTAGAGGGTAGAGAATTTTGAGTGAGAGAAGAGGTGAATGTGACGAAGACACACAAGAAAATAGTTTCGAGAGAGCAAGGGAGAAATGTCGAGACAGAAGAGCGTAGAGGGTGTTGTGTGAGGGGAGGGAGATGATATTTATATCAGACAAGCGTGGAGGCAGAAACAAACGCGCAGGCAGGCAGAGATAAAATAAAGGTCCTGAGGCAGAAGGGCAAGGCAACGACAGAAATCACAGAGAAGATGAGAGGAGTTACCAGAATATATTGGGGCTAACAAGCCCAGCCCTGGTGGATGACATCGTCACGTCACGTAGAGCAAAGAGACCAGCTAGCCACAGCTGTTGGTAATCCATAGGGATTTCCACAGGCATGCGAGTAAGCATGAGAAGCCCAGGAGAGCTGTGACCTGAGCTCCTAGGAGGAGTACTGTGGAAAGTCTTGGTGCGTTAGCATCGGCAAGGAGTGTTGAGGAAGTTTATCGACACGCGAGAGCCGATGGGCGAATGTGGATGATCATCGATGAGCGACGATTTTCCCTAGGTAGTAATGAGACTCGTCAATAGGGCTCAATCGGGGGACCAGAGCCAGATGTACTCGTTAAGCTATCTGGAGCAGATCACGGAGAGCTGTTGATCAAATGCCCCATCATCTTTTCTCAGTTCGTTTTCTCCATGCTTTTTTAAAGGATTCCGTGGCATCTGGCTTACTTCTAGCGGCTATCTAGATTACTCAGGAGCCACGAACAGTGCACTCAACCATGATGGCTATTTCAGGACGGGGGACTACGCGCGGCGCGTTGGCACCCAGTATGTTGTGGAAGGAAGGATAAATACGGACTGTGAGCACCCTTCAGTCTATTTTCAGCTAATGCACTTATTCTGACCTTATGCCACGGATAGTCATTCAACTGCAGGGTCTTCAGATTCCAATATTGGAGGTTGAGGCAGTCATTATGGGGATGCCATACGTCGCAGAAGCCATTATTGTATCTGTGGACGATGCAGATGCCGCTAAAAATGCTGCCGCTCTGGTTCGCTTTGAAATTTACCCACCCTTTGAGACAGAGTCGATTTCGACTCTGCATCGCATGAGGGCAGACATCATGTCCAAGGGGATGGAGGCTTATAAGCTACCAAACATGCTACATATCCTTCAAGATGATGAGGACGTCCCCGGACCGCTTCGGGTAAGATCATCAGGAGAAAAGCCGCTGCTCTCTACGTTCCTCTCATGGGCAATTCAACGTTTCCTAAGCAAGTGGAGGTTTGTCGCATGACTGATCTCTCCCATGGGCCTCAAAAGCCCTGGGACTGGGCTGGGCTTCAGGGCTGAGGTATGAAGTATGTCGACCGGTAGCAGCCGTTTATGGATTATGATCAAGTCTTTGGTATTTCCATATATATTCCGGTTCTCTCGCACTTGAATCGACTAATTGTGCACGTATATCTCTATGCGAAACTGGGAAGGGAATTGATATCACGCTTGATGGGTGGTTCATAGTACTGGTAGTCGCCGCAAATTGAAACGGCCCGTCCAGGCTTATAACTACAAACCAAATCACTCGCTCGACCAGACCCGTTACGAGCTAGCTGCGACCGGCGCAGCAGTCTCCGGTTGAGAGGGAGGCGGCGTGGGCGCAGCCTTAGCCTCCTTGGGCTCCGGCCTCTCAAAGCTCTTCATGGGGTAGTATCCCCACTTCTCGAACATGACACGGTCCTCACCCCAGCCATTGCACTCGGTCGTCAACATCTTCTCTCCGGTGAAGACAGCGTTGGCACCGGCCTGGAAGCAGGCCACTTGCTGTTCCTCAGACATGGCAATGCGACCGGCAGCCAGACGGACGATGGTAGCAGGCATGATGATACGGGCGGCAGCGATGGTGCGGAGTACGCGGTCGAATGGAATCATCTTCCGGTCACCAAGGGGCGTCCCCGGAATCGGAACGAGAGCATTGACAGGGAACGACTCCGGGTGTGAGGGCAGGCTCGAGACAGTGTGCAGCAGACCAACGCGGTCGGAGTCGCTCTCGCCCAGACCCAAGATCCCACCCGAGCAGACATTGATACCGGCATCACGGACGTGGTCTAGTGTGCGCAGGCGCTCGTCGTAGGAGCGAGTTGTGATGATGGTAGGGTAGAACTCTCGGGATGTGTCGAGGTTGTGGTTATACGCCGTCAAGCCAGCCTCCTTCAGCTCCTTGGCCTGGTTCTGGTCAATCATGCCGAGGGTTACGCAGACCTCCATGCCCATGTCGCGGATGCCCGAGACCATCTGCTTCACGTTCTTCAGACTTGTCTTGCGGCCACGCATGTCACGCCAGGCAGCACCCATGCAGAAGCGTGTGCTGCCATTGGACTTGGCTATGCGGGCTTTCTCGAGGACATCGTCGACGGGACTCATCTTAGTAGCTTTCAGGCCGGTGTCGTAGCGGGAAGACTGGGCGCAGTAGGAACAGTCTTCGCTGCAGCCGCCGGTTTTAATGTTCATAAGGGTGCACATTTGGATCGCTGAGGGGTCGTGAAAGCGTCGGTGTACGGCAGCCTGGGATATGGTGGATTAGCTCCATGGGGTCCTCGGGCTCTCGGCTACGCTGAAAACACCAGGGAAAGGCAGAGGGGTATGCTGGGCGCTCAATTGATATCTCGCGATCTGGCGGTGCTTACCGAAGCGTATGTGAGTTGGTTCAAGGGGGTGTTATAGACCGCGCTCACTTCCTCCCGGGTCCAGTTGGTGCGGGGAGCCGTGGCGGAGATAGCCTCGACCAGAACGCCGGGAACCCGACTGGCAATCGCGGCGGCACTGGGGGGGCCCTGGACAGTCCCGTAGGACCGCAGGAACGACCGGGGCAAGGCCCGGGGGAGGGTGAAGGACATGGCGGAGGGGGCGATGGATAGGAGGATGGGGGAGGGGAGGGGGAGGAGGAGGAAGGAGGAAGACGGGAAAGAAAGAGGACCGGAGAGAGGGGCAGGCCAAATTCACCGGCGTGACGGTTACGACAATCCCGTGGGGAAGCATTGCGCCGCTTCATTGGCCTCCCAACTTAAACTCATACAGGCCCCTAGCTACTTCCGGGGAATATCATCATCCGAGGCATGGATTCTCGTGGCCATCGCCTGCCATTCTCCGTCCAGCCAAGGTGGATGGTGAAGAGTCTTACTCCATCATTATGAGCGGTCGCATGGGCGGTGGTTTCCAAAAAAAAAAATCGGAAAGAGAGACTATTTTTCCTGTTGAATACTGCAGAGCTGCGTTGACCCCAACGAGCCCAGCCCGGTTCTGGGTCACTTTCCGTCGGATGTCTTCTCCCCAAGAGATCTTGAACCCTAAACTCCAGATGGCCCCGACTATAACCGAGGATATGCCCTGTCCTGAATTTCGCCTCTCCCCGAGCTGTCAGGAACCGAGGACAGTTCTGGCCTGGCCGCTCGGTTTTTCGCTAGAATTGCGGCCCTCTCAGTTTCGCCAATTCTGTTGACTCGCGCTTGTCCTGTGCGTCACTACACCGGGGGATCCACCGGTTCGTGGTGGGCCAATGAAGATCGTCAGATTAGCCAACGCGGGTACTGGCCTGTGCGCCGGCTCGGGGGAAGGGAAGTTGGAAATGGATGAGGTTGAGGGGGAAATGATTCCAGTGGTTGCGTTGGTATTGAAAAAGCGCTATCGACAGCCATCTATTCCTACCGACTATGTGTCACAGCCATCAAGAGCGAAGTTGACCAAGTCCCGAGAAGGACGGCGTTAGCATAAGTCACGTGGATGTGGTTCTACTATTCGGAGACATAGCGAAGGGTACACAGCTTCATTGTTACCTCCAAAAGTGCCCAGTAATAGGTATACTGCCTTATCGCCTGGGAATTGGCATCACATAGATCATGATCATTGCGCTGATGGCATGAAGGACTTTAAGCAACTGCCCCACGGATCTGAAGAAAAAAGGTTCTAGAGCGGGGAGTTCGAATTGGGAAATGTGCTGCGACGCAAGCAGGATAATACCATTGGGAGGTAATTAAGGTTTGTATAATCTGGGGAGCTGTTTCCACTTCTTGATCCTATACTCGTAGAGTCGATTTGTGGATTCCAAGACCCAGGTCGTCGAATGTTGTGTGTAGAACGCATGCGAGTGATATTATGACATTTTTCGGATCGCCATTCGCATCTCCATTTATATACAAATTCATTCGCACCTCTATTTTCATGCACCTCCTTTTTCATCTGTATTTGCAGCTTTGCACCTCAAATTTCATGAACACTATATTGCACTTGAGTGAGAACATCTGATGGGCGATCACACATCGTTTAACGTAGGGGAAATGGAATCGTAAATTGCAACCAATTGAAAGAGACATCATGTCATCCAACCTCGAGCCGACTAGTAAAGTAAATCAATGTCTCTGAAGATCAAGAGTACCAGTTGTTTTCTTATGGTTAGGAATGACTGTGATATGGTTGTGATATGGTAAGGAGTAGTTGTGATATGATCGATACTGACTGTGTGTCTAACATCGCGAGTCTGTATTCCTGCTAGGCCTAACCATTGTCGCCTGGTAGGTATGTGATCTGGGGGATACCAGCTATGTAACCAATATCGACGGTAGGCACGTGCTGTTATAGCGGCTGAGGCAGATTCAGGAATCTCCGGCTCGCACAGGTGAGGGCTCTCTCTTAGGGGCCATTTGGCCTGCCTGCAGGACACGATTCCTCACCAGGTTTCAGCCCCGTGCGCAAGGAGTCGGATACGGAACGATGGCAAGCGTCTCACCTGCTTCCGTCGGAGGAACCGCCTACATAGCCACTGTGCACGAGCTGGGCTGCATTACATTAATTCAGTTATCATCATCATCATCATCATCCGAAGTACTCCGGATCGCCCTCTTTCCCAGAATTCAGGATTTGAGAAGAGTTTGCTTTATTCCTTGACTCCTTTATCCCTTTGCCTCTTCCACGAAATCATACTAATACTATCCCCGATGATAATCCTGGCTGCTGCTGATGCTGTACTTCATACCTCAACCCTGGGCTCAGCCGAGTCCCAGGGCTTCTGAGGCCCATCGGGGAGATCATTCCTGCGACATGAGTCATGCTGTGTGATCGAGACCGGGGTTTGAATATCTCCGAAGCCTAACCTTAAATCAGAGGTGCGACACTGCCCCATGTTCTTAAGCATATGAAGACCACAACGCTATGTCCAATATATAGGCTATATGGCTGACACAAGCCCAACCCATGCAGACAAGTGTCAAGCCTGTGGAAAAAGAGTGCGCACCTCTAACTCTAGCAGAATACCCCAACAGTTTCTCCCAAGGGTTGGCCTAATCCCTATTTCCGGGGATTCAATCGCAAGGGTATCCCAAATAGGTAGTAAATCTCCCTAGCCTGCAATGCTTAATTGGTGGGTTGTGTGCCCATCTCTTTACGCGAAGAGGCGGGGCGCCATCGGAAGACTCTGATTGGGGTGCGATCTCAGATCTTGGCAATCACAATGGCGCGAACCGAGGCTGGCTTTTTCCACTGCTATGTATGGTCTCTGCCCCCCCGCAAAGAATCTACATCATCGCCGACAGGGATTTGGGACACGGGCGATCAGATTGCGCTATCGTGCCGTTCGTGCCTCCTGGATGTTGCTGGAGATGCCCTCCCCGGGATGTTTCCGTGAAGCCCGAGGCTCGCCTGCGCGGGGACAGACCTAAACATGTGCGATAGGCGGATCCGCTCCATTCTTGGCCTCAACGGGGCCCTCCTGATCTGCTCGCTATTTGATTTCCGCCAAACTGTTGGGGGAGGGAGATCCACACATGATGCGAAACGTCATGAGCACACACTTCACATGTGGGCGAATACCCTGGGCTATTTCCGGGGCAGAAATGATATAAATGGACGCCCCAGCATCCATGGCCATGCAACTCTGATTGTTATAGTGTCAGTGGAATCATATACCATTTACCATGGATACCAAACCGCTATCAAAGGATTCTATGCGGTCCACATGGCGCACCGCGGACCGCTCTGAATGGACCCATAGCCACTGGGCCCTGGAAATACTCAACGCCCACCCGATCGAGCTGAACAAGGAAGTCCCTGTGCACCAGAAGGATGAGAAACTGCCATATATGCCGCAGTGGTCTCTACAGCGCTGGGTGCTGTTTTACTCTGCGCTGCCACTCCTCTTCCACGAGGCCTATATGACCTATACCGGCCGCACACTTGGCCCATTTGCCACCTTCAACTTATACTTCTTTGCGTTCAACGCCACGGTCATCTACCAAGTCCACATCCTGCGCCGACTAGGCCACATCTACGGTTTCCTCGATGGCGACAAGCATGAGCGTGATGGCGTGCCAGACGTGGGTGTCGCCAAAGTGGTGGCCTCGCTCTACAAGACCACCGGCTCTCGGCTCGTCCTCGCCACCTACCTTACTTATAACCGGAACCTACTACCTTCCCAACTTAATTGGGCCTGGCTTCCGCTTGAGATTGGACTCTACGGGATCATTCTCGACTTCTGGTTCTACTGGTATCACCGGCTGATGCATGACGTGAGCTTCCTCTGGAGATTCCACCGCACCCACCACCTCACGAAGCACCCGAACCCACTGCTCGCCGCCTACGCCGATCATGAGCAAGAGTTCTTCGATATGGTCGGCGTGCCATTAATGACATACCTGAGCCTTCGGGCCATGGGCATGCCTATGGGCTTCTACGAATGGTGGATCTGCCACCAGTACGTCGCGTTCGCGGAGGTGTTTGGCCACAGCGGGCTGCGGATGCATCTTACCGTACCGTCGACGCTGAGCTGGTTGTTGCAGTGGCTCGATGCTGAAATTGTCATCGAGGACCATGATTTGCATCACCGTAAGGGATGGCGGAAGAGCCATAACTATGGCAAACAGACGAGGCTGTGGGATAAGATCTTTGGGACGTGTACGGAGCGCATTGAATCGGTTGATGAGAATGTTGATTATGTGAATGTTGCGACGATGCCTCTATTTTGAGTGCAGTGGCCATCTTCCTTTCTTTTATGACGCCCTCTTCGGGGACTATGATAATGATGGAAAATCCACGGGGTCCTTTTTATGGTTTTCGAAGCCTCTTGCGCGTACATTAGATAAAGTAAGGAATATTAAACTTCTGCAAAGGAAAAATAACATGAAAATCAATCCATTATCACCTCAGCCAACATAGCCAAAATCACTCAGAGGGAGCTTGCTTTCGCCTGAAGAGCCAGCTGCTGGTTCACCACATCTTCAACAATTTCCCATTCCGATCGCCACTTTATCCCCAAATTCTGTTCGGCACCAGTAGTCTCCACTGTCCAGCCGCTTTCAAAGGGAGGCTGCAGCTGGCATCCTAGCGCTGGATACTTTGACTTGACAAACGACGCGACCTCCTCCCAAGATGTAGCAGGACGCGACAGAATGAACTCCGTCCCACTTTTGACGTCCGTCTCCAATACCTTCACGTGGGCATCGGCGACGTCGCGCACGTGTACCCAGGTGCTGGAGAGCTGGGGCTTCTCGGTAAAGAGCGACTTCCAGAAGAGCCCGTTTATACTATCGAGTTCACTGGCAGTTTGCTGAATCATGCTGTCGCCTAGGACAAAGACCGGGTGCAGGGTGATGACTGAGTAATGAGGGCTGTTGGCAGCGAGGAAGTCACGCGTTGCTTGGTGGGCGAGAATTTTAGACGCGGAGTATTTCAACACTTCGCCCACGAAGCCTTCGGGGAAATCCATTGATAGGTCGACAGGAATAACCTGGCCCGTGTTCTCTTTTGAAATGGAAGTTAGTCAACATGATGAGCCTAATCGAGTATCTCAGCACATACCTTTCACATCAACACTATTAGTTATAATCGCATTCAAGGGGGCCAATGCCAAGATAGACGACACGATAACAACCTTTTTGACTTGCTTAAAGGTCAACGCCGCCTGCAAAATCGACGTAGTTGCTTGAACGGCTGGGTCAACATAGTCGCGCTTAATATCAGTGCCTTTCCCAGGCATGGGCGAGGCAATATGGAAGACATAATCAACACCAACAAGGGCATCATCAAACGCCCCAGGCCGCGAGAGATCGGGAATAATGCATATCTCAATTTTGTCGCTAAGTTCAGCGTATCGGGCCTTGAGAGCGGCTTCTTGCTCCGGCTTGCGGATGCTCAAGCGCACGCGATAGCCGGCTCTCAGTGTAGCCGCTACAACTTGCGATCCAATGAAACCGGTAGAACCGGTGACAAAGACGAGAGACTGATACATGTCTGAAATTTTCTTGACTGGTTGCTTGCAATGCTAAACAATTTTCTACTTTTTCCTCTCTACTTATAACAGAATTCTTCAACACTCGTATTGATAATCAACCTGTTGTGGTGGTTCTCGGGTATATTCAGCAGCGGTTGTGTTGAATAATCAGGAATGCGACGGTGGTGCCATAACGAGTAACGCATGATTGATCATCAATTTAATACCTGCGACTGGAGAATCGGGCTCGGCTTTCGCATTTGTTTGTCATGAAATGCCATCATATTATTCGATTACTCGATTGTCTTCATGGGCCGGCCGGATTCATTTCACCATGGTGCCTATGCACTCTTGGGATGATGACTATTCATTCCGATCACGGAACGGAAGATTATTTGAGCCTATATAGAAACCATCCATGCGTACATATATAGTCTGGTCCAAATTTAGGGCTTGTTTATTCTTCGAATCATTCCTAAAATTATTCCTCTCAAGGTCAAGCTCCAATCACTTGGTTAAACACCATCCGATATCTCGTCAAACCAACCACGCTTCGAAATGCCCCTCTGGCAAATTTACCACCCATTCGGCACCTTCGAGGATGATGCCTCGAAGCAGAACTTTGCCGAAGACATAACCAAGATGTATACAGATCTCGGCCTGCCCGCCTTCTACGTTGTGACGCATTTCCACAGGATGGATGGCAGCAATGTCTTCCTGGGCGGCAAGCCGACGCCAAAAGGCAAGACTCCATTCGTACGCGTTATAATCACGCATATTGCCATCCATGTGCCCGATATTGACGCCATGTATCTCCGGACTACGTCTCGCCTTGACCAGGTCATGAAGCCACATCTACTGGACATGGGTTACGACTTTGAGTATCATGTGGATGAGACAGAAAGACGGCTTTGGAAAATCAACAGCCTGATTCCTCCACCATACAAGAGCGACGAGGAGCAGCTGTGGGTGAAGGAAAACCGGCCACTTTCCTACGAGGGTGCCTATCCTCCTGTCACGAAACAGGCTACCTTGTGAAATTTCACATATAATCCCTACCTGCTCTCGCCATGAAGAAAGACAAAAGAGATTTTGGTTAACGTGGCCATCGTTGATGGAATCAGTGATAGGACGGACTGGTTTTCCGGCGGGTGCATCATTCCATCGCTCTATCATTCCATCGCTCTATCTTCGTTCAGTGTGCATATGAAGTGGCGTTTCTCATATAATCATTAGCCTTTTCTATTCAGTAGTTCTGCTCTCATGTAATTCAATATCCAAAGTTCCATGACGGTCATCGTAGTCCAGGGCCCATTGCTGCCCACCCGCAGTGGAAAAATCCCCAACCCGATACCTGCGGTCTCTCTCTATTAGGTACCTCTCACGCTCGCGTTCGCTCATGTCATAAGTATCTCCGCAGTCGGTCATCATGCGACTTTGTACAATCCAGGGCATAAGAGATCCAATAGACCGAGGAATGCGTGGCCCCCGATAGCGATTGAAGCGAACTATAAACACACCCATTAGGGCGATTGCATCGACGGCAAGCAAACTGATAATGGCGACCACTAAGCTGGTGGACGGTATGAATCCCCATAGGCTGTCTATGACCTTTGCATATGCTGGTTGGGCAGAATGCGGTGGAAGATGGTAAAGAAACGTTTCCTTCCAGAGAGCCAAGTGGGTACTGAAAACGGTCTGGTAGACTGTCTGGACCGCAAGAATGAGATGCTCAGGTGTCATTTCAGAGTCTTTTGAGTATAACGTGTCGTAGGCGTTGGCAGTTAAGCGACCAGGCCAGTCATACCGGTGATGACGATTACGATGATGTTGAGAGTGTGGTCGTGCCGAATGATGTGACGAGAAATTCCGAGGCGAGGAAGTCAACATTTGGTTGAAGCTCCCGAGAATTTCAGACGCATTGTGAAAGAGGCCCCCGCTTGTAATGATGCTTCCATCAATGAGTTTTTGATCCTGAATCATGCCACTGGAGTCAAATTCAACATGAAAATCCTGCAGGTGAATCTTTTGCTGACAGTGCAAGGCGACCGAGCTTGATGCCTTTATACTGCTCATGTTCTTCAACTCTGAGAATGCCAGAACAAAAATGCTGGAGTTTGCACAGAACGTGTCTGTTCCATTTGGTGCATAGAAATGAACAGATCTTCCAGCCTTGGCCGCAAGGCCCTCTGTCAGTGGAATATTCACGGTACAAGTGTGTCCATTTTCATCTCCAGCTATCGTGTAATTCCAAGCAAGCGCCCCTGACACTGAATCGTTGACTGATGGATTAGGCCCAAGTACCTGACATTCGAGATCTGCCCCGATTCCGCGGGTGATTGCAGAATATGTGGTGTAGTCATCATCGGAAGGTTCGTGGATTGCGAAAGGCATCAAAAAGTATTGTCCATCCGTTGAAGTCCATCGAAGGAAGGAAACGTTGTTCATCACTCTGCTGGTCGCCATCAGGGACATCTCGATATCCGTATCATCGACCCGATTTGCGATGGCGGAAGAGTTGTATATGTTCACCACAGCGGAAGTCGCCGACGTGGAGGTTTTCAATTGAGGTGTAAACAGCCCACCGCTCAGAATTCGCAAAGCAAGATCTCCCAAGCACACAAGAGACACAGTGAAAAGGAGACCTGGCCGGTGATGACGCTGCATGAACAGCGGTACAAATGGCGTTTGAATCCCATAGTTCTCGACAACAGACTGCCGCGCTGTGGCCATTCCCTCTTGCAGCCAGATCCAAGGCTCCATGAGACTCAGATTACGATAAATCGATGCGAGGAAGGAACCGATTATGGAAGCAATCGCAGTTGGCCCATAGTTGAGGAAGATCATAGACACCAATGCACCAGTGCTGAAGAAGCTGTTGATATTTTTCCACCGAAGGTAAGCCAGGCTAACTCCGAAAAAAGCCAATGTTCCTGCAAGTATCAGGCATTCCATAAGGAACCAAAGGGGTCTCAAAAAATGCGGCATGGGGTCCCGACGACCCGGGGGAGGATGGGGTGGCGCCGAAGATACCTCACTCCAATCGGCGATTTGAAGCTGTTGTTCCCCATCCTCATCTACCCACTCGCACCATTTCCCATTAGCCCATTGCCGAAGTTGACGCGTGGTTGCTTGATGCAATTTCGCCTCTGCAAAAATGGCTCGGGAGGCCGGGGTGAAGAGCTTCGCCACGATCGCACACTGAGCAGCGATCGACCCGGGGTCCCAGTGCAGAAAGTTAGGTCGATGTTGATACACGTATGTCAAACCTCCGAGTAGAATAAGACCCAAGATTAGTATAGCTTCAGCAAGAGACACGGCCTTGGATGCGACGGTCAAGATGATCACCAAGCTCTGTTGTTCGGCATCTGCAGGCGTTGGAGCCGCACCAGGGCTGAAGAATCTGTCGATGGTGACAACAAATTGAGAATTCCAGTATCGACGAATTTCTTCCAGGTATTGCTGGGAGTTGATAATCGTGGAATCGCTTGTGAGGATGACTGGATCGTTGTCGCCGGCAGAAAAATTGAACTGCAAATCGTTGCCGAGTCGCACGTTGTGCTCTGATAATAGATACCGAGAAGCAATCAGATCATGGATTCCCTCCACGTAGAACTCAAGTGTATCAAGAGGCTTGACAGTCGAAGAGGCCGTCTTCACGTTAGCGATAGAGGCATTTGGGTTGAGAGTCACATCGGCCCATGCTTGCTGATAGGTCGGTGAACAGGCAAGCACCGTGACATTTGAATCTGAAACATTTCCTGCGGCAAGTTGCATGTCGACAATCACCCCGAAAATTTTGAATAAGCTGCAACCGTCATACGAAAACGCTGACGGAGTCAGCAACTTCTCATCGGAACCCATGGGCTCCCAGAATCTTGCTTGAATAGTTCCTTGATCGGAGGCTATGACAGTATCCAGCTGAACAGTAACCTGGCACTGCGAGCTGCTGTTTTCGCCAGGTATGCCCCCCATGGTGACATTGCGAACATCCCACGACCAGATCTGTTCACCGTTAGGCAAGGGACTGGTCGAATTGAGGTGTACGACAGCGTCTGGCGAGGATCCTCTTCGAGAACTGGTGACGCATGTCATATTTGACCAATATATTGTTTGATTGAGAGTCAACAAGGAAGAGTCGTTTTGATCATCAAGAGGCATCGAAATAGGAGGAGTGGCGTAATCGGAAGGGTCCGGCATAAAGAAGCTGTTAAGCTCAGCTGAACCTAAAGGGCCTTGGCTTGAAGACCCCGCCGATAGCCATGACTGTTGAATTTCCAGATCAATTATGGATGGCCAGGTATTGACTATCTTCTTCTGAACCCAGTTCCCATCATCCAAAACTACCAGACCCGCTAATAGCGACGGAAGAAACAGGCGGAAAATCAAAGAGACCGGCGCAACACATAGCACAACCCAATGACGATTGCGAAACGCAGTCACGGAGGCTGTAAGCCCATTGCAACAATAGTTGATAAATAGCACCGTCGCTGGGGCTCCGTCAGGCTTAGCCAGCTGAAAGAACGGTTCGAGCCGCAACACATCCTGGGCACAAACGTCCAGGAGATTGATGGCAAGTAGCGCAAAAATCAAAGGCAGATAGGTGTAAGCACCCCAGATAGCTGTGGGAAGGTCTTCTTCATACTGCCAATGAATTATGCCCCCTTGTCTTTTGGAGCATTGTCGCAAGGACTCGATCACGGTCAACATGAACAGGAATAAACCAGCCAGTGTGACAAGGTATGTTTTATGTAATGACTGGGGTAGCCAGCCTTGGAAGGCTCTCCATTTTTGTTCTGAACCATGCACGTCCGCGACTGGCATTCTGCTGCGGGGAGATAACGAGAGACAAAACTTGCGCTCAACTGCGGAGACGCATGCAACTATGCCATGAACAGAATTAATATGTGTGTCAAATAAACTTGTGCATTTTGATCGAGATCCCCTCTCCTGCCTATCACTCACAAATCGCTAGCTTGCCGACGAACTCATGCTGACACCATGTCAAAATTGACAGGCTGAACAAGCGCTTCGCGTTGCCAGTTCGTGATCGTAGAAATCATACATCTGCAAGATGTGCGCACTTTGAATCGCCGGCGACTCTGGTAGCAATGCGAATTCAGGGAGTGAAGAGGGTTGGAGGTGAGACCACAATGTTCCAGAAAGGAATTACAGACTGAGGAGGGAAAAGTTAGGCCGGCCACATTGGGGCCAGAATCAGGAGGCACGTTTGGCTCTCCGACATAGTGGGTCCCAACTTATGGGGTAGCCTTATTTGAGATACGCTATTGGCCTGCTTTTTTGATGTCTCAACTTTTCCGAGGACTCGGTCTTGGCAACATAAAAATTTGTAGCCTAGACCTCCAGTTAAAATCGAAGATCCATAAAAATATCCTATCTGCCGCGTTTGAGCTATGCATCGGTTCGCAACCAAAAAAAAATTAATTCCAGATGGAATTGCATATTATGGAAACTCTACGGCTAATGATGAAAACATACAACAGATAGCTGCAAGAGTGGCTCGCCCGTGCCCACGCACAAATGAACGGTCGGCGCCACTGCCAAGGCGCCGCAGCAGGAACAGCCGCACGTGTCTCAATACTCAGCCTTAATGCCACAAGTTGAGAAAGGGTTATCTATCCTCCTTCGCTAAACACGTCAATATGGTTACGGAATAGATTTTTGCAAATCTTCTCACATAATAATACCCCTAAAGATATGTGAATATGTAGATGTATGCGGGGAGTGCTGACCCCATACGTCTTAAAGCCCCCCACAGCTTTCGGCGGGTCATTGGCGGCAAAGAAAGCGCTAGCGTAGCTTCAGCAAGCGTTCAATTCAATTCAAATTGATAAATGCTGGGATCGTACACTCGGCGGGGAAACGAGCCCTCTAACGAAACTCATGTTAAAAGCGGAGGGAGATAATTAATTAAGGTGTGCGTAGGCTACTAGAAAGGTACATAATAAGCATGATGCAAAATAAACGGCGCGAGCTAGAAGCGATGGGAGATCAAGGGCGATGGGTGGTAAGTTGGCGGTAATCTCCACCTCACAAACGCCTCATCAGAATATACATGGTACGCTCACTTCGGCCCGTGTCACGGGAGCTGACTGGCCAGCCATAGGGTAGCCAACACAAGGAACAACAAAAGGCCAACGGGAGAGAATCATGCAAGTGAGAAGCCTTTGCAGAGCGACACTTAAGCACTACGAGGCATGTTCTATGGGCTCAAGCGTCCCGGTGAGCTTGGTTCGTGCAGGTGAAGCAAGCCAGGGGACATCTTCTACCTGGAATCTCTTGCAGAGCAAGTAACAATTTGAAACGGACCAGCAACGATCGGGAGAGCCGACGCTCGGGATTTCGGTCCGATGACGGCACATAACCAAGCCTCGTGTGATCGTCCCCGATTGGCTGCATTAGCCAGCTGTACTGGGTCGAGCCCCGGCTTTGTCGGGTGAAAGAGAAGCGCAGAAAAAAAATGTCATGGACGAAGCCGGTTTGCAAGTCTAAGGTGATTTGACAAGAATGAATAGAACAAAGCGGATGATCGAGTAAATCTCATATACACAAAGTGGATCAAGCAGTACAACCATCACGCACATGACTCGGATCTATAAAACATAGGAACGGCCGCTATGCGTTGCTGGCACGGGAGAAGCTGTTGCTGGAAGCATCGTCGTGGATTGCCTTTCCAGCGACGTAAAGACCAAGGCCGCACATGCAGGCACCGATCAATACAATCAACATGTTCAGTATGGTGAGGCAAATATTTCGTGAAGACGAGAACCACCTGCCCCAGTTGAGGTGTAGCCAGTAAACACCACCAAGGCCGTAGCTGAACCAGCTAGCAAAAAGAGAGCTAATCAAGCCCAGCAAATCGCTGAATACCGGAATGGCGTCGGCAATAATCCAGGCGATGATCCAGCATGTCAGACCGATGGCAAACCAAGACCCACAGAGACGAGATCGCGGCGGTGCATCCGATCCATTCCGCGGAAAAGGCGGACATAGATATATTTCAGTCCAACATGCCCGTTCACAACACCAGCACCAACAATAGTTGGAATGGCAATTCCATAAGCAACCTTCTTCAATAGAGGCCAAGCGGATCCTAGAGCAGGGGACTCAACAGATTGACCTGCATAATAGTAAATCACAACGGCGGCAACTGTATAAAAGATGATCTCAAAGGCCTGCAGCATATATAGGGCCTTGGGAAAGTCCCTCGGGTTTTTCATCTCAGCAAGAAGGCCGAAGAAAGCCACGTGGGCACAATAGGCGAAGACGATATTAGTAACGGCGGTAAATGCGTGGAACAGGTCGGTATCAACCGTAGCTTTGATTTTTGACACTCCGTTGGCCTGAACACCCACGCCGATCATCGTGATCATGACTGCACTGAAGATACTGACAAATGCTATGTCCAATAGCAGTCAGCGGATAGGACATTCAAATATAGATTCCGGTTCACATACACACGCCGGAGATGTAGGTCATGTTCTTCATTGTACGAGGCAGCGAGCACACCACACAGATAATGAATCCGACAGTGATGAAGACCACGGTGCAGGTGCCGTGATCGGTAAGCTCTAACTCTAGCTTAAGTAATATCTAGTGACGTTATATTAGCTAATTTGCAATTGATTGGTACCAATTATAATCTTCTAGTGTGCTTTGTAAACAATTGTTGAGAAAAGGTAGTAATCAAGGAAAGATTCATACTTAATGTTGGTATATTAAATATATATTCAAGTTGACCCAAGTCTTGTTAGTAATTATAGGAGACCTATAATATATTAAAGGTTCATAGATGTTCACATAATATTGGAGGGGCGGCAGTGGACGCGCTCCGAATGTCGTAGGGGTGAAGCTTGACCGGCCAAAGATGAACGAATGGAGATTAAAAGAAAAAATAACAATCGTATATGTGGCGAAACTACATATTCGCAAGTCCCCAGAAGAACTTAAATACATCCATTCTCAAGTCCCGTTGCAGTATCTTCATCTGTTGAGCCACACCAATACCCCATCGGTCAATATATAGTCGTCAAATAGCTATTCCAGACAGAATGAACGTTATAGAAAGCAGAGAGCAGTTGCTATTGATCGGGATCTGTAATATGAAGCTCATCGGACATCCTTTGAACAGCGATCAGTATCCCGTCTTTCCAATATTAATGGCTTCCAGTCTAAATACCTTAGAAGATACGATTCAGATGCAAGTCGGGCAGTCACAGTCGGAGGCAAATCCGTTGGCGCCGCAGCAGTAGGCAAATCCTTCCAAGGAATCCGAGATTGAATGGGCCTGGCAATCTTCACCATCCTGGAAAATTCCGCTCATTTCATCGCAACAAGTCTGAGTTGAGCTGGGATCATCCAGTCCATCTCTAGTGCACTTGCAAGCATAGGCGGGAATGGAGAGCGCCGTAACGGTCACTAGAATAAGATCGAAGAACCGCATTTTGATATTTTTGATTGTGGGTTTGTAGGAGGTAGTGAATAGATGATAAGAGTCGATGTTGGCCCATGATTGAGGATACTGAGAGCTACTATATAAACTGGATAGGCTTCCCGCAATTGAGCTCTTTTGGGTAGTAGCTCGTCTTGGACACACGCTAGGTTAGTAGAAGGTGACCTGGCCCCTGCTGAAGGATTGCATAGTCACCCTTGTAGTTTCGGTATCCCCAGCGGTCAACTATAATCTACGAGGGGGCAGCATCATGTTCCGGACAATTCCCGAGGAATCCTTCGAGATATTATCATCCTTCATCTCGCATCGTATGGAGTTGCCCCATAATATAGGGTTTTATCTGGGGGTTTCCCTGAGTCTCCTCCTCGCCCTCGCCCGTACAGAACCATGGCCATCGCCCCAATGGGGTGCTGTGATAGGACGCGACTGCGTCGAGTCCTCCACTGGTCGTCCGCCCAGACCGCCTTGACGTCACTGGGCGATCGCATCCTTGGCATGGGGCGCAGCTCACGGCTTGGCACTACGTCAAATGCAACGCCAGTTGAAACATCAGGGCTCAGATTACCAGATAACTTGACAAGATCGTTGATCTTACATTGGGGGCGAAAGTCTGCGACACTTTCGGCTGTCTTTCCTCCATTATCAGCCTATGCTTCTACCCGTATTTCTACTTGTCTTTTTTGATGACTTTTGAAGCCTCTTCCATGCCCCCATTGAAATTATCGATATAGAGAGACTATTCGTTGGCTGATATTGGTAGAGCCGAACGGTTTAGTATCAGCTGTCCTAAAATATTTGAGACGGGATGTACTATGATTCCAAATCTCTAGGAAGAGCAACTTCATTGATGATCGCTTTCGTTACACACTACTGGCGAGGGGGACTTCATTTCCCGGAAAGTGGCCGAATCAATCCGTTCCTAGCTGATATATGAATATCCCATGTTCTGACTTCTGGTTTGCTCTTTATAGCCGGGTAGGTCCCATATTAGAAGGCTCGATCGTAGATCCTACAGTGATAACTCTTTTAAGAAACAGGTGTGGGGTGATCCCTGCTTCTTTTGTAGTATAAGCCGGAGATGTTCCTTCAAAGCCGTGAATCCTTCGAATCCTTCAGCTTTGTGGGACCCGTGCCCATTCTGAGTATGCCATTGCGCTTAGTATCTGCGCCTACGGAGACTTTCTTTCTAGACAGACAGGATGTCCAATATCCATAACTTATTCAAAGGAGAAGATTCCGCGTCCAAAAGACTTACTAGCATCCACCATCATCTACGAGTCTACATTATCTACTTTCAGCCCCTTTTTCCTTTGATTCATTATCTTTGCAACCTCTTATCTCCCAATATGCGGTTCTTCAATATTGTTCTTGTCACTGTTACTGCCCTCTCGGTTCCAACGTACGCTTGCAAGTGTATTGTAAACGGCGAGCAGGATACCCCTCAAACCCAAAGATGTTGCGACGCACTAGGTGGAACCTTCCAGGACGGCAATGACTGCAAAGCTGATTCGATCTCGGAGGGTCTGAGTCTCTTCAAATCCTGCTGCGGCGGCGTCTCCACTACTTCCGGCTCGGACTGTGACTGCCCCAGCTGTTAAGGTAGGGAAAATAGAGACTGACATACTGGGCGTGGATTGTACTAACATTTGAAATTGAAAGGTTCATACTCCTCTTGTCCCAACCAACATACTTGGCTCACACGTCGCCTGCGCCAGCCTTGGTTCAAACTGCGCGCAACCCAGAATTCTCCCTGTTGTGTTGCAACGGATTTGCAGATATAGCCCATCATGTGGCTGAGATGGTTCTGAGACTGTTATCGTGATTAAAGGGAGGGAAAAGGATAGTGCATGACGCTAGACGACTAGGTACGATAAAAATGCAATTAGAGCATTTCCATAGGGAATAATTTTACCATGGTGCATTTTTGAATAGTATTTAGTAGAAGCAATGCACAGCACGTACACATAACGCTCTCTGTATTGTAGTTTGGAGATTGTAGGGTATACGCCACACTAGTCAAATAGGGTCCGAGCAACCACTTAAAACGCTCCTCTCACCCCGCACAAGGAAAAAACAAGCAACGATCGGCGCACCACTGATTCACCCTAAGTTATCTTATGTGCTATATTCTGACGTCTTGACACCTCCATGGTCCATGTTCCAACATGTTGAGGCGATACCCGATCTCACTGAGGTCTCTGGACCAGCAGAAAGGTGTTTTCGTTCTAGCCGTCCTCATCGTCATCGTCCTCATGAACACGCTTCTCCCGCTCCGGTTCGGATTGAACGCTCGCGATAAGCGGCTGCACAGCGAAGACCGGCCGCGATACCTTCATCACTCAACATTTCGAGCAGAATCTGACTATCGCTACGAGACCAAGCTGTCGAAAGTGCTGCGCGAACTGGAGATAGAGGGCCAGGTGGCGTTAGTCCCTCGAGAGTCATATTTGCCGATGGTTATAGACCTGCCTGTTGGGGAGGGCCAGCAAAGGCAAATCGAAATTGAAAATCAGAAGACAAGTAAGACAATAGCACACTAAAGTAGATATGTATGTGTGCAAAAATTTCATTATCTAACCGGGGGTGGAGCGCATGAGCCAACAGAAACCCCCGCAATGATTCATTTTTTTGGAGAAGTTTGGGGCAAGAATTCTGGGGCCCGGCAATTCAGGAAGGTTTGAGTTATCAGGGCTTATCAGTCATGAAATCTTTTATTGCGTACACGATTCTGGAGAGCAAAATGCGCTGGATCAGGGTGCATTCGGTTATACAAATACGTAGCTCGGGCTTGGGTCGCGATCATCAAATATTAAGCGTCCTTCAGTCCACTTCCGGGCGCGGCAGTGGCACTCTCTCCGCTATAACTCCCGGGACAGCTAATCACCGTCTCACTCGACGATCTATTATATAACAAAAATGCTCGGGACCCTCCTGGCTGCCCCGACGGTAGCCGGACTGATTCAGTCCCCGATCTTAACAACTATAATGCCAACAAGAAAGATGTTTCCTTGTCTCAGTAGGGTGCATTGACCCAGTTAAGCTCTTCATATCTCAAAACACAGGTGATTGCGAAACCGCGAGCAAGCTAAGAATTCATAGGGCCACGCAAACTTAAAAGGTAGCGGTGCTATTAGTAACGCGTTGCTAGTGAAGTAATGACGAAGCTACCCTGAACCGTGGACTAGTGCGGCTCGAAGCGCTGAATTGCCACTGAATACGAAATTTTTAGTCAGGGCAACTGCATTAAGTTTCGGTCAGCACCCGCGTTGAAGCAATCGTATGACAGAATTTTGTTTCAAGTGTCAATGAGCTCTGTCATAGCAGAACCAGGTTTTTATTGTTCGTGATTCTCGTTAAACGGCATGGCTGTGAAAGCACATGTCATTGGGTCTGCACCTGCCTCTCCACATATCAAACTCGTCCGCCGTTCAGTAGGACGTTAGCCGGTTTCCAAAAGGAACAACTCAATGTGGAATTTTCGAATGCCGAAGTGTTGACTCGTTGGGGGAGCGGCAAATGTCTGGGTGAGAATTCGTTTTGGAGCAATTCAACCCAAAAAATAAAAGATGATGAAATAAAACAATTGTTGCTGAGGGTAGACTTGTGCTGAAGCAAGGCCTCCAGCTCTTCAAAAATCCAAACCTCCCAAGAGGCTGCATGATGACGATCCAGTCGGTTGCGGTCCCGACTAAATCCCCGTGTCATCCTCCTATACGCTCAATCTGTTCTCGAACGCATTCTAAATCCTACAATAATGCTTGTATTCAATCAACGGCTTGATCCGAGAATGTTGTGCCATGAACTGAATCGAGAAACCCACCTACGTGTGTCAGATGATGAGGCCATGCATCAATCAGGCATCTGGGCTTTTCGTCTTGCCTTACCAAGTAAGCATCCCCTGTAGCTGAGCAATGTCGCGCTTAGGTAGCTTCGCGAGACTGGCATTGACCACTATATGTTCCGCCCCCCTGTGCCATGCCGTGAAGCCATGGCCATGCAAGTCAATCGAGTGCGGTAAATAGAGGGTAGTTCCGATGACTGCATAGGTCCACCGACCCTTAGGGGTACGCTTGTAACCCCCGCTTGCGTGCCTAGGAGTGGTGGCCCCAGGACACTTCCAGCAGCATCGCGTTGATCAAGTCAATGTGGATGGATGTGGAGTTAAGTTTCTAGCTGAGAGTCGATTTTAATCTTCCCGCTTCGAAATCATGATATCCTGAGAGCACAGGGGGTCCTGCTATCGTCCTTTGGGTATGATGCATGAGTCATCATATGAATAAGGAAAGGCTTTCCCAAGATGAGTAAAAAGGCTAACCGTTTGATACAAATCACTCTCGCGCTGAAATTATTATATACATTTTAAACAACGCGCCATCAGGGACAATCCACCCAAAGTGGCAGTCAGTCCAGTACAGACTATGAGAAGCCCAAAGCCGCTACCATAAGCCCCTATTGCATGTTCCTGCCAGCTATCTGCCTGGATCAATGCTTCACTAAATGGCCCGCTGACAACATTACCGACCCCACGTCCAAATGCGATTGTTGAAAAGATTATTGTTGCATCTGCCGCTGGGCTCTCTCTCTGAATCTCACGTATCATACCTGACCATATCGCAGAGTAACTGCCCGCAAAAATGCCGTAAGCAACCCCAAATACCATTAGAACTGGAATTGAGGTGGACAGCCCCCATATCAGGAAAATGGAGATCACGGTGCCAGCGGTGGAGATCGAGATACACGTAAGTGTGTGGCAACGGTCAGACAAGAAGCCCATTGACACACTGCCAAATACAGATGCCAGATTGAGAGCGGTCACTGTAAGCGAGGAAACAAAGCTTGAAGCCCCGAGCGTGCGTGCGAGTGTTGGAAGATAGATTGCAGGAAGGAAAAAACCGAGCGCCTCTGCAATATTACCGAGCTGATAGACAATAGATACTCGGCCCAACAAAAAACGGGCATTTAGCCGACCGTATTTTACTTCTCTTGAAACGGGTAGCCGTGACTTGTGAAAGTACAGAAACGGAGCGGCAAGCACGAAAATCAAAACGGAAAAGATCCTTAGTGTCGTCCGAAATCCGTACTGGGCCAGAAATTTCTCTAGGGCGAGGGGGATAAGGACCCCAGACAAGCCGGATCCAGCCCAGACTATGCCGAAAGCAAGCCCTCTTCGTTTATCAAACCATTCAGACATGTATAAGATAGATGGGCTATATGCGATACAGCCACCGATTCCAAATCCGACGCCTTGTGAGAGGACAAGGTGCGTGAAATTTGTGGAGAATGATCCCATAGCCAGGGACAGACACATAATGCTCAGTCCCAGTGTTGAGAACCATCTTGCCATGCGAGGAAGAAGTATCATCGTGATTATCACCAGTGGACAACTCATGTATGCGACGCCCTGTATAGCTATTAGTTGAGATCCTAGTATATGGAAAAAGTTTGGTCTGACCGTTGCACATGTCCCGATAACTGCCACCATGTTGGAATCTTGGACGACTTCATTGTCGCGATAATAGCTTTGAAAAACACCAAACGAAAATGCAAATCCTGGTCTTGATCAGCTTCGGCCTCACTCAAAGTAAACAACTGGTGGCCTACCCCATACAAGAGCTTCAATCATTGCAGAAGCAGCTAGAAACAACCATGCGTGAATACCGCCATCTACTGGAGGCAGGTTCTTATCTTGGTATGTATCCACGATGAGTTCATCTTTACATGATGACAGCTTCGTCTCGTCGCATGTTTTTGAGTCGTCCGATAAAGAAAGGGTGGAATCCATTGATTTCAGTTGAAGGGTCAACTTGAACCCAAGTTGGTGAAAAATAAATACATATCTTAAATATCCGAGTGCCGATTATATTATTTGATTATGTATTCAAAGATACAATGTCACATTGCCCGGGGCTCCAAGTCAGGCTCAAGGGCAAGAAGGGATGGAAGACCAAATGACTGGAGGAATTTAAGGCAATGAAAGTCTAACTCTATTGGCCAAGCACGGGCCCGAGGTGTTCAAGACTTGAGCGAAATACGGTGATCATTTCCAAGCCAATCGATAGCCGGAACCTGGATCTTTCATTTCCGGGGATGCAATAATACCCTGAACTTGATAATATTGATGCAAGATCATGTGGGCTCTGAAACCCTCTAATGCTTTTTTTTACCACGCTGGAGCACATTATGGACTCATTTTCTTCGAACAGGCAATTTTCAAAGTTGCATTTGACGTGCTCAGTGTGGGGCATGGGGTCATCCAAAGGTTGGCCCCTAGTTTGGTCTGCATAAAGCCGGCTAGGGACGGCAACCGAGAGGAATGCAGGGCATGATCCTTGCCAGCCACTGCTGATAATCCCGAACCTTCGAACAATAATGACATTAACACATGATATCATTGGGGCAAGACCCTCACCAATAGGATTTATTCGAGGGGTGCAATAAACCAGATGTGCTTCGTTTCCTGTTACCTTTTAACACACATGTATACCTATGCAATAGGTCAGTATCATGCTCGGTGATGTGATTTGAGATTCAAAAGACAATGACCTGAAATTCAGTTCATTTGACACACCTTGCTTAGTCCACCATCTATAACAAACTCAGCCGCATTTACAAAGCTAGACTCATCACTCGCAAGGAACACGACAGCCATCGCCTGCTCCAGAGGAGTGCTGAGATGGCCCATTTGCCAGGGCTGTTCGGTTCTCTAGTGCCCCCGGGTATGTACAGACAATCTTCTCCAAAATCTGTAGTAGTGTAATTCAAACAATCTTCAGACGGCCGTGGAATCTCAACTCTTCTAAGGGTACACTTACTGGACTGGACTAGCACATAGTTGAATCCGAATCCTTCTCGGGCGTGAACAATAGTAAGCTCCCGAGTCATGGCTAGAATAGCCCCCCTTGCTGGAAGTGTGAGCTAGCTGACTAACCGTGCTGCTTACCAGGACTACTCATGCTAATCACGCGGGCAGATTTTTTATTATTTCTGCGAAAAGTGCGGATGGCGTGTTGGGAGCAGGCCCATGCATCTTTGGCAATGGCCTATTGTGATATACATCTAGCGTCGGCTGAAGACATGCTCATTTTCTCACGGAAACCCATTTGGAAAGTTTTGTCCCATTCTGACTCGGGACATTCAATCTCATCCTCTGTAGAGCAAAACTTAATAGATACTTATTCGGAGTGAAAAGTGCATTTAGACCCGCAATGCGTAACATGTGTAACAGCGCTATTGCCTGTTGTATATACAGCACTGGCTCATGGGCTTTTGCAGCTGCATATGCATGTGGCTAATGCAAGTGCAGTTGCAATGCAAGGCACATGCATGTAAACGTGGAGAAAATAGTTAACTGGGCCGAGTTCCACTTATTGCCAAAGGCGCTAGTTGAAATGTTATTCATACCGGAAACACCTGGGACTTGCCAACAGCAATGGCTTTTCCGGGTCACTAAGTCATCATCGTAATATGATTGTAAATTTTGTTCCTTACAATTGATGAATATTGATGAATATTTTATACTTAAGGGATGACTACACTAGCGACGCGCGTAGCATGCTCTCCATCTCCCGCAGCGACTCGGGCTTTGAAGTCAAGCTAGACATGAGATAGAGGACATTGCCCAGGACTCGAGAGTGGACGTTGAACTGGTCACCACCAATAGCCAGCCTCTGCTGCAATCCCTTGGCCGCGTTGGAGGTGTAACCTTGGTTCTGGTTAGCTTGAGAGTCTTATTATTAGAGAGATTTCGTAGGATATTTACCTCCACCTTGAGCATCACGCAGCGAGATGCTGAGAACAGTACCGATCGCAAATACGCTCTCTACCGACTCAGCACAAGAAAGGTCTTGCAGAAGACGCTGTGACCAAACACTCCATGCTTCTGGGGTTGATGAACCTGCGGGATCTGCGGCCTTGGGACTCCAATCTGTTTTGAATTGATCCCACGACCCATTGCCGTCCATATCGGACATAGTTTTCAGCGAATCGACTGCAACGGTACAGCCCACTGCGTGAGCTGTATAGCTGTGGCCGTGGAGAAGGGCGTCACTCTTCTCAGGGCTCGAAAAGGTATCAAAAATTTCTTGGCTAGCAACTGTCGCACATAGAGGAATCAGTCCGCCAGTGAGAAGCTTAGCGTTCACGGCGATGTCGGGGTGCACATCAAGGAAAGATGCGGATGTTGGGCGTCCGAGCCGGTAGAGTCCAGTAAAAACCTCGTCAAAAATAACTGGTAGGCCTGACCAAGACGGAGCAGCCTTCGGGGAGGAGGCATTGGGAGAGAACAATTCCGGGTGGTCGCGGACAACATCAGTTAGGCATCGTTGGAAAAGAGGATCACTGGAAGAGTTCGGAATCAGTATTGCTTAAAACCTATTTTTAAGTATGGCTCACCAGAAAAGCATTCCACCGGCACCCAAGATAACAGGCTCCAGAATGAGAGCGCCGAATTTCATTCCGTGGCGTTGTACCAGATCCTCGATGGTTTTGCGAATATATTTCTTATAGCGCTGGCCAGCCTCCGTGTTCAGGCGTGTGTTTAGATCAAACACAGAGCCCAGCGAGCCAAACTCAGCATCTGGACCCAGTTCAGCCTTTAATTCGGCGGGAACCTCGATTTTCCAGGTTCCGTCAACCATCTTGACCAGTGGAAAGTCAAACCAGTGGCCACGGCCGCGATACCATTCAACCTTCTGATTATAGGTGGACGGCTCGGCGCAGTCCATTACACCGATCGTATCGCCGTGGTAACTGCCTTTAAGTCCCAGAATACTTATCTGCTCCTGGGTAGCATCCCAGTCATATCGGTCACAAGAAGCACGGAGACCCATCTTTATGGCAACTTCCATGCCTGTGCTGCCGTTATCTGTGTAAAAAACTTTGGTGAAGCGCGGGTTGTCGAGAGTCTTCAATAGATTATCAGCAAGCAAAAGTGCCGGTTCGTGTACTGTGCCTGCAAACATGACATGCCCGTACCGACCGGCGGCGTAGGCTGCTGACAAGGACAATTCGGGGTTGCCGTGGCCCAATCCCTGGGTCCACCAAGAGGCTGAGCCATCAAAGGTCGGTCGAAGCTCGCTGTCTGGGTTATCGGTGCGACCGGAGCCAAATGTCTGGAAATAATCACCGTGCGCAGAGTCGATAACAGTGATATCCTTAGGGCGCATGCCCTGGTGTTGGGTAAACGGGTACCAAATGAGGTCTTGGGCGCGGCCGGCCATTTCCTCCAAATGTTCAATGCGTTTAGTGTTCTTGACATTCATCTCTTCAAGTAGACGCAAAATATCCGACTCTTGCGAAACTTGCTGGTAGTAGGCAGACATAGCTTCTTCATCTCTCGCCTGTGAGTTGGCATCTGTCTGAGATGGCTTTGCAGGAGGCGCTGGCAATGGAACCAGGGGAATACTCTTATTGCGGAAGAAGTTGCCGAGGTACTCATGGTTCTGGTAATACTCGTCCCGGAACAATAATACTGACTGGATGTCGTAGCCACGCAGCAGAAGCGACTCATACGCGGAGATCGACGAGGAAATACCTCCTAGACGCGAGTCTGCCACGAGCACAATTGGCAGCCGCAGTGGCCGATAGAGATCCGCTTGGGAATTTCCATTGGGGCCTGGGGAGTGCACGCCGCCTGCAGTCTCAACCAGGGCGAAGTCGATGTCCGTCCGGGCCCAATCAGACAGAGTCTTATGGATGGATGCGACCAAATCATCATCTTGAATCTACTTGAATTAGAGGATCCTCAGAGAACTAGGCAATTTCACTCACGCTCTTCTCTTTCGCTGCGATATGCGGGCTCACCGGCTCATCGAACTGGTAGAGGCACTTGGTCAGGGTTCCAGCGCCATACCGCTTCAAGTGCCTGGAAATGCAATTAGCACAAATTCCCATATTCCTTGACTAATTCGACGCTGCTAATGGCCTACCGATCGTCGGCTTCGTCTAGGGACCCTGTCGACACGGGTTTCAAGAACGCTGCCCTCTGTTTCTGCCTCTGGACCGCGTTGCACAGCACAGTCGAGACGATCGTCTTCCCGACGTCAGTGTTGGCACCATACACCTGGTGTGCGCGCAATGTGCGCCAAAGTCCAGCACCGGCAGGAGCCATGACTCAATTACTCAATTGCGGTGCAGCCGTTGGAAAGAGTCAAAAGGACCTCGCGATGACACCAGTCGGAGTGGTCCAGTCAAAGTCCGGCCGCGGCGGTTTGCGTTTACCGGGAAGTTTGACGTCAATTGACGAATCACCGCCCCGCCACGGCTCCACCGACTTCACTTCCCGTCTCACCGAGGTTGAAATTCCCGTTGAAAAAGAGTTGAGGGCCCCAACAGCGCCGTGGAATAGACCAGAATTCGTCAGAGTTGATGCTGTTTCACCTAGGAGGACGCCTTCATGCGTGATTGACTCGGAGCGCTGCAGAACCGACCCACTGGCTTGCTTATTCCCTCGATCGCGCCTCGCCTCCAAGCCCCGGATTCGTCCGCATTCCGCCCTGGAGCTAAGAGCTTTAAAGTGCGGGATGATCCTTGACCGTGCCCAGTCATTTCAGGGAAAGCCCTTGACTAACCAATCGCTGCCGCTCGACCGTTGATGGGATTGACGCAGCAGTCGGAGCTCTCCTGCCTGTAATAATCGGGCGCAACCCCAGTCTACTTCCAGTCCCCATGGACTCACGATCACGCCCGGAATGCGCGGCATCAACTAAGCCCAAGACTCTTGTCGACTCCTTGACGAGCGCTCTCGTCAAGCGAGAAGCAAAGTCTGCCCGTCGGAGACTCACGGTTCTGCCCCGGACAGCGGTGGATTTCTCCTCCAATGACTTTCTCTCCTTGTCATCGTCGCGGGCCTACCGGGACCGGTTCTTGGCCCATCTGAATAATACTCCAGAATCGTTTCCCTTTGCCAGTGGCGGGTCCCGGTTACTGGACGGAAATTCCACCTATGCTGAGGATCTGGAGCACTTTGTGGCCGGCTTTCATGAAGCCCCCACTGCGCTTTTATTCAACTCCGGCTTCGATGCGAACGTGGGAGTTCTTTCCAGCATTCCTCAACCGGGTGATCTCATCCTCTATGATGAGCTTATTCACGCCAGTGCCCACGAGGGTATGCGGCTTTCTCGGGCAGGAGCTCGAAAGATGTTTGCGCATAGCTCGCCAACGGCACTCAGAGATGTTCTCGCCGCTGAAATAGATAAGGACTCTGAGATTCAAACGGGCACTCGAAATGTGTTCATCATTGTGGAATCTCTTTACAGCATGGATGGTGATGTGGCGCCTATCAAAGAGTTTATTCAAGTTGTCGATGAGTTGCTTCCACGTCAGAACGGATACTTTATTGTCGACGAGGCACATGCAACGGGTGTCTTCGGACCACAAGGGGCGGGTGTGGTACAGCATCTCGGCGTTCAGGATCGCATTTTTATCCGCGTCCATACGTTTGGAAAGGCACTTGCCAGCCATGGAGGTTTGTCTTCCCTCCAAACTGCATGCTGAGCATCGCTAACATGTCGCATAATCAGCTGTGGTGCTTTGTGGCCCCGAAACAAGAGACTACCTGATCAACTATGCCCGCAGCCTTATCTATACTACCGCTCTTGGGTTCCCTTTTCTGGCGTCAATTCGCACCGCCTATGAGCTCCTCTCTTCCGGGGAAACGGAATCGGTAGGCTCTCCCACTTGCACCCTTGTTGGTATCGTTTGCTTACAAATGACGCAGTTGCGAAATCGAGTGCAGCAATTAATCGGACACCTTCACAAGCGCCTGGGCAGTCTCCAAATAAGCCAATCAGTCATGTTCGAAGTTGATCATTTCCCCACGTCTCCGATCTTCTCGTTGCGCACGTCACAACCGCGCCAGTTGGCAAGTGCATGCCAAAAAGACGGGTACATTGTTCGTGCTATTATGCCGCCTACGATCCCTGAGGGCAGTGAACGAGTACGAGTCTGCTTGCATGCTGGCAATACAGAGGAGCAAATCGACGGCTTGGTCCAATCGATCCAGTCATGGTTAGAAAGACACTCTGTGGAAAAAGGGTCGAAATTATGATCGCCATGGATGGTTTTTTTTCTCTTAAATTTATAAAAGCGATGTTTGCCCGTCAATGACCGTATTCTCTATTTGGCCAAAGAAAATACGATCTGTTCTCATTATTCCATGAAAAAGCACCCGCTGGTCAATGCTCTCTATGCCTTTTCGGTACAGCGTGTGAGCGTGGTAGGTGGTATTACCCAAGACGGCCTTTTCGTGTACCATCTAACCGTACTCGTTTATATATATCAGCATTGTGCGGGCTTAAATAGGGGTTCAAAGTTGACAATTCCCAGATGTGGAAGTTGTTGATGAATTTTGCTGATTGCAATTTTTGAGTAAGCTTCGCAAAATCGTGACCACGGAACCTCAAATGTGGCCCCGATCGGGGTCTTCCAGTCATGGTCTGGGAACGAGATCTGAGATGGGTAGCGCTGAGAATCGAGGGGTTCGAAGGCCAAGATCGCCAAGCTTGTGCATCATCACCTGTGCTTATCTCTCCTCCCTGAGGAGCAAACTCTTCGACACCTCTCCCCACCAAGCATTGACGTAGATAGCCTTCGCGCATCATGTCTGTGCCCACGGGAGTCGGCATTGAGTGCCATGATCTCCAATCAAACCCCCGCTTCCTCTTCCGCCAGCCGCGCGCGCTGCAGTGGTTCGAGAACGGGAGGCTGGTGAAGCGCTCAGATGATGAAAGACAAGCAGGTAGAAGAATCACGGTCGCAGAATGCGCAATGGCATGCCAGTCGCTTATTCATTCGCTCTATAGGTCGATTCGAGCTGTTTCTCGACTTGCTGTATGTTGCGATCCTCTCGAACTTTGCGGATAATCTGGTGGAGCATATCTCGGGCGCAAAGCTCGTCAAGTACATCGTAAGTAGCACTTGAGCACCGATAGAACCCCTCAAAATAAGACGATACTAATCTCATGTCTCTGTACAGTTGATTCTCTCGCCATCATGGCACGTGTGGAGCGACCTGCGTGAACTAATGAACTCATTCTACAACGATGACCTCGCGCAGCGCGTACTCATCCTGTGGGTAATGGCGACGCTTGTCGTTTACGGTAACAACGCGCCACTGGTCGACGAAGAAATTGGTGCGATGCGCTCTGCGGTTGGAGCCTATATGGCCGCTCGACTGACATGCAACCTCGCGCATCTGTACTATTCGTTCGCGAGCTATCATCATCGGGCCCAGCAGCGCCTCTGGGTGGGGCTCTCCACTCTTTTCCTGTGCCTGTACATCCCGCTGTACTTTGAGTCGGTCTCCATTCGTGCCAAGATCGCGATTGCGGCTGTCGCCATTGTTGTTGAGGAGTGTACATGGGTCTTCTGCTATTGCCCAGCTGCAAAGAGGCTGCTTCGTGCCACATACACCACGGCGGTGGACATTCCCCACGAAGTCGACCGATACGCAGCATTCTATATTATCGCACTTGGCGAGTTCCTCTACCTCATTGTTGTCGGGTCGCATGCTGCAATCGGCCTGAACGATCGCCTTCTTCGTGCTATTTGGACTCTGATTATTGCGTTCTGTCTGAATTGGCTGTATGTCCATAACGACGGTTCTGTTGAGAACGATCATCCGCTGCGGCACAGCATATACACGGCTTTCCTTTTTGCCTTGATCCACCTTCCGCTGATTGCCAGCCTGTTGGCGGGTGGTCACGTTGCTGCGGCTTCCGTGGCCAAGAAGGAATTCGAGGACCCGCAGCGATGGCTGCTCTGCGCAGGCCTCGGTACTGGAATGCTCTGCTTGTACGCTTTTGCATTGATGCATGGGTCAAAGGATGAGCGTGGAACTTTGCTGTTGGATAAGGTATATTAAACCCCGCTGCTACAGCGTTCATGCAGTAATTGATCAATTGCTAACATTTCTCCAGCCTCTTCGCTTGATCATGCGACCAGTGACTGGCATCATCATGGTCTTGCTCCCTCTTGCGCATGACCTTGGCGCTACATCGGTGCTCTCCATCGTCATGGCGCTTTTCGTCTTCTGTACCCTCTGGGAGACAATCGCATCGCTGCGGAAGGGAGCTTACTTCTGGGAGAAATGGGAGGATACTCAGTATCCCGCAAAGCGGCCGACCAGAGAAGAGCATGAAAGGAACGGAGAGACCGTTGAGCCATGAATGCCCTACATATTGCTGCAAAGCCCTCTTTCCGTGGTCTTCGCTATTCCAATGCTTACTGAACACCTGCTTCATTGATTTCGCCTCCTCGTGGATATATTAGTTGGAAAGATATACGTATGCTAATTTCATGAAATAATCAATCATATTTCTAGCTTCTATGACAGAAAGCAAAGATATATCAAGATCGGGATCTGTCTATATGTCCCAGTGAAATCTAGGAAACGCTTCATGCAGAATATCCTCCACACGCACCCCCTCACTTCAAACCATCGACTGCTCAACCTTCATATCGCCGGTAGCCTGCGTCTCAGACCGGTCCATAGTGGTGTATCGACTAAAGTCCTTCAGTCCACGGCGGTCACCACTGGGAACCTGATCACCCGCCTTTTGCTGCTTGTATGCCTGGCGCCGGAAATACGCGCGCTTGCACCACTTCCAAAATTCGATACCAGCAAAGAAAAGCACCGTCTCGACAAAAACAATACCCCATTCCCACGAAATGGCCGAGTGCTTAAAGACGCTGTGATTGATCACAGGGATGTACAGAATCGGGAAGGCAAGCACAAAACCGGCCATGATACCCCAGAAGAGAACCTTGTTACTCCAAATGTCGTGCATCCACTGAGTGAAGTAGCGCGTGGATTCGGGCTTCATGCGGAAGAAGCTGCGACGCAAGTTCATCATTTCCCATGCCAAGAACAAGGCAAACCAGGTCATGCAAGTGAAAGTTGTAGCGCGGGCGCGGAATACCGTATCACAGGTATACGGCTTGTTCGGGTCGTTGTATTGCGTGTTGCAGCCCATTGCAAGATCGCCGTCGCCCCAGCGGAACATAACCAGGGCAAAGGCTGATAGACAGAGAGCTGCCATCCACACGCCGTAGACCAGGGTATCGATAATGATTTCCCAGGTGAATATACCTTGTTTCTATAAGTCGTAGGTTAGTTCCGTTTAATATAGCTATACTGGGGGGAGGAGAGGGGAGTAGAGAAGAGCATACGCTTTGAGGGGGTCTATCCATCACTTCAGGCGCAGCAGCCTCCATTCCTAGACCCATGTCAGGGAGACCAGAGGTGATCATGATAATCCAGATAATCTCCACGGGGGAGATAGGGAAGACGGATTGATTGGAATCATCCTTGAAAGCAAGACCAATCAGCAGAGTTAATGCTAGCGCCACGTTCTCTGCCAGCAAATGTAGAACAAATTTCTGAATATTATCGAAAATGCGCCGTCCTTCTTCGATTCCATTGATGATGGAGGCGAAGTTATCATCGGTCAAGACCAGCTCGGACGCATCCTTGGCAACATCAGATCCGTTCTGACCCATGGCGATACCAACGTCGGCACGCTTTAGCGATGGCGAATCGTTGACTCCGTCGCCTGTCATCGCGACATAACGACCACGGCGGTGCAATGCTTCGATCATGCGGACTTTGGTGTTTGGCGCACAGCGAGCAATGACCAGCGGGAGAGTGGGAAGATTATCGATTTCGTCTTCGGACAGTTTGTCAAATTCACCAGCAGTCATGACCATAGCATCAGCCACGTCCTTTGCGATCATATCCATGTTAGACGGGATAATTCCAACCTGAACAGCAATTGCGCGGGCAGTTCCAGGGTGATCACCGGTAACCATATGGACGGAGATACCAGCCTTGTAACACTGGCTGATTGCACCAGCAGTCTCAGGTCGAGGAGGGTCATACAGGCCAATCAAGCCGTAGAAGACCAGATCCTTCTCAATCTCTTCTCGCGGAGGAGGCTCACTGCTCTCCATATTCCCAGGAGGGTTTTCTCTTCCAGCCAAGCACAGGACTCGTAGGCCCTCTTTTGCCAGGGCTTCCATGTTCTGTAAAATTTCGTCGCGAATGTCATCATCGAGAGGCACAGAAGACCCATCTTTCCAAGTTATGGTTGTACAGGAATCGATGACTCGTTCAACGGCGCCCTTAGTGAAGATCATTTCAGGAGCTTTCGCAGAGACTTCGTCGCGTTTCGCGAAGACGACTGACATCTTTTTCACGCTCGAGTCAAAGGGATATTCGGCTTTCTGGATCCAGACGGGCTTTTCGCCCTTGGTCCAGCGATCGACTCCCCAATTGAAACGTGAAGCGAAGACCTGGATGGCAATGTCGGTTGGCTCACCCCGAGCCTGCCATTCGTTATTCGTATCCTTGTGAAGATGGGCCAGATTGGCCATGGCAGCGACATTAAGGAAGGACTCCAGAGGCTCGTTGTTTTTCAATAAATCCTCGGGTTTTCCTGGTTCACCCGTCGATTCTGAGCCGAAGTTGAGTGGTGGCTCCCGGATAAGACTCAATTCACCCTCATCGGGATTCAAAGGGTTACTCGACGATCCAACCGAATATGTTCCGACAGATGGAATCCAAGCTCGCTTAGCGACCATACGACCTTGAGTCAAAGTGCCGGTCTTGTCCGAACAAATGTTAGTAACGGCCCCGAGGGCCTCCAGGGAGTCCAGTTTGCGGACGATGACATGTCGTTGCACCATTTGCTTTGTCCCCACTGCCATGGTAATTGTGAGCACAACGACCAAACAAGCTGGAATCATAGCCAGGCCTGTTGCCACAGCGTAAATGATAACTTCATTATCTCCCCGCCAATCATTGGAACCTGCCACGACAATTGCGAAGATGATGGCAATGCCGAACAGCAGCAATGCGAGCTTGGACAATTTGCGCTGTAGCGGAGTCCCGACATTGATCCCCAGAAACCTTCCAATGGCATCAGTGGTAGTCAATGTCCAGGCCTGGATATACCAACGCTTCTTGGTCTCCCCCTCAGGTCCGCGCTTCACTGGGCGCCGCTTCGAATCGCCTCCGCGGAGGGCGGTAGCAATAGCTCCAATTTCAGTTCTCATACCCGTGCCAACGACAACACCTCTCGCACGCCCGCGGGTAACGGTAGACGAACTATAGGCGATATTTAGTCGGTCTCCCGGGCCAGTATCAGTATCAAAAACGGCATCGGCTTCCTTTTGAACTGGGAGAGATTCGCCTGTCAAGAGAGCCTCGTCGGTTTCGAAATTGAATGCCTCGGTCAATCTGTTCACGTCCCCAATTAGTCATGATGCTCATTCACTTCAAAAATGTGTCGTAATGTCATACCTCAGGTCTGCGGGGACCGTATCTCCGACTTTCAATTCGATCATATCACCGGGAATGATTTCATTGGCAGGGATAGTAATGGTTTTACCATCGCGAGTCACTACTCCAGTAGGGGAGCTCAGGTTTCGCAGAGAGTCCATGGTCTTTTCGGCCGCAAAATCCTGGTAAACACCAACAACAATATTGAGAATAATGACAGCTGTAATAAAACCGCCCTCGATCCATGATCGGATGCCGAAACTAACCGCCATGGCAATGATCAGGACCTACGCCAATTACGAACGGTTAGCTACTTGGCGATCTCGTTCACGGGGGAAGGTTTCCGAATCACTTACAAGCATCATTGCATTTGCAAGTTGACGGATAAAAATTTTGGCAATTGAGACGCCTTCGTCTCCTTCCAGTATGTTTTGACCATATTTCTCGAGACGTTGCTTGACCTCACCAGATGTGAGGCCATCGTCCGAGTTTGTACCCAGCTCGCGGATGACATCCTCGAATGAGAGGCTGTGAGCCGGCTGGGACAGGTAGGACTGCGAAGGAACATCATTGGGAGACTGAGAGCCCTTGGGTTGGGCTCTCTCCGGAGACATCACGTAGGTGTCCAGGGAGGTCTATTTGAGTGTGTGGCTTGGGTAAAGGGTGGGGGTGGAGTGTAAGAGTTGTTCTTCTAAGGGACTCTTTAAGGTGGTCTCATATAGAAGGTGTCCGAAATGGTGTGGGAGTCCATGCAGGGGTAAAGGAATGATCCAATTCCCGAGATGTTTGAGGAGAATCTTGAATCTATGAACGTTCTCGATCCTCTGGACTTTTAAGTACACGTTGGTTCCAAAAGCCTATCTTCTTTTCCATCTCCCTTCCTTCTAAGGGGTCTCGCCCGATATAAATAATTTGTCAGTCGGGATTGATGGCAAATCCCGCCAAGATGCAACCGGCTCTTTGGCTATCTGTTCCATCCTTGAACATCGTCCCAATCGAGATTCTGGGGATACCCAGACGCAACGACCAATAACCATCTCGAATGACGCATCAGATCAAGCGGGCCATCTTGGCGCAACATTAGCGACCACAGCCGAGGCGACAATGACGTACACGACTGGTCTCGGCGTTGGCTCGGCCGGGAGCGCCAAGAGCGGGATTCTGGGCGTCCTCTGGGCGGCCCTCCGCGCTCGACACCTCCAACGCCTGGCGATAGTGTGTCATCCTTGGCTCATCCTGGGCTTCTCTTGGCAGCCTACATGTTGCGAGGTCTGAGAGTTCACCGCGCGGTTCAAATCTGCTCTCCCGCCCGGGTTCAAATTTCTCCTTGGCCTAGAGTTGTACAAAGCGGTTTACTACATCTACGGTGGCAAAACGTGAGATCCGCAAACTGACCCTCCGCTCTCGAACAATGATCTTCCAGGTTGGGTCTTCTATTAGAGTGCGCTTCGTCTAGCATTCATCCCGATCTCGCCGGTCGAGGTGGCCCCATCACCGTCCCGCCAATATACAGGGACCCGGCGCACCGCTATTGGACATTTCTCCCTTGTCGTGTTCGTATTTCTATTTTCCCTTGCGTGGATCTGGGCACCAGATCCCATGCTCCCCCACTCATGGCGGGCGATAATCTACCCCAAGGTGAGGTGATCGGGATCGTGATTGGAGCTATTGTGCTGTTTGGGATTATCAGCATTGTGCCGATGTGAGTTTATGGGCTGGGCACGGACACGTCTTGGCTGTGCCCCCGCTTCATGCGAGCGAAACGTCTGGAAGCCTTGAGGGGGGTTTACTAACAATCTATTTCGGTCCAATCAGTATCATCATGTTCTTGCATCGACGCCGTGCTGCCAACCGAGCTGCAAATGAGACCCACAACCGTACGTCGCCGATGCAGCAGACCTGCGTGGAGCAATGGCTGGAGGAGCAGAATGTCTCGAGCGATATTGAGCGATATGCCCACGATACCTGGTACGTTGTGAACCTGTTTCATCGCTTTGCGACTTCCCGCATATACGTGGGGCCTAGCCTTGATGCCGTCTTGGCCCGGAAGAGCAGGATGATGTGATGCGGGGAATGCCCAGGGCTGGACCAAGGATCAACTTGCCCTTGAGAGACAAGCCCAATGGCTTTGTTACCCGACTTCTGTTCTGGTCGCCTGGGCATCTCACCAAACCTCCGTGCACACGTCTACTGCCATGGCTAGTTGGCGTTCCTGAGCCGGCATTTGCGATCTTGGCCTGCAGGGTCTTATCAGCAAAGCAAAATGCCTGGAGCCTCACCGTCTGTTTAATGGTTTGAACTAACTGGATATGCAGCCCCATCTGTCTCTCACCCTTATCGTCATCCCCGTATCCCGTTTGTCCACAGCCAGCTCGTTTACCCTGCGGTCAACGCAACCCTTCCGCCTCCGGTTCAGATGAGGAACAGCCATGTGGAGCAAAGGACACCGGGAATAGTGGAATCGTTGTTCTCAATCGGTGTCATCATGCCTTCCATACAGCGTGTCTAACCTCCTGGTTTGAGTACCGGCGATTTAGGTGTCCTATATGCCAAGCTTCGTACTCACCTGCCGTCACTCTACAGCGATGATACTTCGTAATTGGATTTCTTCAACTATTTTGGACATTTGTTTGTGAAATTGTGATTAAGGAATCAAATTGCTATTACCAAGGATTTCGGATATGTTGCAGATGTATCTCTCGTGCTCAAAGTTCCCCGTTAACGCCGTGAAAAGTACTTGGAGCCATCGGTGCCTGGGTCGAGGTACGGCGCATGGTTTCGATTGTCAAGTTTGGGGGGCTAGCACTGTGTCAATTCCGAGCCATAGGAGGCTAAAATTGTTCCCTCTGGACATCAACTCTCTCTCGCTTATCAGCCGTTGTCTCCTGATTCGTCTTTCACGTGGATGCTCTCGTAGATGTCCAAGTATGCACCCCATTACAAGGCAAGTTAAAACAAGATTTCACCGGAGCTGCAGTCCATGCAAGGTCTTTGAAGCTCTCCGCGGCCCACCAACATTTATACAAGGCCAGCATTAATTTTTCTCAGGCTCTCCAGCCTGGTCAACCGACGTGTCGTCATCCAAGTCTTTGTCAAACTTCCGGATTGTGATCACAGTGGGAACGGCCACCAACAAACTACCGATACTGAGGCCCCAGTTCATTGCAAACTGCGTCATCGGATTGATCTTCTCCGCGTTGATTCTCCAAGCCATAGCCCCGCCCGCAGGCTTCAGAGCGGAGTATGCTCCAACCACAACTGCGTTGACCACCGGATCACGCGACCGGGCACCCATAATCCAGTAGCAGAACGCCTGCCAAAAGGAATCATAGGCTCCATAGAAGAAGTAGAGGAACATGGGACCCAGGAATATGCTGCCGTCTTTGTAGTCGATATCTTGTTTCAACCCCAGCGCTAGGCGTTTGTCGTCCCATACCTGGAACCGGTATCCACCGCCCCAGATCACCATTCCGGTCACAAAAAGGATGGCCCATCCAGTAATAGCGCGTGTCCGACGATTGAGATTAGGAAGGTCGAGTATAAGTCCCATCAGGAGCCCGCCCACCATTTGGGCAATCCAGTAGAGCGCGCCGTTGAGAGATCGCGTGCGGAGGTTAAATGTCAAGCCATTCACGTCATTCTGCTGGTAGGAATAGAAGACATTGGCGTTGTAAAACATCGGGTACAGGCAGAGGTTCCTCCAGTCAAAGATGATTCGAAGAACCTGGATCACTGTCGCTCTCAAGTTCGCAAAGTTGAACGATTTCGACCCCGGGGCAATGCGATGACCGTGATACTTCTCGGAGAGACCCTCCGTCGAGCAAACGAAGATGGACAATGACCAGCCGAAAAGCATGATAACCATATACGCAATATAGGTCGAATCGGTGACCGTTCCAGACGTAGAGTGGTAGTTAAGTCCAAAACTGGCGAGCGAGCCAATTGTCGCGCCCAAATTGAAAATCACCCAGAAGACGCCAATAGCCCGACCGCGCGTTTGATCATTGGTATAGGTCACCATAATCGTACCCTGAGCCACCCAGAAGAATGCCGCGCCCAGACCGAGCAGCGCTCCCGAGGCAATCACAAAGGGCCCACCGTCCTTCACTCGGATGGAGTTCAGCAAGGCTCCCGCGTACAACGCATAGGTCCAGCCACCAATGAGAAGCGACAAACGGGGCCCGAGGTATTTGTATAGAGTCCCGACTACGACAAGAGCCGCACCAGCTGTAGCGGCGTGCGTGGCCACATTGGCATTCGCAGAAACGGTGCTGTCGACTTGGCCTGAGCCGCCCATGCCCGTGAGGGCATTGTACATACCAGGATTACAGAAGGCAATGAAGGAAATCAAGACGATCTGGAACCATGGATCTCGATGGATCCTGGTGAAGACATTGCCCCGGTGGAGCGGGGGTGGAGCGACATCGGGGAGAGTATCGTCGACTCGGTCAGGAGAGGAGACATTCTCCTCGACGGACTTGAAGATAGCCATAGTAAGCTGAAGACAACAATGAGGCTATGACCGCAGACTTGGCATTGAGCAGCGCGGCGCCCGGTGGCTTAAATGGCTTAAATGTCACGACGTGTGTCTGTCGAAGTGCTCGCGTCGCACAAACGCGCAGTCTCTGCAGGACAACAAATCTCAGGGGCGGATCTCGCCTCCCCGACATCCGAGTCAAAAGCACGCCGAGATCCATCTTCAGCGTTCCGATCTATGAATATGTGCTTGGCGCGTCGATATCGTCAAAGAACCATATACTCTGTGAACCAGAAAATGCGTTCGTGACACGCCACGCTACGCGATTAGAATGAGAATGACACCATCGCCGGCCTCCGCCATCGACGCGTTGGGCGACCTTCAAACGGAGTCGCCAAATCTACTCGCACGCTCAATCGATACTCTGGATACGCTGGGGCTTTGCAAAGCTTTTAACCACGAAGAAGCACGAGTATGTCCAGCAATCGAGTGCTGCTTACCGTTCATTGCATCATTGATTGAGGACCTCGTTCCTCGATTGCAAACTGGGGGCAGACTCATTTACGTGGGAGCTGGGAATAGCGGCCGGGTCGGATTCATGGACTGCAGCGAACTACCGGTAACATTTTCTACCAAAGAGGACCAATTCCTTGCAATCGTTGCCGGAGGCAGCCAAGCAATCATCAGCGCACAAGAAGCCGCGGAGGATTCGGAGGAGGATGGATCTGCCCAGCTTCACAAATTACAAATCACCTGCGACGACACCGTCATTGGCATCTCAGCATCGGGACGAACCCCGTTTGTGATTGGGGCTCTCAAGGTCGCTATCAAACAAGGCGCATTGACTGCTGCTATCACGAACACAACGCCATCCACAATCGGAGGCCTCGCGGTTACGCACTCGATCGTTCCCATAGTCGGGCCGGAATACCTAGCGGGGAGCACCAGATTAAAAGCAGGAAGCGCGGCAAAGCAAATCCTCAACATGATCAGCACCTGTTCCATGATCAAAATGGGCAAGACTTATGGCGGCCTTATGATCGACGTGCGCGCCAAAAACTACAAGCTCCTAGCTCGTGGCCGCAGAATTATCCGTCAAGTTTACCGCATCCTCCAAGAGAACGGCCATCCCTTCGCCGACTTCGTCCGAGATCCCAACCAAATCGATGATCTGGGTTTGAACACATTAATTGAGACGTGTGGAGGAAAAGTGAAGCTGGCTTGTTCGGTGGTTGTATCTGGGCTTCCACACGATGTTGCCAGGCAGCGCCTCGATCTGGTGCACGGCAACTTTCATTCGTTTGTCGACTCCCTCAAGCCTCCTGTATATTATCAAGACACTGGCCTTTCTGGCCCTCCCGATGAGGAGTTCTTTTTAGCCATTGACGGTGGAGGAACGAAATGCGCGGTCACCATTGCCAGCCGCTCTGGAATAGTGGCTCAGGCGAAAGCTGGGGCTGGCAACTTCCATTGCGTGCCAATTGAAGTTCTTTTGGATCACATTAGATCTGCCGTGACGAAGGCCATTTCCCTCATACCTCAGGAATCCAGGCGGCTATTTTCGACAGATATGCCCAGGTTTGCTGCTGTATGGGCGGGTCTGGCCGGATTACAGCATGCAAAGCGCCGGGATACCTTGACCAAATCGTTGGAGAAAGTCTTCGGGGTTTCTGCCAAGAACGGTAGTCTCCGTCTATCAAGCGATAGTGAACTTCCAAGTGCTCGCATCGGCATCGAAAATCCTACCAGGCGTGGTATCTCTCTCATCGCGGGTACGGGATCAGTTGCGACCGCATTTAAACAGGATTCGAACGGGGACGTAATACCGATCGGAAGAGCCGGGGGCTGGGGCTCGCTAATTGGAGACCAAGGCAGCGCGTTCGATATCGGAAAACAAGCTGTGCAAGCACTATTGACCAGCGTGGAATTGAGTCAAGGGACCGAAACTGATTGCCTCACCGAGCTTGAACTCGCAGTCCTAGCAAGCCTGGGTCATTTCAAGGAGGGCCTACTTTCGCGCATTCTATTTTCCGGTACCGAGATGAAGAATAACATTGCCGACCTTGCAAGGGTTGTGACAGCGTTAGGTTTCAGGACAAACCCCGACCCTCAGGCCGTCGAGATTCTTACCTCTGCCGCCAGGTCTCTCGTTCGTCTCGTCAAGCCACTTGCTAAGAAGCAGATTTGCGATCCTGCCACCAGCTCTCTTGTGCTATCAGGAGCTTTGATGAAAATGCCTGATTTCCAGAGCTTATTCCTTCATGAATTGTCTCGGGAGGGGCTGCATGCCTTCAGAAATGTTGTTACTGTTGATGATCCGTCGGCCGTTGCCGCCTTGTTTCTTGCGAGCAAGCATCCAAGAACGACGTGAGCTAGATAGATTCAGCATTACCTCAACTTTACATAAATACATAGAATAATAGTGCATAAAGTATCATAAAGTTCCCCTTGCTCAAAGTTAAACCATATAAACGCCGGACCTTTAGGCTCTAAGATCATTAATTGACGAATGTTTGCGTACTAACCGGTCGATGCAACGTCCTGTACTTTTGGCCCCCATCGGCCTTTTAGCGTCGATAGCACCATCGTCCCTTCCTCACTACGAGCCTCCCCCCCCCTTTTTTTCCCCTTCTTGGTGCACAATAAACGGCTAGCCTCGCCACTTTTACCCACGTGAATTCTCATTCTTCATGAGCGAGATCCGGCTCTCGGCATCTCGCCCAACACCCAACACAGCCCACAGCTCCATGATATTATCTCCACATGTCTGTTCAGAGCCACACACCGGGCGCCGCCCAGGTGGAGCCAGTAAGCTGCCGTATCTGCCGCCACCGCAAGGTGAGTGCTTCAATCCCCCCGACCGATCAATATTTTCGTTTCGCCGACTAGGAACAAGGTAAAATGTGACCGCACCCCCGGAGGATGCCTGCGATGCCGACGGTATGGCGAAGAATGCGTGTATTCGTCCGGCACCGCCTACGACAGCCCTAGAGTGAGTGAAGAGAGGACTGAAGCTGGTCTCAAGCGGCGACGTGTACTCCGTTCATGCTTGAATTGCAGGAGATCCAAGACTAAGTGTGCTGGCGGAGCTCCCTGCGAGCAATGTGAGCGAAAGGGCCTCAGTTGCTCATACACGGAATCAAGCGTGCCTCCTCCTCTTCCTCCTCCACCCATCGAGCAGTCCGTTCGGAAAAAGGCATCGTCGGCCATCCCCCCATGGCTGACATCAAATCATTTACCGCCGATGGATCGGCTTCGGGACCTGATTGACCTGTACTTTCTCCGCGTTCATACCGTTCGTTGCTTCGGCTTTATACATATCCCAACCTTCATGCGGCGGTTGAAATCAGCTGAGAAGATTTCATCGGAGAAATCCGGGCTCGTTTATATCATGTGCGCGCTAGCTGCACCCTTTTACTACGCCGAGAAGCACTGCACGAGCAGAGATGGTCTTAAAAGCAATGTGCAGTACTTCGACGCAGGCCGAGGCTGGGCCGAGGCTGCGAGGCACTGTCTCTTTACACAGTTTGGAGACATGGGAATCGAGAGCATAATGACCGAGGTTCTGTTGCATGAATACTACCTTCGGGTAGGAGAGTATGCCAAGGGGTTCATGGTTTCAGGGCAAATTACTCGACATCTACAAGTTGTCCAGCTCAATATGGAGCGGGACTCGGATGTATTGTGTCAGAGAAACCCAGCTTCATGTCACGTCAAGGAGAGTAGAAGAAGGCTGGCGTGGGCCTGCTACCTGCTGGATTCATTGATTGAATGCGGAATCGATCAACTTCGACTCATCCCGTACGACGATATCCAGGTCCAGCTGCCTTGCACCGAAGAGCTCTTCATCACAAACACCCCATGCATTACGGAGATGTTACCTCCGGGCAAGCTTCTCCCTTCGGTCCACCCAGCACTTGGTATAGATTTTTCCGCTCACCTCGATCTAAGGGCTTACTACCTGCGAGCTACGAGTATTCGATCCAGGCTTTTGAAATATGTGAAACATCTGGAAGGCGAAGTACCGTGGGCGGAGGACAACACTTCACGATTTGCTCAGCTCAACAATGAGTTGCAAACACTCGAGGACTCTATCCCCGAGAATATGAGAATATCGGCCGAGAACATGTACCTATTCAAAGGCTCTGGACGGCTGAATCTGTACTTTGGCTTGCATATCTTGATTTCTCAAAATTTCCATGACCTATACCGAGTCGGCGTCTCCAATCTTGTCTTCCCCAACACCGCAACAGGCTGGATCCGCGAGAATGCCCCGGAAGACTTCATCAGGCGCTGCCATCAGGTATGCGCCACCAAATCCGCCTATATTGCCTCTCTCCTGGGCGATCTTTGGAATTGCCACAAGGCCAGCCTTGTCGATTGGCCCTACGCTATGCACACACAAGTCTGCAGCAGCGTCATCGTCACCACCATTATCTCGTGGGGTCGCCCGGAGCCTCTACTTCCTCAACTATCCCATCTCGACTACCAAGCGATGCTGCAGCGAAATGTAGTAATATTGCAGTATCTCCAGCGCTTTATGAAGGTCAGCATGTACTGCGAGTCAGCCGTCCAAGCCCTCAAACGATTCAACGCGCTATACGTTCCAGATTCCCCAGATTTCGCTAACTCGTCGACGAACGGACTCCTGTCTGCCAACCATGGCAACTCTTCCAATCCCTCCTCGCTGGAATATATTCTGAATCCTCTGGGTACATATCCAATGGCTCGGAAGCAGGCGCAGACGCAGGATTCATCTACGCCCGATGAAACAGAGGAGGGCACACCAGCACCGCAAGTACTGGCTTCGGTGGAGGAAACAAGGCTGGCCGCAGTGGAGCCAGGCGGTTGTCCAAGTCCGAGTGGCATTTTCTCAGGCCACTTCTTGGACTGGGAGGCAGACATGTCCATCTTCCCGGGGTTGGGATATCCCACCTTTCTTGACCAGTTTCCCATCGAGGTGCCGAAAGATCTGAACTTGCCTTGAAGGCAGTTGGACCTGGAGAAGGTGTGTTATTACTGGTGCATGAGAAGATATTTACATAATATTGATTATTGAAGTTAATCTACCTCTACCCTACAGCCGATCGTGGGGAGGGTACTTCACTGCATCGACTTGTCATCGATAGTAGTCATCCATCCCTCGCATCATCATTAATTGAATTCTGGGTATAGATATTTATGCTCTATATATTGTATCTTAGTGTACCTCAAAATGAATGGTCTGCTGGATCACATTTTGCTGATCTGCACCCGAGACCAGTCCCTCTGTACTTTCCCCATCGTCCTTAAGTGACTCCCGCCATCCGCTTGTCACCTGAACCGAAGTCCCAGGTTTTAATCCTTGGTCCACTGATTTGGCCATAGACGAGAATTTGTATCTGTCGCCCGGTGTGCGTGGATCCGTTATGTCGTCATTGATGGTGAATGCGTAGACGCTGGGTTGGAGCTCCATGACGAGGCGTCCGAGGGATGGGAGGGCGGTGGTGATGATACTAAGGTTCATCATGACTCTGTGGTGGCATATTATTAGTCTTTCAATTTTCAAGACTAGCATCTTCGTGGTGGGGTTGGTAATCTTCGGACAGGTACGTACTGGTCCCAAATGGTGGAATTAGTGTTCGCCCCTACAAAACATGTCAGTTAGCACGCTGCTTGTGGCTCAATGGGTAAAAGCAGAGAAGCAAAGTAAATAAAGGAAAAGGAATTCCTTACATGTAACATCAGGCGAATCCAACATTTTGACGGTATATTTAACCCCAAGGCCAGTCGCAATACAGACCCTAAGTAATGTTAGAACTGGTGAGCCAATCAAACTGGGAGAGGACCCCAACTCACAGCAATCTACTGGCCAGCAACGCCATAATTCTGAACCGTTTCCATCGAGACAACTGCACATTACGAATCAACGTGCACGGAAGTGCCACCAGTGCGATATCTGTGGCAATGTTTAACGCCCCAATGACTTGGAAAAGTACGGCCTGTGTGCGAGAAGATTAACCTTCCTGTTCGTATGAAAATCGTAACCACAAATCAGGGGCTTACCTGGTTGATACATTGGCCTGGCTGGTCCCATCTCCACGGGGTTGGCATGGAGCATCGGAACGCCAATGCCAGAATCGAAGCCAGGGCCCATGCAATAATCACCCCCATCAGCGCGTGGTTCGCAATGGACGAACGACGCGATGTCATCAAGGTTTTAAACAATAGGCCCAGCGAAAGCTTACTAAACGCAATTGTCGCAATGAGGAGAATTTGGGCGGCATATTCGTACTGCAGGGCAGTGATTAGTCTTGGACATCCGCTGGACTAGGCACGAATCGTGATCGGTCCGCTCTTGCTGGGTCAATTCTTTCCCACCTTCAGATACCGCACAAGCTGGTGGTCGCCTAGATTCAACACCCGCCGGCCAAGTCCATTGGATATTGCAAGCTGAGCTAGAATACTCTGTATGATTCCTAGTAACTATTTTGTCGGGATTTCGTCAGCGAGCGCACTGGATCTATCACGACAGGCAAAGCCCCACACATACCAAGGAAATAGCTAACAATATGTCGTCGGAATGGATGACACGGCCGATAAACCATCGAGTGGAAAGGCGGGTGGACACAATGACAATTGTCAATGCCAGCAAGGTATAGACTGCGACAGCACTGTATCCGCCATGGTCATCGCCCGAGATCTCAAATAGAGGAGGTAGAGTGCCGGCCATCGCGATGTGGGACGATCAGCCCTGCAATTGCGCGCGGGAGGGGTTCGGCAGGAGGGCAAGAAGACAGGAAGGAATCAACGGCAGATCACAGATCGTATATTGTACCGAGGGCAGATGTAATCTCGCCTGGTGGGTCTGCTCTGCCATGAGGCTGTTCGTTCTGTTCGTACCTGGCAGAGACCCGCCCTAAAGCTCCTACCACTTGCATACACGTTGGGCCGCATGGATGACAGGCAATCTATTATAGTTGGTTCCAATTGCCGACCAATGTTACATGGGCCGATGGTGCGACAGAACAATCAGAAGATTCTCAACTGCTATGACCAATCCCTGTTGCCTAAGGTCCCGGTCTGCCTCGGCGGAGGCCCGTCGGAGGGGCCCACACGGCGGGCCTGTGCTCCCTCTCGGCCCATGTTCCTCGCGTTCCTGGTCGGGGGGCGCTGCCCTAACCGGGGCATGGGCCCCGGCTTCTCGAGACTGCCCACACGATCTAGACGATCGAGAATGTCCTGCGGTGGTGATGATTGGGCGCACGTTGAATCTCATTCATCGGTTCCACTTCCATTCGCGGATGATGTCCGTCCCGTTGACCAACCACGGCGCCCCCCGCATCCATCGTGGATCCACGGAGTAGCAGGTCTCTGGTCTGGACGTGCTGATTGGAGCTCGAAGAGTGATTTCTCTACGGCGCAAATACCCAGTCGGCATAGCGAACAAGCCCGTCAGCAGCTTGCCACGGTCATCTTATTGACTTATCTCCCACTACCTGCCAATCCCCTGCAATTCCGCACGGAAGTCGGCATTGTGGCCGGTAGTCCCGAAACCTAAACCCAGCCCAGAAGGCTTATTCAATTTGCCCGGGTAACAACGGCTCTTTGGGCCAAATAGCGCGCAGGCGCTATCTGCGGCAGGTGCTTGTCGCTGCGACACGCCCATTGGAGCCGCCACTAAAATAGTTAGGAGCTCGTGCGCGGAACTTTGATATGACCATGGCGCACACCGAGGGCATGATACGCCCTGGCCTCTGGGTTCTAGGCGATCGGAGTTCTCTCGGCACTCACACGTCTCGTACTTCTTTTGAGTCGTGCGATCGAATTCACCGAAAATCTGTTCACAATTCAGTTTGACGCACTGTATGGACTGAAACGGGAGGCGAGCAAGAGCCTGCTCCTACAGACCAAAAGAGAGATTTGCCCACCTCGCGCCAACCTCCAGGCCTCGATCCGCTCGTGCTTGAATCCGCCGCTTCGTCATGTCGAACCAGGAGGGCGTGGAGTTGTCCCGCCTGGGCGTCAAATCGACCCAGTTCAGCGTCAGTGAGCGTCGCATGCACAGCCGTTCAGGCTCCGACGGAGGCTACAATGGCGGGGTGTCGACATCCATGTCCAGTGGGAAGCGATTGGATGTAAGTTTTTCCCCTTGCTGCTCTGCTCCAGAGGAAACTAACAATAGTCCGTGTTGAAAGAGAGGATTCGGGTCGCTTTCGATTCTTTGTCTATCCATTACATTGCTCTCCTCATGGGAGTCCGTTGCAATGTAAGCCATTGGCATTACTCCTCGACGTGCTAAATGCCGACGCTAATCAAGTATACAGTTCATTCGAAGCAGGCCTCGTTAACGGTGGGCCAGCCGGCCTGGTCTGGGGAATGGTGCTGTCGTTAATTGGTACATCGTTGATTATGCTCTCGTTGGCCGAGATGAGCTCCATGACGCCGTTGGCTGGCGCACAGTATCACTGGACGGCCGTGCTCGCACCGCCGCGAATCCAAGCATTCAGCACCTGGATGCAGGGATGGATCACCGTCTTCGGATGGCAGGCAACGACCACGAGTATTTGCTACCTAGTAGCAGCCCAGATCCAGAGCATGGTTCTCTTGAACAATCCAAGCTATGTTCCGAGACAGTGGCACGGCACGCTGATCATGTGGGCGATCATTGGGCTGTCGGCCCTCGTCAATATCTACGGCATCAAGATCATGCCGGCTCTGCAAATGCTAGGTGGGATCATGCACATCACCTTTTTCATTGTTCTGGTTATCCCGATCATTCTCCTCGCTCGGCGCAGCACCCCGCAGTTTGTGTTTACGGAGCTGCTTACAGCAGAGGAGGGCTGGCAGTCCCATGGCATTGCCTGGTGTCTGGGCATGCTGACGGTCACCTATGCCTTTCTGGGATTCGACGGCGCCATTCATATGAGTGAGGAAGTGCGGAATCCAGCTGTTGTCATTCCGCGAGTCCTGGTGCAAACTCTCGCGATCAATGGCCTGCTGGCGTTTGTTTTTCTCCTCGTCATCCTCTTCTGCATTGGCAGCGTGGATGAGGCCTTGAACCCGTTGTATATGTTCCCCATCATTGGTATCTTCAAAGAGGCTACTCAATCGGCTGGCGCAGCTACGGCCATGCAGGCGACCATCACGATGATTGGCATAGTCTCCAATGTCGGTGTGGTGGCATCCGTCTCGCGACTCACCTGGGCTTTTGCTCGTGATGGCGGCCTCCCATTCTCCGCATATTTTTCTCATGTTGGTCATTCCCCGTCTCAACCACTGTCTACTCCAAGCCCTCTCTTTCTAACACCGAACCAGGTCGATCGCCAGCATCGCGTCCCCAAACGGGCCATCATGCTTGTTTGTGCAGCTGTTGTCGTTCTCTCAGTAATCAATGTCGCCTCAGTCACAGCCCTCAGCGCCATTCTCGCTCTTTCAACCAGCAGTCTTTACGTCTCCTATTTAATCCCGATCGTCATGATGATCATACGCCGCTTCGATTCCAGTCGGGGGTCAATCCCATTTGGGCCCTGGACGCTCGGTCGCTACGGCATGGCTATCAACACTATTTCGCTCATTTTCGGCATATTCGTTTGTATTTTCGTGCCATTCCCGACGCAGATTCCCGTCACAGCTGCAAATATGAACTGGTCGGGACCCGTCTTTCTTGGGCTTTGTCTACTGCTCGTTATAGATTGGACTTTCCGGGCCAGAAAGAAGTATATTGGGCCGTCGAAGGATCTCTTGCAGTCCAAGTACAAGGCTCCGCTTGATTAGATAGATCATTGCTATGCCAGATACTGGACACGCCAATCAAGAACTGTACTTTAGCTTCATTTATTTAACGCAAACTTCGGGTAATCAATTTCCAATATGAATAGATCACTATATCCTTCACGAACTTCAACCCCAAAGCCTACCAACTCGAATCAATCCAATCCTTATAATCACTCCCCAACACCGTCGTCTTCGTCACACCCGCCGAAATAGAAGTCTCATACTCCCGTTCCGCGGTATCCGACCCATCCCCCGAATTGTTATATTCATAATACAACGGCGTGGCCCCGTCCGCCATCGTCGTCCACCCCTTCGCATTAATAAGGCTCCCCAGCTCCGAGTTCTGGTAGATCACCCGTGCAAGTACGCGCCAGGGCCGACCAAGATACACCTCGCTATCCAGGTCCATGCCGGATGCGGGTTTGATGTTGCAGTTGTCGATAGCGTACCAGCTTGTGTCTGAGGATTCCTCACGCGAGTTGGCGGTTATTGCGCCCCCACCATTGGACACAATGTCGCATTCGCCAAACCAAGCAGAGGCGTCGCCAAAGATGTAGTCCACAGCCCCTGCGGTGGAATTTTGGAATTAGAACGGACGATAAGATGTTAATTGGCGGATGAGAGAGGTAGCAGTACCTTCGATCATGCAGTTAGAGTAGTACTGGGTTCCTGACTTGGCGTACAGAGTATCTTGGTACCCAGTGAATTGACAACCGTAGAAACCGAGCCGGTCGGCGTTTCCAACAAGTCTATGACAAGATCGTTAGGTACAGTGCTCCCCAATCCGCAATCTTGATTGTCGGGTGACTTACGCAACAGCCTGCGCGCCCTGTCCATATCCATTCGCGACATTGATGTTGTACATGGTGAACCCGTCAGAGACCACGTTGACAGTAGCGCTCTTATCCAGACTGCCCGCGTCTGCCGACGAAATTGTGTGCGTGATAGTCACCGTGTTATCCTTATACGTTCCCGTATCCGCGGTCTGTCCATACAGGGTCAAAGCACCGGCATAGTTGATCGTGAGCTGCTCTGTGTACGTGCCGCTGGCAACATAGATGCATGCCGATGAAGTAGATGAGCCCAATGCGTCAAGTGCATCCCCAATGGTCGAATATGTCCCGCCGGAGCCAACAGTGAGACAGCCCGATGGTGCGCTGGTCCTGCTTGTGCGACGAGTCAGCTCGGCTGGTGCACTAATCACACCAGCGGCGAACACAGGTGCTGAGAGGAGGAAGGTTGTTGGCAGCATTTTGGCCGAATAATGTGCTAAGGGTAAAGTACGCGATCATCAGATAAGGGAGTGGCTAGAATGAAGCTTGCCGCGAAGAGTTATTGAATATATGATGCTGGCCCATACACATACTCAGCAGGACTAAACTCAATCGCGACTGTGTATGGCCGGCACATCTTGTTTCAAGGGGCCGCACTCGCATTTCCCGCATCACTCAGAACCATCCCACTATGCTGCGAGGTTGAAGCGACGTCGCACATTTTCCGCCCCAGGAACCAATTTCCATGAATAGTAGGCTGCTCTGAAACAAGATCCCTGAGAATCCATCAATCCCACGGGTCATTTCGGCTATTACCCCATTTAACACAAAGTAGCCTGTATTTAGCACGCATAGGACGAAACGAAAGCCACGCCAAACGTCCGTCCGACCCCCTGTTAGCGCCCCCTGCAGCTTATTCTTCACCCGCGTCCGGGGTAGTATGCGCCATTCACCGCAGAAACGGCACACGTGAAGAATAGCCGGGACAAAAGCCATTGGTTCCATTGGTTTTGGTAAGCGGGGTGCTGCAGAGGTAGGTGTAGGTAGGGGTGGAGAAATATGATCGGCGCGAAGCAAGAAATTCCGCGAATGGCGGGACTGGAGCAGTATATGTTTCAGCTTGGACGACGGCGACTTCTCCGTGGAAATGCACGGGGAGGCTCAATTCCATTCACTCACACCTCCGCTGGGTCAGATTCGAAACGACAGAGAAGTGTTATCTATAAAGCGCATTCCAATGGGGATCACGGGGTACAGAAGATGGTGTTCGAGGCAACCAACTACGCTCTCACTACCATCATGTCCACCATAGCCAAAACGCTCACAGTCCTTGCGGCGCTTCCTTTCGCACTGGCCCTACCAGATGCATCTCGCACCCTCGATATCCGCGCTTCAAGCTGCACTCCGGCCGCAGGAGGCTCGTCCTCGACAGACGACGTCCCTGCGATTACATCCGCTATCGCGGCCTGTAGCAGTGGTACAATTGTGATCCCGTCAGGGACCACATACTACCTAAACAGCGTGCTCGATTTTGCTGGGTGCAGTGGCTGTGATTTCCAGATCGAGGGCCTGTTGAAGTTTAGTTCCTCTACCAGTTACTGGGAAGGACGCACGGCGATGATCAATGTCAAGGACATTGACGGTCTGAAGATCCGCTCGCTGACGGGTAATGGCGTGATTGATGGGAATGGGCAGGATGCGTATGCTACACAGACCCCTTGAACTGCCGAATATAACGAACTAACCAGCGTTCTCGATAGATGGGATCTCTTCGCCTCGGACAGCAGCTATGCGCGCCCAACCCTCCTCTACGTACGTAGCTGCCATCTCCATCTCCATCACCATCTCTCCTCTGATCTCGTACATGGCAGTGTTGATGTTGCCGAATGTCTGACTCGCCTGGATATATCCCCTAACTATTCTCAACTCTCTAGATAACCGGCGGCTCCGACATCACAATCTCCAATTTCCGGCAAAAGAACCCACCGAACGTCTTCAACTCCGTCAAAGGCGGAACCACGAACATCGTCTTCGCAGACCTAAGCATGGACGCTACATCCAAAAGCACCAATGCGCCCAAAAACACAGACGGCTTTGACATCGGCGAAAGCACAAACGTCGTCATCACCCGCGTGGGAGTCAGCAACGACGACGACTGCGTCGCCTTCAAACCCGGCGCGGATGGCGTCACCGTGACTGACATTACCTGCACCGGCAGCCACGGGCTGTCAGTCGGCTCGCTGGGCAAGGGATCCGATGACACGGTAAAGAACGTGTACATGTCCGGCGCGACGATGATCAATTGCACCAAGGCGGCGGGCATCAAGACGTACCCGTCTGGCGGGAGCCATGGACAGTCGACCGTGACAAATGTGACGTGGACGGGGGTTGTGGTGGATGAGTGCGACTATGCTATCCAGATACAGAGCTGCTATGGGGAGGACGAGGCTTATTGTGAGGAGTATCCTGGGGATGCGGATTTGACGGGTATTGTGTTTGATCATTTCAGTGGGACGACGAGCGGAGAGTATGATGCTGTGACGGGCAATCTGGACTGCGGCGCTGATGGGACTTGTGGTGTGAAGGTGAGTTCTTATACGGTGACAGCCCCGGCTGGGGATAGCGACGTGCTATGTGCGAATACGCCGTCGGATCTGGGGGTGACTTGTACCTCCGGGGCAGCGGGATAGGCGCTCATATAGGGAGACAGACATAGGAGACAGACAGAATGGATACTACGTGCGGCTCTATTTTTGCCTTGGTGCATGAATCAGTGAAAAACCGTAAGTCTATACAGCAATTTTGTGATTAAGTCCAAATATGTTCATCATACACCGTAGGGATCCGATCCTGGCAGCAGCCTGAAGCCAGGTCACACGAAGCCAATTTCTTCCCTCCAGTCGTTTATGCCGCGGCAACCATCTTGTCCTTGACATAGAGGTCGACGTACTGGTCGACATCGTAGTTCTCCAGCTGCTGGCGGTCCCAGCCCACCTTCAGCAGCTCGTCAATACGAGCCTGGTCGAAGTGCGCTTGGAGGTGGCGCTTATACTTGGCCAGGATCTCGGGCTTTGCCTCCTCACGGCGCAGGCGATGGCCCAGAGGAGCCTCGACGACGACCTCCTCGAGAACAGTGCCATCATGGAGAGTGACGGTCAGGGCGTTGGGGATGGTACGCTTGGACGGGTCGTGGTAGTCCGCGGTAAACTGCTCGTCCTCGACGCAGCGGATGCGCTTGCGGAGGTCCTCGACCAGAGGAGAGGTGGCGGCCTCAGAGCCGTCGGCGTAGTCGTTGGCGGTCAGGCGGTTGAAGGCGAGCATGGTGGCAACCATGTACTGTTTAGAGGATGTTAAGTCGGACACATCATCCCGTTCATTCGGAATCAGTTAGCTTACCTGGACACAGTGGTCACGGTCAGCGAAGTTATCCATCTCCTTGAACTGCTTGTCAATGATACGGATGCAGGCCTCGTGGGTGCGGTTGGTGATCTCCTTGATGTCCTTGGCGCTCTTGCCCATGGCAGCGAGCTTCTTGTTGACGATCTCAGCGGCCTCAATGGCGGTCTGAGAGTGGAACTCGGCTAGTTCGACAGAGAGTTAGTCGCCTAGTCCATGTGACTCGTTCAGGAATTAAGAGAATACAAGTACTGACCAGGATAGGAGACCTTGAAGAGAACATTCTCCATCACGTAGCTGCCGTAGGGGCGCTGGAACTGGAATTTCTTGCCCTTGAACATGGTATCGTAGAATCCCCAGACGGGAGCGGAGAGCACGGTGTGCAGACCACCCTCACCCTTCTGGACCTTCAGGACCAGGTTGACCGCACGCTGGCAGGCATCACCGGCAGCCCACGACTTGCGGGACATGGTGTTGGGCGAGTGGCGGTACGTACGAAGAGACGAGCCATCCACCCAAGCCTGGGTGATAGCATCGGCCGTCTGCTTCTCGGTAAGACCCATCATCTTAGAGACAACGGCGGTGGTCGCGACCTTGACCAAAACGACGTGGTCCAAGCCGACCTTATTGAAAGAGTTCTCCAGAGCCAGGACACCCTGGATCTCGTGGGCCTGGATCATCGCCTCAAGCACATCACGGATCTTGAGGATCTTACCGTTGCCCAAGTTGCCCCCCGCGCGGTTGGTGCGGGAGATCCAATCGGCGACCGCGAGGATACCACCCAGGTTGTCGGAGGGATGGCCCCACTCGGCGGCGAGCCAGCAGTCGTTGTAGTCGAGCCAGCGGATCATGGTGCCGATGTTGAAGGCACCATTGATGGGGTCTAGCTGATACGGTGTGCCAGGCACACGGGGGCCGTTCGGCACCACGGTGCCCTCGACCACCGGGCCGAGTAGCTTCGCGCATTCCTTGAACTTCAGGGCCTCCAGACCGCAGCCCAGCGTGTCCAGGAAGACCAGGCGAGCGGTGTCAAACTAGATTGGCCAAGACAATCGCAAATTAGCACCATTGGGGGGGAAATGCAATGATCACCGAGCTGGACACCTCGAAAACTCACCGCTAGGTCGGAATCCACCTTATACTGATGGATATAGCTGGCCATGTCCTGAATCTCAGGATCGTAGGGCTTGTCGGCCGACGAAGCCGGGGGAGCGGCAGATTGACGGGCAGCCATGGTGGAAAAGCGAGGAGCACGGGTAACACGAGAGGCAGCAGTGATGGCGGAGATGGGAGAAGAAGAAGCGAAAGCGGGCGGGAATCTGGAGATGGGGATGCGGGCCCAAGTGCGGGGAGACGTGTGGGTCAACCGTCTCACGGCGGGAAGGGACATGGTTGACAGCGCAATGGCAGTGAGAAAGGGCAATAGAGGAGGGAGGAGAGAGGAGGGAGGATCGAAGAAAATGATCCCAGAGGGAGATTCAATGGGGTAAATCAAGGACGATGGTCCGCAAGGGAGGGAGGGCTGGAATGAGGAGTGGTTGGGGCAGGCCGAGGGGGATGAGTTCAAGCTGACTTCATGCCGAGGCGAGTCGGTTAGTGTCGGCTACCCGGCCAGCCGCACCGTTCCCAACACTCTATTCGACCCAAACCTCAGTCGGTCGGCCTTGTGAGGGGGTATAGCTTGCTGCATGATGCCCATTGGCTATTCTATATGGTTTTCTACCGGGTCGATCGAGCTCGGCCGTGGAAAAGACCCCCGAGAATCGGAGGTATAGCATGTCCGGGGGATGTCGCGAACACTATGCATACGAGAGTTTTACCAGCGACTATCGGACGCTCATTAACATGAGATGCAGGCCTCGTGGATACTATTCAGAAGGCAAAATCACCGGGTCTACGGAGGAACGCCATCGCAGACTGCCGCTCGTCCTCGGGCCAGCAGCGCAGCTCCTTCCCCGGCCCGTTTCACATGCCCCGTGGATCTGATAACCGCCTCCGCCTCCGCCTCCGCCATTCCCCGCCCACTTCACCCGCGGTCATTTCATAGGTCAACGAATATCATTGCGCACTCGAATCGTCACTTCACGCGGCTCGTTCCCGCTCCGCCCTCTCGTTCAGCTCCCGTGCATCGGTTGCCTTCAGAGATTCAACGATGGCGACGTACAAAGCTTTGGCCAAAATCGGCGGCACCGCATTACCAATCTGCTTACGGACACCAGATGTCGAGAACATAAAGTCCATCGGGAATGTTTGCAAACAGGCCACCTCACGGCATGAAAAGGCGCGCTTGCCTGAGGGGTGGTAGTTGGCTTCGCCACCACTGCAGGTCAATGTCTTAGCCGGCATGCGACCATCGTACTCGGCCTTGTGCCCATTGCGCTGCCATCGATCAAGCAGCTCCTGAATTTCCTCCTCTTCATGATTAGGCGCTCCGAGAGGAATGTCTTTGATGACATCTTCAATCGTTTGAACGGGCAAGCAGCCACTGCCAGGGAGGTCATGTGTGGGCTCGGGGAACTTTGGCAGAGTCTCCCCTGGGCTAGGAACACATATCCAGTTAGTGAACGGCGTGTTGGCTTAATTGGGCCAAGTCCGGTGCAAAGAAAAAGGGATTCGCTGAGATGCTTACCCTGCTGCGAAGATGATTAATCTCTTCCGTGTTTGTGGTACGCCATATTGGAGGACATCCAGCACCGCCCAGCGAACCGAGTACCCGGCCTCAATCAAATCCATGATGACGCGGTAGAAAACCTCCTTATAACGTTCCGCCAACCCTGCTGTCTCTTCCATCGTGAGAATCCGCGGACGAGCATGATCTAGCAAATTGCCAGCGCTGAAAACGCACGCAGAGTTGTCATCGTCTTGCTTGGAGGTCATCGTATGGGCAGGCGACCATGTCTGGCACGGTGGGGAGCAGTGGGCGATGTCCACTTGAGAATATTGCCGGCTATTGGTCAAAAAATCATGAAACTGGCATCTCCAAATGTCCACGTCCGTAAAATTCAGCGCATATGTTTCAGTCGCCTGCTTGTCCAAATCGCAGGCCCATAGTACCCGCAGGCCTGCCTGCTGTGCTCCGCAGGACGTTCCACCAGCACCGCAGTAAGCATCACCGAAGGTGTAGGCACGTCCCTCGGTCGTGAAATCCACCACTGGCGGAGAACCGTCATGGTCGAGTGTGGGCAGCTCCCTGTAAGGCACCTTGCCTGCTCCGAACGGGACCGTAGCTAGTCCGCGGGACATATCACGCAGCTCATTTGATGTGAATCCGAGTTCTCCATCACATTCATCACTAGTCAGATATTCCACAATAGTCTCAAGGGTGGTGTTCGGACACAGGCCAGTACGACGATGGTTTGAGATCGTGCTTCGCTTCCTGGTGGTTACCTTCAGGCGACAAACCAAGCCCGATCCAGGTGCATTCTGCTCATTCTTGCCCCGGCGCAAGTTGATGAACACCACTTTGCAGAGGCCATCCACCTCATCTAGAGAGATAGCATCCTGGATCTCTTGGCTAGGTCCATTGTCGTGATCCATACGGGGCATCCAGATAAGCTCTTTTTCGTCTCTCGGGATGTACGGGGGACACCGGTTGTCATTCGTACGCAGGAGTCTTCGGCCATAGAAAAAGAATACTCCACCTCGCCGATTAATACGCTCAATTCGCAGATACGTATTATCAAGAAGTCTTACAGTGTCTGATAGGTGGACAGTAACACCTTCATACACTGCTTTGTCGACAATCGACTGCGGGCTCGCTTTCCGTCGGACTGTACTGGTTTCGCTGGACACACAGGCCTGGCGCAGCTGAGTGTCAGTATCTGACATGTCGATCGGGTTCTCTGGTGAGCTCCCGGGCACCTTGGTTTCGGTACCATCACTTTGAGCTAGTGAGGATGGAATCTGAGAAGCTGCAGATCTCGAATATAATATGTCACGGCCAATCGCAAGGTCGAAAGCGTGACGAGAGGGTGTCAGACTAGGATGTTCAAGCGAGGAAATCACTCCAGGTGCTGGCTCGTCCGCGTCTACCGGCCAATCGCTGTTGATCAGGAGACAATCGTCGTCGCTCTCGCAGTTTGCGAAGTCTGGCCTCGATTGAGTCGAATCTGAGGTTAAATTTGCCCGTCGGGGGATCAGGTCCGAAGCGATTCCTGGATATCCTTCAGCGGGACTTGATGAGCGCCGGGCGATCTTGGACCCTCCGTCTGGCCAGTTACCCATGTCAGTGGACACAGAAGAAAAGGTATCGGAGTGATGGAAGATTAGAATTGAAGTTAGTCGTGGAAGGCTTACCTGACTCGGAGCCGAGAGTGACATCAGTGATTTCGAGTTTCATTGCAAAAATATGAGTTAAAAACAAGAGTCTTAGTAGCTTGATCTGGGTTGAGAGACCCCAAAGTCGACGCAGGTGCGGATGTGGGAAGTTGGTAAGTGATGAGAAGGGAGAAGAGGAAAAGGGAAGCGAAGCAAGTTGAAAGCGTTCAGAGAGGCGCGATATGAAGAGGGGTGTGGACTAAGGCATTTAGTATCCTGCAAAATGAAAGGCCGTACAAATCGGTCTATCCCGACAGAATTTGTCTTGCACTAAGATGAGAGAGGAGAGACGAGATGTGAAGTAATTAAGGGTATCTGTCTATGCTATTGACAAAGCAAGAAGATCAAACGCACCAACGCACAACTAGCTCATATAAGACGACAAATTGTTCAAACATGCACCCCATGTAGAAAAGGACCTGATTGATCATGGTGGTAGACAACGAAGTCAGTCAAACGCCTGCTGAGATGTATAGTTCTGATTTCCTAATGCAGATGCATGGGTCTGGTTCACGTGGAAAGAAGGTGCCATAAGTCTCAGGTGTCCAGATACCCTCCCAGAGCCACAGCCCACTTTTAATTGCCCACGAACAAAATTTCCATAGAATTTCGGGATTTTGTCGTTGCACCGAAACTTCTGAGGCCAGCATTACTGGTAGACAATACGTCATTCCTGTATTTATACAATTAAATGTGTTAATTAACTTCTGCGTGCATACCCTACACACCACATTGCCTTGCTAGCTGCTACCCGTCTAAAACTCTCCCAAAGGGGGAGAGATTGTGACTCAGCAATCTTTGTCAGCCCGGAGTCGGCGCGAAAAAAATCTCAGTGGGGAAGAACCGCGGCGGAAGGAAATGCCACCATGGAGATTTTCTTCCCTTTCCCCTCCGTGTTCCTCGGGGTCCTGATGAGCATTGCTCCCCGTTAACTCCATTGCGTCCTGGTTTCGGTGAGTTATTGCGTGCACTATTGCCCCTGCCCGTGTCTCTCTATGATGAACTTTGGAATTTTTTATAGATGTTAGACTTCCTAGCTACTGTTGCGGAGAACATCCATTTCTGATTTGAGACACTCACCCCGCCATGCATCGTGCCTCTTCTGCTTGCTTGTGACTCTGTTCCTTGTGCTGACCAGGCTGTCTTGCCACTGTGCTTAGGAACCTAACCTCGCGTCAAGATGTGTGGTATCATCGCTCTGATCCTGGCCAACCCTTCCGGCGCCGCCGCGGTCGACCTCCATGAGGCCCTGTACCTGCTTCAACGTGAGTGGCGAACCCAGATGTCATAAAGACATGGGAGGAAGAAACCCACGCTAAGACATGCTGTGTGACAACAGATCGTGGTCAGGATGCTGCCGGTATTGCGACCTGTGCGTCCGGGGGTCGAATCTACCAGCTAAAGGCCAACGGTATGGCCGCCAAGGTCTTCCAGGACGGTGCAAAGGTGGCCAACCTGCCAGGCTCCATGGGTATCGGGCACTTGCGGTACCCGACTGCCGGTAGCAGCGCCAATGCGGAAGCGCAGCCGTTTTACGTGAACAGCCCGTACGGCATCTGCTTGGCGCACAATGGCAACCTTATCAATGCTCCGGAATTAAAGAGGCACCTGGACCTGGAGGCGCACCGCCATATCAACACCGATAGTGACAGCGAGCTTATGCTGAACATCTTTGCTGATGAGCTGAGCGAGACAAAGAAGGCCCGTGTGAACCAAGAGGATCTTTTTGCCTCTTTGAGCCGTATGTATGGGCGCTGTGAAGGTGGATGGGCATGCACTGCAATGCTTGCTGGTAAGTTGCTTGGAGAAACACTCGGGTTTATCCGGCATTGTCAACCCACTAACATCTCCTTTCAGGCTTTGGCATCCTGGGTTTCCGGGACACCTACGGCATCCGCCCCTTGGTTTTGGGCTCCCGCCCTTCGCTGGATGGCAATGGCACCGATTATATGATGGCTTCTGAGTCTGTTGCGCTGGATCAGCTCGGTTTCTCGAACCATCGTGATATCCAGCCCGGTGAGGCCGTCATTATCGAGAAGGGGGCGAGCCCGTCTTCCGCCAAGTCGCACCCAAGAGGGATTACGCGCCCGATATCTTTGAATATGTCTACTTTGCCCGTCCGGATTCCGTCATGGATGGTATTAGTGTGTACCGCAGTCGCCAGCGGATGGGTGACAAGCTCGGCGCTCGCATCCTCGAAGTGCTAGGCCCCGAGGTTGTGAAGGACATTGACGTGGTCATTCCCATTCCGGAGACCGCGACTACGTCCGCCACCCACGTCGCTCAGTACCTGGACAAGCCGTACTGCCACGGCTTCGTGAAAAACCGCTATGTCTTCCGCACCTTCATCATGCCGGAGCAGAAAACCCGGCAAAAGGGCGTGCGTCGCAAGCTGAATGCCATGAAGCAGGAATTCAAAGACCGCAACGTGCTGCTCGTGGATGACAGCATCGTGCGCGGTACCACGAGTCGTGAGATTGTTAGCATGGCTCGCGAGGCCGGCGCGAAGAAGGTCTACCTAGCCAGCTGCGCTCCTGAGATCACACACGCGCACATTTATGGTATCGATCTTGCCTCCCCTCAAGAGCTGGTCGCCCACAACCGTGACACTGAGAGCATTGCGCGCCACATTGGTGCCGAGAGTGTCATCTTCCAGACCCTGGAGGACCTAAAGGAATCTTGTGCCGAGATCGCTCGCGAGAACGGCCAGTCCGAGCCGACGAACTTCGAGGTCGGTGTTTTCTGCGGTAGCTACGTAACCCCGGTCCGACAAGGCTACTTCGACCACCTGGAGCAAGTCCGCGGCGAAGGCCGCAAAGTTAAGGCTGTGGATAAGGCCAAGGAGGCTGTCGCCCATGGCGTCGCCAGCATGACCGACTTCCAGATCGCGGCTAACGGGGTCACCATGGACACCAACGGCAAGATCGTTCCCGCAGACAGATCCTCCACTGAACCTCTTTCGAAGTCCGAGAACGAATCTCACCCCAAGGTCGATGATCGCATGGACATCAGCATTCACAACCTTGCCGATCATCATGATAATTAGCTATGTCTCTTTCTTCTTTTTCTTTTTTTCTAGAGCCACCCATTTGGTTTGATTTGATTTGCATCCGGAGTCTGGGAGTTTGTTCATGATGGCATACTATTAGACGGGATGGATGGACAGTATTTTCTTATGCGATATAAGAAGTGATGTGAAAACGCAATTTAGGCCGGATAGAGATAGATACCATTTGAACAAAAAAATGAATTCTCTTCTAACAGACCATCCATCTATTCTATTCTCTGCATTTTTCACTCCTGTCTACTACCGACTATGAGGCAGTAATCGCGATGGCTCTCACATTGAACCCTCCACGGCGGCGTGGGTCACATGAGGTGGACGGTATAGTCCCCAGCCAGCGAGTGGGGAGTCACCACTCTCATCCCCTAACAACCTCCCCCAACCTTCCCTCACAATCTCACAACCCCTGTCCTCTTGTTTGAATCAGTTCGGTCGATCAATTCGAGCTCCTTCGTGGTCAATACAGGGAAACTTGCCGGTGACGTCATCCCTGGCAGCTACATGACCGATGAAGATCTAGTCGTCATCCCAAAGTAGTCCGTTCAGCTCGGACTTCGTCCTGACCTTGCTGGATCAAGTTCGAACATCACTTCTAGAATACGTCAAGACTCGATGGCAGGCCCAGTTACCCGGTCTCGGGCGCGGGTAAGCTTGCGTACCGGAGGATCGGCCATGAAGACCACGCCGCAGAAGCGCAAAAGAGCACCTACCCGATCCAAAAGCTCTTCTGCATCAAAAGCTTCTGCTCAGAACGCGGCATATACTGGAACTCAAGATCCTGTCTCTCCGTCACCTCCCAACGACACTCCAGGCGAGACTTCATCGAAGCTCAGGATCACCCTCGAGGACCAACAGCCTCCAATTTCCGGAGCCAAAGCGAAGTTGACTGCGCCTCAACTCGTCTCTCCTAATATTGACAACAGTTTTCAGAATGCGAGGAGTAGTCCTGCGACTCCATCGCCTGCCGAAGGAGACTCTGGCATCTCGCTTCCCAGTCCGGAAAAGGAAATAGTCCTTGCAAGGAAAAACTACCATGATCTTTCTGCGGAGCCTGAAGTCTCAGCCAATGCTGCCGACAAGGGGAACCAAGTTCTCAAAGAGCATGTTATCACAAAGCCTGCCACAGGACCCGCTCCACAGCCTCCTATTGATATGTTGGATTCTCCTTCTTTTATCGATCTTCCCCACAACCTAGGAAGGGTCCCACCCTCTATTCCGGCTGGCTCCGCTGGGTCGTTCGGTGGCCCTATCGAAGACATTCAGCCTTTGTCTCTCAATGAGATTAATTTCAACGACCCAATTGCGGATATCCAACCTCCGGTTGATACTGCCGTGCCGGTCCCAGCTCACGGTGCAAATACGACGACCAAAAAGACCAAGAACTCCACCTACGGTTTAACTCCGGGTCGAACTCCGTACCCTAAGTTCAAAGCTCCGTCAGCTGCAGCTTGCAAGAAGGTCAATGACCTGCTGTCGAAGATACATGGAGAAGTTATTGCACCCCAGACGATTCCGGATCCTTCACTTACCATCACTGGCTGCGGAGAAGTTCCCTCGGTGTTAGATGCCCTGATCCGCACGCTCCTCAGTGGTGCCACCACTGGAAGCAATTCTGCTAGAGCTTTCAACGGGCTTGTGCAGCGGTTTGGCACGCTTACGGAGGGCATTGGCCAAGGCAGCGTGAACTGGGATGCCGTTCGACAGGCTTCATTACAGGACGTCTTCAAAGCAATCCAGAGCGGCGGTTTGGCAGACATCAAAAGTAAAAACCTGAAAGCCCTCCTGGATCAAGTCTACGAAGAAAACCAGGAACGCAAAAATCGCCATATGTCAGAGAATTCATCTCCTACTAGCGACAGTGTGCAGCCAAGGGTGTCTGACCAAGCCACAGAGGCTGAAGAGGTCAAGCAGTACGATATAGCCAGCGCGAATGAGCACTATCTCAATCTTCAATACATCCACAAATACAAGACGAGTAAGGCGTTAAAAGCACTAATCAGATATCCCGGCATCGGACCCAAGACGGCCGCCTGCGTGCTTCTTTTCTGTCTTCAGCGCCCATGCTTTGCGGTCGATACCCATATCTTCCGCATCTGCAAGTGGTTAGGCTGGGTGCCCAAAACAGCCAATGAAATTACCGCCTTCAGCCATTTGGACGTGAGGATTCCTGATGAGTTCAAATACTCTCTTCACCAACTGCTTATCAAGCACGGCAAAGAATGCCCACGTTGCCGCGCTATCACCAGCCCCGCGAGTGCAGATTGGGGCAAAGGTTGTGCCATTGAAGCCCTGGTTAAACGAACAGGGAAAAGGAAGGGAGGTCCACCTAGTCGGAAGACCAGTCTTCAGTCGAAGGCTACCAAAGTGGAGCCAGCAAGTCGAGCTTCAAAGAGGGTTGCAGGAACTGCAAAGAAATCCACCAAGGAAGGTGCACCCCGTGCGACCATCAAAACTGCCCAGAAGAAAGCAAAAGCCACCAGTGCTACAAAGAAGGCTGCAGGGAAAACAACGCAACAAACGAAGAAGCGAAAGATTCCTGCTCCCACCGCCGCTCCGTCTCGAAGGTCTGCACGGGTACAGAACTTGATCGTGAAACAGAATGGTGAGAAGGGTTCGGATTTCAAGCCTTGAAAGGCCTGCTTCATCTGAAGGTTACCTGGAATACGTTGCTCTATCTTACTCGGCTTTTAGAAGATGGAATGGGGATGATCTCGGCGTGGTCATCATAGCTATTTATATCGTATACCTTACTTGCATTTTTACAATGAACTAGGCGGGGAGATACCTATTGCTATGTCTTGTCGACAGCAAATACTAATTAGCTATTAAAACAGAAAAACAATCCATTTCTCAATTTATCGTTCCAAATCTATAATTCAATTCCAGTTCTTGCCAAAGTACTGTAGTTCGCACGATCAGACCACTGCAGCCGCCAGTGGCCCGCGTCGTGGTTATCGGCCCGCCTATCAGCCCAAAAAGATCCCGAGCTGCGGACCTCTCTTCCTCCCAAGCGCAGCTCCAGGGGCAACGCCCAACTCGACCATTCCAACTCCTGCACCATGGACCGACCCCTCTCCTACCTCTCGCCGCCCCTGCGTGACCTCACTGAGAAATACAGCTCCTGCATGACCGCGGAACACGCCCAATGGGCCGGCGTCGCGCTCGTCTCCCTAGCCGCCGTCTACGCGGGGTACCTCTACATTCTATGCCTGAGAGAGGCCGCCGTGTCCTTCAATGTTCCATTGCCGGCGGAAGTGCGCAATAGCGCGAGTGGAAAGAAATGGGGCGAGGTTACTGGGGCTGAAAAGCGTGTACTGGAGGATCAGGTTCGGGGGGTGAGTTGTTGACGCGGAGAGCTTCGCTTTTGTCTGGGTTTTAGGGGTTGAGGGTTCAGGCTAATGGTATCCTTCTTGACTGCAGGTGTGGAACAACAAGTTGATTATGAGCTACTGTCCTGCTGATGGCCGGGTCTTGGGCAATGGTATCAAGCCAGCAACAGTGGAGGATGTTAATGATGCCGTGGGGCTTGCAAAGGCTGCGCAGCGGGAGTGGGCAAGAACGACTTTCGCGGAGCGCAGGAAGGTCCTTCGGACGCTGTTGAAGTATGTTGCTGTTTCTAACGTGAAGCACATCTCGATTTCTATTCAGCTACACACTATCCTATGGCCATCGACTGACTCCCCCTGCCAGGTACGTCCTCGACCACCAAGACGATATCGTAACCGCATGCTGCCTCGACTCCGGAAAGACCAAAGTGGACGCCTCGTTCGGCGAAATCCTTGTCACTGCTGAGAAGCTCAAGTGGACCATCGACCACGGCGAGAAGGCGCTTCTCCCGTCGCGCCGGCCAACCAATTTCCTGATGATGTACAAGAAAAATATGGTGACCTACGAGCCGCTCGGTGTCGTGTCTGCAGCCGTGTCATGGAACTATCCGTTCCACAACTTCATCGGCCCCGTCATCAGCGCCCTGTTTACTGGTAATGGCATCGTCGTCAAGCCATCTGAGCAGACAGCTTGGTGCACTGCGTTCTTTCTGGATATAGTCCGGGGCGCGCTGTCCAGCTGCGGACACTCGCGCGACCTAGTCCAAACCGCCGTCTGTCTCCCTGCCGTTGCAGACAAGCTAACTTCGCACCCGGACATCGCCCACATCACCTTCATCGGCTCTCGCCCTGTCGCCCACAAAGTCTGCGCATCTGCCGCCAAATCCCTCACCCCCGTCTGCGTCGAGCTCGGCGGCAAAGACCCAGCTGTGATCCTCGACGACGCCCGCACAGTCCGCAACCTGCCCGCTATTGCCTCAATCCTCATGCGCGCCGTCTTCCAATCCGCCGGTCAGAACTGCATCGGCGTGGAGCGCGTGATCGCCCTGCCAGGCACCTACGACAAGCTCATCGAGATCGTGGCCCCACGCATCCGCGCCCTCCGCCTCGGCTCAATCCTCCTCGATACGCCCAGCGACACCACTACAACCCCCGACATGGGCGCCATGATCTCGCCAGCTTCCTTCGACAAACTCGAAGGCCTGATTGCCGAAGCAGTAGGCCAAGGCGCGCGCCTCCTCGCCGGCGGCAAACGGCACACACACCCTAGCCACCCGCAGGGCCACTATTTCGCGCCGACGCTCCTCGTCGACGTAACACGGGACATGCGGATCGCACAGGAAGAGCTTTTTGCGCCCGTGTTCCTCATAATGCGCGCGGAGTCCGCCGCCGACGCCGTGGCTATCGCGAACTCAACGCTGTACGCCCTCGGCGCAAGTGTCTTCGGCCACAACGCGGCGGACGTGCAGGCCTGTGTACGCGGAATTGACGCCGGCATGGTCTCTGTGAACGACTTCGGCGCGTACTACGCCGTGCAGCTGCCCTTCGGCGGTGTCAAGGGCTCTGGTTACGGCCGGTTCGCGGGCGATGAGGGCCTACGCGGCCTGTGTAATCTAAAGGCTGTTTGCGTGGACAAGTTCCCCAAGATTATAGGAACGGCGATTCCACCGCGGGTGGACTATCCGATTCAGAAGCGCGAAGGTGCGGCTGGGGCAAAGGATGGTCCCTCTGCGTGGGAGATGTGCAAGGGCGTAGTGGAGACGGGGTACCAGATTACGCTTGCGGGGCGTGTGGCTGGTATCCTGCGCCTGCTGGGAAATATGTGAAGCTAAACACACCTGTCGTTCTTCCTCTGGGAAATGTCAACGGTCCCCTCAGGCGTTGCTGTTGCGTGGGTCGAGGCGGGGCCTTCATGTAAGATACCGTGGTAAAAACACGTTGATATACAAAATGTAATTTCTTTTATTCACTAGCACGACAAGGGAAATAGCTTGCCGGCTATGTACTATATACTGTCCTAGCAGATAAGCTGGATTGTCAAGGGTATCAAGAGGTCGCATCGTAAATGTCGATCAAACGCTGAACAACGTTTCCATACAGCCAAACTCCGATGGGACGTTGGAATGCATGTATTCATTTCTTAGACAAGCCGCTCTTCTCCACCCACCAATCCTCAGTGCGAAATTGCGATTCGGGCATATAATTAGGCGGCGGCCCGCGCCACGGCTCAAGCACCTCCTCAATAAAGCGGCACGCCTCCAAATCCAGCGGATCCAGCTGGCCACAAGTAAACAGCTGGCCTTGCGGGAACTCGGATGTATAGTCCAGTTGCTCTGGCAGCCGCAGCACAAAGTTCGACAGCCAGTGCGCCAGCTTGCCATTGATGTCGTTATAAGAGCTTGGATGGCGCTGCGTGAGACGCACGTTCTCGAGTGTCCATTCGAGGATCTCGGGGGCATTGGGCGGGATTGATTCGGCGCTTGCGCGGATGAGAGCTTCCATAAATGCTGCGTTCAGATGGGGCTTGTCGCGTCCGACCCGTGTCACGGTCAGGAAATGGTCGGAGGGGATTGTGTAAAAGACCGGGCGGGCTTGATTGACCGCGTTGAAGCGGAAGATGTACTCGTCGATCTTGAGGAGGGAGAGGAGCGCGTTGTAGTTCTGCGTGCGGATGGCTTTGCCCACACCCTCGTGCAGCGCAGTGCGGTTGACGGTCGTCGTGGTTGAGGGGATGAGCGGAGAATCAATGTGCGTGTAGTTGTTCGAGCACATGCGCAGCATCTCGAGGTACATCACGTCATCTGGCGTAAAACCTGTCCTGCGGCCACGGAGGAGGTGGTCGGGGAATTTAATGAGGGACAGGGCCGGCCAGGCGACGATAGACTTCATCGTGCGCGCGCGGAGTTCTACGAGCACCATAGGCGTGATGTGTAGCTCGTAGTCATGTGGGCCGGGAATGCGCGACAGGCGCAGCATCTCCGGGTGCTGGCATAGCTGCGCGGCCCGAGTAAGGGGCGGTCCTTGGCCGTGGAAGGTGCGGATCGTATCGTCCTGGCGCTGCATGAACCTATCCAGGGCGGCTTGCTGCGCCGGTTCCATCGTGATGCCCATGTTGATCCATTGCCGGTGGATGGTGAGGATCATGATCGTGGGTATCTGCTCGCGCACACGCGCCATCGTGCACCACCGGCAGCGAAGAACCGCCTCCTGCAGCTGGCCACGCTGGTCCAGCGTGAGGGGCACATAGTCCAGCGGTGTGAGGATGCGATTCATGGCGTCGCTGCGCCGGTGGGTTGGCGGATCATCCCAAAAGGCGAGGATGATCAGGAGACTATATATCTGTTCCCTCGAAACTGCCGCAGCGATGACGGGCGAGGCGCGTGGGAGGTTCAGGTTCAAGGAGTAGAGGAAGATCTGCTCAAGGACCTCCACCGGCAGGGCTTCGAGCATGGACAACGCGCGCGGGGCCGGCGTCAACGCGGCGCTCGGGGCGGCCGAAGGCTGGCTGGAGCTTGCCGATCGGGACTGGGACTGGGACTGCGAGGAGCCGCTTCGGGCCGGCATCTTGAAGGGGCGTCCGGGAGGCCGCTTGGGCTTGAATTTGGAGCGTGCAGGTTTGGCGATCCTGGCGTTGGGTCCGGGTCCAGGTCCAGGTCCAGGTCCGCCAGGCAGAACGCGGTCTCGCGAGCGCGTCACGGGGGAATCAATGCCCTTGCGAGGAGCCATTGCATATAACGATGCAGCTCACGCCATCGAAAGTCCTCCGCTGCCGGTCACAGCCGTGTCTTCAGCAAAGCGCTCATCCACGCTGCTTGTTTGAAACCTTTGTTCGTATGGACCGCCTCCAATACTCTTTTTTCCTCCTTTCTGGAAGGCAGCGCTGATTGGCGGGAATCCTGCCGATTGCCACGAGAGCCTTGGTGCCTGAGGGCCTATGATATCACGTGATGAAGAAACCCCACACCACCCTTCCTTCCTAATTGGGATAGGTTGCAGATCACCTGATATCAAATGACGTCAGTGACATTGGTGGCCGCGACTCTAGATCCAAGCTTGGTCAGGGTCTTTTGGCAGCAGTTCGTCGGGATTGCAAGGGACTGGGACTCATCCGCACTAAGACAGGTCAGTGCCAGCTGGGAACGCATAGAGCCAACGGGTGGCCACGAACAACCGCACGAGGGAACGAGACGGCAGGGATTGACTGGAAATCAAGGAATGGGCGTCGAGATGACGGAATATGCGAGCCACCCCAGTCCGGGCTTGTAGATTTTGGAGCCCGGATGCCATGTTGCTTCTCCCGATCTTCCTCTCTTCATTCCACACCGAGAATCAAATTACCAAACGTGGCTTGCCCTTCCGCCGTTTTCTCAATAGTTACGTCAGTGTTCTCAGCCCTATTGTCTCTCGCCGTGGAAATATTCCACCTGTTCCAGCGCAAAGCCTGTTGGTCCTGCGGGTTTGCGTCTATCATTCACCTCTTTCAGCCAGCTTGCAAGCTTGTTACGTACCTAGGAGCGTCGAGTGGCTGTGTTTCTGCCGCAATCAAGTTCTCATTGGAACCGTTCGCATCATTGCCTGATCGTCTCCCGGTGACTTTAAAAGGCCTCCCTGCGTCAACCTCCCTGCACCTTCCCACCATGCGTCCCTTCAGCGATACTTCTACCCACACCACTGCCTCCTCCAGCTCTCAACCAGCCATCTCCACCAAACCAACCCCATAAACCTTTCAACGAAGTCCACTTCAAGTCAAATCTGACAAGATGGGTGCCGTCGTCTCTTGTGTATGTACTGCCGGACCCAGACCCAGACCCAGACCCAGCATCATGCGGCTATGGTGCTCTCAAAAGTTCTGCGCGCCGATGCTAATATGCTGCCTTCCAGATCACAAGTGTCTTCCATGCCATCGGCGCCTGCCTGATGGGCATCGTCAACGCCATCGGTGCCGTCTTGCGTGCCATCATCGACGGCGTCGTCATGGTCATCGACGCGATCATCTCCTGCCTGACCTGTGGCTCGTTCTCTGGGCGCCGGCGCCGAACCAGATCAGCGGTGTGACGGGAAAAGGAGGCTGCCGACGCAGCACCGCTATGAATCACGTTTGCGATGGGACAAGGACTGTTTCTGGTCTATCTGCTGCTTATGGATTGCGATGATGCTATGTTCTCATTGAGGTATCTTTAATTGGGGGGACGGTCGTGGCTGCTTTTGCTATTTTGTGTCTATGCTACATACCCAGGCGCGTGAATATCAGGATCATATTGAATATGGAATATTTCCTCCATTTGTACCTGGACTTGGAAGTCCAAATATTGGGGCTGGGGTTGGAGATTGATGCTAGCGTAGTACAATCAAGAATTGTAGCGAGAGGCTTTGCTGTGGTGAACTAGTCCCACACAGATATGCCAGAAACACGACTGTCTCTAATCTATCGGCTTCAAATGTTTTGACTAGCAGGTTCGGGCGATTCGACAAACCGCAGCAAGCCCTCCTTTTCAGAGGCATCGATCATCCCCCACCGCTCATTGAGGATAAAAGTCGCAAAAGGATCCCCCGGTCCACTTCCATAGCGCTGGACCAGATGATAGTGAGAAGGCTGCAGCGGCCAGCCCACCGGCACGCGGCAATTTGCCGCACGAAACGACATTCGAAGTAGACGGCGAAACGGCTCAATCTTGCGCTTGCGAATCAAGCGCGCCGTGATCTCCACCGACCTCTCTGGAGAATGCTCATCCTCATCCAAGTAGAAATCAGAGGAGAGCAGCTGCAGAAACTCGAACTGCGAATCCGACCACGGTTCCTGCAGCACTTTATCTGGTATTCGGCCGGGCCCAATCACCACTGAGGAAGGCAGTCGAAAGAGGTCATTCTCATAATAGACCTCATGGGGCTCGCGGATCTGAACAGCCCCGAAATGAAACCATATCGCAACCTTGCGGTCAACACCGCGCGACGACGAAGGGCGCTCGCCATCCGGTAGCTGGGCAGGAATGACAAGGTCCCCTTTCCCACGCCGCCCATCCACTGCCTTATCACACCCCTCGAGATCATCGAATCGCCGGTCCAAGGAATCCAGCACAGTCCGATCCTCGTCCGAAAATATGAAATCCGTACACTTGCGCCGGATAGCATGATGGACATACTCGCGCTGACACCGCCTCATTAACGACAGCGTGCACCACCGGCACGCAAGAGTCTTACTCTGCAGTTGCTGCCTCTGTTCCCACCCTAGCGCCCAGAAATCGAGCGGCGGCGGCAGGAAGTCCGGCGTGAAAAAGCCCTCCCGCGATCCAGGGTTCGTACTGCTGAAGGCCAGCCGGATAAGCCATGTGTACAACGCGGGGTTCGACAATGCGCGGGCGAGATGCGGCGATGCACGGGGGAGGTTGATCTCAAGGCTGTGGAGGAAGATGAGCTGCAGGATTTCCACGGGCAGAGACTCCAGGCGGGAGAAGCACCGACGGGCGGCCAGCGGGTCGGGACGGCCCATTTGTGTTTTTGGGAGCTCAATGCGATATGAGTTTGACTGTGGTCTGTCTCGCTAGCCTCGTAGTTCGGTCTTCACTCAGGACTTGACTCAAGGCGAGATCGACACAGTCTTAAGGGATATACCCGCAAGTGTACAGCTGTGCAGAGTGTCGCGTGTGATAGGGGGAACTCGACGGGGACAATGTTCCTCTCAGTGGCACCAAACGTCCACGGTATCCAGAGGGCAGGGAAGTCATGCCTGGTCCATTGAGCGTCCTGTCGCGTACGGGGAGGGATATAAGAATTCAATGTCCCAGACATCGCTTGAAGCAGAGGAGTGGAAGTGGGTAAAGAGATGCGATCTGACATGTCTTGGCAAGCCCCTTTGGCTCGCGCTAGGTATCGGCGGTATGACATCGCTGGGTGGCGTAGTCCGCTGGAGGCTACAGGAGGAAAGATGCAGGGAAACAGGTAAACTCAACGCACATTGACGAGGCTGGATTCCTTGCCCCTGCGATGTCATCGCAGGGAGGATTGTGCGGGGGAATTGGTTGTCTCCGGGGTAGAATCCCGGTCCCTGCATGATTATTCCAAAGGCATGACAGGTTGCGAAGGATAAGCCTGGCTTTTGAGAGCTACGGTGATTAGGTTGGAATATTCAGGTCGCAGGGAATAAAGTGCTGGATGGACTTGGATGTGTCAAGTTGTCCTGAAGAGCCGCCGGGTCAATTCTTGCTCTTGAACACAAGGTTTATTTCCTTCAGCCACCAGGTACCTCCCGCGGATGAACCAACTACCACCCTTGATAACATAAATAAAATAATAATCACTTACGTGAAGGACCTACAGGCCTGATAGATATTCTGATCTGGGGGAATTGCAGGAGACGTATTTGCGAAGATGATTGTCGACAAAGGAGAACGCAGAAAACCATCTGAATTGAATTTGTTTCTATACACATCCCGTCCGCTCCACCACACCAATGATGGGAGGTCTCTAACCGTACCCTGGCTCGGCGAAAGCGCCATATGCTTGACATGGAAAAATTACATCTTGCAGTGAGATGACACGGGGGATAATAAGAGGAATTGGAGGAAGAAATCCACCGTTTAAACAGCGGACAGATCGCCGAAGCGCTCCTGCAAGCAAAAAAACATGAGCATGGGCAAGACGCCAACAGCATAGATAGTATGGTGCAACGTACCTTGTAACCGGGCGGCATCCACTTGCCCTTGGACACGAGGGAGGCGGTCTTCTCGTCGATCTCGGGCTGGGCAGCGGCAACCTCGTCCTAGAAATGGTAAAGAGATGCAATAAGCGACTGATCCAGCCATATCCACAGCCCGCACAAATACATACCACGGTGAGGTCCTCGAAGGGACGGGCGGTCTCGATGTTCTCCAGGGTCTTTTGCAGGTTGACCAGCTCAGCATCGATCTTGCCCTTGGTCTGCTCGGCGTTCTGGACGGCCTGGGCCTCGAAAGCGTCGATAGCCTTCAGCTGGCGGCTGACGTCGTAGGAGGCGGGCTTGAAGCTCTTGAAGTGGTTCTCGATCTCATCGATGATGGCCTGGTTCTTGAGGAGGCCGCGGTAGTGGGAGAAGTCGACGGTCTGCGGCTGCTCGGACAGGGCCTGAACCTTGCGGCGGGCCTCATCGTTGCGCTTCTTGAAGGACTGCAGCGAGGTGGCAGTCTGGCCGCGGAGGCCGAGGGAGGTCGAAACCTTGACCCAGTCGATCTTGAGTGCGGCGCTGCGCTGTTCCGAGTAGGAGTTTTGGTTAGCCGGTTTTCTCGTGTGTTATTGCCGGGAGTGGTTCCATGTCGCGCATGGAAATAGGTTCGGGGAGGCTTACAGCTGCCATTGTGACAGGAGGAGGATAAGTTGTGGAGGTGGAGAGAAGAGGGGGGAGGTCGATGTGCAGGGAGGTGCCGGACAGGCGAGTTTGACTCGGAAAGGTTTGGATGCGGATGGCACGTGACGACCCGGCATCCGAGCATCGGCTGAGGGGAGGTATGGGACTGTTCAAGACCGCCGAAACAACAAGATGCGAAAACGACTTGTTGTAATGTAAATTGAGATTGAGAATTTTCAATATCGAAGTCAGAAGAATTACAATTTGGCAAATAAGCTGGAGTGAAGACATTGAGCTGTTGGTTCAATTCTTTTTTGGGTTAAATTGTGTACACTAAAGCAATCCACGATGGATTTAACCCATCAGACCGCAAAAACCCAAGCCACTCAAGAGAACCGCACCGACCACAAATTCGAGGTCATTATATGCTGAGGGCCATGATCGAGTTGACAATATCATTGTCATTCTCCCGCAGGGCCTTGACAGCCTTCTTGCGGGACACGCTCGCCTGAGCCATGACCAGCTCGATGTCCTTAGCCTCGAGGCCGGCCTCGTCAACCTCCTCGCCATCGTCCTCCTCCTCTTCCTCCTTCTTGGCCTCGGCCTCGGGGGCCTTGCCCTTACCGTGGTCGTGGTCGTGGTCGTGGTCGTGATCGTGGTCGTGACCGGCGTGCTCACCGGCAGCCTCGGCGGCAGCCAGCTGCTGGGCAGCGGAGGCCTGAGCCTGGGCGTTCAGGTCCTCAATCTTGGCCTCACCAAAGATGCTAGATGATAAAGTCAGTAAGCAGGACTTGTGGTGATATAGAGTTACTGGAAGAAGCCACATACATCCAGGTGTTGCTGGAGGGAGAGCGGTAGACGTCGGGCTGGTTGATGACGAAGAGGATCTATAAATATAAGATGAAAAGCAGATCAGCACTTGCATGCCATATAGGTCTGTCGCGATGATGCCAGCTGAGAAGCACCATCAATCTGATCATGCGCTTGACCGTGATAGATAGGTACTTCATTCTCCCAGCGGTCGGGCGGAGGAAACCACGTACGTTCTTGGGGCGGCGGAGAGTGACACGGGTGATGCCAGGAACGTGCTTCAGGCCGAGCTTAGCAATGGCCTTGCGGGCCTTCTTCTCGTTGCGAGAGTGAATGGTGACAGCAGCGCCACCGGGGATGGTGGGCTCCTCGCCGGCCTCGGACTCAGAGTCGCTGCCAGCATCCTCAACATTGGTCTTGGGGACCTCCTCATCGGGAAGCTCTTCAACACGGGGGTCGGCCATTGTGAATGTGTAGAAAGATCTAGAAAGCGAATTGAAGAGCGAAATGTCAGTAAGGGTTGATGGTTGCGCAATTCGACACCAGACGGTCGGCAAGGTGGGATGGTGGGAGGGTGGGCGTAAAGCGGGCTGTGGTCGATGACCACCTCCCACGAACCGCACAAAGCTCGGGAAATGAGGTCTTTCGAGGTGGAAATTCCATTTTGACGGGGGATCGGGCTATTCAACGCACCTGAAGCACAGAGATAAAGCTGTGGTGGGAGCGGGTGGATTTTGTTGGTCGTGAGGTCAAAGGTTCACGTAGCTGTGCGGCAGGCCGTCGGCCGAAAATCGTTAGCGAGGCGGTTGCTCGCCCACCCCGGACTCCCACAGTGTGCCCTCGCAGTCTCAGCCGTGCTAAGGCAGCCCATACATCATATCTACATCGGAAATATCAATCTAGTTACGATAGTTACAGAAATTCAAGACTTGTACAATGCAACAAATATTCTCTGGCCACTTTTACATAAATTTTTATTTCCGCTTTCCTTTGCGGAAAGACAGGGTTCCCAGATCTATCAAAAGAGGAGGACCGGTTGGCCCAGGCGCAGAGCAGAACTATGACACAAGCCCTTGCCGGAATATCAAGGTATTTGAATCATTTTTGCTGTAGATGGATAAATGCATACAGCGATTTTGCTGGCCGAAATTGCCAGCTATGGAAACCCGTCCCAGGACACCTCTTTCATCCTATGCACCGAACCCTCGTAATCATTTATGACTTGGCAGCGGCAGCCTTGACCTTGGCGTAGGACTTCTGGACCTCGTAGCGGGCCTGGATAGAGGAGTTAGATATATATTGTGCAAGTTGGAGGTAAGAGAGTTTTGTGATCGGGGGTTGAGGGCGCAGATCATTGCGCACTCAATATCCCCCTTTCCCAATCACCCCAGGACCAACGTACCTGCTTGCGGAGACGCAGAACCTTGAAGCGCTCGAAGTCGGTCAGGTTCTTCCGGCGCTCGACGCGGTCGGTCTTCTGGGCAAAGCCAGACTTGGCCCACTTGCCATCGATCTCGTTCTTCGCCCACAGCTTCTTGACGGGGCCGGTACCGGCAGCGCGGGGGAGTTTGGGAATAACGAAGTGGGTGAGAGTGGCGTGAGCGAGGGGCAGAACGTGACGGGGCACGATCTTCTGCTCCTCACCGGAGGGACCGTCGACCAGGACCTGCAGTAGAAATCGCAAGTCAATACACATGTTCCACAATTGTCGTGTGCACGGGGGCTCCTTCGATCTCCGTGCATGTCGAGTTCTGATATCGGGAGGCTTGTGCAAAATCGCATAGAGGATTGGTTTCAACGTACACGGCGGTGGTCAACAATCTCGACGATGGCGGCGAGCTTGCCAGCGAAGGGGCCGCGGCGGATCAGGACAAGGCGGCCAACCTCGACCAGCTTCCAGGAAGCGAGCTTAACGTCGATATCGGCCATCGCGAATTTCTGCAAGATGGAATATGTCTCAGCGATTGTTCTCCTTCAGTTGTATCGTTGCAGCAGCAGCACTCACGGTCGACCGGGATGGGATGTGTCGGAGGGTTGTTGTCGAAAGAGTCGGATTGTCCAAGTTGGCCTGCGAATTTCGGATGTGCCCACACATTTCTCGCTTAGCGGGCCACTCGCAGCGGGTCTAGGGTTGGCTTATGTCATCTCACGGATCAATCACGGGTGTACGTTATTCCGTCGGGTAGCTTATCTTGCGGTTTTTTCGGCGTGGAACTTGATTGTTGTTCTGCAAGTCTCTGCATGGGCAAAATGGTGCTCTTTGTTCGCGAGATGAACATTTGTGTACGGTTCAATTGATAACATAGCTTCGACACTAACTTTACCCTTGATACAGGGTCCGCTCATGGTACGTTCTTGCTTGCTTGTCTTCTGCTATCTGCTACTCAAATGATGCTGTAATTTGCGATTGACCCGGTGTCTGTGAGGCTCTCGCCGGAGCTCTCAATACAGCACTGTTGGATGATATTCAATTTTCTTACATATTCTGATAATCTTGTGACTTGACGCTATTTTTGCTATTATGACCTCAAGCGGACCTCATTGCTGACTGCTTAAAGATTTCTTAGGCTTGATACAGCTTTTGAGCCTAGCTCAGTTGTGGTTGACTACCATGGCCATGACTCCTGGCCTGGATTTACCCAAGAGGTTCGTATCATCTTCCACCATCTCATGATGCCTTGCACTACTTTTCACTCCCCCCGGCCCGATGATTATACCTTTTATCACGCCTAGATAGTAATTGATGCCTCCGGGCAATGATATTACCTTTATCACCAAGATCTCTGAGGACCATTCACATTTTACACATATTGCTTGAATCATCTGTTGGGATCCGCTTCTAACCTTTGATAGGAATGTCTGGCTTTTGCTCGTCCATCTGGCATGGCAATGACAGCCCTTGAGTATATAGCAATACAAGAGTATATCATCATATCCACGTTCTTTTTATTTTACAGTAGCGAACTTGTAGGCATTGTTTCTGATTGTAGATGATTTTGATTACAATAAGTCGTGCTATATCGTGACTACCAGGGCTCTAGTATGCCAGAATCCAAAGCCCCGAAGCGATGCTGGATGGCCATGCCATGCCTCCCGCCGATCCAGTCTATACCCCATCATGTAACTTGTGGCTTCATGGTACCGTAAAATAGATCATGAGCTGGCGTTCGCAGCCAGCGTAGATGGACCCTCCCGACTCAGCACCCACATGAAGACGAACTGGATCAGGTATGCGTAGACGAACAAGAACTGGGTGCGGCGGTTACGCTGCGAGCGAGCCACAGTGTGCATCGCACCGTTGCGCATCGTCGAGTCGGTTGAGTCAGGAAGCAAGACGTACTTCAACGAGCGAAGCTACCGGATCCCAAACGTCAGTACAAAGTAGGACATGTAGACGAGCTCTAAAACTCACCAAGAAGAATGCGTTAGCCAAAAAGGTGTACACGAAGACCGTCCAACCGACCCAGCCTCCAGTTCCTCGTCCGGGAGTAAGTATTTCAGACGCAACCAGTGTAACGATGATGCCCACGAACTTGTAGCCGGAATAAGCCACCAAGTCCAGCAGTTGCGAGTCATTGTTAATGCTCAGGATGTACATGGCCATCTTCAAGCACAGGATCTCAAAGATGATCACCGCAATGGCTGTTGTAGTGATCGAACCCAGAAGCTCTGGGTGGAAATTGCCTCGGAACCCAGCCAGCAATACGGATAGTAGGATGTATGTGACGAGAGCCATGACGGGGATGTACATGTCAGGCGAGTTGAGGTCGTCCCGTGGGGGCAGAAACATGGACGAGTATTGCTGCTGGACGATCTGACCGTTCGGCCCCGTAGCATTGGCGGCCATTCGGGCCTGTTGACGGGACCAGGGCTTATGTCGCCACGGAAAGAGGACGAGAGCGATTTTCCTGAGGACGTAGGAGTTGGAGACGTTGAAGTAGTGCTTCAGCGCAGGAATCGAGACGTAGCGGTTGAACTGTAGTTCCGAATTAGAAGGGACGCGCCGAATGATCTAGGTATTGCAGGTATCCATACATTCTGCTCCATATACTCCTGTCCAGCGGCCATAGCACTCTTGCCAACTTGGAAGCCCATCTGCGCCGTAGGTTCGTTCATGAACCCACCAAACCCGGGGGCATAGGTGCTGCTGCCTCCCTGTGCGGGAGACGACTGGTACGGGTTACCTCCACTGCCATACCCGGCATTCGGTGTCTGTTGAGAGGCGGGAGGAGGTGGTGAGCGCATCATCGGGACGGTCGACACATGCTGCGGGACGGGGTGGTGCAGAGGCGGCGACTGCGCGGGCGGCGGTGCGAAGGAGCCCCGATACATAGTGGTCCTGAATAAACAGGGGAGAGCGGAAGAGAGAGCACTAGATGGGACGGAGCGGCGTTTGCTTGCGTCGAGGGGCGAGCTTAGAGGGGGGGGGAGGGGGGTTTCCGCGTGGAGGAGGTTGAAGTTGGTAAAGTAGAGCGAGGTGTTTATACGTGGCTGAAGATCCGCTCTGCCTCCGAGCTCGTTCGCTTTTGCCCGATCCGCCACCGCGCGAACTTTCCGTCTGGTCCTGCTCCTGGTCCCGGCCCTTCTCCCCCTTTTCAACCAGCAAGATACCCTTTTTGATTTCTTTTATACTGTCTCTACGCAGATACCAGGATGTTGGAGGCTTTTGAAATCCTGACCACCTCTGGTGTGGTGCTGTGGTCCAAATCGTACGCACCGGTGGGGGCGCATATCATTAACAGCCTGATCAATGATGTCTTTATCGAGGAAAAGGTTGTGCCGCAGAGCGCTTCAGCGAACGGAATTTTGCCTGCCTTCAAGAAGGAGAAGTATACCCTGAAATGGAAGAGGGTAAAGGAGTTCAATTTGATCTTTGTGGTACGTTTGTCGCATGTCGCATATCTCCAGACTCTCCCGTTCGCCCAAGTCTCAAAACTCACCGTGCTCCCTATAGGCCGTCTACCAATCGCTGCTGCACCTCGGATGGATCGACAAGCTCCTGGAGAATATCTCGACGATCTTTATCGATGTCTACAAAGACCAGCTGAAGGGAAACCGTACCAGAATCACCACCTACAAATTCGACGCATACTTTGAGCAGCAGGTGCGCGAGCTCGAGGACAATACTGGCAGCGTTGCAGAGATCCATGCTGTAAATACTGGGGAGAAGAAGGATCCGCTTGTCTCGTCGGACAATGGTGGCCCGCCGCCGCCGCCGGTGCCCGGCCTCGTAAAAGGTATGCGATTGATTTGACTCATTTCTGATCGAGAACACATGTGCTGATAATCCTAAAGCGCAGCACCAAGCTGCGCTAGCTGGAGCGACCTCTGATGAGGCCACTCCCCCGGCAACTCCTGATACTTCTAGATCTTCGACTCCCGTCACTGGCCACCTGCTAAGCGGAAAGACTGGGCCGGCTGGTCGAGTCTCTCGCCGTGCACGCAAGGCAGCCAACGCGGGCACCAATGCCTCGTCTGGGGACGAGCATTCTCGGAAAGGAAAATCCACCCCGAAGGCTTCTGTGAAGAAGATGCGCAAGTGGGATGCTGATGGGTTTGCTGATGAGGATGATGGGACAATTCTGGATTACTCTGCCCCGGCAGAAGATGCAGGTACTGCTGCCTTGGTTGTGGAGGATGTTTCCCAGGAAGATATGGGCCACCGAACCGGCAAGGGCCAATTTGTCCTGAAGGACTTAGGCGATGAAGTTCACAACATCCTAGACAACGCCGACGCTGAGAGGAGCAAGGGAGCTGCTGCGTCCGGTGTGGTGGGCACCGGGTTCAACGCGATCGGTGGGTTCTTCCGCAATATTGTTGGTGGCAAGGTCTTGACAGAGGCCGACCTCCAAAAGCCTTTGAAGGCGATGGAGGATCACCTTCTGAAGAAGAACGTTGCTCGTGAGGCAGCTGTGCGTCTCTGCGAGGGTGTTGAGCGTGAACTTATTGGAAAGAAGACCGCCAACTTCCAGAGCGTCGATGCTGCTCTGCGTATCGCTACGGAAGCGTCTTTACGCAAAATCCTTACACCCACCTCTTCTCTGGACCTGCTGCGCGACATCAACGCTGTGACCGCTCCGACTACCAAGCAGCATGCTCCTCGGCCCTATGTCATCTCTATTGTCGGTGTTAACGGCGTTGGCAAGTCGACAAACCTCAGCAAGATCTGCTTCTTCCTGCTACAGAACAACTACCGTGTTCTTATCGCGGCCTGTGATACATTTCGTTCCGGCGCTGTCGAGCAACTGCGTGTCCATGCCCGTAACCTGAAGGAGCTCAGTGCCCGTGAGAGTGTTGGTGAGGTTGAACTATATGAGAAGGGCTATGGTAAGGATGCCGCCAACGTCGCCAAGGATGCAGTCGAGTACGGTGCCGCCAACAAGTTTGACGTTGTCTTGATCGATACCGCGGGCCGCCGCCACAACGATCAGCGACTGATGTCCTCGCTCGAGAAGTTCGCCAAGTTCGCTAAGCCGGACAAGATCTTCATGGTTGGCGAGGCGCTGGTCGGAACCGACAGTGTTATGCAAGCACGCAACTTCAACCAAGCCTTTGGCACCGGCCGAAACCTGGATGGCTTTATCATTAGTAAGTGTGACACTGTGGGTGATATGGTGGGAACACTGGTTAGCATGGTTCATGCTACGGGCATTCCCATTGTCTTCTTGGGTGTTGGACAACACTATGGAGATCTGCGTGGACTGAGTGTCCCTTGGGCTGTCAGCCTACTCATGAAGTGACGACCTTGAATTACCTCTCATATGCGGGCCTACTAACGCTATACGTTATTCTGTATTCCAATTGAAATTCTTGTAATTGTTAGGTGTCGATTATGCCATATCGCTGTCTCTCCATTCTCCCGGCCCAGTGTCCCCATATGTACGTATGATGCAATCCAACGATAAAAATAAGCTTTCCCCAGCGTGCATCTGGTATGGCAGCAAAAGCATCAACTGAACAGGACGAATCGGCAAAAATATTGACCGACGCAGGGGTCGAACCTGCAATCTCTTGATTCGTAGTCAAGCGCCTTGCCATTGGGCCAGCCGGCCTTGTTGTGGGATGAAACAAATTATAAAGTCTATATCAAGCAGGTTTTTTGTGGGTAGCGAAAGCCCCACCGACATTTACCCTTTCCGGACAACAGGCTCCAACAACCTTAAGAGTTTGGCTTTTGCAGGTCCAGGTCTCACTCCCCGGACGCACAGTGATTGTGATCTTCCGAAAATCATTGCTTATTGTAGATTTTAGTATATTCGTTCAAAAATTTTGGTCCCAACGACCGAATAGATATTTTCACCAGGCAAAAATGCAAAAAGTGACTCTCCCTCGGGGAATCGAACCCCGGTCTCCCGCGCTTATCGGTGTTGATGACAAGCGGAAATCATGACCACTAGACCAAGGAAGATGCATTCATTGATCGAGTTACCGCTCGACCACTTGGCGTTGTTGATGTAGGTTTGTCAAACTCTGAATATAGAAGCCAACATCATGTTTAGATTCGAATCGCAGACATAACATACTCCTCATTCCCACCACAGACTTTCCTGTAGTAGAATTAGATGAATGATGTATGAATTTGGCCTAAGAGGGCACTAGATAGATGTCAGCCCCCGTTTAGATGGTAGATTAAACAACCAGGCAACCTGATATCGGGGATAAGCCCATCATATAGGTATAGGTGCTGGAATATATATTTTGGGACCAACCTTATGTGTATGCCCGGTTCTCAACCATGTTGACCTTCAACCGTAACTAGGTACCTACGTAATTTCAAATACGGTCCTTCCTACTCCATGGGCGCATGAGAACACCAACACTTGTAGAAAGTTTGAAAACGACCACCTGGGACCGAGTGCATAGAATACCAGAAGAGTACACCTGCCGCAATCCCTGATGCGACTGGAAGCGCATCAGTCAGGATGCAGGTAATAAGTTGGGGTTCACTGCAGATACAGAGTTGCGGTAGCTGGGTACCTGCAGGGTCAACAAAGTGCAGATCGGACGAGTCGTGCCTGATTGGCTGACTAGGTGATCTGGTTAGAAGGTTGAGACTGACATTGCCCGGTAGGTATGAGTCCCGTGATCGAGTACATCGCCCTAAGGTATCGAGTGGACGGGGAGGTGTTGTAACAAGTCATCACAAATACCAAATCCAGCCTGATATAATCCCAAGTATAGAGCCTTAAGAGCATAAATTGTGGTCTATAAAATTTACCTGCAACTAACCTGCGGAGAACCGCCGACTTCCCCGCGGCCAGGATGCGATGACTCAGCATATCCATGTGGATCGCTTACATCATCCCTCTCGCCCAAACAGTTTCCCAGATTCACATCCCTAAAGCGGACAGTTAACGATCCGACCGCCGATTCCTACTTCGTGGACCGCTCTTTATGTCCCTTGACTGTCTCGATATTATTTCAGATTAAAACAAAGCTGTCCTTCCATACAGTGACTGAGCGCGCAAGATTGCACGCGACCTCGGAACCCCGGCTACGACCGGACAGGCGACCAACATCCCCCAGCTCTGCAGGGTCGGGGTCTAAAAACCTTCGCCCGCCCTCATCCCTCCGGCGTGCTGCAAAAATGACGGCCCCAGACCGAGCTCCGATCAATCGACGTTCCTCCACGCAGCACTACCAAACGTTCGATACCCCGCCGCCCAAGTCGCGTGGGCGACCCAATTCCGGCCAGTCGGAGTCCTCAGCCGATGGCTCGCACGATCCTCACGACCAAAATGACCGCAGCGTTACACATTCTCCACTACCGAAAAGGCAGATGGCAGTGCTGGCGATGATTGCCTTGGCCGAGCAAACCGCCCTCAATTCGATCAGTCCTTATCTCCCGGATATGGCATCGACATTCCCGGAGGTGGAATCGAGTCAAGTGGGCGTCTATGTGGGGACTATAGCGTCAGCATTTGCTCTGGCGCAGTTTGCGACCAATTATTTCTGGGGCTGGCTGTCAGATAGGATCGGGCGCAAACCGGTGATCCTGCTCGGGACCTTTCTGACTGCGCTGTGCTTCGTCGCTTTTGGGTTCTGTAAGACCCTGTGGCAGGCCATACTGGTGCAGGCAATGATGGGCATGGTCAATGGCAATCAGGGCCTGGTATCTACCTGCCTGGGCGAGATCACAGACCGGAGCAACCAGTCACAAGCCTTTACGTATCTCCCCGTTCTATATGGAATCGGAGGTATCTCGGGTCCGCTGTTGGGGGGCCTGCTGGTTCTTGAGCGTAACCCATTCACTGGCAACAAGAGCACATACCCTTACCTTGCGCCAAACATAGTGTCCGCATTCATTCTTCTGGTGGACTTTGCTTTGACTTCTGTGTTCTTGGACGAAAGCCTAGAAGATGCAGATACACTTCCAAAGTTCGGGAAAAAAATCCGCAGCCTTTTCACCTGGCTGTGGCAGTTCACGGGCTTCGCAAGCCACCCGACCTATCTCCGACTTTCGCAGGATGTGCCATATACTACCGTTCGGCGTGACAGTGCCGACAGCGAGGATCATGACAGCGACCTAGACTCGGCCTCGGAAGTGTCCAGTGGGCAAAACCATCCTGCCGAAGAGTTGACGTGGGGTGACATTTTCACGAGAGACACGATTCTACTCCTCGTGACCTACCTGATTTTCGCGTTTTGCAATGTCTCTTTCAATTCGCTATTTCCAATATTTGCACAAGCCCAACCGCCCGTCGGCCGCCATCTCACACCTTCCGAGATCGGCCTGTCCCAAGGGTTTGCTGGCGTGGTGACGATCATCTTCCAGATCTGCATCTTCAATCGTCTGCGCGATAAGATGGGCAACCGATGGTCCTACCGGGCAGGTCTCTTTGGATTTGTGGTCTCGTTTCTTCTGATGCCTTTCGTTGGGTACAAGAGTGAGGACGGCCACGGGCTGACTCGCCAGTCGGCCTTGATGGCCGTGGAAGTGTGCTTCGTGTTGCTGGTCAAGACTGTTGCATCTGTCGGTGGGTTGACCAGTGCTTTGTTGTTGGTAAGTCCCCCCGCGCAGTGATCTTCCATCTATCGTTAATGATTTGATCTAATGGTTTTCAGGTTACCAATACCGCCCCCAACCATGCCGTTCTGGGCGCCATCAATGGACTCGCACAGACGCTTTCTGCTGCGGGACGCGCAGTGGGTCCATTTTTGTCCGGAGGACTCTTCTCTTTAACATCCAAGATTCAGCCCAAGGGAGAAGCCATCGCCTTCGGAGTCTTCGGCGCCGTTTCCTTCATCGGATTCATTCTGAGCTTTGGCATTCGCGGCCGATCTCTTGAGGCTGAGGGTTGGGTTTCGGACAGCGACGATGGCAACTACAAATCGGATGACGACGACGGGCCCAATGGCGCTTGATTTCATCATCCAATCAGTGAGATGTGAAACTTTGCTGACATGACGTGACGATTCTTTGCTTCATTTGAGCCTTTTGCATCTGAAATATACATTAGTCAATCTCTTTTCGAAGGAATTGACGAAGCATTTTTAGCTGAGCATGTCCTGAAGGAGGTGGTGTTTCTTTGCTTTCCTTTCCCTTTGTGTCTAGACAGATATTATCTTTGATGGGGTGGCTGTTTCAAAATACTGTACAACAATGGCAGTGGAATTCTCCACACTATGTTTTTAATTAGACAACCATGAATGAAAAGAATACAAGTGACAATCATCTATCGCCATCTTTGTGTAGAGATCACCAAGTCCTTCGGTACAGGCGCCTAGGAAGTTTTACAGTTCATGGTGACGGTAGAACCAACTTGGGTAGCAGTACGAATCAGCGCTTAATCTTGGGCTCTTCAGAATGAACCCGGCGTCTCATTTCGACCTCCAAAATTATTTCTGTAAAGTATTTTGATGGTCGATTTTACAACGCGAGATTCAATAACACTCTGACGTGATGGCTCCTGTTTTTAGCTCGAGTTTGCTCCCGTCTATGATTTTCATAGCATCGATGAGACCTTTCAGCAATTTCGCCTTCACTCCGGCGGTTAGATCTTCTCGCACTAAAAATCTTCATCGCTTCAATATCATCTCCATTAGCCCACCAGCCTTTGATTGTACAGGCTATATAATAGGTTAGCCTAAAGATTGGGGTTGTTTTTGAGGGAAGATTTATCAGTCGCTTACTCGGTATAGAGAACTATAGATCAAGCATCGCTGATATCTGAGAGCCGCAACCCAGGATGTTGTCTCTTGATAAGGCCATGCAATTTGAACAGGACAATAGAAAGCCCAGTCGTATAAGCTGAATCACCATTGGTATGAAGAGGGTGGCTACTGGTATCATGCCTGGAAATCTGGCATGTACGTCACTCAAAAAAGATAAATAGCCCGTTGCCTCCAGCTGAAGACTTAGAAGCTGTGTTTTCTTCAAGGAATCGTTCACATGCGCTCGATATTCATCCATGCCCTCGCTGTGGAGGTCAAAGTATCGAGCAGCGATAGGTATCCACGACCTTGGGAAACTCAGCGTAAAGCGTCCCTCGTAGGAAGGGAGATTCAAGAAGGAGATTATCTGGGATGTACGATTTCTCGCTCCACACCAAGTACCCAACTACCAATGGGGTCAAGCCACTTACGCCCGGAGATATTGATTGATTACAGTCTTGGCAGGCGAAAATCCCATTAGGCTTTATTGCTAGCTGTAAAGGGTGCAATGAAGCCTCCGCTTGCAGCATCGTCATGAATGAGAATATTGTTCCCTGTTCCCCGTTCGAACTTCGAACTTCAAAACGATCAAATTTGTTACCTCAGCGTGAGGAAATCTCTAACTAACATTGTGAGCCTTAAAATAGATAATAACTAGGATCCAATCATATTTTATTCTTGTCAAGCTCCTCCTCCGTTGTCTCCGCGTCAAAAGTATATCCACTTTTGTCATACCACAGGGACAATTCTAGCAAGTTCAAAGTAATCGGCGAATTCCCAATCTACGAGAGTCTTACTTCTCAGCAACACACCAAAATTGACCAGATAAACTCAATAACTAATCTCGATAATGTGATGATGTGCTCTTTGATTGGAAAGGACAACGTCAAATATATGGAAAGCCTGGAGTGCCCACATGCTCTCATTAACAAACACTATTCGGAGCGTCCCCAAGAGATTGATTGCACTGTCGTCAACAACGATGAATGTCACAATACCTTGAGTTGAGCCAACGATCTTGGACTTGTGAGAGTACGAAATAAAAAAGACGCCAAGGATAGGGTCCAGCAGCAACTTTAACAGAGCTTGGAGAATGGTGGGATCCGTCATAGTTCAAAAGGATTGAAATATATATAGTTGGAGTTATCAGTGATTTTCTCTCCGATCTGTGGCCGTAATATATAGCTTCGGATAACGTATGTTTTATCCGGGCGCGGATAGTTTCAGTTTTTAGTGAAAAGTTTTAGTAGTTCCTAGCTAGTACTTAGCCCCTGCTAACTATGTCACCTTATTGCTAGCTTCTGGAATCACAAGCGGTTCATTGACCGTGAGCGTATCATGCATGTAATTAATACTATCAATACAGCTTGTTTCTGTGCGTCGATGAGCGGAGATCATGGAATTGAAAATTTGATCTGCCCCAAATATACCCACCTGGGTAATAATGATATTAGCGACAACACTTTAGTCTAGAGTGGCGACTGATCGCTTCGTGATGGTTCCGATTGTAGGATATGTGAACTTAGTAAGAATAACTGAATAATGAAACTATTTATAATAATTGTCAGTGTGCCCGAGTGGTTAAGGGGCTAGTTTTAGGTACAAATTACTGTACACTAGTGGGAAACCGCGCGAGTTCGAATCTCGTCGCTGACATCATCTCTTTTTTTTTCCCTTTTGATTTTCTTCAATTCGGTCACAAAGATACTGCCATCTATCACCCGTACAGACGATCACCCTCGTATCCTTTACTTCTGTAAAATTCAGTCTGCACCTCTTGGCACTGGGACGCCTTCTCGCACCACTAATCGCCCTTTGGCCAGTTACATTTGCACTTAACCCACTTCTGTATCGAGCCCCGTTGAGCGACAGAGGTAAACGCACCCTTCCGCCTTCCGAAAGGTTCTTAGGGTGGTGAGGATCTTTTTGGCTACGATATAAGAGTTTCCCTGCGTCAGTTGGAATAAGCACTACATTCCATGAACATTTCATATACCCACATCCTTTTCCTTCGTGTCTTCTCACAATATAAATATCCGGTAATTCACTTTATGAAGACTACGTTCTATCATCGAAGCAAATGATCACAGCTACTCTCGACACTGCTCAATATCCACATAGAGGATGATGAATCACACCCAATGAAATAGCTCAAAGGGACATATTTGGACAGCATGCGATTTCGTGTACCGAAGGCTACGGGTACCTCAATCCATTACCGTTAATTTCATCGTTGACATGGCGGGAATCATCCCCGATGACAGCCCCAGGTAGACTTTAAAGATGACTGACCATTACCCTGAAACTACGATCTACCGCCATAAAAGAAGGTAGAACTTCCCATGTCAACGTGACGTCCGCACTGTCCGTCATGTTGACGTTCCATTTAACTAAATCCGTAGCATACAGCGAATACTTTAGCGATGTAAATGACTACCTAGGAATGCTCTTCTACTCTCATTTCACCCCTGCCATCCCATGGTGATTCCCGGAGGAGTATCATTGAAAACTGCTTGCTAAGATTTAACTTTGAAGCCATGGCCTCCAAATTAGCCGGCGGCTTACAAAAAGCTCAAGAGGCTGTTCAGCACGTCAGCTCAAAGGAGAAGAAGATTGTTGACCTAGAGCACGATACAACCAGCCTGACTTCAAAGCAACCGCTAACAACCGATCATGGCACTCGTATTCACAATACAGACCAATGGCTGCGTGTCATGAACGACCAGCGGACAGGCCCATCGCTTTTGGAAGACCAGATAGCCCGGGAGAAGGTACTACCCATCCCTCTCCAATGGAATTGTTGGTTCCTTTTCATCCATTAAATCCAAGTTAGATTACCCGATTTGACCACGAGCGGATCCCCGAACGGGTCGTCCATGCCCGCGGCACTGGGGCGTTCGGAAACTTCAAGTTGCACAAGAGTATTCAAGACCTATCGTATGCGGGAATTCTTAACGATACATCCAGGAATACGCCTGTATTCGTGCGGTTCTCGACTGTACAGGGCAGTCGAGGGAGCGCTGATACAGTTCGGGATGTGCGCGGATTCGCCGTCAAGTTCTATACCGACGAAGGGAACTGGGACTTGGTGGGTAATAACATACCTGTCTTCTTCATTCAAGATGCGATCAAGTTTCCAGACTTTGGTAGGGTCTACGACTAGTCAACCATCTATCCAAATCTGATTATTGCTATTTCTAGTTCACGCCGTGAAACCAGAACCACATAACGAAGTTCCCCAAGGCCAATCGGCACACAATAACTTCTGGGACTTTGTTTATCTCCACCCAGAGGCTACGCACATGTTTATGTGGACAATGTCAGACCGTGCGATCCCACGCTCATTTAGAATGATGCAAGGATTCGGGGTCAATACATTTGTCCTCGTCAACAAAGCTGGCAAGCGGCACTTTGTCAAATTTCACTTTATCCCCCAACTAGGCGTACACAGCCTCGTGTGGGACGAGGCGTTAAAAATAGCGGGCCAAGACCCGGATTTCCACCGAAAAGATTTGATGGAAGCCATTGACAAGAAAATCTACCCAAAGTGGGACTTTGCGATCCAGGTTATCCCGGAGGATAAGCAGGATGCGTTTGAGTTCGATGTGCTTGATGCCACCAAGATCTGGCCCGAGGATATTGTGCCTCTGCAGGTGATCGGTGAGCTGGAGCTTAATCGTAACGTGGATGAATTCTTCCCACAGACCGAACAAGCTGCGTTCTGCACGAGCCATATCGTGCCGGGCATTGATTTCTCGGACGATCCACTTCTGCAGGGGCGGAATTTCTCATACTTCGATACGCAAATTAGTCGCCTCGGTGTGAATTGGGAGGAGCTACCCATCAACAGACCGGTATGCCCGGTTCTCAACCACAACCGCGACGGAAAATCGAGGCATCGCATCACGCAGGGCACAGTAAATTACTGGCCAAATCGGTTCCAAGCAGTGCCACCTACGAATGCGACAGGGGAACCGGGAGGTTTCCAGTCGTCGTCTGTTCAAATTGGTGGCGCAAAGCGGCGTGATTTGAGCGTCAAATTCGGCGACCATCTAAGCCAAGCGCGACTATTCTACAACTCACTATCTGAGCACGAGAAATTACATGTGCGCAAAGCCTTGAGCTTCGAATTAGACCACTGCAATGATCCAACGGTCTATACCCGCATTGCGAGACACCGACTCGCCGAGATTGATCTGGATCTAGCGCAGGCAGTGGCGGATGCGGTCGGCGCTGCTGTTCCCCATCGTGCCATGAGTCCGAATCGCGGTAAGAAGGCCCCGCATCTATCACAGACGGAATTCATGCCTGCAAAGCCGACAATCGCGAGTCGGCATGTGGCGGTCTTGATTGGTGAGGGCTTCGATGCGGTAGCCTTTGCCGGAATCCTGGCTGCTGTCAAAGCTGCGAACGGATTCCCAGTTCTTGTTGGAACCACACGGTCGCGTATCTATGCCGACGGCGAGAGGCTGTCTGGCAAAGCCGTCGGAGGCGGGGTGGTTCCCGATCACCATATCGACGGTGTACGATCCACTCTGTTTGACGCGACGTTCATTCCAGGGGGGCCACACGTCAAGACGCTGGCCCAGAATGGCCAGATCAAACACTGGATCTGCGAGTCATTCGGACATCTGAAAGCCATTGGTGCAACGGCCGAAGCAGTGGATCTTGTCAACGAGGCCCTTGGCGCTGTTGAGGGCCTGCAGGTCGCCTCGTCATCGTCCTTCGAGCCTGTCGAATCATATGGTGTGGTCACGGCCGGGGGTACCCAGAAGCCCGGGAGCTTTAAGGAAACGGCTAACATTATGCGCGGGGCGAAAGACTTTGTTGGCATGTTTTTCTATCAGATTGCCCAAAACCGTAGTTACCAACGTGAACTAGATGGGCTGGTGTCCACTGTTGCATTCTAGCTTGGAGGATAGAGGGAAAACACAGCCTGTGAATATGGAACTGCGCATGATATTGTGTAGGTGGTGAGGATGACGAAGGGACGACCCAGTTTGTGGGGACGTGAAAAGCATCTTTGATTTTATTTCTGAGCCTAGTAATAGATAAGCTTTGTCCTTTCCCAAGATGGAAAAATCAAGAGGTCCTTCCCTTCTCTTATTTGCACGACCCCAAAAATTGGCCCGCGCAGGCTTTCCAAGAAGAGTTTGGCTTGCCAGATAGCCAAAAAGGCTCGAATTAAGTGATTTCAAGTACAACGATTTCAAGTACAACCTTGTCAACTGCCCAGGACGAGCCCAGTATCATTTCTCTGTTGCAACAAATCATCAATCACATATTTAGCTGTGAACACTACCCAAGTCTTCGGGTTTAAGGACAAAGCCCGTCTACACAACACAGTCCCATGGTTCTACCTGCAAACCTCACTTCATTTAGGTTGAGACCAGACAGGAACAACGTTAGGACCCGCTGAGTAAGCATCGCGCCCCGCCGGCCGATATTACCCGCTTCTACTGAAAGGTGGAGAAAATTTTCTCCCCAGTCCGCATCGATCTCCAGTCGCATACCAGAATATTGCATAATGGGTAACGTAAGAGGACCGTGGTGGTAGCCACAATCTACCTTGAACCCTCGGGCAAATGCGCAGATGAACTGATCATTTTCTACAGGGAGCCAAGGCCTCGATGAAGCGCGAGCGCAATGCCGCAGACAAGGGCAAGACTGCCAAGTCGCAGACCAAATCCGTACGTGAATGGTGTTCCTCAGCATTCGAGGCTTATTACTTACATTTTATTCTTCGTTCAGAATGAGAAGGCCATGACCATTCAGTGCAAGGTCTGCTTGCAGACCTTCCTGCAGACTACCAAAGCTCCTGCGTATGTCGTAGTCACTGCTCTTGGCGAGATGTCTCGTTTTACTAACGTTTACATGTCAAGTCTCCTGGAGCACGCCTCCAATAAGCACAAGAAGGGCTTAGCTGACTGCTTCCCTGGCGTTACTCCCGCATAAAGCTGCTGCTCATGAAATGCAAGGGTGATGGACCCGCGCTAACGGCGGTATCGCATTGAAGTGCATAGTGATAGCAACTGAAATTTCCTGCTTAATAGCGCCTTTGATTCCCGCGCATGATAGAATTTAGAACGGAATACTATTGATTTCATTACTCCTAGTGCACATGGGGGGGCTACTCCGCCAATGAGAATGGATCCTGTCTTCGAAGCCTTGACTCAAGGCCAGCTGACAAGTTCAGCCGATAAATGATGATCAGCATCAGATGGTGACAGCAGTGGTGTACACTGCTGGCGTAACGGAAGCAGGGAAAATGAGCAAGAGAAAATAATCGCAGAGAGAAGAGAAAGAACGGCACAGAACAGAGGGAACACCGCACAGGCGGCCATGGCATGCGAGGTCTGGGGCAGCCGAACCAGGAAGACTCACGTCTTCCTTCAAATGTCTTATGGCAATGAGCACTCCGGAAAGGAAAATCAATTGTTGTATTTGAGAGTATGCGCTATGATCAAAAGATAGCTGGGCAAAAGTTCAAGTGCTACGAGAAGAAACAAATCGCGAACCCGAAACGCCAAAGCCAAGCCGACACCCCTTCCCGAAGAAGACAACCGAACAAAATAGTGCCAATGAGTGGAATGATATACAGGAAAAAGCGTAGGCTCGTAAGATAAGGTAGGCTTTGATCGTTAAGGGATCGAAAATGACGCCCTCTTCGGAGGAGACATTGCCAACGGTAGCCACTACGAGGTCTGCTGGCGTCTCCAAGGAATGTCTTTGCTAAGGAGTTCTCGCAACTCGGGTGAGATGACCTTCGGTTTGTCCTTATCGATTGCCTGCTGGAGCGCAGAGGGCGGGTTGACGCCGCTGCTAGACGCCACAGTAGGTCGGTGGGGCGATTTGCCTTTGCCCGCCGAGTCTGGACTGCTACTGTTGGCGGGTCGGCGCTGGTAAGCAGAGGGGGCAGCAGGAAAATTATCTTTCTTGTCGATTGCTTGCACTGAGCGCTCAAAGCGATGGAAGAGAGATTCGGCGCGGGTAAGAATGGGCACCAGGTCCATTGTGTTGGAAAGTTCGTTGACTAAAACACGTTAGTACCAGCGGGACACATTTCCGGGGTAGAATTTCCAAATCAGGAACTTACTGTACTTCAGGACCTCATCAAAGTGTTTCAAATGATCCATGATGACATCGCGATGCTTCTCTAAAATGGCCAATGCAATAAAAAGATGGAAGCTGCTGGTGAAGTAATCGGTCCATAGTGTCTCCCAGAGACGTAGGACATCTCCCCATTCGAATTCGCGCTTGTACCAGACCAGCAGCATGCGGAAAAAGAAAAAGAAATTCGTGCTGTCCGCTGACTGTAGATGGAGATACAGCTGGGGATCCATGAGCTGGACCAGGTGGTCTAAAGCGAGCAGTTGGGCGCGCATGCCGGACTGGTCTCTAAGATAATTGCGTTCCTGGAGCAGCCCATGTTAGTGTGAGGGGGCGGATGGTCTTATCATGATGAAAACGTACCATTCGGTCCATAAAGCCGACGAAAGCCCAGAAGGCCACGGCGTCATCCTGCATGACAGCGTATAGGGGAGCCAGTAGGTCGCTCATTCCTTGAACATATCCCAGGTCCGGGTTGTATTCATTGTACGTTAAAAGCATGTCTTTCATCTGCTCAAGATGCACATTGGTTCCTGTATCGGCGAACGGAGAGTCGGGATCGGGATGGGGAATATCTTCTCCGGCAAACAGAGGGATAGTACGATCGGTACGATGGACATCCTTCTCTGCTCTGGAAGTTAGTCGGTGGAAACTTCCAGTGGGGAATCCAAGGGCCTGACCTATTCGGTTGCGCTGTTCCTTCCAATTATCATACTCCTCGGATGTAGAGTTGCCGTCAACCATGCGCTCCCACCAACCCGCTTTCAAGCGAATATACTCGTCGCGCTTCGAGTTCATGATCGCTGACCTTTCCTCGTGATTGCTCTCCCACGGATAGACCCCGAGGAGGAAGAGCCATGCCTCTTTCCGAGCACCATCGTTTGGATCCAGACCTCCATGGAAGATACGCTCTTTGACTTCCTCGACGGTAATTTGCAACCTTCCAGATACTGGGTCAAAGAAGCCTTCCCATTCCGGAAGTGTGACAATTCGTCGTCGCTCTTGAATGGCCAAATTCCCCGTCTCAAGCTCGAGGATCTCAAAATCGCCAACAGAACTGTTTTCTGACTCGAGAACGTCCTGTGCCGTCCAAATACGCTGATTTCGGTCCTTCTCGCCTTGTTCAGCAATGCTCATGGCCCATCGCGCCAAATATAGTCGGGCGCTGTCGAATTCATCTTGTAGGGTCTGAACCTCGGGGTTTTTCATCAGACGTCGGACCTGCGGAGGAACGCGAGGGTTCTCGGCAATCTCGTTGGCAGTCCGCCTCGTAAATGTGGTAATCTTGCTGAGTTGCTCCAGCACCTTCCACCGAGTCTCTTTGAGAGTCTTCATGAATGGATCCATGCTAGCATCACCCTGCTGTCCGGCGGCACTGGGACCTCCGAGGGTAGCCTCCGGTTGAGCTTTTGACAGTGTACCGTCCCCATAGCTGAGCGTGCGTCCGAACGAGAGCTGGTCTTCCTCGGATGGGTTAATTAGAAATACATGCCGGTCAACGGCTGAGCGTTGAACCTCCACATATCTCCTCAACCAACGCAGGACCTCATCGCCGCCCCAAAACAGACCCCCATCGTTATCAAAAGGGTCAAAGCTCTCCTTGACACGCTTTTTCTTCTGCAGTATTGTGGATTCGCATTCGCTATCGTGGAAGAATAAGGCTGGGAAGCTGTCACCCGACTTCGTGTTGATCACCACACTCCCAAACCACCACCCTAAACTCGGGGGTCGTACCAAAAGAGAGTATATTTCTGAAACGGGAACGGCGAAGGAGTAGAGTCCGATCGGGTCTTTATGGTGGGTGGTCGTTGGAAGCGGTGGAACAAGATATCTTTGACGGGGTGGGGAGTCATCATCGGCAAGATCGACTTTCACGTAGGTACTGTAAGCATCGCCAAGTGAAGCCTCGGGGACCCATGCGAGGAGATATGAAGACCCATCGCCGTTGGACTCTGCGCGCGCTGCGGGGGTGGACCTGGGCCCTGGCTTCTGCTGGATGAGGGCTACAAACCCGGCAATGTTGTCTTTAGCGGAGGGTGTGGGGTGAACATAAACCTGGGATTGCGCCCTGTTAGTCGTGGAAGCAGATAGTGCGGTGGATGAGCGAGCGTACTTTGCTTTTTGAGTACAGTAGCTTCACGCCACGGCTAGACCGGGCGTGGGCGATGGTGTTATACTCATCCTCGTCGTCATCACTTAAGTCGTAAAACGATGCCGTCGGCGATGGTGGGGACGGAGGAGGGGTGTATTTAACTGGGGCCGCCATGATGGTGAGGCGATGGCGAAGGGTGAAGGTTGAAGAAGGGCGAGCGATGAAGACGTAATGATCAAATGATCAGCGATAAGATAAAGCCGCGCCCCTCTTTGGAGCTCCGCTTTCTTGTTTTGCTTTTTGTTCTTGTTGCTTTACGTGTTATGTCATTCTCTCTTTAATTTCTTTTCGGTGGTAATTCTTCTGTGATGATTTTTTGTTTCTCTCTGATTCTTTTCCTTGTGTGCTATTCTTTTTTGTCCCGTAATCTCGCCACTCCAGGTTTCACGGTCATCTAGGCAGCAGCGAACCCCCGCTACCCACCGACCGGTGGATTAATATAGCCATTATCGGCATCATATTTGATCTTACCTGAACGCCAGATTTCCTCATTATAGCTCGGGAGTGCCAGTGAGCATTGCATCCAGTTGCTGCGCTATGCCATTTCGTCCTGATCGCAGTCAACTGTTCCGCAGAGCACAGAGGTATAAAGCGACCGCCTATAGAACGGAGAATCCAAGTTTATGAAGCAAAACTCATTGGCCACGGCCATTTGTATCTTCTCACCTGGGGTTCTCTCATAGAAATTCTGGGAACTAGCCAGCTTGCCTACTGGAGCTTATTCCCTAATTCCCTCCAATCGTCGGCGGCTATCCGTAGGGCTTTTCAGTCCCGAGCCCACGAGCATCTATCGCTCAACAGCACTGTGTCTAGACCTGCCATCTGCAGCTATAATTTGTTGTGCTGTTCTTTCATGGGTCAAGCCCCTATCATATATGCCGATCCATATTAGAGCGTGGGGGTGTCTGGCTAGAACCACCGGGTGTGGTCCTGGGGATTCGATAACTACTTCAGGAAACGATACGCCGTACACCCACAAGATGACACAAGGGTTAGCCCGATGGATGATCACCGATACTCATGATTTGACAAAGAGCCTACAACAGCAGAAAGCCCACTAGGGGATATAAAGATGGGGTTCACCATCGCTGTTGCCATCGTGATCACCGTCATCCCGTCGTCTCCCGTAGTAGAACAAGGTCCGTGGAAATTTCCATCAATTCATCATGACTGAACTTCCTCGCACCCTACCTGCCTCCTGGTATTGCAGTGAGCCGCTGTATCAGATGGAGCGGAGGGCGGTCTTCTTCAAGGTATACGGGCTCCTTGACAACCCATGACCACGGAGGCTAAGAACGTGTCCAGTCCTGGTACCTGCTCGGTCCCGTGACCCGATTCCAGAAGGTGGGCGAGCATGTCGATTATGAGGTTGCTCAGGAACCCATCTATGCTGTTCGCATGTCTGGTGAAGCTCTGAATCCGGTAGCTGAAGAGTTGAAAGTGTTCCATGCGACGACGGTATGCCGCAGCCGAGAGATGTCAATATTTCCCGGTAGCTGATACGCGATCGCATGCAGGATAAACAATTGCAGAGCCATGTGACTCCAACTGGGTTGCTATTCTCGACCGTCTCTGAAGATGCGCCTTCTTTCCGTGACTTCTTCCCAGAACTCGAGGAGCTGCTTGGTAAAGTCGACTTCACTCGTCTACCGTATCGCCGCAGCATCCGCTATGAGGGTCGCTTTAATTGGAAGACTATGTAGGGAAACAAATGACTAGAACTGAGTGGATTCCTGTTATTAATGACCTATGCAATACAGGGTGGACGGATACCAAGAGTGTCTACACTGCCAGTACACTCATCCCTCATTCTCAATCTACTATCCGCCCACTTTCTACACCGTGCGCAACAGGCACAACTTCTCCCAGCACATTGCAGACCCGAAAAAGCCCGATGATGGGCTTTTCCTTTATTTCTTCCCCAACTGTACACTCAATGTCTACGGTGGCGGTATGTCCTCCTTCCGCGTGTGTCCAACCGCAGATCCCCATGTTACCCGGATGGAATTCGATTACTACCACTTGGCCGAAGGGGATAAGTTTGAGGAGTACTTCAAATTCGTGCGCCAGGTCGCAATGGAAGACTTTGAGCTCTGCGAAAAGGCCCAGGACAACTTGGCCAAAGGAGTTTACCATGAGGGTATCTTGAACCCCGAGAAGGAGAACGGGGTTTCCTGTGAGAGAATTCTTTGCTGTAATAACATCATTGAGGGTTCATACTAATATTCTAGCAGACTACCAACAGCGAGTCTTTCAAATGGTCTGTGAGCAACACGCGGCCGACCGGGCAAACAAGAAGGAGGAGGAGTCTGAGCCTGCAGAGCAGATTGCGCCATCTTTGGTGCAGATGGTAGCGTAGAGTATTATCATGTACCCTGTCGTGAGAAATGGTTAGTAATGGAAAGACTGTCATCATTATTTGGGGTCTAGACCCAAAATCATCGCAGCTCCTATCCTCCTCGCTTTTCTCCGTAGTGTGCGAACTGTGAGATTAGTGTCAGAAACAACGGAATGATGATAGTCGCGATAACCCCTGCGCTACCCTTCACGGCCCGAGATCCAAGCCAAGTAGGACTACCGGAGGTGACCTGCCAGCCGATGACTGGAAATTGCAACTTAATCGGGAAATCACCAGGCTGGGAGGGGTTGCTGCACGCGGCACCCTCGGAGAAGTGTATAATGTGGGGACCGGCGCACTTGGGCCCCCGAGCTACGATGTATATCAGGCGACTCCGTGGGAGTGGAAAGACATTTTTTGATCAATTGATTGTCTTTTTTTTTGGGAATTTCTTCATCGTAGTCTTCGTGTCATGGAGTGCCTCGATGCCTATGTTCTGTCGCCCGGCCCACTGATAGTTACTTTGTTGACTCTCGCTTTCCTGGTCAATCAAGCATGGCCGCTTTTTTCCCGGCAAAAGAAAAACTATCAGCTGTCTGATAGTAAAGTCATAAATGATGACCACAACAACTTGACAGTGTCTAAGGAGCCGGAAGTCCCTGGGGGATGGTGGTCTGGTCGTGATGTCTTTGAGTTGGAACGGCGCGCTCTCTTCAGCAAAGTACTACCGACGCGCCCACAATATTTCTCTGTGGACATTTACTAACAGCAGTTCTAGTCCTGGCTTTATCTGGCTCACCGTACCCAGTTCAGCAAGCCTGGCGCGTACCAGTCTTTTGACATCGCTGGTTTCCCCATCTTTTTGATCCGCGGCAAGGATGATAAGATCCGCGCGTTCCATAATGTGTGCCGCCACCGTGCTTATACCATCACCAGAAAAGAGACAGGTACATCTACCGTGCTTGGCTGCCGGTACCATGGTTGGAGCTATGATACTACGGGCCGTCTAGTCAAGGCACCCCAGTTTGACAATATCCCTGAGTTTGATAAGTCTGAGAACAGTCTTTTCGAAATCCATGCATATACTAGTAACCATGGATGGGTCTTCGTGAATCTTGATGCAGGAGAGCCCCCTCACTTCCCCAAATCTACTATCTTGGCTTTGGATGAGTTTGTGCAAGCTTCTGGGCTTGGTTCGAAATCGGAATGGATCACCGGACAGACACTAGCTGGATCGTTCAATTGGAAATCGGGTAGTATGCAAGCACCACGATTCTCCGTTATTGCCTTACATGACAACTGATGTTTTGATAGTGAGTGCTCGTTACTTTGCAGACGTGACAGCTCAGCTGGAGAAACTCGTATCGGCCGAGACGTCGCCTTCAATGGCAGCCAAGTTTATCCAGATGATTACACCGAAGAAGAGCCAAGCAGAATGCCCCTTATTCCCCGGTACCTTCCTATACTCGTTTGCAAATGCAGGTCTCTGGCTATCACTGTCTTTCCTGCCCGCATCCGAAATGACTACCCAGGTCCGCTATGATCTAATCAGTTTGTGCCCAATGATTGATGCAAATAAGAATGCCCTTACCACTGCCGTTGGCGGATGCATCCAGGATTTCGTGCAGTACATTGAGGCGGATTTCCGGTATATTGCAGAAAGGCCAGCTGAGAGGTCTCCAAATACACGCCACATTTTGCATCAGCTGCAAGAACACGCAAAACTGGAAAGGAAGAGCGGTGGTCAAATCCTCCCAGCTATGCGACAGCCCAAAGGGAGTGCCCTTTTCCAACAAGCCGAGCAGCGTTAGTAATCCTAGGGTATCCTGCATCGGCTACATATTAACCAGAAATTAGTTTGCAAAGATATCGACTGTGTAGCTCCCGGCTCCGGCCCTGGACTTACCCCGGGTGGACTGGACTGGTAGTTAGGAATCGAAGACGAATGACAAGGGTGTTTACGGTCGTAAACCACTTATATTTATTGGCTGATTCTCCCTTTCTCGTGCTTCCATCCTTATCACCCATCTTATTGTATTAGACGCTTGCCTTTTTTTCTTTGGAAGCGCCTTGTGCCTAGACTTTACTGCTTACTTTTCTTTCATCTCGCGACTAGATAGACGCGTCTGATATTTGCAATTTTGGAACCCATCTTCTTACCCTTTCATCTACTATCAACTCTTCATTCAAGCTTTCAAGGTCGCAACAACTATACAAGAAGATCTGCTTCCATGGCCACCGCCTATCGTAATTGGCGCCAACGGTAAGAGAAAAGCGGCATATAACCTGTCGGCTCGGTGAAGCTCAGCGATCGGTCAAAGCAAACTTGACTCCCCTGGCCGTGAGTCAGGGTTACAGCCTTCGCAGTAATGCGTGGGACGTGGCTGGCGATACTAACGCGTTTGACTTATTGATGTCTATCTTTGGCCGAGACCGCCGTATGTGAGCAGCATGAATAACGCGCGGAGGTTGGGCTGACCTGATTCTCCAACACATGCGGTGACATCGTGGATGTCCTTGAAGTGCGGGAGAAGAAAGGAATTTTTACCCTCACACTAGAGTCGATGCAGACCTGACTGATCTGCGAGATGAAATCGAAGACCTTGGTCGAGCGGCAGACTAGGCATCTTAGCACTAGTCCAGGACGTTAAAGATGACTACCAGCGAGAAGAATTCTCTTCCAGGCTAGAGCGATACCGCTGATGAGAGTAATGAGGATGGGGTTTAATGCATCAGCAGGTTGTGGATGAGAAAGAGGAAAAGGAATGAGTGTATGGGTGATCTGGCAATAATATTGATGGTGACATGACCGATCTACAGTGAAGCACCTACGTGTGGATCGCGATGGCTGTTGGCATTCCTTGCAAGCGAGATCTGATGCTGAAAGGCCGTAATTGAATAATCAAACAGAGCTTTTCCTTTTCTGCTTGGACGGCTAACTGGTATTTTTCTCGGACACTCAAACTATACGAACGTGGTACCGCTGTGCGCTTCGTCCAGCCGCATACTCATCCAACGCCTCGTTTACCTTCTCTGCATCTAAGCCATCGATAGTCCTGTATGCCAGAGGCTTAATCTTGCCTTGTTCTAACCAATCAGGAAACTTTCTCCAAAGGGTTTGACCGAACTCTGGAATAAAGTGCGAGAACCCAAGCACGCGCTTATCTTCCAACCCATATTTCTTCTTCTGGATCACCAAGTCGGGAATTTGGCCCGTGCCGTTGTGAGCAAAAATCCCCTTCTTTGAATTGGACAGCAAAGAGGCACCAAGACTGAGATCCTCGTACGTGAACGTGTCATACACGTAAAGCAGGTCATCGTCCACGATAGAACGGACCTGCTACTCAATATTCGCATCTTGGCGCGCAATGACATGGGTAGCTCCGAAGCTCTTGAGAAGGTCTTCATTAGATGAAGATGCAATAGTAATAATGGTGCCAATACCAGCAAGCTTGGCAAGCTGGACCGACAGCTTCCCGATATTGCTTCCGCCGCCAATAATAACAATCTTCTGAGACGCATAGTCAAAGTCCGCTGCCTCGGGGGTCTCAGGGAGTGGCAGGTCAAAGCCAGCAGCCGAAAAGAGACTCAGTGCTGCGGTAACCAGATTGATTGGATACAGCGCTGCTTCGGTGTCCGGGACAGTTTCTGGCACGATGGCGGCATATTCCCCATTCAGAGTGGTATATTCCTGAAGGCCACCACCCCGGGGCAGGCTAAATAGCATCTGGGAAAAGACACGACTTCCAACAGGGAAGGTACTCTTGGCTCCATTTTCGATGACTGTTCCGACAATGTCGCCGGATATCACTGCTGGCAAGCGAGGAGCCGATGTTGAGATGACCTTTGTCACGAAACTTTTGATCCAGCGGTGCCACTGATGGATTCTGTTAGAAGAACTTTACTTAGACGGGGTTTCCGGGGGAACACTAGACTTACATCCGGCCGCAGTAATCTTCACCAAGATCTCATGGTCTTTCAACTGCGAGCTATCGGGGCAGGGCAAGCTTGCCTGGGTCAAGGGCTTTCCAATCTCCGTCAGGGTAAGAGCCTTTTGAGAAGACATGATGCAGTTCTGGAAGTCCGTTCTCGATGAGAAATAGGAATGATCTAAAGTGTCGGATATGTGACTTTGGAATGAAGAGAGGAGACGATACAACGGATTTGACCGTTTCCTACACTGTCTTTATATACTTGTGAGATGATAGTTATCTCCGAAGGTCGTGTCGGTGAATCGGATTCAATATTGCAAAACTCCGAGATAGTAAGGCTGTCCATATTAAAGTCAAAGATTGAATTCCACTGGAATGTAAGTCGATCTCCTAGGCTGACATTGAAAACTGTCCTCCAATAGTTACTTCCTCCCGGTCCACTTCTGTCCCATCGCGCAACGCTAACCGTAAAAGGAAACCTCGGAGATACCAACTCGTGTTCAAACCTGGTGCATTATTGTTTCTCAAATGGAATTAGTAGTTCAAGTAGTTAACCTCCGATAGTATCGGGGATCTTGCTCGCGATTAAGACAAGCATGGCACCTTTCACTTAGACGTTCAGAACTCTGATGGTTTTAACTAAGTAACATAGCCAAAACGAGCCCTCCACTCAGGATCTCCTAGTCAATATCTTATACACAGGGTCCATATTCGACATCTTCCCACACATGCGGTATAACCGTGACCTGCCGACTCACCCACAATGACTAGCGGTCTGGGGTATGAGTTAGTCGGCAGGTCAAACGTACTGGCTTCGCTTGTACTTCCGATTCCTAAGCTGAAAACGAGCGCACAATGCACCGGGCATACGGTCAGGATCGCATGAGATGGCGCACTAAGGGAAGAAACCCTCGTTTCGATTACTTCGCGCGAGACGGAGCGCTATTTATCCTCAAATCGGTCCAGACTTGGTCATCACGGCCCTCAAAGCGCTTTATGGGACTGCAGTAGGGTATTTTCAGAAATGAGTTACATGGTCTGGGCTGGACGATCTTTTGCTGGGAAAATTTGTGAGCTAAGTTGCTCGCCCCAAGGCATATATGAGGACTTCACCGTGTAGATGCAGCGCAGGCAGGGAAAAAGCAACAACAAACCACCCCACCAACCCCGCTCATTAGCAAGACCCGATCCCCTCGCTCGAGGTCGCACATCTCCCAGCCGCTCTCTTCGTCCTCTTTGCCGACCGTGGTCTCGTGTTATCCACAACGAGCTTCGTCCCGCGATATCTAAATATAGCACCGTACTTGCTCTTGGCGGGGTTCAATTAGTGCCGGCGCAGTTGCAGAACGTGCACTTTTTTCGGTTAGTCCCCGCGCGCCCAGGCCAGGCCGCCTGGGACCCTGGCCCACGAGCTTCGGCCTTGTTAAGTTGACGACTGAAGCAGGCCGGGAACCGTATGCTTAGATCGGGTAATTCGATCTGTTGTTCCGAGGGTCAGATCAAGATTCTGAGAGCTGTGTTGTTTTCTGTGGTCGCAAGCACTGGTCATGTCTGTCCCACCCATTGCAAAGGCCACACTGCAGGCGGCGGTCATCAATGCTGGGTCGAATGTGCTGGCGCAGGGGATTAAGGCATATAGAAATGATGTGAGTAATGGAATTTCTTCATTCCCGATCATTCGTCCGTGGTTCAGGTCGGGGTGGCCCGGGTTGATGCGCACACGACCTGCCTTAAAGCACGTAGAGAAGGATTGCAGGGCAAAGGACAGCGGGGATGGCCGTCCTTCGCCTATATCCACGATGCCATGCATACCATCGATCCTGACCGTACCACAGATTCCCTTCGAACTGGACCTCCAGGCACTGATGCAATTCACTACCTGCGCCTTCATCGTCTCGCCGCTGAACTATGTCTGGCTCAACAGCCTCGAGGCATCCTTCCCCGGCACAACCCCATCAAATGCAGAGGAGTCCTCCAAGGAAAAGGAGAACGACGGCGCAGGCCCAGATTCCTCCAAGCCAGCGCTCAACATCGCCAACACAATCGCCAAGGTTGTGATCGACCAAATCATCGGTGGCGCCTGGAATACGGTACTCTTCACCCTGACCATGGGCGTCCTACGTGGACACAACCATGCGATCCTTCTCGCCCAGATCCGGGAGGTAAGTCAGCGTTGTGTTGTTTCATTGTGTTCTGTTATAGTGGCCCCCTCCCCCTTCCCAAGCTTTCATCCCTCGGGCTATGGCCTCCGGGGTCAGGGGCGGGGTGGCTCTGTACGTGAGTTAGCCAACCGGACTCCTTACTCCTAGGCTGGAGGATCGCAGGATTGGCCTTGGCACGCAAGAGCCGGTTCCTATCTTCTGATAATGGGTGGATCGACCGGCCATAATTTTGGGGATGTGATGTGTGCATATAGTGACTGATGTCTGATGTCCTTAGGAATTTTGGCCAATCATGGTCGCTGGCTTCAAGCTATGGCCCTTTGTGTCTGTTCTCAACTTCACAGTGGTCCCGGTGGACCAGCGACTGCTGGTATCCAGTCTTTTCGGCATCGTGTGGGCCGTGTACCTGAGTTTGATAGCTGGGTGAGTACAAAGGAGGGATATAAACTCCCGAACGGGCGAAGGATTATAGCGAATCAGGGGGGAAGTCACCTCCCTACACAAGATACAATCGGGACAATCGGGACACATGGCATGATAGATCAGGGAGATAGGAAAAAAATGCAAAGCGATTGTCTACGCTTCTAGTGAGCGCCATAGTGGCTCTTTTTCCTTGCTAGCACTACTAAAGGGGGTTAGCGTTGGGGCCAGATAACCATAATGGAGTCTATTAGGTTCAACACAGGCTCTCGAGTCCTACACTATTCAGACCAAGGCCCCTTTAGGGGAGTACGTGGGGCGTAGATTGGAAACATCTAATACCGCCCCTATCACACGGGACGGGTGTATACTATACCCTCGCCACCATGCTATCTTCGCGCCAAGGCCCCATCAGCTCCTCCAGGCGGCCCCGGGCGCATGGTGTTCGCCAGTCGCCAGTCGTCGGCTGTCACCAAGGGAAATGATGCAGCTGGGCAACCGGTCCCGAGGGAAGGGGATTTGCGCAAAGGTTGAGGTCCTGATCTGGCAACTTCCAGTTTGTTTGGGATTTGGCCTGATGGGAGGTTAGTTCGCCAGTCTAGTGTAGGTTTACTGGAGCTGCGGCCATGTGGTGCCTGTCATGGCGTGAAGATTGGCGTCGCTCATGTGGAGCAGCTAGCAGATAACAAGATATACTACAGCCAACGGCGCCCCAGGACGGGCTTGCAGGAAGGCCCACACTTGGTTCGTGCGCCTCTCAACCGGGAAGGTAGTTGGAATCGTTGGATATTCTCGAAGGGCCGGTCCACACATAATTCTGTAATGCGAACTGGTTACATGGTTTCTTTCAGCACACCACTATGCGATAACGACCGACCCTGTACTCCGACCTTCAGCCGTGCGGAGTGGCGACTAGGCAATCCAATGGATTCCGCCCCTTGGGGCGCAACTCTCTTCCCAATCCCGTGGCGTCCTAGCGTTACAAGCAGCGAATAATAGGCTTGCAAGGGTCTCCCCTGAAGGATGCGCAAATCATGGCATAAGCGCAGCGAATGATCGCCTGGTGACCCTCGTCTGAGTCAGGAAAGCGTGGGACAGACCGGTCATGCTATGGGCCAGGGCCTCTCGGTATCGGGCACGATACCGACTGAATCAGCATCCCACGCAGGATGGCGAAGGATTCCTTCCCCTTATGGCCCGGTCGCACCACAGAATTCGTACAATGGTTTTCATCGGGCGCTGGCCTGGGGCCGGGTCGCGCCGGAGCCGGAGCGGTTCCTCCTGCTTGGGGGGTGGGGGGTGGAGGGGGAAGGTGGTGACAAGTGCGAGCTTTGGGGGCGCGTTGTACTCCGTACATGATAGCGATAATACCAAGTATACGGATAGCGTCTCTGCGTGGACCTCTATACAGATGGTACCGATTTGAGAAGCGCCATTGTGTGGTATGACAGAGTTTAAGATTGATGATTGATCGCGCCGTGCTTAGCCGTCGACTATGAGTGTTCTCCCCGCTGCAAAACGGTGTGCATTCTCTGGGGTGAGTGGCTCGTGTCCAGCTAGTTATTTTTATTTTACGTTTCCTCAGTTCTTCGTGTTGGCGGGCGATCGCCTTCCCGAGACAGCAAGGGGTGGTGCCGATCATGGGACGCGAGGACAAGAATGGATTGTCAAGCCCGAGAGGTATACGAGAAGACAAATTCAGGACGTTCACAGGAAGTTCACAGGAAGTTCAAACGTCCATGAAGTCGCAATATCAGGGGAGAAGACGAGAGAAAACTTGCTGGATTTCCTCGGCCTTCCTCGTAGCCTGAATTTTGCGACTGGGACCATTTGGGGGCTACAATATTTGGCCCCGAGCAGCGGTGGATAGTCACTAGCGGCGTGTTCGTATTGGGCGTACCGATCGTAACGGCGGCATGGAGGACCCACTGGGACCAACTGCTTATTTCGGGGGCCTGAGCAAGGTACGGAACACTAACGGGGCTGTATGATAGCAGTCTGCAACTCGCCCCCATCGTCTGCGCCCGAAATCAAAAGATTGCGCGGGATTTCCCCTTCTCTTCCTCCTTCACTTAGCCTCGACTGGGCTTCCTTTGCATTTCCAGCAGAAATCACACCGAGAGGAATACCAAAGTACATCAACAATCCCAGGATAGCAGCATATTCCAGCATATCCCAGAATATCACCGGATCAGGTCGTCCGACCACAACTCCAAACAAAGAGACCTGCACCTGGCATCACCAACACACCGTGATAAGCCTCTCTGGTCTCCGGCTCCTGGTGCGTCCTTTGGCTATTCTTTTACAGAACACCATTCCGGCCAATAACATCCATAGGTCAACGAGCTAACTGGAGAGGCAGACAAAGCGACTCTCGACAATGCCCGGGCTCTAAGACCCTCTCGACCCGTGGACATCGTCGGCCATTGCAAGATGGTGTCACCTCGGACGTTCCCATTCGCGCGGCCCAGAAACTCCACCAAGCAGAAGACCAAAAAAGGTACTCGGCTGCCACCGCCACTCAAACTCGAAGACAGCTTCCTCCGCGCTCAGGTCGAAAAGGATATCAGCCTGGCAGGCCCGCTCCTCATAGCCGTGCGTGGTAGTATTTCGGAGCCCACAGGAAATACCGAGAACAAAGGCCACACGGAGCTAGAGGAAGTGCCGGTTAACATGGAAGTGTCACTCGCGCAGCCACCACAGGCCGAGGAAGAGCCTGCAGAATGCCCGGAACCTCCTGCGGAGCCGCTGGAGATCCCTACGCCGGAAACAACGAACCATCAACGAGATGGATCGACGGACCTATCCTCCAAGAGAAGTACACTTGAACGATCCACATCCACATTCACACAACCTCGTCCAGTTTCCCCACAAGAATCACTGCGAACGATCATCTGCCTGGATACACCCAACGCCTCCGATGACGAAGAGTCCGATATTTCGCCGCTATCCGACCAACTTCCACTCACAGCATCGCGGCCCGGTGCTGCGCTGCGCCGCTTTTTCCCGGAGCTGTCCTCCAACCATTTCTCTCTGGTGTCCCCGATGGGTACTGGTGCTGATGATCGGAATACGAGGCCGGAGTATCAGTCCATCTCCGAGACCGAGCTCTACGAGCGGGTTCACACCCTGTATAAAAACTCGGCCGATGCCGTGGAGAGCCCTTCGGGCGAGGTGGATCGAGCCTTGGAGCAGAAGACGGGGTCGTCATCTGGCTCGGGCTCGGATGGCATATTCGACTGTGCCTCGTCCTGCTATAGTCGCCGCACTTCCATCACCAGTGTGGGCACCGAGTGTGTGAATCCCGCGACAAATGCCTGCGAAGTCTACTCCATCATCTCTCCCGTCACGGCCGGTGTCTTCGACGATGCAGGGTCGTTGTGCCCTTCGCGGACTTCGTCATTCGCATCGCGAGTGCCATCCACGAAAGCGCCACCCTCGGCCTATCCCGCGAGCTCACTCTACCCGCCGAGCTCGATCCAGCTATCCCGGCGCATCTCGGTTGCCTCGAAGCTGTCGCTGAACGACCTCAAGAACAAGCCCCTTCCTCTCGAACCCGTCCAAGAGCCCAGCCCGTTGGCGATCCGCCGCAACGACTACGCCCCGGTATCCGCATCGACGGAAATATCACGATCGACTGGATTCCACTCGACATATCGTCATCCCAAAAAGCAGCACTCAGCGACGACCTTGAACCGGAAGCAGTTCGGACAGGCATGCCAAACATGCGGAGGATGCGGAGGTAACAGTGGAAATTCCTCTCGAGGTCGTCGGGGCCGACCCTCAGAATGGATGGAAGCGACAAATGGCCAGCGACTACGCCATATCCCGACCCTAGAGCAAGCTGCAGAGGAATTGGAATATGCCTTGGCCGACCTGGCAAAAGATCCGCATATGAAGCAGCGGACCCTGCTAGTGTTGGATGGACCGCTGCAGATCAGTCGGCACAATGGCGACCTAGTCGCGACGCGACCAGCACCACTGCCCCCTCGACCAAGCCACACTCCAAGTCGCACCCATCAAAACCCTTTAAGAAGAGCAAGAGCATCCACACAAAGGTCAAGCCGACTGAAAATGCATTAAAACCTCAATCGGGCACGCTCAAGTCCAAGCACACAACCAAGGACAAATCTCCTCCCCTGCCAGACAAGGATCATCTCAGTAACAAAGACGAGGCCAAGGACAAAACCACCCCCAAACCCCCGAAGTCCCCCAAGACTCCGACGGCCCCCGAACTCAAGGAAGAGAGACGGCCAGCCGGCGGTTCCAACTCCAAACCCACTGAGGACACCAAAAAGCTCAAGATGAAGATGTCCTTTAATCTGAGCATGCCGTCCTTTAAACGCACGCACCACTCCCGGGCGACGACCCTGCAGGATCCCCGTCTGAGCGTCGTGTTGAGTTCGCGGTCCGAGGCTTCCTTGCCAGACCCACCGCACACTCCCGGCCAGACCCGCCCGGACGCCGCCTCGCGACTGTCTTCACACTCAGACTCCAGTCTGGAACTGGATGCAGGCGCGGCCTCCAAGCGGGACGATCTGCTGCTGCAACTCCCGCGCCTGCAGACTCAGGACCTGAATCTCGAGGATCCAGTTCACCTGTTGAATTTGTCCCAGAACATAATTACACAACCCCAGCAGCAGCAGCAGCAACAGGGGGCCGCCCCCTCGTCGTGCGCCCCCAGCCCCAGCCCCACGCACCCGCAACATCAACAGACCCACCCCGCAAGCTCGGCTGCCACGGCGAGCGGCGATGCCAAAGTGTCGACTGTCGAGCTGCGCATCACGCCGCCCGAGGATGGGAAGATCCTAGTCGCCAGTGAAAGAATGCGGCACACGCGCGCGTTTGTCCCGACGGCGCAGGCGAGCAGCGTGCAGCTCCCGTCTGAGCAGATCTACGAGCTTGCAGCCACGCCGCCCTCGCCCTCCTCCGTGATGCAAGCAATATTTGCGGAGAGAGACCAGGTCCGCGTCGACTCCCCCGTCGACTTCCCTGTCAACTTCTCCGTCGACTTCCCCGTCGAGATGCCGGAGCACCTGGTCATCCTGATCATGGAGCGGATCGACTCCCTAGACGACCTGTTCAACTTTGTCCTAGTCAGCAAGCGCTTCTACCAGATCTTTAAGCGCCGCGAGCTGTCCTTTATCAAGAGTGCGCTCTTCCGAATGTCCCCTCCTGCTTGGGAGTTGCGCGAGATGAGTCCGCCGTGGGTGACGGAGTGGCAGCTTTTGCTGGAGCCGGATGCCCCGCTGCCGGAGTATACGCCGGGGCTGTATTTGGATCGGTATGCGCGCGACATTTATACGCTCGCGCAGTTGAAGTCGATGATCCTGGTTCGCTGCTCGCCCTTCTTGCGCCGCGATACAGTCAAGGGTCTCTCCGGCGTGGACCACTTGCGCGCGGAGGAGGTCGACGATGCCTTCTGGCGCATCTGGACGTTCTGTCGCATTTTCGGTAGCGGGAAGGGCCGTGAGAATGATTTGGAGGGTCAGATGGACTGGTTGAAAGGTGGACCGAAAGCCCGCAGCTCCGTTGGGGCGTTGCCGACCATGACCGAGCCCTTTGGCATGAACAATGTTCTATTTGAGCCACCGCAGGGCTTCGCGCGTGGAAACACTCTCGCTGGCCTGTCTGCTAAGCAGCTGTACGATATGACGGAGATTTGGACATGCCTCGGTGTGCTGTTGCAGCCTCTGCATGGCCAGTGTGTTGAGGCTAGGAAAGCTGGCATCTACCGCGGATTGGATGTGCCGGAAGGTGACGCTGTTCGCGAGGAGATTGTGCTCGGTAAGTGGTCAAGCGACAGGCAGCCCATGGAAGTCGACCGGCTAACTCATTTACTTTTCACAGAGGAGTGGACAGCATACGTGCTTACGCTCGGCCTCTCAGCGGCCCTGGCACTCAGCTCGCTCTGCCCTGCCGAAGCCACCGCCGCTACTTTCAACAAGGCCCAATCCGCCGGCCTGACCAAATGGGTGCCCGCCGAAACTGAATCCAGCCGCTCCTCCTTCCTGAAGGAAGCCGTCTCGCGCGTGTACGAGGAACAAGAGCGTTCTCTCTCCTCCAGCAGCCCGCACGAGCCGCACCTCGAGCGCCGCAAGCAATTCCAAGAAGAGCTGCGCACCCGCCGCCTGCGCAGCGGACCCAGCTGCGAAGGTGCACCAGGCATATCCTTCGCCGAAGAGCGTCCCATGTCCGAGTTCAGCACAATCGTTCACGACCTTGACGGGGCCACTCCGCGCGACGCGTCGCCGGTCCCGCCTCTCCCACCCGTCCCATCCCTGACGTTTAACCGCCGTTCCTCCTCAACGGCCAGCGCAGGCCCTCGCACACCCGCCCGTACCCCACCGCGCTCTCTCACCCCCGAATCCATCCTCCCCATCCCCCGCAGCCCGCCCTTCGAAGCCGCCCTCCTGCCCCCGCCGCTCCGCCCGCAAGTCCAAGACCCCGTTGACCGGGCGCTCGCCCACATGGTCAACGAACTGGGCTTTGATCCGGATGACGTGAAATGGGCGCTCAAGATCACCGATACCGGCGAGGGCATCGATGTCGAAGCCGCCGAGCAGCTGCTGAAGCACCAGAAGCGCAAGAACGAGCAAAATCCGTTTGCGCCGCGCGGCAAGGACAGTTTGCTTAGGTCCGTAATGAAGCGCCAAGGCTCGCAGGACTCGGGCTGGCGCTGGGCTTGATCTCTGACCGAGTGAAGCTGCTGTCTGTCTCATTATCTTATCTCTTTTTGTACATTTGATACGCGTTGAGAGCGATGCTTATATTGATTTGCTGTCTCTGAAAAGGACCTGTCTTGTTCTGTTGCGCGTTTGCCTTTCTGTCCTTTTGCCGTTTTGTTTGCATTGTTCGGTAGATCTGCATATTTGGATCCCAGCTCTCCGTTACTCGCGCTTGCACTGATTCCAGAAATTCGCTTCTCTACGCTCTTTGTGCTATATACCCCTGCCATTTTTCTGGTACCATCATGCAGAGGCTGGCTTGCAAAACGCCTTGTGCTTAGTTTCTTGGATTATCGGATTATTTTGAATTGTTTTGAATTGTTTTTGAATGTTATTTTCCTTGCACTAGTTTGTGCTGGCTTGGTGCCGATTAGACTGTCCCCGGGAGAACGGAAATGATCTGTCTTTGTACTGACTACACTGTTGATATCCTACGAAATATTACAATCATGTCACAGATTCTTTTCTCTTTTCAAAGGTCTTCTGAGATGGCTTGATACAATCTACTTTCCATATTTTGCTCCAGGATTGTCTTCTTCGGCCCATTTTTAGTGTTTCCCTGGACATGGTCGTTGCTAGCCGTACCCACGCATTAACAGCCTTACGAAGAAGCATTTGACTCCTTTGTGTGGAACCCAGCTTTACAGCGGCATGGCGGATTCGGTAAGATTGTTGTTATCAGAAAGACCGATAGAGCTAGGCGGAAGTACACCGGTTGGCAAAACAGAGGGTCTGCATAGAACCAAGCTGTTGAGCAAGAAACAAATTGTTCACGCCAGAGCTTTCTAATTTCCAGCTGCATTGTGTCATTGAGTCTGACACCTTCTCTCCTTAGGCCTGCTAGCAATCTTACAATCCAGTCTGCAGTCCGGGACAAATTGTACGAAATGATGGTGCTCCTGCCTATTCCTCCCCACGTGTCTGGCATGCTGAGTGTGTGGTTGCCATCGAACCAGGCAGCTCCACCGCGCCTCTAGATATCGGCTTCGCGCTCATCAGGGGGTCAAGCAGTAAACCACGCTTCTCGATATTGGCTTCGCGGTCAGAGCTTCCAAACAGAGCAGTACCACGCTTCTCGATATCGGCTTCGCGCTCATCAGGGGGGTCAAGCAGTAAACCACGCTTCTCGATATTGGCTTCGCGGTCAGAGCTTCCAAACAGAGCAGTACCACGCTTCTCGATATCGGCTTCGCGGACAGAGCTTCCAAACAGAGCAGTACCACGCTTGGCACTTTTCATTAGGTCGTGTTCTTCGTTGGAAACGTCACGCAGGAGGTTCCCTGTAGGTGCAGCGACAATCAAGGCAGCGTAAAACGTGAGAGCGGCCAAGGAGAGCTTCATGTTGATCAGGGCAAGCTGGCAGAATGCTGATTAGTAGCTGTCGCTAGGTAATTCTAAGAAAGAAAATCCCGTACTGAACTAAATGAGACTGGTTGTCTGCGGGGCTTATTCAGAGATGTGATCTTGGTGTCCGATGGGTTGGCATTCGTAAGCGTTATATACTTCGAGGTACTATAGGATTGTAGGTAATATTCCATATAATCGAGTCGCGTCGAAACGTGTCCCCTGCGCATCACGTAGGGACTCGCCCCCTTACCGGTATTCCCGGAGCGCTGGCACACCGTCATATTCAAAGCAGTCTGCTTAGCGAAGGGAGGATGATTGTGCTTAACACTGTGCAGAATTTTTGTCTGACGACCCTGGAGAATGCAGGTTTGCCTTTTGATGCATTGATTCGCGGTGTAGATTAGGATACAGCTAGAGTCCGCACATCACCCCTAGATGAACGTCATTATTGTACCTATTATTGTATATAGACCCGCTTTGAGCCTTATGCTGATTGGGAGCCCTCAGAGGCATGAGGAATGCGGAAAACTCAAGAGCTGTCGGTAGGTGGGAACGTAGGCCATGCTCTCGAGGTCGTCGATCATTGATCGTCCTGTGCTATTCCACCCCTTCCAATAATGTACCTCATGGCGACCGAGGTGATCCATCAGAAGGTCACCTCAAGTAAGGGCAGGTATGCACACTACACGTCACGTTGGCGGGCTAGCTTGGCGGCCTATGGGCTTCCCTGCACTCATCCCATCCGACTTGCCGTACTCGGAATAACTTGGTTTTTTTGCTTTTGAGAAATCCTCCTCCCACTCGTTAATATTCCTGTAAAATTACTAGTGAGTCAATATTCCCATATTACCACATACTCTTGAAGACTCTCGAAAAGGAGTCACACTATGGCAGGGATCGGTCCCAAGAAACAGTCCTATCGACCGATTCACAGCGAAGACACGGATTCAGAGTCCTCTGACACGTCTAGGTTCATTGAGCCCGAATCTTGCCAGAAGTCCCATCTTCGTCTCATTGCTCCATGGATAGCTTCCACTCTCTTCCTGTCCCTGATTACGGGGTACCTGCTATTCCAGCAACCCCGTTCCTGCTCCGCGTGTCCATCAGCCTTCCGAACCGACCTTCGCGATGCACATGCCTATATCTTTTATGAGGAACGTGTGTTCTCGGGGAAGCTTGGATTCAACGAGGAGCTAGGCAAGGTCTATCGAGATATCGACCGGTCAGAGCCTCAATATGTCGGTCCTCCATCTCCAGAGATTGATGGTGCCTGGGCTGATTTATTACGAGGTATGTCCCCTGTTGGATGATTCGGAGAACTTCTCGGTCTCGTCTCAAGATGGCCACATGGACTTACAAAATGGCGGAACCCAAGGCGAGTTCGTAAGGATGACCGACGAAGAAGCGGCGCCATACACACCAGAGCTCAACAAGGCTCCTTCCTCGGATTATTACCACTTTGAGTGAGCTTCCCAAGGAAAGAGCCCCCTATTCTCCCTTTTCTCTAGCCTAATATTCCTATCTATTAGACCTGATATGTTCCACTCCCTCCACTGTCTCAACGCAATCCGAATAGAACTCGACGAGGACTACTATTCAAAGCATCCTCATCCTCACCACGCCGACCTGGAGCAAGCAATCAGAAATTCCACGAATTTCCCGGATAATTGGGATCGAATCCACCGTGACCATTGTCTAGATCAGCTGCGGCAAGCTATCCAATGTCATGGAGATCTGTCACCGGTCCCTGTGTATCATTATAATAATGACAGAGTCGGGCTTGGAGTTGAGCAGGTTCATACATGCCGCAAGTGGGAGCCTATGCGGAAGTGGATGGATATTCGTAAGGCGAACCAGCAATGAAAATAATGATATTGTGGAACAGAAGTACAAAAGCGGAAGAGAGAAAAGAAGAAACAAGAGTCGAAAGATCGAGACTAACTGTCTCAAGTTACATAGCAGACTACACTCCCCCCCGGGAATGGGATGACCCATTCGGTTTCCTCTTACCCTGGCCATCTTGGCGCAACTTGCCCCCCCCCCCCCCCCTCCTCTTGATTGCGTTGGTGTCTTCAAGATCAGGCCACTGCAGTCAAGGTACCTTCGTATGGCCAGCGCTCGTTCACGATATACATGAGAATTCTGTGCGGATATGAATGAGCAGTTGCTAGAACGAGCTAGGCTTAGCAATTCGTCACTGCCGATCCATTGATTCCATGCCTTTGGTACAGTTCAGGGGGAACATTGTCTGGTCTGTATTTGAAGTGGTATGTTCCAATGAAGTGGCCTAGAAGGTCTAGGACGTGTCTACAAAATACTGCGATACAGAGATCCAAGACCATGCATTCGCACTAAAAGCTGATCTATCAGATCCTCACTATGTATTAACAATTACCCATTCCAGAACAGGCCTAGCAACAAACACCCAAACAAACCCCAGAAGGAAAACAAGAGAAGACCTTCATCGAAGGAACGATAGCCATATATAGGTCACAATCACATAGCGACCCCATTAAACCCCATTAAACACCCCATCCACTCGAGAAGAAAGAAAAAGAAAAAAGAGCAAAAAAGTCGAAATGAAACAAGAAATCAAACCAAAAACGCCATCGCTGCGAATGCCAGACGCCCGGGATATCTCATCAAGTGCAGGAACCAATGACCAAACCTATGAGAGCCGGACCGGAGACGTTATGGGATCAAACAAACAGATCCTTGTAAAGCAATAGTAACAGCAAACATGACTTGTATCAGTACCAAACGCCAGGGACAATGAGGTTGAACGGACAATGCATGAGATGCCGGGGTATCAGGGCCAGCTAGCTGGCTGGGTTATGTCATGCAGGGAATGGAGGTGGGAAGAGTGGGGTGTGGGTTCGAATGGGGGTCGGGTCAGGGCTGGGTGGCTTTCGGGTGGGCGTGATGTGATTGAAAGTGGAAAATACACAGGGGGAAGACAAACTATGCACTCGAAACTTTGAACCCATGACAGGAACGCACGCAAAGGCACATCTCAGGCAAAAAGAGACTATTGCAGCTCTTGCAGGTCCAGTGTCGGCGGCGCCCAGTCTAGTTGTGGAGGCTTGTCGGTTGAGTTTGACACGCACACAGGGCGCATCGAGTCCACACGCCGCTTCTCCTTCAAAGCACTGCCCGTCAAAAAGCCTCGCAGGGTGGATGAAGCCATGCCATAAGTACTGCGGGCGCTACCGGTTCCGGTCGAGACGGTACTAGAGCTGCGGGCGCTGCGAACACTACTCGCCTTGGTCACTGCCGATGGCACGGCCGGGACGGGTAGGGCCAGGCGGGCTGAGGACGGGCTCGACGGGCCATACTCTGGCGGAAGGATCTGCGGTGCGCGGGCGGTTTGGGGTCGCAGATCCGGCACACTCTTCATCCGGCTCGCCTTGGGTTGAACCTTGAGTTCTACTGGTTGGCTATCGCGTGTGTTGACTCTGGTGAGGTGAATGGGTGATGCGGTGTCATCTGGTGGAGAGCCATGGATTTCATCTGTAGATACGGCGACCTCGAACTTGATGGTTTCGAGCATTGTGCCCAGGCTCGCGGCGGTCGCGGGTCGGCCGTCACTAGCGGCGTCGTCTGCTTCATCCGCGATGCCATGAGCAAGATTGTAGTTGCGGAGAAGGTAACGGCGTAGACGGGCCACTTCTATGTCCCACTTGTGCTGCAATGACTGCAAAACCAAGTCTACGTTCTGGCGGGCAAAAGTGGTTGCCGTTGCCGCCTCCAAAGGCGAGGACACTGTGTGCGCCGGTGGGCGCTTGCTGAGTCGATGGCTGGCAGTACTAGAACGGACACCCATAGCCGCATGCAGGGAGCGGCGGATAGAGCTTGCCGTCGAGGGTTGGACGTTACTAGCGTCCCAGCGAACATTGTCAACCTCCCGACGGACCTTGTCAAGTGAGAGAACCCTGTCTCGATCCATGCAAGAAAGGCTGAGGAGAGTGCGATTGCACTGCAATCCGTTCACCAAAACGGTGAAGGATTGCAGGTTGATATCATTGTTTTCGCAGTGCACTTCACAGAGGGACGTATTCTCCTCCAAAACCGAGGCAAGCGTATTCGCACCTTGGAGACCGAGCTTCTGGTGCTCGATTCGAAGCACCTTGAGAGATGTGTTCTTCTTCAGGCCAGTTAGTGCCAGATTGAGACCGATTCCGAACCGGGCAACATCGAGATGCGCGCTCTCCCCGCTGATGTCAAGAGCTTCTAGCGTATCATTCTCCTCGAACATCAACTGCAACAATCGGCAGGTCTCAGGGCCTGCATCATAAGGGAGGGAGGCCTTTGAGATATCTAGGTACCGTAGTGTGCGGTTCTTGTGAAGCGAATCAACCAGTAACCGAAAATGCTCTTCTTTCTTAAAATCGATCATCTGCATAGATAGATGCGAGGGGGTCATATTCTTGCCAATGGCATCGAAAAGGAACGAACAGCCATCATCCAGGCGGTTCTCACTGACATGTAAGTGAAGGCTGCGTGGAGAGTCTGGGTCGGTAGACATGGAGTGCATGAACATAGCCACATCTTCTCCGCTCAGGCCACACTGGTCAAGGCGAAGCATGCGGAGGTTGCGTGAGCGGTCGCTAGCCAGGTATGTGGCAATCGAGTCCACAGTTTCGCGATTGACAGCCGTCCGGCTGAGAACCAATTCCTCAAGCTGCCAATTAAATAACATTTCGGCCGTAATCAATGGGTCGGGGCCCGATGTGCGCGAAATGCGAGAGAGATTGATCTTGCGAATTTGTCCGAAGTATCCAATGTACTGCTGGAGGACATCTGGGTTCAAACGACCCTGCACTCCCGAGATATTGATGACCTCAAGCGTATTCTCTTGAGCAACCAGTGTAGACAGCAAAAGGTCCAGATCATGCACCGACAAGCCACAGTCACCCACCTCGAGAGCTCGCAAATGGCTCCGCTTCTGCGACGCCGCATCCACCAGGTAGTCCAGATCCGACTCACCAAGCTTGATACCATTTAGCACGACCCAGTCCACGCTGGTCAGTTCCCGACGACAGGCGGGGAAAATGGCCTCTGGGATTCCGCAGCCAGGATCCCGACTACCCTTGTCCAGAGTCGGGGTTCGGGTGAGGCAGTATGCAAAGTCGAGTCGGCGCAGACGTTTACTCTTCAATGCCAACGCGCGCACTTCCTGCGACAGTACAGTCAAATTTGCTTGGCCTGGGATCTGTACAAGGCATCCTGATCTGTCGAGGTGTACATTGGCATCCACCCCGTGGGCATCGCGCAGCCCCTGCAGAGCGTCTAGATTGATGCCGCGGAAGGATATTGACTGGAATGACTCATTATATCGAAGCGCGCGCATAACCGCGATCAATTCCAGCGCGCTGTATCGTGAGTTCGTCAGGGAAGCCGGCCGGAGGAGGCGGAAGCACGGGGCATCTTCGCACTCCAAGTCAATTGTGTACCGAATGTTGGATGTATCGACATCATAGCTAGCAGAATAAGCAACCAATGTTCGGTCAAAGCAGCCATAGTCTTCGTCTAGGGCGACAGGCGGGAAGTTCTCGTCGTTGTGCAGTTCACGCGGAACAACAAAGTCGTACGGCTGCCTTGTCCACAACGGGCGCAGGAACTCGGTGTGTTCTCGAATCCAACAAGCGATCTCCACCGAATGGACGGAGGCCAGGAACACGTTGAACGATTTCCGCAGTGGGACCCTGAATTGATGTTTTAGCGAGTGACCCGGCAATGGAATATTCCCCCAACAAGCCTTACCGGAAAGTCAAGTGGAGACTATCATCGCCGTACTCCATGGATAGCCCGGTTAAATTCATGAGACCAAACGAAGCACCTGTCTCCAGATCGGACAAGGACACCACTGACGACCGATTTGCTGCCTTCTGCATGGGTACTAGATGGACCTTATGTAAACCGACTGCCAGATAACAACCGGTCGGCGACAACTTTGTAAGATCGTCCGAGGACGAACGAGTGGGAGACTTGCTGGAAGCAATCTGTATGACGCGGAACATCCGGAAGGCGTCCGGATCGTAATCTCGCTCGTGTTCCATCATCCTGGTCACATACTCGACCGAGCCCCGATCGAACGGGAGGGGTTCGTTTGACCGCGTTACCTGCGCCGCTTGGCGGATGCCAACCATCCATAGATTCAACTCTTGGGGATCAGCGGTCTGCATCTGGACCAATGCCGCTTTATGGGTGCGTTCATCAAGATAAGCCACCTCGACGGTAGGGGATAGTCGTGCATCCTCCAGCATGTAAACGGCGATAATACTGTTCAGCGGAATGCCTGCCGACGCGTCGGTGGAAACCATCAGCTGCATGTCCTGCAGCGAACTGATCGAGGCCACAGATTGGCGGTGCGACGCCGGGGCCCGGGCATTATAAGAATGCGGAATTGAAGGGAAGGCGTCGGCCGCCTTGGCCTGGTTCTTGAACCGAACTAGGTGCGTGTCGGTCAGGACCAGGTACTGGCTTTTCCGCTTCCACATGCCGCCCATCGTCTGGACTTCACCGTGGTGGAGGATTGCAGACGACCAGATCCCATTTCGAGGACTGATTGCGCTGTGCGGTTCATCTCCGGTCGAGGCAACGGAGGCGCTGAGGGGATCGTCGTCTTCACAGGAGTGCAGCGACCTCAGTGAGCCAAATACAGAGGCACGCTTCTTCTGCAATGACTTTCGCCGCGGGCGAGGAACCTCGAGGGTCGGCGTCGGCGCGGACATGGCTGCGGACCAGGCAGCTGTGTCCGAACCCGCCGTGCCCGGTCGACGGAGGACATTGCCTCCGCCCGACCATCTGCTGGGACTTTGGGACCGGCCAAAGAAACCTGAATTGCGGCGGGCTTTCTTCTCACGTGTGAGGGTATCATCGGATGGAGTGCGGGCATGAAGAGCGGGCCGAAGAGCCTGGGCCGATGCGGAGGAGGATGGGCTAAACACGCTCAGGCTTTTTCTTCGTTCTTTCTTGCCTATGATAAATTCGGCCATGGTCGAAGCAAAGGTAGCCGGTGGAAACTGAGGGGGGTGGGATTGTTGTTGAAGCGAATGTGAGCGTCGAGGATCGAGACCTGCGGCGCGGAAGCGGAATTGGTGAGAGAACCGTGCTGATTCTCATCGACGACCCCAACGTCGTTCTCACTGGGAGATCAGCCGGTCAGTATTACAATCCAATCGCCATGCTGAAGCGCTATGAGAAGGGTGAGAAGCTCGAGAGTTGGGGGAGGTAGATTGAAAAGCGGGGGAGGGCCGAGGGGTCGGGGAGGTTTCAGGCACGTACAGTCGACCTTCACGGCGCCATGAGAAGCAATTGGGTATTGGCGAGATACTCGGTATAACAAGGGGCGGTCCACCACCCGAAGCAGCAGTTGGATATACCTAGGTGGAAAAAGAAATCCCAGACGCGTCCGCCACCAGTCAGCAATGTGGCGAGGGAGAAGAGCGGGTTGGGTTGATGGTTGCACCGGGCGAGGTTGAGGGTCGCCGGAATGGGGGAGTCTCGGAGCTGCCCCCAAACACCCAAAACCGGAGAGCACCTGGGGAAAAGGCCTCAAAAGGGCGGTGATCCAGTTCAGTCGACCCGTCCGATGCACCTGTTGCTTGTCGAGAAAAGGCTAATCCGACCGTGAATGAGGTCAGTGGTGCCGATCAACGCGCAGGGCTTATTACGAAAGCCCTCGAGGTGCGGCGATTGTTGGAGCAGGGGTCGTCAATCTCCCGAAGACCAAGGTAGGACCCGGCTGGACGCGAACAGCCAGGAAAATGACGGGCGCAGCGATAGGGTGAGGATCGAAAGAGTGGCTGGTTTCTCGCAGAGGCGAGGAGGAAAAGGAGGTGAGGAATGAACGGATGCAATTGAACACTCGCCCCAAAAGCCTCGATGAGCATCTCGTGTTTCAGGTTCGGTCGCGTTTGCGTTTTTTTTTCTAGGCCGACGTTCTCTTCTCTTCTTTCTTTTTCCGATGTGTCCCTCTAACGGTGCAATTTCATGCTTCAATTGGCTCGAGTGCGCAAAACCGGATTCCCACATGAGCTTCGTCCTTGTTTACAACTGTATGACGATATGCCTATTGGACTCCCTAACTTTCCCCTCAAGCTGTGCCGGTCAATACTGTCGACCGCACCGTGTAGTATACAACCAGCGCGCCATAGAAACGCCCACCGCCATATGCTGAGACAATGCGTTCGCTACATGTCGAATTGCATCCGCATGCACGCCCCAGCCACGTAAGAGGCGTACTCCACCCTCCCGTCGGCAAAGACTCCTCCGTATCGATGGTGCATAGTACAGCCCGCTATGACAGGGTTCTTGAATGGACGAACGCTTCCGAACCGTCCTGGTCCCGCGCTAGGTCCACGTATAGTTCCTAGCTGATATGCGGACTCACTATATCCACTACTCTATACGCTATACGGAGTCCACTGCCCTGGTACACATACTGATGCAAACAATAAACGGGACTATGGCCAAGTTATCTGCAATGACATCAACCGGGATACCCTAATAATCTCCAGGGTCGATCTCCCCTGGGGATCCACCAGGATCGCCCAACGTACGCACTCCACGCGCTGCGATGGGACGGTGGACGCTCCAAGGGGGGGTTAATCGGACGTCCCCTGGCCGACGGAAACGGAGATCCTAATAGATCGACGGACGCCACAGGAACCATCGCGTTCTAAGGGGCTCGTCAAGTCGTGACAACGAACTGCGTCATCATCCCCGGCGACGTCGTTGTCCGACAAGCAACATGGATTGCCTTCGCATGTACATGTGGTTGCTTTTGTTTGTCCCGAGAACCGGCGGGATCCGCGCACCTGGAGAAGCCATTGATTCCCACGCACACCATGTGGACTGTTTCCCCACCCCCGAAGAGAAGCACCTCAAGAACGATACATTCTCTGGAGTCGTTCCTCCTGCTCCGTCAGCAAGACCGGGTAAAGGGTGCCAGAAGCACGAACGACGATGACTGCCTTGGTTACAGAGGTGGTTCGTCAAATCCTTCTCAAAGTCTACGGACGAGAGCCCTGCGCCCGCTCCGCCTGCAGTCGCTCTGCGCGCTTGATCCGCCGCACAATCTCGATATACTCGGTCACACGTCGCTCGGCCCAGATGCAGCCCCCTAGGGTCATCACGGCGATCTGCAGAAAGACCTTGAACTGCGGTGTGAGACCGCGGTACACGCGGGAAGTCGGTGAGATCCACTCCGAGAAGCCCTCAAGGGGTCTGTAGAACAGGCGAGAGCGGAGATATTCCCGGGAGAACGCGGACGGGCGCGGACGGGGCTGCGATTCAGCCGCCGCGGTGGTGGGTGGAGTTGGTGCGGAGAAGGTGAAAGGATGGGGGAGGATCATGATCATATGGGCCAGGATGGAGACGGAACCGAACTGTACGTCAAATGTGAGCAGGAATTTAGAGGTAGGTACCTGTTGCAGTTGTTGGAAGTACATACGCGGAACACGCCCGTCATGAACCCCTTCGCGGCTTCCGTAGTAAGCTCCGCCGGGGGCTCAATGTCTGCTCTGTGGTGTGAAGGTGGTGGCATTGTGAGCGTAGCCGGATATTGGGAGGAGGCGCTAGCCGTCAACCTTTCTCGGACAAATGAGAGTCCAATTGCTGTTCGACTTAGGCACCGGACGCGGGGAGAGGAGATGGAGGGGTTTCCCGAGCGCTGTTGCTCTATCGTGCAGGGTAGCAATCCAAGAGATCCAACCAACAGATTAAGTTCATTCCGAGCTGTGGCAGGCAAAGCTAAAAGAAAAGATCTGGACCAGCCAGATTAATTTTGAGAGGGAGAGCTTTCCCAAAGCAAACCCCGAAGTCGCCGAAGTGACGCAGTTCGGATCAACGATAATCCCGATAGCGACTCAGATAGAAAAGAAATCCGATTATCAACTCCACCAGGCCGTGAGTACTCGACTTCCGGTAGAGTCATCCCGCAACCTCAATTGCACCTCCCGAAACCTCCGCCGCCAGCATGTCTCTCGCCGCTCGCACCGCAACCGTCTCGCGGGTCACCAACGAGACCAAGATCCAGGTCTCGTTGTCCCTGGATGGCGGCGTTCTCCCACCGTTCGAGCCGATGGCGCACTTCCCCCCGCCAACTGACCCGGAGGAGGCGGAGGCCGAGAAGAAGGGCATTGTGCCCATCAAGGGTGCTCACCATGCTACACAGTTCACACCCACCCAGCAGATCACCATCAGCACGGGGATCGGGTTCCTGGACCACATGCTGCACGCGCTGGCGAAGCACGGCGGGTGGAGTCTGGCCGTGCGGGCCAAGGGCGATCTGTACAGTGCGTGATCCCCTTACCTCTCAGTCTCTGCAGTTGCAGCCTCAAGCCTTGGCCACGGACACTTCCATGATCATGACTAACCACCATTTCAGTTGATGACCACCACACAACAGAGGACACCTTCCTCGCCCTCGGCACCGCCTTCACAAAAGCCCTCGGTGCCCGGCAATCGCTCGCCCGCTTCGGCCGTGGCGACGCGCCCCTCGACGAGGCTCTGTCCTGGGCCGTCATCGACCTGTCCAGCCGCCCCTGGGCCGTGATCAACCTCGGCTTCAAGCGCGAGAAAATCGGCGACCTGAGCACCGAGATGATCACCCATGGTCTGCAGAGTTTCGCGCAGGCCGCCGACGTCACGCTCCACGTTGGCTGCACCTACGGCGATAACGATCACCACCGCGCGGAGAGCGCGTTCAAGGCTCTGGCTGTTGCGATCCGGGCTGCCACTGCGCGCCGTGTTGCGGGTGAGGTTGGTGCGGGCGATATTGTTAGCACTAAGGGTGTGCTATAAACTGTTTGATGGTGGTACAGACGATTTGCATGATGACGATATGGTGTGATGAGTTGATATACCTCGAATTTCGGGTTTCACGTTTGATTTGCTTCGTGTATAGACTATTTTAAAAAATTGTGGGAATACAATACAGTACATTCTCCATCGAGAGAGTCAATGACACCTCCTAGTATACTTTCTTTTATCAACCATAAGACAGCCTCAGAACCGTTGCACGGGTATCTCTTGATACTTAATTGAGCTTGTTCGCCTACGAAGCTTGAGTTCCTCGGGCAAGAGAAAAGAGCGCCTCCACAACTACACCTAGGTCGGCCTGTGTCATCATCCATCAAATCACAGAGAGAATACCTTGCTCAAGTCATCACGAATCCAATGATTGGGAGAAATAGGATTGAGTCAAAGCCATCAAGCATCAAATCTCATTGCAAATGCAACCGCAAAGCTCCATGCTAATTCTCACCCATAACCGATACATAACTCATAAAAAAAATATAAAAAATTCAAATCAAAAAACACCGAACACCGAACACCGAACACCAAATCCCACATCGAAGAGCCAGCTCCAACAGGCAAACAGCAAGCAGGCCACGCCTTCCATTCCCACGTCCAAGTTCCATTTTCATTCCCCACACGCCGTCAAACACCCAGCGCTTCAACAGCCCTTTCCCAGTAAGCTCTCCTCTCATCCGTAACACTAGTACCCACACAATCACTAATGTACCGCTGCCAGCCCTCGTCATCGCCCTTCTGCAGCGCAGTCCGCACATCCTGCGAGCACTGCGTCGTCAGGAACCACGCACCAGAGCCGAAGTCAATGGCCTTATCCGCGCGCAGGACATCTAGGAGGCCAGCCGGGTCGTCGGAGACGGAGTCTAGTTTGTCGGAGAGGGACGGCAGCGATGAGGCGTATTTCTTGTTGTAAGATGGGGATTGCATGTTGCGTGCTGGAAAAGTGTTAGTCCTTGCTTTACAAGACAAAAGTATCTGTGTATCGGCGTGGGAGCGCGGCCAGGCTGGAAGGTGAAAGTGATGTCGGGTAGTTATAGATAGGTGTATAAGTACTTACTGCCCTGCCCGGCCACGCCGGGGAAATGATTCTTGTTATACTTGAAGTCGCCGCTCTCAAACGCCATCAGGCTCAGGACAGCCGCCTGTTCCGCCTTCGAGGTCACGCTGTACGTGTCGAAGGACTGGGCCGTGTACGTAGCGGCGGTGTTGGCGGTTGCGCACTCGCCGGCGGCGGGCGGGTTGTCGCATGTGTCGGAGCTGGGGGCGATGGTGAGGACTTGGGATTCGGTGATGGAGGCGTCGAGTTTTATTTTGTGGATTTTGTGGAGTTTGTAGACTTTGTGGGCTTTGTGGAAGGGGTGGAAAGGGAAGGCGCTTGTTAGGGTGAACGCCAGGGAGAAGAGGGCGATCAGCTTCATAATTGTTGGTTGCTCGTTTGGAAGGTGGTTCGTTCAGGCGGTAGGATAGGATAAGAAGAGTTGGAGAGATGGTTAGGTGTAAATGAGCGAGGACAAAGGACTATATAAGAGGGAATGAATGGAGACAATGGCGGGCAGGCTCAAGGCAGGGCGATCAGAGAAGAAACAAAGGTCTCGATATAGCTGATCTAGCCAAGCAGCTAGATAATTTTCATATGCTTGTCGGATACAGAAGTAGAGCCGGCCGACAGGGATGGGCATCAATGGCTTATATACGCCCTCAATCGCACCTCATCCACCATGCTGGCCACCTGATACAATGTGGCGACGAAACAAGGGCACACATAGCATCGCAACGCTGGGAAGAATCAGCTCCATTCTAATGACAGGGGGCAAAGAGGGGTGCTGAATCTCAGGGTTTGAATGGGAGCGATCCCTCCCCCCATTGCGGGGAATGCAACGACGCGGAGGTATGAGGTAGGTATGAATGCTACACGCCGCCACCACCAAATCCACCACCACTCGCCAGTATGTGCTAGTGACTACCCCTCCCTAGCAGTATCTACCACACGACTCGTCAAACACGAAAGGCCCTGAAACCGCGTAGCCCCATGTGCGACCCAGTCAAAAAGCTTGGAAGCATGGTCTTCGCATGCGCGGCCAATGCAAGGCACGACGAACCTGTCATTGGTGAATAGAGTTAGGGTTTCAGGGTCGCGTTTCAAAGTCCTGAAACGTTGAGAACGTTTTTAGGCGGCTATGTTACGTATCACATTTGGGGACCGGGCTTGTATTACCTAAATACTGTGTACAGTTATCTCGTCAAATGTTCGTAGATCTGGGGTTTTATTTCTATCATCTTTGTTTACCCCAAGGCTATTGGGAGGTTTTAGCTCTGCAACTGCCATCGCTCGCTCAAGTAGAAGAGGAAAGGTCAGCTTGTGCCCAACCCCACGTAGTCAGAGATGTGAATTGATTGATTTTGATATCATTCATCAGAAAAATATCTGGTCACAAATGTCCATGTCCAAGTTCAAGTCCATCTCCAGTGTCAAGAGTCAAATCCAAATCCAGATCCCGTGTGTCGTCTCTCTTCTCCCACGAATCGAAGTCTAATAGTGTTTACAAATTGATAATCCAAGTAATAAAGGGGGGAGAAGAAAGAAGGGAGAACCGAACAGACCAACAACAGGAGGGAACAGACCCAAGACGCAACACGCATCAGTCCACTCCTTCATGCTCCGTTTTCGGAGCAATCGAATCAAAATTAGAACCCAAGTGCTCCAGGTTCAAGTCCGCAATCCCGGATCCCGCCACGGGACAGCTAAGACAAGACACCATGCATGCGCTCCCAACAGGAAACGAAAAGAAGCCTCGACCCGCTCAAGAAAAATCCCAAGAAACAGATCGAAACAAAGCAAAGCAGAGCGAGGTCCAGAAAAAACCAGAAAAGCCAGAGAGAATTATACAGTAAATGCTGATGTGATGCAGATCGTTATCCAGGACGTATCGATGCAACAAATAAACAGATGATGGCGATGGTGGGGGTGAGGATGGGTGGTTTCGGACGGGAAAGTCACGTCGAAGAAACCACCCAAGGAGGATTCAATTCGATTGAATCGAGTGTTGACCAAGGCTGAGATGAGGAAGGTGATTTAAAAAGGGGGAATGTGGAATCGCGCGCCAGCTCCCAAAAGCAATAATGCACAGGCGAATCAGTCGTCGTGGCGGTCGAGCTCGTACGAGGTCTCGGTGGTTCCGCCCACTTCCTCGTCTTCCTTGAAGCTCACGCGGCGTAGCAGCGTGGGCATCATGCGGCGAGCACGGCGGGAGGGCGAGGACGACAGCCGTGGGCTGATAATGGTCGGCACCTTGGTGTAGCGGTAGCGGTACCTAGCGCCGAGGAGCATGATGCGGCCGTATGTCCACCAGAGGCAGATGCCGACGACGCCGGCGACGATGAAGCCGAGGAAGGTGAGCAGCATCCAGTGTTGACCCATCTGCAACAATACCAAAGCATTAGCGATTGATTGATCGGGTTAAAAAAAGAAAGAGAACAAGACAGCAGGTGAGGCTTACCCAGAAAATCAGGTGCGCGTCCTTTCCGTGCCAACTGTTACCAGTGTGATGCGTGAAAAAGCTCCACGAAAACTTGTTGTACTCATCCAGCATCAGGATGCGCACGCGGCCTGCCTCGCTGGGCTTGTCCTGCATGTACTCCTTCCAGATTACTGATAGGAACAGCGGGCCCGTCGAGTACATGACCGTGATATAGGGCAGCACCCACTTGCGGTCGTATTGCTGCAGCAACTCTATCACGCGCAGGAAGAACGGATGCTGGGGCACTGAGCCCATGGCGTCGTTGGAGATACCTGTGGGCACAGTGCGGCGCACCCACGCGGGGTACGCGAGAAGCGGATCTAGGCGACGGTTGCAGCCCTAGTGAGAATGTTAGAATCGATGGAGTCAATTGAAACCAAAAAGGGGGAAAGGGTTGTATGTGGTGTTGAGTAGGTGTCTGAGGAATGGAGAACGTACATCGTCCAGGTCGATATAGGTGCCGCCGTAGTGCGCGAGCACGAAATAGCGGATGGAGTCTGCGCGCTGGATGGGGTACTTGTAGCCTTCGAAAGTGGCGAGGAACCAGGGGTACTCGGCGGCGATGAAGTCGCGTGATTTTTCGTCGGTCCAGAGCTGCGCAATTGGTTAGCCAAACGGCCCTTCCATTCTCAAACATCAACTGTTCAAGGTTCCCGGTCACTTACAATATACTCATAATCCGGGTGTAGGTCAATGCAGCTCTGCCGCGCCTCACGCCACACCTCAGGAATGGTCTCGTTCTTGTAGGTCTGGTGAATGATCTTGGGGATGATCTGGGGCCTCGTTTCGATCAGGCTAGAGTTGGGGGAAGGCAGCTCGGCACGGTGGATCGCGTCGGCGGCGGCATCCTCGACGAGTAGAGAAAGCAGGGTTGAGACGCTGCGAACCAGGAAAGTGAGAATGAGCAGGTTCACCAGGATGAAGATCAGGAGACCGCGCCGCATGGTAGGCGAGTGCGTGCGACTCTGTGGCGAGTGGTGTGGCTGTCCGGGAGGGGTTTAAATAAGGCGCGGAGTGAACAATTGGGGGTGGCGCAACTGAACAGGCGGAAGACAAGTCGTTAAGTCGTGTCTGGAGAGGGACTCGCGGGCCTTGGGCCGTGGGGAGGGGTCGATCTGGTCGATCTGGAGACAATCTCCTCGGCGTTCGTGGTGAATGGAGGGAGGGGGCGTCGGGGGGTGGAGGGGTTGCAAGAAGCCACTTTGTTAACAGACGGGGATCATGGACACGTCTGGGCGAATGCGCATCTGAGGAGGGAGGTTCAGAGAGAAATAGAAATGGAGGATAGGGTCGAGTCGCGTGGTTGAGAGGTAGTCGTAGGGAGTGAGGGTTGGCGGGTCAGCCAGAAAGAGCTCGCGGGAAGGAGCACAGACGGGCTCGGTGGATGGCGGAAACACGAGCAAATTAATAGGGGAGGATCTTCCGGGAGGATCTTCCACGATAATAAGGAGCGATAGGTGGGGAAAGACTAAGGCCAAAGCAGAAAGGAGTGAATGTTGAGAGTAAGAGGAAGTCAGAAGGTCAGACAATCAGAAAGTCAGAAAGTCAGAGCGGCGGAATGGCAAGAAAAGCATGTCCAGGGGAGATTAACCTGCGGTACTCCGTACTCTCTCCAGGAAACGGGTAAACTACCAGTAATACCGGTACGGGGGACGGCGGATCGATGCCAGGGGGCAAAAGGCAAAAGGGCAATGTCAGGCATTTGGTTGGTGCTCATCCCCACTTGGTTGCGCGGGACTGCGTGGTGAGTGGGTTGGGCCCATGAAGTTTACTTATTTTCCTTCTACTTTTCTTTTTACGCTCCACCCGCCGGCGGCACCTCCTGACTGGACCGAGGCTGACCAGCGTGGCTGTGGCCGGATGATCACTCAGAGTGGTGATTGGCTGGTGCGGCCCTCCGGTGGGGCGAATCCTTATTAGTGGGTATTCTGTGTATTCTGCTGTATGTCGATGTACACGGCGGTCAGCGTGGTGGTAATGTTGGGTATTTTTCATGGAACGGCGCCACGGGCGGGCTGCGATCGCCTGCGTGGGCCGGCTGGGTGGAGTGACTGGCCGGGCTAGTTTCATGCTGCATCTGGTTAGGGTTGGCGCCAGGTTACGCACGCCTGTCCATGCACACATCGTGGCTGCCTTGCCCCCAAACTCTAGGGAAGGCAGTGCCGTGGCGGAGATTAGGCAGTCAGATACTGATATTGGGGGATGTATCATAAGGCGCGTGGAGCATGGAGCATGGAGTAGTCCATACACCGCTCACCTGTGCTATCTTTAACGATGCTCTTCCCCATATCTGCACGATGATGCTCAGCACGCTTGGCACAGCCATTTTCGGGGCCGAGGTTCGCGTATTGACTGGTATAGACTATCGCGCCTAGTCCCTATCGGGACACTGCTCTAGACCCCTTGGGGCGATGATGCCTGAGGTTGCAGTGGCAGGCTACACCCCGAGGTTTCTGTCGTGTGCCGAGTACCTGCTTTTCAGCGAGGTCCCATCGGCTGTCGGAGTCACCGCCACCGATCCGCGACATCCCGAATGTGCAGGGTGTGGCGTTCCCACGCCAATCCGGCGACCGTTGCGGCGGAAAGGCGTCCAAGGCCGCAGATAAGCCTATTGGGCTGGCCCAGTGACAGTGCCTCGTCCTGAAAATATCTGCAATGGCCTAACTCAGCAATCAGTTCGGCCGAACGCCCTCGCAAGGTATACTGTAATTATATTCTGCCCCATACCTCCCATGCTGCAACTACAATACTAAATGTACTGTAGTTGGTCCACCAAAGGATACTATTGAAGTGTCTACTGGGCACGGTGCAGGAGCCCAAATTAAACACCCCTACCCTACCCCCCAACCCCCAAATCAAAGCAAAAGAAAAACCAAACCCTTTATCCTTTATCCGCTCCGTGCATCTGCCTCATAGTCTAACCACGTCCCGTAACTACAGTAGTTTAGTTGATTCTTCCGTACGGGGTGCTCACTTGAGTCCGGTCGTACTCGTATCACCGTATCTACCGTATTACTGGGGACAAAGAAAAAAGCGAAAAAAAGCAAAAGGGAACCACTCCACTTTTCATCCAATCTATTGTCAACAGCCTCGTCAGCAATTAACCTAACCGTACACAGTCTAGACCAATGCCTTAAATAGCATAGAAGGAAACCCTACAAAACGCCGAACACCGTTCGCCGGATAGCCAGCGGCCCACAGACCCTCAGAACCCCTAAATAATCACGAACAGCGCCCTGGTACGCTCACCAAACGGCGAAAAATTTGCAGGGCTGCTGGGGCGGTTGTTGCTGCCGGGTGAGGGTAGGATTTTCCGATAAGTCCACTGCTGCGTCGGGATGAAGTACAATCGAATGCGAATCTGTGTCGTGCTAGCCCTAGGTTCGCGACACTCGTGACTAGGGAATCTTTCCTGGGGGTTCTCCCGATCGCGATTGATAAAAATCTAGATAGCACTTGCAACGTAGCTCATTTGTCAAAGGCTGTGCTCCGCAGATAGGAGGTGGACTGTAGTGCACCACACCATACACGATGCTTCTTTCTCTTGTCGGGTTGGGCTATACCGGCTGTATACTCCCCTTCCAGTCCTTGCTGATGTCTGTCGGTTTCGGTCCGAACAGCCAAATGCCGGCTCCCTTCTGTCTGAGTTGGTTCCGTTCTCTCCAGACTCCAGATTCCTGCCCCATCGACGCAAGATCGGCGGCTGGAGACCAGGATATGATGTGAGTGGTCAGGCCGCAGCGGGAAACGACCCTGCCACGCACGCGTCCTGCCCACTTCGGAGTACAGGATAGCGCGCGGAGTCCTACTCCAGATTATCGTTGCCTTTTACTTACAGTGTACTCCCCCACCGAGACAGGGCGCACGGTAGTTTCCCCAGCGACGGGGCGCGGTTGGGCCATGTTGTGTAGATTGAACATTCACCGTGACACGGTTCTCGCTGATCGCAAAATAGTGCGGTATTGCGCCGCTTTGGGTGCGATTCAGGTGATGATGCACACCGTTGCCGTTCGCGACGGACTTGGGGGGCCGGGTGTGTGTAGTTTGACGGCGCGGCCAATGAGGGCGGGTACGGGGACTAAGTGCCCAGGGGGCTTGGGTGGTGGATGCGGGTTAGTTTTAGTTGTTCGCTGGCCTTGGCTGATGCCATTTTTGGCGAGGATCAGGGATTGGGGGTCAGCACGGACGCTGCTGTCAGGGCTGGGCGCTAGGGGGCTATGCGGCTGGGCTGTGGTATGATGTAATGTGAGACTGGGAGGATAGAGGACAAGGACAGGTGGACGGTGCTGAGTGGTAGATTGCTGGCTATTCTGCACTTCTACGTGCAAGTGGCATGGGGTTTTGTCGAGATCGGATTATTGGGGCGGGAGCAAAATAAGATTTACATCCGTTTTTCAATTATACAACCAATCATAATAGCTAAGTTGACTATAATCTTTTGAATTTTTCATAGCTCAGCATGAAATCAACGCCGGACAGGTATTGCTTTAGGGGGACCATTCAAGTATTGGTCGAATACATATTTAGGTATGGCTCGCGGGAGTCCCAAGGGTGTAAGGAACAACGGTTCAGGTTAGAGTCCCATCAAAGTATAAGTCCATCGATATTGGTGCTATCAAGTTCGCCGAAGCAGTCCACAATTGCACATCACACAAAGAATGCAAATCAGGTACATCATTAAGCATTTCCCCTGAGAATGGCCAAACGATAATAGCAACGATTGAAGGTGTATTATAAAGCTAATAGGGTATCTTCGCTATGATCAACATAAAAAAAAAACATGCATATCCTTCCTGATAAAGGCATCGACAACCGTCTCGCATCTCCACGTTCATGAGTTGCTATCCACGTGATGAGCAGACTGAGAGATGACTTGATCGTGGCGGAAGGGAAAGCTTGCAGGGTCCAGCCCTTGCTCATTTCTTAGCAACCGCATCGTGTAACCAAGAAGCTTGGAGCAGCTGGTCTAACTCTCCCCCACGCAGCGGCGCGCAGGCTTGTTGGTTGCGAAGACACCAGAACCGTTCGAAAAATCGGAACGAAGATGTCAACACCCGTTGGATTCAATACTCACGGGCATGCTGTCCTCCGCAGACCTGACAGACCTGAGTTGAGGAGACCGTCAACCTTCTTCCAAGTCTGTCAAATAGACTGCGATCAACCCGAGGTCCTTGGTATATAGAGGCCACCGAAAAGAATGGCAATCTAAAGGAGACCCGGTTGGTACATTCATCGAGCCTCTGGTGCAGCACCTGCCGCAGCAAAGTCCTGGTTGACATCAATAGCATCCGTGGGCCTCGGACGCCCATCGGCAATTTCAAACAGCCGACGCCACCACATCGGCGGATCAAGCGGACGATGGCCGCCATGAAGAGTCGGGTAGACATCGTTGAAGAAGTACCACACATGGCCAACCACAACACCTAAAATCTCATCCTTCGGTACAGTCTTGTACACAACCAAGCTGAACGCCATAAGCACCCACGGCAAGTAAGGCGCCGTAAACACCAAGATTCCCAAGAAGCTCAACCGGGTCTCCGGATTCCGTCGCGCCCAAATGTAAACCAGACTCGAAGACAGCGCGGTTCCCAGGAAAGGTAGGGAAAGGAAAGGTGAGATAATGAGGAGCGAGGTCATTGCGTAGAAAATGAGCCAAGCGAAATGCGCCGGCGAGCGGCCGGACGATTCCTCCAGCAGACGCGAGTACCGCTGAAGAAAGAAGACGTGGAAGATGAGGTCGAGATTGAGCTTCCCGAAGTAGAGGAAAGTCGTGAGGAGGCGCCAGTACTGGGATTTGGCGTACACGGCACGGAAGCTGTAGAACAGCTGGAATTCCGTCACAACGTGACAGTGTACCAGCACCGAGGTCGCCACGGTGGCTACAGTCCACCATCGGGTCACGGGAGGCATTTCGTAGAACCATTGCTCGAGCGGAAACTGGCCTATCTGGCCGTTGTTTCCCCAGAGATCAGCCATGATATCGGTATCAGCGGAGGCAGAGTGTGGGGTTGGGGGAAGCAATGGCGCGGGATGAGGTCGGATATGCGGAAAGACCAGGTAGACAGATCGGCCGGAGTAAAGTGACGATCGATAAGATTGCGCCGCCTGTCACGTGCCCCGACGCGTCGCCAGTCCGAAATCACGGGGGCTGGGCGCGCTAAGGACGAAAAGAGTTCATATTGGCACTTCCCCAGCCCCCCTTCAATCCTCTTTTTTTTTGCGATTCTATTGCTCCCCGCGCACGTCGAGTCTGCTGTTGAGGCACTTCCTGTCCGCCTGATCTTCCACAGCGACGGCGAAAACACTTCCTGCAAGGGCGACAATCCCGACGCGAATAAGGTGCAGGAAAACAATTAGCTGCCGGCGCACTTCAGCTCAATTGATCGTTTGTCCGTGGACGACCACCCCGCTACAACCCCACGCTCGTGCGCATTAGCCCGCGACCTCACATCTACAACTACAATGCCACCTTCACCAAAAGCGAAAAAGGCAGGGGCCGGCAGAGGCCGCCCGGCGAAGAGCGCCGCCGCCAGCACCGGCTCACCAAGCAAAGCGCGCAAGTCCACAGGAGGAGCAGGAAAAAGGCCCGCAGGAAAGCGACCATCGAATGTGCAACGTACGTCTCAAGCCCTCAGACATAGCTTCCACTCGCCCTCAGACCCCCAAGCATCCTGTCCAAGCCAATTAGCCCGTATCTAACATAAAACCAACAGCCGGCGACCCAACCCCCACCGGCAAGCGCCGCCGCTACAAGCCCGGCACCGTGGCCCTTAAAGAAATCCGCCGCTACCAACGCTCCTACGACCTTCTCATTGCCAAGCTGCCCTTCGCCCGACTCGTCCGCGAAGTCGCCCTCGACCTGCTCCCCGCCGACGTCGGCGCCGAGCTGCGCTGGCAGTCCCACGCCATCCAGGCTCTCCAAGAAGCCGCCGAGGCCTTCATGGTCCACCTGTTCGAAGACACGAACCTGTGCGCGATCCATGCGAAGCGCGTCACCATCATGCAGAAGGATATCCAACTTGCGCGCAGGATTCGCGGGGTGTGGGGTGGGCTTGGGTAGGTGTGTGGTCGTACATTGAGCGAGCGACGATTTCTCGTTTTTCTGAGGGGCTTTTTTGCCGGTTTAATCTTAATTGGGTGTTTTCTTTTCAGGCGGTTGCTGGGCTTCTCTGCCTAAGGGCAGCTGCGCCTAGCTGGACTGCTGGCGTATTATGGGCATGGAGCACTTGATGCGGTGTTATGCTGGTCTTCTATTTTCTGTCTTTTGTCGCGACATTCTGGTGCGACTGTTTGGGTTCCCGATTATACCAGGACTGTTGTACATTAGCATGGATGCTGGTGTTCTTGTTTACCTTGTTTACCTTATAGGTAGTGTGAAAAATGAGGAGTGCTGGAGAGAGAGTCGTGTCAACGCTTGTCGTTCCATTCAAGGGAGCTTTGACCTCTTATATGAATTCGTCTGGATGGTTTCTAATGTGTTATTTCTATGTTGTTGTTTTCTTGCCGATGCAAGATGTGTACATCGTATACCATATATTCCACCCTACGGGCTGAATACCTGAGAGGATATAAAAAGAAACAACGCCTTCTCAATGTAGCTATGAATGGTATCATAAACGAAGCGCCGTCCCGAGGAGATAAACGAAACCCCATAAACAGACATGAAGCGAATCCGAATCACATCGCTTGCCGAACGGATTGCTGTTACAAAAAACCACAAAGGTCTCAGGCGGGACGTTTCAAGCCAGGCGGCAGACCGGTGATAAGCCGCTGACCTTCTTCCCGTACACCGCGAGCTTCGTCACCTTTGCCCTGGCGCTCCAAGGTCTCAGCCAGCATCTCGTCAGTGACGCTGACCCAAAGGCGGTCATTGGCTCTCTTCGCCATCGCGCGTCCCGCCCGGGCACTCTTCTCCGCCTGTTCGCCGACCACACCGCGAAAGTACTTCCAGCTCATGAAGGTTAGGGTCATGCAGGTTATCTGGGTGTTGCTGATGGCCGTAGCGGACTGCAGAGCATGTTGGAGGAATGTCTTGGTCTGAATGGTAGATTCGGTCTGCACGGTGGCAGAGACAAGGTAGTATGCTGCTTGGATGTATTTGTTTGGACCGTTTTGACAGAATGTTTCAAGGGTCGCTTGGATAGTGGGAAGATGGAAATGTGACGGGTGAGATGGATCGCGAATAATGAGAATGGTGTTGAGTGCGGCGAGGATGCACGTGTCCCGGCATGGGTCGTTACGTGCGGTTTTGCTGGCTGATGGCGAGAGCAATAGTAGAGGCGATTGGAAGATGCTCAATGCACCCGCCAGGTCGCCGGTGGCTTGTGCAATAGTGCCGGCGGCGTATTGAATCAAGCATTCAATGGATCTTGGCAGGTTAGGCCCACTCTCCTGCGTGAACTGCCGGAGCTCTTCTAGTGATTGGGTAGCCAGATCCCACTCAGTGCGAGCACAGGCTAGGAAGACACGCTGCAGAAGGAAGTTGCAGTAAAGAGACCGCCGCCATTCGACACGCCGAGTGGCATTCACCATTGACTCGGGGATCTCTTGCGGGGCTTTGAAGTCCCCTACGGAAGTAATTAGAAAATCTTTCCGAAAAGGAAGGAATGAAACTGATGACTTACCTTGGATCATTCGAAGGCCTTCGTCCAGATATTGCTCCGCTTTTCGACCATCATAAGAGTTCTTGGCACTCAGGGTGATCGAGCTCAAGAAGTAGGAAAGCGCATAGAGATCATGCTGTGGAAGCCAAGTGAAGCTGAGAAACAATGTGCCGTTCTGAACCTGAAGGATATCACCCGTGTCGATGGAGGACGGCCCGGCAGACTTCCCATTCAGAGGGACAGAAAATGATCCATCGGCGCGCCAATTAGGATCGTTCAGCGTTTCGTCCACCAAAGCTTGCATAACCTTCAACTTTTGAGAAGACTGGTTGACGTCGTACTCCAGCAGACTACAACAGATATCGACCATTTGGATGAGGGTGACGAGTTGTGGGATATGCCGAAGCTCGTCGTTCAGCTGATGGCTTCGCGCAACAGCTACAGCACGCTGTGCTTGCTCGATGGTATCGGACCCTGCACCTTGCTGCAAGTGCGCCAATGCTTCGACAACTGCTGCCATTGCTGACACAGCCTTGTCCCCGTTCCGATTAGCCATGGCGGAGATTTTGCTCAAGTGTTGCAGGGCTTGTACAGAGTCCTGGTGTGATGAAGAAGACAGTGACAAGGTCACGCGAAGAAAGCGGAAGGTATACTCCCAAGCCGCATGACGATATCTGTAATTATTAGCAACACATTCTAATTGATGGATATACATATTACATACGCTTCCACATCATGGATCATACCATCGACAGCCTTCAAGGAAGCTTTAGGATTGGTTTTGTGGAGCATGCGTGCCAAGAGATGCTGCATACTGTACTTCAAGTCCAGCATGCGATTCTAAGACGGGTCAGTCTATGCCTCGACAGATTAACCGTCAAAAGAAGAATTACTAACTCGTTCACAAAGATCAATCTGTTAAAGAGGTTAGCTAGTTGCTTGATTGAGAAGAGTTTCGTAAAAGGAACATACGCCCTTGCTCAAAGCTGTCTCAGCCTCAAGGTCATTGTCCGTCTCCTCAAATAGTGTCCGCGCATAACGGAGTCGCACAAGAGCTTCCTTGCGAGGTTGGAGCCGCCAATTCTGTCAGAAGGGATCAGTTAGTTAAGGGACTCCTGTATTCAGCCAATGTGAAACAACCAACCTTCAAAACAGCCTCCAAGCAGCCAAGCCCCGTAGAGACTAGTTTATAGTACTCCTCAACATCCGCTTGGCTGGTCGCCAGAGCGGTTTTGGTTCCGTGTCGATGCGCAGCGTTCAGATATTCATCAGCTAATGACAGTAACAAGACCTGGTAATCCACCGGAGGTTTGCTCGATTTGGCAACCTTGTCAGTAGTTTGCTGGCTAAGCTGCTTCTTCGCCTGTGGTTTCTTTGGAGTTTGCCTCGGAGTGCTCGCCTGGAAGCCCTGAGAAGGCGCCGGAATCATGACTTGGGGAATGGCGTGCTTAGTGGGCGGAGTGGATGCCTGAGGTCGTATTGGTGGTGCGGCAGGTTGCTTTACTTCCTTCATAGGTGCGGGCTGAGGTTTTGCGGACTCCGTTTTAACCAGTACTGGTTTGATAGGCTCCGGTTTGGCAACCGGCTTCAGTGGAGGTGGAGCCTGAATATGTATCTCTGACTGTCTTGGGATATCTTTCGTCTTTTGCTGAGGGCTAGCCGCCGGAGCTCTCTGGGTCGGCAGTTGGGGCTCTGGTGGAGGCGTTGACGACGCGATGGATGGCATCGGAGGTAGATCAATCGATGTCGAGAGATCACTTGGGTCGACATACTGGGATGATGAGCCGTATCTGGGTCGAGGGGCAGTAGGAAGTGGTGGTTGGACGAACAGCTCGGCTGGGTTGATGAACTGATGCTGTGGCTCCTCTGGGGGCAGTGATGGTGGAGGCGCCGGCGGCATAGGCGGTGGTCGAGGTTGAGGTGGAATCACCTGAGGTTTGGGGGTGGGGGATGGTTGCTGATGTTGCTGATGCTGATGTTGCTGATGCTGATGTTGCTGATGCTGCTGTTGCTGCTGCTGCTGGTGCTGATGTGGCTGCTGCTGGTGCTGATGTGGCTGCGGCTGTGGAGGTGGCTGCGGCTTCGGTTGAGACCGAGGAGATTGTTGCAGAACTTGAGGACGTGGGGATTGCTGCTGCAGTTGAACGCGGGGGTGCAGCTGTTGAAATTGGGGGAGAGGGGACTGATGCTGCTGCAACTGGGACAGAGGTGACTGTTGTTGAAATTGAGGTCGGGGAGACTGCTGCGAGTGTATCGGGATTCGGGGGGATTGTTGCTGCATGTGCAGGCGGGGAGACGGCTGCTGTGGCTGATGAAGGGGAGATGGGTGCGGCTGAATTATAGGAGACTGTCGAGGTTGAGAGATGGGAGACTGCTGCACTTGCGACATGGGGATTTGCTGCGGCTGGGAGAAAGTCGGATGTTGGGGTTGCGCGAGTTGCTGCGGGTGGATGAGGGCTGACGGCTGTAGGGTCGGGTGCTGTTGTGATTGCTGTGGTTGTTGGGACATCGGCTGTGTAAAGTGATGGCCATACTGATGCCACCCCTGCTGCGGCATCATTCCCGGGGGTAGCCAGTCGGCTTACCGTAGCCATTGTATGGCGACGGCGAAGGGGGCGGCGCGACATGGTTGTACGGGAACTGCGGTGGGGCGACGTGCCCAGGCTGATACTGCGAAGGATGGATGTACTGCGGGTATTGACCGGAATTGGGTGGTGGGAAGCTCATGGCCCCGACATGCGCTCATTCAAGCTGAAAGAAGCTCGCTAGAATCCCCGTCCAAACGCGCGATGTTGAAGCAAGCGCCTACGATTGCCGTTTCCGCGCCGGGGCGGAGAAACTCGCGGCGGTCAGCTGATAAAGGCGATAACTGATAAGCGTGGCGATAACGTTGAGATTGGCTCACTTGGCTGTCACCGTACTTCGTTTGGAACAGCCTCTATACATCTTGAAAATAAACAAACAAATAAGGCACATAATAATGTGTTCAAATAAATAACGCCATGTGACGACCGATGCAATCGAAAAATGTTCTCCTCCAAACTCCTCCTCTAATGCGCTCGTGATGTGATGTCCTTCCTACGCCAGGTTCCAAATTATACATAAAAACAACCTTTCCTTTACAACATGCGAATGGACGAATATAGTGAATCGAGAGGTTGGCTGCTCATGGCAGGCTCAATAACCTCCTCGCCAATACTTGGAGTAAATGCGAGAGGTGGATGTTCCCGTACCGTCCACGGGCAAAGCTCGTTGCAGTTCTCCACGCCGATCGACGGTTCCGCGGGGTGGATCCGCTGAATACCCCAGGCAGCGTCGGGGATGGGATTTGAGCTGCCAAGGTTTCGCTGTGTCCAGAAGTAAAATGTATCTTTTCCAGACTCTTCGGAATGGAATGGCTGTTTCCGAGGACACTTCAATGCGGTATTGCAGGCGCCGCAGACCGAGATGCGACGGCAAGAGGCGCAGAAAGAGTCGAAGAGACGACAGATGGTGGTCTGATAGACGCTGGAAAGCCAGAGATCGACGGATCGATGAGCGCATCCAAAGCGCGGAGTCATGTACTCCTCCTTGCCCACCTGGCCCGACTCGGTCGTGAGCTGATACTCTGTACGCATAACCAACTGATCCTCCTCATCGAGCTCGGGGAACAGCGACACCTTCAGCTCGGTCGAACCGTACTGCTCCGTGCATGAATGCCAGCAGTACCGGTCGCCAACTCTGTCTCCGAACTGTGTTTTCAAGGCATCGACCGAGATTTTCCGAATGCGTAGGTGGTCCACAAGATCTAGCTTATCTCGGAAGGTCAATTTCTTGCAGGGACATAGGTCAACAATTCCTGCCAATTCGCCCACATTGCATGTTCGATTATCCGATTTGCGTCTGAGTTCTCGAGAGGCAAATGCAACCCGGGGGTGCAGCTTCAAGCACTTAGAGCACACACGCCAACGGGTGTTCTCCAGTAGATTTATAAACTGCCATCGCGGCGTGACAAAGTTGTGACCATTGCGGTAGTGATGGAAAAGTGGCGCAAAGTCTCGAGTGAATCGGAGGGATTTAGATTTGAGTATTTCTCCGGAGATCGCAAACATGCGCTTGCAGGTCAGCGCAAAGGCGGCTTCCGGGATCAAATTCAGGTGGGAAACAATCTCCAGCAGCAGCTCCGTGGGCAGCTCCATAAGATAGCAGCGGCCCGACTCGTCCTTCTTCTGCTGCTTCCGCGAACGACTCGGTGACCAAGACTTCATTCTCATGACAGTTCGGAGCTTCTCAGTAGCTCGGTGGAGGCGCTCTGGCAAGTTGGATGGGGACTCTTTTAAAGCCATGGAGAGCATGTGCAACTTCTGTTCTTTGTGTCTGAAACAGAGCGCTTTCAAGGTCCTTTTATGACTAGACCGCATGAGGGGGGGGAATCGGCGACTCAGAGTGATAGATGATGGGTTTGCGGCTTGTGCTGAAAGATCATATTGCAGGAAAGGCGCAATGCATCGTGTGACGAGGAGAAGGCAGCACTATCAAGAGGGGAAAAAGAAAACACGGAAAAGACGAGAAGGATCTGTTGACCTTCAAGTAGGGCTTGGACAAAGATAAAGTTGCACGAAAACGGACCATGGGGTTGGGTCACAAAAGGGTTGGTCGGCAACGCTATCATCATTACATATAGGGCTTGATGGCCCTCTGATCATCGCGGCGATAGCCCGTTCTTTGTCCGCTGATCCCGATGCAGCACTCAAAAGTCCTCCAACACTCTCAGTGCGGACGTCCCGCATCGCAGGAATTTCATCCCGGACAATCCTCTTTGTCCAACTGCCGAACGGGACAAGTGTTGGCGCCGGATGCTATCCAGGGATTCCGCATGCGGAACCAGATTGCCGCATTGAGCATCATCGCCTCATCACTCGCTTTTAGCAGAAAAATGCCCACTAGACCTCCAGCACTTCAGCCCTAAGGTAGTTTGCGGCAACGGCCTCCCGTCCCTCCACCATGACCGTGTCAACTGACTCTCACGCGATAGATGCAGTCCCATGACCCGCGCGCATGCTGAAGGGAGGGGACCCCCCACTGCTGACTAATATCCAGGTTGCAAAGATAAGGCAGCAATGCAAAACTATGATCACGTGGAGATACCCGTTCAGCTGCTGATAACGGGATATGCGTGCTTAGTCACCCAAACCCGATCAGGAAGTGCCGAGGTTGCCCATTATCAAAGCTTTCCCTGTGTTTTCCAGAAATCTAACCTCGTCGAGAAAGCCTTCTCGGTGCAAATTTTTCCTATTAAACACGTTTGCATTGTTATTTGCATGATAGACACCCTCTATGTCGGATTTTGCATCAGCACTACTTAGCTCGTTTCCCGTATCGCTCCTCGTATCGGGGCTGCTCGCCATGGGCCTTCTCTCATGGGTGCGCCCGAGCGGCCGGATCTCGTTCTTTTACGCTAAGGACAATAAGCTCGTGTTAACCAAGAAGTCTAGCAAGCCTGGCGCACTCGAGCAGACTTCCCTGATTGATATCTGCCGCGATGCGACACCAGACACCTGTCATCTCAATCCTCTTCTGTTCAACGGCCATCTGCAGACTATGTACACGGTGTTGAAACATGACAATGTCCCCGTTTACTATAAGCGGAAGATTTTTGAGGCAGATAGCCCGATGTTCAGTGGAACTTATGCCATCGATTTTGCTGTCCAGCCGTACAATATGCCTCCAGAGGGAGAGCTTACCGACCAGGCGAGGAAATACACTCAGCCGTCCGGCCTGCCACCGCGCACATCTCTCTACTCCGAAGAGGAATTATCAAGCATTTCCTCTGATGATACGAAACCCATGCTTGTGGTGCTCCATGGTCTAAGTGGCGGATCCCACGAAGTGTACCTGCGCCATATCCTTTCTCCGCTCGTGGCAGACGGCGCGTGGGAGGCATGCGTCGTCACCTCGCGGGGATGCGCACAGACTAAGATCAGCACCGGAGTACTTTACAATGCACGAGCAACATGGGACGTGCGTCAGTCAGTGAAATGGCTCAGGAAAACATTCCCTAATCGACCTCTTTTCGGCATTGGATTCTCGCTTGGTGCTAATATCCTCGCTAATGTATGTCTCATTCACTCCTACCTCCTTTTGAGTTATGCATATTAATTGCTCCTGCAGTATCTTGGGGAGGAGGGCGATGACTGCCAACTGAAGGCCGCTGTGCTGTGCGCTAGCCCTTGGAACTTAGATGTCAGCTCTGTCCACTTGCAGAGCTCTTGGATCGGAAAGGAAGTGTACAGCAAGACGATGGGCTCTAGCATGAAGAGGCTCTTTGAAGCGTGAGTTTCTCTTTCTCCGCAGGAACCGAAAATCAAGTTCTAACAGAATGATAGACACGTTGATGAAGTCTCTAAGAACCCGCGCATCGATGTCGAGGCCATTCGGGCTATCACCTACCTGCATGAGTTTGACCGGTATGCTTTCAGTCCTGCTGTTGTCACAGTATTTATGATCTCCTCTTTAACTTGTACAGGGAACTGCAATGTCCCACATGGGGCTATCCAACTGAAGGTGCCTACTACCGTGACGCTGCCTCTACCGACGCAATGCTTTCAATCCGCATTCCCTTCTTTACTATCCAGGCTGAAGATGACCCTGTAAGTCACTATTTCCGATCTGTACGAACATGCCGCTGACAAAGAAAGATTGCTTCGCGCGACGCACTGCCATTCCACGAAATGACCCAGACTCCTTATGGTGTCATGCTGACTACTTCATGGGGCGGCCATCTGGGCTGGTTCGAGCTCGGTGGTTCGCGGTGGTTTGTCAAGCCAGTAAGTCACATTATTCCAATGAGCCTTGGCCGGCATACTATGCATTCATACTGACGTTCCCATCAAGGTGACAAATTTCCTGAACAAAATGGCCCATGAAATTGACACCCAGATCCCCGGCGTAGTTGAGCACCTGGAGAGGCTGCCTGGGCGGATCGCCAGCCATGCTGGGCTTGGCAAAGATGCTGACATGGCGCCAAAGCCTGAATTTCACCCTGTGAACCGCAAGCTGGATATGAAGCTGCCCAAATAAGTTCGACACTATACACATCTACTATACATCACTCGGCGCCATAATATTTCTCGCATTCCCGGATCATGCGCGGATGTTTCGGCAATTCATTTCGGACATACACTATATATAGAGCAATTTTGGTAGACCATATCCGATTGGACAAGTGCTCCTTGTTGAGTACAATATTACATCATCTTGTCACCTCGGTACAAACACGCCGATGGAGTCGTAGAATATTGATTAGATCCGATTAGCTGTCAGCCTGGTTAAGCCAAGTTCACGCCTTCAGCGTCAAATCATGATCATGAGAACCCTGTAAATAATCATATTCCTCGTCAACCCACTCCACATAAGGAACAAGTCGGCCGAAATTAATTTTTCCCTCCAACGATCTCGGCAGCGTGAAGGTTTGGTCACTCCGATACCAACTCGGGAATTGAATCGAAACCAACATGACCCTCGGATCCTCCGTCTTATTCGGCATTCCTGCATGCCAAAGCCTAAAATCACGTATGATCAATGAGCCCTGGGGTAAACTGGGCTGAACAGGCGGGCTGATCTTCCTTCTCTGTTCCAAGAGCTCAGCCTTGATCTGCAGGTTATTGGCCGCGCGATCGAAAACAGATTGATCGGTGTCGGTGTGGCTTCCCAGCCAAAACTCGGTCGCACCGTTTTCGGGTGATGTATCCACTAAATTGATGTTGATACAGTAGCCGAATGGGATGCGGGGCATATCAAAGTCAACATCGATATGAGGAGGCTGGCGACCGGTCGCTTTGAATGCCGTGTTTGCACTGTAGAAGCGCAGTTGGGGGTTTGGTCCCATCATGTGCTCAACGATGGAAATTGCCCAGGGGTTGGCGATGATATCTTCGAAGATGTAGTCCTTCTCGACGACCGGTTCCTGTTGGATGTTGCCGGTGGATTGGCCGAAATTGCGGTGAGTGTCTCTGTTCGCGTAGAGCTTCTTCGCTTCGGGGATCATGCGCTCGTTCAGCTTGTCAAGATGAGTGACGTCGATTGCGTTTTCTAGAACAAGAATGCCGTCTCGATGGAGGGCTTCGAGGGCAGCTTGGAGATTGTGCGAGCTCATCGTTTGACTTGTAAGCTCCTCGGGCGTGAGCTGGATGGAAGTGATGGAAGGTTGGGCCATGTTCATGATAGTTGACTATCTTGCTTTGAGAGTCCGTCGTGATTGTAACCATGTGAGTGTATTCGTAGGTGATAGCCCTGATAGTGCTTGGGATGGAATATGCCGAACTGTAGATTTATATCGCCTTTGTAGACAATATCCCAGACTTGAACCAGATTCAGATGTACCCATAGACTGAATAATACCAGCTGCATCCTAAATAGATATGCATAGCAGGTCTCCCCGCGATTCGAACCGTGCTCCACGTCCGTGCCCAGCGTTCTCCGGCGAGTTGACCGAATTTGACCGGAAGCAATAGTGCGCCCAAGCCAAATCAGGTCGCCAGAGACCACTCAAGCTCTAAGATAAAGAACTATAATTTGTTGAAAGAGACAGTCTATTTTTCTGGTGGCAGACCTCTCTTCAAAATGCAAAATAATACCGGCGTGGATTGATGGTCCCAAGAACGTCCCAGCCCATAAATATGAGCTTCAAGAACCTGCGCCTGTGAAGTCCCAGTCAAGGTGGCTTCAAGCCCTTGAATCCTTAGAATATCGTTTAGGTAAAACTTACCGTGGGATGGATTAATTGAGGGGTGGTGTGGGCGTTACAAAGTTTGTCCTCTCACTATAACTTGCCACAAACTTGCGGTGGAAATGTGGGTTGAGGGTATTTACACTTTTAAGCAGCCAAATACCAGCAAGAGATATGCAAGCAATGCACATTTACCCATCGGTCCCTGGAGGATCCCCAACGAGGATTAGGAATCGCCCAGAAATGCATGCTAACACATTTATGAAATACTTTCTAGAGACCGGGAACATCTTGGAAAGAGAAAACATGTGTTTGGATCAGAAGTCGGATGTGAATCATCAAGCTTTGGGAGACAGCTTCCATACATAATATGATCAACGCTATTCACAATGGTTCGAATCGGAGAGGTAACAATGAAGCCGGTATAAACGCCAAACCCCGTCTAGGTACATGGATATGGTATAGACAATAACCACTTTCAAGCCACTTTTTGTTTTGTCTTTCAGGCAAACGAGACGCTCTTGCGCGTTCCTCTGGCGGGCTTCGAGCCATTTGCCGATTTTGAGGAGGCCGGAGACGCAGTCTCTGCCTTGTCATTGCCACCCTTGCCCTTCTTTTTGTTCCGAATAGAGTCCTTGACTGCGTCCAACTTGGACTTCCTCTCTGCCATTCGTGCCTCGGCCTCGGCCTTCTTGGCCTCTCGGATCTCCTCGAGTTGGCGTGCCTTCATCATCTTTGATTCGATCTGTCCCTCCTTCTCGGCGTTGACCATAGCGAGAATGGTCATCATACCCTCCTATACCACGAAAATAAAGTAAAGTGTTAGTGAAACAATCTTGCCTGAGGATCTAGTTCATGGACGCAAATTGAACGAACCTGGTCATCGACAAAAGTCTTTCCCTTCTTCTTGCCCTTTGGCTTGACAACTCCGACGGGTGTGATTGTGTTCAACTTGGGAAGATCAAGCTCTGCCTCTGTATAGACTCTCTTCTTCTTCCTCGCCAGGTTCTCTGGGGCGGTGCGTGCCTTCGACTTGACTTCTTGTGGCGGGGGACGCTTCACGTTCTTCTTGCCGCTGGGCTTTCTCACGCGAGATTCAGATGAGGGATTCGAAGGCTTGGATCCCTTCGAGAACTTGGATCCCTTCGAGCCGCCTCCAGATGAGGCGCCCTTCGACGACCCTTTGGTGGGCGCCATGTGGTGGATTTGCGGAAGTTGACGGTGCAGGAAGATTCAAGGTCGGATTGCACGGGGGATCTGAATTTCTTTCGCAAAATAAAAGGCAAGATAGATCAACAGTGGGTAATTCGAGAGCGGCAACTTCAAGTTAGACGTTTGTAAAATCAATCAGAATAATCCGAGAGAAACAGAAGCATGCCATTCTGCGCCGGCATCAAAATTGCGAAAGAAATTTTGGATCGGGAAGGCGGTGAGCGGGGCCCAATCCACCCACCCAACCTCACTGCGAAACCTCCACCACCAGAGCTCGACAGCGTCCAATTCTCTCTCCGCATCCTCCCGCCCAGAGATTGAATCGCACTGGATTGAGTGGATGCAAAGCCGCTTGCAACCATGACCATAAACCCCACCTACCTCGCGCAGCGGACGCGCGCCTGTACGTTTCCTTTCCTTCATTCATTACACCATCAGGTGTTCCGACCGCCCGCCAGGGCCTGTCCTGCAATTGAGACCGTTCGAACTGTGCAAGGTAGCTAACATAGCTGTGCTTTTTCTCACTTAGCCGTCAACTTGACCGATGCCAAAATCCGCGTCCTTAAGTCATACCGAGAGTGGCTCCGAGCGGTCAGTTTACCCTGTGATCAGCCGGATCCGCCCTGCCCTTGCCTCCAGTATCGGCGCCTCTGTTGTTCTTTGAGCAACCTGAGAGAATGATAATCCCAGGAGCAACCGCTGTTGAAACAAATTGACGGGCTATGGCTGCTATGACTACAATGGAAATGTTAAGCTAACGTGTGACCTTGAGGAATTGCAGTCCCCCGAGATTCAGACCATGTACTCCCTGAACATGCCCGTGTCCGCCATCCGCACAAAGATCCGCCAGGAGTTTGAGAAGCACCGCTATGTTAGCCAGTTGAGCGTCGTTGACGTTCTGCTCTTCCAGAGCCACGCCGAGTTCCAGGAGACCCTCAACTACTGGAAGCAGTTGTCCCACGTCATGAAGTACTTCCGGCCCGAGGAAGACCCTGGTGCCCGCCTGCCCCGCAACTTCGTCTCCGGCTTCCTGGAGGGCCGCAACTGAAAAGACTGTTTTCGATACCTCATCAACCACCTTTCATCCTTTTTCCTTTATCGCAAGTCCGTGGGATGGCAGTCCGTGAGACTGCGTCATCGACCGCGACATGATGTGTATATATTGTCCGACTAGGTCGTCAAATCATCTCTATTTCATTTTCCCCCTAAAGACATAGCAGTTCGTCGTAACCTGGTTCCATTTGCTTTCATTGACATCCGACCCACATCGGTTTCTTAGTACTCGTCTTGCGGGTAGCGTGAGCCAATCAAGCCGCAGAGAAACATAAGCATGCATATTCACTCTACGCCCGTTCTCTGATATGTTGGACTGAGTACTTGGAAACTCGGTCGAAAGAAATGGATATATTACTGAAATGTTCTGGTCATTATAAAGGTAGATTTAGAATTGTATCTCAATAGGTTTTCAGGCCTCTTATTCGATCGACAGTCGTTGGTCTGGTGAGGATGGCCGATCGGTACGGCCAGAGAGAGCCTCGAAGTTGTATGTGTCTTGCATATGAACAGGATGATGTCTGGCAACTGGCTTTCGCTTTCTGTTTTAGTGCACATTCCTCGCCGCTTTTGATCACTAAAGCTGAGCACACCCCTGAGCGGCCTGAGCCACCGATAATTGAATTAAATCACGTATCAGGAACCAGTGATAAGGCTCAAACTGATGCTTTGTTGATGATAGTATCGAATCAACGGGAACTAAACTAGTCGCCCTGATCTCGTGCCTCAATTTCATGGAATCTCTCGAATTCAGCAGTGGGTTCATCCGCAGTACACATATGGGTATCTTTATAGCTCACCCACAACTCGATGAAGAAGTCCCCTTGGGGCCGCGGGAGTTATCACTCAAACGGCTTCAGTGGGCAGGATTCTCACAAAGGTCCTCGTGGAAAGCCAATTAAGGTTAGGGATCCGATTGCTATTTTCGCTTCCAAGTGACACAAGTTGAGCGTGGCTCCTCGATTAAGTATACATCAAAGAAGCGGCGTCGCAATTTCAATGTTTTCAAAGATTTCTGATATACCCGTTTTATGTTATACAGGATTTGCGTTGGAATCGCAAGACTATTCAGGTCATACTGTCCGCCTTGACCGGCGGCTTCAAGGGCTAGATACCCCGGGGCATATAGTTCAACATCCTCCTTCCACTGTTCGCGGTCGCACCCATACATGGACCTAGGTAGCTGGCCGGCCGCTTGGGCTAACAGTAGGATATCGAGGATTGGTAGATCTATATCGATTCTGTTTTACCCCGTCTTAGTTAGTGTATATCGAAAATACTTATGATTGAGGATATAGGGGGGAAGGAAGACGAAAACCCAGGGCGTTACTGAAAGATAAGCTTCTAAAAGTGTTGCCTAAGCTATACTATATACCTGATAATAAAGGAAACGCGGTAGTTTCTAATACTAGCTGCGCAGACCGCGTGGTCTTATAGATCACGAGATCTTAAGCCTATGCTGACATCTAATCAGTGATCATGACCCTGAGCGCCCTCATAAAAGCGGCGGCAGTCTAGATAGGAAAGGCCCCACCACCCAGTAGACTTATCCTGTCTATATAGGTGCCTTTTCGTTAAGAACTAGCTTCAATCCACGGTCAAAATTGAGTGTGCAAACAACCGCGCATATGAATGTGAAAGTCATGAGGAACAAGGCAACGAAGGCGAAGAGCAGCATCATGTCTTTATCGGCCGTGTTTGCTCGGAAACCATGCCCGTAAAGCACAATAATTCGACTGAGTAGGTATGCAATGATTGCAGCATGGCAAATCTATTCGCCAAAATTAGCCAAGAAACGATGATTTCCGAAGGGAGATTCTTCCGACTCACAATGATTAGAATCATTGCTATTTTCCATTCCCTCCGAACAGACCATACAGCCATTACCATCATAATAAATGATGCGGGGAGAATAGCAAGTGTTAATGCAAACTCTGGTTCTGCAAAGTGGACATCGATAAGATCATATTGCATGATAAAAACCGTGATAAAGTAGAAATCGAGCTTGATCAAAACAAGATAGATCTGCCAATGATGAGTAGAGAAACAACGAGCAACATTGGGAATTCTTGAACTCTTACCTCGTAAGTCAGAAAGCGAGTTTTGATTCTCATATCACCGTGGATACTCCGGTAAATAGCCCAAGCATACTCTTTGTGTAGTTGGTAGGCACATGGCCATATGACAAGGGTACAAATCCCAAAAATAATCGGACAAGCGATATGAGCTGGACCAACTCGTTCCCAGAAATCGATATCTATATCCACGAGGGGCTGCCATTCAGCATCGCGGGCAGCGGGCAAACTCCGTGCGATGTCTTTCATGGCAGGGGCCTGCATTCCAGAGAATGCGAGAATGCAGACATTGCTGACGCAGATAGCGAACAGCAGCAAATTATTCTTGTGATGTACAGCATCGATAGCCAGAATCAGCTCGTAAATGCATGTAAAGACGAAGATGGCTAGGTTGATCGGGACGACATAGGACACAGTCACTTGGATTATGTTGGGATGAACCCACAACTGCCATTCGACCATGATAAATCTGCACATGTTAGAAGAGTGAGACCTGTCCAAAACACGGGTCCGCTCTAGATGCTTGACTTACATCTCTAGTGCCAGGATGATGATGGCTTGCGCGAACAATGCCCCACAGAAAAGCCACTCATTCTTCGTGATTGGCCTGAACATGGTATTGCTATTCAGAGGAAATGAGGCAATTCTCAGTAAGTGAAACAAATGTCACAACTAGGTTTAGGGGGAATGGACTAGAAGGACATCGGATTCCTTGAATGCTGTGCAGGTCCAGTCCATCCAGGTGATGGATGATAAATTGCAAAAGCCCCAAGAAGCGAAAAACTCTTCTTTTTGCTACCCCTATCGAGAGTTACCTACTGCAACTGAGATGTTGGTCCCCCGTGGGGCGACTAGCTAAAACGTGCTCTTAAAATAGACAGAGCGAGGATCTAAAAAGGCCAGCGCTTCGCCGATCGTAGGGGGTTTCATACCCGAAAAGGGAAACAAGCCGATCTAGTGGATCCAAATCAAGATCTGAAGAACCACAGTTGAACGAATTCTCTTTTACCAAGTTCCTGTGGCTATATGGGTTGATACAGTGTAAAATAGAGATTCACGACTTTGATCTTTAAGTAGGTTTTCCCGCGAGTTCCACGAGTTCCACAATCTTTTCAGCAGCGAGCTCGAAGTCTGGCTCGACAGTCACATTGCCCAGCCCGGATGATTCAATCTACAGAGACGATTAGTGAGAAAAGCTGAAAATTTATGAAAAACTTATACGCTTACCAATTTCAACCCTTTCTCACAGTTAGTTCCCTGAAGGCGGACCACTACTGGAACTCTAAATCCCCCAGTCGAAGCAGCAGCAGCGACGATAGACTCGGCGATCATGTCACAGCGAACGATCCCTATATGCTCTCCAAGTTAGCCGAGGCAATTTTTTTTTACTGGGAATCGCCCCGTACCACCATAGATATTAATGAGGATCCCCTTAATTCGCGAATCCCGATTCAAGATCTCGAAAGCCTTTGATAAAGTCTGCTCGGTTGCTCCCCCGCCAACGTCCAGGAAATTCGCGCATTTTCCACCGTGCAAGCCAACAAGGTCGTTTGTCGCCATCGCTAAACCGGCTCCATTCACGATGTTTCCAATGTCACCGTCAAGACGGACATAGGAAAGGCCCAACTGGGATGCCTCATACTGATCTTCCTCTTCAGGCAAACGCTCCTCAAGGCTGAATATTTCTGGCTGTCGGAATCTAGCCGAGTTATCGAAAGTGAATTTCGCATCTAGACAGACAAAATTCCCCTCTGGTGTGCGCACCAGTGGGTTCAGCTCGAGGAGTGTGGCGTCCTTCTCCCGGAATAACTTGACCATTTGGTGAAGGATATGACTTATCACAGCTATTTCGGGATCCGCGAAGCCTAGTTGGGCTTGGATATACGAGATTATCTCGCGTGTGATTCCATGTGTCATATCGAACCAGTATTGCTGGAGTTTGTCCGCATTGGATTCAATGTCGACACCCCCAACGTCGGAGATAAGGAGGACAGGCATGTACCGGGCGCGGTCGAATGTTAAAGCGACATAGAATTCCTGCGCAACATCCACGGCTTTATATATGTAGAGCTTCTTGACGAGGAGGCCGTTAGGTGGAGTTTGATTTGTTGTGAGGTAGTACCCGATCATCCTTGAGGCATTTTCAAAGGCCTCGATAGGTCTAAAGATGAGTTAGGTGTTGTCTCGAGTTGTGATTCTTCGAAAAACTCACGAATTCATAATGCGAACGCCACCTTTGCCATCACTCTCGTACTTCCCCTTGCCACGCCCACCAGCAAGGATCTGTGCCTTTACCACTGACGGTGCGTCTTTAAGAAAATCAGTAATGAACGGCGTACCAGACTTTCACGATGTAATGAATCGTCGCCAATCCCAACAGGTAACGCACTGATCTTGGAGACCACTTCTCTCGCTTCTTCTGGACTCCCAACGACAAATCCATCAGGTACCGGAATATCAAACTGGCAAAAGTAAGCCCAGAAGAACATTCTGTTTAGCATTATATGAACTCTACATCTTTGAGAAGTTTGTGCGAATGGTATTCGAGAAGACTTAGCCGTCGCGCTTGATGCTTGAACAGCCCATTATGCTACACGGTGATCAGCTTATAGTTTCCTCTGTGTCGCGTGACAATAGTGCAAGCCTGACCTGTTGGAATAGTCGTAGAATTGCACGTCGACCGAACATTAGGAGTTCCAAATATTGATTCTGTTAAGGCTGTTTCGATGTCTCTATCAAGAACCTCATCATTGCGGGGTAGGCCACTAAGTAGGGGAGCAAGTTATTCGCTTTGTGCGATGACATCAACACTATACCCATATGGCCAAAGTCCGAATTTGTGCTAGCTTTATGACATGGAAGCTTATTTTTTCTAGAACATGGGGAAAGAACGGGTAACATCTAACTAGTTATTTGCCGCGATGCTGCCCAAGGCATCCTAAGGCACCTAACGCACCCATAACTAACTAATCAAAGTAACTAGAAGTGCACGGTGACGTTCAGGACAAATTCGGTATTGAATTTATTGTTGGGGACTAACCCTCGAAAATGCAAACATTTGCTTATTTGTAGGTCTACGAAAACGCAACGTTGAAGATCAATCGAATAAATTAGGATGCAGAGAAGAATGTGAGCTCATAGTCTTTATTCTTGGAAGCATTATATCATAACAATAGACAAAAAAGCTTCAATAGGACTAGATGATCTTTTCCAATCGCAGGTCATAGGGCTGCGTATCCCCTGCCCCTGCATGCCGTATGATCGTCATCTTATCAGGGACTATTGTCAGACTATTGGCCCCTTGCAGGCGATCGTCCCTAAAGTATAAATGACAGGGGTAATAATTATATGTCGGGATTACGAGAATGTGATGCAAGAAATCTCCCGTGCTTATAATTAACGATGAGATCCTCACAAAATTTGAGAGGGTTGGGATCGACAGCAGATTTTCCCCCCACTTCAGAAGCTTCTCAGCTGCAATGAAGTCGGAAGAGCCAGAATCCGACACTCATGATCTGGCCAGGCCTGCGACAGAGGTTGGCCAATGTGTCAATGTGCAAGAGGCCGACGTCAAGAATGAAACCACAGCCAAGCAGCCGCAGTCATTGTACTGTATCCTATCAGAGAAGGAGAAGGTTTTCACGATATGTATCTGTTCGTTGGGGACTTTCCTGGGTCCTGTAGCGGGTGGCATGTATCTTCCTGCTATCGGATCATTAGCAAGAGATCTGCACGTGTCAACTGCAAATATTCTACTGACACTTACAACCTTCAGGGTAAGCTTCAAGCCTAGCAGGTATGAAATGGTAGCTGATCCACGCAGGTTTTTCAAGCCGTTTCTCCGTTGTTGACTGCTGGCCTCTCTGATCAATACGGCCGTCGCCCAATTCTACTGGCCAGTTTAATCATCTTCCTCTGCACTAGTATCGGATTGGCCTGTCAAACCAACTATTCGGCTCTTCTTGTCCTCCGCTGCATCCAAGGCTTCGCTAGCAGTACTGCCACGGTCGTTGCATTTGCTTCCATTACTGACCTCGTCACACGAGCTGAGCGAGGGAAATACTCGTTTTACTCTACACTCGGGACAAGTATAGGTCCATCAATTGGACCGACTCTCGGAGGTCTCTTGACACAGTTTCTGGGATGGAGGAGTATATTCTGGTTTGTCGCCATCATTACTGGAAGCATAATTGTTACTATGCTGTCATTACTTCGCGAAACCTGCAGAGCAGTTGTGGGCAACGGTAGTCTACCCCCTCAGCCTTGGAACAAAAGCGCACTTCAACTAGCCCGTCCAACCAAGTATGAACCTAACTCTGAAACAAAAATCTTATTCAGGCGACGCCCAGGCATTCTTGCGACTCTCAGGATTCTCCAAGATAGACATGTGGCCCTACTCGTTCTTTGCAGCGCTACCTGCTACTGCACCTCGGCGGCCATTGTCAGTAGTCTTGCACCTTTGCTGGAGAGAAAGTATCAACTGAAACCTCTCTATACCGGACTATGCTACCTGCCTTTCACTGCCGGCATATGGGCAACTCGCTGGACTGCGGGAACACTGGCGGACCGATTCTTTCGGCATTATGCGCGCCGAGCAGGCGAGGATATCCAACCCAATCGACAATCTCAGAAGCAACTTCAGCGTTTACCACTGGAAAAGGCTCGTCTGGGGCTGGCATTACCATTTGTCTATCTTTACTGCCTATGTATTCTTGCCTATGGCTGGATTATGAATTATCATGTTCATCTAGCGGGTCCTCTGGTCTTGTTGTTTTTGTGTGGGAACGCTAGCGGGGGCGCGATTAACACCCTCACCATGTTGGCTGTTGATTTGAATGCTTCTAGACCCGCTTCCACGCGTGCTGCTATGAATTTGGTCAGTGGACTCACTGCGGCTGGGGCTTCCGCGGCAGTGATACCGATAATCGATGGTATTGGGATGGGCTGGTTGGGTGTCCTCCTCGGGGGGCTAATGGTCCTTACTACGCCAGCTATATGGGCTCTCTATTTCTGGGGGAAAGAGTGGAGAGAGAGAAAACCCTCCACACTGGATTGAAGCTTTCTTGGAGTTTAAAATGGGTAAATATGAGCATATCGAATGTGTATATGAGTGATGATCACAGGTGGTTTCCTAGAATCTCAAATCACTGCTAGTTTCGCACAGTAGTACAATGATACTAATAATACTTCGATTAATAAGATTTCCATTGCTCCCATCCGCTGTAACTGATCGCTGTCAAATTGTTGTAAATCATCGCTGGGTGGAGGCATTGGAGTTAGTTCCGTCCGCACTGGAAGTGGAATCTCTCTGGTCCAGTGTTAAGTGGTATTTAGGGAGGCTAGATTTCGATCTCTATCCATGTCGTGGAGCTTTCGCCTTATTCATTTCAACATTCTTGTTCGCTTGTGTCTATCGGGCCGGTAATCTTGCGTTCTCAGCCTCGTCGGCGATCGAAGCCACTCTTGAAGAGCGTTATCCGCTTTCACTATTCACCAAAGCTCATGGGAACATTATGGAGCGGTACAATTTTGGAAGGGTTATATGCCATTTTATGGGGACTGTGTATGTATACAGCTTTACTTAGATCTTCATTTGGTCTGAAGAGAGGGGCCGTGAAACGACAGCAAGACTCGAATATGACCGAGGCTATACAAGGAAAGTCATAAGCATCAATAAAGGATCAAAGAAGTACCGGAAACCTAAATAAGTGCCCTGAGTTTCTTCATATTTTACACATCATCTAATACCACGATCTTTACTTTGCGCTGGGCCCCATCGTTTTTTCGAGACGTCCCGACTATCAATTCACCTCATCCTGGTATCCTTTCAAAAATGATTAGTATCCACATCGCCCTCACGCGCTATTTAGCTAGCAAGTGGCTTTTTCGCAGAAGTCGTCGTTCTCGGCTTTCCTCAACTGTGACTTAGAAAAACGCAATTTCATTCAGAGCTAGCCTAGTCCTGTAGTACCGGAACTAACTTTCCTCTGCTCCGCACTGTCCAGACGGTCCTGCGCCACAAATCTCCTCCGGAGCCGCCGTTCGCGCTAAGGTCGCAGCATAGATTAATTCATCTTGTTTCAGGATGGCAGACGGGTCACGCACCGCCCTGGGCGGCGACACTTCCAAGCGATTGAGGACCTCGTCGTACTTTTTCTGGCCCATGCTACGGATTAATATCTCTCGGCAACGTTTCAAATTCAATGCGCGAGGCTACCTAGGGGCGTGGAGAAGCTAGTGCCTAGCTTTTGCCAAGTCACTGCCGTATTCCCAAGCCGGGCACAGTACACGAGAGAGGGCTGACAGTTGACCTCAGCCCTTTTAATCTCTCTCTATGTCTTTCTATCGAAGACGTAGCTCGATTCCTATACAGCGTGTATTCTGGACATAAGTGGCATTACCCAGGAATATCAATATGACATGAATGAAAATTTTAAGCTTTAAGCTCGACCCAAACGCCAATCAAATCCGTGCATGAATATATGCAATGCAAGAGGACCCTCCCAAACTCGTCCAATCTTACGCCTCCATTTTGTTGGCATTCTCCTCGTTGAACTGGTCCCGGGCAGCGGTGAACTTCTCTGTCACGACATCGCACAGGTCCATCAGGTCGTTGAAGCCCTTCTCCAGGGCCTCGAGGGCGGTAGTGGAATCTGTAAGAAAATCAGGATTAGTACCAGATTGACGCTACAGGACAATGTAGGATTGAGTGAAGGCAAGGGCCAACTTACCGTTAGTCTGGATGCGGACATGCATCTTTGGGTCGGAGGGGTGGGGGATGGTGTAGCCGCAAAACTCGACGGCAGGGCTGGTGAAATGTTAGCCACAGTCCTCAGTACATTCTCTTTCACACCACATTGTCCATCGAGCATGTCTACCAGCTGAAGGCTGCTCCTGGTGCACTCACTTCTTCATAATAGCGTACCGCAGCGCATTCCCCATGGTGTGGCCTTCGCCCTCAAATTGAAACGACGCAGCGGTATCCGAGGAGCCGGGCAACTATAAGGGCCAACTGTTAGACAAATTCTCGCATAGCTAGCTTATGTCCGGGCGGAGCAGCCCTCCCGGTCGAACTCACCACAACGATGCGCTTCTCGTCCAGCAAGATAGGGTTGACGGGCTCGTTCTCAGGCTCGACGTCCATCATGGACTGGTCATGCTCCTGTTCTTGCGCATCTTGTGAGTGGACGGAGGCTGGCATTGTGTCGTGCTGAGGACGGTGGTGCAGAGTATTTGAAACTGAGGGGATCAAGTTCGGCAGGTTCTTGCGGTCGCGGTTACGGAGGTTGAGGCTCGTCGGACGGGGGTGAAGACTCGCAAGTGGGATGATAGTTCTCAATCAAATCACTGGTAGGATTTCGGTTCAAAGAATTGTTACAGAAGAGGCCGTATGACAAAGTGAATGCCCGCAAAGACTTTCTCGACGATCGTCGAGGCGCGAGAGAAAAAAAAGTGGGTTATCGATAGCCATGCTCACTGACCGCCTGCCGCTTTCGTGCTTGGTTTGACCCTTGCCAAGGATAGGCTTCTCTGACTATTGTTTATTCTTCAGAATAACTGCATGTAGGTTTGGGGATTCCCGTTCGGGATTCCACATAGGTGGCGAACGTTGTGCAACTCACGCCCAGGCAAAGGTTGTCGACATGTCGCGCAGACACTACGTCTAGGGTTGCGGGGAGAGTGGGTTGGGAGTGTGTGCCGCGGCAGCGAGGGCGATACAAGATGTTTCGTTGCCTCGTAACTGTGAGACAGTTAGAAATTCATTAAATTCAATGTGAGTGTACAAGAATTGACTTTTGCGTTAGATAGAGACTTTACATGGTACACATCTGTTACAAGGGATTGTTTCGCTGTACGCTGGCGGGCTGATTTTACACGTGGGACTAACACGTCTATAGTATATACAGTAGGTATACCCTTTAACTTCTTCTTATCTATTGTTAGCCAATGATGCTTGAGGTGTATGGAGTCCCAAGAGCCAAGGGACAGGTTCGCATGGCTTGCGAGAGGTATACAAGTTTGAGACCGGAAGAGGAGGTATGTAGACAGACGGACTCGGTTTCCTGCATGCACTCATCAGCCCCCAACTTCAACAGATATAGATTAGTTGGTTGACAAGACGGCAGCAGGTGAGGCAATTTCGTTTGATGCCATAGACTCATTGGTCTCATATCTTACAGAAATAGGTCGGGTAATATCAATCAAGTCTCTCTGGAAAATAACAAGCACAGCCCCAATTTATTCCGACACGAAGTGGCCTGTCAATAATCCCAACCCCTGCCCTATATCAAAGATAAGAAGAGTGCCAACGCCGGCCTCAAAATAATCGGCGATCCAGGCAGACCAAACTGGAAACCCGGCGACACAATAGACGAAAAGACTCGCTCCGAAGCCCGGGTCCAAATCTTATCAACAAAGTTCAGGTCCACTCGAATCGGTGCTTTTCCTAACGCAGTAACACGTAGTAACTAATTCCGGAGTATATACCCCATCGTCGATGGCAGGATCACCGACCCTGGGAGGAACAGCAGACTATTGCCTAGCTAATGTACCTTCATCTCGGCCCACAGGCCCATTCCTCCCCGGAACAGTTTAGCGCAGACGGACTCCGGTCAGGTAATCATTCCAGGTGATCCGTGCGTTTCGGACTCGTCTAGTCGAACTTGTCAGTGACGTGCGGGCGGCAGCCAATGGCTTCGCCGCGACATCATGCCGGGGCCAGACAGGGCAACCAGCATTCAGATCCCGGGCACGGCCTAGTGTGCGGTCGGTAAAGGGTTCCGTGCAGTGGATGGGGCCACTAGCCACCACCTGCTGATCCACACGAGGGGACGAGCCATGCGTCCCTCTGCGTCCCTCTGTATCCCTGGGTTCGGGGGCTTCATTGGACGAACGGCTCGTTCGGGCCTGGCAGCTGGGGGGTGATGGGCAGGACTGGCAAGGATGCTGCTGCGCGAGCCACCCATTTACTTGCGAACCCACCCCTGGTCGCCTATAAGCGCCGGCACCGCCATGTTTGACATAGAACGTGATGTGAGTCGCTGGATGGGAGTGTGATAAGGTGCTGAGTTGCGAAGAAGCACAGAAACGAAGCCACCAATCTAGAGGGAGGGAGGGATTGTTCAATACAGACAGAAGACTTGGAGATAATATTTAAAAAAACGTTAACGTGTAACATGAAAGCGGACAGCCGGATGTACCGTAGGAGAATGGATAGGAACCAAGATATCCATCTGTCGATTATCTCATACTTCCAGTAGATTAAAAATCACCGCCACTCCGACTCAGATAATAATAAGAATAGTAATGGCCTGTGCCAGGGGACAAAGTGGATCTGCGGAGGCAACAAGCCATGAGCCAAGCGCCGCAGTGCAATTCAATCCTTCCAAGGTTTGCAAAGCAATAGTGTCGAGGCTGAGTGGGTTCGGGTTTCTGATCTCTCCACTCGGGCAACTGGTTCATTTCAGACGAACACAAAGTGTCCAGTCCCCGAGGTCATGACTACAGACTCCGTAAGAAGGATGCGAGATTGGTTACTGCTCGGGGGGCAGATAGACCGACAAGCACGGATCCCAGATGTTCTGACGTGCTGTCAGGAATTTTGGCGAACACCTTTAGGCAAAGCTGCAGATTAGTGGGGGCCCACTGCCCGTAGTTCGTGGGGACGCAGTCGGAGTCCTACAGTTCTCTGTCTGGTCCCCAGACACGAGACAAAACTCACCGTCGCGGTCGGCCGGGAAGGCTATATATCTGTGGGAGCCATCAGGGGCGAGTTTCCACAGGGGACGATGAAACTATCGAAGTTTGGAACGCTGGCGGTCGCAGTTCAGCACAAATTAGCAGGATGGTTCCGCTGGTTGGCAGGGCGGAAACACGTCGTGTCTCAGCCAGACGATCCTGATACGCCGGCCCCGGCGCGGTGCAGCAAGTGTTTGAGCGCGGGTCCACCCTGAAGTTAGCACGGAAGTAGATATACTCCAAAATATATGCCGCTGATTATGTTGGTGGAGGTACCGCTACCTCTCTCCGCCCCCTGGTTCGGGGGCCTCAACCTCCTCCCCCCCTCTTCCGTCTTTTTTGACAGTGCTCCTTCCCCCTTCTGGGTCCAGACCCTCACTTCTCCTACTGCTAATCCTCGCCCTCCTCCTCTCCGTCCGCCCCAAAAGCAATCCTTCGGGCCAGTCCATTTCTCTCGCTTGACGCTCTGGGCTTTTTTCCTTTCCTTCCACTGGTCGCACTGCTTGCCGCCGAACCGCCGTCCCCCTCTCCACTACATCACCACTTGCACTATTGCACATCCTCCTGTTCGCTTCTTGCACACAACCGCCCACATTTCCTTGTTCGCAGTACTCTCCGACAGTACTTTCCGATTTGGATATCAGCCGAGCGTCAGGCTCGATCATTCTACGACTTCGGCATCGGGGCTGCATTTCCGCGCCAGCTTCCATCCCCGACTTCCATTAATGCTCCACACCCACCCCAAGGGATCTCTCGTCGCCGATCCCCGCGCAGTGAATTAAACAAGGAAGAGAGGCTATATAGGTGTTGTTAATCGTGTCAACTCCTTTGTCTTGGGGAAGTACCACAGCAAGCTCGGTCTCTTTTCCTGTTGGCAGCCATGTCGACCGCAGTTGCATCCGCAACTATGGCTCCGATGTCCTCACCACATACCACCCGCGGCTCAAGCCCGAAGAACTGCCCAACCCTGGCTCCTCTAGGCGGCGTTCCGGCGAATTCCTCTCCGTCCCGGATGTCAACCAGCTCACACGATGGCCCAGCCAAAGGGACACCCGAGAACAAAGATCCGTCGTCTCCGTAAGTTTGATTCTGTTTTGCGCGGACACTGGAGAGGAGAAGAAGAAGAAGAAGAAGAAGAAGAAGAAGACAAAGATGCACGATGCTGATAGCCTTTCTGCAGGTCGCAAGGTAGCGCCGGCTCTAAGGTCACTGTGAAGAAGGAACCGCCTTCGCCGCCGCGCATGCAGAGTGAGGGCCGTAGGCCCAAACGTTTGGACCTGTCGAGCTTGTCAAACAACCGACCGTCATCGAGCGGCCTCCAGGTGCGCCCGCCGGGAGGGCCCATGACTGCCCGGGAGGGTATCATGCACAACGTGGGTCTGGCCTGTCTATCACCCGGCTTTCAGACCGATGATCCCGCGAGGAAAGAGCAACTGCAGCGCAGCATGTCCGTACGGGAGCAGCAACGGTCAATCATCGAGGCGCGTTTGCAGAAGTCGGCCAAGGATGATGGCCCGGACGGGGTCAAGCCGTCCGAGTCGAGATTCATGGCGATGCCCAAGTCCGGTTCCAAGCGACGGCCTCCTCCCGGTCTTTCCATCGTCCCTCCGTCCGCTTCTCAGTTCGCCAACGAGCGTGTGATTCAATCTGCCCCGCTGAACCAGACTTTCACCCGATATCAACCACATCCCTTGACCCGCCATGTAGCCAACCAGAGCCCGACACTGGGTTCGACATCGCATATGCATCACGTTCCCGCCACCCAGACGAACAATCGCCTTCCTCCCCTCTCCGACGTCTTTGGCTCCGATGCGTTGGGCCGCGACCGAGATCGCCCCAGTCTGTACCCGAATGCATCCAGTACCAACTCGTCCCAGTCCAATCTGGCTCCATTGCCATCGCCCGGTTTGCCCGGAAACATGTCCCAGACTCCTACTCGGCCGCGCGAGTACCGCTCCGCTGAGGAGGCAGTCCAGGAGATGTCCGGTGGACGGGACGAGCTGCTTCCCCGTATTGTGCACTACGGAGGCCACCAACCGCCCACCCCCCCATCTCCGCATGCTGGTCATGCGCCCCCCAAGACCGCACCCTTGATCAGTGAAACGACCCCCAGCGCACCCCCAGCTCCTCCGATGTACTCCACCGATAGTACTGCCCGCCGTCGCCCTCGAAGCGAGTATGAACAGGACAACGGGAGTCCTCCACTGGGTCATGGTCCTGATTCTCACTACCGGCCTAACCCTGCTGCGACCATGGGACCAAACTCGACTTTCCCCGGTCCCTTCGGCGCAGGCAGGGACTCGCCGGAGACTCAGCGGAGGAAGAAGGAAGAGTTCCTTGGCTTATGTGCACGGGCTTGGGATTTGTTCCATTCTTGACCTCGTCCAATATCCCCATAGCGCTACACCAGAAGCTTCGCATCGGGCCTATCGGGCCATCACGCTTCACTGTGACAAGACTCATCTAGCCACAACTCCAACTCGACTCTCTTCTAAGCATCCATCTCGTCGGTCAGACTAGATGGCTTGCCCTATTCGAAATGTTTTACATCTGATTCTACGCCTCATCTTGATGATTGAGCAACGGGTTTTCAAGGTTTATCCCTTTTTCTGTTCACATGACATTGATGTTTATATCCCACCTCATCTATACCTACGGTACGACTGTGGCGGGCCTCCGCGGAGGCTCACTTGGAAAAATTTTGTTTTATTTTGCTTGCTCTGTATTGGGTTCTGCTTCTGGCTTTTAATGAGAACCTCTGTTGCATTGTTTCACACTGGGCGTTTTGGGGGCTTCTTGCTCATGTTTTACCATATACCTACCTTTCTGGACGTTGATCTGGTTTCTTTCTGGAAAGCTTAGCTTGGTGAATGAGCTTCATTGATCGAGATTTTACCTCTTATTTCATCTCTCTTTCTATTTCGTCATCCCGTTTGACTATATCTCGTTGGATCGAGGACGGTCCGAATTAGGATTGGGATATTGTCTTGGGCCTAATACAGTACACACGCGACTCTGGAATCTAATGACCCGTAGTATTTGGAGACATTCATTTAACCCTTTCAAACGCGCATCGGTTGCTCTAGACTGTAATCTTGTTCAATTAAAATCTGGGTATCTATTCAAGCCGCCTCCTCTTCCCACCCCGCGCAGGAGGCTCATCACCCATGCCCTCCATCCCCCGTCTCTCCATAGGCATCTCTTTCCTCTCCTTCGAAGCCATCTTCTTCCTCCTCCTCTCCAGCGCCTTTGTTCGATCCCGCGATCCCATCTCCTCATACTTCTTCTGCAGGACCTGCTTCTTCAAATCCGACTTCTTCAGGTAGTACGGCGTGCTCTTCTTACCCTCACGAATGGCCTGCTTCTCGCGCTGTTTGTGCTCCGCGATAACGGTCTCCTCGCGCTTGCGGTTATCCCGCGACTTTTTCTGGTCCGTCGCCGAGCGGATTTGTTTCTTCAGCGCTTCCTTGGCCTCTGGGTTCTTCATCATGGCCATTTGCCTCTTCAGGTCTTTCAGCTCCGACGCGCGATACTCGTCGAGGAAGGCGTAGTTCTTTTCTGCCGCCTGTGCATTAGGTCCCTTACCACTGTGGCCCATGACTGCAGCGTCGAAGCGCGGGTCACGCGCCTTAGGGACAGCGGGCGGCTCGACGACCGTGCGTCTGCGGGTGACGGCGTATTTGGAGGATTGCACCATGGGCGCGTGCTTGGATGCGCGGGCCGCTTTCTTCTCCTTCGCGGCTTCCTTGGAAGCGGGGGTGGATTTGGCGGCTGCTTCGCGCGTCTGCTCGCGGGCGGAGCGGATCCGGGCGCGGATGTCGTCGAGTGGGGAGGCGGTTGAGGCGGATTCGGTGGCCAACTTATTCGCTTTTTCTTTGCGCTTTTTCGGCCCCATGGTGGCTTGGGCTTTGGCCAGAGCGCCGAAGGAAATGTTGCTTAAAGAGGCTTGAATATCGTCGTTCCCCAGGTCCGAGTCTTCTTCCTCGGAGGATGCTTCTTCGGAGGCATTATCGTTGCCACCTTCGGTGTCTTCGTCATCTTCTGACTCTTCAGCTTTTTGCGACTGCAATGAGAAAATTGATTAGTACTTGTTTCATCTGTCCTCGCAAGAATGCATCGTACATCATCAGATTGCACATCTTCGGCATCAGAGTCGCCGTCCTGCTCGGCCTCGTCCTGGGACAGCTCTTCGCCCATGCCGGACTCGTCCGAGTTTAATTCATCCTCATCATCATGGCGTGCCCGCACCACACGGCGGTTCAACAGATCCGAAATAGCCATTTTGGTCGTGAGAATGGCTAGCGTTGCTCAATCCGAGATGTGCAGAATGCGAAAATAAAATATTGCCGCGGCAGGCGGTGAGCCCGATAACGCTGATTAGACATTTTTTCCCCGATTGCCCGTCAACATCCCCTCCGACGTGCAGTGCATGTCTCGCCCGACCTGGCCTGCGCGATCGTGGAATCTCTTAGACCATTCGATGCGCCGGCGCAGTCTTCTCAATAAAATCAATCCAGTATGCCACCAATACCATCTCATTTTGTGAACTACTATATCCAAATTGGCGGCAGGAACTAACCCTGATACCAATGTAGCTCGTTTCTCACGCCAAACACGCTCATCACGACTTCGATTCCCTTACCCACGGTTCTCGACCGTCTATCAAGCTGCCTCGCACAGGGAAACGGCAGAAGCGCGCGCATGCTGCCGCGGGCTTAACTGTCCCTGTTAATGCCCTGCAGTATGCCAATGCGCCGGCCGTGAATATGAGCGATATGTCCAGTGGGTTGGGGAGGAGACCATCGTGTCCTGTGGCAGACTTCGCTGGCTCTCCGATGCCGAACTTGCCGTATATTCCAAGTCACCATGCTGCTGGCCAGGGACTTGGAAAGCATTCTCCGCGAGAGAATACAGGATTGCCGTATGGGCCGGGGTCAGGTTTCAACCTGGAGTCGTATGCGCCAACATATGACAACAATACGGCAAGCACAAACCTCTATGAAGGTGGTCAATTATTAAACGAGGGCACAGTGGGCTCACCTTCAAGTTCATTTGGCGCCTTCAATGTTCCACGATGGAACCCAGCGAATACCCAGTTGCCGACTGCACTACCGCAGCCATTCCCCTTCATCAATCCGATGTTCTTCAATCAGGTGCCAATGGGCAATTTCTCATCATCATTTCCCATGATGCCGCCGTTTAACCCAATGCTTCCTCTGCAGTCCCAGAATATGAGCACGATGGCAGGATCAACGAGACATCTACCTGAAACGGGGCCACTACCGCGGAGAGCACGGTCACCAACACCGCCGATGAAGAGACCCTCGCCTACAATCAAGTATATGCAGCAAGCCTCTGAAGCACCACGAAGATGCCCCTCCAGACGGCCATTACTGATCATTCTCGACTTAAACGGCACCCTCATCTTTCGAAAACACCGCAAGCTGCCACCGAACTTTGCCCGGCGCCACGGTCTCGACGAGTTTCTCGAGACACTGACCCGTAAATATTCGGTGATGATCTGGTCGAGCTCAAAACCGCCAACCGTGAACGCCGTCTGCGAGAAGTTATTCCCCGGTGACAAGCGCAACCGTGTCGTAGCATTGTGGGGACGCGACAAGTTCGGCCTAAGCAATCTACAGTACAATGCGAAGCTGCAGGTATATAAAGAACTGCGCAAAGTGTGGGCAAGCTCCGAAATTCAGGCCGCATATCCCGGAAACGATGCCGTGAAGCAACCAGCGCCCAAAAAGGGCGGTGGTAAACACAGCAGGAAAACCCAAAACCGCCTAAACGCTGCCGAAGTCTTCCCTCCAGGCCACCGCTGGGACCAGACGAACACCATCCTCATCGACGACAGCAAACTGAAAGCTCTCAGCGAGCCATTCAATATCCTCGAGATCCCGGAGTTTACGAACGACCCGAACATAGACGAGTCTTCACTTTTCACTCAGGTCCTCGCCAAACTCGACGCTCTCTCGCGTCACGACGACGTGAGCAAGGTGCTCCGCCAGTGGAACGAGCGAGTTGCGCGGGGAGAGTCTAGTATCTTGGACCTGGACATCTCTCTTGAAGAGGAACTCGACGACGAAGAGGACGGTGGCATCAGTCTGCTGCCTCCTCAATCCCCCGCCACCTTTGCCAATCCCATTGTTGAATCTCAGGTTCAAGCTCAAATTGCCCAGGGAACGGATCCCAAAGAGGCTGCACGTCTCAGGACGGAGCGCAGGAAGGCGCGCAAGAAGGAGAAAAAAGCCGCCAAAGCCGCCGTCGCGGCTGCTGCTCAGGTCGCTAAGCAGACGCAGGTCCAGGCTCCGACTCAGATTCCCAGTGCTGTGAAGGATATCGGTTCAATGGCGTTCAACACCGACCCCAGCAACAAAAGCCGCCGCAAGAAGGGCAAGAAAAAGCCTCGCTGGGCCCAGGAACCTGATATCGAGCGCGAGCTCGAACCTAACGCACGCGCCAATATCATGGAACCCCCGGCTGGCAATCGGTACAACCTCCGCCGTCAAACCCAACCGAATCCCGCAGCGACTACGGAGGCGTTGGAGGGGAATGAGAGCACTTCGTCACAAGGTCCTCCTTACCCCGACTCCGCCACCCTCGACCACAGCGGCGCCCACGTAGCTCATAAAGAGTTCAAGGGCGCAACGTCCACAGTCAACGCGGAGACGCTGGAGGCAAGTGAAGCTTCCTCGTTAGACCCCGCTTGGAGCGGGTACAAACGAGGCCGTGCCCCTCGTCATGTCGATGCTCAGCTTCCCATGGCAACTGAGGCTTCTGTGCCACAGCTACAGCAGGAGCAGCCGCAATATCAATTTCAGACGAACCTGAACCGCCGCTCTGTATCGCCACTAACGGATGAGGAAAGACGTTCCGTCTCACCGGCCACGTCCTCTGCATCTAGAAACTCGTTGCTGGACCGGTTGGAGGAGGGACTTGGGTTTCCGAAGAAGTAAGGGAGCTTGGCGTGTCTTTCATAAGACACATATCCTGTTCTCGTCCGATGGATTCGATTCTCCGAAGCTGGGTCATTTGAAATGGAGTTTTCGGGTTTTCTGAGCTAGCATGGGGTCTGAGCATTCCGTTCTACTGATTTCCTGGGCTCTGGAAGAAAGATGCCCAAGCTTCTGATTTTCACTGGGCTCTTTTTGGATGCATCTTGCCCTGAATGATGAGATGAGAATGGCAATGGCCTCGCCTAATCATCTTTAGGCATGTCCTGGCTACCCTTTAACTATTGCCTGCTATGTCTTACTCCGCACATGTGGCTTTTTGTGACGAAGTGATACCCGTCGAACTTGTTTGATAAGGCTCCTTTCCGCAGCTGTTTAGTCAATCCTGACTCCACCTTTGGCCAAGATGAGGACAGGCATTCAGTTGCTTACCGTCGGTGTCCATCGATGTCAACTTTGAACTTAACCTCCACCTTTTAACTAGCTATACATGTACCTCCAGTTGTTGATAATGAAGCCCGATAAATCTATATTGTTAGAACAGTTGCGAGCTCGTATCCGAATCTGTATCCCTTCTAGGGTTTCTTAAATTCTTGTTCAAGTAGATCTTCGTCGGATTGATTTCCCCCATAGATACCGCAAACAGTGGAAATAGCCCCCATCCATGACCCAAATGCAAGAATCCTCTAAGTTTGGCGGTTCTTCAACATTCAATTTCTTTGCCGTTCCTTGGCGGTTTCAGAACTTTCCAAATGAAAGTCGTCAGGCCTAAGGCCCCAGGAATCGGCGATGCAGACGTGCACAATTTGCCAATCAGGTCGAGGGCAACCGCATCTCGACCGACTCTTCCAATTGTAGGCCAGTTTGTTCATGTTTGCCCGTGTGAATCCTCTTGAGAGGATGTAAGACTTTTGCACGTGAAACGCTCCTGCATCTTGATATCTGCCTCTACATGATACGCCAAGCCCATAAGCTGATGCAATTAAGACTTTGGGGGGATTCTGGACCATGTAGATTTTGGCATACATTCATTGCCCCACTTGTGATTCCTTCGGCGTCAACTATGCTCTACGCTTCCTTTAAGCGCATACCAAGCTGCTTTATACTGTAGTGCAGCTTGGTCTTCCCAATAATTTTTTCAAAATCAGGGTGGCGTTTGAATGTTCATCGTGTGGGGAAAGTGGCTGGCATCTCCCCCAATTCGCATAATGCCCTGGAGGCATGAACAGCTGTCTCCCCGGTGTAACCTGACCTAGAGTCTCAAGCTAATGGCGCGTGGTAAGCTGGACAAGTCTATGCCGCTCGAATGTTGTTCTGTTTGGATATTTGAAGTATATATGCTTGGCATTTTTAACCTTTCAGGCCTCGCCAGATATATATACCGCAAAAGGCGAAAAAGAACTCTCCATCAGTTACAGCATAAGCTTGACAACCTGAACACATAGCTAATTGATATGATGGATCTGTTCGCTTAATCCTATGTAGGACCAGGCACTAGAATGGAGTTCTATTTCAACACCTGGGGCGGAACTAATCACAGTACGGCAAAGACGACCACCTGGAGGGGCAGAACCCCCGCAGAGAACGGAACAAGACCCAAACAACCTTCGAGCATCCAGTCTTGCTTGCCCTTCTTCGCGGCCGTCACCCGCTTGGAACCTACCAACCTAGGTACATCTTACCAACTCGCTAAAAACACATGTACAAATTACGAAGAAAATATTCACAGATAAATTCGTCGGAGACACAAAGTCCCGATTTCTTTATTGCTAGCTAGACCATAATAGTAGTAATCTAGCAGAGACCGCGCATCCAGGGGCAATAAGCCACCCGAAACCACGCAGGTCGATCATCTCATCTCGCATCGCAACGTATCATAACCGTGAACGTGAACCACATCGGCGCGTAAAAAAAAAAAAGTAAGGGGCATTTTAACTCCCGGCCCCGACATCAGGGCGCAGGTAGCAAGAACGGAGAGGGAGCAAGGATGGGCGGGACATAGATGTCAAAATATGATCAAATATCGCTCTCCAAGGGGTATTCGGTGAGAAAAGAGAAAGGAGTTCCGAGCGCACACGCTTATTTGAAGACGTGGCCGTCAGCGAACTCGAGCTCCTTGCCGTCGACGGTGACGGGGACATCCCAGGACCACATGTCATCGACGTACTTGCGGTCAGCCTCGGAGGTGGGGTCGAGCTTGGTGAACTCGTACGACTCCCAGTCGGGGCCGACCTCAAAGGCAGGCATGAAGTCCTGGCCGCGGACCATGAAAACACCCTTGATGACGCAGGCGTAGTTGGCGCCGTAGACGGCCTGAGCACCGAAGAGGTACTTGCGGGAACCCTCAAGACGGGCGTGGAAGCCACCGATCAGGTTGTTGGCCATGAAGGTGAGCTTGAGCTCCTCGTTGTACTTGTAGTCGACCTTCCAGAGCGAGTACTCATCGGCCTTGAAGTTCTGCCAGAACCAGGGGAGGGCAACGGGGCGGGTGTCCTCGTTGGAGTACTGGCGCTTCCACTCATCGAGGATGAGGGTGGGCTTGCCAAGGGCCTCCAGGGGGTGCTTGGGCTTGGGGGCGGGAGCGGGCTCCTCGGCAGCGGGGGCAGCAGCGGCCTTAGGCTTCTCCTCCTTCTTGGGGGCAGTGTACTTGATGACCTCCTCAGTGAAGACGGGGTTGGGGACGACAGCCTTGAAAGCGTCCTGGTTGATGATGGTGTTGTACCACCGGGTGGTGGCGGGGTTGTCGGAGCGCCACTTCTTGTCCAGAACGGTGGCGAAGCCACGGGTCAGGAGGGAGGCAGTGAAGAGATCAGCCAGGGTGATGCGCTCGCCGACCAGGTAGGTGTTGGCAGTGAGGTGCTGCTCAAGGACGGCAAGGGGCTTCACAGCAGCCTTGGCGGCGTCATCGACGGTCTTCTTGTTGTAGCCGTCGAGACCGAGGAGGGGGCGGTACCAGGCACCAAGCTTCATGAGGACCTCGCTGTTGGCGAAGGACATCCAGCGGACGATGGAAGCATAGTCCTGCTTGGTCTTGCCAAGGAGGGTGGTCTTCTCGTTCTGGGAGGTCACTATAGCAAACCAAAACAGGTTAGTTGAGGTTACATATTTTTCTCTTTCATGACAGGTGTGGATCCACAATCGAATCATGCAATCAGGGGTGACGATGGGACAGTGTGCTCCAGAAAAGGGGGAAAGGGGAGCTTGGGCTTCAACCCGAAGCCCAAGTCCTCCAGACCCCCCTCCGAAAATTTTTCTCCCTCGTAAAGCGGGGTACTCGATCTTCTTGGGGTTGTTTTTGTTCAGAGTGTGGTTATATCAACAGTGTAGTTCTGCCAGGGATAACTAGAATTGAAATTTCTCTCATCATGAAAAGGGGGGGGGGGGAAGAAGACGGATTGTTGAGACTCGAATGAAGTGGGGGAAAGAAGGCTTTGTCAACAACATACCATAGATGGCGATGGCAATGACCTCGGACAGGGTGAAGCCATTGGCACCCTCGAAGGCAGGGATCTTGCCAAGAGGCTGGACCTTGAGGTACTCAGCGCTGGTGTTGACAGCAGAGTTGGGCTGAGTGTTGACCAGCTCCAGCTCCAGGTCGTTGTGCTTGGCAGCGACCAGGACGGCGATGGTACGCCCGTTTTCCTGAAGAAGGCAGTCAGAAGGAATGCTGAAGAGAGGAAGGAGTGCGAGAAACACATACGGGGAGACCGTAGAGCTTTCCGAAGACCATTTTGAAAGCAAGGGGGGAGAGTATTGGGAGGATGAAAGAGGGAAAGAAGAGAAGGATGAGGGGAGGGGCAGATGAAATTTTGTGCGGATCCCGGTCGTCGGTGCTCGGAGGAAGTGTTTTTGCACAAGTCACGTGGCGGTAAAAACAGCGGTGCCCGAACATTGAGACTCGGCGGACTACGACAAGAAGAGTCCGTGTACCTTCATAATCCATTCACAATGGCCCGGCCTACGCCCAGTGGCCTCACTCAGGCCTTCCAGGCTCTGCGGCTACACCCATCATCAACATACCGCCCTGTAACCCGGTGCCTGGCCCGACAGACCCGGGCCTATGCGACAGAGGTAGAAGGCCAGCAACCACCAGCCACAACACAAGAGCAAGTGGCAGCAGCGCCCGAGATCGACTTCACAAATTTCTCCCGCCGTCCAGCCCGCATTATCCCCGCCTCCCCATCCTACTTCTCCGGCAGCCCGCGATTCATCGACCATGTCTTGAAGCTGGAGCAGCTGCAAGCGAAGTACGCCTCGCTCCCGACTGTGGCCGCCGGCGAGGCGCCGCGCATGGCCTGGTTCAAGCTGGCCCAGTTCCGCGACTACGTGGGCGAGCCAGTGCCGATGAAGAAATACAAGAGCCTGGTGAAGATTCTGCAGCGACTGAACCGCATCCAGCCGGCGATGGTGCCGGGTGAGGTGAAGAACACGCTCGAGTCATTCTTGCGGCCGGGTAATCCGTACGCGGTGCAACATGCGCAGCGGACAGTGGACGAGAATGGGCGCGCGCGTGCCAAGGGCAAGCGTAAGGAGTCGACTGCCGTCGTGCAGCTGGTCGAGGGCGAGGGCGAGGTCCTCGTCAATGGCAAGTTGCTGGTCGAGGCGTTCCAGCGTGTGCATGACCGGGAGAGTGCATTGTGGGCGCTGCGCTGCACCCAACGACTGGATAAGTACAATGCGTGGATTACGGTTCACGGCGGCGGTGTGACCGGCCAGGCGGAGGCGATCACGCTGGCAATTGGGCGGGCTCTGCTGCTGCATGAGCCGGGCCTGAAGCCTGTTCTCCGGAAGGGTATGTTGCTCTTCTTTCATCCTAATATTTGCTTTCACTGCAGAACCTTTTACTGACATTTCCCTCCCCCTTTTGTTCTAGCTGGTGTCATTACCGTCGATGCCCGTCGCGTGGAGAGGAAGAAGCCGGGTCACGTCAAGGCCCGCAAGATGCCTACCTGGGTCAAGCGTTAAAGTGGAAAATTCTTGTGGAGCGATGCTTTTCTACTATTTCTGTTTATCTATCATGTATTATTTTACCTGCATGGCAGCTCGAGTCGCCAGTCCTATTTTATATCCTGTACAATGCATATGGGGCTTTCATTGAACCAAGGCTATCGCTGGAGTCTCACATTTGACCAAAGTCCGGCGAAGGCTGGGTGCCAAGTAGAGTGATCTGCCGACCTGATTATAAATTGCAATACTGTAAGCGCGATAAAATTCAGCTAATGTTCAGATTAATACGGGGGGTGGCCAAAAGACCTACAAAAGACCTACAAAAGACCTATTGTACAAACCCATCCAGATCAGCTTTCAGAAAACTACCTTACTAACCCTCAGTGTGCCTACAATTTACCATTTTGGTATCCAACAGACGAAGAACACAGTACATAAGTCGGGGGTAAGTACAGTTTATGCCGTCCAACCCTTACAGGAGTTGCATAAAATGAATTTGGAATCATTTGTGTAAACGTGGCGGTAGTATCGAACATCCAATCCTCCCATTATCTCCATAGAAAGGATTTGTAAGCCCTTCGAGTCGCCAGTATACAGCTCTGCATCTGCATGTGCATTCAAAAAAGCAAGCATATCGGTTAAGCTGTGGCAATTCCATGGTCACGGCCATCGGGCCCGCAACCGAACAAAAGTACATGAGCAGGTTATACTCCGTACCCCCCCTGGATCCACGGCTACCCATCGAATGATCTTCAATGCAGAAACCCTAATCGACCAACCACAAGCGTCACGCACACATTTGCATTGGGAACCTGCTTTTGCTTTTGCTTTTCCTTTTGCATTTGCTTTTTACCCCCTCCTGTACAGAGTGACCACACACCGCCTAGATGCACCCATCCCGAAAAGGAAAGCACCCAGAACCAGACGTAGGAACAAACGCATGCCATAGCCCGGATCTCGGGGCTAGTTTTACCTTTATCGACCACATGAGAAATACATAGGAGTAAAACGGAAGAGGACACAAAAAGGGATATATCGGTTTATGTACAACTCGTCAATTTGACCATAACCGGAATGATGGCATGACATCGAGGCGAAGTAGACGAGGAGCTAGCTAGCTAGCTAGCTAGACTAGACTAGACTAGACCGAGCACGGAAGACTAGCTCGTACACTTGTTCCGCCTGTGGAATAAGTTCTCCGTAAGACACAGCTAGCGATGAACTAGAGTCCAAGGAAGCGCGGCAGGAGAGAGGAGATAGGAGACAGGACGGGATAGGATACTATCTGTGGACGGGAGGAGAGGGAATAGAAGTGTGTGGGTTGATCATAAATGAGAGGGGTAAGTCCAGCGCTCCATCACTTTCCGATCATCGACCATCGTCATTGGGGTGGGAGAGAGCGAGGTGGAGGAGGGGGGTGTTTGGCCCGGAAGTGACCAGTGTCCCAGCGATCTCGAATATCACACTAGGGGCGATTGGCGCGGCGCTAGTAGACAATAGCCTCCCCCGTGGCGGTAGCGACCGTCGTCATTTTTGCCCCACTACCACTCTGGCGGGTCTCCCACTCCCAATGTTCTCCTCGATCGACTATCGACCATCGTCGGGAGATAATCCAAATGGCTCATGGGCCGGGCCCTTGGGCGGAGGGGGGCTGAGGGGCTCAGGACGCTAACTGGAACCGAGGCCGTGGACGGGGCTGGGTTTTTGTTTTTCTGTTTTGCGTGCATGTGGAGGAGGTGGGCATGGTTGGGCGCGGGAGTTGGGATAGGTAGATTTTTTCTGGGTCTTTCTCTTTTTGGCTTTGGGGGCTTTTGTGATCTGTGAAGCCTGGTTGTTCATGGTCGCTGTGCTGCTGTGCCGGCTTCGGGGACAGGCTGGATGCGGAGAAGTTCGGGTCGGCTCTCCATCAGATCCAAGCATTGGCCTAGGACTAACGAGGTTCTGAGCATTAGAATGGAGAATAGAAATCGGGGAAAGTGTCTGAACGGGGAAGGACGACAGATCCCGAGGAGAAGGTACGGGAATGAGAGCAGAGGGCCGAGGCAGTAAAGCCTGATCTTCCACCTACCGGATAGGATCTCTTCCTCCCATATACCCATCTGATAATCAACCAATCCGTGTTGTTCAAGCTGATCGCAAAGCTGAATCAAGTCTTTGCCCATGGCCTCCATTCGATCCCGGCTCAACAGACTCGTCTGAGGCGGCTGTTGGCCCGTCGCAACAAGATCCTGGGTCACATCCTTCTGTTTCTGACAGACGGCCAGCCAGCAGAGGTTGAATTCACTCCAGAGCTGCAGGCGGTCAGTGTACAGCTGATGGTCGTCGCGCAGGATTCCTACGTATCACAAAGACGCGATTAGACTCTTTCTTCCCCCCGCCATCCCACCACCATCCCTGCAAATCAGATCCAGAGGAGGAAACAAGAAGCCGAACCTACCAAGATCCCGTGCATTAGTCACAAGCCACTCGGAAATTTCCAGCAGCGACTGGCTCGCTTCCACCAATCGCCCGGCGCGCGTCTGGTCGAAGGTGCTGCGCAGCGCTCGCTGATACTGGGCGTACGCTTCGTCGAGGCTGGAAGGGTCCGCCACGGGCTGGGCAGACGGATCAGCCTGCTGCTGCACAGGAAGTGCATCCAATCGGGCGGAGGAGCCGGTCCCGAGCGGCGTGAAATCAGCCATGGTCGTGGGAAAGGGTTGCGTGGTGCTGGAGCGTGCCATGGACCCCGGTTGAGTATATGGCAGCTGCGTGTTCATATAAGGCGAGAGCCCTGGGACCCCAGTCCCCGTGGATTCCTCGGAGGCGAAATACTGCGAAACGGGAAACTGGTTTGACAGGGTCTCGATCGCTGCAGACTGCCGTGTCGGGTACTGTGGGACAACATCGAAGGGTCCTTGAGCTGGACCCTGCTGACTGAAGCCGTACAGCATCGCCGACTCGTACGGCACGAACGGTGGGGCCTCGGCCGCGCGGCGCTGGGTGTGCGGCACGGAGTCTGGTGGGTTGGGTGATTGCTGCGAGAGATGCGCTTGTGCGTGCGATTGATGAGACAGTGGATGCGCCTGTCGCGGCCTCGCGAACTCGGCGCCGTATGCCTGCACCTCGCTCGGCTGCAGCGCGCCGTGGAAGGGACTGCCTGTGTATCCGTAGTCGTAGGACATCGGAGCCCGGTCTGGCGCCTGCGACATCCCCGTTGGATCCCCACGTGGATGCATGGCCTGGTCGAAGCGATCGGTTGCACGGCCTCTGCCCGCGGCATTGCCAGATCTTGCCATCAACCGCTCATGCCGCTTCATGCGTTGGTCGCGATCGCCATCCATCAGGCTGTCCCACACGGACCTGCGTGGATCGAGATCGGCCCAATGCTTGGGGGACAGCGGCGGACTTGCGTAGGAGGCCAGCTTGGGGGTCGGCGAATGAGTACGGGCACTGGATTGCCAGATATTCGGGATGAATTTCGCTCTTCCTCTCTTTCCGAGATTTGGGGGAGGAGAGGCGGCTGGTCAGAGGACCAGCGTGTGCCGGCCAGATTTCACACCGTGATATGATGCGATGTTTGGTGATGGCGACCTGAAGAATGGCGCATCCAACTAACTTCGCAGAGACGTTGCGCGCCAGATGAAGTCCAGGAATGCGAAAGTCGAAACGGAGCCAACGAAGGTTGGACGACGCAAATACATATACCAATGTAGGAAGTATACGTCCCCGGAGTCAAACCCGATTGCACTGGGTATGTTTCATGTGTTCATGAGAAAAGATGGCTGAAGCAATCGCATATGAGTATGAACAAATATGACGAATCTAATCGGAGAACTCAGCGGGTGAGCAGGGCAGCCAAACAGCACCAGAGCAGGGCAAGACAAGATGACGCTAGCAGAAAGACGGACCCAGGGAAGGGAAAGTAGAAAGATGGGTCACGCTCCAGAGGGCGTGAACTAGCTGGAAAAAGAAAAGAGCATCGAACGAGAAAAGAAAAGAGAAAAATAAAACACATACCAGGAACAAGGCGACCTAAGGGAGCAGATCAAAAGCACGACCTCTGCATTGGGCTCGTGGGACCCGGTACTTGGGTAGAAGGGGGGGGAAGTAGTTGCGACTATCTACCCCCAGGGCATGGAAAGCTTGGGATGAAAGGGCGCTAAGCCGGTGATCAACCGATCTACACCTAAACTTGCTCGGCCCTGTCTGCGATCGCCCGGGAACCCGACGCGGTGGTTCCCTGGTGGGTTCCCGAAAAGCTAGGGATGATTTACAGCACAGAAAGGGGTGGAGCAAGGCCCGGATGATGGCCGTCAGATTTGGGGTAAGCAGAATCGAGAACCAGGATCGAACCAAACAGCATAGGATAGGATGGGATAGAATAAGACAGGAGAGAGTCCAGATCAGAAAGCGTAGAAGGGTTTGGGGAAGGATCCAGATGGGTACGGTACCTTCTATAGCGGCCGTCTCAGCTCCGGTCAGGAGTTGCCGTGTTTTGTCATTATTATGCCCCTACCCCTCCGTGATTATTGGAATTTTTAGGATTATTATTTTGCGATGTGTAACTCTTATGCCTGGGGCTGACGATCCATGGACTCGGTGGCGGTGCCAGTACATACTCGACAGGAGGTACTTTCCTATCGACTCCGGCCGCTCAGACGAGCCTGGGGCAGCCAGGATGGATTTGATTTGAGTTGATTGAGTTCTATTATTGATTGGATTTATTATTATCACCCGACGTTCGGGGTTAGTGTCATTGTCATTGTGGATCTTCTGGTCTCCCCAGGGCGGGAGATCCCCCTGCGCTCCCGGCAGGAAAGATCGGCGCGTCTGACACAGGAACCAAAAGCCGTGCGGTCTCTCCTGTACGGCGTCAAATCCCAACCCAGCCGGTTGAACCTCCTCTGCATTTTATATGGTGAGCTGAACAGGGTTGGCCATGGACTTAGAAGGGCGGACGCAGAGCCACCTTCAGGAATCCTACACGTACACCTTGAACAGTCGCAACATAAAGGAGGTGTGCGCGCGAGGGCCTTGTTGGTGGCTGCGTTCTTCAAACATTCCGCGGGCAGAATTGACCGGACAGCTGCTGGCTCTGGCTGGACCCTGGGCCCAGGGCCCCTTTTCTCGGATATCTGCAATCTGCAATGAGGACATAGCTCGAGTCTGCGGGAAGAATCTGGACAGACCAGAACAGACCAGAACAGACCAGAACAGACCAGAACCCACGCCCTCGATAAATGTACGTACCACCCACAACAATGGGGGACAGAAAAATGGAACCAAAAATGAACCACAAATCAGTGGAATAATCAAGAAGGAAATCAGAGACATCCATTGTCCTCACCGATTGGACACCGATCTGCGCCCCAGGGACTGTCAGAAAAGCGCCCCATTCGGGCCTGTCATTCCGTTCCCAACTGGATCCGGCGCTCTGGTTGGGATGGGGACTGTCCCGACGTGGGGATTTAGTCGGGAATCAAGTCGGGAGGTTCGGTTGGCGTTAGGTACGAGAGTTAGGTATCCAGTACCGCGCGACGGAGTGATTGGATGGCCGCTCTGTACATCAGGCATGAGTTTCAAGGTGGTTCCGAATAGATATGAGCCCTCAAGATGGGCACACAAGTACGGAGTGGTCACTCTGTACTGGACAGTGCCTTATCCAAGAGATGCGGCCCAGCGTGAGGTTGACGCGTGTGTTATGTATCAGCAAGGCCCTACGTCCGGTCAGACCCGACATAGCTGGCCATAGTTGCATAGTTGGGACGCAAGTGTCAAGCCTGGGTACATCCATTATAGCGGCCCGCCGACTGGGATGTACATGCTACATAGTAGTACTCCCGCCCCCTCGAGCCACTAGAGGAGGCGATCTGCGATCTGCGATCTGCGCAACTCGGGACTCGGCCTGATATCGACTGCGGTGCTTCGTGCGCCTCGGTATACAGCCCGCAACCAGGAGCCCGGTGGTCGGAACAGTTGCACCGCGAGGCTGATGCTGGCCATCAGCCGAACCCACCCCAATGTGACTGCTTCCTATTTGCGGTTTGCAGGCAAGGAAATTAGGGATACCTGGGTACCTGATATGGCCCCGCCTCTTCCCAGGCATTGTTTTACCTTTGCACGAACTGCACTTCAGGGCCTGACGTGCATACCGTCCTGTCAGCTGACGCCGACCCGGACGCTGCTAAACATAGCCAGAACACGAGAAGCGCCCCTCGCGCTGTGCATCGAGCGCTTTCGGTTGCGGTGCCACTGTCCTTCCGAGGTGCTCGGCCGCTGGAAAGATTGGGATTATGGCGGCCACCCCTCCCCAGTTGAGATTGCACTGGACCACGAGACTTGCAGTTCGGACGAGGCTGGGCCCGAGGGTTTCAAGGGGTTCAAGATCCGATGACGCTGACCCACATTTTCTTGGTTTGCTTGTTTTGTGCGCCCGTCTGGGTCCTTTGGCAGGATGGGCTCCTCAGATGAAACAGAACGCGCGCATATTAATTTGGGGGGTTTCTTGCATGGGATTCTAGACTCGTAAGGAGAAGCTAAACTACATAAACGCACGTCGCGGGTCATAGAGGTCATGTCATGTCGCACCAAGCGCTGGGAGAGATTCAAGAGTAGAGCACCAAGAGGAAACGAAAAAGGCAAGGGAAAGGGCAAGGGGAAGAGACGGGTGGCGCGATTTCCAGTGGCGCACATGTCCCCCAGCCGGCTATATTTGACCTGGTATAGTAGGTCAGCACCCAATCGGCCCAATGGAAGCACTGATGAACAAAAAGGACACCAATACGTACTCAGGGTCATGCTCAGATTGACATCCGTACTCTCCACCATCTCGGTAAATTCCTCGAAGCTGATCTTGCCATCGCCGTCCTTATCGGCCTCCATGATGGTCTTGTCCACAATCTGCTGCAGTTGGATGTCCTTCAGGTTGTTGCCCACCATCATCTTGAGAACAATGAACAGTTCGCCGTTGGAGATGTAGCCGTCGCGATCAATGTCGTAGACCCGGAAGGCGAAGCGCAGCTTCTCTTGCTTGTTGCCCTTGGAGCTGAAGGCCGACAATCCAGTCACAAATTCTTGGAAGTCGACATCGCCGCCGCCGTCCTCGTCGAAGATGGCGATCATTCTGCAGCAAAAATATGGCGTTAATGGCATGCCTTTCAATAGAATCGCCCGGAGCGGATCGAACAAACCTAGTGGCCAGCGGGTTGGAGGAGATCTGGGGGAGGGAAAGGAACTCGTCACGGTCGATCGTGCCAGAAGCATCCTGCAATAGATGGTTATGAGTCGATTGTTATGGGGTCTGCGGGGTCGCCGGGGTATCGCCGTACCTTATCGAGCTTCATGAACCGTTTGCGCAGTCGGTCCACTTCTTCACGGTCGACTATTCCGGGATGTCAGTTCCAGGTGGGGGTCCATTGCATCTAGTGGCGACCGTAGCAAACATACAGTTGGAGGTCGACACGATGTTATCGAAGAGCTGCGTAGTGCCAACAGAGCCTCGGCGGCGCTGCACATGGTGCATGGCGGCCGTGTTGGGCTCGGCGGGCTGATCCATTGCGGGCGGCAGAGGGGAATGTGAGACGGGAAGGTAGGGGGGTGTGGAAGGGAGGGGAGATGGGGGGAAGGAGGGGAGAGAGATTCGAAAGTTTAGGACAGTGGAGAAGAGAGGCAGAAAAAAGAAGACACGATAGAGAATCTGATAAGCGGAACGGTCGAGGAGGGAAGGAACTCAAACCAACCCAAACAGCCCAGAGCGGAAGGCGCCCAGCGGGAGGAACACCTGATAGCACCTGATATATAGACACCTGATTTACAGGGCAGAAAGCCCCAATTTAAGGCATCAACATGATTCTGATAATGCCCAGCCCCGCACTAACCCGATCCGGACAGGCAAGCGAGCCCCTGAGGCCGTGCGCGCGGCCAAAACAGGTCATCGCTGGGTGACATTGCAACGTCAACCCATTCGCCTGCCGCGAACACCCTCATCTCTCGCCGTCGATATCTCCCCCCTCCTATCGCATTTCATCACAAAATTACGACTACGAGAAAGCGCATGACCAGACCTTTCGAGTGATCCCCATTTAAACTACCCCCTGCCCATGGTGGTTGCCCTTTTGCGCGTCCCGACGCTATGACTCGGTACGGGGGCCTGGGCCGGACGCGCCCCAAAAAGCTCACCTCTAAGGCATCCATCCCCATCGTCCGCGAGCACGAGATCGATGCCCTAGACGATGAGATCCAGTCCGCACTCCAGCAGATCGAGACCGGCGTCGAAAAGGCTGAGGAGTCGGTGAGTGCCCCATTCAGCCATTTATTTTTAGCCTCATCCCTGCATGTGATCACGTGATTACATCGCCAAAGCGACACGAAATTTTCACGATGCTGATATTGGGCGCGACACATAGGAATTTCACTTGCAGGCCGCGATCAATGCCGCCGCTCAGGGTAAAGATAACGATGCGCATATCCCGACCCGCGAAGTCATCACCAGTGACATCCAGTATGCCAAATTATACCCGCCTCTCTTCTCGCAGCCAGCGACGTACATCCGCTTCTCCTCTACGGTGGAGGACTGCTGCGGATGTCCGTATAACATGAATGAGGAGGACGATGCATGGCTGAAGAATTTCAACTCGAAACGCGACGCTTCCAGTCAGTGCTCTGAGGATGATTTCGAGGCTACCATGAACTTCTTCGAGGAGACTGCACGGGCGAAGCAACCATTCGCAGCTGTTGATAGCCCGCCAGTACTCTCCTTTGCCGACATGGCAGAGGCAATGGATGCCGCCGTAGAAGACAATGTAAAGCGCTTTGCCAAGGATGTCTATGAGCACTGGAAGGCGCGTCGGTTGGCCACGGAAAACAACTCGCTGGAGCCAGCGTTGAAGGTGAATTTGGTCCCATCGTTGCAACAAAGCCGTGCACATAAGAACTGAACATGCTGACTTTCAAAAACAGTTCGAAACCGGCCAAGATACGGATGATAGTGATCCCTTCGTCTGTTTCCGCCGCCGTGAAGTGCGCCAAATCCGCAAAACTCGTGGCCGCGATGCGCAGAGTGCGGAGAAGCTTCGTCGGCTTCGTAAAGAGTTGGAAGATGCTCGGCAGTTGGTTGCGCTGGTGCGCCAACGCGAGGTTGCTCGCAAGGAGATGCTCGCTATGGAGCGCACGCTCTTCGTGCAGCGCAATGAGGTCAAGGAGATGAAGCGTAAGCTCAACATCAAGGACGATGATGAGGACCTCATTCACCAGAAGGTAAGCGTCGCCGGTATTCACTTGCGCTGTGTCCATATGCTGACCGTGCCCGTCACAGCCCAAGAAGAAGCAGATCGAGATGCCTCCTCGCCAACCGAATGCGCCTCAGCTCCGCATGCCTCTCAAGCCTGGTCTGCAAGGCGCAGAGGACTTGCAAATGCTGGAGGACCTTCAGTCAGAGAAGGAAAACGAGATTCTGCGCGATATCAGGGCAAACATTGCCAAGCATATCAAGTGGAACGAAGGTTATGTGGATCATACCCGAGCACCACTTTCCCCATCCCCCGAACGGACATTCGACGCTGCGACATTTCGTCCTGCATTCACGGCACAATTGCCCACCCCGCCATCATCGGAGTCTTCGGGCGATATGATGGACACCTCATTAGACGTGACCAGCCCGCATTTCTCCAAAGATAAGCTCACCTCGCGAGCCATGGAGCTGCACGAGGAGCCACACCGTATGCCATCCTTCAGACGACGAGTAGGGCGAGGTGGTCGCCTGCTGATTGACCGTCGAAACGTCGTGTCGCGTTGTAAAGTCGATCTGGATTCGTTCAAGGCCGATCGGTTCAAGTATGATCAGGAGGACTCCGACGAGGAGCCCATCTATGATACAGATGCACACAGCATCCAGATCATGCAGCACCGCGCCATCACCATGGCGAAGGCGCGCGAACAAGCCGCAGTGGCTGCCCAAGCACATGCGCAGGCGCAAGCGCAAGCAGCCCAGCAACGACGTTTGCAGGCAGACCAAGCTGGGAGCTCCCAGGGTGCGAATCCTGCCCCCAACGTCGTGACCGCGTCGTCCGAGGCGTGAGGGGATCCTCCCTGCCCCTCGTTTTTGATATTTCTCTCTCCGTTCTCAGCATTTGGCGGGCGTTTTCGCGTGGTTGCTTGTTTCCCTTCCCTCCGTCGCACCTTATTTCCCACCTTCTACCACCCTTGTAGTTTTAGTACCCCTTCATGTTTTGACGACACCCGCCAGCGACGAAGGGATTCGATGGAGACCTTTGTTTATTGTTTTGCGTCTCACCCACCTCCCTTCTCGCTCCTCCCCACACCCTCTTCCTCTCGTTTCTTTTAACTCCGCGGCAGATGCCATGGCCGGAATGGCCTTGCGGGTTGGCTGGCTTCTTTGGCTTGCTTCCAGCAGTGCTTTCGGGTGGGGTCTTTTGCATTGCCAGTGTACATATTATGTTTTTCGCCCTTTCAGCTCCGGGGAGGAGCACAGGGCCATGGAATGGCCTTCTTGTATGATGGATAACCGAAGTTATGATGCCAGCGACGATGGAAAAGCGGAAAAAGGCAGAAAAAAGACTTCAAAATCTAAGAAATATAATCATTCGCGAAAATCTTGAGTCGCTCTGCTTTTGGTAGATAGAGTAATCGAGTTGATGGTGATCGAAAGGCTGCTACCGTTGCGACGGAGAAGCGACTTTGCTCACACGCGCGCGGCCTTGCTCTGTCTTGAATCGACGTCGCCATTGGCAGAGCGCTTGAGAGATGCAGATGGAAGAAGAGGTTCGAGCAAGGCGAGAACAGTCTGTAGAACCTCCTTCTCGCCCATTCGCACTTGCGCGGCCATCTTGAGGCGCCGAGCAGATCCATCAAGCGAGGCGGGGGCGTTCGGTGGAGTAAGGTGGGTGAGGAGTTGCATGTCCTCGCCGAGAGAACTGCCGTATTGCATTTGCTTGATCTGCAGGATCTTGTAGAGGAGGCTGGCTTGGTTGCTGTCCATGGATGGCTTGGGAGGCTTGTTTTTGGACCGGCGCTGCTCGAATTCTTCTGGTGTCAGGGACAGGGTAGTAAGTAGGACAACCAGCTCGGCAGGGAGAACATCCTGCAGAGAAGCGTTAGGCCCCGGTCTGGGGATCACATAGCCATCGTCCAGGATGTCATTTTCTTCGAGGAATTCGAGCTGATGAGACGTTAGACTGTGAGTCTAATGAAGAAAAGTGTAGAAGAGGGTCGATGAAGAAAAGTGTAGAAGAGGGTCGATGAACGTGGCAGGATGTATACATACTCTTGGCTGGGATCCCACATCACTGTTAGGTAGACCGGCTACCTGGCAAATATCTGCCAAGGGCAGCTCGATGACATCGTATTGGGCATAGTTGTCTGTCACATAGCCGTACCGACGAAGCAGATCCGCACGGGGAATTTCCCCATAGTCATTGAAGATTTCCTCTCCTTCATGAATAGGTTTGATAGCCTTCATGACCAAACACTCTTCTTCTTGGAAGAGACGTGCCTAGATAAAGTTGTTAGTCTAAAGGGATGATGGAGAAAGAGAGCGCGAGGTTACTCACATTGTTCCGGTCCGCGTCGGCATTGAGCAGATCAGCAAGAGGAACCATACCCTTGGGCAGCTGCTCATCTTCATCATCGGTCATATAGCTCTCATCGTCGTCTTCCGCGTCATCTTCCTCATGCTCAGACTTCTCAATATCAAACGCATAAGCCATGATCAGTGAGCCCATGATATGAGCAAGCTCCAGCAGAGCCGCAGCCCCCGCATCACCCTCATACGAGGTAACACCACTCACAGGCGGGAAAAGCCCTGGATTGGCCCGGACAATGGGCACAATAGACTCCAGAATAGACTTATCGGCGCCTTGTTTGCCAATCTTGTCCAAAATGGCACTAGCCTGCAGCTCGCGCAGCTCTGCCGGTGACCAGAACATAAGTGTGTCGAAACGTGTAGGCAGGACGCGAAGATAAGGCGCCCATCTCGAATTTGAGCCTTGCGAGTATTCATAAAGCATCACCAGCATCAGGGACAGCCATGGGCCAAGGGTATCCACCTCCTGCCCGAGCAGGCTCTTCAGCTCCGAGTTTTGGACAGCGAGAATCAGATTCCGCGGAATTGAGAAAAGTTCTTCGCCTTCAGGGATACTGGTTCGGGCCACTATAGAATGATCGTAGTCAGCGTGAAGTTCTTTTATGAGAAATTTTGGTGGGCACACTTGATCGAATTTGTGTGGTGGGTGGGTGGGGGGAAGAATGGGATGCGAGTTGCACTTACCGACTCCACGGCCAGCGCCGGTTGATCTAAGATCTGCCAGATAGATCTTAGGATTGACCTTGACGCCTGGGTTTGCTTCGAGCCAGGCGACGAACTCGTCAGACTGGTGCTGGAAGCTCGAGGGGTCAGGGAAATGGGTGGAGGAGGACATGATGCCAGAGTCCGATTCTTAGGGGGTGTGACGGGGAGTATGGGAGAAAGATATGTGTAACAAGATACACACATGCAAGTCCCAGTTGGCCTGTGTTAGGCCGGCGGACTTAAAAGGGAAAAGGAAAGAGGGAAAGGCGTAGGGGGGAGGAGGAAGAAGAAGAAGAAGAAGAAAGAGTATGCTAGTAGAGTACAAAGTAAAGAAAGTACTTTTGGTTCGGAGAAACGGGAGTGCCGCTATTAGCGGGCCGATAACTGGCTGATAACGAAAACCATGAAATCGGTGCCGCACCGCTTGCGCCGCGGCTTTTGAACATATTTTTACTCCCAGACGCCATCATAATCTCATATTTCATTAATCTATCCTCATTCTTGCCGCTGCCATGATCGCCATTGGCATGGAGGGCTCCGCCAACAAGCTTGGTGTGGGTATCATGCTGCATCCCAAGGATGGCAGCCCGCCGCAGGTCCTCGCCAACATTCGGCATACCTACGTTTCCCCACCAGGCGAGGGTTTCCTGCCCAAGGACACGGCGCGCCATCATCGCGCATGGGTGGTCAAGCTGGTGAAGAAAGCACTCAAAGAGGCGCAAGTTTCGGTGGACGATGTCAGCTGTATCTGCTTCACCAAGGGCCCGGGGATGGGTGCCCCGCTACAGAGCGTGGTTGTGGCCGCGCGAATGCTAAGCTTGCTTTGGGACAAGCCATTGGTCGGAGTGAACCACTGTGTCGGCCGTATGTCTCCAATATCAAAATAAAAGCGAATATTGCTGTTCAAAATCACCAAGGCTGACCACTGTTTTGTTAGACATCGAAATGGGCCGTCTTATTACCGGCGCCACCAACCCGGTCGTCCTGTACGTATCTGGTGGCAACACACAGGTCATCGCATATAGCTCCCAACGGTACCGCATCTTCGGAGAAACACTCGATATCGCGGTCGGCAACTGCTTGGACCGCTTTGCGCGCACACTACATATCTCCAACGATCCGGCACCTGGGTATAATATTGAACAACTGGCCAAGCAAGGCAATCAGCTCGTGGATCTACCATACGTGGTAAAGGGAATGGACTGTTCATTCTCAGGGATTCTGGCCGCGATTGATGCATTGGCCGCTCAGTTGGGGCTGGGCGGCGAAGAACGGGAGAAGGAAGATGCTGAAAAGCGGGCCTCAAGTGCCGGCGAAGCGCAGATAATCCCGGAGACCAATGACAAGCCTACTCGTGCAGACCTATGCTTCTCTCTCCAAGAGACAATCTTCTCCATGCTGGTTGAGATCACCGAGCGCGCAATGGCCCACGTCGGGTCTAAGCAAGTACTTATTGTCGGCGGCGTGGGTTCGAACCTACGACTACAGGAGATGATGGGTATCATGGCGCGGGACCGGGGCGGCAGTGTCTACGCGACAGACGAGCGGTTTTGCATTGATAACGGCATCATGATTGCTCAAGCGGGCATGCTGGCGTACCAGACAGGCTTCCAGACTCCTCTCAAAGAGTCCACCTGCACCCAGCGGTTCCGGACCGACGAAGTATTCGTGAAGTGGCGCGAGGATTGAACGCCCCAAGCTTTGGGAAAAGGAAAAGCATAGAAGTAGAAATATCACGTGTTACGAAATGAGCATAACTAGGTTGAAGTACATCTTGATGGAATTCCATATAATATCCAGGCTTCCTCAATCTGGTTACCAATTGAAACAAAATAGATTTAGAATAAATTACTGTGGACCCTCAAAGCAAACCCAAGCGCGCCTGCGCGTCCATGAATATGAACCTCGCTTACATGGTCGAAAAACTCCAGCTTCCATGTAAGCCTCCCAAACGATTAAGTGAAGCTACGCCATAAAATCATGCAATATGTGACCGTAAGCCACCTTTCTTTCCAGTGCAGCTTAATCACAGAGATATCCCCCTTCCTCCCCTTCCTTCCTCCCTGTGTAAGTTATGTAAGCGGTAAACAATGCCTGTATGCAGTCTGTACCAGGGATGCTGGGCTATTTGCTGATTGAGTGGCAGGACAGCAATGCCCGCGGATTGTGCTGGGCCCTCGTGCAGTGTGCTGGTTCTGTGCCTCTGGAGACCTTGGGCAGGTCGCGATATACCTCGCGGCAGATTTTCGGACTGTACTGTACATATGCAAGACAGCGCTCACTCCGTAATATCGCCAGTCGGTTTGTACAAAATTGATGTAACATACTACGAGACAGTTAGAGAGGAATGGGTTAAGATAGATGCGTGGGAGAAGATATTCGTACCTTGCGCTTGTATCTGGTCGTGACACTCGTAGCCAGAACACCATTCTTGATGCTGCTCGTAGCGAGATGATTCAGAACAGTATGGTTGGGGTAATTCAGCACACTGCTGTCATCTTTTGTCGGAGTGTTGCTGTTGAGAATTGACTTGCCCAGGAACAGCGGCAGACTAGGAGGGGTAGGCATGTCACCAATGACATTCGCCGCCTGTAGATACGCAGGGCTATCCTCTTCCTTGTCCAGATCCGCGAGGAATTGGGGAATGGCCCTGCCGAAGTCACCAGGAGGAACTTCCTCCTCGACTTCTTCCTTCTTTGGAGGGTCGACCGTCGCATCGTCTGACTGCCCTTCCTTGGAACTATCTGGTAGAACCTGCGGAGGGTGAATACCTGGCGGGATACTGTCATGTCCATCATCCGCGCTAATTTCAATATAGTTCACCAAGTGGTTGGTGAAATCGACAGCAGTAGGTAGAGTATCCGAAGCTCGCATCTCACCATCAACGATGAATTTCAGATGGTGTGTACCAGGGCGCAAATTGAGCGTCGTCGACATGACGCCGCCCTCATTGTCACTATCGCATAATTAGCCGATCTGCTCTGGAAGAGACGAAAACAGCATAATGACCACCAAAAGAGTCACATACCTTCTGTACAGCTTGAATTTCTTCTCCCAATTGACAAAGGTACCCGTCACATAGACCTTCTGACCCGGCCCGGACCACTCAATAATAGTAGGCACGGCCTTCCCAACTCCGCTGTTAGCGTATGGCTGAAAAAGCTCATCCACAATCTCTTCCCCATCCAGGGTTGCACTACTGAGATTAGTTGCTTCCGGGTCCATCGCCTCATCCAGGCGCTGGTCCGCTGGGAGCGATTGGATATGTGAATCCTCGGGTCCGCTGATGGGCGAGCCAGGCGTGGTCGTGGCATCGCCAATAGGCAATGGCATACGCGGTGGTCGTTGCAGATGTTGTGACGCGCTATAGTACGAGTTAAGCGGCGGGCCCGAAGGTGCCACAGAATCGCGCGCCGCGGCAGGTCGCGAGATGGGAACCTGCACCGGGTTCGAGTGGTCTGGCGGCAGGACATCCCTGCTCTGCACATAATCGGTTTTCCTTCCATCAACCTTCTCGGATCTGCTTGCGGCTTTGGTCGAAGAATCAGCTGGATTTCGCGATTGAAGTCGTTGTTGCACCGAGCCTTGGTAAGCGGCCGATTGCCCGGCGGCTGTCTCCCTGGTGGCGGATGGGTCCGCCGCGGTGGCCTTGTGAGTCGGGATCGCATTCAAGGAAGTGCGACGCACAACCTTGCGCTCGTTTGCGGCATGGGGAATATGGCCTGCCGGCACGTCACCGGCTGGGCCTTTGGAAGGGTTGTTGCCCATTGAAGGCGGGGTAGCGGTGGGAGGGAGGAGAGGCAGGTGGTAGGGCGTTGAAGGAGCGAGGATCGGCCGAGGAGGAAATTAAAATGAAGATCAATCAGACAGACCGCATGAAGGCGTCGTAGAGAGCGGCGTGGGGAGATAGCTACCAACACTCGAGAAGTAGAGGGTCGAGGCGATGACGCCGGAGCATCCCATTGGGCTAGGGCTTAGGGCAGCGAGCGGTGATAACTCGGCTTCCCCGGATTCTGCCCCCTTTCCAAGGACGGAGCTTCCGAGCGCGGTCCCAACTGTCGAGGATCCGATCCATATTCTTTGGATATGGATGAGCACGCCGCCGTCAATGGCCTGTTGTCCATTCCGCTGTCCGTTGTCAGTGCACTCTTTGGCATAGTGACCGTGTTGTTCTCTTACACGTGGTCTGTCCTTTATTTGCTTGCCTCCCCACTAGTCTACCTTGGCCATGGCCTTCTCGCCCTGGTTCTATTTCCGGTGCAGGTTTTGTTGAAATTTGAAGTATGTGTTCATATCGCGGGTCAAAAACCCATATAGATATATGCATCCATGGCCTTGGATCATCATACTCACTCAATAACAGGCGTTTCTTACATTCGTGGCTGGCGCTGTCTTCACTGGAGTCACAGTGGGCCTATGTTTATATTTCGCCGGTGATTCCCTCACACAACTTCTCCGGCTGCAACCATCGAGTGCACCATCTTTTCCAACTGATTTGGTCGACCCCAAAGATCCACCGTTTGACTGGGAGTCGAGAATGTTCATGTCATCAACGATCCTAGAGGAGGAAGAGAACAGTCAGGACTCCACTCCAGGTGACTAATCGAGCACTGCTAAATGGAAATTATCCTATCTTCGATAATCAGAATATGCACCATATTACCATTGTACGTAGGTAAGACGTGGAGACATCTAGTGTGGAAATTGAAGATACTGCCACTGAGGTAGGAGGCAAAACCCTAGCGGCCTGGATCGATCGATCGATATAAGCAACTGTGTAGCGCGGGGATAGCAAAAGTGATCTAGTCTCAAGACCTCTCGATATCTCAAACGGAGCGAAAGGAGCGTACGTTTACTTTTGATACACCATCAACCTACAGTAGCTTCAGTAATAGAAGAGCCTTTGATAGCCGAAAAGCTGGAAACGCTCCATTGAGTAATCGCTTCTAATGGTCGCACCCCCGCGGTCAGCCACACTCTCCCCCAAAATTGTACTCTTCTTCAACTGGTCCTTCTCCCCAAACAGAACACCCCCCCCCCCAATTAAGCACTCTCCCGAATTTAATATTCTCTCTAGATGCCAACTCCGGGCTGTCCTCAGGAATTTAGTTTTCTACATGGCGAATGGATCCCTAGTTAGGGAAATCTAATGCATTCTTGACCTCGACGACTGGAAATCCAAGATCCTTAATTTTTCGAACCGTGTTCAGTTGACTTGAGGTATCCCTTCCGCCAATGTACGCCGAACAAGCTACTGTACCCTCCGCTGAAACACACTCTCCGCCTTTTTCCTCTTTCCTCGGGCACGATACAGGGCCTCGAGATCATTGGCAACGGCGAGGGTGGACCTGTGTTTTGGCCCCAGCACTCTATCTCTTCCGTCGAACGTCTGCTCAAACGCCTCCTCCGCCCGACCCAGCTTGCCTTGAAAGCGAAATAAGACCCCGCGATCAAAAAGAGTGTTGAGTGTCGAGACATGGTCCAGTCCTAGCACTTTCAATCTCCCATTTAGAGCCTGCTCGAACTTCGCCTCCGCCAGGGGGAGCCTGCCCTGAGTACGATATATAATCCCAAGGTCATTGATGCTGGCGAGGGTCGACCTATGCTCTCGTCCTAGCACTTTCTCTCTCCCCGCCAGCGCTCGTGTGAAGAGCTGCTCCGCCTTCCTCAGTCTGCCCTGGCCACGATACAGGATCCCGAGGTTATTGATACTAGTAAGTGTTGACTCATCTTCTGGCCCTAGCACTTTTTCCCTCCCATCTAGCGCCCGTGTCAGCAACTGCTCCGCCATATGAAAGTTGCCTTGGGCGCGGTATATACACCCGAGATAGTGAACAGCTGTCAGGGTCGACGGATGGTCCGGCCCTAGAGCGTGCTCAACCCCAGCGAGCACCTGTCTCTGCATCTGCTCCGCTTTCCCAAGATGATGCTGGTGTCGGAGTAAGAGTGCGATGCGTGTGATCTGATCAAGCCGATCAGACGGAGCATCAGAAAGTACATCGGCTTGGAGAAAACGCGGTTCCGCTAGCCGCAGTGCATGACGGGCAACACTCGCGAAAGAGGCATTTCCAAGCGATTCATTATCAACGCCCGCGATCCAGGTATGCACACATTCAACAGCATACCAGTAATATTTCAGGTCGATTTCTTTGTTCAGTGCTGCCAAGGTCCAGTCGTGTATGTAGTTATACATGCACCATGATCCTGACGTCTCATCGACTTCGATATAGTAGTATTGGGCCAAGGTGGACATCACTCTGCGGAAGGTAAAGTCACTCGCAACCACTCTACGAAGCCATTTCGGGGAATCATCTGTAAGCCCACCAAGGAAAAGTTCGTGCGGAAGCGTCTGGTTGGCAAAGTAGGCCAGTGTTTTGAGTAATTCGGCAGCGTCTGGGTCTTCAGCTTTGAGATCGGCGTATGATAGATCCCAGGTCGCGGAAGGTGTACGCTCACGATATTCCCGGAGTGGGGCGGAGTGGAAAGGATCAATATCCCCACACGCTTCGTACTCTTGCAAATAGCGCTCGAAACTCAAGCCTGTCAGCTGGATGTAGGTTCCAGCTATAGCCAAAGCTAGAGGGAAACCATCCAGACGTTCGCTGAGGCGCTTCGCAAAAGAGTCTAGTGGCGATGGTAAGGTCGTGGCTTGTTTCAATATATTTATATGTACCATACCTGACTGCACATTTTCTCTTTTTGACCTGGTTTGCAAAATAGCCAGGCTATCTGCAGTACTCCGGAGAGGCTTGATACGCAGAGTATTCCCGGCAAGAGCTAGTCGTCGGGTGGTCACGATGACAGTCCCATGGGATGCGGATGGGAAATATTCGCTGATCTCCAGGTCGGGATCATCATAGCCATCGAATAACAAAAGCCATCGAGTATTTCTTGAATCATATAGCCACTGATGTACATGTCCAACGATATTACTGCTTTTCAAGACTGCGGGATCCTGTCCGGAGAAGATAAGAGAGGCAATCGACTGAAAACTGGCTTGTAGTGCAGCCTCCGACGATGCATTTACCCAAAACACCGAGCCGTACGATCCGCGATAAGCTTCCGCGTAGGCAATAGAAAGCTGGGTCTTACCGACACCGCCCATGCCGACGAGGAAGAGGCGCTGTTGTGTCTGAGGAGTCTGCAGAGGCTGCAAAATGCGAGAAATGTGCTGGAGCTCGGAGTCGCGGCCGATAAAGAGTTCCGGGGCGATATGAGGTGCTTGGCCGAGATGGGTGCCGACGGGTCCGAGAAAGCCGTATCCCTGCGTCGTGGCGGCGTTGACATTCTGGGTTCCGACATGGTTGACAATCAGCTGGACGTCTTCGGTTATTGCGCCCATGAGTTCCTCGACCTTGTCACCTTTGCCCAGTCTGCGGAGGACCTTTGAATATCGTTTCTCCCATCTGTCACATTCTTCGGGTATAACCTTCTCAAAGATGATTTTTAAATTTGATGCCTTTGCATAACAGCTATCAACGGTCTTCTCCAAGGCTTCATAAACGTCTTCGGGTAGTGCATTCTTGCTTGATTCTAGGTGGATTTGGCATGTTGTGAGGGTATGGAGAAGGACCGGGAGGCGGCGTCGAATAGCCTCGAATGTTGTAGTTAACTTGGCGTCGCGCTTAGCACTGTCGTAGAGCTTGATTGAGGCATCGAGAATGGAGATCACGGCAGATATTCCACCGATCACATCCAAACCGGTGGACATATTTAGAATTCATACACCGAGGCACTTGTCGTAGTAAGATCTCCAGACCTGAAAAGGGGATACCACACGTTCGAGCGGATGCAAAAGAAAAGGGATGGAGATTGAGTCCGTGGAGCTTTCCCAGTTAGGTTTCTGTGTGTTAAAAATATTTGTACACGTGTCAGTAATCACTTTCATTGGCAATTATCTTGCAGATCTGCCTACTTCGCTTTTCATTAGCCCCGCAAAAGCCCATCATTCAAGAGGCAGTGCTGCCTATTAATACACCGAAAGGTTATTATTGGGGGCGGAAAACAAGAGACTTTGGGCAGTTTCACTAGTTTTGAACTTGGGTATTATCATAGAGATAAAAACCCCAATTCTATCAGGTTTGCGGAGAGTGCCTCTGTGATATTGTGATATTGTTAGTTGGAAGTTGAGAGAACCATGGAAGTTGAGCGAACCAAGAAGCTTGTTGAACGCCATGCGGGGTAGTCAGGGTAGCTGTTCAAGTGGGATACTCCACTCGTATTACTCAATTAGCTACTAACCAGTTTTAGTGGGCTTCTTGGCGCACTACAATACACACTCTCTATATCCATTGGTCTGCACGTTACTAGGCGTTACCCTTCTTTCTGCGTTCGACATTCACTGTAGCGTAAGGACCTTTCCATAGTTACCGGGAAGGGCAATCAATTATTTCGTTCTGATTTCTAACAAAAGCGGCAGCAGCTCAGATTGGAAAGCCCCGAAAATCCGCTACGTAGAGTAGCCTAGGTAGTCAGTTCCAACCCTTCCGTAATGTTCCCAAAGGTTGCAAAGTACAAATCCGAAAAATAATTAGTCCGACCTGTCCACGGTCGCAGAGAAGCAGCCTTGGGCGCGGCACCCTGTGCACGCGTAATGTAATTCGAGGCAAGATCGAGTAATGGACGTAGCTCCAATTTTGATGGGTCTCTCAGACTGGGGCAGGCTACAGAGTAGCCCTTGGTTTCCATGAGGCTGAGAAGCCGGCAGATGGAGGACATGCTCGCATCAGCGCCCAATGTCCAAGCAGCGTTGGTATACCCAAGAAGAAGGGCCGCATTGGGCACATCTTGCAACATGATGCCGTTCCAGATATGTTTCTCTGAGATGTCGAGCTTCTCGCCATTCACTATAATGGGAATTCCACCAGCGAACTGCAGCTTCAGACCAGTCGCTGTGACAATGGTGTCGGCGGACAATCTTTTGCCTGATTTCAGTAGAATTCCATCAGACTCGACTGTTTCGATGTAATCTGTTTCGATCTGTGCTTTTCCAGAGCGTAGGGCAGCGAAAAAGTCGCCATTCGGACAGGCACAGAGCCTTTGCTCCCATGGCTTGTAGCGTGGTTTGAAGTGCGGGCTCAATGGAACTCCCGGGGGGAGCTGCGGAACGATCCGTTTTTCCAGAAAAGCTCTCGCGGCATTGGGATATGTTCTGCAGAAAAGGAACATCAGACGGCCCAAAACAAGACGCTTGAATCGATTGACGTAGTAATTCACCGAGCTTGGTAGGATGCGGCTCAGCCAACCCCCAGAGGAAAGATTAGTGACCGACGCAAGGTATGTTGGACTTCGCTGTAGCATTGTCACACGATCGGCCTTTTCGGCAAGTTTTGGTACAAGAGTTACAGCAGTGGCACCACTACCAATGACAACAATATTTTTGTCTGCATAATCAAATGTCTCTGGCCAGAACTGCGGGTGAATAACATCTCCTTTGAAGTTTTGTATGCCGGGGATCGTCGTAGCTAGCGGCTTGTCATAGTCGTAGTACCCAGTTCCAAATATAATGAACTTCGAAGAGAATTGATATTGGAAGTCTTCATTTTGAACGTTGGCAGTCCAGCGTTGTTGATCCCATTCGACAGAGAGCACGCGGTGTTTGAGAAGGACATGGGGGGCAATGTTATGTGCCGTCATAGCATCTTGAAGATATGCACGAATATCCTTTCCCTCTCCAATGGGATTCGATCTGTTCCAAGGATACCACGAAAAGCCGAAGGTGTAAAGGTCAGAGTCTGATCTTATCCCTGGATAGCGAAAAAGGTCCCATGTGCCTCCAATGCTGTCTCGTGCTTCTAATATGGCGTATTGGTACTGCGGAAATGCCTTCTGCAACCGATATGCAGTGTTGATTCCGGATATACCGGCACCGATGATCAAGACATCGAATGCTGTTGGTTCACTGGTAGCAGAAGCAGTGCTCATCCCGAACAGTTCGTATGTTGATCGACTAGATAGGGCTTACTTCGGATAGCGAGTTGTGGACGGGAGAGTGGAGAAGAATCACAGTTGCGGGTAGCAATCGCTAGCTTGGTGGCTTCCTATGGTGCTCTTCTGGAAAGCGGGCTATGTAGAGCGAAGGCGAAGTGTAACTCACAAGGGGCCAGGCACCAATGCACCAAGCAGGCACGCTTACATAAGCAAGCATTCCAGTTCAAGTCTCTTGACAGAGGTTTTTTCTTTGTATTTTGGCTTCTTCGGACATCCGAACCCCTCAAATGTGATTGAGATCATTGGTTGTTGCCTCGGCTACTAGCTCGTCATCTTGTTGGATACCCGACGAAAGCATGGTAGAAGAGGCGCATATTGGCGGTGGATTATACCTAAATGGGCACTAATCCCCTGCACAGACCCAGGGTTGCGGAGGAGTGAGCCTTCCATGTAAGATAGTGATAGTGATGAAAGCCGAGGTGCGCAACTCCCCGGAAACGAAAAGCGGGGGAATGGTCATCCAGTTGGTAGGTAGCTTTTAATTGCGGTCGCCCGATGCCTTTCAATGTTGTGCGATTCGCTCCTCCTCGCCCATATACTCCAACGTTGCCGCCTGATTCAAAGTCCATCCTTCCTCTTCATTTTAAAGCACTACGCATTCTTATCTCAGTGCTCAGGAAGATCATCCGTATTTTCGCCAAAAATCAATACACGGCCATTTGTGATCAGAACTATCTTCAAAGCCTGGCTAATACAAAATGTCTTTGAGCAAAATTGTGTCCGGGGCATCTCAGATTTTTGACAAGCTGCCGCAGGGAGCGCAGCGACTTGTTGTGTCTCCATATTTAAGGAAGGGGCTCGCAATTCTGGTAGCTTGGAAAGTTTTGAAGGCCGTCAACAGCTACATTTCTCAATGTTCTCAGAATAACTGGGTGCGAATCGGTCCGTGGGATCCCACCAAGGAGCTAGCGGTTCTTACTGGCGGTAGTAGCGGCATTGGAAAACAGATTCTGGAAGACTTGGCGAAGGTGAATGTCAAAGTCATTATACTGGACATACAAGAGCCAACATTTGAACTACGTATGTCTCTACGCCAGTTCTAGAACGCACCGACTGACCATGAAATGAAGCCCCGAATACATACTTCTACCATGCCGACATTACGTCTCTTTCTGTCGTGAAGGCAGTTGCAAATGAAATCAGAAAGGAACATGGAAATCCCACGATTCTGATCAACAACGCCGGCGTCGGATTTGGGAAGACACTTCTCGATTCATCCGAAGCAAACATCCGCCTCACGTTGGATGTCAACACTACTTCCCACTTCTGGACCGTGAAGGAATTCCTTCCTGCCATGATCCAGAAAGACCATGGCCATATCATTACGCTGGCAAGTGTGGCAAGTTTCATTACTGTTGGGGAGTTAACGCCCTATTGCTGTTCAAAGGCAGCTGCGCTTGCTTTCCACGAGGGTCTCACACAGGAAATCAGGCATTGGTACAAATCGCAGAGAATCCGAACAAGGTTAGTATCCAGATCTCAAAGTGTTGCCGGAAATGCGTAACTAACAGCGATGTTAAAGTATCATCCATCCTTTCTGGGTGCGCACTCCTTTGATTGATAATCTTTTGAAGGAAGGGAACGTCAAGACCCCGATGATGAGTCCGAAGGATGTGTCATCTGCGGTAGTCAAGCAGATTGTGTCCCAGAATGGCGGTCAAGTCATTCTCCCAAGCTCTCAAAGCTCTGTGTCGCTTCTGCGGAGTTTACCAAGCTGGTTGCAGGATCGGATGAGAAACGAAACCTCCCTGCAAATTGTGAGACTTCGTCAACTGGCGAAGGAACGTGGCGAAGAGAAATAAGCCATTGCTCTTGACCCACTTGTTTCTTTATTTCGTTTGATAGCGTAATTTCTAGGTTTGTCAGTGATTCAAATGGATGGATCTCAAAGCCCGTGGAAAAAGCGGCTTCATATTGCATATTATGTACCGGTAAAAAGCCCCAAATCTCCCCACCCGAAAGTTCTCCGGATCCACCACGGATATCTCTGCGTATCCACAAAAGTCGATGCGGGGTAACTAAAGAGCCCCGTCAATTCTTGACTCAAATAGGAAATAACTCTCCGACCGCTCCCTTAGCTAATCCGTTCGCTATGTCTGCGAGGCGATCGCTACCCCTGTCTTTTGTTTCCAGCACTCGTCAGCTGAATGATGATTTAACAGCAAACAGCACGGAGCAAGGGATTTTGAAATGGACTAGGAGGGTGTTCAACGGCCAAATTACGTTACGAAGTCCAGTGCAGGCATCCCAACCAGCCCGGCTTGTTCCTCGCGGATAGTGTGCCATGCTAGGGCACTGTCTTGACGCTTTGTTGATCTCGCCCAATAGAAGCCAGAAGAACGCTCCGACATGAAATATGCCGATATCTCGATCGTGCGACCACTGTTACGTGCAGAAGAAGAAATGTCAAAGAAACAAAAGTCAGGCCAAATGTATTCGATGTGCCCGCCTTGCTCTTGATTGCTCGACAGCCCGACATTCCCGCCCACCTGGACGCCCGGCGCGATCCAAGCTCCTTGGTCCTGCAGCAGAAATTCAAGTTTGGGCTTCGGAGAAGGGAATTCCTGGTTCGAAAAATGCCGAATCACAGACTGCTTCTCCGCCGCTTTCGCAAAGCGCTTCTACCGATGCAGCTTCCGAACAAGACCTCTTAGCAACTGATGATCTCAGCTGCTCCATAGGCCATGATGCGCAATCAAAGCTACATGACGTTCTTCAGGAGCTCGGACAGAACCAGCAAAAGGGTACCCCGGCACCAGAACCCACAGATGAGGAGTTTTATACATTAAATGACATCTTCATGATTGGCCCAACCTTTGCCAAGGACTTCCGCCGGGCTCTAAATTATTCTTATTCCAAATCCCCTCATCTCTTGAGAGACATGTTTTCTGCAATGATCAAATACATGATGAACAGCACCAAGCTGAATCCCACCACACCCGTCCATGCGGAGATTGCCGGGGTTGCAGATCTGCTACGGACATTACAAGCAACGGAGATTGCCAATACCCATGATGCCTTGGCTGTACTTGTGCTAGGCCAGAGTTTGGCCGCATTGGATACCTTCATCGTTTCTACAGGGTCAATGCTGATCTTACGCCATTCATTGTATCTGGTTAAACCGTGGTATCCACAGCTCGCCCAGGTGGATTTCTTGGACCCCGTGACCATGACCCCACTCTTTTGGGAGCTGCTCGAGTGTTTGATCAAACGGGAAATACCGATAATTCGACCACGAATTCATCGCCCCGCTGTTGTCGATCGGTTAGTCGGGTTATGCGTCACCTTGATGCCAATACTCTACGATCTGTGTGAAGTGAGCCATGAACTGAAGGTTCAATCTCAGCCAGAAATGCATAAATTGGATATCATCAAGCAACAAGTTTTGTCATGGACACCTTATGAAGCATTCCTACATGGCTCGAACTTCACCGATTCCGAGATCATGTTACTGCGAGCTCAAGCGGCCATCTACCGATCCGCTACTCTGCTCCTCATACACCGCCTCAAGTATCAGCTGTCCTGCCAGGATGGTATTGCCGTGTCATATGCGAACGATATACTGGCGGAGAGAGACAAAATTCTTCTATGCGGCGGACCCAATACGAAGCTACAGTTCGGCTGTTTCCCGTTGTTCTTGGCGCTGCTCGAGATTCCCTTGCGGCCAGAAAACTTGTGGAAGAGTGCAACAAAACTATCTTACTGCCCACCTTGTGCTGAACAGTTTTTTTCATTCCATAAATACTTCTGGCAACAAAGATGGGATGGCTACAAGGGGTCTTTATTCGATCTTATTGATAGTGGACCAATGTTCATAGCCGTGCCTTAAAGATCATAATAACGCTTAAAACACCTCGTTATAACTTGGCTGCATTCATCAGTGTCCCCCTGCGCCGCAAGCACTAAATAATAAGTCAACTGCACAGACTGGGAGTAAGGCTAATTTCGATTCTTCACCATGGATTTCCCACACCTGCAATATTAGCATTTTTGCATTGCTACACTCCATATAGGAAAGCTTGTATAGGATCACGAGTTTGTAATACATAAAGTCCAGATTCTCCGTGGAACAGAAGGAAGTGATGCCAACATATCCACGTCCAAGTATCGAACAGTTTGGATCGCTTCGGTCTCCAAGCCTTGGGCATGTAAGGCCCTAGCAGATACTTCTAGCCTGTTCTTTGTCAGCTTTGCAGCCCGAGGTCGCTGCCATTCTAAAGCCCTTCTCGTTCCGACTACAGTTTCGCCAGAGCTATGAGCATGTTTATGAACCCCTTTCGCATAGTGAGAGTTATTCTAACATGCTAGTCATCAAGAAGGCCTTCTTACACTGGTTCTATTTCAAGTATTGGAAGAAGGGGCAGATAAATTGGGTCTGGTACAGTAGTGTTCGAAATCAGTTATACATACCTCCACACTCTTGCGACTCCTCTCCCGGAAACAAATCTGGCGTACACGAGTCCTGATTGGATATGGTCGTTCAACCTTGGCTGCCAGACCGCTTTCCAGGATAGGGTCAGTGCTTTACGATATGGTCGGTGATAAAAAAGAGAGTGCTAGTGGCCATTTTCGACAGGCAGGTTTGACGGTTGAAAACATTTAAGAAATTTGCTAGGTCTCGGTTGGGGCAAGTTCTCACGGACACTCCCGAAATACTGACGAATGATTCCGTGAACCCTATCGTGAACCTTCCAGTAATATCAGTTAGGCAATGTTTCGCTATGCATTGCTGCCCGATTTCTCCCACACCACTGTCAATAATTAACTACCATTCCATCTTATTTCAGCAAGATCCTGAGGCTGTTTTGGCCTAGGTTGTGCCCTTGATATTTCACACAGTGCTCCCGTAGGTAAAATAATTAGCCGACAAAGAGGACGAACTCGGCTTGTCTCCTGGAATGAGCTAGTATTTAGCGCCCACGGAGTCACCTGAAGGTGAGGCTGAGGATAAGCCACTCTCGTGAGGGGGCTCGGAACCTTCCTTCTTCACAACACTTCCAAAGTTGTGCAGCGCTGTGTTGAAAATGGCCTCTGTATCATTCGGCGAAGCAAACTCAGGGAACCAGGTGGGAATCAACAACGGCACTATAAATCTTCCGGGTGAGTTCCCAATACCCTGAAAGTGAGACAAGCTCGTATGACTAACAGTGCCTTCCCTAGAGCCATCGGAGCCCCGCCCCGAGCCTTTATCGACCGTGCCCTTCTCGCATGATCCAGACTTTGTCAGTCGAGGTGCACTCCTTGACCAGATCCACGAAAAAGCCTCGATCCCAGGCTCTAGGATAGCTCTTATCGGTCTCGGTGGTGTTGGGTAAGCGTAACGTGGCTAAGGGTAGTTCGCATAATGCTAACTTTGCAAGGAAAACCCGACTTGCCATCGAATACTGCTACCGGGTCCGACAGCAATCGACTAATACCTGGGTCTTCTGGGTTCATGCGAGCAATGCGGCGCGCTGCGAGGAAAGTCTCCGCAACCTTGCCAACCGTGCCAAGATTCCCGGGCGCGAAGACCGCAACACTAATATATTTCAACTCTTCGGGAACTGGTTGCAAGACGGAAAGATTGGGGAGTGGATTCTTGTCCTGGATAATGTCGACGATGATGAGCTCCTTCGCAAACCGTTAGCGACCCGTGCGGAGGCAGAAGCAAACGCCCAGTACTCGACGCAGCCACCGCTGAGGTACCTTCTCGAGGGCTCGAACGGCTCTATTATCATCACCAGTCGGAATAAAAGAGTAGCATCGGAGATTGCTGGCCATGAGAGGAATCTGGTGGATGTGCAACCAATGGATATGGCCGAGGCGCTAGCTCTACTGCAGAACAAGCTGGATTCAGGTACAGAGAGAGCCGACTTGTCTCAGCTAGTGAAGGAACTTGAGTTTATGCCTCTCGCAATTATACAAGCGGCTAGCTATATCGCCCACCACTCGCCCCGTTGCTCGGTATCGCAATACCTAGAGAAGCTTCGACAGAGTGATCGTCAAGCTACGAAGCTTCTAAATCACGAGGGACTTCACACGCACCGAGACTGGGAGGCAAAGAACTCTATTGTATTGACATGGCAAATATCCTTCGACCATATCCGACGAATACGGCAGTCTGCGGCTGATTTACTGTCTCTCATGAGCTTTTTCGACAGACAGGGGATCCCAGAGAATCTTCTACGGATTCATGGTGTGGAAAAGAACCATGAAACTCTAGATGCTTCTAGGGAAGTTACGGATAGCTCTAGTGACGAGGATACGGATACTTCGTCCGAATGCGACCTAGAAGACGATTTTGAGAGCGACATTACTACTCTCAGAGACTATTCCTTCATTGCTATTAGTGAAGATAGCATGGTATTCACGATGCATCGGCTAGTGCAGCTCACAGTACGTATATGGTTGAAGACCTATGGCCAGGACGAGAAGTGGAAGGAAAGATTTATTAACAATCTAAATGCTGAATTTCCGACTGGTGAATATGAAAATTGGGAGAGATGCCGACCACTCTTTCCGCATGTCAGATCAGCGGTGACGCATCGACCGAAATCGCAAGACTCTCTACAAAATTCGGCTGCATTACTTTACAAGGGGGCATGGTATGCGCTCAAACATGGCAATATCCCGGATTCGCGGGAAATGGCATTGGTATCGAGAAAGCAGAGAGTCAAGGCTTTAGGCGCGGAAGATGAAAGAACACTTGATAGTACTACGATATTAGCAGATGTATATAGGCTTGAGGGCCGGTGGGAAGAGGCGGAGCAGCTCGGGGTGCAGGTTATAGAGACTCGCAAGACGAAGCTCGGCGCCGATCATCCTGATACGCTTACGAGTATGGCCAATCTGGCGTCGACATTCTGGAACCAGGGCCGATGGGAAGAGGCGGAGCAGCTCGGGGTGCAGGTCATGGAGACTCTTAAGACGAAGCTCGGCGCCGACCATCCTGATACGCTTACGAGTATGGCCAATCTGGCGTCGACGTTCTCGAACCAGGGCCGATGGGAAGAGGCGGAGCAGCTCGGGGTGCAGGTCATGGAGACTCTTAAGACGAAGCTCGGCGCCGACCATCCTGATACGCTTACGAGTATGGCCAATCTGGCGTCGACATTCTGGAACCAGGGCCGATGGGAAGAGGCGGAGCAGCTCGGGGTGCAGGTCATGGAGACTCTTAAGACGAAGCTCGGCGCCGACCATCCTGATACGCTTACGAGTATGGCCAATCTGGCGTCGACGTTCTCGAACCAGGGCCGGTGGGAAGAGGCGGAGCAGCTCGGGGTGCAGGTCATGGAGACTCTTAAGACGAAGCTCGGCGCCGACCATCCTGATACGCTCATGAGTATGGCCAATCTAGCAGTCACTTGGAAATCTTTAGGCCGCGATACCGACGCTATTGATTTGCTCACAGCTTGCGTAGAGAAGCAGCAACGAACCATAGGTTCCACGCATCCTGCCACTGTGGCGAATTCCGACGCTCTCCTGGAGTGGTCAACTGAGGCACTGGATATTAACATGTAACCCATTGAAAAATGTACCTCGGTGATCTCTGTCCACGGACTAGTCCGATCCGTAGTTGCATGATTCCGATTATTTTCCCGTGCGTACATATAATGTAAAGCTCTTGTACTTGAATGACTGTTTTATAATGACCCTGTTCCTGGATTCTGCGCGACAGTTGTCTGAACGTTTTATCTATGACGGACCTAGACAGGTTCATCATCGCCTTTGGCGATAACGGTGAGAAACAGGTTCTCTGTGTAAAATGTGGAAGCCAATCTTGAACATTGCTGTACTGTAGTTCCTCTACTTGCCGACACTCAATCCAAGTCCGTCGATGGACAGACACCTCATTGATGTGCGGAATATGAGGCAGACAAATTTGAGCCCGTTGGCTCTTCACTGGCGTTAAGTGCCATGAGGGTAATACGGAAACCTAGCTATGCATGAGCAATACTCAATCCAATCAAAACATCGATAGAAATAATAAACGCCAAACCGCAGTGTGGAGGTATAATTGATACCGAACACTACTGTACAAGTATACACAAATCCTCATTTGATGCCACATATAATTATTACCATCGATTTTGTTCAGATCGCCACCTTTTCAACTTAACTTGGAAGCCTGCACCGCACTACTCCATACTTTTCTCTTATCAGCATCTACAGGTGGTAGTCATGGTTACAGAGCGTTATACCCCTTTGATGCCATGACTTATTCCACGTATCAAATGAATAGACATATAAAAGGCAGCAATAGCATTCTACGATAACGAGTCTATGGTGACAGTTTACCCTCCCCGAAAGAATCAGGCCGCCATTCCCTTTAGTCCCGTAGTCCAACATCCATCTAGTCCAGCGTGCAGACAGAAGCGGTATCATCAGGAACTTCCTGCTTCTTCACCTCCCTAGTGTTGTTTCGAATAGGAAGCCGATGCTTTCCTTTGACCATAGCCCCGCTTCCAATCGCCGGAGTGCGAGTGTCCTGCGGGCGAGTGTCAGGATTGCGAGTGTTAGGAGTGCGAGTGTCAGGTGTGCGAGTGATTTGGCGTGAACTACTCTGGTTGGAGCGGTTCCCCACTAGGCCGTAGAAGGTTCCTTCCCGATTCCAGATTCCCAAGCCCTCGGTGTTAGGAGTATCATAGGCACGTCGGTGATGTTTGCTTTTGCCATGGTGTGCATGTTGGTCATGGTGCGCATGATGCCCCTGGTGTGCATGGTGGCCCTGGTGCGCGTGGAAGCAGTCGACGTGGGGCCAGTAGTCCTTCTGCATGTTGAGGCCATGGTGGGCATGTTGGCCATGTGGGTTCTGTTCCTGATGAGCGTGTTGGTAGTTGGGGCTGTGCTGGCTCTGATGCGTGCTCTGGTCAATCTCATGGAGTGCAGCCTGTTCGTGGCAGTGGCAGAAGCCACATATGGCGCAGAAGCCACAGTTGGGGCAGCAGTCACACGTGGAAGACATACCTAGCTGGGATGGGAAGTAAAGGCCGATGATGTAGATATTTGGTGGTGGGTGAATAGACTGGTGAAATCGTTAGTAGGTTCAATAGTAGAAGATCAAGAGGTGGTAAGTTGATGATAAAAACAGGATCGAAGCGGAGGATGATGACTCGAAATATATAGTTGAGCTTGACATCCACGGAATAATACCTAAGCGTTGTTCTTCTCGGCCTTTTCTTGTCATACTCTCCTATTGATTATGTCTAGACAATGATTTCATCGAACAAAGTAATTCAAAGGGTGCTGGGGACGATTGTGGCCCATTATAGTAGCGGAGCTTTGAATGAAAGCAAAGAGTCTTATCCCAGCCCTATGTTAAGATATAGAATGTATCGAGTGGTTTCTTTCAAGGCATTCAGTCTAATTGCTCGTCTTTATTACTTTTGTAGTACTTGACTCGACTGTGTTCCTAGAATTCCTCGAGGCTGACGCAGGTACAATGGAACCTTTCTCATCGCCCTCAAGGCCCGAGCCCGAGGCTCCACTGTGGCTTGCTTTCTTGGACCTTTCTTGCATGTATTGGAGCAAAGCAAATATGGAAACCAAATACCTACCAGCATGGAGAATAACCCCAATTCTATGTCTACATTGAATACCACCGGTCCAATCATAGTGTTCACTATGCTCCATAGTCATGCAGTATATAAATCATGCCGAGATGTCGCAGTGGGTCTTCCCGTCATGGCCCGTGCAGCAAAGGGACCCTCCACGGGGCGTCCGGCGTTTCATGAAACTGTCATCGAGCGAACTGTCCCTTCTTTCATCCAACATTTCTTTCTCTGCGCAATCCCACAGAGGAAGCAAAACTCACCCTCCTCCATGACCGGGCTACACACTTGCAACAGTGAATTTGCAGCCAACTCCCGGTCGCAGATCCCAGCTGTCATACCGAACTAGCGCAGCCGATCCGCCGGTCTAGTTCTGGAGACGGTTGGGTACAGTAGCTGGCTCCAGATCGATCCCGCGGCGGCGCAGTCGCAGCTCTCGCCGCGATGGTCGTGCCGCGCTTCTGCCTGCGCGCGCGCACTCTGCTCACGGCGCTGGTCCTCGCATCGCTGTTGACCTGGTCCGTTTCGCGCTGGCGCTCTGCTGCTCCTCCCGCGCTCCCCCGTGGGAGCCCCGCGTCCCAAAATGTCTCTCCTGACCTCACAGACGCCCACAAAGAGTTCTGGAGGACATTTAACCGGTACCTGGAGAAAAGCGCGCCGGGCACCGCCCCCATTGTCGAATTTGAGAAAGCTCCGACGGAGCGATTCGACCCGAACGACGCCCGCCCACGCCCGGACTACCTGAGCGTGGAGGCTGAGGATGTCGAGGCGATTAAGAATGCGCATACAGAGTTCGTGGCTGCCATCACGGATGCGAGCTCCACGCCGGTCCTCCCCTACGTCCCCGGCACCAAGGGCGTCGTCTCCACGGCGGGCGGCGCATACCTACCCGTCCTGGTGATATCGCTGCGCATGCTCCGCCGGACGGGCTCGACGCTACCGATGGAAGTCTTCCTAGCCGACGAAGAGGAATATGAAGAGTACATCTGCGACGTGGTGCTGCCGGCGCTGGACGCGCGGTGCGTCGTGCTCTCGCGCATCCTTGCCGCTGCGCCGGCCGCCATCGAGAAGTACCAGTTGAAGCCGTTCGCAATGCTCTTCTCCTCGTTTGAGGAAATCCTCTTCCTAGACGCAGACGCTTTCCCGCTCGACAAGCCCGAAACCCTCTTCCGTGAAGACCCGTTCCGTGCAAAGGGCATGGTGACGTGGCCCGATTTCTGGGGGTCGACGGTGTCGTCGCTGTTCTACGAGATTGTCGGCACGCCCGCCCCGCCGCGCACCCTGCGTCAGTCCTCCGAATCTGGTGAGATCCTGCTGTCTAAGAAGACGCATGCGCGCACCCTCCTTCTCGCTACGTATTATAACTACTATGGCCCGTCGCATTATTACCCGCTCCTCTCGCAGGGCGCCGCCGGCGAGGGCGACAAGGAGACGTTCCTCGCCGCCGCAACCGCCATGCAAGAGCCCTTCTACCAGGTCAGCGAGCCGATCGTCGCGCTCGGCCACCGCAAAGATAAAGGCGGTGGATTTGCCGGTTCCGCGATGGCGCAGTTCAATCCTGTCCAGGACTATGCGTTGATTCAGGCGGGCAAGGCGCGCGTGCGCGGCGACGACGCACCGCCGCCGGACGTGTTCGTTATTCACGCCAATTTCCCCAAGTTTAATCCGGCCACGGTCTTTGAGAAGCACGAGGTTAATCCGACGTTTACGGATGACGGGGCGTACACGCGGGCGTGGACGATTCCGGAGGAGGTCGTGCGGAGATTTAGTGAGAGGGGGGATGTAGAGATGGCGTTTTGGAAGGAGGTTAAGTGGACAGCGTGCGAGCTGGAGGATAAGTTTGTGAGTTGGAAGGGGTACACTGGCATCTGTGAGCGGGTCTCGGATTATTGGCGGAATGTCTTTGAGAGGAAGCCGCTTCCTACGTGACATGGTATGTGGGTGGGCCGGCACACTGTTGCCGATGCTGTTGCTGATGCTGATGCTGTTGCTCTTGCTCTTGCTCTTGCTGTTGCTCTTGCTGCTAACAGGTCAAGCTTGCATTTGCAGCCCCTCGTGTGGATGGATAAGAGACCTCTCAGGCGGTCCCTTGAAACATCCACGTCTTTGGTGCCACGTGGGATGCCCCGTGCTTATAACGTACCTGCACTGGACACAAATGTCCCAAACGAAGGTTGTGGCGTTGAGATATAGTTCGTCAGTGGATCTATTCCCAGGGTTGATGGCATCTTCCAGCTGGGCTGGGTGACTAAACATATATTGATTGGATCTTTACAACATCCACCATTCCCTCAGGCGTGATCGTGATCTATTCTGTTTGTACTCAAAGGATCGCGAAAGCCCGTAGTCTCCAATGTATCATTATGCAACTTCCCTCTGCCTGTTGGCCTTTTGATAGTATCCAATGTGCTTTTGTTCACGTACCTATGTGGTTTCACATGTATCAATGGAACGTAGATAAGGCTTAACTGACTCAGTGGGACAGATTGGACACCCGTGATTCAGAATCTGCAAGTAGGGGACGGCAAGATGCGGTTAGGCCATATAGCCACGCATCAGCCTCAATCAGAGAACCTGGGGGCTAGCAAGAATATTGAGATATCTGTCCCGTTAACTGATTCACCTATATAGACAGGGATATATAGAGGTATACAGACACGACAAACTGATATTCTATCGTGACTTTTCCATGCAACTAGATGGCAGAAGATACAAAACCGCTGCCGACAAATCCCACCCGTCGCAACCGAATCAAGCATAAGCCATGCAGTTCCGGTCGATCATAACTGCGGACCCACCAACATAAACGTCAAGTTCCAGTAATTTCCATGAAACCGAGGAGATCCCACAACCAAAAGCAACAAAACCCAGCCCCAAGCAAAACCAGCCCGCCTACCTTGCCAAGGTCGCGTGAGAATTATAAAACTATTCGGAATCAATAAAGAAGATGGACCAGGCAGCAGGAAGAATAGCATAGCATAACAATAACCTTTTTGGTTGGGTAATAGGTAGGGAATAAGGTAACAGTAGCATAGGTAAGAGGTAATGGAGAATAGGGGTGTTTGCATAACATCGTCAGGAATCACAAAAACGCCTCCCAGAGGTTTGTTTCCGATAACAGTAACAGTAACAACCACGATCACAATAGACCAGGCGTAACCGGACAAGGCAGCGTCCAAAGCAGAGAGCCACCACAGGGGCAGAAACAGACAGTCACAAACGGGTCGAACGGGAAAGAAAGTAGAAGGAGAAAAGCCGAGGCAAGAAAACCGTATAGACAGACATCATGAGTACATCGTGTGGGAGGGCGGTCACGGGAAGGTCCAGAGTTTATCGATCCCTGTGAATGGATGGATGGAATGAACCCAGGCCCAAATCGAAATCCTCCATGGGGTTAACAGTTGATACTTGTGGAATGAAAACAAGGTTAATATAACCTTCACCACCACCACACTGGTAACCCCTGCGTTGTGCATCGCATTGAGTACCATGCCCAAGCCAAGCAAGTAATCCCATCCCGTCCACGCCCCTTCCCCTCCAAATCCAGAAAAGAGTCTATCGCCAGCAGAGCAAAGAACACCTCCCCAAACAACATAAGACGAGAAAGAAAAAAAAACCAAAAGGGTGAGGTGAGGTCACAAGCACACAAAAAGCCGTCCTACTCCCCGCGCTCCAAAGCAGAAACCAAACACAAAGGTAAATAAGAAAAAACGGAAGCCAAAAGCCCTATCCCAGGAAAAGTTGACGCTGACGCTGACAGTGACGGTAAACGCGGGGGAAAAAACCTCCATCCCATCAGACAGAAAGTACACAGACACACCGAAAAGAGACAAGAAAACAGTCCGGCCCCTTGAAACGCATATTCACAACGTGATCCAAGCCCAAGCCCAAGGCCAACACCAGGACCGACGGTGCATTTTCGTTCCAGGTAGAGAGGACTGACGGACATATCGCAATCAAGCATGTTCAAATTCACTTGAGGACTCGATGCATGCGTCACGTACATCAGATTTGCGGCTGGGCGGGTGCCGTCGTCGTCCACGTTGAGAGCGGCTGTGCGGCCGCATAGTGCGGGTGATTCACCGGTGTCGCGGCGCCAACATAGTACTGGTTGCGATCCGCGGTATAGTATGCCGGATGTACGGGATTTGACTCGCGGCGCGGTACAGTGGGATCCAGCGGGCCGAGGCCGCGGGCCTCGATCGGCGTGTTGGGATTGCTAGTGTCCAGATGGCTGGAAAGGCTGAAGCTGCCGCGCGAGTACGTGCCGGGTGTGGAGGGGTCCATGGGCGAGGTGGCGTCAGTCGCGACACTGCGCGACGAGATAGACGAGTTGCGGTAGGCGGAGGGGCTGTGGTCCGAGGTGGAGCGGTTGCGGTCGCTCAACGAGGACGGCATCGCGGTGTTCAAACCCGGGATACTGGATGACAGCGCGCTGTGGCTGAGGCTGTCCATGCTGCCTCCATAAGGCCCTGCGCGGAATGCGTGGTAGTCTTCGGGCTTGTGACCACCCATAGCGGCCGCGGCGGCCGCCGGGGAGGGGAGATACGGATTTGGCGCGGGCTGGCCGGGCATTGTGCCACCCATGGAGTAGCCTGCGAGAGGGCCCGGTTGTTGTGGGGCATGAGTGGCGGCGTAAGGGTTGGCGTGCATGTAATAGTCGGCGGAGGGATTGGGCATGCCGTAGGCGCCCGGGGGGGCCATCATCTGCTGGGGCCGATAGCCATAGAGGGCGGCGTGCGAGGGGTCGTGGGGGTTGTCCATGGCGGTGGTTTCAAGGTCGTCGATGGGGGCGCGGAAGCTTTGTTTCTGGGTGAGCTCGGCGCGTGGCCGGATGTAGCGCAATGATTCCACCATGGAGGGCGGATTGAGCACGCCGCGCATCACGTCCTCCACGCTATAGTACGACACCAGGTGGTGGGTGATACCCATGACGGTGACGCTCATGGTCTTCTTGACCAAGCCGGAATCCTTGAAGCCGTACGAGTCTACCAGCGACCCCACCAACGCCCGCTCCATCTCCGACTGGTGTGGTCGGTTGTCTCCAAACGGGCCTGGTGGCGATGTGGGGGAGTAACCGGAGCCGTTGCTGTCGTGTCGCGGATATGGCTCGCCGGGCCTGGTGGCGGGCACTGGCCGTCGATTAGCCTTCTTCATCGCGCGCTTCTTCTCCCCTGGCGGGAAGGGCTTCTCCAGTTCGCGATAGACTAGAAAGTTGCCGAGGATGCGACTTGGCGACCAGGTGACACCATCGGTCCAGCGCTTGATGCCTGATGAGTTTTCCTCGTAAATGAAGACGCTGCCACTGCGAACCAAGTGGCTCCTTTCGCGATCATGTGGCCGGCGTGGGACATGATGTAAAACACCGGTCAAGCAGGCCTCGAACAAGATGAGCGCATCCTGCGTGGTGGCCACATACCCTGTGAATGTGGGTTCCAGCACCGCCGCGGTCCCGTTCACCATGATGGGAAGGGGACGGGGGGGGGAGTGAGGTGGGGGGAAGTTGAGCGGTTGCGAGGATGAGAGAGGAAATAAAGTAGAGAGTGGTCGAAGATGAGGGGTTTGGTTGGGATTTTGGCTTGAGCGAAGGGGGAGGGGGAAGACGGGGAATGGTCGTTTTTTGAGGCAGATCAGGGTCGCAGTTGGTGGAGTAGGTGGTGAGTGGTGATTAGGTGAATCACGGGGGGGGCAGTGATGGTGCGCTGGTGTGGTCGTGCTCGTGCGGAGAGTCTGGGGGAAGGTGGCAGACCCTCGACTGATTCCTGTTCTCTCTCGTCCCAGGTACCCCGGATTATGAGAGGATCGCGATCACCAAGGGGGGGGTGGTTGGTTGGGAAAGGGTAAAAAAAAATAAGCTAAGAGATCGACCAGGGTATGGAGAAGGGCGAGGCGGATGGGTGGTTTTGAGTTAACCCCTCCGGCCTGGTCGAAATCCAGGGATCGCCGACTCAAGCACGGACCGTTAAGAGTCAGCGAGTCAACAGGTTGCACCGATCTCTGGGAGAGATGGGATCTACTGGGGCGCGGTTCCACGGATCCCTCGGTGCGGCAATTCCCAAGCTTTTTGAGGGGGGGGGGTTGTGGTGCGGATCCACCGGGGGTTGGCTGGTGGGCGTGGTTTGGGACGAGCCGTGTCGTGATGAAGCGCGCCAAGAGGGTTTCGGGCGTCGGGACCCTTTGGAGGAGAGGGGAAAGTCGGCACAGGTCGTCGGGGGGACGAGGATTAATGAAGAGTGGCGCTAAGGGAGTGAGTGTGAGGAAAAGGGAAGTAGTGCGAACAAGGTTGGAGCAAATCACGAGAGTAGAGAGGGAGCAGTCCGAGAGGGGAAGAATATCCACCAGGGACCGGGGCAATGATCGGGAGAGAGGAGGAAGAAAGAGTCGTCGGCAAAGGAGGAAGATGAAGAATCAGGGTCAGAGTAAGGTCGGTTCGCCGGCCGGAGAGGCGAGGCCAGTCGGTAGGTTATACCAGACTATACGCAGATGATGGAAATAGGAAGGCAGAGAAAATAGGGGCCGGGGGGGGGGGGGGGGGGGAGCAATAATACGGTCAGAAGTGGTCTGAGTGGTTGGTCACAGGAAGGGCCCAGAAGCCAGCAGGAGGTGCAGAAAGGAGACGATCGTCTGGTTGGTCACCGGCGGGTTGGTAGTAGAGGGGACGATGGAAATTGGAGAAGGGGTGTATCGGATGAGCAGGAACGCTGGGAGGATTGGTGGTTGGAAGTGCGCGAGGCACCGAGAGGCTAATGGTTAATGATCAATTGTTAATGTTAATCCTAAATGTTAAAAGATTAAACATTAAACGGACAGGGTCGGGGATTGATAGGATGCTAGCAGCGGAAGGTTAGGTGGACACCGCAGCTCGGAGGGTTCACTGCGGGGCGAACCAAGGCAGACTAAGGATAAGAATCGAAGAAATCCAGAGCATCAAGAGGAGTAGTCGGAAGACTGCAGGGAGAGCGTGGACCGAGTCCCAGCGGGGGAGAGCTGTACGCTGTGCGCTGTACGCTGCACCCTGGACGATCACGATATCAGACAGGCATGTTCTGCGGACTACTCCGTACTCTCTCAAGATTGACTACGAAGGATTCCCGGGGACATTGCGCCTGTTTTCTTCTGCCCTTCTGGAAGACGGGGATGTAGTGGACCAGAGGAGTCTATGGGCTGTATTCATTTTCATAGATTTTTATTTTGTATGGACACCGAATAGGACAGAAAAAGAAAAAAAAAAAAAAAAGAAAAAAAGGAAAATGCAAGCCAAATGCCAGAATGTCGGGACAGCGGAGAAATACGGAGGGCCGCTCGAGCTCACCAGATGAAACATCGCGAGTGGATGATTTCACCAAACCCTCCGGGGCAGACCTGGCAGACGAAAGGGCACAAGAAGCCTCGAGACGCGACCCCCCTAGGTTCGGCCCTGTCAGTCGGTCTCAACGGTTACTCTAGGCCGACATGCAGGCAGGGGAAAGGAAGTATATACTGGGGGTTGAGGGGGGGCTTGAAATTGAGTTCGTTGGCGGGCCCTACGGACGAGGATAATGGGAATGACGACAGGGTATGAGATGAAGAGCCGATCATAGCGAAAGACTACTTTGAGATGGGATGATAATTATGATAATCATGATAATCATAATAATCCGGAATATCATCCTGACTATCCTGAATATTTTTATTTGGTCTATCGTATAGTCCGTCAAATCAGGGATCGAATCAATAATGGGCGCAATGCAAAGTGCAATCATCATCGAATGCACCCCGTGCCATGGGCGATCGCCGGTGGAGCCCGCGGAGTGATTGGCCTCCCACGGCCTTCTTCGCCGGAGGGTCACTTCACTCCGTCATCCCCCGGGGCTAGAATTCGTCGCGCATCTGACTCAGCCCTGGAGAAAAAAAAAAAAAAAAAAAAAAAGAAAGGGCATCGACGGGAAAAGAGGTATGGACCTGAGAGCCGTCACAGAGCCACCGATCGGAGGAGACTGGAAAGCGTTATCCTCGTGGACTGTATGGCGGACGGAAAATAAAGAACATAGGAGTCCTTGCGTCAGATGGGAAGCGTCGGGGTTCAATGGGGACCCACTCTCTGTTTCGTCTGTTTCGTCTGCTCGTCTGATCGTCTGCGCTGCGCTTCTCCCCTTCCTCAGCCCAACCCGCCAACCAATGCCCAGCCCGACCACCACCAACCACGGGTCCCGCGCTCGGCGTGCCAGGGAAATGAGTATCAGCAGGGTCCCGATCGAGAACCGCCCATCCGCCATCCACATCTCTCAGACTCCCCAATCACCGGCGATCGGGGGAATCGAGCTGCCCATGCTTGGCTACTCCCATCCCGAACGGTCGAAGCAGAGACGCCACCCAGAGAAATGAACAGTGGATGACCAAGCAGCAGCGAGCTAGCAGCACCCACCTCCACTCGCATCCGAGAGGAGAGGAGGATAGCGGAGAGCGAGAGTCGAGAGGGGCGCTTGGCCAGTGCGCGCCACGAGACTATTGAAAAAATGGGTGCTGCGATGGGGCGGAAAGCCGAAGAGGATCACCAACGGCACGTCAGAGCCAGATCTTGGGGGCCTGAACCTGCGCTTGACTCCGGTGGAGACCTCGCGATGCTGAGCTATGGACGTCTGCGCTCCGGCGATGAATGGCGAGTTCAGACGGTCCTAACCCGCCTGGGCCAGGTCAACCGTGCCCTCTTCGCTCTCCCTCTCTCCCACTACCTCTTCCATGTACGGACGGGCCTTGGTCTGCCACTCCCTCTCCCAAGTTTCTGGCTCTTTGTCGTCAGCACCCCAGGGATGGGGAATTCCAGGAGGACTGAGCGCGCCCAACCGCCCCCTCGTTGGCTCCCCAAGTCCCCGAGCAACCGCCCCACCTCCATCTCCCTCTGCATCTGGCTGCTGCTGTCTCCGCCCGGGAATGATGATGGATTGGTGCCTGACTTAGCCCTAGCATGGGCAGGCCGACTCTCCTACAGTGTACCAGAAGAGGGGCAGCAATATACCGTCGGCCTGGTGGATGTGGATGCGCCCGCTGGTCGGACCCGCTGCCAAATGCCAATCAGCACGGACGGATGTGCACCACTGGGAGTGCCGACCACCGGCCACCATACCACGCGTCGCAAGGTTTGAGGCCCCCCCCCTGCCTTTGCTGCGACCGGCTATCCATCTCCAACCACCAGCTCTTACCGTCCCCGTCGCCCCCAAACTTGCTGGGCCGGGTTGCGTGCAGCAGACAGAGAGGGGCAAGAGGGGCTCGTACCTGGGCCGAGGGCTCCATTTGGATCCTGGGCCAAACTTTCGCGGGAGATCCTCAGCAGATCCAGGCCTGCCACGCTGACATGAACTCACGCCCTCAGGTTGAGCTAGTGTCTACTACCGAGGTTAGGTCAGGTTATCGGCTCGGGTTCGGTTCGCTGGGCGAATCTCCCCCATTCCGCCGCTGTCCCCGTCCGGTTGCTGACTGGTCCCGGTTCTCGGTTCCTCCCCCCTACCCACGACCTCTCGTAGTTGACCCTTCCCGTTCTCCTGTCGATACGGTAAGCTGGTACGCCATCCGGCGTACGCCGTACATACAAGGATCGACACCACCCGTAGCTTCGAAAACTCTGCTCAGCTTTAGCCCCTTGCCAGCGTCTCCCCACCGGACCCCACGTCCTCCGCCCAATTCGAATGTTGTCTTTTGCCCGCGCAATTGGCAGGGTCCCGGAGGAGCGGGCGAACTGGAGACGATCCCAGATGGCGCACGCGTGGAAACTCAATTGGCGCCCATGACAGATGTCAACGTCGAGTGTCTTTGCTTGATTAAGTTTGGTTTCACTTCGGGGCGCAGCCACCAGCCACCACGCCCTTTTTCCATGGGTGCCGTCGCAGTCCAGGACGGATAAGGCGAATGGTCTCGGAGGGAATCACTCTACTGCGCGCCCGTGAGATGTGATGTGTGATGTGTCAGATACGCACGCCTGGTCGGGCCAACGAGGACGCCGGACGGACTACATACGTAACCACCCAAAATTGAGCCTGCCTCGTCATCTGCAAGGCCTAGAAGGACGAAGGTGGCTCGCCCGGAAGAACGGTGAGGGGGAGGCGAGAAGTAGTGGAAGAAACAGGACGCCATAGCCCGTCGACGGGGTCGTGACTGGCTATACCCTACGTCCCTCCGTTTCATGGTGTCGGTACCCGAGGATGGTCTCATCGGCACCATAGCACGCCTTCCAACACTCCAGGACCAGATCAAAGAGGAGGCGTCCCGCCAAGGTTACGCACCTAGTCGCTTCCTCCCAGGAGCGGAGTCCATCTCCCTTTCCCTCCCCCTTCTTTAAGCGCGCACGGCGGGGAACGGAGTACTCTGTCCACGACGAGTGCCCAGTCACGATCACTCCTCCTCATTGGAAGGTATGGAGGGCAGTAGCGTGGTTCCCTGACCGACGGAAATATCACAGCCTATCACCCGGCCGGAAAAGCACCACGAATCGCGCTCATCAGAGGGGCGGGACTGGGGACGAGGATCGTGGGAACCAGCTTCTGTTTCTCGTCTCGTCTCTGCTGGACCGCGCCAATCTCAGATGAGTCCCCACTCGTCGGCGGGCCGCCGAATCAGGCCGCGCGCAAAGCCCGGATCATTTTGTCTGCGGGTTGGGTGGCTTGCACCTGTGCCAAGTCGCAAGATGGAAAAACTGGGGCTGAAAGAGCCCATGCTGTCTCATTGGCGAGACGGCACCAGCTCCGTACAGTCCCATGCCCCAGTTTATTCCCCTCTTCACGCCCACGCCCACGCCCACGCCCAAGCCACGCCCACGCCCGCTCGTCCCCCGGGATAGTGGGAGGATGGGCGCGTTGTCGATCTCCCACTCTTATTCGCCCGCACTAGGGAACCCATCGCCACGGACGGCCCACTACCATACCAGACACTCGGGCCAGGTATCCGCACAGACGTGGGATAGGGGGCGGTTGAGGGGGTTGAGGTTCTCTGCCCACGAGCCCAGTGGATGTTTCAACCCGAATATACTGAAGTCTCGGGTAGCCAGCTCAAGTAGTGGGGGAAAGAAGGAGATTTCTATCTCTATCAGCCCGGTAAGAGAGTTGAGCATCACCGCGTCTGTCAAGTCAAGCTGGACGCCATTCTGCCCGTCGCTCGCGCCCTCCTTATCAGGCCAGGTCGCGTGGGGCTCCCCAGGCGATCTTTTCGTATTCCTCAGACTAATCCGCAACCGGGTTGCCCGGTGGCTTACACCTTCCTCTTCCTCCCATGGGAAGCGACAATGGTCCTTCCACATGGCTCGGCCAGCCAGCGGACGAGCATTTGCATGTCCCCAGACCCGATCGGACCCGACCTCCTGACGCGCGCCTCGAGCCCTACTCTGTCTCTAGTCTGTCTTTGTCCTCTGGCATCGGAGTGGTCAACGAAGCTACAGGACCAGAACCGATAACAGCTACTCGCTTGTTCGCTCACTCCCTTCCGCGCCCCCCCCACCATTAGCCCCAGCACCCAGCCATCACACTAATCCGCTAGCGTACTAACGGGCGCACCATGGGCTTCTTCATTCGGGCTCGGGCTCTGGTGCGCGGTGGCGCTGGGCCCGTCCTGCAGTCGCCGTTCTTTTTCGTTCTAGCGTGCGAGCAGAAATCCCGCACGCCCGGGCAGGGTCTGCGATGATCTTCGCCTCTTTGTGCCGGACACGCCAGCGACAAGAGCTCTTCACGGCGCTAGCCGGGTCTGGTCTAGCCATGGGGGTGTCTGTCTCTTGTGTTTTGTCTGGGTCCGAGTGCGAGCCCCACTGGGTAACGGGTAGAGGTCGTCTGGCCGCTGTCGCTGTCATGGCTTGTCCGCGTGCTCCGAGGGTTTAGCGCGACGGCTGCTCTCTATCGACAATCTAAGTGCGAGTTTGCGGACTATGGCGGCGAGGAACGGAGTCCATACGGAGGAGGGGGGTCTCTGGTTCCGACTCGAGTCAGCAGACCAGACGCGTGCGCCATGGTTTCTGGTCTCCGCCCAGCATACAATGTACATTGATCGCGATGCGCGACATACTCTCCCTCGCACGCATTGAGGAGCGAATCCATCCATAGAACACCGCGCACGGTGCGATACCGCAAGACCAACCTCTAGAACTCCTGCAATCGCACTACCCCACTGGACTCCGTACCTGGCCTGCCAGTCCCAACGTCTAATATCGACAGTACTCCACCAGTCCAGTGCCAGCTCTAACGTTTCTAGGCTCTAGGTGCATGAACCAGGGCCACAAAAGCACAAGGCAAAGGAAGGGGCAGGGGGCCGACCAGGATCCCCGGATCCGTGAATCCCTGAAATCCTGATGCAGGTGCCTGCGCAAAGCCCGCAGGAAAGCATGTGAAGCGAACCGAGCTGGAGCATTGAGCGCGCGAAGGAAGGGGAAGATTGGGGCCAAAAGCCAATGGGAAACAAATCGAAACAGAAAACAGGCCCGAACAACATTCCACCGTCCATGCGTCGGCTCCGAAAAAGGGCTCTGTCGGGCTTGGGCCTGCTTGGCCGTGCCGTCGCTTGTTTGCCTACTGAAGGTAGGTCTCAGCAGGGGGACCCAGCCTACTGTAGCTACTCCGTTCAGAGGAGCTCATGCACCTGGACTCGGTCGAGGGACCCCAACCCGGCTCCGCGTAGGGTCTCCCGCACGCTAGAGCCCCGCCAATCTTCCGATGGAGGAGCGGTATAGTCCTGGGCAGACAAGCCTCGCGCATCGAAACGGAATCGGTCGTGGCATTGACTCGGCCCTCTCTCCACTGGAAAGATTCGGACCACCATTGCCCCGCCGCCGAAGCGCCAGCGATCGGAGGGGGTCTGCGATCCTGGATCGTCGCGATCGTCTATTTATTCCATTCTCGGTGCTAGGGAGCCACTCGGTGAGGGGGGTGCTGCTCGGAGATGTGCCGAGCCCCGTGAAGGAGCTGGTGTACAGGAGAAGCTGTGCTCGGCGCGGGCTTCGGGGCTAGTGCGATGGGGATAGATCCAGGGGTGGTCATAATGACATGTACATCGGAGAAGGATTGGGTTGTTTCTGGCCCTACGGCTCGATGCCTGTTAATTATAGATTACTCAACGCGTTGCAATACCCCCGGGCGCGAACCACTCCTTCGGGATCGTGTTAAACTGTAAAGTGTAATCCGCAAAGCGTAAACTATAATTTCTTGCGAAAGACCTCCCCCGGCTAGGCAGGTAGGTTAGCTTAGCTTAGCTGGGCTCATGGTCGACTAGTACGAAGTAGCTGCGGGATGTTAGCTACAATAGGTTTATGGTAAGGTGGAATTATCATCCCCCCATCCGTTAGTCCCCCGATCTAGTCTCAGCCATGTCTATAGACGGAGGCAACTAGACACTAGGCACCCAAGGATCAGCTCTCGATCTCATTCTCGAGGAAAAAGGAAGCTGTACTATGCACTCTGCTATCACCTCCCCCCGGCCCCCAAAAAAGCAAAAAAAACCGCTTCCCAGATCCTGCAGCTCGTTCCTTGTAGCCCAACCCCCACGCACCATGTGGCGCGACAGCGTCAGATTCCAATGCCGCGGAACTCGTGTCCAACGCACACCTTGTGCGACGCATCCCGCGCACGGAACACGCCCGCCGTCTCGCGTCGGACAAACGTCCGCAAGCTGTCATCACCTTGGTATGGGGTGTCAAACACGGAAGTCGACGGTTAGAGTCGAGTCGACCGCACGTCTGGAATAATCGGCGTGGTAGGATCCCTCTTTCCAAGACGTGAGATGACAGATGACAGATGACAGATGACAGATGACAGATGACATGATAATGCGCTTCATTAACAGGCCCCCTCTGTGCTTCGTATCTGCTAGTCGTAAGTCGTGGGGATTCGTCCCAACGGCTTGGTTCCAGGTAAGATGCGTGCTACTGGAGCCGTGGAGTGCAGCGCAGACGCGTACAGTGTGCAGTGTGCATCGACAATCAGACTACCTCTGCTCGGTGTGAGCTATCTGTGCAGGCGACTTCCTGTCCACCGTACTGGCCAAGACCGCGGCACGTCCTCGAGGATATCCCTGTACAGGGCTATCAGCATCAGCGCAACTAGACGGAGACGGACAATGATGCATGGGATACATACTCCATCACTCAAGTTCCCATTTTTCAGAATGACCCACTAAGCAGTGCATCTCGCGCTCCTGGTCACGGTTGATCGGTTGATCAGTGATGCATTACTCCGTACGGAGTACATGACGGTATAAAGAGCCGGCAGGTCGATCATTGGCCCGATCGGTAAACATGCACCTTCCAAGAATGACCCGAAATACCCTAGAACCCGACTCCCTAGCTAACCCGACTCCCTCTCCCTCTGCCTGGTGTCGTGTCCTGCTGATGGGCGTGGACATGGACATGGACATGGCCATGGGCATGCATAAGTGCAAGATCGACGGTAAACAGCCGACATTCATAGTCCATGCATGTCCCGTCTAGCGGGTTCCAGGAAACAAGAACAGGGATTCTGTCCCGGTTGAATCAGACGATAAAGATAATCCCCAGGACGGAGCACATAGTGTAGTGTACTGTGTACTCTGCCCGTGATTTTCCTGCAGCGACAGATCACCAGTACCAGTCCCAGTCCCAGTCCCATCCCCTCCTGCATGAACCAGGGCAAGAGATAAACAAACTGCAAGCAATGCGCCACAAACCGTAACCCAGACCGGATCACTAGCCCAGCACATCAGTGCTGCTCATGCGCCCCCCTAGAGAAGCAGCTAGCGAGGGCCCACGCCCTCCAGGACGAGTATGATTGCCAGGCTCAAACTCGGACCCGGGCTCAGGCTCAGGCCCATCCTCGCTAGTCCTGCAGCATGCACATCCCTGCTTTGATGCGATTGGCGCCCCTTGCGTTGGATTCCAGTCTGGGGGTATGGGCGTTCACGCGGCTAGGGATTTTCGCGTGCTGGGTTCTGGGGAAGAGCGTGGGATGTACGGGGGCTGCCTTGTGAAGTTTTCTTTGCTTTTTCCAGGGGGGTTTGAGTTTGCCCCGGGGTTTTGGGCTGGGAGCTCACCATGCTGTGCTGACTTTGGGGAGGAGGTGCGGAAGGTGGGATAGATGTGACAGGTCAACCTAGTGGGAGGAGAGGATATTGTGTTAGCCGTGCTTCCGTATCGCTGCGTATAGGAAGTATATACTGTACTCTAGTCACTGTTTAGGGCTCTCGGCGGAGTCGAAGTCAAAGTCGAACTGCTCGATATGGCGGACCAGCATCCTGTGGGCATTTAGATTATAGATCGGTTGCACAAGCACAAGAGCTGTTTGAAGTACCGACCAGTGATAATATGGATATTGCATCGTGGTATACAGGTGTCTTATTTTGCTCCTTCGTGCTATGTACTGCAGAGGAATAAGACGAATAACAATTAACTAGAATACATACAAAAAGCAGACCCCGTATCCATCTAAATCAAATCTCTAATGTACAGCTTCAATCCCAGCGCCATGAATGTGCAGCGCTATGCTAAAATATCAAAAGGCGAGCCACCCCAGTTTTCAAGGCGAAGAACCCAAAGCCTCTGCCAGGGCAGAGTCTTCGGATATCTCCTTGGTGAACCCGCGGCCTTTCCGCACATGCATCAGCAGGCGAAGCGCACCGGCAGGCGTGACGCCTTCGATCCGTCTTGCCATACCAACGCTAGAAGGACGCACACGCTCAAGCGCTTGCTTTTCCTCATTGCTGATACCGAAGATCGTGCTGTAGTCGAGGTCCGCAGGCAAAAGCAAGTTCTCATCTTGCTGGAACCGTTGGGCCATCTTCTCTTGCCGTTTCAGGTACGGCGCGTAGCGGCCTTCGATGGCGACGCGGGTGCGGATTTCCGGCGCGAATGATGCTGGGCTGTACGCTGTTCCGGGAGCGGCGTCCATGTGCGGAATCAGGGTGTTGATATCTGCCCCGTCGAGACAAAGGATGTCCAGAGCGGAGCGGATGGAAGTGTCGGCGCGGACCTTGAAGCCTTTGCGAGACCAGGCGGTCGAGGATAGTCTCGTATTTTCCAGAAGGGACTGCAATTCCTGGATCTGGGCCTCGGTGTCGCTGAAATGCTGCCAGCGCTTGTCGCCCACGACCCCGGCATCGCGAGCCATACGGGTAAGGCGCAGGTCGGCGTTGTCAGAGCGGGTGGAAATGCGATATTCACTTCGAGTCGTGAACATCCGGTACGGCTCGGATACTCCCTTGGTGATCAGGTCGTCGATCATGATACCAATGAACCCGTCTGAGCGGGTGAGGGTCATCGGCTGCCGGTTCTGCGAGGCCAGACCGGCATTAATGCCGGCAATGATACCCTGTCCGGCTGCCTCCTCATAGCCCGTTGTGCCGTTAATCTGGCCAGCCAAGTACAGACCGCTGATCAGCTTGGTCTCGAGCGTTGGTCGCAGGTTGCGAGGGTCAATGTAGTCATATTCCACTCCGTAGCCTGGCTGAAGCATACGGACATTTTCCAGCCCGCGGACAGTTCGCAACATAGCGTACTGCGCATCCTCGGGAACAGTCATCGAGATGCCGTTCGGATAGATCACGTTGTTAGGTGCGAAGCCTTCTGGTTCGAGCCAGATCTGATGCTGTGTTTTATCCTTGAATCGGATGATCTTGGACTCCAAGGATGGGCAGTAGCGTGGTCCCCGGACTGTCTCCCTGATATGTATAGAATTCTCCAGATTGGCCCGGATGATCTCATGCGATGCTTCGTTGGTGTGGGTCAACCAGCATGTAAGCTGGCCCTCATCGCCAACCTCGACGGTCGAATTGAGATAGGAGAAGGGCATCGGGGGTGAGTCACCTCGCTGAATCTCTAAAGCCGAGAAATCAATCGACTTCGAGTCCAACCGGGGCGGGGTTCCTGTCTTCAAGCGGCCCAGCTGGAAACCAGCGTCACGCAGAGACTTGCTCAGACCATAGGTCGGGGCCTCGCCCATTCGTCCCGAGGGGTAGCTTTTCAGTCCAACGTGAATTTCACCCCCTAAGAAGGTCCCCGTCGTGATAACCACCCGGCCGGTAGGAATTACCTCACCCGACTCCAAGCGGACGCCAACGATTTTGCCCTGAGCACCAGGGTTGTTATCCAATTCCTCCTTCGAGATCACAATATCAGCGACCTTGCCCTCAACAATGCTGAGACCCTGGGTATTGACCAATTCCTCCGTCATATGCTTGTGGTACAGATCGCGGTCGATTTGCGCACGCGGTCCCCACACGGCCGGGCCCTTGGAGCGGTTCAAGACCCGAAACATAACGCCGGCTTTGTCGATAATGCGTCCCGCAACACCATCCATGGCATCCACCTCGCGAATCATTGTGCCCTTACCGATTCCGCCGAAACTGGGATTACACGAGCAGACTCCGATATTCGACAGCGACGGCGTCACCAGTGCGGTGCGCGCGCCAGAGCGAGCGGCGGCGGCGCATGCCTCTGATCCGGCATGACCGCCTCCAATGACGACAACATCGTAAGGTCTATTTCCGGCTCGAAGAAAACTTGATCAGCGATAGTGAGAGATATGGGGAAAGGGGACACTACTCACTGCGCGCCATCAGATACCGTTGCCAGTCCGCGGGTCCTGCCCACCAACCGGCAGGACCCAATGCGCTGGCGCAGAAAGGCCACTGGGCGTGCCCTAAAAGCCATGGCGGAATGCATCGAACAACACGACTGTCGACGAGAAACCGCCCGGCTTCAATCAGCGATAAGACAAAAATATCGACCAGCCACGTGACTGATAAGAGATGACATAATTCGGTCGCGCAATCGGCCAATTGCGGGGCTGCAGAAGTTCAGCCACGGATTCCTAAGATTCTCACCTAGATCCTCCTTTGTACACTACTTTCCCTGTATCACAGTCCCGGGACGTTTCAAAATGAAGGCCTACTGGTACGACAACAAGCCGGTAAGTACCTACGGCTCGTCCCGCATTGGGATCATCGAGGGCCTTCCGATGACGCAACTGAACATACGTATGCTAACTATGGACAATCAGGGCGACCAGCGTGAGCCGCACGACTCCGGCCGCCCCGTCTCCGAAGAGAAGCTTGCGTCCCTTGGTGTCCTGTACCGCCACTGCCCGACCATTGATTCCGTCGACAGTATTGCCAAAGATCGCGGCTACAAGAACCGCGACCAGATCTGCGTTTCCCCGCAGACTATGGGTGATGTCTATGAGGAGAAGGTGAAGATGTTCTTCGCAGAGCACCTACACGAGGATGAGGAGATCCGGTATATTGTGGATGGTGAGGGCTATTTTGATGTGCGCGGTCAGGAGGACGAGTGGATCCGCATCGATCTGGTCAAGAATGATCTGATCATTCTCCCTGCTGGCATTTACCATCGGTTCACGACCGACGCTCAGAACGTATGTGGTTCCGTTTGAACTACCCCTTGTGAGATTAAATCTCTATATTGGATACCATGGCTGACATGATAACGATGCTTTACAGTACGTCAAGGCTATGCGCCTCTTCCAGGACGAGCCCAAGTGGACGCCGCTCAACCGTGGCGCTGAGGTTGATGTGAACCCGCACCGGAAGAACTATGTGGAGACCGTCTTGCAGCCCACTGCGGCTGTGAACTAGAGTGTTCGCGCCCACTTGTCCTTACGAGGTCCGCGATGTTTGATGACTAAATTGATTAACGGCTTGCGATGGAACGGAGGCTGAATCTCTAATTCGATCTGCTCCAAAGCACTTTATGCACGTTTGAGTAGCTCATGCACATATACACTATAGAAACGGAGGAGGTATATTTCTAGCTTGTGTCTCTCATGGCGTCGGTTTGTTTTAAAGTATACATTGGAGAGGAAGAGTCAAGGCTACAATATGCTGAAGTTGTAGAAAAAGGAGGTTGGTCGTTATACAAGGGCATTGCATCAGTCTCGAGGCGCAGATACCCCACCCGGCATGGATCCAGGCATTTCGAACTGGTCGCTTACGGCGTCACCGCTGTCTTGCCGGGTCATACTCGAACTTCGCAAACCGCGCATGTCCACGTTGAAACTGCTGCTGCGCGAGCCTGCGCCGAGACCTAACCGTGCGTCCAATCCTCCACGGAAGCGCAGTCCCTCTGATTCGCGGGTGAGATCATCAGAGAACCGAAGCGGTCCTCCAGCTTCTGTTGAGCCGGCACTCCGTGGTGGGGCAGTAGATCCCGCGTCAGATTCTTCGCCTGTTCGCACACCCGTCCGACCCATGCGGGGCCACAGATCTGGAAGCCCAACGACCTGGACTCGGGGCTCTACGACACGTTCCTCGAACCAGGCATGTACTCTGGCTTCGACAAGTTGCGCAACCTTAGGTACATCCTGCAGCCTGCTGCGAGAACCGATAAGCGAACGCACAGAGAGATCGAGTCGATAATCGGGGAGAAAAGAGAATGCGACATTGCTTCTCGGGCTGCTCTTAGGTTGGGTGTCGTCCTGCGCAGCACCGGAATCTGGAGAGCCAGGGACGTTGCTGGGTCTCGCGGCGGCCTCGGCTGCAGGGGGCGTGGGTGATGTCGCGGGCGTGTGGAGCGGTTCAGTTGTTGCTGGGATCAACGAGATACATAAGGTTCCCGAGAATCGGACAACAGAAACCGACAATGCAACGGGAAGGATGGCCGAGCGTGGTTTAGGATAATTCAAGACCAACTGCGTTTCCACGGCGATGGAGAGGTTGTCGTCGCTGAGGTCAACGTCCAGCAACGCCTGCAGCCTCCCCCCATCTGAATTGGGGTCGTCGACTGTAATAATTCGGCAATTGCTGAAAATCGGAAACTCCTCTCCAAGCGATATATCCGTGACGTTGATTTTCTCTATAAAGGACGGCTTCTTCTCGGGATTGTTCATCGCCGCGGTAAGGGAGCTCAGAATCGAGGATGTCGGCGAATCCTTCAGCAAATATGCCGTTTGTCGATATTGTGCAATCGTCTGTGCAATCAAGACATTGAACCAGTCCAGCGATTCAGGCTGGTGGGAAGAGTGGTGCATGCGGTGCCGGCCATGTTTGGATGGGTTGGTAGGGATAGCGCTGTAGTAGGTTTTGCGTAGGATCGAGCGTGTATTTGTAGAGGTAGCTGGTACTGGGCGAAGGACATTGGACGTGGACGGCTTCTCGCGGAGGGTCTTCTGGTTATCTTGCGGGGGGCTGTAGACGGAGCTGTAGCGGCGGTGGGTTGTGCGGTTGGATAGCCCGCGCGACGGGGGCGGCGGGGCCTCGCCGAAGATGAAGAATTTGATGAAGGCACCGATGAGAAGGACGACGGAGAGCTGCCCGAGAAGGAAGCCCTGCGTGAAAGACAATCTGCAGAAGGAGGGGGATCGGGTTAGCGATCTAGATTCACCATGGTTTCAGGTGGTCGTACGAGGACTGGGGCGCGACTGGCGCGGGCTCGTCTGGAAGAATCGTCAGCAAGGTCCGGACAATTGCAAGCATTGCACGCACGTTGTTGCAGCACCATCGTCAGCGGCGGTCGGCGAGCCCCTGTTCGTGAGGCATCCCGAAGTGTAAAGTGGGAACTGGAGGAGGTTGGTTCCAACTTTCGGCATCGGGTGGATCTCTCTTGGCCGTGGCTTATCGCTTATCGGCGTGACTGGGGTGACTTTCAGGACACGCTGGACGTCGCGACTGGCACGCCACTGCAGCTTCCTTTCTTAGGGCTCTTTTCAATGACAAGCTTGCTGCCTGCAGCAAAGGACAAAACTGGACCTTTTCACTGGATTCTAACTAACCCAAGCGATTAAGTCCTTAGCAACTCCTACATTCTCAAAATTTTCCTGGAGCTAGTTACACCACTATGCACTGGCTTGCCCCAGCAGTTGCGACGCTGCTTCTATCCTCGCCGGCAGTATGCGATAGATCTCAGAAACCACCAGGCAAAGACGCTATTCTGCTGTCCAACGTCCAAGCCCTAACGCTACGTGCCAACCGCGAAACGACCTCTCGCCGCGTGTCTGCCATCCCCCAGTTGAGCTGCATAGGTCCCTCTAAAAAAATATGCGATCTCTACCAGATTGAGGTGATGCGCTGTGCGAATGAGGGCTACGACTATGACGCGGAGGATGTACAATGGACATGCTCTGCCCCGCTGCCACCCGAGTTCAAGCTCGGCGCAACGGACGTCGTTTGCGAAGGATACCGAAACTCTGAGGACAAATGGGTGCTCAAAGGCAGTTGCGGGGTTGAATACCGCATGCTCCTCACGGAACAAGGCGAGAAAAGGTTCGGAAAGGCCCGCAACGGCTACGATTGGTCTCAGTTGATGGGCAATGCGAAGAAGTCCTCTGGGTGGGGCTGGAAGAGCGTTGTGGAGTCCATAGGAGACCTCATCTTCTTCGGCATCTTTGCTGCGGTCTTCCTGTTCATTGTTGGCCGAATGCTTGCCGATTGTTTTGGTCTGCGAAGGAATCGGGGGGACAGGACGCCTGGACGACGATGGGGATGGGGAGGAGGAGGGGGAGGCGGCGGCGGCGGTGATGGCTATTATCCAGGACCGCCTCCTCCCTACAGCAGTGGCTGTTCTGACGACAGTCCCAGCTGGGGATCTGGAAGTCGGCCTGCTGCACAGGGCTGGAGACCAGGTTTCTGGACAGGAGCTGCGAGCGGCGCTGCAGCTGCTTATCACTTGGGACGGCGGGCAGCAAACAACAACACCAACACCAACAACTATAACTCCGGAGAGGGAAGCTCGCAGACTCGTTCGTCGCCGTCTTTCTCAACCACGTCAACCAGTACTGGGTTTGGATCGACACGGCGTAGGTAGTCGAGTCTTCGCGAACGACATGTATTTGAGACCCAAAAACTGTGGATAACAAGCTTACCATCAGTCTGAACGGAATAGAAGCAATTGATTTCAAACACTCTACCTCTATACAGCACGTAGACAAAAACGCCGTCGCCGTGACCAAGGCCCACCAGTGTGTATCTCATTCGGTGAATCAAGAAAAAAAGCCAAAAAAATCCATAGACTCGATCCCAGTAGATGTAACCCAAGCTCCAAAATTCGCAGAACGCCCCGCTTTGTAAACATTCAAGTCGATTCAAGCCATTGGAATATCGTCGATAGAACCAAGGACTTCTTCTGTACCTCCACCGGCTGCGTTCTTCAAGTTCCTCTTGCTGTTCCGTTTACCCTTGATCGTGACGCCGTTGGCCTTGTCGCCATTCGAGGTAGCGTTCTCGTCGGCGCCCGCGCCAGTTGGATTGCGCATCATTTCTTCCTGGAGCTTTTTCTCCTTCTCGTGTTGCTCCTCAATACGTTTCTTTTCGTCATCAAGTTCCTGCTGAATGATCTTGGGATCATCATAAACCTGGTTGGTCATCTCTGAGTAGGTTGCGATATCGATGGTCTCGCGCGGTCCAAGAAGAGTATCTTTGATCCGCTGGGGATCCTTGCGCTCTTCATTGTTGAACTTCAGCTTGATCTGGCGGCGAGAGCGCCCCGGGAACAGCTTGCTGATAACCATAAAATCAGTGCCGAACATGCGCAAGCCACGGTAGAAGAGATCGGTCATCTCTTCGTCCCACGCTTCGGTCTTGGTGCGTTTGCCATATGTGGCCTGGTTGACTTTGCGGGTAAGCTGGTTTTCCACCACGTCTTCAAGGTCTCCTGCAGTTCGTGCCGCGTCGGCATGACGATCCACCTCTAGTGAGGCATTGTCCAGCACAATCTCGCCATTCACAATGCGCATGACCGGGCCAGCGGATTGGGGCTTGAGATCCTGAAGCCGGTCGGTTTTGTTGGCATCTGGATTATTCGTTTTCTTCGGCGTTGCGGTAGTCGAGCCTTCCTCCTGCGCCTTTTGCTTGCGTTCTTGTTCCTCCAATTCCAACTTGCGCAATTCGGTCTCGCGCTTCGACTTTCTACCGGTCTTTAGATCTTTACAAAGCTCCGACATCCTGACCACATTAGGTAGAATCTCCACCATCTCTGCGCCTTCAGGAGTCGGTTCGCGCTTCCTCTGGCGACGCTTGGACTTCTCGGAGTCAGGGCCAGCATCTGAAGTAGAGGCCTTGGATGCCTTTCGCTTTTTGCCTTTCGCGGTTTCTTGACTCGCCTCTGGCGTCACGGGTACCAGGGATCCCCCGGGCGTCTCGCTCGACGCCGTGGATGGGGCAGGGGGAGCAATAGCATGCACAGGGCCCCTTCCACGTGTTCCGGTGATCTCAGATGTTTTCTTTGCCCATTTCAAAGGTCGACCTGCAACCGGAGCAGAGGGTGTGACTTGAGGTTCCGACACGGATTGGCGGGGAGAGAGGGCTTCATCTGGGAAAAAGCTATCGTCTGTAGGTAGCGGTGCTGCGGCAGCTTCGGCGGTAACTCCTACTGATGTCGGTTGCGGAGCATCGTCTTCGATTGAAGGTACCACATACGCTTCGGTGGACAAAGTGCGGGAGGATGGTGGAGTGTCAGGTATGCTGGTAGAGGTGATTGCAGGTGCAACTGCCGCATCGGGAACGGTTTTGGAAATCGATACTTTGCGTTTTGGAAGGGGAATCGGGATAGCGGTTGCTGATTTCGAGGCGACTGGTGCTGCTTGGGTCGAATCTGCGATCGCAGCCGGAGCTGCCTCTGTCACAGGGTGCTCAGGCTCTGCGGACGACACAGAGGGCGGCGGAACTGATTTTGTAATTTCCTTCTCCTGTTGTTGAGCCTGCGCAGCTTGCGCCTGAGACTGCTGAGCTGCACTGGGCCTTCGCGCAGGCGCAGCAGGGCCGGGCGCGCCGCGGCGGGGCTGCGCCTTCGGCGCAAACTTCTTGCCCGATTTATCTGCAACCAGTACAGTCAGAGAAAGGAATCTGGAAGATGTGAGGTGTTTTCTTGATGCCACTTACTAACTGCCGAGCTCGAGAAGGACTTCATGGTTGTCCATTCCTGGGAGGACGGTGGGGTGAGGTCAAGATCGAGAAAAGTTGTCGCGCCGGGGAAGTGGATTCATAGTCACGTGGGAGGCGCTAGCGGCACCCTAAACCTCGTTGAAAATCCTCCTGTCTTCAACTCCTTCAGTCTTAACCATCCCAATCCTACCCCAGTCCGGTGATCGTCTCCCCTCGGCGTCACCTTCTCCTTGACCCTGCCGTTTGCTACTCGTCCCAGTTTTTTTGTCAGCAGATTTGGCTCCGGTCGCGGTGTTAAGTCTGTGGCTGACTGGACCGACGGTTCGGCGGTGATCGAAAACCCCCTCTCCCATGCCAGTCTAGCCACTGATGCCGGCCGTCGAACCCCCCGTTGTGTCTTCAGAGTCCGGTCTCGTCAAGATGGAAGACCGGAAAAGGCCTGCCGCGGACAGCAATGACTCGGCCCCGCCTTTAAAGAAGCAGGCGACCACCGTCAACGGTGGGAGCAAGCCTCACCCAGATGCGGATATGCCGTGGAAAGATGATTTGGAGGTATGTAGTCGCTCTACCTTATCATTTTGGACGACCGCGAATATTTGTTGCCAGAGTCGCGTTCGAGGGAGAAGATGCTGACAGGTGCTTTCGGTACAGCGTTTCCAAAAGGATGCGATCCTGCGCCAACTGCAAGAATTCAAGCGGGAAAAAGCTGGTTTGGAGTCGCGGGTCAACCAGATGTCCAAGGCTGCTGCCTATCATGACAGCCACCTCCGTGCTATTGATGCCTGGTTCAGTCAAGTGAGTTCATCCCTCTCCTCTGTCGACTCCGCCCCGGGCCAAAGCTAACCCCATTTAAAGTTGATTGACGAGGTGAAAACAATTCTAGGATCCTCACAGGAAGCGCTCAAAGGTTAGTCTGCCTTTTGTTATCCCCTCGATCACAGAGTGTACGCTGGAAGGCAGGACTGACAATCTCGGCAGAACCGGTGTTCAAAAGCTCGCTTCAATTCGAAGATGTCGAAGAATTTGAGGGGCATCTGAAGTCAAGGACGGATGACATTCGCGAAATCATTTCTTATTTTCAATCAAAATTGGCCGATCTGTCTCCCGATGTGACTGAGTTGCAGAGCCAATTAGCAAAGAAGCTTGCGGAGGAGAAAGTAACAATCGCTGAATTGGAAAAGACTCTCGCCGAAAAGCAACAACTCGAAGAAAGCCTGGAGGCCGCCTCGCTCCGGTATATGGTGGCCGAAAAGAAACTTGACCGGGCAAGGAGTTTGACTGTTGCCAAACTAGAGAAACAATTTATGATGGGTGGGCAACGACCTAGCTCGGAGGGTGCACAGGCAAAACGCGAAGAATCATCCCCAGCCAATGGTGGAACGCCAGTGGGAGAGCGCAGTACCGAGTTGGAGGAAACCAACAATAAGCTTAGTGCGACCTCGGAGAAGCAAAAGGAACAGCTACGGAAGTTGGAGGCTGAAAATGCGAACCTGCTTGGTCAGATCACCGAACTTAAGACGAAGGTAGCTTTTCCTTTCTTCTTATATCATGTCGAATACCACCAGCTAACAATATTGACTTTCAGTATTCGAAACTTACAGACGATGATTACGCCCATACCGATCTTTTCAAACAATTGCGATCACAGTATGACGACGTTGTCAAGCGCATCAACCACCTGGAGGCGACAAATGTGCAACTTCGCGAGGAAGCTGAGAAGTATCGTTCCGAAAGAACTGCATACAAATTGCAGGTGGAGGAGGAATCTCAGAGCATGATTGCGGAAAAGGAAGCGCAACTAATGAGGTCCGAGACCGACTTGGCACGGATACGAAATGCTCGCGACGAACTTTTGGCAGATCAGCAAATGAGAAAGGCTGCGCAGGATCAGGAGAAAACCACTGGTGCGAAGTTACAGGAGCTGGCTGACGCCAGAGAAGCCCGGATCACAGCTTTGGAGTCCGAGATCGAGAGGTTGCGGCTACAGATCGAGGGATCTAAGGCGCCTGAGGATGTGGATGACATGCCGCTCGACGAGCTTCGCTCGAAGTACACTAGCTTGGAACGCCAATATTCCATGCTCAACACCGAGCTGACCTCCATGCAAAATGCGTACAAGAAGTTCTCGGCCTTGGCCTCCCAGAAGGTGACGGACTTTGGTGCCCTGGAAGAAAAGGTAGCGCGGTTGACCGCGGAGAAGTCGAAAGCAGATCAGAAGTACTTTGCTGCTATGAAGAGCAAGGAGGCCCGCGATATGGAGGTTCGCACACTTCGAATGCAGAACTCGAAGACATCGGATATTGTCTCCCAATTGAAGGAGTCTGAGGCTGCAACAAGATCTTTGTTGTCCAACATGGATAAGCAAGCCAGTGAGACGAAGGAGGCCTTGAACTCTGCTCTGGAAAAGCACCGTGCCACCCAACAGCAGTTGACCGAGAGCACCATTGCTATCGAGGGCTTGAAGAACCAGGTTGCTGAGTTAAAGTCACTCTCAAGCTCTAAGGACGCGACTTTGGGCAACACATCGACTGCTCTACGTCAAGCGGAGACGGAGATCGTAGGCTTGAAACAGTCACTCTCAGATACCAAAAAGAGCCTGGAGAACTGGAAGAACAAGAGCCTTGGCAACAACTCCTCTGAATATGAGATGCTACGGGTAAGTTTGCGCGCACCAACTTTATGCTTTGAAGGAGGGCCCACTAACCTTCTTTCTAGACACTCGCCTTGTGCACGGTCTGCCGCCGCAACTTTAAGAACACAGTTATCAAAACTTGCGGTCACGTCTTCTGCAAGGACTGCGTTGAGGAGCGCCTCACCTCTCGTTCCCGCAAGTGTCCCAACTGCAACCGATCCTTCGGAAGCAACGACCACATGCACATTACCCTCTGATCTCTCTCCCTTCCCCTCAAAATTCTCTTCATGTATTATAACATCCCTTTCTTTTCCCTGTTCACTTTCTTCTTTGCCCCCTTCTTCCACCCTATCCTCCTTTTAGTGGTCACTTTCGGACAGGTCCATGGTGCGGTGTTTGGTGGCTGGTTTTAGCAGGACAGGTTGGGCCGGCGTTTGATGAGTTTTCTGCTCTGGTCTTTACCCTCAGAGCATTTATGGTTTTGTTCATGCGATCGCATTCGGGTCATCGCATATGTCGGATTTCTCTTCCTTTTTTTTTCTCTACCTATTCTCTTTTTTCTCTGAGGCGCTGGGCCGTTGAGTGAAGTGGCGATGCTCTCTTTGGATACCCCATTTTCCGGGAGGTGCACTGGATTTTTCCCAGCGGCTTGTGGCTCTAGATTTGTCTGTCATGTAGGAATACTACATTTGGGCCGGGGAAAAGGGGATTTGATGAATGCAAATGCAAAATCTCATGCAGTTATGGCAAATGGGCTAGTGAAATCTCGAGAAGACTGTATTCTAATTTCACCACTCAGTTAAGCTTCATTGGACATTCTCGTCTGACGCAATTTCCCAAGTTACGAGTTTGTAAAAGACTTTCGATCATCAATAATATGATATTCGCTAATCTAAATTATGTATGTACATTCGTGAACTCCCATTAGTATATATGCTCGTTTATGCAATCATGAATTGAAAATGCGGCTGTAAAGCAGCTCGTGACGGCCTACCCACAGGTCCAGAGCAGGAACAACCTGCCCAGCCTGCTCGACCTTTGTATCCCACTCGCGCTCAATGCGCTTCATAATCGTATCTTGCAAGGTCTGGCTCGCCAGGATGTTCTGCGCCTGGTACGGTCCCATCACAGAAGACCTCACTGCAGCGCTCAGAACAGCCTTGGCGTGGTTCACAACAAAGATATATGCGGCTTGCTGCAGGTCTAAGCCCGTGGCTCGGCAGACAACTCCCCACAGTGGTGCAAAGTGGCCCTTAGGGCCGAGATCATATTCGTTGTCCTCGCCGAAGGACGACTTCAGTGCATCTGAAAAGTCGTCCATGGCTGTGACTGCCACCTCGGCGCCGGTATCGGTGGCACCGGGGCCGGCGAAGCTGGCGCGGAATGCGCGCTCCCAGACACCAATTAGGGCGCGGCCCTGCGCGATACTGGCTCGCTGGGCGACTATGCAGGGTGTGGAGGCATCGAGGTCATTATCGAGGGTCTCGAGGGTGTCTGGCTCGCGGTAGCCGGCGAGGACGTAAGGGAGGGATGTGCTGGCGATGGAGGCGATAGAGAGTTTGAGGAAGGAGTGGAAGGAGGCGATGGGGTTGGACCGGAGAGGCTTATTATGTGCGAGGTAGGACTCCAGCCCGCTGGAGTATGCAAAGGAGCCCAATGGCAGGGCGGAGTCAGAGAGAAGGAGGAGCGCGTGGAGGGATGAGGAGCGGACGAGGCTCGGGCGGAATGTATTGCAGATATTGTCGTGCTTATGGATATCTACCAAACGGTTCTTAGGACATGGCTCCTGCTAGTTGTACATGGCAGATACCACTCACCTGAAGGCATGGTCCAGGGTGTCTTTTCTCCGGCGTGAGAAGCGGGAGGGCATTCGGAGGCATCGAGCTGGGCCCGCATGTCATGCAGGCGGGCCTCGAGCTGCGCGATTTCGGACTGGAGGTCTTGCGGTTGGGGGTTGTCGAGCAGCATTGTATATTGTACGGTAATCCGGGGTATAATCTGGGGAAATCGCAGCTAGAAACCTTGTCGAAGACTGCGAGAAGACGAGAAAACAATGCACAGGTGCTGATAAGGCAGGCAGTTATATCTGCGGGCGATCGGCAGAAAAAGGTGGGTTCGGAGGCCGCCGCGCGCGCCCGGCGGATTCGCTATCAGCAACTACCAGCCGGCACGTTCATCTTATTCGTTCCTATTATTCATTGCCGTTACTCACGAGTCTCCGGGTGATTCGATCCCATTACTCGATCGAAAACACTGCACCCTGGCACCGCGCTATTCTGCCCGATGCGATAAGAAAGCCTCCCCCACCAATCCACACTACCTTGGTCTCCAGTCGTGACACTTGACAATGTCTGGCCGGAGGCTGCTGGACGCTATCCAGTTCCTCAATGTCTCCAAATCTGTCGCCGCCAAACACCTGGCCATCCGCCAGCACCAGCTCGATGTCTATACACGCACCTCGTCCCTGACCAAGGGCATAAAGGACCGGACCGAGGGGCTGATCTTGACCGCACAAGCCGCTGCCGCGTTGGCGCGTCGTTTCAACGACGAGCCCTCACCACCTCCGCCGAGCTCGCCTTCCCAGTCGCCGACAACGCACTCCCCCGAGCCATCGGCGGACAAACCCGCTAGCCCTCGTCCGACCACCACGATTACAACCTCCCCGGCCCCAGATGAGGCTCGGAGACTGCAGCGTCAGGCGGAATTCCAGATTCCGGCCACGACCGCACAATACCAGGGCAATGAGAAGCCGGACAACCTGAACGTCAGTCCACAGCAGGACGTCTTTTATCAACCTTCGCAGGAGATCGCATCGGACTTGTCCGCCCTGCCCCGAGTCAAGCTGCCAAAAGCTGTCGGGTCTACCCAAACAAGTGTGAACAATGGCTTGAATGCCGATGTCTTCCACTCGGCGACGGGCCCAGAAAGGCAAGAGGCCCTCGCTGAGCAGCAAGAACTGTCGGAGGAGATGATGCAGAGTCTCTTCCATAGTCCGAGAGTTTCTCGCATGCTCGCGGGGAAGTCGGCGCCGGCGCCGGCGGGCCAGAGACAATGGCCGCCGCCGGACAGAGACAGGCTTGTAGGGCAGCCAGGTCAGGCGACTGCAACACCAGAGCCTCAGACAAAGACTGCTGCCAAGTCGGAGGTCGAGGAGATGGAGGAACTGGCAGCAAGTGTTGCAGATGATGTGGTGCCACCTGCTGCCGAGGTTGTGACAGGGGAGAAGCTCGCACCTTACCAGATGATGGAATCCCGGGTACCGTCTTCTCGGCTTGGTAGATTATGGCAGTATGGTGGACTGGCGACATCAATGGCATTTGGCGCCGTCACCGAGACCGTTCGACGGGCCACCGGCAACCAAGACAGCGGCTCGATCATGTTCAGCGCCGGCAATATGGAAAGGCTCGTGGCCAAGCTGTCAAAGATGCGCGGTGCTGCTCTCAAGCTGGGCCAAATGTTGAGCATCCAGGATTCCAACATGCTGCCCGAGCCAATCCAGCAAGTGCTCCAGCGTGTCCAAGACCGCGCCGACTACATGCCCGCATCGCAGCGCGACAAAGTCCTGGCCGACAACCTGGGTCCTAACTGGCGGGACCTTTTCACGTCCTTCGACGAGATTCCGATGGCCGCCGCCTCTATTGGCCAGGTCCACGCCGCCGTCCTCAAACGTACCGGCAAACCAGTCGCCGTAAAGGTTCAGTATCCCGGTGTGGCCGACTCCATTGACTCCGACCTGAGCAACCTCTCCATCCTCCTCACAGCGTCCCGCCTCCTCCCCCGCGGCCTCTATCTCGACAAGACTATCGCCAATGCCCGTACCGAACTCGCCTGGGAATGTGACTACCTCCGCGAAGCCGAGTGCGGCGCTCGCTTTCGCGAACTCCTCCGTGACGATCCTGTCTTCGTCGTCCCAGAAGTCATGCCCGAAGCATCGGGCAAGCAAGTCCTCACCATGGAAATGCTAGAAGGCGTAGCAGTCACCAAAATTCAAGATTTCACCCAAGAGCAGCGCGACTGGATCGGCACCCAGATCATGCGCCTGTGCCTCCGCGAGATCGCCGAGTTCCGCTATATGCAGACCGACCCCAACTGGACCAACTTCCTCTACAACGCGCGCACAAACCGCCTCGAGCTGCTCGACTTTGGTGCCTCGCGCGAGTACCCACAAGACTTCATCGCCATGTACGTGCGTACGCTCGTCGCTGCCTCCCGCAACGACCGCGCCGCCTGCCACGACCTCTCCGTCCAACTGGGATACCTCACCGGCATGGAGTCGCAGGCCATGGCTGACGCGCACGTCTCATCTATTGTTACCATTGCTGAGCCCTTTATGCTCTCCTCGCCGGACCTGTATGACTTCCGGAACCAGACGATTACCGACCGTGTGCGTGCGTTGATCCCGCTGATGATCCGCGAGCGTCTGGCGCCGCCGCCGGAGGAGACGTACTCGCTGCACCGCAAACTAAGTGGTGCGTTCTTGCTGTGTGCTCGGCTGGGAAGTCGTGTGCCTTGTAAGGAGCTTTTTGTGGAGGCTGTTCGCAAGGGTCAGGCGAATGGGTTGGATCTTGGCGAGCAGAAATAGCCTTTTTTTCGGGGGCCGCAGATGCGTGAACTACGAAGACGGGAGCTTTGCATATCTACTATGTATTATAGAAAAGATGTACCATATAGCGTTTGACTATCGAAAAGCAAGGGAATTCACCCCTCATTATCTCAATCAGTCTTTTCTCTACCATTTTTTCAGCTGAACACTACAATGTGCGTGGATCTCATCGGTATAGGTACGAGTATAGTAATACAAGAGCGGCATCCAGTGCAGCAAATTTTCTCAAAAGAGAAGAAGCATGCTCCTTTAACTGAAAACAAACAATGCAAGAAAAAAAAATCGAAGGGTATTTCGAGAATAGGTACAAACTTTGAGGGGGGAACAAATAAGATCAAATCACTGATAAGCGCTTCAAGACTCCAGAAAATGCATATTTCAATATCGCACATCACCTCAACTGCTCCTCGGCATTCTCGTAAACATCACTCTCATCTTCAAGACGACCCTGCTCTGCGAACCGCGCAATCAACCCCGGCGAAAGTGGGCGGTTCTTCATGCGCATCACTTGCTGCCGTGAGCCACTCTTTTCCGTCCGCTCTTTCTCTTGCACCCGTCTAACGGTCGACGATGACTGGATGGTATCCGAGTGGAGCTCGGGGTGGACAGTGCGCAGCATGGAGGCGCGAATATTCTCGTAGCTCTGGATTCGCGAGCCTCCGCCGCTACTAGCGGTGGTCGTACCGGCCATGCGAGCCTGAGAATCACTCGCTTCGGTGAAAACGCGACTGATGGCTGGAGCCGGGGATGAGCGAAAGCCGGCTAGCAGGGAGATAGTAGCGTTGTCCAGGTTGTGGTGGACATTGAGGGTATCCGCTTGCATCCTGGGCTGGACCCGAGTCTGCGCATAGTGGTACTGGTTTAGCTGCGACTGAAGCATGTTGTTTTGGAGAACCATGCCGTTGTAATGCATCTGCTGCAAAGCGTCCAAGTTGCCGTATGGCGGGTAGGTCTGGTAATTCCCGCCCGGCTCTACTGGGGTCTCGGTAGGGTAGTCGATCTGTGCGGGCCTATATTAGTCTCTGCTCCAGGTATATATCTCATAATTCCCGTCCCGTGCCAGAACGAAACTCACCTGGCCAGTATACTTGCGTCCCGGCATGGCGATGTAATCACCAAATGAACTCTCCAGCGCAGCAAAATTGAACCCACGCGCCGAGTCCGCAGGCTCAAATCGCTGCCCGATCTCAGTGCCAAAGTTGACGCCGCGACGTGGCAGAGGCTGGTACGGACTGAGCGCAAGAATCCAGCCCGGGTAGCTGCCCAACATAGCCTGGATGACAGGCTCGACTTCGAGGCTCAGCGTGAGCTTGCTCTTGGCGGAGGGTTTCTGGATGAGCATGACGAAGGTGAACTCGCGCGGCAGGCCGGTACGCTGCAAATTGTTCTCCTCCAGCGACCAGACGATCTCACCAGCCTCAACGTCGTACTGATGACCACGGTCGCTCTTAAGCGTGCGGACTGAGCCTTGGATGCGCATCATCTCGTACCGTCGGTATCGCGCGCTGGTGCTGCCAGAAGGGATCACGCTAGCGCTGACGGGCGTCTCTGAAATCCCCAGGGATCCAGCCAGGCTGAAGGTCCACTCCATGGTCTCTGGAGAGACATGGCCGTAGATCAGGTGCGGTGCGTGCATAAGGAAGCGCGGGTTGCTGGGAGGATAGCCGTGCGGGCATTGAGGAGAGGTTGGAATCTCATGGCTACCCCGGATGGCGGCTTTGATGGTGGCCGACTTGAAGCGGTGTGCAAGCGTATGCGGAGCGTGAAAGACGAAACTGACAGCGAGGAAATCAACATGCTCTGCATCTTTATCGGAGACGGCTTTACTGGCGTAGTAGCCATGTTGGAGCCTTGCGACGTGTGCGGTGATATATGCATCACCAGGTAGCTGGCGCTCGTAGATACAGGCGCGATTGACAAGAAGGCGTGGGTTGGACATGTTCGGATCGAGCGTTTTGCGCGCCTGCTGTTTGTTGCCCGGATTTGGTGGTGGAGGTTGAGAAAGCTGGGGAGGGTTGAGTAGTTGATCTGAGATGGGACGGCCATTTTTGGCCGGTGGTGAAGTCCCCATCGTGAACAGCCAACGCTCGTGGGACGACAACGCCGCAGTCCCCTAGTAAATATTGACACTTGCTCCCCATCTGGATGCTACTGAAGCCAGACTGAGCTTGATCATTACAGCCATATAGCCGTTAACTGTTTGAAAGAGCGAGACAGGTCTATGTTCACCGGCCGGGCAAGAACTATAGCTCTGCCTAAAAATTAGGATGATGTCGGCCATCAGGCGGGATGTCATGTGTATGCCTCCGTCAGATGAGTATGGGATGGTGGATATCCATGGTGACCCGGGTCGATATTTGACAGCTCCATTACAGGCGTTTGACCGGTATGTTCACAAATCTTCCAAGAATTTCCTTGATCTATGGTGGACAGGGTGATTATCTGCAAGTGAGAGGTTGATCGACGGCGCTTGTATACCCGGGCTCGGGCCCGGATTAACTGATGATCCGAGGCCACCGTTGAAATCCGCCTAGGCTGTGCCATCTTCTCAACACAGGTCAGTCTGTCTGGGGAACGGCTACTATCTGCATGAAATTCCCCGGAAGACGATCCTCCACAACAAACTTTGTGCGTACACTTGTTTGAACTCCAAATTGCCCCAGTTCTGGCGCGATTTTGGCTAACATTCTCCGGCAGCCCTTTCTCCGTACTATATCGCACTGGATTGTTCATTGCGGTCGGGCTTGAGATTGACTGACCTTACTGTCCTTTAAGTCTCTTGATATTCGGTCTATCAGGCTTTCAATAGTCTTTTCTTTCGTGGGCTGCTTTGTCGACTGAGCCGAACATCAGAGCTAGCTCCACGGGTCGCGTGCTAGTCCACCTCTTGAGAAATCCGCCCAGCCGACTCATTTGTGTCCCAGGCTTTGATGCAGCAGTATCTCAGCCGGTTGATTGTATTCGAATTGTCTCCTCCGTTTTATTGTGTATCATCATGCTCTCTGCCGGCGCAGCTCGACTGCTACCGTCTTCACGGGCAAGCCAAAGTCTCCGGCTGTTCCGCGACAGTTCGCGTCTTACATATCGGCCACATGGACAGCTGTCTCATGAAGAGGTAATGCGCCCTCGATGCATGTCTACGTTGGCTCTGTCGCCCACCTTGGGCCGTTTACCAATTCGGTGAGGTGCCTTGAATGTCCCAAAAATTTACCATGTCTGACATGTTCTATGACCGAGATTCAAGGGCTCGGGGTTGCTTGACTTTAAGCTCAAAAACATCACCTCTTGCTCAAAAGAGATGGTCTACATCGAAAACACCTGAAGACCCAAAGAATCAGGTTCCCGCAGAGTAAGTTCTCCTATTCTTTTTTTGACACAAAAGGATGGCCGTCCCGGATTGTCTAACAAGACTAGACCTAAATCCGCCACAAAACGCCTTCTCTCCAAAATTCCCATTGGTAGAAGCCATGAGAACATCTACACCATCCCCAATATTCTCACCTTCTCTCGGCTGGTGGCGGCACCTGTAGTAGGATATCTGCTCGTCCATGACTACCATGCAGCTGCCCTTTCGCTTTTTGCATATGCGGGTATAACTGATCTAGTCGATGGCTGGATCGCCCGAAAGTACCATCTGCAGACGGTCGTCGGAACCATCATTGACCCCATGGCGGATAAGTTGCTGATGACAATCGGGGTTGCCTGCTTGGCGGTGAATGGCTCTCTTCCCGGTAGGTGATGGTGCATGGCGCTTGTTGCCCCTTGCTTTTCCCTCTTGCATTCTCTCCTGACGTGTTTTTAGTGTGGTTGGCTGTTATCATCCTGGGTCGCGATGTTGGCTTGGCTATCTCGGCTATCTACTATCGCTGGATTTCACTTCCACCTCCCAAAACGATGGCTCGGTACTGGGATTTCTCGCTTCCATCGGCCGAGGTGAAGCCCACCGAGATCTCCAAGATTAATACTGCGCTGCAGTTGATGCTGGTTGGTAGTGCGATCGCTCTTCCTGTGGTGCCAGAGGCAATCATCAGTGCCTGGCATTTAAGCGAGGCTATGACTGGATTTCAGTAAGTGATACCCCCTGCTTGTGTTCATCCGCGTTTTTCCCTACTTTTCATTTGTTTTTGGGACCTGTGGCACTCCTGGTCGCAGTATGACCCACTTCTCGGGGGATTCTGGTACATACGACCATAGGGTGTGGAGAACAGGGCTTCCCGTCCGCTCAGCCGTACTTAAGCCACACGCCGGCCAGTTAGTAGTATGGTGGGTGACCACATGCGAATCCTGGCTGTTGTATGTTTTTTGGTTTTTTTTTTTTTTTTTTTCCTTCTTTTTTGTTTTTTCCCCTCTCCTCTTGTTTTTGCCTCTTTCTGCGCACTTCTACTCGTTTCCATTGGTTTGCCATGGATTTTCGGCCTGTGGGGGCTAACTCGAGCCCTGTAGGTATCTGGTCGCCACCACCACTATCTGGTCGGGTCTAAGCTACGTCTTCTCCAACAATGCGGTAAAGATCTTGACCAAGGACGAGATTCAGAAGCGTATCGCACAGGCGGAAGCAAAGCGTAAGCCATAAGTCGATTGAGTAGAGGCTTTGGTTCCTTGGTAGTTCTCTCTGTATAGTACAAACATTGCATTTAGGCGGCTTCGTTTTTGTACAGCATTTTTCTTCCTATTTGATTCTATATCCACTTTCCATTTCGATTCTAGAATGTATGCTGCGTGTCCCGCCTCGTTACACGTACTCGTATATGCAGCGCAAAGCGCCCACAGAGTGACAGGCAGAGCAACGGGCAGAGTGAACGCAGATGGATACCAGGATGCGGAGATCGCAATGTGTTGCACCGCAGATGACGGACGCTACGCGGAATTGGGAGGATGCTTCAGTCGCCATTTTCAAGGATGACCAATGTGAGTCAAACCGTTCTACTGGCAAATCTCCCGACGTGATGGTGTGTGAGTTTTGGAGCCCTCCGCCTTCATATCAATCGCCACGCCGAAAACGCCGGAAGCGCACGAGGTAGACCTCCTTATGCGGTGGGTATTCGGTGGGTGCTGTTGCATGCGCAGTGGCGATGAGATAGCCATCGTAATGTAGTTACTCAATCATCTTGAAGATAGTAAGTCAAATGGAGATGATAGGAAGGAATAAATTTTCTATAAAAGGCGAGTCCTCGCCCACGGTTGATAGACAAGCCTACTGAGTTTATGCTCTTTTTTAGTGATAAAGCAACCTCAGAATACGTGTTTCTCGTGATATATCTTCTACCTAGGGGCATATGTAGGATTCGTGGATGATATTAGCACCCTAGCCCACTGTAATACGTGAGGCAAGGCCCCGGCATCGTCTACTTCATTTTAAGAAGATTTAAGTGGGTGAAAACGGCCCTGAGAGATATGGAAGTCTTCAGGTTTACAGGGAGAGCAATTATAGGTCTATTCAGTGGTTCAAAAGATCCGTACATTTCCAATGGCGCCGGCGGGTTGAGTGCCAAAGCGGAAAAGCGGCTATCAAGAAGCCTGGGTTCCAAAACCATCAACATAGACCAGAAGGCCACCCGGGAACTGTTTGTCATACATGTAGGAGGTAGATTTAGACCGTCACACCAGTGATATAAATATGACGTCTTCAGAAAAATGAGTGTTTGTCAATATGATTCATAAGACTTGTATTAATTTGCAGTCATAATAAGTCTTAGGGTGCCCCTCCCCCAGAAGAAAGGTACTGTGAGGAGTCTACTGTCGATACAAAGCTGTGGGGTCATTTTCTGTTGGGATTTGGCTACGGTGTGTATGTCCCGCAAGCATACGGCGCAAACCCCGAGACGCAGTGCAGAAGCGGATCGGATATTCGGCAGCGAGGCGAAAGCCCTAATCCGATCAAAGTGGGGGTAAGTCCGTCCCTGGGAGTATAGCCTGTTGTTTGGGTAGTTTCATATTTTTCTTCGCAAAATATGTACGGTATTTATTGAGTTAGTTCCAGCTGCTGCTTTAACATTGTTATTTTCAATTTTGTTTATCGGGTCCGTGCCAACTGCACCCTGCACGGTTTCTTGTCATGTGTGCGTTGTAACGTGCGCCAGTGTGACAAGTCGAGCCAACGTGCGAAGGCGGGCGCTTTGGCTACTGAGGGGTCCGCAGCGGTCGAAGCCGCCACATGCGGGTCCTACATACGCCGTAAGTATTGATAATCTGGACCGCCCGAATGGTTCGACAATTGACATGGAACCCAGCTAGATCAAATTTAAGGCATTCGATGCATACTCTAACGAGGTACCAAGTAACGTTTTTCCATACTTCCGATTCAAGGGTAAGCAAATTATAGTTAGCAAGATCGCATTTTCAATCAAGCTTAAATGACGTATAGAAGAGCCTCGAAGTGATTAGCAATTGGGCATCGGGGATATGTCAGCGTCCCCATTCCGAAGCCGAGCGGTGTGGATGTCCTTTCATGCAAAGCCGGGCAGGGATCGGAGAGATCAGTCTCCAAAGTACGGGACATGTCCTTGGCACAAGCATGGAAAGTCGCCGAAGACTTAGCCCTGAATCAGTTGGTGGCGCAGCGGGGTCCCGAAGCGGGTAGGGCATTACTCAATTGCGACCGCCTTCATTATGCATTTGCTGCGAGCGGAATATATATTCCATTCCGGTACCGACTAACTGCTTACAGTAAGTGGGAGCCAAGTTGGAGGAAGCACCCTACGCACGTATGGAAGATGACCGGACCCGCCCATCTGCCCCAATTAATGGCGCTTTGGGGCGAATCGCGAAAGGATGGATACTGTAACAAGGAATTCGATATTCCGTCGGGAACGCTCGTACCCATTCTGACCAGATAGTGTCCGTGGACAAACGCGCTGATTTGCTGACAGGCCATCGGCTAAACGCCGTGTCTAACTCCGGATTTAAAAAATCTGCAGCGCATTTGGCCGGCCCATGCCTTTAATATGAATCATCCTGACTCATGAGGGTCCACCAGAGCTTCTCTTTTTTTTCTGCGCTGGACCCGCCGGGGCCACTAGGGGCCCGCGACTGCTGTGGTTGAATCATGGCTCACTTTCAGGCTGACTGACAAATCCAGATATGGGTCCGGAGTTAATGGGGTTCGCATAAGCAGCGGCCTCTGGTTAACATTGCGCTCCTGGTGGTAATTCACGCCCGGTTTAAATGGTTAAATGCTGCCTCTACTTATGGTTCAGCCTGACCTCATTACGTCCCTGCCCTTCTCTCCACTCCTTTTCTTTTCTTTTCCCTCCTTTCCTTTTCCTGAGCCTCGTGATTTGTGATTTTGTATCTACCCCCTAATACCATATTCCATCTACCTAATATCTCCCAATTGAGGTTGCGAGTAGTACGCCGAGCATTTAGGCGAGATGGACGCCGACCATCGAGCCGCGCAATCCTCGTCTGCGCAGGAATTGCGCGACAATGCTACCACTACGGAGTATACAAGTTACTCGACATACCCCGACAACAATGGAACCACCCACTATACCTCGGGATTTTCGAATCAGCACCCGACGGAGCAATCCAACTATGCGGACAATGCAATCGCCGAAGAATCCACCCAGCACGCCACGGAGGAAATCAACAACGAGACCGCAGCCCCTATCGACCCGGTCTCCACCACTTCCTCGACCGCATCTTCCCATGATAGCATCGATGGCCGCTGGGGAGAGGAGGGCGAGCCCGTCTCCCGTCGCGGTGCGATGGAGGACCTGGACGAGATGCGCCGTGAATTGACTCGTCTCAGCTTGCAGCGCACCCGCTCGACAACTGCTAAAAGCGTGCGCCGTTTCAAGTCTCGCGCCAGTCGCAAGGATGAGGAGAAGGCCGAGTCCGATGCCGAGGCCGAGGGTGGCTTCGATCTCGGCGAGTTCCTGATGGGCGGCCACCTCGAGCGCCGCACCACCGCCGGCGAGCCCGCGAAGAAGGTCGGTGTCGTCTTCAAGAACCTCACCGTGAAGGGGGTCGAGACTGGTGCCTCGTTCGTGCGGACTTTGCCCCATGCCATCGTGGGCACTTTCGGTCCGGATTTGTATAACGTCATTTGCCGGTTCGTGCCGCAGTTACGGTTTGGCAAGAAGCCCCCCATTCGCGAACTGCTTCATGATTTCAGCGGTACCGTGCGCGAGGGTGAGATGATGCTCGTCCTGGGCCGTCCCGGAGCGGGTTGTACGACCTTCCTGAAAGCTATTGCCAACAACCGCGGCGCCTTTGCGGGAGTCGAGGGCGAGGTCAGCTATGGCGGTCTCTCGGCGGAGGACCAGAGAAAGTACTTCCGTGGGGAAGTCAACTATAACCCAGAGGATGATCAGCATTTCCCGTCGCTTACTGTCTGGCAGACGCTTAAGTTCTCACTGATCAACAAGACCCGCAAGCATGACCGCGACAGCATTCCCATCATCATCGATGCACTGCTCAAGATGTTCGGCATTAGCCACACCAAGAACACGTTGGTCGGCAACGAGTATGTTCGTGGTGTGTCTGGTGGTGAGCGGAAGCGTGTCAGTATCGCCGAGACCCTGGCCGCCAAGTCGACTGTCGTCTGCTGGGACAACTCCACCCGTGGTTTGGATGCCAGCACGGCCCTGGACTACGCCAAGTCATTGCGCATCATGACCGATGTCAGCCAGCGAACCACCCTGGTGACCCTGTACCAGGCCGGAGAGAGTATCTATGAGCTCATGGACAAGGTCTTGGTCATCGACCAAGGTCGCATGCTCTACCAGGGTCCCGCGAACGCAGCCCGCCAGTACTTCATCAACCTCGGGTTTTACTGCCCCGAGCAGTCGACCACGGCCGACTTCCTGACTTCTCTTTGCGATCCTAATGCCCGCCAATTCCAGCCGGGCCGTGAAGCTTCGACCCCCAAAACCGCCAAGGAGCTCGAGCAGGTCTTCAAGAATAGCAAGTCTTACCAGTCCATCTGGGAAGATGTCTGCAGATATGAGAAGCTACTCCAGGAGACCGAGCAGGAAGACACCCGCACATTCCAGAAGACCGTCGCCCAGTCTAAGAGTAAGACTGTTTCCAAGAAGTCGCCCTACACCGTCTCCCTTGTGCGACAGGTCATGGCTTGCGTTAAGCGTGAGTTCTGGCTGCTCTGGGGCGACAAGACCTCGCTCTATACCAAGTACTTCATCATCATCTCCAACGGGCTGATCGTTTCGTCTCTGTTCTACGGTGAATCTATGGATACCAGCGGCGCCTTCTCTCGGGGCGGTGCTCTGTTCTTCTCGATTCTGTTCCTGGGTTGGCTGCAGTTGACTGAGCTGATGCCTGCTGTGACGGGACGAGGTATCGTCGCCCGCCACAAGGATTACGCTTTCTACCGCCCATCTGCTGTCTCCATTGCCCGCGTGGTTGTCGATTTCCCTGCTATTTTCGCCATGGTTGTTCCGTTCACGATTATTGTGTACTTCATGGCCGGCCTCGATGTCACGGCCTCGAAGTTCTTTATCTACTTCTTGTTCGTGTATACGACTGCATTCTGCATTACCTCGCTTTACCGGATGTTCGCCGCCCTCTCTCCAACTATTGACGACGCGGTGAGATTCGCCGGTATTGCGCTCAATCTTCTCATTCTCTATGTCGGCTACGTGATTCCCAAACAGACTCTGGTTCACGACTCGATTTGGTTCGGATGGCTCTACTACGTCAACCCCATCTCGTATAGTTACGAGGCTGTGTTGACCAACGAGTTCTCTGACCGTACGATGGAGTGTGCGACGTCGCAGCTCGTGCCCCGAGGCCCTGGCGCTGTTGCTGGATATCAGGGTTGTGCCTTGACTGGCTCTCCTCCGGGCCAGACATCTGTTCCTGGCGCTCAGTATCTGCAGACGAACTTTGAATTCACTCGTCACCACATGTGGCGCAACTTTGGTGTCGTCATTGCTTTCACTGTGTTGTACATCCTCGTTACTATCTGGGCTGCCGAGTTCCTTTCGTTCGTTGGTGGTGGCGGTGGCTCCCTGGTCTTCAAGAAGTCCAAGCGCGCCAAACAGGTCACCCAGCAGACTGCGAAAAACAACGACGAGGAGAAGGTATCCGATTCGAGCGACAATGCTGCTCTCACCCGTGGGGAAGCTTCCTCGTCTCCTGACAATGCCGCTTTCAGCCGCCTTTCCTCCAGCGAGCGCTGCTTCACCTGGTCTGACGTCGAGTACACCGTCCCCTATGGCAATGGCACTCGCAAAATTTTGAACCGGGTCAGCGGATACGCCAAACCCGGGGTCATGATCGCTCTGATGGGTGCCTCGGGTGCTGGCAAGACTACTCTGCTCAACACCCTCGCCCAGCGCCAGAAGGTGGGTGTCGTCAAGGGCGACATGCTCGTCGATGGCCACCCACTGGGCGCCGATTTCCAGCGTGGTACTGGTTTCTGTGAACAGATGGACCTCCACGACAACACCTCGACCATCCGTGAAGCCTTGGAATTCTCGGCTATCCTTCGTCAGGACCGCAGCACCCCTCGCCAGGAGAAGATCGACTATGTCAACCGTATCATCGACCTTTTGGAACTTGAGGACATCCAGGATGCCATCATAGGTTCTCTGAACGTCGAACAGAAGAAGCGTGTCACCATTGGTGTCGAGTTGGCCGCCAAGCCCAGTCTCCTTTTGTTCCTTGACGAGCCTACTTCCGGTCTCGACAGCCAAGCCGCTTTCTCGATTGTTCGTTTCCTCAAGAAGCTTTCCCAGGCCGGCCAGGCCATCGTTTGCACCATTCACCAGCCCTCATCTATGCTCATCCAACAATTTGACATGATCCTCGCCCTCAACCCCGGCGGCAACACTTTCTATTTCGGCCCCGTAGGCGATGGCGGTAGCGCTGTGATTAAGTACTTCGCCGACCGCGGCTTTGTCTGCCCGCCCTCCAAGAACGTCGCGGAGTTCATCCTCGAAACCGCCGCAAAAGCCACTCAGCGCAACGGCAAGCAGGTCGACTGGAACGAGGAATGGCGCAACTCCAACGAGAACAGGGAGATGCTGGACGAGATCGAACGCATCAAGGCCGAGCGCAGCAAGATCCCCGTCGACGAGGCCGGCGGCTCGAAGTACGAGTTCGCGGCCCCGACGTCCCTCCAGATCACGCTTCTCACCAAGCGCCTCTTCCTCCAGTACTGGCGCGACCCCAGCTACTACTACGGCAAACTGTTTGTTAGCGTGATCATCGGTATCTTCAACGGGTTCACCTTCTGGATGCTGCCGACGACCGTGGCATCTATGCAGGATCGCATGTTCTCCGTCTTCCTGATCATCCTGATCCCGCCCATCACCATGAACTCCATCGTGCCCAAGTTCTACATCAACCGCGCCCTGTGGGAAGCCCGCGAGTACCCCTCCCGCATCTACGGCTGGGTCGCCTTCGCCACCGCCAATGTTGTCTGCGAAATCCCCGCTGCCATCGTCACCGGTCTCATCTACTGGCTGCTGTGGTACTACCCCGTTGGCTTCCCGACCGACTCGTCGACCGCCGGCTACGTCTTCCTCATGTCCATGCTGTTCTTCCTGTTCCAGGCATCCTGGGGCCAGTGGATCTGCGCATTCGCGCCCTCTTTCACCGTGATTTCGAACGTGCTGCCCTTCTTCTTCGTCATGGTCAACCTGTTCAATGGTATCGTGCGCCCCTACGCCGCATACCCGGTCTTCTGGAAGTACTGGATGTACTACGTCAACCCAGTCACCTGGTGGCTGCGCGGCGTGCTCTCAGCCGTCCTCCCAGATGTCCCGGTCCACTGCGCCTCCCAGGAGACGACCCGCTTCAACCCACCGCCGGGCCAGACCTGCGAGCAGTATGCAGGTTCGTTTGTGGACCAGATCGCCAAGGCTGGATACCTGGTCAACAAGGCAGCTACTCAGGACTGCCAGTACTGCCCTTACGCGACGGGCCAGGAGTACATGGCGAATCTGAATGTGCACCGCGGCGACAAGTGGCGCTGCTTCGGTATTTTCTTGGCCTTTGTCATTATTAACTGGATGCTGGTCTACTTCTTCATCTACACTGTGCGCGTCCGTGGCTGGAGCTTCGGCTTCGGATATGTGTTTGGACTGGCTGGTATGATGGTTGAAGGTGTCAAGGGTCTGTTCAAGCGGAAGGAGAAGAAGGATGCTCAGCAATGAGTGTGGGGTTGGTTTTTTGTGGCTTTTTTCCTCCCTCTCGACTTGAACCCTCTACGTATTTCCAGTATTTTGGACTGGAGTTTCTTTCGTTATTTCCTTGGTGCTTATCTTTGATATCCAACATGCATTTACATGGAGCATGTGTGCGTGTCACCAGATGGAGGATGGCGTGTCATGGCCTGTCTGGGCCTGCCTTTATTTAGGTGTTTGCTGTGTCTTGCCTTCATTGTTTGATGAATGCCCGTGCCATTTTAATTAACAACAAAAAGTATATATTTATTTAGACTCAATTCATCCAGATATAATATGGACTACATCTAGGGACTAAGGCTGGTCGGCTATGGTAGGTATTTCTTAAGTAGCAGCCTTTCGTGCGCCTCGATTCGTGCACATTTCCAGCCGCAACATGTTTCCCCCCTTCAGCGTCCACTTTCCGCAGCACGTACGCTGGCCCGGAACCCACTCCCATCAAAGCCGAGGCTTATTGGTGATATGATCGAGAGCAGCGCACTACCAAATTCATATAGGTGAGTTCTACTTCAGCCAGCACTCCCAACGAACCTGTTCGATCATGTCACGTGAAACGGTCTGACTTGATGCCCAGGAAATGAAGCCCCACCGAGCAGGTTGCTGGTTGGCTCTGCTGCAGAGTAGGCGCAGCTCGGTCGCCAATGACACAGAGTTGCCCATGCAGTGGTGTTTTACCATGACTTGTCAAGTTGCCTCGTTGGCTGATAAGCCCAGAAGGCAGCGAACCGGGCGCTTAGGCGATGCCCCCTCTTTCCTACCCATTTTGGGGGCTAATCAGGTGTCTTGGCCCTCGTTTTTGAGCCTCGACGCTTTTTCCCATTCCGTTGAATCAAGAGGCCCGCCTATGCCCATGAACTGTATCGACGTCGACCCCCGAAAGCTTATGGCGGCTGGCCGTCCACCGAAAGCCTCGTTTATTTAAGGATGACGGCCGTGCCACCGGGGATGCCACGGAGACGGCTGAGCCACGATGCCTACAGGGTGGGATGGATCTGTCCGTTGGAGGTGGAGCAGATTGCAGCGATGGAGATGCTAGACGAGGAGCACGAACGTCTACCGCAACTGAGTGTGGACACGAATATATACACACTTGGCAGCATTAACAACCACAACGTCGTCATTGCTGGCCTCCCTCAGGCAGGAAACTGCTATGCCGCCACCGTTATCACTCAAATGCGTATGACATTTCCGTCCCTTAAGTACGGCCTATTAGTCGGAATTGGGGGTGGTGTGCCGGTAAAGACTGACCATGGAATGATCCGCCTCGGGCATGTCGTGGTTAGCGAGCCAACAGGTGTACACTCTGGAGCAGTCCAATACGATCATGGAAAAGCAAGAAGCGGCTACTTTGAGCGCAAGGGTTTCCTCGCACCTCCACCAACAGTACTCCTCAACGCCGCACGAGAAGTAGCTATACGACGTCAACGAATACAATATGATCCAGTTTGGGAGAATACCCAGCGAATTCAAACTACCCGTCGACATCTTCGCCGCTTCAGGTACCCTGGTACTACGCATGATCACCTCTACCGACCAGATTATAAACATCAGCAGGAAGGAGTATCATGCGAAGAGGGTGGATGTGATCCAACGCAGCGGATCGAGCGACCGCTAGACGAGGACGATGGTTTATTTGTCGTCGTACATAGAGGCACAATAGCCTCTGGGGAGTTAGTCATCAAGGACGCTATAACGAGAGATAACTTGGCGCACGAGCATGGGGTGCTATGCTTTGAGATGGAAGCAGTAGGTGCCCTCGCCGATTTCCCGTGTATGGTTATCCGTGGTATCTCCGACTATTGCGATTCGCACAAGAACGATATGTGGCACGGGTATGCGGCGGCTGTGGCAGCTGCGTATGCCAGGCAGCTATTTTTCCACATTTCTATTGAAGAGGAGGCGCAGAGGTAAAGATATCTCCGGCTTCGAGAAACACGGGGATGCAAGGTCTTGTCAAAGCTGACAAAGAAGCTAGGCGTAGTGTTCAGCCACTCCCGTCTGGTGGAACAAAGGCGATGACTTATACTACGGAGCTCCAAACAGAATCAGAACCCAATGCAAGTATGGCCACCGGTCGTTAATTTATAGAAAGGCATCATCAAGGCACCGGACTAATTTCTTTCCCAGTAGAACACCAATCCCGAACCTACTACGTTATTCCATCCTTAGCTAATCGTCACTTCACTGGCCGCGAATCTACGCTGGAAAAGCTCCAGCAGATGCTATTTGTCCAAGCGAGCAGTCAAAAGCTAGCGCTGTTTGGATTAGGCGGCGTGGGCAAAACTCAAGTTGCTCTTCAGTTTACGCATTGGGTGAAAACTCACACACCAGAGTGTTCTATCTTTTGGGCCCCCGCTCTAAGTCTGGAGAGCTTTGAGCAAGCCTGTTCACAAATTGTGAAGAAGCTGAATACCCAAAGGTCAGACAACGAAAGTGCCATGGAACTAGTGCGCGAACATCTTAGCTCTCCCGCAGCTGGACGGTGGCTCTTCATCGTGGATAATGCTGACGATTACGACTTGCTTTTCGATGAACTTGAGCCCTATTTTCCGACGAGTGACAACGGGGCTATCTTGCTCACTACTCGTTCCCGCGAGGTAGCGGTTTCATTTGCGGAAAAGGACACCATCGAACTTCAGAATATGACAGCAGGGGAAGCGACTTCTTTTCTGGCCAAAATCGCAAGAGAAGATTTACTCAGTGACCGAGCATCAACCGCGCAGTTACTAGAGGAACTCCACTGCTTACCCCTAGCTATCACCCAGGCAGGGTTTTACATCAACCGCAATAATGTATCGACCACACGATACCTCGCCATCATGCATAGTACTGAGAAGGACAGGATGAACCTTCTGAAGAGAGATTTTCATGATAGTACTCGCTACCTCAAGCTGCCAAATGCTGTGGCAACAGCATGGCTTATCTCGTTTGACATGATCAGGAACTCTGACCCTGCCGCCGCTGAACTCTTGGAATTCATATCTTGTATTGAGCCGAAGGCAATTCCACGGTCTATACTCCCTCCGCTGGAATCGGAAGAAAAAATGGAATTTGCACTTGGTACATTGTGTGGCTATGCATTTTTGACCAAGAGAGAGGACGGCGATATGTTTGACGTACACAGTCTGGTGCAGCTATCAATGCGGCTTTGGACAGAAAAGGAAGGGCACACATTCCTGATTATCAAGAAAACGTTGCAACACATGGAAGAGGTCTTTCCCTCTGTTGAGTATACCAACCGTGAGATATGGAGGGCGTACCTGCCGCATGCCCTTCAGATTCTCCAGAGAGATGAGGATAAAGGTATGAGTGAGAGGTATTCGCTTTTATCTAATGTTGCGGATTGCTTCCTGGAAGACGGCCGAGCAAGAGAGGCCGTGGTCTATTCTGAAGAGGTATCTGCCTGGAACGAAACCAACTATAATGAAGAGCACCCCGATCGACTGATGTCTCAGCATGAGCTCGCAAAAGCGTACCAAGCAAATGGCCAGATCAAGCAGGCTATAGACCTATTCGAGCATGTGGTCGCGGTACGCCAGAGAACGCTTAGTGAGGAAGATGCCAATCGACTGTCGTCTCAGCATGAGCTCGCAATAGCGTACGAAGCAAATGGGCAGATCAAGCAGGCAGTAGGCCTACTCGAGCATGTGGTCGCGGTGCGCCAAAGAACGCTTAGTGAGGAACATCCTAATCGACTAGCATCTCAGCATACGCTCGCGATGGCGTATAGGGTAGATGGGCAGATCAAACAAGCAATAGACCTACTCGAGCATGTGGTCGCGGTTGAAGAAAGAAAGCTCGATGAAGAACATCCTGATCGACTCGCGTCTCAGCATGCGCTCGCAATAGCGTACGAAGCAAATGGGCAGATCAAGCAGGCAGTAGACCTACTCGAGCATGTGGTCGCGGTGCGCCAAAGAACGCTTAGTGAGGAACATCCTAATCGACTAGCATCTCAGCATGTGCTCGCGATAGCGTATAGGGCAGATGGGCAGATCAAACAAGCAATAGACCTACTCGAGCATGTGGTCGCGGTTAAAGAAAGAACGCTCAATGAAGAACATCCTGATCGACTAGCATCTCAGCATGCGCTTGCGATAGCGTACAAAGCAAATGGGCAGACCAAGCAGGCAATCGACCTACTCGAGCATGTGGTCGCGGTTGAAGAAAGAACGCTCAATGAAGAACATCCTAGTCGACTAGCATCTCAGCATGAGCTCGCAATAGCATACGAAGCAAATGGGCAAATCAAGCAGGCAATAGACCTACTCGAGCACGTCGTGATATACAAGAGAACGCTTAGCGAAGAACATCCTAGTCGGCTAGCCTCTCAGCATGCGCTCGCGATAGCGTACAAAGCAAATGGGCAGACCAAGCTGGCAATCGACCTACTCGAGCACGTCGTGATATACAAGAGAACGCTCAGCGAAGAACATCCTAGTCGGCTAGCCTCTCAGCATGCGCTCGCGATAGCGTACAAAGCAAATGGGCAGACCAAGCAGGCAATCGACCTACTCGAGCATGTGGTCGCGGTTGAAGAAAGAACGCTCAATGAAGAACATCCTGATCGACTGGCATCTCTGCAAGCACTAGCAGATATAAAGCAGTCCTATCAACTGTAGAATACGGTGAACACAAAGCCGCTGGTTTTGCCTGGCGATGGAAGCTAGTCAATCTATAGCCCTTCAATCTGTCTGCCAAGCATGGTTTTCCAAAAACATTACTTCTACTCTCCGTGATTCATTTCTCAAGACCAAAAGATCAAGGCTAGAGTAGAACCTTATATTTGACAGATTCAAGCCCTGAAGTATTGAATACTGTTACTGCCTCTTACAATAGAACGTGACATACAAGGAGAAGGATGAGTCATTCGGTCAAATCCGTCTTGTGGTATTAGGATTTTGGAATTAGAGGATGAGTGTAAAAGCGGAAAGTGATTTTGCAGGGCACCATAAAGTCACCATCTGAGTGAGGTGTATCACCTTTATGCCAGCAGGCCATTGACGTAGGTGATTGGTTCGAGATGTAGGTGTGCGCCGTGAACTTTTGACTCTCTATACATGGAGAAACCGCGCGAAAGCCGATAGCGGAGGTCAGAATTGGCATAAAGGGAGATAGCAGATGGGCCAGGTCTTCCAGTCGACGCAACGCTTTCTCCCGGGGTGCATATATTATCAAAAAAACATTCCCAAGCCTTCTTCCGAGGAAGGAAAGTCGCAATTAAAACCGATGGTACCTCCCAGTCCTACATGGAGCGATCCCAGACAAGTGCCGCACCAGCCACGATTGCCATTGAGACCTCGAACGCTGCAACCTGAACCCAAGCTCCGCCAGCTCGATACATCACAAATGCAGCCACGAGGCGAGAGGGCACGGAGGAAGCCATGATGAGAGCATCCCGCTGGTAGGTCGAGATCAGATAGTATGTCCCCAATGCGAGAGAGGTCAGGCTGCGAGAGTGGTGCCAATAGCAATTAACACTTGATCGGGAACGAGGATTCAATACTCTTACCCAATGCATTGAACCGCGCCATCGGGCGTTCCGCTCAGCGAAGAGCCCGGGAAGTTGGCTGCGGAGGAGGGGTAGAGGATCGTGTAGAAGGCATTTCCCAGAAGGAAAACGCCTTGGGCGGCGAATACAGCGCTCGACACGCCACCCATGCGGAGACCGATGTTGCACAGTGGCATGATAGCCGTTTGTTTCGCGTGTAAGGGAAATATAGCTATATGGTACTTTAATGTTAGAATCACTGAAGCTTATGGTCTGGGGGACGTGAAGATTCTCTATTTGCAGTTGCGTGTAGCCATCCGATTTTCTCCGGCTTACCTTCAACTCTAAGACAACTCAGCTGATGCTCTGTCCTCTGGATATATGAGATAAAAAGATCAAGGACTGTTTGAAAACCTGCTGGCTCGTATGTTTGCGAGAACCTTTTTTTTGTCAGGAAAATTGGATTGACGTTTCGGATTTCGGATAATTCCGGCGGTTAGTTAAAAGGGGGTTATGGCCACATCCGACCAAACTGAGGTAGATGAATGATGATCAATTAGAAACTACTGAACTAAACTAAAGAAGAGCGCGCTGGTCATCTAACTAAGCGCCTAGCGGTCTAAGGATACCTAGCTATGAGTGTAGCAGGCTGTTCCTTGAAATGAAATTATTACGCCCTATTGCAGCAAAAGTTAGGGTGGTTTCGGGTACAAGCCGAGAAACAACACGTCAGTGTCTGTGGGGTACTCTATGTTCAACATCTACTATAGGTTTACGTACAATGCCTTGTGTAGAATTATGGATCGTAGATTACCTTCCAGTAATGAAGAATGTACACAGACTAAAATATAGACTGAACCTACTAAATTCCCCCCACATCATGTACAACGATAGTAAGCTATGATCTCATTGCATTCAACTGAGATATCCATCACTTCACCTCCCATGTTCACTCTGTCCCTGCATGATTTATTGTTCATTGTTCCTTTCATTTAAACTCACAACAGTCCGGAACAGTCCGTATTTTCAATAGGTATATTCCGGTGAATAGTCTTTGACCCTCCTTTGTTCTAGTATTCGGTTTGCTCACTTCTTCAAAGACATTGTCTGAGTTCTCTTTGATACTCCCTCATCGCCATTCTCGTATGAACCTATATAAACAGGGAAGTCATCTCACTTCCACTTCTTTGGCAGAATTTGCCTAGGCATCAAACCAAATCAGTGAGTATCACTTTCTATTATTCTACACGTCTCCATCCATCTACGCACAATGTCTACACAAGAAGATCCATTTACCCATCCAGACAATCCATCTCCTGACAACGCGTCCAGTCCGCCTGCAAACCCCTTCGCAGACCCTACCACGCCACCCCCCGAAGTCTTCAAGTACCCTCAGTTCCAACGGGCAGGATCCCTCCGTCAGCAATGGCTGACTGACCCTGCAGTCAAGTGCCCCATTGAGAAATCCACCCTACACTTCCGAGACCTGTGGAAAGAAGGCTTTGACATCCATTTCTTTCGAGATGGCCCGCCGTACCAGTGCATCGCGGATGTAATCACCCTCGGCCTGCCAATTGAGTTCCGGCCCAATGTCATGGACGATAACTACTACGGCACCACCATAGTCAAGCTCGCCGCCCATTCCACCCCCGAAAAGTGTATTCCAGAGTGTGTCTGGACCGGCCGGTGCGCCCCTGGCGTACTCTGCATCGAAGATATGGAGCGGCTCCCGGGCTCAGAACTCCCGTACATCTCGCAGATTACCAGAGCCATCTTCCAGAAAAACTGCAGCATCTTGACGCTGAGATATGTGTTCGTGTGCTCGGTTGTCAATGTGGAGACGATGGATTTCGTTGAGAAGCAATTGTACACGCCGATGAATAATCTCTCGTTTCCAAGCCGTGAGGAGCGCAGTTGGGAAGAGGGCACACCTGAGTATCAGGCGCTCCTTGGGACGCGTATTGGTAAGGTTGTGGCTAACTTTGTGTTGTGTACGTTTGACCGCGGCACAAAGCGGATTGCGCGGATTGTGACGTGGTATGCTGGGTTCAATATGCATGACTTGCAGTTGCGGTTTGATCTTCAGTCTATCGTTTGACGTGGCTGTTGCAGTTTGGAGTTATCAATTTGCTGTACGAGTGCCTGTAAGGATTTTGGTTGAGTTGCCTTTGTAATTTAGAGAGCGCGGGGGTATTTGTTTGCCTGAGTTAATTTTTGGAAATAGCAAATCATGAAGGTAGAACAGCTGCCCAAGCTTAATTTGAACCGCCCAAAACAATCGACCTTCCATCCTAGAGCCAAGCACATATTAAATCAAGTATATCAAACCCGGTGTTGTAGAGTACATGGTCGAACTCGAATGACTAGTGAATATTGATTTCTTATTTCAATGTCGGTTTTCATATCTCGTATCGTCATTGTTATCCTCAGAAGTTTCTCCATTCAGAACAAATTGCCAGTCCATCTTCCATAGCGGCATGCAAACTACCTAGCGAATCCATTTCGCAACGCCAAGTCCAACTCCAAATTGTCCCCTGGTTAATGAAGAGAACATGCAAATGCACGGCAATGACCCCAACCCTACAACAACATGAGAAAGATCACATTCAACGGCTTAAGCATGCGTGCTTTCACAAGGCGAAGGTTCAGCCCGCGAAGAACCAGGGAGCACGGCTCTCAGTCAGATCCGCGGCGGGAAGCTTCATCGGAACGGGCACGGTGTCTTGGAAGACATTGACTGGGAGCTGCTGTGCTTGTGACTGGACACCGTGAGCACCACTGGTGTCACTCTTCATTGTCACAGTGGTGGTGTCACTTGCCTGGGAGTCCGAGCGGTGGCCAGGGCCAGTGATGGGCACCAACACGCCACACTCCCAGTTGCGGCAATTGAGCTTAGGCTGGCCATTGGAGCGATCCTTGACCAGGCGACCCCTTTTGGGGCGTTAGTTAAAGTGGTGGTAAACGTGTGGAATTGAACTGACCAGGCACTCTCAGAGATATTTGCACTTCCGACATACGCCCACCCCTTGTATTCATTGCTATCCGAGAGCTGAGAGGACTCCGAAGGCCAGACATACATGATCTAGAATTATATCAGCAAGCAAACTTCTGAGGAAATGTAGCGTCCTTCATACCTTGTTATGCATCAAGACTCCCCGCTTACTCTCACAATCCTTCAAAATACCGCGTGGGAATTTTGCGCCAAGCCACCAGCGTGACGAGAAGCAGACGGTCCCTGCAGTCTGATCAGGGTCATAATGGGCGAGACGCACAGTCTGGTCTGAAGGAAAATAGACGTGGAAGCGGTTCTGCCATTCCTGGCCCTCTTTGAGCATCTGCTTACGCTGCAGGTCATTGGTCTGGGCGCTCGATCCCCGGGTGTTGCGAAGGGTGTAGTCCATGAGGCCATCGTCGCCTGCGCCGATTCAGCTTATTTCTGTACCGTATGTCCAAGATAGTACTCACCTTTGGCAGCGAGATAAATGGCGCGAAGGAATTCGTCGGTCAACGAACCGATGGAAGAAGCCTAGGCCAAGTTAGACGGCAAATTTTGGCTGATTATGAATCGTACCACATACCACATAGTCAATGTTGACCGGTCCAGATGGCTGCAAACCCAACTTTGTCACGGCGCGGCCCAGTCCACAGTACCCAGTCCGCTTCCAGGAATCACCGGTTCGAGATCCACCACTGTAAAGGTATGTAAGCTAACGCTTGCCGAGAGGGACATGATACTTAATAACTCACATGGTGTGCACAAATGCATAGCGTGCAGTCTTGCTAAAATCAAAAGTTTCTAGCGATCGAACAGCATCATCACGCAGCTTGGATTCCTTCAGAAAGTAGATCAACTCTTCTTTGAACATGGTGTTGGACTCGTTGACCTTTGTACCGGGGTCAATTCTGGGCAGATCGATCAAGAAAACGGTCTAGACATATGTTAGTATATGAAGTCTGAAAAGAGTGATGATGACACTTGCATTTTCCATCAAGCCATTTTCACCCCAATCAGTGCGAGTGAGGTTTGCAGTAGGAACTGCGATACGAAGATACTCGGGGTGGAAAAACAGCATGAGCTTCGAATGCATGTTGTTGACCTGGGGTTCCATAGGCGGGAAGCACAAATCAAGAGTAGGCATCGAGGCTGTTTCCTCTCGGTATTGTTTGCGCTATACAAGTGGGATTTGAGTATTGTCCAGACGGGCTAACGATGAGGCGTTACTTACTCGAGCTTCCTCCTTCGCGCCCATCACAAGAATGAACCTAGTTTTGTGTGAATCAAACTTCGAGAGCAACCATTCAATATCCCACAGAAATGAACTCAGCACTGCAACATTCAAGTCGCCTCGCTGAATCACCTCTTCGATAGTGATATCATCACCAGTGCGTGGGGTATTAGCCACATGAGTCTTTTTCACCGTCCCGAATGGATACTGGAGGACTGATCGGGCGGTTGGCTGGACCCGAATACTCGGGCCGAGGGTCGCAGGCGGATCGCAGACATCAGACTCTGGAACTACCCGCGATGACGGCGCTACCTGAGATGAGGAAGCCTGAAGCTTCGGTGCGGGCTTGGGGTCGGCGATTCTGGGAGCCTTGGGAGCCTTTGGAGCTGCCTCGGTAGACAGGGGGGAGCTGTCGGCCTTGCGCTTCGCCAAGCGAGCAAGCCTCTCCTGCTCCATCTGCTTTCGATCAATACCAAGAAGTCCCGTGAGATTGGAGGTCTCAGAGGCCTTGGGGGCCTCGATGGGCTTCGGGGGAGGCGCGGGCTTCCGAGGACCAGAGGCTTTGTCCCCATGATGAACGCCCTCAAGGGACAGGGCAAGTGCTCGCTCGAGATCTTCATCTCCACTATCGTTCTCTCCAGCTCCGACGGTCTCATCGGTATCAGAGCCGATCACTGACTTGGACTTTGGGAAGATTTCCTGAAAGTCGGAGTCCCCGTCAGAGTCATTGGTGAGGTCCACGACATGAGGTTGGGACGACTGAGACGACTGAGATGCTGCACTTAGATGGTTGGAAGATTTCGAATCATTTGGTCGCTGAGGATCCTTCTTCAGAACATCTTGATCTGTACAACTTTGGTCATGAGACGACCGTGACGAGGCCTCGCGGTTCTCGTTCTGATGGTCGCGAAGCGAGGCCGCAATAGCCGCTTCCAGCATGTACTTCTCATAGTCTTCTGGGTCCATGCTTGAGAGAATTTGAGGATAAAGAGTCCGAAAGCGATTGAAAAGGCGATGGAGTGGGTGCGGGAGTGGTCAAACAGATGACCTGAGCCAAGATGTGGATGACGAGACCTCACCTTGAGTGGCTGGTGAGGTAGGCACAAAGCAGGTCTACATGAGCGATAGAGAAAACGAAGTGATGCGAAAGAGAAGTTTCTTCTGCTTTCCTGGGATGTTGGCTTTGATGCTACCCTCAGTTGATGGAAAGTTGACGCCCCACCCCTATCAAACATGAGACCAGTCACGTGATGGTGATGTATATGAAAGTGCCGGCCTCAAGGTTCTGACTTTCAGACCTTTGTTTATGGTATCATGGAAACAATAAAGGAAATGCCAGATTATGAGAGGCTAAAGGCCTGTAATAGGTCTTCTTGGGGACTCACAATCACGTTCCTGAGCTGTGCACGAAGACCTTGCCACATGTTGAAATTACGGTGAGATGCATGCATGCCCAGAGGCGATGGTCTCTGGTTCTGAGCGAGATGCGCATAGATTGAGAAGGAACCGGATCTTGAGAATACGGGAAATTCCCGTCCAAAGGCCTCACTTCATGAATTGAGGGAGTCAAGAAGACCATGCGCTGAATCAAGCAATAGGCAGGAAAGACTGAAAATGTTCAAGAATTTGAAGATGCCCCCAAGGAACAATTTACCACGTTATTGTGCTCCTGTATTTACGCCCCTGATAGGAGAAAATTACCTCCTTCTGTCAAGTTCCTATCTTTGTCTCCTACAGTCCCGCGGAAAAACAAGGAAATGTATTGGCTAGAATTTTATATTAATTATGTAGTCGGACAGGAGAAAGAAAGGGAGTGCGACAAGAAGGAATGAGGGAATATGGTCTTCCAAAGACACGCAGCTAGGTTTTAGCAGACCCAGGACGAACAATGCAACCTCGTCGGCCCTGCTATACAGCACAAGTACACAGCTCATGCTCACCAACCAAAGATCTCACCAACGCTAATTGTGCTCCAGCGGACGCCCGCAACAGCAACGAGCATGAGGATAACATCCACGACGCCCAGCACCGCCGCGCCCATCATGAAGCGCGGGCTGAAGATGCGGTACAGCATCAGATGGCGGCGCAGATGGCCGGCCCACATAGTGGTCGCGAGGTTGATAGTCGCGAGGTAAAGCATGTGCGTGGACGCAGCCTGGACTACGTCCGAGAGGAGTCTTGTCGCCGGGTTGACAAGCTTTGTGTTCGACGACTGCGAGACGCGGTCATGCGTCTGCAACGGCCGCTTCCAGAGAACGGTCAGCGGGACGGCGATAGCGGCCAGGATCTGCGCGCCGAAGGTGTTTAGGATGACTAGAAGTGGGGCCCAGGGGTATTTGACGGTGGACATGGGGATGAAGACGGTCTCCCACTGGATAGAGCTGAGGACGGCCTGGTGACCGGTTTTGAAGTAGTAGAAGGAGCCGAGAAGGCCGAGGACGATGGGCCCAATGGGCGAGTTGGTGAGGGTCAGCGCGTTTGTGTCAAGTATTTCGAGGAGCGAAAGGATTTGCCAGATTAGCAGGGCGATGGCGCCTTGGCCCATGGGCTTTTGCATCATGATGATGGCGAGTGCAAAGTTGACGACTAGGAAGAAGAAGCGCGTGCCGTAGACGTTGCCGAAGCCCAGGATGGTTACTGTTGTCCGGGGTTGTTGCTGCTGGCCTACGATAAAGGGGACGGGAGGGGCGTTGGGGTCCTCTGGGGGTGGCTTGCTCACACTGACGCTGATGCAGGGTTTGGAGTAGAAGAATGCACCTGTGCCAGCACCAAAGGCAATGGCAAGAACAAGCTGTGCGAGGAATACTCGGATGGATTTGAGGGTTTCCTTGCGGAGCGGCAACCACTCACCATCGTCAGCACCTTCCAGCACCCAGAACAGGGAGGTGATTAGAAGGCCCAGGCGGAAGGCAACCCCAATCCACAGAGTCGCGGCACCTTCGTAGGACTTGGAGCCGATGTAGAAAGACCGAACGACACTGGGAAGGAAGACCATGACCAAAAAGGGGATGGCCAACTGCCAAGGAGCAGAGATGGACGAGGTAGATGAAGCGTAATATGTAGAGCGGCAGAACGGCATCTGCTCCTCACGGCACAGACGAGAGAAAGAGGCAACTCGGCCGAGGATCACGAAGAGAATCGAATGGTACACGCCGAGCACTCGGTCAGCGGTAGATTTCTGACGCATAGACGAAATGCCAGCGCACACACCGAAGGTCGTTAGGAAAAAGAGGAGAATTTCGTCTTCCCAAATGGTATAGGAGTTCGAAGCAAAGCCAACGGACTGGGAAACAGTGAAGAAGACAGCCAGCCAGCCCCACATACCATTAGGAAGAGGCAAGGTCAAATTCGCCGGCTTCTTAAGCAAGGCAAATAGACCGCCCACCATGCTTCCAAACGCAGCCAGGAGGGCAGATGAGTCGATGGCCGTCATGTCAGTGATTCCAAATAGTACCAACCCGGCACCGGCCACCGCACCTAGCCCAGTTCCAGCACCAACGAACGAGAGGAGCTGGGGAGTAAGCTCGGTACGATCTATCTTCATCCCACGGGCATACAGCACCAGCAAAGAGATGCCGCACAACAGAAGCACAACTCCCTCGATCATGCTAGACACATCGAAGCGTGCCCAGAGACCGCGGCATATCTCCAGAGTGTGACGCTGGTACTTGCGGTAGAGCTCGTAGCTGGAACGGACGGCGGTTGCCTTTGATGTGAAACCTTTAGAGGCCGTCTTCCATTCTTCATCGGCGGCAGTCCACAAAGCGAACGACTCCTCGTCGTCGCCGGCACCTCGAGCAGTCGCATACGCGTGCTGGTATCTCTTGATCTGCGCTGCCGACAGGCGATTGACGGCCAGTAGATTCGACCAGTCATTGCCGCTCGATCCTGCGAAAGCTTCCTCGATGGGCGAACCCAGATTGTTGAACGGAATAGGCAAGCCCAGGAGCAACGATAAAGTCGGGACGAGATCGATCTGAGGAACAAAGCGCTCGCGAGCGTGCTTCGGGGGCAGCAAAGTCTCCTTACTGGTGCGGCCGAACACTCCCCGCTTGGAATACATCCACAGTGCAGCTTCAACTTCGTCGTCCGACTCACCGCCATGATCGCCCTTGATATCCATGCCATGGTCACCCATCACGACCAGAAGCGTATCGTCGTCCAACGAAGCGATGATCTCGCGGATAACGCCGTCCATTTCCTGCAGCTTCGCGGCCATCGCGGCGTGGTTGGGTCCATAACGGTGGCCCGCGTGGTCAACACCCAGGTAGTGACCGAAAATCACATCCCACTTCGTCTTATTCTCCGGACGGAGAAGCGGGAAAAGATGCTCATTCACTCCGTTGTCAACGGTATGCAAGTCCCAGACATTGAACGAGTCGTACGGGTGACTAAGGTTGGCATCGAAGTAGCCTGGGAATAGCGATTGCCAGGTATCATCACCGAGGTGAACCAGAGTCTTTCCGGCGCTGTGGAGTTGGGCAACCAGATTGTCCTCGTCAATGGCAGTGCCGGCGAAGTTGGAGCCTGCGTCAATAAAAGTAGGCAGAGTTCCCGTGGTCAGACCCTTCAGTCGCTGCAGAGTTGTCGTCGGCGGGTCGGCGATGAAGGGAAGCAGGATAGCGTTGGCCGGGTTGTTGACGGCAGTTTCGTAGAGAACGGGGATGTTATCGTGGAAGAGGTGAGCGGCTTCACTCTCATCCCTAGGGACGAATGGTACAGTGAAGTCGTATCGGAGGGCGTCAATGATAATCACAACAGCCTTGTCAAAGGATTTGTCATGCCAGCAACCTTTCTTGCTCCCCATTGACGAAGCGACTGCACGGCCGGAGGCGTCCTCGAAAGGAAGAAGGTCACAGGAGGATTTGTTGTCCAGGACCATGCGCGTGAGGAGGAAACCCTTGGTGAAGAAGTATATGCCGGCAACATGCAGGAGCCTGGAAAAGAGATTCGACCAAATGTCAGCCTCGTTTCTTCATGTTATTCGATGCTTTGCGGGGTTAAGCTGCGGGTGGCGCAACCCAAAGGGAATACTAACAAAACCCATGTTAGCACCCCCAATATCCCTAGGTGCTTCGTCTTGAACTCCTGCTCCAGCTGTCGGGATTTCGCTTCCTGGATAGCACTTTGTTTTGCTTTCGTAGACGGCGCCAAGGGCGATGACTGAATGCTACCTCTTGAGCCAGTGGAGGGTGAGTTGCTGCTCAAGCCCCCCGTGGGTGGGGTCGGCACCATTCCGAAGAAATATAATGGCTAGCGAGAGCCCGGTGTCGTAGTGACGAATGTGCTATGACTTGAGAGTCGAATTGTGGTGTGGTCTTGCGCGCAACGGCAAAAAGGCGCACGCGACGGGGGGCGCAGAAAAGACGGTGGATCGAAGGATTGTGAGGGTAGGGAAGCCGGAATCAAGCACGGACTGAGGCAATTGGCCCGCCTACCGCACGGCTCATCGAAAGGAACGGCAAAGGAACGGTAAAGGAAGAGGAGCCAGGTCGGGACCGGTCAGACGAATAGAGGGTGCCCCTGTCTGTGCTCTGGGGAGGGGGGCTTCCCTTGGGTCGAGAGGTTTAGAGGCTGGACATGGCTTCTATAAGCGAAGTCCAGTGTATATAAGAAAAGGGTTTCAAAAGAACGGGGGGCTTTCGTGAACAAAAAAAGGCGAACCAAATTTGACTGACGTCGCGGAAGCGGCGGGTTGGGGGAGAGCTCGAAGAGGAGCCTTCTGATTGGTCGCCGCACGGATCCCTTTCGCGGGCTCGACACCAGCAAGTCTCCGACGCATTTCAACTTCAAGTACGCAGGAAGTTTGAGTGGTCGCAAGGGCCCCTTGACCTCCAATGGTTCGTGAGGGCAACCTTAACTGTAATGGATATTGAAGTTATATTCGCAAGTCCAAACCAAATCGGCAATTGTCATTTTGGGCAACGCAGTCAAATACAATCAGAAAGCCAGGCGATCTATATCCTCCACCAAAAATCAGACTCCACTCTCCCTCCGATCTCACCGACAGAACCCTGCGGAGGCAGTTCAAAATACCGCGGTGTCATCCTCCCTCCATCGGCTACCTCGTTGCTCGCCCCGATGTCTTTCATCGAAGCCCTCCAAGCCGTCCTCTTCATCTCTTCGGTAGCTTGGGTGAGGGTCTTCGACTGCCCTCTGCTCGAGGTACTCCGAGCCATCCTCTTCCTCGTTTCGGTAGCGTGGATGAGTATCCTGCTCGTCGTTCCGGCTAAACGCCCCATAACTACCAAATCGGTGTGGAACGTCGTATTCTTGGCCCACTTGCTCTTCTCTCCACGCCACGCTTTCATTTTCTGGGCGTTCAGCCTGGTACCGGTCTTGGTTGCTCTCTTCGGTACTTTCGAAGCCGTGCATTCCAGGAGGTTTGGTTTGCTGCGGAGTCCATTGGTGATTGTAATCCTCCCCTTCCGGACGATAGCTCTCCGTGGGCGTTGCAAGCGCGTATCCTCGATCTTCTCTCGGTTGGTATTCTTCGTTTCCGCCGCTGTCGTCATTTCTGCAATAGGCTGTCTCTTCACCCTGACCGAACCGACTCTCAGTATTTCCTTGCGGCTGTTCACCTTCTTGGAACTGCCTTCGCTCGTAATCGTAAACCTCCTGGTTGTCGTCGTACCGCCCAGTGTCCCATTCAGCGGAATTCCCATCACGAGTGTCTGGTCTCGACCTGTCTTCTTCATTGTAGTATTCGTTGGTCCGCCGTTTGGGTACTTCCTGGTCTTCCTCGAATTGTTCTTCGTTGCGATCATCGTTGTTGCTGTCGAGGAATGGTCGATCATATGCAGCTCGGGCTTCGTTGGACGGGTTATATCCACTATAGCTGAGTGTTTGAGGCTGTTGGGGATCTTCGCTGAGCACGTTCGGCACCCCGGGATTCGTGTCTTCCTCTTGAGAGAATTCCTCGGGATTCTCATCAGGAATCTCATCAGGATCCACCTCTAGCTCCCTATTTTCTTTTGGAGGATTGTCCTCGGGATCGAATGGGGGAAGAGAATTCCCATCCTCGCTCAGGGGCCTGACGTTGACATATACCTTGGAGAAGGCAACCTTTTTCATGGATCCCTTGGTGGGAATGTCGTAGGAATCTCCACTCTGCATTTTGACCACGATCTTTGCCGTGTACTCGAGATCCACCGTACCAGTCCAAGTGGTGGCCTCAACAACCACCGCGTCTTCGGCTTTCTGGACTTGGCCACTGGCACCCGCAGTCAACCCATCCGAGCTCTCGGTTGCATCCGCTGTGGAATTCTCGGTGGTCCAGGTGAACGTTAGGCTTTGGTTGGCCTCGACCGTGACCTTACTCTCATCAATGAATAGATTGACTTTGTTCTCCCATGTCTCTTTGAAGCCCAGGGCTAATGCAGTTGATCTCGACTTTGTCTCCGTCACGGTGTGTGTCTCTTTATCAAGCCTGGGTTGCTGGAAGGTCCAAGTGTATGGCCTCCCATTCCACGGATATTGGACCGACTTGAGCGACTTCGACTTGATTCCCTGCGCAGTACCGGTCGGGTCATTTTTGAATTTCACATCCTGCATGGACATGGACTCCACCTTCTTCAGGAAATACACTCCCATGTTGTCGACAGTTGCACCACATTTCCCTTTGATGCCGACCCACAGGCCCGAGCCAACATCCATGGGATACTCCTTATCTGCCTTGTGAGCGCCCCAGTCAAAGCTGCGACCTGTCGATGTGGTGAACTTGATCCGACCGAGGTTGGTACCGACACCGTTGCCCCATAGACTCAGCGACTTGACGGTCTCCCCGGCCTCGAAGAGGAATTCGCTGAAGTCCCCCCATTTCCCAGACCCCATCTTGTGCTTTTCATCTTCATTTGTAAATTTAATGGTGACGCCAATGATGTCTTTTCCAGAGGCCCAGACTCCGACGGATTCCACAAGGCCTCCAGTCTGGGCAAGACATCCATACTCGCCGCCGCCATTTCCTCCAATGTTTCCCTGGTTGACAAGGACCTTGGCAGGATACTCAGGCATTGTGATTGTTTGTTAGGGGACCAGACGTTTTCAGAGGACTGATAGATGCTGATTGTTTGATCGTGAGGGTAAAGTAATGGAATATATTCGATGTTCTGAGTGACGACTATATCAAAAAAAGTAGGGCGGACCTGCAACTCTTATACTGCAGCGTGGGCTATCATTTGACACAATAACCAAGCCTGAAATTGAAGTTGGAAAGGTCTACATGCTTCGCGCTGTTCAGCTCTAGCCCAGTTTCTCAAGCCAAACTCATTGCGGCCTGGCGATGGAAGAGTTCTCGAAGGGCCACCGATCTGACTGCATTATTTTCTTTCAGCTGCTACGTACTCTACTAAGCCACAATAAATCCGACGCTGTCATATTCCGTGAGATCTTCATATTCAACTGGGCTTCTCGGGGGTGCCGAGAGGTATAGCCCTGTGGCATAAAGCCAAGAAAAGCCAAGGAGCCGAGACGAAGTCTCCCTGCTGCCGGTCAGCATTAGAGCGAGACATGATAGGCGCGGGAACCCTACTTCCCAATGTGACGGTACAAGCAGGAATAATGGTCTTGGCATGGACCAACAGTGTATAGTGGATCTCACAGGTAAGCCTGCAGCTCGTAATGGGGCATCAGCCTGCAGTGATCTCAGCCTTCGATTGAGGTGAACATTAACGTTAGCGATTAGCGACGACTCAAACCTGAGAATTATGTGTCGTTCAATCGTTGATCTCTGCAACGGGGCCCTGCTAACCTAGCGATTTTCAACTGATTCACGCATTGAAACTGAACATATCCAAAGCGCTAATCTTACCATTTGCCGAGAGAGCTTGACCTCAAGAGTATATGCTGGGGTTGAGCAGCATGCACAGGTATCGCGATGCCTACTTTTGACCCGTATTGATCGCCCCATCTGGGGTAATATGGTCATAAGAGCGGTATGCGTCCACCTTTGTCTTCTAGGCCACCTTTGACCTTAGAGGTAACAAAAGAACGCTAGACCAACTTCACCAGCCCGTATATCGATATCACGTGGATAAACTTTGTACTCGACGAGGGACAATATGTGAATATCGGGGCTATCCATTGCACGGTATTTCTGTGCCCATGATCCAATGAAATGCCCGGTTGGCCAACAGGGACAATCCAAGGTTCTGTATGGACACATTTCCGCGGGCGCGGCCTGATTACGCATCAGACGTCCATAGAATTGTTGCGTGGTGCATCAAGGCAAACTTCCACTCGGTGCAGGATGGAGCTAAAGATGAACACGGGAATATAGTTCTCAGAAAGCATTACAAAGCAGTGGCATCAGATATAGCTGGGTCTTCACCAATGCTATCTTCGCTATAGTCGTGTATACATCTAGTGACGGGGCAAAATTTTACTTGACAAGCCCTGGGATACTTTGCAAAACACAATAAGGCGCAAGGTTTCCTAGGAAAGATAGGAGGACTAAGTACATACATTATCCAGCTGCCGGGAAGGGTACCAAGAGGCACATAAGAAGGTTAAAAAAAGAGTAAAAGGGGGCCCCAAAAGCGATAAAATCAAAGGACACCGCCCCAGAAAAGGGTGTAGAAGAAGGGGGTAGTAGAAGGGGAAAGAAGAAGGTAACGCAAGACTGTCGCACGTCTTTCGGACCCTAGGGACGTGGCAGGGCCGAAGGTAAGCATGAAGAGCGCAAAGAAATAAGAACGCCATATGTCACAAATTCAAACAAGATAATCGGCAGGCCCTCACTATACAAAATTCCAGCGCCGGCAGGTCTCCGGGGCAAAAGACCAGGGCGTTTCTCTTCTCGAGGTTGTCGTGGGTAGCCCCGCGAGAGAGAGGTGGATTGTCTGGATGTAGCCAAACAGGAAACGATGCAAGCATGGTATGTGCAAGCCGCGTGGGCAGATACGGGGGAGAAAAGTAGGTATTTGAAAAAAGAAAAAGATGGTCGCCAAGATGCTCGTCATGCTTTTGGGAGGTCGTCGAAGAAAGAAGAAGTGAGGGTGCGAGTAGGTTTGGCGGCGGGTTGGACTGGACAGGTGTCTGACAGCAGAGACCGCCGGTCACAGTCGGGTTTCCCCTATGATCGCTTTAGGAGTAGTTCTTCATTTCTCCCTTCTCCTTCAGACCGCCCATCCGCTCGATATCCAGAGAGTGGAACCGACCGGAGTCGGTGGTCTGGTACGGGGGCAGCTCATCGTGGCAGGGTTCCAGGCCCACGCTGCCGGCCTCACTGATGCGCACGACGACCATGCGGCCAGACCTGCGCCTGCCAGACTCGTCCTCCTCCTCCGGGAAGGTGATGCGGATCTCAGGGACGGGACTTGGTGGTGGGCTGTCGGAGTTCTCCATCAGAGCGCGCTTTTCATCATAGACGAGGACTGAGTCGTGCTTGTTGGCGGTAATTGTTAACCGGCGCTGGCTGGTGGGAATTTGGCCGTTGTGGACGGGTAGCACGGAGTCCTTCTTCTGGCGCTTGCGGCGGAGGACGAGCAGACCACCGACCAGGGCGAGAGCCACCAGGATAAGGACAAGGAGCGAAATCATGAGGTCGAGCATGGCATTGGAGAGACCGCTACTGCTATCGTTATCACGACGGACCATTTGGTGGAGGGAGAACATATTGTCAGTCGCGGGTTGTTGATTTGATGTTGATGTTGATATTGATATTGATGGTGTTGATATGAAGGTTGGATGATTGTCGGCTGGGCGGGGGAGCGACAAGTGATCGTCACGGTTTGAATTCCAAAGAGAGTGGCGGATAGTATGTGTGGAGAAAAAAGAAGGACTGTCGAAACGTTGGAACGGACGAGGCCAAAGTCGCGGACTGATTCGTCGTAGGTGGTCGAAAGAATGAGAGGTCGGTCGATCGGGCTCGGGAGAGAGCGCGCGGAGGGAGCCGGCGATACAGGTTAAAGGAAAGAATGGATCGCACGGCGTACAGCTAAAAGAGTGAAGCTGATGCCGGCCGGTGGAAAAGAGGGGAACGGAATGGAGGGGAGAAGGGTGTAAGTGGAGGAGTGGTTGAGGGAGGGTTGGAGAATGAAGGGAAAACAGGGGAAGAAGGGAGGGAGAAGGGGTGGACACCGCCTGCCTGCCAGTCGAGCCAACCGCTGTGTCCGCTTTGACGCCTAGACTGAACTCGCCGGAGGTCAACGCTTCTGGCCCTTTTATTTTTGGCCGCTCTAAGCTTCGCTGAGTCTAGCGGGCGTGATGGGCGGCCAACGGGCCTGCTGGGCCTGCCGGTCGTTCCTTGGCCTTGCCAATGGCACCAATGGGACCAATTGGCGCCCGATGGTTCCTGGAAAGTGGGCGCAGGCGCAGCGGGCTGCGCGTTGTGACTCGCCAACACGCTCTGTCGGGACCCACTGAACTATGCCGGTTTGTTTTGGTTTCCCCTGAATCGCAAGCTAACTTCAGCCGGGGTTAGGTTCCGCTTCGGCTGTGCGTTTCGGCCGAGGTGGCATATGACCGCACAAGCAAGCACGGTACTAGAGTCATGCTGGAGTTGTCCATCAAATTCAGTCTGTGGTATGCGCATAACGCCGGTGCCTCAGAAGTAAACCTGCGACACTCTTCCACACAACAGTTTACTGAAACGGGCAATCACACTGAACTCCCGTGGGTCGTTTCTATGGACTTGCAAGGGCTGATCATGCAATCCGAGCAGGGTCGAGGCAAAGTAATAAAAGAAACAAATTAAATCTATGCACTGCCCTGTCCAGGGTCTCCAGGATGAAGCTTAAACTAAATTGTGTCTCAGGATGGATGCTGCTGGTTGGACAACCTCAAGACAGAATAAACACGGATCCATGGCCTGCCATCTCGACAATCAGAGTCTAGTCGAATTTCCTTAACACTAGGGGCTGAACTGATTCATCCATATCATGAAAGTCGAGTACTTACTTTGGACCCTAAAACCAAGGTGGTGATCGACTTATGTTATTGCATCGGGCTGTCGCATGCAGGCGGGGGCCAGGGACACTCAGGACCTCCACCCCATCAAGACTTTCACACGATCCAATTTTGTGGTTTTCTTTGGATTATATTCAGCCTTCACAGTCGGCAACGTTGGATTTCGGAGGTTCCAGCCTCGTCTTAATAACGTTTGTTGACCTTTTAACCCAGAATGCCAAGCTTCTTGCACTTATATATATCCATACCTCCCCAACGTGAGACCAAACCGCACGCAATGCGACCCTGGTCCATGCTTATATTTAAGCACAACCACCTACACATGCTGAACACGTTGGAAGCCATGGGATACATAGTCACAAGTCTATTAATATCCGCGTTGCAGTTGTCCGCTCCTTCCGCATGGCTATCATGTTCGTCGCGGGTACCACGGGCAGGCGCAGAGCATATGTACGAGTCCATCCTCCCACTTGGACAAGTACTCTGTACAGTTTGCTTGCGGTGTCCTTTTGAGATCATGAGGATAGATCATCAGACCTTCTATGTCTGAAACTTCCGACACTATGTCACCAGTAATGAATGGAGGTTGCCTGGAGTATAGTGGACGTCAAATGGACAGCGAATCACCGCGTCGCCCGGTCGGAGGCCGAGCATGACTGGATGCCTTGAAATCTTTCAAGGCGACCCCTTCAAGAATATGTATATCTCAACCATCAAGTCCGACATCCATTGGCAGCAGGCCCAATCATGACGGACACGAAACAAGCTCTCGTCCGAAATGGCCTGGGTAACTCCTATATTTGTCCCAGCCCTACAGCTATGGAGTTCACAATACGAGCCCGCCAGATGAAAGGAGTAGAACTACAGAACATCTCCGCGGTACCGTTCTATCTGCCATCGTCTTCTCACCTATCTCCGATCGAACTCGATCCCTTCGACCCAGCCCGCCAAGACTTGACAGATGACAATCACAAACCCAACCGCAAGCACGTCCCCGCCGAAACCGGTCCATTCCACCGAGCACCGTGGCCCAAGTGACTACTGTACATTTGACGTGGTCGGTGCATCACCAATACCGTCCCATCCAGTCTAGTCTATTTCGGTCCAGTCTAGTCGCACGGGGCGTGCTCATTTTATATGCCAAGCGGTCAACAGAAACTCAAACTGCGTAGAAGTTGATACATCCATCACGCCAGCAACAAGTGGGCCCCTGATCGATTAGCTCACAAAGAAAAGAAAATACCCGTCATGTTCCTGGAAACTGGGAACTGGGAATCGGAATGAGGGAACGCCTCACTTCTGTACCCTTCGTACACACCATACCACTATACAGTACAGCCTTGGGGGTCTTTGTTGTAGCTTGGGTACGGTAGTCGCGCAGAAGCCCTAAATATTGACATATTCACCTCTCCATCCATCCTCATTCCATCCACGACGTATCCATCCAATCCCCGCTAGTCACTAGTCGCTAGCCAGCTCTTGGATCCATCCCCATCTACCCAAAAGGTCGGTCGCCGATCTCCACGGCAAGTGGCTGCAAGATGCTTGTCCCAACACGATCCGGGGAACGATCGCGGATTTCTGCGAGTGATGGCTGACGCCAGATGTGCGACCCCTGTGCAAGTACTAGTACAGGGATCGGGGCAGGCCGACATCCTTACTCGCCTGTGCGTGTATGACCCGCCTCTGGCTCAGTGGCGCGGTCTCATTGCGATTGCCATCTCGCTGGAGACGCGGTGAAATGGGTCGTTAGGTGGCGGTTAGTGGTGGATGGTGACTGAGGGCAATCGGATGGCCCCGACAGAGCTTGAAGTCGAGACATACTGCAGGCGGAGCTCCCACCAATGCCTCGGGTCTGTGAGGTTGGTTGTGTGTTGTGTCGGCACAGACTGGCTCGTCCGTCCATCTCTCCCGTCTATCACGTCCATTCCTTTGTCTATCATTCAATCCATGGTTCAATTCGTCGGAGCGGACGTCTGGGATCTGGGCCAAGGATCAGTGTGACGATGCAGAAGCAAGGGGCTAGCCCGCGTTGATGGAACAGCCAGCACTCTACCGTATGTACAGTACTTAGCACTCGCACTAGCCTCGCCGGGGCCTGAGCTTGTCCAAGCGCACCGGTACTGGTTCTGGCCCTGGTGAGACTCGCAGTCGGACTCGGAATCGGGCAGCGCTAGTTCTTCCTAGGGCAATAGCTTCGCTGTACTCTGGAAGGGGGGGGAACTAAGGGGAAACCGCTATTCAAGAAGGGGACCTAATATACAGTAGACGTTCAGTGGCCACATCGTTACAGAGTTCGTTGGTTCGTAGTTTGTAGGTTGGTAGGGATTCTGTATAGTCTGCCCGCGAGGCCTGTCCGTAGGATCTACACATCATGGCCGATCCGGGTCAGCCCAGTCGACCTAGCCGATTCAGCCAATCCAGCCCATATACCTCGTACACCGTAGCAGCCCCTCCTGCTTCTACCCATTGAGTTCTTGACCGGAGCCGTGGTGGCCGCTGTCCAGGCTTGGAATGGCGCATGGTTGAGCTAGGTGGCCCTTGGATCTGCCCGGGATTGGGCGATGCGCAAGAATAACCCTTTCCGTGCTGGACTGAGCCGGGCCGAGCAGAGGGAAGGGATGGGTGGTTGGCTTTATGTTGACGTGCATTCGGATCTATAGTACTGGACAGGAGAGAGAGGGGAAGGGGAGATGGAAGGGGTGCCAGATTGGAAATAGAGTTAGCCGCCAAGCATGATTCATACAGTCGCTGAGCTAGCGTGACGGAGGTAAGTATGAATTATAAATGATGAATGATAAATTATGAGTTGTAAATTCGCTAGCCTACTTACTGTAAGTGACCAGGTCGTCCCAGCGAGGGTCTGCCGAGTGGATCCCGTCCAATCGAACTCTAGTTTTTGGACTGCCCGAATGGCTTCACGTCTGTTGCGGTGACTTTCGTGCCTGGTTGATCTGATGGGATGGGATTTGTGGTGCATTTTATTGCTTCTTGCTTCTGGTCTTTGCACACCTCCTCGCCTGCAGACTGCATCGCCCTACGTAGAGACTAGAGAGCCCGTGTCTCGGACGCCTACTGTACTTCCTGGTTCCCTAACCCCCATTCGCCATGATTAGCGACTAGAATGGCCGATTATAGATACTACAGTCATCAGCTGAAGTGGTTTCCTAGCCACGGCAGGGCGACCGGCCTGAGTTTGCCGGTATGCTTTGACCCTGCGCCGACACGTCCATGGGTTCGGTTCGAGCATGCCAGGAGACGAAGTGAAGCGCTCGGAACTTTTCGCCGTCGACGAGGCCTAATGACTTCAGGCTTGCACCTTCATCCGGGACTCGGGGCGGCCGAGATGGTTGTCAGATCCTAGGATCGGAGGGCGGTTGGCTTTCATGCACGCCCATGGTCGATCTGGCGGTCAGGCCTGGGTGCATGTAGGAAACATACGGTCGGAGGGGAGAGGAGGACGGAGGTGGGGGGCGGATTGTCTAGTTAGAAAGAGTCATCGTAGTCGAGGGAGAGGAGATATGACGAGGGAGTGGTGAAGTCAATGGAGAATGATTATTTGCATATGGATATGGACCTGGATCTGGACGTGGAAGGTTGGAAGGCCCAGAAATATAAAGGTTCAAAGTGGATGGGGCACTAAAAAGAAGCGTCGAGCCAGAGATCCAGCGATCGCCCGTGACGATACCGTACGTCAGGCATGCGCCGCCCAAACCAGCGCCTGGGCCGTGGCAGGACGTCGTGTTGGTAGGGCTTTTACTAGTAATTCGATGTACTCTGCCTGGATCGACCCCGTCCACGGCGTCATCATCGTCTGGTGAATACACGGCCTGTACAATAAGCGGTTGATCTCCTTCCCTCAGCACAGCATCATTTTCTGCCTTATCTATCATTTTCCCGTCCTCACCTTTCTTTTTTCTGGCCCTTCCCGGTCTTTTCGCTTCTTCTTTTTCGTGTTACGCTTCTTCCACTCCCCTCCCTTTTCTTTCTCCTTCCTTCTCTCCCTCTTTTCTACCCCTCCCTCCAACTCCACGAGGTCACGACGGCAAACCCCCCCCCAAAAAAAGCAGCGACCAGCATCCACGGCTGTCATGCTGCCGCCTGTGTGACAGCTGGCCTACATTAACTACTCTTAATGCCGTGCTTTGTCTCTCGCCCACATTCTCATCCTCACTCATCGATCCACTAAATCTCAGCCCGGGTTTCCTTCTTTGCGCAACGCATTCTTCTTGACGATTCGGCTACCCTTGACCCTTTATCGGCCGCGACTCAACCCTCCCTCCACCACCACCTCCCCCCATATTTTCCGCCCATCCCTCCCTACGCCATCCCTTGCGCCAATCCCAGGGTCCTAGGGTCCTCCCAACCGCTCTTCCATTCTCGGGGTCTCTCCACCACATGAGGACGATCGGCAAGCTGGGAGATTCCTGGAGCATGCACGGAGCAGAGTAACGTCGCGACGCCTCCTCCATTGACTCTTCAGGCTCTGACGACCCTACCCGCGGCTGCACGGACAAACGAAGGGGAGATTTTCGTCGTTCCAATTCTTTGTCGCCTTGCATCTCCGGCCCTGCTCGTCCTGCTTCCCGCATTTCTGATCCTGACGCTGCTCCCTTCTAAACCCCATCCTCCCTCTCTTCATCCTCATCTACACCTCTCCACCTGTCCTCCTTCCTCCCTTTCTCTCGCTCCTGTATTATCTGTACATGTCCTGGGCTCGAGACTCCTGAGAAGAAGACCGAAGAGTGTGCACTGTGAAAAAAGAGCACCTGTCTCCTGCGTCGCTCGCCTGATCCCTGCTCTTCCCTCCTTTGGTGAGTATCCCGTCGTCCTATCCTGGCCCTGTATACCTTCGCTGGGGAGAGATGCATCTTGCGAGAACTGGCCCTGATGAGCAGTCGAGCTAACAAGGGCTTCACGCCGCCTCCATCTAGTCTTATATTCCTTCGTGTACGCCGTTCCTGGTGCCTGGTGCCCGCTGCAAATACTGGCCGAGAATCGATTTTCCCTAGGCCCTGTGATTTAAGTGTCGACGCCCACGAAACTCTCTGCAAATAAATCGCCCAACCCGTTCGAGTACATATCTGATTAGCCTTCTGTCGATCGTGTCCCTGGGATGGCTTCTACTATGGCTGCCAATGCAACCAGCGTACACAACGTGAGTGATGGCAAAGCATGGAAGGCGAAGCAGGCGCTGACTGGTGGACCGCAGGTACGATCGAGCCGCGCTTCCAACATGGGTTCATCCGGGATGAACAGTGACCGCACGCGCGGATCGCACAGCAACAGTGTGGGAAAGGGCTTCGCTGCTGGCAAGTCCAGCTGGAATAGCAACATCTGGGGTGACTCCAATCTGGGAGGTAACTTCGGGGATGGTACGTAACTCCACCTGGTTTTGAGCTTGAGAAGGGTGGAAGATCGATACTGATCACGTCGTCCAGATCAACACATCAGTGACTCAGCGTTTGAAGGAAAGTCGGGGTCGGGATCGCTGCTGTCGACTTCGGAATCGGATGGCTGGGCTGGACGTGCTAACCTACCCTGGAGCACTGTCAATACGTCACTGTCGATGGGCCAGAACCGAGGCGGCATGACAACCTCGCCAATCCAGTCTCGTGCAAATGATCGAAGCGCCCCGGCTCTCAACGATGCTGGTGAATCCTCGTACTTTTCGCTACCCCGCACGACTGCCATGGGTACCTCCGCTGGTACTGTGAGCCACCGGCCTTACCTGAACTCTGGATCGGAGGGTGTTTCTCCATCGGGAGACGGCATGTCCTTCAGTGGGTTCTCTGGCCTTCGAAACGGCGATGGACGGCGGCAGATGAGCTCGACCGGCCTTAGTGGCAGCCCGGTGGGAGCAACCTTTCCTGTGAAGTCTGGTTTCTCCGGCTCCATAGACTCCTCGCGTCAAGAAGAGATGGCCGCTTCAATAGCCATGGGAACGCTGCCCTCTGGTATTCCCGAGACTATGTCCCCGCCTCAGACGCGCAGTGCTCTCTCTCATGTGCCTCACAATTCTGCTTCCTACGCTCCCCAACGACCCGTCCATTCAACCCACCCCTCCTTCTACTCGGACAATCACAGCGTTGACGGTCGCTACGGCAGTGGCTCCATCGACCTCAGCGGTGGCTTCAACAAGCTGCAGCTGAGTGACAGTGGATTTAGTAACCAGGCCAGTGCTCAACGTCCCCCATTTGTACCCCATGCGTCGTTCGATGGATCTCTTCCTCGTGGAAAATACCAGAGCAACGATGATGCTGCCTACCAGGCGCTTGCCGGGTATGGCGCGGAAGGTGCGCAAGATATGCACCTCGCATACCAGCAACGGTCCCGCGGTGGTGACACCGGTTCCATGTCTCCATCGGAATACGCCCGCATGGACAGCCCATTGTACGCCGGTGTTGATGGTGCAACCCAGTACCGCAACTCCTCCGGTGCCCGCATGAACGATCAGGTGGCCTTCGAGCGCAGACTGCGGAACTTCCAGGACCAGGAATTCGTTCAGGCCCAGGGCAACTCGCTCCAGCGCATGCAGGGCCCCCCTTCATACGACTACCAGAACTATCAGGCGGCTCGCTTGAATGCTCTTCAGGGATTCTATCCCATGGCTCAGCTCGGTGGACTTGGTGCCGCGGCAATCGTCTCTCGTACACACCGTGACGATCCCACTCAAGTTGTTCGCAGCCCTCTTCTGGAGGAGTTCCGTGCCAATAGCAAGGGCAACAAGCGCTATGAGCTGAAGGACATCTACAACCACGTCGTTGAGTTCAGTGGGGATCAGCACGGCTCGCGCTTCATTCAGCAGAAGCTGGAGACTGCCAACAGTGACGAGAAGGAGCAGGTCTTCCGGGAGATCCAGCCCAACTGCTTGCAGTTGATGACCGATGTCTTCGGCAACTACGTTGTACAGAAGCTGTTCGAGCATGGTAACCAGACCCAGAAAAAGATCCTGGCGAATCAGATGCGCGGGCATGTGCTTGCTTTATCGACCCAGATGTACGGATGCCGAGTGGTTCAAAAGGTTTGTTCATTTCTCCACAGTGCCATCGATAACTTCTTGCTAATTGTGAACTAGGCCCTCGAGCACATCCTTACCGACCAACAGGCTGCTATGGTCAAAGAGTTGGAGAACCACGTTCTGAAGTGTGTGCGGGACCAGAATGGCAACCACGTTATTCAGAAGGCTATCGAGCGTGTGCCTTCACAGTACGTGCAGTTCATCATCAACGCCTTCCGTGGTCAGGTCAATCGACTTGCGGCACACCCTTACGGCTGCCGGGTTATCCAGCGCATGCTGGAGCACTGCGAGGAGGTCGACCGGGAATCCATTCTGGCTGAGCTTCACGCCTGCACCGCGAATCTCATTCCTGACCAATTCGGCAACTACGTGATCCAGCATGTCATTGAAAATGGCGACGTGAAGGATCGCGATCGTATGATCCAGATCGTCATGTCGCAGCTCCTTGCTTACTCTAAGCACAAGTTCGCCAGCAACGTGGTCGAGAAGAGCATCGAGTTCGGCGATGAAAGCCAGCGCCACCTCATCATCTCCACCCTGACCTCCTCCAACGACCGTGGTGAGAGTCCGCTGCTCGGGCTGATGCGCGATCAGTATGGAAACTACGTCATCCAGAAAGTTCTGGGCCAGCTGAAGGACGATGAGCGCGAGGCCCTCATCGATCAGATCAAGCCCCTGCTGAGCCAACTGAAGAAGTTCAGCTACGGCAAGCAGATCGTGGCGATCGAGAAGCTTATCTTCGACCCCAACTCCCCGGTTGCCGGCCCTCTGGCCCACACCACCTCCACCACACCCCCAAACTCCCACAAATCCTCCCCGCAGCCTTCGAAGCGCACTCTCCCCACCATGGAGCAGCCGCGGGCCCCCTTCGTGGGCACCGCTCCACCTACCCCACCCCCGACGGACAACCAGAGCACCGTCGACGGCTCCCTCGAGTCGAAGGGGCTTGCTAAGAGCACCGTGACCTCAGTATCGAGTCCCGAGACAGGTAGCACGGGTGTTCCCGTCCCGGTCGACGGTCACTAAGGGTGCTCGCTCTAATTCGTTGCACACACGTTTTTGCGCACTTTGCTCGCCCACATAATCTGTTCTAATGTCGATCTCCCGTCAAAAACTGGGCCATTCTGCTTCTTTATCTAATATGGGCGTATACATACAGGGGTAAAATATCCGGCGGGATATATGAAAGTTATCAAAACCTAACGTCACTGTGTTTTCCCCTTTCCTCTGACTATTTTATTCCACCATGGCTTGACGGCGCAAGAATTAGGGGACCCTGCTTCATTGTTACTTTGTTTCATTTTTACCTCTTACCTGCCACCTCTGTCTCTCTCCATGTGTTGATCTCGGAACCTGCTATTATTCTTCCTGTGATGTGGTTTAACATCTTCATTGTCTTTATTTCTTATGACGGTGGTGCGGATCTTCACACTGCACCTTTCTTCCTCACCATTGCCACTGTCAATGCTTTTTGCCCCATCGGGCGACTCTCGAGAATCGATCTACCGGAATCGGCGTCTTTGTGTGTTTTTCAAATCGGGGGGTGGGGGGTGCAAAGGTAACTCGATTTCACGGCGGGGCGAAACGGATCTGATTTATCGTTTCATTTTCGCCCTATTCGCTTTCTCTTTTTTTCTCCTCACGATCTTCGTTCGGCATATGACATGGGAAAGGAGCTTGCAATCAAATGGAAATGGAAACGGAAATGGAAATACGGAGAGAACCACTGCTCTTGTTTGATTTTATTTTTTATTTCTGTGTTTCTTTTATTTTCCTTCTGTCTTGTTTCTTGCATGACACGGTATTCATCTATCTCGCACTCATCGTTGTGTCTATGTTTCTGTTGTTGTTCCTCGACCCATCTTTATCATAAGATGTCGCGCATATCGGACCTGGGTGTTATTTTTTACTTGCTTGTTCGGCATACGGTTTTCACTAGCAATGAAAAGTGTTCCTCTGCCGGACCCTGCTCTCTGTTCTGCTGTGTTGATATCTTGCTTGTTCGTGGCTGATGTATTATCAAAATATCAACGTACTATGACAGCCAAGCTATCCAAAAATTTCCGTCCAAGTTCGTAGAATGAAGCCAGCGACAGAATTTGGCAACGCAACTTTACGGCTGGCTGTTGCCCGGCTGGGCTGTCGTCCAACGAAGCATTGGCGCACTCACGTGATATGATAAGATCACCCTATCGGCTGCTGATCCCGACTTCAACTTCAACTTCATCTTCAACTTCACCTTCAACGTCTTTTGATACCACGCACTCTCCGGCATTTTTATGTAACCGCCAGCGAGACTGCCTACGACCAAATACACGCAACCTCGTGTACTCCCCACCTACTCCACTCTCACCAAAGCAACACCTCAGCGAGACCAGCGGCGAAAGAAACCCAAACCCGCACTGCTGACGAGCTACCAACTCCAGCCCTCACTACACTACACACCCACACCATCCAAGACAAAATGTCCTCAAACGTCGGTCTGTCCACACCCCGCGGCAGTGGCACATCCGGCTACGTCCAGCGCAATGGTGCCTTCCTCAAGCCGCGCGCCGCAGGCTTCGGTGCACCCTACCCGCCTCTCTCCGGCGCGAACGGCTCAGATCGCGCGTTTAAGCAGCGCTTGCCAGACAAGCAGATCCTGGAGCATGATCGGCGGCGTGCGATCGAGGTTACTGTGATGGAGGAGCGAGAGAGGTTGGAGGACGAGAATGAGCGGATGGAGGAGGCTGTGAAGAGAAATAAGAGCAAGAGTCTGGATAAGAAGGGCACGGCGCAGAAACAGAAGCCTGCGGATGACAAGGAGGATGGCGAGGAAGATGAAGATGAAAATGAGGGGGAGCGCGTACTGAGCGAGGAGGAGATTGATGAGCGGTGCGAGGCGCTGAGGCAAAAGCTTCTGAAGGAGATGGAGGCTGAGGTTGCTGGTGCTGGTGCTGGGGCAAGCGGGAGGAAGGGTGGCGCTGGGCCAAAGGATCGCAGGCTTAAGGCTTATCAGGTTCATGAGTTGGCGGAGGCGAAGATCCAGGAGAGTGAGCGGTTGCGCCGGGCGTTGGGGATTCGTGAGGATCGGGAGACCGGGGAGATTAGTAGCCGGCGCGGCGAGAGGCGGCGGGATTGAGCGCGAGTGCGGAAGGTTGAAGGACGTTCGATGAAAAACTTGGCTTGGGCCTGTCGCGTTGGCGTTGTGGATTGGATTGGGTGTGTTTCTTCTATGGCTTCTGGGTGCATTTCTTCCCCTCTCGTTTTATTCTCCAAGTGGCATTTTCAATGGATGATTCATGATCTTCGAATGTCTAAACTATACGTTGTGCGTAGTCAACGCGGTGCCGGGCGGAATACTGAATATCAAATATTGAATATCGAATACCAAGTGGATATCATAACCTCATCTATACGAACCCCATGCTCGCAAGTAAGTGTATACAAAAGCAAAACCCGTTGATGGAGACCCTTCACGCCACAAACTTCTCAATCACCCAGCCCTCCCTCGGATCCTTCCTCTGCACAGCCTTTTTCGCCGGCAGCGGCCACCCAGTACCCCCAGAATCCCCCACGAGCGCCGGCACAACCCAGCAGGACCTGCGCTGTGGAATCCCCTCCAGCAGCTCCGTCTTGCCCACAGGCTTACCATACTCAATCAGCGGGGTATCGTGCGCAATAGCCGCCAATTGGAGCCCGCTCGGCGCCACAAGCGGGAACATGCGGATCTTGGGCGTGTAGCCGGCCACCGGTGCCGCCGCCGACTGCTGCAGATGCGAGTATACGATGTACGGCGGCATTTCCTTGGGGGTGAGCTTGGCCAGTACGGATGTGGGGTGCACGAAGACTGCGCGCTCAGCGATGTCCTCGGCGTGGCGCTCGCGCGAGCGGAACAGTGTGAGGTACGGTACATCGATGGCGCGGCGGGGCGCGCGAGGTATTTCTGGCGGCACGGGCGCGAGGTCCGCGCGGATGGCGACGTTGTCGATGAAGCCGGCTGTGACGATTTGCTTAAGCGCTTTGAGTTGCTTGGGCGAAGGCTCTGGCAGTTTGGCAGAGTACGCGCCTAGAAGACCAGGGTTATTGGAGCGCACGATGTCGGAAAGCTGGTGCCGCAGTTGAGATGCTTCCTTGAAGGCCTTTGCGCGCAGGAACATCTGTTCGCTGAAGGCATCGCCGTCGGCAGCGTAGGCGTAGGCGCAGATTGCGGAGAGGTATTTTAGAGCGTCGCTGGTGTCATCGTGCTTGCTGAGGAGGCGGTGGACGCGGGCGTAGTCCTTTGCGCGCTGCTCGCGCTGGGTGTCTTCGAGGCGGTCTGCGTTTGTATAGACTTTCCGGTCCTCGCAGTCACTCGAGTCGGAGTCGGAATCGGGCTTTCTGCTCTGGGGGGCTGGGGCCTCGTTGCCAGGTAGTTGATTCTCGGCAACGAAGAGATCGCCGACTGCTAGGGCGGCGACTAGGGCGATGACATAGGGCATGCAACCGTGCTGATGACCAATGTAGAGCATCTTGCCGAAGCGGGGGGAGAGGGGGTATGTCGAGAGACGACGGCCAATCTGAGTGACTTGCCCGCTGCCAGTGAGAGCGCCGAGGTACTTCAACAGCTTCTCCGCTTTGGCAAGACCTTGTCGGCTTGGAGGTGTTGGGAAGGGGAAGTTGATTACATTGTGCAGACCCATGCTCTTCATCTGGAGAACCACTCCTTCGATGGGCGTGCGGAGGATCTCCGGGTCGGTGTAGTCGGCGAAGTCAGCCTCGTAGACTGCCGAGGAATACAGTCGATAGCAGTGTCCAGGCCCTGTTCGACCGGCTCGACCGGCTCGCTGGCTTGCGCTGGCCTTGCTAATCCAGCCGATCTGGAAGTTTTGGACACCCGTGGAGAGGTCATATTGCTTTTCTTTGGACCGACCGCAGTCGAAGACATACTTGATACCAGGAATGGTGAGTGATGTTTCCGCGACGTTGGTGGCAAGGATGATGAGGCGCGAGTTCTCTGGTGCAGGCTCGAAGACCTTCATCTGTTCTTTTGTTGGGAGTTGCGAGTACAGAGGCAGGACGTGTACCCGAGTTGAAGAGTCCATAGCGTCCTCGCCGAGATCGAAACCGTCATCATCCTCTGGCTCATCCAACCCAGTGATTTCCAGGTCATCGTCCTCGTCTCCAGCGTTGTCCATCTCCATACCACCCAGCTCCAAGTCTTCTGCCTCTAGAGGAGCATCATTGGCAGAAATCTCTACTTTGGCTTGCGTCGTATCCGCACGCTGTGTTGGCTTGAATGCCTGCTTCAGCTTCTTTGACAAGAGCCGAATCTCGTTCTGTCCAGTCAGAAACACAAGCATTCCACCTGCCGGGAGTTTGCGATGTCCCCGGGAGACCTTGCGGAAGGCTTCCTCAACATAATCCCGCTGGGTACGGCGAGAGAAATGAACAGTTACAGGATACTGCCGACCTTCAGCTTGCACCAATGGAGGTGGTCCTTCGCGGAAGAGACTTGCGTTGTCCGTGAAATCCGAAATACGAAGCGTAGCAGACATGATGACCACCTTCAACGGCTTGACGGACGGATCCTCCTCGCTCATCGACTTGCGCAAGTCCACAATACGGCTGACCATTCCAATCAGAATATCAGTGTTAACACTCCGTTCGTGTGCTTCATCAATGATGAGAACGGAGTACTTGCGGAGAGCAAAGTCATCCGCGATCTCCCGTAGCAGGATACCATCCGTCATGAACTTGATAGCAGTCTTCTTAGAGACTGTGGTCTCGAATCGAATCTGGTATGAAACTTTGTCCGAATACTGACCCAATTCCTGGGAGACACGGTTTGCCATACTCACGGCGGCCACTCGACGAGGCTGAGTGACACCAATCAGGCCAGGGTTCGGACTGTCGGGATTGCCAAAGCCTGCCTCGAATAGGAACTGGGGAAGCTGAGTCGTCTTTCCGCTACCAGTGGCGCCCCAGATGACAATGACCGAGTTGTTGTAGATTGCTTCCATGATTTTCTGTTCCTCGCCAACAACCGGGAGTCCGAGACGAGCTGTCTGGATCTCCTCTGATCGATCGACAGGAATGCTAAACGCCTTGCGGAAGGGGTTTCCGGTAGTCACTTCGAGTTCTCGGGGAAGAGGCTCTTCAATTTCAACGGTGTTCTTGGGTTCCTTTCTGGGTGGCGCAAATGCCTGCTGTACTTGGTCATGGATCACCGGTCCTTCAGCTGGTTTGAAGCCTATGACCTCATTGATCTGCTGCACAGCCCAAGACTTGAAGGCTGACTCTCGCGGTTTGATGCGACGTTCGTGTCCCTCACTCTCCTCGTCTTCCTCATCATCAGAAGTATCTTCGGATGACTGCTCAGAGGAATCCTCAGAGCCCTCATCTTCAGAGCCACCCTTAGCCTCGACGTCTGAGTTATTGGCATCCAAATCCTCTTTATCATCACCAGACTCCTCGCCATCGGATCCGAATCCTTCCCACGAGGGCTCAGATGCAGGTGTAGGCGCAGATTTCGTCTTGGCTGTGCGCTTCCGCTTCTTAATAACCGGGAGCCCGTCCGGTCCAAGTTCGAGAGGGCGCTTCAATCCACTTCCAGTAGGTGCTTGGGATAATGGAGACTTTGAGGTTGGTGCAGGAAATGCTGCCATAGGATCGAGGTCGGAGTCGTCAGCGTCGTCTCCAGCTGCATCTCGAGCGGAAGCAGTTTGCGCTTGAAACGCAACGGCAGTGTTGCCATCCGCCGCTCTCTTGCGCTTCCCTAAATCCCTCGATGTCTGGAGTGCTGAGGTGTCGACATTCGCTTGGGCCAGCTTTTTCAGGAGCTCGAGATTCTCTTCTTTCTTGAGTTTGGTTTCCTGCGTAGTGTTAAAATCTGGCTCGTGCCGTTTGGAGATGTGCCACATACAATATACTTGTCCAAACGCTTCTGCTTCTTGGAGGAGACAGTGACATGCTGATCTCGTAGCTCTTCTCGCAGCTTCTGCCTCCGAGCTTCTTTTTCATCTTTGGAGACGGGCGCTAGCTCCGCAATGTTGGTGTCGACTGGCGCAGTTGGCTCCTGGTGCCGGTGTTTCTGTTTTCGCTGGCGCGGCACGAACTTCGGCATCTTGACAGATTCCACCCCTAAACAAGAGAGGAATTTCGACAAATGTGCATTGAGCTGTTTGCTAGCAGCTTGCACTCGCGGGAAAAAAAATCGAGGACGCTCAATAGGCGGTGGAATTCTGCCAGGATCCGCCGTGGGGAAAACCTGACCGCCTCCACCGGGGCGGAGCATCAACTGCGCACTCTTGACATTGTACGTTCTTCATCTGAAGCACATGAAATCATGGCTTCCCTGGACCATGTACTGCAAGGATCTCTCAATCTCCCATTTCCTGCTGCTACCAAACAAGTGGCGGGGGTTGTGGATGAGGTCAAAACCGACGTCATGGTCATGAAGTTTAGCGATAAGATTGTTGTTACCATTTCTCAAGAGGGCCGACTTGCTCATTGGGTTTGTTCGAACGCATTACCCTCTCAAAAGCTCTTACTAACCTTTCATAGCTCCATGTACCACTTGGAAACCAGAATCCAGGGACTAACGGCATGCATACTTTCTCCGAGGGCACGGAGGACAACCTGTTGCCCCTCAGCGGCTTGACAGCAACATCAATTCTCGGTGGTCATGCTGCTGGACAGGATACAATTGGCCAACTGTTTGCTCGTCAAATCGCAACTGCCATTGCGACCAAGTCTCCTGCTGAAAAGCGCCTCCTGGTCGTTGGTCTTGGCCTCGGTACCGCAGCTTCGGATCGAGATTCGTTCTTCGCAATTATCGACCTTGTTCTGCAATGCATCTAATTAGGTCACAAATTGGCAAGCATCTGTTCCATGCACTTTGCTACGTGGATATATGCAGTTTTGCATCTGGCACTCCCTACCCCAATTTCAGGCGGTTCGCCTGATCATTCCTTCCCTACGGAATAAACACACCCATGTGTTTGTTGACAGGAGCTGGACGCCATCCAACATACGGCCTACAAATGGCCCGAATTCCCGAACTGATATTTCAAAGATTGAGACGCTCTCGGAGTTTTCTGTTAGGCTTATGTGTACCGCAGGCCAGACTGGAGAAGAGGATGCCGGCGGGGATGGGCAGAATACTTGAACTAGTCTTCCAGAGGTTGTCCATCATGCGGGGACTATATGATATTGTCTTGAATGTTCGCGACAGAAGGATAGATCTAACTCCCTATTAGCTTGTACAGTACTAGGAAGCTCCTAGGGAAGAAGTTTGGAGCTCACATCCTGCTACCCATCAATGAATTATTACATACGCATAGGCTGCTGTTGCTTCTGCTCTCCTCTACTCCACGCATCCTGAAGCAAAATAACGCAGGAACAAGCCAAAGAAAAATAATAAACTATGCTTCCATCGTACACGGGTTTGTTGTTATTGCCAGCTATCTGAGAAAGAAACATAAAGATCCCAGGCTGCTAGCCTCACCCTGGCGAAAAGAGACAGAATTGGACACAAAAATCACAAAACTTTTGGGGCGGAAGGGGTATTCACAAATGCCGCGGACATGAAAAAGCAAAGTGATGTACATGAAGTCGTGTCTTGGGGTCAATCGTTCAGTGGTGTGCCGTCGTTTCGTTCTTCGTTGTGGTAAATTTGATATTTGATAAAATGATGAGGGGAGAGGGATGGGAAATGAAGAGAAGGGACGTGGGCCTTAGCAATATTGGAATGGAGGATATCATATAGCCCGAGAAGGGTATTCGCAGAGGCTAGAATCAACCAGAGGAAATTCTCAACGGCTCCAACGAGAAAAGTCTAGGTTCTGGAGGATATTTGTTCCAGATGCTGCGTTCCACTCGGAGGCAAAGTCTGTTTGGACTGGAGCAATGCGTGTTGGCAGTTCTTCGGAGAAAATGTTGGGCTTAGTGTTGCGACGTTGTCCAGGGTACGCCCCTTCAGCGGCCTCAGAACCTTGCGCCTGCGCAGCTAGTGCTCTCTCCCGGACTTTCTTAATTTCTCGTAGACGGGTGCGCCAGGATGAGGCATGCTCGCCGCCCTTGTTGTTCCAGACGAGGGAGAAGACCGATGCGTTCAGAGCAAGGATCCGCACAAAGGGGGCCAAGTTCTTACCCGAGACAACCTTTGGGGTTGCGGCAGGCGAGACATCAGGGTAACCGGGCTTGCTCATGACTCTCACACTATAGTACAGCTTCGCAGGATCCGTTTCGCCCTTCACGGCTCCAGACTCATCGTAGGCAATACGACTGCAGGGCGTGATCACGATATTGATAGAGTTGAACTCAGACGGAATCGTGTCAAAGTTGAATGGCAGGTTAGAGCGGTTGAAGACGATCGTAACAAAATTATTGCCGATGTTTCGCTTCTTGTTGATGCAATTGGGATCACGGTCAAGGTTCGTGGGCATCATTGTCGCGACGTGGTAAACGATCTCTGTCACCCGATCACGCCAGGCGTAGGTTGCTTCACCATCAGTGTCGGCATAGAGTCCTTGAGTATTGAACTGAGCGTTCCGAAGGGACACCTTGGTTCCGAGACCAGACAAGAAATGTTCGTAGTCCGGAGAACCGCCCGTATTAGCAAGGATTTCAGCTTCTTTGCTCTGGCCATTATCGAGATAGACTATTCCGATGCGGTGGCCGTCCACAATATCGGCGCGATCAAAGCTGGCGATCGCTCGCCTGGTGATGTCGTCTTCGGGCACTGGAATGGGCAGCATCACTGTCGGGGTAGGGAAGGCAGTGGCGGTCAGTTGGAGCATGATGTGACTGGGAAAAACAGCCGTACGCATTGCATCAGAATGCAGATGGGCGTCCGGAGTTGGGGGCACCTGATGCGGTAGAACGGGCGCCGTTCGCTGTTGATACATGGAGTATGTCGTTCCCGACGCCTGACGCTTCGCAATCTGGGTCAGTCCAGAAATGCCGGCAGTTTCAACTGTGACGATGCTCATGCCTACGACCCAGGACTTCTTTGACACAGGACCGTCTTCAGGAGTCGGAGGGAAAGTCTCATATGGTATGGTTTCTCCTAGATCCGAGAAGGCAACGCGTTGCATCAGATCGATGAAGACCTGGCTCTGTTCCTCGACCACTTCCTTTCCATGCTCATCGTGGAAGATGAGTCTACTGGTAAGCCAAGTGATATGCTTTGGGCGATCTTGAAGCTTCAAGGATAGGAACCAGAATACCATGACATTGTATGTCAGTGCCATAATGTACTTGGACATGGCATCGTGCGAAGGAGTTTCAGTTGCTTCGGCCTGACTCGATGCAATCTCTCGTGCACTACCGCTGAGTCTTACTTGCGGCTGTTGAGTCACGCGTGTGGTGGGCGATTCCGATGCTTTGTGGCGTAGTTCTTGTTCTCTCGAGGTCTGCAAGAAACGGATGCAGATGCCAAACACAGTGCGAATCTCTTCCTCGCGGAGGTTGACATAGACATCTGGCAAACGCGCAAGCAAAGCCAAAAATTCCAAGATATGCACCGCGATATTAGACATGGTGATTACCTTGGACATCTTGTCGAGGATGCTATTCAACGACTTAGTCACCGACATGGGGATTTCATGACAGCAGAGCGAAAGCGCCTGGATACATCCCCGGGACGTAGCACCCCAGGATCCGATGATACCAAGCATAAAGGCTCGGACCAAGTCATCCTCTTCACTTTTAGCAAAATGCTCATGGTAGCTGACCAACATGCAAAGCGTATCAAAGATACAGGCAGCCACATCACTTTTCTTCAGGCCAGTAGATGCGGGAGGCTCGTGGAAGGTCTCGTTCTTGACCTGGTCGCACAGTATACTCCGTAGAAGCTTGATCTGAGGGATGGCGTTGATAAAGAAATCTTTGTTACCAAGCTGGGGCCCAAGGTGGGTGAGAACGTAGCTGTAAACGTCCCAGTCGGTCTCTCGCTGGAGGAGCAAGATCACGCTCTCAAGCCACATGTTGACTTTCAAAACACCCACCAGCACTGGAGTAGAATCTGGAGGACTGGAGATTTCATTGTTCTGCGTGTGAGCAAAAACAAAGGGACTGGATTCCTCAGATGGCTGTTCAGGAAGGACCTGGGGTTGTGAGTAGGTCCAAACAGGAGGAGTCAACTTTGACCCACGAGCAGAAATAGAGCCTCGTGGACCTGACTTGGATAAAACACTCGGAAGCTCTTTCGCGGGTGTTCTTCCGCCCATTGGGGGGATTGGGTTATCCTGCTGTGGAATGTCCCTTATAGAACCGTCACCGGGTGCTTGCAATTTGGAACCGACATCGACATTTCGACCCAGAACATTCATCAAAAAATCATTTTCAGAAGTTGAAACCACTGTGATAGCCCCGATTGAATCACACCGAAGCCGAAACAGTAGCTTCAAGACAGTGAGACGAGCGTCCGCTGGGTGATCAGGGGACTGCGCGATTTGTAGCAAGGCCTCAAATACAATGATGGACTTGGCCGCTGAGGAGTTCAAGGCACGGAGCAACATCTTCACAAGACCTACGGCGCAAACATTTCCCAATGTCAGCTCTAGGACGCTTGTAGATGTGCGGCGCGGATAGGCGTAGCTTGGTGAAGGTTCGTGAGGTTCATCTTTTGGGGGGTCTCTCTTCATTGGACCCGAAAGGGTGTCGACCAGCTGCTTGAAGATTCCGTCGTCGTTTGCATAGAGCGCATGTTCTGTGACGAAAGAAACAAGTGACTCCAAAAAGAGGAGGTCATTCTCTGCAGCAAAATCATGGAGTAGAAGACCTAGAAGGCCGTGTTCTTCCGAAAATAGTAAATGCTCATGGCCTGTAAGAGCCTCTTTCAGCGTGTCTAGGGCTAGTATGCGAATGTCCGAGGACTGTTTCCGAGGCTGGATGAAGCGCTCAATGATATCCCGACAATTTTGTACCCAGGCAGGATCCTCGGAAGGATGGCAAAGGGTATCCTCTCTCGTCATGTTGATTATGAGTTCCGATTGAGAAGAATCAATGTGCTGATGATTCTTTGCCAGGAACCGAACCGCCTGTTGTTTTTGTTCTCTGTTAAGCTGTTCCCAGAGAAACTCCAGAACAGATGATATACGAATCATGTTTGCAAGGATATACGACTTGGTATCATCGTACGTGTTCTTGCCATGCGATTGGTGTGGGCTGGCTGGGGAAGTAGCCAGATCCTCGTATTCATCAAACACTCTTCGGGAGCAGAGGAGCAGGAGGTTAACAAAGCCCGTCCAATTATGGGCGAGAGTGACGCGAAAATAATCACTCTCTAGAATATTGAGACACAATTCCAGAATATCAGCGTCAACTCGACCGTCATCTTTCTGTGCAATGACCACGAGAGAGTCGATCAATTGGTCGAAGGAAATTTCAGGCATTCCATCCTGGCCATAAGCGCGAGCAAGGTCGGAGAAGACATAAAGAGCTCCACGGTGGACGTTCAAGTTCCGAGGAACATCTTCGGTACACGATTCTCTCAAGAAAGTGTGGAGAGCGGTCACCATTTCTACCTGTTTTCGTGACTTTGCCAGGCTCCGCACAGCCCGGGACGTTGGCCCGGAAAGAGGCTTGACGGAAGCATGGATACTGCAGAGAACTTCCAGAAGAGGGACAAAGCTTGCATCGGGCACGTCTGCATACATAATCACCGCATCGAAGACGGCCAGCGAGTTCTTGATATCCGTGGCAACGCTGGTCTTCTTGCAGATCGTGAAGGTCTCTGTGAGAAGCGACTCGATTTCCTCCTCGGTTGGCGGCTTGCGCTGCAGAGTGATTAGATCCACCGCAAACTGGAAGAGATCTCCCAGAACAAGCTCATCTTGAACTAGCTCGTTCGGCTTGAGCACTTTCCCCTTTTTCGCCTTGGAGCGTGCTATAGAAATCGCTCCGTACAGGGGTACGATCCATGAGGAAATGATATGAAGGATGGAAGAATTGGTGAAGTCCAGCTTTCTGCCATGATCTGACAGAGCGATCAGTGACTGGACCCGGGAAGCAATCACGTCGGGTTCGGTCTGGCGTGCGATAGACTCGAAGACCACGCTTCTGGCAGAAGGAGACAGGTCTTGACGGGATGCGATTGTCTCCAACAATTTGGCTCCGCTTTTCTGGGCATCGGTCGAGCTCTCATGATGAAGTAGGTACTCCGCCGCTTCCCACAACACAACGGATTGCTCAGGAGTAAACCACGACAAAGTTCTCGACACGACCTCTGCCTCTTCAATTGCCTGGTTCAAGCTCTGCCTCTGCGACAGATTCCGCAGAGACAGATCGAAGTCAGGGCCATTAGGCGTGTCCGAGGAACTCGAAACGACACTTCCGCGATGCATGCCTTCGAGTCCAGGGACTAGCCGATTGGTCCCTCGGCCGTCTGTCGTGTGGGATACGGAGTCACTGCTGCTTTCCTGCAAGGAGACGGGAGAATGCGATTTCGGACGACCAACGCCTAGTGTCTTGAAGACATCTGCGAAACTGGAGGAAGAGGGTTTGTGTTGGGGTGCTGGTGGAGCATCGTCGGAAGACATCCGCCTGATAACGGTAGATAGAACTTTGAGTCAAGGATGTGGGGTGCCTTTATCAGATAGACAAGTCAGTATGAGCCATTCCATCACCTGAGTCACGGATAAGACTATCAGGAGAATCGAGATAGGGCACCCACAAGGTCCACCACGGAGTCTCACCTTTGCTCAGAGAGGATGATAAGAGCTTTTCACCACAAGGGTAGCCCCTAGAATATAGCGGCGCACATTCAGAGACTGACACAACGCACGGTGGAGCTGTAACAAAAGTACAATGCCGGCCGTCCGTGTCAAAGCGGGACCGGTGCGAACCGATGAGCAATGGATTGGACTAGTGCGTGAGAGCCACAGGATCGCTGCAGACCAGATAGGAAGAACCAGAGGCTATATAGCGCAAACGACGAGGGATGAGAATAGCAGGCGAAGAGGTGGCAGGGGAGAAAAGATTACAGGGAATGAGTTTATTCCAGCCTAAGTCACCTGAGGAGTCCATGATGTGCACCCACCGCCTTTATGCTGAAGCAGAAAATCGAAAGCCAAAGTCAAAGTGGGGGGCCAAAGGCGGTGAAGGCAATAAGTTACGAAGCTGCTATTCCTGCCTCAGGCATTAATATTGCCTCATTCGGAACAGCGCGAGCATGTGACGGGCTAGCCATATCAGGACTAGTCTGTTGACGCAGTGGGCTGCCCGTACAATTATCAGCAAAGCCGCCCTCATTATTTATTATGGTGGCTGCTGTTTGAGCTCTGCTTTGTCCCGGCTCCCATTTAGCCATACTTTTACCCCTTCCACTACCTTCTCTTCTGGAGGTATTTCACTTCGATCTTCTCTGGGCTCCCTATCTCCATCTCCTCTTGAGGACTTACCCCTCGCTCTTGTTGATACCCCACGTCCCGGTCAAAATGGCGGAGGCTCTTGGAGCTTTGCTGGAGGCCAGCTTGGATCCGCGACGAAACAAGGAAGGTGAGTCCACAGGTGCATTCGAATAGTATACGGAAGCATGTCTAATTACTTTCTACGACTTGCTTAGCCGAGCTTGCTCTGCGCCAGGAAGAACAGAATCCAGGCTTTTCGCTGCAACTCCTCCAGATTTCGGCGTCGGAGGCCTACCCCAGCAACATTCGCCTTGCTAGTGCCCTTTGCTTCAAGAACTTCGTTAAGCGTAACTGGACCAATGAGGATGGAAACTGGAAGCTGCCGCAGAATGAGGTTGAGACCATCAAGCGCGAGCTGATCAACCTGATGATCTCAGTCCCTCCCTCGATTCAGACTCAGTTGGGCGAGGCTGTCAGTGTGATCGCCGACAGTGACTTCTGGGAGCGATGGGATACTCTTGTTGATGTAAATTGTTGAGGCACTGAATTGTGTTGGAAGAGCATGACTGACCTTCTTTTCACACCCACCAGGACCTTGTTTCGAAGCTGTCCCCGTCAAACCCTACGGTCAACATTGGTGTTTTGCAAGTTGCACACTCGATCTTCAAGCGTTGGCGGCCACTCTTCCAGTCGAACGAACTCTACAGGGAGATTAATCACGTCCTTGAGAAGTTCGGCACTCCCTTCCTGTCCCTGTTCGAGGTAATTTGGATCCTTTTTTTAAAGCTCTCCATCAATAGACAGACGGCATGCTAAACCTCGGCCTTCTTCTAGGGACTGGACAACTACCTCGAACAAAACAAGACCAACAAAGAGAACCTGATACAAGGTTACAACCAGCTTAATCTGATGATTAAGCTATTCTACGATCTCTCATGCCATGACCTTCCTCCTATGTTCGAAGATAATATCTCTGCGATTGCGCAGATCCTGCTCAAATACCTCACATACGACAATCAACTACTGCACACGGATGATGACACAGAGGCGGGTCCGTTGGAGTATGTCCGTGCTGGAATCTTCGAGGTTCTGACCCTGTACGTCCAGAAGTTCTTGGACGCGTTCGGACCGCATGTTGGACAGTTCATTCAAAGCTCCTGGAACTTCTTGACAACCATCGGCCAGGAGACCAAGTATGACATTCTTGTCAGCCGCGCACTCCACTTCTTGACGTCGGTCGCTAGCATGCCCGAGCATGCCGGTTCCTTCCAGGCCGAAGAAACCCTGAGCCAAATTATTGAGAAGGTTATTCTGCCTAACGTGAGCCTGCGTAAGTCTGATGAGGAACTGTTTGAGGATGAGCCGATTGAGTTCATCCGACGGGACCTAGAGGGATCTGATAGCGAGACCAGGCGGCGTGCCGCGACTGACTTCCTTCGACGACTTGCGGAGAAGTTTGAGGAGTCGGTGACCAAGGTGACGCTCAAGTACACCGAGCACTACCTGGCCGAGTATGCCAAGGACCCTGTCTCAAACTGGAAGTCCAAAGATACGGCAACCTACCTCTTCTCTGCAATTGCAGCCAAGGGCGTGGCCACGTCTACCCACGGTGTCACTGCTACCAACAACTTGGTCAGCATCACCGACTTCTTCCAGCAGCATCTCGCCGCAGACCTGATCTCGGATGACGGAGTTCACCCAATTCTCAAGGTTGACGCTATCAAGTACCTGTACACTTTCCGCAGCATCATCACAAAAGAGCAGTGGCAGCAAGTGCTTCCTGTCTTGGTGAAGCACCTAGCCTCGGAGAACTACGTTGTCTACACATACGCTGCGATTGCGGTGGAGCGGGCTCTCTTCCTCAGTGATGGCCAGGGACACCCCGTCATCCCCCCTGCTGAGATCACACCACTGTCGAACCAACTCCTGGAGCACATCTTCCAGCTGATCCAGCGAGATCCGGCCCCCGAGAAGGTGCAGGAGAACGAGTTTCTGATGCGCTGTGTAATGCGGGTTCTAGTTGTCATTCGTGAGGGTGTTGTCCCTTTCACGGATGTCGTGTTGAACCGTTTCATCACCATTACGGATATCATCCGCACCAATCCCAGTAACCCCAAATTCTACTACTACCACTTTGAAGCCATGGGTGCTTTTATCCGGTAAGATTTACTGTCCATGCCGCACGTGCATCATATAAAAGGCTAACACGTTCCAGATTTGCAGCCCCCGCGAATCCCGATAAGCTTGAGCAGGCTCTTTATACACCATTCGCTGGTATTCTCCAGAACGATGTGCAAGGTAAGCTAACGTCTTGGCATGAAATGTGGATTGTACCTTGCTAATTCATTGTTACAGAGTTCATGCCCTATGTGTTCCAGCTCTTCGCGGCTCTGCTTGAGGCCAACCCCTCCGCAACTCTGCCCACCTACTACCAGGAGCTGATCGCGCCCATCTTGATGCCGGTCATGTGGGAGTCTCGAGGAAACATCCCCGCACTTGTGCGGTTGATTTCCTCTATCATTCCACGTGGTTCCCTGTACATCGTTGAGCACAACCAGGTTGAGCCCATTCTGGGTATCTTCCAGAAGCTGTTGTCGACCAAGACCAACGAGGGCTATGGCTTTGATCTGCTGGAATCGGTTGTCTCAACCTTCCCACCGTAAGTCGCTAGGTTTACTCAAGCCTGCAATGGGTTGTAAAGCTAACGTCATCAACCAGCACCGTTCTCGAGCCGTACTTCATCCAGATCATGCAGATCATCCTGCAGCGTCTGCAGAACTCCAAAACCGAGAACCTGTCGCTCCGATTTGTCCGATTCTACCACTTCCTGACTGCCCATGATGACAAGGGATATAGCCCAGACACTATCCAGCAGGTGTGCGAAAAGATTCAGCCAGAGTAAGTTGACCGCATTATTTGTATCTGTTGCTTTACTGACTAACAATCCTGCAATAGCCTCTTCAAGGACGTCTACCTCAGACTCGTCCTTCAAGATACCCAAAAGCTCGCGCGGCCGCTTGACCGTAAGACTGCAGTTCTCTCCCTCACCAAGACTCTTGCCAACTCGGAGGCCTTTGCCTCCAAGTACATCAAGGGTTGGGCCTTCACCTGCAACACTCTCCTCAAGCTCCTTGAGCTTCCTCCAGAGGTTGTCCACAAGGATGACCTCATCGAGGTTGATGCCGAGGAGATGTCTTTCGGTGTGGGCTTCACCGCGCTGAATACCATTCGCATGCAGCCCAGGGACCCTTGGCCCGAGACCGGCGCCGATCTGAAGGCCTGGGTAGGATCGTACCTGAAGGAGGCCGACAAGAAGCACGGTGGCCGGGTCTCGCAGTTCGCGCAGGAGCGTCTTGACGACCAAGCCAAGGCTGTGCTGGGAAGCTATATTTCCTAAACGCTTTGGCCTTAGGCGGCCAAGCCAGACGACGAGTTACTGAGAGAAACAGTTGTGATTTACCTTCATGCCCGAGAAAACACAAAAAGTTGACCCTTCCAACGCGCGCTATGGCCCCCCCTCGAAATGTTGGGGGATGGTGCGCATGCAATGATCCGTGGGCTCTTGCTCAGTCATTAATTTGATAGGATGGATGTGCCCAATGAATATTTGCAAACAGATCTGTTCCCTGTAGTATGCGCCGTGCCTGAACGCCCACCCCCAGTACCAGTAATATACATTCTAAAAACACCGCACAATCATCCAGACATCACGTCGACTGTCCCTTCTCCAACTTCCCCTCCTGTGCTTCTCGTTCGTCAACTCCAGCTTCGACACCCTCCTCCTCCAAATCCCCACTGCCATCCTCTTCCGCTTCCTTCTCCAGACCCCGATACTTCCTCCTCGTTTTCTTCAACCTACTCGCCTTCTTCTTCCGCGCCGCCTCCGTCTTTAGCGCAACCCGGCTCTGGTCCCCCTTCTCCTGCACCTCCACTTTATCCGCCAGTAGCTGGCGTGCAATCTTCTCGTTTTGCGAGCGTGACCGCGTCGCCTGGCACTTGACGACGATGCCAGATGGTGCGTGGATGATTTGGACGGCGGAGTTGGTTTTGTTCTGCGCTAGTCAGACACACATGTCCAGGGGGAACCTTAGTTGCTCGAATGGGCTATGGATTTGCATACAATCTTCTGGCCGCCCGGGCCGGTACCCTTGAGGTAGGATATTGTCAGGTCGGCATCGTTGATCTTCAGGCGAGCCGGGAGTGGTTTTGCGGGGCAGGAGGGCGTTTGGGTGAAAGGGCGGCGGGCAATTCCAGTCCCTGACGGGGAAGAAGTCACATCTAAACCTAAGATTGAGAGACCTCGGGATATCCGGGGCCAAGGGTGTGGGCGCAGCATTGTGGTTGTGTCTTGTGCAGGACTGGCCGGATGTGCTGTTTGGCGAATAGCTTCGCCGGTAGCTGATAAGATAGCGATAAGCTCAATCGAACTCGATAAACTCCGGGGCTTCGCGGATGCTTTTTTCGGCTTCCGGCTTAAGATCCACTGCTACGGGCGGAGTTGTGCGTGCATTAGGATTGGTATTAGGATGGTGAGTGCATTGCAGGTCTGCAGGAATGTATTTGGAATTCAGTGAGAATCATGGGCTATATGATCACAGCTACCTAGTGCATCAACTGGAAGTGCACTGCCTGACCAAAGGAGTTACTATCCCGTTCTATGAATCATTGGCCCGTTCCGAATTGAACAGGCACGGTGTGAGCTTTTGCCGAATGGAGACGTTTAAACTCTTTCTAGGCAGTATAGCCGCTAACATGCTCGTGATATCTAGATTTCCTAACTAGTTCACCGATAGATTGATGTGTGTAGCTTTCGGCTCACGTCCACTAAAGACTCCCTAGTCCCCGCTAAGGAGTTGAGAGTGTTGGGTTCTATCAGTAGCTTCAGCATATTATCGCAGCGTATCGGCTTCTTCGGCTCCGAAGCCGCGGATTGGAGTAGTGAACAGCGCCGGCTCGGTCGCTTTAATTATACACGCATATTTATGCAACACCGGAGGGGGGGCGGTTGACGTACACTTAGTGGGACAGTCCAGGAAGTCAATGAGCACTGATAGGTTAGATAGGCTCGGACCGACTGTCCGCGAGAGAATAAAAATAATACGAGCATACGAGACCCTGATTGACAGTTTCACATATGAAACACAGCCTGGCCCCGCGCGGGAGGTGCAGGGCCGAGTGGTGGCAACGCGAATGTCCCGAGTGAAAAGTCAAAGTCGGAAGAAGGTAAAAGGGGAGTGTCCATTGGATTTTCCGCCTTTGCGACTCCCGATTCCACCACCACCTTACGACTGTCGCTCGCCCCTCCGGTCGCTCACGTCCACCTTATCGTTATCTTAGTCTTCTATTCTCCTTTGACTCCTGGCGCATCCGCTCGTGCCTCAATTTCTGCCAACCTCACCGTGCCTGCCAACACGAACCACACCACCTGCTGCGTCCCCACAATTGTCGGCCTTCACCAGCACCCAGCAAAACGTGTCGATCACTCCAGCGCTGCTCTCTCTCGATCCTGACTGTCTTCACAACACCATCGTGGCATAGGGCTCGCTTTTACCCGACCATCCATCCCCCAATCCCTTCCGCCATCCTTCCGAAGTCCAGGTGGGCCAGCAAGACCGGCGGACTCAAGTTGAGATTATCGGCTCTCCAAAGAGAACAACCCCCTTTGCAACGCCGTCACTTCGTTTCTGTTTGTGGATCTAGGTGCTACAACAGCAGGCCGTACTCCGGGTGTGGGTTTAACCTTGCTGTCAACGTCTCCGATCTTCGATTGCGTCGCCACAGAATAGAAGACAAGGGACGAACTGTCCTGATCACGCTCTTCCGTACGAAGCGATCCAACCGGACAAGACAATTGTCGCTGCAATAATGGCTCTCCTTCTCTGGATCCTGACGAGCCTCGTGCGCTGGGTGCGCCTGAAGATCTACCAGTATGAGGTGACCTTCGCCATCTACATGCTCACGCCGACCGAAAAGTTCATTTTCAGTACGTGACCTTTCCCTACTTGATCTCCCCTGCAGATCATTGAGCTAATCCCTTGCGCGTCCGGTGTCACAGATTCCCTCATCCTCACCCTCCTCACCATGATTGCCACTGGCATCTATATCTACCTTCCAGACCACATTCGCTCCATCTACGGCCACCTGTACTACTACTGGGTCGGCGAGCGCCCCTTCATCTCCACTCGTCTGACTTCCTCAATGGGCTCAGTTTTCGGTGACGCGGCCACCCAGAGTCTCGAGGTTGTCTACGAGACGGCAAAGAATGCGGCCGCCATGACAACGCAGCATCTTGCTGAACTGTGACATTTTGCCTAGTTCTAGTGGAGCTGAGAGGAGTGGGGGAGAGGAGTTGGAATATCTCGAAGTCCAGTCCGGTGTCAGCACGTGCCCCACGCTCGATGTCCACCGCCCGGCTGGCGCATCCTTTGCATTTGGTGTTTCCCCCTTTGAATTATTGTGTCTTCTGGTTTTGAGGGCAGACTGCATATTGGCTTTCCACCATGGCTTCTTGCTGGAGCCGCCCCTTTTCGCCCGGGTGCTCGTTACGAGCTGTTGCATCGATATCCATGCCTTGCTAAGCGAGTGAAGACTCTTTATCATCAATTGATACCCTTCTGTGCTGTCCAAACGGTTCCTGGTTGGTGACGATGACAAGTGACCCATGAAACGTTTTATGGATGATTATTTTCGATGGCTTTTGGGTTTCTGCACATAATCTCGTGTACGGCGGGACAGGGCCTACCTATATGCTTAATGAGGCAGCCCGCCTGGTAATATATAATGTAATATAGACATAATGAAGATGAATAAAGAATACAGAGTCGTACTTGTAAACCCGGACCCCTAAACGCCCAATATGCCCAGAGCAGAGTGTTGTACAAATCATCTGTCCCTCATACAAGTGCAACTCCAACACATGCCAATTGGAGCTATCGGCTTCGACGCCCCACGGGAGCAAGAGCATGAGAGCCAAGGGACATGCGCTTGGCTCTCGTGTTCACATGGGGGTGCGACGGACGTCGTAGTCCTGTCGGCGTTCCGTCGGCTCAATAAGTCTGCCTTTCTTTCCTTGCCCTTCTCGATTGTACGACTGTTCCTCATTGACTAGCCTGGGACTGCTGTGTATCCGCCTGCGCCTGCGCCTGGGCTGCCAACGCCTCCTGCTCCTTCTGCTGTCGCTCTCGCCGGAGAGCATCCGCCATGCGCATGCGTGAAAGCTCCTTATCAATCTCCTCCTTGTCCAGCGGGATCTTGTGTGATTGTTCGGCAGTGGGCCAGAAGCCCTTCACGTTGAAGCGATCGTCGAGGTTCGTGCCGAAGTAGTACATCCATCCGATAGGAAAGAGGACATACATGCCGAACTGGAGAGAGAACAGATTAGTACAAGCCGGAGATAAGCCGTTATAGAAGCATTGGAAGGAAAGAAACTGCAGAGGTTTGGAAGACATGTAGATGAGCGCGGAACTGACCTTGAAAACTTCCAGGTTTCCACCCTGGAGCCGGCGGAGGATGTTTGGGATCATTCTGGCAGACGCTATGCTCGGTAATGGTGCGGCAGGGATAAAAAGAATTCAAATTTCAGCACCTCCGGGAACCCTCCAGTGCAAGCAGTGGCCGGTCAAAAGGTGATGCAAGACTCGGGATCTGAATGGTCCGATGCGCCAGTCACGGGCCTGATTATTCAGACGCCGAAAAAGGGAACAAACAGCACAAACACAGCGCATCTACGTTCCTATGCGCTTTCCCTTTCAGTCTTGCTGCTTAGTCCCTCGCTGTTTTTGCTCACTGGGTAGACCTGCTCAGTGAGTATTATACAAGCTTACTGACCTGATCACTGAGCACAATCTGGTGGATTGCAACCTCAAATAAATGCAACACGCTAACTTGGGATATCTTGGACACTAATGTGTCGCCCTCACTCACTTCTCATCCGGGCGGGACCAACGCGACCTCTCGCTGCTCATATATCACCAGTTTAATAGTTAATCATGTGGAATTAAAGACTCTATAGAAAGCAGGCTGCGTCCAGTCACAGGTAGGATCCTTAAATATGAGGATGGAAAGAGAGCTAGAGCCTCATCTTTGGTGGGGACGGACGATAGTCTGTCTGGCACGGCGCCGACCTCGGCTCCGTGTCGGCTTCGTCCACATCTCGACTAAATTCCAATTCCTGTTCTGTATGGAGCTCCGGATGGTCGGTGACTCTTGCTTTGATAACTTGCAGCACACCATTCTGCGCACCATTCGTATTTGTAGCCGCCTGGGCAAAATCAGCTGACGAGATCACTGCTTTACTGTAGTAGCCCCACTTCCCCATTTCCACCCGCCACTTTCTCTTCTCTTCCTCCTACTATTTTGATATCTTCTTACTACACGAAAGTGTTCAAGGCAGTCTGATCCCTCATTAGTTGTTGCTAGTCAATCGCACTCGCCAAATTTCATAGATCATGGCGGAAATACTGGGAGCCACAGCCAGTGTCATCAGTTTTTTCACTCTGTTAGAGCAAATCGTCCAGAGCATAGACAAGCTAAAAGCTGTACATTCATTCATCAAGAATGCATCCACGGAGTTTCAAGGGTTTATTGATGAGATTGAGCTTGTTCAGATTATTTTGGTAAGATTGAGGCCGGAAATGCTGGAAGCTATCAATCTTCCGTCCACGAAGCGACGTTTGCGCGTCTTTCAAAACGACTTGGAATCCCTTGCGTGTAAAATACACAAGTTTAAGGATCAAAGCGCGAACAGCAGGCTGGCAATCATGAGACTTGCCTTGAAAAGAGAAACACTCCAAGTCCAGAGACAGAACCTGGAAAATATCAAGACCACACTTTTGCTCCTTCAGCAAGCATACTGCAGGTTAGTTTCTCAATCAGCCTGTTCTTCACTGTGCGATGCTCTGGATGCCGAAGCTTCAGTTTATGTACAACTGACCTTTTACGTTATACAACCAGCACCTCCATACGAGAACTGAAGCTAATGGTTGACTCATCTGTTATATCGAGATCTCCTACAGCTTTGCCTGAACGACGTCAAGATTTAGAACTGTGGTAAATGGGACCCCCATTCGATAAACGTTTCTTCCGCTTATATGCAAAAATAGGCCTGAAATCCCAAGGGAAAAGCAAAAACAAGACTCACGACAGAACAATCGTAACGGGGGAAGATTCTGTTTTCGCACACCACTCATTTTCGTGGATAAACTCTGGACAATTAATTATTTCCGCAATTTCTCGGCCTGGACTTTCAAAATTCGCGTCAATAATGTCTTACCATCAAATTCTCAAATATTCGGGCTCTGCGCTCTTGGAAAAGTCGAAGAAATTCGGAAATTATTCACAAATCGCCTCGCGTCTCCCTTGGATTGTAATCGTCATGGACAAAGTCTGTTGCACGTAAGTCTAACATGACTACCTATCTTAGCTTTTTGCTCATGTGGTTCAAAACTTTCAGGTAGCCGCTCAACATTGTCAATTGGGGGTCTGTCAAATGCTGCTGGAAAATGGTGCTGATCCAGGCCAGAGAGATAAATGGGGGGCGTAAGTATTTCTGGGCTTGAATATGTCTTGTATTGAAGCTATCTGCTAATGACACTTAGTATTCCTCTCGGCGAAGTAAACTCAGCTGCTGGAGAATGCATTGAGCACCCAGAAAAAGTTCCCTTACTCCTCGAATTGTACAGACTCTTTGTTCGCGAGTTCGGAGACGAGCTATTTGAAGACCTTGACAGAAGGTGGCGAGCTACATCTGGCTTCCAAGGCCCCCCCGAGGCTCTCTCTTTAATACAGGGGCATTTTTTCAAGTCCTATTCCGATTTGTCCCTTGATGTTCGGTTTAAGCGGACAATGACCCTTGATGACTGGTGGGTGCGTGCAAGCCCAAGTACGCTCCGAATAGCGATGGGCGGGGATCATATTGACCCTGCCGCCTACTTACTTGAAGATGATAACGGAGAAACTCTCCTATATCGGATTGTGCAGAGCATGGCCGTTGATTTCGCTGAAAAAAGGAGCAGGGACAACCCGAAGTGGCGCCAGCTGCTTTCTGAAGCAATCGCAGCATCTGCCGATCCCTGCCATTTGTCATATAAGTACGGAAGGCCGAGGACGCCTCTAACAGAATTTCTCCGATATTTCACCAAGAATTGGACAGAAATTAGGCGAGCGGGTTATAAGTTTCACTCCATTATTCAGTCATGGGCATTAGAGCTTCAATTGGCTGGTGTTGATTTAGAAAAATATGGGGCGAAGGAGAAAGCACTACTTATGTCTGGTGTTGTTGATCCGGATGTCTACATATACGTTGGCCTTCAAAGATCCGGCCCGGGGATTTATCCTGGAAAAGGGGAACATCTTCACTTTCACTTTCTGTCACTTGAATTTGGGCCAAGTCCAAAAGACTGGAAATTATGGGCCTCCAATCCGGTGGATGAATTGGTATGGCAATTCTGGGGGATGGTAGAGAAGAGGGAGCAAGTTATGCCAGGTACATGGATAGATTAGTCACATGCAGCTACTCTGAGTCCTGCTTCTCTAATGTGATCCTCCTAGTAGCCATACGGTCATCAGGCATTATCCAATTAACGAGTTACCACTACATCGCTAGGTCCCTGGCCCATGATTCAGCCTGCCATCTTATTTCCTATTTCATTTTGACGACAACACAAAATTTTTCTTATGAGAATTGCAGGCTTTAATGCCCTCGTTGGGTCAACTGTTTTTAATCCAAGTACCCACATTCGTCAACGAAAGAATGATTGCCTTTCTCTAGCGAAAATGCCCCAATACTAAGACAAAAACTAAGAACATAAAGATAGTCAAGTAAAGTAAAAGAACAGAAGAAAGCCGCGTGAAAGTTTTAGAGGGAGGCAGAATGATATCGATTTATAATTTAGTGTTTAAGCACATATCTGTTTTTTTCCTATGCCTTCCATTTTTGCGGCAAATTTTTTCCCCTTATTTTGCTCCTTTCTAGAAGAATGATAGAATTGGCGGGTAGGGCACCCTCATAGAAACGGCTACAGCTCAGAGAGGAAAGCCCCATCCGGTAGAGGAAATATGGTATTTATGTAGTTAACTGACTGGTGAATTAACTTGGAGTGACCAGTATGCTACTTAGCCTGAGCTGCCTTCGAAGTCACCTGACCTACCGCGGGCCTCGGCTTGCGCTGTTCCCCCGCAAAATGGTTGGCTAATCTGCTGCCTTTGCCCCGAGTTTACCGGGGGTGCTTACGCGAGTATATGATCGTCGGTGCTCGCAAAAGACCTCCTCCCGAACCCGGATTGATTCATTCTGAGCCATTACAGCATAATTCATACTGAAACTCGCCAACCATGTCCAACGAACAGATTGTCACGCTTGCTTATCAAGACCGTGTTGCGATCGTCACGCTCAATCGGCCTGACAAGCTGAACGCTCTCAACCAGGACCTCTACTACCTCCTAGGCGAGCGTCTACGAGAGATTGACCAGCGCGATGACATCTACATCACCGTGCTGACCGGCACAGGCCGATTCTTCTCCGCGTACGATCTACCACACCATGTCCCCCATTATCATCCAATATTGACCCAAACTAACTCATCTCACTTTGCCCAGCGGTGCAGACGTAACCGTCAGCCGCCCGGACAGCGATCTGGGCTCCTGCGTGCGCCGTGACCTCGTCAAGGGCTTCGTTGCCAACAACGTCGACGTAACCCGCACCTTCTACAACCATAGCAAAATCCTCGTTGTAGCTCTCAATGGGCCGGCCGTCGGCCTCTCTGCAGCGCTGATCGCCCACGCAGACTTTATCTACGCTGCCCCGCACGCCTTCCTGCTAACCCCATTCTCATCCCTCGGCCTCGTGGCCGAAGGCGGCGCCAGCCGTGCATTCGTCGAGCGTCTGGGAATCGCCAAGGCCAACGAGGCGCTCCTCATGAGCAAGCGGATTCCCTGCGAGGAGCTGCTGGCGGCTGGGTTCGTGAACAAGGTCATCAAGGCTGATTCCGGCAACAGAGAGGACTCAGCGGGCTTCTTGAAGAATGTGTTGGCTGAGGTCGATGATCGGTTGGGCACGCATTTGAACCAGTCGAGCTTGTTGAAGATTAAGGAGCTGGTGCGGCGACCGGAGCGGGAAATTCTGGATCGTCAGAATGGAATTGAGGCGTTCATGGGTCTTGAGCGGTTCCTCATGGGCGTGCCGCAGGAGGAGTTCCGGAAGGTGGCTTCTGGTGAGAAGAAGCATAAGCTGTAGGTTGGGAATGAACCAGGTTTCAAGCTAACTTATCATATGTACATACTGGCTTGGAAGATTTAGACCCGCCAGAAGACTTCTGCCATTGCCCGTCTTGTATATAACTGGAGGAATGTAATACCCGAGGTAGTAGACACAACAGGGGCCGTATGCTTGATTACCGGCTCACAAACGGTTGATTTCAGATTTTCACTTTTGTTGAATCCATATGTAAATGCACCAGACAACGCCACGGAAATCCAACAATGCCGGGCAAGTCAACGCCTCTTCCTCAATGCACAGTCTTAAATGAGCTAATATCTAATCGGACTCGCTGCCAGCGTTCAGATCCTCTTTCTCCTGTTGCTTCAGAATGTCTTGCCACTTGCCCAGAAACTCGCTCATCCCACCAGGTCCAGCCAGCGAAGCATCCACAAGCTCCCTCGGCACCTTGTGTGCCGAGTACTGCGGTGTATTGAACGAATACGATTCCGGATCATCCTTCCTGATAAGCCGGAACTCTGGCAGGAAGGGTGCGAACTGGTCGTCACCCTCTCCGGCAGCGTCGACAGCATCCTCCTCTTCCGAGGCGGATTCTGTCTCAGTCTCGTCATCGGACAAAGGGGTGATGACGCTGCCGTCCCGAAGGGAAATTCGGACAAACCCTTCAAGCCCGTTATCTCCCTCTTCCTCCTTAAATCCAATGGGATCCTTCATCCGCAGGATTTCAAGCCAGCTGAAGAGCAGCGGGTCTGTTCGTTGAGCCCAGGGGTTGATGTCAATTAGCCAGACACGCTGATGCGGCGCTGGAACGTATACATCGAAGACAAAGTTGGGGTCGGGGAAGGTGTCCCGCAGCTTCTCATCGAAAAACGACTGGATCCGTGACCGGAGCATGTCGCGCATGCCGAAGAGAAAGTCGAAGTGATTCTGGTCGCGCTGACACATGCAAAGAAGCTTGCGGTTTCGTACGAAGCATCGGAACTCGAGAGAAGGGTTGAAGTTGACGTATTGGCGGAGCACTAGGTGATAAGGCACCTCCGGCAGGCCGCTTTCTGGGGTGTCGCTGGTGGCAGAGGCGTGGGTGTCACTTGGATGATCCGCTACGCAGTCGTCGAAAGGATGGTCGAGATCGTGTGTAATGAAGTCGCTACTCTTGAGGAGAAGATAGATGTCATTCGGCGAGCGGCATTCGGTGTCATTTGTGGCGGACATAAACGTCGCGTCTTTGGGAGCGCTCCAGTTCAGCTTGGGTGTGACCTTCCCGCCTAATTCCGAGATGGTATTCTTTATCTGTGCATGGATCTCTTTCCACTCCGTGGAAGGATCTGCCTCCCCCTCCTCGGAGTCTGCGTAGGAATCGAGCTCATCATCTTCCCTTGGAGGCCTTGCTTCATGTGGAAGGACGATGCCGTCGGCACGGAGGTAATCAACGAAAGGGCCCGTGAGAGGGATAAGGCGGGATTTTGGAATGAGGGGGCGATAACTGTAAGATAAAGTTAGACATGCCCGTAAAGATGTTTTCTGAAGGAAGCAAGAGCATACCGAGGGTGCCAGTCATGGTAAGAGCAGTGAAGGATGTGAGAATAAGTCACCGGCGGAAAAGGCAGACGATCCGGCAGATCGCTGGAAGAAGCGTCAACCGGAGCATCAACCGTCTCCATCAGCGGCATTTCGGATCTTCCTATGTCAAAAGTGTTCTGGAGAAGTCACGGAGGGGAATCGCGGGGACGATTTTCTTTTGAGTCACCTGCCGATAACGATAGGTGACATAAGCACGCGGTCATCTCAGGCCCCGGCTGAGTTGGTGATTTGGTCCCAACGCAGCCTCGAGCTTCTCCTAGCACCATTGCAAGCATGGCCCCTGAGGCTCCAGACCCCGAGAGCCTAAAGTCATGGCACGATGCTTTCCAGTACCCAATACCTACGGTTCGCCGTGTGGAGCAGGAACTGCGGCGGGACATTGCAAGCAATAAGGAGAAGCTCCGAGCTCTCGTGGGGTAAGTAGTCGACGATTGATGTCGAACATCGGTCGCGCGTGTTCTAACTTTGATGCTATGAATTCTAGGACGCGATACCGAGAGCTTGTTGGAACGGCCGAGACAATTGTGGAGATGAACAAGGAGATACAAGTGGTGGAGGCTACGTTGACGGACGTTGGACGGCGATGCAACCCGCGACTGGTAGAGAAAAAGCACCTTCATGCGCGGCAGATGAAAAGCGATACTACAAAGAACGGTAGAGCATATCGGATCTGTAATGAAAGACTCAATTGCTGACATATGAGTAGATGCTGATAAGCATGCCTTCGGAGCACAGCTTGCGCTCCTCCATCGCTGCACAACTTCTATTACGCGGCTATTGCGCAAGCGAGCTTCACTGTTGCTTGTTGCTAAGATTCTCGTTGTTTCTCGGCTCCTGCACAAGACTCTCTCGCAACACCCATCGACGCCACCGTTCCTGGACGATCTGCGCAACCAATTGGCCTCTCTACGCCGAACACTTCTGAAGCGAATTGACAAAAAATTGGCATCGGCAAATGGCACGGAGGATATCATCATCGAGTCTTTGGCTGCATTCTGCCTTGCGACAAGTTCTTCTTCCGACGATGCCATCCACCATTTGCACCAAGTCCGTCTGGATGTTATTACTAGTCAGTTGGATTCAGGTCGTGAAAATATCCCGAAGGCCCTTAGATTATTCATCCGCACACTACAGACCTCCAAGGTCCTTCGAGCTCGTCAATTTGCCGATGTTCTTTCGAAGCTTAAGGCAAGACCTATTCTCTCCGACCCAGAAATTCGCAATCTGGACGGACTTGAGATCGAGGTACTTGGTCGTTGGGCGGTCCCAGAAGTCAATAACTTCACCCCCTGGATCAAGTTGAGCGAACTCAACCGGTCTGAAGGAGTCCAGTCCATCAAGGAATGGTCTCTACAGGCATTCGAGAAGTTCGCAGAGGGCAGTCAAAGGTCTCTTGCCCATAGTAATGACTTCCATGATCTCCTCTCTTTGCGGGCTGATACCATCGAATTATGGCTGTCATCTTGGGGCTCAACCATCACACATCGATCTGTAGATGTTTTCGAACGCCTTCGAAACATCTTCAATGAACATCTGAAACGAGTTCTAGCCACCCAGGTCCAAACAGTTGATGACATCGCGAACCAGATTTCCTCTTCCATTTCAATATGGGAATCGTCTGAACATGTTTCAACTGGCTCTCTCTGGGACTCGGACCTCATTATTGCGGACTTCTCGAACGGGGCTGCCGTCTTCAAACAGACTGTGGCAGATCGCCTCCTTGGACGGGATGACGATGTGTCTTCTGTATTGAAGAAGTACCAGGCCTGGCTCGCCTCTATCCAGGAATTGAACGAATCTATTGAGGCTCTCCGTCGCCTTAAATGGACCGACATCCTCGTAAGCGGCGAAGTAGAGGACGAAGACATCGACGTCGCACCCCGACTCAATCACGAAGATCCTCGGATACTCTCGGATTCCCTCCATGCAGCTGTTCGGCAGGCGTTTGAAGCCCTTCAAACATCCTTCAGCGACAGCTTCAAGGCTTTCGGGTCCTCGCATCTGAACGAAAAGGCCAGATTTTTGCTCCGACTCGTCAGGCTTGTCCGTCGGGAGATCCCCGCCGGTTTCGTTGCAGAAGACTTATTCTCAGGCAATCTTGTTCCTGAGCTGCAGTCTCTGCTCGCCGCGGGTCTCGTGGCTCACACAGGCTCCCTGGCATTTGTGCCTGCATCCAACACGAATCCCGAGACAAATCAGTTCAAGACCGTGCCTAGCCGGTCCCTCTGGGAGGGTGAACCATCTGCACCTGTACAACCGTCGCCGAGTACCTTCAAGTTCCTACGTCGCTTGACTGGGGCTATGGATGAGAGTGGGCCGGACCTGTGGGACCCATCGACCGTGCAAGTCTTGAAGGACGCACTGAAGCAGCAATTGCAGGGCTCTCTCACTTCCACCCTTCAAGACCTAGAAAGTTGGAAGATTCTAGGCAAGGATGCCCCCAAATCCGATATCGAGGACGACAAGTCTACCGAGAACCCTGAACACAGAGAAAATGGAATCAATGCTGTGACCGAAAGCACGGAAACGGAGTCCGAGAAGCCATACGACAATTCCCAGACCGAGGTCTTGCGGGACTGGAAATTACAGCTGTACTTCGACGCCCTCTACCTGGCAAACATGCTAGGTGACCCGACTCAGCTGGCTGATGTCGTGGAGCGTATTCAGAAGAGCGCAGACCCCAGCGTTGAGACTGTGAAGGCCACCCGCAAGCTCGCTCAGAAATATTGGAAGCAGACAGAGCTGCTCTTCGGCCTGCTGGCAGAGCGGTAACTGTCTGTCACTTTATAGATGTGATTTATTTTTCTACTTCTTCCCTTTTGTTCTACTTAGCGTTTTGTTAGCATAGCAGAGTGTATCTCTGTCGCAAGTGTAATCTATGAATTACACCTCTAATGCGAGTGAAAATTTCTACATTGCGCGCCTGTCCATCACGGTGGAGTTGTCGGGCATCCATCTCAGTCCCCATAGACTGGGGTGAGAATCGCTTTACACTTTACAGGCAACCGACACTCCTTCGAAGTGTCTCTTTCCCTATACCTTACCAAAACAACAGATGCATACAGTCGGTCCGATCAAGTTTCCGCACACCCCCCTGCAATTTAACAATGTTATATGATATTCTGCCGGCAAAAGTTGCCATGGTAGCCATATTAGCTATACTAATATGTACGCATTTCTTAGTGCATTTCTTAGTATGTAGTATACTAGCTATCTGCCTCAATAATCGCCTGCACATGCCTAGGCATACTCTCTGATAGTCTCGGTAAATTCTTATGATCTATATAAGACCACGCGGTCTACGTAACTAATATTAGAAATCACCGCGTGTCTTCATTATTAGGCATATGATATAGCTTAGGAAAGATCTTCAACAGCTTATCTTTTAGCAACGCCTAGAGATTTTCGATAGGGTCAAGGCTGCAGATGCGCGAGCGTGTTCACGGAGAGAGTTCCTTGCCTACACCTATTATGTGTGTGTGTGTAGGATATAGAGTATGCAAGATAAAATAGGGGGAAAATCTTACATATCTCTTATAAGACGTGTTATTGATGTTATTATTGACGTTATTATTGACGTTATTATTGATGTTATTGTTGATGTTATTGTTGAGGTTTACTATTGATATATCATATTGATTGCTAGGCGTTGATGGTAGATTTGGTAGCCGGTAGTATATTAGGAGGTGGACGGGGTGTGCGGAAACATGTACGGAGCGACTGTATCTTAGTAGGTAAAAACATCCCTTAAACCTGGTTGTAGAGAAAAGATCCATCCGAGCTGGGTGATCCGCCGCTAAGAAGAACCAGCTTGAGGCCCGTCCACAAGACTCCACAAGATGAAGAGCATGGCATTTGTGAAATTCAGAATGAGCCGGCGCTTGGCTAATGCAGCTGTCATGCAAAATGGGGTCCTTTGCCTTTCGCGAGGCCAAAAGGAGACGTTATCCACATGGCCTTAGTCTATCGGCGTCGATGTGAGTAGTCATATGCAGGGAGTTTTAACGCCACAAACAAACCCCTTGCGGTGGATTGCTAGTCATTAAAAGCATAATCGGTGCACCATGCAATGAGCTTCGTCGCTTATCATGTTGTAGCCGTGCCAGGGTCTCACTCTCGTCGATACGTCGTATGCACACCGGCGCCAAAGGGCAGAACAGCCACCCAAGCGGCTTCCAGACCCCGATTGACGCTCCTGGCTGTCCCCTGGAGTCTGCAGTCAGACAGATAAGCATGGACGGCCAAGAATTGGCTACTGCATTAGGTTTGCGAAGGAGAAATCGGGACATGCAGTGCGTCGAGGTGTGTAAACCTTGGAAAGGGGCGGTTGATTTTGAGAGCAAGCGGTTTATAAGGACGAGGCGTCGCTAGTCGTCTCAAGACATTGGGACCTTTGAGCGTCTTGTTGAAACGCTTAGACCTTTCGCAGCGATGGTCTTGTTACGTTTCGTCTGGCTACTATGTGTCCTTGCGCAGGTGGCTGCGACGGCCCATCTCCCAATGGCGCAGTCATGCACGGCCGAAAGGACAACGATCCGCAAGGAATGGTACGGAGAACACTTGTTTGCTTTACGCGTCGTTGATCATATTGTTGATGAAGTGCAGGGGCGAGATGGCACCAGCCGAGCGAATCAACTACACCGATGCAGTGCTGTGTCTATCCCGAAAGCCTCCACGACTGCCAACGGCAGAATATCCGGGTGTTCGCAGCCGGTTCGATGATTTTGTTGCGTATGTACCTGGCCGATTGGATGAGCTCTTCGCATCTCATTGACCCGATCTAACTTCTCCCAGTACTCATATCAACTATACCCTGCACGTCCACTATAGCGGCCTGTTTCTACCCTGGCACCGCCGATTCACTTGGCTATGGGAAAAGGCTCTCCGGGAGGAATGTCACTACACAGGTTATCTTCCGTACGGATGGTCTCCCATTGCCTCCCGAGATAGAACCTAACTTAAGACTCATCTAGGTACTGGAACTGGCCCTTGTGGACGAGCGACCTCCACAAAAGCCCCCTCTTTGACTGCAGCGAAACATCTCTCTCCGGCGACGGAGAGTACAACCCAGGCGAACAGGCTCTATCCGGCGGCAATGTAACTATACCCCGTGGATCAGGTGGAGGCTGTGCTCGATGTGGCCCGTTCAAAGACTTCACGACTCATCTGGGCCCATTCTCACGCGACCTGAGTTCGTTGACCGAGATTCCTTCACCAAAGTTCGACTATAACCCACAATGCTTGAACCGGAGCTTGAATAACTTCGTCACTTCGCACTATAACAACGCGACCATCGTTTCGCGTCTGATGGCATCGACGGATATCGTGGATTTCCAGACTGTCATGGACCATTGGCCACCCCGACCAGACGGTGTCCTAGGGCCTCACGGTGGAGGCCATTTTAGTCTCGGGGCCACAATGCAAGATCTGTTTGCATCACCGCAAGATCCGGCGTTCATGCTGCATCACTGTATGATCGATCGGCTATGGGCGATGTGGCAGAGCAGAGATGAAATGAATCGCCGACATGCCCTCAACGGTACGACCACCATCTTAAACCCGCCCTGGGGCCAGCAAGTCACACTGGACACGAAGATGGAGTTTGGAGTCCTCGATGGGCCGCGGAGGGTTGGTGAGGTCATGAGCCCAACTGAGCATGGGCTTTGTTATACATATACTTAATCTGTATATAAGAGTGATCCTGTTTCATCTTGCACATAGCTGATTTTGAGACTCACCGCATATGGAGGTATTCTGCTTGATACGATTTACAAGCAGCATGGCCATCTTGCAGCGATCTCTCAAGTGTTGGGAGAGCTCCCCCTGATGATCTAGATACTCAACAACGCCGGGGGCCTTTAGAGGGATGCTCCAGGATACGATATGCCATCGAAACCACGAGTGTCACTTTGTTTTAGTTATCATGACCATTTTGATACACATGGGAAGACTGGCAGTCGGATTCAAGGATCCTCATTCCAAAGGCTACATTTGACTATTTTGCCTCCAGGCATGGATGAAACATTGGATTTTGACGCGTAATTCATACATTTCATTAATCATACAAAAAATCTCATCATCAGTCGTAACCCATACAAAAACAAATATTAGACAAGTGTTGATAGCACATTTCACCATCCCGGTTAAAGTCTGCAGTGTCGAACAATACATAGTGCAGTTAGTCTCAAGAATCAACCTCTGCTAATACGCTCAACCTCAGCCTCAATAGCCTCGAGGTCATGCTTCAGAACCAAGATAATACGATGGGCCTCTCGGGCCTTCTCACTAAGAACTTTGGAGGACACGAGGATGACGACGGAGTTCAAGCCATGAAGAGACCAGAATTGTGTGAGCTCTTTCAGTTTGGCTTCAATGGATGTCATGCGACTTTTGATGTTGTCAAGCTCCTCGATATCACTGGTTTGGAGAAACGAGAGATCGAATCGGATCTTCCACTGCTGGTTGACGAGACGGAGATTGGCAATCAGTGCCTCCAGATCGAGCATGATATTCATGCCATCCGTGAAGAGAAGCTTGCGGATACGGATTTTCTCTTTGGCAGGCACACGAGCAGAGCCAGGAAGGGTGCCGAATTTGGTTGAGCAGAGACTGAAAAGCGCATGCATGAGTTGTCCCTCCAGAGATTCTTCCATGCGACGGTTATCTTCCAGGACGAGCTTGACGCGCCTCCAGCGGCTTTGGAGCTTCACAACTATCTCAATCTCATACCGAGAGTAGTCATCCATATCGAAGGTGTCATTCGCTAGCTTTGTCACCGGCTCGTTTTCTTCAAATTGCGCCATGCCCAGGACGAAGCTGAGCTTCAGTCGCGGGTCTGCTTGGGTAACGAATGCTCGGAGATAAGGAGGGCACTTGTCACTGTCATCCAATGTGATAACGTGCAGTTTATCCTTGCCATTGTACGCGGCATACGTGGGCAGGACCACATCCCGGAGTTTCTGCAGGCTTCCAGGCGTCGAGAACCCCGGCGGAGCTACATATCCGAGTGTCTATCCAGGTCAGGTTAGCTTGTTGCCATGGAGGTCAAATAAATGAAGAAATGCTCCACCTTATGGACGAGGTCCCAAATTTCGTTCAGCCCCCGAGGTCGAATAGGATGGTGAGCCAAGTTCAACACGATCGTTGTCAAAAGGTCAAACAGGCGCCGTTTAGCCATGGAAGGCGTTATTCTTTTGCGACCAAGGCCCTGGAATTCAATCGCGTGCTCAAGGGCAGCTGATTCAACGGTCTGAGCAAGCTTGCAGATTGAGGTAACCATCCCCCTGACACAGGCCATGTAAGTGGCCCGAAGTACCTCGTCTGGCGTGTTCTCTCGGGCCACAGGTGCCTTCATGATAAGTGGTAGGTACTGTAAGACCCAGGACCAGGGAATAACACATGCACTCGCGGGATTGACAATGCACAGCTGTGAAAACAATTAGTTCTTGATCAAATAGAAATGTACTTCAAGATGATACCATTTGCGTCGACGCGAGTTCCAGCACAGAATACAAGGAATGCAGGTGTTCCAGAGAGGTACGGTCAATCATGTCCATGCATAAGCAGAACTCTTTCACTCGACAAATCTGTTAGATGTTAGCATTGAAATTCAAAAGACCCGGATGTGGTATAGGCTTTACGAAATCCACAGGCTGTTGCTCGATAATGGCCAGGCGAAGCCGCACAGCGGAGTAAAGACCGTCTAGGGAGATCTTCAAAGGGTGAGTCGAGTGCCGATGGCGGTAGAGAATGCCATTAATCCTTGAGACCAAGGCACGGAAATAACGCCAAGCACACTCGGGTCCTAGAGATGATGAGAAGAACTGAGCCTGTATGCTTTCAATATTCATATTGATAGAGAGGGCCTTACCAAGGAGGCGAGAAATATGGACCTGCTCCAAAAGCGCTGTGAAAGTCTGAATGCCGTGCCAATCGCGCCCCATACGGTGGTAAAGAAGATCCTCAAAGCAGGCTCGAGTTGCGCCAAACTCAGTCCCGTTTCTCAACTTGCTCAGCAGCTTTGCGATTGTAGTGGTAGACTGCTCCAGGGAGGTGACAAAACTGAGTTCGCTCATCAACATCTGGACCCAGTGTCTCCCTAATAGTTTGTGTTAGATTTCCTGAGATATTCACGAGTCCTGAATATTGCGAGACTTACTGCGACCCAAAAATGTCTTGTGGAAGGACTCTGTCATGACTCGTGAGTAGTAAAGGTTGGAGAGCCTCGAGTAGACTTCAGCAATGCTGAGAATGCTCTAGATAGAATGAGTTTCTGTTAGTCTCCCCGAGAATATCATGAGAATTCCTTCTTACCTGCAGTCGCGCCATGCAGGTATCAGAGCCCGCCCTTTCATGGAATAGGTCACATTCTCCCTGGCGTTGCTTAGCACAAACCCCTGGGCTTGTTAGCTAATAGTCTTGAAAACCACATCCTGGATCAACTATAAAAATACCTCTGATGATGAAGAATGGGCAGCGCCTGGGGAATTCGTGCTTGAAGATAGTAGAGGCAGCAAACTCGTAATGGGCTATTGCCTCTGAAAACCTTTCTCGAATCCAAGCCTTAGCTCGGCTGAGCAGGCCTTCTGTTGAAAGGTCAACAGTATCGGCACCGGATTCCGGCTTGATTGTGGACCAAGGAAGCATCACCAACACATCGTCTTGCTTCGGGGGATTATACAGCCCACAAAGAAGCGAAAGAGATGCTAACGAATCCTTATCACGGGATTCCAGGTCATAGAGCAGCTTTGTAGCATGCATCAAGATGTCAAAAGGCAGGTTTATGACATTCCATTTTCGGAGGACGGTTTCAATCTTGTGAGAAACAACCTAAACTCTGTTAGTTGAATATTCAAAAGAGCACTAGCACGACTGGAAAACGAACAAAGAGACAGAAAAAATCCTTCAAGATACCATCATGAAGTGTCTTCATTGTCGCTGGAGCAAGCTGATTTTGGAGAGAGTCGGCCAATTCGAAAATCGTCAGCCACTGAACGGTAGGGTTTTCCAACGGAGTCGATCGCAAGGGCTTCAGGAAGTCTTGTTCAAGCTCGGGCCTGCCTTCAATGATACCAAAATGCGCAAAAAGAACCTCCACCATTGAATAGTGAAGGATTGTCTCGACAGTCTTTTTGTCAAGGACGTGCATCAATTTGTGGCACAGCATTGTGTCCATTGCTGCAGGAAGATCTCCGGCAGCCACTGAGGTTTCATAGTACTCGTACCATCTGCCCTTTTCATTGTAGAAAGAGCGCAGTTGATCGTACATTTCGAATTCCTTGAAAAAGGCTAGCTTGTCCACATCAGATCCGAGCAGCCTGATGGTAGCTGCTCTCAGGTCAGATGAAATTCGGCCTTGCTTCAAAAGAATGTTGCAAAGCCTCGAGTAGCGATGTAGAGTTGTGGAACTCAGACGACTGCGGTTTCTGCGATATGGTCAGCGCTATTGAAATTTATGGGAAGTCGGTGGGTATCTACCGATTGATGTAATCGATCAATTCATCAAATTGCTCCCCTCGGCGAAGGACCTCAATAGCTTGCTCAGATTCTCCATTCAGATGAAAACATTCTGAAGCCTCACTGTAGTGACCCCCTCTTTCATAGAAAGCTGCAGCCTTTTGAAGCTGTCCTTGATTCTTCCACAGCTCTTGGGAACATGTTAATAATGAAACAAACCATCGAATGTTGGAATGGCAATTACCTGCAGCCTTGTCGAATCTTCCAAGTCCCTGGAAGCAATCGGCAGCTTCCGATAGCAACTCAGTCTCGAGAAAGAGGGCAATTGCCTTCTCATATGATACTGAGAAGCCTTCGGAATCGCCAGCCGCGCGACGAGATCTGCCTTCCTGCTCATGCAGCCACGCCTGTGACTGGGCGATGCCTCGAGTGTCATTGGCCTTTTTGTAACAGAACAACGCCTTATTATATTAGCACATCTCGTAGGAACGGACCATTCGTTATTGAGGTGCTTACATCTGCATAATTTTTTTGATGCAGGAGATGGGCTGCTCGTTTAATCCACCTCTCGGGGTCGACCGAACCACCCGCCCGCAAGACCTGTACTTTCTCGGCAACCTTTTGTGTGTAAGTCAAAATTTTCTTTGCTTTCTTCGCTTTTTTGGACACAAGCATTGAAACCAAACCTACATCCTCATCTTTTTGTCTCACGAGCTCTGCAAGCTCACCATCGCCGCTCGTAGAAAGTGCCTGGAGAATAGGGTCGATGCTATTATCAATCGTCTCCATGAACCAGAGCTGTTTCCGTGCCCTGGTCGCTGCAACATAAAGATGCTATCGAACGTCAGTCAAGCTTCTGATCGTAAAATATTGTCAAATATTGAAGAGGATCGATCTACCTTGAGCTCGGAGCAAAGTGCCTTTAAGAGAACATATCAGCATTGAAACAAGTTCTCGTAAAAAAGAAAACCTCACCGCGTGCTTCTGAGAGTCAAACTGGGTTCGTATTTCTTGGGCAAGCAAGTGTAAGCATCGGTAGCTGCTTCCTAGCCCACTCCCCCGAAGAAGTTGTAAACAAGGACATCGTCGAACTCCATACCCTTGCTCTCTAGGATCGTGAGGACGAGCGCGATTTCACCGATCTGGGACTGCAGCTTGTTCTTTGAAGTCTCGTCACGGACCAGAATCACTTGCTCAGCGCCGAAGTCAGCCACCTGATCGTTCAGCTTGACCAAGCCGATCATCTTAGCCGAAAGAATCGAAGAATCAAAGCCAGCTATTCAGAATGTGAATGTTAGCCGAAGAAGTAAGTAATGGAATAACTTTTCATACCAAAGATGATAGGCTTTGGACCTCCAGTCAAGCCAATTTCGGGATCAAGTTTGTCGATCGTCTCGGGGAAACCTGGGGAGGTTCTGTCAGTAAGTTGCGTGACACTTTATTGAAGGAAGGCTCTTACCATTCCAAAGGAGGTGCATTACCCAAGAAGCAAAACTCAAGATGCCCTGATGCGAGCGATAATTCTTAGCCAACATGAATTGCTTCGGCTTGGCGATTGAAGGTTGATTCAGCTCCGTGGCGATGGCCTCGTAATAGTCATAGAAGAGTGCTTTTATTTCAGGGAAACGGAAGACCGAATCCTTTGAGATACACTGGGCGGTGTCGCCGGCTAATTCATGTCAGTCGGGGGCAATTATTCTGGGATCGACGGCAGTAACCCACCTAGATGAATTCCTCGCGCATCACAGAGACAGCTCAACAGCAGGACAATGTCTAAGCACCGGAGATCTTGTATTTCTAGAGACACAGTTAGCTTATCTACAATCCAGCACCAAATAGTATATTAGCTGCATACCGTCCACATAGATCTCTTCAAAGCACTGTCGGATCACCTTCGACAGATTTGGGCTTTCCTTCAATGCTTGCAACAAGGCAATTACTCGATCAAGTTCATCAAGCTGTTTGCGCTGTCTCTTTATCTTTTCGTAGCGCTCGAAAGTTTGAAACACTTTGTCCCTGTCGGTTTCAGTAGCAAAGGCTGGAGAAGCCTTTGAGCCTCTTGAGAGATACTCCACATGAGTAAGGGGCACGAGGGTTCTTGCTGATATGCTGGAGCCTTTAACGACACCCATAATCTCCGCGAATAGAAGCTCCGGGGAGCAGCCCGATGGCGCAATGCCAGAAAGACAGCTCCAGTACTCCGTCTTGAAGCCATCGAAATCGATAATGCGCTCCTCAAGCTTCTTGTCGAGAATGGCTTCACCGTTCCTTTTCGCGTGCTTGTTACCCAAAAAGTCTTGACGATTTGCCCGCCTGAAAAGAGTCAGATACAATTTCTCAAAGATTTAATGATAGCGGGAAAGGGTGCCGAACCTGAACGTCTTCTCAAGTAGCCCCAGAAACTCATCATATGTGCAAACAAAGGGAAAGTTCTGATCTTTCAGAGACAGGAAAGAGTCTGGCTCCTGATCTGTAGAAGAACTTTCCCGCGATGGGTCATCGTTTTGAGTTTCTATCAGGCTTCTTGAGTAGGCTTGGAGCTTCGAAGCCAGATGTGGTGATCGTGTCAGAAGAATCTGTCCGTCATTAACGTCAAACACCAATGTAAATGAAGGGAGTTTGAAGACATACTTGTCGGATACTCTTTCCACCATGGGCAGCTTGTCGTGCCCTGTATTTGGCGAAGATTTTGAAGAGAAGACACGTTGTTTTCCCCGTACCGCTCCTTCCCAATATGAGGCTGGATGTGTCAAAATGACGGACAATCTCCATTTCCTCTGGGGAAAGTTCAAACGGGAATTCTTCACGGCCTGTGGGGTGCATGATGGACTTCAACAATGACTCGGTGACATTGTAAGACTTGTCTGAACCCAAGGCATTAGTCATATTCAAATCAACCATTTAATAAATGCTTTCTAGTTGGAGAAAATGTTGGAGATTTCTTACTTGACATGTCAAGCAAAGCGTGATCTGCCTTCCTCGTTGCACCTATTGGCTTCATCTTCGAAGCGTTTTTCTTGGCATGACCGTAGCGATTAGGAATGAAGGTATCATCAGTCTGCTTTGGCGGGATGTTACAACACTTCTCAACTGTCTCTTCATGGTAGCAACCTTGGATTTCGATGATCTGACCGATGACTACTTCCATCTAACAAAGCAGTCAGCGAGCCATCTCGAAAGTGGCACCAATAAACTTACTTCGTCCTCGGATGTAGCGATCTGCCAGACTATGAATTGTCAGTTAAATCCTCCGGTAACATTTATAGCTTGAATACCTTTGGCAATCTGTTGCTCAACCCATGGAGCATCATCATAGAATCCCACATCAATCTGCCACAGGATCCAGGTCGATGTAGACACTTTCGCACGCATGATTGGAATTCGCATGCGCTTCCTCTGTTCCTTAGAGCCAGCAGGCTTGTCCAAGTCTGCACCATGCCATTTGCCACTGGCAATCTCTCGAAGCCTGAGACCCACCCGAGAGACGTCACCTGAGGAGATTAACACATGAAAGAAAGTTCTGAGATGATGATACGGGAAATTACCTGCACGTGCCAGCTTTTTCACACTCTTCATAGCTTCATCAGAGAGTAACACCTTCCACAGGCCCACAGGTTTTCCAAATAGGTCAACAGCCACACCTTCCTGTCTCTCGTTGTAAAGTTCCTCACTCACGGGATTTGATATGTGTGTTGAGGACTTGTCCAACTTCTCCAAGCAGATTCTGCATGGGAAGCTTTCCAGCGCGGTACGCATCAGTTTGGGAACAATCTCCGTTCGGAGATGACCGAGTGCATGAATCACGGCACTAGTTGAGTGCACCTTGGGCATTTCCAAAGATTGCAAATCTTCCTGAACAGCCTCAGGTACATTGAAACTGACCTTGCGCTCGGACCGAGTGTTTTTGGCCTGATTGGACTTCTTGTCATCCCGGTCGAGGACCTTCATTGTATCGAGCGATGGAAGATTTTCCTTCAACACACAGTTGTTATTGCTGTTGAGGGTGTTGAGCAGATCTTGCAAGGAAGCCATGAGATTTGTAGCCTTTTTCCACTCTTTAGAAATGCATCCAACTCCGTGGCCAGATGAACACGCATCGCACATATTGACGAGTTTTTCAGACATTTTGATGGTGACACTCAAGTCAAGGCTTTTCTTTTTTGACAACAGCCATTCCTTCATGACAAAGACATGCTTCTCATCTGCTACCAGGTGCTCGAACATGCCATCTTGGGAGACGAGAAGCTCTGCGACTTCTCGCAGGTATGGTGTGGGGTGTTTAATAACCAACGGCAGGGCGGATCCGACTAGCTGAACAGCCTGATCTGGCGAGAGCAGATTGGCCGATGAGTTGACAAGAGAAACAATCACGCTTTTGAAGATTCCTTCGGCAACTGGAGCAGCCAGGCTTTTGGTTTTGAGAATATCGAATGACTTTTGAAGGCGGGTGAGGGTTCGGGCGGGGTGTAACTCAATCTCTTCGCGGACTGCCTCATCTGTCATTCCATCAAATAGCCCAGTGTAATACTGGTCAATGCGAGCGAGGGCATGATTGTACTCGTGAAGACCGGGGTCTGAGACCTGGAGGAGAATCGTACACAGGGTCGGGCGCCGCGAAGATCCCATGGTTGCAGTAATCAGAGCACTTGTCAACTTTGGAACGAAACCCGACTTGAGACGCGCCAGCCGCGCACGTAGAGGGAACTTGCCAATAGAATGGGATTTAGGTTTTGGAATACAAGATGTAGAGAAGAGATTGGAGAGGTTGGGTGGAGGAGTTGAGAAAGTAAACAAAGCGGTTGGGGGGTGGGGGGTTAATGAGTGAGAGAAAGAAGTTGAAATGAGAAAAGGGCCACAACAGTCAAGTTGGAAGCGGCACGAGACATCACGGTCACACGCTGACTCTTTATTCTCGGATCGTTGTATGCTGTCGCCTCTCTATGACCACTCTGAATAGAATCTTGTTTGCGATGCTGGAAGCCGAATATCGTTTACATCGCTTCGAGGACTATTCCTCATTCCCGGCTTTCTATCATACGAGGATACCCATACATTTTGAAGAATTACTGCACCAGCTGCGATCAACACTAACTGGAATAACATGAACTGGCCCACTTGTTACCAAATGAGAACCTGTAAGATAGGTCAATGTGTCTATATATAATGTTAGACAGGCCTCTACCGCATATAACCCTCCTGTTTGCTCCGCACCGGTGCATATTTGGGCCATTAGCATAGCAGACTCAGTACGCATGGCTGGCCTGTAGGCCGCTTTTCCATTCAGTATCTTTCTAGAACAACCTTCCACGCAAGTGGGAATGATGCGGTCAATTGATAAGAGCCGAGTCACCGGGATGATGCCGAAAGAATCCGCGTATGCAGAGTTAGCTGTGCTGTCTCGTCGTGGTACATTTACGCACAAATCACGGCTCTGCTAATTTTCCAATTATGTATTGCTGGCATAATTCTGGATTCCTTCCTGGAGAATCTGCAGATATTTTTGCACCTGATTAAAATGATAGACGCCTTAATAAACATATCCACCAGAGTTTAGGGCAGGAGGGACCCGAGGTGCCTTATGATTGCAGGTGGTGGAAATTCCAGAGAAGGTTTTGTTTGAAACCAAGCAATAGAAAACCAGCATGCATTCTACGGCAACATGGTGAACCGCTCATCTCTACCTTCTTGGCGGTCTCGAGGCTACCAGCTCAGTGATTTCGGTTGGTTGAATTCTGGGGTCTACATGTCAGAAGTCACCTCTACCCATCAGGATGAAAAGTATTCGGGTGGCTGCATCAGTCATATTGATTAAATACAACAATGATGAGTATGAACTAAGAACGGGCTAGTATTCTGGCCGAAAGAAGGCTTTGATTAATATTAGACACACCCATTTTTCGAACGCGGATGAAATAACCACCAATTTTGGAGTGAGACCTTCTGTAGCACCACAAAGGGCATTCTTCCGGTTTTCTTTGTGTTGCTCCAATGAATTCGCACACAATGGTGATAATATACTGTCTTCAACTCCCGTTCACGTAATGCTTTGTCTAATGATTTGGGGCCTGCTCAATTCTGCCGATATAAGACCCAGAGCTAATATTCTCAAGGACCGGAAGTACCTGATTCCCACAGCTTGGATATTTTTTCCAGAAACTCTATCAAATACTTGGTTCAAGCAGTTAAATTACATCGTGTACTTAGTATGGAAGACGTTCGTATGCCCGACTCCCGACCAAACCCCTTCGTGAAGCTTCAATCGAAACATGTGGAAAAGCTGGTGCTCCTAAACTGCGGCGTGAAAGGCAACTTTGAAAAAAATGATTCTATGTCTGTTGCAAAGGCTTTGAAAAAGCTTGCGGAAGAGATGGACAAGCTCACGCACCTTGGTAAGGAGTGTGCCGAATCTTATTTTATCCCGCCCTGTTTTCAAACAAGATGCGGCATCCTCAAGGCCGAGTTGCACCACCAAAGCCGAATTATCGAGGCTATGAGATATAACCAGTTCCGTACAGAAGCAGCGGTGAAAATGTTCGTCCAGCATCTTGCACGGCTGACCCTCTCACAACAGATGGACAATCTCGACCAATTTGCCCAAGACGTCGATTCGAAAGTGTGCAGCCAGGAGTTCATCTGGGAAACAAGATCGGTGTCTTGTAGCGAAGAATGTGAACAGGAGTGGCGGATGCTTTACAATACCTGGCTTTATTTGAACTCGGCTGTACCAAGCTGCACTTGTTATCAATGCTCTAAGCGACGCCCACGCTGGCTTTCTTCTGCTCCTTCGCCCGCTCATCTGGACCCGCATTCATTCGACCCTCCCCAGCGCTCTCAAGCTTCTATTTCCAATTTAGCACGATCGGCTGTTGAAGGTTTACCCGGCCCACGCAAGCATTGCACTTGTCGTTTTGCCTTCACGTTCCCTTAGGGCTCGCTTGAATTTCCCATGCAAGTAGTTCACCAGGGTTCTCGCATGTCAGTGTTATGCAATGGATTTGAACCCCGCTGTTCTAGAAATCAAGTGTCCCAGCGGATTGACAAGATAGCATGTCAAGTAGAGGCAAACTGTATTCCAACTTGAAGATCTATACTCAGATTCTGATGATATTCCTTCCGGTTTCGCGCCCCAATACGCCGTCAGGTAAACCCCCCTTTCCTTGCTCTAGTGTAGTTTGTTGTCTCTAAATCTAACTTGGCAAATACAAGCATATCTACATATAGAATATGAGGACCGGTAGAAATAACGCCGAAAGACCACCGCTTAACGAGGCTAGAAACGGCGGCATTTTCTACCCGCGGTAACCGCCGCTTGACCGCCCAGCATAGCATGCCGTTTCCACTTGACCAAAGAGGCTCCAAAAATGGTTCCCCTCTGTAGCCTAAACCAACGAAGTCTTATTTCCATCATAAGGTTGGCCGCCTTGACTGCTAGTGTTGGCTTCAAGAGCCTTTTTCCCCATGGGCTGCGGTCGCCCTCGCTTATGGCTACTCTGTCAAGACCAACAATGTGTGAGGCGGAGTTCTTTGACCCGGCGGCAGTTATCCCGAGTCAGGTCCGGACTAATCTTCTCAAAATAGTACCTAAGCCTATTCCTAGGTAGCTCCACAGATAGGAAGCTCTATTAGAGGTTAGAATCCTAAACTTTCCAGCGATAATGGTTTGGATCCACCGGATACTCGCTATGTACCTGGAGACGCTAACGACGGTAGCCTGATGGGGCTGATTAAAAAACCTCCGGAGCTTCCGTGGACCCAAGCCCCCTTTTTTTGCTTGTTTTATAGCAGTTGCCGCCCACGAGGGATTATCTAGCGCCCATGTAGCACTGCCGAGTTCATTCTTCCCGCCCCTCTGACGTCCACCAAAGCTCGAACGGACACTCAACCCGTTTAGCGCCATCGTTGCTTGCCTTCGCTTCGTGTGGGGAATAATTTAAGTCCTGAGTATCCGGCTGCTTCTTCTGTCTCTCGATCTTTTCCCAGAAATCTGAATCTCAGGTTATTAGCTACAGCCCCTCAACCAGCATGGTTGTGCTTTATGATGACATCATTTTTCTCATATTTGACCATATCTTCGACATAAAAGATCGTCTTCAGCTTCTGCGGGTATGCCGCCATTGGTACGGTTTACTGCTCCCCAAAGTCTACGAGAGCATTCGGGTTGAAGGCAATCAAGCCTATGGTCTTGTTTGTTCTATTCAAAAAAACCCGGAAATTGGCCGCTCTATCCGAGATCTTACTCTCAGGTGGTGCTACGGTCATGAGGCAAATCATAAATACAGTGTGGAAATGTTCAAGGATACCCTGCAACAAGCAAGCCCTTCCATAGAACACTGCACGAATTGGGAAAAGGACCTGCTTAACGGAGAGCCGGATGCGTGGCTCGCATTGCTCACGCCGTCACTAGAAGCTGTCAGGTCTCTAGAGCTTGAGTATAAGGGCTGGTCGGACTATTTCTTCCCTATGCTAGCGCGAGCAGCCGCTCGCCAAAAGCCATTCGATTCGAAACCTTGCTTCCAACACCTAGAATGGGTGAGAGCTCGAAACGAACACAACAAAACTACCTACTATGCCAGCGAATTCTTGCCGCTATTCCATTTTCCCGCCATGCAAGTGTTCTCCGCCTCTTCGCTGTGTGAAGAACCGTACCCGAATCCTTTGAACATTTCAAAGCCCGCGCTAGGAACCTCAGGGATCACGGAACTTGATTTTGGTGATTGCAATAGTAGGAACGGCATGGCCGACTACATCACATCTTGCGCAAACTTGGAGGTTTTCAATTATCAACACCAGAACCAAGCGGTCTGGGGTGAGGCGTATTGTAATTTTCATCCTCTGGCGTTTTATCCAGCGCTCTATACCCAGAGACACAGTCTTCGGGTGCTTCGGCTGAACAATAATGGAGAGATCTACGGACTAGATCGTTTCGTCGATGACCAGGACACAGAATACAGTGGCTTTGGATCCTTAGCTGAATTCTCTCAGCTGCGTGAACTTCGGATGCTATTACGCACACTCCTACAATTTGGTTCGAATGATCAACCCGCAGTATCTCTGTTAGACGTTCTCCCGTCCAGCCTAGAGCATCTCCAGCTTGCCGGATATTGCGTGGAGGACTTCGACGTGGTACTAGGAAATCTTCAGGGCATGCTAGCGCAGCGAACGGAGCGATTCCCAAATCTCAGACGACTCGAAATTCAGCCAGTCATCTTGGAGAGGCTCGCCTCCGCCTCATTCATTGGCAAGGATTGGAGCCCCTACGACATTCCAAAGTCCGTCAAACAGGCATTTGCACCAATCAAGCTGGCCTGTGACGAATTGGGAATCGCATTTGGCTTTACCAAAGACGGTTACAATGAGATATATGACATTGGCATAGCGTTACCTTAGCGAAGAATCGATAATTTTTCTCGTTGTAGCAGAGCCGTCTCCCGCTTTTATCACCTACAGTGATTTGTAGATATAACCTAATGAGTTATCGGAGGTAGGTAGGTCCCTAAGGGATCTTGAACGCTCAAATGAAAAGAACTCTATATCGCCAGATTGCCCCATTTTACTACCCATGGAGGTGATGGAACTCTGGGTCTAGGTGGGATAGTCCGTGTCCGATTGGGCGGTGCAATTAGAGGAGCACAGCGATGAGTGCTGTGTAGAGGGCTTGGACGGACGCAGGGCGAAAGACTGACACGAAGTCAGGCCTTTCATGTCAAGGCGACCGAGGGAGAGGGTACGTGACGAAACCTGAAAGATAAAAAGAACCGGAACAGGAACTTCACAGGTCCGCATCTCACATTTGAAAATTTTTGATCTTGATTCAGCACCAATACAAGTGATTTGATTTTGTTCTTCCCGACACCACCAGTGCCAGCCATATTGCAAATTGAGATAAGTGAAGCATAAGCCGAACAAGTAATCTGCTTGACAGATACAGAATGAGTAACAGGATATCATCAAAGGACTCTCCTGTTTTAGCAGACCGCCCCCTAACTAGTATTTTCAGACCAGCGCTGGTATCACCGCCGGCAGGGAGAAGTATACACCAGCCAATCAGCGTGCATCCGATTTAACTAACACTCGCCCGACCGGGGGCTGCTTACCTAACCACTGTTTCCGCGGGGGACGATGTCACAGGGTCGACTTCGCCGACGGGAAATGATTTTGTCTTCTGCAATCACCTTAACCATGGCCACACCCCGGCTTCCGTTCCTCTACCCGAGTTTGATGCGTGCTATTCGGTCATGCGAACCGAAAACGTACCACTCCCTTCAATATGCCCGCTTCCGACAAAGTTTCCACACCTCTCCGCGACGCGGCCAAGGAACCTACCAGCGGCGCTACGGGCCGGCCGTTGCGCCCAGCGAGCCTCCTCCGTCACGGCCCAAGGATGGCCAGTCAAGTCAAAATCTAGATGGAGCTGTGGCTGAGACGGAAGAGCCAGACCAGACCGAACACAACGCTTCCCCTTCAGATGAGTCACAATCGCAATCGGAGTCAAAATCGCAATCGGAGTCACAATCGCAATCGGAGTCGCAATCGTCCAAGGTGGATATGCACACAAACAGCGCAGATGGTGCTGCTTCCGCCGCATCGGAACAGGCTGCCGCCGAATCGACAAAAGGCAATGCTACGTTGGAGCCCGGACATGATGAAGAGGACTCTGCTTCCGAGAGCGATCCATCAGATGCCTTTACCCCCTCGCCCTCAAAGTCTTCTACTGGGGATGTGGGGGAGGAAATGTCGCAGATGCCGCCATACATGAACCACACCACCTTCGAAGAGGTTTACCATATGCCCTCCCCGCCTACTGGCCTTGCGCCGACCGAAACGCCGGCATCTCAAAGGCCGCCACATATGAGTCCAGCGCCCTACGTTCATCATTTCGATACCTATTCGCTTGTCCTCGACATCTCGAAAGGTGGATTTAGTGACAAGCAGTCCGTCACCATTATGAAAGCCGTTCGCACGATTCTCCAAAACAATCTCGATTTCGCCAGGCAGAGTTTGACCTCCAAGTCCGACGTGGAGAACGAGGAATACCTTTTCAAAGCGGCCTGCTCGGAGCTCCAGCAGTCGTTGCAGACTGCGCGTAACTCTGAGATTCAGAGGCAGCGTGCATCTCGGACACAGTTGGAACATGAGACCGATATTCTGTCCCAGCGTCTCAACCAAGAGTTATCGGGAATGAAGGATGATATCAAGGGCATGTTCAATGACCATAAGATGTCTACGCGGGAGCACCAGCGTACGATCGATACCATGGTTCAAGAATTGAACTACAAGATCACTGTATCACTCACTAGCGATGGCAAGAGTGAGATTGAAGGCCTGCGGTGGATTCTAACACGGCGTGCCGCTTTGACAATCGGCATCTGTGCCTGTAAGTATTTCTGTGCTCCTCACTATCGCCAATTACGCCTCACTAACGGCTTTTCTAGTCATGATTATCATTTTCCTCAAGTACGCCTCTGTCCGCCGAGTTCAAGAGCCCAAGCAGGTCGAAGTCGAGAAGCCTGTCACGAAAGAAGTCACCACTGAGACTCGGGTTGTTCACGACGCCGGGAACCAGACTGACATCCCACATATCCATGAGGCCCACCTTGGAGAATCTTTGGGTTAAGATACCACATTCCTTCTAGTACACCGCACTTCTTTCCTTTCATCATTTCTTCAGTCTGTACACATCATCTATACCGATCCCGGTCTGTCCTTTTTTCTTTTTGTCCTTAAGTCCTGTCTTTTCAGACAGGACAGCGTGTACCATCACCAAGATAGATCCTGATACCCCCCCTCCCCCTCTACATATACACATACACATACACATTCCATCATCTCAAGCCCTCAAATAGACTTTTGTTACATATAGACAGACACGCAGACATACGCATACAAAAAAGCTCCAGCATACCAACACGGTCCTAAAATATTTACATCCCAGGGAGCCAGGCCGATTTATTTCACCTTGAGATCCACATGGACATAGCGCGTAGCCACCACATTTCTCAACCGATTCAAAGCTTCTTTCAGCCAGGGCACCTCCTCCAGCCGATACTTATAAGCCCTGAAGATAGCATTGCTCTGATTCGAAAACCCAATCCTCTCCATCTCCTCCAGCTCATCTGTACGCATAACCCCCTTATAATCTTGCAGCTGCGGAACGACAAACTCCCACACCACCTCGCCACCCTCCGTCACCTCAATTATTCTCCCGGTAGCCGCCTCGCAGATCAGCACGTTCCCATCCTGCAGTTTCTGCGCGGATCCCATGAACGGCGTGAAGAAGCCCAGGCCACCAGTCGTCGTATCTTTGTATTCCCATTTGATCTGCTTATCGCGAGAGACGATGATAGCCCGCGAAAACGGGACCGAGATACCGAGTCTGAAGACGCCGTTGTCGAGAATGAGGATGTCACCCGCGGCGTTTATTTGATGCGCGCAGTGCTGTTGGCACACCGTCGGCGCGGTCAGCTGCCACAGGACCTCGCCGCTCTCGCGGCTGATGATAAATACTGCGGATGCATTGCGCGTCGAAGCGATGATGTTCCCGTCCGAGTCAAAGCTGACGCTGTTTATGAGAGGCCAGTGTTCGCGTGGATAGTGCGGGTGCGCCGCGAAGACGTCCTGGTCTAAATGGTCGATTGCGCGCCAGGACCAGAGCAGCTTGGCACCGCATGTGCCCCCGCTGCCGTCGAAGTCGGCTGACGAGGAGCTGTTTGAGCCGGACCAGGGGTCTACTAGCTTGATGCAATCGCCGTAGACCACACCGCCGGGTGCTTCGCTGCCGGGGATGCCGCCGCGCACGCGGGAGGCTTCGTCGGCTGAGAGAGGTTCAAGAACGGTATAGAGGAGGGTTCCATTGTCCAGGTGATTTTGGTCATGGTGTGCGTAGGGGTCGGAATACTGTCGTAAGATCTCACCGGATGGGTCAAGCTGCATCATGACGCCGCCGCGGTACTTGGCCCACATGGGAAACAGCTTGGGAGCGTCCGGGTGAACGCCATTGTAGGCAAGAGATCCATCAGGTAGAATACGGGAATGGCGTCCAGCACGATGAGGTAGAGTCCATCGGTGGACTTCTTTGCCGGAAGTTGAAACGAGGTGTGCGGTGTTCGATGTGAGAGGTGAGTAGAGGACGTAGCCGGGGGATACTTGTTGCTCATCGACACCACGGAGACCGAGGCCCCGACGGCGGACGGTGTGCTGCTCCATTTTGGAAAGGTTATGAAACAAAGTGCAATGAAGGAAAATCTTTGATAGTCACATAACTATGACCAGCAGGGATGCAACATTTTATGTTGCCGACAAGACCGCGTTCATAGAGCTGATTGATGGCGCTTAGGGCTTGGCCGACCGGCATACCGCGGCATGCCGCGGCGAGATAAGCAGACGGCCAACCACAGCTGGAGTATAGCTAGGATGGCATCAGATTCGCCATAGATATGCTAATCTGTAGACCAGAGTAAAAAGAGAAGAATGTAATGATAGACAGTTGGCAGGGGAGAAGTTGGGGAGGTATAGAAAGGGGCCGAACCCCTCGAGCAAAAGGCTGTGGTTGAACCAGTTCAGATAATACTATCTATTCAAAGACTAGGACATACTGCTTATCTTGCACCAGAATGGATCATCCTGCAGAATTATCTGACAAGACACAATGTGATCTAACCCATGACAAGCGCAGTCACCCATGGTTCCCTCGATGTCTGTCCATTGAAGAAGGCGGGATTGAGAGAGTAACCGATGAGGAAAGGCAACAGAATACAACGAAATTCTGGAATGCTGCTACTTTCTGGTACGCTGCTATACATTCAAATTCCCAAGGCCTGAGCTAATTCATGACTGTACAGGTTCAGCGCCAACATGGCTGTCGCCACTCTCAACATCGGTTCCCTCGGTGGCTCGTTGGGTCTCGGATTTTGGGACTGTTTTATCGTCATCCTGGTAGTCAACCTGACCAGTGATCTACTACCGGCCTGGACAGCTACCTTTGGATTGACTGGGTTGCGAATGACGACTTTTTCGTGCGTGTTTAAATGTCCTAGGCCCAGGATAGACCTGACGGGCTCTTCTACCATAGGCGATACTCATTCGGATACTGGGGCAATATGCTCGTCGTGATATTTTCCATGATTGCAACCACAGGTTGGAACGCGATCAACTCAATCTCTGGCGCCTCAGTCCTCAACGCTTTATCGAATGGAAAGTTCCCCACATGGGCAGGAGTCATTGTTATATGTACGCTGGTATGGGTGATCTGTGCGCTGGGAATCACATGGATCCATCGCCTTGATGCTTTCCTCTGGATCCCTCCGTTGGTTGTCTGGTGCGTGGCTGCCGGGACGGGTGCATCTTCATTCACCTCGGAGGCCTCCCAGGCACTGGAAGGCTCAAACAAGGCGGCAGCCGTTTTGACTTACATGGCCAGCATCTTTTCGTTCTCTGTTTCGTGGGTAAACTGTGCCGCGGATTATAATGTGCGAATGCCCCCTGAGACCCCGCACTGGAAGATCTTTAGCGCCACATATGTCGGCATTTTTGTTCCCACTGTCTTGGTCCAATCACTTGGTGCCGCTATGTACAGCGGCACTATAACAAATGCGGCATGGAAAGAAGCGTACTCTTCGTCGTCGATTGGAGGACTACTCGAGATGGCATTGGAGCCTGTCGGTGGGTTCGGAAAGTTCCTCATGGTTCTTGCGGCTTTGAGTGCGATCCCAGTATGTCCATGCCTCTGAGGTTCGTGCATACCCCTTTGATCTCACGTGCTGACGTTTGATTGAAGAACAATATCCCAAACAACTATTCGTTTGCCCTTCACGCGCAAAATCTCGGTCCATGTGCTATACGCGTCCCTCGGATCGTTCTAGTCACATTTGGCTTCGTGGTGGCGGTCATCATCGGATGTTGTGCAGCCAAGTACTTCGACGACACCTTACAAACGTTGCTAAGCGTTATCGGATATTGGACAGTTATCCACATCACCGTAGTAGTAGAGGAGCATTTCCTCTTTCGCCGCGGGTGGAAGGCATATGACTTTGATGCTTGGAACAACCCGACTGCTCTGCCGTTCGGATGGGCGGCGATCGGAGCATTTGCCTTTGGATTCTTAGGAGCAGCCCTAGGAATGAAGGTGGCCTGGTACGCTGGGCCAATTGCATCCTTGATTGGCATAAAGGGTGCAAACATAGGCCACGAGATAACCTTCGCGTTTTCTGGCCTAGTCTTTCCGGTGTTTCGCTGGTTAGAGAAGCGATATGGGGGCCAGTGAAGATACCAGTGGACGAATTAGATCCTATGGATTTTGAGATATCGTGATGTAATTATTCGTTCATCCACTTTGCCGCGGTGGTCACCAATCGAATCATGACTTAGTCGGACTGGGTGGGAAAAAGCTTAGATCTGACAGCAGATCCCAATTCCCGTCAGCGGATGTTCCCAGCCCCAGAAACTCGGGGAAGTAATAATTGGTAAAGCTTTCTTCAGGAGGGAAGTCATCAGTAGGTGCAGCGAACGGTACTGCCTCCACGCGAGGTCGCAGCCTCTGATGCACCTTGGCGATGATGTTGCCCAACGTGTGTGCCGCATGGCATGGTAATCCAATACAGTGAAGCCACTGCACAAGACTATAAATCAGAGAGTCGAGCTCTGCAATGTTGTGTGTCAGGCCTAGCTGAGTTTCGTAGCTATTCAGCAAGCGGCAGATGATGATCGCAGCGAAGGTTATCATGTGGTAGATATGGTCACTCAAATGACGTGTCCGTTCATCCACCGTGTCCATCGCTAGATGAACAATAGCAGTTGAGTGACGGATCATCTCTGAAACAACAGACTCCCGAGCTCGAGAGGATTTCGATTTTAGGGCATGCTCATATAGGAGAAGATTTGAAAAATGAAAGCCCATCAAGAGGAATTGGGATCTCGGTTGCTCTAGAGTCAGCTTCGTTAGAACTGTGCACAATGCCTCATCCGGCTGTGAGGGAACCCATACCGAGAACAAATTCCCATTTCCTCCTCCACGTTTGCAAGGCTGCTACCGACTTGAGAAGATCCACGTAGTCTTCGATTAGATGCTCGTAGACCGTCCAGTAAAGATGGATCTCAGCGACCATGCGCACTTCAAAATTAATAGCGTGGTCAGATTCGACAATAGCCCGACAGCGTTCGATCTGCCAAGCCTGCAACATGGACCTACGGCTAGTCCCAACGCAGTAGTGCAGGTGAGCAAGACATAGATGATTCCATAGGCAAAAATGATCCAATGTTTTCTCATCCATCTTGGTATGCGGCTGAGACTGACTCGTAATCGCGGCAAACAACGAGCTAGATTGGGAATGCTGCAGGGCAAATCCACTGAGGAGCCAGCTGTCGATACTTAAGGGGACCTGCCCCACGGTTGTTGACCACATGCATAGAATGAGAGTTGCTTGAAAGAAATCGATAGATTGCGGCGCCGTCAAGAGCATGCTTGACACCAAAGATCGAACACATTCATACAGCTTCGGAGCCAGACTTGCAGCCAGCCCCTCCGAGGTATGCCGCACCGCAATTAAGCAGCACGCGCAGAAAAGAATCGGGGATCGCCGTACGCGGGGTAAAAGCGCGACTGGATCGCCCTCGGGATCAAAAATGATCCAGCGGCCATAGTACTCGAGAAATCTAAATCCAGGTCATTGAGAAAGCTCATAGTAGGTCCGTAACCGCGCGAGAGATGTCATACATCGAGAGCAGGGTCAACGCAAGATCTGGCGCGATGAGATTGTCCAGCACCATCCCCAGAGACTTGGTGTCTGGAGATGGTTTGATCCCCGTGTCATTGGCCAGATCGCGGATCACCATGATCGGGGCTGCGGAAGTCTCCGTGTCCTTGTACTTTGGATCGCCAGGGTCCGGGGTTGTCAGCGCGCTGGTAGGCCTGCTTGACTCGTGCTCCGCACTCAACGGGCCCTCCCCGAGTCGGTCCAGCAGTGTGGCCACTGTTTTCTCCAGCCGCTCCAAGCTATTACCGGGTGTCAGTTTTAGTGGTGTTACCGAGTCCACCTGAGCGCAAGATCTACTAGTTAACCATACCGCGCATCAGTGCCAGGCGTAGACGCAGCCATATGCTGCTGCTGTGGCTCTTCATCGGTCTCCTCGGCCTGGAATAGAGAGCATTTTTGCCGCAGCCGTTCGCATCGCAGACAGGCCCGCCCAGGGATACCTGGCTCGTAGCAGCGGGTCTTCTGCTTCCTGCATGAGGCGCACGCTCGAGAGGCGCGACCCCGGTCTGGTGGCATGCTGAGACCAGACAGGGTGCTGGGGAATAGACCTCCTTGCTATGAGTGAGAATTGGTTAGAATCAACGGGCATCAACGAAGCTAAATTGCGCATGCCCACTTGAGTTTCTTTAAGGAGCAGCATAAATGGTGTCACCTGATGTGGATAAGATAAGCGCGCCCCGAACTTCCTCATGCGGAGGACGAGAAGACTGAATTAAGTACACTCTCTTGTATACCTTCCTGCTCCAGGTTAAAAGACATTTGCAGCAGCTCCAAATGCAACCATGGAGTTTGCTATATGGGTCACTATATGGAAAATTAAGTTTGAACGAAGCAAAAAATAGTATAAGAATCTATTTCATCGTGCTCAGAGGGCGGAGTCATCATTCAAAGTATATAAAGTTCGGTCACGCTATGCATAACATCATTTCAGATCTCAGCTGTGCACAACACAGAGCATGTCCCACCGAGTTGAAATCGGCTGGGAGTCTTAGAAATCCATGCGCAGGGCGATAGTCGGCGCGGCCTGTTGAGTGATTACCTCCGCATCGCCCGACTTGGACGCCCCCGCACCAACACCCACACTACGGAGCACCTCTTCTAAGAGCGATTTCTGGTCTGCATTCATATTCGCCACCAAGGTCCGGAAGATGACCTGGTCTGCCTTGGCGAGCTCAAGGATATAGACGGCAGATTCTGTGTGAACCGTTTGGCCCTCGTGTTTGGCGCGGGCCAACAGCGCAGACATGACGAGCGAGGTTGCGGTAGGCATTGCGGCAGGCGAAAAGATCGAGTTGGTCACACACGACACAAGAGTGCGTGCGATAACAGAACGCGAGTTCTCGGGGTCGCTAGGCACCTCGCCAGAGTCCTCTGGACAGCTGACGAGAAAGGCGATGAGCCGGGGAATGAGATACCGAGCGATCACGTCGTCTGTCATGTAGCGCGGGCCGGGCTTGGAAAGAATTGAGCGGAGGCAGCTGGCAGCAACAGTGGCGAGCCCGACATCATGGAGGCAGTCAAGCAACTCGTCAAGGACGGAGTTGATGACGGGTTCCTGGGGCGGGAGGACATGTCCACCAGTCGTCAGGAGAAAAGTGATAGCTAAGAGGGTATTCTTAGCACAGGGCATAGAAGAATCCGATTCTCGGCGCTGGGCAATGGTGAGAATGGTCAAGAACCGAGTAAGGCAGCCACGTAGTTGGAAAGCAACCACGTCAAGGTCTTCTGGAATGTCAGAGGATTGAGTAATGCTCTGGATGAACTGCCGGAAAATAGGTAGGGCCTGCGGCACAACCTCTGCCTGGCAGATACCCGTGGCAAGAATAGTGGTGAAGATGTGCAGTATACAGGCGTGAAGATCATTGCGAATGATCGATGGGAAGACCGATGCCACGTCAACAAGTGAGCCAAGCGCCAAGCGAATAAGCGCAAGAGAATCATCCGATGTCACATTAAAACGTGCCATAGGGGTCGACTCCCGGAGGTTCGGAAGCATGCCAGCAAGAACAAGGATGATGCTCCTGGTTAGCTCGAAGAGTTGCTCGATATCATCCGACAGATGGTCACTCCGTTCTTGGTTGCTCTGTGCAGCTGGGTGATCCAGCGATAGATTTTGTGCAATCTCAACAATGACGGTCTGGATAGGAGTGGCCTCAGTCAACACGAGACGGTCAAAGGTATCCATCGTCTCCGAGAAAATCGCGTCTTGATAGATGGCATTTCCAGAAATGATTGGCCTCAGGATTCGCTTGAGAGCTTGCAGAATCTGCAACCGTTGCGAGGCCAAGGTTGATTGGTCAACAAGCGCTTCAAAAGCAAGACCAAACAGCACAAAGAAGAAGGCAACGGGTTCTTCACGGTAGTTGATGTCATGTCCTTTGCCCTTGGGCTCGCCATTCGGAAGATCCTTGTCTTTTTCTCCCTCATCGTCGCCCTTCTTTTCCGATGTGTCGGGTTTATTTGCGTCCTCGGCCAGTTGGAGCCTGCCATCCAGAGCATCAAAGACGAAGTCAATATCCTTTTCAACAAGCCCAGCAATGGCGTTAACGAGATTGAGCCACGTGTCTTGGTAGAACTGTGCACCAAGAGTCAGTGTTTGAATTAACTTTTATAGGTGAGAAGGTGCTTACCTTCAACAATGTCTCACGATTCAGTGCAGCGTAAACCTCATCCAGATCGTCGCTCTGTGTACTCGTACCCAAAGCACCCGAAATATCTGGCTCAAATCGCAAACGAGCATACTCCTGAAGGGAAGACAGCCAAAGTGGAGTAAGCCTAGCGAGATAAGGCTGAACCACCTGATTGAGATACTCGTGCTCCATGCTTGCGACTTGCAGCCGAGCCCACGCAGAGAAAAGGGCTAGTTTGACCATCACCCGTGCGTTAGAGTTCAACCCCTTGAGATCGCCGATCACAGTCGTGTCAGGGTTCTTCGCGAAGTTTTCGAGACCAAGGACCAGGAACTTGAGGATTCTGCCCATCCGATCCACATTCGTCACTATACCAGTAGCGATAAATGTGGCCGATACATTGATTGCCTCAGAAGCGAGCTCCGCAGAGGAGTCAGCCGCGAATGCTGGTGTCAGGGCAGATCCGATCTGAGCCTGGTATTGTTCCAAAAGGGACGCCTCGGCGAAATCCGGGTCCGGAGTCTTTCCAAACATGGTCAAGACTTGGTCGATAATCTTCAGACCCCACACCCGCAGCTCAATGACACTGGCAGTGGATGCAGAGAACGCCATTCGCACGATGTCTCCAACCTTGGACTGTAGCGCCAATTCTGCCGGAATGGTTTGGTCGGGCAGAATAGCTTCTTGGACCGTTGCCAACAGCTCATAGAGGCAGCTCATGGCAAAGTTGCGCGTCTGCCATTTCAAAAGTTCTTGGCCGGAGACACCATCGTTAGCGGAATCGGTTTGCCCTTCACCAGCAGTTGCAGAGGCAAATCCAGCGACTTCATCGTCAGGAATATCAGGTGCAACAGCCTGGACAGCGGTTGTTGGCGGTGGTTCCACCTTGTTACGAGTTTTTGTCATGATGTTGTGGCAGCGGTGGATCCACAAATCAGTCTCAGTAAGAGCAGTCTGCTGAAGCCATTCCTGGATCATTGTCTTGAGAGGTCGGTTGTCTGGTGCGTCGTCGAAGGCAAGCCAGATATCATCCTCGAGTGTTTCAGTCGCTGCTTGCACGACAGAAGTGGCGTCTCTTTTCATCAAGTTGCTGAGTCCGCGAACAGCTACATCTCGCATTAAGGAGTTGCTTGCGCGAAGCTCGGTCTGCAAGCGCTTGACATATCCAGTGAAGTCCACAAAGCTGGGCGCATAAAGAGAAAAGTGATCCAAGCACTTGGAGCTCTCCGTAACTAAGGCAGGTTTTTCTTCCAACTGGAACTGGCGAAGCAGGGTAAGAATGAGGTTGCGAGTTTTCGCAACATCTTGCAAGTCCGGTCCGAGAACGTTGATCAATGAGTCCACGCATCGACTGATGACCACTGGTGTCAGGAACGACATCTCGATGTTCGAAGTCGCCAATGATGCTGCTTCCTCATTGTGAGTGTCAGCATTGTAGAGCTGGGCAAGCATGCCCAACGAGCTGGAGGCGAATGGCGAGAAGGTCAAGCCAGCGGAGTTCGCGACTCTCTCTAAGCCGCCAAGAGCCCAGAAGTGCACTACTGGATGAGGATCATTGCAAAGAGACATGAGCACGCCAACAATGGTCTTAAGGTGCAGACCAGCTGCCATTCCACCGATTTGAGAATGAATGCATCCCAAAGCAGCAGCACAGCCAGCTCGGGCATTCGGCTCCCTGTTCGCGACGATTGTGTCTACAAGCCAACTGACTTGCGCGTTAGTGCATGCATTTCCAGCGCTGTCACACAGACGTCCTAGCGCCTCAACTCCAATGGTGCGGACGATAGGGTCAGTGTCGACCACAAATTTCTAGTAAATATCAGCAATTGATTCCAGCAACTCGATGAGAAGAGTAGAAGTTGCCTACCTGAACGAGCTCTTGCAGAATCTTGTCGGTGGATGGGTTCAGCTTTCCAGCCACAAAGTCTGTCTCTTTTACAGCAACCTTCAAGGCATGTAGAAGGGCCACCGAAATGTTGACCACTAATGCTGCCTTCCTCCCAGGATTCCTCTGGAGCGTCGAGGAAGATAGGAACGTGGCGATTTGCTCCACGCTGCTCTCTTGCATCTTGGGGGAATGAAGAGCAATAGCAACCGAAAAAAGATCGATTGCTGCATTGACAACTCCGGTGGTGGGTGGGTCCACACATAGCGCATCGCCACCGCGCAAGCTATACAGAAGCACCGAATCATGCTCAATAGCTTCACAAATGGGGAAGGTCAAAGTGTCGTCAACAGCTTGGTCCGCGGAATCAATCGCAGACCAGGCGGGACCATTCTCGTTGCCATGCGATCCAGTCAGGGCGACGCGAATGTATTCCCGGGCAAGACCAGTGACGCCAAATCCATAGTTGTCGCAAAGATCCCACAGGCCATCAAATTGACCCGTTGAGCCCGCAATGGAGCTTTCCAACGGCCGGTTCTGGATTTCTGGGTCGGCGAATGCAGAGATGGCGAGATTGAGAAGGTTGGACTGGAAGATGATATCGCCATGACTAGGATGGTGAACATGGACCAACTTTGAGAAGCACTGGAGAACTCGACGGCGGACCATGGTCGTAAAGTCATGAAGCTGTAAAGACGGATGTAGTCGCTGTGAGATATCCTCCATAGACTTGGGCCGTGGTACTTCGTTCAAAAACTCTACTGTATTCTGCAGCATTCCTGCTATCCTCTTCGCACCATCAGCGGTGATAAGCTTGCTGTTGAATTCCATGAAGACCAGCAAGGCGCTCAGGGCGCACTCTCGCACATGAGCAAGGAAACTTGTTTCCAGCGTACTCGGTTGAGCGGAGTTCTCTTTGCTCAAATGCTTCGGCAGGGCATTCTTCCAGAGTAGCATCAACTGGGAGAGATGGATCTTGACGAAACTTGGTCCAAGGGGCATCAATCCACCAATCAAGATCCAAGCCGTCTGGACTTGGGTGCTTGCAACTCGTAGCTCAGAGGTGGTGCTGTTTTTGAGAAGATCTGTTGCCTGGGTGAAAATTTGAGCAAACACATCGACTGCACCATACAGCGGTTGAAGACGGGAAGTACTGAGCATTGCGGAGAGACCGTTTGCATATCCAATGCAGCGACGGGGAGAATGCCTTGGTGTGGCGAGCTGGCCAATTTCTCTGTTTAAGCTGTTCATGCAAATGGTGACGCATGAGAGAAGCTGATGGGGACATGCAAGCACAAAGCCTCGCAAGCAGTGCGCTGCGTGGATCTGGACCGTATAGCTTGGGTGAGGGAGAACCTGAAGCAACGCATCACGGCAGCTGTCGGCGAGAACGCCGAATGCAGAGCCAAGGGACGCGATGAGAGAGGATAAAGCACTAATAGTGCTTGTCAATGTATACTTGCTCGGCTCACGGCGTTCCTGGATGACTTGTGGGTAATCCTTCAGGATATCATTGATAAGCCATCTAGCAGCATTCAGTTGGCTGTTCTCCCGAAGCAATTCGCGGCCAATGGTGTCCTCGAGAATGGTTTTGACAAACTTGCGAGTCATGAGGAGTCGAAACCGGTTGTATGTGACCGTCGGGTGGTTCAGCAGCTCGAAGAGCAGATTCGACGCAATTTGCCCATACCGTTCCTCCACGGTTTTATCAGCCAAATTGCGAAGCACGTACTTATAACATAGGCAAATTCCGGCGCGCGAGCGATTCGTGGTCGTGCTTTTCAAGTATTGGGAGGATAGTTGCCGTAGGAGATCGGGGAGGAGAAAGAACAACCGCGCGTCTTTCTTAGCCGCATTGGCGGCCGCCACAGATGACTCGGACATTTCGTCCTCGTCCTCCTCCCCCGGCCGAGGGGCTGGCATCTTGGACATTCGCTTCGACTTCTTTGCCTTCGGTTTGGGCGCTGCAATGACATACGTCTCGCTGACGTGTAGCTTGACAAGCGCTCGCCCGAGGACAGCAGCCGCGGCATGGCGAACTTGTGCAGTCGGACTATCAATTGCCTTCCATATGGTAGTTTTCAAGTTGTCGAAGTCGTTCGTATTGTCGAAAAAGGGTGTCGTATTAATCAGTTGTTCCATGCAACGACACGCGTGGACCTGGACCGAAGTCGACTTGTCGCCCGTCGCCGCATTCCGCGCCTGCTTCCAGATGTCCCGCGCGACTGACTCGTCGATTGGGACCCCAATTCCCACAACGATCTTGCGCAGCACAGAGAATATAACACCGCGCAAGCCAGTATGACTGCTGGCTGACTTGAACAACTTGAGTGTGCCCGCAATCGCAACATTTGACTGCATGAATGCGCTCTCGCCAGCGGTCGCAAACACCTCGCCCAGACAATGCACGGCTGCGAACTTGGTCTTCAGTTCAGCCTCGCTCTTACTAGCATTCAATATCCCTAGCAGAGCGGTGATCGTCTCGAAGAGGATCCCGCGATCGCCTTTCGCCAGAATCGCACCGAAGCATCGTCCCAGGTTGTTGCGGAGGACTCGCGTGAGGGTCGGGGAGGAGAGGGTCAGGATTTTGAACAGTTCCTGCTTGAGGGATTTTTGCTGTGCGGAGACCTGCACCGCATCGAGGCCGGATATGTACTGCACTAAATCAGAGGTAAAGGTGAGCAGGTAAAGGTCCTGTTGCTCGGAGGGAAGTGCATGGAGCTTGGGAACATCCAACTCCGGCGCCGCAGTTTCGGGAGATGTGAATGCGGGGGCGGGTTCGGAGGCAGACATTGGGTAAAAGGTGGGAGGACAATTATATCCCCATCAGAGTGGAAGGAGAGAAGGAAGTAGACAGTAACAAGCAACACAGTCAACAACGGCCCGCTCCCCTTATCGTGTGGCCTCACCGTCCGCGGAGGTCGGAGAAACTGTCGGCCCGCGGGTGGCATGTATAGATGCCGCTGCGGCCCCGGACGTGCGCAAAAGATTGAGGAGACCAAGATGGCACTCCAATTACACAGGAGCCTCCTGCACCAGCCTCGCGTGGGCTCGATATTCCATACATGCCGCACATTCAGCACTCCTGCGTCCTTACTGTCTGGGCATAGCAAGTGGGCGACCATCAAACATGACAAGGCCAAAAACGACAAGGCGAAGAGCAAGGAACGCCAGATGGTGAGCAAGGAAATTGCCAGCGCTACACAATGCATGCACCCAGTCATCTGTATATATCTTTGCGGTCGGGATTCGTGCTAACACTTCTCTACTGGTAGTATGGGGCGCCGATCCAAAGTACAACCCCCGTCTGACGCTCGCACTGTCGAATGCGAAGCGAGCCTCAATTCCCAAAAATATCATCGAAGCGGCCATCGCGCGTGGTCAAGGACTCAGTTTGACCGGTCAAGCTTTGGAGTCGCTCACGATTGAAGCGATGCTCCCTGGGGGTGTGGCCGCAGTGGTCGAGTGCCAGACCGATCAGAAAGCCCGCGTTCTACAAGACATTCGACACTTGATCAAGAACGGCGGAGGGACAGTGACACCAACAACATTCCTTTTTGAAAAGAAAGGGCGAGTGGCTTTGGAGAAGAGAGATGTAAATGCGGACGATTTTCTGGATCAGGCCATTGAGGCTGGCGCCACGGATATCAATACGGACGACAATGGCCGGCTAGTTTTGTTCACCGATCCCTCTGAAACAAAAAGTGTTGGGGAGACATTTGCAAAACTATCTGGGTTGACGATCGAAGAGCTTGAGATGTTCTGGGACCCTAACCAGGAAACTCTGGTCAAGGTACAGGACGAAGAGCAGATCAAGGTTCTCGAAGATCTTCTGAGTTCCTTGCGCGATGATCCCAGCGTTCAGGATATCTACTTGAATGCCACGGAGAAATTCTGAAGACTTTTACACATGTCTGTCCAGGCAATTGACACTGGAATCAGACTGGCAAACTATGTACCATATCTGTATAGAGATACCAGGCATTTCAAGGGCGTTCTTTGGAGAAAATGATCACACAACATTCTTCATAACTATTCATATCCTCTGGCCTTGTCTCCTTGACCTCTCATTCTTTCCGTAAAGCCTTCATAGTACTCCTCATCAGTTTGCTGGTCCCTCGACTCCCCAAGCCGTCCAACCAGTCCAACATGTGGACCCGGTATTCCTGCCAAGTAATTTTGGCGCCACCATCCTTCTCCAAAGCTTGCAATGCCTTTTGTGTAGCCGGCTTTCTCAGCCTCGGACGGTGATCCGCGATGTTTTGGTCCTCCTCCACTTCAGCAAAGCATGCGGCTGACAGATTAGCAAACGCAGCATGGTGACTAAGAGAGAATATCGAAGCCAGAGTAACACTGAAGGCACTCTCGCGGTCATAGTGCCGAGCAGCCTCGTTCACGCTGCGAACGTACTCTGTGAGGGCAGTGGTGCTCGATGCCGGTACAAGGCATCCTTGTGCATTTGGGTCCTCTGTATTCAGAGCTCGATTCCGCCAAACCAGGTTGCACATGTCCATGACGTAGCCATTGAATTGATTCACCAGTTCAGTTCGATAAAGTGGCTCGGGAGGGTTTTGTGGCTTGATCACATCGGATGTAAGAGATGCCTCGAACGAGGACTTGTAGCTGGCCAATATTGAATGGAGAGCTGAAATCACGGAAATGCTTGGCGTAAAAGCAATGGAATAGACCGATGGGGAAAGGGGGACTGTCAGTCGAATACTGGCGTTCATAGCTGCATGAGAGTATAGATTCGCGAGAGACTGGTAGAATTGTAAAACTGACAATATTATCGGCGAGGCGTGTTTGTCGCTTCCTTCAGCGGCAGGTACAAGCTCTTGAAGTGAGGAAGCTAGCAGCTCTGCGTGTTCGATGACTTTGCTCGAGGGAAACGATTCCGCTGAAATCGATGGTTGCATTCGGAGCCTGACGCCCCATTCGGTGATCAATGCTGAATAGAAGTTAAGCAGCGCTATTCTGGAGCTAACAGCGCTGTCCAACATGGCAGACTCCAGCGGAGAGAAAATCGTGTCTCGAAGGACCGCGTAGGATTCAATCGGAAGATACTGGAGTAGTCGCAGGACTTGATCGCGATTATCCCGGCCATTCCAGACCGAAAGGTACGACTCCAGGAAAGCGCGAACGGATGGTAGAAGAGCCTATACTCCGTCAGAAATCTGATCACAACAGCCAAGTTGAAATGTCTTACCTTGGTAAAAGACGTGTACCCGTCAAGATAACTTAGGACGTAAGACAGCATTTCCGGCTCGTCCTCGTCATATTCGTGAATCTGCCCCAGCTTATCCTGCAAGAAGCCTTTCAGCCACTCATCAAGACGGTCGTTCGCGACTTCAGACTGAACCAGATGAAGATATTTCTGGGCCATCGCATCACCCAGGGTCGAGATAATCTGGTTCGGCAGCTCAATTGTGTCAAGCTTATCGACAAAATGCTCGATGTCACGAATCTCCTCGAGAGACGTGTGCTTGTTTGACACTCTTGAGGTCTGTAAAATCGGGATGACCACTTCAATTCTGCTACGCTTCGCCATACCCCGATGCACAACTTGGTAACTAGATTGTTGCGTCGCTTGGGTCCTCTCCATATTCTGGTCCTGCAAAAGTTTCGCATGGCTCGACCATTCAGGGTCAGGGTGCTTGAAGAACAGAGCCGTTCTTCGCGAGCCACCGAGATCTCCGATGATAATTTCCGGATAGTAGTTCTTAAAAATCTTCAGCAAGCTCATCAGTTCTTTCTCCTCTCCGCCCGCATGCCGAATCAGCTCCATCAGAGCCTGAATGCGAAAAGACTTCACATGCTTCCGTCGGGTAACCATGGAAAGCAGGTGGCATAGCGGCTTGCGCAAGCTAATCATGTCCAAATGATTGAACAGCACGGCATACAGCTTGCCAAGGTGCGTGCGGTCTTCGAGGATGTCATATGCCATGATCAGCCAGCGAACAAGCAAGGCCTGCGTCGCGGGGCTTGGTTTGGATTTGCTTGGCCCCAGACCACAGACAACCTGCGTGACATGCTTGGAGGCAATTCGCACTTGCGGGTACAAATTCTTGACCAGAGTTGTGATGGTTCCCTGGTCAAGGTGGTTTTTTGCCGTGAGGATCTTCAGCAGGCGGCCCAGCGCAACTTGTGGAATGCCGTTCCCATACGCGTCCGATGCAATTGTCTTGGCCAGCTGGCTAGCATCAGTATACCGTTGCTTGAGGGGTACAAAAGCGACTATTTTGTTGGTTAGCGAGGTTTGGGGTTGGAAACAAATTTTTTGTTCGATGTTTCTAACCAGCTTCCAGATGCTCGAGCGCATCGACCAAGCGGCCGGACTGGCCATTGTCTAATCCAATTGTCAGTCCTGTCTGAACCCATAGATCATTTGGCAAAGGCAAGTTGCAACTATACCTGTGTCGATGTCCATTTGAAGAATGACAGTCTCTATGTCTCGCTGGGTTTGTTCCGCGCCTAATCGAAGGCGATACGATCATACCCTCGAGCCCGGCGCGTCGGACTTGCGCAGCGACGCGGGTTATCGATACCCAAATAGTGGTGATGGAGCACAACGTGCAAAAAGTCCCAAAATCACGGTCGCAATTGAGAGGCAGAAACAACCTGGGGCTTGAATTGACGGATGCTCGCGAACTGCATAGAAAGTAGAACGTGGGTGCGTGCAAGAGCGAAACCGGCTTAAACCCGATCTGGCAACCATAACAAGGGCCCGCCAACGGCATTGTGAGCAATTGGACTTTTTGCTTTGGTCTTCCAACTACAGCTTCTTGGGTTGTAATTTAAGGTAAACTCGTACGATAAATTTGTCTGATTCAATTTCTATCATTTAATCGATGTGTGCTGGAAGGAGACTAGATTCCAAGCCTCCACTCTACTGTGAAAGGAGGGATTTCATCCAAAGATTCGGAGATTCATTGAGATATTCCCAACATCATCAAGGGATAGTAGGGCCGATTCTTGCGAGCCAGGCTAATGCAGAATAAGGAGATATTTGAGAAGCCCGGCCACGAAATTAAACATGGCTCCCCGCAACAGACATCACAGATCCCGAGGGCGCCAAAGGGGCGCTCATTTCTTGGACTTCCTCTGGCGAGTAGACGAGTTGCTGTCGACCTTAGCGGACGTCTGAGAAGCCACTGTCTGCTCCTTCTCGTTCTGCTCAGACTTAGCGGCAGAGATGGACTCTTCCTCCTCGTCACTGTCGCCTCCCTGTCCAAACTCGTTGATACGCTTATAGTCAACCTTGTACTTCCAGCCCTGGTAGAGCCAGATGAAGAAGATGACATCGTCGCGAAGAGTGGCCAATCGGTGGAGCCATGGCATCTTAACGGTAAAGGCGAAGAGGTCGTCGATGAAGGTGTTGAGGAACTTATAGGCCATCGCCTTGCCCGGCATGTGGGCAACAGACTTCAGGCGGTAGTTGATGTACAGGCTGGGAACCATCATCAGGAACCCATAGGCGTAGACACTGCCGACAAGGGTTTGGATGATGTAAGAGTACCAGGATTTGTGGGTGTTGTACATCAGGCTGTATCCGGCGTAGGCGAGAAGAAGAGGCACCGCCACAATGTACAGGTAACGGAACGCAATCTCGTCATACTCTTGAGTCTTCTTCTCGGTCTCGCTCAGCTTGTGCTTATCCTCGAAAACGATGACATAGGGCAAGAAGGAAAAGAAGGAGTTGGCGGGCGGAGGACGCAGGCGAACGTCGACGGTCTTTGTGACCTTCCAGGCTTCGAGGAGAATGCCGAAACCTTGACTAGCCAGAATCATCCATGATGTGTTCTCGCTGTTGTCCATGAGGTAAAGGAAGATAACTGCCTGCATGAAAACATTTGCCAGAATGGTACGAACAGAGGTGCCGACATTATCCTTCTTCTTACGCCAGTGAGCCTGATTGCAGCTCCACGTTAGCAAATCCGGTACAGTAATGCTACATTTCGCAAGGATACAAGACTTACAATGTCGTTTTTGAACGCCAGGGTCTCGAAAAGCATGTGCAAGATGGTAACGATAGCAGTGGTTCCCAGGAGATAGATGTTGGTGTCCAACAGAACCTCCTTGACCATCTCCCACTCAGAGCCATCACCGCCACCAGGTACGGGGCCACCGTACGCAGCCTGGCGCGCACTCTGCTTGGAGCCCTCATCAATACTGCTGAGCATGCTGAATTTCCAGTTGGACAGATTGTTGAGGGTAATGCGCAGGGGGACCTCCGTGACAGTGGAGTTCAGCTCAGTCATATGAGTCTTCAACTGCCAGAAAGTATTGAGGAACAGGATGGGGTAGTACCAGCCGTTCTTGCCAGACTCGTCTCGGGCACCGGTGCGCTCCAGCTGCACATACTGGCGAACTGCCGGGTGCATCTGAGAGAACCTCTGGGTCCCAGAGTCGGGGATGACGGAGAGGGTGAAGTTAGGATGGTAGTAGGAGACCGTCTGCACGTCTGGGGTATCATCCACCACCTCTTCTTCCACTACCTCGGAAGCGGCCAGGAGATTCTTCAGCTTCTTGGTCTTCTTCTTGGCGAGGTACTGGTTCATGGGGCGCAGAAAGTGGACTGCGTCGGCAGAGTTATAATCCTTAGCAGCAGGGTCCAGCTGGTGTCCCGAGCGGGCCACAAAAAAGTGCGCGAAGAGTGTTCCATTCTGCTGAACCTGCTTCGGGAGCTTAAGAGTTGTCTCGATCACACGGGTGTCGCTATAGTTGCCCAGCGTGAAGTTCTTCTCCTGCATAACAAGCACGCTATCCTTGGCCTTCAAGGAGGGCACAATGATCGACGGGGTCACATAGATGCTGATATCGATGGCGCTGTCGGATGGCCAGATCGGAGAGATGAGGTCCGGGAGGGCGCTGTAGTCGGCGACTTCGCTGGGGTCAACGCGATCCGCAAACGCGGTGTTGCCCGACTTGACGGTGGATGCCGCATTCTGCTGCTTGTTGAAGAATTGTCCAATTACAAATTGTACCAGCAAGAAGATTCCGAGACCCTGGAGGGCACCCTTGAAGCCGAACTAGAGATGATTGTCAGTCAGCTCGAAAGGGGCGATTGAGCTCCCACCCTAACTCGGCGACAACAGAACCACATACGCTCGACTCCTCCTCTCTGCGTGGCCGCTGTTCAGGCATGATGCGATGTCGGGAGATGGCTAGAGAAGAGAAAAGAAGAGGCCAGCGCGACCAGAAGGCTAGCCCTTGGTCGAACCCGCTGGACTAAGGGAACATTAGGCGTGCGGGCTTGGCATTCTAATCGGTTTCCCCCTCCAACTCCGCAATTGACCGGAGAAGCGCCGACTGAACTTCCCAGCTCTCTACATCTCTCTACATCCACCGCGAACTTGTCGCTGACCTTTCGTGATCGCGCAATGGATATCGCGCTCAAGCGCTGGAGCTGACCCCATCCATGGACAACCATCCTTCTCTCGATTCCCGCTCGCAATTCCCGTCGCATAGTGAGCCGCGAGTATGGCTGATCACTGCGGGGGATTCGCCCATTGGCATCTCGGTCGCGCGGCAGATCCTTGCGCATGGCGACTACGTACTTCTTGGGCTTGCACACTCTATTCTGGATCGTGATGAGCGGCGCCGGGATGGTTTCGACGCTTTTCTAACTGAGGTGGAGGAACATCACGACGAAGGATGGAAGCAACGAATGAAGGCAGTGCCCTTGGACATAAGGTGCGCACGGCTGCCTACAGCTCTAACTCCATATATATCGCTGGCAGCTCAGCCGAATGGATGGGTCATAAAAGCAAACAACAAAGACTAACAAGCTTCTGCGACACAGGATGATGGGCGAATGCCAGGCAGTCTTCGCGCAAGCAGTCGCGACATTTGGTCGGGTGGATATCCTCTTATGCTGCACCAGCCAAGGTAATACTTGGGAATCCTTTATGAGAGGTTCTGTATGTCACTGACCTCCATTTCCAGCCCTGATCGGAACCGTCGAAGAGCTGTCTGCCTCTCAGCACACCTTGAACCTCGTTCGCGATCAATTCGAGGTCAACTATTTCGGACCTCTAAATATAATCAAAGCCGCACTGCCCCATATGAGAAGAGAGAGTTCTGGCCATATTATGATACTGTCAGGGATCAGTAAGATATCCCGAGAAGCGATTCATATGTGACGGCGTTCCTGACAAGTTATTAGCGGCACACATTGGGACTCCCGGACTTGGAATGTACTGCGCAGCTGGCTGGGCCCTTGAGGGATTCTGCGATGTGAGCCGCCCTGCATAATTTTTGCAGCAAGAGTCACTAATATTGTCTACCAGAGCCTGGCATTCGAGATTGCGCCATTCAACGTCAAACTCACCATTGTCCAATGCAGCATCGAGATCGGCATCCTCACAAATTTAGTCACCAGCGTCCCACCAATCTTTCCGGCGTATTCGCCTGCAAATAACAACGCACCCCTCTTCCGCGGTATTCTCAATCATCTTGTTCCCCGACTCCCCGATGCCGTTTCTGAGGGTGGTGTATCCGGCAACACTACTGCGGCTGTTCGCCCCAATGATCAACAAGAGAACACACGCGTGAGCTCCATCGAGAATGGACCATTCTCGAAGCCGGAGATTGTCTCCATGCATCCACCACTTAGTTCCGCACATCTGGAAGTCCTAGTCTCCGAAACAGTTTACGCCATCACATCTATTGGCGGCCATGAGAATCCTCCATCCCGCCATATTGTCGGGCAAGAGGGCGTCGCCAGCGTCAAGGAGAAGTTGAAAACTGTGAGCGAAGAGCTTGAAGACTTTATTCAAGCCAGCTTCGCTGTTGACGTGGCAGCTGATGCGGAACCTGTGCCTCCCATAGGAGCGATAAATCAAACACCTTTCTGAGGAGTTGAATATGTACACTCAGCAAATATAATTATAACTTGCGGCCATACGCTGACATCATGATTTCGGAAATTCTGTCCCCAAGACACTCCTTGACCTTAGCCCGGGTTTATCTTATCATTTACGAGCAACGCGCTTGCCGAGTCTCTATATCCCTTTACGCCGGGCTGCATATAGTGAGCACACTATATCGTAGTAAAGTTGTCAGTGCACCCCAGACACCCTGGACCCGATGTGTTGGCAGTCTGCGGTTTGCTTTAGTTGGTCAGCTGAGGGTGCAACACACCAATAGAAGACAAAGTACACAGCTTCAGCAGATTTCCCACGGCCAATGAACGCTCTGTACAGAATTGTTTTGGCTTGGTTCAAAAGTAGTTGAAGCTAAGATATGCGAGGTGAAATCATGAGGCTCTTCTAGTCAACCCGGGTGAAAGTGACACTATCATCATAAATACCGCAGCACTGGCTCATGCATTTGGTCCAATTTGCATACGTATAAGTTATCATTCTCAAGCGTATTGATCAGCCGAAACATCTTTTATATTTTCCCACACACTCTCTTCTGAAGTAAAAATGACCCAGCCAATCCCAATAGCGCGACCCAAGGAAGAGCCAACCACCAGCCAAAACGACTGTGAAACATGCGGGATTCAAAGAGTTGGAAATCCTTATACTGCATGTGTTTGTGGGTTAAAGTGCAATGTGAGCTTTCAGTCCTGCGGGATATCAACACTCAAACTTGGAATACTAAATTGATTAAAGATCTGTGGAAAAATCAAGATCAAGGAGCATCGGGAACTGTACAAGATACGGACCACTTTGGGGCTATGCGTGAGTGTTCCTGCTCGGTCTATGGGTGGTCTTGTTGCAAGGATCCAGATTAACTTTGTATCCGAATAGACCTGTAGCTAGGCGATGAAGAAGGATGTTATCCTCGGCAGGGAAATATTTTGCAGTGATGCTCAGCACTGCACAAACCATATAAACTATAATGGAAGTCTGATGGAAGGTCATATCGTTTGGTATTAGCAGTTATGATTCAATGAAACCATTCCATTATCCACATCTGCAGAGGGTAACTCCTTTGATTCCCGCTGCAGATCCGAAACCTATTGTACACTATGCATCAGGCACCTTTTCGTAGTACAAAAAGTACCCAAATCTCCCCGATCTCATCTAATGGTCTCCTCCTTCAAGAGGCGCATGTTCAATTCTGCTTGGAAAACCAAGTTTGTCTCACATCCCAGAGACTACCCATATCCTGGTTCTTGCGATAGCAGCGAATTTCTTTCCAAGAATTGGATGTACGGCCATCTGGTCTGCGGCCATCGATCTGGAGGATCTTATGAACCAATACCATAGGCGACGAAATGTCAGGTACAATGATTTCGTCCGGCTCATCAGCCGTCGGCTGGGCTTTGGGTGGAGACGTTGTAAGCGATGTAGGTGGCTCGGATAGTGGTGATGATGATGGGTCGCCTTGGTCGGGCTCTGCCTCGTTCGGACTTGGGGTCGCGTCCATGGCAACGTTGTTGGTAGCAGGCAGAAGTTCTGCTGCCGGACTAGGCGCAGGCTTGGTGATTTCTACTGATAGTGTTCCCATAGATGCTAGAGCAGTATCGCTGCCGACATGATTTTGTTCTTCGGGCTCGGGTTCGGGGTCAGGCTCAGACTCTAGTGCTGGTGCTGGTGCTGGTGCCGGTGCCGGTATCTTGCGAGGCCGACCGCGCTTCCGTTTCGCGGGAGGCTCAATGGCCGGGAGCGGCGTTGGGCGCTTAGATGCCTTTCCCGTGGAGTCTGGATGCCGTGGGCTGACGATGACAACCTGGACAGAGTCGTTCCCATAGTAGCCTTCGCCCTCCGCTTTGGTGGCCACTTCCAGCCTTCCAGTATCGACAAGCTCTTCACTAGGCCCGTCATCCTTGCTTCCTTCTTTCGGAGCCTCAGGTCCCCGTACCTCATCCGTAGCTTGAAGTTCTTCCTTTACCGGAACCACCTTCTCCGCCGGGCTCTCTTTCGTTCCAGGTTCTTCAATCAGGTCCTGCTCTAAATGCGAGTGATTCACCAGAAAGACCCGCTGACCGGCAGGAATTACAAACGTCATCTTTGAGCCATTTATTTCGTGTATCTGCCGGTTGTTAGTTTATCAGTTTCTCACAGCAGGGTAAGATTAGCCATACCCTGACTTCCTTGTCAATAATAATCCGGTCGGGTCCCTTGCCATATACGTAACCGAACCGCCAGACATCGCCGACTAGGAAAACGCCAGTCCGAATAAGTTGAGTGAGCTTGATTTTTGCACTTTCTCCGGAGATCAGAGTCATGCTGGTCTTCTGCTTCTGTCCCCAGAATTGCTCGAATTCCCGCTCCTTAAAGGAATCAAAGTCGCCGTTCTCTCGCTGCCGTCGCGCATTTTCAGCTTGACGTAGCCATTCTGGGTCGTAACGGCCATTCTGGAGATCAAGTTGGAACTGACGAATCCCATCACGCCAGTTATTGGAGTATCGAACAAATGAATCGGGGAGTGGGGGTATCTTCGCATTGGGGTCGTCGGGTGGGAGCTCCGATTCCGAGTGGGTATCCGCGGGGAGGAGAGCTAGAATCTCCCGTTTCTCATCTTCCTCCAGAATGTTCCAAGCTTCGGGTCTCGCCAGAAGCTTCTGTGCATTTGCGAAAGTAAATTATTAGCTTTGGCGTTTCTTGGTCTCGCAGATTGAATGGGGGGTGAGGCCATACCACCAAGTCCGCGTCGATAAGCACCGACTTATCGCTCGTCAACAGCTGCTCTTCGCTCCACTTGCCCCGAGGCGCCGCCTTTCTGGGAGTTCGTTTCGGCGGAGTCACTGCTGGAGAAGACATTTCCAGATCCCTGCGTTCTGCTACATTGGCATAGCCAGCGCCAGCAGCGGTAGCACGCCTGGATACAAATGTGGGGATCAGTCCGGTTCAATCAACACAGTTCAGCGATCGTCGCGCAGCTCACCGCGAAGAGGGCCCTCTTCTGCCGCATGTTACCGCCCTTCCCATACGGGCCATTCTGGCCGATTGACCGCGGCGTTTCCAGACTAAACAAGAGGGATTCTGCTGCTCCTACACATTCCAGCGGTTTTCAAAATGGTTAGATCAACACAGATTGCACGGCTTGATGGTACATGAAGATCACAGTCTCATGCAATGTTCCTTCAATGCTAATGGTGTGTGCTAGGCCTTATGCTGGCTGCCTCGGTGGATGACGAGCAGGTGAGAGTGCACTGATACTTCACGATGGTCCTGGACTAATCGCTCCTGCAGGCTGAGTCTGAGCTCTCTGAAATCAAGAGCCAGGCCAAGATGATTTTCCGGCGGTTGAACCGCAACTCCGCACCGCAGGCTAGCATTGAGTCTGGTCAATACAATCTCCAGTGAGTGGGCATGCATCGCGTTGTCAAATTGATTTGATATCTAACCGAGTGTATAGCTACACAATCCAAGACGACGTCTGCTTCCTCTGCATCTGCGACCGCTCCTACCCCCGCAAACTCGCCTTCACTTATCTCGCTGATCTGGCCTCCGAATTCACCACCACCTACACCCAATCACAATACCTCTCTCCCACTCTCCGCCCTTATGCCTTTGTTGAGTTCGATACCTTCATTCAGCGCACAAAGAAGTTGTACCAGGACAGCCGTGCCTCGCAAAATCTGGACAAGTTGAACGACGAGCTGCGCGATGTTACCAAGGTCATGACTAAGAACATCGAGGACCTGCTCTATCGTGGTGACAGCTTGGAGCGGATGGGCGAGCTGTCCGGTCGACTGCGGGAGGATAGTAAGAAGTATCGAAAGGCAGCGGTGCGCATCAACTGGGAATTGTTGGTGAAGCAGGTCAGATAATCTCAGGCTCGTATGGATGATCCCATAGCTAATCGTGTCGCAGTACGGGCCTTTCGCCGGCGTCGGGTTTGTCGTGCTCATTTTGCTCTGGTGGCGGTTCTTCTGAGCGCCCTTGCTGTTCGAACTTCTTTTCCATCTTGACCCCCTTTTGTATGATTGTATGCATAGTTAATACCTCCGGGTGGTTGCAGGACACAATCCACCTCTCTCTGTCTCTCTACAATGCAGAAATATGTGCAAATCCGAATACATGATGTCGTAGAAATTCATATGTATCGTTTCTAAATCTCATCCTCTTCTTCATCAAAGTCATCTTCCTCGCCCAGGTCGTAAAGAATCCGACCTCCTTCGCCAGGGCCATCGCCATGCTGCGCGTCGAAGTATGGCAAGACGACGCCCTCTCTCTCCCGCCTTTGCCGCTCGGTGAGGCCCAGCTCGAATGTTGACTTGGGCTCTTCGTTATCAGGATTTGTATCCGGTTCCAGGGGAGGGTTGTACAAAACATTATCGTCAAGTAATGTAACCACTTCCTTCACATGCAGGGGCGAATATCGCGATGCGGGCGGGAGAATGTACCATTCCAAGACTCCACGCCCACTTTTACGCCGGTGCTCAAGCTCCAACACAATACCCTCCGCAGCACCAGTACCTACCAGCTTGTCTAGCCGGCCGAGGAGGATGCCGTCTTGTTCTTCCTCGAGCCCGAAAACCGGAGCAGCCAGACTGCGATTGCGGGCGGCCTTCTGAGCCAGGATGTGGGAGAATGAATGGAGTGTAATGATACTTGTAGCCAGGTATGTTAGTACTGACAAGGGCGATGGTGAGTATGGATTTTGCTGAGGCAACCCCGGAACATCTTGATGATATGTCACTACCAACGAAGCTTCAGCCTTGCCAGCTAACGGGTCCGAAGGGGCGATGAAAGAGCTGAGGAAAGACGGAAGGTTGAAGCCAGGGTCCAGTCTCCTTGAGCTCACAAGAGGGTTGATGGCATCAATGATAATGAGACGACCTATAGGTTTAGTTAGCTCGGGTGAGAGGCATGACATAGAGCGAGCTCGTGAGAACTCACGTCGTGACGGGCCAGTCGATGCGGCGGATTGATAAGCCGCAGCTACTTCTTTGACAATATCGGCTGGGCTCTTTCGGCGGGTTGACACAAACGCATCGACCCCTTCTGGTTGTTTCAAGGTTTCAAAAGCAACCAGGGTGACATGAACTTTGCCTAGCTATTGTGGAAGGTTAGTCTCACAATTTAAGGTCGATATTCCACGAGGGAAAATGATGGATCTCTATCTTGAGTAAAGTACAGCCTAGCTTACCTTAGCGCGCCTGATATACTCCTTGATGAGGGGTGCGGCGGGTTGCTCTAACGAGTCCTGCAGGAGGGTGAGCGGTGACGCGGTGTCCCTCAAGCTCAATAGTTTCGAGATCAGAAGCAAGTTATGCGTTCTTCGATGGGACAGATTGACTGGGGCCATGGCTTCACACGATGAGGCCTGGCTAGGTGCTGCAGGGAAGATGACCTGGCCAACTGAAGTGGGGTAGTCGGCGCAGCGAAAATTTCGCGGTGGGATTTAAAGTTGGGCTGGACGGGTCGGCCCGTGGGGCTGCATGGCCAGGTCGCTGGTCTTCATGTTTTAGCATCTTATTGATTTGACGGTTGTCATCGCTCTTCCTGAGCTTGAAGTACCAAAAAATACCAAGAAATCTGTCGATGAAGCGTAAAAAAAATATAATAATAGACCCACACCTTTTCTCAAGCACTTTGTTTACAGTACCTTTGAGCTTTGTTGAACACTCATGGAGTACCCCCTAGAACATATCGTACAGGAACATTTTCTTGCACAAGGCTATTCAGGCGCCTAAATCAAGCTTTCATGAATTCTGCTTCAAGTAAATCAATGCTTCACATATCAATGATGAATCAACATTGCAAGGCCTGTTATCCTTGGCAAGTCATCAAAACGAAGAGTCCGTTCCACGAAGATACCGAAACTGATAAAATCAAACAAGAGAAAGCGAGATGAGCTCTTCTCTCTCTACTACAGGCCTGAGCCTCCACATGACCATCGCATGGTCGAGTCTGTGCCTCACAAGGTCCGCGAAGACTCCGATCCGCGGGGCCATTCGCTGTATGATCCTATACGTGCAATAACGAAGTAACTGGAGGTGATCCTATTATGGTGGCAGGTATAGATTATAAGGTGTCCTTGGCATTGATTATTCTTGTATACATCCCACCATTGTTAGGTGAAATACCTAAGGCTGCCTCTGGTCCCTTCCCCACTGTCTCCAATTAAACACATTAGCTTCTACGTCATCAAATCTCCGCAAATCTGGAAGCTACTATCAGTTTGATTAGATTAGAGGCTTGAAGACAAAGCGCTGTGTGACCGTCACTCCTATATTTTGTCGATCCGGTGCGGGATAACTAGGCGATGTTCGCCGGTTAAGAGCCATGGTTCTTGGATTCCCTCGAACTTTATACCCCGTCGCTATATCGCTATATACCTTTAGCTACTTATTTTCCTACTCACAATTCAATCTAGCTTCGGTGGTTTGATTCCGCTCTGATGAAGTTCGGAATTGATCCCATCAAGAGTTAGTCGTTTTGGTAGAAGACAAGCCGGCTTGTGGAAACTAGTTTTGAGATTGATCGATGGAGATGTGGAAAATGAGGCAATTACTGAATGTTAGAAATCAATGTCTATTGTCATGGGCCTTTGATTTTGAGTCCGAGGGAATTGTAAAGTCCCAAAGCCGGGGCCTTCTTGGTAGTGGCCGCAGGACAAAGTCCCCAGAACCAAGCTGCTAAAGCACTTGACACAATTATTTCCGAACGATGGTAGTAAGGTACCTAGACTTGTATGGATTGTATTTCAAGATGTTATGAGGCAAGAGTCTACCTCTTAATTAAGTATCCATTGTATTAGGACCCAACTTTCAGATATATATCGCTTAACCTTCTGCTGCCCCTGGGCCGGTGACGCCCTATTTTTGGTGGTTAATGACGCTCAATCTTAGCGAGTCCTATTTGGAACAGCCTATTGACAACTTGATGTCTTGGCAGAAAAAAAGGATCATTGCTATTCCTATCTAGCTGAGTTAAGGTGATGGACCAGGCTATACTAAACCTAACTGGACGAAACGCGGGAGTCACTGACTGCGGCCTGCGCGAAAGGTTTATCCGGGTGACCGGAATAAACTTCTCTCTTCCGCCAAACGTAGGTGGCAGTTTCCATTGTGACGACGTGATACCCCCAAATCTCAATTTCTTCTAATAATGCGTTCTTGTACTATCTATTAATCTCATCACAATCTTTTATCTGCAAGGAAAACGAAGTATCGCACAGTCTCGCTCGGATCCAATCGTCACGACCAACCTACACGACCGCACTGCCCGAGATATCACAGCTGTCCCAACCAACCACCATGGCAGAACCCCCTGCAAAACGTGCTCGGCGCGTGGACAGCAGCGTGATGTGGGACATGAATGACTCAAAAGCCCACTCCGTGGAGCCAGACTCGGATCATGGCCGCAGACGTTCACCACCCCCCGAGATGAGCGACGCGATGGCCCTCGTGAAGACCGCCTTTACCGCTCACACTCTCGAGATCGCAATGATAGAAGGCGAGAAAGGAGCAGGTCTCGAGATCGCCGCGACCGAGACCGAAGGGACCGGGATAAAGATGGAGGCCGGGCCAAGGACCGCAAGAGAAGTGCAAGTAGGGAGCGTGGTTACGACCGACGAGGTAAGTGCAAACTACTAAGGACTAAAGCCATCGTATATTGGATCAGATTTACCTAACATCGCATGCGTAAACAGGCTATGCCGCGAAAGGCGACAAGATCCGCGACCGTTCGCGATCACCCGCTCGGAATGGCACGAAGACTGGTTCGAGGTCTCGATCTCCGCCTTCTCGAGGATACAAAGGCGACCGCCGTTCCGATCGCACAGACCCTAGGTATCGCGATGGGAGACAGATGAATGGCTCATCGGGCGCAAGCCGCCTTGCAGAGGAAATGGATATCGATTTCAAGGACGATGCCGATGAGGACCAGATGGAAGCAATGATGCGGAAGAGCATGGGATTCACCCGATTCCGGACCACCAAAAACACTAAGGTACCTGGGAACGACATTTACGGTGTGCGCAAGGAGAAGACAAGCGAGTACCGCCAGTACATGAACCGCACAGGCGGTTTCAACCGGCCGCTCAGTCCGTCGAGGTGATTTGTTTTCAAAGGGTTTTCTCTGGCTTGTGCACAAGATTTTCTGGGAGTTGCTCTTTTTCTTTTTCTCTTTTCTATTTCTCAGCACAATTTGCATCTCGCGGAGCATGGTAACCCCGGTTTGTCCACGAACTTTTATTACGGCAAAAAACTTCGTGAATTTAGTTGCCACAATATCCATGGAAACTTGAGCAGTCTAGACATATCCGCTCCTTATGAAAGTGCAGTAGACGTTCGAGTTTAGATTGAGGTGGTGGAAGGCAGCAACACCTGACTAGGCCTGTTCAAACCGCAGTGACGTAGCTCAATCTTGGACAAACACCGGTTCTCCCACTTGCTCTTTCTTCAACTCTTTGCACAACGTGGCTTCGTTGCGATTATTTGCCTCCACGATAGTACCGATAGCAAGGATGTCGGCAGCGGGTGACCGCCGTGAAATTGTCGTTGTTGGTAAGTCCACATCGCTTGTGATTCCGGTACCCTGCGCGCGCAACCTTTCTAGGAGACATATTGACAGCGATCTGTCCAACTAGGTGGTGGGATCATTGGCTGCTGCACTGCATATTTCCTCACGAGACACCCACTCTACGATCCAACACGCCATAAAGTAACGCTCCTCGAGGCCTCCGACATTGCAGGCGGGGCATCGGGGAAAGCGGGCGGGCTTCTCGCGCAATGGGCTTATCCAAGCAATATCGTGGATCTCAGCTTCTCGCTCCACGCGCTGCTCGCGAAGGAGCACGACGGAAAGAACAGATGGGGCTACCGGGAGACCAATTGCGGTCAACTTGTCGTGAAGGGCCGCGCCATGAGTGAGAAGAGCCCGAAGAAAGAAGAAGGCGAGTCCCTGCAGAAGCGCAGTGCGGCCGCGGTCTCCAAACTCAAATCAGCCGGAATCCCTCAAGATCTTGACTGGATTCAGCCAGACCTATTGAGAGCGTACGAGAGCATGGGCGGTCCTGGTGAGACCGCTCAGGTACACCCATACCTCTTCACAACGTCTATGGCAAAGCTGGCACAAGAGAAGGGCGCAGAGGTCATCTTTGGACACGTCACAGACATTGCTCGTCCAGGTGACACCGTCGAATCTGTTACATATACCGATAAAGAGTCGGGAGAGTCGCACACTATCCCTGCCACTGATGTGATTGTCGCTGCCGGACCATGGACCCGCACAGTCCTTCCGGAAGTCCCCATTGCGGCGATGCGTGCGCACAGCGTTGTCATTGAACCAACAAGGCCCATCAGTTCCTATGCTCTATTTACAAACATTGAGATACCGGCCAACTTCAACCCTGCGAAGAAGTCGCGACCTACAGTGGCCGCACCGGAGATATATACCCGCCCAGATGACACCATCTATGCTTGTGGTGAGGGAGACAAGACTGTACCGCTGCCAAAATCCTCCGCAGACGTTGAGGTAGACCCTGAGCGCTGCCAGGAGATCATTGATCAAGTCAGCAGTATCTCGGATGAACTGCGTGATGGCAAGATTCGCACACGGCAGGCTTGCTACCTGCCCAACTGCACGAACGGCGGAGGTCCATTGGTGGGCTTGACCCATACCAAGGGCCTCTATCTTGCCGCTGGTCATACTTGCTGGGGTATCCAGAATGGCCCCGGCACAGGGAAGCTGATGAGTGAGTTTGTATTTGATGGCCAGGCCAAGAGCGCGAAGATTGGATCGTTGGATCCCCGCGATCAACTTTGAATATAATTGGACATATTATCCTATGCTTATCTAGGAAGACCTTTAAATATTATGCACCAATTGTTTTTTACATACAAAGTTGTTGTAGTTGCTTAATTTTTTCTTTTTGCTCTTACACTTTGGCGGACTCAACTGCTCGCTGCGGAGCTCGGGCCACGTAGTTGCGGAGAGCACAGCAGCTCCGCCCGCTGCACCTTGACGACTTGACCACCTTTCAATGCCTCTCACTTGAGTGATGCGATCAATGATGCATCACCTTAGGATCTCCGTTTTACTGAAATTGCTGCTCTATGCAATTGGGATTCTTGCAAGTCAAGATCCCAATGATGTCTCGGTCTTGATCAAAGAGGCCGCGCGCGCCAACAACGAGTCGCTGCTATGGGGCCCTTACAAGCCAAACCTGTACTTCGGGGTGCGGCCTCGCATCGCAAACAGTCTGGCTGCGGGATTGATGTGGGCCAAGGTCGACGACTTCGCTACGGTCCAGCAGAGTATGCTCCAGTCGCCTGCTTTCCCGAATTTAGGAACCGTTGCTGATCTTCCAATGCAGACTTTAGGCACACCTGCGAACAGAATGAAGGTATGGCTGGATACGGCTGGGATGAATACGATATCCGGAAGGGCGGACGCGAGACAATCCATGACGCCGGCAATACTTTGGATCTTACAATCGATTTCATCAAGGTGCCTGGTGGCCAGCACGGAGGCAGCTGGGGTTTCCGAGTGAAGGGTGTTCCTCGCGAGGACGGAAGTCCTGATCAGCCCATCTCAATGGTTTTCTATACCACTCTTGAGGGCCTGGGTCAGTTGGGTGTGGACATGGACACCGTGTCCAAGAGCGCACCGCTCGAGGGCGATTTGAGGTTTAATGGCTACTCCTCCGAGCTGGGAGACTTCACCATTGATGTCACCGACGGACCTGAGAGCAATGAGTACTTTAAGCATGATCATCCCACTGGCGAGGACAAGCCGTTGGGCCACGGTCTTGTATCTAGTGCAACCATGCCCCAGCAGCATCTTTGGCAGGCCAAAGGTGTGTTTTCGTGAAGTTGTCCGCTTGATATCTGTTACTGATCTTTGGGAAAAAAGGCATCCTATTTACGCAGATGAAAGACGAGGTTGATGAGACCATCAAGGAACATGGACCTGAGAATCCGCCGCCTCCAGCTCAGCTGTTCACAATCAGGCATGCGCCTGGAGAGGGCAATGTCCACATTGTCCAGAAGATCTTTCAGGGTCCCTTCGAGGTATGAAATCCTAACACATTTGTTTATTAGTGCTTTACTGATCACATTCTAGTTCGACGTTCTTTTTTCTTCTGGCTCCGCCCACAAGCCCTTGACATGTAAGCCTGTTTTTTGACATGTTCTAAACACATGCCACGAGTCTAACAAACGATATAGCGGAGACTATCACCAACGAACTTGAGAAATCCTCACTGTCATTCTCCGAAAGATTTCAGCAGGTACTTGCGCCCAAGGCGCCCTTCGACTCCGAAGACTATTCGACGTTCTCGAAGGCTATGCTTTCAAACCTGATTGGTGGTATTGGCTTCTTCCACGGTGACGACGTTGTTGATCGCTCTGCCTCTCCTGCATATGACGAGGAGAACGAAGGTTTCTGGGAAGAGACTGCCGAGGCTCGGGCTGCGGCCAAGCCCGTAATGGAGGGGACAAAGGATCTCTTTACCTGTGTTCCTTCCAGGCCGTTCTTCCCCAGAGGGTTTCTTTGGGACGAAGGCTTCCACTTGATGCCTGTGATGGAATATGACTCTGACCTTGCGTATGTCCCTAACTTGCTTAGCTCCCTGAGTGGTAGCTGACCCATTTGTCTAGACTCGAGATCATTAAGAGCTGGTTCCATCTAATGGATGAAGATGGCTGGATTGCCCGTGAGCAGATTCTGGGACAGGAAGCTCGCAGCAAAGTTCCATCCGAATTCACGACCCAGTACCCTCACTACGCTAACCCACCAACCCTGTTCATGGCCCTGGAAGCCTTTATGGATAAGGCGAAAAGCAACAAGAGCATTCAGACGGAGTCTCTGGATAATAGCGACATGGCTGAGAGCTTGCGCTCTGCTACCCTGCGAAATCCGGAGCTCTCCAATGCTTACCTTCGCTCATTCTACCCGCTGATGAAGAGACACTATTCTTGGTACCGCAGCACCCAGCGTGGAGACATCAAGTCCTACGACCGCGAGGCTTTCTCTACCAAGGAAGGCTATCGCTGGCGCGGACGCTCCGTGCAACACATCTTGACTTCTGGCATTGATGATTATCCCCGACCCCAGCCGCCACACCCTGGTGAGCTGCACGTGGATTTGATTAGCTGGATGGGCATGATGACTAGAACCCTGCGTCGTATTGCGGAGTACCTCGATGAGGTGGAAGATGCCGAGGAGTTTGCCTATTATGAGAACGCCATTACACGCAACATTGATGACTTGCACTGGGACGAGAAGGAGCAGACTTTCTGTGATGCGACCATCGACGAGTTTGAGGAGAGCGTTCATGTTTGTCACAAGGGCTACATCTCCATTTTCCCCTTCCTCACTGGCATGCTGGGTCCCGGCAGCCCTCGACTGAAGGCTGTCTTGGACCTGATTAATGATCCCGAGGAGCTGTGGAGCGACTACGGTATTCGAAGCTTGAGTAAGAAGGACAAGTACTACGCCACGGAGGAGAACTACTGGCGAAGCCCAGTCTGGATGCCTATCAACTATTTGGTGCTGAAGAACCTTTATGTAAGTTGTGCCACCCGCATACGGCATTTCCTGAGTACAACGTTGACATTCACTTTTCTGCAGGATACCGCACTTGTCTCCGGTCCTCACCAGGAGCAGGCCCGAGAGATGTACTCCAAGTTGCGGAAGAACTTGGTCGAGAACGTGTTTCGGGAGTGGAAGCGCACTGGATTCGCTTGGGAACAGTATGACCCCGAGACGGGCAAGGGACAGCGCACTCAGCACTTTACCGGCTGGACCAGTATGGTGGTGAACGTCATGTCCATGCCAGATCTGCTCGAGGGCGGAAAGACGGCTCACGATGAGCTGTGAGGCACTGGCCTTGGATGGCAGTTAGATGTCGTCGCATAAATTAGATAGCGATGATTATTGCATGTGTGCACTCGTTGGCTAGCTGCTTTGAAGCGTGATGTTTGGTAATTAAATCGATGGATATCAGATAAGTCGTAAATCAATATCGCCGACCGCGGTCATCGCGGTCTCTGTGGCGGTCAGGGTCGCGTCGACGTTCAGCTGGAGAGTAACTGCGCTCGACTCGCCGAGGTCGGGGTTCCACCGGGCGGTCATGTTGGGTTCGAGAACGCGAGTGAGATCGTCTCCTGTCGTGATCTCTGTCACGAGACCGGTATCGATGGCTGCGATGATGACGATCCCGATCTCGATCGCGGTCCCGTTCGCGATCGCGATCGTCCCGGTCTCTGCGGTGTCTTCGCTCCCTGTCTCGGCCGCGGTCGTCACTGCGGTCGGTGCGTCTCTGCCGGCGGGGGCTTCGGCTGGGGCTCCGGCTCCGCTCACGACGGGGTCTTCGCCTCCCTCGAGATTCTCTCTCCGCCTCCTTCGCACCGACCCTATCTTGGGCAGCTGGGGCCTTTTCATTCCCTCCCAGTGGCGTCAGATTGGCATTTTCTTCAGCTTTGGGAGGGATAGGCAACCCCAGTGCACGAGCCATCGCTTCCTCCTCGGCGTCTTTGACTCGCTGGAGCTCTTCGCGTTGTTTGCGAGCCTGTTCCTCCTCGTCATCTGCGTCTCCCTTGGCATACCATTGGAGGTCACGTCCCTGTTGCCATCGACCCACCGGGGCCATCACTGAATGGCCCAGGTAGTTTTCGCGATGGCTCGAGTCTTTGACCTCGGACCATTTGAACTCGTTGCGGCCGCCGCTGTGAGAATCAGTTAGCTGGTATGCTTGGGACAGGGAGAAACCAGCAAAGCTCAAACAAGGGGCCACTTACCGGCTGCCTTCTTTCCGGACTCCAGCAACCAGATCCATCGTTGGCAGGCGGGGAAGATGGAGATGGGGTAGCAGTGGGAGCTGCCTAGAAGACGAGATTGTGGAGGCAGGCGGTGAGCGAGTGGATTTCATCATCCGCTGCTCCACACCCGGTCCCCCGCTGTTGCTGGTAATAACGACCTTCCGCGTTTTGGCTTGATCATGTCCTTTTGTACATATCCTTTCTTCCCCTCGCCTCTCTTCTCAGAACTCCCGGTCCTTGGCAATGACAACACTACTTCCGGTCTCCCCCCCTCTCCTTCTTCCTCCCCGAATCCCCCCGCGCAGATCTGCGGGAAGACTACTGTTCTGGCTCGGTCACTGGAGACAAGCATCTTTAGCCTAAGCAAATGGCCTCTTCCAGCCACGGAAGCCCGGAAGCTGAGGTCTTTCCTGGCAGAGACGCCTTTCGACCTCGAATCCAAGCTTTGAATGTCGAAAAAGAAGAGCAACGAGTGCGTGGTGTCCTTGCATGTCTTACCTGAGGGGTTTCAACTGACCAAGAAGCAGTTCTCCTTGTAGGTGTGGACCGGCATTACTGGTCTGGCTTAGAGTATACTGATAGAATTGGAAGGAAAAATGACACACCGGGTCCCCCGGTGGCCACTTGGAGAAGCAATCTGGTGAGAAGATCTTTAAACCTCTTGTATCTGATAACCCTGCTGACCGATCACCAGGCGGCTTCCTCCCAGCGGCGTAATCTCCTTTTCGTAGCGCATGGCTGCGATATCTATGTCTGGGTACCATCGAGTCCTTTCCAGCTTTTGGGGTCTCAAGCCGAGATGATCATCAAACCCATTATGAAAAATCCCCTTGCCGATGGTTACATTGACCGCGCGAACCCCCACACCATCAACAACATCCTTGTGGATGAATTAGGCCGTGATGAGGTCTTGCTATTAGCCACTGATTCCGGCAACGTCTGCGGCTACCATGTTGAAGCGATATTCTCGGCCGTTAAGCGATGCGCAAGGGGCGAATATAAACGACCATTCGATGGCGCTGAAGTGACGCCGTTCTTCGTGGAAAATGTCGGAATGAGCGCCTGGGGCTTGGCAACCCACAAATTTGCCCGTCTGATTGCCATTAGTGCCAATACTGGCCAGATCACCGTGTACGCATTTGCACTGGTGGATCCCTCACCTGGGGACATTCATGAACCTGCTCCAGACTCGGACTCGGACGGACTGAATCTTACTCAGTCTGATCAGACCTGGGTATCTATTCACAATATAAAGCAATTGCGGGAATTACAGAAGCTGATGCCTTATAACCACCGGTCCCGCAATCTACGGTTGACATACAGAGGTCACTTTGATAATATCCCACATATATCGTTCGCCAATTTTGACTTGGACGCCAATGGGTCGTGGATGTCCAGCACTGATATTAGCAATCGAGTTATTATTTGGCGGATCTGGGATGACCTGGGCCCCTATCGGGTATACTATCCCGGCCACCCGATGAACAACCCTCCGCAAAGAGGCTGGACCGTCATACCGCTGGACCCACGCACTTTCAGACGGCACCAGACCAAAGAAGACGCATGCGGGTGTCAGCCAGGCTCAGTTCTGATAGCGTCTCGGACGATCCTAGATGTGTCTAGAGCCATCGAGGATGTTCCAGATGCCTCGCAGATATTCGTTTTTGGCACCATCAATTCCAATCGCCCACGCAACCAGGATCGCAGGATTGAGAGTCTACCTGATGACATCTTCTCTCCTGATTGCAGGATAGATCGGCCTTCTTCACCGAGCTTAAGGCCTGACTGTGGCCACGATCGCACGGCTGGTGATGAGCCTAACGCTGGGCCTGAGGGAACCGGCTCAATATCCATCGGTAGTTCACAACGGGAAGATAAACAGAGCAACACATCGCACCGAGTGGTGCGAATCAAACGCCCTCTTGCAAGCCTCCCCGAAGAAGACAGCGGGCACTACTGCGTATCACCATGTTTGCACCCAGACTATAGCTACGACTATGAAGGGTTTTCCGATAATAATCTTAAACTCTTCAAGGAAAGGCCTGTACATCGTAAGTGCCGTCTTAACAATGGCGAATATTCCATGAAAGAGAAGCTGATCGACCCCCGACAGCTGCACATCCTGCCCAGTTCTTCCCCACCATCCATTTCTCCGAGCACCATATCAGCATGGCACCCTACCCAATCGACTCAGATTATCACCTCCTCAGCAGAACCCCGCTATTCCAACGCTTCTCCTTCAACGTCGAGATTAGCTCTGCCTGCGATCGTTTCAACATGGTGAAATACGTCCCCGAGCTCGGCATCGTGGTTGCGGCGTCGCAGAAAGGCCGGGTAGCAATCATCTCCCTTACCTGGCAAGGAGAAATCGGCTATGCATTCCGCCTTGATTGGATCCTTCCGTTCTATACACAAGAACGCGACGATGAACGGCCCATGATCCCGCTCCTGGGAATGGCGGTTAGTCCTATGCCAGGGTATGAGATCCCGCCGGACGTGCCATGTATCCCGCGTGGCGTGGACCCGGACGACTGGCTCAAGTTCAACTACCGCATCCTCCACCCTGATGAAGACGACACACCTTCTTCGCCTTCATCTATAACCTCCGAAGCCCCTGAATTTACATCCACGGCTCAGAAAGGCTTCCAATCCGGAGTCGAACAAGACTCCGACTCCGACTCCGAATGCCCGTCCGAATCACAATCGGATGCATCTTCCTCCGACACCCCCTCCAAACCTATAAAAACAGCGGATGGCCACCAGAAATACACCCTCCCAGAAATACATGCCCACGCCTCACATGCTTACCGTCCCCAGGAACGCTGGCACGGATGGCACCCTTCCCGCCACTACCGGTTACTCCTGCTGTTCTGTGACCACACGGTCATGAGCTATGAATTCTGGCATGACTGGAAAAATTGAATTCAATGTCTGGTATCTAAGAAAAGCCGGCCTCAGACATAGTCTTTTCAATGTATCTAGGTAATCACTAATGTACGAGTACGAACATGCGCTGGCTTTGTGTCTCTTTATTACAAGTCACAGATGATTTTTGAGCTCTATCTAGCCAAAGTAATCACTAATACAGAGCGGAAGATCTTTCAGATAAACTGCCGTTACTGTTTCTATATGCAAAGTCAACGGAGAGATAGATACGGACATCAAACAGCAGCTCTAACAGGCAAAGTAAGTTGCGATACCCCGCCAGCAATAGAAATAATATGCTTCTGGGGAGCTGTTTTATCACTACGTACGCGATTTTCAGCAGTACCCAGACTTCTCGCATACATCGGGAAAGAACCGCCCGCCACAATCAGTCTCACCCGCATACCCACCCGGAACAGATGAGCACAGTCTTGCAGATCCAGTCTAATTGGATGAGACATTTCGCGCATAGGGTCAAGCGCCTTGTATACATCAGTGATGTTATGGGACACGCCCTGGGCGTCGACCTCACTGAGCCGCACGAACAAGTCTGCGAAGGGCGGGTCACTGGCGTGAATTAGATGGACGGACGGAACGCCCAGAACCTCGAGGTCTTCTGAGAGGGGCTCGCTCGTGAAGGTGAGGACATCTGATTGGTTTGCGTAGGCGCTGTCATCTACTCGTCCGCCGACAGACATTTGGTTGCCGCCGATACTGGGCGTAGGGCTTCGGGGGTCGAAGACGAAGGATGCGGGGTTCGCGTCCTGTGTAGGCTGCTTCGATCCCAGGCAGCTGTTTTCTTGTAGATAGAAAACGGCCGGTCGTGTAGCTGGGGGCCAGGTAGGCATTGAGCGCCATTCCTGGGCGCCGGTGATGAAAATGTGAGCTGGAAAGCGATTGTATTTAACAGTTTTGGCCAGATGCTCGGCGAGGAAATCCATTATCTCTGGTATGGAATGTAGACCCGAGGCTTGGACGTGTGTCCAGGGGCCGACGACCAGGCGGACATTCACACCTCTACCATGCAGGTGCTTGAACTGGTGCATCGTCTGCGTCGTGAAGGTGTCGTACCAACCACTAATCAACAAGATAGGGATCTTCACCCGCTCAAGAGCAATCTGGTGTCGTCGTGGCGTCCAGTACACATCATCCACATTGGGATGTTTCAAATACTCAAAGAGCCATGGGGCTTTGTCACCGAAGTACTTCTGCAGACTGGCGTCTAGCGGCAGACCAGCCACAGCCTCGTCGAGCTCCGACGACCGCAAAAAGCCCAGCCCAGGAATACTTGACAGCCGCGAGAGAAGAAGGCGTCCCCTCTGGTCGTCTGTCCTGGACATCATATCGCTCCAGGATGCACGGTCCAGCCGAAAAGACCCGGTACCCCATGCGTGCCAGGCGTGATCATGAGGCCCCACGGGGATGACTGCAGCAACGCAATCGGCCGGCGGGTCGTGCAACAGCGCCCACTGGCTGTAGCCGAGATACGAGGGGCCCAGGGTAGCAAAGGAGCCCGGATACCAGGGCTGCTGGCGCATCCAGACCACGATATCTTGGCTATCGGATTGTTCATTGCTGCCGGGGTCGAAAATACCGTCGGAGCCGTAGGTGCCGCGTGTGCTAACCAAGAGGGCCTGGAAGCCTCGAGCAGCGAAGACGCGGGCATCCATGAAAGAGATGCCTGCGCCGCGACCATAGCAGCACTGGATTAGGATTAGACCGGCGGGTGCTTGGTTATCGGGTAAGTCTGGCGCGTAGAAGTCGCCAGCCAGCTCGATGCCGTCGCGCATGGGGATCTGGATGCCTTGGGTGGTGTAGCTGCATGTTTCAGGGCCTGCGCCAACGTAGTGTGCTCCGAGATAGTCTAGGGTTGCTCTTGTATAACTGCGCTGAACAGGTTGCTCCATGGTGGACTACGTGTATTGCAAGCTGCAGCACGGGCAGTAGAGCAGTTGCGGTGGCTGGATGACACTGAGCAGAAAAGGCTTCGGAGGCTTGTGGACTTTTGCTAGGTCTATCGATCTTTGAGCTTTCCCGCGTTCGACTCTGATCGCGAGGTTCAGCCTGCAAAGACGGGGAGAACCGCGCACGACGTTGCCTGGTGAGGCGCAGGGCCTCGTACAACCATGATCGGAACAGGGATCCTGCCCCGCACGCCGATCCCTCAGCCTCAGGATCTAAAAACAAGATTAAAGGCCGGAAGAATGGAAGACCGAAAGATCGGAAGATCAGGTCAGAATGAGCCTTGAAGATCAGGCAGCCGCACGGGCATACTCAGGGCTCGCTCAAAGAGAGCCCAGCACTCCACGGCCCACCCCGTGTGCTTTCCTCTCTCATGCAGTCCCAGCCATCTTCTAGGGTCGCTAAATGATGATAGCGGGTTGGCCTGGGCCTTCTCTCGTTAATCATAAAGAGTAGCAATAGGTAGCGAGAAGAATCTCAACTTGAAACCCCATTATACGTCCCCGCAATATACCACATGTAAAACGACTAGAGGCTAGACAAGCTAATATATAGAAATGACATTTCAAGAAAAACACGCTGCGATATCCAAACTCATCAGAATCATTGCTCATAAGAACACCATATGCCCTTTTTGAAGTATACGTGAGTATCGTAAGCCAATCCATCCTCCTATTAACAATAACAATCATGATGCATGCCCCCGGATCTAAAAGTCATCCAGCTCATCGCTATCCCACTCGTCCTCCCGGTCGTTCTGCACCAACTCCAAGAACCGCTGAAGCCCAATCATGGCCCGTGGCGGGTCGTCTGGCGGCACATCATTGCGCGCCTGCTCCGCCCGCCGGACAGGCCGATTGCGGTTCCGGATTTCCGCCATCGCGCGCGCCTGTTCCTCGCGCTCCATGGCCGCACGGGCGGCGGCATCTGGGCCGGGGTGGTTTGCACCGGGTCCTCGTGCTGCGCCGGGAACCCTTGGGGGCACTGGTGCAGGAGGAGGCGGGTGGTGGTGGCGGACTTGCTCGTCGTCGCTGAAATCGAAGTCCCATACTGGGCGGTCGTTATCTTCGTCTGCGGAGCTCCAGCCACTGCCGTCTGTGTCGTCGTCGCTGCCAGCATCCTGGGGCCCACGGTCGTGGTCTTCATCGTCGAAGGCTAGCAGTGCTTCTGGAATCCGGTGGAGAGCTTCCGCGCCTTCGGGATTGAGTCCGTCGCCGCCTTCCAGGTCCCAGAGGCGGTTGTAGCATGTACTGCTGGTCTGGTTGAAGTGGCTGTACGGGTTATCGGGTGACAGCCAGGCGGAGCAGAGATAGCAGAAGTGCGTGTCGCACTGGAAGCAGCGCATATGGTTGCAGCCCATGCGCTTCTGGCAGGGCACGGTGCATGTCGGGCATTGCGAGGTGTACAGACGCAAGTATTCTTCGGTGGCTTTCTCTTCGGCGCTTAACTCCTCGACTTTGCGCTGTGGGAGGCACCGGACGAGCTCGCCGTGCCAGCCTTTGCGGCAGACGCTGCAGAAGGCGTAGTTGCATTCTTCGCAGATGGCTACTCGCTCTGCGACGGGGGGCAGCTCTGTTTCCTCCCTGAGGGGATCGAAAGAAGTTTCGTCATCGTCGTCTGAGGCATCGGCGTCGTAGGCCATTGGATCGGTTGGTTTGGGGTGCCGTTTTGATCGGGCTGCTCCCTGGCACCACTGTCGTGGACAGTATACTGTGGTCTTATCGGACTCAATCTTCTTCTTGCGCTTGAGATAGACATATCGTTGCACCGTCTCTGTCGAAAGGGGGATCTGAAGGAGCTCGCTGGGGCCGAGGGTTCGATCACGCTTCTTGCGTCGAGGAGTCTGGCCGTCTCCTGGCGCAAGTAACGGACTCTGGTTCTTCTCACAATCCGGAGCCATACACTTCACGCCGTCGACGTCGCCTTCGGCAATGCAGGTATTGTAAAAGTCCTGCAGGCAAGGAACGCAGAACACGTGGGAGCAGCGTAGTAGTCGGTGACAGTTGGCGCCTTTCTTTGGCTCCAGACATACCCCGCATTCGAAGGTCATTTGCTCAAACTTCTCGCGCTCAGCCTTGCTGTTGAAATCTAGTAAAGCGATCTTCAGGTCCCGAGATAGACACAATTCCCCGTCGGTGGTGTCTTGAATGCCAAAAGCTGACTCGGCTAGTTGTTGAAGATGGTCGATGTACGTATAGACAACCATATCCCGACCGCGTTCTTCCCATAGACGGTTACAATCATCAGTCAATTTCGTGAGGACTGTAGGCGGAAGCCACGACGGATGAGTCGTGAGCTGAACCATTGGAGGGTTCTCGGAGGGATATCCATCTGGCAACTCGATTTTCAGACTGAGTGGAGGTAAATGCGATAGTATATGGACATCACGGGCGGCGGTCTGCCCAAGATCAGCTTTGAAGCCATCGACGGAGGTTGGAGGCGTTAGCGCCGCGGGAGGTCCGACATCGAGCGGTTGGTGGAAGCACACTTGGGTCGGCGACGGGAGAGTAACGGGGAGGTCAAATGTGGCATTGTACCAGTTCTCCGGATCTAGTTTGATCTCCGGGTAGATTGCGGCGATGGAAGATAACTCGATGGACCGGTCGTCCTCAGGCTGGATTTCGGCCATGCTGTGGCCGGCCTTGTGGCGGGCTCGATGCGAGAAAGTCTTTATGAAAAATATTGTTGTAGATTTGCAATCGCCCTGTCCACGAGGCTGGATTCCACCGCGAGGATTAGCAAGCGATGGCCATGGCTTGCTGTCGCAGAAGGGTTGCGTACAGGGTAAGTGGAGCGAGAGAGAAAGAGAGAGGGCTTTCTAATCAGCACAGTGGCGATCGGGCAGAAATGGGTGGATTTTCCTGCAGGTGAATTGCTTTAATCAGCGCTGCAACAAGAGTAATCTGGCTTGTCACAAACACCCACGATCAAGGTACTCTTGTGCGGACTATTCGCGCTCGGTTCGGGTGAGTCCACTGTTCTGGGGAGGGGTCTATCGAATGATGTAACAAGAGGGCGGGAGTATAGAAAGACAGGGACTGCGTCATGATTCGGAGCAAGAGATATATGAAGGGGAATGGAGGAAGGTCAGAGGGAGGATGTGAAGCAGATGAGAGAAGAAGGAGGAAGAAGAGGGAGGAGAAAAGAGCATCCCCTTTGGTGCCTGAAGTGAATATTTTTGTGCCATCGCGAGGGTTCCCCTCGTGCTGCTTTTTCCGCCCCGCCGTATCTTATCGGCCCGCCCTTAAAGCGGCTCCTGGCGACTTCTCGACTAGTCGAACTACTCCCGAACCTGCTCGGCCCTCGACTGTCGATTTTCGACTTTCGACTCTCGAAGCCTCGGTCCTCAACCTGAGATACTCGGCCCCGTCCTGAGGATCTCCAGGATTCCTTCCTATCTCAAAATGGGAGACACTCCACTAGCCTCCCTGTCCTTGACTCACGTCCATTATGTGAGTCGTCCATCTGCTGGCGGTCTTTGGGCTGCAGCTGTCTAACAGCCCGAGTAGAACCCCGAGGATCCGCTGTCCTTTGCATCGGCATGGCTTGCGCTCATCCCACAGGCCCTCTGCGTCTCCTATGCGACACTGGCCTGGGCTTCGCGGGAGGTGGAAGTTCTTTTGATGTTTGCTGGGCAGCTGGGGTGTGAAGCTTTGAATTTCATGCTCAAGCGGATCATCAAGGAAGAGCGCCCGAAGGGTGAGTCGTCAACCTGATTTCCGGATCTTTCGAGCAAGCACCTCTTAGTACATGAGGTAGCTACTGACCCGATTTGTCTTACAGAAATGTTTGGCAAAGGCTACGGCATGCCATCGTCTCATGCCCAATTCATGACCTTCTTCGCCGTCTACCTGACCCTATTCCTCGCATTTCGACATTCCCCAGCCTACGCAGGCTCCTATCCCTACTCCGACTTCTTGCTACGAAGTGCGGTGGTCGTGGGGCTCTGTGCCGGTGCAGTCGCCGTCTCGGCCAGTCGTGTCTACCTAAGCTACCATACCCCCCGACAAGTCCTGGCAGGCTGCGGAGCTGGCTTCGTGTGTGCCTGTGGTTGGTTTGTGGTTACCGGTCTGCTCCGACGCTCAGGGTGGATCGAATGGGTGACCGAACTGACCGTGGCCCGTCTTTTGCGCATTCGCGACCTGGTGGTGAGTGAAGACCTGGCTGAGGCCGGCTGGCAACGATGGGAAGCACGGAGGTTGAAGCAGCGCCACAATGAAGCGCCCAAGTCGGACTGAGAGAATGCTGGAACTGACCTTGTGGTTTTATGTTTATATTTTCGGGTGTCTGGATGTACAGGATGTAGAGCATATAACATGAGCATGTATTCTTCTTCGGGTTGCAATGGTGGTCACTTGACAAGCAAGGCTTGACGTCGTGCCTGGTGCCGTTTCCTTTGACGGGCGGGGCGACCCGCGGAAGGCGGAGGGCGGAGGGCGGTGGAGGCGGAGAATCGCCGATACGCGTAGACCACGTGACTGATATCAGCTAACATCGATCACCGCAACTCCGCGTTCTGCTTTTGCTTGCGCACGACGCTTGACCAGACCGCGACAATGGCTCAGGCTGCGAGATGATCCTGCCTGCCGCGGCCAGCTCACACCCCAAACATATCTCTTTTCTTCGCAACACTCGTTCATCCTAATGTCCCTCCTGTTACGACACGCCATATTTCCCCTCCTTGCGATCAACCGTCCAGTGTTTTCGTAAAATCGATCTCGTGTGAAGGACACCATGGATATCTCCGCCGCCGCCTCTGATCCCAGCATGCCTGAACACCACATCGTCAAGGCCGATGAGATGGACCAAACCGGCACGGATATCACTCCCGTCTCAGATGAGCAATTGATGGAGCAGGTCGAGGAGGGTCCGCGGCACGAGCAGGCCTCCTCTGCCGCACCTGAGACGATACCCTCTCAGTCTCCCTCTCAGCCGGAGCCGATCGCCAAACGACCCGGGCTTCGACGAGAGGGGTCAGCCCCTCCACCGCCATTACAGCCTCCCCCCCCAGCACCTGTTCAACAGAATTCGGACCGGCCAACGGACTCATTAAGCTTGGCTCAGCTGCGGAATCTAGTCCACGAGATGCCGAAGGTGGAACAACCGGCCTATGCGTTCGAATATGCCGATTCCCAGCCATTTCCAGACGAGCTGGAGGAGTGGTTCCAGTACAATGAGTTCGATCGTGTGATGCTGATGGGCATGAAAGCGACCTTCGACAGGCAATGGAGTGCATTCTGTCCGCCAAATACTTCGGGAACCAGTGGGCAGTCATGGGTAGATGTCTCCGAGGATATTCGACGAACGTTCATGACGCGCTCTTTGGATCATTTGAAACATGCGGATGTTTCTGTGCGTCTGGAAGCCCTCGAGAATATCTGCTATGCTGTCACCGGTGTATGGGGTGTGACAGCAGGGCGAGCTGTATCGGAATATCCCGCAAACATGGACACCCAGTCAGCAACCGAGACACCGCGGTCAAAATCGCTACAAATTGCGTGGATTGAGAAGAATGTTGCACTTTTCCAGCAATGTTCTGGCATCTCGGTGTTGACTTTGAGACTTTCCCACTTGTTCGATAAGAATCGTGCTACTCTGGGTCCCGACACAGATGGTATTGAGTTTGAACGGCTTAACCCAGGCGATATTGCCGCTCCAGAGCGCGAAGCCAATTTGGTGCTTACTTTGCTCTATTTCGCAATTGAAGTCGGCCGACGGCAGGAAGCTCGAGATCCAGCGAATACTTCGATTCGCGATGCTCTTGCTGAGTCCAATCCGTGTTTGCTCGTCACTATTGTTGAGATAATTGCGCGTTTGCGATGGGATGAATCCGCCAATATACCTCTTACGAGAATTATTCTCTTGCTGTGGAAGGCTATTCTTCTTGTCTTCGGTGGCAGCGATCAATTAAAGAGGGCGAAGGCAGTGCTGGAGCCATCTTTGATATCTGAAGAGGATGCTGCAAAGCGAAGAACACCTTTCCTGACAGCGAAGCCCCTCGATTACCATCTTTTTCGCCAGGAGATTACATCGAAATACCCTGCCTACAATCCTCCTCCCCCTAATGTCCCTTTAGAGATTGATAACAGTTCAATTCTACCACCTCTCCCGCAACATCCAAACAGGATAAACCCCTCAAATGGTATTTTCTGCGGAGTTGGCCCATCTATCGCCGGCAGAAATGGCTCCATTCTCCAACAAGCCGTTCATATTGCGACCCCAGCGCCGTCTCCACCACCATCACCCATTGGCCCTGGAGGAAAGGCCGGCAAGAAACAGAACTACCAGACTAATCAGAACTTCCCGCTCATGTATCCCCCTTTGGATGATACCAGCAACCGTATCGGCGGAAAGGGCACGACAGAACGGCAGGATGTGTTGGTGGGCAAGCGATGGGAGGGTAGTGATGTGCCCGCATCCGTCATCGAAGCCGGGAAACTTTTCTCCACACATGTTAAGATGACCCGGGCGATGCAGCAGCTGTGGAACGAGCGTGAGAATTTCATGAAATATGACCGGGGTTGGAATTTTGACCAGGCTCAGCGAGTTCCTGATTTTCCGCCGCTCGACGATACGACTGGCGACCTGGAAAGGTTGGACCTGTCAGATAGCGAGGCCAGACCTCATACGAAAGAAACGGAGGATCCAGATATACAGCGACGGCTGGATGCAGTGGAAGGGTTTTACGTGAGTTTACAGCCTGATTCGAGGTATCTTTACATAAGTAACCCTTTTGTTATCCAGGCTCATACCTTGGCCCATCTCCAATCCATCACAATTGTCTTCCTGAAGATAATTCTGACGAATGTCAGTGCTGTGGTCAACCAGGCAAATTCCCAAAGCTCTCAGACTATGAGGTATGTTAGAATGATATATCAAATAGTGGGGTCAAATTCTAACACCAAGCAGTAATGGACATGGAATCAATGGATCCTCTGGAGACATATTCGCTGATACGTCTATTGACGAGCTGGATAATATACGGCTGCGAGAAATTACTGGCAAAGCCGTATCGGGGACTTTACTTCTCCTGTTGAAGTGGTTTAAGCGATCTCGTCAGTGACATGTGTACCCCATTGTTTGCGTTTATGTTACTGATCTTCAGCAGATATTCTTAAATTTGAATATATGACCCAATTGCTACTTGACTCGAACTACTTGCCTCTGATTTTAAAGATGTTCGCCCATCAAGATGTCGACCACGCCGTGGCGCAGAAGAATGACCGTGAAGATTTGGCGTAAGCAATTGTGATCTGCCTTCTGTCAAATGAATGATGCTAATTACGAACAGCTTCTTTCATTTCTGCAGCGAACAATCCGATCATGCATCGGAGACTCAACAGCCGGGCGACGGTGACACCGAGAGTGAGGATGAAGCCGTCCCACCTCCAATCTCCCGCCACCGTCCCAACTTGAATACCGGTAGCAGTTCTTTCCAGGGACCTACTCCAGAAGACACCATTTCGGATACGCTTGACGGTCCGACACGCCCTGAGGTTGATGAGCTAGGTTATCCCACGGCCCCTCTGCCCAAGCAGCCTATCACTGTATTCTCCTTCCGCAACTTCTTTTCCGCCATCAACTACCTGCACATTATGCAGAAGATTACTCGCGACAAGGCACATCGCTGCCTTCTCCTCGTGCAGTACAAGTCAAGCACGATCCTCCGCAAAGGTCTTAAGATCCCCGACCCTCATCTTCGATTCTACACCCTCAAACTTTTCAAGTCGCAAGTACCCTACTGCGGCCGTAAATGGCGTCAGAGCAACATGCGCGTCATCACCGCTATTTACCTGTACTGCCGACCGGAGCTTCGTGATGACTGGCTCGCCGGTTCGGATGTGGACGCTGAAGTAGAAGAAGCTTTGCCTCTCGAGCAGGCGCTCCGTGGATTGACGCACTGGTGGCATCTACGCCAGTATAAGGATGTAATGGCTGGGCCCGAGGGCGCCGCCATGATGGAAAACGAGCGTGATTTCTTTGTTCGCGAGTTGGAGTCTATGGGCTGGGGGTTTGCTGAGGAAATGGTCGGCGACGACTCGGATCCGACCAACCATCTGGCGAACGGGACCGAGTGGGAGAGCGGCCAAATGCAGGTGGAGGGTAGCTGGACGCAATGAGCATATGGACTACTGCACAGCGAGATAGACGAAATGCATATACCCTGGTTGTTATGACCTGTTCCCTTTTCTCTCTCCGCTATTCAAAAAATATTGGTTTCCAGTTTATTGTCCATTGCGCTAATGGTGTATACTTCTTGGCGGTGTCTTGGCCAGTGACGGCGCGCGTATCGATAAGCGCTCTCACGTGACCGCTACTTTTTTTTCTTCGATCAACACCTGGGCAACGAAGCGGCTCTCCAGCACCGAACATCACGTCGCTCCCTGCCCATCATGTCGGACGAAATTGTCTGGCAGGTTATCAACCAACAGTTTTGCTCCTACAAGCTCAAGTAAGTACCCTATCTGATTTTTGACCACCCAGAAATTTTCTGCTGGATTTAAATCATCGTCAGACCTGGCATCAAATTGCAAATTGAGATCTCGCATCTTGCTAACCTGAAATTTTTCTTCGCTCCAGAACCACAAAGGACCAAACTTTCTGCCGCAATGAATACAACGTGACCGGCCTGTGCAACCGGCAGGCCTGCCCGCTCGCCAACTCGCGGTATGCGACGGTGCGCTCCGACCCGGAAACCGGCAATATGTACCTGTACATGAAGACCGTTGAACGCGCCCACATGCCCAGCAAGTGGTGGGAGCGTGTGCGCTTGTCATCCAACTATGCCAAGGCTCTGGAGCAGCTCGACGAGCGCCTGATCTACTGGCCAAAGTTCCTGGTCCACAAATGCAAGCAGCGTCTCACCCGCCTGACACAGGTGCAAATTCGCATGAAGAACATCGCCAAGGAGGAAGACCGTCTGGGTGAGAGGATCGTACCCAAGCTGGCGCCTAAGATCCGCCGGCGCGAGGAGACTCGTGAGAGGAAAGCCCTGTCTGCGGCCAAGGTGGAGCGCGCGATCGAGCGTGAGCTTATTGAGCGTCTGCGCAGTGGTGCCTACGGCGATCAGCCGCTTAATGTCGACGAGGGTATCTGGAAGAAGGTGCTCCGTGGCCTGGAGCGTGCTGGCGAGGGTGAGCGTGATGAAGATATGGATGATGGAGAGGAGATTGAGGATGAGGAGGAAGAGGGCGTTGGCGAGGTCGAGTACGTCAGCGACCTCGAGGATGAGGAGGACCTGGAGGATATTGAGGACTGGCTGGGTGGCGACTCGGCTGACTCTAGCGACGACTACGATGAGGATGATGAGAGCGATGACAGCGACGAGGACAGCGGACCCAGCGAGGACGAGAAGAAGCCTGCGCCTGGTGCTAAGCGCAAGCATGTTGCTCCCCAGGTCAAGCCGCGGAAGAAGGGTCCTCGCATCGAAATCGAGTACGAAACCGAGGGTGCTGGCAAGGATCATGTTATGGCGTAAACTCTTCGCTTGGTGGTTTGGGAAAAGTTTATCTGATCTTGCATGGCGTTGTCGGTCGAGTTTTATGTTTCTACTATGATTGGGCATCGTACCCAGTTATTGCATCAATTGCTATACTTGTCTGTCCATATGGGTCTAGGATACCATTATATGTCTATTCATCTCGTTCTCATTTAGTTTCTCTACCGTAGAATCGTATTAGTCTCAGGTCGATGGCGAATGCTCAATTATTCTGAAACACTGTGTATGATCACGTGCATTGGCGGTCTCACGGCTCCCTCTTTCACTGGGCGATCCCCGTGTCCGCCGCTCTTCAACCCAACTCACGACTCGCAGAAGCCGGCTCTTTTGTCGAACATAATTCCAAACATCTCCAGCTGTGAGATCGAACTGATCTTCAATTTCATCCGCTTCCGCACGGCTCCAACACCTCTGCGACGTTGGGTGCCTGCAGGGCTGCAGCTCCGCATCAACCCCACCCCACTTCGAAGCTGTCCTCTACGGTCCCCAAGTTGCTCGACTACGTTACGACTGTCACACCACACCCTAAAGCAGCGAAATGAGCTCATACTTAGCGTCATTCACCTCCTCATCCTCCATCTCCAATGCCTTGGGTTCCAGGCTCAACAGCCTGCGCCGCGCCATCACACTAGGCGACGAGGGGGACGACCCGGAGAACGAAGACTGCTCACACATCTCCAACGCCCTTCGAGCATACTATACAGAAAAGGGACGACCATTTCCTGCTTGGCTCCCTCCAGATCCGAAGGCACCGGTCTCTGCAGCTCCCCGTGCCATCGCGACCGCCTCCTCCGGACAATACGGCCAACCCCCCGCCCCCAGTGCCCATGGCCGGGGCGGCGGTGGTCTGAGTGATCTATGGGGTGACCCAGGCGCGTCTACGCCTGGGAGTGCTCAAACAGCTAGTCTTCGCCGCGGCCGCGGTAGTGGTGCCAGCATGCCGGCGCTGGCGCCTGCCAAGAGCGCGCCGCCAGGACAGGCGATGTCGTCCCTGCCACAGCTCACGCACTCCCAGTCTCACTCGCCTTCGACGGGAGGTTCACACCCTGCTGGGGCTCGCCCTCTGCCTAGCCAGCGTTCTGGGTCGTACCAGTCGGCGCAGTCTGGGCGGTCCAGCCAAGACAGCAGGGCTGGGGCTGGCTCTGCGCAGGAGCGACTGCGGGCACGGTTGCATGGGGTGCGATCCCCGAGCCCTAATATCGATCCGAGTATTCGCAAGCCCGTGGGGGGAAGGCAATGGTAGGCGAGGACTATGGGTTGCATTGGATTGTTTGCATTGCCGTCAGCATGGCGCCAGGCGTCTGATTTTGTTCTTCTTATTTGCCTGCGCTGTTTCTGTTGTACATACGGAGAACAAACCAAACCGTGGAACTCAATAAATAGCAGGGTTATTCCCTTTGGGTAGTATCCACTATGATGTTTCCCTTTTCGAAGGTACGGCCATAATAGCATCATGTGATGTCAGGCAAGGTCTGGCTCGCGCCAATGGAAACACCTACGGCAGTCTCGACCTTCGCATATCCACCGCAAGCAACCCCCAACATCGGCTTCAGCAGGGCATGGTACGCGGCGAAACCAGACTGATGATTGGGTCTGCTACCTGGGATGTCAATATCTGCTGGTCATGCACGACCTCCGATTTTTTTCCTTCGTGCCACCTAAACTTGCCTAGATGCGCTTGGCCAAGCCACCGCCCACCAAGCTTAACTGCCAGCGAATGACGCCCTCGGCATGTGTGAGACCGGGAAATCCCGCATTTCCCACATTGCGCCCCCCGAGACGGCTGGCGCGAAACACCGCCACCAAGTTCCCGTGTTGTATGGCTTCCCACCCAAAAGCCCCCGCAAGCACAGCAAGGTTCGGAACCTGGTTTCCTGAGATCCAATCGTCGTCTAGATCGTGGGTCCGGCCCCGCGTGTCCCTGAGCGCCGAGTGGAGACAACCGATGCTGCTTTTCGCCGAGGTGACGCCGACGCGCACTGGAGACTCCATGGGGTTCCCCAACCCAGCGTTGCGGCTGCGTAATGATACAATTTGTCTGCAAGCCGGAGACTGTCCGACGCCACGACAGACCCGGTTTCCTCCTGCGACTCCTACAATGAGCCCGAGTTTTTTTCGGATCGCCCCCCTTGTTAAGTCTTCCGGCCTATCGACTCGGCATTGTTGTCTGCCACACGAACAATACCCACTTGCCAGGCCGAACCTGGCGCTGCGATGCACGGGAAGCCGGGAATCTTCCAGAAGCGCTATGCCGACGGTAGCCTGTGACCGATGGGCTGATCTGTGCGGGCTGTTATTATGGTATGGTTGGAGAGGGTAGGTCGTCATGGCTGGCTGCTGAACTCCCTACTCAACCCTTGGGACGGCGACTAGTTAAGCTTCTCCGCCCAGTGCCATTCGTCCAAACATCCGATCCAACCCCTCGAATTCCCCGGCCTCTCCTCCTCCACATTTTGGAATCCCTGTCAGACACGCCTCCATCGGGCAGCTATGCCGGTCTTGGGTGGCCGGTGAGTTTTGTGCTCCCTGTCTTCTTCTCTTTCTTCGCTAGCTGCGTCGTCGCCCGATCCCGTGGTTGGCCCGGCTGCCCGGCTGGGTCCTTCTCCACATCCTGGAGTCTAGAGACGGATGCCATACTCCAGATGGAATTGGGAGAAGCTGGGGCGCATCCCCGGCTGGGTTTTAGACTTTTTCTTTCGCAGTTTCGCCGGCTGGTGCTTCTCCACTATTGTGTTTTGCGTGCGTCAGTCTCTGGTCTCCAAAGCGTATAAGTCCTCGCCGCCCCTCCTCCTCTCTGCGTTTCGATATTCTTTCTGGACAGGCAAATTTCTCACATTTTTCCTTGTATTCCCATCGTTCCCCACTGGGATCGGACCGTCGACCCTGAGATAGTTTCCTTCCCCCGGGCCTCTCTTCCTACCTATAACTTCATTGCTCTTTATACCTCTCCCACCCCAAGGGTGTCCCTAATCCCCTACCATGTCTGATGTCAAAGATGCCGAGGCGCCCCACGGTGCCCACAAGGAGGCCGGCGCCTTGGAGATCGACGATGTCCATGATCAGAAGATCGACAACGAGCTGGATGAGGCAGCCATGGACTCCGAGCTGCAACTTCTGGAGGAACAGCTGCAGACCATGCCTACGTCCAGATTTGAACTTACCCTCGCGAACCCAGCCATTTTCACCTATGTCTTGGTAGCTTTCGCCTCTATGGGAGGTCTGCTCTCTGGTTTGGATCAGTCTCTGATCAGCGGTGCCAACCTCTACCTCCCCCACGATCTGAACCTGTCCGATTCGAGGAACAGTTTGGTCAACGCGGGCATGCCCCTCGGTGCGGTTGGTGGTGCCTTGATCCTGTCCCCCGCCAACGAGTACCTTGGCCGTAAAATGGCTATCATTCTATCTTGCGTTCTCTACACCATTGGTGCTGGCATGGAGGCCGGCGCCATCAACTTCGGCATGATTTTCGCTGGTCGTTTCATTCTGGGTATGGGCGTTGGTTTGGAGGGCGGTACCGTTCCTGTCTATGTTGCGGAGTGTGGTAAGTGACTCTACTTTTCTATGATGCATGTCCATGCTGCGCAGACGTGACTAACATTTCGAAACCTGTAGTTCCCCGCAAGGTCCGTGGCAACCTTGTCTCGCTTTACCAACTCAACATTGCCCTTGGTGAAGTCCTCGGCTACGCCGTCGCCGCCATGTTCGTGAGCGTGCCAGGTAACTGGCGCTACATTCTCGGCTCTTCCCTGATCTTCTCTACCATCCTGCTCGCCGGCATGCTCTTCATGCCGGAGAGCCCTCGTTATCTGATGCACAAGAACCAGCCGGTCGCCGCGTATGGCGTGTGGAAGAAGATCCGCGGCTTTAATGACCTGGAGTCCAAAGAAGAGTTCCTGGGCATGCGCCAGGCCGTCACTGCCGAGTTCGAGGAGCAGGCCCGGACCAAGAAGTACCCCTGGATGGACTTCTTCACCGACCCCCGTGCCCGCCGCGCCATTGTCTACGCCAACATCATGATCATGCTCGGCCAGTTGACTGGTGTCAACGCCGTCATGTACTACATGTCCACCCTGATGGCAAACATCGGCTTCGACGACAAGACCTCTGTCTTCATGTCGCTCGTCGGTGGCGGCGCGCTGTTGATCGGCACCATCCCCGCTGTCTTGTACATGGAGCGCTTTGGCCGTCGCTACTGGGCGAATGTCATGCTGCCCGGTTTCTTCATCGGCCTCATTCTGGTCGGCGTTGGTTACACTATCGACTACAAGCAGCACCCTGCTGCCGCCGAGGGCGTTTACCTGACCGGTATCATCTTATACATGGGCTTCTTCGGCTCGTACGCCTGCTTGACCTGGGTGGTGCCGTCAGAGGTGTTCCCGACCTACCTGCGCTCGTACGGCATGACCACCGCTGACGCGAACCTGTTCCTGTGCTCGTTCATCGTGACCTACAACTTCAGCCGCATGATGAATTCGATGACCCGTATCGGTTTGACGCTCGGCTTCTACGGTGGCATTGCTGTGGTGGGCTGGTTCTACCAGATTGTCTTCATGCCCGAGACTAAGAACAAGTCTCTGGAGGAGATTGATGAGCTCTTCTCCAAGCCCACGTCTGTTATTGTTAAGCAGAACCTCAAGCAGACTTCGCAGGTCATCAAAGACCTTGCGCATTTCCGCCTGCGCAAGGTGTTCTCCCCTGAGCCGTACAACTAGGGAGTTGAACGATTTGGTCATGATTTTATTTGAAGTGGAGATTGACGATGTATTATTTTATTTATTTTGCCTTATATCCTTTGGCTAACGCTTCATCTTCTGGCATGAGCATGGTGGTATGTGGTGACGATGTGAACATAAAGACGCACTGCAATATACCCCCCAAACTCTACTTTACGAATTGGATAATTTTTCCAAAAAAAAGAAATTGAAAATTAAAAATTCCACAACCACCGCACTTTACCGTATTCCGTCCAAGTAGAGGGCGTCTGTCATTGCTTAGTTCCTGGTTTTCCGCCCTCTTTTATTGTAGACTAGCCCCAGCCCGTAGACTTACGGAGCGAGAGAAGCCTTACCTATGAGCTGACAGATCTAGACTTTTGCGATTCGTCTCCGGTGTACCGCTTCTTCACCCGGCTGGTTTCAGGCCAAGACTCATTTCAATGGACAGACTGGCCAACGTGGGATACCACATATCCCTTGGAACATCCCGAGGGAACTGCACACACATCCTGACGGCTTGAAAGCTGGCCTGCCTAATGCATCCCCTTATACTGGACCTGGTGGGCCGATAGGCCCGCGTAGAAAAAAAATGGATAGGCAATAGTAGAGTGACGTTAAAAAATAATCCATATGCAGCGCTGGAGCAAGATACTGCAGATAAAGACAAAATATTTACAAGGAATGGCTGCAATAACTCTTTGAAAGTGAAAGCATCTTAAACCGGTGCCGGCTTATCCCTTTTAAGGCCCAAACATCGCATTACTTTGACCATTCATGTCTCCTTGGGAGGTTCTGACTTCTATTCCTCCCCACCACTGGGGTCAGTTGCCTCTGCTTTTATCCTTGAAGGCACCGCATCCCCCATCACCCCGTCCCCAGGCAATTCAGCTTGGGGCGTATCTGGACTTTTATTCACGGACGTTGCCATCTCCGCCACCGGCGTCTGTGGTGTTTGCACCGCTGGCAGCTCCGCTGGCACAGCGGGCTTCCCGGGGTGAATTTCATGGCTCGCATCCAGCTCCTGCTTCACGTAGGGCTTTACAGCGCCACCCGCATCGAGCTCCGGCTTACCATTCAACGGCTCTGCATAGGGTCCGGGCGTTTGGGCTGATAGTGCGGCGGGTTGGGCCTTTTGGGCCTTTTTCCGCCGGTGCCACCATATAAACGCTATCGCGGCGATGAGAAGGACACCGACTGGAACACAGATGCCAATCGCAATCTTCGCGCCGGTCGAGAGACCCCCACTCGCTGCGTTTGAGGAACTACCCGCGGTTGAGGTTGGGAGATCGTACGTGGCGCCGACTTTTTGGATCAGGAAGATGGGTGTGCCTTGAAGGTAGGCACCGCCCATTGTGCCATTGAGGCCATTCACGCCGTTGTATGCTGGGGCCGACGTTGTGGTGCATTTGCTGTTCTCGACGGTAAGGTAGCTGCGTGTTGCGATTTGGTACTGGTTGCCGCTGCAGTATTCACCGTTCCAATCATAGTGACTAGTCATGTTGACATGTTACCACAGGTACGTTGCCTTGTCACGCAGAAGGCGAGGTAATAGACACTTACGTGGGACAGCACAAGATTGCGAGTGAATCAGTTCCTATACTGCCAATGTACTCGCCGTATTGTTTCGTTGCGGCGGTACCCGTGGCATTGGCATGTGTGGTGTATCCCGACGGGCATGCGTAACCTGGATTGAAGGCTTTATTCAGGACTGTAGTGGAATTGCCCGCGCTCCATCCGGGAGGGAAACAGTTGGAGTCGTAGCCCACACGTTTGCCATTGCAGCCCGCGCCCCAACGGAGCCAGGTCGAGCTGGCTTGACGCGCGACCCATTGTTCCGTGGCACAGCCTGTCGGCGCAGAGAAAATGCTCGTGAGAGGGCCGAAATCCGTAGTTGTCGTCATAGCAGGAGAACCAAAGGCATATTAGGGGGGGAGGGCGAAAAGGAGAGGAGGAAGGTACCGCAGGGAGTGTGCTCAGGAGTAGAGCACCCAGACTGGGTAAGCAAGATTAATATGGTCGCAACAGTCCCCAGTGATCGGCATCTCGCACCGCTCAGTTGGTTCTCCTCTGCCCACGATGCTGGTCTCTGTGCGGTGCTATATGGAACAGAAGCCCGCTCATAGGTTCCTTGGGGTCTATCCCCACCCGCGCTACCAGCATTGGAGTGACCAGCCCTCCCCGCACCAGATTGGAGGGTGCTACGGGCTCATCAGGCCCGCCATGGGTCTGTGTGGTTGCGTCGAGAATAGATTTCGCCCCGGTCTGCGTCAGCGGCGCTGGGGCTCTGCACAAGGGGTCCGAGATTGGCGGAGTGGAAGGGGTGCAAGTCTTCGGCGTTCGAGAGGCGGAGCAGGCGGTCTTTTACCGAGTCGATGAGGGGATTTGACTTACATTGTTTTTAGTTCTATGCTGGAAATAGGCAGGACTTCCGACTGGGGGCAGTGCGGCTCCATGGCGGCTGGGGCGTTCAAAGTGGCCCCCCCTGCCCCACGGAAGGTTGATGCCGAGAGCCCAGGGACTCGTAGTTAACGGCAACCTGGCAGACCCACGGCTCACTGAGAGGTTGTGGATGAATATAGCGCCGAGTTGAATCAGACCAAGACCAAAGTCTAATCCAATCGTCGATTCGACACTGAATCTCTATCAACAGAGAACGAAGCAGGAGGATGAGATTGCCAGGATGGGATGGAGATACAGGAGAGGTAGGCGGCCAGACTAAGGGAGATCTAAGTGAGATCTGAGGGAAATCTAAGATCTAAGGGCTATAGGACACACAATAGGCGTTTAGTTATTGTTTATGTATAATGGCAAAGCACTATTTTCTTACAAATCTACTATTTCATACACAAAGGCTAGTATTCAGAATGCTCTTGCTTCCGGTAGGGGAAGCGCCTGCATAGCCGTACAACCCTACTATAGTTAGGCTATATCAGATTAATAGAGTATCATCAACCTGGCAGACCACAGTATATGCTGAGTTAAGGATCTGGCTCCGAGGCTGATGACTCCACCACGATATCGCTACTCCGTAATTATTACTCCGTCACTATTAAGATTCCGCTCACTTATATCTTCTCGATCTAACCAATCTACCTGATTTCCACCACTCTTCTCTTTCTACGCAGTCAGTTTTCACAATGGGCAGCGCAGATAGCAACCGCCGCAAAGATTACAGCCAGGCTCTATTGACTTGACGTTCGGATTACCTCACTCGAACTCGGGGCCCCTTGTGGATTTCGTTGGGCCAAGTGGAGCGAATGAGCTCACCTCACCCTCAATTAGAGGCCTCTGCTCGGCAATAGAGGACCTGAATATCACCATCGGGCATCATTTCGGAGCTGGTTCGATGACTCGGATACCCCTACCTCGAGGATCAAAAAAGGTCTCCCATCGCGTTGATTAACCGGAGAAGAAGAGCCGAACCACCAGTCAGGCTCTTTACTGCACGAGAAACCAAGAGATCGGGTTGATCCTCTCGTGACGAAATCTCCGTTTTCCCCATCTAATCCCATTCTGTCAAGTTGTTTGGGCCGCAGTCAACTTGAAATTGTCGATGATTTGCTCATGCTGTCCATCAGGCATGATCTTGTACAATCTCTCGCGCTGGTAATATGGGATGGTTGCCCGTACACCGCGAAAGATATCGGGCTCTTGTTGCAGACGCCGGAAGACAGTTTGAGAAATGTCTCGCACGGGTAGATACTGCGATTGGGGGGCGTGTCTGAGGTATATTCGTTCTTCAAGAATGAAGTTTCTATACAATATCAGTAAACTTAGCTGGGGGAATTTTGAAAGAATTCCTGTACCGGTCATTAATAGTGAACCGCTGAAGACTACGGAGTGAATGGATGCTCAAATAGATCCTCACAAGTGATATCCACTTTCTAAATATAGGCTATGGCTGGTTGTGGAGGTACGCATGGCTAATGTGGTAGTGGTTTCATTTTCAGGCCCAGATTTTCGTACAGATTGTAGGATAGAAAAATCAAAACAATGTTTACGCTTCTAACGCCCAATGTGCGCTGTGTAGAAATATGCTGGGGATGGATATACAAAGGCGGCTCCAGTTGGACCAAACTGGAGCTATGAGAGAGAGGGCGCAATGGAAAAGAATGAAAAGAGACGAAATCAGGTCAAACCCACAGAAGAACGAAATTGCTAAGATGCCCGCAGATATTACCAACAACCAAATCTTATCAGCCTCGCACCTTCCGGTAACTCGGAGGACTCCATGACTGCTTGATCAACTTGCCAGCCCAGACGGGAAGTAGCGAGACAGCCAACACTGCGAACACACGCCAAAGCCAGTCAAGAGTGATCACGAAGCGGAGATTGAAATAATCACCGAGGAAAGGAACACTGCCAGCGTAAAATAAGAGAGTACCGAGCAGACAGACGATCATCACTGGATGCCAGGTCGTGATGGCAATGGCGACCATGCCCAGCTCGTTTAGGACAAGTGCCGTGAAGGATACACTGATCAGACGCGGCCCTGTGATGGTATGGAGCAGAATCTGAGACAGACCCTGGATGACGGCACCCTGATAGACTGAAATGAGAACCCAGGTGAAGAACGAGCGGTAGCTAAGGCTCTTGCCTGTCTTCAACTCCTTGTACAGTTCAGGGTAGAGATTGGCGAGACGCTCGTCGACGTCCTTGTCAAAAACGAGCGAGAAGACGGGCGCATTGGTGTACACAGTAGCATATCCGATCATGAGCCAGTTGATGAACAGACCTTTCGGATCGAAGTGACCCGCAATGCTGTACATGGTTTGACACACGGCGATGATCAGACCACGATGCATAATGAATTGTGCAAGCTTCGCAGACCGCTTGTACGAGTTGCGGCCGTGCCAAACCAGAAGCTTGGTCAGGTGGTGGAACTGCGTGATACTGAAGTCGGCGGCGAGCGAGGCCTGGCGACCCTCCTTGCCCACAATACCAATACCAACGTCGGCAGCTTGGATCATGGAGACGTCATTGCCACCATCGCCGATACAGCAGACACGCTTCTTCGTGTGCTGGCGGATCAGGTTGGCAACTTCAGCTTTCTGCGTTGGCGAGCAACGGCATGCAATAACTGCAGGCAGGAGCACCGCAACGGAGATGAAAGCAGTTCGAAACTCCCCCAGCATCAGGTTGAGTGACTCGCCATCGATAAGCAGGCAGCAATCGGTCTTATTTCGCAGGAAGTCAAGAGCTTCTTGGGCAGCTGATTTGTCTGTCACCTTGGAAACGGTGTGAATGTACTGTCCCCGCGAGACCAACTTGGCAGAGATAGCGACGCAACGAGCGGTCTCCACTTTATCTCCGGTCAACATCCAGATCTTGATACCGGCATTCCGCATCAACTCTAGTGAAGACTTGACATCTCGCTGCAGGCGATCTTCTACACCAGTCACACCGAGCAGCTCAAGGTCTCGTTCCAGGTAGTCGCTCACGACCTTGGCCATACCAACATCCCGTGATTGAAGAGACAGCGATGCCTGCTTATACTTGCCAGCAAAATCTTGGTATTGCTGGGGGGAAAGATGCTTGCGTCCAACAACCAGAGTTCGCAGACCCTCACGGGCCATATTTGCAGTTTCTTCGTCAAGCCAGTCGTTGGCCGCAACAATCGATGTCATGACAGTGTCCGCACCCTTTTGATAGAACCAGATCTCCGGTTCAGCACTGGCACCCGTCTCAAGAACGGCCTCACTTTGTTCGAATTGAACAATGATACCCATGCGCTTGCTTTCGGAGGTAAAGGGGAAGATGTCGAGGATCTTGACGCGGACGACAACTTGCTTGGAGTCAGTGGACTCGAGGACGATACTTTGGCGGTCGCGATATGAGAGCTTGAGGCCGACTTCTTCGGTATATCGAACAATAGCGATCTCATCGGGAGATGATGCCTGGTAGTTCGTCACTTTTCGTCCATTCTCTTCCTCCTCGCCAGTAGGCGTGACGTTGTGGCAAAGTGCGAGCGCCAGGATAATGTCTCTAACCCGAGATCCTATCTCTCTTCTAGTACGCGGAGCGGCCGCTTGGCCAGCTTGAGTCCCAAATACAGTTGACGGTGTCGTTAAAGCATTGCCTGCAAAGCCTTGACGAATGAACGATGCCACTTCATCCATTGCCTCGTTGGCATAGGAAACTGTGCCGACATGGATCTTTTTCAACTCCATTTCTAGCTTGGCGTTAGCTTTCATTATCTTCATGAACGGGAGTGCTGAAGACAATTAACTCACCATTTTGAGTCAGAGTCCCAGTTTTGTCAGAGAGCAGATATTCAATTCTACCCAAGTCCTCCGGGATTGTGCTTGTTCGGACTAATGTTTCTGGAATGTCCTTGTCGCGCTCGATGAATCGACCATAAACAGACTTGGCCATGTCCAGGTTGACTCGAAGACTCATCGGAATGATGGTGGAGAATAGAATGAGATAGATCATAATCGCGACGTACCACTCTTTGTCGTTAGTGGGCTCAAACCCTTCCAAGGCGACCAGCACAATGGATAAGGTAAGCGTCAATGCACACAGAATTTTCGTCAGATTGTTGATTTCATATTCTAATAGGCCCACCTTAGAGCGAGAAGGCGACGTTGAGAGGGCAGCTCGGGTTTGCGACCCGGTGTAGATGATTGCGGCGTAGGTAATTGTGTTAGAAGCGAGGACGGTATTGGCCCAGGCGGTGTTGTCGATAGTCAAAGGGGCGGTGTCGGCACCTTGGTTCTCGCCAACCTGGCCTTCACCATTGGTGGAAGAAGTTGATTTGTCGACGTGAGCATCGTAGAACCCGGTGGGAGGGCCCAGTTCGATTGTGCCAATGAACTCGTTGACCCGCTTGTCCGGGGCGCTGGCGGTAATCTTGAGTCGCGTCAAGTCGTTCAAGTGTAGTGTTTGAGAAAGAACTGAAGGTAACCGAAGCTTCCAATCAGTTTCACCGTCTAACTGATCAGTTCGAATGAAAGTGTCACTAGCAGAGCAGGCGTCTGCGGCATTCGCATCAGATGTCTCTGTAGCAGGTCCAGGCTCAGGATATTCCAGAAGATCAGCAGATGGCCCGGGGGCGGGCTCTTCTACCACGACTTGGCGTTCACGGTCAGAATTCGAATCATTGGAGACGCTCTTCAGAATCACGACATCAGCAGGCAGACGCTGGTTTTTGCGAACTTTGAGCACGTCTCCAACTTTCAGATCCCGAGATTTTTTCGTCATCTCCATCGGGCTCGACCTCTCGAGAGACATCACGGTAAATTCTTCTGCATTTGCCTCTGCATCCCGTCGACGTCGACCAATGTCATCAAGGGCCTCCTTCCCCAAGGATATAGAGACAACAAACGCCAAGGGTGCAATGTATGAAGACATGTAGCCGATTCGTAGTATTGGGATGACTTGTGATAATGCGACAAGCAGGAAGTAGATGTTGAAAAAGAAGGAAAATTCGTTATACAGGGTGCGAGGTAAGAAGCTCCAGGGGGTATATTTCGCGTTCGAGACGACATTAGCCGGGTATTTTGTCGTCTGGTATTGGCCGACAAGGACCTCGCGCGGAGGTTTGTTCTCATGATCATCCGAATTTCGCCGTAGTCGATTTGTCGCACTCCGCAGGAAACCTGGGCCTCTCAGACTTGGGAGGCGTAATCGGCCGCCTTTTTTTGACGGCTCGTCTTCTCGGAACAACCGAGTCGAATCACGACGATCAAGCAGTGGCGCATCATCTTCCGCTAAATATCGTGAGCTGCCATTAGACCTTCGGAGTCCATCTTCACGGCGGTCTTCCAGCAACGCATTCGTGTCCTCATCCACCTCCCCGTACCCAGATGCACTCCGTTTCCACCGACTTCCCACGCCGACACGCAAATTTCGTAAGGCAATTCCAGGCCCGTAGTTTCGTGGACGACTCGTATAGTCTCCGGAGACCCGCGAGTGTTCGGGTGGTGCGGTATCGGGGTCAAGCTCCTCGAGGTCCAAGTCGTCGTCATCAGAGCCGGAGTATTCGCCAGAGTCGCCAGGCTGCTCGAGAGGGTGCAGGTAGTCATGTGAGGAAGACATGATTATAGGTGATGCCAGGGGAGTTCCGCAAGGACTTGGTCATGAGCTGTGAGGCAGCGTGGTGCGTTCCAGCTCTATCAGTACAGGCAGGATCATATCTCAGATAACCAGTAAAGTAGCATTGAGGTTCTGCGGCAGCATGATGAGTGAAACAAATTAGACGCGTATTCTGTGAGACGGATGAACGCGGATAGCTTATATGAGGGTAATGGATCTCCACAATTCTCGCAAAAGGCTCGACGGTAGAAGATAAATGATCTGCGACGAGATGTGACTGCCTGGCGGAGCCTGTAACGCGCCGCATCACCTGACTTTGCATACGCGCAATCCCGACCCCCGTTGACATAAGCATACACAACCACGCCCGTTGTGCCGCGTCGTCTCGGAAGAATGATTTTACTTTGCTAAGTTACTTTCAGGAGGCTGAGTCAGCGGGCATAATGGAATCGGGTTCAATCGCTCAATCTGGGGGCGTCGTCGCGGTTCAGGATATTCGAGCCATTCTTTTTCTGTCTACGGCGAACTCATGCTTTCATGATTTATTTCTTTTTAATCTAATTCGCGTCCTCCTCTTCCATCGCTTATTCCGTTTAATGGATCACTGAATTTTGACGCCGTCGAGTTTGGTTTGTTTGGGATTGTTGACCTCCCGGACGTCACTGGAGACGTGTCAGGTTGCCGCTACCTCCGGATTTCTCACAAGCCGGGTCAGCAGTGACGACCATACCTGCACCAACCATGGCGCAGCAGACATCGTCTTTGGGCGATACGAATGTCTGGAATCCCGCGTTTTGGCCAGAGGATGATTCGCATCGTACTGCAGCAGCCCCGACGGAAGGTGGTTTGGCGGATCTCCTGGCCGCTGCAAACCCAAAGCATGGCCATACATCCGACCTGAAATCGCCGCTGTCTGACGGAGACTTTTCCGCATGGGATATGCCACTCGACACAACCGCGATAATTCCTGAAGATTCTAACGAGCCGGCCCCCGTGGTGGAGAACCCTCCGGTTCAGGATACTGCAGAAGCTGGCGGCTTTGAGAATGTGAATCACGCAACAAGCCAGGACCTCAACGAGCCCTTACTCCCCGTAAAATCCACAGAAGATTCATCGGATTCAAATTCCACCGGTGTCGGACCTGCACAAGCGCTGCCGCCCCCTGCTGAACCTACCGAGATCCCGGTCGAAACTACATTATCATCCGCCGACGCTCAAGATTCCATATCGGCACCGCCTGCCAATGATGTCCAGTCGACAAACCCTCAGGAATCCTTGACCTTGGCTGAAGTGGTGAACGCGGAATATAAGACTGTACCCGCTATCGAAACGACTGGACAACCCGCCGACCCCAAGGAATCGCGCGTCGAGGCGGCTGCGGTTGCTGAACCGAAGCAACCTCAAGCCGAACAACAGCCTGCTCCTGAAGTCGAAACTATCTTGCATGAAGTGCAAGACAGCCTTCCAGACCCGATTGTGACATTCGAGCAGCTGCAGCCCGAACAGTCCCAACTTGAGAAGCCACATCCCGAGCCATTTCAAGCTGAGCAGCTACCCACGCCTCCAATTGGGCTAGGGCACGTGGTTGTCAGTCAAGCTCCGACTACGGCAGCAGCTGCAGCAACGACAGATGTTCCACTTTTCGAGACTGAGGCACCTACCGTGGAGACGAACACCAACGACGCTGACCTTTGGGGTGTTGAAGCGCACAAAGATGTGGATTCAGATGGGGATGACTTCTTCAATCAATTGAAGACCCAAACGAAGCCGATTTTCGCCCCACCAGAGGCCGAGTCCCGGTTTGAAGAAGGAGTCTCTCTCTTGGAGGAGGACAGCCCGATTTCTCCGGTGCGCGCAGAGCAGCCGCAAAGAGCTGCCCATGACCCTTTTGCCAGCGATGAGGATGACGCAGAAGGATTTTTCAGCTCGGCTCAAAATCCAGAGCGGAGCCAGGAACCTTCTCTGCATATTACTCGCAAGAGCACATCCCAGGTGTTGGAATCAGTAGGGTTTAGCGTAGACTCTCCATCAAGTGATTCATCAGCAGCCGCTCAGTTTGATGACATTCTCAAGGCCGCGGCCACATCGGGACCTACAGAATCGTCAATTCAGACGGAAGCCGGAGAGCCTTCCGAGGAAGACCTTGCCGCGCGGTGGGAAGCAGAATTGAGCGAGACCGGGGAAGATGAGCTGGCTGCTAGGTGGGAGGCCGCGTTGGATCTAGAAGACGATGATATGCTCTTGGAAGATGATGCACCTGCTCAGCCACAGGCCTCTGGGCAGCAGTACGTTCCACAGAGCCCGTTCCCATCTACAACCAATGCCGGCCCTACTGGCTTGAATAGCCCGTTCGAGACTTCACAGAGCCAGACTCGGCCTGGTGCTGTCCCTGGCATGTATACGCCCCATCAACCACCCACCGCGGACTTAGTTGGAGGAATATCTGTACCTGGAGCGCCACCGTCGGTGAACGCTTCAATTCCGCCATTTTTCTCCCAGCAGCCATCAAATCCTGTCGCAACCCGAGGAGAGAGCTTTGCTGAACGGTCAAAGGAGGGCTATAAGTCTCCGTATGATCTGCCAGACGACTTGTCTCGGCCCCGGAAGTTCACGGCTACTCATAAGGCTCCCCTGCCTGTGAGCAGCATGCCTCCACCTCCGCTACCCAACAAGGGCATGCCTCAGTATGGTGCCCTTCCAGCAGCAACCGCCCCTCCCGCTGCACCAACGGCCCCACCTGCTCCGAAGAACTTCTACGAAGAGCTGCCCTTGCCGGTTCCAAAGTCTCGACCAGCGACGAGCTCAGGGCGATACTCACCTAACCCTGCCGCGGCGCCGACAACTGGACCGACGCTTGCTCCTCCGCCGCAAAATCCATATGCAGCCGCTGCTCCTCCTGCCGCGGTCTCAAGTATCGTGCCTTCCCTACCCTCCCTGCAGCCGCCGGAGCTCTTGGACCCGTATGCTGCCCCTCCTACATTGGCCTCAAGTGCACCGGGTGGTCCACCTGTTGCTTCCCGATATTCTCCCAAGCCGCAAGATTTACAGCCATTGGCAAAGCCGCCTTCACAGCCGCGGTACTCACCAGCGCCTCCCCCCTCGGGGCCGGCCGCTCGCAATCGCTATGCCTCTCAGCCCCTGACTGTCCCAGGTCACGTCAACAACTTGCCATTCCAGCCTCGTACTTCAAGTCCTCTTGCGTACCACGAAAAGGTCTCATACCAGCCTGACGAGGCCCATGCCCGGCAGCCACAGCCGCCTTCGCTGCAACCCTCGGTTGATCTCTCTCCGCCTCGTGCGCAGCGACCTAGTGTTGATCAGGGCTCACCTTACGCTGCTCACCTGCCCAATGGTCTTGCCAATGTCGACGGACCAAGCCCTCCGGTGGCTCACCGGCAGACTCCCCCGCCCCCTAAAAACCGCTACGCACCCCCGGAGTATGTCAACGAATTTGCTCAGCGTGTTGCACCAAACAATGCCTACGCCCCGGTTCAAGCAACGGCTGTGCCATCGTACCCAGCTACCGATTCTCAAGCTGCACCTCGTCGGTCCTTAACTTCGTCTCCCGGCCAGCAAATGACAAGCCCACGAGCGATTGTGCCGCCAATTACAACTCTGCCCCGTTCAGCTTCTGTGCATGGCTCTAGCTCCCCTACCAAAACAATCAACATGTACGAACCTGCACCACCCTCCATGCAAAGTCGCGCTCGTGCTCTTTCCCAACATCTTGAGTTCATCGCTCCCACTGATGGGCAAGAACAAGACCCCCTCCAACGATGGAAGGGTGCTCCTATCTTCAAATTCGGCTTTGGTGGCGCTGTTGTTTCTTGCTTCCCTCAGCAGATTCCTCGTTACGCTGCCGGCCAAGTCACCCCGATGATCAAGCCTAGTCCTGGCGAGCCCAGGTTTTCGCACATCAACCAGTGGGTTCCATCTCCGGAGACTATTGTTCAGCACCCAGGACCTCTCAAGTCCAAGTCTAAAAAGAAGGATGTGCTCGCCTGGCTCTCGAGCAAAATTGCTGTGTTCGAAAACGAAATGCCTCCTGGGTTTGACCGGTCTCATCCTGTCACACAGAAGCGTTACGAAGAAAAGATCCTGCTTTGGAAGGTCGTGAAGATTCTGGTTGAGAACGATGGTAATTTGGAGGGATCGCCCGCTGTCCAGAACTCCCTCCGTCAGGTCTTCGTGCCAAAACTCACTGAGCCTGGGCCCGAGGGTTCTCTGATGAGTCCTTTTGGAACGTCTGGCGGCTTCGCCTCCCTAGGTGTACCCTCCCAGCCGGATGTAGCTGCCGATCCCCAGTGGACGGAAGAGCTACGGGATTATCTGCTTCTGGGCGAACGGGAAAAGGCGGTTTGGGCCGCTGTTGACCGCCGCCTTTGGGGACATGCAATGATTCTTGCGTCTACTATGGATCGGTCCATTTGGAAACAGGCTGTTCAAGAATTCGTTCGACGTGAGATCAGATCAACAACTACCAATACCGAGTCGCTTGCGGCGCTCTACGAGATCTTTGCTGGGAATGTCGAGGAAAGCGTTGATGAACTTGTACCCCCATCTGCACGGGCCGGTCATCAATTAATTAGTAGGGCTGATGGCCATGGCTCCTCCAAGAATGTGCTAGATGGCTTGGATAGCTGGAGGGATACTGTCGGATTGGTACTTAGCAACCGAAGTTCTGAGGACCACCAGGCATTACTCGCTCTTGGCCGCCTGCTGGCTTCTTATGGTCGCGTGGAGGCGGCGCATATTTGTTTCATCTTCTCTCGCGGGGCTACCTTTGGTGGCGCAGATGATCCTCAAGCAAATATTGTGCTCCTTGGTGCTGATCACCAACGCCTTCCTTGCTCACTGATGGATGAAGACGCCATTCTTCTGACTGAGATCTACGAATTTGCCACTTCTGTTCTAGCCAATTCTCCTGTGGCTAGCTTCCCATATCTCTTGGCTTTCAAGCTTCTCCATGCCAAGCAGCTTGCCGACAGGGGATACAAGTCCGAGGCTCAGACATATTGTGATGTGGTTGCAGCATCTCTTAAAGCGACCACTCGACCCTCACCTTATCACCATCAACACTTGTTCATTGAGGTGGATGAACTTTCTGCTCGACTTCGCCAGACAGCCACTGATGGTGGTTCTTGGATCTCGAAGCCGAGCATGGAGAAGGTCTCTGGATCTATGTGGGCTCGCTTCAACAGCTTCGTCGTAGGTGACGATAGTGATGCTGCCTCGACAGCCTCGGGCAAAGCCGGCGAGACCGCAGACTTTGGACCCTTCGCCAACGTGGCAGGAACTCCAACCGTCAGCCGCTCCCCATCCGTGTCTGATTTGTATGGCTCCTACCCGGGTGCAGTCTCAGCTCAGCCTATTCCGGCGCCTGCCGGTGGCTCTTCAAGATATTTGCCTAACCAGTATGCGCCAAATGCATCTCCAGAACAATTTCGTGGAAGATCATCAATGGACTCGCAGAGATCTACTTCATTCGGTGGTGTTCCATTTGGACAACGTCGAACCTCGCAAGAATATCCCGCTTCGCCAGTCGAGAGCTACGCGCCCATGTACGGCTCGCCTGGCACTACTACTGGGTATCAACCGACCCCGCCTCAGACATCTTACATGCCGCTTGCTCCAGTTGATGAGGATTCGACTACTCAATCGCCCGCAAATGTGGCTCCTGCGGCTCAACCTGCTGTGAATGGCCTATTTTACCAGCCACCAGGGCAACAGGACCAGACATCAGATATCCAGTCGCCTTATTATCAGGGCCCGCCTGACATGCCGCAGCCAGAGGCTTCTGCTTATATGCCTCCACCTAGCCATGCTTATGCACCCACCTCGTATACTCCGGCTATGAACCCCCCCCCCGAGCAGCCAGGTCAGCCCTCTGCAATGGACGAGGAACCGCAGCCCAAGAAGAAATCATTTATGGATGATGATGAGGACGATGATCTCGCCTCTCGGGCCGCTGCCATGCAAAAGTCTGAAAATGACCGCAAGGCGGATGAGGCATTCCGAAAGGCCGCTGAAGAGGATGGTAAGCTAGAATGACGATTAGAAACATGTTTTGCCTCGTACTAATATTGCAACTTTAGCTAAGAGAGATGCCCAACAAACCACGAAGAAGGGATGGTTCGGCGGCTGGTTTGGAGGTGGCAAGAAGGAAGCCGAGAACGCTGGCGGCGGTCCTATCAAGGCCAAGCTCGGCGAGGACAGTTCTTTTTACTATGATAAAGACCTGAAGAAGTGGGTCAATAAGAAGGACCCCAACTCTGCCGCTGCCGTTCGTGCGACGCCGCCTCCTCCACGAGGCTCTGCGCCGCCTAGTCGGGCTGCCAGCTCTGGCAGCATGCCTCCTCCATCTGGGCCTCCCATGTCTGCCGCAGGGAGCCGACCCCAGTCCTCTTCCAGCGATATGCCACCGCCTTTTTCATCCAGCCCTGCACTGTCGGGGCTGGGCGGGCCACCCCCTCTCGGTAGCTTGCCTCGTTCCGTCTCTACTGGTGCGGCTGTTCCAACACCGCCTGGTAGCTCGGCTGGCCCACCTCCGCCGCGACCTTCGTCCTCTTTGACCCATGCCAGTTCTATTGACGACCTTCTCGGCGCTCCCACTGCGCGCAAGGGCAACACTATCAAGGGCAAAAAGAAAGGCCGATATGTTGATGTCATGGCTCAGTAATCTTGAGAATTTCAAGAGCGTTGAGTGCGTGACCTTTTGACCCGTCAGCAGTTGCTGACAGGTTGGATTTTCCTTTTGTTTTTTTCATTTGTGTCATTATGCCTCTTATGCCTTTTGGTTTATGCTTTTCTTATTTCCATACTTCTTGGATCCCGGTGAAGCCCAAGCACCCCTCCCCCCCCAAACCAAACCCAACTCCCCATCATCCATATAATAGAGATTCCCTGTTGTCAAGTGTTCTTCTTCCAGCATCTTGCATGTGTCTTATTTCTTTTCTGCAACGGGACTTGCACACCCCCCATTCCACGGCGTTCTCGTACACTGAGCTAGCTCGGCATCGCAAGGCCGTGAACATAGCTTGCTGTTTTTGCCGTTCTTCGCTGCGAATATTTCGTCCGCGAAGTGAGGGAGACGAATCACTTTGCATTATGTATATCATACCATCTGGTTCCCCTTGCAGCTCGTTGCTGCGATTTTGATCTTAGTTTGTGTTTCATCTGGAAGCTTACTTTCCGTATGGTTTCTTGCCTGCCATGCGCTGTCTTAATAATGATTCCTGGCAATGTCGACCGATGGTCTACTTCCCGAAAAACTCCAGTCATCTGCGTAGACGCTGGGATGGTTGCCGCGGATGAACAAGTCGACTGAAGGCCCGTCACGTAGTAAAAGAATTAATGTAGTACTAGCTGCCATGTTAGAATAGCCTCATTCGTGAAAGAATTACCACAAGAGCAGGCTTACAGTGAGACAAGATTCTTCGCCATTCCAACTGCCTGGCAGGTAGACATAGAGAACGAGTGCTGTTTCGTTGATAAAGCCTACATTTCGTTAGCAGATAGCTCGGCAAACCTCAACAGCTAGTCATCGATAGTGTATCAACTCACAAGCAACGACCTTTGGACTCAGCCTTCCCACACTCAACACACGACTCCAGTCTTTCCCATCAATCCTCACTTTCGCCCACCCAGCCTCATCATCGTCTCCTGCCTCGCGCATCCGCTCACTGGGTAACTGTGAATACTGGTCCTGCGTGATATGAGCAGGGTCTAGAGGCGGGTTCACCAGCCCGGACCATACGCTCGCAATACGCAACTCGTCCGTCGCAATGGCGAGGCGTAGTTTACCATGCATATTGGCCGACAGCTCTAGTTTCGGCGCTATGTTGGTAGAAAGCGCCGTGGCGCCGGTGGTAGAGGTTGCTTGATCTGCGGCCACTATTCCCGGCTGTCGTCCCTTGCTGTCTGAAGAGGCTAGTTTGGTGAATCGATCTGAGATGCCTTTCAGCTGCATCAGGTTGGGTAAGATGATGTGCACGTCTGGATCGGGGCAGTGCGGCTCGTGCAGGCTTTCCACAACGTCTTCATGCAGAATCTTGATTGGGACTTCTTGTGTGACCCAGGTCTCACGCTCTCGCGCTCCCCGGTCACCGACTACTTCGTTTTGGGCTGTTGGGCCTGATGCGGGGGGTTGCGGGGTTGCCTCATTGGTGGCAAGTGCCATGTTGCCCTCGGTCCATTCGGTAGTGAGTACCGTTAGTGCTAGCAGGGGCACCTTGTCCTTCTTGGTCAGCCGCAGCTGCGAGGATGACGCGCCGAATGTTGATCGGAGTGCACGATTTAACAAGCTGATGTTAATCTCGATGTTGATGGCATCCGAGTTAGATTCTAATTGGTATGAGGATTCCTCGAAGATGGTGTCCTTGGTGACGAGTCAGTGATACAGACCCATACGATTCGATTGGCAGCCCCATTGACACGTACAACGGGTATCTGTGCCCACACTTGGGTGCCTTGGTCTGGAATAACGGTGAAGCGGACCACGTTGTATTCTAGGCGCATCCAGCATACTTTGCCCAGTGACGACAGTGAGGCCGTTAATTCTAGACTGATTAGAGCCTGCGTTTTGCGTGAAGAGTTACTACTCACTGAAGAAGGTCCTGGTATTTTTTAATTGGGTACGGAACCGCATTGTGTTTGTATGGAGGGATGGCAAGAGGGAAAGGCGAGTGTTGCCTGTGGAGAGGGTTTCTTATCGGAGAAGCCTATCGCTATCGGCTCGCGGTTTATCGGCGCCTTGACGCGAACCACCCTTCACTTCTGTTTTTGCTGCTTAGTGCACATCTCTATTGAAACTAGCTAAGCAAAATTGGAACATTTGCCCTTGCTCCTGCAGCCAATGGTCAATATGGTATTCAGTTCGGCTCCAACAGCCCATCCAATTTCCGACGCGTTGAGCGCGATCAAGACCCAATTCCCTGGTGGCCATTCGAAGATCTCGCTCTGAGCCTGGGACGCCCGCAGCTTGAAGCCACTGTATTTATTAAAGACCGAGCCATTAACACCAAGATGACATTTTCGGATGTTCTTCTTCCTGCAAATGGCCGCAATCCCACACGCACAGAACCGCGCGGTACGCCTGGCAACGAGGCCGATCAGATACCGGCAGTTCTTGAGATCATCCGAGTCCGGCGAAAGACTCAAACTCCTCCCGTATATCCTCAAGGCCTTCTAAGAAGTCAAGCTCTGTGATAGAAAGTAATGTCGCGTCGAGTGCAATCTCCTTCCGGAGACGAGTCATATCCTGGCCTTTGAACAGCATGCCTTATTCGAAGAGCGTCAGCAGCACCAGACGCAGCATTTCTCCGATATACAGTCCGGCAACCATCTGCTCAAAGATCTGCGTGCCGGGTCTCACAGACTTTCGATCGATTTGCCGATCAAAAAGTGTCATAGGTAGGATTATACGGTCATTATCGAACACGCCGTACTCGGTGTTGATGATCACCTTTGCGTCTTCTGAAAGCCTCTGCCCATCCAGCTTGGGAATATTCCGACATTCTTGCATGTATGCGGCATTGCAGCCGGTACTGAAGATACTGCCAACTTTGGTCTGTGGATCACGATCGTTTGAAGCAATAAGCGTGCCCGTTGTGTCGTTAGTTAACGCTACGATTCTCGCCGGAACTTACTAGATGACTGAGCTGTGCGGGTACTTGACATTGAAATGATTCAGTGAGGCTCACCTTCCTCTCGAATGCGGCTGCAAGCTGCGGAACAACATCGTGGCCCTCTACTCGACCCGTTGAAATTATTGGTCCAGCGTCGAAGGATACCACTGTTGATGTTTTTCTGATGCACCGGAAATGAAAATGCAATGGCTAATGGTGACTGCTTTGCCTCTTTGCCACGTACTTAGATTGTGTATTCCTTCTGCATTGATGACGTCTCCGCCTTGCGTGGTCACTGTAGTTTAGTTCGTAGTCCAAGGATACACAAAGTACCCAATACGATACAAGAGTCGGCCAAAGCAAGATGAGATACCCCCCAGTGCCAATTTCTCTGCAACAATAGAGTATTTGCAATCACGCAAAGTGCCACACAAAATATGACCAGGTCGAAGCGCTCCCCGGAAAGTTCGCGAAACAAATAGCGGCCCGGATCGGCCGAAGCGCGCGCGAGGTCCACTTCATCCGTGCCCCTTTTGGCTCCACCATCTCAAAGAACTTCAATCACTGTCAATCATTTCCGCCACAAGCCTAAACCTAGAGAGCTGGTCCTTTCTGCTTTTACCTTTCTCCTCCGCTCTCAGCATTCGCTCTCTCAGCCAATCACCCCGACATCGTCGAGTCCACCAATCCTATATTCTTGACCGCCAACCTCGTGTTTTCTCTCTCTCGCGCTGGCCATCCGGACCATCCGCTGGAGAAGGTCAAATTGCTTGAGCTCCTAGCGACTGGATTTCCCATTCCAACGCGTCTCAGCATGCGGGCTCGACAGTGCTCTCTTCGTCCGCCCGCTGCATCGTTCCGACCTCCGTTACTTTTATGCCAGCCCGAGTTCGCCCAAGCTCACCGAGTCTCCTCCCTGTGAAGCGGAGACTGGGCTATCAAGCCCATCGTTCGGAATGGCAATCAGTCGAATAAGCCCTTTGCGCCCGTCCATACGACTCTCACCCGTGCACTCTCGCGAAAACTCACGTTCGGCGTCCCCTGAACGGAATCCGGGCTCCTTATACCAAAAAATCGATCCTCTCCTTAGCAATCTGTCTCCCGAGTCAACCCTGCACGCCCTGACCTCTACCGAAGCGGTTCCTTCGAACGGCGACTTTTCCCATAATATCCTCGCACAAAGTATATCACAAGTATCGCCAGCCGAACGCGCTTTGGGGATTCGTGCCGCCATAGCCTCACAGAACTTGGCTCTTTGGTATAAGGAGGTGCAGTCGTGGCTCTGGCCAACACATAGCGATGCGAAGGTCGGAAAGGGGTTCGTGCCACCGGTCGAAACGCTGTTGCAGGACAAACGCGCCGTCTCGAGCTCTGTGCGGCCTCCTATCACGGGTGGTGACGTGGAATATTACGGGAGCTTGCCGGCAGATGTGGTTGAGGAGTATGAGAAGAGGATCGAGGAGATACGCGATGGAATGGACAATCTAGATGTCGACGAATTGAAGGAACACGTTCTCAATGCCCACATTCCATCCCGGTCTCGCCCTTCCTCGTCGACCAGCACTGTGTCCGTGCCCCCTCCGCTCAGCTATGTCCAACTCAGCGATTTCACGGCTGTCGTTACTGCTACAATCCTGCGCGCCTTACCATTATTATCGCGACTGAATAGCCTCTTGACCACCTGGGACGTTCGTCTTCTCGTCTCTCGTCAAATACCGGGCCTGTTGAGAGAATTGAAAGCAACACGATCCTCACTGGATTCCTCCTTCCGCGCGCTACGGACATCAAACCCCAGCGACGGTAACGATACACTCCTCTCTGCCTCACATCTACGCGCCGAACATGTCAGCCTCGAGTCGGCTGTCGTTGCGGTGGGCCGGCGGATGGATCGTGCCCTCGACGCGCTGGAGGGCCGTCAAGATTCCTTACCTGAAAGTTGGATTGATGATCTGGAGGGCATTGAGTCCGACTTTGCTGCGTGGGTAGTGGAGGCTGAGAGATATAGACTCCGCAGAGAGTGGCTGCGTACGAAGGACCAACCCAAAGAGCCCGAGCCAATCGAAAGCTCTGGACGTCAGCCTAAAATTCCTCCAGAAGACGGAATCTCGCACACGACAGGAATGGCATCACTCACCGCCGCAGCAGAGGAGCCCCAAGAACTGAATCGTCCAATGGAGACCATTGAAGAAGAATCCGAACCCCATCCTCAACTCCCTGCCGCTAGCGGTGCCGAAGAACCTGAACATAACTTGAAAGATCCTGTTCCGTCCTCGACTGAGAGGACCTCGATATTGCCCACAACGTCTGACTCGAAGACTTCCTCGTCCAGTCCCGTCCCAGAGACTCCAGTGTCCAAACTGACTGAAGAGACCAAGGAATGCTTTCCAATTCAGACAGATTTGGTTGTCGCTGAAGATGTGCAATCACCCACGCCACCCACTTTTTTACTTCATCATGAGGTCGACACCTCGGGTCAGCCATCACCCTCTCAAGTCCCTTTACCGATGTCACCGGATGTCCAAGATAAAGAAAATATTCCCCCTCCGGGCTATATTCAAGACCGGCCTCTGTCATCCTCTGGACCAAAACCTGCCGCTCTGGCGGAGCACAATCAGATGGATGATGACCCCTTCATTCAAAGGCCGGCTTCTTCGAGTGGAGTTGCGGTCAAGAAGATGTCCAATGTTCCCGTGGCGGATGACGCGCCAATCGAAGAAACCGGCGCGTCCTCGTCTAGCCAGAAGCCGTTGAACGAAAGTGTCAATTACATCCGGGAAGAGACTGGCAAGCAGGCTCAGGTACTGGATAATAAGCTCGATCAGCCAGAGCAGATTGCAGTCCAGGGGGTTGCTCCAGCATCACTCGCCGATACGCTTCGCTTTATGTCCATCAAGTCTGAATTTGAAGCACAGCCGATTCTCCCCGAGAAGCCTGAAGCACAAACAACTGATGTCACCCTGGCCGAGGATCCAAAAGACACCCCAAGTACCCATGAGCTTTTTGACACATCAAGTCGGGGCCCGCGGCAATCAGATGCTACAAAGCCCGCCGAACCGCCCGCCGAACCCGAGATTAGACTTGCTTCTACCAGGTCCCAGTCGGTGGAAGAAAAGACGCAGTCACAGCAACCGGTTTTTTCGCGTAAACCCCTGCAGAGCCCAATCAAGCTATCAAAAACCCGACCAGCGACATCGAAAAATGCCCAAAAGCCACGCCAGCGTCGACGATCTATAGGATCGGTGGGTTCTTTGCTTTCGGACAACTCTTCTCTCATCTCGAGCCGTGATGCACCTGAACCCCAGACCGGTTCGTCAGGCGAGGATCCTCCTATCACTCCTTCTCGTCAGGAGTTACCTCGACCAGGCTTGATTCAATCGCACGGTGATCATATGTTGCGAGAGGATCGTCTCCTTCGTCTCGAAAGGGCGAAGTCCTCACGCGTAGCGTTCCAGCAGGACAGTTCAGTCAGCCTACCTCTTGAACGGTTCATCAATGACAAGTTTGGTTTGAATATGGGTGAAGAACCGGCCTCAGAACTTACCGGCTTCCCTCCCCCTCTCAAAGCCTCCATGATTGCCAAATTGCCTCGTACCACCGGTCGCTCAACACCCGCGCCCCATGTACCGCCTCGTGGGGCTAGTCGCCGTCCTGTACTTACTCGCGTCAAGTCTGTATCCGATCTGAAGGATAGTGAAAATGTCAGAACGAACGTCGATCTCAACAGGAAGACGTTTGGCACGAACACGGCCCATCGGGCTCTCCTTCATCAAGACCAACCAAAATCTACCCGCCTCCGCCAACGGCTCACGGCCCATCCGAGTTTGGAAAGCCTCGGTGTTAAGAGACAGGAGCTGGCATATGTTGAGGAGGATGAATCAGAGCTAAAAGACGAAAGATCTCGTGCTTCGTCTCCAAACAAGAGGAAGCCCCGGGATCAGCTTGACGAGAAGATTAATTCTATCTTGAGCACTCTTCCTGGCCGTATCCACCTTGTCGACCCCAACAACGAGGCTGATACTTCGTCTTCTTCGTCTTCTATGGACCATAAGATGCGAGAAAGATGCTTTTCCGAGTCTCCGCAGGGCGCACCATCGCGCAGCATCACTCCTGTTCCTTCATTGATGCTTATGCCTGCTGCCCGGAGGCGGTTATCACACGCCCATAAAGCGGAAGATAGCTATGTGAAACTATATCATCTTCACCACGGAGGCCAGACAGCCCCAACCAAGCTTTTTGTCCGCACCGTTGGCGAGGACGGCCAGCGCGTTATGGTCCGTGTTGGTGGTGGCTGGGCCGATCTCGGTGAATACCTACGCGAATATGTCATCCACCATGGCCGCCGCACGGTCTCGGAAACACCACGCGTTGAGGTGCAGGGCCTGACTTCTCGTTCACCGCCCGGCTACTCTCCGGCTTCCGGTACCATGTTGACCGCGGGAGCGCCTTCATATATTACATCCGGTCGAGCTACTCCCTCCCGACCCGCTTCTGTCATCAGTGCCCGCCCTCCATCATCACTCACTGTCCGCAAGAGACGTGGATCGAATGCATCTGATGCCGCAATCCTCCGATCAGTCACCGCCGGAACTCTGAATTCATATTTCTCGCCTCCGCAAGTTGCAGCACCAGGCGGACGACGCCTCTCAGTGTCCTCCAGCTACTCCCTCGGAGGCGCCCACTCTCCTGCCAATACCGCACTCGCCTCCCTCGCTCACGATTCCCAATCCACACCTCTGGGTCTAGCCGGTCCGAAGCCCCGCTCTCGGCAAATCTCGATGAGCCCAGAAGGCGAAGCCTGGGTCGAAGACGTCTTGCAACAAACCCGCCGGTCCAGCTCTCACAACCCCCCACAATTTGCACTGAATGTTGTAGCTGGGAGTGAGAGTGTGATTGACGACGATCACGACTATGACCACGACCGTAGCCATGGCCGGCGGTCCTTGCCCAAGGTCTCAAGCATCAGCGATATTAGATCTGTCGGCTCGAGCAAGCGAGTTTCGCTGAGAGGCCTCGGCAATCGCAGATGACGCTTCCTTCTTGAGACTGAAAAGCTTATCATATCTTGGGAAAGCCTACCCTGGATCTTTGATTTATTTGATTTCTATTTTCCATTTTGATATTATTGCATTCACACTATTTGCATCAGCGCGGCGAAAGAAATTGGTTTGATTTGGCTTTTGGATCTGGTGGTCTTTGTTGCGCTCGATATCCTCATATCCCGGTCGTTTTTGGTGCCTGCATTTCTTCATATTTGGCATATCTTGACCTTTTGTTTACTTGATACCCACTCGAGGCTCTAGTTAATACCCCTGAATAGAGTACTACTACGCTATAGCTCGAGCGTGAGAACGAGGATATTTATTGTTAACCGTATTGTTGGGATGCTGGCGGCTTTGAGCAGTTAAAGGTTGCAATTGCAAGACCACTTGCCTGTGCAACTATGCTGGAATGTCAAAAACCATAGGACCTGCACTTATACTATTGGCTTCTACTCTCCGTAATTCATAGGAAAAATTTGCTGCCCTTTGTCATCAGGTACATGTATAAGCCCACTTTACTTGAATCCATTGGTGACCAATCTGCGCTTGGACCGAAAATCATCAAGCCACCACAGCGACAGTGTCGTAGTCTTCTTTTCCTGGGCAGGCTTGCACTTACAAATTCCACTTGCGACAAGACCGTCGGTCCTCCAAGAAGACCATCTTCAAAGTGTCACAAATAGCGTTTCTTAGCCGGCAAGTCGCCCCAGTATAAACAAAAGGCGTCCACATAGAATAGTGGCTTTAGCTATGCTATATCCAGACATACAAAATGTAACTTGTCCCATACATAATGAGTGGTACGTGTCGCACAATTCTAGGCAAATAACCGCTAGACCAAAAATGCGCTATAGGCAACATTCTTTGTCTATATGGTCCTTTCCAGTTCGACAGTAGGTCGAGAGGCAAAATCAGTGGTAATGCAACTGGTATTCAAAAGTGGAGGATCTGATGGTTCAGCTTTGCCTCTTTGGAAATGTCTTTCTGCGTATCTTTGGTTGTGAAGGCATTCTCCAAAATGGCCATCGAAAATTTCCCCGGGATTTCAAATTGTTAAGGTGCCACTCTGTATAGGTAAGATTACATTTTTATTGAGGCCGCTATTGCTTGCTTTAGACCTCTTCCTTTCAAACGTTGCTTCTAATTAACCTAGGGAGCAGTTGTAAAAAATGACAGGGCAGTCCAGCAGATGTTGGGAAAGAGTGGGTTTTCAATCAAAGAGACGCCGGAATACCCCATGTATGTAACCTCATTCACCATCCAGTGCAAAGAAAACAAATCCCAAACCCAGAATATAGAACGGGGAATCACATCTAGTAATATACAGGAGAGGTCGCACCCAGAAAAGGCTGAGACCACCTCAATTAAGAAAACGCATATCGCTCACAGCCAAATGATGCTTCAGTTCCCACCGCCTTCCTTCACGCCATCTTCCAAGACAATAATGCCCTCTTCCTTATCAATCTCGTTTTCACGCTCACGGTGCTTGCGTCCCTCCTTGCTGATCTGCCGCAGCCGGCGGATGTACACGTTACTTGCAACCTCGAGCTCATCCTCCCCTCGGCCTTCAAGACTCTTCATCCGGCGAGTCTTGCACATCTTGTATAGAACATGACCTTGTGCGGGCGACAGCTCACTTAACTCGTACTCAACGTTCCACTTATCGCCAGTCTTGAAATCTTCCGTGGGTCGGTCGACGTATTCGCCGTTGATCTTGTTCCGAATGGTCAAGGCCATGGCGAGGAGTTCTCCCTTTGGCTCAGCCTCCGCCTCCGCCTCAGCCTCAGCAGAAGACTCGGCAGCAGATGCTTCTGCTGCATCTTCAACTTGAGGGGAATCAAGATCACTGTCATCCTCGCTTGGTTTGAGATTGAGAAGGCGCTGCTGGTACGCATCGATCTCGGCCTTCTTCGAGTTTTGGATGGCGCTAATGTCCTCCTTCGTAACGGGCTCGACAAAAATGTACATGAATGGCGTCACAGCGTCTCGAGTCTCGAAGTGGAACCGCAGAGACTGCTCCGGGTATTTCGCCGTTGCTTTGTTCAGGACTTCATTCCACAACCCTAGACTCAGTTCAAACTCGGTATCACCTAGCGCAGTATCCGACGTTCCATGCAGAGTCTGGTCCATTTCCGGCAAGCTGACGTACTGGAACCCGAAAATGCGCTCGATGTTGTGGAATGCCACAAAGATACCGTCCATGCGGCCGATACGCACTTGGAGAGAGTACTTGAGGAAAGCGGCGCGAATCATGTCGTAGAACTCACGCTCGTATGACTCGAAGGCGCCAAAACGGGTCTTGATTTCGTAACCAAGACCGTGCTCGAAATTCTTCGCGTCCATGCGAATCGAGACCACGGCACGAGTCTTCAGATCAAACATGCCGGTTCCAGGGAGGCGAGGATCATAGGCATCCAATTGGGACCGCATAATGAAATCTCCATAGGTGGAGTAGTGATATGATTCGGGAATCGCCTGTTCTTCCTCGGGCGAGATCTTGTTATCACTAGACCGACGGTAGCGTTCGAAGTCCTCCTTGGGCATGGTAAGCAGTTTCTCCATTGATTTTCCCAGATTCATCAGGATATTAGCCGAGTCGAACTCCTTGTCTGCATCGATGGCATAGACTCCATCCTGGTAGTGCAGAAACATGGCAGCCGGTGACCGAAGAAGGCGAGTAAAGGTACGCAGCTTATCAGGGAAGCCCTGGGAGAGTGTGCGCGTGTCGATGCCTCTCCAGGCAGAGAGGAGATAGTGGAATTGTGAAAGTACAGAAGTCATACTAGAAGATGAGCCGCTGTACTTCTTCTTTTCTTGGATGGCGTGTTTGCGCAACGTGTCGTCTTTGGACGAAGTGATGTACTCCTTCAAGGCATTGAAGTCGAATTCCGTGACGGGCATGATTTGGCCTAGGTAAGGGTCGAAGTTGTAGACACGGGACCGAGGGTCTCGCAGTTGGTAAACACCGGGGCTGAAAACCATTAGAAGGGCGACACGGGAAGAGGAAACATGTGGTTCTCTTACTTGAATAATACTCGATCGAGACCGAATGATAGACCAGGCACAGGAGCCATGGGAACGTCCAAGGCTTGAAGATGTTAGATAAATCCCCGGCATTCATGACACGACCCAAAACAATTTACCTTTTAGCTGGTGGCTCTCCGAGTCAATCGTTCCGGTGTGTTTCTCGTTTATGAAGTTCGCAACATGGGACAGTTTCCCCTTGGATCCCCTCTTTTTCGGTGTCTTTTCATCGAGAATCTGATTTACTTTGTACATTGCAGCCCTGCGCTTGCTCGCAGAATGCGAACTGCTTTTGGCCACTGTTTCGTCATCCCGAGTTTTCGAATCTGCTTCGCTTGCTTCTTTTGCCTTCGAGCGCCGCTTCTCCCGTTGTTTTGCAGCGCGCTTCTGTCGCCTCGCCGCAGCCCTCTCGAGTTCAAGCTGCTCTGAGCTTGATGTCGATGTATTCAATTGATCTCGATCGCTGGATTCGTTGACTTGCTCGGTCTGTTCGGGGACGTTCTGCAGCACGATCTTGTCAGTTTCTTCTAGTTACGCAAGGCCGCATATAGGGCGCGTGGTCGCAGATAGCATACCTGACTAGACGGTTCGTGCTCCCGGTGAGCCGTCGGTGTAATGGCCGACGTGTTGATTGCATTATTTCTTCCATTCTCACTCTCGAATTGGGTCCGCAGCGCAGGGATGCGGTGAAATCGACGCAAATTTATCGGCGCGGCGAATCGGCGCGCTAAGCAGGAAAAGCAGACATGGTCGCGGAAAGGGTCTGATACAGACCGGAGTGACACCCGAAACATGCAGGCCACGAGCTGAGCAGGATTAAAGGGGAAAGAATGAACAATGGAGGTAGCAAACACTGAGGAAACTCGACAGGAGACGATATTGCTTGACGTGCGCGCCGTGCAGCTGTTTTTTTCTGCCTTGCGACACCGCTTGCATCAGGCTACCTCAGGCATGAATCTAAAAAACCAACCGATCAACCAGCCAACCATAACTTTTCACTAGGTTGACTAGGCAGCATCAACGATTCGGATCAAACTTGTCGGGCTGTACTATATTCCAAAGGGATAGCGCATCAAAATCTATTTTGTGTATCATACAGTTACTTTTTTCCAGGGATCACAATAGCGTAGAAGTTAGTGTACCACTTCTTGAAACCAATGCCAGGTACTCCGTACTTAGCATGTACGCCGCATTGACTAGATACGATACCGAAGGATTCAAAAAAGAAAAAAAGCCAAAGCATGGGAACTTATCCACGATGTCAACAACTGCGTAATTTCAGCGTGATCTCGGCAATGCATAGCCAAATGGGTCCCTATCTCGTGTACAAGAGTCATACCTAACGGGGTTCCGACCCCGGAGAAACACCGCCGCCGGCAGAAAAAAAAGTTATCCAGCACGGCGAGAAACTTACGACCCCCATCCACTCTTCCTGCAGTTGTTTCTCAGGTCTCTCTCGGCGAGGTGAGTATTTCCAAGTTCTCCAAATTCTCAATTCCCTTTTTTGTGTTCTCCAATCCCGTCAATTTCACACTCTTCCACCCGATCTCCCGGAGGAGGGGCGTATACCCCGCGGTGGGCTCCCACAGTCGCTAACTTCACCACAGTCGCTCGAGACACTGCTCCTACAATGGCTCAAGAACAATTACGCATCCTCATTGTAGGCAATGGCGGCCGTGAGCATGCTCTGGCCTGGAAGCTGAGCCAGTCCTCCCTCGTTGACATTGTCTACGTTGCTCCCGGAAACGGCGGTACTGGTTTGGGTGATTGGAAGATCACCAATGCCAATGTCAAGGGTGACGATTACCCCGGCCTCGTAGCGTTTGCGCAGAAGAATGGCGTGAACCTTGTTGTTCCCGGGCCAGAGGCTCCCCTTGTCGATGGTATTCAAGGATACTTCCAGGCTGGTGAGTCTTGACAAGTTTCCACCTTCATGTTCAACAGATTGCTGAGACATTTTCGTTCTACCTAGTCGGCATCAGATGCTTCGGCCCCTCCAAGGCTGCTGCCCGCATGGAGGGCTCCAAGACTTTCTCCAAAGACTTTATGCAACGCCACAACATTCCCACTGCTGCGTTTGGCAACTTCTCCGACTACGAGTCTGCCCGCCGCTACCTCGACTCTGTCTCCCACAACATCGTGATCAAGGCCAGTGGTCTGGCTGGTGGTAAGGGTGTGGTAATCCCTGCCACCAAGGAGGAGGCACACCAGGCGCTGAAGGAGATGATGCTCGATCACCAATTCGGCGATGCTGGTGATGAGGTCGTCATTGAAGAGTACCTGGAGGGTGACGAGCTCAGCATTCTCACCTTCAGCGACGGCTACACTATCCGCTCCCTCCCCCCCGCGCAGGACCACAAGCGTATCTTCGATGGTGACAAGGGCCCTAACACTGGTGGTATGGGCTGCTATGCGCCTACGCGCATTGCACCAAAGGAGGTGCGCGACGAGATCGACCGCACTATTATCCAGCCTTCTGTTGACGGCATGCGGAGAGATGGTATGTTATACGTTCCTGGATCAAAACCCAATACCTGTTGCTAATACTACCCAGGCTTCCCCTTCGTCGGTATTCTCTTCACTGGCCTCATGATGACCAAGAACGGCCCTAAGGTCCTCGAGTACAACGTCCGCGGCGGTGACCCCGAGACCCAGACCCTGCTTCCCCTGCTCAGCGAGGACACCGATCTGGCCCAGATCATGGTCGCTTGTACCGAGCACTGGCTGGACGGTGTCACGGTCAAGGTTGAGAACAAATACTCCACCACTGTCGTCGCCGTGGCCGGCGGCTACCCGGGTTCCTACGCCAAGGGCAAGCCCATCACGCTGGATCCCACTCCAGCCGGCTCCCTCATCTTCCACGCCGGCACCACCCTGTCTGGCAATGAGCTCCAGACCTCCGGCGGCCGTGTGATCGCTGCCACCGCCACCGCCTCGACTCTTGAGGAGGCCGTGTCCAAGAGCTACGAGGGCATCGCCACCATCCACTTCGAGGACATGTTCTTCCGCAAAGACATCGCCCACCGCGCGTTCCGCCAGACGGCCGACACCTCGCTGACCTACGCTGCCGCTGGTGTTTCCATCGATGCCGGAAATGAGCTGGTTAACCGCATCAAGGCCTCTGTCGGCCGCACCAAGCGGCCCGGAACTGACGCCGTGATCGGCGGCTTCGGCGGCCTCTTCTCGCTGGCCGCCGCCAACCCTGAGTACCACTCGGACTCGCCCACTCTCATCGGCGCCATTGACGGTGTCGGCACCAAGCTCAAGATTGCCCACGCCGTCGGCATCCACGACACCGTCGGCATCGACCTGGTCGCCATGAACGTCAACGACCTCGTTGTCCAGGGTGCCGAGCCGCTCTTCTTCCTTGATTGCTACTCGTGCGGCCACCTGGACGTGGCAACCGCCGCAGCCTTCGTCACTGGTGTCGCAGACGGCTGTGTGCAGGCCGGCTGCGCGTTGATCGGTGGCGAGACCGCTGAGATGCCCGGATTGTTCGTGGACGACACATACGATGCCGTCGGCGCGGCGGTTGGCGCCATCAACACCACCGGCGCATTCGCCCGCCAGATCCTGCCACACACCGACGCCATGCGCACCGGTGACGTGCTCCTCGCGCTCGGCTCTTCCGGTCCCCACTCGAACGGATACTCGCTTGTACGCAAAATCGTCGAGCGTGCCGGCCTGGGCTTCGCCGACCCGGCACCCTTCACTATGCCCGGCCAGACGGAGCAGCTCTCCCTCGGCCGCGCCCTGCTCACCCCAACCCGCATCTACGTCAAGTCCATCCTGGCCGCTCTGGCAACGCACAAGGCTGCCATCAAGGGTCTGGCCCACATCACCGGCGGCGGTCTTGTCGAGAACATCCCCCGCATGCTACCCGCAACCCTGACCGCGGCTGTCGATGTCAGCTCCTGGACCCAGCCCTCGGTCTTCCAGTGGCTGCAGCGTGCCGGTAACGTCTCCGCAGCGGAGATGGCGCGCGCGTTCAACTGCGGTGTTGGCATGGTTATCGCCGTGGATCCCGCGGCTGAGGCAGAGGTGCGCCAGAGCTTCGAGGCTGCTGGTGAGACTGTGTACCGCATTGGTGAGCTGCGTGCTCGTGCAGAGGGCGAGGAGGGCTGCGTGCTCAGCGGCCTGGAGTCGTGGAGCGCATGATTTCTCGCCTCTTGAACATGGCCTTTCCCTTTTGAGGTTTTAATCTGCCTTCTTTTCTCGCTGTTGATTGCCATCCCTTTCCCTTTCCTTTTCCTTTTCTATTTCCGCTTTTCTACACTGGTTACACAAAATTAGGACTTGTGCTGAGTCCTGGAATGACTGATGCTGATTATCCTGTATGATGGATGAAATGATATATACTCTCTTATCTTGTCAAGAATTGAAGATTTTGCCTAGATTCGCCTTGCGTATCCCATCGTACGCAACTTAATGGACACAGTAATGGGTTGGCTGCTACCGTTATGTTCCTCGCCATGCCTTTCACTAACAATGTTGACAAAGCAAGCTATCCCCAATTCTGTCTCCCATCTGATCGTCCCTTCTTCAATGTAGCCTTTGATTCACCTTCTCAACACGGCCACTATGTCTACATGAGTTCTCATCCCGGGCATATCTAGTTATGCTAATTGCCACTTTGCCCTTCCTGCAACAATTGCCACTTGGACTAGTACCGGGCCTGGTGCGTGGCGCCTGTTATTTATGCAAGACAACGCGGAGATATTCCTTTGTTTCGCCACGTACGACGAGGGCTATTTCGGCTATCTTATGTGCAATCGCGATAGTATGGAGGATAGCTTTGGAGATTCAGGAACATCGTCCCTGTTATATAATGACAGCGTCTACTAAGGTTATAATGGGGGGGGGCACCCTTGTAAATACACGGCCAGCAAGGGTATGCACAGACCGCTTCCTCTATCCTGGCGTACACCGATGTAGTTAAATGAAGGTTTGATACATGCATGCCCCACGGGTTCTCCTTAATTGTATCAGACAAGCCTAAGCCTCTAAAGCAGAGTTCTTATTTGTCCAAGTTTCTGTCACAACACAGAGGTCCCCTGCGCCGAAGTCAAAACCAAATTCGGCCAGCCTACGAGATACGACGGTGCTACAGGCCTGACGCGGAGGAGTCCATCGTGTCACGTACGACGAGCTACTACGCTGGGCGAGGGCGGCAAGATCACAACTCAAGACAATTTGGTCGGAGATACAACACGTAAAGGCTAGAACAGGAGCAATCGAAAAAAAGGAACGCGACCTGTGCCAACTCCCCATGGTACACATCATTCCCCACCTACACCACTATCGCAGTAGCGCCAAGAGGGGGCCCCCAGGAACCCCAGCGCGGCATTGGAAGAAACAAGGGCGAAGAGCGAGATAGGAGAGGGGGCCGACTCGCAACTCGCGCAGGAAAGAGAAAGAAGATAGATAAAGGAAGGAAACCAAGTCGAATAGAGGAGAAGAAAAAAAGCGTCAGGGTTGAGAAGAACACAAAAACTGAAATTTCAAACGACCGACTCTATTCCACTAAAATCGAGAATTTCCATTTTCAGGCTATCCGCTTGATAATGCGAGTCCAACAACGCTTGCGATCCACCAGTGCCCCCATCCTGCCTTTTGATACACCAGGAAAGTACGAGCGAAGTCCATCAAAGCTTCGAGCAAAAAGAAGAAGCTTAGAAGCACTTGCGGTGAACGATCGAGGGACCGCTCTCGTCGTACTCCTGCTTCGAGATCCACATCTGCTGGAAGGTGGACAGCGAGGCGAGAATGGAACCACCGATCCAGACGGAGTACTTGCGCTCGGGGGGAGCAATGATCTTGACCTTCATGGAGGAAGGAGCAAGAGCAGTGATCTCCTTCTGCATACGGTCGGAGATACCGGGGTACATGGTGGTACCGCCAGACTAGATAGAGGAGAAAAAGTGTCAGGGCCGGTAATTGGTCATAGTCATAGGATTGGGAAACGAGGGGGAGGGGAGGTAAGGAGAAAACAAAGCAAATAGAACTTACCATGACAATGTTGCCGTACAGATCCTTACGGACATCGACATCGCACTTCATGATGGAGTTGAAAGTGGTGACGTGGATACCGCCAGACTCGAGACCCAGGACGTTAGGCGAGAACAGAGCCTCAGGGGCACGGAAGCGCTCGTTGCCAATGGTGATGACCTGTCCGTCAGGCAGCTCGTAGGACTTCTCGAGGCTGGAGCTCTGGGAAGCGGTCTGGATCTCCTGCTCAAAGTCGAGAGCGACGTAGCAGAGCTTCTCCTTGATATCACGGACGATTTCACGCTCGGCAGTGGTGGAGAAGGTGTAGCCGCGCTCAGCCAGGATCTTCATCAGGTAGTCCGTCAGGTCACGGCCAGCCATGTCGATACGGGAGATGGCGTGGGGGAGGGAGAAACCCTCGTAGATGGGGACAACGTGGGTAACACCATCACCGGAGTCGAGGACGATACCGGTGGTACGACCGGAGGCGTACAGGGACAGGACGGCCTGGATGGAGACGTAGAAAGCGGGGGCGTTGAAAGTCTCGAAGACAATCTGGGTCATCTTCTCACGGTTGGACTTGGGGTTGATGGGAGCCTCAGTCAAGAGGATGGGGTGCTCCTCGGGGGCCACACGGAGCTCATTGTAGAAAGTGTGGTGCCAGATCTTCTCCATATCATCCCAGTTGGTGACAACACCGTGCTCAATGGGGTAGCGGAGGGTAAGGATACCACGCTTGGACTGTGCCTCATCACCAACGTAGGAGTCCTTCTGACCCATACCAATCATGATACTAAGCCCATTGTTAGTCTCATTCTCATGTTCTTCTTGCTGCGAATCTGGCGGCGCTCTCGACTAGTTTGTAGAAAGAACTGGCAGAGAAAAAAAAAGGGGGGGGGGGGGGATGGAGGACGGGGGATATTTACCCATGGTGACGGGGACGACCGACAATGGAGGCTATTCAACTCGTCAGTTTTCTTTTTTTTTGTAAAGGTTTTTTTAAATTTCCGATCAGAGTAACAAGTGAGGCCCATTTTTAGGCCAAGTTCAAAGTCACCGAATGGCCGACGCAAGGGTTGGCGGGATGGCGTTGCCAGGAGGAGGGGTGCAATTCTCAGGATGCTTGTGGGGGTTTGAAACTTACGGAAGACAGCTCGAGGTGCGTCGTCACCGGCGAAACCGGCCTTGCACATACCCGAGCTACAGACACGGCATCAGTAAGAGAACTTTCCATCAAAGACGGGGGTTATAGTCTGCTCGAGATGGATCCTGGGAGCGGCCTGGGAAGCGATTGGGACTCAATGTGCCGTGGCGACCGATTAGGGGATGATAGAATCGGGACCGCGACCGGGTTGTTGAGGAAGCCAAACACCACCAGACCAGCTCCCGGGCGGCAGCATGGCATCACATACCCATTGTCAATGACGAGAGCAGCGACTTCCTCTGTAGGAGAGCAGATGGGTTAGCATGCGAAGTCCACGGTTGGAGGTTGGGTCGACCATCAGAGCACAGCTTCCCTCAACCCCCCCCCCCCAAGCTGTCGGGGGAGGGACGGCCGGGTCAGCCAAGGCGCTGAGGTGGCCACAACGGGACCAAACCAAGGGGGCGGGGGGAGGTGGGAAGGGGGAACACACCTTCCATTGTGACTGAGATGGATGTGGACTAAAGAAATGGGAAAAGGAGAGGATTGAGAAAAGGGAGGGGTGGGGGGAAGAAGAGTATAGCGGGAGGTCAGTTAGTGTAGGGGGGAAAGGGAGGAAGGAAGGAAGAGGACGGAAGAAGTGGAGAGGAGGGGGAGTGGTTTGTGATGGTTGGGCCCGTTCCAACTTGTGTGGTGTGTGCGCCTGGCCTCGACTAGCCACGCCCGTGATCGCCTCTATCAACGTCCCTATCTCTACGCCTGGAGAGCCTCTATTTAGACGGCCTATTCCAAGGCAGACACGATTTCTTCTTTGTCTTCCGCAATTGATGCCTTCCTGGACCGCCACCATCGCATTGCGCACACCGTGGGGCCGTTGGCATGAGGGACCAGCTGAGAGCCTCCAGACCATTTCTGGGGACGCATCATCCGCCAGTGACACGGCCAGTGCCTAATGGCACGAGCATTACTACGAATACAATGGCATTGGAGTTGTCCAGGGCCAGGCTGCGACATTCGCGGAGTCTCATGTGTGGCGGGGGATGGGCCGGAGGGGACCAGATACGCCGTACCGTTGGAAGGAGGTCACTTCTAAGTATAGAACCCCTCCTCCGCCGCCGTGCCGAGCACTGCCCGGCCCCCGTTGAGGTACTGGGCGGGTACCTCGCATCTCGACGGTAGCCCTCGCAGGGCCCTGTCCCGTATAGCATCCTCAGTCCAAGTTACAAGGGCGGCTTACTCGTCAGCGCTATAAATCTGGCGCCCAGTCGCTGTGCCCATCGGGCAGGGAGCCTGACGCAAGCGCTGGAGACCAGAAACATGGTTAGGGCCATCTGGTTACCGCCATTTGCCTCCATTTCATTTCCCGTCCAGCGGTGAGTGGCAAGTCACCTGATCCAGAGTCACGGGATCGTCACGGGAATCGAACCAGCTGGGTGCCGCACGAATCGTCTCGATTCAATTCGACGTCAGATTAGATAAGCATTTCGTGTGAGCTCCGATATATCTCAACCTGCGAACCAAGTCATAGCACCGCCAATTGTTCACTACCACTCCTGAGCACGGTTCCTGTGTTACAATCAACTCTATCAATCACTTCACCCCCCACCCCACCATGGACCCCCAAATGAACAAGCTCCTCAAATGGAGCGTCCAGAACTCACAGCAGCAAAGTGCCGACGGCACCTCCACTGCCCCTCCTAACGCCGCCGAGACCTCGCGCAACCTGACCCCGGAGATGATCAATGCCCTCCTCGGTGGTCCCTCCGATGCCGACCTGATGAAGGCTGCCATGGAGGTCCTGCACTCGGACGAGTCCGACCTCGAGAACAAGATGATTGCCTTCGACAACTTCGAACAGCTGATCGAAGGTATTGATAACGCCAATAATCTCGAGCCGCTGGGTCTCTGGACCCCATTGGTGCAACTGCTCACGCATGAGGATGCCGATATGCGCCGCATGGCGGCGTGGTGTATTGGTACGGCGGTGCAAAATAACGAGAAGGCGCAGGACAAGGTATGTGTTCACCCTCACCCGGGACTGGAACAGTCGCTCTTTTGGGATGCAACGAAACTAGACGCTAACATCACTTGTGCACAGCTGGTTGTTTTGAATGCTATTCCTACTCTCATCACCGTCGCCACGACCGACCCGAACCCCGCTACTCGCAAGAAGGCTATCTATGCGCTCTCGTCGGCCGTGCGCAACTACCAGCCCGCCATGAACGAGCTAGTGAAGAACCTTCCGGCGGGGTATCCTACCGATAAGACTGACGCCGGGGATATGGAGACTGTGGATGTGATCATGGACAAACTCCGTGACCACCCCGTCGACTCGGCATGAGCGTTGCCTCGTAGCAGCCTGATGTTTTCTCAGCACATCTCATCAGAGAGGCTGTATGGCCGCTTACGGGAAAGAGCTTGTTACCAAGCTGTCCGGGCTTGGCACTGGCCATTTGCTACGATGCCAGCGCACTGCACGACCGGCTCCAGCAACACGCCGCTGGATAACTGAGCAGTTCGTCGCACGACCAGGCTTGGCTTCAAGCAACCTCTCCCGAGATTCATCCATATTGAGTGCGACTTGTCACCCGGATGACTCCTCGCTCCCTTGATCGCATTGCATCGACACAAGCACCCTGGATCTAGGTAGAAAAGTGATTTTGGTTGGACATGTATATACCCCAGGCTCCATTTCCGATACCTATTCAACATGAGGCAGCCATGAAATTAGACCTCGAGCCAGCGAAAATAATCTAGGAACCTAGCCGCCCGCCCCAGTACGCGTACACTTCTGTAGATCTTTAGTTGGAGCTCGGCTCCAAGAATAACTTCGCTGCGCGAAAACACTAGTCACACGCCCCGCCTATGCGATGACGAGACTAATTCGTGCACTCAGGCATCATCCAAAGGCGGACCGATTTCCCATACCCCAAAAGAAGGGCCCGCGACGCAACCTCTGTTATCCTCAACACCGGCCCGATATTCTTCCGTGGACGGGGCGCCATCGTCATCGGCATCCGCATCCGCAGCTCACTCCCCAGCTCACCCATCAAACACAACCAGCACCACCATGGACGTCTCCAGCAACCGGCTCTTCCGGTTCACCAAGCCAGAATGGCTCAATAACTCTGCCGTCCGCAACGCAGGCGTCTACACCTCCGGCGCGCTGGTGCGTATCCCAACCCTACTCCGTGCCTCCATCCAACCATCTATCAATCCTACCCGCCCACCACGGACTCACTCGTCCATCGCAATTGACCCCGATCACGCTATCCTACCCTACCTGACCCTACTACCCTCACACAATGCTAACGGTTGCACCGTCAGTTTGCCGCCGGTTTCTTCTTCCTTGTCGACGTAGCTGCGTTCTCGCACAGCGCCCGCAACGGCTCGGACGTGCACATCAAATTCGTCGACTGGATCCCCGGCATCTGCTCCGCGCTGGGCATGCTGGTCATCAACTCGATTGAGAAGTCGCGGCTGCAGGCCGACAGCTTCAGTTATAGCGGGAGCGGGGTGGCGTGGAAGGCGCGGTTTGTGCTGTTTTTAGGCTTTGCGCTGCTGGCGGGCGGTCTTGCGGGGAGTGTGGTATGTTTCTCGTCATGTGGGGTGGCTTATTGATTTGTGGAGTTGGAGGTCGCTAATGTGGTGTGTTGCTTTGCAGACGGTCATGGTCCTCAAGTACCTCATGAAAGACTACCCGATACAAACGCTGTACTTCGGCATTGCAAATGTGGTGGCGAATGGCCTGGTAATGCTGAGGTACGTTCTTGATTGGGACACCGTCCCATTCATTTCTATTTCCATCTTTGTTGTCTTTTTTCCCCCTCTCAAGGGATACTTGCTAATGCGGCATAGCTCTGTCGTTCTCTGGGTCTCCCAGAACATCGAAGACGACTACACCTACAACCTCGCGCTGTGAAGTGGAGGCTCTGAACTGAACTTATCGGAACCGACCTGACCTGACCTGACCTGACCTGACCTGACCTGACTCGATATACCTACTTTGCGCCTGTGGCTTGGCTTTTGTATTTTATGCGCGGATCCGATGATTTTGGCTTGGGTGTTTGGCATTAGCATCACTGGATAAGGCTGGGGCTTAGCTTGGACGAAATGGAATTCATTTTGTTCGGATGTCTGGATCTATGGGCAATAGTAACGTCAGATGTCGCGGGCATTTATTACATGTTTCTCATCGGGAGCAAAGTAAATCACTGCTCTAGGTAGAATGCATACCCCTAGGTCGACGGATAAGCAATGTTGGAACCTAAATTATGCAATCAGATGATCCCGGTACAAGTACTGAGCGCCACGCATCAAGCAAAATCAAAGACAAATCCGAACCCATCAAGCAGAACCCACAAAACAAAGTCCCACAAAACGCCCCAACCCACGTAGATGCATCGCTTCGTAATCTCATAACATGGCATAGTATGGCATCGCCCCAGTCACAGGCTGGCAAGCAGGCTAATGATCTTCGCAGAAGAGCCGTAACAACTCATCAATGCAGGTCATAGCCTTCCCTTTCTCCAATAATACAGGTGTAGTCCCCCCACCAACCGCGTCCTTCAGATACCTGCGCAGCGCAAACGCAGCAGCCTTGTACGTCGCATGGTACATAGCCTTGAACTCATCGTCGTCCGCCGTCGCACCAGGACCAGGCGTTTCCGCACGGAGCGTCTCCAGCGCTGGCGTTGTGCTTCGCGTCTCTGGTTCTGGGTCGAGGCCAGGGCCGGTGGCATTCAGCTTGGCGGACGAGGAGGAGCGCGTGGTGGAGCGGTGGAAGCCGTAGAGCCGCATGCAGGTGAGAATTGTGCGAGTGACGAGGTTCTTATTTTCGGCGATGATGGCGTCCGCGCTTTTGGGCGGGGAGCTGGGTGGTGCGGCGGTATCTGGAGCTGAGATTGAGAGTAGGGATGAGGGCTGGGTGTGCTGGGAGGCGCGGCGGGAAGAGGGATCTTGGAAGGGATTTGGCGTTGTGGTGCGCTTTGGGGGGTCCGCGGTTGATATTGGGGTGCCGGGTCCGCGGGCGCCGAGTCTGCTGCTCGGTCGGTGCAGTCCGGCTCCGATGGATACAGAGCGGGATCTGCGTGCGGTAAGCCGGTCGAGTGTTGGTAGGCTTGGTTGGTCGTCTTCGGGCTCGCGCTTCACTCGTAGCGGTTGTAGATTCTGGGACGAAGAGAGTGGTCGCGAAGGGGCCATCAGTTGGGCGACGGCCTCCCCGCCTCGCTGCCGGACACGCCGGTGATGCTGTGCTGCTACTTCAAACAGCGTGGCTACTCGTTTGCGCTTTGGGCTGGGCGAGCTGATATCGGGGAGGAATTCGCCTTGGGTCGAGACATGCTCTTCGTCTGAGCTCTGTGGCGGAGACGGGAAGGCTTGGGCCTGGGTGAGGAGTGATGTTGAAAGTGGCGCCGCGTATATTCTGAGCTCATATGGCTTGCCCGGAGAGGTACTAGCCTGGCCGAGGATCTCAGACGGGGACGAGTGTGGCGGCGTCGGTGGACGGGTGCAGGACGTCGCGGTCGATATCACGCCGTATATCAGAAGGTCCGACGTTACCACACTAGCCTTCCTCGCCGGGATGCCGTCGATACTGACCAGCATCCCGACTGGGCATTGTAGTGATTGGTGGAGGTCCAATTCATCTTCGTTCAACCATATGGCGCCTGCCAACTTGCTCTGGAGCCATTGGGATGTCCCCGCGTCGATTGTGTGCAATTCGAGGTTAGGACCTGCTCGCGCGTGCAGTGGGATTAATGCTGGATTCACGAAGCTGCGGAGACCAAGTTTGGCTTCCTTGGATATGTCGCATTGCCAGTGGGAAGTTGGGTCGACCAAGCGAATCCCTGATATCATGGTTAGCCAGGCTTGTAATTGAGGGGCGCGCGTCGTTGGCTTTTACCTCCCAGCTGGCGGTCTGGATCCAAGGTAATGGACCCTGACCAGATATTCATTCTCACAGCCTATGGGCTAGAATGCTCCCCATAGTAATCTCTGTATGTTGCTTGAGGTGGCGCTCAATAGGTTGCGACTGATGCTCGGCAATTCCTTGTCGGGCGGGACGCGCCAGGACGCGCGACGTCACGTGAGACTATAGTCCAAAGCCACTTCCACCAAATACGTGAAAACGGACTTGATATCCCTAATTTACTACGTGGGGGAAGAACAGAAATCCATCAGAAAGTCTCTATATATACACTGCGTTAAAATACAGCTAGAGTATCAAAGCCAACGAGATGCGGAAGCCATCGAGCGGCAAATGAAATGGCGCTAGAAACCATACCCCCATTCAAAGTTTCGTGCCTGCGTGTAAAATCAAAGTAGTCGCCCAAAAGAAATGTCATCATGGAAGCAATTTGGATGTTCGGAGATCCCCTTAGTCCAACAAGAGCAAGGAAGGACCCGCACCAAATCATTCATCGGCGATCAGAACTCTTCCTGTTCCTGGAAAAACATCGAGAAGCTGATGATGGTGCCATAAATCAACAGACCGCCAAGGATAGACATGATCATGGCTGGAATCTCGATCGCTCCGCTGTGTGCCAGGATGGCGGGGAGTGCTGAGAGAGAGCGGGGTGTCAGCAGATCAGATAAAAACATAACTTAGGCTCAGTCTTGAGAAAATATAGAACACATAGCCACCAATGGTTTGCTCTATTGGTTATTTAAGTGCTCCGAAGGATGGCTGCAGTGCTACATTGTCCACTGAAGCATGGCGATGACAGGACAGGCAACTCACCGATACCAGTCAAGACCAGGAACCCTGTCATGAACCGCCCAAAGTCCATAGCTGAGTTGCTCGAGCTGTCCATGAAATCATCTGGGTTCGCGCATCGCCCGCAGATCCAATTGGGGAGCGGCGCAACGATATAGATAGCAACGACCAACAGGGGCCAGTATTTGTGCCAGAGGGCGGAGGAAAGAATAACGAGTAAGAAACCGATCGCAAGCACCTGTTCCACATCAGCAAATGTTTCCAGCCAAGCGACACAAGCTAGCAGGCCTGGTCTTGCGTACAAACGAGAGCGCGATGATGGTCTTGAGTCCAGCCGCCATGATTGTGGAGTCGCCGAAGCTGCGCGGTTCGACGAAGTAGGAGGGGTTCAGTTGGAAAGTAGCAGCGTGCAGTCCGGGCGAAAGAATTAGAGGCAGTTCACAGATGACAGCCCCATTGGCAGAGATCGGAGAGAGGAGTGAGCTTCGGAGGTGGACGAGGAATGAGTGACGTTGGCGCCTGAAGTCACTGGGTGTCGTTGCCTCAGGCCTCAAGAGCTCATGCTTCACACCGCGTCACCTTAACTGCCTGGTCCAGCTTCCCCATCTCTGCCCCAGTCTCCCTCCGCGGTTTCTATTGCGATTTTTCTTTTCTCTGTGTGATTGACGGAATTCAAACCTCCATCTATATTCTCCCCGTCATTCGTCCCTTTCCGCCGCCATGTTCAGAAACAACTACGACAACGATGCTGTCACCTTGTAAGACCTACCCCGGCCGATCCGCGAGAAACAGCGAGATACTGACTCGAGACACCAACAGCTCCCCGCAGGGGCGGATATTCCAAGTCGAGTATGCACAGGAGGCCGTGAAGCAAGGATCTGTGGTGGTGGGATTGGTGAACAAGACACATGCCGTCCTGGTCGGACTCAAGGTTCGCTCTCCACCTCGCACCAACCATGGCAAATCAGACCCCAGACCAGAAGAGCTAACCCACGCTTGCCAATAGCGTAATGCCGAAGAACTCTCCTCCTATCAGAAGAAGATTATCGAGATCGATTCGCACATGGCGATTGCCATCGCCGGCCTGGCATCAGACGCCCGCGTCCTCTCCAACTTCATGAAGCAGCAATCGCTTGGTTCGAAGATGACCTACGGCCGACCAATCCCGCTGGACCGCATCGTTACGCAGATCGGTGACCGCGCGCAAACCAACACCCAGCACTACGGAAAGCGGCCGTACGGCGTGGGCCTGCTTGTGGCCGGCGTTGACGAGGCTGGCCCGCACCTGTTCGAGTTCCAGCCCTCGGGTCTGATCCACGAGATGGTGGCTTGTGCCATCGGTGCCCGCTCCCAGATGGCACGCACATACCTCGAGCGCAATCTTGATAAGTTCGCGGACTGCAGCCGCGACCAGCTGATCCAGCACGGCCTGCGGGCACTTAAGGAGACGCTCTCGCAGGATAAGGAGCTTACGGTGGACAATACTTCTGTTGGCGTGGTTGGACTGGCTTCCGAGGGTTCGAAGGGTCGCATCGAGAGCTTCAAGCTGTATGAGGGTCAGGAGACTGTGCCGCTGCTCGAGGCGCTGGAGCGATCTGAAGCGTCTGGTACTGTGGAGGACGAGTCGATGGAGGTTGATTCATAATTTCCCTGGTTCTTAATGACTGCGCATAGACATGAAAATCCTTGCTTATGCTGTGCCCTTTCCTTTTTTGATTCAAGCTACAGGGGGCTCCTTTTCTTCAAGTCCGTGGATTTCTATGATCTACTGATTTATCTGGATATCTTTAAACCAATACCCGCTGGAACATCAGCAAACAAGACCCAAGCGGGCCGTACCCCTGCCCCAAATTATAGATCCGTCTATGCGGATGATTATTCCTCGCCCCAGTTCAGCTGCATTCGGTCACAGCTGCACTGATACTCCAACAATTTAGGATAAACCTCCTCAACAGTATGAGCCTCCGCCAGAATCGACCCATTCTCACCACTGATGTATCCTTGCTCCACGGCGTTGCGCACCCAAGCCAGCAAGCCATTCCAGTATCCATTGATGTTCAGCAATACCACCCCAACGCGATGAATGCCCAGTTGATTCCAGGTCGTCATCTCCATAACCTCCTCGATGGTACCGAACCCACCAGCCAGAGAGACAAACCCAGATCCGGGTCCGCCCTCCAGCACCATTGTAGCCATCAGTCGCTTGCGAGTATGCATGTCCTGCACGATAGTCGTCACACCGTATTCTGACTCGGGGATCTCTTCTTGGTCCTCAGCCTCCGAGACCACTCGCTCCGCTCCCTTGCCGCCATTCATTTCGGTGGCGGCCCCGTTTTCGCCGACTCCTTTGGCCGACACCTTGACCAGAGCCCGCGGGATCACGCCGTGGACAGCCTTGGGCCCAGATAGAGAGACTAGTGTTCTGGCGATCTCGCCCATGAGCCCTGTGGTGCCGCCGCCATATACGAGCTGGACATTGTTCTTGTGTAATTCATAGGCCAGGGCCCGGGCCGCCTCGAGGTGTGCTGGGTCCTTGCCTGCTGATGAACCGCAGCTGTTACTCCCGCGCGGGAGAATCAGTTAGCTTGGGCCCTCATACTTTTCGGTTCTAGGCAGTGGGGGAGTAAAGGATCGAGCTTCGGTGCATAGATGAGGGGGCCAGGGAAGGGTGACTCACAAGACACAAACGACTGCCGGTTTGTCTTGCGTCATGGCAGATGGTAATTTGGAGGGAAGCTGTGATAGCTGGTTCTGTATATAGGCGGAAAGAGTATGGAAGAGAAAGTTGAAGAGGCAGAGAGCAATTCTATGTGGCAAGAGAGGACTTGCTGGTGCAACCTTGGAAATGCGGGCCCACCGCGATAAGATAAAAGGACGAGACGATGACCACGTAGGCCACCGCCAACCCGTGGTTGGTTACACGGCGCTCCTTGTTTGCTAGTTTTGATGCAGCTGGAGGCGATCATTGGCGGGTCGCTTGCCACCCGCCTGGGGCCGGCAGCTGGCCCAGCTCGTCCTTTCATCTACACAGATCTATGGAGTATCCGTAACTCCATTGCGGGGGATTCAAGAGCGTCACATGGTAGGTCGGGAATGACTCATCCAGTCCAGACTAAGTCTATAGCTGCAATCTAATGAATAGTAGCTCGTATTCCGGGATCCTATTGTTTTACTACTACCCAGATGCGAAATCAATAGTGTGCTTGTGCTACGTCTTCGCGCAGCAAGGGTATCATGTTTGTAAATCAGCTAGCTATCCGGTTCTTCTTCCTTTTTCCCTTGTTCTCGCCTGAGCTGGGAGGGGAATTGCTTTTTTCCGACGCTTTCCCGGGTGTATCGATTCGGACCTGTGGCGTGGTTGATCGTCCTCGTAGCCCCGCTGGTGTGTTCACTGTCGTGCTCGGAGCCGCCTTCAGAGCAGCTTTGGCTGCTGTACCAGCTGCACGATCGTTCTCGCCGGCTCGAGATAATATGAAAGAGCCGGGCTCCCCGACCAGAGGGTTCTCGTCCATGAACTCATCGCCATACTGGGTGAAGAGGTTAAATGCTTCACCCAGGTTCCGCGTATCCTGATAGCTAGAGCTAGTTGTCGAAATGCCGAGGCCGGCCTTGCCTGCGGATTGTGGTTCGGCACCGGAAGATTGGGTGGCATCGGGCATCGGGGTATTCTCTTTGCTCGGCTGGGACGCTTGCTGGCCAGGTTCGGCGGTGCGCGCTGTGGGTGGCAGATATGTGTGGCCGTAGGATGGCGTAAATGTGGGCAGCGTGGACGCGGATTTCATAAGACGCGAAAGAGATGTGACGGCAGACAGCTAGAAGGAGGAGACATGTCAGCGTTCAGCGTTCAGCGTTCAGACGACATGCGAGAAACAAGGGCACAGCGTACAATTCGGTTTCCCACCACGCTGGCCACTGACGGCGCCATGTAGATAGTTTCACCGACCACAAAGTAGGTCGATATTACCGTCACCTCATCCTCCATCCCAGTCCGCTTCCGCCGATTCTGCTTGCGAATCACCCAGATGTTGGAGGGCTCTTTTAGAAGGCGATTCCCGTCAGTCTGCGCCGCTTCAAGGGGGTCGAATGCGACGACGAATTCCAAGCCTTGCATTGTCTTCAGTCGTGCTTCGAATTTTGCGCGCGTCTCGACAAAGTCGCGGAAGGCCTCGTTGTAGCTAGCTTGGATGGCGAGCGAGGCATTGTTCGAGGTTGGGTCAAAGAACGGGGATTCGGCGAAATAAAACAGAACTGTTGACCAGATAGAAATGAAATGAGTGAGTCAGCCGTGTGTTAGGAGCAGCAAACGCACTGTTATTGGAGTGCAGGAAACCCCCCATCATCTTGACGTGCGGGGGAGACGTCCAGAGGATCTCCTCCATCGCGGCCTCTTGGGTCGCCATAGTGGCGCGAGCGAATGCAAGCTATCACCTTGTTATTCGGCTTGAGACCAGCTCCAGTCTTCTTCTCTGGGATCTTAATTAGGTGAAGTGAGGGATTGGGGGAGCAGAGGTTCAGAGGGCGTCGAGACTATGAGCGGAGGAAAAAGCGTGTTTTGCTTGTTTGCACCGCGATATATGTATCGGAGCTGGGACGGTTGAGCTTATTTCCATCCCCAAATTTCCTTCCATGATCCACCAAGATTTTAAAGGTTTCAACGTTCGACTGGAGCAGGCAGAAAATGAAACACTTTATATGACAGTTTATAATTATTTTATTTTCTCGATTCCGACTAGTTGATATATGTATACGATCAAGCGCGAAAGGGAAGCCCGCGCAAGCTATCATCTACTTACAGGCGAGCAGTGTATCTCAGGGAGAAAGAGATGTCATAAATAAGGCCCGGCTGCTCATGTTTCCCAGGTAAACAGTGTATCACTTATGATATGCAAAACCTTACAGTACACCTGAACATTCCATTTGCCCACTTCCTTGTTGAGCGGCAAAGCTCAGGAAAGTCCGACGAGTCGCCCTATAGGGACTGCCCCACTAGGCCCCTCGAAAACAAATGGGATCACCATGAAGAATGAAACCGACCGTAGGCGTATCATTGACAGAGTTGGGGGGCTCTAAAGAGGGAAGATCAAGACCTGCCTTCCTGATCCGGATCCAGTCGATCCCTTGGAATAGGTGGTAATGGGGATTGCCTGTCGACTCTAGATCAGGAGCAGCGGGAAAATTAGAAGCCCAATCGCATGCAAACAGGCACGCCTGGCGACCGCAATTCTGGCCCACAGCCTAAGTGTATCCACGGCTGGCGTTGCAGAGTCTGGTCCATTACGGCCAGCAGCATCTTCATTGAGAGTTATCTTCGTTGTATGATCGACTCCTAGAGAATGCCAGGTAATAAGAGCCTTGGCATTGTCGGACAAAAAGTTCCGCGGTATAAAAGTTGAGAAATGGGCACAATGCCCATCCGATGTATCGTGCGCTTCATCAGATACAAGAGCATCAAGTAGAGGTAGTGGCTGCGGTCGATCTCTGGATTCTATAGAGCCCAGCAGCCCGTGGCGCATTTTGAGAATATAAAGCCAAATATAGGACAAAGGGACTCGGAGACTAATCCGCTCAGCCCTTTTGGGGAATCGTTCAGATCGAACGAGACAGAACTAACCCTGGTAAAACGCATCGTCGATTCCTAAGAGCGACTTTCACTGGCGAGATGAATGTATTATGAATAGGTCATCAGAGTCAAGAAGGGGCAATTGGAGCTTCTCTGGTTCAATGACAGGGGCAATGCCTTGGATATGAAAAGAAAAAAAGTCGGTTAAACTCAGAAATGATATGAGACTAACGTGAAATTGTTAGGAGTGAAATCAAAGTGTCAAGTGACTGTCATTACCTACCGCTGGGTCAATTGGGCGCGCGTTCAAGCCTTCTATTCAAGATTGTCATCACCAACAGCTTGTATGACAGTGAAATTGTAAGGGTAGGAGTCAAAGAGACCACGTTCTCGAGCCAGCTTCGGATTTAGCCAGATCGGAAAAGGTCCGGACAAGCTCAGAGATATTCCCTTGCTCAATGTCGATTGAACTGGATTTATAATTGGGATGAGAGCCAACTGAATGGGGATTGCGAGAAGTATCAACAACTATATGGCCCCTTCGAAGAAGCTCAACACAAAAAGACGAGCCTCCAAATCCGGCAGGGCCGATGACGCCGACCCCCTGAGCTGCTTCAAATCAGCCATGCTTTTGCTTCTCCCTGGGTGCAAATGTCCTCAAGCAAGAGCCAGATGCATAAGGGTTTAATGATACGGCAAACATATTGAAAAATTTGTAAGACGGCTGGGGAGAGTAGATGTGGGGGATCTACATGAAAATGTGGGGTGATTAACCCCACCAGATATTTCTATGGGTACTTTAAGATTATGGCTATGTGATCAAACAAGAAGAAAGGGGAAAACATGAGTCAGTTGGGACGCTAGCTGGGCACGAACAGCTACAAAAGAGAACAGGGCTTGGTTCATCTTCTTGATCACAGGACAGGGGGTTCTTATACGCTCACAATGGATCTTTACATATTCAATCCTCGGGCAACAGTAGCAGATCCAAACACACCTTATGCTTCAAGTAAGCATGCATAGGAGAAGCGTCTCAGACTCGAGATTGGCATAGTCGACTTATGACGATGGCTCAACCTTAACCTCCACAGACGCTTTGGCTTCCTCCTCGGTAGGCTTCCGAGCCCAGACACGGCGACTAGATTCAATGAGTAAGTAAAATCTGCCACGGCGCTTATAAAGGATAACTCACGCATATTCATAGGCATGGGTGCGAGGATTTTTCAACTCAGCCCGAACCTTGGCAAGATAGACACTGACTTCGTCTTTAGACCACGGAGATGGCGCTCCATGCTTAGTGAGAAGCCACATAGCCCAGCCCTCAAGAGCAGCTGTCCAATGGAGGTATTGAAGCTGTCCAGCCTCTTTGAGAATCTTGTCTTTTGGCCACGGGCCCAAAGGGATCTTGTAGAGCTTTTCTTTCGTATCCACAAAGCCGGCCTTCTTCATTGCACCTAGCATTGTTTCTTGCGTCAACAGGGAGCGGCCTGCTCTTTCAGAGCAGCCAATGAAGTTATCTCCCCATCCAGCCAAATAGCCTCCTTCCTCCAGGGTATTGTCATCGCTGTACACTCGAACGTCCAATTCAATCTGTTCAATCCAGCCACCTGGCTCGAGAGCACTGGATAGTGAAATAGTGTGAGATCTAATGATTCCAAGAATAAATACCAGGGAACAGGGAAAGGGGCTCACTCGTAACACTGCTTGTACACTTGGTCCCATCCCTCAGGTGTGAATGCTCCCAGCATCAGACGAAGGTGGATGAAATCAAACGGCTCTCTCCAAGTCCAAGGGCGTAGAATATCATCTACTTCAAACACGCAGTTGGGCGGCGTCCAAGTCACAGGAGGAGGGAAGATATCCACGCCACGAACAGTCGCTATAACTGGTAAGCGCCAAGAATGCGAGAGAGAGGTGCGTGTACCTACCAGAAGGATACATATCCGCAGCATCGCTAGCTAAGATGTTAGTTACATTAATTGCAAGGAAATGTAGGGGGGCGCTTACATGGCCCAGTTTCCTTTACCAGTCCCAATATCAAGAATGTGCTGAAACGTCCACTTAATACGGTCATCAATCATGCAAACTCAAGACCACACTCACCTTCGGATTTTTGCCGATGGGAGCATGATGGAGAGCGTTTGGCTGGTGATAGTCCAAAACAAGGAAGACCATGTGGCTGAATAGTGTTAATTAGCGTTCGGCAAGACCAGGCGAAGACAGTGAGTAGTACATACCCAATTTCAAAAGCCTCGAATTGCTGCTCATCGGACGGACTCCTGTAGGATACGATTAAGGTCGAATCCGTCGCATTGGTGCATCTTGAACAAACCAATAGTCATCATCCTTCAGCGCCTGGTATCTGCTTTTCATATTAGTTACGACGCTCTTGCATTACTGCGCCAGTTGTTTGCTTAACCTTCTGCCATTTTCCAACCGACCCTTCGCGATCGACGAGGAGATAGACGTAGTCTCTCTTGTGAATGACATAGTTAGAGCGCGGCCAATGAAATCATTACCGGTGATACGCACGATTGGAAGTCGTCAGGGCCATAGTCGTCATCCAGGCCATAGAAATCGGGATCCTGGCAACTCAGGTCAGATAGGAGTATACTGATTGGAAGTTGCAATTACTGAACCTACAGCAGCGATTTCGTCAGACATTTTGGGGGAGGGGAAAATTGGATTCGGGACAGGAACGAGAGCTCGGGCTAGACAGCGTGGCGAGGGCGGACCTGGAATTAAAAGGGATGGGATCGTGAGCAAGTGGGGGCAACGGCTGCGGGTCCATCCCGGGCTCCGCTGACACGCCGGGCCAGCGGGCGTTTGGTTAGAAAGCTAACTGTAAAAGTACCTAGGGGGCGACGCGAAGGAACATCACTAGCTGTCTCGTGAAAAGGAGAGAAGGAGGGAGCCAATCCTTTTGTCTCCACATGGCGTGCAGGGTGAAGATTCCGGCATCCCTGGCGAATCCTGGGCCTTGTCACGATCTTATGCAGCCACCATACTATGAACGCCGATAACTAGCCATTTTGAAACGGACCACGTGTATGTAGACGATCATATCTCGAATCGATGAAGCTTATGCTCGCACTTGCTCGTAACCACTCGGTCTTCACTAGTTGCATTATCTAGCAAAGTGTGCCGTTGAAAGTCCCACGGGCCTGAGAGAGAAGAGCAAAAGGGCCTCGGAGGTGAGGAACACATACTACAGAGTTCTAATCGGAATAATTTGTCAACACGAACCGTTTATTACATCTGGTGCAGACCGACGGTCGTGGGGTGGGGGGACAAGGGACGACTTGAGCGGCAGCGTGGCGCTCCAACAGGAGCCGTTCCTGGCGACCCACTTACCCCCTCACCGTCCGTTCTGAGGAGGAGGTGCTGATAAGTCTGAGAATCAGAGTAGCCCAAAAATTGTGACCTACGTGAGCCACCTGTCGAGGACCGGTTTGATCCAATAGATTTTGGTTAGACACGCCCGTGGGAATAGAAGGAGGCGTCTACTTTCATATACAGAATTATCGCATAGTTCATAATCAAGTTGAACGGACTAGATATTGCAACTAAAATACGTAGCGAATCAGTCCTTCTTCAGTCCGATAGAGGCATTATGGCCTTGTTCAGCCGGAAGTGACTAACGCTAGAAGTAAACATGCAATGCATCTTTTGGTGTAGTTCCAAGTCATGTGATGAAAACAACAATCGCAGCCCAGCCTTTCTGTGGTCTGGTGTGTGGTGACGCCATGCTAATTCTCGGCTATGCTTATGTCCTCTGCACAGGGTTGAATCCCAGTGAGCGATATAGTTAGTCATCTTTCCTGTGCTGTTTTCCTTCCTACAATTTATTTGTTACCTTATAACGAGCATGGCCATGGTTCGTATGGAGACTCTTCAATAAGTTCGACAAAATGATGGCACAGTATAATTTGTGTAGAGGGCGTTTAGGTCGGATGAAAATCACCATACGTGGGGTGAATTATTGCAGGATGCCGCAGATGTGATGAATAGTCTAGGAAGAACATGCAATGCAAAAAATTAGGTCTATAATCCAAAAAACCATCCCAACGCTATATGTTGAATGAAGTCTTCACTTGTGATGCATCGATCCGGATGTTGAATACACGATCCTATCGCGCAGTCCGTGATCTGGTGAAGATTATAAAAAACGACAAAAGATCTAAAGCCGGAGATACCGGAAGGTTTAGCGGTCCGAGCCTCAGGCGGCGGTTTCGGACGGAGTGAAAACATTGCAGACGGTGCGCAGCTTGGTCAACATTTCTTGCCATTCGCCCTCAGCCGTACTGAGAGTAGTGACTGCACCACCAGCGCCAATTCTCCATGTTTGTCGGTTGTCTTTGTTCGCATTCGCATCAGAAGAGCGGGTAAAAGCGGTTCGAATCAGCACTGAGAAACTTCCGGCTCCCCCGAGGTCGAGATAGCCCATCACGCCGGAGTAGATACTACGCTTGCGTGCCTCTATGTTCCGGAGATGTACACACGAGCGCTCTTTAGGTGCACCTGTCATGGAACCTGGGGGCAGGCAGCGCTGAAGAGCCGTCAGGCCATGGACCGCCATGTTCGAGGACTTCAGCTGGGGCATATGTCGAACGGCGTAGCCTTGTTGTTGAGGACGAACTTCGCCCTTGACGTGCGTAACCATCTGGTAGACCCGGCCATGATCCTCGACTTCAAGCAGCTTTTCGACGAGGACTCCACCAGATCCACAAATACCGTACAGATCGTGACGGATCAGGTCGGCAATCATCAAGTTTTCTGCCATCTCTTTTGTAGTACCCAGGATTTCACGGGCTTTCTCCATGGTCATCTCGGGTGATTTCCGGACTGTGCCTTTCATCGGCTTCATTTCCAGCATGGACTCACGATCCCAGTTGAGGAAACATTCAGGGCTACTGCTGACCACCTTCGCATGACCGAGGTCTGCAAATGCGCTAAATGCAGCTGGATTATATTTCCTCAGCTTTTTGTATAGCTTCCAAGGAAACACGGCTCTATCGGCTTCCGTCGTTGGGGTGGGCAGGTTGATTGATGTCTCGGAGGTAAGACACAGTTCGTAAGATTCACCGGCTTCCAATTCAGCTTTGCAAGCCTCGATTTGTCGTTTGTAGGTTGCTTCTTCGGGGAAAGTAATGTGGCCATCCCGAAGAATGGAATCCAAAAATTCCGTATCGGCATTTTCACTACTCTCAACAACTCCAGAGCGCTTCTCTAGAAGCTGTAATGTCTCGTCGAGCCAACCATATGGTAGGTCATCGGACTCACAGGTGGACTGCACAACGATCCCGCCGGTGGTATTGTCGACAATGATGCTCCTTTCACACCACAGCAAACTGATATCGGACGGATTCTGTTCAGCGAGGTCGGCTGGCGAGGTACTTGCCCAGCTTTCACCAGATGCAGGTGATTGCGCAGATCCTTTAGGATGGGAGAGGCAAGCCAGACCCAGCTCGTAGGAGAAGTATCCTAAGAAGCCACCCCAGAACGGAACCTGAGTACATCCCCAGTTGACCTTCTTCATTTCCATCAAGTAACGGAGAGCATCCCAAACTTGAGCAACCGTGAGAGAATCCTCAACTGTTTGGCGACCACCGCCGACTTGGTGTAGAACTAGTTTCTGAAGCTCAACTTCGAACTCGAGTCTCCAGGAGCCAGGACTGGGCACCGAGATGATGTTGTATCGTCCGTTTGACTGAAAAAGCACAGTCGGTGCTCCTGGCCGGTTGAAAACTTCGCTGATAGATTCGGCAGTCCAATTGCCCCCATTGAGAGCCCGGTATGCCGAACGCGTTGAGGTTGATGAGCTCCATTTTAACATTTCATATGCGACGTTAGGGAAACATTTCGTGTCTTCGTGTGGGGTGATGATCGTTTCAGCAAGTACCGCGTACCCCCCACGCCCAACGGTCTTGTTGAACGTAAGAGCCTTCCGCCACCAGTTGAGAAGCAACTTTTTGCACGCATCCCTTTCTGATTTGCATGACTCCGGATGGAATTGAACACCCCAGAATGGCTTTTGGCGATGAGAAACTGCCATTGGGATTTGAGTGCATGGGCCCGGCCCTTTCTCGAGAGATAGCCACGCCAAGAATTCGAGATCGTCTGACGGCAGACCCCGCGATCTGCTCAAGGCATCCAAATCAGCGTAGAGCGAGTGATACAACGTAACCTCCACATCGGAGAGGCCGTCGAATATATCCTTCGACGCCGTCGATATGTGGCGGACCTGGCCATGGAGTGGGTAGGGCAGACGCTCAATCGGAACACCATAGTGTAGACACAAACTCTGGAAACCCAGACAGATGCCGAAAACCGGCAAGAGTTCGGCATCCCGGAGATTCCAGATATCCCGCATGATACCGACATCCTTGGACAAATTAGGATTTCCAGGGCCGGGTCCGAGAACGATCGCCTCATAGTGTCGGAGAAACTCGTGCATGTTGCCGTCAGGCCAGTCTGAGTCAATTGTCATCACGGTGACCTTGACGCCGAGCGTCTCCTCGAGCATCGCGACCACATTGTAGGAAAACGAGTCGTACGCATCGACGTAGAGAATGCTTTTCAGAGAGACGGAGTCGCTGCCTGACTGATGTGGTGATTTGGGAGCTTCTCCATCCCAACTGCCTAGCAGCGGCGCCATAATGGGATGTCTTTGGAGTGACCAGGAGGCACTGGCGCCAGAGAAACACACACACACACCAGGGCAGCCGGGGAACCGTTGGTCGGTATAAGAGCTGCTAGCTCCGGTGCTGCGCTGGATAGCTCCGGCTATTAACTTTTTCGTGGCGCTTTACCAACCCGAATCAGACATGTCCTAATTGGGGGTTCGGAGGGTGGCAAGTGTCAGTCTTTCTCGGCACGACGCCCCAGGCGTTGTAGGCTCAAGCAAGCAGAATCAGCACCGCATCATGTAGTCGGCGGGCGAGGATGGGATGCAAGTATTCAAAGTAGCCAACAATGTGTTGTGCAGAATTTGATATCGTGTGGTTGTAAGGGGAGGAAAATTAAGGTTGCGATGCAGGCAAAAAGCGGGTACCGCCGGAAAACGGATGGAGACATTCGGGTGGCGACGCCGCTCGAGAGATTTATCGGGATCGCGATCTACAGACAGCTTCACGTATATATATGATCATATTGGTAGAGCAGAGGGTATCCAACATTGCTTAGGTACAACATGCCGGATCATTCAACAAATTACGGACTAGGCGCTTGCGCGGGAGCAGCTGCCGGAAGAGTGGCGAGCTTGGCGGCCACCCTAGGGAAATACTGGGCCACGAAGCCTTCGGTGTAGTAGCTGTGCGCGGAGCTATGGTCGCCCACAAGATTGTGGGCCAGTTCGTGACACAGAATCACCCACCAGTATACAATCGCATCGGTACGGTCTGGGTTCGCGCTTTGGAGGAGCGATTGCTCCTGCAACTGCTGGAAATAGAAGAAATTGCAGAAGATGCTGCCGGCCCGGTTGAAGGCGATGGTCTTGCCCCCAGGATCGTAGAAGATGCTCAAGCTGTCGGCACGCATTGAGAATATGGAGCCGCAATCCAGGAGAACTGATGCGAACAGATTGATACTGGCTCGGTGGTTTGCCAGGAATGCAGACCGATCGGTGATGGTCCTAACAAACAATACATTGACACCGCTAGGAAGGGTGGCCACAAATTCCAAATCGTGGCTCGGTCGTTCATCACAGTAAGACTTGCTTTCCGAGATTTGATTTGTCTCCGGCCGGCTGTACACGTCGGATGATCCATGGGGTTGACAGGCCTGGACGGCCGACAGGAGTTGCTGATTCAATCGATGCGGAGAACTTACAGAAACCGGCTGCTCCGGGCGTTGGTTCGGGGGATCTGAGGAAGAATACGGCGGTGGCGGAGGCGTGGAAGGCTCGGGGAGCAAAGGGCGAGACTGCTCGTTCACGCCAGAGGTTGAGCCTGATGTGTTTTTGTCCAGGCCAAATCGTTTTGAGAGGTTTGCGAACAAGCCGCGAGGCGTCCTCTCGGGGATGAGAGGTTCCGAGGGCGTTGGGTGTCTCTCATCCACAGAGGTCTTGCCGTTAGGTGACTCAGGAAAGACCCCAGGCATAACGGACTGTGATTTCGACTCAGGCTTCTCTTCTTGGGCTCGCTGCGCTTGAGCCTCAGCCCAGGCGGCTTCTTTCTCTTGCAAGGCCTGCCTTTCCTCCTCCACCTGCTTTTGCCGTTTGTCCTCTGCCATTCGGGCCTCTTGTGCCTTTTGTCGGAGGATGCGCTCCACATTGTAGCCACGAGCACGGAGTTCGAGGAGATCAGTCTTCAACAGCATTTCCAGAGTCAGGGTGGAGTGGAGCTTTGGCCGTTTGAGGATCAGATGGACGAGAGATTGACTGATTTCATACAGATCATATTTGCCCGGACAGATGCACAACCCCCAGTTGCTCGCCAATCGAGCCGCAATCGCACTTCGCTTCTGGGTGTGAGATGCCCGTCGACCCTTCAAGGAACGTGTAAGTGTGATCGAGTTGACCACTTGCACGGCAAAACTGGTCTCCAACCATCTCGCTCCATGCTGAATTGAGTCCGCAGGTTGATCATGCAGGAATAGCCGTGCACGTTCGATGATAACTTTATGCAACTTGACGCCCAAACTCTGATCAGCCGCGATGCCGCCAAATCGTGCCTGTTCCTCAACAAGACTGCTCAGGGGAACGGCGCCGAGAGCCACATAGAAATTCTCGAGAGCCTCCTCTTGTGGCGCAGCAAAAATATGCTCTTTGAAGAGATTGAAGCTTTGGAAGTCATCCACAACCACAATATCTTTCGCAGCCGAGAGACTCCATTCTCTGATATCCAGATCTTCGTCCGCATTCGGGATCTCTTTCAGGCTCAATCTGGCCATGCCATTCTGTGCTGTGGCCTGGGGAGGAATGTCACGACTGGCCAGCAAAAATTTGGCCCTTTTCATCTCATTAAACAGATCTCGGTCCTTTTTGAGGACAGTGAGATGCTCGGCAAGAGTTCGTAGAAGCATCAGATATTTATCAGAGCTCTGGAATGCCGCCGAAATACGAGCGGGCTCCTTGACCAACATGCGGGCGATCTCAGTCTTGGTCGGTTCTCGCCTCGAGCCCACAGCCATGAGGAAGAGGTTAGCGTCTCGCCCAAAGTCAACAAAATCAAAAATGTCTTTGTAATCCTCTCCGTCACCAAGATAGCAAAGTTGCGGCGCAACAAAGCGCGTGCGGGGGGCCTTTTCCGTTTGACTGTTTGTGGAAACTGGAACAATCGGTGCATTTCCAACCCGTTCGATATCCTGGGGACTCAAATCCGACACTCTACCTGCCAGATATTTGAAAATCACCCTAGCATCCCTTTGGGTCGCCGAAGGCTGGCGAACAAGAATCTGAAGACAGTCCGACATGGGAGGATGAGGTTTGACCCCTAATTTGGAGGCATGTGGATGCAGTCGTTTTTGCAGAATGCTGAAGCCAAACAACGACGCACCTTCGTCGGTGAAGCACTTCTTTGGCGTGCTAAGTCTCTCCGAGCCTTCAACTGGAAGAAAGGGCACGGTGACTGCACTGATGTCAAACGAATCATATCCATTGGTATGGTATTCGTTGAGGAAGTAAGTCAAGGCCTTGCTCTTTCGACCGGAATCCTTCTCCGAATCGCTCAATACCATGAGCCGGATGAGTTCAGACCCGGATGGATAGCTCTTTAACCCCATCATCGTGAGAAATTTGCCTTCCTTGCTGGAGTTGTCGTATATACCAGGCCAGTCGATGATAGGGAGACCCAACGTACGAAGAGAGTCCTTGGGCTCAAACAATTCCGAAATCTTGTAGCGAGTGCCTCGGCTTTCACCATCATTCTCAGAGGTGCAAATGCTTGTGTCCTTAAGTCTTTGAATATCATTGGAAGGAATGTCCTCGCGCACAGATGTCAGATAGCGGATGAGATCCACATGGTTCCATCTCCTGGTCGGGGGCCCTTTTGCGTCGACAGGTTCAGGTGTATTTATCAGACGATCAAATATAACGCCAAGCTCAACGGTCTTGCGAACGCCAAGTGACACCAAGAATTTCTCCTTAACACCATTAAGGCCATGCACGACCGGGAGGTCATCAAAAAGGCGTACAGAGGCAAAATAAGTCTGTGTGGGTTGCTTCATGCCAAATTTGGTCGGGATCACTGTTTGACCTTGCAGGGTATCGATTACTTGTTGCTTCGAAGAGGAGCTCAGGCTTTCCCACTGCTTGGACAAAACGGGTAAGACTTGGCCAGCAAATGCGGCGCTTTTCAAGATGTTTTGGTCTTTCTCAAAAAGACTCTCATCTCTAGCATTTTTCACCAGCCAACGGAGCCAGGGAACAATTTGCAGCTCAACCCAGCCTAACGCTTCCAGCTCCTGTTTACTCAAATTTTTGGTGAACTGGAAGGGCATCACCGATGATGGCACAGGCAAATCAGCCGGAACGCGCTGAGGGTTCAAGAACCCTATAATGTCGGCAAACACAATCAACCGTGTAGGGCGACCTTCTTTGTCTTCATCATTCGCCACTGCAACTCGCAGGAGGCTTTGGACTGAAAGCCTGTCAAGCTGCCCGGTAACAATCTTTCGACCCAGCCAGGTCAGAAACTCCATGATCTGATTGGATCGTAATGTGCTGGACTCTAATTCACGCTTGATGTCAGACACTGTGATTTCTGTGACTAATCCAAAGTCTGTTAATCTCTGAACAAAGTCCTTGGCATTGAGCACAAGTTCATCAGGCAAAGCTGGAATCGAATCCATAAAGCTGAGATCTTTGGGAGCAATGCGTGTCTGGTGGCTGGGGATGACACCGCATGTAGATAGAACCTCGATGGAGGCATTTTTGTTGCACATCCAGAACGCATCCTCAATTGTTTGTCCAAGGACTGAAGACGGTGTAGATTCGCGGAAGACAAACTGATTTGCTGTATGAATAGCCTCCGGTAGAACATCCACAATGTCTTCTTTTCGGATATTTGAAGAGCGGGCCGGGCCAACTTTGGCCGCCAGCTTGGACTTGATGGTACTCATCTCTGCAGACCAGGCAATCCGACAGACAACACCGACGGCCCGTAGCATTTCAAGATTCCATTTACTGATATATCGAGTGTTAAGGTCGATACTTTCACGCTCGACTGTAGGGATCACTGATGGGGCGGACACGTGAGCATTGAGGCCCGTTGTCTGTTGGGTCGGGAAGCCGATAAAGATCCTTCCTGCTTTTGTGGGTAGAATGGAGGCAAGAATCTCGGACTGCGATTCGGACGCGCCTGTTGCAATGTTGGCATCATAGGACGGGGTCAATATGGCAATAGTTGCTCGTTTTGGAGGCGGCTTCCGCGTAGCCCGTTCAAGCTCTTTGCTCAGGGAACTACTAATTGAAGGTTGGATGGATGCAGTATTAATATGCAAAAACACGGTTGCCTTCAGCATTGCGGTCATATTAGTGGTCTCGTCGGGCTTCTCAGCTTGCTGGGTATTCCCGGGCTTCTCAGGTCCACCTTGGCCGGTGAATTTCGAAAAGAAGCTGCGAAGCGAACTTGTAGTATCTCGAAGGTTATCGAGACGGAACATGCTTGCATGGGGGTTCCACTCCACGATTCGCATCCAAGCAGCATCGACTTGTGCGATCTCCTGGGTGATGCTGGTCACTTTCATGAGACCTTCAGCGGTTTTTGTTTCAACGTCTTTGGGAATGGGCACAGTGACGCCAGGTGCTGTCTTCTTCGACAGTCGTAGCAAGTTCCAATCATCCAGCCACAATTCTATCTCTTCTAACGCAACGAACGTCAAACTGCTGGACAAGAACTGGCACAGCTGCATCAAAGATGGAACTGGAGAGGAGTCGTTGCGGTAATCCAGCACGAAGGTTGTGTCTCGGTTTGAAGTTTCACCCAAGTCTAACCGACGAGTAAACAACGCATTGCCTTTCCAGTAAAAAGCCATAGCCTGGCTCCCCGATGATACAAATGGCTCCTCGCAGTCATCAAATACACTGTAGAAGCCAACACCGAATGCACCAATCTTTGTCTCGTCCGGGTTTCCATCGGCGATGCGCTTCAACCTAGCCCAGTCCTTTTCGCTGAAAGGGAGACCATTGTTTGAGATCAACAGACGACTGAGGGTATGGTTCGAGATAGTGTGCTTCAAGAGATCTGTTGGATCCGTCGACGATGGGGACGGTATTGTTGTGGAAGGTAGTGTCTCGAATTTAATAGTCACTTTGGTTGCAGAAGCATCGGCTGCGTTCTGAATCATCTCGCGCAAAACCGTCCTAAAATCCGTTCATTAGCATCTTCCAAAAGGAAAGATGCCAACAACAAGGAGTCTTCAAGAGGCTTACCATTTCCCGGAATATCGAGCAAGAACTTTAGAGATTAAGCCTCGAGTATCAACCGTCACTGCTTCTTCATCCGCCCCAGACCCCATGGTCCGCGCTTTCAGCGCGTTAAAATCTGTGTTCAAAGCCATCTTGAAGTCTATTGCCGGACTCTGTGTCTAGAATGTAGCTATATCGAGTCCGATGGTGTAAGCAAAGCTGTGCATGAAAGGAGACGTCTAAGCCATCTTCGGCGTGTAAACAAGCTCGCGGGCGGTCTAGGTTGTAAGGTAAATAACAGATAGAACAGAGTGATTGTGCCGCGGTAAGCAAATCCGGGTCAAGGAGCGATATGACGAGCACGCTTTCGAAGCCAAAGAAATGACAGGTAAGAGAGACGCGCAACTCGGAGACTGCGGAGGCCGGCCGCCTTATCGCCCCGGCGTGGGAGCTTATCGGGGCTTAGCTCAGCTCTTCTTACCTAATCATGATTGTTTCCATCGCGGCTTCAGGAGCCTTCGCGGAGTAGATTTCCTCGGTCGAGCTCAAGTCGCTCGCTGCTCTCGCGGGTAGTCTTGTCACTGCAGTCATTTCGTCTTGAAAATATCCCCTTTTCCCGTTCCCATCCTCTGAACGGGCGCCGTCTGGAAGCTGGGCCGGTTGTGTGTTGTGGATGCGGGCCTAATAACTACCGTCAACCGCCTACTTCTGCCCCGTCCTCCCTCAAATGACAGAATGGGAGTCGATCCGCTGTCTCCAATTGCGCCAGTGCGCCTTCGGGCGCTGCTGCTCCCAATCGGCAAGATCAAGCGCTCACGATTCTTGGGCTTCGCCGCTAGACTTCAAGCCGAGAATGTGGTTCGGCTAGGGGACATCAGTCCCGACTCTCGTCCAAACCGAAGTACGCAATGACTCTCACAATGCCACATGGGTTGAGAATAAACGATGCGCCTGGACTGGAAGCTAACTCTTCTATCTTATAGATATGTTCTCTCCGCTTGCGTTCCCCACCGGAATGATCCTCTATGACCTGTCCTTCTCCGTTCCTCCCACATCACACCTCGAGCTCTTTCCATTCGAAAGTTACAGAGAACCGCTGGTCATTATTGCCATAGCCGATGGAACGGAGCTACCTCAAAGCTCGGAGGCGACGGAGAAGCATCCCACGCCGGAGGGGCTAGAGCTGTTGCGAGAGGAGCTCGATACGGTGAAGGAGAGGAACCCGCGGGCATTGGTGAACCAGCTTCTAGTCTTCGACTACGAGGGCCTTGACAAACTCACCAATGGCCCGGAAAATGTGCTTTGGGTTCCCCGGCCGGAGGCGTCCAAGGCCACCACCATGAAAACCGTTCTGTGCGATATCACCTCCGTCTTGCTATCCGAGCTGGATGGATTCGCCAAGACAATTCAGAATATCCCGTCGATAGAGTCGCCCAAAGCCTCATCGTGGGGCCCACATAGAAACCCAGAATTGCGGCCGCGACCCGTGGACCGACTGCTGAATCGGATGACTATGCCTGCCCAGCTGCCATCGAACCCCAATGGTGCGCCACCAGAAACACCGTTGAGCTCCAATGCCCCCTCTCCAGCTCCTAGCGACCATGAAACACCCACAACATTCGACGAGATAACTCGATCTATCCATCTATCGCGCACGAGTTCCGGCACCAAAAGCCCTTCGGTAACGTCTCCCAAGGAACATAGCCGGGATCGCATGTCTGTCAGCGGCTTGAGTGCCACCGACAGAACCAAAAATCGCATTAAGGGTCGGTCTGGGGTCGTCATTGGTACCCTGTTCCTGCAGGCAGGAAGGTGGCCTGATGCCCTCAAGGAGCTCGTTGAAGCGGCCAACAATGCACGGGCTGGTAGCGACTATGTCTGGCATGGCAAGGCGCTAGAAAATATTCTTCTATGCCTGCTAATGCTCGCATGGGCCGGCATGGATTTCCAAATTCCTCCGGTTCTCTATCCGGTTGCCGACAAGGCTTCCAAAGCAGTGAGGGACGCAATCCAAACGCCATCTGCGGCCGGAAACCGCATGGTCTCCCTCCAGAACCTTGCCAACCTTTTGCCCGACCTTTCAAACACAATTTTGAATCTCTACACTCGTGCAGCCAATATAACGGACGAGCCTCTTCCTCAATTAGTGTTCTCGGAAACGGTGATTCGGTTATCGAGGCTGATGGTATCTGCTCGCATTCGGGACGGTGGGCTTGATGACAATGCTCTGAACCACATTGTGATGAACGAGCCTTTGGTTCCTTTGCATCAACCAGAGCTTCCTCGCGGGACAGTCGTGCTTCGCAAGACTGAGATCGCCAACTACCTATACCGGGCTCTCCCACTTGCCCCAGGCGCCGACTTACCTGCTACCGATGCTGTGCCCATCATAGTCGGTGTCATTTCTGTCCTTAATGCTCTCGACCTACCGCGCAAAAAGGCCTTTGTCTTGCGCGAGCTCCTCGCTGTAATGGTACCCAGTCTTGTGCAAGCCCGCAAAATCGGTGCCGCAGAGGTTGGTATCCATCCCGCCGCTGGACTGGCATCCCTCAGTGACACCGCGTTCGATGTCAATGCTCTAGATGTTGGTCCGGGCAACATGGAAACAAGTGTGCGTCTGCTTCTTACTTCAATAGGCGAGACTTATGGAGTTCAACCCTCGGCATTCTACGAATGGGAGAAGCGACAGAGTCAGGCCTCCATTTCGGATGGCTCCCAAGAGTGTCCTGAGTACGATTCGATTGCGGGTATTGCAGAACGCTCGTTCCGACATGTTGTCCTTGATAGATATGGCGATTTAAACCTCAAGATCGATGTTCTCAAAGCCTGTATCAACTGCTGCGAAGCACTTCCTGACTTTAACGGTGTACTTCGCTTCACAGTCGAGCTTTTGCAGACTATCCGAGGGGATCTGATGCTTAATGAAGCTCACAGAAAACCACCGTATCTGCCGCAAGATGAGCAAGTCCGTCTGTTAAACAATATCAAGCGCACGGTAGGGGCTGGAAACCGGCTGGGTGCGGCCAACATGGCTGCTGAATACTGGGATGACTTCCTTGTCCGCGACGTTCAGTTGCTGATCTTGCCAGAGCCTAGAAGACCCGTCCGCCGGTCTAAGACTGAGCTGGATGCAGTAACTACGAGTACCGAAAAGTCAAAGAAGGATCCTTTCCTATACAACCCATTCGCTAAGCCCAGCAGCAAGGCTTTGGAGGTTCTTTCCGTGACAGATGAGCCTGCCTCCTTCCGAGTCACTCTTCAGAACCCCTATGAGTTTGAGATGGAGATCGAACACCTGCGGCTAGAAAGCGAGGGCGTGAACTTTGAGGCTGTGGCGGAGAACATCATTCTTCCTCCACTATGTCTGCAGGATATCATTGTGCTTGGCACCGCGCACGAAGAAGGGAGCCTCACGATTTCCGGATGTATTGTTAAAGTGCGGCATTGTCGTATGCGAAGATTCCCTATTTTCAAGACCTTATGGAGGCCTGGACCGGAACTCAAGTTCAAGCGAACAGGGCTGTCTGCAAAGAAACCCCTCAATGACCGCCCGGTGTCCTGGAGCTCGACTACATCCAAAGATGGGAAGATCTCGGCGAAGAAGGGCCCAGAAGCTGAAACCCTTCAGGTCAAGGTTATCGGCAAACAACCCTCTCTTCTGATCGAGTCCATGTCGCTCTCGCAGTCGGCAATGATGGTTCTCGAAGGGGAAGTCAAGTCATTTTCCATCACACTTCAAAATACATCGTCGTGCCCGGTGGACTTCGTATTGTTCACCTTCCAGGATTCGACGACTCGCCAGCTTCAAGCGGCTCTCAGGAACAAGGATTTGCTTCCTGTTGAGATCTATGAGCTAGAGCTGAAACTGGCCACTCAGCCAGCCTTGAAATGGCGCAGAGAGGGCCCGCAGTCGGATGATTGGAATATTCCACCCGGCCAGCAGGCTACATTTACCGTTGACGTGCTGGGCAAGCCTGGCCTGCAAGATACGACGGTGCAAATCGACTACTCGTACCTGAAGAGCAAGCAAGGAGATCTACCCGAAGTGTTTTACACACGGCAATTGTTCGTTCCGCTGACTGTCACGGTAAATGCGAGTGTTGAAGTTGCTCGTTGTGATATCTTCCCATTCAGCGGTGATTTTGCCTGGAAGAACCATCTTGATGCCCCCTCCGACTCAACAAACACGTTCGACTCCCCCTTATCTGCGACCGAAAAAGACCCATTCTCTCAGATTCTCTCTCGGCTCGGCAATGGGGCATATGGACCAGATCACTGCATTGTGCTACTCGACCTCCGCAATGCGTGGCCAAGTCCTCTATCGGTCTGGCTACGTGTGAGCGAGCACTCCATTTTGCATGCTCCCAATTCATTCAAGCATGACAGCAAGGGCCAATACTCTGTCGATGGCCACCTCCAACCGGGCCAGGTTTCGCGCTTTGTCCTCGTTTTGCCCCGCGTCTACCTAGATAACCCATATGCAAGCATCCCCGTCGTCAACACGGGTACCCGTCGCCAGTTCGTTGTCAGTGCCAATAAGCTCACCTTCGAGGCGGAAGCAGCCTCGCGGGAGGCATTCTGGTTCCGCGAAGAGCTTCTCAAACGCGTTCTCGGAGGCTGGTCTGAGCCCGCTACCGGCCGCGAGGGATCCATCGACCTACGCAACATCCGTCTGAATACCCGCATGGTGGAGGCCATGCGTCTTGAGGACGTCGAGATCTCGTTCTTCCTAGGCTCGTCTTCCAAGGATGATTCCTCCGCAGTTGACCAAACGGGCCGCTCGCGCTTCCGTGCCCAGACAGACGACCTCCTAACTCTCTCCGTCACCGTTCGCAACCGTTCCTCGCGTCCCATCCACCCCCTCCTCCGCCTTCGACCTAGCCTGCGCCACCAGCCAAGCAACATCGCGCTGGACCTTACGCGTCGCCTCGCATGGACTGGCATGCTGCAGCAGGCCCTCCCTATCCTCCAACCCGGAGAATCTACCCAAGCGTCCATTGGCCTGACAGTGTTCTGCCGCGGCGAGTACGAGTTCGGCGCAAGCGTCGAGGAAGCGCGACTCCTGCGGCAGTTTGGCGAAGACGGCAAGGAGGAAGATGCCTATGCCGCTACCCGGTTCCTTGAAGATGGTATCATGGATACATTTGGCGCGGACGTGGTGAGACGCCGCCGCATCTGGCATGCAAAGGAGACCTGTGTCATCCATGTTCGTGAGTAAGATCTTCCCGGTGTCTTTTATGATGATGCTTCCCCTATGTGTTTTCAACCTTCATGGTATATAGAGCCTGTTTTTCTTCTTCATGTCATGTATGTCTCGACAAGCCTAATGTGATGAATGGGTCATGTCTCCTCTTCTATACTTTTCCACATACTATTAGCGTGGTACATATACTTCTTGATGAATCAATTGTCCTAAATTTACAGCAAAGGAATGATGAGTCTTGAGGTATTTCCTGGGGCATTGATTGCCTTGGCTCTATACTAGCTAGGCTAGCTATGCCAGTTCACTGTCTTTGTGGCGCTGGTTTATCATGTTAAATACTATGCATCCGCTCTTGAATGATCACCCTTACTGGTATACAACATAGGGCGCCGGCCATATACATGGGGGACCGAGTCAACAGAAAAGAGGTCCCTCTGGGTGCTCGGGCAAAGCGGCCCTGTGACGAGTGGAGTGGCGGCCGTGGAAACTTGGTCTGCCTACTATCTCCCATGGCGAGGTATCAGACTGCAAGGCATGGCAAACGCTTGAAATGGTGGGAGGAGGACTCTTGGCGAAGTTCCATTCTGCCTGGCAAGTGCAAAGTCAAGCCAGACAGTAATAATGATTCCGCGGCGTTTCACCCTGTTCCACCTTCGGTCCCTTCTGCCGGCATGGACTTACCTCTGGCCCCCGCAGCTGGCTGCGGCTCTCCCAATGGAAAGCTGAGATGCTTCCAGTCCTCGATTTCCTCGATGATGCACTTCAGCCGGTCCCGAATACTTTCGACCGCATAAGTTCCCAGGATGAGACGAAGCGGCGGATAAGAACAGTGCCCAAGCTCCCAGACAAGATGCGCAGCCTTAACCGCAGAAGCAGGCTGCTTGTCCCCAAGCCACATCAGCATGCGCCGAGCATGCGCCGCAGGTGATGTCGGTGTATTATACGGCTCGCTGGGCGGCTTCACCAAGAAATGCCCGTACAGCGGCAGCGGCGACGAGAGATTGTGCTCGGACGGATTCGCAGCCATGAAAGAAGGCGAGACCAAATCGCCAATGTCATCACGGCGCATATGCCCCGGCTCAACCAGCGTCCCTTTGATATTAAAGCTATCCACCTCATAAAGCATACTCTCCATCAGCCCCTCAACGGCATACTTGGACGCACAGTACGGCCCCAACCCTGGCACGCCCAGCGCGCCAGAAGTCGAGCTGAAAATCAGATACCGGCCCGCACGCCGCTCCCGGAAATGCGGCAGTGACAGCTGGATCATATTCAACGTCCCTGTGAAGTTTGTCTCGAACTGGTTGCGGATGTCGAACTCGTCCTGGTCCTCACAGGCGCCGATCACGCCGTAGCCGGAGCAATTGGCGATCACGTCGATGCGCCCGAAGCGTGCGATAGTCTGCTCGATGACGCGCTTGACGGTGTCGCGGGCGCGCACGTCGCAGAGCAGCCCGAGGCAGTTCTCGTGTTCGTCTTCGAGCTCTTTCATGCATTCGGGGCTGTTTTCGTATGTGCGGCCGACGGCGGCGACGAGGTCGTTGCGTGATAGGGCGCTCTTCACCAGCGAGCGGCCCATGTGACCTGTTGCTCCGAAAATCTATAAGAAACAAACAGAAGGTGTTAGTAACTGCGGAGCTGGGTGATTCTCTGCGCGGAATTCAGATTGCGCAGGAGCTGTGAAGTGGGGGAGCGCTTACTAGCCAGACGAGAGGCTTCGGGGGGTTCTGCGGGCCAGGGGGGTCAGTCGTGGATGGGAGATGCAGTCGTGGCTCGCGAGAAGCTATTGGAGATGTGGGCCCGCCTCTCGGAGGGGAATATTGCTCCATTGCGCGCGGAGTTGGATGTGTTGAGGAAGCGAGGGAGCGCAGTCGGCGGTGGAAATCTCGCTATTGTTCTCCGCATTGTCTGGGGTCTGCGACCCACTTTTATCCCTCTCTCAAACTAGTTCAGAACTCTCGGCAACTACGAGAATATCGGAGTGTTTCAGCAGACTATGTGAATAACGGTATCATATATTATGAAGCTCCAAAGTACTCCTGCAGCACATATTTGCCCATTACCTAGCGCCCAACCTCCCGACGTAGCCGTCCCGCAGCTGTCGATGGGCCGGGCTCTGGCCAGCTACCAACAGCGTCGTCGACTTCCTCTAGGAAAGTAGTACTGTTATGAACACAAGTACCGCCCAGAACGACACGCACGCCCGGCGAGCTGGCATTGACCTGCGCGACCATTTTGGCCTCTTCGTAGGTCGTGCCGCCGACCATGAAGATGATGATATCCTGGGGTTTGTCCCGGGTGTGCCCGCTGCCTTCGAGGAATGGGTATTGCAGCTCCTTCAGACGCCCTTTGATCAAGTTTTGTAGCGTCACCTCCAATCGTGGGGAATGTTGGGTGTAGACGTTCTCGACGCCCTTGAGGCCCTTGAATCGATCTCGGGCGCCAGAAAAGAATGAGGTTGATTCGAACAGGTCGGTGAATCCCCCGGCCACCGGTGGCGCTTGAAGAGAGTGGTGATAGGCGAGGAGCTTAGGAATGGTATTGACGCGGTTGGAGGGGACGTCGCCGGCTGTGACGAGGAGGTCAAGCAGGATAGGGAGGGCATTGTTAGGTTGATTCTCATAGCGGAGCGCATAGAGGGCTACCAGTCGGATCTTGCTCTCTGCTGGAACATTCGGTAGCTGTATAATTCGTTGAAGTGACTAAGAGTTTGGAGTGAGTACAGAGAGCAAGCAAAAACGCAAGGAAATGGAACATACCTTGAGGTCATTGGAGTGGCTATCACTGCAGGCCAAGCTCTGCTCCAACTCACTCACATCTAACAAACTATCTTCGCTGACACGCCGACTCAGTTCACCCACCAGAGTGACGTGTTTGCTCACGTTACCAGAGAGCTTGCGGAACTCTGGATAATCCTCCACAAACCGCTTCATATCGGCGATGGAATCAATGTTCATATTGTTCTGCGTCTTGACCTGATATTGCTCCACATATTCCTTGATGTTCTGGCCCAGATCACCAAAGTTCTGATACATGTTCTTCTTGAAGAAAGGGTCTTGGTCCTGGGATAGAACGATCTCCTGAAGTTCTGGCCGGATCTCCGGCACATCGCGGAGATCCACTCGTCCATTATTGATGCCAAGGAGCTCGTGCACCATAGCCTGATATGTCCATTGTGAAAGCAGCGGTGTAATGGGGTCATCACGACGATCCAGAATAAGCAGGATGGGTGGCGTGTCCGTCCGGCGGAAATTAAACAACTGCTCCTCCTGCGTGATATGGTATCGAACTTCCGTCGCCAGTTTCCGGGCCAAGAGACTGTTCTTCTCATACCGGATCAACGGGTTCTTCTTCAGTGATAGCAGCAGAGCCAGGACTCCTTCGGTGGCCCGCTGCAACGAGTCCGGATTCCATAGATCGGGCGAATGGCTCCACAGCCGGGACAACGGGAATCCCAGGTTCAGAGTGCACAGGTCTGGATTGATCACGAGGAAGTCGGCGAATTGTTCCTGCACGCATTGCACGACCTCGTGGCTGTCCGCCTCGGCCAGTCGCTCGAGGGATGACTTGCGGATGATGTTGCTCAGGTAGATGTAATATTCGCCGTACTTGGGTTCTCGAAGCTCGTCGATAAGAAGCTGCATGGAGTTCGGGGAGGGGCGCACGAAGCACAGACATCGCAGGTGGCGCATCTTCTCGCGCGCGGTGTTGTCCAAGCGGTCAATCAGGTAGACTTCATGGTTGAGGAGGGCGGATTGGGTGATGGCAGTTGAGACAATGGATACCTGGGTCGTCAAGGGTTAGTCTATCAGGTCCGACGATGGGTTATTCAAGCGCAAGTCCCACTGTCTCACTATCCAGAAGCAGGATTTTCATCTTGGTGGATGACGACCCTGAGGCCGACTCGCCGGCCGTCACCATCTTGGAGATGTAGCCCGAGACGGCCGCGACGACGTCCATGGTGAAATGGGATGCGCCCAGGCGCGGCGATCAAGCGATCAAGGAGGAGAAAGGAGGAGGAGGAAAGCCGACGCAGTTTGCAGCTGATTCGGGGTGGTGTCGTGACCGCGGGGGACGGTGGAGAAGGTGAGGTGGTTGAATGTCGGGCGCGTCCGCTTTCCCACATGACATCTTCACCGTTGACCTCTTGACATCTTTTTTGCTCCGCTCTTTTCTTTCTTTTCATAGCTCGCATGCAGTGTTTTCCCCCCTGAACTCCCTTCGATCTAGGTCGACACCATGTTACCCTATGTGGATGCCTGTTCGTACTTCCATATCCCCCTCATGGAGCTACCAGAGCTCCCTGACCTCGGACTGACCTCTCCGCAGTGTTTGGCTACCCTGCTCAGCTTACAGGCGCATCGGTGGATGAGCGTAAGTATTCTTTCCCTCCAGCCACAGCTTCAAGATCTAGAGCTTCTAACTCCTCTCCCCAGTCAAACTGATCACCTCGTTCCTGCTTTCCTATCCGCTCGCCGCCCTACTGAAACGCATCCCCGACGCCCAGCCCTGGAAGAAGAATGCATTTATTATCGGCGCCTCGCTCTTCTACGTCGTCGGCCTTTTCGACCTCTGGGATGGCCTGCGCACACTCCTCTACAGCGCAGCTGGCACCTATGCCATTGCATACTACGTTGATGGCTCGCTCATGCCCTGGATAGGATTCGTCTTCCTTATGGGCCACATGTCGATCAGCCATATCTACCGCCAGATCCTCGACGACCCGCAGGTGATCGACATTACGGGAGCACAGATGGTACTAGTCATGAAACTGACCTCATTCTGTTGGAACATCCACGACGGCCGTCTGCCTCAGGAGCAGCTGTCGGACGCTCAGAAGTACTCCGCCGTCCCCGAGTTCCCCGGTATCATTAACTACTTGGGTTACGTCCTGTTCTTCCCATCGCTGTTCGGTGGTCCCTCCTTCGACTATGTGGACTACCGCCGTTGGCTTGACACGACCCTCTTCGACATTCCGCCAGGCACAGACCCGTCCAAGGTTCCTCCGACCAGAAAGAAGCGCAAGATCCCGCGCAGCGGAATTCCGGCCGCAAAGAAGGCCGCCATCGGGTTGGGCTGGATCTTCGCTTTCCTGCAGCTGAGCGGCTATTTCACCAAGGAGTTCGTGCTATCAGACGCCTTCCTGGAGTTCGGCTTCCCACGCCGCGTCTTCACCGTGTACATGCTCGGTTTCGTCACGCGCCTGAAGTACTACGGCGTCTGGTCCCTGACCGAGGGTGCCTGCATTCTCTCTGGCATGGGCTACAACGGCTTCGATGCCACAACCGGCAAGGTCTTCTGGAACCGGCTCGAGAACATCGACCCCTGGAGCCTCGAGACCGCCCAGAATTCGTACACTTACCTCGGCAGCTGGAACAAGAACACGAACCACTGGCTGCGCAACTATGTCTATCTGCGCGTCACACCGAAGGGCAAGAAGCCCGGCTTCCGCGCGAGCATGGCTACCTTTGCAACCAGCGCGCTGTGGCACGGCTTCTACCCGGGCTACTACCTGACCTTCGTGCTGGGCTCATTCATCCAGACCGTGGCAAAGAGTACGCTTCACCATACTCCTAACACAAACTACCAAGCTAATGCCCCATAGACTTCCGCCGTTATGTGCGCCCCTTCTTCCTCACACCCGACGGCACCAAGCCGACACCCAACAAGCGCTACTACGATATCCTCAGCTGGGTAGTAACCCAGCTCACGCTCGGCTTTACCGTCCTCCCCTTCATCATGCTCAGCTTCAAAGACTCAATGACCGTCTGGGCGCGCGTCTACTTCTACGGCGTCGCCGGCACCCTAATCTCCCTCGCGGTCTTCGCCTCCCCGGCAAAGGCGTACCTGGCCGGCCAGTTGAAGCGCCGCAACAGGCCGCACATGCCGCGCACGATGAGCCAGGAAACCGTACGCCCGCCGACGCTGGGCCTGCCGAATGACCCGGAACGCGACTTCGACGAGGCCGTGGCGGAGGTTATGGCCGAAATTGAGGCGCGGAGGCGTCGGGGCAGCGTGGTCTCGGTGCCTACTGGGGAGGAGCTGAAGGTCGCTGTTGAGCAGAAGATCGGGCGGAAACTTTAGGCTTGAATTGAAGTAGTGTGGACTTGGGGTGGTTTTGTATAGATTGGGCGAGTTGTCGAGAAGCTGGACTGATTCCGTTCTGCTCCGCTCTGTGCTGCTGTGTTGTTGATCCCTCTGATATGATTAGAGGAGCGGGGGGGGTAGATTGTTTGTTTTGCTTGTATCTTAGAGCCTAATCTCGACAGTTGTTAATTTTCGGAGGGAACATGCTAGGGTTGGAAAAGTATCTTCTTACGATACACACCATTACGTCCAACAGGGGGCAATTGATGGGTACGGGGCGCAAGCGCGGGTAGCACGCACCATGCTGCATGTGAGGTTACGCGGCCCAAGAAAAATTTTATTATTCAGTTCTTTCCTTGACAGCAGCCTCGGCACGAGTTCACTGTGGTGTAATCAGGCTGCAAAAATCATGGCCATTGAAATTGAATATCGAGTCCAGTACAGAGACCGAGGTAGGAGGTAGAATAGTTGAAGTACAGAAGGCGGAGAACCCAAGTATATCAAACACGAAAAGAAGACGCAACAGAATGAAATAAATTCAACGCACAGATGCATAATACAGGCATGGTATGCCATCAAGGAGACGGAAACTAGTGTAAGGAAATCAAAGGGAAAGTCAAATGTGACATATAACGTCAAGCGTCGGTCGAAGGAATCCCGTCATCAGCCAAAAGCTCGTCTCTGATTACGTCCAACGATGACGGGTCAAGAAGAGGAAGGGGAAAAAACAAAAAAATAAAGAGGAAAGGAAAAGAAAAATGGAAAGGGATGGAAGTGAAGCGGCGAGGGGAAAAATTATGTATGTGCATATAATCGTGTCATATAGTCGTGTCTGATCAATGTCCAGCGAAGCGAAGCATAAACAGCGTCGTGAATGAGATGGTGGAAGTGAATGTAATGAACAGTAGGAGATAGAATGCTGGTATCTGAAGGTGGTCTTGTGGTGGCAATTGAATATTGAGTTGAAGTTGTGTGAGCAGTGGTTAGTTGGTTATTTGGGGGGTCAAGCCAAGTCCCGAAATTGTATAATGGCCAATCAAAAGGGGAATAGCGTGCAAAGATCGAAAATCAAAGAAGACAAGTCAGAAAGTCGAGTCACAACTGGATTGGGTCCAGGCAATTCGAGAGCGAAGACCAAAAGTGAAAAGCGTCGATGGAAAAGAAAGGGCAGTTCGTAAATGTTTTGTGCCGTAAGCAGAGCAGAAATGCCAGGACCAAAATGCAAGATGCAAGATGCGAATCAATTAGAAGCCAGTTGTCGTCCCGATGGCAGCCAACGTGATCTACACCGTGTTAGCACCGTCCAATTTGAGGCTGCAATCCCAGACTCCAGACTCCAAAGATCAGGTGTCTATCAAAGGATGGATGGGCCCAACTCACAATAATCACAATAATCACCACACCGAATGAAACCATCCACCGGTTCAGATTCCGCCACCACCGAGCATTCTCATGCCGCCGATGCTGCAGCCCAAGCATCTGTGACTCAAGCGCCATCTCGACGTCATCGTCGACTTGCAGCATCTCCGGGGTAAGCTTTGGTTTCGGCGGGAGAGGGAGGAACGCGGCGATGATCCAGGCTGTACGGACACCACGTTAGTTCAAATATAGATCTCAATGGCGATACCTATATCGGCGGAACCGTTTGCAGAGGCCTGGAAACCCCCCAACTCAAACTAGAGTCAGGAATGAATGCGTAGCTCACTCACCAAGAGGAAAAATAAATCCCACACAAAAAGAATAAACCTGCACATTCCGTCTGCCAAAAAGCGGCTCGTTCCTCGAATCGAGCGACGGCGCCGTCCAAGCACTCGTCGACCGCGGAATACCCTTGCGATCCGTGTATAAATGCGGCGACCAGCTGTGACGCAGTCGGTGGCGCGGCAAGCCGATCACCTCGGCTTGGTCCTCAGGGTTCGGGACCCAGTGAGCGCGCGGGTCGAGAGGGTCGCTTTCGATACGGCGCTGGGCGAAGCGGACGCGCTCCGGGCGGCAGGGGAGGGCTGCACGTGCGATTTCAGGCCGTTTCGCTTCCGACCGTTCAGATTCAGAAGAGGCCACGCGCGGGGGAGAAGCGGGTCGCATCGGCGAGCGCGGCCGCGGGATGTTCAGCGGCGTGGGCATCAAGTTGAATGTGAAAACGCTGGAGCTGCTGGTGCCCGGGCGAGCAGAAGATGGCCTGGATACGTCGAACATAGACAGCGCGGGGTGGAAGTTCAGCGCGTCGGCACGGTAGTATATCTTTGCCCACGTCGGCAGGATGTGCCAGACACCTGTAGTGCTGCTGGTGCCCGTTCCTGGGCGCTTGAGGCTGCGCAGGCTGTTGCTGCGTTTCGAGCCGGAGGATAGGCTCTGGGGGAAGCCGCGCGCCGGCAGATTAGTTAGGCTGTCGAGCTGCTCATCTTGGTCGCTGTCGGTCACCAGCCAGACGGTGGAGTTGCTGGCTTTGGCGGTTAGGGCTGCCGTCGGGGCGCTGGGCGAGGCCGTGGACCGGGACAGAGACGACGAGGCCGGGGCATGGGCTGGGGTGTCTTCGCCCGCGGCGGCGAGATTGGCCAGGTCTTCGTCCGACCAGACCGATGACACACGCGATAGATGAGGGTTCCAGCGACCGGAGGCCGGGCCGGGTGTGAAGTCGCGGCTCGGGGTGAACTCCCGGCCAGAGGAGATCGAGGTGTCGGCGCGGGAGCTGGAGGACGGCGCGCGGATCCGGGGATATTGGATGGGGATACCGCTGTCGATGGCTGCGGCCATCTCCGAGACTGAGCGCATACTGCGCGAGGACGAGGTCGCGGATCGTGACCGGCTCGCCGATGGGCGTCTGCTTATGGAGCGGAACGAAGCCTCGGAGCGCAGCGGCGGGCTCGAGTGGAAAGAGGACGGGGACCGATTGCTCCATTGCTCAGACGAGCCAGCGGTATACATCCAGGGTGCCGTGACGCCGGCGTGTCGCACGGCCGTGCCTCGCGAGTTCCACGAGGACAGCGAGTTGGAGCGCGGGTCTGAGTCTGAACTGGCGGTGCCGGGGGGCACGAAGTTCATGCTCGAATTGTCCAACATCACGAAGTTCGGGCTGGACGGCGCGCCGATGGGCTCGAAGTTCGGGCTCGAGTAGCCGATGATCGATTCGTCTTCTTCCCGGCCGGACTGCGGTGAGGTCGGCGGCTCCGAGAGCACGGCCTTGATGGTGGGCGTCGCCGTGGGCAGCACGATCATCTCGTCGTCGGAGTACTCGGGCTCGTCCGAGCCGTCTGAGATGTAGTCGACAGGTTTGGTGACCGGACTGATCTCAGGCAGTGATGACTTGCTGGATGTAGGGTCATCCCACATTGGCGGCGGCGAATGGACCGTGTCCACGGTGGACGACACCTCCCATGTCTCGCGAAGGGACAGGTCCCGCGTGCTGCTGGCCGCGGCATGGCTGAAGACGGGAGAGGACCAGGTCGATGTGGACGGGCCGGGCGAGTCGGCATAGCTGAAGCCCGTGTCGGCGATATACTCCTGCTGGCCTTTGCCGGGAATCGGCAGCAGGATCTGCTCTGGCTTGGTGGGAAAGGGTGTGGCGGTATACATGTCCACATCTTCTTTGTCGTGGACCAAGCGCAGGGACCTGGTCGGAGATCGTTCATTGGCATGGGCTGAGCTGCGCTCTTGCAGGGCCCGCCGCCTCCGGGACCGTGGAGGAGGCGACGCTGAGGGTGCGGTGGTTGGTCTCGGCATCGTCTGTTCGTTAGTTGGGAGGTGTCGAGCCGGGAATTAGGGCATGATCCAGTGAAGAGGACGATGCGGTCGAAGTGGGCGCCAACCACAATAAAACAGAAGAATGTGGTAATGGCAGCCCGCTCACACAAGGAGCAATTGGCAGCAATCACAATCTAGAAAGAGCGACAACCGAACAAGGGGATATGTTTTGGTTTTGCTTGATTGGGATGAGGTAAGGAATGGGAGGTCAATCCGATGGAGAATCCGCGTGGATGACTCTATACTCGGTGTATTTCGAAATTCATCAAGGAGCGTCAGGCGATCAAAGGAGCGTCAAGTCATCAAGGACCAGAATAGTGAACAGTTAAATCGTTTCAGACATCGAAGGCGACATGAAGCGTCAAGGTCATTAAAGGGTTTCAAAGAACGGACGGGGCACGCAGAACGACTGGCAACAACAACTCCAAACACAAGAGGGCAACGGAAGGGAGAAGGGAGAAGGGAGTGAGACACTCAAGGGGCCAGGAATTTGTCGGATTTGGTTGCATAGCGGCGGTGAAGCGCCGGGGAGAGTCTGGTGGCTCTCTGGTGGCTCTTCAGCGCCTATCACCGCCCCGTCAGGCCGCAGGGGGTATGCACACCCTGGCGAAAGCCATGCACGAGCAATTGGCCCGACCGTTGGCCCGGTCTGCTGCTCGTCTGGGGCCAAGTGGAGCGCCTGCGCCCTGTGTTCGCTTGTTCAAAAGGCACGAACTCAGGGCAAGGAGGCCGCCTCGGCTCATCGCACCTCGCAGAGTCAAAAGCATTGGGCATGACCAGGCAGATCGACTGCGATCCCCGTTGCCATGGAAGTCGCCGTGGAAGTCGCTATGGTCCTCTCTTCTCGCCCAGCCCGGTGGATCCCCATGCGCTGTCCTCCCCGCCAGGATCTCGATGGACTAGACTATGAGCAGTTAGCGGCGCAATGGCTGGCGCTATCTCACCTCGTCCCACTCCAGCGAATTGGACGGAGAGTACGGAGCACATCGCGATCGAGTAGTGATGGGTGCTGACTGCTGAACAACCCGCGAGTCTGTCGAGCTCGAGTCCTTACAGTGTATATATCCCTGTTTCAGGATGAACTGACGCCCTCGCAGGCCGTCATTGAATAATGGCTCGCTCCCCACCCACCTGCGCTTGTTTGGCGAAGTCGGAGAATACTGATGCTGTACATCCACGATCCCCTCGCATTGACGCGGACGGGAAATGAAAATGGGCCCAAGGGGTGGCCTGCAGCTGATGCCTCACAATCATCTTCACTATGGAAACACTCCCCCACGAGTCGCGACGCTCGGTCCATGTGTTCGGCATTGAAATTGCGACCTCTCGCCTGCCACGGAGCTTTGATTTCCCTAGTTCCTGACTGCGACCGGTGGGAGTATACGGGGTTGGTGCGAAAGATAGGTCCACTCAGGGTTCGGACGGGAGTTGCGGGGACCAAGGTGTATAATATGCACTGGATTTCCGATCGATTGACAAGATACGCAATAAATGGGGGACTCTTTCATATTTCCAACAATGCTACTCCACACGAACAATCCTGAATTTCGAGTCTTCGTCCATCCAAAATGCATCCTGGTCGCAGTCTAGCCCCAGCGGCCAAGAAGTATACCGTAACATGGTATTTACCGTGCCTCTGCCCCCACCCCCTCCTTCACTATGGAACCCACCCCCTTCGTACGGTCACGCGGCGTCACCTGCAACAAAGACGTCCTCGCCTTGATAAGCGGGCAATGGCCTCGACGTTGAAGTGGTAGAGATCCCACCTCCACCTCCTCCCTCTCATGGCTCCCGTCGGCATCTTGGCTCGCCTCAAGAGCCTGTACTCGAAGCACCAGGGTTCGTCTCCTCCCTCCTCCCTCCTTCCCAACCAGCCCGCCCGAGCCTGAAACCCAAACCCGCCATCCACAGAGGTCGGACCGGCCAGCTAACCGCCGCATTTTTAGATGAACCCTCCCTGTCGGTGCAAACGGTCGCTCTCTTCTCTGTAAATCCCGCCCTCCCTCCTCCGCAACGAGCCCTATCTCCAACAATCACGAGAGCAGTCCACTAACTATCGGACCCAGATTGCCCTAACCCTCCTCTACGTCGTCCCCTTCTACCTCTCCCCCTCCACCCGGCCCTCACCCAGCCTTAGCCGCGATGCGCCGTCCGTCATCCGTGCCCGCGTCCGCGCCGTCACAGGCTCCTGCATTGCATGCTCGCTCGTCGTGCTCTGGCTGGCCGTTGACAAGGGCGGGTCCTCGCTCGGCGCCGCCCTGAGCCTGCTCGGCTGGTGGCCGATCGACCTGGCCGATATCCTGCGCTGCCTGCTGCTGACTGCGATCCTGTTCGTCGGCCCGCTGTACGAGCGTGGCATTGTCGAGGGCGAGTGGCGCGCTTGGTTGACCAGGCGCAAGTGGTCGGAGTCCCTGGGCGGGTGGATTGGGTGGAGGAATTATGTCGCTGTACGTTGTGATCAAACAATGCCCCAGGCCCGAATAGCATGACTCCCATTGCATATACTTACAAGCATTCCAGGGCCCTATCACCGAAGAAGTCATGTTCCGGTCGGCCATCGTCCCCCTGCACCTCCTCGCGCAAGTCTCTCCAGGCCGCATCACCTTCATCGCCCCGCTATACTTTGGCATTGCACACATCCACCACTTCTACGAGTTCCGGCTCACCCACCCGGATACCCCCGCCCTGGCCGCCCTCCTCCGCTCCCTCTTCCAGTTCGGCTATACCACCATCTTCGGCTGGTACGCCACCTTCCTGTTCCTGCGCACCGGCTCGCTGCCCGTCGTCATCTTGGTGCATAGCTTCTGCAATTGGTGCGGACTGCCCAGGTTCTGGGGGCGGGTGGAGGCGGGCGAGCCTTTGGGCCCCCCGGTACGCGGGAAGGAGGATGATGGGAATGGAAATGGGAATGGGAGTGGGGGTGGTGTGAGTGTTGGTGCGGGTAAGTTGGGTGTTGGCTGGACGGTGGCGTACTATGCATTGCTCGTCCTTGGGGCGCTGGGCTTTGCCTGGGGGTTGTGGCCCTTGACGGAGTCGTATTATGCGTTGGTTGACTTTACAGGGAAGGCCGGGGCGAAGTTGAGCTGAGCCTGGTCTCGAGATTTTGGTTTCGGTTGTTTTGGACCTGGCGAAGCATGGTTCTTCCTTTTTTTTTTTTTTTTTTTTTTTTTTCTTTGCATACTCTTGTTAATCTTCGGCTTGTAACTTGTGCATGGCAGTATATTTTTGGGCCTTGATGCGGCGGGTTTCTGCCCCCGGTTCTTGTGTTTTGGTTCAACTTTATGGACGATCACGCCATGTTGATAGCTACGGTGTTCGTTTGGGATTGGACAGGATGGGACAGGACCAGATAGCTGCCTCTATGCACATATCTCCGTGTTCTCGAGCTAACCAGTTATAACATGTTTATCAGCAACCCACTGCTGGGCATGAGCGAAGAAGTATATGAATCATTTGTATAATTCTGCTGTTGGTGTATTAATCCCATCATCTCTGCCAGGCTGGATTTGTAGCTGGGTAAGAAGAGGTAAAATTTATACCTTTTCTCTCTCTCTCTCTCTCTCTCTCTCTCTCTCTCTCTCTTGTTCAATTGTTCAATGCCGGAAATACATACAATAATGCCTACATAGTAGATGACCACTCCCACTTGCAGCCATTGGAAGGTCACCCACGACGAACAAGGATTCAGCATGTAACCAAATGACAGGTATGCTTCTAGAAGCTCTCCAAGCATTCCATGCGGATTACTCTCAGTCTAAAGCTCAAGCTTCTATCAGGTATTGACAACATATCCACAACGTACCACCGTACTGCGAAGGTACAGTAATTGAGAGAAGGATAGCCACCGCTCCGTCTCAAACGAAAACATCACCTCCTTGCATGAGGCCCCAAAGTACCTAGGAGGCTGCTCTTCGGCATCCCCAACTCCAAAAAATCATCAATTTCCTGGTCAATACTCTTTAAAAACCGCTCTCGGTTCCAGACAGGCTTCCAGCCAACCTTGTCTTTATTGACGCAACCGACCTGTGGACTATTCGAATCGCGAACATTAGCAGACAAAGCGCGTGGTGGATGATGGACGACTGACCTAAAATCCCACACGGTATGCGCCATATTGGCCGGAACGCCGAGTGCCTCTTCCATGAACTCGTCGTTCGGCCATACTTTCACTGTTGGCTCCGTTACCAGGCCGCGCGCGTGCATTGCGGCGGCGAGGTGCTCGAGGATATCCCACCACCGCACGGTGTGCGAGACGATAAAGTAGTACCCGTCCCGGCCGGTAGGGAGGTCTTTTTGTTGGAGGATGGCCTCGGTAAGGAGGGCGTAGAAGGCGGTTAGGTCGGAGATGTGGATCATGGCCACTTCCTGCCGCGGGAGTTAGGATAGAGCTAGTGCTAAAGGCTGTGCTGCAAGAGGCATCGGATGGTTCAGGTTTCGCCCCGTCGGGGTTCCTGCCAGACGTACTCTGTCTTTCGCAAACTTGTACACCTGCTTGTGCTGAATTGCGGCTTTGATGAGGGCGGGGATCTGCAGGGAGAGCTTGTTCCAGGTCCCGCTGCCTCGCCCATCTGTGTCGTCGTTAGAGGCCTTCTATCGGGGAGAGCGAAAGTCGAACCCACGGACTGTTGGTGGCATGACTATCATTCCTGTCAAACCGGCAGCTGGAACTTGTTCGGCGACAGAAACATCAATCTGGCCGGTTGGTTAGAGAAAGTATACTCGGACTAGCCGCTTGAAATCACCGAACTGACCTGCCAGGTAACGTGCGACTCCGTACACTGTTTCTCGAGAAAATACACCGGGTCATCATCCTTCACTTTTCCAAAGGGCCAGCCGCTGTTCTCGTCAAAGGACCATAGCCCAGATGTCTATCCTCCAGTCAGCGATTGTTCCAGCACATCCGAGCAGAATCTTCTCGTCCATCTCACATGAATAAAACAAGCCGCTTTCCCATTGGTCTCGCGGCGCTTCCTCATCGCTGTTATGAGGCTCTCCGTCACCTCTGCATCTATCGAGGTTGCAGTATGAATGACGATGCTAACTAGATCGACGAAGGATGAGTAATCAGCCACTGGGAGATCCAGAGTCTTGACTCACTGTCGTTGCGGACCATATACCCGGCCAAAGCATATGGATTGCTGAGGTCTATTTGGACGACAGTGACGTCCAGTGTCGATGTCGACAGGCTGCGTGCTTGCTCTTCCGTACGAACTGCGGCGTGGATTGTGGCCGTTTCGAGGAGACCGCCCTTGTGGCGCGCGAAGTCGGCGACAATCGATCCTCCACTGTTGTTCATATGAGCTAGGGGTTCGAAACTTGAAGGGCAGAGAATAGTACACACATATAGCCCCCTGACCCAGTCACGAAGATATTCGCATTCATAGTGATAGGCGGAGCAGTCGCAAGGCGATGCCCCAGCTCCTGCGCCTATGACGTGCCGGGGGTTCTCTTATGGGCCGCTAAATAAGCCGAAGCGATTCACTATCTAGTGAGACGGAAGCCAGCTTGAATCTAGCAGGATCGTGGAATTTCTCCAGACGACCATCTGCAGGATTCGCTGTTACTGTCGGTGAAGCCCTCGCAGGAGGTCGTCACGCTCGTGTATGCGGTGACATCCGCCGGCGAATCAGCGGGGTAATTGGGGGGAAAGCTGGAACCTTAAAGCGAGCGTGAAGTCTGGGACGCACTCTATCACTCTATCATACGTCACGGTCAACCCTGGCTTTGGGACTATACTATCGCACTTTAACGGGCTGTGGGTTACCTTATAACCATAAACAGCATCCGATGAAGATGGCCTTGGCGACATAAGTTGACATAAGTTAGTTGAACACCGCTAGAGCACGTTCCACGGCAAGCCACTGGCTGGGCACAGATAGTATAGCTACAGCTGATTGGTCAACCCGCAGATCTCCCGCCATCTCCACGCCGCCTCACCCCCAGACGATCCAAACTATCCAGCATCAATTCCAAAATCTAGGGCATGACTTGGAGATACATAGGTAGGGGTCTGCCACCGTGCGCGATAGAAACGGCAATTCACCGTGCTGACATTTTTTCTTATGCGAGTCTGATTCTTTGTTATGCCACACGCCGAGGTTGCGACCACCCATTCCGAGGGTTACGGTGACAAACATCATGGGGGGGTTTCCCGCAGGCAAGGAATCGATGCTGCTCTTACTACATCGGAATCTCAGAGATTTTTAGGCGGAGATGGCATGACGAGTTTAGTGTACATTTCTATCTAGTATATACAATGTTCAGAATGGAGAGACATCCGTACAACCCTGACATGGCAATGCAATGCATATCAAAACACAACATTCACCAACTTCCCACCCTTGACGACGATAACCCGCCGCCTCTTCTCCCAGTCATGTTTCTCTCGAAGCCATAGCTTGCCTGCGGCAGTCTCTAAGACCTGACTGACAATCCAGTCTTGCTCCTCCTGCGACGGGCCCTTGTCCTGGGGAGAAGACGTGGCCGGGGAGGGCATGCGCGGGATGGTGACAGCGCAGCGCAGCTTTCCGTTGATTTGGACTGCTACGGTCTGGCCGCCGCGAGCGGAGAGGGATTCCGCTTGTTCGGGAGTGAGAAGTGGGGTGGGCCATGGCGCGGACAAGATGGATGGCACTGTGTCCGAGGGATTGGTGCTCTTCGCGAGGGACTTGTGAAGGACCTCCCATGATTCTGATGCAAGGGCCGGTGCGATTGGGGAGAGGAGGCGGAGGAGAGAGGAGACGGATAGATAGAGGGCAACAGGGGAGGAGGGAGGGGCCGACGATAAGGCGTTGGTCAATTTGATCAGATCTGAGATGACAGTGTTCAGACCGTAGGGGTTTGACTCGATGCACGTGGCGACAGAGGATATAATATTGTGCGTGGTCAGAACTGTCTCCGCATCGGAGTCGCTCAGATCCTGGAACGAAGCTGGGAGGGGCACGGCGTGGCCAGTAGGAGCGTCCAGATCAGCCGCGGTGATAGCAAAGGACGCCCCAGCCAGAGTCTGCTGCGCATCAGAGACAAGCTTCCAGAGCCGGCCAAACCAGCGCTCTACGCCGACGATCTTGGTCTCGTCCCACTCCAGCACCTCGCTAACCGGGGCAGAGAAGAGGATGTGAGCGCGGGTGGCATCGGCACCATACTTGGTCGCGCAAACGGTTGGGTCGACACCGTTGTATTTGCTCTTGGACATTTTCTCGAATGACACATTGGGGGGGACTCGAGTCCCCTTGATCAAAGGCTTGTCAGGGCTAGAGAGGTCCACTTCCGACGGGAGCAAGAACCGACCGGTCGATGGCTCGGTGAAAGTCTTGCCGTGGACCATGCCCTGGGAAAGAAGCATTTTGAACGGCTCAGCCGGGACTTCCTCGGAATGAGCAATGGCTGGGAACAGTTCCGACCGGGCGAGGAACTTGTATATGAACCGGGCATAGAGCAGATGTAGAATAGCATGCTCCACGCCACCAATGTAAACATTCACCGGCCGTGCAACAGAAGGCGAGAACGGAGCGTCCTTGTTGGCAGGGTCTAAGAAACGCAAGTAGTACCATGACGAGTCGACAAAGGTGTCCATGGTGTCTGTATCGCGCTGAGCCGGGCCGCCACAGCTCGGGCAATTAGTGTGAAGCCACTCTTCCGACGACTCCAGCGGGTTCCCCTTCTTGCCCTTCAGCCATTCTCCTTCAATCTTTGGCAGCTTAACAGGCAGGTCTTTCGCCGGCACTGGGACAGGACCACAATCACCGCAGTGGATAATCGGGATGGGAGCACCCCAATATCTCTGCCGGCTGATCAGCCAGTCTCGAAGCCGCCAGCTCTCGACAAATTTAGCCTGTCCGGCTTTTTCCAGCTCTGCGACAATCTGCGTTGCAGCCTCTTTTGAATGCACACCTTGATACTTCCCGCAGCGTGAGGTTAACAGACCATCCTGAGTGAAGGCCTTGGCATCCTTAGCGGGCACAACGCTGTCGCTCGTTTCCTTTTCGGAGGTCTCTGGCTCAATGACAATTGGGATGTATTTGGGATTCACATTTTCTTTGTAGAATGCCATGTCTCTGGTGTCGTGGCCAGGAACAGCCATGACAGCTCCCTCGCCGTAATCACTCAGGACATACGGTGCCACAAAGATGGGCAGTTTCCTCTGGACATAGGGGTTCTCACTGTCAATTTTTCCCAAGGGGTGAGACGCAAAAACATCCTTCAGCTGATAGCCAGCCTTAGAATCGGCCGGAAGCGAGGATGCTTCGTCCAAGAATTTGCGGAGCGCTGCGTCCTTCTCGGCAGCCTTTGTGACAATTGGGTGGTCCAGCGACAGAGCAAGATACTCAACACCGTACAAAGTATCTGGACGCGTCGTGAAGACGTCCACGCTGACTTCCTGTCCGCCTTGCCCCTCGATCGTCACGGGAAATGTGACATTGGCCCCGTGGGATTTCCCAAGCCAGTTCCGTTGCATGGACAGGACGCGTTCAGGCCAGCCCCCAGAGAGTGAATCAAGATCCTTCAACAGGTCTTCCTTGAAGTCTGTGATACGGAAGAACCATTGTTTCAGGTTCAACTTCTCAACCTTCGCGCCAGACCGCCAGGAGAACCCATTTGCGTCAACCTGTTCGTTTGCCAGCACGGTCTTGTCAACGGGGTCATAGTTAACCAGCGCCTCGGCCTGGTATGCCAGGCCCTTTTCGTGGAGCATCAAGAAGATTCGCTGCGTATGCTCGTAGAATTCCGGAGCGCAGGTCGCCAGTTCCTATCGTAACACCCAAGTTAGTCGCACACGTCAACACAGCTACACCACCCTGGCTGCAAGCCCACGTACTCTATCCCAGTCAAATGAAGCAGAGATACACCTCAGCTGCTCTTTCATCTTCGCAATATTCTGCTCTGTCCACGCGGCCGGATCAACGCCGCGCTCGATCGCTGCATTCTCCGCCGGCAGCCCGAACGCGTCCCACCCCATCGGATGCAAGACGTCATGCCCACGCATTTTATAAAACCGCGATATCACATCGGAGATCGTGTATACTCTCAGATGCCCCATGTGCAGCGTACCCGACGGGTACGGAAACATAGACAAGATGTACGACTTCGGTTTTGCTTCGGCGCCCGCCTCTGCTGGAGGGCGCGGCAATGCGCCCTCGGACTGCCACTTCGCTTGCCATTTCTTGTCTAAAGCCGGTAGATCGAGTTGGCGGGTATTTGTTGACACGGTCGCTGCGAGGCGGATCAGAGTGTTGGAAGGGAGAGAGAGCGGGAGTGGTCGCAGGCCAGGACGCGCGCATCGCCGCGCTTGCGCGAGTAAGGGCCTCAATTGGAGTCGTGAAAGGATCTGCATGACGATGGCTGGCTCATCATGTCCGCATTGGCGAGGAGTGTGCTCTGCGGCCGTTGTCACAACCTTCTGGTGCGGGCGAAGTCTGATCGTCAACCTTCAAACCTTCCCCCAGAACCCCGAGAGCTTTAGGCCTAATTGGGACTAGCGTCAGATGGTGTTGGCATGTCCCGAACTAAATAGCAACATTTAACATTTATGCGCTGGAGACAAACAAAACAGGTTATTGAACTTTTCAAGATCAAATGAAATGATAACTTGAGTTTTGAAAATGAAGTTGGAACATATAGGTATTCCACGAATAGAACATACCTTCGAAGACTCAGTCATACCTAGGTACATATCGGAACTGGCAAAAGTTAACTTCAGCTGAAATATATATTTACCGATAATCAATTTCAAGGCAGAGAGAGAATATTCGTGAATTGGGTATGACGAAGCTACCCAACTGTCTCATGATGTTATGCATAGGTTGAATACCCTATCTGGTGTCTGTCGAAAATACTTATTTCCACTGTAGGCCTGACACCGGAACCAACAACAATCCATTATAATCCCAACGTACTTAGGCCTGTACCCCGACGTAAATAGATATTATAGATGCGGGCAAGTGTATGTGGATATATAGGTATGTCTAAAGTCTCTATTCATACAAGATGTACATTACACCGCTACCCTTCAGGGAATCTATCGGTTATAACCTCAAGATATCCCCACTCCTATCAATGCCTCCCCGGAAATGATCCTTAACCACTCTCCCTTTCAAAACAGTCTCATCCACAATACCCTGCACATGCTTCGGCTCAACTCGCCCATACCAAATCCCCTTCCCAGCCAGCGGATGCGGCTCCGCCTCCGCAGCCGCAGACGCTCCTCTCACCGTCATCTTCGGCGGGATATACACAATGATATTGCCAGCATACTTGTGCCCACCAACATGGCTGATCAAGCCTACGTTCGCATGGTGCGGACCATCGACGCCGCCGCCATCGCTACCAGCCGAAGTAAACCCAGAGGCGCGCAGCACGCGCTGGAACTCGGCCTCAAGCGCGGGCGCCATCACGCCGCAGCGCATGTCGCGGCCACCATGCCCACAGATCAGGACTGTCGGCGAATAGTTGATGTCCATGGCGCCGGAGAAGTGTGATGTGAGGGCCGGGACGCGCGTCATGTCTGCTTGTTTGGAATGCGGAAGAGAGTGGTGCAGGTGATGCAGACGCTCTGGGAGGAGGAATGCGCGCACGAAGGTTTTTAGATCTGCGGTGTTGCCCTCTGTGGTCGGGGCGATTTCGGTCGGGATCGAAGGGATGTATTTGAAGGCGGGAAAGAGGAAGGCCGAGGCCGTGGTGGAACTGGATGCGGCGGGCATGACGGAGGAATTGGTGACTAGGATATTGTTGAGAGGCTAGAAAGAAAAAATGGTGCAAGTCAGCGTGTGTCGCACAGCATGAATCTTGGGCCTTGAACGAGAACCGCGCACGTCGAGATATGGCCCCCCACGACCCATCAATTGCTTCACGCCCCGCACAAGATTTCCCCAGCCGTGGTTCGCCCCGTCATCTTCAATCCGACTCGTCCAGTCCCGCTGTCCGGTGCAGACCAGAAGCTGCTGTGCGTACGCGGCCATGGTCCCGTTCAATGGTTGCTTGTGATCAATGGGCAATCCCTCGGGCATTGCTGGTGTCGGTGGGCAGTTGCAGCTCGGCTCAGGGCAGGTCTTGACGACTGGGAACGGTGGAGGGATCTCGAGGCGCGTGCGTACTCGACTGGCACGGCATGGTGTCGTGAACAGAGGCCGAGTTAACCTGGCGTGTTGGTGGCATCGTCCACTCCAGTCGCGGGCCAGCAAGTGCGCGACAGCTGTGGGGCGCGCTCTCATTGATGATTGTCGATTGTGGGCATATATGGACCTGTTACGTGGGAGTGAGTGGTGAATTGAGGAATGAGTGGGACAAATGACGATGCGACAGCGAAATCATCAAGATGCAGGCTTTGTGAGAATGTCAGTATCCCCGAGCGCTCGGAGCGGAGATTAGCGGGATTATCAATCGCGGCGTATTTGCCAGCTGGCGCCGCTGCCACCGCAGGGTCTAATAGTTTCCTCAACCCTCTCGCCATTATTCTGGGGCATGGGATGAAAGGTTCGAAATCGAAATATTATTCTTCAATGACCGCGCTTCATCCAAATTACAACAATAGAAATGGTAAGGATTGTTGTCATGATCTTGCAGTTGTACGTGAACTATACTTGCTCTATAGCATAGATAGTAAACAATTGAGGGCAGATGTTGAGAGATTGACCGGATTCCATGTGCTGTGAACTTGATGAAATGGTCAGCAGGACGCTTCTATTATTCCTCCTCACAGCATTTCTCTAAAACAGTCTACCTATTTTAAGAACCATCTCCACGAAGAGGGGCCGGCGGTCGGCCGGGGACCAAGGCACATCACCACATTCTAATAATATCACCCGTGTCCAAGAACAATCACGATATTCAACAACGACTTTGGGGTAGACATCAGCATCCCCGCGTGGTAGCGCACAGCAGCAGGCCACGAGCGGGCGCTGAGGCAAGCGCCGAACAGTTTCCGTCTTTCTGCCGAAATCCGGCTTTGTGACCGTTCTCCAACTCGCCAGACCCGCTACCGCGTGCGGCGTCCGGCAGGCGAGGAGCCGTCGTGCGCCCGCTTCTCCAGTGAGGAGGGATTTGGAGATCTGCCCTCACGGATCCACACACCCGGTGGTTTTCCGTCGCGACGCGGCCTCCTAGCCCGCCATGTCATGTTTGAGAAATGATTGCGATCAGGCTATCCGTGTCATGTCATCTGCTCTATCTGCGCGCAACCTGCACCGCAATCCATTTCTGCCCGATCGCTTCTACCACAACGTCGTGATTTGGCATCGTCCTGTCGCGACCGGAGTCATCCCCCCTCCCTGGTTATCTCATGAAGTTTGATGTTTTGCGGTCAACTTGAAGGATGTCCTTTCGATGCTCTTTCGATGCTGCCCGAGGTGGCGCCAAACGAGCTCCCGGGATCTGATTCCCACAGTCTAACATCGCAGGAATCGCCCGCTCATTAACCCCAGCGAGAGTATAATCGCATGGAAACATCGCATGAACAGTGGCAGACGATACGATGTTATGTCGTTGTACCATGCCAGGCGATGCTGCCACCGGGCACGCAATGCAAATGTCCGGCAACGAGACAGAGTTGCTAGACACGCACCCACGACGATATCCTGCGAATGCGCCATCGACACGGGAGGAATCGTGTGAACAAGGATACTTCGACCGAAGACGCTCAGAATCAAAGTGTCGACCTCCGTTCGGCATCGACTATGAGAGATCTAGGGCATGGCTTGTTTCAGTGGAAGGCGTTACGGCAAAACCTGGCCTCTCTTTACCCATTCGGGATGTCGCATGCTCTCCTAGTACGCATACCCATAATCCAATCTCACACTGGAAAGCGGGAATCCGGCCAATTGGTCATTTCTTTGGATGGCTGGTAGTGTAGGAGGATTAAGGAGTGTACGGTATCTTCGAGCCGGGTCCCGGCTGGATAGCGATCGTCGTTCATAACACCATTGAGGGGCGGCTCCGTGTACAACCGTCTTCCGTAGAGCCGAATCATCAACCTGATGGTCGCATACAGAGTCCACGGCGGAGATAAGGACGTAGTCGATGCTTCCATTCCCATTCCTCAGGTGGTAGGTTGTAATCTTCGAAGAAGTTGCACCTAGCCAGCCAGCTCGCTGCTCATGAGGTTGGGGGTAGTTCTGGGAAAACCTGGGCTAAGGGGTTCACGAGTATGTGAATCATCAATCATGGAGGGGTCCCAATCCAGTATGGAATCTGTATGTCGCCCATCAGCCGTCTCAGCGTGTCTCATCTTCTCGGCCTTGACTCGGCCATGCGACACTTTTGGTTGGCGGGGCGCATCCCGGCGATTACCCCTCATTATGTCATCACCCCACTGCGGGGAGCTATCCCAAAGGGGTAAAGCAGCCCAAACCATGAAGGTTGCGTTTGGCCGGACTTGCCAGCTGGCTGACGGGAAGTTGGTACTTGCATATACTCATACAATGTCACAGACGATAGTACATCTGGTCTTCGTAGCGCCCGTAGTGTAGCCTGGTCAAGGTCTGAAGCGCGAATCAGATTGGAAGCCTCAGGCCCCCATGGGTTTCTCCGCACGAGCTGCCATCAACAAACACGAAATCCACCGGCAGGCAATGGAGTCGACGCGAACAAGTCAGGAGACTATGGTCCGAGAAGCCGTGCTGGCTGGAGTACCTCGCGAGTCCGCCTACTGCATGGATCATCACATTGGGTCCAGCTCTCCATCGGCTGCACTGCACGAACACGAACCACCAAAGTCTCCCCCCCCCTCCTGTGTCCCTCATGCGGAGAGACCAGGTCCATGAGTGGTGCGTTCCCCATCCGCCCTCCGACCGACCAGCCAGTGGGGCCCTCCCCCCCTGTCCCGCGCCTCTGCAAACTCTGGGATCTGAGGGGTGTACAGCGTGTTTTGGGTTCTGTCGCTCTCCAATCCACTTCGTGGTGGTGTGTGGCCGGTGGCTCAAAGAGGGGCTCCAGAGGGGGGCCTTTTCCTGTTTGTCTATATATACGGGGCGTCTGGCCGGTGACTCCAGACTTTTCCTTCTCATCATCCCAACTACCCTTCTTCTACCTTTCTCCCAACCTTCTCCTCAATACTAATACGACTAAGGTATGGATAACTCAAAGCTTCCTTGTTCCCCTTGGGCGGCTCGGCCGGCCGGCACGTTCCCCACTCTCCCCGCTCTCAGCGCTTAGCCGCCGCTTCTCCAACGCCGTTTTGGGAGCGTTGACTTCATAGACCGATGCGACCGGTTTGAGACGGGTCATTTTGTTACTTATAAAAAACAAGGCACCGCTGACTCTTTTCACTCCAATAGCTTCGTGCTTTAATCAAATTCTTTTACATCTAACTTCTCTCGCATCATCTTCAAAATGGTATTTATTCGCTCCCTTTCCCATCAGCTGCGACGGCCCGCTACTCGCTTCATGTCGGCTAGCCCCAAGCCTGCTGTGACCACCAGCTCCTTCGCGCGAGCTCCGGTGGCTGGTGCCTTTTCCAACGCACGTAGGCTAACCGCATCTGCCAACCTCCAGGGCAAGGTTCTTCTCGTTCTGTACGACGTAAGTGGATCCACTCAAACTACATTGATCGTCTTGTTTTGATGACTGATTTTTGTCGCTATAGGGTGGTGAGCACGCCAAGCAGCAGCCCCGTCTCCTCGGTACTACCGAGAACGAGCTTGGCATCCGCAAGTGGCTCGAGGACGCCGGCCACACCCTGGTCACCACCTCCGACAAGGAGGGCGAGAACTCCACCTTCGACAAGGAGCTCGTCGATGCTGAGGTTATCATCACCACCCCGTTAGTACCCCCTCCGGGTCCAATTGGAACACCCATTAGATCATCCCCAAACTAACCCAACCTCGACAGCTTCCACCCCGGCTACCTGACTGCTGAGCGCCTCGCCAAGGCCAAGAACCTCAAGCTCGCTATCACCGCTGGTATTGGCTCTGACCACGTTGACCTCAATGCCGCGAACAAGACCAACGGCGGTATTACCGTCGCCGAGGTGACCGGCTCCAACGTCGTCTCCGTCGCCGAGCACGTCGTCATGACCATCCTGCTCCTGGTCCGCAACTTCGTCCCCGCCCACGACCAGATCCGCAACGGCGACTGGAACGTCGCCGCCGTCGCCAAGAACGAGTTCGACCTCGAGGGCAAGGTCGTCGGTACTGTGGCCGTCGGCCGCATTGGCGAGCGTGTCCTGCGCCGCCTCAAGCCCTTCGACTGCAAGGAGCTCCTCTACTACGACTACCAGCCTCTGTCCGCCGAGGTCGAGAAGGAGATCGGCTGCCGCCGCGTCGACAGCCTCGAGGAGATGCTCGCCCAGTGCGACGTCGTCACCATCAACTGCCCTCTGCACGAGAAGACCCGCGGCCTGTTCAACAAGGATCTCATCTCCAAGATGAAGCCCGGCGCCTGGCTCGTCAACACTGCCCGTGGCGCCATCGTCGTCAAGGAGGACGTTGCCGAGGCTCTCAAGTCTGGTCACCTCCGCGGCTACGGTGGTGACGTCTGGTTCCCCCAGCCCGCCCCCAAGGACCACCCCCTTCGCTACGCCGAGTACCCCTGGGGTGGCGGTAACGCCATGGTCCCCCACATGTCCGGTACCTCCATCGATGCCCAGGTCCGCTATGCCGAGGGCACCAAGAACATCCTGGACTCATACTTCTCCGGCCGTGAGGACTACCGCCCCGAGGACCTGATCGTCCACAAGGGTGACTATGCCACCAAGGCCTACGGCCAGCGCAAGTAAAAGATAGAGAAAATCGATCTGAATGCTTGTGGGGGCGGAAAATAATTTCCCAATCGACTTGCCTGATGAGTTTCTTTTGATTGTTCATATCCTCCCATTCACGATTCCGGCCTGTCGGGGCTAGGGGAGCTATGCTTGAAAATGTAGCATCTACGATACCAATGAAATGACTTCTTCATATCCGTGATTCTTGTTCTGCTCGTTTTACTTGGTTTGCTTTCTTATCGCCTAGTAGCTCCGCTTCTTCTGGGTTCCCGAAGTGAGGCGCTCGTCGATCTTGATCGACTCGTAGATCAGGGCAACGTAGGTGTTGAAATACCTTTGGATCCGAGAATTTAGTTCCGGACAGAATGATCAGAGGATCAGTATCTTTCTCAAGGGGTACTCATTTGAGGTCAAGTACCTATTACAATGTATATGTACAATACTTTGCTGAAGTTGGTATCATGTTTTGTTCTATTGATCATAAATCTTCCTGTCTATCAAGAAATGATGGAGTGTGCAGAGCAGTCCGCCGACAAACCGGAGACCTTTCAAACAATAAAAGAAAAGCTATTTAAGGGGTCCAAAGCCCTGACCATGCGAAGAGTCGCTGAAGAACCAAAAAAACGCCGCCCATGACCGTAACCCGTAACGACCGACAAGCACAACCCTAAGGGCGAGTCCGCACGCCACCTGGCCCATCATGATCCTCCTCGTCACTATCATCCATAAATCCTTCCTCAAGTTCTCGGCTGAGACGGCTCTCCGGCTCTGGTGCTGTGCTACGCCGCCGCTCCAATGCTTCTCTCCGCGCGGCATCCATGTTCATCCCAACCATCAATTCACCTTCCTCCTCGTCGATGCTGATATTATCGTTGTCCGCTATATGCGGATTGCGTCGCCATGAAGACGGGAGGAAGAAGCGCATGACTGCGTCCGCCATGCGATCTCGCAGTGAGAGGGTGTGCGCTGAGATCGTGTGCAAAGGTAGATATTGGGAGTAGCGCTGATGGTAGCGCCTGAAGAACGGGATGATCAAGAACGAGAAGAGAAGGTAAACTGTTAGCGCAATTGACGCCGGGATCAGGATCGTCTGGCGGAGGGACTGTTAGTTGTCTTGTTTCTTTGAGGCGGCCTGCTGGGGACGGAATGATGACGACGCCGTGACACGGGATGGATAGGGGCATGAGCGAACCTTTGCGAAACTCTTGAAGGTTCCCATCGTGACGTGCAGAGCCCCAGGAGCTTGTGGTGAGGTTAAATGAGTGTGTGTGGTATTGCGAGGATCTTGCCCGTCAGCAGTGGGTGGTGGACGTGTTTATAGTCCGGCTGCTCAGGAACGGGGTGTCGATTCGGGGGTTCGGAGTCGGAAATGAGCACAACCCAAGGTAGAACAAGTTAGCAGTCACCAATCGGGAGTGAAATACGGAGTGCCAAAGCCCAGTCGAACTTCCCCACACCTGTCAATCAAGAAGAAACAAGTTCCCCACGGGCAGGGCTACCTGGCCGATCTGAAAAACAGTCACATGATCTACACTCCCTATCATATCACGTGCCACGGTCGGGGAGTTTCTCCGGGCATTTGGCAGCCCCCTAATCAGCTACTTTGGGATCCGACGCCCGTGCTTTGATCGACCCTGGCGTCAGGACTTGCCGGACTTGCATATTGCACCTATTTGCGATCGTTTCATATTTCGTATTATTTTTTTCTTTCATTTCATTGCGTGGTGAGTGCAAGATCCCGTGTGTTTTTTTTTGGCCGCGGCCTGCCTCCCCCCTTCCAGCGCGGCTCCGCCGTAGCAACAAAAGCGGGTATACTAACTAGCCAGGGAGGGACAAAAACAGACTTCGGCCATTGTGAATGTCATCGCTTTCCTGCCCCAGATCCATAGCGATCGACCCCGCTACAGCCTTGCGAATCGATTTTTTCTCCTTCCACCGTCTCTGAGTGCGCGAGGGGGGCTGCTGGCTTCTTTATGCTGCACCCTGGCAAACAGTGAACGCACGCCAAAATGCCCGCCGGCACGCCCGCCGACAAGTCCAGGCAAACGTCCGCGGGAAAGTCCTTCTTCGGGAGGAAACTGTACAAGGACAAATCGGCTGATGAGCGTTATGATGGGTATGGAGGCTCTTACAACAGCCTGGCGCCACCTCCCAGCGTGGCCGGCTCCCGCTCGTCCCGCCATTCGAAACGATCGTCTATTCAATCTGTCGACATGACCCAAGACCTGGACCCAGCCAGCTTAGCTCCTACGGCCGGAGTAATCACGTCTATTCCCTACGAGAGCCTGCCTTCGGACACGAAAACACCCATCCCGATCGACAATATGCCGCGTCCGGATTCCGCCCGCCATGAACCTTCGCCCAACCACTTGGGCAAGACTGGCAGTGACTACCACCAGTATCCTAACTGGACGTCTTCTTCTGCGCCGAATGGAAACGCCTCGCATCCCTCCGGCCCTCGCCCGCCCCCGCACGCCTCAGGCATGACCATGACGGGCAGCTCATCAGGAGACCGGGGGACAAGATACCAGCAATGGGGCCGCCCCGGCAGCTCAGCCGCGAACCACTCGATAGACTCATCTTCAAATTCCCGTACATCACTCGATCAGGCCAGTTTATATTCCTCGCATTCATCCAACACTCGCGGCTCAAACTACTTCTCCGCCGACGGCTCCTCCCGCACTCTGACAACATCCCACTCCGGCGACCGCAACACCATGTTTCCCGGCGGCAGTGCTGGACGCTTGTCCAGCGCTGCGGCCTCGCATCAGCCTATACCTGCAGCCGTGCCGCGCCCACCAGATATTTACCTCACCCGACCACGAGATGACCGTATTGTGGACCAGTTGTTCCTGGAGTTGATGCAGAAGCGGGGATGGCAGAATCTTCCTGAGCAGGCGAAGCGGCAGATGCTGTCGTATCCGGCCTCGAAGAAGTGGACTTTGGTTCACCAGGATCGATTGACGGAGTTGCAGGGAGAGCAGAAACGACGACAAAATGCCCGCCAGACCCATGGGCATGATGGGCTTTCAGGACTACTCGAACGTGCTGATGAGGAAGGGAGCCCGGAGTGGTATGTGAAGAAGGTGATGGACGACACAATTACTTCCAAGCAACTCGCGAGTCTAAGCGTCAGTTTGCGGACGCAACCGATCAGGTAAGCTTAACAGGTTGGCTTATTTGCGCCATTCTATACTAACACTCGATATAGTTGGGTGAAGGCATTCATTGAAGCCCAGGGTCAAGTTGCCCTGACCAATGTTCTGCAAAAGATCAATCGACGCAAGGCGTCCGGCCCTGTCCCCGCTCCGCCCACTGGTGATAAGGATCTGGACCGCGAGTATGACATCGCCAAATGTTTGAAGGGTCTCATGAACAACAAGTATGGCGCAGACGATGCCCTGGAACACCAAGGTGTCCTGGTCGCCCTTGTTAACTCGCTCTCGTCCCCTCGCCTCAACACTCGGAAACTCGTTAGCGAGGTACTCACCTTCCTGTGCCACTGGGCCGAAGGACAAGGTCATCAAAAAGTTCTCCAGGCCATGGACAAAGTCAAACATGACCACAATGAAACCGGCCGCTTCGATGCGTGGATGCGTATCACCGAGGTCACCATTGATGGCCGTGGTAAGATGGGCAGCTTGGTCGGCGCCAGCGAGGAGTACCGGAGTGGCGGCATTGGTATGGAGAACCTGCTTATGGAGTACGCCGTCTCAACAATGATTCTCATCAACATGCTGGTGGACGGAGCCGAAAATGACCTGCAGCTGCGATGCCATATCCGCGCACAATTTATTTCATGTGGTGTCAAGCGGCTTCTCACGAAGATGGAGGGCTTCCAGTACGAGGTCATCGACAAGCAGATCGAGCGCTTCCGCGAGAATGAGGCTATCGACTATGAAGATCTGCTTCAGCGTGAGGGTAGTAGTGTAAAGGATAGTGTCGAGGGTGAGGTCAAGGATATGAGCGATCCCCTCCAGATTGCGGACGCTATTGCCACCAAGATTAATGGCACGCGATCTCACGACTACTTCCTCTCGGCTATGCAGCATATGCTGTTGATCCGTGAGAATGCGGGCGAAGAAGGTCTGCGAATGTTCCAGCTCGTCGATGCTATGATGAGCTACGTGGCTATGGACCGGAGGCTGCCAGATATGGATCTTCGTCAGGGCTTGAACTTCACAGTGCAGAGCCTTTTGGACCGCCTTCATACCGATGCTGAGGCTAGGCGTGTGTACGATGAAGCCCTGGAGGCCCGCCAGATTGCTGAAGCAGCTATCGCGGAGCGTGATGAGATGAAGGCCCAGGTGGAACTTGGCGCTGAAGGCCTGGTCAAGAAACTTCAGAAGCAGATTGATGAACAGGCCGGCATTATTGAACTGCAAGGACGACAGAATGAAACTTTCAAGGCTGAGGTTGCGGAAGTTCAACGATTGCGTGCTCTGGAGCTGCAGCGCAATGAATTGGAGACCCGTGAGCTGTACCTCATGCTTCGTGATGCCCAAGACATTGCTGCGTCCAATGCCAGGAAGCAGGCCAACGCTTCGGACTCCGCACCGGCTGATCCGTCCCAAATGCCTGGGATTATGGATCGGGAGCGTCTCATGGAGCGCCTGGAGCGCCAGCTGGAGAGAACCAAGACCCAGTTCAAGCTGGAGGGCAAGGTCTGGGGCCAGCATGGCCCATCCGATCGTCTGCGCGAGCTGCGTGAGAAGATGGATGGCGATGGCGGTGACGATTCTAGCGACGAATTCCCCGAGCCGACTTGTCGTAACTTGGACCCGAGTGCCCTGGGATCGGTCTATCGGAAACGCAGCCATGTGCCTGAAATGTACCAAGGCCCTGATGGCCTGTCAATGTCCCCTGTGGACGAGGATGAGGAGGCCGTGTACCAAAGGCCCCGCTTGATCGAGATGCAGCGTTCGCGCATGAACCCTGCCCAGGCGACTGGCCTGCTCGGCGAGCTTGCTTCCAAGGTGCCCAAGTACGACGCTGATCCAGAGGCTGCTACTTCTGCTCTCGAGTCTACCAAGCCAGAAGATGCTGGCGATGTCACTCCTACTGCGGAGGATCTGGTGCCGAAGCCCGAGACCAAGGAGGAGGCAGACCAAAAGGCAATGCCCCCTCCACCACCACCTCCTCCTCCTCCTCCTGGTGGTGCCAAGGGCCTTGTTCCTCCTCCCCCGCCGCCCCCAGGTGGGAAGGTTGGTATTCCTCCCCCGCCGCCTCCACTTGGAGGTGGTGCTGGGCTTCCGCCACCGCCGCCTCCGCCTGGTGGTGCCAGAGGTATCCCTGGCCCTCCTCCTCCTCCGCCCCCTCCCGGTGGATTGGTTGGTATTCCGCCGCCGCCTCCCCCTGGAGGTGGTGCTGGGCTATTGCCGCCACCACCTCCTCCAATCCCCGGAGCGATTGGTGGCTTTGCTCCTCCCCCTCCGCCACCTCCCAGTGCTCCCTTGGGCGCCGGCTGGAGACCTACATATATGGTTCAAGACGATGTGTCCTCTTCCATCACAGGCATGCCCTCCATCCGGCCTAAGAAGAAGCTCAAGGCTCTACATTGGGACAAGGTTGATACGCCCCAGGTGACTGTCTGGGCTGCTCACGCACCAACGCAGCAAGAGAAGGAACAGAAGTATACCGATCTAGCCAAGAAGGGTGTCCTGGATGAAGTCGAGCGGCTATTCATGGCCAAGGAAACCAAGATCTTCGGAGCCAGCACAGTTGCCAAGCAGCGCAAGGACAAGAAGCAGGTTATCTCTAACGATCTTTCGAAGAACTTCCAGATTGCCCTTGCCAAATTCTCCCAGTTCCCTCCGGATGAGGTCACTCGCATGATCATCCATTGTGACCGCGAAATCTTGGATAACATGGTCGTCATGGACTTCTTGCAAAGAGATGAGATGTGCACTATCCCTGAGAATGTGGGCAAGTTGATGGCGCCGTATAGTCGTGACTGGACTGTCCCTGGTGCTGCCAGCTCTGAGCGTGAGCAGGATCCGACCGAGCTTACTCGCGAGGATCAGATTTATCTCTCCACTGCATTTGAGCTGAACCACTACTGGAAGGCCAGAATGCGAGCCCTTGCGCTGACGCGCACCTACGAGCACGAGTATGAGTACACCTCCACGAGGCTGCAGGAGGTGGTCCGGGTCAGCGAGTCCCTGCGCGACTCGGTCGCTCTGATGAATGTCCTTGGTCTGATTCTGGATATCGGTAACTTCATGAACGACGCCAACAAGCAAGCCCAAGGTTTCAAGCTGAGCTCCCTCGCTCGCCTAGGTATGGTCAAGGACGACAAGAATGAGACCACTTTCGCCGATCTTGTCGAGCGTATCGTGCGCAACCAGTATCCCGAGTGGGAGGGCTTCAGCGAGGAAATTAGTGGCGTCATCGGTCTGCAAAAGGTCAGCGTTGACCAGCTGCGCACCGATTCTATCAAGTACATCAGCAATATCAAGAATGTGCAGTCCAGCTTGGATGCTGGTAATCTGAGCGATCCCAAGAAGTTCCACCCGCAGGACCGTGTCAGCCAGGTCGTTCAGCGGAGCATGAAGGATGCTCGCCGCAAGGCTGAGCAGCTGCAGCTGTACTTGGATGAAATGGTCAAATCGTATGACGATATCATGGTCTTCTACGGCGAGGACAACACCGACGAGAATGCCCGGCGTGACTTCTTCGCGAAGTTGGCTTCATTCTTGATGGAATGGAAGGTTAGTCGAATTGTGAACGTGCCTGGGTTCCTGATTTGTGTTTACTAATCGTATTATTTGCAGAAATCGCGCGAAAAGAACATTGGCTTGGAGGAGTCCAGGAAGCGCACCGAAGCTTCTTTGGCTCGCAAGCGGATCAATGTTAACCTTGCCAATGGTGCTATTGCTACCGACTCACTAAGTTCGCCTGCCACAAGTGGCGCGATGGACTCGCTGCTGGAGAAGTTGCGCGCTGCGGCGCCTCAAACTAAGGATGTGCGAGACCGTCGCCGCCGCGCTCGCCTCAAGGAACGCCATCAAGTCCGCGTTGCCTCCGGCCAGAAGGTACCTGATTTAGAAGGAACTGATGGTGTGGAGCAGCCAGCTGATGGCGATGCCCAAACCGATGAGAATGGTCTTTTGAGCCCGCCCATTCCCGATGGGGGTGAAGACAGCACCAAAGAGGGTCAGATCTCCGAGGGCGAGGATGTCGCTGACCGCGCAGCCAGCCTGCTCCTCGGCCTGAGAAGCAACTCCGACGCGAACGCCGAGCGCCAACGCCGCCGCAGAGAAAGCGCCGACGAAGAGCGTCGCACCCGCCGTATGCGTCGGCGCAACGGCGCAACGAGCGGAAGTAAGGACAGCGCCGACGGGTCTACCTCCGGGCTCCCGGCCGTCCAAGAACCGACTACGCCCTCACGGACCGACTCCATCAATGCCGAAGATCAAGCACTCTTGGGCTCTCCCCAGGACCAATCCATGTCCTCGGCACCTCCTGAGATCGTTGTCTCGGAGCAGCCTGATGATGATGGCCCGCCCTCACAAGAACCTCCGGCTGACGGTTCATCTGTCAGCCATCCCATCGAACTGTCAGATTGAGCAGACAAGCTCTCACTCACTCGGTCACCCGTAATCTAATGTCTGATAGATTCTCCCTGATGCCGTCTTGGAATCTTCTTGGTTCTTCTCCCTTTGACTTTGCATCATACCGTACACCTCATCACAGCTCTCGATCTGTATAATATCATATCGCCGGCCCTCCCTAACCCATCAACCCCACGCACCTCACCCCGACCTCCGAACTCTCTTTGACCAACCACCTTTTCCTTAGTCCTTTACCTTATCCATCCCCTTTTTCATTGTCTTTGATGAGCCAAGCATGGTGTCATGATACCATCGTCGTTGATTGTGCTTTTTTTGTTCTGTTCCTTTTCGTCTCTTCAGTGTGCAATTTTTTTTGGGTCGGTCGAGGGTACATTCGCATCCCACTTGGCTGTGTCCTTAGGTGATCTCTCTCCTTGTACATACTTCTCCCTTTTTTCAAGCCCTACTTCTCCATGGATCCTTGGTTGCGGCAGTGTTACTACTGTCTATGACTGGGGGTGTCGCTCATCGAATTGCATCTGTTCGATGTTGGATTTCGTTATTTTCATACTTTGTATACCAATCTGGGGACCACGCGCGAGGTAGAGCGTTTGTTTGCCGGGAGGTCCTCCTTCATAAATCTTAATCGACCTTTCAGCAACTGCAAAGTTTGGTATTCTTGGTTTGTTTGATTTAGAGAGATCGACAATCTCACACAATTGATGAACGAGCAAAGTTGGGTTGTGAGAGCGCCGCTGTATACAACGGATCCACGTGACCCGGGTCTTTATCACTCCATTCGCGCCGACATGATCAATCTCCCTGCAGCTCCGCACCAACGCTCTGTTATCTGCATGCGAGCATCTTGCCCTCGAGTCTTGCGTTGGGCCTCTCCCCTCCGCCCACCATGGAGTCAACCAAGACCATCAGGGCTAGGTAGCCCCCAATTTCGACTGCATGGCCCAATCTCCGCGGCGCTGGCTCCGCAGAGACCTCCCAGGACCATCCGGAGCTTCTCCTCGTCCCTACCCCGGAAATTCATGCTAGATACCGACTCCACAATCTACGCGCTGTCCACCGCCCCCGGTAGAGCAGCAATTGCCGTGGTACGAGTGTCCGGCCCTGCATGTCCCTCGGTACGCCTTCACCCCACAATCCGCTCCATCTTCCCATTGCGCCCTGTACCAACTAATGCCCCCCTCCACCAGATCTACCAAGCCCTATGCCCGACTACATCAATTCCTAAACCGCGCTTCGCCGCGCTGCGCACCCTCTATGACCCCTCACACCCACCCTCCCCCAACACTGTCCTCGACGCCGGCGCGCTAGTCCTCTACTTCCCCGGCCCGAAGACCGTCACCGGCGAGGATGTGCTGGAGTTCCACATCCACGGCGGTCCAGCCATCGTCAAGGCCGTGCTAAGCGCCATCTCGCGCACGCATCAGCCAGATGCTGCCGTCCGGTACGCGGAGCCGGGCGAATTCACGCGCCGCGCCTTCATGAACGACCGCCTGGGGCTCCCGCAGATCGAAGCACTGGGGGACACGCTCTCCGCGGACACGGAGCAGCAGCGGCGTCTGGCAGTGCGAGGAGCCAGCGCCGCGCTCCTGAACCGCTACGAGGCCTGGCGGCAGACGCTGCTGTACGCGCGCGGCGAGCTCGAGGCCCTCATCGATTTCGCCGAGGATCAGCATTTCGACGAGTCGACCGAGGAGCTGGTCGCCTCGGTCAGCGCGCAAGTGCGTGCGCTGGCGGTGCAGATTGGCTTCCACATACAGAATGCGAGTCGGGGCGAGTTGCGGCGGAGCGGGATTCGGGTCGCGCTTTTGGGCGCGCCGAATGCCGGCAAGAGCTCCTTGTTGAATCGAGTGGTTGGCACCGAAGCGGCTATTGTTAGCACGGAGCAGGGTACCACGCGCGATATTGTTGATGTGGGCGTGGATCTTGGTGGGTGGTACTGTAAGCTTGGCGATATGGCTGGGATCCGCGCGGAGGCGGGCGGGTCGGCGGCGGTGATTGGTGCTGTTGAGAAGGAGGGCATTCGTCGGGCCAGGGCGAGAGCTCTCGAGTCTGATGTTGTGGTTGTGGTGGTTTCCCTGGAGGATAGCGACACCGCGGGCGGTGTTCGTCTGCTTGTGGAACCCGAGGTTCTAGCTGCCGTGGATGACTGCGTGGAGGCCGGGAAATGCCTGGTGGTTGCTGTCAACAAATGCGATAAACTCCCTACAGAGGAGTGGAGGGACGAGCTGCCGCCCGCTCTGGCGGAGACTGTTCGCGACGTCTTTCCCGCTGTGCCGGCCGAGCGGGTCTTTGCGATATCCTGCAATGATGCGCAGCGCGGATCGTTGCCGTTGACTGGGAAGCGGGCGCAGAACCCGTCCGACCCAGGCCATCTACAGGCATTTCTACACGGGCTGATTTCGACCTTTGAGCAGATCGCCTCGCCGCTCGGCGTGGGAGATGAAGGTGGTCAATATGATAAATCTTATTGGGAGGATTCCCTGGGCGTCACGCATCGACAAAGCTCGAATCTACAAATATGCCTCGATCACTTGGAGGACTTCCTATCCCAGACTTCCCCAGCTGCCCCCCTCGATGCTCCCGCTTCCCACTCGCACGAGCGCGACCCCGCCTCTATCGCTGTTGAAATCGATATCGTGACCGCCGCCGAGCACCTGCGCTTTGCGGCCGATATGCTGGCCAAAATCACCGGCAAAGGCGAGAGCGGCGATGTTGAAGACGTGCTAGGCGTGGTCTTTGAGAAGTGAGTCCCCCGGCATGGATGTCGAAGCCGACGCCAATTCCGATGCGTTCCGTGGTGTGGTTGTGAGGAAACTGACGGTGTTGTTTGTAGGTTCTGCGTCGGCAAGTAATGGTCCTGGTCCTGGTCCGTGGTCCGCCTTGCGTCCCGATACGAGATTCTGTATCCCGCCGATATTGGGAGGGTTCGTGGAACCCTTGCAATGGAGTGGCGATGTGTTTCAAGTCAAGTCCTTCGGTTTTTGCTGGGAGCTCGTGCCGCATTATAGAGTGGAATTTCCATGGTGCCCCGTTGCCGGGCCCGTTATGCATTGTGCATGCATTCAGTTGGCAGGGACGCGCTGCTGTTCCGACTCATCTGCGTCGTCGGCAGGTCCGTTGTATCCGCCGCGGCCCATGGTGAGAGTGTTATCAAAGGCGTGAGATGCAAGTCGAGACTGGATCGTGGTGGTTGCAAGGTCAATCGATGATCGGTCGTCCGCAAATGTATGAATATAGACTCTGATGCGGAAGTGTGAGAATAAAGTATATCTCGATCGGTGGAAGTTTGAATGTTTGGAAGTTTAGATGTATAGATGGCTTGATGGCTTGATTTGTGATGTACAGAGAAAAAAAAGGACTCTGATTGCCATGCTCCACGTCCTTATTTATAAGAAAAATGATGCAGCAATCATTGCACAATTCCAAAAAAGACCCCCAAAAATACCAAACACGCCTGCTGCGCATCACAGTGTCTGCCTGAGCCCATCGCGCCAATAAACCACGCCTTCCACGAACCCGAGGGACCCATTCCCCTTTCAGGCAATGTTCTGGACGCATCCCGAAACTGTCAGAGGAAACCGGGCGCCGCGTGCATGTCTGAGTCAGGGCCGACTCATACGCTTCACGAGGTAGGGGAACCGGCCTCAGCCACAGCCCTCGACGTCCCCCTTGGCACGCCGAACCTGAGAGGAGGAATGCTACCGTGCCCTCTGGTGGCCTCCGGTGGCCTCTGGTGGCCTGTGATGGACCCCGGCTTAGGTGGGTGGGGGATGAGTTGAGCCGACGGGGACTTCAGCCTTCAGCTGATGAAAGCGGTTGGCGAGTCGCGCCTGAGGCTCCGGCTGAGGATGACTCCACCGGCTGGCGCTGGCGCTGGCCTCGGCCTCGGCCTCGACTCTGACGTCCTTGGTGGTTTCGCGAGCAATGCTACGGCTACGACGGCTACGGCTACGGCTACGGCTACGGCTACGACTTATTTGTCAAGCCGTGACTACGTACAGAATGTTGTCGAAAACTGGTGTCAGCTTCTAAGAATAGCCCGCGGGTGCGGCGGACGATAGCGGCCACCTGGGAAAGTGCATAATTTAGGCATATTCAAGACCGCCCTAGGGACCGCTCTGTAACGCAGGAATCGTTCTTTACACTGTCTTTCCTATATAAAAATAGATTCCCCACTTTCTACTTACCCCCCACCTTGACGCCATTTCTTACCGCTAATCCTAGGTGGTAAGCTGAAGCTATTCGTACTATACAATCTACTAACTCTCGATATCCCTAGGCGTTGAATACCCTCGCTATTGCCCTCGCTGTGGCCGTCGTTGTATACCCTCGCTGTTGCCCTCGCTGTCGCCCTCTACTATGACACCTTATATCCCTCTTGACGTATATAGGCAGGAGATCGAGGATCTTGTCTAACTTAGGCGCTCTGCTAAAGCTATTCGTATTATCCTACTTAATAACTATAGTATTAGCGTCATAAAGCGCATAATCAATAACCGCCTATAGTTATAGAATCTCCTAGCGAAGTCTACTGAAGCTATAGATAAGCGTATTTATAAGCTTCTCTGTCTCTCTCTAAGCACTCAAGAGATTCTCTAAGTGCTTATAAGATAAGGTATACCCTTATCTAAGCGCTCTCTTTATAGAGCTCGTAAGCGGCTTAGAATATAGCTTCGGGTCGACGATCCTAAAGAACGTAGGCGGTAGGAAGCTAAGATCGAAGCTCTTCTAGTTATAGAGGACTAGATCGGAGATATCGAAGGCTATAGTCGTAGGCTATAATATATCTTCCTTCGTAACTAAGGCTATTTCTATCCTCGGTAAGTGAAGAGATACTAGTAGCCTATACTAATACTAATTTTTCCTAAAGAGATAGGATCTATAAGGTCTACCGAACGATTAACCCTAAAGCTATCGAGCGTCGTCGATTAGACCTCTAACGCCGGAGAGGAGCTTATACTTACCCTAGGCCAAACTAGATATAGTATATTAATAGTTATATAAAGCTAGAACCCTTTAGATTTAAGATATATACCGCTATCGATAGATACTCTCGATTTATTATATAGATTTATATAGGAATCTCTACTCGAACAGCAGTAAGCGTACTCTATTAATATCTCGACTATATAGCTTCGAATAGCTTTCTACTACGTATTATACGCACTAATCTAGGCACAGAAACAGTAATATTTAGTAATATATATCTCGCCCTTCGCTAGTCTACATCAGATAAAGATCTTTAGCAGAAAGACTACTTCTTCTACGGCCGAAGCACTAAAAATCAACGGATTAAATCCTAGTAGAGATAGCTCGTAGGGTCAAGCGTCTTCCTCTTCTACGAATATTTCTATATACTACAACGCGATAGGATCTTCTTAAAGCAGTATCTTCTAGAGCAGATATCGCTTCTTACTATCTACATACCTATCCTCCGAGCTCGTATATACTTATACACGAATACGTGAGATAACGGGAGTGTAAGAGCATGTTCTGTTATTATCGTAAGCGAATATGTCTATAAGGACATAAGTGCGGTCAAACATGGCAGAAGGTACCCGTAAGGGGCCGAACATGTAAGGTTAAAGGAAGGTAAAGTACGCCCAGGATTATATCCTCCCCTACTTAATAAGACTCGACCCGAGTCTACCGTACAAAATCAGTCCTTGTCGGACCCGAAAGTGTGCTAGCACACATGAATATATACGTAGATAAAAGAAAAGTGGCCGGTCGCGGCCAAACTGTGGTTAAACTGTAGTGTGAAAGTACCCCACTAAACCACCTAGGGCACCTATCCGTAGGTAACCCGACATATTATATAATACCCTAGTAGTTACGGAGGTATTATATAATATATTAGTATATAGAAATACCCCCTATAGTAGATAAACGTGAATAGAGGTAATATTTCCGTTTTCGGATATAAAGGGATATATTAGCTAAAAATATTAATAAAGATATAGCGTATTAGGTAAATAAACGGCTTAAATAATAGCCTAAGGCTAGTAGGCGCCCTAAGGCCGTCTACATATCCGATATAAATATTATTAGATCCCCTACCGTCTACCGTCGCTCGTTAACGCCTATCTTATCTACCCTACGTAAGTTTCTATTAATTTTATCGGTCGTCTATCTCTAAATACACTAGAATTAGCTACCCTAACGTATTCGGCTGCTAGATACCTTAGGGAGAGCCTTCCTAATATATATAGCTAGTAGATACTACGGGGATAGCTTTTCTAACGTATATAGCTATTAGGTACTCTAGGAATAGCCTTTCTATAGTATATTACTATTAGGTACTTCTAGAAATAGCCTTCCTACTATACCCTACTATTAGCACTTTAGAAATAGCCTTACTAATACTTCTATAACTAGGTTCCCTCCGAAGTATCCTTTCGGTCGTAATTATAACCGATCCTTCCCTGACTCCTATCGCCGCTAGTAATAATAATTAGCCTTCTAACGCTACCGGCTCTGCTAGCCCCCCTACCCCTAGGGACCCTTCGCTTCTTTTTATACTCGATAAGCTAGAAGAGGACCTAGTTATAGCTCCTATTTAAGCTATACCCGTTACTATAGCTCCTGTTTAGGCTATATCCTTTATTATAGCTCCTGTCGCCGCTGCTATTTCTCCTATCCCTATCGCTATTATAATTCCTACCGCCCCCGTTCCCTCTATTCCCGTCTCGAACCCTCCCGCTTAGGTTAAAGGGCTAGATAACTATAGTAATCCGGATACTTCCCTTTTTTATACTACGCTTAATCTAGCCTTTTTAAAGTAGCCTACCTAATAGAATATAGACTAGCGTAAGAGAAAGCCTAAGAACTATACTACGCCCTCCTAAACGTACTCTACCTTCGTTTAGTAGATCGGGTTCGTAGCCGAATAGGCCTATAAGTAATATATAAATAGATATAGACTGTTCGCGATCTATATTATTAATATTACAGACGAGAAAGGTACCTTTAAGCCGATTTTTAATAGGTCCTATACCTACTATAATTTTAATATAGCTAGTAATTATTATAGCTTCCGGTAGTCCGGTTAGATACTACCGAAATTTATTTTACGGCCCCTAAAAGACCTAAACCTTTACTACCCTACGTTAAAGTATCCTAATAAAGGTAGTCTAGGTAAGTCTAGTAAGGGTAAATACGCCCGTAAGGCTCTTACGGACTCCGATATAGAGGAAATTAAGACTCCCCCTCCTAAATAGGTAGTTTCTACTAGGCCCTCGACCCTAACTTATAAGTATATAGATTATATTTACTAGAAATACCTTAAACTCCTCTATACTTATATAGAGTTTATAACTAAAAGGATCCTAACTGACTCTTCCGCGTCTAGTAGGACCCGCTCCGCTATCGCTACCCCTTATAAAGGCATTTCTAGTACTAGTAGTATATTATATATTACTATCCCGGTGCCTAGTACCGTATCCGTTCGAGTATACGTATCCGTAACCTCTAATAAGGGGAAGGGTAAGGCCCCGGAGACTTCCTAGACTAGACCTTCCGTAGCCGATATTAGCCCGGCTATTATCCCGAACCCGTCCTTCCGTAACCTTTAGCTCGTCCTATCTACCGATAACCTACGTATATAGGTAACTACCGTAGATAATAACTTTACCGTTACCTATACGGCCTATCGGTCTATTCCTAGTATAATCGAGGCCCTATAGAAGTGCCGACGTAAGATAAAGGGCCCTTTAGAGAAGTTCGGCTAGTTAGATACTCCCGTTCC